TAACCACCCACCCTAACCAGGACCTCTGGTTAGCGAGATATTTTAAGAATTTATTTTACTAAGAGATAGATGTTTTATTCCTCCTATATATTAAATCCACGCTAGGCTCTTAGTTAGCCTAACTAAGAGGACCCCTATAGGATAGACTTCTATAAAGTTTAATATAAATTAGTTAGCTTTTTAAATATTTAGTTAGTTCCCAAAGTTAGCCTTAGTTAGCTTTTTTCTTAATATTCCTCCTATATATTAAATCCGCGCTAGGCTCTTAGTCAGCCTAACTAAGAGGACCCCTATAGGATAGGGTAATCTAGAGTAATATAGTATAATAAGCTTATATTAAGCTATATTATATATAATTATAATAGGTAGAGTGGAATATAGGAGGAAAAGTGGTTACTATATATATATAGACTAGAATAGACTATAATTAAAAAAAGTCTTGGTAAAAAATATATAAAGTTAGGCAGAAATTAGGCAAAATCAGGCAAAATCAGGCATCAATTTTAGAAAAATGGGCCCATATAGGGGCATATATTTTTTAGGTTAGGCCGGGCCCTGGAATTTGAAAAATGGGGGCCCATTACCGAAGCCTATCTATATATAATATATAAGGTATTTAAAGTGGTATTCTACCCCTCTAAAACCTACCTTTCTATATAGTTTATAAAAATATACGTAAATTTAGACCCACTAAAATGGGCCCGAATGGGGGCCCCTCATAGGCCCGGACCCATTTTCGGGCCGGGCCCACCCCGACCCATTAGGCCTAACCCATTTGCCGAAGCCTAGACACACATACTCCGTGAAATTCCTATGCATAGATCTACATAGTCAAGAATACAGGAGGTTCATTTTTACTAGTGGGATATAGGTGGCCAATAGAGACGCCGAAGATATGCAAGGTATGGAGGGATCATCCCCCCTGACTGAGAACATTCAAGGTTCACCCTGGTGTGTACCGATGTAGAACTATAACCTTGGAAGTTGCCTGTTCCTTGCGTCGATCCGATCTAAAATCGACAAATGTAGGGCTAGTCACTGAAGCCAGCTATCTTGCTAGATCTTATCTCCCCTTCCTGGACCCTGGTCCTCAATGTGGTTCTGACCTCGATTATTACTTTGTGAGATACACCTGCCAATTGAGTAGGCCAAGCCAATACAAATGGTTTTACCAACCATCTTGTTTGACAACACACTTGTCTTTTTAGGTGGCGTAACCTTATTAGTATTTTTCATCCATCGATGGGTCCGATATTATCAGTCATGGGTATGTACTGTATTGCTCAATGTCTTTGATCTATCTTTCATACCACGCACCGTGCATATTGAGACTTGTCTGACATCCAAATCTCATTCAAGGTCAAAGTCCCTGTTGTTGGGGGTGAGGGAGTTTTTGAATCATGGAGGGCTGCCCGTCGTTGGGCTAGCTGCGCCCCCCAGTTGCTTCAACAAGGATATGAACTTGTAAGATCCTTCTCCATCACATTCGTATGTTAGATGGACATCTTACGGAATTTTGATATAGCATAAAGACTTTGCATTCCAGGTCGCCACACCGACGGGTTGGGATGTCTGTATTTGCCAGGATGCAATGATCAGAGAGTATCTCAATGCTTCGGACGAGTATCTATCTTCCACAGCTCCAATCCAAGGGGTATGAGTTTCTACGCTTATCTTTAACCCTCTATCTTATGGATTCATTACATCAACTAATCCTGGAGTCCGATATAGTTCTTCCAGTCGAAGTTTACAGCTCCCGGCTTATTTCACAAAATCCCGAGCTCAATGATGAGTAAAGCACTCACCTGGTCCCGAACACGTACCAGATCCACAGACCAATACTTTTCCGGCTTTGTTGAAGAGCTTGAGTACTCATTTGAACAGGAGGTGAATGCAAATATGAAGATTGCGGGCGACTGGAATGAATTCGATTGTTACGCAATCGGCAGACGTCTTATAATGGGGCTAGTTGCGAAGTTACTGGTTGGTGATGAATGTCGGAATTCAGAGAAGATCGATCTTTTCTGTGACTACACAGCCGAAATGATGATCGGAGGACCATATATAAGGGGGTTTCCGGATTTTTTGAAACCGTGAGGTTGAATCCCCCCTTCTTCACTGTGCACATATTGACTTTCCTTTCTGAAAAAGGGTTGTCGCACGCTCATCCCAAGTTGTGAAACTTTCGAATAGAATGCAGAAGCTTTTCCTGGACGTGATCAACAGAAGGAAATCAAAGTCAGAAGAAATGGAAAAGGAAGGAAGACAGCCCGAGGTGAGAATTTGTGTATTTTGATCTTCTGGCTCAAATTACTCCCAGTTCCACCATTCTCTCAAGTGCTGCCCCTACTCAATTTCGCTAACATGTTGTTGTTTTTGCTAAATTTAGGACTTGACAGATTGGTTCTGGCGATGGTCACAACAAAATACGAGCAACGGTCTAACGGAATTGGACATTGCCCAGCTGCTCGCTGCAAATACCTTTGGAGCCAGTTTCAACACAACGGTGGTCCTTGTACAATGTCTCTGCGAGCTTGCCACCAGGCCGGAATATGTCACTTTAATCCGAGAAGAGGTCACATCAACTCTTGAAGCCAACAATAACATTTGGACTAAGGAGGGAATTGACTCAATGAGGAAATTGGACAGTTTCATCAAGGAATCCCATCGTTATAATTGCTTTGATCTTGCCGGAACACCCCGTGTCGTTAAGAAGGATTTCCAATTCAAAAATGGTCTTCGAATTCCAAAAGGGACAGTTCTCTTGACCCCAAATGCCGCTATGTTATTTGATGATGAATTTGTGCAGAATCCCCTTGAGTTTGATGGTCTTCGATTCTGTGACCTTGCAAATACTTCTGAAACACCTGAGATCTTCAGATACACCTCTACGAATCCTCATTATCTTCAGTTTGGAGACGGAAAACATGTCTGGTAGGTCAATTCTCTGATCTTGCTTCCTAGAGCCTATCAAGTTTATCGGCACTTATTAATGCCTCCCTTTCTGTTTAGCCCAGGCCGCTTTTTTGCAGCAGATGAACTTCGTCTCATTCTAGCATATCTGTTGCTCCATTTCGAAATCAAAATTCAGGGGGGTTTACCTAAAGATTTCAAGATCAAGAGACACAACCTGCCACACTTGGGGGTGAATATCCTCTTGAAGAAGATTGAAGAGGAAAGGACTGATTAGACAACGGAACATTCTTTGGTTATAGCAGGAACTAAGGAGACCAACTCAAGTACGGTTGACTTTGAAACTCAATATGCCCACTTTTCAGGCTTGAATCATGTATGGCAGGCTTTGAATGGCCTAGCTGTAGAAATCACAACAATCTAGTACTCAGAGCAAGATCCAACGGGGGGCAAATAACCTTAGGACATTTCAAGATTCTGCCAAAATTAAGACACCAAATGGAAGAAAAGCAACAAGTATGCTTCTCATTATCAATTTTTTGATAGTTTGTATTGAGAATGTCGACGAAACCTTGGAATATTAGAAGAGGCAATACCATATGTGATGATGTCCCAAGATTGAAACAAAGCAGAATAATAAGGACCGGTCAGCTACATTGCGCCAAAACAAATTATTCCGAAGGCACACGGATTATCGCGATGTAACCCTGTAACTACTTGAAGTTCTATTCTGCGGCCACCGTGGCATGCAGGATGAAGATCCCTGTTCTGAATGCATACACAAAATTTAGCGGTGTGTAAAATTTCCTTGCAACAGGTTTTAAACACATCGGAGGCTCTGATATATCATATGTAAGTCTTGCATGTCTATAGATCTCCATTGGGCAGCTAAATCTCAAGCTGGAAAATTCTAGCTCACGGCTCGTAGATCTAAGAAGATGCAGCCAGAGTGCAACCTGTAAGCAGTTTTTTAAGTAAGGAGGCTGCGAAAAAGGGGCATTTTGACGTCCTTGCTTTGGTTATTCTCAAGAAAATGCTGACCGCATTCAGGGATCAGAGACTAGATTGACAGCATGAATCAAGCACGAGGTCAGACGGACATCACCTAAGTCGGCGAATCGGGAGATGATCCGCTGTGGCATTCTACAAGAAGCAAGGTTAAAATTTGTTGAAAGTGCGTGGGTATTGATAATTTAACGACTAGATTTTCTCGGGCTTCACGTTTTTAATCAATAAAAACCTTCCCGCGACACTGGAACTCTCTTCACTTCATTGAAGACCAATATGACTATCCCGCAGGAATGTACTGTGCTGGTAGTGGGTGGTGGCCCTGGGGGCTCGTATGCTGCCTCAGTACTCGCACGAGAGGGCATTTCTACCGTCTTGTTGGAAGCTGATCTGTTTCCTCGGTAAGTCAAAAATTGTAAAACTTCATAACGAGTACCACAGCAACTAACTAGCAACTTAGATACCACATCGGCGAGAGCCTTTTGCCATCTACACGGGAATTTTTGAAATTCATTGACGTGTATGACAAGTTCGAAAGCCACGGATTCAAACACAAGGTTAGCATTGTGAATCGTGAAGCAATTCCCCCGACGTCAAACTAAGCGAACTACAGAATGGAGCTTCATTCAGCTATAATAGCAAGCCTGCAGCATGTGAGACCTATAATGTTGCTACTTGAAAAATCCACGACTGACTTAGCCCGGACTAGACACAAACTTCCTTGCATTTGGTGGACATGCATGGAATGTGGTCCGCTCCGAATGCGATCAGATTCTTTTCGAGCACGCTGGGCATAGCGGAGCTAAAACATTTGACGGAGTCAAGGTAAATGCAATTGATTTTGAGCCAACCGGCTGCCAGGAAGATCGTGGCAATGGCAAGCTAGGACGGCCAGTGTCTGCTTCGTGGACACGCAAGGACAAAAGCGCCAGCGGCACGATTCGACTCAAGTACTTGGTAGATGCCAGTGGCAGAGCTGGTATAATTAGTACCAAATATATGAGAAATCGCAAATATAACGAAGGCCTCAAGAATATCGCGACTTGGGGCTATTTCGAGAGCGCTGGAGTGTATGGCAAGGGTACCCCGGCAGAAGGGGGTCCATTCTTCCCTCGGCTCAAAGGTATCTTCCCCGTACTATCAACTGACACTTCGTGATAAGAAAGAAACTAAATGAATCCATTGTTTTAGATGGAACTGGCTGGGCCTGGTTCATTCCTCTCCACAACGGGACAACATCTGTTGGGTTGGTCATGCAACACACCAGCTTCACGGCCAAGAAGAAGGCTATGGAGTCACCGAGCACGCGGGAATTTTTCATGCAGTACGTGCATGATGCTCCGATGATTTTTGAACTGCTGGAAAATGCCAAACTCGTTTCAGACGTCAAGTCGGCTACCGACTGGTCCTATAGCGCCCCAACCTATGCCAGTCCCTATATTCGAATTGTTGGGGATGCTGGGTGTTTCATTGACCCATTATTCTCATCAGGTGTCCATTTGGCATTCACTGGGGCGCTCTCTGCCGCCGCCTCCATCTGTGCGGCGATCAAAGGGGACTGCACTGAGCATACTGCGGTCGGTTGGCACTCGGAGAAGATCCGAGAGGCTTATACCCGGTTTTTACTTGTGGTTACGAGCGCATACGCCCAGATCACTGGGCAGGAGCGTCCGGTCTTGAATGAGTATGACGAGGAGAATTTTGATCGTGCTTTCAGCTTCTTCCGACCTAGTAAGTGTCAATTTCCCCTCTGCCTTCCCAACGACTCACTTTCTCGTCCACGGTACTGATCAATGCACAGTTATCCAGGGTACCGTAGAAGTAGGTGGAGGGAAATTGAATGCTAAAGACGTGGCCGACTCGGTGGAGTTTTGCATGCGAGTGATTCGCAAGGTTGATGGTACCCATAACATGGCTTCAAATGGAAAGCAGCTGTGTGAGGATGAACGGGGCGAGTTGACCTGTGATCGTATCAAGAAGGAGGAGCTCAAATCGGATCTCAACAAATTCCGTGTTGACGCTGTTAACGGGATGGTTGTTAACCTTGAACAGGGGGCTCTGGGGTTGGTTCAAGCGGTTTGATGCATCAGATTGCATGGATGGGAAATATTGAAAATGGTTAAGCATTATTTGAAAACTCCACCTGAGTGAACATTGAACGTTGTGACTGAACGCAAAAAAATCCTGCCGAAAAGTCGTAGTTGTCTGGTCAATCTATGTAGAGGCTTCGCCAGAAACGCGTGGTTTTCGGGATGGCAGGCGCGTCACGTCACCCGTCGGAGTCACCAAATTTACTTGTTTGATATTTTTGAAATTAACCACACATGCACAAGTCACGCCTGACTTGCGCTACTACTTATTATCGAGATCATTTTACAACGGATGTGAAGTATTGGCCGTCATATTTGGTGTGGTACTCGTGGACACTAACAGTATGTATGTCTCGCATTTTCTCCACCTATCCTCAAACATCACCAGGAAAATCCCCACAGATGGCCTCGAGCACCGCTTGCTGCTGAAGACCAGCATTCTTTGGACGCCACACTCTCACCAATTTCAGTCCCACAGACTCGAGCAGAGCTCGAAATTGCGTCTCCGTTCGCTCCAGCGACGAACACAAGATCATCATGTTGAGATCCATAATAGCGTCCGACAGGTGAACCCTTGTAGGACCGTCCGGCAACACACGCTCGTGAATAAGAAGCATGGATGTCTCATCCATCGCATCTCGAATGTGCAGCAGGATGCTCCGCGCCTGGACATCTGGCCAATCGTGCAGAACACGACCCAAGAAGTAGACATCCGCCCCCATGACGGGCTGTGGCTCGAAAAAGCTATATGACATACCCTGCACTGTCTGCGTGGCAGCAGTTGTTTTGAGGCCTGGTAGCATACTTTGGATGACATCGGGTAAATCTTGGAGGATGAATTGCCCCCGAAGAGATGGAATGGTATCGAGCAAAATTTTGATCTCGTGACCGATTCCTCCCCCGATATCCACGAACTGAAGCCGTTTATCACCGGAAGAGCTTGAAGACTGGAATTCCTGGAACCGGTGTGACACGGGGAATATTGCGGTCCATCGCGCGGTATTGTCACGTACGACACCCGCCTGCATTGTACGGTTAAAGGCATCGAGTTGGATCGGATGCGACTTTAACCAGTCGAAATAATGCTCCTCTGTGCGCATGACATATTGAAATGGTCCTGCGTAGGCATTTGAAGGAGATGAGTATTGTGTCTCCCTCAAGATCTGAGGTAGTTTTGCATATATTTGAGAGTGGATGTCACTAATGGTATAGTATAAGCAGAGAGTTGGCTGAATGGGAGCTGTCTAAGCTCACTAGACGTGCTTGGAAGCTTACAAGTTCATCATAATCCGACTTTCCAGGTAGCCCCCCTTGGCAAGATCCTTCACCACAGGATCTGGTTTGTACTTTCCACCTGGAGTGACACTGAGAATTCCGGAAGCTGTCAAAAATCGCAAAATACGTGCTATTGTTCATATCCAAATGTATTAGCTCGGAATTTCTCTTGGCACAAGAAAGGAACTGTTTTTCTCTTACAAACAAGCAAAGAATCTCCTCTGATTTGCGATGCAATTTCGTGGGCCCCGAATTCGTCTTTTGGGGAATTGTGGACAAAGTCGAAAATTCCCATGTCAATAGCGATACGAGTGGCTACCACCGGGGTCATCTACTTAGTGTCAATTAACTCAATTTCCAAAACCAACTTTATATCGGAAGGGTAATTTACAGCATGAGTTGCCTTTTCTAGTCTTGACCTCGGCTGCTCGACAATTGCAGAAAGCTTTTCGCAGGCCTGAAACAGCGCCGCTCGCTGCTGAGGTTCAACCTCTGCCTGGTTAGAGAGCATTTCTGCGGCTTCATGGATTGAGCTGATGATTTTGGTGAGGTCCATTGCTTCCAAGATTCGCATAAATGGCACAGACTTTCCCAAGTGCGACAGAGCAACACCTCTGGTGGTATGAAAGTGATCGAGACTCTGCACCGATCCAGGAAAACTAACCATAGGCATAACAATGTATGCAGAACTGCAGGTGGTATCTGATTGCGACCTCCCTTGGCATCTACAAGAAGAGCGGTCAAAGTATGCAGTGCATAAAGTTGATCTGTCAGGTTGATCTATGTTGATTCTCTTACTGCTCAGGTGGTTCCAATGCTAGATTCTTGGCTTGCACTGCAGACCACGAAAGGTTGGCAACAGTGCATATAACTAGCGTCAATGCTACGCATCCCTCTTTTTCACGAGCTCATTTGCAAACTCTAATCCTGCATCACATCTGATGATACCATAGGAAGCCGCCGAGTCCAGTTGCCGTTGCTGATCCTGAGAGAAAGCCTTGGCCCGCTGAAGATGGTCTTGTATGACTTCGCCTACTCGCAATCTGGCTCCCGCTGCTTCAGCGCAGTCAATGGCGTGGCCAATATCCTTCAGAGCCAGGTCCAAGTTGGACCATGGGGCTGTGCCTAATACCAATTGGTTCAGTGGTCAGCACAAAAATAAAGAAATTATCTGAGTTCTAAGCATACTTTTTGGTGGCATGTAAACTCCCTGAGTCAATCGCTTGGAAATCATTGTCGGCAGAGGTCCGAATTGGGCTTCCAACAGCTTCTCAACTATGTCACAACCCAATCCGCCTTTCTCGGCGAAGACAAGAGCTTCACCGACTATCTCCGTCATGCCTGAGACAAGGAAGTTCCTTGCATTTCGCTTAGCAATTGCGACACCAAGATTGCATGAATTTAGAGCTTACACACCCGATAACTTTCAGCAGGGATGCTTTTTCTGGGCGATCTGCCACTTGAAGTATATCACGCGCTATCACGCCTTTTATGTAAGGGGATACTCGCTGTATGGAGGAGGGATCCCCAGCAGCAACCATCAGAACATTTCGCTCTGCAGCCATCGGAGCAGAGCCGAAGACGGGACCTGGATAATATGAGCGCGGTCAAAGCAAGAGGATCCTAGCAGCATACCGGAGATCAGAGAGGCATTTTCTTTTGCCAGCTTTCCAGCAATATCCTTGCTTGTATCTGGATGGACACTTGTGGTATCTACAAACACTTTCTTGGCCAGATTTGCCGCCAATAAGATTTCCGTTACGATAATTTGTAGTGCATCATCATTGCTGGTCTGGACACCTAATTGATTAGCAGGATTAAATCAAAAGCTAAGGTTTAGTGTAGATCGTACCGAGATGAAGATAATCTCACAGTCTCTGACAACGGCGGCAATTGTTTCACACTGAATTCCACCGAGACTCGTGAGGGCGTCCCCTTTAGAGGCAGTGCGATTCCAGACTCGCAATGGCGGTTGGCCCTGGTCATGGAGATACTTCTGAAGGTTTGACGCCATGGAAATGCCCATATTCCCGAGACCTACAGTAATCAGCCATAGTTAGCGAGTACTCAGTCACCGTCTTTCAACTGCTGGTGAGGCTTGCCAATCCACCCCAACTGGGGAGACGTTGGAGGTGGTAGGATAGCCATTGTCCACTGTAAGCTCGAGGGAGTCTTTAGCTTGTAAAAATAGAGATGATTGGATTGACTTTGATTTGAAGCACTACAGCCTTTATCCTATGGAGAATAATAGAAAGTCTTAGGCCTTTTGATCTACCTGCTTTAATTCCGCTTCCACGTCATATAAGACATCTCCATTCAACACCCCGGACATAGACATGCCCCAGAACCGATTGACACGTAACATAGTCCACATGTACCACTCCTTGCACCAAACTGCCCACGGTGACTGATTTCGGCGCATTTTACCATTGCGCAATGCAACCTCATTGATGTGCTGGATCCGCGGCCGACGAATCTGATCGAATTTGCCAAAGACCTCCTGCAGGTTATGATGGTCCCCAGCTTGATACTGGGCTAACAAACCAGACAATAGGATCACATCTTCGAACGCGAGTGCCACGCCCTGCCCGGCGTGGGGTTGCACGGCATGCGCGGCATCTCCCATCAGCAAGACGCGGGGGGATCCCTGAGGAGCATCTGAGGGAACAAACCAACGACCACATAGTGGCAGGCGATAATGCGGATAGAAATGAATGTCTTGGCTAGCATCCACAAGTCGCTGCAAATATTGGCCCCATTGGCCCTGCACGCACTTCAAAACAGTGGCTAGCGAAGTTCGGCATTCGGCCAGTTCCTTTTGGCGGTGAAGCAACCAACCATCACGGACATCGGCCGAGGTCGATCCCGCTGGCAGCGGCACCTCCTTACTGAAGAACCAGAAAATCTGATTGGCAGCGCAGGGTGCAGTCGCCAACATTCCATGGGGCGTGAGTGTCGAATGCAGGCAGACCGCGTCTTTGGGGTCTCGATCCTTCACGTCGTCAACGATTGACGAGATCGCCGAGATACCCGAGTACACGGGCGCAATTTCTGCATCGATGTGCAGCTTGCGTACTGCCGAATGGATGCCATCACAACCCAGGAGAAGAGATCCTGTGTCACTAGTGCCATCGGAAAAGGTTACAGTGACAGAATAGCCGTTGTCGCTGATGGACGTGATTTGTTTATCATAATGAATCGGGATCTGGTATTTTTCAGTACCGTCTCGTAAACACTCCACCAGATCCACTCTGTTGATGCGGAGATACCCGAACCCTGTCTTTTTCTTGGCTTCTGTAGCAATGTCGACTTCGCTCAAAACACTGCCAGAAGTGGAATGCAGGACGGTATTGATAATATCGACGCTGCGTGGACGTATCGTGTCCCAGAGGCCCAGACGGTGAAGGACACGCACACCATTTGCAGGGATACCTATAGAGCCCCCGAGACCCGCAGTCTTTGGATTGCGGAGCTCGTAGATGACCGGACTGAGCTTGTTATTCTGAGCCAAGCGAATGCTAGCTGCGAGTCCGGTGGGCCCTCCTCCAATAATGATGACCTAAGTCTGTCAGCTTTGCGTCTGACGAATGAAGAAGCACGCGGGGGAAATATACCTTCTCAAGATCATACATGGTGCTTCTGATTTGAAGGAGGACTAGGAGGAAATTTCACTTCCTATTTATGCCGACATGACACCGAACATTCCCGAGGATATACGCATGTGCTGTGTGGACCTCTGCCCTTGGCTCCTTGCAGCCTACCACCAGAAGAGAAAGGGATTACAGCATCCATGTTGCGGTCAAGAATAGGTCAGCGAGGATCACGCAGACACAGGAATAAGCAAGGCTCATGCACATATCCAACTCCCGGTGTGAGAATATAATCGGTCTCATTCACAAGTTTGATGATATAACAGTGGGCGGCTCATTCCAACCTTAAGTTCCCTGCCTTTATCGTTGCCGTATCAGATTTATGTTCACAAAGGAGCTTCGGAGGCTTTATCCGCTTGCCCGGGAAAAATGGTGTTTACCAACCTTACAATCCTCCTTGAAACAGTCGCCAACCAGAATGGAAGTGGAAACGTCATTTGCTATCCGCTTCAGAATACCACCCATCCCAAATCATACTCCTACTGTCAGTTACTGAAGAATGCCCAAAAGGCTTCTTGGGCACTGCGCTGCCGGCCAGGTGAATTTCGACCAGGTCGGGTGATCCTCATTCACCTAGATACACATTGGGAAAATATACTTTGGTTCTGGGCAGTCACACTGGCAGGTTGTATCCCAGCCATGTCTACATCGTTTTCAAACAACCAGGCGGCACGCATATCGCATCTAAAGCATCTGGCTATCACCCTTGAAAATCCCAGCTGTCTGACCACAGCTACTAAGCTGTCTGAATTTGGAGGACAAGATGCTATCACGCCGATTGCTCTCGAGTCGCTAGACACGGAAAACGCCCCAGCCGCAGAGATTTACCGCGATGCCGCACCAGGTGACACCGCCATGCTGATGTTGACATCTGGTAGCACCAGCCACGCCAAAACGGTGATCTTCACGCACCAGCAGATCTTCACAGCACTGGATAGCAAGTATAAGGTGGTGACGCTGCCAGAAAAGACCGCGTTCTTAAATTGGGTTCGCTGCGACCACGTTGCAGCCATTTTGGAAATCCACTTGCAGGGCTTATTCGCATGCCAAGACCAGGTGCATGTCCAAGCAGCAGATGTCTTGTCTCAACCTCTCGCCTTCCTGGATATCATCGACCGTCATCGTGTCTCTCGTACCTTTGCGCCCAACTTCTTTCTCGCTCGCATCCGCGCCGCGCTTGAAGATCATGGCGACTGCTGTGCTGCATACAGCTGGGACCTTAGTTGTCTGCGATACGTGGCTTCAGGCGGCGAGGCAAACGTAACCAAGACCGGTGATGCCGTGGCAAAGCTGCTCGCTCGGTACGGCGCCCCTGAGACTGTCATTGCGACGGGCTTTGGCATGACCGAGACCTGTGGCGGTGCTATCTACAACTTGGCCTTCCCTCAGTACGATTTGGAGCATGGTCTGGAGTTTGCTTCCGCAGGAAAATGCATGCCAGGTCTCAGCATGAGGATCACTACCGTCACTGACAATGACATCGCCCCGGCTGACACCGTGGGAAACCTCGAGCTGACGGGGCCCATAGTCTTCAAAGGATATTTTAACAATCCGGTCGCGAACGCGGAGTCGTTCACCAGTGATGGTTGGTTTCGAACTGGTGACTTGGCTTCTATTGACGACCAAGGTAACCTCCGCTTGAATGGCAGGGCGAAAGAATCGATGATTGTCAACGGTGTGAAGTACAGCCCCCAGGAGATTGAGACTGCCCTGGATGAGCAAGGCAAGATCCCTGGCCTGGTACCTAGCTTTACTTGTTGCTTTTCTTCCTTCCCGCCAGGGGCAGACACAGAGATCATCTGCGTCGTGTACCTACCGAGTTATGACACCGGCGATGATGCCGCGCGACTCACCACAGCGGATGCCATTGCCAAGATTGTCATGATGTCGACAGGTGCCCGACCACAGGTGCTACCTCTCGATCATTCGCAACTTCAAAAATCCGCCCTGGGGAAACTGTCAAGAACCAAGATCAAGGCGGCATTCGAAAAGGGCGACTATGATACCTACCAGGAGATCAACTCCGAGGCAATCAAGCTGCACCGGGCGACGGCTCGCGTTCACCCTGCAAATAAATTGGAGCAAAACTTGTTAGACCTCTTCATTGAGTCTCTTGGCCTGCCTGAGCAAGAGTTTGATGTGCAATCCTCCCTCTTTGACATGGGTATCACTTCAGTGGAACTCATCAAGTTGAAAAAGAAGATCGAAGAGAAGCTGGACCTCGCGCAAGAAATTCCTATAATTACTCTGATGACAAACCCTACCGTCCGCGACCTAGCCAGTGCGCTGGAGGACCAGCAGAGTCCTCATGCAGCGAGCGAGTATAACCCAGTAGTGCCACTGCAGACCCAAGGAGAGAAGACACCACTGTGGCTAGTCCACCCTGGTGTCGGTGAAGTCCTGGTCTTTCTCAATTTGGCAAAATTCCTGGTGGATCGGCAGGTTTTTGCCCTACGTGCGCGTGGATTCAATGAAGGCGAAACTCCTTTCGAGACAATTAAAGAAGTTGTCACAACTTACCACGCCGCCATCAAACGAAAACAGCCCTATGGACCATACGCGCTGGCTGGATATTCCTATGGCACGATGCTAGCCTTTGAGGTAGGTAAAGTACTGGAAAGCAATGGGGATGAAGTTCGCTTCCTGGGATCTTTCAACCTGCCGCCTCATATCAAGGACCGCATGCGTCAGCTGAACTTCAATGAATGCCTGCTTCATCTCTCATATTTCTTAGATCTGATGACCGAAGATCGTGCGCGGGAACTGGCAGTGGAAATGGAGGAGTCTACACGGGAGGAGACCTGCGCGAAGGTGATGGCGGAAGCCGATCAGAACCGCCTCGCCGAACTGGCGTTGTCGGCTGACGCAATCACCAAATGGGCTTGCCTGGCCTTCGCCCTGCAGAGCATGGCTGTAGACTATGATCCTTCTAGCTCCATTGCTGGCATCGATGTCTTCTATTGCAACCCTCTGGCTATCGCAGCTTCATCCAAGGCTCAATGGCTCAGCAAGCACTTGAGTAATTGGAAAGACTTTTCGAGGTCACCGCCACGCTTTCACGACGTTGGTGGTGCCCATTATACCATGTTGGGCCCAGAGCATGTCTTTGGTTTCCAAAAGACTTTGAGGGCGGCCCTTGATGCAAGGGGAATTTAAGATTAATCCAAAAGAACATTTCCCCCAGAATGAATATTATAGAAATATCAAAGTATGTTTGAGTATTAGATTTACATTATTGATCATAGAAATGATTATTTCGAATTGTTGATAAATTGGTAAAAACTATTCATTTTAACATAAATAGTACGTCTATTGATCATTATCTGGTTTAGTTCGCTTCTATATAGCAACCACTTTTCCTCCTATATTGTACCACACCTATTATAATTCTATTTAATATAACTCAAGATAAGCTCGATATATTATATTACCCTAGATTACTCTATATTTAGGGTAGTTGGGAATAATATGAAGTGGTAATTTTTGAAGTGGTTGATTTGCCACATTGATGGGGGAGATAAATACATATAGAACGTGCAGCTTCACCACCTTAACAACCATATATATATATCTCCACCCCAACCACCCTTTTATATATAGTTTGAATAAAGAAAAAGCTATATTATAAGGAATACCTTATAAATAAGCTTATAAGCTATAAATTACCAAGGGCTATATTAGATATTATAGTTAAAGTGGTATTTTCACCCTCCAAAACCAATTTTCTGCATATTTTATGAAGAATACACATGAATTTGGACCCACTAAAATGGGCCCAAAATGGGGGCCCATTTTCGGGCCGGGCTCAGCCCAACCCATTGGGCCCGACCCATTTGCCGAAGCCTACCTAGGATACCTATTCTAATCTTATAAATACTTCTTAATCTAGACAAGACTAGTAATATAAGAACCTATAAAGAATAATATATTATATAATAAGAAATAAAATACCTAATAATTCTAGTAGGAGAACCCTCTTACCTAAAAGGCTATCTCTATTAGATACTAATAGAATTAGGGTACGTTTCTTAAGTATAGGTAGAAAAAGTGGGTCTTAAGTCTAATATCATTAGTTCTTTAAGGTACTAATACTTTTATATTCTAGGCTTGGGGGAAGCTTAGATTTTGATCTTGTTCTATCAAATTCCGACGCTTTTAGGAGCGAATTGGTGGCATGGTGGCTGGTTGAAGATGGATAGTCTAATTAATCAACGCCGTTTGGTTGGCGTGGCCTGGCCGACCGTGTGGCCCGCTCGCTTGTGAAATACGTTAGTTAATGGTCAAGACGTGTAATGATCATGCCTACTGTAGTCACGTACATCACGTGTTAAGATCTGCGTGCTGCCGGTCCCAATCTCTCCGACCTCTCCACTCCGATCCGGTCCCTATGTATCCGCAAACCGGAGAAATGTGCGGACCTCCAACACCCATAGTGCCGCTTCAAAGAACGCTCTTCTTCAAAGATGTCATCTCGGTTGGCGGCCTGTGAGGCTTGCAGGAAAGCAAAGCTCGCCTGTGACCACAAACGCCCTATTTGCACTCGTTGCCAGAGCAGTGGACGGGGCGGCCATTGTACTTATAGAGTCGAGCCTTTCAAAAGAAAGCGAGCGCCTGGCCCACCAACTCCAGCGGTACAAGCCCCCTGGTATGTTCTTGCTAATGTGGATTGTTCTTTCTCTCATTTTTTGCGACATGAGACATTGGGCTAATCATAACAGCGAGCGCTCACCCGCTCCATCATCGCTTCTCAGCCCAAGGCCCACTCCGTACCCCAATCCAGGGTATTTTGGCACTTCTAGCCATACTACTATCTTCGACCATATCTCGGCGGAGCGCGATTTAACGCCTAGTGGCCATGATGTGCCAAGTACTACCTTGTCGGCAGCTTCGCATCACCAGCTGGCCGATAATGCTGCGCTGCTACAGGGCGCCGGCGCGCTTCGCCATTTGTTGGACCACTTCCAATTATCAGCCTTGAGAGACATTGTCACATCATGGCTTGCAAAGGGAGCTAACCTTGCGCTGGCAGAGCCACTAGTCGAAGCATGTGCTAAAGGCATCGCGGGTCTTGTCTCATCCGTGCCACAAGACGATAGTTGGCATATATCCTGCGCAAGCCATCTCCTGCATAATTCATCGCAGATACTCGCACTCAATGCTAATAGCACGTTTTCTGAATTTTTGGACATGATCATCGGCCCGAAGTTTCGGTGGGAATCTCTTGGAATATTTTTCCTTGCGATCAGTCGTGCCACCGTCGATATACCATTTTTCCCACCTTTATACATGACGAAAAAAGAAAATATTTCCTTCGGAAGCTTGCAACCAAGTTAAGCGATTGGGCATTGGAGATATGCTTGTCACTAGACTGTCTCAATGACATCCAGCTTGTTTTACAATATGAAAACTTTATCATGCATTCGTTCGTTGATGGTGATCACAGTGAGTGTCATTCATATTTTCTCAAGTTAATTCGGCAAATTTAACTGACTTGGACCAGGCTACCATTCATGGCGGAAGCTCGGAGATGTAATCTCGTCTATATTCGCCCTAGGCTACCATGAGGATATTGACTCCAAGAACGACGTACCATTTTTTCTCAAGCAGTTGCGGAAGACTGCCTTCGCGAGAATATACTCAGCCGACAAGAATGTCGCAATTTTTCTGGGCCGACCGCCTCGTATGACGAAACGGTTTTGCTTCTTCCAGATTCCATTATCGTCTTCCGAAATGCAAGGTCATTCCGAACTCTGGGACATGAACGAAAAGGCCAGTTACCAAGCAGAAACTCGATGGTCTGCTCTGTGCGCATCACTCAAAGAAGAAATTCTCGAATTGACTCGAAAAAAGCATCATCAAGCCACGAGCCCTGAGCAGGTGATGTATGCCACCCTGCGCCTCCTCAAACGAAATCAGAAAATATTAACACTTACAGAGCAATTCAAAATTCCGCAACAGCTCAATGGGGCAACCTCCCTCCTCATATGAAGCTAAAAGGAGATTTTGAGCAGAGTGAAATGTACACCCCTTTTGAACAAGACTTTCTGATTAGCGTGCGGCTAAATTATCTGCATGTACAATTTCTGCTCCGCCTTCTGCTTCTAAGTTCACTCATTGAGCCAGACGTCTCGCTAGTAGCGATAGCGGAGGAAATGCTATCCCGCGTCGTCGAAGCCATTCTTATGCGACAGGAGACAATAGACTCTGGAACAAGTCTTGTGTGGAAGGTACGTAGACACATCCTAAAACCCGGGTCTTTTCCAAATTGCCAACCCATATGTCTAGATTGTCCACTACGGGCTACCAGCAGCGGGTATAGTTGTTCTCTCTATTCTTAAGCAGATGAGATATCGATCGAACTTGGATAATTCGATGACAAAAGCTATTCGAGATCTGAGTGTTTTTGTCGCCGGAATTCAAAAAGGCTCAATTGTGTTGAAAGGAGATCCCATCTATTCATTACTATCCAAAGCGACACAAACGATTCAAAGATTACTCGATTCGTTTTATTCGGGTGTTGCTCAAGAGGGACCAAAAAGCGTGCCGCTTGATGAAAATAGTGTTGATGACTGGGCGGTCATACTTGGTCAAGACTTTTGGGACTTTGAGACAGGGTTTTGGGAGAACCTCGCGGACCATCCGTCACTAGTGGCTCCTGAGGAGACAAGGTTCTCAGATTTGTGAATATATACTACTGCTCTATTAAGAATTCATACTTCACTGCCTCCGCAAAGATTCTCACCCCTTCACCCAAGTCTTCCTTAACGGCAGCCGCGAAAGTCAATCGAAAATGCAATTCGCCACTAGGGCTTTTGTTGCAGTGGAAAAGAGAACCTTTGGTGACTTGGACACCATTCTTGAAGGCCAACGTCAACAAATTATTCTCAATGTCGGCCAGTGCCCCTATCAAGTTTTTATGCGAGGTCTGATTTCGGAATCGAGGATGCCGGCTCCAATCCAGCTTGACCCAAAGAAACATGCCGTAGTCCGGTGATACCCAGCTGCAAATGTCTCGTGGCAGAAATCTCTCGCAAGCATCCAGCAGGAGATCCCGTCGACTCCGATATTGAAGAGAAAGATGGTCCAGCCAGGAAAAGAAGCCTCGATGCCCCCAGCTTTCGTCAAGCAATTTGCAGAGCATCAGTTGCACGGGACCGCTAACTGCTACCGTGCTGACCTCACTATATGCAATGAATTTCTCGATGATGCTGGAGTTTGCCACTACCCAGCCAGCACGCATACCGGGAGCAAGAATCTTTGAGGCAGAGTCGAAGCGAACCACACGGCCGGATGTATCGAGAGATAAGTATGAGCAGACACCACCGGCCGCAGTGCTGGATTCCGTATCCTCTGAGACTCCCCCCAGTCGAAGAAAAAAATAAGGATCGTCCTCGAAGATGATCAAATCGTGCTCTTCCGCTATTTGAAGGATCTTGTGTCGTCTCTCTAGCGATTGTGTCGCACCGGTCGGATTCTGACCACAAGGGATTGTATAAAGAACTCTAGGTTTAGGACCACAGGACAGATTCCATGTGTCCAGTAGTTTCTTGAGATATGTATCATTGACACCATCAAAGTCCAACCTCATAGCTTGGATGTTTAATCCCAATAGACCTGCAGCTTCAATAGTACCGGGATATGTGTACTCCTCTGTTAAGATTGTATCCCCTCTGTCGCAGAATATACGGAAAGCAATTTCGAGAGCAGATGTTGTTCCCACGGTCAGGCAAGTACCCCAATTCGAGTAAGCCGGGTTGTGAACGAGCTCGGTGTGCTCCGTGATGAATCGAAGTAGGTGGGGCGATCCAACCCCATGCCCATAATTGAGAGCCAGGGCCAGGTTATAGCCCTCATCTTGTTTCGTGGAGCTCTGACAAGAAGGCGCGCTACTATGGCCATTGCTCCCATTATGGGATTTGAATTTTGCGCCAATTCGAGTTTCTCCGGCTCTGCTAAAGCCTTGAAAAGAGACCAAGTCCCATGGATAGTAATCTGGCGTTGGCCGACCAGTTCCAAGAGAAATGATACTTCTGGTGCTTTTGACGCTGGCAGCCTTTTTCAATGCTGAGCCACTAAATCTTCGGCTCTCGACACTATAGTGGTGATCCAAGTTTTTCGCGAGTGGCTTTCTATTGTTGTTTGGCGATTTGAAATCATCGGCGGACGTGAAAGCTGCAACGGTGCATGGCAAAGGAGCCGATTGAGCACGGAGGGTCTCGATATCAACAATCGATAATACAGACATTCTTGCAATCTCGGTAGGGGTTGCTCTGTGTAATGTGCTACCGAGCACACGGCCGCCGAGCTTTATAGAGTACCTGTGGAAGGGTAAAGGTCGGGCTAGGTTAGTGTAAGCAATAATCTCGGAGTAACCGGAGAGGATCTACTCCTGACCGGGCCTTAGATTCGAGACCCGTTGGGCTTTCCATTGCCACCCCTCGTGTTTGTGCAATCTTTTGCGGCCGTCAGCACTAAGCAGTGCTGCCTACTACAAGCGGGGCGGATCTATTCCACGCGACCGGCCTCGAGCATACCATTTCAACTTCAGATTGACCCCACTCATGTGACACACTAGGGCTCGCTAGACGGTTTCTCCCCTTTAGCCTACGGAATGAAGAGAATCGCTTTGGGTCCACACGGGGTATTGATCTGACAGTTTCTCCGAACCCTATACACCTCAATGCTGCCTATGTGAGGCTTCCAAGAAGTCGACTGTACAGTCAAAAATCAGAGGCTGAGCATGCTTGTCTTCCAGAACACGAAAAATCGGAGCGTCTAGGCATTTTGTTGGGAAATCTTGCCTGCTAGCCTTGTTGCTAGCTTGCACCCGAAGTTTATCTCTTATCCCCTTGAATCAGACTCGGAGTGGAGAGCGGACAAATCGGAGAGACGGTCCGGAGTAAGGGGAAATACCTTCTGGCACTAAAACACTACTCCTGAGAACGGATTGCGCGATTGGAAGAACTTATTACTATTTAATTAGATGAACTATCGTTCTTTATCGCTAGCTTAGTCTCCATGCTTCCTTTTGCGGAACCTCCAGGCTGCTAAACACCCTAACCAGCACCATGACCGTCTCGGGAATCCCAGGCGCCGAAGCTCATACTGCCAAAATCTCGGAGTACCTCTTCACCAGGCTCCATCAACTTGGTGTTCGATCAATTTTTGGCGTACCGGGTGACTATAACCTGCGTTTGCTCGACTTCGTGGAACCGGCTGGGCTACACTGGGTTGGCAACTGCAACGAACTGAATGCCGCTTACGCCGCCGACGGCTACGCTCGCGTTAACGGGTTTTCAGCTCTAATCACAACTTTTGGTGTTGGGGAGCTATCCGCCATCAACGGTATCGCGGGAGCTTTCGCGGAAAAGGCCCCTGTGATCCATATTGTCGGCACACCCGCGCGCTCAGCACAGTATTCGCGCTCCTTGCTCCACCATACACTTGCCGACGGTGATTACCGCCACTTCGCCAGTATTGCATCGCATGTGACGAGGGCTCAGGCCAACTTGCTCGATCCTCGGACTATTCCTGAACAGATCGATGCGGCACTCAGACAGGCTATCGTACACAGTCAGCCAGTGTATATTGAGGTTCCGGAAGATGTTGTCGATGTGCATGTTGTTTCATCAGGGCTGAATGCGCCTTTGATCGTTCCCGAGAGTCCCCACTCATGGAATGAGCCTACACTCTCTGTCCTGAATCGGATGTACTCGACTAAGCGCCCGTTGATCCTAGTTGATGGAGAATGCCGAGCTCTTAGTATCACTCGAGAGGTGAACGAGCTTGTCGTGAAAACCGGCTGGCCGACCTGGTCCACTGTTTTTGGAAAGAGCATTATCGACGAAACACTGCCCAACTATTACGGTAACTATATCGGATCGCTAGGAAGTGAAGTGTACAAGACATACTTCGAGACTGCAGATCTGATCATCTCATTGGGCCCTCACCATACGGATACCAATACTGGATCATTTTCAATGATTCCTGCAAATCCAGTTTCGGTTTCACTCTCTAGAAACGTTGTTCGAGTGGGCAACGAGATACATCGCGATGTTTCGAGCAGCTTTCTGTCCATGCTACTTCAAAATCTCGATACCAAGCGCGTTCCTAAGGTAGAGGGTCCACCCCGTTCAATTGCAGCTAGTGATCAGATAGAGCATGACCCTAAAGGTCCGCTTGTTCAAAAGAGCTTCTGGCGCTTTGTGAATCGGTTATTCCGTCCGGGCGATCTCATTCTAACGGAAACCGGCACCTCATCTCATGGAGGACGTCATTTTGAACTTCCCACCGGGGCACGCTTGTTTGGGGCTGTCACATGGCTGTCAATTGGGTATATGCTCCCAGCAACCCTCGGAGCAGCACTAGCAAAGTCCGAGGTTGACAAGGACAATCGTGCGATTTTGTTCATTGGAGACGGAAGTATTCAGATGAGCGTGCAAGAAATCAGCACTATGATCAAGGAGAACCTCGATATCATTATCTTCATCATTAACAATGGCGGATATACGATTGAGCGTGCAATACATGGAAGAAATCAGGGATACAACGATGTCGCACCTTGGAGGCATAGCCTGGTGCTCCAGTTCTTTGGTGCTAATGAGAAGCTTGCGACTGAGAACAACTTCACCGCTCGAAATTACAATGAGCTTGATACTATACTTTCCGATGACCGTATTCAAAAAAGAAAGGGCCTGAGGGTTATTGAAATTTTTATGGGCCGAGAAGATGTGCAGGGAGCGCTCGTGGACCTCTTGAACACGCAGATTGCGAAGGAGAAATAGGATTGCCACTTTTATAGATATCACACTCTGCTGGAAGAGCAAACCTTTTTGTCACTAATCAGCATGCTCCATTATTCCGGCCACCTGCAGAAAGCTCAGATCGGTTTAATTTGCTCGCTTATGGATGTAAATTGTCGACTCTCTTCTTAACCGATTTTTTTTCGCATGTGCAATTTACTATCTAACCAATAAATTATATTGACCACAATTCACTATATCTGAAGTGAAATATCGAAAGTCGTGACTTTAGAATTTGACCGACCTCGACTATTTCTACACTCACTATAGAGTTAAGGAAGGGACCGGTTCGTTGCTGTATCAACTCCGCCGCTTTGCCGTGGATCAATACGGGCAAAAGTAGTGACTAAACACATCACAGTCCCTCCAAATTGAGATTCGAGAAATTATTCTGGCATCGACGCCAAGGCTTATTTTACACCATGACAGGGACATTGTGGTTTGTCAAGTTAACCTCTATTACATAAACGTAGTGCAAGAAGTGAAAAGGCTGTGCTCCCTGAAGAATATTAGTCTTCTCTGTTCCAATGTAGACGTACTAGATTTTTGCGTAGCCTAATGGGTGTAGAGAAAGTAGCAATTTTACCGATCATACGACCGCACTTAGATTATGGCATTAGGTCTGTCCTACAAAGGCAATGGGGCTCTCGTCGCCGCGTCTAAAGGATACCGAAGAATCGCTGTAATTTACTATGCGTCCAGAGTTTACAACCATTCCAAAGACGAGACTCTGTCCAGAAATACATCGCAATTCAATGAAGCAGTACATGTTCACGTCTAAAATACTAGCCTTGGCTAAAGCTTTTATAGATTTTCACATGACGATACTTGGCTTGTATCCTACGCCGGACTTACTTCATTACTATAAAAAAGCCTCTAGACCACAGACGTGGTAAGGGCACTTAGCGTGGCTGGCTGGTATAATAGGGTTCTTTGCCTATAAGTATTACATAGCCATATAGTATATAATGATAAGATAGCCTTTAGATCGATATAAGACAAATTCATGGGATTGTATACGCTTCAAGATCCCGAAAACTCCCTTCTTAAATTTAAGTAAAGACACTATTCTTCTATGTAGTATAATGACTATTATAAAGCTTTTAGGCGACTTCATATAAAGTAAAGCGAGTAGGCATTACCCACCCATTATGGGAAATGTCCATAGACAAAAACGGGCGGGCGTACCTAAGCCCAAAATGCCTAAGGCCCAACATAGGCGGGCGATGTCGCAGTCTAGTCCGGGTTAGGTTTCAGGTCGAGACCTTAGCCCGGAGGCCTAAGTTGGGCTTTGTGGAAGCCTAGCCCTGAGTCTAAAGCGATGGTTGATCACCTATTCATAGATACTACCATAAAGCCTTATTCATTTCCTTCTTGCATCTTAGATTATTCCAAACGATGGAATTTCAGTTCCAAACAATGACCTTTCGGGCCTGCAAGATAACCATCACTCGCTTCCATATCCCCGTGGTCGTGAATTGTGGTCGTAAAATTGGAATAAACGCTTCCGAAAAAGTATTTAATCGCTAGTATATGCGTTAGAATGTCTGTTAACCAAAAGTGCCATAGAACTTACAGTAATAGGCGAAATGGATGCCGAGACACATCCTTCCACCACTGCCGAATCCCCAGAACCACTTTCTCATGAGAGCCAACTGCTCCGGGGTCGAATCAAGCCATCTTTCTGGCTTCCATTTCTCAGGTTCAGGGAATACATCGGGCATACGGTGAAGAACAGACGCGTATGCTTGCACCGTCGTTCCTGCAGGAATGTTGTGGTAGCCACCCAAGGTACAAGGCCGTGGCACTATCCGAGGTTGACCACCAGGCACCGAGGGCCAAAGTCGAAGGGTTTCCATGAGCACGGCGTGAAGAATTGGCAGCTTGTCAATATCCTGGGGGTTTGTGATGTCATCGATCTCGATGATCTTGCCGGGCTCGTGCTTCAAAGGCGGGTTGAGTCCGAGCAGTTCTTTACGAAGTTTGGTCTGCCACTCCGGGTGACGACTCAACTCGTAAAGTAGGTAAGTAGAGGTATTGCCACTGGTTTCAAATGCCCCGGAATTTAGAGAAAACATGTCACTTGCCAAAGAAAGGCGGTTTGCATACATCTTTGGCTTTCCCTGAACTTCGCTCATCCCTTTCAATGCGGGTTCAAAGGCGACTGGTTGATCATCCACCGCCAGATCTTTCCCACTTGCGAGAAGCTCTTGGGCTTTATCGCATTTCTCCAGATTCCACTTCTCGACACCCTCGAAAGCAGCTAAGACTTTTTTAGGGATGAGATATATGCCAATTTTCTGGAACATGGTGACTAGACGAGGAAAGTGGTACTGCCAGAATGTGTATTCAGCCACTCCGAGGAATCCGTCCAAGTAAAACCTCCGTTCTTTTTCGTCTTCGACCAGATTGCTGGCTATCGACCGTCCAAACTGCCACTGAACAAAGGTATCCAGTAGGTAGGCGTAAGTGAGATCCATGACCTCGATTGGCTGATTCTCGATTGAGGCGTTGTAAATCAAGGGAAGCACGCGATTGAATAAGATGTCTCGCGACGCGCTGCGGGCAGTCTGGGATGACATGACAGATGATTTGGAGAAGCAACTCGCGAGGGCTTTCTTATGCGCGGCATGAGTTTGATTATCTTTGATAGTAAACAGATTATCGGTACTATCCGTGGAGGTTAGCTGGTGTCATCGTTAGTGGTCAGAACAAGTCTCTTTTACCCATAAACAGCAAACCCGTTGAAATAAAACTCTGGTTTCGGGAAACCTCCATGATAAATTTTCTTCAGTCCGTCTTCATAACAGTTTACGCTGACTAGGCCTGGTCCAAGTCGAATTGCGTGACCCTTCTCCAGGTGGAGCTTATAAATGCGGCTGTTCTCTTGCTTCGTCCATTTCATCCAGAAAATCCAAATAGGACTGAAACTGCAAGACCAGTGCGCATTTGGGATTTTGGCCAGAGGAGAGAAGAATGCGGGGTACAAAATCAACTTGAAGACTGCTGCGACCGTACCAAGCAAGATGATGGCAAAGTACAGGTGAAGCTCCATACTGTTGAGGTGGCGCTTGGACCGAACAATTGGCTTGAAATTTGGGTTGAACAGTAAAGGTGGCTTATGAGTGCTTCGAACAGCGGCTTTATAGGCTTCGGTCAATGAATTGATTTTCATGAATTCAAACAGGCACAAGTAAACTCCATGCCCAAAGCCCCATTCATTCAAGTCGCATTACTAAACGCAAAAAGAGCAATAGTGTGATAAGCGGCCGGAAACAGTCAATCAATCTCAGATCACATTATAGCCATTTTAGGATACCAGAAAGCATATCAGAGCCAGATTCTTATGCGGAAGAGTGTTTATCGATGCTAGCAACAAACATTAATTACAGGGTAAGGTCTCGGTCCATCATCGTAGACTTTAACCAAATGCGGTGAATAACTGCGCGTGCTTCACGCAGGACAGGGAAAGTGGGTCCCCCCCAAAATATGTCGTCAATGCGATAAACTGCTTATTATCTCAACAATCTGAGAGCAAGTGTCACCTGAACATTTGGCGGTGGATCACCTAGACATTTGACTAATCCTAATTCAGCAGGCGGTCTGAACGAATGCTTAGGTAAGCTGATTGGCTTACCATACAAATACGAATCATTATACCAATAATACACTAGCTATAATTCTGCCAAGTCACCGACCTTTGACCCTAATTTAACTATACCCCAGCTACACCCGACCAGTGACCCCGACCCTCCCTAATACCCCCCTAAATCCCTAAATCGGTTAAAAGATAAGCACCTTCTAAAGATATTCCCCTTCTATCATAGTTAACTGTTATTCTTATTCTAAGTATATATATAATTTATTCTTTACTTATATATTTTAAGGGATCAATATATAAGAGCGCTTACTAAGTGCTACTTTGACGCTATTTCAACGCTGCCCAAACGCTGCCCAAACGCTGCCCAAACGCTGCCTAAACGCTGTTAAAGCGCTATCATATACTAGTGTAGAGGACATGGAGTAATAAGGAAATAAGGGAAAGGCGGTATAGGGGCAAAGGAACAAGGATATAATTGGATTACTGGCAATTTTCCTCAGGTGGGGCGCACTAGTCCCAGATAGGGTCAAATGTTCCCCCGAGGTCTCTCCAAATGTACCGCCGACCTGCTTTCTGCAACAATCTGAAAGCATGATTCATTCTATGATCTGCTCAGAGTGTGCTTTTAGGGTGATTATTTACACCCATATACTAATCCGAGGGAAGATGAAACCAGGTGATTTAATAATAAATTTTGGAAAAAGGACTGTAGTCAAAAATATATAAGATTCTGAGGTTGCTCGTTATGGCAATACGAGCTTCAAAGCATAGGCCTTCCATGGCTCAAGGGTGGTTTAAAAGCTGCCTATAGACGGTCCCGATATATCTTAGGTAAGTTCATATGCGGTTAGAGTAGAGGTGTCCTGTTGTTTAGACATGTGTCGGAATCCCTAATATTAGTCATCCGTACGTGATTTACAAAATTCCATGGATGTATAACGTGACTGTTAATTCTCTTACGCCGCTTATCATGCACGGACTAGAATGACTGTATTTTTCTTTTAGTTCGATCGCGGAACCGTTCCCCTCTCCCTTGCTTCCTGCTTCCTTTCTACCATTATTGGCCATAGCAATGAATTTCTCCGCACCATACAGCTCAACCATAGTTGACTCATAAATAGTGATATCGAGAATGGTCTCCTTGAGTGAACTTACCATCTGTTCAAGGTTTCCTACTGAGATACGTCTGCTGATCTTGGAATATGTTCTGTAGCCGGTTCGCGTCGTCCGCTGGTGCCGTGTGCTAAATAGTAGGCCAGCTTCAGGCTTCAGGCGTCCCCACAACGCGAACTCCGGCGCCGTTACGCGTTAGGACAATATCCCAATTGGCAACTGCGGTACGTGGTCCAGCCGCGTAAGCATGCCGCCTTTCCACCATTACAGGCCTGTCGCGAATCGCGTGCGATTTGGCTGCCTCGATACTTTCGTCCACCCCGGTATCTGACTCTCCCAGGAGGGGAGGAGTATGCCCTGCAATTTGATGTTTCTTTCATTAGATATGAGACGGATATAATGACTACCTGGAATATCTTAAACTTTTAAGGACATTGCCGATTACGTAGTGCGCAGGCCCTCTTATAAATTCCTACTGTTGTTGAGGCCAGTTCCCACAAAGTCAGCAGGTCGTCTTGGCAGAGATATTACAACACTTCCTCACCTCCATAACGGCACTAGGATTTTCAATATTGCCACACTTACGCGCACTTTCTCTACTGGCTACCGGGCTAGATTGGGCGACTCGCCACCAATGGCCTGAGATGCCAGTCACATCCATACAGCATAGTGATTGCGAGTTCGGAGACATATCAGGAGCGAGCTTACTGCACCACCTCTTCTTTAGCCAGCATCGACCTGGCATCCTGTTTCCCAGCTCGCTCCCGCCGTTTCGCCGCTACAAAGCATTGGACAGTATTGAAAGCCCAGTCCTAACACGAGAAGTATTGGAATACATACCCTGCAGATACTCCGGAAGCATATCTATGGTGCTAATTCTACGTGCTAGGAGCAAGAGAGGTGTGCCCTCTTAAATAGATTAAGGGATAGGATGCCCGCGAGCATAGTAAGCAGGAGATGCTTCAGTGAGAATCAAGCATTCATAAGAATTGCAAGTTAGGTTGTGAAAAGAGCGTGGTGTCAGTTCCGGAGGCTCTATTAGTCATTGATATAAAGCCAATGGGGACATAAGGACCGTTCTTTGAGTTGAAAGAAGCACGGATCATACAGCTAAAGGCTAAGCTCCAAGGTAGTCAAAGCGGATGAAACAAAGATGACAGTGCTACTCATGTCTCAGGAAGTCCATTAGTCGGATATGAGGGAGAAAGGGGATGGAAACATTGAAGCCATATTGGGCTCCCATGGTGGACATAATTCCAATGTTGATTGGTCACCTAGCGGCGCAGCAAAGAGAGCGGGAAGATGTACAAGAGGATTAATGTAAAATTCTACACTGCGAGAACAGAAAGTTTCTATCCCACATATCCTTAATTTGACGGCTGCTCATCCCAAGTCAAATTATCCTTCATGTGGGGACGATCACGCCTCCACTGCTCGAGGCTTCTGGTGTAGTCTGAATTTGCGGGGCCTACCGTGGATTCTAATAGAGCAATGGGGTAAGATCTTAGTGCATATTCTATTGGATCTCGTACCTTTTTAGTATTTCTCTTCGCCCTCTTGTCCATCTACACATCAATCAAGCGTTATGTCTAAGCTTGTACCTATTATCCTAGGTCATAACCCACTATGACTCCAAAAGCTATACAATCCGTATAGCTGGATAATCAGTCGTTGCGACGGGTGATTACTGTTCGCCATTTTTGCCCAAGTCTCCGACTTGATGATAATCTCTTACCATGCCACATCCCATACTCATGCTCCTATCTGCTGTTTAATGTCAAATAACAGAAGCGTACCTTTGTGATAGGACAGAGCTCTTCATTGACTTGAAATGGCCTTTTCGAGTAGAGATTACTTGGCTGCTACCTTTATTATTTCCTAGAGGGAGCTCAAGATTAGGCGCTACAGCGGCAAGATTGACTGAACGTTGTAGGAGCAAAAACTGCAATGCAGGAGTGTGGTTATGTCCTAGACAAATAGAGTAATATCCGCATAATGACCCATATAGACATATGCTCGCCAAAACGAAAGATAACGCATTCTTCTAAACTTCTTTCATGCAGATTTTTGAGCAGTTCGAAACCTTCAAATTCCGCTAGAGGTTGCACAATATCTGCTACTGCTCTGTTCTGCATTAAGGACACAGCATAAAGGAAGTATGGGACAATGAGAAGTACGCTGTCTCGGGTGTAAGGCAATAAATTCGCCATTTCGTCCATAGTGCGCTTTGTTGTCTCTTGCCCGATCAGATAGGCGTATTTCTTCAGCCCATATCAACGAAAGTTTCGCAAGACCACAGACGATTACTGGATAGCAAATATAGGAGCCATTACACATTCCGAAGTAACATATTTATAAAGCTAGATCTTCGTCCTACAACCCTCAAGCTACCACACTCCTCGTCCGCCATACCTTAGCCTACTACAAACCCTATGCGCTTGAACATCCATACGGTTGAGTGTTCAAGTAACCGAAGGACAGAACAGCTTACAACAAGAGTTGTTCGACCGGGAACAAAGTACCATTTTCGATGGCACCAGCATGATGGCGAGCCACCAATCCATAAGCAAATTGATATCTGAAGCTGTCAGTAAATGCCACCATTAAACCAATCACAGAACCTACTTGTCAAGGAAAGGAAGCAGCTGGTCCAGACCAGGAGTGTTTCTCCAATCGCGCATCAAGTCACAAACAATCCCGAATAAGCCCATAAGAGTAACACCCGCCTTCTCCATCCTTCGATTAGCCTCGTCAGCAAGTCTCTCATTGAAAGTGCCGCTAGCATCGGTATTTGCAAAAACCTCGTACCCCTCGTCAATAAGCGAGAGGGCCAAGAACGCCGTGCCTATTTCATCAGAACCAATTTGCATAAAGATGCGACAGAACATGTGATAACGTACAGACTTCAGTCACTATTCCACCAATTATGAGCTGCTTCCTTCCGGTAGCACGGACAGCAGCGCGGAAATCGGCATTGTCCCATGCATTGACCTCGCCCTGGCGGTGGACAAATGTGGCATTGGGGTGCATCTCGACAATTTCTTTTAACATAAGACCATTGGGCCCGACGTCAGAAGAAGTGGTCAGGACAGTCGGCAGATTGAAGACATTGCCGATCGCTGCGTGGCCAAGCATGTTGTTGCGAAAATCGTTAGTTCCAAAGTCACGGACTAGAGACGCAAGACCGACTTGGTGGTCAATAACAAGAAGGGCCTTGTCTTGTTAGTTTCATCTCGTATGCTGAATAATGGGATAAGTCTACTTACCGCATTATCTTTATCAAGTCTGTTCCATGCTTGCACAGGAATAGAGATGGCTAGCAGGACTGCAGCTTGGATTGCACGGGAGATGAACATCTTGGAAGTTATGAACAGTTGCGATTGCCTTTGAAGCTGTGAAAATGTTTCTTGATAATTCTTGGATAAAGGGGAATATACTGATCTTTATACTTTCCACCCGATGCCTCACGTCGTTATCTTCGCCCATAAATTGGTATGTAATACCTACAGAGACTTTAGTCACTTCTTGCTAAGACTGAAAAGTGCACTTCGAGGCTGCTTACTCTCGGCTATGCCGTGAAGCTGTACTCTCAGAACATATTCTTGGCGTGCAGAAGCGAGTGCATTTCGATGCAAACTATCACGGACTCGGGATAGTGATGGCAAATCTGCGGTTCGTACCAATCATTTGGGATACACCAACTGACAAGTCTCAATCTCTTTGGAGCGGCCTGCATTGAACAAGTTCTAACAGGTTTGCACAATCAACATTTATTGGGAAGTAAGGGATTATTGATGAGGAATCCATTCGAGGAAGCATGAATATACAGGTGCCCTCGGTGTTCCTTAAGACATTTTCCTAGATGGAGGATCATACACAGCAATGAAAAGCATGGGAATAATATGCAGAGCCTTTTGAGTACCTCCCCACTGTGACCTTGATGCCACCGTGAGGTCCCTCAAACCCTTGAGGCTTTGGGGTCAGCGCCCGACTTGATGTCGTAGCTCCGACTCCCTGATAATTCCGCCCCCAATTTCACAAGATACAGGCTCCAACAGATTACATATATATTAGACAAATATTGATAAGCGTTGTTCCATCATAAGCTTGGCATGCCTCGCGGACGCTGACTCCTGCAGGGTTCATCGCTAGCGTAATGGAAAATCTGACAAAGCACGGACTAACGGATCCGTCAGCCTGCAGAACAGCCCGAATCCTGGACACTCCAAGCCAATGATGCCACTCATTCGCACTCTCGTTTTGTTATTCTCGGCTAAATGGCCTAGTAGTCAACCCAAACTTCTCAATCTGTGTAATGCTGATTCGAACTAATATTGGGGATTGCCTACAATGCCAAGAAGACTAACCAGCTCACCGCTTCGTGCCAAGAAATTGATGAGAACTACTAACCCTCATTCTCTTCGTCTTTTCGGATTATTAAGAATTGATGGTGCCGGTTGGTTTGACTCGCTGTTGTGGATACTCTTTTGCTTACTTATTAATCTCCCAGGGTGGCGAACTGTAGTGAGAAACTTTGGCGTGGCTCCATAGTACCGGTGTCGAAACTTAGCCGGCGGTCAAAATAGATTTCTCTTCCAATGCCAAGACTACGAATGAAGAGGTGCTAAGGTATCTTTGGTGGTGCGCCGGCTAGATGAGTGGCTGTGATTGAGAGTCATTGACTCAACGGTGCTTCAAAGAGGCAAAGGCCAGGAAACAAGAGACCGAAGAATATACAAATTCATATGCATTTTGAGTAGGTGACAACTTAAACTCTGTAAGCAAAGAAATAGAACATCAAAACGTAGCCAAGTCCAACGAGTCCAGCGAACACACTGTATGCAACAACTGCGCCAATAGGAGCAAGCGGAGTACCGATTCCTGTAAGATGAAACCCAAGCCCACCATTAATGATACCCAGAGTCACGATGACACGGCCGAACCATTGATGCAAGCGACCAAGCGGTCCTCTTTTTCCATATTTCCTAAAATACTGGTGTTGAAGGAGCCCCATGGCCGGCTGAAAAGCAATAAGGGACGAAACGGCCACAATGCCTATGATTGGATGGTATGTCCCCACCAATTGTAGCTCTATTGCCATTGAGATTCCCAGGCCAAGACCGGCGATCGCAAGAGCGAGCGTGGAAAGCTGCAAGAAGGCATGGACCCATACTATTGAATGGGATGGAAAAGCATGAAGGACTAGTGCAAATGAAGGGAACATAACAACAAAAGCGGTGATCATAATAACGGCATGGGCGATTCTTTTCTTTTGAATGGAAGGAGAGTTGTCGGACGATACTACCTGCCCCGAGCTATTTGTTGTACTTGATGGGCCCAGAAAAGGGTTCTCAGATGTACCACCAATCGCTTTTTGAAGGTTTAAAGCTGCAACCCCCGAAACATCATGTATGATGATGGGTGCCGATAGGCTGTTGGTCTGAAGCGGATTCCCATATTTGAAGGCCCAAACCCATGGACTAGACAAGGCTGTCGTATCTTCATGCCCACCTGACCATGTAATGCAACTTTCGCAGCGAATGTTTGCAGTGATAATCCCATTACTTATCCCACTGCCATCCAAGACAGAGAGGCGAGCTTGGGAATTATATAGCGGCTCGACGTGTTCCACACCTGCCCGGGGAGACACGGTAACATTATTGCCATCGGCAGATGCATAGACAATAAATATATTTGCTCCTTGCATTCGCGAACCTTGGCCCCATGCAAGCCACTGAAGGCTGCGGGTGGATCTCAATTGGAAGTAGATAGGGCCCGAGCCAGAGGAAGCGGTTCTTTCAGGTACATTAACAGCGTATGTTATACCATCCTGGCCCGGAGGTGTAAAGGTTTGCAGTTGTGCGACGGTAAGAGCAATCGATGAAAGCCACCACCAAAGGGATAGATGATACATGCGTGCCCGGGTGGGGATTGTGATAAAATGCCCAACACTTAAGTGGAAAAAAGATTACTTGGTACCATCCTTTGATTTAGACAGAACTTGCTTTATTATGTATGCTGACTATCCCTTTAAATATGTCTATTATGCTTGTTTGTGAGCATTTTCTTCTACCATCTTGACAAAAGCCTCGATGACCATTGTGATGCCTTTAAAGTTCACTTGGGTCATCATAAAGTAAAACCAGACAAGTGATTGTACCTCGGGATGACTTAGAAATATCCGGTCTCTTGCCACTCGTACAAAGATCTCTGCTGTGGTGGCTATGTAAAATCTGCATAGCCACCACTATGTGCTTAAGCCACTTTAGAGGTAAGTTCAAAATAAACACTATTATTGACAGCATACCAATACCTAACTTAGTGGGAATGACGGCCTAAGTATTTAGTCGACCTAATTACACTTATGAATACAAAGAAGAGCTGACTGAACTGGTTACTATTCGAAAAAAGATATGTGCTATATCTTTTAATTATTGATCATTGAAGGTGCCGGCTAGCGGCAATGATGTAATCGAGGGTGCTCGTGGCGCAGAGAAGTGTTACCGTGGTTGGTGTATATATACGAGCTACACGAAGTTACGAGCTGTGCAAAGAAAACGGGAAGACCACGGTCAAATCATGGTTCAATTTACTTATATATGGAGTGAAGGTTAGTGGATATGAATAATTGGAACTGAATAATCTACGTGGGTAGTCATCATACTGGTAGTAGGGTTCTAGACTCTCCATTCCATCTAGAAGTATGGATGAGACCAGGACCACCAATTTTACCCCTGTGGTCTCCATCTAAGCCCCAATGGAAATCTACGGCTCAAGCTATAAATGCATTGTCATATGATGTTTCGTTATCACATGGTCATTCTAAGCCTTCCAGGGGTCTCATTTGTCAATGACGGCGGATGATAAGTGGTTTGGGGTTTGTTTATGGCAATGTCTATATCTAAGTGACAAATTTCTTCTTCTCTATATATCTCAAGTATTCACCACGGTCAAATCATTTTCAACTACCATTGGTCCAATATAATTTCGAAATTCCAAATGTCCGTTATACAACAATTGATCCTTGCCCTATTCTTGGTGTCGGGGATCAAGGCCCAGTATGGCGGAGGGGACAACAGTATGACTACAAAATCATTGTCAAGTACCAAGTCGACCTTATCATCATCGACCCAGGCAACCGCAAACCCCGTCCAATCTATCAATGTAGGTGAAGATGGCTTCACATTCTCTCCGGATACACTCACGGTGTCGCCAGGGGACAAGGTCGAATTCCACTTCTTTCCGGGAGACCATTCAGTTACCCAGTCTTCCTTTACAAAGCCGTGTCATCCCTTGAGCGATAGAAGTATTTTCAGTGGGTTTGTATCAACCACAAATAGCGACGCGGTAATATCCCCAAAGTTTCACGATTGGGAGACTTTATCTAACTATACTGTTTGAAAATCCAGAAAGAAGTGTTCACTCTCATCGTCAACGACACTCATCCTATATGGTTATACTGCGCCCAAATTGGACATTGCCAGGCTGGCATGGTTGCGGTAATCAATCCGCCGTAAGTCCTGGAATACTATCAAATTTATACAGCGAACGGTGCTAAAGCTTCGTCGCCTTCTTAGTATGAGTGGTCAAGATACTCTGGCGGCTTTCAAAGCAGCAGCAGCAGAAATGAGCAGTAGCTCCGAACCATCCTCCATTCAAGGAGGTGCCCTGGGGGTGCCGAGCAAAATATCGACATCAACAAGCAATGGCTCCACAGCCACCTCGACTGCAGGCGGGACATCCCGAAGCAGCTCCAATGTTAGCATTTCTACCACCAGTTCAACTTCAAGTAACACAAGCGGTAGCTCAAGTGTAAGTAGCATATCTTCAAACACCCCCAATCCAAGCATCACGTCTGCGGGTAGTGCAAGTTCTAGTGGAGCAAATAATCTGCAGCCTTGGAATGTTGCGAGTATTATTTTTATACTATCGAATACAGTCGCTATCTTCCTTTGTTAACTTTACGCTCGGCAATCAATATTGTGATATATCCCTGGTATTGTGAGAATCAAACAGTGAATCATCCAATCCTGCATTCCTGTGCGTCGTCCGCGATTAATTAATTGCTATTTTCCTACAAGCAAAGTTCTGACTAGTATATCGTCTTTTGAAACTAATCAATGTAGTTTATGCAAAGGATTGCATGTCACAAGGAGATTTAGACCATGCTTAACTTGCTTTCAATTGCCAATCTGGCAGCTCGTATTTACAGTGTACATTTCTGGTTGGGTGGGGATGGCTTTCGGCATTCAGACGTTTCATGAGTGGTCAATGGTGTTTATCTCGTATTCATAATTTGCTTCCTGATTACATGTAACACCAGAAACTCCATGACCGAATTTCCATCGGGCATTGAATTTCTAAGTTGTGCTGGTACGGCATTTAGGTTTTACAATGCGGTCGGACCGAGCTCATTTATACCATTTGTCTCTCTTCCCCGAGATGTCACTCTGACGTCAAGCAGTTAGTTTGTACAATAAGTAGAGCCATCTAGCCTCTTCGTTTGTCGATAATCGTAAGTCGCTAGATATCTCGCCTCTCCCTAAGACAAAGTACTATCCTAACATGAAGAAAACCATATTGGTTATTGGTGGAACAGGTGCCCAGGGTGTACCGGTCGTGAAAGGTGTGTGAACATGCAATCCCACAATAGCTACTAACTTTTTCGCAAGCCCTGGCCACTAACTCGAAGTACGACATCCGCGTTCTCACGAGGAACGCGTCTTCAAAAGATGCTCAGCAGCTAGGAAGCCTCCCGGGTGTATCTATGTTTGAAGGAAACACCTATGACGAGAATACCCTTCGCCAAGCATTCAAAAATATAAATTGTGTCTTCGTCAATACTAATGGCTTTGCTATTGGTGAAAAGTCAGAAATATATTGGGGCATCAGGCTCTACGAACTTTCTCAGGAATACAAACTCGAGCATTTCGTCTATGCTGGCCTAGAGTATGGTACTAAGCTTGGCAATTTCAATCCCAAGTACAGATGCGGTCATTTGGATGGCAAGGGCAAGGTCGTGCAGTTTATCTCCGCGCAGCCGACGTCCCCTATGGCATGGTCTGTGTTGACATCGTGTATGTATATGGAGGCTTTGTCGGAATTCCTGCGCCCGTTTCCTGATCCTGAAAACCCGGGTACGATGATTTTTACGGCACCCCTTGGGGGAGGGAAGTGTCCTCTTATCTATCTTGAGGACTATGGAGCGTACGCGAGATGGATGTTTGACAGGCCTGCTCAAAGCAATGGGCTCGAGTTACACGTTGCGACCGAAGATATCAGCTGGAAGGATCTCGCATACGCATTTACAGAAGTCACTGGTCAAAAGGCAGAATACAAAGACGTCACCTTGGATGAGTATTTCAAGCTTGGGATCCTGGATCCGACTGTCAAAGTTGGCCATTCAACAGATCCCACGGATTCGACGTTGCTCACTTACAGAGAGAACTTCACAGGGTTCTGGAATACGTGGAAGGACGATCTGACTAAGAGGGATTATCAACTTTTGGATACGATTCTGCCGATGAGAGTGAAGTCCGTGAAAGAGTGGATGAGAAGGACATGCTATAACGGAAAGCCCAGGTCTCTGCTGAAAGACTACAGGGACAGAGCTGCGAAGTAGTAGTCAGGATCGACTGGCTTCATACCTGTGTTCGCACATTCGAGTATGATTGATGATTGACCTAGGCTTGGTCGAATTGTAATTTATAAACGTCTGCAAAAGTTCGTTCATGCTAATTAAATTACCTACTTAAGACAACATTTGAGGGTGTTTAGCGTCTTCAGGTCTCCACTAACTTATTTTGTGCAAGAATCAGTGGTTTTGGGGAGATCCTGTTTGCTATGGCACTCATCTGGCCCGCGGAGAAACGCGAAAACTATATAAATTTCTTTCATTTTCCAAAACAAGGCCATTGACGAAACTTTTTCTTTTTCTTCTCGTTTTTCTTTTCAGCCAGCTTTTGACATGTTCAGCTCGAGGGGACCAAAGGTGTGAGTAATATAGCATCGAAACATCATGGCAGACGTGAACAAGATTGTGGGTTGAAAAGAAAATACAACGAGCATTGATGAATATACGGTCGTGAAGATAATTCATTGTCGTCCACCAAATGCTGAAAGGTTGCTAGTCATCTAACAGTAGGCACTTCAGGTTTATGGTAGACGTAGCTTGTATGCCTCATAATTTAGGCTATAAATGTACATGCGCACCCTATTATCCTCTCGTTGCTCCTGGCGCTTGCCCTTCCTGTCTACACTGGGTTACAGGTGATATCATCTCCAATGATTTTGTGCGAAGCAGCAATAATGACATTTATTAACGGCTCTAGCAGATATCCTAGATCAAGTCATACATTGGCTAGTTCTGCTTGATTGTAGTACCATCTCCTGCTAGGCTATCACAGAAATAAAGTGAGAGTCGCCACCTCAGGTCGTCTCGATCCAAACTTTTATGACAGGAATCACATTAGCTTTTGCCGTTCTCTATTAGGCTGAGTGGCATAACAAGGGTGCCATTGGCGGCCTGACTGTCGATCACTCCCGCGTACGCTTGATATGATTGAATCACCTGCCCATTCGATTGATCTTCCATCAAACTAATGCGATCAATTGTGGTCAGATATTCAAGCTCCAGGTTGTATCATTTTCAACTGAACAGAAGTAGGGCTTGCTGGGATCCCCGCGGTCGGTAGTGAGACCGCTAAAAAGAAAGCGTGATTTCCATTACCTGATGTCCATATTAGGCTGCTTCTGACATTAATGCGTACTTTGACCAGTCCTCCGGTACCTGTCCTGCTTCAGTTCAAATCCCGAAAAAGTCTCATGATGCCCAGAGACAATATGAATAAATTGGGTTGCTGATTCTACTGTGTCCAAATGCCCAGTAAAGCATCCGATGCGCGATTTCTGGTATACATTAGCCGGGCTGGATAAATTTAATGTAGAATTTATAACCAAAATCTGCAATCGATGTCACGTAGCTATAGTGAATTGTTACTGTAAAATTGCAGCTGTAGAAGCGAGCAGGGAAATACATATTCTAGGATCGGCGTTCTTAGCTTCGATATATATAAAAGATCCGCAACCTTGGAAGATAAAGATTACCCGATGGTTGGCGATCACGGAGAATGGTCACCTGACCAAATACACCTTCAACACCAAGGAAACCTTGAAAGCCACTCTTTCCTTGGCCTGCCTTACCTAGTGCTTTTCGTAAAGTAATAGTTCTTCAGTCCAACTGTCTCCAGTGACTTGAACTTATCTTTTGACCTCTTTCCCTCGGCTCCGTATCAGATAGCACTTTCCTGTAAATTGAGCAGCTGCGCTTGCTCGTAAAAGGCTGATATCACAGTGGATAGAATTCAATTCGCATACTTCAAATAAAAATACCTTCAAAGAATAAGACTTGTCCCTATGTCTACCTTCTTCCTATTGACAACTTTAGCTTTGCGCGGCAATCTGAGGGGGCGATAGGTAAGTCGACTCATGATAACGATTCGGATTCCCATTGGACACAGTCCGCGCAGTATTGGCATCTGGTTTGTCGCAATCCCGTTGATAGCGGTGATAGCACGTTCTGCGATGATCAGTAGCAGCATTCTTATTCAAATTGGTGTACCTTGTGCTACTTTATCTCTTTCGGCAAACAAACCTTTTGGACAAGGGAAGTAAGAGTGTGCTATACAGTATAGCTCAGGCAGTCTTGCCGTGCGGGGAACTTTCCGACTCTGCGGGGACAGATAAACATCCCCGGATTTTCGTTCCCTCAATCAATGTTTCTTCATGTCGCATCCGATCCCCTCATTACAACGCATATTTTTCGGCTTCGAGAGCATGCAATCTCCCTTAACCGCCCGAGAAAGGCCACTCTACCAGCCATTTCAGTGCGTCATCTGCCAAAGGCGCTTTACACGACATGAAAACCTCAAACGCCATGCAACGCTTCATTCACGATTCCCAGGCGAGGCCTCTCTCCCTTGTCCATTTTGCCAGGTGAAATTTTCGCGATCTGATCTTCGTCATCGCCATATAAGAAGGAAACACCCAGAAAAAGAGCCGAAGTCGCCCACAAAAAGACCGCGGTGTAACGAACCTCGACAGCATGAGGAGGGGGAGAGTCATCAGGACGAAGTCTCGGGTTCGCTACCACCTCTGAACCCTCAGCTCGGCCTCCAAGCGCAGGAGCCCACCGGAGATGGAGGATTTAGCCCCGAGGAGAGGAGATGGGAGGTAGTCGTTTTGGATACCGATTTTCACACCAGCAATGACCGTCACACGTCAGAGAAGGAAGTTGTAAAAATACGATCGGCAATATCAGGGAACTATAGTCCCCATGACGATGATAATGACGATGATGGTGATGATGATGTGGAGTCAGCACGGGACTGCTCATACTCTATCAACCCAATCGTGGCGCATTCTACGAATTCAGACCATAACTTGCTCGCGACGTCTTGCTTTCCAGACCGCGGATCACTACTAGACTGCCACTTACAGTCTGATCTGTTCAACATGGATCTCCCTAGCCTTGATATTCATCAAACTGTCTCGAGGAGAATATCCACCCACAGCTTCACTCATCCCCAGAGTCAGTGGTATCCATCAATGCAACAAATCTTGCGAGGATGCTGTCTGTTTTTCACGCATGTCTCACCATTCTTACCATTCATCCATAAGGCTACATTTGATCCTTGTCGAGCACGCTCTAGCTTGGTACTTGGAGTTCTTTCCCTTGGATTTCAGTATGGTGAAGATCCGGACCTCGGAAACGAATCAGGTACAGGCACACAGTTGTCAAGAATGTGCTTTTATCAAGCGCAGGCTCTTTTTTTCCAGACCATCAAAATCCAAGCGATTCTTCTGAAAATATCATTATCGTCCAGTCATACCTGTTGCTTCAAGTTTGCTCGATGATGTATCTTTGTGGGAAGGACTCGGTGTACGGACTCAAGGTTCATTCTGCCATGATCGCCCTGGCACGAAAATTGGGTCTTATGCAGCCCATGCCAACGGAACCAACTACTGCCCATGATCTTGAATCCTTGTGGCACGGATTTATCAAAGCGGAGTCACACAAACGAACATCATTTGCCGTGCATCAGATCGATGCGCTATGGTATCAGTTCTTATCTATTCCCCGATCAATATCTCATTTAGAAGTTAAGCATGACCTACCCTGTCCCGTGGACCAGTGGCTCGCATCCTCTGCTGCGGAATGGGCGCATTGCCAGCTTGTTACCGGTCATATCAGTCCATCATTGCAGTACGCAGACGCCGTTCGTCGGTTTTTATCGCCCGATGGGGATTTAGAAACCATCCCATGTTTCGATCCCTATGGAGCCGTCAACATTGCACAATTTCTGATGTCCAGTGCTCGCGAAATATCAGGCTGGTCTACTATGACTGGCATGCTGAGCATTGAAAGATTTGGGGCCTTACGATCATCACTCGTCGCACTTGGTCCATTTAGCAGAGCACAGCCGGAGGGTCAACACATCAGACATGTCGCATTGTGTGAGGCCACTTGGGAAACCGCAATGATTGAGCTGCAAATGTGGTCTCCGTCTCACACAGGAGGTATCGTGGAGGAAAGTATAGATGCGGTCTTGAACCACTCCACTTACCTGGCTCCCTCCTGTGATTTGTTGTGTGAAGGTGAGAATGCTGCAATGATCCAACCGCACGTTGACTGGTTCCTCCGCTATTTAAATTCAAGTGATCTCCCAGATTCAGAAGCTCCATGGGTCATTCTCTACGCATATAAGGCATTTCTGGTCGCTTTGCAGCTATTAAGAGGGGGCCAACCCGGTGCAATGAGGGCTATATGCATTGAGGATGGCGATATAGAGAGTGCTTTAACATGGGCGAAAGTAGCTTTTCGACAAAGAGAACGTTGGGAAATTGGCAAGCTCATCTTAGCTTGTCTGGGTGAGCTTGATAAGTGAACGCATGTCAATGCCGCGCTTCTACACATTCTCATGTGGAAATGCCCCTCTATGTATAAAAATAGCTCTCCTTCCCTTTTCTCTACATCACTTCATTTTCAAATTTCAAGTTACTCAAATCTATCTTTACCTGTCTACTCCGTATCTTAGCGCAACCGCATGACCTATAAAACCTACTATTCTGAACACGATTTCAGGAGTGGACCACATTAAGTTGAACTATGTAAAAGCATTGATTGATATCCTCCTGGGACTTGAAAATAAAATTCATCTCGAAGAATCATCTTCACATCCGTTACAATAATCTTAGTACATCTCGTAGCGCCAATTCAATTGCACCATCTCCTCAGTCACACCCCCCTTGATCGCTTTGCTAACCTTGTCTCGATCGCCTGAGTCAAGCCGCTTGTTTTCACGCAATACCAGCCATCGATATGTGGTGATAGTAATCGCAAATAGAATGGCACTTCCCATCAATGTCCCAAATGCAGCGTAGAAATGCGGGCCTGCGTAATAGAGGTATGAGGCCCAAATGTTTGAAGTTCCTCCAATCGCATTGACTAAAGCCGATGCCGCTGCGCGCTTGGAAACGGGCCGTGCAAGGTGGAGGTTGATCGTCTTGTAGAGAAGAAGTTGCGGCCCAACCGATGCAAACGGCAGTATCATCATGGAAAAGTATCGTGCTCCAACGTTAACGGTGGTCATGGGAATGATGTACATCGCAATTGAAATGGCAATGCACATTAGTATCAGAGGATAGACTTTGTTTTTGCGGTCAGAATAGAACATAATGGCGTAATATACCATTCCAGCAAGTATGTAAGGCGGAGCAGTGAGTAGCAAACTGATGGTGTCAGAAAAGCCGAGAGAGGCGATGAGCGTTGGGAAATAGTTTGCAATTGAGCCTTGCGTTTGAGACAGCATATTGCAAAATATGAGCAAAAGTAGCTTCGGATCCGTCAAGGCCTGAGCAAATCCTCGAAGGGCACTTTCGTTGTTGGTCCCTTCTGCTGCGCCTGCTTCGGACTCAATGCGCCACACGGCGAGGTCACGTTCTGTTTGGGAGAGGATGCGACTGTTGTGTGGAAACTCGGGCATAACGCAGGCGCAAATTACGCCGACGCCAACCGTAGCGCTGCCTTCGATTATAAAAAGCCATTGCCAGCCTGCAATGTTGCGAGCTCCATCAAGCTGCATGACCGCAGCTGCGAAAAGTCCTCCAAAGGCGTTGCCGACCTGCTGAGCAATGTAGAGACCGGCAATGCGCTTTCCGAGTTCCATCTTTGTGTACCATGCAGAGAGGTAGTAGATGGCACCGGGAAAGAACACAGCTTCGGCGGCTCCGAGAATTGCTCTCACGGCAAGGAGCTGCCCATAACTCTTGACGGCAGCCGTCGAAGCCGAGATACAGCCCCAGATCGCCACGGCCAAACAAATATACATGCCTGGTCTGGATACTTTGGTAATGATGAGGTTGCTTGGAATTTGGAAAGGCAAGTATCCCACGAACAGTATTGACACTGCCGTAGCAAACTGTTCGGTGGTCATGTTCAAGTCCTCCATGATGCCTTGCAGTTTAGCTGCAGCCAAATTTTGACGGTCGACATAGTTCAAAATATACAAGATACCAATAGTTGGCAGGACAATGAGGTCGACTTTGCGGACGAGTTTGGAATTCAAATGCTTGATTTCCTGGTCACTCAAATCCCGAAGTGTTTCTGGCAGTCGTTGGTAGGCTGTGCTGATATCTATCTGTCCTTCGGCAGACGAAACGACATCATCATCTTTATGGACTGATCCTAGAGGCTTCTTGCTTTCCATAGTACCAGCTGTGATGATTTGGCCCAGAAAAATATAACAATGAATGGCTTCAATTGACAGTGACCGTAAAGTCTAGCTGTGTCAAAAAACTTGTCTCGTATTGCTGTCGGGGAGAGTGCCAATCCTGGCGAAACCCTTTTTTAAAGGGTCATTAGAGCCTGTCAATGGGAACGTTATCTTGTGCGGCATGTCCAGGCCTGCGATAGACGGTTCTCGATTGAGCAAAGTGTCAGGATTCGGTGCGAATAATCGCGACTCATTGATTGGTCGACGGAGTGCGGGGACTCGAAATTGGTATGTCGATAAGGGGGAGGAGCGCAAGCTTAACTGCCTCAAAGGTTATTCTCGGCACCACACTCTGGAACTAATCTGGGGTATATGAGGGCCCGTGAACAAGGGCTTATCATGATAGACCAAATTCAAAGCAGAGTTCCGAACTCCGAATACGCTGGGGGGAGGAGCTCCTCCCGGTGGGGGCGACTGTCCACGCTAATCTAAATTGTCCCCCACCATGAAATCCGTCAACCGGATGCAATGATCGTCAAGGAGCAGAGACTGCAATGGGGAGAGAATGGTTCAGATATTTCCATAATACTTAACCCCAGGGCATCACGGCTCCAAGGAATATCTCTCAAGCATTTCAACGCGCGTCATAACAAACTTCAACACAAATCTCAATTCCTCGTTGCCCACGATGAGCTATCCTACTCCTCTTACAACTAAAGTCAGCAACCCTCGTTTGAGGCTGCTTAACAAGCTGAAGGGTGGAGAATTTCCATTGATGACATTCATGGCTATTCCCTCCGTACGCATGGCCCAAATTGTTGCCCTGACGGGGGTGGATGGCATCATCATCGACTGCGAACACGGCCACATAGGAGACGACGCAATGCATAATTCTGTTGCCGCTATATCATCCCTCGGGGTATCCCCCATTATTCGGATTCGTGGCCCCGCGCATGATATTATCAAACGAGCCTTGGACACTGGCGCACACGGAATCATGGTCCCACAGATCAATAATGCCGCAGAGGCAGAGCAAATTGTCGCTTCTTCCAAATTCCCGCCTCAGGGTGTACGTGGCCAGGGATCAGCCTTCCCTGCCATCGGGCATGGCCTAACGACCCCGGAATACATGAAGACCGCAAACGAAACCATTGTCACAATGATTCAAATTGAGACACGCGCAGGGGTTGAGAACGTGGAAGCCATTTGTGCCGTTCCTGGGGTGGATCTTGTCTTCATCGGGCCCAATGACCTCGCACAGTCCCTTCTTGGATATGTTCCCGCCAGAGGGGATGAGCCAGAGTTTGTTGCTGCGATCGATAAGGTGGTCGCGGCTGCACAAAAATCTGGCAAATGGGCCGGACGTATGGTGAATAATGGAGCAATGGCAAAAGAGGCCAGAGCGAGATACGATATAGTTGCCATAACCGGTGACACAAAAGCGATTCAGAATTGGTATATGTCAGAGTTTGACGTCGCTCGGTCTTGAGATAAATAGATATTAGCAGAAGAATGAAATTGAAAAGATTATTTGAGTTCAAGCGATGGCCTAGGTATTGTGTTTTGTAGGAATAGCATGGGGTTTTATTCGCTCTATCGTATCTTATGTCGTCGTACCTCGCGCCCGCTTTTGTTCTTGTTTGGCACATTCTAGATATATATCAACACCCTATAGAAGACAGCAAGGTAAGACTGCATATACTCTGCTGAATTCTTTGATTATAGGTTTATTGTAAAGGCAGAATGCCTGTTAGGTGGTTGGGTACCATTCTATTATAAATAACACGGCATTTACCGACAACTAGGCTTACTGACGATATAGTATTATAGTTCCTCGGTTTTCAAGTGCCATACTCTCTTATTTGTTCTATTTTCTTTGTACTGCATAAATTTCTCAAACTTGTGCAATGCATTCAATTTCAATGACAGTGTCCTTCCCCGGTGCAAGAGCCTGGAGACATGATCGAGATGGCATCGGCTGCGGTAGAAAATCAATGTAAACCTCATTCATCGCCGAAAAGTCCTTCATATCGGCCAAATACACATTGTATTTCACCACTTGTTCAAGTGATGACCCAGCAAGCTCCAAGACCTCTTTCAGGTTTTGCAACGCGATTCTCTGCCCGTTTAACGATATTAATATCATTCTTGCCTGATGGGCAAAGTAAGTTAAACTCACAGTTGCTTGTTTGATTTCACCTGTTGCTGTTTGACCCGCACAGAATACAAGACCAGGGACCTTAACAGCAGGGCCTACATTTGTCAGAACCAGATTGCTGCTGAATAGACCTAGCAATGGGTGGCTTGAGCACTCACAGTTATGTGGCTTAGGGGGGAACTTCTCGCTCGAAATAAGTTGGCGCGACATCTTTCTATTACCGAAGCTGATTGGGTGAAATAGTTGATGTTAAAAAAATATTGAGAATATTCGCGTTCTCAGGTTGCCCTCTTACCATTGAACGCACTTTATGCTTTCTGTGCTCTTTGCATGAACTCTAAGGCTCCCGTTATCCGACCGGAGGAGCCCCAATCTGGTACATTGGCTTATCTGATTTTGGAGGAGCTCCTCCCATCATCGCTGGACCCACTTGGTGCTCAAATAAGTGGGTCCAAGCGGTTAACGCCTAAGTGATCTGGGGCCAGATCTAAGAGCAGCTCAAGGAAAACCAATTTATGAATTATCGTATGAATCCGTATCCGACCCACCCAGAGGAGCTCTTCTAAGACAAGTTCACCTAGCTCTAGTTTTAGGGCAGTTTTCCAGCCGTTGGGCAACTCTAGAGCGAAAGCACAGTATGACGAGATAGGAACAAGATAACGTGAATGGGGACTTCAAGGGCTCCACTCCTCTCTCTTGATCAAGATCGCGCCTGCAGGGCAAACAGCTGAGGTCACAAACACTTAGTCCTCCGTTTAATCCGGCAGTATGAGCTTAGTTTCGTCCCGCCTTCATTGATCACTTCAAAGATAAAAGCCACTTGCAGGACGGTGCAACCATTTGAACAATTCTTTATCTGATCCAATTCATATTACTGTATCCTTATACTCGCTGCCTGCTACAATGCCAGCCACTGCCTTTAACCCACCCGCTGCCGATCTTCCCGGCAAGCCCTTTGTCCCTGGATGGATTCCACCTCCAGTGACAAAAGAAAAAGAGAACTTCGCCGACCTTCAGTCAATTGACTTGTCATTGCTTGATTCTGAGGATCCTGCAGTCGTTGATGATCTAATTCAACGAGTCAAGGCGGCTATTCGGGATGATGGCTTTTTGTTCTTGGAGAATTATGGGGTATCTTTGGAACAGGTAAGAAGCATATTGCTGCCGAAAGAAAGATGATGAGAGACATCGGGTTCTCAGAGACTGACTCTATTCCATTTCGTTATTTGCAATAGCTTCATCGTCAATTCAGTCTTGCTCAGTACCTTTACAACAATATCAGTGACCAGGATAAGGATCGTCTTATCTTCAGTCCTGAGACCGGCGTCTGGTCGGGCTACAAACATCCTTATGGATTCAAGGTATTAATATCTTCTGGAACTTGAAAAATATCTGATTTTGCGCTGACTGCATCGTTGTATCCTTTTAGAGAGAACGCGGTCCTGCCGATGGGATCGAGCAATTCAATTGGTACAAGCCCGAATGGGATAACTTGGATCGCATTCCAACATGCTTGCATCAATTCATGGACGAGATTGAATCATTTTGCAACTACCTTACCCAGTCCGTGAACCACCGTCTTCTGACATTGTTTTCACGCGTGTTGGAGCTTCCCGATGACTACCTTTGGGAGAATGTGCAGTCTCATGGCGGCCCGACTGGAGAAGGATATTTCCGTCACGCCCTTTTCCGACCGGTTCAGAAGCAAACAGAGGAAGCATCGAAAGGACTTCGTATGCATGGTCATACAGACTTTGGGCTAACGACCTTGCTTTTCTCTGTTCCCATCTCTTGCCTGCAGATTTGGGGCCGTGACGAAAAGTGGTACTATGTGCCCTACAAGCCAGGTGCCCTTGTTGTCAATATCGGCGACACTTTAGAAATTGTCTCTGGTGGCCATTTCAAGGCCACTCGTCATCGTGTCTTTAAGCCGCCGGTAGATCAAATTCATGAGGAGCGTCTCTCTCTGGTGCTTTTCAATAGCTCGGTTGGAGATTTACGCATGACACCAGCGCAGGGTGAGTCGGGCTATTCCAATTCAATCATATCAATAAATGCTGACCATCAACCAGAATCACCGCTCATTCAACGAGAGGGTTGTATCGAAGAGCAAGGTGTTTATAAAGAGTTCAAGAAGCTTACATCGCAAGGAAGACTTGTGCCAACAAATCGACAATGGCGTGAGATTCAAATTGCCACCGCAACAGACCCAACGGATACTGTGAGAAACAAAGTTGGTGCCGATCAGGTTCTGATTGATGGCAAAATCATGCATCAACGCGAGTATATGGGTGTCAAGGTGGTTCTACCTGTGTAGACTTGGAATCACTATGCTGCTAGGATGCCAGTCCTAGCACATATCTCGATTTGTTACTCAAATTTGGACTTGTCTTGTTATTGTATCTTTTATTCTATTCTAGTGAATTGATAGCTCCTCGCCCCAACTGTTAAGCACTCAACCCCGGTCACCTGACGCTAAAGCGGCTCTCACCCATGTCTCACACTAGTGACAACCACCAAAAACTACCGAAATAAGCCACACGCCAATTAGTTGATAGTATAGTTGGTGACCACATGTGTAACCCGACTGTTATGTGTTCTAATCTCTGTGTATTTTTGATTGTCTGTTTGGTTTTGTGGAGAAAGCATAATCAAGTGGCGAGACTTTCGGTATCGGATAAACTACAGGGCCGATGACATTCGTAAAGGATAATAATGTGTGTGAGTAAAGCGCAATAATTTTTTATCCGTTTTTATTGCACATTTTAAAGCACTAGTCTTGAATTCTCGTGAGATGATTACCTATTCCAGGAATTCTGGAAACGTGCTAGACCACTTCAGGAGACTCACAGAACCTCGATTTATTTCTAGCCCGCCAATGACCCACATTATTCCGAACAACTGACCTGTGGATCACTCCGTACATAACTTCAAACGACCTCGACAATTCTCAATTCATGAAATCCACCTAAGATGGCTCTCGAGGAACTAGCTACCTTGCCCGCGGAGATTATGGAGTCCCAATTGTCCATTATTGACCTCTTGGCCGCGATGTTCCCATCACCAGGGGAGCTGGAAATCTCTGAATCAACAATGCGATGGGTCGAGACACTACGAGATTGGTGTCAAGACCCGGTCTCTATTCCTGATGTCCCTTCAGCTATGTCTCTCGTCGTTGCTCTGCCCATTTTGGATGGCGAAAAGACCATACAAGTCAATATTTCGGTCCCGCTACAATGTGAGGATCCTGAGACCATTGACCAGCCTCCACCATTGCGCTATACACTCCGCCAACCTGACTGGATGACCAAAGCCGAGGTGGCTGACCTTGCCGTCTCGATCCCGTCAGGTGATGTTCTAGAGGCATTCGAATACATCCAAGCAAAAGCCAGCTGTTTCATCGAAAACAAGCAGGTCATGAACTCCCAAGGACCAGGAATGCTGGAAAAGTTCCAAGAGCCGATTGTAAGGGTCTGGTTTTATTTTCCATCACTGTCAACCCGTAAAAAGAGAGACGATATGGTCAATATCGCGCCCGGGTATTCTTTAACTGGCTTCGTGCTAGCGGGTAAGCCAGGTGTGTTATGTCTCGAGGGTACATCGCCAGAAATCGATGCCTATATGAGCTTCATCAAGACGCATTCATGGGGTGATATTCCGAGTCATCAGAAAAAGGTAAGCGAAAGGTTCCGACAGACAGGGAATATTGAGAGAGTCTTTTCCGGCATGGAAGAAATCACGGACTCGCTTGGAGAGCGGGGGGGCAGCGCGCCAATCGGGGTGACATGCAAGCGCTTGAGGCATGGTTGGGAGCAAAAGGGCTTCAAGAAGCATTTGAAATGGTTATCTTCTGAGTTATCCATATGTGAACATGACATGTTCGGGATATTTCAGCGTGGGCCTCATTTGTTGTACGTTCAAGCCCTGGATAATCGCATCACCATCCGCTTCTTATGACCTATTAGCAATCAAACATGATATCAAATTTAATGTGCTCTAAATAGAACGGGGAAGAATTATCACAGTCAAGAAACCTCGTGAGTGGTGGAGGTGACATGAAAGCTGCTCAGAAGTTCTTTATTTGCTGCGACACTAAACACTTACACAGACTTGGCCACATTCTCCTTGAGCTATTCCACTTTTTGAGGATGTGCGGTCCTCCGCTTTGGTTCAGCCATAGAAGTCCGCTTCACAAAAACATGCTCTTTCGCCAGGCATAGTGATCTATGCGACAATGTTTCCTGTATGATTGTGTTCATGTAACGTTGATCCTCCAACCTGGTCTAATCTTCCTAGCTACATATGTTCTATATCAAGTCTCCTCTGTGGTCAATTTGAATAACTGAAAACTGATTTGGCGTTTAAGCTTTCAAATTTTGGTTACCTTGATCTGAGATCAGAAGCTAACATAGTATAAATGTCATATCTACATAGAAACGTGATTAGAATAAGGATTGGGGGAAATTTCAGCCGTGTTGCCCAAATTATATCTTCATTACCTTGGAGCGGTAACTATAGGCACTTTATTGGAAACAGATAACAATAAGATCCGTAGCAGTCAAAAAATACAGGTACGGTCTGGGATTCAGAAATGAGATTGTATGTACCAGACCTCAACCAGGACGTCTCCAAAATTCAACACCTTCTGTTTTCCAGAAAAAAAAACTCCTAATTGCCAATATGCGCAAGTGTTGATTTATAAAATTAGCCGCCCAGGATTGTCCAGGTCATCAAGCCAACCCAGCTCGAGACAAACACCACTGTCAAGATTCCGGCGCCTGCTTTGTCGCCCGTCGTGATCGCTGATTCGGTAGTCGATGTAGAGGTGTCATTCTCACCAGCGGTGGGATCGCTGGTACTATTTCCACCGGTGCTTGCCGTCACTGGAGCCGAAGTGTCGAAGGCAATCATATTTGCCACAAAAATATTCGTGGCACTGATCTCTTCTTCCATGCCTATCCATCCATCATATGCCGACTTGTACCATCTCACTCCACAGGTATTGTTATCATGGCCTGTGCATGATTTTGCGGCGGCCTGGCCAGAGGTTTGGAGGACCGGCAAGATGGTGTCATAAGTTGATGGTACCAAAAGAGCCGTGAAGGATAGCCAGGAGGATACCAGTCCCTTGAAAAGAATTTCGTTGTCGTTACATGCCTCCGTTGGCTCACATAGCTTTTCCTCCAGGATATCATCGTTGAGGAAATGTTCAAAGGTTTTGTTCAGCAAACCATCGACGGCCTCGAGCCAAACAGAGCTGCCATTTGTGTAGTTGTACATGTAAGCAGCACCCATTAAGTATGTGCCGTAATTATATGACCATTGATCATCGCCTTGGGTGGCACAATCGTTTGTTGTCTCTGTCGAATCGGCCACGTTCCAGGTGCTGTTGCTGAGGAGGGGCGAAGATACAGACCAGTCCCAGATCTTTTCGGCCCAGTTGGCATATGTGTCGGTCTCGGTGTATCGTGCAAGGCGTGCTGCTAGCTGGAACAACCCACCATTGGAGATAGAGTTTTTCATAGTGTAGCCAGACTCGTAAGTCCAGATCTGCCACCGCAGTCCACCATCACATGTAGTGGAGTCCCATCGTTTGATCTGACTATTGAAGACACCCTGTGCTAGGGAGAGCCACGAGTAGTTGTCTCCAACATCTGTAGCATCGGCGAATTTCAGCTCCGCAGCAGTCATGGCTGCCAAGCCCCAAAACATCTGATCATCATTTCCAATATAGGAACTGTAATTTGTCGGCATGTAGTCATCGTCACCAGCCTGCCACTCCAATCCAACACGAAGATTATCATTATAGGTCGTATCTCCCGTAAAGTGCCAGTATTGAAGAAGCGCCAAGAACAGCGCTGCACCCTCCCACCATTTGCTTGCGAAAGCTCCGGGGATGTGGCCGGTCTCGTTGCCCTTGTAGTAGGTCATCATAGCGTAGGCCGAGGTACTCGCGGCATCTTTGATAGATTCTAATTCAACAGCCCAAACGGTCAGCTGGCTAACTGTCATCTTGGAGGGATATAGGAAGTGAGCCATATAGCAGGCAAACGAGGAGGATTCATATTGAAGATGAATTTCTTTGACGCACGTTCATCACTGATATCCAAATCAATCGCATACACAGCATTCGACAACAGAAGTGTGACCAAGAGGCCCTTCAAAACAGGCCAGGGGCGAGGCAAATGCATCGCTGATAGTCGGAGAGCCTAAGCCACCGTCACAGTATCGTAGTGGATCTGCCAATAAGATGTGAATAGAAGTCGTACAGAATGAATGTTGCTGGTCTTTTGTAGAAGCGAATGTGGGAGGCCAGGAAACGACTATGAATCACACATCTTCCAAAGAAATTTTCATGAACAATCAAGGAATGAAAGCGGGCGCCCCAGTTTGCGCCATGGGGATTAAATATAGCGCGCGGCGCATGCGTAATCCTCGGCGCTAGCGTCGTCAACTTTTATTGTGGAGTGCGGACACGTTCCTTCGCCATCCGAGCAGTGGGACCAATCAGTGGAGTCCGCCAAGCTTCATGTCAAGCTTTCCGGGCTTGTTGATCGGGAGTACTAGCCGGCTAGGGGAACATCAGATTAAAAATTTCTCCAGGGTCCTTTAAATCGATACAATGGGTCTTTGACGATTTTGAAAAGCGTGATGGAGTCTAGGTTGTTGATGCCTAGCCCCGCCTCGTCAGAGGCCCTGATGCATCCTCTTACACACAATCTGGTCCCATATCCGAGAATTCCGTAGCCCTCTCGGGGCTTCCGGTCCCTTTAGCATCAAGACTATTGTTAGAACAAATATACCACCCGTCAGTAGATTCTTGTCCTTTGAATTCTCTTTGTCTTCGAATGAAAATAGTCTCTTGCTGACGTAATGTGCAGATACGGATAAGTTACTTAAATTATTGACTACATAATATTTCTAAAGGCGTTGAACAAATCAATTGTCATGACCAAAACAGGGTACTTCACTCATGTAAGTCCTTTTATCCATATTTGGAAATAATCATAGTAGATGTTTACCATGGGAATAGTCGAGAAAAATGGAAGAAGCATAACGAGCACATTAGTTAAGTTTACGCCGACCGGCGAAATGTCATTCCGAATATAGTAACTAAACCCGATCTATGGCTCGTTCATGCAGGGAGTCCGCTAGGCAATAATTTCATTAGAGGGTTCTAGGAAATGAGAGCATGCATATGTTGCGCTACTGACCATTAAGCTTGTCTGCACACTTAGATACCATGCTCATGGGAATTGAATCTATAGACACTTCCACGTGGAAATTGGTCCTCAAGGAATTTCTTTATTATGGACGCAAAATGCCGCCTACATGGAAGGCGGAACAGTATGTATCTGGCACGATCTGCATAATGCACTTTTCATTAACGGATCCCGGTCAAGAGTGGGTCTCTATACTATGTATTCCGTACAACGTACTAAGCTTCTCTATTATTTCTTGTCTCAGTTGTTAGCTTGTTTTTTCCTCCAACCGTGTCCCCAGAACCGAACAGCCCACAGAAGTGGGCTGCAAATAACCCAGAGTACCGCAATGATGGTCCCAGTCCATCCAATGCCTATAGCATCAATCAAAGGGGCGACAAAGGCCGTGGTCCCAGCACCCATCAAACATCGACACAGATTATTTGCAGCGGTGGCGGTCGCAGCACTTGAGTAGTTGATGTCCACTACGAGAGTACTCAAAGTATTGAATGCACCGGTCGTCGAGAGCCCAACGAAAAATAAGATCACAATCGGGCCGGCGAGTGAGGTTCGATATTCCATCACCCAGCCATAAGCGAGAATACAAAGAGCCGCAAAATACATCAAAGGCATCGTGACGGATAAACGGGCTCGCTCAACGTTAAATTCCTCAATGTCTTGTTGACGATTCTTTTCGATCGGCATGCCTTGGAGACGTGCCTCGCGTCGGAAGTTCCAGTCGAGCAGTCTTCCCACAGTCCATCGGGAACAAATACTTCCGATCCCCAGTGGTAAGTAGCATAGACCAACCTGGATCGAGTTGAAGCCATACCGAACGGTCAGCTGCGTTGTCAGAGTGCTAAGAACGGCCATATAGCCCGCAAACACAAGACCACCATACAGGAGAATGAGTCCAGTTTCTTTTTGGGTAGCAATCAACAATGAAGTTACTGGATTGGGGCGACGTTTCAACTGCTGGATTGAGGAGTAGTCTGGGGGGTTCTTTGGCTTTCGAAATCGAGAGTTAGATGCGATCAAAGCCCACCCAGGCTGGTTCCAGCGAGGAGGGATCACTGAGCCATTGCCCACCACGGCTCGACAGGTCTCTGGGAATACCATGAACATAATCACAGAACAGATTCCAGAAAAGATGACCAAAAACCAAAAGATCGCCCTCCATCCGAGAAAGTGATCAAGCAGGCCCCCAATAACGGGCCCAAGCGATGGACCCAATGCCATTCCAATACCAGCGTAGCCGATATATTTACCACGCTCGGCACGCGTTGTGAGGTCAGCAACAACGGCACTGCCCAACGCAATGGTCCCACTGCTTCCGGAGGATTGGAGACAACGAAGCACCAATAAGGCTGCATAGTTGTCTTGCAGAGCAAGACCAATATTAGCGCCGAGATAAACTACGAACGCAATCAAATATGCCGGTCGTCGCCCTTGGGAGTCAGAGAAGCTTCCAATGAACGATGGAGCCAATCCTTGGAAAATCTAAGCTTGGTTAAGGAACATTTACCCAGTTGCAAGATCTCAGGGTTCTTACCAGGTAGGTGGTGATGGTTAAGTTAATCAGAGATACTGACACATTCATTTCTTGCGCGATCGAGGTCATGGCTGGCAGGTAAATACTGCTTGACAACGGAGAGATCAAAGCTGCGAAAGAGCCCGCAATAATCACCAATGCCTTTTCACCTGCAGGAAGCACACTGTATGGTGCATGGGAAGGGGTATCCTTGGTTGGTGCAGAGACGATTGTTACTGGTGAGATTCTCTCTTTATCACCTTGCTGCCATGGTTCCTGCTTGTTTTCATTCTCCAAGACATCTTCGATGGTCAAAGCGTTGTGTGTGTCCGGGGAACCGGTAATAGATGTCTGTGCTATTCCCATCGAAATGAGGACTCGTAGATCCGAGTAACGTAAAAACTCTGCCCGGGGGCGATACCCTATTTGTAATTTGGGACACCGGGCTACAGCCCAGGACTTTTGTGAGCCGACTCGCAGATGTTGACATTTCTCCTTTGCGGTGCCGGGCCGCTACCGGGATGAGGATAGGAAAAGCGGAGCAGTCGCCCGGTGTGGCAATGCTTGCGCTGAGAGAAAGGACAATCGGTGTCAAGAGACACCGATCACGTGCTTACCACTGTTCATGCCTCGTGTCTCAGGCATGACAGTGCGTCCCGATTTGGAAAGAGTTGCGTCGGTGTCAAAACACGCCGAGTGGTCACTTTTCCAAGTTCCAAGTTTTAGGCAGAGCACTTGAGTGTATCATCAAAGGAAATGCTGCACTTCGTGTTGATTGATTTGAGACAGACTCATTAGAGATCCATTACCAACTTTTGGTCCTACATTTGCACTTGGAACTAGCTCCAAGGTTTGCTCGATATGTATGTATGTACCATCCGTCACATGGGATACATATACATATGTCGGTGATGTTGGAGGAGTCTTGTTCCTCTGAGCTCTTGGGGCATGAGTAACTTTGGAAGGTTAGAAAGGGCTCCAATCTATATCCATCATTGGTAGCCAAATCTCTTCCTCAGGGTAGCTCTGGAATATTAATAAATGCTCTTGGAGTAGCATCTCCAAAAAGTTATCTAAGAAGCTTGAAGTTTCCGAAATTCATTCATTGTGAGAACATTTTTAGGTCCTAATATTCCTAGGTATGTTTACAGATAGAATCTCGCCTACCTAGCGGCCAAATGTCTTATGCGAATACATTCAGTAGTTCAAACTCCAGGGCTACCAGCATATACCTATATGAGTGAGATCAAAGCACCTTGGAACCCCAGTGGGGGTTACGGCCACATCCTAGGTACTGACTGGAACCAAAATTGCCTTCCAATGTTACTATGGTTCTCTAGCACAGGTGCTTTTCGAAAAAGTCTCCTAGCTGGTTATATCTGTGGAGAAACATCAGTTAGTAGGGGATAATTTGGGGCTTCCAGATGCGGCAAACTCACCCACGAGCGAACTCCGCTCGGCTTTCCTCCTGTTTAAGATTGGCCCGGGCACCCATCCATCCATGCCACTGTTTTTCGAACATTCGTTAACTGCTTAAACTCAGACATCCCTAGGCCCTGGGCCTTTCGAAGGCTTACCATGCTTGGGTAAATCTCTACCAGACCTCCCTTTCCATTGGTAATCACTTCGGCATATTCCCCGACGACAATGGCCGGCTCATCTTTGGATGCCAACACAATGTGAGGAATAGTAAGCGCTGTTGCATCAGCTGCATCCATGGCACTGCAATCAGTCATTTAACAATTCCAAATCCCATTGTATTTTAAATAGTTCTCACATACCCTGGGTGGACTTGACCAGTCGCAGCGAAAGGCGTATCGGCGCCAGACGCAAGAACAGTTACCTGAGCAAGTTTCAAGATTAGATTCTATATCAAGGGAATTAATCATCACTGATCTCACTTTTCCACCCCAGCACAGGCCAAATGCACCCCATTTGGCAACTGACGGAAACTTGGTTCTGTATTGCTCAACGGCTCCGACCAGGACGGCGACGTTTCGAGAGATGTTCGCTTTGGTAGCCAGAAAATCACCGATGATCTTCTGCTTCGCATCGGTATCCGCTGGAATTGCATCATGCGACAAAGCATCGCCCTCAAAGAAATCTGGAACCAACACCACGGCATTCAATCGCCGGGCGATGAGATCTGCACCTTGCAGAGTTTGGTTGGCGAGGCCAAATACATCATACAAGTCCACCAGGCCAATTCCAGAATCGGTATTTCCTGTGACATCTTGTCCCGAAATGTCAAATCCCCACGCGCCTTTCTTCACCCACGTGATGTTTTGACTTACAAGTCTTCAAGCCAGCAATACTTTCATATATACCCTCGAGTTGGTACCCCTGGACAACTACAGGAGGAATACTGCGGCAAGCTTCACAGGTCATGGTGATATCGAAAGTCGAAGATAGTGGAGGAATCCATCGTGAGAAGCCTTGAGCTTATTATACCTTGTCTCTGGATCCCGGAACCGGCTTTCTGGGACTCACTCTCCTCCAAAGGACTACCTGATGTATCCCGATAACCTTGAAAATACTAGACAATCTAAATTTGCCCCACTGATAGCTGTGGTGGGCAATAATCATTCAATCTTATCAAAAATGGTGAAGAAAATTTCAATTTTCTGCCTTAGAGTGTACAGAATGTGAAGAATTGACACAACCGCTTGAAACATCGGCGACGTAGTTGAGAAATATGAATTTCGAGCTAAATATTCTACCAAGGCGATCACGGGCGCCATTGGAAGGCTGGGTTTCGCCAATCCAAATCTTGGATTTGCTTCTGCGAGAGACCGGCCAACGCAGCGTCGACATCGATGGCTCTTCGCCTGCGGTTGTCCCACGTGATATACATCCATAGAGAAGCCCCGAGGACTAGAGTCATACTCGAAGTCGCGAGATTGAGTCCGTTGCCAATATGATAGTTCGGAGCATCAAATGGCAAGAATGACCAAGTGGAGATCAAACCTCCAATGTTACCGAACATCACGGTGGTACCAATGGCAGATGATCTCGCAGTGTCTGACACGACGTTTGCAGATGCATGAGCGGTGCAGAGCGCCCCAAAAGCAAACGCACCGCTCGCAATAATGAAGGTAGCCCCGTATCGTACCATGCTGTCCTCGCTGGCCAGGAACATGATATATCCAGTCATCATCAAAGGAGGGCAGATGATGAAGAAGATTAACCTTTGATCGAACCGCCAGCTGAGGAATGGGAAAAGGACAGTAAAAAAAGCTCCAACAACATAGGGCGGCACAGTATGAAGCTGCTGCGATATCACAGTCGCATCGGGGTAAATGGTTTGGACGATGGTTGGCGCAAAGAAGGCCAGGCCTTGAACAGTGATGTTATTCAGGAGAAAGACGAACGCAGTGGTGAGCGTCACAGGGCTGAAGATCCCACGCAAGGTTTTGGGGAGGTCAATTTTGTCGAGAACTTCGGTGGTTGCAACTCTCTCGGACTTGACTCTAGCAATGGCCAATTCCTTTTCCTCCTTTGAAAGCCATCGTGCTGTCTCTGGTCGGTCAGTCAACGTAAAGAATGCCACCAGAGCAACCCCAATTGTGATAATGCCTTCAATAGCAAAAAGCATACGCCAGCTGTGAAGGCTTCCAAAATGATCCAGCTTCAGAATTCCTGATGCCAGCAAGCCACCAAACGCGCCGGCCAAGGGAGCCATCACGATATACAAAGACAGACGAAACGCAAGCTAAGGTAAAGGTCAGCGCAAATAGTGTCTCCCAGATGGAAAATAACGCACCTCACTTCGGCGGTACCAACGACTAAGGTAGTAAGCGATACCAGGTAACAATCCTGCCTCGAATGCACCCAAAACAAATCGTACACCAGAGGCACTGTGGATGTTGGCCACGAAGGCTGTGCCAACAGAGCAGATGCCAAATCCGAGTGTGATAGCTGGCAAAAACCAGCCAGGTCCGATCCATTTGCATGCAAGCTAATTACCATCAGTCAACGTTGTTCGCATCTGCGGTAGAGTGTCTCACATTGCTTGGAATTTCGAAAAGAATGTATGCAACATAGAAGATGGAAAGCACGACATTGTAGTCGTATCCTTCCAGTCCCAGGTCTTTGGTGAATCCTGCCAGTTTGGCGTTTCCTACCATACTCAGTTAGTTACATGTGGTAGGCCAACAATTAATACTCCATGCGAAGACTATGCTCACCAATGTTTGCACGATCGATGAAACAAAAGAGATACATTAGTGCTACAGTAGGAATAATGTATAGATCGATTTTTAGTCGCAGTCGGGCCTCAGCCGCGCGGTCCAGCTCTACCAATGGACGGCCATACTGGTCAGTTGCCAGATTTCCATCATCAGCGTCATGGGAGACATCGGAAATCACAGTCTCTCTGTGTTCCTGATCGGCCTTTTCGGCCATGAGAGTCTCGTTGTACGCGACGCCACTGGCCATCATGGGCGATGATGCCTTTGGAAAGTCAATACTTGGTGCCACTGTAAGATGTGAAGAAGAAACCCGAACCAAGAGGTCGGGGGAACCAAAAGCCTGCGAGTGATTAGGTGAGACGAAGAGCGGGCAAGCTGCGGCATTTATAGTCCGTGTAACAGGCAGAAGGCCATCCAGGATTATCTCGGGTTGCGGGGAAAGATCGGAAAAGCCGGTTGTACAGACATATTCCCCAGGTCTGAATCTGCCGTCGCCAAGGAAAGATAGCGGAATCACGGTCGAGTGGAAGAATAATTCACGTATGAATTCCTTGGCAGTCGGCAGATTGGCTTGTGAAGGTTCAATCCGTGCTTGGCAACTAACCTTGCTGGCTGAAGGTTCCCAACAAGGAAGAATACAGTCAACCATAGCCAACCTCGGTATTTCACCTATCGAATCCTACAATGGGGATCATTTGATAGCGCTACCTGAGATGCCCCTACTAGATAGGCCCTGACACATCTTTCCTCCCCCCAAGACTCTAGAGTTATCATCAGAGTTTCACGTCCCGTGGTTCGCGCCAACGATTACTACCGGTTAGTTTGACCGAAAGACATCTTGGCTCAGCCATAGCATTCCCGGGAAATCTCTTTGGTGTGGCTTTCTCGCGTGAGTGTCGTATTCCTCGATAGTGGCCAAGCCATATGCCTTGGCAAATAGCGCCTGCGGGGGATCTGAGAGTTGATAATTGTGCGGGGTATCCGAAGTGGACCAGATCGCTTTGAGTGAGGCTGGGGGAAAGAGTTCACCCTCCAGATGATTCATCAGTTGCTAAATCACTCCTAGATGGGCAGAAAGATGCGAAGGAAGCAGCCCAATCACGCATAGTCACGTGGTGAAGGAAATTGAGATCTATATTCCAAGCTCAAGTCATTTCAGTATGGAACTGCGTGTAATATCGTCCCCCTGATCTATTGTAGACTTCACACATCATCGTAGAGAGTGTCAACTATAAACGTGACTAAGTGATAATGAGAAGTGGATACAGTGATCGGTCAGGTGACCTTCGGATATAGACGGATGAACCGGAGAAATGACTTGCAGTACAAGAAAGTGACCAGCACATCTGAGCCCCAGATCTGCAGGAACTCTCGGATATGGAGGAGTCCAACCCCCCTGGCTCTGGTTGGCGCATCCCGAAGGCTTGCCAGGAGTGCCGTAAGCGCAAGATCCGCTGCAATGGCCTAAACCCGTGAGCGCCATTCGCCCCTCACAAACTAGCGCGTCGCTAAATCATTACTCCAGTTGCAAAACTTGTCAGCAGAGGGAAACACCCTGTGTGTATAGAGATTTTATTCGACATCGCAGGAAGAAAAATGAGTACCGAGAGGCACATAGTGACGTGCTGGCGCGTCGGGCTTCTCCTGACTCCACCACTCAGCCTTCCCGGCCGCGGAGCTCGTCAGTCATGAATAACTTTCCCAGCAGTGTCTCGGCGACACATATGACATCGCCGTCATGTCAAATGCAACTCTATTATGGACCCACATCGCATTTTGCACTCATGCAACACATCTATCGGGACCTGATCGCCAACCCGACCGCTCATCCGGCGCCATCAACTGGAGTTGATGAAGCAGGCGCTGGCTTGGATCTTTTCAGCTTTCGTCGAATCTTCTTTGGAACGCCGGATACTCAAGATGCAGGAAAGCCGTCTAGTATGGGCGACGTTCCGGTTATGTTTTTGCCTTATGATCTTGCCAAGATGTTTCTTACGCGATTTCTTTCTTCGCTGTATCATATGACGCCTCATCATCCCCCGGCATACTTTGAAAGCTGCTTGGAACAACTGTACAGTCCATCTCCCGGCAAACATCCCGACACTCTTACTCAGGCCACCATATTGCTCGGCTTGGCAATTGCAGCAGTGGGCACGGAGTACTTTGCGTGGGGCGATATTCTATACGAACGGGTAAAGGCATCGCTCACATCCTACGACGAAGTGGTGAATCTCCAAACTGTCCAAATCTCATTGCTTATGATAAGTAGCGTCTTTTTATCTTTTCGCGGCGGTTTTGCTAACAAAAGTTTCTCCTATACGCCAATTACCAAAATGAGCAGGGTCGGCCCAATTCTGCGTTTCTCCATCTTGGATCGGCCGCTCGCAAAGCACTCGCCGCTGGGCTGCACAAGGATGTGCCTTATGGAGAGGTGCAAACCTCAGAAATGGTTGAAATGCGCAGAATTACGTTCTGGTCTCTTTATCTATTTGAAACGTAAGTTCGTCTTTTGGTAAGCATTTTATGTGTGCTGATTCGGGCTACCAGGTGGTTCTGCTTTCACACGGGCCGTCCGAGCTCATTGTCGCTCAAAGATGTAGCCATCGAAAATACACAAGATCCATTCATGCGAAGTCTGGTTCATCTTTGCAAAACGATTTCTCGTTCCACTGACGAGATATACGGCCAAAATCACGAATCTTTACTACACATGTGGCGCGTCGCACGTTCTATCAATAATGACCTTCGTGGGCATGAGGAATTCGCGCGACAGATGGGATTCGGTCTTGACGCCAGTATCCAAACGGGATCTATGGGCATCCGGCACACGATCTTCACAACCTGTAGGCTTAACTGGTCCCAGCATTCTCTTTTGTGGCTAAATTTTCTAGTATACTATCACACACTCCTGTTGACATTTCGCCCTTTCTTGATATTTCGTGGCCACTTGCTACGACAAAGAAAGGTGGCGGCTCGCCAAGCTAGTGGATCATCCAATCGCCTAAAGGAGATTCCATTTTGGCTGAATGAGGCATGCCATCACGCCCTCGCGGCTGCGCGGGAGACAATTCACCATTTGAGCGAAGCATCCCGTGCCAATGATCTTGTCAGGGTATGTCAGTCAACTTCCACCGATCGCCGAACTCCACTGACTGGACCGTATTTTGAAAGCAATTGCGATACCATGGGTATTTCCTCGGAAGCTCTGCCTTCACTCTAATATACGATTTAATTCATGACACCCAGGCTGCGGCCGCTCATCTACCATGGGTATATGCTTCGTTGCAGACCCTGTCTACAATGAGATCTGGAGATCCAATTTCGAGCTCTATAGCAGCCATTCAAACAACTTTACGAAATATCAATCCATCCTACGAATGGTTACAATATCCCAAAGCTGGAGAAAGCCCCTCAGTCGGCGCCGGAATCAATCCTTACATTCCACGAGCACAGGACACCATGGAAAATCAACAGGAATCACTGAATGGCCCCCCCTTCCCATCAAAGTCTGTATTGGGATCAGGTCCTGGTTTGTCACCATCGCAATGGAGTTTGCCGCAGCTTGAGGGACCAGAAACCGGTCGATCTGGCGGGTCGAACGAAGACCTTCTCGATTTCACTCAATCCGATATGGGATGGGATTTTGATTTCTCCACCATGGACTTGGAAGCATTTTTCTCCGTCTACCAGTCGGGAAATCCCTCATTCATGCAGTGAGCTGCGGTCGAATAAAGGTCATTGGCCTCTGTTTGGCGAAATCATGGGCCGGTGCAATACTTACCAGGACATATCTCGTTTCATTTCTCAGTGAATCATAAACTCGGGTGGGCGCAGAACTAGGTATGCAAAAATCATCTTAGACAATGAAAAGTGCACAAATTCTCTGATCATCCGATCACCAGTTGACCGCTATATGATTAGGTGTATAGGCGGGTTGACCCACACTCAAAAGGAGCCAGTGCCAATACTTGATAGTCCCTTCAAATTGTTCTAGGCAATACCGAAGGCTTCCAGGTACGTATATCCGAGAACATTAAAAAAATTCAATCTCCGTTCTGGAAGCCGGAGCAAAGTGGAGCTTCAACTGGAAATAGCAATAATGGACTAACGATGTGAAAGGAATAAATCCGAAGACTCAAAAGGTATATATCCGTGCTTGGGTCCCCACTTACGTCTAGCCAGTCATATCGTGTTGACCCCTTATCGATCCATTTGAAGAGTGACTCAGGACCACGGTAATATTTTGGACCCACCATTCGGCAATGCGGATGTAAAAAGATAGATAGATTTGCGAGCTGTCACTCATATAAGAGGAATCAGTCGGAGTGCATGGGCTTTTGACGGTGAACTTCGTCCCAATCACGGTGCGGAAACAGCCAGCACGTCTAATCACAAAGTCGCATCTCTTCAGGGCACTAGTTTGAAGGAGTTACTGTTCAAGGCCCACGCCCATCACGATCTCCACTATGGAGACTCCCTCATCTGGTACCGCAACACCAGTCGATGTGGAAAATGGCGTTAATGGGATTCGAAAGAGACTCACCATCACTTTCCGTGACTTGAATGTCCGGGTGACAGCACCGGATGCCGCCCTTGGGAGCACTTTGTTATCCCGAGTTGACCCTCGTCAGCTTGCAGGCTTATTCAAACGAGACAAATTTCCCAAAAGAGTACATCACCAAATTCAATATTGCTAGCATGCTAAATTCTGACCGGGATCATAGACTATATTGAAAAACGTTTCTGGCCAGGTGAAGCCTGGAGAAATGGTAAGTGTTGTTGAAAAACGTTGTAGGAGTTACCAAAGCTGATTAAATGAAGCTTCTGGTTCTTGGGCGCCCAGGATCGGGATGTACTTCGCTTCTTAGGGTCCTGTCCAATGACCGAGACACCTTCGATGAAATCAGTGGCGAGACTCGTTATGGAAGCATGGATCACAAAACTGCAGAACAGTTTCGTCAACAGATTATGTTCAACAATGAGGGTATGTTGATAATTGTCCGGTAATGGAGCCACATCTCACCATAGCATTCTTAGATGATCTTCATTTCCCTACGCTTACCGTGAATCGGACCATGAAGTTCGCTTTGCGCAATAAAATTCCTAACGAGCGACCCGAAGAGCTCCGCAACCGGAAGGACTTTGTGCAGGAAAAGCGAGACCAGATCCTCGACTCATTGGGTATCGGTCACACAAAGAAGACTCTTGTTGGTAATGAGTTTATTCGTGGAGTTTCTGGAGGTGAGCGCAAACGTGTTTCGCTGGCTGAACTCATGGCGGGTCAGGTAAGACGCAATCTTTTGATATGCCTCAAAGCCGAGCTCTAACGTGCATGCAACAGAGTCCGGTCCAGATGTGGGACAATCCGACCCGTGGTCTGGATTCCAAGGCTGCGGTGGAATTCGCTCGAATGCTGCGTCGTGAAGCCGATGAGAATGACAAGACAATTATTGCAACAACTTACCAGGCAGGAAATGGCATCTTCGACGAATTCGATAAGATCCTCGTTCTGGCTGATGGAAGAGTCACCTATTACGGTCCACGTGAGCTAGCGAAAGCCTACTTTGAGGAGATGGGCTTCGACTTTCCCAAGGGAGCGAACATTGCCGATTACTTGACGTCTGTCACTGTAATGACCGAACGTATTGTGCGTCCCGGTTGGGAGGAAAAGGTACCCAACACGCCAGAGGAGTTTGAATCACGATACCAGAACAGCCCGGTCTGTCGGTCCCAGTTGGATACCATGGAGTCCCCGGACAAGCTTGGTTATGAGACAGATGATCTCAAAGTCGCCGTATCGAGCGAGAAGCGAAAGCAGCATCTTCCCCGCGAACAAAGTGTCTACACTGCAGGTCTCTGGGATCAAGTTGGATCTTGTACGGTTCGCCAATTTCAAATCATGTGGGGAGACAAATTTTCCCTAGTCGTCAGAGTTTGCTCGGCCATCATCCAGGCTCTAGTGTGTGGGTCTCTCTTTTACAACCTCGCCGATGACAGTTCTTCAATTTTCTTGCGCCCGGGAGTGCTCTTCTTTCCAGTGCTTTACTTTCTGCTGGAGTCAATGTCTGAAACCACCGGCTCGTTTATGGGCCGCCCCATTCTCTCACGTCAGAAACGGTTTGGATTTTACCGGCCTACTGCCTTCTGTATCGCCAACGCGATCACAGATATCCCCGTTGTTATCATTCAGGTCACATGCTTTTCTTTGATTCTTTACTTCATGGCAGCATTGCAGATGAATGCTGCCCGATTCTTCACTTTCTGGATCATTGTCATCGTACAAACGCTGTGTTTCATCCAGCTTTTCCGCGCGGTTGGTGCAGTTTGCAAAAGATTCGGAGATGCATCCATGATCAGCGGACTTCTTTCGACCGTGTTTTTTGTCTATGGAGGTAAGAATGGCATTCGCACTTCTATCGAGTCCTCGTCCTGCTGTTCCTACATTGTTATCATATGTGGTAGTTTTACCGGTGACATCCACTAACTTGGCGTCTCTCAGGTTATTTGATTCCATTCCAGAAGATGCATGTTTGGTTTCGCTGGATCTTTTACCTCAACCCAGGAGCTTACGCATTCGAGGCGCTTATGGCCAATGAGTTTGTCGGACGTGAACTAAAGTGCATTGAGCCTGACTACATTCCCTATGGCGAAGGCTATCCAAGTTCAGTATCTGATTATCGGGGGTGCTCTGTCCCTGGAAGTACCGATGGCATAATCAGCGGAGCCGCTTACATCCGAGAGCAGTATAGCTATTCTGATGGCCATATCTGGCGAAGCTTTGGAGTGATTGTCGGTTTCTGGTTCTTCTTCATTTTTTTGACATCAGTCGGGTTTGAGCTAGTAAACAGCCAGAGTGGATCCTCTGTGCTGCTATATAAACGTGGCAGCCAGAAAGCACGACAGGGGGATGTGGAAAAGTCCCCTTCCGGCAAGCAGCCAACTGATATGACCGCCTTGTCCGGCTCAGTAAAGCAGTCTACCTTCACCTGGAGTAACCTTGACTATCATGTGCCATTTCACGGGGAGCAGAAACAGCTTTTGAACAAAGTTTTTGGTTTTGTCAAGCCTGGCAACTTGGTTGCTTTGATGGGCGCCTCTGGTGCTGGAAAGACTACGTAAGTCCGACCGTGGTATCATTCGGGCAAATTTATTAACGGCTGTTGGTTTAGGCTATTGGATGTTCTTGCCCAACGAAAAGATTCTGGAGAAATCCATGGATCCATCCTCATTGATGGCCGGCCTCAAGGTATCAGTTTCCAACGCACGACCGGTTACTGTGAGCAACAGGATGTGCACGAGAGCACGGCAACGGTCAAAGGGGCGCTAATATTTTCCGCCCTCCTCCGTCAACCTGCCACTGTCACTGAGGAGGAAAAAATTGCATACGTGGATCATATCATTAATCTCCTGGAGCTTGAAGAGATCAGCGATGCTCTGATTGGAGGTAAGTACCAGCACTTTCTGTTTTGTTTCGCCATTAATTCCAACTGACATACCCCAGTGCCCGGGGCTGGTCTGAGTATCGAACAGCGGAAACGTGTGACCTTGGGTGTCGAGCTCGTGGCTAAGCCTACCTTGCTGTTCTTGGACGAACCTACGTCAGGTCTTGATGGTCAGAGTGCGTACAATATTGTGCGCTTTCTCAGGAGACTCGTGGAAGGAGGGCAGGCTATTCTGGTAAGGGACAGTCACCTTTTGAAAATAAAAGCAGAGTTGACAGACTTAGTGTACGATTCATCAACCATCTGCTGTCCTGTTTGACGCGTTTGATGGTCTCTTGCTACTCGCCAAAGGTGGCAGGATGACATATTTCGGTGAAAGTTCGTCCTTCTATACAGTCATCTGTCACTTTTCTCGGTTGAGCTAACATCCAAAAAATCTAGCTGGCAAGGACTCTGGAAAGATCCTGGACTACTTCTCTCGCAACGGTGCACCTTGTCCGCCGGATGCTAACCCGGCCGAGCACATCATTGAGGTGGTTCAAGGTGGTACAACGCAGCAGATTGACTGGGTTGATGTCTGGAATGAATCTCCTGAGCGCAAACAAGCCCTGAAAGAACTGGAATCTCTCAACGCAATAGGTCTAGCTGATCCTGACTATGTGGAAGATACTGCGAATTACGCTACTTCGCACTGGTATCAATTCAAATTGGTGTCAAAACGCCTCAGTATTCAAATTTGGCGCTCTCCGGTACGTTCTGCAATCTTACCTCTGAATATTAAAGCGTGCTCGCTGATATTTCCAAGGATTACATGTGGAATAAGATCAATCTTCACATCTTCGCAGCACTCTTCAGCGGTTTCACTTTTTGGAATATTGAAGATGGTACTTTCTCTCTCCAGTTGCGGCTTTTCGCTATTTTCAACTTTATTTTCGTTGCCCCGGGATGCATCAATCAAATGCAACCTTTCTTCCTGCACAATCGGGATATTTTTGAGACCCGTGAAAAGAAGGTTTGTCATTTTCGATTGCACGAAGATTAATGTCACGGCACCGACTAATCTGTCCTCGCCATAGTCCAAAACCTACCACTGGATTGCCTTCATTGGTGCTCAGGCAGTCACCGAGATCCCATATCTTATCATCTGTGCCACACTTTACTTCGTTTGCTTCTACTTCACAGCGTCATTCCCCATTACTTCCAGCATTTCAGGCCAGTTTTATCTTCAAATGATCTGTATGCCTTTCTCAAGATGCTCTCGGTCGTAATCCTTGCTAACATGGGCCAGTCTACGAGTTCCTATACACATCTATTGGTCAGGCTATCGCGGCATATGCTCCAAATGAGTACTTCGCTGCTGTGATGAACCCAGTCTTGATCGGAGCAGGCTTGGTCAGTTTCTGTGGAGTCGTGGTTCCATATGCTTCAATGCAGGCCTTCTGGCGCTACTGGCTCTACTACCTTGATCCCTTCACATACCTCGTTGGTGGACTTTTGGGTGAGGTCCTCTGGGATGTCAAGGTTCAATGTGAGCCCTCGGAGTATATCACCTTTAGCGCTCCGTCCGCACAGACCTGTGGTGAATATATGGCCGATTTCCTTCTGTCGGAACCTGGTTATTTACTGGACTCAAACGCCACTGGCACATGCTCCTTCTGCCAATACTCTACCGGTGCAGACTACGCCAAGACCTTCAATATCAAGGAGAAATACTATGCATGGAGAGATGTGAGTTCTTCTCGTCTCTTTTGATATACTCATTTACTAATGCGTTGCTCTAGACTGGAATTACGGCATTGTTCTGCATCACTTCTTATGCCTTGGTATTCACTATGATGAAGCTTCGAAGCAAGAAGACAAAGAGTGCTCGCTCTGAATAGATCTATCGCATAACATCATACGGTTGGGTTTACATTCAATTTCACCGCATGTTATGCATCCTCATGGATGCTAGTTTGCTGGATTACTTTCACTCCCAGAAAGCCAAATAGTTTCTAGGCCAAAATTTCGGTTGAGAAAGCTGACTGATTTTTTTCCTCTCTCTCCCCTCGTTCCTCTTGTCACTGGCATCATTTCAATATTTCTCTTACATAGAATCTCGGTCCTTCATACACATAGATTTACTAAAAATATAGATTAATTGTACTATAAGCTTTTCAAGTATTTATTCCAAGGTTGCTAGGATTTTGAAGTTTACAAACTCATCTCATGTTCCAATTGCTTTCAATAGTCATCATGTCTAGATCTCGGCCGGACTCCAGATTAAGCTGCCACAAAAAGGATTACCAACATTATCTTTGTGCATTTGGCCATCAAGATGAATGAGGTTCGAGATAAGTTGCGCATTGGAGCATTACCATCTATTCAAGGCCAAGCTCTTTCCACCCTTGCCTCATACATTTCCAGGCGTTGCTTTCACCTTAGAACGTGGCGTCAGCCAAGTTCGTCGAAAAGTGAGCATCAATGAAAGGGACGATGGCAGAACCAAAGTCGGTCGTATCTAAAGCGTCTTGCGCAACAGTTGGGAGGGATTCCCAGGCGATCAGAGGCTGCATGCCACCAACGGTGGTAGTAAGACCACAGCAATGATCCACAGGCCAGATGCTATAATAATCGATCAACGGCGCAGTGCCGTCAACCGTGTATCCATCGGTGCTGCAGTCCCAGCTACCGTGAGCGGAAGGGCAGACAGCGACGATATTATCGGCGGATGTGCTAGTGGAATCGGCGAGCCAAACAATTGCTCCCTCCCAATCGTGACGGTGGCCAAGACCATCTGAAGGCTCATCCTTAGGCATGTACCAGGCATACATCAGGGCGTAGTAATCTCCGGAGCTATTGCCCCGAACATAGATCTGGCCAGTGCTGCTGCTGCAGTCGCCATCAGAAGCTCCTGTGGTGGCAAGACCAGCACTGAATATATATGTTAGACCACAAAATCTCGTTATATATAGACATGTTGCGTTGTGATTGAACTCACTTTGTGTCGCCCTCTGCATCCACGGCTGGGAAAGGGACACAGCCGTTAACCACATACAGGTAAGGCTGGTAGGCCAGGTAGACTTCGCCGGTTGTTCCCGAGGGCACTGTTTGGTCGAATCCCACAATTTCATCAGATGCAATGGTTCCTCGGCGCGATAACGGGTTGGCAGTCGCGATCGCTCCCAGGCAAGAAAGGGTGGCTAGACCCGCGGATAGTCGGAACGCCATGGCTTGAGACAATTGTAATCGATGTGAGGGTCGAATGAATCCATTCTCAGCCCGGCCGAGGCCTTGATTTATATTCACAACTTGGCAACTAAGTAAGTTATGCCTCGCTTGGAGTGTTGCGAGTGAGTTAGGTTGGGATCTGCAAATCTTGGAAGCTTCGGAGACTAAGAAACGGCCTTGGATCCCAAAGCAGAATGGTGGCCGATTAACGCTCCACATGACTATGCGCTCGGCTGTAAACGTGATGCTCGTGGGCTCTGAATCGGGCTTGATTCGCCTAAAAGGCGGTTTAATGATTCTTCAGTGAAACTTTTAATATGGGTTGGTGCCCGGTCATTGTATGCAACGGATACTTCAGCCATTAGCTTTCTATATACATCAGAAAACTCAGTCAATTTTCCACCAAACATTGATCACCCCATCTCTGGCTTCTATTGTGGAGAAACTTGTTTTTATTTAATTTTGCACGGCTGTCTGACAGACCAAGATTTATGCAAATGGGAACATCTTAAAGGCAAGACAGAATACCGCTAAGCTTGTTCAGAACCACCTCCTGCATAGTGGCGTTGGCATCCAACTTGTCGCTCGCCGTTCCGACGGAAATACTCGCGTAACACCCGGAGGTCAGCGCCACTTTGTACTCGGTCGGCAAACGGGAGCTTCCACAGGTAGTCACATCATCGGCGGTGATCAGAGGCACCGCGATGTGGATGCGAGACAAGACAAACATGAAGTCGTCGGTGCTAGTACACTCAGTGTCGGAGACCGATGGGAAGTTCACATTCAGCCAGATATTGTCGGGTAGGTAAGGTGTGCCCGATGCAATTAGAGTATCAGTGACGTTCATCGCTAGGTCGGCGTAGATCTGGCTATAGGTGGGGAACGTGGAAGAAGCATTCCACGCGGTTTGAGAGCCAGTTGAGCCGGAGAAGGCGATGGCTGGAATGCCAGCATTGTAAGCAGCGTAAGTAGCAGCTCCAACGGTTCCAGAGAGGAAAGCCTCGATACCAATGTTGTAGCCAACCTGCCACAAGATTAGTTCATGCTCCGACGCTTCATTGACTGGTACTTACGTTGGGACCGGTAACCGCTAGGTCAGGAGCGTCGCCGCCGAAGTGCTTAGGGCCGATGGAGTTGATGCCGTACTTCATGGAAGTCGCAGGGTACGAATTCACATAGTTCAGGCGAGGCTGGGACGCATTGTATCCAATGGCGGGACTGCCAGCTGGGCAGCTGTCAAATTCACAGGCCTCCGTGAGCACCGTTGGAGTTCCCTGGTCAGAGCCTATCACATACGGTGATTAGTCGCGGAAAGAAACAAAAGGAGGTAGATCGCCCACCTGTTCCGCTTTCATCTTCAGCAGGCGCGGAAACCACAGTTACGTGCCCAGCAGAGGTGAGAGACTCGTAGAGAGCACGAATGTTCACCTCTGCCCAACCATCGTCATTGGACGAGATGATGTTGATCGCGTGTGCAGGTCCCGCAAGGGATACGGAGACCAAAAGGGCGGCCGTGTTGAATCGCATAACGCCTGTGAATTAGAAATTCTAGAGAGCGACGAGGTAGAGCTTTGGGGGATGCGAAGAAAAACGGATTCTCGACTTCGCGGTGATTTATACGAACATCGCGGATCTCACGGCTCGTGTCAAACCGTGGATGGCTTGACTGGTCTTGTGCAACGCCGATCGTGACTTCTTTCGTCGTCAGGGGAATCCTTTAGTGATCCACATGGAAATTGGAGGTCGGAAAGCGCGGATTGGACGGTAGATTGTGTCCTTGCTAGTGGTAAAACCAACGATGGAAATCCACCCAACGAGATCGTCAGAACCACACCATGTGGCTTTGATGACGATTAGTGACTCCACTGCGGGAACTTCGCGTATCCATCACTCAATATAACATTTTAACGTCTAGCTCTCTCACTCGGCTATCTTACTGAACTTTTTTAAGTTTATTTCTTTTTTGTTCTTCTTTGTTCAAAAGGTTTAGAGTAATGTGATTTGTTGAAGTTTGCACCGGGTGTCAAGGAATATAGGATCAGGTACCGGACAGAACAGCCTTAGGAGCTATGCAAAGTGATAAATACATGCGGATCAGACAAGCTTTCTAGGCTTTTCTATCCTAGAGAGTACTTAACCACCTACTTTCCACTGAGGCCACTACATTGTCGACATTTCATGCATTCCATATACGGATACGGATACGGATACACAGGGGAAGTGGATCAAATCTAATTTCCGTGATCTCCACGAATCACAACAGACGTCGTAGATCACCCTCTGTATGGTCTGTTCCAGATCTGCTCGGCTAATCGTCGCACGAGCAGGAGCTTCTCCCACATACCGTCCATTGTCATCCCACGTCCTCCTCCTAAACTCATACTGGCAAAGCCACACTGGGGACTAACCCCAAGAGAGGTGTGAATAACCTCCTCGACACTTCGTCCTTGTCCACGAGCAATTACCTCGGCAGCAGAATGCACTAGAGCAACTAGCTCATCTAAATTCTCCAGATTTGGCAACTTGGTTGAAACCACCCCCAGAACAACATTCTTTCCTATTGGTAAATGCCGCAATGGTTCAAAATCACCCGCTCGCTCGGTGTCATATCTATATGTGATTAACACTAGAGTTCTTTAGTGTGACATGACTTTGGACTTACTCGAGGTAGTATGTGTCATATGCTAAGTCGGTAAACATTGTCTTTGCGATACGCTCATATGATCCATTTATGATATGATTGGAACCAGCCATGTTGCCCCGACAGAGATGCAAGCCCACGTGGAGGTCGCCAGGTTTTGCGATAAGACACTGGTTGTGAGCCCAGATATATTCATCAAGCATCGCGTCGGGATCAATTCCGTCTTCTTCGCAACCTGAACGAAACTCATCGGTCACGAAGAATAATAGATTCGGGTCGTCAATCTGAATTGACCGCAGCCCCGCATCATAGAGTGCTTGAAATTCCGCTTTATAAGCCTGTGCCAGGTCTTGGAAATACTCTCGGTCGGAAGTGTAGGCGGATTTGCGATATGCGGTGCCTACTGCCATCTTCACCAAAGGATCAGCTAAGTCATTACAGAAGAAGAGGAAGTCTAGAAAAGCACAGAATGATTGATTTAACAGTGTTTCATACCTGCATATGGTTGTGCGTGATTGGCGGCATTGTCAATTTGCATTCTTTCCACATGTCCTCTGGAACGAAGCGACGCAGAGACTGCCACTCCGACATATAAGCACTACGGGTATGACGAATGCGATCGACGGCAATGATCGAGTCTCGAGTCGTAATTCCAAGGGACTTGAGTGTTTTTAGGGTTGGGAAGTTCGTCCTATATCCTTCCGGGATTGGGATCGCATGGGCAATTTCCATTCCTTCGAGGGTTTCAAAGAACCCAGAATAGAATTTGTCGCGCTCATACTCTCCGGACGTGACTGGCCGAATTCCGAGCTCAAGCTGCTTTGATACGACTTGGGCAATCGCGGTTTCTGTCGCTTCTCGGGCTTCCTTGGTCAGTTGGGAGTATGTAGTTATTAAACCTGCGGCGGAACGGGCAGCTAAGAGCTCCGGCGGTCGCATCAGAGATCCAATCTGCTCTGCATTGAACGGAGGAGCCATGGTAATGATACTGTAAAAGCTGACCCCTAGATCATGGGTGCGGGATTGGTTGTTATAAAGTCATCTAATGTGGCATGTGGGGAAACTTTTTCCCACTGACGGCAGAAGTGGCATTCCGCTGAACGTGGGGAGTTGTTGTGGGGAGAATCACCAAAATCACATTGAGGACAACAACGGCAAATATCATAGTGATCCATTAAACTCATCATGGTACATCAGAAAATCATATCACATTTCAACCAAAAAAAAAAAAAAATATATTTAAAAGAGCAAAATCCTAGGTAAGACTTAGACTCGGTCTGGCACCTCCTGTCTTTCGACGTGTTGGCTCGTTCCAATCATCTCCATCTTGGTATCCATCGCCTCATCTTGCTCTTCAGCATCCCGGTTACCGTGTCGACCAATCTGGTACCACGGCAAAGCAAACAGTCGATCCATGCTCTCGAGGGAACGACCCGCAGTCTCCGGCACAGAGAACCACACCCAGACGCCACCAAGGATAGTCACGGCACTAAAGAACCAAAATGTACCCTTGGGGGTAATTCCGCCATTCGCAACGGACAGGAGCATATTCGGCACCGCACGTGAGTTGCCGTATTGGTTGGCGAAATGCAGGGTCATAGCCATAGATGTAGCCAGAGCACGAATGCGCAAGGGGAACAATTCGGCGGTCAGAACGTATTGCATTGAATTCCAACCCAGCGCCCACCCAGCTCCCGAGATATAAATCATTGCAATCGCTCCCTTGCTAGCACCCTTTTGGTTCTCTGGAAGTACGAAATTACTCACGATTCCCATCTCCGGTACAGCAGTGAGGAATCCAGCCACGTAGATCATGGAGATGGCTTGGAGAGTGATTCCGAGAAGCAATGCTCTTTTACGTCCGATCACATCGACCAGGAACAGAGCGCAGATAACAGCCGCGATGAGTTTAATGATACCGAAAATGGCGGTGACCAGCAGATTCTCGTTGTTTCCGGAGATGCCCAGCAATTTGAAAAGATCTGTCGCATAAACGGTGATTGATCCTGCACCGGACCATTGGGATAGAATCTGAGCCATGAAGGTAAGGTAGACGCGGTAGAGGTTCGAGGGAACCAAGAAGGTTTCCTTGATAATCCCGATAGGACCTGAACCCATTGTGGCCTCCAGCTCTGCCTGGTGAGCAGCTTCGATGGCAGCAAATTCGCGAATAACATAGTCGTGGTCTGTGGGTAGGTTTCGAATCCGGGCCAAGTTTGTAATGGCTTCTTCTGTCTGTCCTTGCTTGACAAGATATCTAGGAGATTCGAATTGCAGGAATGAGAGGAGGAAAATTAATCCGGCGAACATTATGTGAAGGCTGGTTGGGATTTCCTGTATATTGTTAGTAGGTGCTGTTTTTCCCGGACGCATATCACTTACCCATCTTTTGTGCGTAGTGTCTCCAATATTCACTTGGCACCCGTAATTGGCGAAATAAGCAAGGACGATACCTAAATATGACGAATGGATGAGTTTTCACGAACAAGTCATATGTCGGCGCTGGTCCGAGATACATAGTAGGAACATACCAAGGTAAACAAAGCCAGTAAAGACGCAAGTGCATAGGCCCCGAATAGAAGCAGGAGCCTAGACATCTCTGTTAGTTTGATGATTTGCACAAGGCTGGCGAGTTGGGGTAGGGCGTACAATTTCTGCCAGGTAGACTGGTGCAACAACCACAGTCTGACCCACGCCGAGTCCAGCAATGAACCGACCAGCGTAAACAGCCCCCAGACTTCCATTGTTTCCCATGAAAATAGCAATTCCCACAATCCACAGAACACACAGTTGTCGTGTGGCCCAGAGACGTCCAATTCGATCGCAAACCAAGAATGCGCTATTCATTTTCGAAAAGATTCGAGTCAGTAAGAGATCACGTCTAAAGCATGTGTCTGGACTTACAAGAGAGCTCCTCCCACTGAGCCAATTTGCACCATAGCCGAGACATTGGCCTTGATATTAGTCTGTTCAACCTTGCTGTAAGAACTGTAATCGATGTACTTCTGAAAATCCTTGGAGTTGAAGGCGCCGGAAATGAGACCCTCGTCAACACCTCTGGCGGCACCCATCAGCCCGAAAGAGATAACAGCGAACCAAAGCTTCCAGTTGAAAACCTCACTGGGTTCGCCCAGATTCTTCAAGCGGAAGATATTAACTGGTTTCTTGGCGCCTCCAGCCATGATGGGCAAGTTAGGAAGAAATGATCAGAGAAGAGAGAAGAGAAGAGAAAAAAGGGGGTCGGGAGTAGAAAGTGGAACAAATAGGTTGAGAGAAAGAGGGAGAGAGAAGTGTTCAGTTCACCCGCGCCGCACTCCTTTAATAGTCACGAGAAATGGGACGATCCTATATCAATGCGGGGAATTTCTCGGGGAACATAGACGTCCACACGCATACGGTACACAGTAATGTCATTTCCCGGCTTTCTCTCTTTCAACGGCCATTGCATGATCTAAGCCTCGGACAGCCCGATCTATCACACCCAGATGGACCGTGGGCCGACTATCGGTGGAACAGAGATGAAGTCGGCCAAGACTGGGGAGCATTGCCAAGGGAGCTTGGATCCCGACCATCGTGTATCCTTCAATGCTGATTTGACGGGTTCGCCGGTAGTCTTTGCCGGGTTGTTTGCATGCCAAGCAGCCCTAGGACAAAGCCACATGGCACACACACACTCGGACCATCCTTGCATGTCAATGTTACCTGTGTTTAGACATGGCTGCACCTAGTGGAATCTCTCCCATAAGCCAGGATGCACTCGAATCACTGCTTATCACTCTGAAATTTTTAAACAGTGTGAACCTTGGGCCTCATCCAAGACAAAGATCGGATCGAGCTCGGGGAACTTCCGGGTGGGCGATGGCGGGTGTGCCGTGCCAAGACCGGGGGCCCAACTGGGGGAACAGCATCCATGACAGTCAGTGTGATCATGATTGGTTCGTAGTCAAGAACGCGGGGTAAGGTTACGTCTTGGCGTGGGGGGGAAAGCACATAGCGCGGAGAATTAGCTACTTTATCGAGGCTCGACCGACTCACTAAGTTACGGACAATGACCGTGGGCACCACAAAGTATAAATCATATTCCACTGACATAGACTAGGCTTTCTTTGTGCCGATGCCGCTGGGATTTAATATGGCCTGACTCCGGTTTTCCGTCCATCGGCAGAAATCCCTTGCGCAAGAAACTGGCCGGCGGAGATAATATTGGAGCTCACTAGTTGAACACCACGAAATTAGTTGAACACCACGATGATTCTACATCCGCTATGGTGCAGTAATTGTAATTCAGAAAACCCGCTATCTCAAGTATTAAAGTATACATTACATCACCTCGCTCACTTCACGTCATTATACGAGATGACGCTTCATTAGAGTCATTATATAAGTATAGCTTAACTAGTATCACTCTTGAATCACCTTCACATTCCAGCGTAATCTACAGAGTAACGTGAGCAAGTAGGTACTTAGGCATGTACTCAATAATATTACTCTCTGGATCTTGAAGACTGCGCTACTTTGAACGCGGTCAGTGGGGGTGTTCTACTAATTTTGTGGTGTTTTTTTAAAAAAAAAAGCTCCATAACATGTCGATTCAACTCCCGAAGATCACCCCTATTCGCTTCCCCGCATTTGATAAGCTTAGACCCTGCAAGGCAAACTGACATGAAAAGAACACGAGAAAATAGTAAGTTACCAAGAAATGTAATCTATGTACCTCTTGTCAAGGCTACTCAGCAGAACAGACCAAGTATGGCGTATCGAAGCACCCATATCCTTTCACAACGCTCATTTCATCGATATCAGCATGTTTCGTCTTGAAAGTCCATCCACCCACTGAGTTGTGAAGCATTTCACATTGGCCTACAGAGCCTCTTCGCCACAGGCAGGTTCCTAAAACGCCAAGCTCTGATACAACTTCTCCACCATCAATCCCCGCTGAGCTCATGAGCAAATTTGATAGGACTGGTGGCTGTATTCGCTCCATCAGAATGTATGAGGACCACTTTGACTCGGGGATAGATGCCAGAAACCCAGGAATATCCTCTCCATAGACATTGTGACCCCCTCCCTCCAGAGACGGCTTCAAAATATAATCACTCGCCGTTTCGGGGTTGCCCGCTAATTCCCGCGCTTGAAGACCCTCTGCTGATCCATCCAGAGGAAAGACCGGGACAAAGGTCTCACGAATGGCGGCAGCTTCAGATTCCGTTAAGAATCTCTCGAGAGCCCCGGGCTTTGTCAATGCTTGCTGAACCTTCTTGAAAGTCGTGATGTGACCAAGAATAGAGGGGCATTTGATTGCAGTGGAATTCTCCAGCCGGAGACGGGCGTCCAGGCCCGTTTGATCGTATTCGAATGTCTCATACCCAGCACGCAAATAGACAACCGAGATTTCTATGGGGCTTGCCGACTCTAACCATGGCGGTTGAAAAAGCAACTCGCGTGAAGCGGTCAGCCATGTATACTGAAGAACATCTGGTCCAAAGCCCAGCCGGTAAGCGGGCACAGGGCTCTCCCTGTCCCATAGTCCATATTCAATTGGCCTCTCATCTGCGATATTGAACTAGTTTCCTCGTTATGCCCGTATCACCAAGGCTAGGATGAGGGGTAAAGATCATACTAACATTAGTTGGCTGTACAAGAAATAGCACGGCTGTCTCCTTTGCTAGCTTGGCCCTTGGTGGTCCATAGGTGCTATGTGCTAATGCCAGGCTCGATACTAGAGAGTCAACATTCTTGTTGATCGGCAGCGATGATAGGTCAAACCGGTTTTCTTCGACATTATATAACCCACGACGGGTCAGATATCGGTGCATGTCCACTACTTTGTTTGCGTGGGTAGCGCCAGCGCAAGAGAAAGAGTTGAACTCCACCTGCTTGAGAGTCGTATTCGATAGAGAGTCAAGTGAATCGCTCGAGTCATCACTGACATGAAGCATATAGTCCGATCGAAAAACTCCGACAGAGATGTCCTGGACTGATTCGGCTTTCTTCGCCGCTTTATAAATTCCCCAAAGCGCATTTGCCAGAGGATCTCCCGGAAGGAGATCTTTGATAGCATTGTAGATAAAATCATCATCTTCTGCAACAGCACAATACAATTTATTAAAAATTTTCTGGATATCCAGCGCTTGTTGAAATTGCGCCCGTGGAAACTTGGTCGGAAAACACTGGCGGGGTGTTAAAATTATTCAAGGACACTAACCTGAGGTGATAAGAAATTATGACTTACACTGACACCCACCGGTTGGGATAGAACACTATGTTCAGTCTCGGTCTGAACGAGCTTCAACAGTGATCCATGGTTCAATTGCCAATCCTGATCATACCGTCAGTCCCGATTTTGTGGGATTATTGGAGAAAACAACCTTGATCTGGGTCACCAACTCAATCAACCGTTGCTCACTCAATTCGGGGGGATATGCCTGTTCTGCCATGAGAAGTTGGGTAGAATGAAGAAGTCAACCGTGGTTTCTGGTGGGCGCGGGGTCCATATCCGCGCTACAACGGCGTTGCGCCCGAGTTCGAGATGACGTCTTCATTTTCGCCCGACACGAAATGCCAGGCTTAATATTTTTGTCATAACCTCAATTGCATATCATCTCATTAAACAAGATGACCCCTTTTGCCTGTTGCATAACTCTACGAGCGGCCGCCGAGCGGCAAACAATGACCCAAGATTCTATCTGCAGTTCCGATAGATCACGTTGATTGAGGCTCTAAGCTAGCCCAAGTCGAGGAGCTGAAGTGCCCCGATGCTGGCCCGCGGTTGATAGAGATGAGAGCTTCGCCAAATCGTTACTGGCCAACTGTTCTTATCATCGTTCCAATCGTCGGTACTGCCGTTGCGACCGTGATTTTTTGTCTTCGTCTATACGCTCGGTACATTACTGTTCATAAATTGCGAGTCGAGGACACACTAATGGGGATGTGGGTGTTATATACTTAGGGCGTCGCAATATATACCATATATTGTGAGTGCCGTTCCCTGAGACAACGGACTTGGTTAATTGATGCCATTCAGCGGCCATATATGGTATTGGCATTGGAAAACCTATCTGGGTTTTACCGCGTGACGAGCGACGGCGGATTGCCTTGGTAAATCCATGCAACCTTGGAACCCTTGAAGTCACATATGTATGAAAGCATGCTGATTCCAAATAGGCAGATTGGGTTCTGCAAAAGTGTTGGCCGCCTGCCCAGGTTTTTATCAAAGTGTCAATTGTGCTATTTCTCCGAAGGCTCCTGGATTGCCTGGAGTATTTCAGGCAGCTTGCAATAGCCATGATTGTACTTGTGATTATATGGGGAACGACGGCAATCATCGGAAATACCTTTCAATGCTGGCCAGTTCAATATTATTGGATCAAACATATGTCTGGCCACTGTATGAAGGGCCAGGATACATTTTTCTTCGTTATTGGAACCTTGTCGGTGTTAGGCAATGTCCTTGTTCTCTGTCTTCCGTTACCGATCGTCTGGAAGCTGCATACTCTAATGCGATAGAAGATCGAAATCACATTATTATTTTCGATCCGATGCTTGTAAGACTGCTTATTCTTTTCGGTGGTCATCTGTTTGCTAATAGTTTCTGCTTCTCAGAGTCTGCGTCTTCAGCATCTTTCGTCTAGTCGCCCTCAGACATTTCCAGACCGAAGACTTGACAGGCTGGTTCACATATTATCCGACAAAGTCAATTGTTCACTCACATGATCCATCAATAGCTGACAGCGCCATGACCCTGATCTGGACAATCTTGGAACTTGACAATGCGATCATTTGTGGCTCATTACTACTTATGAAACCTTTGTTTCAATTATGGATGGGGAACGCACGGAGCAAAATCAGTCGAGTTAGCAGGGCTCAGTCTAAGTCTACCGAGGTTACTATGGTTGAAGAGTCCCATCATGGCTCAGGACCGAGTCAAACAGGTGTTCGGAGTCCATCCCTGTTCGTAGAAGACCAAGTGCAGGGCGCAGATCAGCTGGACGTTTGAAATTACCAAGTCGCATCCCAGACTTGAGAATTACCCGCTTGAAATGGTGTAACGGCTTTCGGCTCTAACCCTTACTACGATAAACACCTGCATTTGAGCCTTGTTTCACGATGTGGAGGTAGATTAATACCACCTATCAAAGACAGGCAAGTCTTTAGACCTGTCTCAAGATAAGACTCCCGTTCTTTCTCATCTTAGCTCAATGTTAGATGACCAGATTTGTAGGGTCGAAGTGGGTCAAAATACAAAACAAGGTTGTGGTCCGAACAACGCCATCGCCAATTTATCCGGAACTAGCGTGTCACACTATGTCTCCGTTCTTCTGCCAAGGGCGCCTAGTGCCAAGAATTGGCGCCATAATTGAGAGGCTTGAAAGATGTCACGCCTCGAAGTTTCGAAATAATTTGATTGTTTCTGGTGATATGGTCCCATGTGGAGCTTTCACGGCTTGGAGTCCTTGGTTCGGCTTTTCTTCGACACGGATGTAGTAAAGGCATCTTTCTACGGGCGCTAACTTGATATAACGCAGGATGCTCGCAGGAGAAAGCGTTTGGCAATCGGCTCCGCTATTAACTGATTCTGGATTAGCCACCCTGTTCCAGGCGGTCTCGTTCAACTTGAGGCGTCCTGAGCATGGGCAATCAACCCTTTCTTCGGGGATCAATAGATATAAATACAGCGGGACAATGTCCGCTTTTCAAACGACTCATACAAATTAAATCACCAAAAAACCTGTCAATCTCAAAGCTGCAATTTTTCTGAACGATGATGCACGTCATCAGGCCGCTCTTCCTGGCTAGTTTGGTTGCTGGTCACGGCCATATCACGAACATTGTCATTAATGGAGTTTCATACGAGGGATGGGATATTGACACATTTCCTTATGAATCCGACCCTCCGACCGTGGTAGCGTGGGGTACACCAAACACTGGAAATGGCTTCATCTCCCCTGGTAAGTCGAGACGATGTCGAATGCTTCCCCAACAACCTCGCTGCAACCATTTGAAAAAACCTGCTGACACCCCACCAGATGCATACGGCACATCTGATATCATCTGCCATGAGAACGCCACAAATGCCAAGGGCTATGCAACGATCGCAGCTGGAGACAAGGTCAATCTCCAGTGGACCGCCTGGCCTGACTCTCACCACGGACCAGTCATCACCTATCTCGCCAATTGCGGAGACTCGTGTGAGACTGTTGACAAAACAACCCTCGAATTCTTCAAGATCAGTGGAGTGGGTCTGGTCAGCGACACGGATGTTCCTGGTACCTGGGGTGATGACCAGTTGATCGCCAACAACAACAGCTGGCTGGTTGAGATCCCGCCAACCATTGAAGCCGGCTACTATGTGCTGAGAAATGAGATCATTGCGCTTCACAGTGCGGAGGAGTCCGATGGTGCCCAAAATTACCCCCAATGTTTCAACTTGCACGTTACCGGTTCTGGAACGGAAAACCCAACCGGTGTTCTGGGAACGAAGTTGTATAGCTCCACCGATGCCGGGATTCTGGTCAACATTTACTCATCTCTGTCCACCTATGATGTTCCAGGGCCTACTCTCTACAGTGGTGCTGTCTCGGTCACGCAGGCTACTTCCGTCATCACTTCAACTGGCACTGCCACGACAGCGTCAGGCGATAGTGCTCAGACTACAAGCTCGACTGCTGCTGCTGCTACTGTTGCTGTTGCCACAAGCGCATCCACTTCCACAAGTACAAGCACACCCATCGCTGTGCCAACCACGGTCTCCTCCAGCACCGAGGTATCGGAATTCCAGACAGCGACTGCTATCCAACAGGAATCCACTAGCTCGAGCCCAGCGCTTACCACTGCTCCCGCTAGCACCATCACTACAGCGCCTAGCAGTGCTAGCGACGCAGCTGCTGGTGGCTCAGTACAATCCTTATACGGTCAGTGTGGAGGTATAAACTGGACGGGTGCTACTGCATGCACCACCCAGGCTGTCTGCAGTTCGATGAATCCTTATTATTACCAGTGTGTCGCAAGTGCTGCCTAAATTGGGATAAATAGGGGTGTGCAACATTGAAAGGAAATTATGTTCTGGTCATTCAACTCAAGTAGCGCTGGTCGTCTTGAAAATTCAAGGGGTATCCCCGACGTTTTGACTTTCCTATCACTATACCTGAAATCGTTGATTAAACGGCGTCGCCCTGTACTGATCATCCCAAGAGTGCGACTATGATTGTGGCTCTTTTCTATCTGACGAATTGTGAGGACTTGTGGGTGTAAGCGGAAAACAGGGCTATTTCCAAAGCAGTTTAGCGTTTTCTTCGGAGTTCAAAATATTGCTGACGCGGATTTAAGAGCATTCTCCCTCCATATGTCCTGTGCAAAATGGACTCTCACGATTTGAGCCTTCCTCTGGGATATACAATCCACCACGGTTACCCCTCGGTTCCACAATACCGACATCTTCGATTATCGTCAGGGCTCTCTCCCAAAACTTCATCCCAAGCAGCGGCAGTCTCCACCGGGAGCTGGTACGGGTGTTATGTCACCTTCGATGGTGTCAACGGAGACCCACAGCCGATCGGAATGGGACGAGTGATTGGAGATGGTGGTTGGTATTTCCATATCGCGGATATGGCCGTACATCCTGAACACCAGAAAAAAGGCCTTGGGGATGTGATTCTGAAAACTTTACTTCGGGAGATTAGAAACCGGGCACCTACCGATGGCAAGCCTTACGTTTCATTGCTGGCCGATGAGGCTGGCCGAAGACTCTATCTCAAAAATGGATTTGTGGAATCGGCCCCCGAGGAAATGGGAATGGTTCTCGAATCATAAGTGACGAGAGCCTGTGCACGGGTGTTCATTGGTTTTCTACGCGTGGAGTCTTCAACTTGGGAATGAATTACAAGATATGCTTTTCATTAGGGGTGTTGATAAGGTAAACCACAGAGGATCCATAGCCAAATCCAAGTCTCTATCAGGGAAGCCAAAAAGACGGTCCCATTTGAACATATCATTCGGCCCTTAAAGTTGTCTCCGAATCGCTTCTTGATAGCGGTGCAGACTCCTCTACTGGAATAATGACAATGCGTGCCTTCAGAGCGGCTCGGTCACGGGCCCTTGGATCAGACTGTTCGAAGCCCTCCAGGTGCAGGTCCATGTCCTTCATATCCTCCAGCAGCTCATTTGGCAGATCGACACGAATCAAGAGTCCGCGAGGCTGGAAGAAGTTCTCGTTCCAGAACGAAATATGGTGAGCCAGACGCTCACCCTGTTCCCCTTCCATCGCAGAAATCAAATTGCGCTTCTCCTTTCGTCTTCGGATGTGACGTGCGACGAGGACTGCCGGGATAGCACCGAAGAAGCCGACCATCAAGCCGCCTATCGCGAGCGTTCCCAGACCCTTGCCGATGACGGTGGTCCACTGTTGTCGGGAGAGTTTTGCTTCATCACGGATGACTTGAGTGAATTGACTCCATTGCTTTTCTGAGATTCGGTGTTGCGACAATTCTTCCGGGTAATCAAATCCGGAGGAGCAGGTAGCGCTCCGTGAAGGGACTTGCAGGCCTCGTGTTAATGTAGAAGCAACGGCGAAGCCTGGTTCATCGGCTTGTTCGGGAAGAAGCAAATACTCCTTGGACTCGGAATGCATTGAATCATCGAATCCTTCCAAAGAGTTGTATGGTGGAAGACCATGAGCTTGATCTCGGCCCTGGCTTGACATCATTGAGGCACTTGGAGAGTGTATTGGTTGCACCGATGCTACTAGTAGCATTACCCGTTCGTGATGAAGGAGCGTAGAGTTTCTGTTTGTTGACTGGTTGTTGACTGATGATCTGAACATCTACCACCGGACATCTATACCTTATATACCTAGCTGGGAATAGGTTTGCCTGGAGGCTATCCAGGCTTCCATACTCGTCAAAATCTGACGGTGGCTGCTTGGATTCGCATAGAGCATGACCCGGGTGTCGTGGCAGTGTTGCCTAAGAGTCATCTTTGCTCACATTTGCGCATCTCAGTATTAAAGGTTCTATTCTAGACCCGGGTCAGCAGCGAGACGGGTGCTCAGGTTACAAAGACGACCTGCCTTAGTCGGGGCTCATTGACTCCTTAGCGCAGCCACGTTTGAGAGCCTGAGGTTGATTGGTATGAGACACGGTGCCTTGACCATCAGGATGAACTAAGTTGACTAATCGACCAATGGAATGTCACGAGAACTGACTCATGTGGCTTCATGAGTCAGAAGGGACCGTGCACCGGAGATAAACAACTCGCAAACACAGAAGCCTGATCAATCAGGAACAACCATGACGACTCGTTATCGTGTTGAATGTAAGAACCTTTCTGCTCTTGGCTGTGACTCTGCTGACCCGTGTAGATGCGCTTAAGGTATGAATTGTTCCATAGGTGGCTAGTTTGGTACTGACTCCGCAGACCCATCGTCGGGATCAACTGGTACGTGGCCCCTCTTTCGTCGATCTGTGATGACACTTCACTAACAGATACTTGTAGATAGAATGGATTAAAGTACGTCATGATGTATGTAGAGACATACAAATAGTACTAATCGTTCATAGGGCCTACTGGCTGTCCCCTTTGTGTTGCACTCCCAGCCCAATGTCGATTACCAGGAACACAGGGAGGGGCTGAAGACAGTCGCTGCCGACACCTATCAGCGCTATGCAGAGATTATGCGCGATGTCGAAAACTTGATCACCGATCACAGTGAGTGATCATTTAGGCAGCCTAATATTTTTTTTCCTGTGGCTGATTTATCGCAGTTCAACATCACGAACAGGGCGCCCTCGGCAAGTCCAAGCTGAAGCTACTGGTACCCTCGGTCGGAAATTTCTTTACTAGATTACACATTGAAGATGCCTTCAAGTATCAAGATGATCGACGATTCATCAGTCGGCGGAGATTTGTGGCGCCCTCGTTCAACGATATCCGGCTTATCTTGAACTCGGCCCAGTTATTGGGCTTGGTTCGCTCCAGCGAGGTTGAATTGGTCACTTTTGACGGAGATGTAACTCTCTACGATGACGGTGCCTGTTTGACTCCAGACAATCCGGTAATCCCTCGGATCCTTCGCCTCCTAGAACAGGGGCGCAAGGTCGGCATTGTGACAGCCGCAGGGTATGAAGAAGCCCCCAAGTATTACGGTCGCTTGTACGGCCTCTTGGATGCCGTGCACGCTTCCACCACCTTAACCCCGACCCAGAAACAAGGAATTATTGTAATGGGCGGCGAAAGCAACTTCCTATTCCGTTTCGACCAGGACTCCGAGGTTCGTCTCACCTATGTGCCTCGTGAGGAATGGTTGCTCGATGATATGCGGGCATGGGCGGAGAATGACATCAAAGAGCTTCTTGATCTTGCCGAGTCCGCACTTCGAGATTGTGCTGCGAACCTGAATCTCCCCGCTGGCGTCTTGCGCAAGGATCGTGCTGTGGGCGTCTATCCGGTGAATGGGGTTCGAATCAACCGAGAACAGTTGGAAGAGACTGTCCTTGTGGTTCAGAACACCGTGGAGAGGTCTACTGTTGGTTCGCGGCTGCCTTTCTGCGCCTTCAACGGTATTTTCCCTCCCCCGTTACCCAAATGAACTATTACTAACTCGGCCTAGGTGGCAATGATGTGTTCGTCGATATCGGTGATAAGTCGTGGGGTGTGCGTATTTGTCAACAGTACTTTGGCGGAATTGACCCTTCGAAGACCCTGCATATCGGTGATCAATTCTTGTCTGCTGGTGCGAATGATTTCAAGGTATGTACCTGTCATTGATTCATCAGAACCAACAAACTCACAAAAGATCACACCTTAGGCTCGCTTGGCGTCAACGACCGCTTGGATTGCAAGTCCTGCCGAAACGGTGGACCTTTTGGACGAGCTGGAAACTGCGGTGAACCCTTCGTGATTGTCATTTAATGCATACTACGTAGCAGATGTCACCGGTTATGCATCATGATCTTAATACGGAATTTGATTTTCTTTTTTTCCTTCTACTATTTTAATCATACTTTGATCTTACCAAATTCGATAGTAAATCCGTCAATGGCTGGCTCGAAGTCAAAAGAAAAAAAGAATTGACTTGGCTTTCTATTGGTGTAATGCTATGTTACAGGTCTTGTCTGTAAGGTTGTCGAGACAATTGAAGCCAGCGTTCCGAAATAGACACGCGAGAAGGTAAAGGCATAAGGCAGGACTATCACTCTCTAGTCTGAGTGACCCAGTTCATCAAGTCTGGGCGGTTTTGGCGTAGCATCATACAAACGTGAAGGGAGACGTCCACCGTTATCGCCAAAGTCGATTGCCAGGTATGTAGACACCATGTCTAGGCGGACAGTCTCGATCATAAGGAGATACCCCGACGTATCTGAGGTGACCGACAAGATCCTTTCACAAGCATTTAAGGGCTCATGTTCGGAGACGTAGAATAGTCTCTTCATGGGGAGTTGGGGATGGAAGGGATGGATTGGGGATCTGGAAAGGGTTGAGGCGTTAACATCTGGTACTGAAAAGGGGCGGAAAGTGGGACTCTTCGGGTGGTAGAAAGCCGATGGGGAATTAATGATAGAAGAATGGGTTGGACTTGGTGTAAATGTTCATTGGAAGGGGAAAACATTTTCCATGGTTACGTACTCTCGTAGCAAGACCAGGTCTCCTGGGAGCGGGAAGCAGCTCGGCCAGACAGGACGTTGACGACATCCTGCAGCTCCAGCCAGAATTCAGTCTTAGGGCGGCGACGAGCCCAGTCGGTCTCAGTCTCCTCTAATCCATCAGCTCCGCCCATTGGCGAGAACAGAACCTGGGAGCCCTTAACACCGATGACAGCGGCTGACAACGGATCCGCAGCAATAGCGTCGCGGCTCTTGCCTGCGTATGACTCGATATGTTGCATACACTTGATGGACATTCGCAGTGCACGAACACGGTCCATGGGAGATGGCTTGCCACCCTGCTGGAAATGGCCTGGAACAGCAGCGCGTGACTCGAAGCGACCCTTGGCCTCCTCCTTGAACATGTCAGCGACGAATTGGGTAGTGTAAGTGCTCGATGCGCATTCATTCCGAAGAATAATCTTGCCAGCACGGTTGGCGCCCTTGTCGCGAATGAAGTTGTCCCGCAGGAAGTCAATATCGCGTGAGAGCATCTTGATATCAATACCCTCCTCAGGGATGTAAACGGCCACTGCACCGACCGCTAGACCAGCAGTGGTCGCGATGTAACCAGACTTGCCTCCCTGGGTCTCAATGACGAAGACTCGCCGGCGAGATGACGAAGCGGACTGCCGAATGGCGTCACAGAAATCGATAAGAGTGTTCAGGCAGGTGTCGCTACCAAGGGAATACTCGGTACCAGGGACGTTATTGGAGATGGTAGCTGGCAACACGATGAGAGGAATCTTGAATGCATCGTATTTGTCACGAGCCTGGCGCAGTTGGCTGACCGCTGTGAAAGCCTCGAAACCACCAACCACAAAAACGGCATCGAACTTGTACAGCTCGAAGCACTTGGCGGTGCCTTCCATGTCCTCCGACGGAAGGCTACGGTTGGTTCCGATATCTGAACCTCCTTCGTTAACCCAGCTGTCAGACTCGAGCCATTTGACCTCCCGAACAGAGCTGATAGGTTTGTCGGCGTGATGACGGACGAGGCCGGGGAAACCGTTGTGAATCGCAAGCGGGGTGTGTCCCCGCGTCAGGCAGTAAGCCACGGCTCCTCGTGTAGCTTGGTTCATACCACCGGCGGGAGCACCGACGTGAATGATCGCAATGCGCATCCTCTATAAATGGGTTAATATAATGAACTCATAAGTCATTTAAACGTCAAAGGCGTACCTTGTTCTCGGGAAGAGACATCTTGGGGTGGTCTGGAGTTGATGTGTTCAAGTATGCATGGTAATATTCTTTGAATTCGGCGTCACGCTCATTCATGGCGGCATCGAAATCCTTCGCGTGTATTTTAGCTGTGACATCCTTAGTAGCTTGAACCGCATCCATCAGGGGAGTGCGCATAATTTTGTTCTCGCGGATGGTGATGACGGGTACGGGGGACTGGGGAGACATCTCCAAAACAGCCCGAACGGCCTCGACACCTTGCAGGGTTGAAAGCCAACGGTCATAGGCACATGCTGCACCACCTCGCTGAGTGTGGCCCAAAACTGTGGTTCGAGTATCCAAGCCCAGTCTTTCGGTCAAAATATCCTTGATTGTTGAGCTCGCAATCTTGTTGAGATGACGATCCTGCGCACCCTCGGCAACAATCACAATCGTGCGACGCTTGCCTCGCTCCTTGCGGTTCTGTAGTTTTATAAATGAGAATTTTGTAACAAGACCTTCATGCAGAGAAATAATATTAGAACATACCTTGGTAATGACAGCACACATTTCGTCTTCCCATCCATCCTTGGGGGGTTCTCGGGAATGAACAGCCAGTCTGCACCGGTGCTGATGGCGGACATCAGGGCAAGCCATCCACAGTGACGACCCATCACCTCAATCACGAATCCTCGCTGGTGAGAGAAAGCGGTATCAAAGACATCGTCGACTGCATCACAGATACGCGTCAAGGACGAGTAGCAGCCAATGGTGGCGTCAGTGCCGGACATGTCGTTGTCAATGGAGCCGACCAGACCGACAATGTTGAGAACCGTGTAAGGCGCGATCTGCTCCTGGGTCAATTCACCCGCTGCGACGAGGTCTGACAGCAAACCGGACCATTCCGCACGGAAAACGTCGGCACCCGTCAAGCTACCATCACCACCGCAGACCACCAGCGCGTCAATGCCGCGCAGAATCATGTTCTTCGCGGCCCGCAAGCGACCAGCACGCTCTCGGAAGGCCATGCATCGCGCGGAGCCGATCAAGGTACCACCGCGGGACAGCCAGCCACGAACATCCTCCCAGTGCAACTGACGGATCATGTTGCCACCGTTGACCAGACCCTCGTATCCTTCGAAAACAGCGTAGGCCTCGCAATCGCAGTGGATGGCCATGCGGACCACGGCCCGCACGGCGCCGTTCATACCGGGGGCATCACCTCCGGAGGTGAGTACACCGATGCGGCGCTTCTTGGGCGGTTGGACGGGGATTTTGGCGGGTTCCATGGCGAAGTGGGAATAGGTCGACCTGAGGAGGTCGAACACAAGACCAATGGAAAGATAATTGAAGGGTTAAATGAAAAGATGGATTCAATCGTAGAAGGGAGAAAATTATTGACTGATACGCGCCGGCAAAGATCAATTAATGCAGTGGAGGGGTTGCGCCCAAATCCGGTGAGACAAAGCAGAAGTGGGGGAATGTCGTCACTGACACGGATGATATCAACGAGTAACGTTAAACCGGCTAGTGTAGAAATCGTTTCGGCTGGAACATTGCAAAACAAGGAAGATAGGAGAAACGGGAAAGATTAGAGATGAGCGAGCATTCGCTTCTACTCTGATTTTCAATCAAGTTTATGGCTTTCAACGCTTTGATATTTGACGCGACTGCGACATGCAAATCGTGCAATCGTCGCGGCAGAAAATGCATGATTCGTAGGTCACCAATTCACCGCCTGTAGCTCTGTTTTGGGCTTAGTGCGGGGCACGGGCTCTGGTGGCTTATCACGTGTCTCTGTCCTACCTGGGATGTCAGGGCTTCACTCTAGGGCAGGTTCTTAACAGGTGATGGCATTTCTAATGCAAGGGCTATTGCCCCATTCCAATGTTCTCATATATGAGAACAATCATACAAGAAAAACAAAAAAAAGATGGACTCGCGGGGAATCGAACCCCGGACCACTCCCATGCTAAGGGAGTATTATACCACTAAACCACAAGCCCATGTTATGAAATAAGGCGCATCTTTTTGCAATATAACCTTATAGCTAATTCTATTAGTGTCTCTTATCTCAAAGAGGGATCATTAACCCATAGCCAGAAGGGTTCGAGGTTTATATCTAGGCGATTCTTTATAACCTTGGGGGAAGTCATTAGTTTACCCAAGCTGAGTTCTTAATTCACAGGTTCGTTTCGCATCTGAATGGCTTCTGACTTAGTAACTGTCTGCAATCTCGGTTTTTCCACACAATGTCGACGCCTTGCGATCACAAATATATATACATAGCAGTGGCATCAGTTATCCAGCAACTTCTTAGGTGCTAATGACAACACTCAAATAAGGATAGTCCTCCCTTACCTAAGCCAACTTGGAGATAGATGCAAAGGAACCATCCAGGGCCGTTAAAATAATCCACATATTCCTCAAAAGTCCACCGAGCTAGCTGAACTGGCGTGGACCTGGGATCTGCAGGTGGAGTCTGATTGTAGTGCTCAAAACATAGCGCCCGCCAAGTCTACCCTGAAATAGTAAGTCAAGGGGCCTTGTGGGGATAATGACCGGACCCCAGATCGTATCTACGGAATTTGAAGTTGTACTCAACAATTCAGGAAATCTTTTGACCGGAATAGGGGAGCACAGACCCCGAACGTTGATCACCTCGTGTCTACGGCCCCTGCACATGAAGATAAGCCCCGACGGTCATTAATCACCCCCACAATTCGGGACTGCAAGGTGGAGCGGCCCCTGTAGTTCCAGTCCGGGCCATGTGCTCGTTTGCCGCTCGTGATTTAGACTCCTATAGCGCCGACCACACTCAGCCACGCCGCCTAGCGTTCCAAGGTTTACCTTTTTGTTACTTGGCCGCCTGACTTCCTTTTTCTTTGAAGTTCTCCCTTTCAACTTTTCTAACCTATATTTCTCGGTCCCTACCCCCCTTTTTGTTTCGATTCTCGACAATATCTAAGATTGATTGCGTGACGTCGACAAATCGCATCGAGAACGGACCCACTAAAGAAGGGATCGTTGCCTAGCGCCCGTGAGCACGCACAGGCACGACACAATTAACGTGGAATCTCTCACCTCCCTTGAACTATATGTGTGTTGTTCTATATAGCTATTAGAAACTCACTCGGCCGTGTCGACTGCAAATTGCCCGCAATGGGTGCCCCAGCTCTTCTCGCGCGTATCTCAAAGCTACTGGTACTCTCTTACGTTCTTGACTGGGTGTTTATTATGTGCGCAGAATGTTCCGAATGCCCCCAAGTAACTCAAGGCGTTTCCATCTAACAAAGAATCCAGCGCCGTGGCATTGTTTGGCTATGCGTTTTATAAACAAACGCCAAACCAGCACCCCTTCTCGTTATCGGATCCAGGCATTTCATATCCCTACACAGAGCACGAGACCGTTACAACCTCGACCCTTATCCTCGTCTCAGTTCTTGCCCCTGCTGCCATAGTCCTCATTGGCGCCCTGGCAATTGTCCCCGGAACCGCTGCTCAAGCTGACACCAAACCATCCAAGTCTCAAACTCTGCGTCGCAAACTATGGGAGTGGAATGTCGGATGGATGGGACTGGGCGTAGCACTGGCTGGTGTATGGATGTCTACTCAGGGACTTAAAGTTCTGATCGGAAAACCGCGCCCTGATTTGCTAGCGCGTTGCAATCCAAACCTTGACGATATTGCGACCTATGCGGTTGGTGGACTTGGCGAGAAGTTATCAGGTGCCGCTACGCTGGTTTCATACAAAATTTGTCAAGACCAGTCTTCCCTCGTGGCAATTGACGGGTTTTCAAGCTTTCCGAGTGGTCATTCATCTTGTATGTTGCGACTTCAAACCCACAAGTGGAGTACGATCACTGATGTTCTATTATCTCAGTTTCTTTCTCCGGACTCGGCTATCTAACATTGTGGCTGTGCGCCAAATTCTCTGTTGGATTTCCCTACTTTCCATCCTATCCCGTCAAAGGAGTTGACTATAAAGAAGAAAACTCAGTTCGCACGCGCGGCGCGGCACCGCCTGTTCCGCTGATGGTCATCACTTTCGTCCCTACCGCCACTGCATTTTTCATCGCCGCATCTCGGTGGTTCAACTACCGACATCATGGATTCGACATTATATTTGGATCTCTCATGGGTATGGCTTTTGCCTGGATCGGTTTCAACATGTATCATCTCCCCATTCGGCAAGGGGCAGGCTGGGCTTGGGGACCGCGAGCTCGTCGGAGAGCGTTCATTCGTGGTATTGGCTTTCCAAGCTCCCTTGGCATCGATAGCTGGGCGTATAAACGCAGCGACTCCACCAATGAACAGTCCGAGAGAGACGTCGAAAATGGCAACTGCAACATCAATGGTCACGGCCACAGCGACATCAATGGCCATTCCAATGGTCATACTAACGAAAATGAGTCCTTGCCCATGCAGGCATGGCTTATGAGATCCCCCGTGTCCCCCTTGTCCGAAAGGCCTCAAGTGGTATGAGATGGTGTGAGATATTGATCAGGTGTAAATCCTTTTTGACAAAAATGCCGAGGGCTGCCATTAGCTTGCATATACTAACGAGATGTATGGTTGGTATATAACCTGACTTTCCTTGTACCTCGTTGATTTCATCTTGAAAATAATATTGTTATAGATCACGCATATTTCTGCCAAGCTTGTTAAATCCCGATTTCATTTCCACGGGCCCTACCAGACTACAGTGAAAACGGGTCAAAGTTACACCCAGACCAACTTCCCGACATCAAATTCCGTGTCTTTGGATTTCCGAGGTAGAGGATATCCCCGTTGGTTATTCAAAACCTTGATTTTCCTCTCTTTGAACTCCATTGTATAGTGTTTTCAGAGTAATAAGATTGTTTCCTGGACCATTTCCAGCGTTTGACTGCCGGATATCATTTCTCTTCCTTCCGTATTTCTCTCCATAGCATATGTCATAAAACTCTATGCTCTATGCTTCGCCTCTCCTTCCTCCCTTCCTACAAGTGTAAATGGCCGAATACCCAAACTTTAACATCTTGTTATTTCTCCGGCAAGATATTCGCAGGCAAAACCCCAAGGTTTATATATACATATTGTGGATTTGAGGTGCGCCAGAGAGATGGTGCCTGATGCGCTACAACGACGATAGATCTGGATCTTTTTGGCTATGAATTTATTATCTCTGTGGATTTATTGTACTTGGGCCCGTACCCAGATTGAATCGGAATTGTGAGCCGCATTATGTTCATCAATTACCAAATCTCGATCTTAGGAAGTCCTGAATTTTTCGATGCACAATTTCTCTCACTTCTGATTGGATATTAGGCCAGTGTACAGCCAGAAGCCGTCACAGTGGTATTCCGAATTTCGTATCGGCATTGATGGAGGAGGAACAGCCGCCCGTTTAGACAAGGTTGTTTCTCGATTTGTCTAGCTTTCTCAGGCCCCGAGACAGAAGAGTGTTCAAAGACTTCATGACTGCCGAGCACAAGAAGTACTATCTCGAAGCTGTTCGTTTGTTTCTGAAGGAAAGTAAGATATGTACTGTAATATTGTAAGCGCCCAATGTCGCCTGCTATGATGTGTTTGGACGAAGTGGGGACTTATAATGAGGTGAATTGCTGGCTTATTTCGAGATGGAGATCTGACAGAACATTAAATGATGCCTGTCATGATATCGGGGAGCTCTTGAGCAACAAGCGGATGGTCTGGAACATCATGACTAGCAAAAGAAGAGGAGCAATAGTGTGGGTCAAATCTACAGTATCAGGATAATTGTTGTTCAAATGATCTGACCCTTCATGCCTTCTCACTTCACTGGGCTGGACTACACTTCGCACCAGATGAAGTCTCAGCAGTTTTGGAATTGACTCTCATTTTTTCTTAATCTCGGCATTCGGGCTCCAAACCCGTAAATCCGTCCGCCGAAGTAGTGGGATTAATAATGCTCTATAACCAACATTGTGTTTCTTAGTCTTGTCCTAGATTTTGCGCCGGTATCTGTACAATCTAGCAATATTACCATAGTCTGCTAGGATAGCTCATTGGCACGGACATTAACTGGGTCAATATGAGCTGGCGAACTTGGCCCGGGGTTAAGCGGGGTTGGGCGATTACGTAGCTTCTGAAGAACGTGTAATCCCAGTTAACTTCCGAGGTATTTCCTGGCATCGTTCGCTTCTTTATGTTCAATATCAATTCTCAATTGATCTTTCCTTGGAATATTCTCACCCTCGAACAGTATCCACCCGCTCGCCAAGTTAGCTGAAGTCGAATTTGCAGTATGGCTTCGTATCTGGTCACCGGTGCATCTCGTGGTCTTGGCTTGGCATTGGTCTCCCGATTGGCTACCTTACCAGCAACAGAAGTGGGAAAGATAATTGCCACTGCACGCTCCGATAATTCGCATAAGCTAAAGGAGATTGTGAACGCTTCGCCAGGTCGAGTTGAATGGGTCAGATTAGATGTTACCGACCAGAAAAGTGCACTGGAAGCTGCCAGTGAGGTGGAAGGCAAGCTGCATGGCAGAGGACTTGACTATCTTATCAACAATGCCGGTCTGATGGATTACTCGCCGACCGGGGTGGAGGGAATGTGAGCAAATGGTACTATAAGCTATTGGACAATGGCTGACCGAACAACATAGGGACAATCTCAATGAAATCTTCCATACGAACGTGACTTCTGTGCATACCGTGACACAGGCATTCTTGCCTCTTTTACGCCAAGGGGGCAAGAAGACGATAGTAAACATGTGAGTCTGATGTTTCATTTGCCGGCAATATCAAAGACTAATATTAGCAGATCGAGTACTGTTGGAACTTTTGCCAAAGCGGGAGATTTTCGCGTTGCACCTACACCTGCCTATAAGGTGTCCAAGGCTGCACTGAACATGTTAACTGTCCAATATGCCCAGCAGTATGAGATAGAAGGCTTCACTGTCCTAGCTGTCAGCCCCGGTGTAAGTTGTAAAATGATTCCTTTAGTGATGCATGTTCAAGTCCGACTAACTTAGATAAGTGGTTGCGCACCGATCTCGGCTCATCTCGGGCGGATTTGCCCGTTGAAGTGGGTGCTGAAAAAGTCGTGGATATCGTGCAAAAGAGCAGTCCATCTCAAAACGGGAAGCTAATTAACATACATGTTCCGGGCTGGGAGAATGCGCCAGGACCCAACCAGTATCCTGGTGGAGAGGCCGCATGGTAGGTAACTTGAGACTAGGTCCACGGATGTACTATAGACTACGGATTATCGACCTTGAGACGAACAGTTGCTTATGAAAAATCTTATCAAAATTCCCTAAAATAAAGATAAAGTCTCGATACACCGGTTGATTACTGCCGTTGCGGATAAAGAAATGACTAAACCGTCATTTATCTAAAGCCGGATTAGAAAGATCGTAAATAGTTTAGGTGAGACTTACGTTGCGTCGCACGAGTGGCTGCCCTCCTGCTTAGGATCTTTGCATCCGTTAGGGCAGGCCTTGGGATGACCAACGATGCCAGGGTTCTTGCAATGGAAGAGGACATTCTCCAAGGGCTGATCTGCAACATCGGTTCCGTTGATAACGTCTTTCAGATCCGCCTCGGTGAAGCCTACAGAATTAGTAAAAGGCGAATACTACGAATCGGGAATGGCTTACCTTTGTCCTTGATCAGAACATCGGAGCAGTAATCGAAACTAGGAACGCACGTCTTGTCAGCCAGGCCAGTGGAGACCAAGGCAAAGACAGCGAGAATAACAGACGAGAATTTCATCTTGAATTAGGCAAAAGAGTCTACAGGGCCAACGGAAGCAATCCAGCGGGAAGAGTAGCTTTATAGCAAGAGTCCAGAATATGGAAAAAACAAGTCGTGCATTCCTATAGTCGCTAAAGCTTGCCTCGCACGTTCCTGGTGGAATGCAAACCGGTATGTGGTTACGACATAGTGCATACCGCACCATGGCTTTAAAACCTCAAAATAGCCAAAAAAATTTAGAAGTTGCTATTTTCAACAGAGAAGTGAAAGATAATATCACGCATGTGAGCATAAAAGAGCACATTAGAGATGAGGTTATATGCATGTTGTGTTAGGTCAGCAGTACCCCTGTCATCCCCTCTTTCCTGTAAACGTTCTTTTGAGCCCCTTTCCAATTCAGATTTGATAATGTTCGATCTCGCAAAAACCCAGACTAATTCCAAAAGTCCGCCCACACCACCACCACCAGAGATTCTGGGCTTGAAAATTTCCGACCATGTCTTAAAACTCAGAACAACCCCTCCGAGCCGCTTCTTCCAAGCACCGCACTCACCTGTGGACGTACATGATGCACCCACTGGATCATACTTCTGCTACGGCACTTTGACCGACCCCTGCATGGTTCGTGAGATTCTGGAACTGGAAACCGAGCCCAAGCTACGCCCGGCACGCATATCGGGCTATGAGTGTAAGTTATGGGGGCAATACCCCGCACTAGTGGAAGCTCCAGACTCTGCTGTGGTGGGCACAGTCTATAATGTCGGAACTATTGAAGACGGGGTGAAGCTTGCGATATACGAAACAAACAACTACCGCGCTAGTCCTTGTCGCATTCACTATACCGATGGAAAGGAGCCTACCGACGGACTCGGGTATACATTTATATTCCAAGGGAATAAGGAGGATTTGAGCGAAGGAGTTTTTGACCTGAGGATCTGGTTGAAAAGAATGGGACGACTGGGAGCACACAATGTATCTGCTGGACCTGCCTAATCAGGTTCAAGGGCGAAAAGTCCGTTATCATGATAAGATAGCGAACCCCGCACGACTTATATTCTCGCGACTATTGTTTTGCATTACTTTTGGGTTGTACTCACAACTTCACTATGGAGCCTAATAAAGATCTCGGTAAGTCTCCAGGTCCTGTGCTCAACCCAATTCTCGTCCGACGTACTGATATAACATAGTTGCAAAACTGGTGATGGCCGATCCAGGCTTACCCCGACCGAACCCAACCCAATCTTACTGGCAACAAGTCCCTCATGAATTAGCGAATGCCCAGTCCTCAAGCCTTCCTACCGAACGGGACTTCGCTATCATTGGGTCTGGTATCACCGGACTTGCCGTCGCCAAGTCTCTGCTAGAGCAACACCCAGCAGCAACAGTAACCGTCTTAGAAGCTCGAACCCTCTGCTCCGGCGCGACGGGGCGCAATGGAGGCCAGATGGCCGCCAACGTGGGTGAAGAATACATGCACCTTGCCGAGACCCATGGACCAGAGATGGCGGGAAAGATTGTATCATTTACCTTTCAAAATCTGCAGAGGATGCAAGAATTGATCAAGGAATATGGTGCCGTGGACGCGAGCGAAATGCAGCAACTTCAGAAGCTGCGATCCTTCTTGACTGAAGACACTTTTCGAAATTTCAAGTTGAGCATCGCGCGTTTGGAATCAGATCACCCTTCCTGGAAAGGCCTGTACACAATTCTTGACAAGGAAACTCTAATAAAGGTTCGTTGTCACAGCATTACACTAATATAGATTGATCTGACGTTCCCTTAGAAGTATGGAATCCACGGGGCTGAAGGAGGAGCATTGCTTCCAGCTGGGACCGTATGGCCCTATCGCCTAGTGACGAAAGTGTTCGCAGCTTTGATGAAGAAGTACCCAAATCGATTTACCATCGAGACGACTACGCCCGTCCAGGCAGTTCAGCACGAATCCAACTTCGTCACACCAGTAACATCCGTGTTTCCGTATATCGTCCGGACCCCTCGTGGCCCCCTCCGAGCCGGAAATGTAATTTATTGCACCAATGGCTATACGGGGCATCTCATCCCCAAGCTACGCGGCCGTGTTCACCCCTTTAAAGGCACAATGACGGTCCAAGACCCTGGAAACGCAATGCCAAATCAAGGAAAATCTTTCTCGTGGGGGTTCCACTACCCAGTCACATACGATCCTGCAACCAAAGAGTCCGGCCATGGGTTGTACTATCTGGGACAGAGTGCGAAGACCGGTTATTTCTATCTCGGAGGCGAGAATGCTCGGATAGAGCACGTTGTCTCAGCTGATGATGGTTTTGTGGATAAAAATTCTGTAACCCATCTGCAGTCCGTCCTCCCAAAGTTCTTTGGCAAAAGCGGCATGCCACCCTGGAAGGTTGTTAGCTCTTGGAGCGGGATCATGGGATTTTCATCTGATGGGCTGCCTCTGGTTGGACAACTCCCAACATCACTGACCGGTCGCAATGGCGAGGGAGAGTGGATTGCGGCCGCTTTCAATGGTTATGGAATGGCTAATTGTTTGATGAGTGGCGAGGCACTGGTGTCTCTGATACTTGGAAATGGCACTGGTGACTGGCTTCCAGACGCGTATGGACTCAGTGAGAAGCGATTGCGAGAGATTCTTACGGCACCTGAGTCGGTTAAGGCTTTGACCTCCAAGTTATGAGTAGTTAATTCATGTACAGGCATTGAGTTCCTTGCCTGGCAGTTGCTATGATAATTTGTGGCCGCTCCATACAATAAAACAGATGTATCCCTATTCGAGTTTCACTGCAGGAGCCTTGCCAGTCTAAGTTACTAGAAGCCTTTGATTTAGCTACTGATCTGATTTAAGTCAAGTTTTATGCAAGGGTATCTATTTCCTTTCCGGCGCCTTTTCAATGCTTTAAACACCAGAGAGAAAAAAATTTCTTGGGTGGCGCCCCACCCGTGATGATGCGCGCCCACCTTCTTTTTATACTTCCTCTGCCCCATAAAACTTTCGATGAGAAAGTATCAAAAGCAAAAAAGATGGACTCGCGGGGAATCGAACCCCGGACCACTCCCATGCTAAGGGAGTATTATACCACTAAACCACAAGCCCATTTGATATTGTGAGTGGGACCAAAGGTGGTTCAGGACGGCTGGTGGGTGGGTTCGGCCCGCTCAAACTCGGCTTCCGAGCCGGGTCAGTGCTTGCGTTCGGCATTGGCAAATTCCAGCATCGAGGGGCGTTTGTTAGGACTGCCGATGGAAGAGGATGGATTCCAGGTACGGGTCTCAGTACGGTGAGACTGCAGTTCGTGGATACCACGCCCAACGCCATCAATACTGCGCACAAGATAAGTGGAGAGAGAAAGCTCATGGCGGGAGAGGACCACCTTCATCTTCTTGTGAGTCTCAGGGCTACTTCCAGATAATAGCAATTCACCTAGATGAGGATAAATTGCGTCCCATGTCTTGGAAGTATCGTCGAAATTGTTCTTTGGCAACGATCGCTCATGGGACGAGATACTGGAGACCACATCTAACAGTAAGATGTGGGTGACGGCAGCCTCGACCTCAGCCCTCAATGCAAGGTGACCTGGAGACTTGACGTCGGAGAAAGTAGGGAAGTTGAGGCTCACATCGTAATGTGTGCTAAATGGTGGCGCAGATAGGTTTGTTCGAATTTTGACACTGAAGAAAGTATCAGGCGTAGAGAGGTTACCTCGAAGCACTGACTCAATTGGCATGAGGATCTTTTGAACGAGGGCCTCAAGTGGGGTTGCCGAGGATGATGAAGGGGGCGGCGGCCCGTTTGTAAATGTTTTGGTAGTCAAATCAGGGATGTCCAAACCAGAAGATCTTAGGACACCATAGATATCGCGAACGAATGACTCTAGTTGGCGGAGTTGCGCTAGATGCTGGAAATAAGCTAGGGCGGGACGAAGCAGGTGGTATTCCGGTGTAGTCCGCTTTTTTGAAGTCAATGGCGGCGGCATTTGCGTGCGACGGCGCAGATTTTGGCGATGAGCAAAGGCGAGCAGGATGCGCATCGAATGTGCTAAGCCGTCCGCAAAAATTTTATCGGTCGCCGTAGGATCCTCGTCTGCATCAAGAGTCTCATCATCGGCATCCACCAAATCCAATAGGATTTCGAGATCCTCAGAAGCGGGGACTTGAATGAGATTCTGACGAGTCGTCACACCGGAGCTTGCCATAGATCGGGCTTCTCGAACCAATTCGTGGAACAATTCTTCCTCAAAGACGGAGTCCCGCGCCTGGAGGATGCGATGCTCAATGGAGTCGGCATCATTGGAAGTAGAAGGGCATGGTCTTGTGCTGCTGGAGATGTGAGAGCCTTGCTTCACACGCACCCGCACAAAGCGAGCTCCGGAAGGAATCAGTCCTTTGTCGAGGACCAAGCTTCCATCCTCAGATCGACGTAAGGAAGCAAGGCCACGGTCGCGAAACACCGGTGTAGCTTCAATGAAGCCATACTGTACCCCGAGTGCCTGCCTCTCGCGTGGCAACCTGCAGACCTTCCAACCTTTGTCCTTAACCGCCAATACTTCATTCCAGTACCGAGTTTCCGATGCGACTTCCGTCTCCAGTCGTGCAGCCGCCTTCAACAGCTTGCTGGATGCCGAGTTGAAGTTCTGAATTCTCCAACCCCTGGAAACAGAAGAGATATCTCTCTTTACTGATTCGGATTTTGGAGGGGGGTTGACTACATCCGCATTCAAAGAACCGAGGGGCGCGATCTGTTTCAAGTACGGCGACATGGAGGTTTCGGCTTGGCGCGGGGCATTTTTCGATAGGAGGAGGGAGATGAAATCGAGGGCGAACATGGCTTCCATGTGAGATGCTCTAAATTGCCTGAATTAGCTTCAATTCGGCCCAGTGATCTATAAGGTCCACCAACACTGCGAACTGAGTGATATCGGCGCGCTTCTTGTAAAGTTGTTCGAGGCGCTCTGTGGTGTCGACATCGCCATCCCCTTGATCGCCGTCTTCTGAATCCTGTGTATTATCGCGATCCTTCTCTTCGGCAATCTTGGTTCGGAGGATCTCTTCGTTGACATCTCGAAATGAACCCCAGTGGCTGTTAATTTGAGAGATTTCGACAGGTAGGGTGTCAGGGTGGTCCTGCTTCTCCAGGATGGGACGAAGGGGGAGAGTGAATGAGTCGGACATGATGTAGTGAGTGCCACCCCACTGCACTCAGATACGACAATGAGATGGTTGAAGAACTGGGAGTGGGGACGTGAGCTACGGCTACAATCGACACTTTATCTCCGGGGAAGGACATCACGTGATATACGCAAGCCATGGTGGTTGGATTCCATCTTGGAATCGAAGTTGTAAGAAGTTGTAAACCCATTTCAAAGATGTCATCTATATGCCTAAGTAAATTTTGGTAAAGAATTTCTCATATCGATAGGCCAAGGGCTACCGTTTTTGTTAAATAGCTCCAGTTATGTTCCATTCACATGTGCATTATATACTTTATAAAACCACATCTGAATCTCAATCCGAATTCTGTCGAGTCTTGACAAAATCCACCAGATCGAAGAAGCTCTTCTTGTAATGTCGCTTCTGGGTGGTTCTATTCACCACCTGCATGCCAAACTGCTGAGAATAGTCCCCAAATTCCCAATTGTCAGCAAAACTCCAAGCCAAGGCACCAATGACTTCAACCCCGTCTTCATAGACCGATTTCAACACCTCGGACATAAAGGAGAGGTAATATTGGCTGCGAGGAGAATCAAACAGCTGATCTGGTAGGTCTTTGGTGGCCTCGCCGTACACAGGGAAACCGAATTCAGATACGATGATGGGGTGTTTCCATTTATTGTAAATATCGAAAAGGAACTCTCGGAGACTGGAACAGTTAGCGCAAAAGACTAGAGCTGGTGGAGTGCAACATACTAGGTAGGTGTGATGTACACATAGGACTCTGACCGGTATCCGATGTTCCATCCGTAGATGTTTGTGGTTTCTTGGTTAACACAATATGGAAACAGCCAATTGGAGCTAGAGGGATTGGAAGCACACGCATCAATTCCTTCACCGGCAGGAGATACCACTGTAGCAGTGTAAGCGTCAATGCCGAAGAAGTCGGCTGTCTTTTTTATATACGTCAGCTCCGTGTCATTGAGTCGCCTGGCGCCTGGGAGAGTCTTCAACACGGAATCCGGATATTGTTTCCCAAGGAAGATAGGATCAGCGAAGAATCCAAGTTGCATTTCCTGGAATCGATTGGCGGCTTGAACATGGCTGGCATTTTTTGGATCCTTGGGCACGCCGAAGTTATCATTGAATTTCAGACCCATTTTTCCGGTGCCTTTAAGTTCATCGTGGTAAAAGTGATAGACTTGGGAGTGGGCGTGGACAACATTGTCAACACCCTGGAAATTAAACGCATAGAGGAGTGGCTCGTTGAAGGTGACCCAGATTGGGACTCGGTCCGCAAAATGGGTTAGAAGGACCCTGCCATAATTCACGAAACTATGATCATCAGCAACGTTGCCAAAGTGTAAAGGTTGTTGACTTACGCATCGACAAAAGTTTCATTTTGATAGCCAGCATTGTTATACCCGATGTCCGGGTGTCTCGCTATGAGAGGTCAATAACGAAATTAGGAAGGCATCAGGAGGCTAGGGAGAACATACTTATGTTGTCGCTGGCGACAAACATCAATGGACTGTCAAAGTGAAGCATTGTCACAACGGGCTGCATGCCCGCATCGAGAACAGTCTTGATCACATCATTGTAATGATCAATGGCTTGCTGATTGACAGGGGTGCCGGGCAAGACAAAGGGCAAAATCCGTGTCCATGGAATGGTGAAACTATAGTATTCCACGCCCATGGCCGCCATTCTTTGGATGTCCTGCTTGTACAGGAAATAGTTTTCATTGGTGACGTAATCTCTTGGCTTATCGCCCGTGATGAGCTTCTCGAGTAGAGAAGGAGAGCGGCCATCGAGAGCGATTGCACCCTCAATTTGGGCAGCACTGCCAGCCACGCCAAAAACAAAATCGTCTGGAAAATCATAGCAATCGGTGGGGCCAAAGTAGTCAGCTGGTGGAAGGACAAGTTCGCTGGTTGGTATTGGGGTTGGGTGAACTGTAGTAGAAAGAAGACCCGTTGTGGTCTGCAAGTCATTAGCCAGTGCGCACTTATGATTGACCCCTGTTTTGACGAACATAATTCTGGAGATCAGCTTGTAACCACATTGATGACCAAGCTGCTTGCCCATAGGGATCGAAGGTATCGGTAGCACTGATCTCGGTCTGCCCAGGAAGCCAACTTCCCCAAGTTGACGTGGAAAAGCTTGTCTTAAGCAATTTGGCTGCTTTTGAATAGGCAGGAGCGAAGGTTCTCGTAGTTGTTGGTGAGGGGATTGATGTTGCATATCTCTCAAAATTTAGCGAGAAATGAGTTGAAGAGCAAATAGAGCCTACCTGATCGTCTCTTTGAGGGTGTATGAGAAGGGCTGAAAATGGAAACTTGGCGAAGCAAGCGTGCCAGTGCATTGAGGCCGAGCAGAGTTACCAGTCTTGGTGATATACACTTCTTGTGCCTCCGCCGCTACTGCGAGGGCAGCGACCCAGATGGTGAGGGATAGCATGTCTGCTCAATCAATGATATTCCTGAGAAGTGGCTAGAAGGAAGACAGCGGGCAGGATCGTTAAGTACTCAGGAACCCGATCTATGTCCACTACGCAATTCGGATAATTATCGGTAGAAGTGTGATAGACTTTTAGCCAAGGGGTGAAGCTTAATTGATTGGCGCGGATTATGCAGGCCATCGTTCCAACTTCCAAAAAGGGTCGATCTGCAATTGGAAGTGTTGAAAACGGAATGAGCATGGTTGCAATGTCCGGTCGTAGAGGAAGTCTCCACTCTCGTCCCCATATTTCCCCGCATCAATCAAGCCGAGGATGAACCTCCCATTAAGCACTTGAAATGATAAAAAATTAATCTGAATGAACGCCTTTGTAAATGTGACAATGAATGCCTAAATGAAACTAAGAGCTGACAGATCTCAATTTTGTACACAGTACGGAGCCAAACCCCGAAGCAGATCACAGCCTATTCTTCCCAATTGAAGTCAACCACAATGCGCCCCGCAACTTCCCCCCCGGTTTAGTTTATCCACAGCCTCAGGAAGCCGATTGATTGGATAAACCTCACTGATCTGCCGTAGCATGCCCCTTTTCGCAAAGTCCAATGCACAAGCAGTGTCCCGACGGCTTCCTACTAACGTGCCCTTGATACTCAGGTTCTTCAGAATAAACTCCATAGGATCAGCTCCAAGAACCATCGTTCCAGCTGCAGGGATCCCAATGCACATAACAATGGCCCCGATTCGACCCCCGATATACGACACAGCATCCTTGTATGCTGCCGGCGCAGTGACGAAAACACCATGGACACCAACACCATCGGCCACTTGAACCACCGCCGCCACGGGATCACCTGCTGTCTTGAAATCCACGAATGCCTCTGCTCCCATTCTCAGGGCTAACTCGCGTTTTTCATCACCTGTGTCTACAACGATAGGTCGCATGCCCATCGCTTTGGCCAATTGAACACCCTGTATACCCACCCCACCACCTCCACCAGGAAAGACCACCCACGAACCAGCTGGAAGGTGGGATTCCACCAGTGATTGATGCATGGTACTTGCACTACACATTATAGGTGCGGCAACTTCATCGGGGACCCCATCTGGGATCGGAGATGCGTATCGTGCTGGAGAGGTGATATACTGTTGATATGTTCCTGGAAGCGATGTGATCAATGTCCACAATCTATAAAAAGGCGCCCACACGGAAACACCTACCTGCAGTCATAAGGCCTGAATGAATACCTTTCTTGCAGTAAGTTTCCTTACCACCCCAGCACAGATCACACCCATGGCACGTATCCACCAGGGGCTTGACGCCGACCCTATCTCCAAGTTTGAAGTTCCTCACATTGGCTCCAGTCTTGACAACTATACCGGCACCCTCGTGACCAGGGGATCGGACACCATAATGTGACATTGGCGGGAAACCAATATCCCCCTTCATAAAATGAATATCTGATGTGCAGAGTCCCGTGAAATTAAGACGAATAAGAATCTCGTCAGGACCTATAAGGGTTTAGTACTTGCAACAGCACCACGACACCTCTACTTTCCCTTGAAATCATACCTGTCTCTGGAACTGGCACCATCTGTATCTCAATATGAAAATCTGGTCCCTCGTTGACCACGACACCTGCCTTGCAGTGTGTGGGAATATCGGAATTAGGTAGAACAGAGACCATGATCGTTGATATAAACGCAAATTGTGCAAAGATGAGATGCTTGAGTATCTAAACTCTATATTTGATGGAGTCATCTCTTATTATATAACTCCTCGGTTACGGCGTTACTTATTACCCGAACCATGCTTGCTCTTTAGTCACTTGACTTCCGCATCTGTCGATTATTGAGTTCGACAGTTGAGTTCGGCAGTAGCTACGTGCGAATTGGTGTAGATGAAGGAATTAATAAATTCACAAGGGTACTCGAGTGAGACAAATGACCGAAGAAGGCCCGAGGTAGTGCAAATATCAGTCCGGACAGGATGTTGACCCCTCTCCAAGCTGTCCTTCTGACTGTTGCTCCCAGTCTTGATTTGTCCTCAGCAAAGTTCCCCTCTTTTTGGTGGAGCAGATGTGGGGAAGAAATGGCTCCGCATATCCGTTGATACACCGGGGCAATATAGTGGCAGTTAATCTAACAGAGTCCAACCTGGAAAGCGATATCTTAAAGAAAACAAGAAGAATGATCATGATGCCCTGAAGCTGGGAATTGTATCCTGGTAGACGAGCAACAACTCCAAGGGTATCTGGCATATAGCCACGAATGATGTACCTTCATGGTGCAGTGGTGTAACACCGCTAGATACACATGCAGATCACTTTTCTTCCGTTGCTTTGCTGATGACTAGCCCCACCAGGACCCATGCTAATTTCAACTTGCATTTATCCGTATCTGACGTCCTTGGATCCTTCCGCAAACCAGTCATCATGAGCTAATCTTTCTTCTGTCGTCGCGAAATTGACAATGGTGCTTCTGGTCATAGAGTAAGCATGATAAGCGTCCATGCCATTCTCACTCCCGACTCCACTTGCCGCCTTGACACCTCCCCAGGGACTACTGGGATCATTGCGATGATGAGTATTCACCCACACAATACCTGCCTCAATTCGTTCCGAGACTCTGAATGCCTGCGAGAGGTCTTCTGTCCAAATCCCCGCACCAAGGCCGAACTCGGTGTCATTTGCTAGTGCAACCGCTTCGTCTTCGGTATCAAATCCCACAACAACAATCACTGGTCCAAATGCTTCTTGGCGCCATATTGGGGAAGTGACGATGTTATTTCCGGGTGAAGATGCAAGAATAGTTGGTTCATAGAAATATCCCTTTGAAAAATCAAACTCATCTAGTGGACTCTGACCGCTCATACGCTTAGCTCCCACGATGGCGACCGCAGACTCTGCCAAAGACGCATTCACTAGCCGTTCAACATTCTCCAGTTGCCTCTTGGATATCAGCGGCCCCATCATTGATTCAGAATTAGTAGGAGCTCCCATGCGCCTTGTAATGCCCTCAACTTTGACTTTGAGCTTTTGGACCACCTGATCCATAATCTGATTGGCCACAATGATCCTAGTGCTGGCAATGCACGTCTGGCCGCTGGCCATATAGCTTCCAAAAGCAATGCCATTCACAGCAGTGTCAATCTGGGCCTGTTCAAACACTATCAAGGGCGCCTTGCCACCCAACTCTGCTGTGTACTTGGACAAATTGCCACCAACGATAGACCCAATGGCCTTCCCAGCTGCAGTACCTCCAGTAATATCGACCTTCCGTACTAGGGGGTGTGAAACCAGAGCTTTCCCGGTAGTCACACCATAGCCAGGTAGGACACTCAGCACGCCGGCCGGTATGCCCGCGCGATGAAGGATCTTTGCCAGAAGTAGTGATGTTAGGGGAGTCAATTCACTAGGCTTGAGAACAACGCTGTTTCCAGCCGCAAGGGCTGGGACCAGCTTCTTGACTGCAATCAGAAGAGGATGATTGAATGGGGTAATCTGAACGACCACGCCCAACGGCACGCGATCGACAAAGTTGTGCAATTTCCCGGTTGTTGGAAGAACCGATCGCTCCTCGACACGAAGGAGAGAAGCATAATATTTGAACCATTTGACGAGGGATGGAACTTGCGCATTCATCTCACGAATTGCGCGACCTGTCTGCTTTACTTCAAGCGCGACGAGTTCTGGTAGGGATTCGGAGAGTAGTGCGGAACATTTCTCAAGAACATCTGCGCGCTCATGCCGGCTTGCGCGGGACCAGATGCCAGACTTGTATGCTGAATGAGCAGCTTTAACAGCGGTGTCGACATCTTTGACCGAGGCTGCGTGGCATCTGAGTGATGTTAGACTCATACCCAGAAAAAGCAATCCATCGACCTACTGAGCAAAGTGTTCCCCCTTAGCAGGATCTTCGATTGAAATCCTAAAGTTGTCAGCTCGGATGTTCTGTGCCCAGTAAAGCATGCACTTACCAAGCTTCCTCTCCTGGTTGTTCTTGACCAGCGAGCCACAGGAGACAAGGACTTTCCATAATGTATAGTGCGAATGAGTTAGGAGATGAGCCTTTATTGCAGTTAAAAGAGGTCCGTTAGCAATAATCCTAGGCCCCAGTAATATGATGCACAGACGATGAGGGAATAGCAGTTGGAGGGGATTCACGTGCTATTAAGAAGCGGGCAAGCGTCCGCTGCAGCCCCGCATTTGAGGCAATCTTCTGATTAGCTATCAATGATAACAGCGTTAGAGTTGTCTACAGATTATGCTTACCTTATTTCTTTATCTATGAACATAGTGACCTTATCGGGAATATTGAAATACCTAATGGAGCTTCCTAATCAATCACCACGGAATTAGTTCAACACCCTCACTACCCGCATTTAACCAGCGCAGTATCCAAGATCTAAGGAGTAATGTTATTGAGTACATACCCCGGTACCTACTTGCTTACGCTCCTTTATAGACTACACTGGAATTTAATGTGATTAAAGAGCGTTACCCACTAAGCCACCTTTTCTTACCTATGTCATGGCTCCAATGAAGCTTCATCTCGTATCATGACGTAAGCTAAACGAGATGATGCGATGTCCTTTGGTGCTTGACATAGCGTTTTTCCTGAATGAAGATTACTACATCATACTAGACATGGAAATGATGTGCTGTTCAAAAATAAATTCCATGGTGTTCAAGTGTTGAGGCCCTACCTCATTCAACATGACAATCCCGGGTCTGGACATGTTGCTTTAGTTCTAACTTATAGATCAACATTGACAAAAGATTTAAAAGTCAAAAAGAGATTGCATCTTCCTCTTAAGGTTCACCAAAACTGGGGAAATTTTAACTTTAGTCCGCCGATAGTTAATTAATACCAGCCCAGAATCTCTATTGCCAGAAATGGCAAAGTAGATTTTTGCTGGACCACGGTCACTCGGCCGATCGTAACTAACGCAGCCTCCACATCTGTGATATTTGATTCCTGTCGAAGATCCTACTCATCAATCTACTAAAGCCTTGGCTTAATTCGAAACATCGCAAAAATATACAACATTTGCCACTCAGATCAACCAGTCAGGTAGGCAATGAACCTCTTCAAGCGGCTAGCAGTATGGTCTGCAGCGCTATACGTGACCACTGCCCATGCAGAACCTCTCGTCTCAAGCCCAGGTGAACGAGCAGTTATTCCAGGATGGAGCATGCAATCTGCAACCTGGGCACAAATTGACATGTCCAGACTATCTCAATCTGGTGTTAATGTATCTTCATGGTGGAGAGTTGGAGGCCGCAGCACCGTGATGGCTGGCCTTCTCGAGAACGGTGTATACAATGAAACTGAACTATTTTTTTCGAACAACATGGAAAACTTGGCAGATCAAGCAATCTTCAAAGAGCCATGGATCTACCGAGAGGAGTTTAGTATCTACCCTTCCAATAATCAATACGTCACCTTGAAAACGCACGGAATTACATCCAAGGCAGATATCTATGTGAATGGTGCATTGATCGCAACAAGTGACCAACAACAAGGTTCGTATGGAGGACACCAGTATGACTTGACAAACCACCTTCGAGCCGGGTTCAACTGTCTTCTGATTGTTGCCTACCCGACGAACTATCTTCGCGATTTCGCCATAGGATTCCTCGACTGGAATCCTTACCCTGCCGACAATGGGACCGGCATTTGGCGCGATGTAGAGGTCATACAAACGGGCGCAGTATCAATGTCCCCACTGAGAGTTGTCACCGATTTTACCGAGGCTGGATCTAACGACAATGTACATGTTACGTTGAAAACAGAGATTTCGAACCACGCGCCTCACACCGTTCAAGTAGAAGTGAACGGCACAATAATAGGACCCATCTATGCAGACAATGCTGCGATCTGGGGAACATTTGAATTGCAGCCCGGTGAGGAAAGGACAATTTCCATCGAAGCTGCGCTCAGAAATCCACAAATATGGTGGCCGTCGGGCTGGGGAGAGCAGCCAATGTACATAGTTGAGGCCGACGCGATGATCAGAGAGGACGAATTGATACTTTCGGACTCTTCGGTGCAAACATTTGGTATTCGACATGTTTCATCTCAATTGAACGAGCACAACGACACGGCTTTCGCTGTGAACGGACATCCGTTCCAGGTGTTAGGTGCCGGATATAGTGCAGATATCTTTATGCGGTTTGACAAACAAACAATCTCAACCATCCTGCAGTACATGATCGATTTAGGACTGAACACTATCCGCCTAGAAGGGAAGCAAGAGCATCCTGAATTCTACGACCTCGCCGATCAAATGGGACTCATGGTTCTAGCCGGGTGGGAATGTTGCAACAAATGGGAGGCATGGGATGTACGTCTGTCTACTAACCCAGTGTCGTCCGAGTATGAGCTAACTTTTATCCCAGTACAATAACGATGCAGATGGTGTGAAATGGGGAGAATCTGACTATGACGTTGCACGCGCATCGATGCTTCACGAAGCAGAGATGATGCAGGCACATCCTTCCCTTCTCGGATTTCTAGTGGGCTCGGATTATTGGCCCAACGATCATGCAGCCGAATTATACATCGAAGCATTACATCAAATGGACTGGAACCTTCCGATAATTGCATCTGCCAGTAAAAGGGGCCATCCCCAAGCTCTGGGTCCATCAGGTATGAAAATGAGCGGACCATACGATTGGGTCCCCCCAATTTACTGGTATGGCGATGAAGAGGGAGCAGCCTTCGGATTCGGCTCCGAATTAGGCGCAGGAGTTGGAACCCCAGAATATGATAGCTTGCAAAGATTCATGTCAAAAAAGGATCTTGACACTCTCTGGAAAGAGCCACATATGGGCTCGTATCATATGTCTACAAATGTTTCTGCTTTCTATGGTCGTTCGATCTACAACAGGGGACTATTTGCTCGATACGGCATCCCGTACAGTATCGAGGACTACGTGAGGAAATGCCAGATGGCAGATTATGAAGCCACTCGTGCCCAGTTTGAGGCGTACTCGGCTCGTCAAAATGCTTCTAGGCCTGCAACCGGGGCAATCTACTGGATGTTGAATAGTGCATGGCCAAACCTACACTGGCAGCTTTTTGACTACTATCTTCAACCCATGGGTTCTTATTTTGGTACCAAAGTCGGGACACGGGTGGAACATATTGCTTATAATTACGAGGATGAAACTGTCTGGCTGATGAACCACTCCCTTGACAAGCAAGGAGAGCGAGAAATAACAATTGATCTAATCGATACAAAGGGAAAGGAAATCTCCAGTGCGATGGTCAAGACACGCACCACGCCCAGCTCCTCAAAGGAGCTTCAAATGGTCAAGGGAATTGACAAAATAAAGGATGTTGGATTTCTTCGACTCGTGCTTCGTGATGTTAAGGGTGAAAAAGACTTGAGTCGCAATGTATACTGGCTGTCTTCCAAGCCCGACGTCCTCGACTGGCCAGAGTCCACCTGGTTCTCCACTCCAGTCACAGAATATGCGGATTTCACGAAGCTGGAATCACTCACTCCAGCCGACATGAAGGTAACCATTAAGCCCCCAAAGAATGATCAGTCAGGCAGCGGATGGACCTCTTTAGAAGTTCAGCTTGAGAATGAATCGAAAATCCCCGCTGTGTTTATACACCTGGACATGTTGAGCCCGGTAGACGATACCAAATTGGCACCTTTTTACTGGTCTGATAACTATGTGACTCTATGGCCAAAAGAACATCTTGATCTAACGGTGTCCTATGAGGGCGAAATAGCAAATATCTCAAGTTGGCTGAAAGTCACGGGGCGTAACATCCGTTACAATGGGCCTGCAGACATAAGAGACTCTGATTAATGATTTGACGGGAGACAATAGCTATGGTGCGTGAGTGTAATCATTCGTTGAGACATTTGTTATTCCAGGTACATGCGTTGCTATATCACAATTTCAGTTGCTCGTTCCAAACCAATGCTACCAGCCCAAGTATATGCATAAATGTAATAGAAACAAGCAGTCAAAAATGCAGATGCGAGAAGAGATACATCAAAAGGCCATATCGCAGGTGAAATATTGACAGATTCAGGTACATATGGCCGTCTTCTGCAACAGGCCTAAGAACTGCGACATCTTCGACCCGGAATACTCAACGCCTAGAACAGCCGGACTCTTCGGATTCTCCGAGTAGAACATTTGGAGTCGTTGGACGGGTGTTTCACAAATTAGTGGCGCTTTGTGAAGTCCGGGGAAGGATATCAGCTGTGTAGCTGGGGTGCTGTTCCAAAGATAATACAAAGAGACTCTCTGCAGAGCCAGGAAATCATGACTGAGATCCTTAAGAACAGCAGCCCAGCTGTCATCTGGTGCTAACGAAACATGATACAAAGTGAGAGCCTGCATTGTCCCACGAAGGCCATCAATCAGCATGTGAAGATCCGGTGCTCTCACAGCCGTGCGGAACAAGGCTAGTTCTTGTAATTGGGAGAACGTGGCTGCCTCCGCTAGCTCATGCATAAACTCCGCAGCTAAATCATGGGACCCCAGATTCAATAGCAATGTTTTGAGGTTTGGGGCACTCAAGACCAACTCCAGAAGAAAGCCGAAATTATCAAGAGTGAGATACTGCTCCAGGGAGAGTTTCTGCAAATTAGACCACACTATTCGGAACTTCGGTTGCCGATACAAGAGTTTTGGCAACCGGCGCATATCCATCATCAATGTCCGAGATTGCTGATTGGCGTAGATCAAATGAAATGACGAGACTGGCAGACGAGAATCAACGACGAGAGCGAAAAATACAGCGACGGCATCGGTGATGGTCACGCGACTCATATCTGGATGACCTTCGGGATAGCGACAAAAGATAAAAAATGAACGACAATTTGTTAAGTGGTTAACCAAGTTATCTCGGAGGCGTTTGATTGCTTCCACCTCCATCGGCGCGGATAAAGGACCCCACGGGTGGCGATCCCACACCAAGCCACGACCCACTCCATTTTGAAGCATAAATGCTAAACCATGAACATAGGGTCGCAGCGCTTCATGATGGGAGAGGGCATCGATGCGACCGAGACTTTCTTCTGAGAGATCTGTCTTGATCGAAGAGAAACAGCGACGCGCGAACTGGTTGAAGGTTTTCTTCTGCAGGTCGCGACAGACGAGACGTAGTCTCATCAAGGTGTCGGCATCTACATAACGAGCGATAAGCTCGACGAGCTCGACTGCGAGGGATGGGAACAGGCAAGATTTGAGCATCATCTGGACATTATTTGAGGGATTTGACGAGTTGAAAAGGTGAGGTTAGAAAGGAAGTTCGCGAAAGTGGAGTATGTAGTTTCCCCGGATTCTCATGTCATGTTACCCCTCATTTCGCTGCGGAGAAGACCGGGTTAAGGTGGCATCGGATGAATGGATCTGATCTGGTGATAAGTAAATTGGTTTGATATCAGCTATAGTGTATACCTGATTGATAAACTAAAAAAAAAAGATTTAGAACTACTAGCTGGCTGGACCTGGATCTGAGGTTGAGCTAGAAAGCCCAGCATATGACGATCGTGATATTAAGGGTAAAGATAATGACATCAGTCATATGAATATGCACCGCAACAAAGCCCTACAACCTTATGTGTAACGTTTTACTGCTCCATCGCCGTTGCTAACTTCCGCCACATCGCACATCGTTGCACTTGCGCCTTAGGCACCTCTTCCATTGCAGTGGAGTTGGTTTGCAGTCTTAACCGCTCCCCAATTCCAGATCCCCAAGCCCACCACATAGGGGCATTTTCATTCCGAAATTTGTTTGGATTCAGTGCTTTGATAAAACTGATGTAGTAGTCCATGACAATGGGAACCATATCGGCGTTGGTGGTGGCAAAAGAGGCCGACGCTTCGTTGGTTTCACCAAGGCCAAAAACCGCCGGCATTTCGAATACATGTGGAACGCCCATTCCATCCGCAATCTCTGTTGGATCAAGAATATTACAGCGATAATTCCACACCTTATCCGACGAGACAAATCGTGCCATCGAGGCTGACATGTGGTTTCCCGGACAGGTGAATGTCGAGTCACCATACGCAGCGGCTGCAGAGGGGAAATAAGCCGCATGTTTGGGCAGGGCCTTCACTAACGGGTACTCCTTATTGATTCCTTTGAGCTGGTCTTCCGTGAGTCCGGGGTAGTTGTTCTTCATAAACTGCGACACTTCGGCGGAACTAGTCGCGTTGACCGCGAAGGCAGTTCCTTCATTGGTGTCATCCGAGACCATCACTGGAACATGAACCACTTTGCCCTGTTCGAAGAGGGTGTATAGAAGGTCAGGCACTAAATCGCCATCCACCACGGGAAGCCAGTACCACAGGGGTACAGGACTGCTGCTTCCACCTGGGAAAGGCTCATCCACATCATAGTCTTGGATCGTCTGAATATTAACAGTACGAAGACAAGCGAGTGTATCATTGGCATCGTCACACCCAGTATCTTTTACAAATCGCGTGTATTGGAATTCCATTTCCGCAACTGTTCGTTGTGTAGGCCAGAAATTTGACTCGGCAATGGCGCCAGCAAAAAGGTTCATGTCACGACCCTCATAAGCCGTGATATGATGCGCGACCGATCCTGCACCTGCCGAGTCGCCGTGAATAACCACATGGTCAGGATCCCCACCAAAGAGATGGATATTCTGCTGGACCCAAGACAGCAGTTTCCTCTGATCAAGCAACCCCACATTCAGATCCCCATTCTTGCGCACTTCCTCGCCAGCCAAAAATCCCAGTACACCAACCCGATAGTTGAAGTTGACCAAGACGATACCATGGCCTGATTGCTGTACGACTTCACTGCCGTTATAATTCGCGTTGGACAGATCCGCGTATCCACCCCCGGAGATAAACACCCACACGGGGAGATTTGCATTCGTAGACGCATTATTGGGCCTATAAATATTGACAAACAGACAGTCTTCTGCATATGCGGCGCTGGTTGTTTGACCAACGCCTATACAAACGGCACCAAACTGATTAAGGTTAGCAAAGTGCAGGGAAGCCAAGAATATTGCCAATCTTACCGATGATGCATCTAAAACCTCATTCGTAGATTCAGGGTCCTGTGGCGCTCGAAATCGCAATTCACCCACTGGTGCCTTGGCATATCTTATGCCGAGAAACTCGTCAACGCCGTTGTGCAAGGATATCCCCTGGTACTGCGAGTATCCGAGATCCACAATACCCGACCGGGGTAAAGACGAAGCCGATAGTAGATCGGGCGCTAGACCTGCAACCAATAAGACTATATAAAAATGCATCGCCAGAAGACGTGCCCGACGTAGCTGCCAATTTTTTCAGTGACGACATGCTTTCGCAATGGCTTTTAAACCCTCGGGACTGGAGTGGACCCGGGGTATCGTTTCCCGAATTGCGGGGGATCGACCGTGGAATGGTTGCATCGCTGCAATTCATCTATAGAAACTCATGATATTGGAGGAGAATGTGTTCAACTGGACGAGAGCGAGATCTCAATTCCACCAGTTAAACCCGTATATTCCTTTCTTCTCCACTGGATTCGTGGCTCATTCTGTACCTCCAGAAATGATCCGGATCTATTCATGCATAAAGCGGATGAATGTGGACCGAAAGATTGTCCCGCAAAGCAGGGTCTGTGTTATATCTGAAGTTATGTGTGCAGGTGATGAGGATTCGTACTGAAGCATAGTTCTTGATTCTGAAATAATCATGCTCAATCTCAAGCTTGATGGACTATAATACATAGGCGCTTGATCACACTAATATACATTATCCAGACCATTCTGGAAATTCAATCAATCACGTAAATCGTAACATCGTACAGTAGCCGTAAAATAGTCTAATAAACATGATGGTGACTTCCTCGACCATCAGTACCATGCATGCGACGAGTTCCAGCGGCCTTGAGACATAGTTAGCATCTTTGAAGCGACATTCTAAAGAGTAATGCTTACTTTGACACCCGGACGATGTGTAATACTGCCCTTCATCTTCAACATAGCGCCAGAGACCTTGTCACCAAAGGTAGGTTTACGCTTGTGGTGATGTTGCTGGGGCCCCAAATGACGCTTGTTGGTACGGTGAGAGATACCCGGGTTTGTAGCGGTTGTATGATGTTGGTGGGCCCCCAAATGGCGATTGTTGGTATGGTGAGTGGTACTCGGGTTTGTAGTAGTCGTAGTCTTCACAGTCTTGCTTTTAGCATTAGGACCCTTGAGCCGAGTCATCAACGTCGGCTTGGTAGTTCTCGTCGTAGTGGTAGTGCGACCGCGGTGGAACATGGTGACGGATAAGCAATGTTCAAAATAGTAGATAATATAGTTGTTTGGTTTTTCGGATAAAGAGTAATAAAAATCGATATTCTGCAAGGCAAACGAGCAGTTTTATGGCCAAAATTTCTGATCAGCCTGTCATAACATGCTGGATGTCTCATATCAAGAAGCAGGATATACAAGAATACTCACGTACGCCAAGAGCCATTTCGCCTTCTGGAATGCAGCTGCTTGGTGTTGAATGGAAAGATTAACGCGGGCACGTCATCTGTGAGAAGATCGGCACTGCACGACTCGGTGCAATAGGATGATATTCTTGTTGATCTATTTTATGTGTGGCGTGCCGCAGACTTCGTCATCCTATCAATAATGGAATGTGGCTTATGACCTGAAGATATGACGTCATCCACATGTGGACTGACGACCTACAGTTTAACTTTCACCGACTTCGACAATAATGAATCGTAATTTAATGGATCACTTGAAGGGAGGCTTATCATTGGAACTCTAAAGCTCACTGAAAGTGGAAGGCTTGAAGCCGTCATGAACACTGACCTCATCTTGACGCCGAATACCACCCAACGACAAACACTGCCACAAAGAGATAATGACGCTAGATGATAGGCCTCAAGACATAGACCGGTCGAGAGTCTATCGAATCAGACGCTCTTCTTCAGCCACTGAGTTTGCGAATTGCAGTAGCCCAAGAGACCAGTCAATCCCCACTCAACTCCCATGCCACTTTGCTTGTGACCGCCAAATGGAACATTGGGAAGCACATCAAAGTGCGAGTTGACCCAGACACTACCGGACTGCAACTGATCGGCAATGCGTGTGGCCCGCTCAAAGTCCTTGCACCAGACTGACGAACCGAGTCCGGTCTCTAGGGCATTCGCCTTCGCAATGACATCGTCCTCGTCTGACCACTTCATAACGGGTAAGATGGGAGCAAAAGGCTCTTCTTGGACGACCCGAGAGTTTTCAGGGGGGTTATCAATAATGGTTGGGTGGATAAAGTACCCAGCGGAGTCTTCAATGGAGCCTCCCAGTGCAGCCTTGAGGTTGTCGGTGGCGATCGTTTCGAAAAGTTCCTTAGCCTTGTCGAATTGCATCTTATTCTGCACCGGACCGACAAAGACATCTACGTCCGTACCATCGCCAACCTTCAGGTTCTTCACAAAGGCCACTAGTCTCTCCATGAATGCGTCATAGATCTTTTCGTGCACGTAGAGGCGTTTGATCATCATGCAAATCTGAGAACTGCACAGGTAGGACAGAATACCAATCTGAAAAATATTAATTGTGTTGTCAGAGAAATGAAGGTAGAGACACATACCTTGGGAATAACCGCATCAATGTCAACATCTTCACATACTATGGCAGGGTCATTTCCGCCCAGCTCCAAAGTCACTCGCTTAAGAGTTTTGGCACAGCTGGCCATGACTCGTTTACCGGTCAGGATTGAACCAGTGAAGGAGATCTTGTCAATACCAGAGTGCTCCGTGATCATTGGGCCCAGAGAGTCGTCGCCACTGAGACACTGTACCACACCAGGGGGGAAGAACTGGATAGCCAGCTCAGCTAGCTTAAGGCCACAATAAGGTGTGAAGGGAGAAGGCTTGATGATGACCGTGTTGCCAGCGTACACCGCCTGAGTAATCTTTCCAATCGCCAGAAGCACGGGGAAGTTCCAGGGCACAATGGCACCGACAACACCCATCGGGGTATAACGCTGAACAATCTTCCGATCTTCGGTCTCCTCAATGACATTCTGGGGAATTTCCAGCGCACTGATACCGCGAATCCACGTGCTAGCCATACCAACCTCGGCTGCAGCCTGGCTCAAAGGCTTTCCTTGCTCCATTGTGAGAGTCCTAGCAAATTCATCGGCAACGGCTTCAATGCCACTCGCATAGGCCTCCAATGCAGCCCGGCGTTCCGCAATGGATGTCTTGGACCATTTCTGGAAAGCATCAGTGGCAGCTTGGACTGCTCGGTCGAGATCCTCCTGAGTGGAGACTGGAACCTCAGGGTTGGGCTGTGAGTTCGCGGGATTGATGTTATGGCGGGTAGTGGGGGTGGAAGTCAACTCGTTGTTGATAACATTGCGGAAGCTCTGAATGGTCAGTTGGTAGAAGCATACCCCCGAACTCGAACACATACGGAAAAGTCCAGCGAGAAGGTCGTCATTTTGAAATTCGAACTCAAATTCGGTGATCAAGATAGGTGAGGGGATTGAGAGAGGAAGAATTTCCAAGATAAGTCAAACAACCGGTGTAATAGTGGGGGTAATGGGCTTGCTTGGCGAAGCTGAAGAAAGTGCCAAGTGACAGGAGGGTTTCAGCTCGCTAGAACACTCTGTCAGCAAGCCGTATGTGGATTAGACGCTATTTATATGCCTCACCAAGCAAGCTAGATCGATTTGTCTGCCGCATCTTCATCCCGAGTCCGGAGTCATCATAGCCGGATAAGCTCCAGAACCCATAGTTTAAAATGATCATAGCGACGTGATCTTGACCAATGAATTGAATGATTACGATAAACCTGCAGCTGCAGCCTTAGACCCCGCAAATCAATCAATGGTTCTAGGATCTTGGCTCGGCCAATTTTTGAGACAAACCGATCAAGATCATTGGTACTTCCCTGATTGTGTGGAACGATAGGCGGTGCGGGGAAGATTTGCGGGGATCCTTCTTCCATGCTGATATTTAGTCCAAAGTCAAATTCTCAAGGGGACTTTTCGGGTCCTAAGAACGGCATGCGACAGGAATCGGAATCCCTCATCGGCAACGCAGGTGAAATGGGAATGAATGTTAAAGCCCAAAGTCTTTGGTGGAGATACCACGTGATAGCGTCACCGCTACATCTGCACGCTAGACGTTTCAGGCGTCCATTTAAGCAACTAATCCCGCGCATGACGTGAGCAAGGGCGAGTGTCACATATAGATATGAACAATGGTACCAAGGTCACGCAAGAAAACTATCGCATATGGCATGAGAGTTTTCCCATCAAAAATACAACTATTTCCGAGCCAAGTACAGTAGCCCGAACTAGATCACATACCAGTGAAACCTCTAGGTAGATTCGCTATATAAGCGTCAATACACCACAGCCTGTATGCTAAGTACTCTGACCTAGTTCTAATTTACTCCACAGGCCAGCGGCCCTGCATCTTGCTAGATAGACCAGCACGCTCAACAACCTCTTGGCTGCGCTTCTTAGCTTCCGCTACAATCTCTTTCTCATTCATGGTGAGGAGCTCCCCATTCTGCACAAGTCGCTTACCGTCCACCACCACCAGATCCACATCACGGCCGGTCGCAGTGTAGACTACAGCGCTAGGCGCATTGAACCAGGGCTGTGTGTGGATGCCGCGCACATCAATTGCCACGAAATCAGCCTTCTTGCCCACTTCCAGGCTACCAATCTTGTCATCCAGCCCGAGAGCTTTAGCACCATTGATCGTGGCCATTTCCAGAACGGACTCAGCGGGAACAGCAGTTGGATCGTACGAGATGCTCTTGTGGATGATAGCTGCGAGTTTCATCTCTTGCAGCAGATCACAGGTATTGTTGCAAGGGGCACCATCGGTACCCAATCCAATGTTCACGCCAGCTAGTTGAAGATCGGGCACCCGGCAAATCCCCGACGCCAGTTTAGCATTGGAAGTGGGACAGTGAGCGACATGAGCTCCTGAGGCAGACAGCAATTTAATATCCGAGTCATCCAGATGAACCATATGCGCCAGGACGGTGCTCGGCCCCAAAAGTCCAACCGAGTTGCAGTACGACATTGGCGTGTGTGACACGGACGCAAAGAAATCGCGATCGGCCTTGACCTCAGCACAGTGCATGGTGATAGGAATACCCTTCTCGCGCGAGATAGAAGTCATCTCCTTGTAGAGCGCATCGGAGACCCTATAAATTGGTTAATGGTTTTAGTCGATATAAGTATTTGACCTACCCTCCAGGAGTTCTAGCGCCGAACCACACGCGAATACGATCATTCGCGGCCCCATTCCACTTCTCCCACATCTTCACACTTCCAAGTAGAGACATCTCGCGGTCTTCCACGAGACCGGGATGCATTGCCCAGGCGTCATCCTTGGCGTACTTCGCAATGTTCATCACGATCTTACCCAAGCAGCCTCTAATACCAGATTCCTCTACAGCACGGGCGAGTCCGTCAAAGCCATAGCGATCGGCAAACTGATTTGGTCAGAAAAAGCAATTCGCCTAGGATTGAATAACAGGCACTCACCATGCTCTCCAAGAAACAAGTGGTACCGCACTTGAGCATTTCACCGATGCTGAGCCTCGCAGCGGCATAGCCATCTGCCTCAGTGAAATTACCTTGAAGGACCCAGATTCTCTCGCATAGCCAGGACACAAGCTCCAGATCATCGGCTGTGCCCCGCAGGAGAGTCTGAGCCGTATGCATGTGGGTAGAAACTAACCCCGGAATGACAATGCGGCCGGTGAGATCATATTCCTCATCATCAGAGTATCGCTCTTTCAGAAGAGTACTTTTCCCAATGTCGGCAATGACATCGCCCGACACCCGGATAGCTCCGTCATTGATGATGCGGCGGTTGCCGTCGACGGTGATGATGGTTGCGTGGGTGTAGAGCATTGTGGGAATAGCAGATATTTCTGGGTAATGCTGGTTTAGTAAAAGGACAGAAGAATTAGAGGAGAAATTGACAGACATTTCTACTTTTGCATTGGTGACCTCCGCTTTCAAGTCATGGCCGGAGATCGCCGATACACGATAAGATATGGATTGAGTTTACACATCACAACTGTCATACGAGCATTATGGCGATCTCCGATGATTACAACAATTATCCATCATGGTTTGTCATTCAGTCGTGTGTATATTCAATATTGACTTAGTACACGTATCGAAAGTTAATGTTTTCCTGATCAGTCTTATCCTCGAACGCGTGGATCAGGTTTGGATCTGCTGCAGTGACGCCTGCAGCAGCGAGCATCTCATCCTTCTTTTTATTCTGACGAATCAGGTGGAAACGCAGGTAGATGACAGCTGCAGTCATGCAGGCGTAACAAGCAAGATGCACACTCCAAGCAATATGGTACCGCGGTGCGTCCCAATCCAGAAACACTTGAGGGCCTAAGACATATTAATATGGATGTATATGGCAGGGATGAATGCGAAAAAAACTTACCGATCGCGTTGCCAGCAGCCCACGAAATAAAAGTGGCAGCGACAACGGTCGCTTTCTTAGTCTGTCCTGCAATATTTCGAGACACCATAGAGAGACACAGTGTTTGAGCGGACCAGAAGGACAGGGTGATGTAGTAGCTGATCAACAGGCCGACTTTGGTGGACAGCGTAGTGTTTGCAACTGTCATCAACACGATAGTTCCAACATATGAACTGAAGACACATTAGCAAACAGTCAATCAAAAAGCGAGGATGAACATACGGGATGACGAATCCTAGCATGACGAGAAGGTTCTGGTTATACTTCTTGACCAACCAGGCTGATGTCAGTAGGATGACAATAATATAAAAGCCTAGGACCATGGCAAGGAGCTGACTCTGCAGAGTAGTAAAGTCGAAGCCAGTCATAATGATACCCGCAAATGCACCCAGACCACTGGTCGGGAGGGTTGTGAAGATCTGGATGGAGCAGTAGCACCAGGTTTGGGGATCACGGAGGGCTTCCCATACTTGATAGGAGCGGAACTCCTTGTTCTGAATACCAGTCTGGTTGGATCGCAGGCGCTCAATCATAAGATGCTTATCTTCTTCACTGAAGCATTTGGCACGCATGGGAGAGTCGGGCATGTACCAAATGACGAAGAGACCCCAGAACACAGACAGGACACCATATGAGAGAAACAATGCCTGCCAGGACTTGAGAACCTTGTCGCCTCCAATCAAGGTGAAGCAGTAGGCCAGTAGACCACCAACAATTTGCTGGGCACCATTCATCATGTACCTATGCGGAATTAGCCAGCGCCTCTCGAAAACGAACAAAGTCAAAATTACCAGTAAGTGACCGTGGCCGCCTGTTCCTCTCGTTTATACCACATGGACGATAGAACGACGAAAGTGGGCTGACAGCAAGCCTCGAAGATACCCAACAGGGTTCGCACGGTGACCAAGCCCGCGAAGTTGTGGCAGGCGGCATGCATCGCCAGGGTAGTACCCCAGAGACAGATATTGATTCCCAAATATTTCGCGATCGGAACTCGCTGAATGATCCAGTTTGTCGGGTATTCGACGGTAAGGACCGCAATGTAGATACAAGTTGTGAGCCATGAGTACTGTATCCATTAGCATTTAACCGACTCGCAAGCTGAAGGGCAATTCACAAACCTTTTGTCCTTTCTCCAGATGGGCATCTTGCTTGATTCCCATAATGGACGAAAAGGACATGGTGCCCTTATCCAGCGCCTGTAGGAAGTATGTGCAGATCATGATCACCAACACACGGCGATCAATCATGCGCTTCAAGCGTTTGTTGGTGGCCTCGTCAACCTCCACTTGCCCTCGAGAGGCATACATCTGAATCTCCTTATCCACCCGGGAAAAATCCATATCTTCCTTCTTCAGGTCATCGTCCGGCGACAGAACCCGCTCGACATGGGAGATATCCTGTTTGTTGAAATCGCCCATCTCAACTGCTGGGTGCGGTTCAACCGCTGGGTCGATTCCATCGCGGGAATGGGCCTCGTCTTGACCCATTGTGAGTAAGATAGTGGTTTTATAATGAAAATGTGGAGTTTGAGACTCCTTCACCAAGACAAAGCGCCCTTTTAACAAAACAGCCTTGACTCTCCCCAGGCCGTTCACCCATCACAGAAACGCCCCCTGGGCGCGCCAAGTCTTTCCTCCCATGGGCCAAGATCCATCATTTGCTTCGAAGATAGCTGGGAATCACCAAATTATACGACGCCCAAAGACTAATTTAACCGAAGGCCAATGGCCAGGGTCGGTGACCCTTATCCCCATGGTCTTGGCGCGGAGAAGCGTTCCACCCCCACTGTTTCTAGCATTAAACCCCCCACGAAAGAGGTCAAAGTCCGGGGAAGCAATCACCCGAAATATCCACTGCGGTAATAAAAGCGTGGGTCGGTCTCGCTTAGGGACCCATTTGGCCTTGGACTCGGGCGTTTTTCTCCCGAATTTGCCTTGGCTTGCGCGGGGGATTCATGAATGGCGGGGCAATGGCGTGGTTTCGGTGATCAACCGACCACCGACAGTACTTATTTCGGATCGGAGCTCACACTCCACGGCTGAAAAGGAAATCGCATAAAAGGATTGATTGTCTTGGCTGTCAGCACAGAATATCCAATCTACTTCAACTTTCCACACATTCCTGCCAAGTTTTCGCGATGGCCTCTACGCGTCCCCCTGCCCCCGAGGTTCACAGCGCCGTGAACCTCCTGATCGATAACCTCGTCAACATTAAAGATGAGACCGGAAAATTCCTCCTTCACCTCCCCGACGGACGCATCATCGATACAAAGTCCTGGCATGGTTGGGAGTGGACACACGGCATTGGCCTATACGGTGTATGGAAATACTACGAGTTGACCGGCGAAGCTAGACTCCTCCAGATCATCGAGGACTGGTTTGCTGCCCGATTCGCCGAGGGCGGTACAACCAAGAACATCAACACAATGGCCGTGTTCCTAACACTGGCGTACGTGTATGAGAAGACCGGCAACGTTACTTATTTGCCGTGGCTTGACGCGTGGGCCGAGTGGGCTATGCACGAGCTTCCCCGCACCCGCTACGGCGGTATGCAGCACGTCACATATATCACTGAGAACTACCAGCAGCTCTGGGATGATACTCTGATGATGACTGTGATGCCTCTCGCTAAGATCGGCAAACTCCTCAACCGTCCCGACTACATCGCTGAGGCGAAGAAGCAATTCCTGACTCACATTAAGTACCTATTCGACACAAAGACAGGTCTTTTCTTCCACGGGTGGACATTCGAGGACGGTGGTCACAACTTCGCGGATGCGCGCTGGGCGCGAGGAAACAGCTGGGTCACCATTGTGATTCCTGAGATCATTGAGCTGCTGGATTTGGAGCCTACTGACCCGATACGTTTACATCTGATTGAGACCTTAGAGGCGCAGTGCGAGGCACTTCAGCGCGTGCAGTCCGAGTCTGGCGGTTGGCATACTCTCTTGGACCACCCCGACTCCTACCTCGAGGCATCTGCCACTGCAGGCTTTGCCTATGGTATCCTGAAGGCAGTGCGCAAGCGCTATATTGGTGCACAGTACCGACCTGTGGCCGAGAAGGCGATTCAGTCTGTGATCAAGGATATCGATGATAAGGGCGAGCTTCAGAATACCAGCTTTGGCACCGGAATGGGTGACTGTCTGCAGTTCTACAAGGATATTCCCTTGACCTCCATGCCATACGGACAGGCAATGGGTATCATGGCACTGGGAGAGTACCTGCGCACCTATATCTAGGCTTTAGGTTGATGGATTCACGCTGTTATGTATTAATGTTAGAATTGTAGATAGATCTCGAAAAATAGAGCATTTGAGCCTCGCTCATATTTTGTGATTTCGTTCAAGTGGAAATTCATGACGCTAGTAATGCAAGAGAAGAGGTTTGAGATATTTTTGGCACGTAGACGTCCATCACCACCGAGGATCCACGGGTCTCAAGGCTGGAGACTCAGATTCCTTTGGCATGGCCTCAATGTGGATCCCACGTTTGCGCGCACTGTCATAGAGCGGCTGGCACTCTCGACGCGCATATTCAAGCAAATCCAGTGGCGCTTCTGTTTCCTTCCGACCCCATCCAGTCTTAACCTCTGGATAGTGCAGATCTAAGACGAAGGCGAGATGCTGTAGATGCGGAAGAAAATTACTGGACTCGAATGCCCGCAACCAGTCAGCCCAGTGCTCCGACTTAGTGAGCGAGGCTGGCCCACGCAAGCACAGGGTTGTCAAATTGGGAGGTAGGGCATTGTAAAGCGTTGGAAGGTACAGGGGGTCATCAAAGATCTCACCCACTGTCAGATTCAAGACCTTGAGATTGTCCAACCCTGGCAGAAGCTGACGAAAGGTTTCCTCCCCAACCAAACCAAAGTCAAGGCCAGCGGTGGATCGAAGTCGTAAAATATGAAGATTGTAGACCAAATGAGGAAGCGCTCCGTACATTCGACAGAGAGTATCTAGTGCGTCGTTCTCGAAGATCTCCAAGGATTGGAGGCTGATCGGTCCAACAGGTGGTTCATTTTCGGGATCCATCTTTCGCTCAGGATTGGAGTAGACCTTGCTCATGTGTTCACAAACCATCTGGGGGAGATAGGTGACCCGAATCTGACTATCTTTCCCAAGATATTCTACCTCTTTCTCCCCTCTGTCAATGGCTTCTCGGTGTGCTTTATGAAGCTCCTCGGACGTCGGGCCCTCGAATCGAAGGTTACACGTAAAGTTGAGCTTCAGGTGCTGAACCATCCCCTGGCGAATAAAGGGGCTTTGAATAAGATCCCCGCATGCAGAGCTTAATGCGAGCCTTCTCAGAGGCCAGTGAAGGGGAATTTTTTTGTCATTGAGTTGTTCATTGAACCCACTTTCCAATTCCAAATCTTTCACGTTATTGAAATGTGCCCCGAGTAAAGCCCATTCAGCGTCCGATGGGGTATCTTCATTGATGAGTAAATGTGTCACATTCTTCGAGATAGACTTTAATTGTTGTTGGAGATGTGATTCATAGTCGAGGTCATCAGTGTGGGGCCCCTTAACCATCACGACTGCCGGTGGGATGTGGGCCATTGTGGAGGCGGGGCGATTGAGCCCAGAACGCGGTAGAGATGTGGAGAACTGAAGACAAAAAGCCAAGCAAGTCCGCTGCTTTAAGCACAAATCTCTCCAAAGTGATCGAACCATGAGTGTGATGAAATGATTCGATGATGTCTTCAGGTTAAGCAAACAAAGCCGGAGAAATAACTGATCCGACTTGGAGCCTCACATCAGGTGACTGAGTCCGTGGCCATTGTAGTCATGAGTGACCACGAACCACTAAATGCCCATCACTTGAGAAGATTGAACACTCCCAAGATCAATCATAGTAGATTATACATTTTATCCAATCCATTGACGGGATATATACGTTAGATAAAGAGTAGGTACATGAGATGTCAGGAGGCAGTGACACTCTGACGAGAAAAGGAAAATAAGAAAAAGGAGAAAACACGCGTTGTTACTTACATACAGTAGCCCCTAAGAGCTACGAATCTAGGACATGATGTAGATCTCAGATCTCAACCATTCAGAGGCAACGCAATTTCCAGTCAATCGAGACAAATCAAGTCCTACACGTGCATGGCTGAATCTCGAACTGTTGATCTCCTGCCTAATATCTAAGGCGTATATTCATTCTAAGGAACTTGGCGGTAAATTAACATCGTCAAGTGACAATAAGTGGAGTAACTTTGAAATGTTGGGAATGCACTGCCATTTATTGACCGCTTGGCTCATAACAGAAAAAGGGGCGAGGCGACATCACGAGGCCCATGAAGATCACGATCATCCCTTACCTTAAGACTGGGTCCACCTGCATGCTCCGGCCCCTGCGTACAGAAGTGGAGACCTCATGAAAGTTGTGGGGTAGATTCTTGAAAGCTATGGAAGAAACGGCTTTCGATACTCGGATAACCTTCCTCCATCGCCACTTTAAATCTCTGAAACGTCACCTGAGCTACCATTTCCTCCGAAAATGGACGACTTACCCACTTCCCGGAATTGCCGCCGACTCCGCCGTACATGGATATCAATGTACTAAGGTCTGTGCACAGACATGGCTAGTCGGGAAATTCAGACTAAGGAATTATACCGGGCGTGGGGGCTGCACTGTTGCGGGGCTGGACGGATCGCTAGATATTCCGAGGCTGTGTCGCCTTGGTATAAGAGGGGGATCGGGACGAGCTCTATTCTCGCTTTCAGGCGTCGCATCCCTCTACCATCTCATACTCCCTTTCATTCTGAACGACTTCGTTTCAAACACACATTCTCCGATATGAAGTCCAAGGCCTTCTTCAGTGACCCGACAAGCATTGTCGATCACATGTGCAAGTCCCTGGCGCAGCAGAACCCCAGTCTTCGATATGATGCCAGCAACAAAGGTTAGTCTAAGCGACATATTCTAGAAAGCAAACTAGTTGACGCATTGTTATTCCGCAGTTTTATATCGCCCAACTAGCCATACCAGTACAAAAGTCAGCATCATCAGTGGCGGTGGTTCGGGTCATGAGCCCGCCCACGCAGGATATGTCGGCGAAGGCATGCTCGACGCAGCAGTCTGCGGAAAAGTGTTCGCTTCACCAAATTTTGATCAAATCATTTCTGCTTTTGATCGGGTTGCCACGCCGCGAGGTATACTCGTGATCGTCAAAAACTATACTGGCGATAAGCTTAATTTTGGCCTTGCTACCGAGACGTACCAAGCGCAGACAGGAGTCCCAACCCACATTGTGACTGTGGCGGATGATGTCTCTGTGCCTTATTCCCGAGGAAAGCTAGTTGGCCGTCGTGGCCTGGCTGGTGCGGTCCTGATTCACAAAGTCAGTGGTGCAGCTGCAGCTCGTGGCTTGGGTCTGGAGGAGGTTGCCAAGGTTGCCCAGCATGTCTCAGACAACATGGCCACAATTGGATGTTCATTGGACTATGCCAACCTTCCCGGTGGCGTTGACCTGCCTTCCATCCCAGAAAATACAATTGAGTTAGGAATGGGCATTCACAATGAGCCTGGAGCTCAGCGAATCTCTCCACAGCCCACTATTGAGAAGCTGGTGAGCCAAATGGTCAAGCTTCTCTTGAATGAGGATGATCCAGAACACGGATTCCTGAAGTTCCACGGAATTCCTCACAGAAAATCGGAGCTGGCTCTGATGGTAAATGACCTTGGTGGTCTGTCTGTGCTCGAACTACAGGCCATTGCAAATGTTGTACTGGAATGCATGAAAGAAGAGTACGACATTAAGCCCGTGCGGATATACGTCAACACATACTTAACAGCCTTGGATGCACCGGGATTCAGCATTACCATAGCCAACCTGACACCTCAACTGTTTTCGTCTGACATCAACCTACTATCCTTGCTAGATGCGCCAGTGAAATCAAACACTTGGGCCACCTGTCAGCCTTTGCCTGCTATCATCCCGGGAACGCAGACACCAGAACAGGAAGAACGGTCTCGCTCCCCCAAGATAAACCAGGAAATCCTGTGTATGTTCAGTCTCAACATCCAACCTGGAGATTTCCAAACGCTAATTTGACATTCTTTTCGTAGGCGACAAGCGTATCTTCACGGGGATTCTCGAAAATATCCTCGCCCAAGTGACAACGGACGAGCCAAACCTCACAGAATACGATACCTTAATGGGAGACGGCGACTGCGGCACCACGCTGCTAGCAGGAGCCACAGCCGCGCACGCTTTGATTGAACAAAACGACGAAAGCTTCACAAACCTTGTAAAGAGCCTAATGAAAGTAGCCTCATCGGTCCGTAGCGGGATGGGCGGAACATCAGGAGCTCTATACGGCATATTCCTGAACTCATTCGTCTCCGCGGTACAAAAGAATTACGGAGAGATCAAAGCCGTGAATATCCAACTCTTCGCCAAGAGCGCAACGCAGGCCCTGGAAACACTCAAGGGATACACCAACGCTCGGGAGAACAGCCGGACTCTGATGGACGCGTTGATTCCCTTTGTGAACGAGTTGTCGACCGCGGCCTTTACAGATAATGAGACTGCTGCGAAGGCACTGGAGAGAGGACTCAAGGCTGCTCAGGATGGAGCGGAGGCAACTAAGTGGATGCAGTCTTCATTTGGTCGATCGACCTATGTGGGTGCCAGTGCTGGAGATGAGAATCCTACCAAAGGTATTCCGGATCCAGGTGCATGTGGTATTGTGGCGATTATTACTGGCATTCAAAAGGTATTTCCGGTGTCTAATTAGTACCCAGATATCTGTCCACGGGTCTTTGGGGCTGTACAGGTTGTACTATTTCATTGAATTTTGGCATCTTACAATATTCCCCAATATTCAATTTGGTAATGATTAGAGCTACGTCGTATACCCACACCTGGCGAAAGGGAACCTTCCAAGATTGGAATTGGGAGAATAAGTACAAAGTCAGTCAATATTGGAGGTGGCAAAAGTCTACCTAGAACAACTCCAAGTACCATATTTGTGGATTTAATGCATGCAGCGATATTGTTCGGGAGATGAAGAAGATATGTACCGAGAGAGGGACTCAGATATGCCAAATATCAATACAGCACAGTCCCACTGTGGTAAATTTATGAAGTCGGAGAAGCCAATAAACACCCTTCTGCTAACCTAGATTGTACAGTCCCTGGTCCCAATGGATAAATTGAGTTTTCGGATCACCGTTTCAATGTGGCAAGACCGATGATGCAGGCACCAAAAATTAGAATCTCCGTGGAAATCTCGTGCCATAGGACGGGCTCAGAGGGGCAATTGCGGGCCTCATGAATTGGAGACAACTCGGATAGCTCGGGGATTGAAAATCAGTGGGGCCATTAGCCGATGGGACTCGGTACCCGATGATCATGAAGCTTGGATCAAGTGGCTAGCACCATGCTTTGATCGGTAATCTTGGGTCAGGGTCCATAGCCGAACTACAGTAGGGAATTGTGATTGTGATCAGGGGTGCATGAGGTGGCTGGTTCAAGAATAAAGTCTATTTGAGTGAGCCACGTCAGCCCTGTGTATGGAAAACAAATCATGACTCTAGAATGGAAACCCAAACACTTGCAGATTTTGGATCCAGAATTTCCACCCGAGATCCTGGGGGTCTATTCCGAATGCAATGCGGGGAGGACCATGAATACATTGCGAAACTACGCATTGAGGAGCAAGATGGCGAACAAATTTGGTGGGAATATTCGTACCGCCAGTCTGCCCCTATTTGCATGGCATTTCTCGCGTCAAAGATACCCTTGACGGGGCATGGAAGGAAGCGTCTTGCGGGGGGTTAGCGAAACGAGTGGAGCATGATTGCGAGCTGTGATTCGCTCGAAACAGCGCAAAGTCCCCACACGACAATTGGCCAAAGATCCGGGGCATACGACACTCGCAGCCCATCCATCCAATGATGGACAAGAATTGCAGAAATGCTCACGATCGTGCCATGGATATCTTTCACGATGATCATCGTCCACAGGAACCAGTCCGCACAGATCCCCTCAACCAGTCAAACAACTGAGAAAATCGATCTCTCGGAGACGTTGGTCCACGCACGGTCACTGTCAGCTTCTCCAATTCCCATCCCTGCAGGTACAAGCCATACACGAGGCAGATATGCAAGCCTTTGAATCCACTCTACCCCCAAGTCGGTAGACTCCGGTAACCCAAGTTCCCCGTACCATTGCGGAGAATTCCCCATCCAGGGTTCGTGGAGAGTGAAGTGTTGTCTCGTGGGAAACTCTCCTATATTAGATTGACTCCCAATGGACTTTCGCTCTCCATCCTCCTTTCCTATGGATAATCTGCTCTTCTGGCATTTCACTCTTTTCTGGAAGGGAGTATGGCTCACTCAGGTGCCAAGGCGGCCTTGGCGAGTAATGGCCGGGGTTTGGTGATTTTGACAGTCATCGAAGGCAGTGTCGCGCTATTCCTCTTAATAGCTCGCGTATATACGACTTGGCGCATCACTCGGCACATTCGGAGTGACCTATACCTGAGTCTGGTTACTTTTGTATGCCAATTCCTCCATCTTCATTGTCGCAAGCCATTCACTAACTAATAGCATAGATCATTGCCTTGATTGGATCGATATTTCTGGCTCTTGGTGTCAACTCCGGACTTGGCGCACATAAAGCCGATCTCACCGAAATCGAGATCACTCACGCGATCAAATGGAATTGGATCAACCAGTCACTCGGTATTCTCGCCACTGCGACCGGAAAATTGGCCATTGTCGCTTTTCTACAACAGATTCATGGTCCTGAAAGTCGGAAGAAAGTCATCTTCTTATGGAGTGTTGGTGTCAGTAATCTGGTGGTGAATTGTATCACCATCGTCCTGATTTGGACCCAATGTGACCCCAGTGCGAAATTATGGAACAATGCGCTACCAGGATCCTGTGATGGCAGAGTTCGAAACCAACAGGCCGCATATTTCCAGGGTAGTGAGTATATCAAGGTTATTGACGAAGAACAATGCTGACAAGATCATTATTTAGGTTATTCCGCAGTGTGCGATCTGATTCTAGCCTTATACCCAGTCATATTCTTCTGGAATGTCCGACTCAACCGGAGAGTCAAAATCGGCCTTTGCTGCCTGATGGGTCTTGGAGTTGCAGCATGTGTCTGTGCCATCGTCAAGACGACAACTTTACGGGTCCTCAACGAAACAGAAGATATAACTTGTACGTGGAATCTCTCAATGTCGTGGCATATATATTAACGAATGCTGACGAGTCTCAGATTACATGGCACAGTTAATCATACTGAACGAAACCGAAAAATGGGTCGTCTTGATCGTCGGCTGTATTCCTCCCATTCGACCTCTTCTCATGATCGTCTTCCATCGTATATTGAGCTCCGCCAAATCGACCATTGGCCAATCACATACAAACCAACTTGGCCGATCGACCGAGCTACAAACCTATTCCCACTCCAAGCCACAAGCACGACATATGACCTCGAACTTGGTTAGCGTGTTAGAAGGCAAAGACAGCGAGGAGAACCTTGCGGAGGAAGGTGGGATTATGAAAACGACCGAGGTGAGGCTGAGCTATGAGGCTGGTTCTTCTACTGGCACTACATCGACTCATCATGAACATGCCCCGGAGGACGCTCACCTACCCCTTGACAGGGTTTAATATGTATATCAGCTTAGATTAGATCTTCTTTTGTATATAAGTAGGGACCTCGGGAGGCTAGATACCAAGATTCAAACCTTGCTTTCATTAGAAGTTTCCCCCTTATCAGGCTTATCCATCGCTACATATGTTGCTCATCATCCACGGGTCCTTAATGCAACGGAAGTTTTCAATTTGGAGGTATATCTAATAATACAGCAATAGTGAATCAGCGACGATACTCTGAATCCTGTGATAAATCAAAAATAATATGTCCAAAAGCTATCTACTGCTTCGTCTTGCCCCGTGTGGACCGGCGGACAGGCTCCGCCTCAGGCTCTTCCTGTTCCTCCTTCGCCTCAACTTGTGAAACCTCCGAGTCAGTACTTTGCTCTTCTTCTGTCGGCGGAGTCATGTCTCCAGTATTCTCAACTTCCGGATGTGCTTGCGGATCCGCTTCAACACTGGAGCCTGGTCCCCAAGATCCCTCTGCAGCAGACCCTTGACGCAAGCTGGATAGCATCTGCGTAGTCTCACTTTCAACACCATTCCACGCTCCACAGCTTCCACACCGCCAGCGACCGAGCTCCTCTGGTGTCTTGATACCCGGGGGTGCTTGACCGTTGACGAGTCGGCAAGACGAACAAATCATGGCCATACGGTTACGCGGCTGCATTTCATCTTCGCCTAGCAGCACGTCCAAGAGACGATCGTACCAGTGCGGTTGTTCGATGTACTGACCCGAGCTGGGGAATGCATTGGGAGCAAACCCCGGCTCATCAATGGGTGTTTGTGGGATTGGAGAAGGGGCGCTAGGGATGGGCTGTTGCGGTTGTTGTTGGGGCATAGCCTGGTAGGAAGGGGGCACGATGTTTTCAGGGTTGTTAGGCTGTTGCATAGGAGGGCGGCGAATGTTCGCGGTGGGTGGAGGAGGAAGTCCGGTGCGCTGTGCGGGAGGTTGCGGGTTGGCCTGCTTGGGTTTGTGGGACTCGGCCTTAGGGTTGGGAGACTGCTTGGGAGACTCGCCGCCATACTTCTCCAGCAACTGCTGAGTGGAGTTGTATTTGGTAGCGACCTTGAGCTTCTCAATAGTCTCCTCGCGTTGTTTGTGTAGGTCGTCCAGACCGCGCTGGGCCTTCGAGATGCGGTAATCAAACAAACGAGCGCTGATTGTTCGGACTCCATAGATCCTGTTTGAGCTCCTGGATTAGTGACTGATCATGCTTAAGGGAAAGTGGCAAGGAGTTGTCCTACAGAATGGGACCGCCGGTAATGGCGGCATACTCCTTCACACCCCAGCTTTCCCATCCTAGCACAAGAGCAAGGACGATGGAGTAGAAGAGGTAGGCAAATGTGGAGTATAGGGTCCAAAGCGCCTTGAAACGGCGTGAGCTCTGGCGCTGTTGATCGAGGCGAGTGGTGGTCTGGGCGATCTTGGTGGACAGGGTCGATAGTGTTTTTTCGAAGGACGCAGCCGAGTTATCATCGCCCTAACGACAAAGTAAGTGACTGTTTTGGATACACAGTAAGACTGATCAAGCCAAGAATTCCGCTCACTTACCTTCCAGGGCCAAAAAGAAACCATGGTGAGTGACGACTCCAACTACTGAACATCAAGCGGGAGCTGACTTGACGTACGTTTGGTTTGTTTGTCGGTGCACGGACCACATCTAAATCCACATCGATTGGACTTCAATCTTGATTCTACAATGCTCTGATCTACCGATGTTACAGCATTGACATATTTCAAAAAATATTTTGAATATGATGCGCAGGTGCATTTCTTTCAGATTATGAGAGACTAACCTGCACGACCTCGGTCAAACATGACCCTCCGACTACCGAGAAGAATACAGATCCCTGGAAAATCGCTAATTCCATTCCCAAACGACCCTGATCGAATTTCTGGGTAAGAAAAGATCTATAATAGGTCTGGAATATAAAATTGCAACGCCACCGGCAATCGAGAATCGACATGTGCACGAACTCCTGTGGATTTCTTTGTTCCCTACGCCAAGCGCCACCCCGATCCTTGTCTGGCGCACCGATAGCCTTGCAATACAGGTCCCCAGTGGACCCGCTTCGCTTCGCTGCGCCAATCGACATGCTCAGGTTCTGTTGGTTTTATGATGAGAAACTCTTTCTTTGTACGAATATTTGCCCGTCTTGATAGTTTACAGATCATCAAAACACCGCAGTCTCGAAAGAAAATATGCCGCTGGAGGCAGTACCAAGCAACGAAGAAACATAACAGCTCATCTGGTCAGATGTGAAAAATTAATGACAGGTCTTGCTTTTTCATGATCCAGTATGCCGGGATGGCTTTCGATCTGTTCCCATCGTATTTGTACCCCCGGGCTGATGCTGGTGGGCCACTCAAATCTAAACAGATATTGATGAGAAATTACCAACAAAGAAGCTCTATCTGGCAGCTTGCATCCCTTTTGAACCGTCGGAATTCCCCCACTGCGCACTAATGGCAAGGCCTCGTACAACGGCTCATTCCATGACTCGCGATACGCCGGGCAAAGGACCGTTGATCGGGATCGCCGGTTTTCCAACTCTATCCCTTCTCCACATCTCATCTAATCAAGACTCCCTAATCGGGTAAAATAGAGCAATCGTTCTGGAAGATCTTGGACCCACAAGATATGCCGTGTCGTTGACGCCATCACTGCGTGTCAGGGGATCTTGAGGAATCTATAAGCCGGGTCTGACCCTACTCCCCTTTCCTGCCCTCTTTTAGTTTTTTTTCTAGTTTTTTTCCCCCACTCTATCCACCGAAGTCTTCCATGCTTACTTCTCTGTCATGGATACAGTCATGGACTGCCTCCCTGCGAGGATGAGCGAATTTCTCATGGAGAACTTTGTCATCGTTGAGGTTGTCGCTATGTTCTCAATAGGCGCATACAATGCCCTTGAAGTTGGCTTCTGTACATTCAACAACTTCACACACTACCGTGGCCTATACTTCTGGAGCATGCAAGTGGCGTCGTGGGGCATTCTGCTCCATGCAATTCCTGCCCAAATCCGCTACATGAGCGCCGCACCCAACCTGAATACATCTATCCCTTTCCTAATCGGCTGGTATGCCATGGTCACTGGACAAGCAGTAGTCTTATACTCCCGCCTCCATCTCGTCGTCACCAACATGAGCTGTCTTCGCTGGATTCTATGGATGATAATCGCCAACGTTTTCATGCTCCACGTCCCCATGACAGTCTTCTTCCTAGGCGTCGATTTCGGCGACACCCGCTTCACCCGTGGCGCATATGTCTTCGACCGAATCCAGGTAGTGGGATTTTGTATGCAAGATTTCATTATCTGCGGAGTGTACATCTACGAAGCACTCCGCGCCCTCCAACCCGTTATAGAGGCCCGCGGCCGCGAAGGCCGAAATGTCATCTTGCACCTTATATTAGTCAATCTCATCGTCATAGGCTTGAACATATTCCTCTTGGTCGCAGAATTCGATATGCATTGGCTTGAGGTCAGCTTCAAGACGGTGGTATACAGCATCAAATTGAAACTCGAATTATGCGTCCTTGATCGTCTACGCTCGTTAACTCGCACAACTTCTTGCATGTGCAACAACGGACCGGCTAGTGCACGTCGATCAAGCGATATCAATGTCTTCGACATGCTAGTGGTACGATCACGGGCTCGTCCTGATGTCGAGGCGCCGTCTCATCTCATCGATGTGGATTTTTCATCTCGTCGACCTTCCCTGCGCAATAGCACGTATGAGTTCCATCAGGCATTGCGCGAGACTGCGTCCATTGAGAATGTTATTCCGCCTGTTCATTCGTGTTGTAATCCGGTATCACCCACCGAGAAAACTTCTCGTCCGAGGGTTGGATCGGCAGAAACGGGGTCTACTGAGGAGATGGCTCTGGTGGAGTCGCTAAAGTAGGACCCAGTTGAATATATAAGATTTTTCTTTCGTTTCGACCGACCGGCTTCGAACTATCTGTACTGAAATTTCTTGTGTTTTATTATCTCTTGTCCTCGACGGTATACTTTCCTCAGTAGTATCTTGTAATTTCGGGGGGGGGGGGGGGGGGGGCATTGTCTTTCTAGCTATGTATATACCCTTCAGCGATAGAATTTCCTCAGTAGTACATCTTTGGTATTCTTCAAGAGTCTCATATGTTTACTTGTGTAATTCTATTTGAAAGATTTTTAAAGAGATGTTCGTTTTCGAGGATGCTTGATGAAAGTCTGTCGGTCTAATATGATACATAATTGAGGCAAAAAACCGCTGAAACCACTCATCTCCAAACCAACACAGCAGAAATGAGAAAAAAATAAAAATAAAAATTGGGGTATATTTTTGGTCCCAAATGAATCAAACGGCAAGAACACCACAAAGCTCCAGGCATCGAGCGTATACAGGCCTGGTAATGCAGCTTGCAAAACAGGTTGAAAAAGAAAAGAAAATCGTATATCCATGAAAATAATCCATATGGGTATTTCCGTATTTCATCATGCGAGTGGGTAAGAAATTGCAACAGAAGAGTGGAAAGGGGAAATATCAAAGATGAATCATGAGTGTATGAGGCTGACTGTGCCCTGGAAGTGTGGAATGCAGGTGGAAAATGCGATGTAAACGTAATGCACGAGAAAGCCGATTTTGTGGGTAGATTGAAAGTTCCATCGACTGTCAATCTATTTGGTAGATGTTCAGAGGAGGATTCATGACACATTGCCAAGTAAAAGACAATATGTGCCTAGAACCATCCGCCATTTTCCCATTGACCTGGTTGGTATGTGGCTTGTTTTCTGGCCTCGTTATCTGATATGCCGTTAAACAGCTCATTCAGTCGAGAAAAGCTGATGGGTTTCATGACCCAACCGTCGAAACCAGTATCAATATATTTCTGCCTTTCAGACTCTAAAAGAGAAGCCGAAACCGCGAAAATCGGAATGCGGGAATTGCTCCGGGCTGCACCCGGAAGCAACTCAGAGTCTGCCTTGGATTCAAAACTGCGAATCATCTGGGTGGAAGCATAACCATCTGCGATGGGCATCTGGATATCCATCAAGACGACATCAAAGCCGCCACTGTGGGTGGAAAATGCGGTGGCACAGGCTTCGCCGTTACCTGTGAGCTCAACAGTGTGCCCCAACTTGGTAAGACGTTTGTGTATGATTTTGCTATTGACTGGATCGTCTTCCGCGACAAGTACACGCAGAAGTTGTACATTGCCTGGGACAATTGACGTTGATGTATTGGATGATTCACCCACAGTTGAGATGGTCTCACATTGTTCCTCGCGCGGGGACATAGGAGGGAAGTAGGATTGTTCCTCCCTGCTCAAGGAGGACGGTTGCTTGGGCTTGCGCTCGGAAATTCGAACAGGCCCCATTGGCACACCCGAGTCGGTAATGTTTTCGGTGCCCGGTAGCGGCGGAGTCGATGTTGGCATTAAAGTCAGTGGCGGTGTGTGCGTCACGGTGGAAAGGCTAGCAAGGGGATCCTGTCCAATTGATGTCTGTCTAAGGTGTGAAGGTGGTGATCCCACTGACGCCGGCAGGTAGCCAGTGCTCTGAGGACTGGTGGAATACCTGAACTTGCTTAGATCAGAGCTCTCGCTCGGGGCACGTTGGATAAGAGGCGGCTCTTGCATGGCGCTAATGAGCCGATCCGCGTGGCTTCTCCCACTGCGAGAGCTGCCGCCAGAACGTAAACTCTCCGAACTTCGTCGCCGGGCTTCCCGCCTTTCGGAGCCAGCCCGGGGCAAAGTAAATTCCTGGTCCGAGATCATGGGCGTAGGAGGTACAGACACATGCGCAGGAAGACTGGTCTCCGTAGGTGTCTCGACTGAGGATCCATCTGGTAGACGGAACTGCAATTTCACCTTGAAGCGGCTGCCCTTGCCCTCCTCAGATTTGACTCCAAGCTGACCTCTCATACTGTACACGATCCTGGCGACAAGGGCAAGCCCTAAACCAAGAACTCGCTGCTGTTGAAGATCTTCCTCTATAACCTCTTTATTGTCGTCCTCTCCCTGATAGCTATCAACTGACACTTGTTCTAGCTCGGAGAAGAGTGCCTCGAGCTTCGTTTTTGACATCCCGGCGCCTGTGTCCACTACCATCATCTCCACTGCAACGTGATCAGTTGCGTCCTGCTTAGCAGACCGCCACATTTCCACAATCACTGCACCAGATGCAGTCTGTTGAATGGCATTGGAGATGATATTTGAAAAGACTTGGCGAATGCGCCGCTGATCCCCAAAAACCTTGGAAGGAATCCCAGGCTGAATGGACACGGAGAACGAGATGCTCTTGCGTTTGGCCTCTCCTGCGAGCATGTCAACGGCTTCTTGTAGAGTTAGTTTGAGGTCGAAGGCTTCATCTTTGATAAGTGCTTGACCCGTCTCGGTGTTTGTAAGATCAAGGAGATCATTGATAACGTAAATGAGGGACTTGGAGGCGGAGTGTGACTTGGTCAAGCTTTCACGAGTCTCCGCATCCAGAGCACCTTCTAATGCTATCTCTAGGTAATTAATGATAGCATTCAGAGGCGTACGAACCTCGTGGGCAGAGTTGGCGAGAAGTAGCCGGGTAAGCTGAGAATTTTGCATAGCAGCTTCCTTCTGTCGCCATACTTTGATAAATTTTCCATAGACAAGGCATAACACCGCGGCGGTCTCGACATCTGAATCAGACCATTCGCGTGACTGGCTCAAGACTGTCTCTCGCCACGCCGTAAAACTTTCACGAGGCTCTAAATACCCTGCCGTTTCTTTCCGCTTGGCAATTTCGTAGGGATTGCCAGCCCATTTGATTTCCGTGAGCTGCCCTTTGCGGAAAAAAACAATGAAATCACTGCCACCAGTAGACAGGGGTACATATAACAGTCCCGAGATCGCAGAGAGGCCAGGGGGGTAATGCAGATCAGGGAAGTCTTTGATGATATCATGTGAAGCAAGTACTGAGTTTATTTGACGCATGCGAATGAACTCCAGCAAAGCAAGAACCTCTTGTGAGTGCGAGTTATCACCGAGTATTTTTGTCTCGTCACGAATGGAGAGGGCACCGTAGTCTGCATCAAAGAGTTGCAAAAGATCATCTGAAGATGCGATAATGTAACCAGAAGGGTTGGCCTCGGTCGGGACGGTATTGATAAGCTTTCGTGCCTGAAGTCGAGAGGCATATGACAGGCGCTCGATGTTTCTTGAGACCGTATCTCCAAGTAAACGACACATCTTTCGGATGGGAAATGAAACGCGCATGCCGTTCGATCCGTAAGAGTGGCAGGAAATCAAACCCCAGAGATCATTGAAGGCGTTGACGCTGATGGACATAGACGAACGAACCTGCATGTGCGCTAGATATTTCACATGAACAGGAGACATGGCCCGTAAAAAGGCAAAGGTCATGTCAAGGGGAGTTTCGAGATCCTCTAACGTCCGGCACACAAGGCGAGACGTAGTGTGGTCCCGGTCGTACAGTAGACGGACCTTGTTGATCTTGTAGAGCTCACGTGCCTGGGCGGGAATGTCGGATGCAGGGAAATGCAGACCTTTGTAGAGATCAATAGTGGCTTTAGGATCGACAAGTTCAGCAACGACCAGACCATTCCAGCTGCTATCAAACTGATAAATGAGAACGCGGTGAAAGCCAGTAAGTTCCTTAACCAAACCAGTAGTCGTGTTGAGTAATTGATCTAAATCGTTCGCCCGACCCAATTGCTCTTGAATCTGAGTGAAAATGCTGAAGACATCCATCGCAGCAGCCTCGCCTCTTCGTCGTCGTGCGTTTCGGAGAACCCGGAGAGGCTGGCTGGTGTTGATGGTACTCGCAGCAAATTGCTCCGGAGTTGGGATTGTACCCATGGTGTCTGCAGGGGTTGCCGGAGTGGATTGTCCGTCAACATTTAATGGATTAATATCATCATCCTCCAGCTCCAGTTCGCAGATGATCAGGTCCTTCTGAGAGGGGCTAACGTGTGCTGCGCACCAAAAACGACGTCTTTCCCCCGATGGAGTTCGAATGACCAAGATAAAAACCTCGGGCCCATCCACGCTGGGATCGAAGGCATCATCACGCACAAAGTCGACATGATCAAGGAAGATGTCAGCCTGTTCTTCACTTAAGATATCGCAGAAGCTGTCTTTCTCGAAAAGTTGATTTGGCGTGTAGCCTAGCAACCGTTCCGAATTTTCGCTGACGACGCGTACCACGAGTTTATCCGGGGCCTCCTCACGGATGGCGATCATCACTCCGAAGCTTTGAATGGCGCCGGGAATTCGGATTGGTTCATCCTCGCAGTATTGGAATGATTTTTCATCCTTTCCCTTCACCACCGCATGGCCGCCGTCAGTCATGACGTGGGAGGATCGAGCCGTAACATGACCATATGGCTCATCCGATCGCATTACCTGCTGAGATCCCGGCAAGGCGGTAGTAGTGCTGCCCGAATGACTGTCGCTTTTTTCCTTTGCGTAATCTTCCGGATGTTGGTTCACGTGGGACGCCATGGAGTGCGTAGCTAGTTCGGTTGCATCGTCGGTGGCATGGGTTTCATGTCGAATCGTATCGGCCGGAATGGTTGGGCCTGTTTCCGAGTGGGGTTGCGACGATTGCGACTGGATTTTATTCCAAGTTTGGGTATCAATGATCGTGTACTGCATGGCGCCTTCACGAGTCGGTGAAACTGCGGCCCGCGCATGCGCTGCCTGGTCGGCAGCCTTCCGGTCCACAGATACCACTGATCGGATGGGGAAGACTCGGTCAACACTGTCAAATCCTGTACTAGGAACCTGTGAGCCATGCCCATGTGACACCGAATGCGACCGGTCTCTCCCTTCAACTCCATCGTGGACAGACTGCATCGATTCCGGCCGGGAATGGGTTGCGAGTGTTTCAGAGCGCTTCCGTGGTGTCCCTGGCCGGGAACTTGACTCGCTTGTCGACATTGTGCCTAGACTCGATCGATGTAGGGAGTGGGTGGGACCGCGGCCCGATTATAGGGCGAACTGGTAGTCGTAAACCGATCAAATGCGTGGGCTGTGTGCTTAACGATTGATCGGTACAAAAATCGTCGGAACTCTCAGTCCGAAGTCTCGGCGCGAAAAGTCCAAAAGGGAGGCCGGAGGCTTAAATCTTTTTATAACGAGTGTACGATCCGCACGAGGGTGTAGTCATCTAGGATCCACCGGGTGAACTGCAGTAGAAGTCGGGTGGATCCTTCCAGTTGGCATGAGGAAGTCCACGCCCACCAGGTGTGACGATCCTTGTAGTTGTACGAAGAAGAGACGATCGTAGATCTGGAGAAAATCCAAGGCGGAGTGACACTATGGAGGGGCAAGAAGTGGAGGGCGGTCAGTGCATTCTGTCGGTCTTTCTTCGTGGGGGCCCCGTGATTACATAATCCTGCTATACCCTAATAGGTCCTAGGTACGGATTCCTGCCCCGTTCACCGATTCTCCCATTACCCATGAACTGGGTCTGCCAAAGGACTGGGAAAATTTGCCCTGGAATCAACCCATAGTGGCTGAACTAGTATCCACCTCGGTACCGACTAAGGTGTGGCAAATCAAGCAGGGCTTCCCGCTGTCGAATCAGAATCATCGACCTTGTCAAGTGGGGCCCATGGCCATCATTATGATTCGATGGCACAGATTGCCCTTAAGCCATCTTCGATGACATCATATCAGCGATGTTTTGAACAGATCTTTCAAGGTACCATGCACGATGACACTATCGAGTCACTTACTGTGGGTCCGTATCCGTCTTGATGCCCTAGGAATTCATTGATGTGGCTTGAATCGTCAAATGGTCGGCCGAGTACTCGGCGTTTCAGATCAAATCGATCCACTCACAATAATTCAGTGGATTCGCCACGCATCGAAGAGCATCGCAGGGAAAAGAATATAGATACTCCACGTCATATCCTGTGACATTCATGTTTAAGTGATGTTATTTGTCCAAGGAGGCCGAACTTCGGTGAACTCCTCTGATGTGGTCACCGCTATGTCGATAAGGTATGCGTACAGATGTCCCTTGTTTTGAATATTCGATCATTGTTTTTACTATGTTCTATTTGAGGCAGGCCTTTCACGATAAGACCTCGGGACTATTAATAGAACACAGTATACAAGTATCGATTGCTTAGAGTATGTATATCTGATTGACTTGACCCTCACTATGGAACAGAGGTATCTCACAAACCCAAGAATGAATACTACGTAAACCTTGGGTACTCCCTGCCATACCTCTGAGATAAATTCCATCTGCCAGCAGCCATCTTATCTCCCAAGGCTCTCAGTTGTCAATTCGGCTTTCCTCGTTGAAATAACCATACAGTAACTCATCGTCATTGTCACCAATTTCGGCCAAAGTGTCATCATTCAGAATATTATAATCTCCGAAGATCGACCCCCGTCGTACGAAATTCTATTGATCGTACTAACCGGTATTTGAGTACTTGTGTCAAGGGAATAACAGAAATGTTATCAAAAGACGCATCGAAAGGGATATATGCAGGGATTTCAGCAGGCCTGTTATCCGGTTGATTTTGCCTAGCAGGTCCACGATACATTGGGCAGCTATTGCCTACTCGGAACCATGAGCTAGTACACTCAGCACAGAACCAATATGCACACGGCAAGAATAATCTCACCATTCAAGGAAGCCCGAACAAACAACACAATTGGTATCTTCGACTACCTGTGTCTCCCCTACCGTCTGACAAGGAAATGAACCAATGTTATTCAGGGCTCTCTCATCGCCGGCTTGAGACCGAATGCTTCTGCCGAGAATATTAGTCGCTTTAAACGAGCGATATTGGATGTCACATTTGTGCATCTTCGCACAATGCCTGTGAACCGCTATATCCGAGGTAAAAACTAGTTTCCTCTATGATTGTTTCCGCTATCGAAGAGATTAAAAGGCTCTAAGGAAATGGTGGCGTCCGAATTGAGAGAGGTATATCAACCTCTCTGTCGCTACTCAAGGTGATACTATGTTGATCAGGCTCTTATAAAGCGTATGAAGAATGTAGAAGATGGATGGATCTGGGTGTTGTAGACATGATATGGCCCTTAATGTCCTCCTCCTCCAGCTAGTCATGATATTTGTCAAATTCAGTGACTCAGGGCACTGTTTCAATAGAAAGGATACCCGTTGTGTTACTTATGAAAGGACTCACTTTTATTGACATCTTATCCTATAAGAGCATAGTAACAGCGCAAAGACTGCTAAGATCGAAGTTTTAATAGAAAGGTATCAGAAGGAATATCTTGAAACACAATCAGCGTGCAATAAAGGTAGTACTGTGAGACAACAACAAAGGAAAGACTTCGATTTTGCAACGTGCTCTTGTAGTGCTCAGCGTAGCTCTGCTATTACTATGGACTACTCAGTAAAGAAGGATGGGAAAGGAATGCTACAGCGAACAGAAAGAAGGATTCAGGAGTGCAGCCTGTAAAACTTTCAAGCAAGTCAACTCCTGATAGGCACTCATTGTGACCTATAAAACAGACCTTGGACGCTTTTCAGAGCAAGTATCGGAAGCTGTCAATCTCCCTATCCGTTTTACTTGACAATTCATCCTGCAATTCTGCTCCAACTGTCACTTGCTCAAGGGAGCCATACAAACTGTCACGGCGGCGGTTCTCCCAAGTGTAATAGACATACAAAAGAATCAGGAAAAATATGCTCAAAACCAGACCTGACATAGCTGCTTTGATACCAGTCTACATCCGTCAGTTCGATCATGCTAAAAGAAGAGTGATAAACTCACTGGGTAAGAAGGTTCCTCCGATGCGAGGAAAAACTGGGGCCCAACCATATTGCCCACGCAATATGCAATAAACAAAAGAGCGCTAGATACACTCTTCTTCGAGAATCCCGCGATATTAGATGTAATCACACTGAATGAAATAGGAAGGTTAATGGCATAGACGACAGCCAGGGTCAAGCCGACCATCCGCCCGACCTGTTCTGAAGGGTCTAGCTTCCAGATCAAGAGTAAACCAATCACTGAGACGATTGTATTCAGTACCATGGCAATAATCCGGGCCGAAGGAATGAATGTACAAGCTAGGGATGTCAGGATGAGAAACACAATCTCAGCTGCGCCCTGGGGCATTTGCATGAGAAGAGCCATGAGGTCTGTGAAACCGAATCCCGCAGTGATAATCGAAGTAAACTGTATGGCTATCAGCATTTTTCAGTACACCTAAAGCAGAGAGCTGACCGTAGTGATCCCCCCATTGCACAAGTTTGAGGCGAAGGAGTTCAAGACTAGCAGCCAGACCTGAGGATCTGTGAACGCATCTCGTGCTTGCGACCACTTGAACTTCCCATTATCTAGGACACCAGTCTTATTCTTCAAGGTTCGCTGAACTGCAATTGCCCGTTCATTTGGCTTGAGAAAAACAGCATTGATTGGAGAGTCCGGGAGTAAGAAGGATAGAATGACACCATAGGCCGAGGTGATGGCGCCCAGAATCAAAAACATGAGCTTCCAGTGCGCAATAGACGCATTTATATGGCCTATTCCGTAAGCGATCAATGGACCGATAAGGACTGCGATGCAGTTGCCAAAGAACCAGGCAGATTGGCTAGTCTGTCAGTTGTGTCCATTTCAAAACAGCAGGCATAAACATACCGCACAGGCTGTTCCGCTCGAGTATAGAACATGCCGGTGAGCAATGTGAATCCCGGTGCGACAGCAGCTTCACCAACACCAAGAAAGAATCGAGCAACCATCAAGCCAGCAAAGCTAGTGCATGCAGCATGGCACATTAAAACACCACCCCAGAGAAAGCTGTCTAGTTAGCTAATGCTTCCGTTGCAAGAAATGATATGGAGGCAGACCTACACAACAAGAGACAAGTATTTCCCAATAGGCATACGAACAATCACATACGAGCTTGGCCAGCTCCAAAAGAAGTATCCAAAGTAAAAGATCGCCGATGTCCACGAATATTGCGAGCCATGGAGGTTCTATTCCGATCAGTTTTAGAGCACATGAGATTGGGGGGACGTTCTACCAGATCCTGACGGAGATTGAACAACGTCGCCTGGCTCAGAGCCAACTTGTCTAGAAATTGCAAGAAATAAGCGGTCCCCATCAATGGAATTAATCTAACAGACACTTAGCATTGAAGCGACATACAACGGCAGACAAACTCACATCATGTCCAGTTTTCGCAATACTTTCTTTTCCTCTTCTGGTGTAGATTGCATAGAGAGTATCTGACCAATATCAAATTCATGCCCGGATGGGTCGACATAGTGCTTGAGATCATGTTCATCCGCCATGATGATCGAAACGTTAAGACCAAGTCAACGAGTCCCTGTCCCCAGCAATGGAAAGAGAAATATGCAAGCCCAACTTGAGTGCCAAAAGTGTCATTTAACCAGAATTCTCATAACTCATACGAGGAGATAGCCGACCAGCCCACTACAAATGGTAAAATCGGTGTCAACTTCCCAAGCACGCCCGGACCTCTAAGATATCGCTTGAACCTACCAATACAGAGGCCCGGGCTTGTTCCGCGGTGGATCCCGCCATTTCACGGAGTTGGAAGCTTATAAACACAACCAATAGCAATATCCCTTTTGGGACTATAAGGTAATGAATTCATCTCCTTTTGTTGTGGGGAGACTGATCTGCATTGCCAAGTCCGGGGTTGCATTGACGGGATAAGATGGAATCTGGAGATGCGAGATCCCCCCTCTTCGGGTGCAAATCGCGGCAAATTTTCGCAATCCGTGATGGAATCGACATTCCGCTCTTTAAGCCTAGAGTTCTCACTAGGGATAAGGCTCTGATGGAGAATGAAAGACGGAAGCGCGGAAGATGGTGGTTCATTTGGTTTAGAGCGGAGGCCTGAATTACAAGGCTGGAATGTACAGGTTTGACTTTAATATAGGCTGAGTGATGTTTACAGTCGAAGATCGATACTTGAATATTCAAATGATTCACTTTTCATATTCCTTGATACTACTCAGATAGCTATTCATCTATGCAGCTTTCTCAAAGTCAGCCTTAATGGCCTTTGCGAACCTATCATCAGCCAACACGCGACACCCCACTACAGCCATACCAGCAGCACAACACAGACTGCGCTTAAAACCTTCCTCAGAACCTGCGCCCGCAGTAAATTGTGGTGTGTGGTTGACTCCATCTGACTTTATATAGAATCCGCCGTGGAATCCAGGGACCTCATAGGACACGTTACCTATAATCATCAGCGAATGGAATATCAAGTATCTCGCGGGTTATTCAACTTACCCATATCTGTAGATCCTCCACTCAATCCACCTTCCTGCCCCGCCGCATCGGAGATAGTCTTGTATCCCATAGCATTCATAGCCGAAGTATAACTATCACAAATAGGCTTGTTAACCTTCATATCCAAATACGAAGGCTCCCACTTATACTCCACGTCACATCCAGTGGCAGCGGCAGCTGCATCAAAACACTTTAATACCCGTTCTGTCAATGGTTCCAGCGTCTTCTTCGTCGGCGACCGAACATAATACTCCACGGTAGTAGAAGCAGGAATAACATTCGGTCTCTCCCCGCCCCTCAAGACAACACCATGGATCTTCTGCGTAGGAAGGATCTGCTGTCGCAACATGGAGATATTCACATAGGCCGAGACAACGGCATCCAAGGCATTAACACCTTCCCAAGGCGCAGCAGATGCATGTGCTGGTTTTCCCGTATAAGTCACCTCGACCTTATTATTCGCAAGGTATTGAGTAGAGTCCGAACCAGAACTCAACAGATCCGGTGCACCAGCTAGGATTGGAAAAGGATGAACCATGAAACAGGCATCAACGTCTTTGTACGCGCCCGCTTCAATAAGCTGTAGTTTTCCACCACCACCTTCCTCGGCTGGGGTACCCAGTAAACGGACGGTGAACCCGATGCTATCTGAGTAGAGAGTCTTCATTGCTTCGGTTGTAGCCAAGCAAGAAGCAATCGCGCTCGTCGCAATCAGGTTGTGTCCGCAGGCGTGCCCCATACCCGGTAACGCATCATACTCCGCATTGAAGGCCACTACGCGACCGGCTTTACCATGGGTGTAGCTCACTTCGAAAGCAGTTTTGACACCGTAGGCGTGGCGCTTCACTGCATAGCCCTCTGCAGCGAGAGAGTCGAAGAATGCGCAGATGTTATCATGGGCATCGTGTTCTTGAAAAGCGAGTTCAGGATTAGACCAAATCTAAAAAATGTTAGAAATTATCTTATCAATTTGATGGAATCCAATGTCTTACTTTCTGGTTAATCTCGCCAAGCCTCGGCTCATACTTCTCCAGCACCTCGCGCACCTTCCTGATAATACTCTGTTGATCCTGTACCGACTGCATCTTGATCCAAATCAGATTGACGAAGTGACAGCTAAATTGCAATTCGAAAACGGCATCTGCCCCTCACTTTTGTATGACCCCATTTCATAATTGGGGGGGGGAACCTGATAACTGTAGATACGACCCCATTGCCGATCGGCAACGATAGTGACATAACCCCGCAAGATAAGGTCTCCAAAACACAGATACAAGCGAAACTGACCCCGGTGAGATGAGATGCCGATGCAATTCCGCGATAGTTCCGCCGTGGAGTCCAAGAACACACTAACTTAATCCGCTTAAGTCTCTCGTTGTGACTCGCCGTACGCCGATGACTTTGTCAACGAAGCAGCGCGAGCTTGTATAGGTTTTGCATCGAAGAAAACGCGCATCTGGATGATTTTTAAATCAGCATGGCTGGTTCCCTCTAGTTCGAGGACATTGAATTCGCGGGTTTTGACGAGGAACTGGTCTGGGTCATCTTTAAAGATTGTTTCCGACGTGGCCTCGAACATTACGGAGTATCTAATCAAAGGATACGGGTCCTGTGCATCTGTTTCAGGCCTAGGCCTATCGAGGGGGTGTTGACTCTCCCCTATTGTATTTAAATCAACGGTGTGGATATTTGTGTTGGTAAGGTCCATGTCCCAGGCCATGTGTATGTGGCGGTGAAAATGAGACAGAAAACGACTTCGGGATTCAAAATGCGTGGCGGACTGCACCGGTTTCGAAGGATTGCTGCCTATAATGATGGATGCGTTGGATTTGAAAAAGCAATCAACGGGGTCCTGGGTTGGATTGACCGAGTCCACGGCTGGGAGGAAGCGGGAGAGGAATCGAAGACCTGGGGAAGCAGTTTCAGGGATTGATTCGTAGGGACCTTGGTGGATGAAGACTGTGCCCTGCATGGTGAGTTCATAACAAATTGAAGAGAAATTGACATTCTTCAAGAGCACCAACGGGTGCGGTGCAAACGTCATGATAACGTACATACGGTAGTAACTTTCATAGCAGGTATAGTGCATAGCAGGCATAAAGCGAAGGACGACAGGGGCAAAACATGGATATGTCCAATAGAATGTATTTTGATGGTTGTAAGTTTTACATAATTATATATAAAAGTCAACAAGCCTTGGTGATTAGGCTTGAGGTCAAAAGGGTATACACGACTGGCAGGGGAAAACAACCCGCGTTGAATCGACAATGGGTATAGGCACTTGCAGTTTCTGCAATCTGCTGGATTTGCTAGGTCTCCTAGAGTTCCAAATCATAAGTTCGCGCCTGAATAGGCAGCGTGAGGCGTCGCGCAAATGCAGCGAAGCTGGTGGGTGTCGCAGTGGGACGTGGCGAAGAGGTAGTCACCTCTGTATATCACAAGTACACATAACTCGGAAGCTAGCGTGTCGTTTGCGATATGAGTTATTTCAGATGAAGAATAAAACAACTCGGTAGATCAAGATGGATAGGTACTTTCGCTGGAAATTCTGGATCGCGTGGATGGACGGATTCGTTGCTCGGACATCGGCAAGCTTTCCATGGAGATAGTATTCCATGCCGACATCCCGCGCGGGACGCGATCTACAGGTGCAGCGTGCGTAACGTCAGAGGTAAGCTGACTCGGGTCCACGAATTGCGGATATTCATCTTGTTCGGCAGAAGTCGGTGCCGACCGGGATGTGTGGACCAGAGAGACGAGTTTGCCAAGGACGCCAAACTCCAGTTTCAGTTTAATGCTGTACACCATGGGTTTCAAAGTCGTCTGCAGCGAGTAGAAACCAATATACTCGACTACCAAAAGGCCAACGTCCAGCAATATTATGACAAAGTTTATTGCCAGCAGCTCATACATGATTCTCGTCCGACGCTGGTCTTTGTCCGGCATGAGTTGAAGTAATTTGACCGTCTCATAGATGTAAATTCCAGAGATGACAAATTCCTGGCAACAGAACCAGGCCAGTTGCAAGCGCTCCATCACATTGTATCCCCGGATAAACGGATCGGTCTGGATGTAGGCGGTGGAGAAGGTCAGGATGGTGGTGGGGATGAGGAGAATGACCGCGTCGACAATGATGAGCCAAAGCACAAAGCGCAAGATTCGTCGGCTCTGCACGACCAAATGCAGACGCGAATACAGAACAACCGACTGTCCCGGTACCATGACATAGAATCCAATGGTTGATATGGTCAAGGACACCCAGAGCGGAGCCAAGGAGAAGAACTCCAGGATGTAGCCAATCGAGTGGGGAATGACACCGAGGACGACGGACAGAAGCATAGTCCAGAAATAAAGGCCGCGATAGGATTGGAAGGTGAGAAACAATAGAATAAACAACTCGATCGCATTGTACAGCGCGATTGAGGAAAAGACGATCATCAAGATGCGCACGGTCAGGCTGTTACCGTGGTAGCCCCCGATGAGGCCATCCGGCGCCTGATCGAGCGCGTCGACCATGGCTGGCTTGAATCGCCTTCTTATCGAGACGGCGATGCCGTGATTCGAGTCCTGCTTTGTAGGAAGGTCGGTCGTATACGTAACTTGTTGTTCCGAAGGACCAATTTTACCGCCATGATCTTGCTAACAGACCAGGATTCGTGTGATTGGTGATAGGAGGTAGGAGGAGACGTCACGGAAAGAAAATCGTTATTTCGCGACAGGTGTGAGGCGATCCCAGTGGTGTTCAATTGCCGTTCTCCGAGCGCAAAGGCCGAATGGCAATGATGTAACTTCGCGGTTTCCGAGAGCGGAGGGCGGAGAGCGCAGGGTGAGGAGAGCAAGGAACGAAGGTTATGGCAAGCTCAGTGTCTCCAGTCGCTGGTCTTCAGTCTCTATAAGTACCCAGTGGCACCAGTTCGCCCCTCCGGGCGAACGAGCGAAAAGAGGAGAAAAAGATGGAGTAAAGTGTAAAGTGGATTCACCCCATTTGCTGCCTTCTGAGTGGTGATTAGGTGATGTTGCCCTCCGCACGAGCCAAGCCGATCGCGTTGAACTGGAGGAGCAAAAGAAAGGAACTTTGCGAGTCTTTTAGACTTGATCACGAGAGGAAACCCCAGAGAATGAAAAGTAAATTCTATTCTTGAACATAAAATTTCTGGGGAAAGCCGCCTGTTCACGCTAATCTACAACAGGAAGCTCCTTGGAACTTCAAAGTTTACTCGGCTTGACCGGCTTTTTTCCGAGTTTTCGGGAGTTTTCGCCACGCCAAGGGAACCAGAACCATAAGAAAACCGAGGCCCGTTGAACTTGTACAGTCACTTTCGGCCGGTGAAGTCTTCATCATATTCCATTTGGGGCAGGTCTGGAATGGTCGCGGACGCGCTTTTTGCGTCCGCGACGGCACATTTGCTACACATTCACTACGTACGACGTACGCGGATTCCCGGTTTTCTTGCGCCGCCTCTAGATGCGATTGGTCACCCTGGGCTTCCTGATGATCATCGTGGAGCACAAACCTAACGGTCAAGACAGCGGCCATAGGCACATTGATCAACAGGTCCTCGGCTATACAATAGCGTGTGGGCAAGGCTTGGCTCATGTGCCGACTTTCACAATATAATGGCCGGTTCCACGGCGATCATTCTCAGTAATAGTAGACATGGGACCAATACTAGCAACGAACATTCGAGCTGGACATGCCTTGGACCGAACCCTGCTGAAGTTAGGAAAACTTTTCTCTCCAGACCGTGTCGATCTTTCTTGGCTTAACCATTATAACCTGACTATCAGCATTAGACTTTTCTTGTTGAGTGCCCTGAGCTCTGGTACCTGAATATGTAGCCTCGTAGTACAGTAGATCCCACCTATCAGCATCGTGGCTTTGGTCGCTACGAAGTCGAATAGGAGGCTGCAGCCAGCGGCCCGGGAAGAGGCTGCCATGGGAAGCCAACATCCAAGACTTGCACTGTACATATGAACGGATTCTCGCTTGTATTATCCATTCAAAAGACCTCATCCCAGCTTTGATCATCCCGAACATGCTATGCCCAGAAGGATCCATATCATCAATTGGCTCAGATGCGGGATAAGACAATCCAAGTATCATGTGTCTCCAAACCTCCGTAGATATCGGGGTATGCGTTCTAAGATACCTAATAATCCAACTTCTTTTTCTTATAATTTCCCCATGCTACAGTATGATTGACTCCATTGGAAATGCTCACGTGCCACTGTCCCACCTTATTGTTGCCCTCAATGAGTCTGTTCGGACTATACACACAATATAATCAAGACACGTCAAGACGTAGCCCAAAATTGCAAGCTGAATCGACCTCTTAGTAAACCCTAGACATGATGCAAGCAATTTCAACATACTGTACAATAATGAGACCGTATGCTGCACGGGCCAAAACGGTTGCTGTGCCCCACTCGGTCGAAGGGTCTCCGCCGGGCCCACTTGCACTTGGCCTTGAAATCAACATAGATGAACCTGTACAAGTAGCAGAAAGTAAATGTTTACACTCATCAAGTACTATTTCAGGACATTTTCCACCTAGCAGTAGCCAGTAGTATAACTGTGGTGATTGGCTAGATGTATCACATATATTCAGCGGCTTATGATCTTGCCTGTAGACATGCCCCGCACTTTGCATTTCACCCACCGCCAACTCACCATGACCTCCACGTTTGATAGGTTTTTTGCTTCCGGCTTTAGCGGCTAAAGCCAACCGCGACATGACGGGGTATCATCTTTGCTGACACTTAATTCCTCTTGGGATGAGACATTTCTTTTAATCCGTTGCATCTGAGCTGCATTTGAGATCGCGGGAACAGTGAACAGCGTGAAAAATATTCATGTTCCAGCGCATGTCGATGATGAATGCCTGAAGGTTTTTGTCGATGGGTTTGGGAGAGGGATCGTTCGAATACTTCTCACCACTTTCTTCACCACTTTCTTCAACAATAAAAGAATGATCAACATAATGAACTTCTATTTCATGCTTATCCCTTCAAACCCTAATATTAGACATTCCGTGAGAAGGGTGCGGAAACTCCAAAAGTGCCATATACATTCACATCGCCTTGTCCACTAGGTGTACCCCGTGCATGCGTTGACAACCCTCACTCAAGATCTACAGCCACGCGCGGGATAGAGATACATAACATTCCAACGCCACCAACGAAGCACACTCCTCGCTCGCCGAGTGCGCCGAGTTGATCTTTTTTAAGCAACGCGTGCATGAGTGAGCATTGACGACCCCAATCGACAACCACGGTTCAAGGGTGAGACCAACCACTTGCATAAGAGAAGCTTGGCAAACCCATCAAAAATTCCCAGTCTGTTTCAGCCTACGTTTCTTTCGAGCTGCGTAAGCACTTGCAGTTGATTTATAAAGCTAGCTACAGGTGAGATTTTGGGGAGGCGCTTTTTTTATCTCTTCCAAGACCTTTGTCTACTGTCATACCTACGTGATTAATTACCCAATTTCACTTCTCAACCATCTCAAGATGACATCCGATCAGGAAATTTTTGATTTCATTGTTGTCGGAGGTGAGTGTCCCACACTTAGTAATGTTGAATATGCTTTGGGAACATGCCCCTCACTTCTGCAACAGCTGGACCAGCGGGGTGTACTCTTGCAGCTGCACTTAGCAAGTCTGCCGCCAAACCTCGCGTGCTTCTACTGGAAGCAGGCGGTAAAAATGATGATGAGTCCCAGCGCGTAGACGGGAAGCGCTGGGCAACCTTCCTGAGCGAGAAAATGAATTGGGGGTACAAGACCACGCCTCAGGAAGCATGCGAAGGTCGGGTGTTTGACTACTCACGTGGGAAAGGACTGGGCGGGGGATCCGCAATTAATTTTGGTGTTTTCACCGTTGGCGCAAAAGATGATTATGATACTTGGGCTCAATATGTCTCCGATGAGACTTTTGGATGGAAGGCCATGCAAAAGCGCATTAAGGATCTTGAGCTATTTGATGGGTCTATTGATCTTCCAGAAAAGCAGAAGTATGCGCAGCCCAAGCCAGAAGATCATGGATACCAAGGTGGTCTGAAGACTGGGTACGCAAAGGAATGGGAGCAGGATTTGTCTCTTGCTTTGGATCAGCTTGAAGAGGCTGGATTGGAGCGGAATCTTGATCATAACTCTGGCAATCCCCTTGGAATGGGGATAATGATCAACTCCGCTGGCAATGGACGCAGAACCACAGCTGTTGATTTGTTGATCGGCGCTCCGGATAATCTTGTCATTGTGACCGATACACCAGTCCAGCGAGTTGTGTTGGAAAATAGAAAGGCAGTTGGCGTTGAGACCAAAGACAACAAGTGTAGGTACAGCCTCCCAGCATGTATCTACCGGAGCTAACACACCACAGATTTCGCCAGCAAGGAAATTATCCTATCGACTGGATCGCTTGATGCACCAAAAATCCTGATGCACTCAGGTATTGGCCCAGCCTCTGAGCTGAGCAAGTTCAACATCCCAGTGATCCAAGACCTACCTGCCGTCGGTCAGGGTCTGAAGGACCATTTCTTCGTACCGCTAATTCTCATGCGGAACCCCGAGACGAACGATCGCAATACATTCTATGGCTCGCAATCCGCGATGGACAACGCTCTCACCCAATGGGAGAAAGACGGCACAGGACCTTGGACTCGATACGGGTGCCAGATCGGATGTGGATGGTTCAAATCTGACCGAGTAACCTCTTTGCAAGAATTCAAGGACCTCCCAGCTCCAGTCCAAGAGTTCATGAACAAGAAAACAATCCCCCATTACGAGATTATCAGTGGGTTCCCTGCGCACAACATCTTCCCCCAAGTGTTCCAGGACTACAGCTATATGTGTGTGGTCGCAATCCAGATGAACGAGCAATCTACTGGCGAGGTACGATTGCAATCGTCGAACCCAGAAGATTCCCTTCTTTTTGACCCCAAGGCGTTGCAGCACCCATTCGACCAGCGTGCTATGGTCGAGATCTACAAGCATCTCCTGGAGGTTACCCATCACCCATCTTTTGCTAAGGACACGGTATCCACAGTACTTGGACCTGCATCTGAGAGTGACGAGGACATTCTGCGATTTTGCAAGGCCAACGTCTCGTCTAGCTGGCATATGACTGGAACCGCAAAGATGGGCAAAGCAGGTGACATTGATGCGGCGGTTGATAACCGGTTCCGGGTGTTTGGGGTTGAGAATCTTCGCGTTGCCGATATGAGTGTTGTCCCTGTCATGACGAATAACCATACACAGGCGACGGCCTATATGACAGGCGCTACTTGTGCTGATGTGTTGATTTGGGAGTATGAGTTAGATCAGTGATCGATGATAGGTGATAGAATCCCAGCATCTCAGGCTAGAATGAGGAATTTTGCGCCAAGATTTGGTAACCAACTTAAACAAAGATGGGCATCTGTCATCCGTTCCTTTGGCAGGAGATTACAGGGAAAGTAAAGAGTATTCATATTGAATTAGCTCTCATCGCCTTTCGAAGGCCGGAGAGCCTACTCGGTTGGAGTGCAGGGTATGTACTCCTCGCGCTCAGCGCACGATAAATAATAAAAGGCCTCACAGAAAAGGCCTCACATAGAAATAACAATAGTAACAAAAAGAGAACACCGCCGGGCCACCAAACGGAAATCGAACAGACAAAACAAGTCACGTATCGCGCCACACACCGTTACTAAAAGCTAACATGAGAATAAATGATAAAAAGAAATCGAAAAGCGCGGGAAACGAAACGGGATATCGAACGATTGCATGGGCTGGAACACTGCAAATAAAATGAGAAGCAGAGAAACGCCTAGGCCATAGGGAGACCATGTGGGTGGCCTTCCTGCTTGCCGACGAGGTCCGGGTCGGTTGTGTTCTCATCGACACGCGGACGCTTGTTCTGCTGGAAATTTTGTGTCATGAAGTTCGTCTCGTCGGGGTGCTTGCGCATGCCCAGACCAGCGACGGCAATCCTGTTCAGCGAGTTCATGTCATCGTTGACAGAGCCTTGGTGCTGAGCCTGCTGAGCAGCGGAGGAAGAAACATTAGGGGCACCTGCCCCAAGTCCAGCGAGAGCGAGGTCGTGACGAGGGTTTTGGGTCAGGTCGATGTTAGGTGGCAGGTCAGGGACGTCGATCTGGGCTTCCATCAGACGAGACTGGAGGTTGATAACATAGTCGCGAAGAGAATAGTTCTCGTTGACAAGCTTAGACATGGTGTCTTTGTAGCTCTCAATGTTTTTGTTCTCGTCTTCCAGCTTACGGATGTAGGTCTCTTTGCGCTGGCGGAATGCACGCTGATCATATTGTTAGTGGGGTTTTACAGCACGGGAGAGAAGGAAGCATACCTGGGCCGCGCGATTCTGAGCAGCACGCTTGGAGGTAGATAGTTCACGCTTTCCATAGGTCTTAGGGCTGACACTCTCGGGAGAACCCTGCTGGGGTTGAGTCGGGGTCTGCGGAGGAGCCGCACCCATCATGGCCGCACCAGATATGGCGGGGTCAATGTTGGCCTGGTCGCGAGGGCTAGCAGTGCTAGGTGCCATGTGCTGCTGCGGGCTTGGACCACCCTGGTGGCGAGGACCAGGGAGATGGTGCTGAGCAGCAAGCAGCTGGTCATGGAGAACTATATGGATACCATTTAGCCTTTGTACTACTTGTAAGCTGTCTTGCCATAGGCCCTGGACGGGTTTCGCCACGAGTCAGCGACCATTATGGGCGCCAGCAAGCTGGCAGACACCACTTAGCCCAAACTCGATCGCAACAACCACATTACCAGTATCGGCCATTTTAGAGTGACATACCCTGATCCGCATGATCCTATAGACATTGTTAGTGATCAAGCACATCATAATCACAACATGCGACCGGAAGGTCGCGGCAAGGTAGAGAGCGCACTGCGACGCGTCTTAATACCGGTCGCAGGATTTTGAACATGCCAACTCATTTGATGCAGCAGTTCATAGTACCTTGGCGCGGGAAGACGATCTGATGACAAACGCGTCGAGGATGGGTTGCTTACCTGAGCAGTAGATTGCATACTGGGATGCGGTGCTGGCGCCAACGCAGGTTGCATGGAGAGGGAGGAAATCGAATTTCAAATAATGAGAATTGAGTAGAGAGCTCTTCAGCACTGAATAAATCCTCAACCCCTTCAAGAAGTAGATTTTTGGGGATATTGGATCTTGAAGCTGAATGAGGTAAGCAGTTGAAGATGCTGTAAGCAGGAGGAGTGAGGAGGGGAGATTACTTAAGGAAAATCTGAGTCAGGCGGCTTGGGTGCGGTAAGCGAATGCCTTTCATTCTGCCGGTTCCGGTGCCGACCTATTTTGGGATTAGCGCGAACCTTTTCAACTAAGTTGGAGCTTTTGGCTCTTAGGATCCAAACATGCTCTCTTGTGGATGAAAGCTGATATCAGACATTATTTCGATTCTCCGGGAGATCAACGACAATTTACAGAATTCTAGAAAATAACTTGGCTTTTTGGTGGGTTATTCAGTGGAAGCCGGAGGCTATCACGTGGTTGAGGCTTCTCGGTAACTCTTTGTTCCTTCTGGATGACTGACTCATCATGCTGTCATGTCAGTTGAGTTTTGCCTTACATTTGAGGCATATATAATCTATAATTCCTCTGTTTTAGATCTCAACTTCTAGCCCTTTTACATTTCATGGCATAATTGATGATCCATATTCATGCGTGTTTTGGTCATACTATTTACAACCAATTCATTTCACGTACGGTGGTTGATCCGAATCTGCACAAAGTTCATACCCATGAGATTCCTACCTAATTGCTGACCTGAATTCCATCCATGCGATTCGGTTTTATCTTGGTACTACTGATTGAGGCTGACCGAATCATGGTACTCATCAGACTGGCCGTTCACTAGCATTGCTGCACAGATTCTAGAGTTAGCCCAGATCCCCGCTACTGTTTCAAGACTCCCGCCATTTGTGCCAGCTGGTGTGAATCCTGGTTAAGTAAACCTAGATCAACTAGCAATCAGACAAGATGTTACTAGGATGGAGACGAGTCGTATTATCTCTTTAAAGAGGTTGAATAAATACTATCGCGAAGGTGGATATTATACATTGTACAAGTAAGGAAAAAGGCGTGAAGACCCGCCCGGAAGCAGGTATAGAGAAAGCGGAACATCTGGATGATCTAGTACATCACTTCGACATGATGGCAGACATCCACTTTTGCTCATCCGTTCTATATCAAAAGTTAGCATATGCACCAGGATCACAAGAAAGTAACAAACATACCGATCAAAGTGGAGGAGCATCCCTAGAACAGGGATCAACTGCTTCTGATAAGTTTTATCCTTCTGCTCCAGGAATTGCAGTAAGACATTCTTCAGATACATGTAATCAATTGACTGGGTATTCGGCCCGGTAGTGGCAGAGGGAGTCTCGCTCCGACGAGTCGACGCGCTGCGGTCTTGACCAGACGGAGAGAGTGGACCACGTCTAGAACCGGAATCAATCGATGACCGTGAGGACTGTCGACCAGACTCCAGTCCACGGAGGCGAACATCTTCACCCAGAGTCTTGTGAGATTTGCGGAGTTTCTCCAGCCGGTTATTTGATTCTTCGACAGAGCGACGAAGCTCGGCTTTGTCCTTCTCCAGGCTGCGAACTTGTTTCTCGCTTTCGTCCAAGGCTTCCCGTAGGCCAGCCATGGCTTGCTTAATTTCTTCGACCTCTTGAGTGGACCTCTCCGAAAGGAGCTCCAGTTCGTCGCGACGACGACGCCAGTCCTTTTGGGAGTGTTCGAGCTCCTCCTTGTCTTCTTCGGCGGTGCGCAAAGCCCGTTCAGCCTCTCGCACCTTGGCTTTCAGTTCTTCCATCTCCCGCGCACGGCGGCGGCCCTGAGCGCTAGCCTCATCTTCAGCCCGGTCTCGTTCTTCAACCGCAGCTTCCATACGTTCCTTCAAGTCTCGAACCTTGGCGTCCGCGCGACTCTCGCTATCATTGAGGAGGCGACGCATCGTCTCACCTTCGCGGGTACGTTCGCTCAAGAGACGGTGCGCTTCAGCGAGCTCCTCCTCCAGGCTATCGCATCTTTCGCGAGCTTCCTTCATCTGCATAGCCATCTCGGCGGTCTGGTCACGCATGTTGTTCATCAAACTCTGTGCACTGGTGTGCTGTGCCGTCTTCAGGCTGATCTCTTCTCGGAGACCTCCAAGGTCCTTGTTGAGCTGGGAGATTTGTTCGTCCAGTTCACGGATCCTGACGCGAGAGCTCTTCAGGTTGTTTTGACTCTTAGCGAGCTCTCCCGCAGTCTTATCCTTAGCATTGATAGCGTCCTGCTTCCTTGACTCAGCAGATCGGAGATCAGATTGAGCGACATTAAGGGTTTCTTCGGCTTTCAGACGACTATCAGTCTCTTGGCGAACCTTCTTGTTCAAGGTGTTCACCTCAGTGTCACGTTCAGAAATTTTGGTCTTGGCGGTTTTCAGTTCTGCACGCAGATCTTCGTGCTTGGACTCAAGAGCTCTCAACTCTTTGTCTTTGCCAGTAAGGGTTTCCTTCAACGCCTTCAGCTCGGATGATTCAGCCCGGAGGTTGCGCAACTCGGGTTGGACTTTTTGGAGGGTTTCGCGTAGGTCGGTCAAATCCTTGAACCGGGTGGTAGCCAGTTGCTGAGCGGCCGAAAGATCTGTCTCCAGGGTGGCTGCTCGGACCTTAAGACCCTCAAACTCCTCTTTGAGCGAAGTATGCATCTTCTCCGAGTCAGCGGAGTTCGAGGCACTGCTGGTGCGAAGATCAACCAGCTCCCTCTCTAGCTTGCCAATGGTCTCCTCCAGGGCAAACTTCTGAGCAGTGAGCTCTTTGATCTTGTCCTTGGCCTCGACATGCTCCTGCCCAACATTGACAATATCGTCACGCAAAGACTCGATCTCCTCCTTCAGGTCTTCCTCTCCCTTAAGCTTGGCACTAAGCCGGTCGATGGCCGCCTCTTTATCAGAGAGCTGCTGAGTGAGAGACTCAATTTTTTGCTTTAGTTCTTCCAGTTCTGCAGTCGATGCAGCTGGAGATTTAGCTGGCTCTGTCTGCAGGGGCTGCTCGGGAGTAGTGTCGGCCGGCTTAGTTGGCTCCTCAGCCGCCTTTCCGCCCTTCTTCTTCTTCTTGTTCTTCTTCTTGCCTCCACCTCCGCCGGCGGTTTGAGCCGCGGTGACGGGCTGCGAGTCTTCTTCGGGGGCAGCTGTACTAGACACAACAGCCTTCTCAGCGGGGGCTAGGCTCTTGCGGATCTCCTCGAAATCGGCGGTCTCTCCAGCAACAACCTTCTGCTTAGAAGACAGCCAAGCTTCGTTGTCTTGCAGGTTAGTGTCCACAAAGTCGATAATCTTTTGAAGCTTGGTGCAGCTTTCGGTTTTTTGGGTGATATCATGCTTGAGGGCTAAAACGGTGGTTTCGGTGTCCTTAAGCTGCGTCTTGACGGTATCGACTACGCCCTGCAGGACAACCAGACGCTTCTCGCTTACATCCTTGGCTTTGTTGGCCTCCTCTAGCTGTGAGACCAGCTCCGAGTTATTATCGGCCTTCTCCGCCTTGTCAGATTCAGAGGCTTGAGCTTGAAGCTTCTCAATCTCATCGCTTTTATTTTCCAGGTCTTTCTTCAGCTTCTCGACCTCGGTGGTGGTACTTTCGAGAGAAGACTCAACGGACACAAGTTTCTTCTTGAGTTCGTCGACGTCGCCCTGCTTCGAAGTCTTCAGACTTTCAATTTCGGCATCCAGTTTATCCTTGGTGTCCCTCGACTCTACTAGTTCTCGGGTGGCCGATTCCAAGTTCTGCACCATACCCTCGGTAGATTCTCTGGCAACTGAAAGATCTGTCTTAAGCTTCTCGACTTCCGACTTGAGGCTATCGACCTCTTCCTGCTTTTCTTTCAATTCACCTTCCAGTCGAGGAACCTCATTATCGTAGGAGAAGAACTCCTCGCTCGATTCTTGCTCCCCGTCGGGCGATTTCTTCTCTTCGGGCGCAGCTTCCTTGGTGTTTGCTTTGAGACCCGCGACTTCATCCCATGCCTCCTTCGTGGACTTTTGAGCCTCCTCCATTTTCTTTTTGTAGTCGTCTCGTTCGATCGCAACTCGCTTCATCTCGTCCATGACCATGTCAGTCTTCAGTGACATCTGGTTGAGATACTCCGTCAAGGCCTTGGGCTCGCCGATCGAGGTAAGAGGGGTATTTTCGCGTAGGGCTGCTTCAAAGGGTTCGATGGAGAGGACGCGAGAATGCGCCGCGCGGTACGCTTTGAGAAGTTCTAAACAATACCAAATATTAGCTCACTCCAGGTTCATTTAATAGCAGTCATTCCTATCTCATACCATGGTATCGTGATTCCAGCTTGTCAAGTCGGCGCAGCTTGGCCTTGACATCTATAGGCAACTCCGCGGGGGCTGGCTTGTTGGTCTCCATATCAGTGGCAGGTGCAGCAGTCTCCTTCTCTTTGTCGGTTGTCTTTTCTGGCGCATCAGTCGAGGATGGAGCCGTCTGGCTCTCTGTCTCCTCGGTTCGATCCCCCGCCGAACTGGCCACTTCGGAGGCCGGGTCGGGTGTCTCTAAACGAGGCGTACCTGACCGACTGGACTCATCGTCGCCAATCGCAAATTCCGCTTCGAACTCTTTCGGGTCGGGGCCCCGAACTGGGGTTCCAGTGTTACGTCGTGGGCGGGACCGTTGCCCTGGAGGAAGATTACTGTTGGCCGGGCGGCGTGCGGAGTTGGAGCGGGAGATATTATCCTGAGCGGATTTTTGGCGGGCCTGTTCCTCTGCTATGCGCGAGTCAATGGCGTCGCGGAGCCGCTAGAAGAGGAGTCAGTATGTTGGCTGTTGGCTCGGAGTTGGTCTTGTGCGGGCATTGCGACGTCGTGCCGGGGAACTGAAGTAGGGAAAGTTACCTGAAACATCACCGCGACAGGTCTTTGGACCGAGACCACCAAGTGTACAAGATCAGAAACAAAGAAAAGTAAATTGATGAAGAGAAGTAGGAGGGAAGGCGTGGGGAGCATGGGGTCAATGAAGTGAATCCGGAAGCATAATCGGGATCGGACATGTTGGCCAAGACACAGCTCGGGCCAAACACTACGTATGCAGCGGCGCAGCGGGATATGACAGGAACATCAGATTGTCAACTGGTAGATAACATACTCACAGGCTATTCTTTTCAAGATGCAAGGTTCTTTTTCCTCTTTTTTTATTCTTGCAAGAACAATCCTACTTAGGATTTCTACGAGGGTTATATTTCGAGTTTAATGTTGAAATGTAATGCAGGAACGTTCCCCAGTGTGTACCGGGACCGAAACTATATATAGCCAGGTACCACTACACAGCACGTAGTAGTGGACTTGAAGATGAACACCAAGATCTTATCTAGAGACTTGGGTACACTGTTTCAATTTCCGGATTTGATAACCTTGGAATTATGTACATTATGATTGGTCAAACTAATTCCATAAAGAACCTTCTACATCTCTCATACTAGAGTGCAGTACAGAAGTACCCAATCGAAAGCCTAGCTCCACCGTTTATACGCCTAGACCAGCCCACGTTTTAGCAACTAGAGTTGGTACTGGTACGGTGACTGAATATCACCTACACTTCAACTTGGTTTACTCTTTTCTTAACCTTGGAAACTCTGATCAATTTTTCTTATCAAAGGTCACTGTAGACTCTTATTGACCCGATCGACAAAGTCACCTGCCTCGGGAGCTTGTCATCCCTGCAGGTCGGACCTCTGCTTCCCCTCATCTTCCTCCATCCACCGATACCAGGGCCCGCACGTTTCCGATGCCCACACACATGGTGGCCCAGATAGGGTCGAATTTGAGTTAGTGTGGTTAATACCCTGGTTCGCGACTGGTTTTCTTGGAAAAGCGGAGCTTTTGTCTCATGCCGGGACCACACGTCATGCCCGACCTAGCCCCATCCCTCTCCTTGAGCCTAACGGCCACAACGGCCATCACGGCCACAGCTTCACTGGTTTCTGCACCCTCCCTCGCTACCTCCGTCCTATCCGCTGCAGATATTTCCTCCTTTTCCCCGCCCTTTCCGCCGCCAATTCCGTCAACAATGGCGGGGTGGATCGGCTGGGTGTTTACCTTCACCTTCCAAGTCATCCCCCGGGCTCTGTACTGGCTCATCACCTTCACCACCATTACACTGCCCACATGGCTATTTACGCTATTTTCTATGAGCCTCACCTTCACCATGAACTTCACCACCCTGTAAGTCTCCTCTTGACCCCGCTCGTCATGCCGAGATACTGGGATACTATATACAATGAAGTTGCTGATAATATGACCTATAGCATGTTGATACTCCTGGCCGTGGTCTCGACCGTGAGCTGGTTCATTCGCTACCGGTTTATGAACATGTACAGTCGCCTACCCCCGGAGCCCCAGCGCAAAGAAGCCCAGGTCGACCTCTTCCCCGATACACAAGATGGTGATTCCAAACCTGGATTGGCCAGCTACCTCGACGAGTTCCTGAGCGCGATCAAAGTCTTTGGGTACTTGGAGCGACCGGTGTTTCACGAATTGACTCGGACTATGCAGACCAGAAAATTGATCGCCGGCGAGACCTTGATGTTAGAGGAAGAGAAAGGCTTCTGTTTGGTGGTTGATGGCCTGGTTCAGATCTTCGTCAAATCAATTCGTGAGGGCAAGCCGGGGGTGGAAGAGAATATACATCTGGATGATGTGACATCGGAGGATGAAGAGGACAATTCAAACGGTCGCCAGGGATATCAACTGCTGACCGAGGTGAAGAATGGCGCGTCCATGTCGTCTCTCTTTTCCATCCTGCAGCTGTTCACTGAAGATATTAAATTGCGCAACACACATAGCCCAAGCTCCCGCAGCTCGAGCGTAGCAACGCCTCATACCCCACGAGCCCCGGACTCTCTTCCAGTGAGTCCTGGTATCGACATGCTCGGGAGCCCGCAGTCGAGAGCAGGTGATTATACCAATTTGACGCCCGGTCTTAATGGTCATAGCGATTCATTACCGACAGTGCCTCCATTGAACCTGGGAGAGAGCCATGCTACTCTTCCTGGGCGACCCCAGCCGCAGTTGGGTCGGCCGTTTTCCAAGCGAAGAAAGTCGGTACATCCAGATATTGTCGCCCGAGCCACGGTGGATACGACCATTGCAATTATTCCCGCCAGCGCGTTCCGTCGTTTAACTCGAGTTTACCCAAGAGCGACCGCCCATATTGTGCAAGTGATTCTGACGCGTCTTCAACGAGTGACATTCGCAACTGCCCACTCCTACTTAGGCCTAGGAACAGACGTGCTCGGCATTGAGCGACAGATGTCGAAATACACCTCTCATGATCTACCCAATGACCTGCGCGGCGGCGCTTTGGACCGGTTGAAGAACAAATTTATGCAGGAGCGAGACCGCCTCGGACCTGAAGAAGTCGGCAAGGGCATCGCCCTGCATAACCCGGCTGTTGGACGGAGGCGCCGTTCCAGCAGTTCCCTCCGAAAGGAAGCGATTTTACAAGCTCGTATGGATGGAGGAAGCCGAACCCTCGCTCTGACACCCCAAAGGCGACCCCAACCTCGCTACACCGAACGCGATTCGAATGGAGTTAGCCCTGGTGATTTGCTATCTACAATCCAGCTATCCCGTTTTGGACCTCGTCACGATACTATGGGACATAACCTTGCGAGTCCCTTGACGGAGCGAGAACGTCCTCTGTTTCGACCGGCTGCTGGCATTGATGGCCTCTCAGCATCTCCGTTCCAGCGAAAGGAGTCAGTTGACGAAGAAACGCTGTTCCGCGAGTCGATTCTGGAATGTATGATGAAAGGTATCGGTCTGATGGAAAGTACAAGCGATGCTCTTCGAAAAGGCAGCCATGCTTCCGGTGATGCATCTCCCAGGCTGCTGTCGTACGACTCTCGGCGACAAAAGGCTGTGTTCTCTAATGCATTTGGCTTCATCGATCCATATGAAGAATCCGGGGATGGCGAGACGGAGTCCATGATGTCCATGTCTGTGACCAGTGCCGGTGGAACATCACCGGTGATCAATCTGCGCGAAGAGTTGCGCCACGACATTGAAGTCGTCTACTTTCCACAAGGTTCAGTTCTTGTAGAACAGGGAGAGCGCCACCCGGGCCTTTACTACGTGATTGACGGATTTTTAGATGTGGGTGTCCCGGTTAATGAACGGGGGGATGACCTCGTTGGCTCGTCACGTCCTTCTGCATCGAATCCACAGGAGGAGCTCTTCCCTCCATTGGGCCGAACTACCACCGGATCCTCACGTACTTCTGGCGCAACAGGCACAACAGACTCTCGCCGCAAGACCCAGTCGCGCAAGTCACTATATATGATCAAACCCGGAGGAATGCAAGGGTATGTCGGTGCCCTGGCCTCCTATCGCTCATACACGGACGTCGTTGCGAAGACAGATGTCTATGTGGGATTTCTACCTCGTGCATCCTTAGAGCGGATTGCAGACCGATACCCCATTGCGCTATTGACCCTGGCCAAGCGTCTGACAAACCTCCTTCCTCGTCTGCTCCTCCACATCGACTTCGCACTGGAGTGGGTGCAGGTAGGCGCGGGGCAACCGATCTACCACCAAGGAGATGAGAGTGATGCGATTTATCTTGTGCTGAACGGTCGTCTACGGTCTGTTTTGGAAGGTCCAAATGGCAAGATGACCGTGATTGGTGAGTATGGCCAAGGCGAGAGTGTGGGCGAACTCGAGGTTATGACCGAATCTACTCGGCCATCAACCCTACATGCAATTCGAGAGACCGAGTTGGCAAAGTTTCCTCGATCACTGTTCAATAGTCTGGCTCAAGAGCATCCAGGCATCACTATCCAGGTATCCAAGCTGATTGCTCAGCGCATGCGTGACTTGGTAGCACACCCTCGGTCTGAGAAAGGAGTTGAACAAGCTCATGTTGGCGGCGTCCAGACTGCGACATCGAACGTTAATCTCCGCACAGTTGCTATCGTTCCAGTCACCGCAGGAGTTCCGGTAGTTGAATTTGGTCATCGGCTGCTGAATGCCTTGCACCAGATGGGTGTGCCAAGAGGCGTGACTTCACTTAACCAAGCTGCGATTTTGAACCACCTAGGCCGCCACGCTTTTAGCAAGATGGGAAAGCTCAAACTTTCGCAGTACCTGGCAGATCTCGAAGAGAAGTATGGATTGGTGCTTTACATCGCTGATACCAATGTCAATGCGCCCTGGACACAAACCTGCATCGCACAAGCAGATTCTATTTTGCTGGTGGGTGTGGCGGAGGCATCATCCAGAATTGGAGAATATGAGCGATTCTTGCTTGGCATGAAGACGACTGCGAAGAAGGAGCTGGTGCTTCTACACTCTGAACGATACTGTTCGCCCGGGCTGACGCGACGTTGGCTTAAGAACCGGCTGTGGATCAATGGTGGTCACCACCACATCCAAATGGCCTTCCGCTTGACTACTGAGCCTTCCCATCCTCATCCCAAGAAGTTTGGAACTGTGCTCAAGCAGCGTGTCCAGATCCTACAAGCGGAAATCCAGAAATACACTTCACGACGTATTCAGCAGACGCCCTTGTATTCAGCACAGACTCCTTTTAAGGGCGATTTTCACCGCCTGGCTCGCCGACTATGCGGCAAATCTGTCGGACTAGTACTGGGCGGCGGAGGCGCCCGCGGCATAGCACAAGTCGGGGTAATCAAGGCGCTTGAGGAAGCTGGAATTCCGATTGATATCATTGGCGGGACTTCCATTGGTTCATTTATTGGAGCTCTGTATGCACGAGACGCCGATGTGGTCCCAATGTACGGCCGTGCAAAGAAATTCTCAGGCCGAATGGGGAGTATGTGGAGATTTGCGCTGGATTTGACCTATCCAACGGTCTCCTACACGACAGGTCATGAGTTCAATCGTGGAATCTTCAAAACTTTCGGTGACAGCCAGATTGAGGATTTCTGGCTCGAGTTTTACTGCAACACTACCAACATCAGCCGGTCTCGCGCGGAGTACCACTCGTCAGGATACGTGTGGCGGTATGTGCGTGCGTCCATGTCATTAGCTGGCTTGCTTCCTCCCATCTGCGACGAGGGTAGCATGCTACTTGACGGAGGGTATATCGACAACCTCACTGTGGCGCATATGAAGAGCCTTGGCGCCGACGTTATCTTTGCCGTCGATGTGGGCTCCATCGATGACAATACACCCCAGAGCTACGGCGACTCACTATCCGGATTTTGGTCGATGTTCAACCGCTGGAATCCCTTCTCCTCTCTCCCAAATCCGCCTACATTGTCTGAACTCCAAGCTCGCCTCGCCTATGTCTCCTCCATCGATAACCTGGAACGGGCCAAGAGCCTCTCCGGATGTCTTTACATGCGCCCGCCGATCGATCCATACGGAACGCTGGACTTTGGTAAATTCGACGAGATTTACCAGGTCGGATATGCATATGGCAAGGAATTCCTCGATCGTCTTAAGAACGAGGGATCTCTTCCTATTCCCGAGGAGACGGAAGAAAAGCGCAAGTTACAGCGGACTATGGCTCCTCGAAGAGCTAGTATTTGAGAGTCTTGACTGTATCGCATCGCCCCCCCCCCCCCCCATTTTGTTTATTCGTTTGATCCTTGAGGCGTTGACCTAGCCCGGCGTTCAACACAGCCTACGCTCTCCAAAGATTGGCTGGAGGTGGCGTTTTTATTACCTTCCAAGGTTGCAGGTGTTGGACCTGCCATTTGAATTGCATAAGATACACCCATTTGCATGCTAAAACAGTCACTTTGACTATTGGTGGTCACGACCTGTACATACACAATAGAAATACCATGAGTTAGGCTTATGTCTATCTTAATAGACCAACTGTCGCGGAGTGCGTGTTGTACCCAGGGAATCCAAGCCTGAACCCCAGAGTAGTATAGGCCACTAAATCATGGTCAGGTATAAAGTTCATTAAGTAGAATAGGAAGGAATTAGAACATCAGTTCACGCCCACATCAACTGACAACATCCGCCTCGAAGATATATGTACTTTACCAACCGGACATCCAGGTGAAAGAGGACCAGAGTCCAAATCTCCCACCATGCACATTAGACTATGGGTACTACAAGAGCTCACACAACAGGGAACAACAGATACATCTGCATCTGCACAACACCCACGCAGTCCGATTGGACAGGGCGCCAGACCTGAACCCAACAAGGTAGTACAGATATACCACTCAAGCAGAAATCAACTCGAAAGTTATTCAAACCGTACCAGTCGGAGTAGCAACTTCAGCTGGGGCATCAAGTGGCGGCCGAGTTGCAGCAGCAGCATCTGGCTTTTCAACCACAGGCTGAGCAGGCCGTCCCCGTTGATAAGCCCGATGAGCAGCAAACTCGAGGAATATTCCAAAGAAGGTCATAATACTAGACAATATTAGTACCGGAGCAGAGTATATGGAGTGGGACGAATAAGGAAAAAAAAGAAAACCTGGGAGTGGACATACAAGGCTAAGAAGATGAAGGCCTCATTCGCCCTCTTGCGTCGGCAGGATATACCAGGCGGAGAATCGAAGTAACACGAGTGCCAGTTGTAGTCTTGGGCTGCAAAGATAAAAGCAGTCAACCATCTACCGCGGTACATTAGTGGTTGGACAAATTTATATGGAGATCCCAGGAAACGTACAGGTAGGAGAACACGACATCAACTAGGATGACCATTTTGCTTAAGATTGAAGGGCGGAAGGGGGAGATGAATGCTGGGATGAAGCAGACGACAGAGAAGGCGGCCTGGTTTTGTTAGCGATTTCAGTAAATATAGAATATTTGGGGCTTGGTATATCTAGACACGTACGATGACTTCTTGGTAGATGATATGCTGTCCGCGAGGACCTTGATCGATGAACCACGAGGTCAAGCCTAAGACGATGACAGCACTGCACCACTGCATAGCCCTAAGGGCTAGTTGCAGTGGTCTGGCGACAGACGTTGAGAAGCGCATGACGAGGTATATGAGATACGATGGTAGTCAGAGGATGCACAGGTCGTATCCAACCGAATATGAGTAATATAGTTGATGAAGATCAAGTGAAGAATACAGTATCCAAGAATGTGGCAACCCACGACTTTATGTTCTTCAGCGCATTATCGGTTAACTCGGACACGAGCATGAGATACAAACACGCCGAGTCAATAGGACGTTAAAGTCCACACCAACACCGCAATGTAGTCGCTTTCCCCAGCTGCGTCATGATTGCATGAAGTCATTACCCGAATCAGAACCTAATCCAGTTTGCACTTGCAGGTACATAATTGAAACGCTTCACTTCAAGTTATATGGCTTCACGCTGTACGAGCTTGATATTCTCATCTAGACCAGCACAGCAATTTGCCAATTCTCCGAGTGCTTGACTTCTTATGGGAGAGTACCATCCTGTGCGCAAAGAGCTCCAGCAAAAATGAAGCTTAATTGAAATAACCAAAATCACCGTTCGGCATACCGCGGAACAGCTAGGAAACGAACACCTGATAAGAGCCTAGTCTTGAACGTAAGCCAATCATGAGACTCCTTCCACTACGTACATATCACACCACCTCGACAGATGTGGGAACGGAAACAATAACCACGGAACGAACGGCAGACTAATGAAGTGGCCAAAATACTAGATAGATGTTGTGCTACCAAAGACCGAGGATCTCCCTGCATGGATCAAATATTCTTCAGCTTCAGAAATTAGGCTGTTATTACAATACACCCTTTGAACCCTGACAGTGTACGAAATACAAAGGTAGCCACGAGGAATACTAATACTTGCGATATAGTTAATGGATCAATAAGGTATACTACACTTGACCCCACTGGAGATCAGGATCTGCGCCAAGTGGGATGATCTTTAATTCTTGTGACGACACATGACGGTCATACTATTGGTCGCAATATGGTACGATGCAAGAAGTCTACCTAGGCTGGACTACAGTGTTCGGTTAAGTCGGCTTGTGTAACGGATATCTGAGCTGGATAATAGCCCAGACGTCAATCCTGTTTACGACAGGCTTGGCCTTGTAAACAAGAATTGGGTACTGTCAACGGTCAAAGAGCGCCAATGTACCTGGACGTTCAGGGAGAAGGTTATGAAGCCGGTCTCGAATTGATATACATGAAGTACCAGACAGCTGCTTAGGTGCGATAAATACGCAAGGAGCCAGTATACCTCAATGGCATCATTGATAACCCAAGAGGAATCATCTACTCAAAATCTGAATTAACCCTTTCATTCAAAGTAAACATGCCCATTGCCTTAAAATCCTGCAACTTGACTCCATTTGCGCCTGAGTTTTGGAACCCTTTCATCTGCTCCTGTTTACCAAGTAGCATTACCAAGATCGTGCTCCTATGAAGACTTAGAACCAAATCAAAACAGGACAGAAGGGGAAAAGCGTCGACTCACCTTAATATACTCACTGCCCTTCTCCAAGTATTCTTGTCGGGTCACAGACGACCGACCGAAATCAGCTCCAGAAGCCCACTGTGCCGCGCCCTTCCAAGCATCCAAAACGGGATCAGAGGCCCGGCGCACATTGAACTCCGCATTAATGGGCAGATACCCACGAAGTTCGCTACGGAACCGTTCCTCAAATCCAGAGAAAAGGGTGTTACCACCCGTCAGGAAGACATCTTTCAGGAGTCGGGCACGGTCCTCGGTGCCTGAGAAGCGCTGGTTCACGATATCAGCGGCAATTTGAATCAGACCGGCCTGGTCCACGCCAGCAATAGAAGGCTTGAACACGACTTCGGGGACACGAATACGTTCCACATTCAAATGAAGCTGGTGCGCTTCTCGCTGGCTTTCAGGATCAAAGGGCCAGGGACCACGCAGGAACCCATGGACAAGACTCTTAGTCCAGTCGGTCTGTGCGGCGAGGGTGTGGTTCTCCGTGAACTCGGGGTCGTATTGGAGTAACTCCGCCTCGGCGCCATTGAGCATGGCACCCAGGTCCTCCTCTTCCTCTTCGTCACTCTGGTCGCCTGTCGCGACGGTTCGGTAGACACCCCAGTCATCGTCGTTGGCACCAAAGTCATCGTCATCTCCGCCGCGGCGGCGTTTCTTGGGGCCATCGGACGCCAAGTTGGCCAGGGTCTTCATACGCTGTTGGCTGGCAAGAGACTTTCGGTTTCCAAGGTCGGCCTTCATGCGATCGCGGTCCTTGATTCGTTGGAGGATAGACTATACTCGTTAGCACCTGGCATGAGAACGATAGTTGGGGCCACACTTACCTGGCGGTTAGCTCGTCGTTCTGAAATCCAGGCCTCAAAATCGTTTTCTCGCTTCTCTCGGTCAAGACGTTCCTCTTCTTCAACACGAGCCTTTTCACGCTCCTTCTCGGCCTTAGCACGCGCCCGCGCATCAACATTCGACTTCATTAACCGTTGGTGACGCTTCTCTTTCAGACCAGCTTCATCAAGCTGGTCATCCGGAATGTCAAGCATCGGGAAGGACATCTCCTCAGGCTGCTCTTCGGTTTCCTCAATGCCAAGATCCTTGTTCCGAGAGCGCTTGATGGATTTCTCTAGGTCACGGATCATGCGCTCAAGATGAGCCTCATCCTTAAGCTCTTCACTCTCAAGGATGCGACGAATCTCCTTCTTTGTTTCAGACGCCAGGGTTGCCTGTATACTCTTCCAATACTCAAGTTCCTGCTCCTTCTTCACCAGCTTTTCAAGACGCATCTTGGCCGCCTGTTCTTGTAGTCGGCGCCCACTCTCTTTCTTCCGCTCCGCAATGCGAGCAAGCTCTTCTTCAGTCTTCTCGACAACAATGTGTTCGGTGAATGGGTACTGAACAACACGATCGCGGTCCTCCAGGCCCGTCCAATCGAGATACCCACTCAGCTCGCGGTCGTAGTCTTGCGATACGTAACAATGATTGCGTACCAAGTCTTCCATTTGGTTATCAGTGATACGCGCCGGGAAGGTCGGGTACTTCAACTTCATAAGCTTCATAAGGTATTCGGCATTTTGCAAGCCGCCCCAATTAAGCCTGGTGCAGTTGGACAAAAGCGGTTTCCCGCCTAGCACAGGAATGACATGTGTAGATGTATGCGACGAGGAAACAACCAATCCATCGGTTCCTTTGTTGTAGCGGTATGCGAAAAGCGAATCAATACCATAGGATACAGACGGCGCAGAGTAACATTCGAAGAGGATCTCGTTCATCACTAGAAGGTGTTAGTTCCGACCGATAACCCAATCACCAGAGTAACATACTTCTCCTCGGATATCCCAAGTTGGCGATTGGTTCAGTCATAAGAATCGGCCGGTCGACGCCGCCGTTTGAACCGTCAACGCCCAACTTCAGAAACATGTAGTCCAATACACCCTCCATGACATCCCAGTTACCAACGACACTGGAGCCAGGATCAAAGGCGCCACGAAGCTGACCCCGGGTAGTCGCATCGAGATAGGCATCGTGTCCGACAAAGTTGCATTGGCGATTCAGCTTGCGATCGCGGTAACGACTCATGACGGGAGGGATGACGAAGCGCGGGTTCTTGTCAAAGGACCAACCGGCCTTGACGAGATGGGCACCTACGAGAAAGCCGTTAGCGATAGATCCATGCAGCCTTCTGTATTGAACTGGACTCACCATTGTCGATAACAATAGCACTGGTGTCGGGATGGACCTTGCTCCGCTCAAATCCATCGGTCTGTGGAGCCTGGTAGCCCTTAAAAGGAAAATCTTGCGCATGGTACGGCTCAGGTGGAGGTTTTGCAGCGGGCTTTTCAGTGGAATTGGCCGCAAATCGGGTCGGTAGAATGGTTTTGACCGAAGTGATAGTCATGGTGGGCTGCGCCGGTGCGGAAACCAGGAGCTTCAAGGTCGGAGATCAGTGGTGAGAGATTACTGCATGGCAGGGGCAGAGAATATAAGAGAAATGTAAAGGTAAAATTTAGGAGACACAATCCCAGAAGTAACCGGAAAGACAAAGCGGAGACCAATGGCGTAGAAGTTGGAGGTTGAGAGTTGAAAGCCGGAGGTTTGGTTTGCGCCAAGAATGGGGAAGCGGTGATGCGCTATCTACCTTCACTGCAGCTTCACTACTGTCTATTCTCTACTACTCTATGTGCGACAAGCTTTATGTAATATGCGATTAAAGTAACTAATTTCATTCAAACATTGCTTCGTAATATCAAAATGGGGTTCCTAAGTAGAACCTTGCGGTGAGGGTTCTTTTAGGTTCTCCGTAGCTGCAGTGCATTTTAGCATTTAGTATCGGAGATATTGATAGAGACCGAGAAACATACCCTCTAGATGAAACAAAACATTAGACTGGTAGTTCTTAAACATCTGAGCCACCAGCTCGACGTTCATATTCTGGATATTGACCTCCTGCGCACGATTAACAATGGATGCCATGTAGCATTAGATACTAGGACATACCTGAAGGCCCTTGTTCATGACCATGACAGCCTCATTGAGTTTCTCCTGGATCTGGATTAGCCTCTTAAACCACGAGATGACGAACAGCATATCGCGACTTACGACATTGGTGATGATACGCGAAAGCAGCACGGACTGCTGGTGCTCATGAGGGCTCTCCTAGGTGAAGTTAGCTCAGTCCACTAGACATCAACAAAAAAAGCAAAGCCTAGCATTATGTTGAAATGACCTACCATGATTCTGCAGTCTTGGTAGGTGTACTTGTTTGTTGGTTGTAAAGAAGCAGATCGGGATGATTTGTTTGGGCGGTCATGTGAGACCCGATTGGCCCTTTGTGGTCTCCCCTCACCAGAGCTTAATTGTCCACCATCTACTTAATCTACCACTATTATATAGACTGGTTGGCTTCTTTTCTCCTTATAACCCCCAAATTTGGCATCTATCGTGATCCCATAATGCCTCCCGCAACCCCCGCCAACGACGAGGCGCACCAGCAGCTGATGAACCAGCTGGACATCGGCCACCTCCACAAGCCATTCCGCAACCCACACTGGAAGCCCTCCCAGCGTCGCAATCGAAACCTCAAGCAGATCATCGCGGAGAGTGCCCGGAAAGAAGCGTCCGTAATGGCAACTCAAGCCAACTCGGGCGCGACCACCCCCTTCACTGCCACGGGCAGCACAACGGCCGATGGAACACAAACCCCAGCAGAAGGAGCTGGCAAGACCCCCAATCTGGCACAAGCTTCTCAAAATCTGTCCTCCCTAGTTCTGGAGAAGAATGCGCGCGCCAATTTTCCGACCGTCACCTATACCAACATCGAATCTGCGCCATCGCTGAGCGCGGCTAATCATCGCCATTACTGCGATATCACCGGGTTGTCCGGCCCCTACACCGACCCCAAGACACGTCTGCGGTATCACAACAAAGAGGTCTTCGGAGTGATCAGGACACTGGCACAGGGCGTACCAGAGACCTACCTAGAAGCGCGTGGGGCACACACCGTCCTGAAATAAGGGCAGCCAAGATGTTATTTAATGAGTTATGATCAATTTCAAGGGCGAGGAGACATTTGTACGAATAGAATATGATATTGGATTCAAAGCCTCAAACTAATACTATGGCTATTACAATGAATGTTCGGCCAACACAGTCAAGCCCTTTCCATCCCACCTGTCCCTTTCGAAACAGGCTCAAGAAAGCGCTCCGGCTTATTCGTGACCGTAAAATTTTTTTATTCGCCTTGCGCCAGGTGGCACTCAACTAGTACCGAAACTCCACAGAAGGGAATATCAGTTACAACACCCGAGGGTGTTGTCGTCGCGGCGTGAATATACAGGTACGAGTACCTGGTGCAAATGGACAGTGTCCAGAATAGCTGTTCGTCCACAGCTCAGACCAACATTCAAGTTTGAGCTTTCTTCTGGAACCACATGAACTATTGTATTTTGCTGAAATCAAGTAGTACTTTGATCTCGACCAATGGCTTTTCCAGCTCGGATGATCAAGTCAATCGTGAACTCGTTGTGTGAAGGAAAAGAAATCGGAATGACCGCTCGAGCGGCTTAACCATCCAGTCCGACCGCCTTCGGTGGTGGGCAGAAAAAAGGGTTTCTGTTTACGGCGAAATCATTGTGATTTCCATTTGCAATTGATCTTGTTCTCGCGTCCTTTTCTTCCTTGTGCCTATTTTTCAACGTGATTCACGTCAGTTACGACATATCCCGCCAATATGCCGAGCATGTGGCTTTCAGAGCACCAGAGTAAGTACTTCGTCGCCCTGAACTGTGTCGCGCGACACTTGTCCAAGTGCAGCGAATTGCAGCCTAACTACGAATAAATTATGACTGACACTATTTCTAGAGTTTGGAGTGGTCTTCTGCTGTGCAGGTATGCCCACTGGCTACAGCGAAAGCAATCGCGACAAGCCGTTCATGCACAAAGAGCAAAACTAACCATGGTGGTATAGGTGGCTTGTTCCTGTTCGGAGGTGTCCTTATGTTCTTCGACCGGTCATTGTATGTCTTCGTCCTGGATATAATGAATTATTATAAATATGCGACAAAATGCTAACAGCTCTCTAGACTGGCCATGGGCAACGTACGCCACAATCCCCACTCCCGGCCTCCCTAATCCCTCCCACTCACATACTTCAGATCCTCTTCCTTATCGGTCTCACCTTGATCATCGGCTTCCAGAAGACCCTGGTCTTTTTCTCCCGTCCTCAGAAGCTAAAGGGAACCGCTGCCTTTTCCGCTGGCATTATTCTCATCCTCCTCCGCTGGCCGCTTTGTGGCTTCATGATCGAGCTCTATGGACTATTTATCCTCTTCGGTGATTTCCTGATTACCATCGGTCAGTTTGCAGGCAATGTTCCCGTTATCGGACCGTATATCCAGCGTGGATTGGAGGTCTTGGCGGGTGGTCGGAGCAATGCCGAGTTGCCCGTATAAGGCTGATCGGATTGCTTCTGACGTGATCTTGATGAGTCTGAGTTGTCAGCATACGTGGTAGATGAACACTTCCAAATGTGCATAATATTTTGCAGTGGGCTGGGCATTATGGTAATCCAGTTGTGCATTCTGGCGCATGGTGGACAAAGATGCGACACGAAGTCTACGTTTTAGAAACACTTGTAATTACTAATGATTCCTATTTTGCATTTTTCCAGTATGGATCTTCTGATATCAGTAATCTGTGGTAAATAGAGGAGCACTAACATATAAGACAGGGACATGAATCGGGTAGCGATCAGGCTAGACACCTACCCAGACTCAAGTGCGATAAAGCTAGAACAAGTGCATAAATCCAAATACAATAGCGAAAAGACAAGAAAATTCGATGCTCCTTTATTTGCTATTCTTAACATCTCATATTCTCATATCATCCTATCGGATGATTGCAACAATTTCAATACAAGGGCGCATTTAGGCCTTGTTAAGGTAGTCAACAAGGTTCTCGACAACGGTAGCAGCGTTGGTAGTCTGAACGTTCTCGCCGTGGTGGGCGATCATGGTACAAGAGGAGGCACGGACAACAATAGCGCCCTCCTTACCCTATTTCCCGAACCAAGTCAGTCATGCCATCTATCGGCGATTGCACGCCTTCGTATAGCCGAGGGGTAGGATGCATACCTTCTTGCCGTATAGGGAGCGAGCATCGGCCTTGATAGCGACGAACTTCTCACCACCGATGGAGAAGCCCTTAGCGAAGGCGTCGTCGGGGTTTGTGAACGCAACAGCCAGGGAGTTAATGTCATCCTGGGTGAGCTGTGGGTGGATAGGAACCAGTCAGTTTCATAATCCTCGTGTGACACATTGACCCCGCATTCCGAGTTTGTGTTTGACACCGGCTCCCGGATGGAAAGGGGGGAGTTGTATATCATACCGTGAAGGTAGGGGACTGGGCCTCAAGGCCAGAGAAGTCCGCGGCAAGAATACCGGCCTTGTCGAATTGACCGGAGCCCATCAGGCTGTTGGAGAATTGTCAGCATCGATTCGGGGGTAAGGTGTCGCCACATATTGCTATCGGGCATGAACACTCGAAGCTGGATGTAGCGGAGAGTATGATCGAGATAGCTCAAGGTGTGCTGGAGAAAGAAAATTAAAGACGCTAGTCGTACCTCGAGTCGACGTAGCCTAAACATCACAAAAAAGACGTCAGTGAGGGGGAGTGCGGACGGATGCGGTCATAGATGAAGCACCTACCTTGCCAGACTGCAGAGTGGGCGCCCATTTTGAAGTTATGTGTGAAGGGATTGGAGGGAAAAGAGAAGAAAAAAAAAAGGGTCGTGAGGAGATGCAGAGAATATAAGGAGCTGGGAGGGTTGGCAGTCGAAGTGGGGTGTGTTTGGCGGTAAATAAGACCCCGCCAACTCTGTTCAAAGTCGGTGTCGATCTCTCGAGAACGGGGCCAACCGGACCGTGGTTTCGACCACTTAAAGATACTTGGGAGAGATTATTGGACTTGGTCTTAAGAACAAACCAGAAATGAGGCTCAATATTAGACACCAGAGTCCTAAGCTTTATATGTCCACTGACCTTCCAAGGTTTTACGTTTAAGTGACTGCCTGCATAGCCGATCAACCTTGCTCTACTTCCGCACGCATGTCATTCCACGTGTGCCTGGAATGAGGGGCTCTTGTGATTTGCAATGCTTCCCCTTCATTGTTCCAAGATTCTGCAATGCATAGGTGTCAACGGTTAGGGCCCCGGGTTTGTGGGATAGCGGTGTAGAACCCACTGATCGCTTCGCTTGAGTCATTCCAATAGCTTCCGTGGTCCCTCTCACAGTCGGGCCTACTATAGACCGGGGTTAATCTATATGTTCTCTAGGGCCTTTCCAACATTGGACAACACTGAGCCATGTGAATTAGAAGTTCGCTAGACTCACAAATGTTTCAGTAAATTACGAGTTAAGAGGGCTGTTCCATTGTGTATACCTATGCGAAACCCCTTTCGCACCTTTTTTTCACTTGCTATCATTGGAAAAAGGGCCGTTGACTGGGTATCGAAACTGATAGTTGTTCTATCTAGAAGTGATTAAGCTCCGAGAGGAGCTTCGTTAGATCCCGTCTTCCCGCATATGCCGACCGTTATCTTTATGTAGATACTATGTAAATGCCGAGCTTTGACTGGCACCTGAAGGCACAGCTTTATAGAGATGATCCTTCACGTACAAATAATGGTTAGGGCACATTAGAAAAGGAAAAGGAAAAAGAAAACGATAAAGAAACCTTGGCAAAGGCCAAAGCCAATTCGGGGATTAACATGGGGGACTTTCCGTGGGTTTCATTGGCTCAGTCAACATGTAGATGCCTTACAATAAGTACTCGATACAGGATACAATCGCATGGACTACGCGTTCGATGCTGATCAACTCTATATGTCCGAGAGCAACATGTGAATACCATCTCTGCTGCCTACTCTACGTATTTAGGTCAACGCGTTCCCATAAGTGGACCCACATACGTAGGCCCCTAAATGTACCTGGTCTTCGAAACCTTGGAAACTCTATATCTTCAGGAATTTGTTGTTAGGAGGTCATTTACCATTTCCACCAAAGAGACACAGGTTCAACAAGGATCTAGAGTATAATGGAGGACATGTTGCGGTGACCGCTTCTTTAGCACACACCGCTCCTGCTTTGTACATGAAAAAAAAAAAGCAAAACCTAATCAAAGAGTGCCCAAACCTGAGATTTACTTGAACCCTACAATTCAGTTGATAACCCTCAAGCTTCAAATACTGTACCACTCGAACCGATCGAATAACCCACGGCGGTTAAGTACTAGGAACCTGTCCAAACTCGGGGTTAACTCCCGCATTGAGCATCGGCACGTTCAACGGCCGATGTGATCCGAGAAGCGGGATCCACTTCCACGCAAGCCTTTTGACAACTGGATCAGACGCCATCACATTTAATCCATTCGTCCCCTGCATAGCTATGCCCATCTTCTGGTCTCGCATATCGCCACCCATGGCCCTCTTAGACCCCGTTCAACCCAAGAGGCGGTCGGAATTTCCACACTGAGAAATTCTCTCTAAAATTACGCAGCTTCCTACTTATCCAAGCAGGCAGAATGGCGTTCAAATCCAAAGTGCCCGTGGGGTATCGGTGGCGTTCTTCAAATTGGTTCATTATCAGCTGTATTGCGATAGCTCTTTTTTCGGGTGCGTTGAGTAAAAGATCGGTTGTTTGATGATCTTCGTCTAACTGCTTCCCAGAGAACTTCCTATACAGCTACATCGTGCCCATCTTGCAGGTGATGCTGGAGCAGCGCTTGGGTATCGATGAATCCGAGCTACAAGCGACTACCTCTCTCGTACTAACCGTCCATGCCTTGGTTTGTCTCGTGGCTGGACCACTGACAGGCTGGTTGGCTGATAAAGCGCCAAACCGAAGGCTACCCTTACTTCTTTCATTGGGGGCCGAACTGGTAGGAACAGTGATCATCATGCTAGCACCGAATCGTATGATCTACTCATATCTCCCCAAAGTTATACCCCCGCTGACGTTCTCTAGTCCCCGTACTTCTTCTCGGACGCGCACTCCAAGCAATAGGCGGAAATACAGTATGGATTGTTGGCCTCGCTACTGTCGCCGATACAGTCGGACATGAGAACACGGGCAAGGTCCTTGGAGGAATATCATCGTTTTTCGTCTCCGGATTGCTTTTCGGTCCGATGGCTGCGGGTACCTTTCTTCAAGTACTGGGATACTGGTGGACTTGGATGGTCCCTATCCTGATGCTGATCATTGATATGCTGATGCGCGTGGTCATGATCGAGAATAAGAATGGCCACCGATCTCCAACAAAGGAGTATCTCTCTGACGATACTCCTTCAAATGAGAACAGCACACGAGGAAACAACGATGATCATGTTCATGAAGATGCGGCTCTTCTAGATATTCCATACCTGAATCATGATACATATTATGACGACGACGAATCATTACCGCCAAGAGAGGAGGCCCCGAAGAACAACAAAAAATCACCATTCACATCCAATATCTATACGATGATCTTGTCTGATTCCCGAGCTGCTGGGGGACTAATCTGTAATTTCACACAAGCTGTGATCTTGGTCGGTCTTGATACTACTTTGCCTCTTCATTGCAGCGAACAGTTTGGCTGGAACTCTGCCCGAGTCAGTCTGATGTTCCTGCTGCTCCAGATTCCGTCCCTTCTCCTGGGCTCTCTAACTGGCCTTTTGAAAGATAAAGTTGGCACAAAATTTCCCACTAGTGTGGGCTTCCTGACTGTCAGCGTTTTCCTTTGGATGTTGGGTACGGCCAGCAGTGATGGGCTGTCTATTGTCGGGACTGGACAGAAGGGTCAGGCGATATATATGGTTGCTATTGTCGGGATTGGTATATCACGAACATTTATCAGCGGATGTGGTACCATTGAGATCACCAGTAAGTGATTTGATCAGCACGGAAAAGACGATGTTATTTTCCGATTTAGAGACTAACATCAGTTGCGGGATATAGACGTGATGAAAGAAATCTACGAAGAACACCCCGAACGCTTTGGATCCTCGAGGAACTTTTCTTCTGGCTTTTCCATGACCAACTTTTGCTGGACAGCAGGAATGCTTGTTGGCCCTGTTCTATCAGGATTCCTCACCCGATCAGTTGGGTACTACTATATGAATTTGACTTGTGGTAAGTCTTCCGTGCTATCGTCCCCAAACGAGGCTAATATTTTGTTTTAGCGATTATATCTGCTGCAGTTGGGATGGTGGGAATGACATTTCTTCCAAGCAAAAAGAAACAGCCGATCGCTTTACCCTGAAAAGTCGAGCAAACTGTCTACTCTTTTGTTTTCTTTTTTTAGAAATGTTTGGCGTTTCGGATATTTGCTTTAGCTGTGCCATACCTATACAAGAGCCCGATTATATACATTCGGAAAATTTGAACGAGACCACGATACTGATAAACGACATTAACATTGCATTTATACATAAGTCTTGTTTCTATTCACACTGCGCATGTTTCATAAGTCCTATAAACCTTTTCCGCGAAATTCTCCGCAATCTCACGGATCAGGTCTTTATTCTGCATCTCGTCTACCCATCGTTGCGGAATTGCCTCAATCCCATAGAAAATACCCGCCAGGGCTCCATATACAGCACCGGCCGAGTCCGAATCTTCACCAAGATTCACCACAGCAAGTGCGCCGTCAGCCCAAGTCTCGAACTTGAAAAACGCCCATAATGCACATTCCAGTGTATCTATGACCCACCCACTGCTCTTGATATCAGCATCTGTCTTAGAAGTCCAACCCGAGATGACATTGTACTGCGCAAACCGCTTAACCAACACGGGATGAGTAAAATTGTAGGCAGCAAGCCTCTGGCTCAACTGTGCCTTTGACTGACCTGAATTGAATCAGAACCCACCAGTATTCATAAATTGTAGATTGACCGCTACATACCTCTCATAGCCCCGCAGATCACATCGGTATACGCCTGACAAGCCTCAACACAAGCAGGTGCAGGATGCGTAACCTGACTCTGCAACTTGGCAATGTGAGCCGCAGCTTCAGGTTCAAAGAACATAGCCACGCCAACTGGCGCGATACGCATAAGACTCCCGTTCCCCGAGAATTCATCCCTCATTAATCTATCGGAAATCATCTGGCCCGTCTCTTCGATGCCGCCCAATCCCCTCTTCAGCCAAAGTTTGAGCGCGCGACCAGTCGAAACACCAACATCCCACGCCTCGTCAGTAGTACTGAAGCGACCGTATTTCCACCATTCAAGAAAATACTGGATAGTCATCGCATGGTCGTAGAGTCTAGGACTGTCAATAAATTGTTGTGCTAGAGCGAGGGTCATAGCGCCGTCGTCAGAATAAGATCTACGTCTGTTAGCAAAGCGAATAATCGGATCTTGAATGTTGAAGGCATACCCAGCTGGTTGCTGAAATGGTCTTACAAATTCCAAATCCGTGATTGGGGCAAATGTTCCTTTTTTCATGAATTGGACTGGGCCGCCTAGGGCATCGGCTACGCAGTTTCCCCAGATTGAGCCTAAGACTCGGGATTTGAGCGGGACTGCAGCCATTTCTACGGTCATTTTCAGATTGGCAACTCTCGCCTCGACTGATCTGGTTCCTTATGGTAGCGGCGCACTCGGCTTAAATATGCTCGAGGCTGTGAGTCAGGTATACGGGGCGCAGTCTTTCAGTTTGGCTCCGCCACGATAATCCCCATCAAGCGTCATTGTCGATGGTCTGTTTGAGATGTAGAGACATGCCGATGTGTATCGATGTTTCTTTCTACAGACCCTAGGCTCTTTGACATGTATGGCAACCTTTGAAAGAAGCGCCAGGAGCTGCTGGTTCTAGTTAAAGATCGACAGCCCACTCTAGGCCCGTGGCTCGGACCACGACAACTGGGACAATGAACGGAAGGCAACGACATATGGGATTGTTAAAGAAATATTCTCTTTATCACTTGCAGAGGCTTCAAAGCTCTCAATGTGATATTGACCCTACCTGTGTTAGCGGGGGTGGAGAAAGATAAACAAAACCATTTCCCACAAGAATGATATCAGTATCCTGGCCCTTAAAGGTGGATCCAGTTCATATAAATTGGTGGAGATTGGAGAAAAGACGCGATTGATCAAAGTCATCATCAAAAATATCCCCATAATTTTTTTTAACGTTTTCTTCACTTTCTCCTGGTCATGAGAAGCGCGCCATTGGTACCGAAACAAGCTTGGCGTCACAAAGCGCACCACGAATCAAGGGAACCGCCAAAGCTGAAGACACCCTTTTCAGCCCAGCAAAAGTGGCGCCCGATTCACGCGATTTCCGCACGGGCTACCCACAGCGCGTGGTAAAAGCCCCGAGACCACTTGTCTCAAGTCCCTGTCTCAGTTTCGGGGAAGATGAAACACGCCTCAGCGGGTTCTGGCCCACACAGCGCTCTGAGTGGTCCGTTTAGAACGTGGTAGCGAGCTAATCAATCCCAATCATCACAATCAATTTGCGACGCTCACGCTCATTCGTCACGCGTCAAATAAGCATCTCGTACCTATTGTGGTTCTGGTGGCTCCTTGGTCTCTCAAGTCCGACCGTTGGGGCGCTAGTCCCAGGTCCAAGCCATTCAGCTGTGCGACTGATTCCATTTCAGCGCTGACCATGTCGCATTATTTGTTTCTGATTCCGTTGGAAGACCCTGGTTGGCTCTGGTTCACGGCTGGATTTGGCACTAAAATCCAGGATCGTCGTTGTTCTGGTCTGTTACAGTTGGAAGAATGAGATTAGCCCCAGTGTCTCAAGTACACTACTTGGCGTAACCCATCTCCACTCATGAGACTATATCGGCTGGCGCCACTCCTTCTGGTCCTAGTTTAATTGATTTAATTCATATAATCATCCCTTTTTCGCTTGAGAAAAAAACCTCTGGTTTTCTTCTATTTTGTGCTTCTTTACGGGTCTTCTGGAAGACCGTCCATTCCTTTCTTGATCAGGCATCTTAATTATATTCTATCTTCTTGACTAGTGATCAACTGGAGCCAGGCTGGACAAGGAGAGATATGGCTAGGGCTACGACTATGACCAGAACGCGAACTGTGCAGAATGAAACCATCTCCGTTCCGGTGTTGACATACACCGATGCCCTACCCCGGGATGACCTCCGCGATATCAATCCATCTGAGCGCCAAGTGGACCATACCAGACAGGCAAATTTCCCCCGGACTAGAGTGGCAGACGGACAGTCGAAGGAGCTAGGGGCCAGTCCGAAATTCGACTTTCAACTCACAGCGCCATTGGATGAACTCACACCCACGAGCGCGAGATCGTTTCGGAGCCCTGTGGGCTCACATACGATAGGCGTTGCCTTAGGAAGTCCAGGATTGATGCGTCCTCAGGATGAATTGCCTCCACCACGTTTCAATACAGGAGTCTTTAATGAAGGATCGGAACATCCGCGCAAGTCGAGCAAATGGAAGAAGATTGGAGGATTATTCAGAGCGAAGAATGCTATGACATCGCCCACGAACTCTCCACCGACTCCTCCGAAGGACGTTGGACCAAAGGACAGACCGAATACCAGCAAGGCTGCGCGGAAAGAAGATGTCAGCGAGGAATGGCCAAAGATCGAAGTCGAGCCTCAGGTCGGGCATAACATCAGCCCGAAACGAAGCAGGAAGTTTTCTATCTCCGGCAGAAAGGATTCAAGAGACAAGGGCGTTGCAAGCCCCATGTTGGATGTCAACATCCCGGATGTGCAAATGGAACGCTACAGCGTCATGTTTAGCAATGTCATGAACAAAAACCACAAGCCCTCACTGCTGGCCAGGAGGAGCAAGACGCTGGACAATTTACGTGTGCCAAGTGCTCAGGTAAGATATAACTCTTACTAGTGGCAATAATTGCGTATATTGACGCTCCCAGGACTTCTTGACTGCAAAGATACCTCCAGTTCCACAACGACGAGCCACCTCACCATCACATCCACGATCGAGCTTTACGCTATTCCCCGCTGCACAGCCATCTAAAGCTCCCCAAGGTCTCGGAGCACAGAATTTCTCCCGAGGCCCCAGTCCGTTGCTGAGATCCAATACGCTTCCCGTGAGCCCGAAAGCATCACCATCACCACGGGATCTACCACTCCCACCTAATAATAATAGCCTTTCTTCCTTCGAATCACCTGTCATCCCCAAACTATTTTCCGGTGGCTCCAATACCCCAGTTTCAGCAAACAGTTATCGCAGAGAAGACAAGCCTCTTCCAGCTATCAAGCCCGAGCCGCCGGTCGCTCGGTCGCGAACAGTGTCACCGCAGGTTCATGTCCCACAACCGAGGCGAACTCAATCAGACAGGAACATCAAATCGGGCAATCAAGTCGCTCAGCCGGAGAGGTCCACAACAGAGCCTATACGTTCCATCAAACCCAACCTGAAAGTCCAGACCCAGCTCAGAGGACCACCCACTCCAGCGAAGGATAGGGTAACGCCGAAGTCGGCATCAGCTCTATCAGCCATGACAACTAGGGAACACGTATCCCGTATAATGTCGCCAGCATTGGTTCAATCGCCTATGGAGATCAGATCCGCTCCAGCAAAGGAGATCAAGTCTTCACCAGCAAAGGTCTTACAACCAGTGGTTACAGAGCGCGAAGTCAGCAGTCCGGTCAGCAAGCCCAGGAAGAAAATATCAAAGATTGAAGTTTCCACTGCACGATCTATCTCCGTGTCGAAGGGAAAGAGACAGATCCTTGTTCCAATCGGGACACGGATGGAACAACTAAACCCTAATGAGCGCCTCGTTGAACGAAGAGCCATGACACCGACTATCATGGATGTGCAGTATGGACATCGACATGGGATTTCTCAAGAGCTGCAGATCGAGTCAATGTGAGGTACACCCTTGTTATCATCCCTTTCTTTACGGTCTACCTACGGTTTTTCTTGGAGTTTCTTTTTTTTTGCATGGTGGATTATCTTCTTTAACTTTAATACCCTCTTTCAATGGAATTTCTTTATGTTCGGGATTAGCATACTCATCGCGGATTCAAACCAGATACCAACATCATTCAAGCATTAAGAAACGTTAATAAACTTTGAAACTTGCTTATTCCTCTTACTATGTCCTGATTCTGCATGAAAAATGGCTCATCGAAGGTTATGCATGATCAGCTTACTGCTGACGTAGAACGACTTAGCCCCAGCAACTTTATCCGGCCTGAGTCATAATTTCAACTGAACTATATAACCCCAACCCTACCCAACATCGGACCTTGAAACCTCCCTCAACATTGGCATTAATTTCACACAGGCTCTCAAAATGAAATCCAAATTCTCATCCACTCAACTAACAAAATACCTGACCCATCTGGCCCTCCCACCGAAATACGAACCCTACATCACCGACCCAACAAGCTTCCCCAAAACAGAAGAAGCATTGACAACACTATTTCGCTGCCAAATCACCCGCTTCCCCTATGATAATCTGACACTCCATTATACCGAAACCCCTGTAATTGACATCGCCCCTCTCAGCATCTACGACAAATTCATGGGAGCGGGCGAAACACCACCATCAGGACGAGGGGGCTATTGTCTCGAATGCAGTATCTTCTTCCATCATGTACTTCTCGGCCTCGGATTCTCAGTTTATATGACTGGTGTACGGAACCGGGAACGCATTGATGGGATCCCGCAAGGTGAATATCAAGGATGGTATGTACATCAAATTGGGAAATTGGGAATGGATACTAATATACCCAGGACACATGTTGTAAATATTCTCGAACTGCCTTGCGGAACTCAATATCATATCGATGCAGCATTCGGTGGAGATGGACCTACACGGCCTATACCAATGATCTCAGGCTCCACGATCAAAAACCTAGGAACACAAGAGTTGCGTCTGGTGCACGGTAATATTAGCAAGCAGTCACGACCAGCACAGAAACTGTGGATATTTCAGTATCGCAACGGAGTAGACAAGGAGTGGAACTCGTTCTACACTTTTGGAGAATTCGAGTTCTTCCAGGAGGACTTTGCGGTTATCAACCGGTATACGAGCTGGGACACGGTCAAGAAGAACAATCATTGGATTGTGAAGTTTATTCGTCATGGGGAGGTTGCAGATTTACCCGTGCTTGAAGGTGAGGGAATTGACGATGGAGCCGAAGAGGTTGGAGTTGTTGGTAAGATCATGTATGTGAATGGGCTTGTCAAGTTGAATATGGGTGGGAAGACAAGGATTATTGACTCCTTTGAGACGGCGGAGGAAAAGCTCGAAGGGTTGAGGAAGTGGTTTGGTTTTTCTTTTGAATCTCGATAGATTGTTTTATTAGTCATTAGAGTTGTGGTACATCTTATACAGATCTAGAGCTGTGATGTAGTGAAAGCGCGGTAGACGTTGCGATAGTTTCTATGCATTCGGAATCTATAATTAGGTCCTATCCGGTAGTGATATTATGGAGAATTCTAGATACATTTATCATTCTTTGGCGGGCACACTGGATGGTTCGATCGTCTGAGTGCTAGTAGACCCCACCATGAGTTCTACGTTTGACAAAGTCCACTGCATGCCGATGTATGAATCGCTGATGAGCTTGATATTGACGCGCGCAGTCCCAGCTGCTGTAGCGGAAGATGACTCGGCGAGAGCGACAGGAGGAAATTTGACCAAGGAGCGGACAGACAGTGAGGCACCGCCGGTCCTGTCTCTATTGTTGTTTGCACCACCACCACGACTGGAACCAGCACCGGCGCGACCTTTACCATGGTGGAGTCTGGATGCAGGGGGCCAAGATACTCGTTTCAAGCCGAGAAGCTCGCCGTCAGTACCATCAGGTTGGGCACTAGAAACGATCAAGAAGTAGCCCTCGGTCTGCGGCTTGGGGAACCGAGGAGCATGGATTCTATACTCAGAGTGCGTGTGTGGGTTGTGACGAGTGACAGACACGGCCAATCCCTTCGCTGACATTCCAGCGACCGAAATTGAAATGTTGGGTAGCTGTGAGGCCACACGAGTGAACTGGGGAGAAAGAGACAATTTCTTCACCAGACTTCCCACCGCAGACACAGGCTGCGATGACAGAGCAACCAGGGTGGACGGAAGACCATGAGGTGGCTTCTCAACAGGAACTCCTGGTAGAATAGAGAGCGGATGATCCTCTGGCCAGCGGGCTGATTTGATGCATTGTAGTAAAGTCATCAGCATTTGGCATGCAGGAATAAATCCCAGCTCAGCCATCACGTCAATGGATGCTTGAATGACACGGATACCCTGGTCCAAGACCGAAGTCTGGTCACCCACGTAATCCGAAATGGGTAGGTCGATCCGCGACATGTATGCCTGGAGCAACAAAAAGGCCTTCACGTGGGGATCCCACATCGGAAGATCGCCCATAGACTCAATAGACAAAGGCAAATTCTGAGCAAGCTCAGCGTTGATGAGATCTTCATTATGACGAACAGGCAGTTCGTCAAATTCAGTGGCAGAACACATCCAGCTGAGCACATCTTGGAAAGTGGGCTCCCGCTTGGCGTGAGACATCAAGTAACGGATGGTCTTGTGCGACAAGTAGTAGTAACTCATGATCTTGCCGAAAGGTGTTGAGTCCACTTCACCAGTGGCAGAGTCCACAAGAACACAAGACGACTCTGCCAGGTCATCCAGAGACTTGTCCACTAGATCAACCATGAAATCTTGAGCAATTGTCTGGGCAGCCATTGTGCTTTGCTCTTCCGCAGAAATCTCGAGGCCGTAGTAGGATGGATTTTTGTGAAGACGGCGGAAGAAAAATGTCCATGTCAAGTAGTCAAGGGCGTCCTGCTTAGTGGTGATTGTTCCAGAAGAGACTTCGGCGCCCAAATGGTTGTCAAGAACCTTGTGCAATGTTGACTCGACGGGGAAGCCAGTGTGGAGAAAGTGTTTGTAGAATGCCTTCTTGGAATCCTGAGTGAAGATGCGAGCGATGCCTGAAGTATCAAATTGAGGGCGACCAGCACGACCAAGCATCTGCAGGACATCAGTCAAGTCCATATCCCGATAACCTTCGATCTTAGCATCGAAGAACTGAGTACCCTTCACGACGACAAGATGAGCGGGAAGGTTGACACCCCAAGCCAAAGTACTCGTGGCGACCAGAATCTGGATCTTGTTGTTGGCGAATAGTTCTTCAGCCAGTTGTCGATCAGACTCGACAAGACCAGCATGATGCAAGCCAATGCCGAAGCTCAGAGCCTCCCGTAAAGCATCATCCTTGACTCGAGTAAGGTTCAAGTCGAGATCATCCTCGGACATGCGGACAAACCGACGAGGGTTGTCTTCCATACCGCAGTAGTTGATCAAGTCTTTGGCAGTCAAGCGAGTCTGTCGGCGAGATGCAACGAAGACAATAACCGGCTTCTCCGGTGAGTGATTTTTGATCGCGAGGAAAGTCGGTCGGTTCATTGACTGCATCAAGGGGCAGAAGCCACGTTGCTCAGGGAAGCCATCAATGAAGATCTCAAGAGGAACTGGCCGAACTGAATGGCGGAAGTTGAACAAGCCCTCCTTCACGCCAAGCCAGTTTCCGAGGTCGCTAGCATTGGCACAGGCAGTAGACATACCCATAAGCCGTACAGATCCCTTCGACTGAGAAGCAATGTAGTTCATTCGAGACACAATGATCTCCAAAATTGGACCACGATCACCACCCAGTAGATGAATCTCATCGATGATGACAAGACTCACCTTGCGGACGTAGTCTCTAGTTTGCCAGCTACGCGAAATACCGTCCCATTTTTCAGGAGTGGTAATGATGATATCGGCATCGCGAATTGTCCTTGTGTCAGGGGTATTATCACCAGTAAGCTCAACGAGTTTCATCCCCATGGGGCCTGTAAGGCGCTTGCGCCAATCTTGGACACGCTCACGAACGAGTGCCTTCATTGGAGCAATGTAAACCACCTTCGAGCCAGGCTTTTCACGGAAAGCCCACCACATAGCCAACTCAGCGGCAACGGTCTTTCCACTACCGGTGGGAGATCCCAAAAGGACGTTAGCCGGTGTGTGGTAAAGTAAATGGAAGATTTGTGTTTGCATCGGGTTGAAGAATTGGAAACGTTGACCATACAGCTCCTCCAACAGGGGATTCTTAAGAGCCGAAATAGGCAATGGCTGAAGATTCTGCAGGTCCGTGTAAACGCTCTCCGTGTCGGGGCGGATCAGATGTTTGAAGGAAACTGGGCTGACGGTCTCTGCGCCAAGCCATCGATCAGAGATGATTCGGATATAAATCTGGCTCGGTAGCGGGTCGGACAGCGGAATGGTAAAATTGAGCTCATGTTCATCATAAAGCTTCCTACGGCTCAAAATGAAATACTCATGATGATAAATCTCGGAGGTTTCAGAATTCTCAACCCAGACCCAAAATGATTCAGAAGCCCCGTGATGACGATCATTCCAAGTGAACTCCGGATAAATTGAGAGACGAATGCGAAGGACATCCCTGTTGAGTGGTGCAATTTCGGTCTCTACGCTCAGAGTAGGGAAGTTGTCTAGTAGTCTGGACAATACCCCTCCCATCTTATGGTTGTGAACAAGCTGACCGATCTCAGCAGGCTCCATCTCCTTCATGGATTCGATAGAAGAAGATGGCAGCTTCTCATCCAGGTTCTTCAAGATTGGCTGTGGGAGGTCGAATTGACGGAATGGATGGTCGAATGGCCAAATCTGCTTTTCAATGGATTTGCATAGCGACAAGAGAACCTGGCACTGGTAACCCCATCGGCGGTTCAACGCGATCATGAAGAGCGCTCGACAGATACGAGCAGCATTCTGGGCCACATATCCAGTGTCAGAGACCAAGGCGAAATCCTCAATCTTGGCACGTGAGATATAGGATTGGAGCAAAATGTTAGTCTTAGCATGTGGTGAATCATTCCCGCCTTCAACTTCGGTCTGGGCAACTTCGTCTCGAAGTCGTTGTAGCTCCTTAGATTCTGACTCTCGGGCTTGGATATTGTCGAATTCACCGCTCATACTGATCATCTTCAGGACATCTGCTTCGCCTGCACGCGGACGCATCATCGTGTTGAATATCTCGACACTACTCTGGAGAACATAATATTGACTGGCAATACGTCCGACATCTTTTGCTTTGAGATCTTCTGTTTTCTCATTAAAGATAATCATCTGGCTCTTCTGGAGGGTCTGAGCAGCTTGAATGATGAGTTGTCGGCGCCGTTGAACGAGCATCGGGTCATCGCGAAGCTCAGCAAACTCGATACCATAGTGGCGGGGTTCTTTTATCATTCGCACGAACAGATATGAGTAGCCAAGCCACTGTACACCTTCAGCTACGGAGGTGACGGTACCTAGGGAAATCTCGGCATTGAGGTTATCAACCAATCGACTTGAGAAACGAGATTCAATCGGTTGTTGGGCAGTCACAGCAGACAGATAATGCTGTAACTTGTCTTGGGTGGTACAGATGAATCCAATACCCGTATCCTGGAATTGGGGACGACCAGCACGACCGAAAATCTGTAGGACATCGAGAATACCGAGGTCAACAAATTTACCCTCTTGGGGATTGTATAGCTGGGTTCCCTTAATGACAACGGCCGCAGCGGGAAGATTGACACCCCATGCTAGAGTAGCAGTACAGCAAAGGACCTTAATTAGACCCTCCCCGAACATACGCTCCATAAGGTTACGGTCGCTACGACTCATACCAGCATGATGAGCTCCGAAGCCACTGGTGAATAGATCTCGCAATTCCCGCGCTCGGGCATGCTTCATATCTCTCAAGGCCGAGGAATAGTTCTCATGATCGTGGCAACTGAAGAGATCCTCACATCCATCTTCGGCGGCCAATTGCTTCAACATGCGTGCTGTCATGACAGTATCTTTTCGAGAATGCACGAAAACCATTATCTGGTGACCTCTTTCCAGCATCTCGCGCACCTTTTCATATGCGACCACATCGATGTTTTCTCGAGATTGCTTGGAGCCAGGCTTGCCTTTGACACCGATAAAATGCTGCTCAAGAGGTACCGGTCGGAAAGATGCATCGAAGAAGAACAAACCGGCCATTTTGTTGACTTTCAAGAAATCGGCAACATCGACGTAATTGGGGAGGGTCGCAGACAGACCAACGATTCGAATCAAGGACTGCGTACTCTCAACTTGCCGTTGCGTACGAGCTACTAGAGATTCAATAACGGCACCTCGCTCATCATGAAGCATGTGGACCTCATCAATGATAAGCAATCGCACTTTTTGAACAAGCTCGGTGTCTCCTGTGCTCTTCCGCGTCACGACATCCCATTTCTCGGGTGTCGTAACAATGATCTGGGTCTCCACGATTTCTCGCTTGGTCAATTGCATATCTCCAGTCAGTTCGCGGACTTTAATTCCCAACCAGGCCAGTCGTTTACCCAACTTTTCTGTTACTTCAGCTGCCAGAGCCTTCATTGGAGCGACGTAAACAATCTTGAAGTCATCAACTTGAACCGTGAACTCAGTTGCATCGGGTTCCTCCAATGGATTAGGAGTTGTGTTTTTGCCGACCGCGTTGAGAACAGTTAGCATGGCGGCATCCGTTTTACCGGCACCGGTAGGGGCACAAATGAGCATGTTCTCGCTTGTTTTATATGCAACTTCATAAAGCAGGCTCTGCATTCGATTAAGGGTTTTGTAGCCCTTGAAGGTGCCGCGACAAAGACCGTCCAAGTCGGCGATCTCCACCAACTTCTGGTGTCTTGCCAAGGACCCAACCTTGGAGGCGGGAATTTCATATTCCTCATATTTGGGTTCATCGGTATGCTTGCTGCCAACTGGTAAGCCATACTTTCTGCCACCAGCCGCGAGAAGGTTCCCAGCGGTGTGTTGCTTGAAAACGTGTGGGTAGACAGGTTCCGATCGACTCTGTGCCGGCATGAGAGCAGCATTCTTATGCTCGAAATTTCGTTGCCACAGAGCTTCTTCCCTCTCCGCTCGGGTCAGAAGTCTACCAGACGCCAATCCATCTGTTTGTGCTTCCACGCTATGCGGTTCGTCCGACAAGATCTCCCCGCGATGCGCAATAAGTTCGATGACCAGATCCAAATCCTCAAATCCCACTATTTCAGCGAGGGACATCTGTAACTCGGAATCGTCGCTGGCGGCCGCAAGGGTGGCGATAATTTGTTGACTGAGCTCTGCCGCGTCCATGCTCGAACGAGCTGACAGCTCTTGACATTTTGTTTCCAGCCAAAGTCGATCATAGGGTAAGGTTTGCGAGAAGGGAATTTCGTTGACATCATCCAGATCGTCCGTCGTCTCATCGTCAGAGCTGATGATATCCCAGACATCATCAATTGTACCGGGTGACGAGTAGTCTCCATCGATATCCAAATCCATATCGCTCCCATAACCGGTCGTATCGTGGGGCAGCTCTTTGGGGAGCTTGAGATCGGCGATAGCTTGGCGCATGGCGGCCAGTTGGGACAGCCATTGCGACTGGGTTGATGAGATAGGCTCCATACTGCAGGTCTCCACAGCGGGCAGGAAAAATGCTCGATTGGAAAGTAAACAATGAGGGGTTGAAGATATCTTAGATGAGACACAAATGTTCCTAATCTGGGCGGTGTGGGGTTCTGCCAGAGGCCCTGGCGGACCCGCAGTGCCATCATCGCTATCAGGAGACTGTCCACCTCCATTATTCCCCTAAGCTGACCTCTCCTTGTTCCGGCCCCAGCACCGCCACCTTGCAGCCGACTTGCTGAATTCTGTCTCATTTCCCTCAAAGCTCTACGACCTGGTCAAAAATCTCACTATCCTTCCCCAGCCTTCGCTTATTGTGTGAAGCAACTTAACCACCCCGCCACCATGAAGATCCTCTATATGGGCGTACGTTTCTGTCAATTCGCCAGGCGATGTATTTGCTTGCCTTCAATACATACTGACTCCTTGTATCCTTAATAGATTCTCCGGAATGATTCTCAGTCAGCTCTCCAGCTCTGTGCCGAAAAGGACCTCTCTGCGTATGTCAACTTGTCCGCTGAATACACCTTGAGAGTAGTCGCTGATTTGAAATAGCTTTTCCCGTTTTACCCGTCAGAAGTACGTGGCCTACTGCCCCCAAGCGATCTCGTTTACGCGCCCATATTAATACTACCCTCGATCCAGCTATGAAGAGTTCCTGATGCTCTTCTGCCGCACGGTCGCTGAGCGCACCAAGCCCGGACAACGTCAGGATGTCGAGGAGAAGTCATACACATTCCACGCATACGGCCGATCCGAGGGTGTTGCCGGTGTAATCGTTACGGACGGCGACTATCCTGCACTAGTGGCTCACCAGCTCCTGTCCAAGATCGTTGACGAGTTCCTCGCGAAGTACCCCCGCACATCCTGGTCTGACCCATCTACTCGCGAGGACGCATGCCCCTTGCCGCAGTTGAAGGAGTACATCGTCAAATACCAGGACCCCAAGCAGGCCGACAGCATTATGAAGATTCAACAGGAGTTGGATGAGACTAAGATTGTGCTACATAAGACTGTATGCATTGTCTGGCTCCAGAAGAGGATACTAGATTGCTGATATTTGTCTTAGATTGAGAGTGTGCTGGAACGTGGCGAGAAGATCGACTCGTTGGTTCAAAAGAGCGACGGCCTGTCTGCCCAGAGTAAGATGTTCTATACCCAGGTATGTTAAATGAGACCCTGATTACAGCGCGATCAACCCATCTGACACTTCATTTAGGCCAAGAAGCAGAACTCTTGCTGTTCCCTGATGTAAAGTTTCATATGAGGCTCAATATCAGACTATGACTGCCTTGTTATCTTGGGTACAACTTTATTTATGTAATCACCTTCGAAGCTAGGCATGTCTGCTTTGCGCTATTCATTGGATTTAAGCTTGTCTACGAAGCTATTGCCTATACTTCTCCCATTGATTCTCTCGCTACGGTGGATGTCTTGGTCTTGCATTTATTTGACGTGGCACGCGCAATTATTTTTGTTAGATGGTGGTATAAGATTGCTTCAGCCTAGCATCACATCAGGCAACCAAGTAGACTCCAGGTCTCTTGACATACTTAGGCAACGATGGAGTTTCTATATTCGCCCATAACTGCCGCAGGTGGTTACATAATTTTGTCATGCGGCCCGACTGAGCGACTAAGAGCTGTGGGTGCCAAGCCTGCTTTGATTACTCAACGGCCGAACATCAAACATTGAACTCATACATTTTTGAAGCACCTAATGCAATACGAGTCATGAGTTCTGAATTCCTCAATTCCGTGAACAATAAGGATTTCTCATAGATAAACCCATTCCCAAACACGTGGCAACATGAAATAAATTGGAGCGTTCAAGCTTTGTATTGTACTTTACAAGATCACTCCTCTCAGATAAATGGATATGTTCAGAAGTTTGCCCACTGCATTTTCTAATAGAGTACAAGCTAGTGGACTGGTGAAATGGAGAAGTAATTTGCAAAAACTTCCGAGAAGATTAATTAAGAGATGAACAAGTTACTCTCTCCAATTTGGCAGCTTGGAGTAACGATTCAATACAGAGAACCTCGAGATCTGATATAATGCGACCAATGCTCAAGAGTCCTCCGAAGCCTTGACCACAACAGGGAAGTCTCCATTCGGGAAGTCGTCAGACACCGACCAAGTCAAACCATAGACACCATCCACGTCAGTCTCTCTGGCCCAGAATTGTGCTTCAAGCAAAGTGTTGTTGTTGTAGACTAGCTGCGAGGCAAACAGCGCAAAGCCTGAGACAGTGCCATTGATGTAGGCGGCTTGAGCCTTGGGCAGTAGGCCAACAGCATATTTGTCCTGTTCCATAATGTACATCGAACCGGCCGCGGTACCGTTGACATAACTGGCATTGGCGATCCAGCATTCGTCGGTGATGGAGGCCAAATCCCAGGTCAGAGGTTTCAGGGTGGCTCTTGTGTTTGACGGATCCTCCGCAATATAGAGAAGACCTGTATTGAGATCATTGAGTAAGTACTGTACTCAAAAGCATATTTTTTTTTTTTCTCAAGCAAAGAGAAACAACAATTAATGTCACGTACCATCAGCGGTGTCGTAAGCAATGGGCCAGGCAGAGGCGTTGGTGCCGTAGGCATAGAGAGTGGCATCGGTTTCGGAACCTCGCTTGGCACGTTGATGGAAGGCCGATGCAAGGCCAACCTGCAACAGAAGAACAGAGAGAATATTGCGGAACTGCATGTCTAGAGTCTAAAATTTATGCAACGGAATGATGAGACGATGGATGGGAAATAAGGCGGTATTATGTGCAACTAGAAAGGAGGTCAGGAACCGAAGGACAGGAGGACAATGGGCATAGTCTATGCTCATGAGTGACCGCAAAAAAACAACGGAAAATCAATAACCTGATCTACGGAAATAAACCGAGAATCCCGCGGTAAAAACCCGGTATCCTCCATCATCAATTAGACCGCGGTGGAGTTTGGTATACTGGTTTGCACTAACGGTTCGCCTAGAAAGCTAAATTCAAGCTTCGCCGTGATTCTAGAAATAAACGTACGTAGACCACCCACTGATTAATCACCAAACGGTCGACAGAGTTAACTTTGGCCGGATAAAGTTTGAATTTAGTAGCATGCAATGAATGGGTGGCTGACGATCCCGCTTGGCCCGGTAGTTCTTGGCTCTCTGGACATGTGGATCCGCCCCACCGCCTCTACGTATTCCGCAACGGCATCTTTTTCAGCCACAAGACATAGCGTTGTTGTTTCTTTTGGGCTACTACTATTGGCTTATCACATAATATTACCTGAGACGTCATTCGTTCACTGGAATTATAGTGGAGATATGGTTCCCCGAGCGGACTCTCAGCTATTTGTAGACATATATAGTAGCTCGGACCGAGCATGAGAGTCTCCACTTGACCATCGATGTCCAAAATACCTTGCCAAGTCCCGAAACATCCGATCTTCACAGATCCTTCCACCCCCAGAACAAATGCCGATGTGATCGTCCCGTCCGTTGGTGAGTGTGCCAATCAACAAAGCATCACCGGAGATAAAATATCAAATCTCAAACTCTTACGCTAGCACAACCGGAATTGATACCTTCTTTAGACCAATATGTGATATTCTACATATATTACGCGTGTTCTAGGTCATGATCCAGAAAGCCCGTGCAAAAGTTGGCACACGAGGGATGTCTATATTCGGAACCTTGATTTCTCTCTATTCTGTCAAGCACATACCCAGGCACCTACCCACACAATGGCCCACATCAGCCCGCCAAACAATAGTTGCCCAGCAGGGCGGCTTGTCCACGCCAGCTCACGACCGTGGCTCGCCTAAAACGGCTCTTGAGATGGAGATCCATATCTGTGGGGGCGAATCCCAAGGATTTTAGCAGTGAAAACCAGATAATACAAGGAACTGGAATCGGGGTCTGCCGGATATTCCCCTGTTTTGAGCAGCAACACCCGTCTATCTCTTGTAATACTAATAGTCCAGAAGAGCTCCGTCTTGGAACTCAATCTTTATTCAGTCGCTTATCGTTACTTTGGTCTTTCATTTCCAAATATCTTGATTCAGTCGCTATCAAAGCGGTGGTCAAAGTCAAAATGCGTTTTTTCTCGTTCATTGTACCTTCCCTTTTTGTCTTACCTGGTGCATTTGGAGCAGCCTTGCACCAAAAGCATCCCCGGGCTACGGAAAATTGTGTCAATAGTGTCTCTAACCGAACATGCTGGAGTGATGGCTTTGACATTTCAACTAACTACTATGACAACGTCCCAGACACTGGTGTTGTTCGGGAGTACTGGTTCAATATCGAAAACACCACTGCTGCCCCTGATGGTGTCGAGCTACCTGCTCAGCTGATCAACGGCTCTTTCCCAGGTCCTACTATCATTGCTGACTGGGGTGATACTGTTGGTAAGTAATTTGAAGCCACGGGAAGTCCTCCTAAGCTAATGTTGAACAAGTGGTCCATGTCACAAACTCTTTGCAGAACAATGGTAGCGGTCTTCACTTCCACGGAATTCGTCAGAACCACACGAACCAGATGGATGGCGTTCCTAGCCTTACCCAATGCCCGATTGCTCCGGGCGACTCCTACACTTACCGTTGGCGGGCCGTTGAGTACGGAACTGGTTGGTATCACTCGCACTTCTACGTTCAAGCCTGGGACGGAGTGTTCGGTGGAATTATCATCAACGGACCAGCAACTGCCAACTACGACGTCGATCTTGGCCATGTCTTCTTGAATGATTGGTACCACGTAAGTTGAGATACCCCTATCAGATACACCCCTTATACTAAGCATTGCAGCAAACGGCCGACCAACTCGTTCTCGCAGCCGCAACCGGAGGTCCTCCCACAGCCCCGAACGGTTTGATCAATGGAACCAATGTTTGGGGAGACTTGGGTTCGCGCTGGGAAACCACTTTCACCCCAGAAACTCGCTACCGTATGCGCGTGCTGAATGCTGCTGCTGATCAGCACTTCCGTTTCATGATCGACGACCACGACCTTGAAGTCATTGCCAATGACTTTGTGCCCATCGTTCCATTCACCACCAATCAGCTGAGTATCGGCATGGGTCAGCGATACGATGTTATTGTTACGGCAAAGAATATCAGCAGTGGCAATTTTTGGCTGCGAGCCATCCCCCAAGAGGCCTGCTCCGAGACCGATGCGACAGATCTTGTCAAAGGTATCATTCGTTATGACAACTCCTCCACTGCAGACCCCAACACCACTGCTTGGAGCTACACAGACTCCTGTGCCGATGAGTTGGCGTCTGACCTCGTCCCTTACCTGCAGGTCAATGCCTCTGAGACCTCTTATTACGATGAAAGTGAGAAAGTTGAGGTTCAGGTGACCGATAATGCCATGCTGTGGTTGATGAACGGAACGTCCTTCGATACCCAGTGGGAATACCCTACTCTGATGCAAGTGGCCGAGAACAACCAGACCTGGCTCGACAAGCAGCGTGTTATTCATCTCCCCGAAGCCAATAAATGGATGTACTTTGTAATCCACTCCCCCTTTGCTCAGGACCATCCCATGCATCTGCACGGCCACGACTTCTGGGTCCTCGGTTCAGGATACGGTAATTTCGATGCTTCGATGAAGGACAGTCTTACCCTGGTGAACGCTCCACGACGCGATGTCGTCATGCTGCCTGCCAGTGGATATGTGGTTATTGCCATGAAGACCGTCAACCCTGGTGTAAGATAACTGTGCCACTTTATTTCCTATTGATGGACACTAATCTTTCTCATCAATGCAGATCTGGCTCATGCATTGCCACATCGCTTGGCACACCTCTGAAGGATTTGCCGTTCAGATCCTTGAGCGTGAATCAGAGATCCAGATCAATGATAGCATTCTCAACTCTACCTGCAAGGCTTGGTCGGACTACGCCATTACCGACGATGTCGTTGAGCACGATTCGGGTATTTAATGGATCGACCACCCCAGGGCTCGGTGGCTCATTGACCACTTAATTAATTAATTGACCATACAGTAGTTTGATTTAATTTCGCCAGACTTATTCCCATCTTCACTAAATTGAACCCAAATAAGCGAAATTGCACGGGCTGCCCCACATGTTCGTTTGGCGAAGCTTTGTGACAGAGCTGTTTCCAACCTCTAACCCAAAGGCTGATTTGTATGAATGCCATGTGGAGTACTGACTTGAATTGCGTGGAAATGAAGCTGCAGATATCTTTTGATAAAAAAAAAACAACAACTTTATCATGGCCTGGCTGGTTGTTGCGACGATCCATTGAGACGCGCTGGTGCAGCAAGGACACTTTCCAGACAGTTCCGCCAATCGCTTGGCAAATATGTGGAGCAAAAGGCCTTGGCAGGGACCACCCATGCAGGCTAAACCACTCGCTGGTTCCCTGAGACCCTGTATGGTAGTAAGCTAGTAGCTGACACCAAACAATCTCCACTGGGGCCGCCCCCTAAACCAATAAGTAAACAAGAGGATGTACCATCCGAATCAGGCGGCTTGGCCCTTTCAAAAATAATAATGGGTGCCATTCTTTATTCCAGGGGTCACCGTCCTGATCGAGCTCCCGTTACGCAGAACTCTCCAGCAACATGCATCGCTTCCCGGTGATCCAAGGCCTGCTTTCGGACTCAGCGCCGCATCTCAAATTTCTGCGCGCGACAATAGCTCTAGTTATGACTCTTCGTTGAATTTCCGATCGGACTGGGTGTCTGGGCTGGGTGATGTTTATCACTGGATCGGGTCGTGAGTTTCTCAACATGTCTTTAGCAATAGGCACTACAATGCTACCACGCGTCTGGAGTACACGCCTTATGCTGGTGTTGCATCAAATGCAAATAAAACACCCTATACGTGCCCGAATATACGCGACAAGACATATACCCTGCAGTTCAATTCAATTCTCGCTGTTACCGATACGAGCAAGTGCCATTCTAGGAATAACCCGGTCAACTTGATCTATTTGCCTTGGCCTCTAAATACGTAGTTGAATATCTCGTGGCCGATTGGACAACTGAGCTCGGATCATTGGGGATTGCTATCTTCTACGTAAGTCACCAACCAATGACCAATGAGTACAATGACCACCAACGAGACCGACATTTTCAGCCTTGTGTATTCCTATCATTCAAGCTCACACAAGGCCGAAAATGATTTCGACATCTCGCTTCAAGATACCCAGAGCGCACCGTACAGCTTGTCCAGCACACTCACCGACTATGCCGGATTAAGCGCTGCCATCTTCAACATGACAGGCTGCAACTTTACTGATACCATAAGATGGGCTGGCTATTTCATTAGCTTGGGGATCGAGGATGACAATATCGGCTATAACTGGACCTACCCAAGCCCAGTTTTGCGGCGAGACAGCAAACCTCACCGTGGAGGGTTACTTTGAAGGGACACCCATAGGCAGGAAGGGTTTAAAATAAGATGACTTATTCCTTCCTGGCAAGGTCAAGTTGTCCTTTCGGGAATGATCGATACCTATCGTTCCGACGTGCTTGTCAATGATAGTGCTACAACGTCTTGGGAGAGGAGCATTGGTTTTGGAAATAATCCGTCCAGTATTGGGTACAATGGCAACAGTACAAGTGCCTCGAGCAATTTCCAAAGCTCTGGGACCTTGTCAGTTCTCGGTCTTGCGCTGATGCTCTCGATCATGTCATACATTCTGTAATACCTTTACTTTCTGCACTAAGTCGCTTATTGAAAGGCACATGCCGTGTTCATACTATTGTACTCAGTAATGAATTTTAATTATAAATTTCAAGGAACAAGGAATAATCTCCCAATCACCTGTACTACCACTGTGGAGTTAGTTGGGCATGTAGGCGGCAAATTAAACGGGCTCCGGGTACCCGTGCATAGGCTATTGATAGCCTACATGTCACGTCACCAGGATCGGGATCGGTCCCAAAGATCGAAAAGCCTGCACGTAACCAATCACTTAATTTATGGTTACACAACAAAAAGGTTGTTGAGACCTAAACAATATTTGAGTCTGGACAAATATAAAAAGTCCCATATCTTCCTTCACTTTGCCTTCTTCACAATCAATCAATCCCTCCCTTCCTATAATCCAGTCCCACATTGACACCATGGCTCAAAATGTCGAATTAGACGAACCAACCTACGATAAAAGGTGTGAAAGATCACTTAAATCTAAATACTACCACTGACAGACATTTTAGCCGCCCGATGCCTGACATCCAGATGGCCTATCAGTACAAATTATCGAATTGCCCAGGAAAGTCTATTGTCGGCATGTGTATTACATACCCGCCCAACGGCTCGACCCCGCCTCATCGCCATGGCAGTTGTTCAGTTTCCGCGTACGTCGTCAGTGGCACGCTGCTCAACAAAATGAACGACGACCCGATGAAAACTATCAACACTGGCGGCACATGGTATGAGGCTCCCGGTTGCCATCACCGCATTAGCGATAATGCTAGCAAGACTGAGTCAGCGGTGCTTTTTGCTTCAATGGTTTTAGATACCGATGTACTAGAGCGCGATGGCATGAACGCCCTTATGCAGATTGATAAGGAGTACCTTTGAGGTGAAACGGGGTTCTCAGGCCAAAAGATTGCCACTGGTCATTTATAGTAGAGAAGTGTCCAGATAATAACAATAGGCTCATTATTTATCAACTGTTTCACTCATTGAACTTTCTTACGACCGAATGCCTGCCTCTAGCCGCAGATATAATAGATATTTCATGCAATTTCGTAGATAACTGTCTAATTTACAGTCATCAGAGTAGCGAAATTCTGTATTAGATGAAAAGGTTAATGATTTGGGTGTCCACCGACCCTCCGCCAAATTAGCCCAGCTTGGGTACTCTTACATGGATTTATAATTCATCATACACGATTTCAGGTGGGGTGGGGAGCCGTTGACCATCTCGAAAGTGGGCGGTCAAATTGACCCTGAAAAACCTTCAGCGAAGCCATTTCCGAAAAGAATTCATGAAGCAAGCAACATTTGGAAGTTTTGACAGAATTATGCCACGCTGCATATCCCTTGCAGATTCTCTTTGTTTTGTGTTATCTATCAACTACTTTTGATCTGCTCCATCGCAATACTTCAAGGGTTTTTTCCATGTATGTTTGTTTATGACGTGGAGCCATCTGTCTCTAACTCTAAAAGTGATTATACTCGCCAACTTTTTGACTGTATTCTGACTAAAAAAAATGATTGGTGTTTCGACGAGCCTCCTTGTTCGGGAAGGCGGGGAACCCAAGGCGGCTACGCGACCTCGGGGGCGCCCACTATGATCGAGTCTTAAGGTCCCCATCCTCCTTATTTTAATGGCCTTCCCACTTTGATTACTGTAGATCCACATCTGCAGTCATCTATATACTAATAAGTTAGTAGCGCAGACGTACATACCGTCACAATACCGTGAAGAGAGACCTCCTTCAGCCCAGGGCCGAACTTTAGGAACATCAGCGGACTGATATGAATCCTCGCCTATGCACCCCCGTACTTATCTACTCTAGAAGGCAAACTGCAAATGTTTCATTAGCAGGGCTTTCTAGCTTGCTATTCCGAAATCATGTCCTAAAAGCCAAAATATCCGTGGTTGCGGGAGATCGCCAAGGATATTGGACTCATACCAGCTATGTCGGGCTTCAGGTATGAGAGCCAGCTCCACGGCTCAAATGATATCTCTTAAAACACTAGGCAGATCCCACGATGGGCGAACAATATGTCAAGAATGTCAAATGACCCCATAGAGACAAGGTTTTGGGGATATCAGCCACGATGGATATTTGGTTGAATCGATAGCGGCCGCGGAATGGATGCTTGACACTAGTGTTTTGATCGACCAGCTTTTTGCTGGCAGAGTAGAGAAGTGGGTGGTCTAATGGAAGCGCTGGTTCTTGGCCCAGCGGTTCGGTCACTTTGGCGGGCTACATGAACCAACAAGCTATTCCAAAGGCTTTGAAAGCCAGCACTAAGGACTCACACAACCTCTGCCCTTCCAATCCTCAGTTCTTGAGTCTCACACCTACTCTCCGTGTCACCGCGAAGCTCTACCCATCTGAGTTCCAAAGCCTTTGGTAACAATCATCATTACATGAAAACTGCTTCTCAACCCAAAGCCAGAAGAGTGGGATTACCAAGCTTACCTGTCAGCATACCGCGAGGTGTCAATACCGACTAACCAATATTCATTCAAATGTCAAAATGTTCTCCGCTCCAAACCCGCAATCTGAGTAAGTAACTCCAAATCATTTCACATTGAAGATCGAGCTGACCTTGCCACCGATCTCTGTTCACTACTCCAACCCTGCAATGGAAGGTGGGTAGTGAGGGGACGATATTTTACGTTCATCCCGATGTCATTCTGCCATTCCAAACCTCGGCACTTTATGCCCGAATGCATGGGAGTTGGAAGGAGAGGAGCAGTGACGTGGTCGATTTGAGTGAATTTGATGAGCATACGATTGAGTGTGCCTTGAGCTACTTTTATGCACGCGACTACCCCTCTAGTACCTTCGCCCACACATTGGATCCAGAGCTTGAACAAGGTGCAAAGGAGGAAAGCCACGAGACTTTTGCAACAGAGCATGTCCACACGGGTGGTTCAGAAGACGGTAAGCGTTCAAGCTATTGTCTGTCCCGGCGTGGAGATTACTGACCAATTTAACTCATAGACAATATTCCCGACGAGCTCACCAAGGAAGGTTCAGCCAATAGACCATTGACTCCAATTGAAAACTTAATCAAGCCGATAACACGCGCCGTCCTTTCAGCCGCCACAGCCAGGACACCCAGTCCCACCAAGGACCTCCTCCAGTCTCTCGCCACTGAAGCCTTGACGCATGCTAAAGTATATACCTTTGCTCATGTGTACCGGGTTTTAGAGTTGGAAGATTTTGCTTTGCACCGTCTCGCAAAAGTTCTCATCACTCTGCAGGACAAAGAGTTCGAGATGTTGCCGCAATTGGCGGAGGCAATCCGAGTCATTTATTGCAAAACACCCAAAGATTGCAATAACCCCGCGACGAATCTGATGTCACATTTTGTGGCTACGAGATTCAACTGGCTAATAGGCGACCACCTTTATGCCCTCATGGCGGAAGGCGGTGATTTTGCCAAAGATGTGTCGAACAAGCTTGCCCGGAGGCTTTCAGTCAATCCACTGAAAGTGAAAGTTAAGGAGTTGAATCGAGAAATCGCGGCATTGAAAGTCCAGTGTGCAGAATTGCACAACGAGCCAGATTCGATGAGAAATGGGGGAACATTCCGCCGAGTAGCTGGACTTGGACATTATTATCAGTGATCATAAACGTAGCTTTATGTGCGGAGTCTACCCCCCTACGGTAGCTTAGATCATTTCTATCAAATTTCTCTATCTTTCCAAATGTCAGCCACGTTATGGTGCTACTGATCCTTGATCTCAATTGATCCTAAACTTCTATAATGGAAGGCATGATTGATGAGGATGGGTACAAACTTTAAATAGAATCGATTTGAATCAAACCCAGAGATCACCCTACGCATATTTACATCTACCAATGGAGCAACCGAGAAGATTTTTCAGACGAACGGCTGGATTGCGAAACAAGGTAAAGATTAAATCAAACTTCCAAGAACAAGAAATGACAAAACCCTACCGCGGGATCCTAAAAAGTTGCTTGAATATATCTGTCAAAGTCTCTCCCCAAGTCGGAGAGCCCTCAGGGGGTAAGTTCGCCGGATAGTGCCCAGGGTGATGACGTCTACGGCGAGGAGGCTCAGGATCCTGGTGGTCACCTCCACCAGGTAGATGAGGCCCTGGATAATAGAGGTTAGAGGCCTCAGGATCATTATTATACGACACAAGAGGCGGTGCCTGCCTGTTTGCCATTGCATAAGGACCGACATTGATAGACGAGTCAAGGTCCTGGTCAGCCAAGTACAAGTTACCCTCTTTGTCCGGTCTGGTAATATGGTTAAGCAGATGACGGAGCCAAACACCACTGAGTCTGGGCTGGCTTCCAACCTGACGACCAGGTGCCACATAGCAAGTAACAGGGGTCCATGGTATGACTTGGACTTTGGCAAAACCCTGATCCCAGAACAAGGTAGCCTCAACATGAATAACTTTGAAGATTCCAGTTCCGGCTGCAGTGCACACAAATGTCTGACCCGCCTCTGGGCAGATGAAGTTACAGATATCCTCTATATCCCAGCAATCCTGCTCGTAAATCAACATGTGTTTGGATCCCGTATCATCCAGGAAATCATATTCGATGTAGCGATTATCTTGTTTCTGGCGCGCGGGCATATCTGCAGGTCGGATGGCAAGTCTGATCTATATAATTTGGATTAGCCACCAAATCAAACGATAAACCGAGGAAATGTCAGCTCTTACATCATGCATTATGTTAGTGGACGATCGCGGCGCAATAGCACTAACGAAGTTCATCGATTCAGGCGCCGGGCCCTCCCACTATGAATTGATAGTCAGCAATGGTCGTGAGGACATTTGAAGCCACTTACCCCCTCAACAAACCAAGACTTTGGGTAGCCAAGCTCGCGCCAGTACCCATGCATCTTCGCGGTGGTGAGCTCCTCGGGCCCCTTATACAGCCTTCCGTTCGCCCAATAGGTAACATTCGGCGGGTCCCAGACCAGACTTCTATCACGGTATGCTTGCATGATAGCTCTGATATTCACAAGCTGGTCACTTTCGTCCCCGTCCCTCACCATCATCTCCTCCATCATGCTGAGAGTCTCCAGACGTAGGATCACAACCCAGGGCAAACCCGGCTCTGAGGCAATCATCACACTAAGAGGATTTAGTATTCTGCAAAATCAATCCGCGTTGGCAACATACTCCTGGACTCTTTTCATCTCCAAGTAACGCTCCAATCGTGCCTCAAAGAACGCGGGCAAAATTCCTTCTGCAATTCTCTCAATATTCCTTTGGATGTTCGCCTCAATATTTCTATAAGGTCATCAATGCCATTTTCAAGAGAACAAATAAAGAGTGGGGAATGAATGGAGGTTGATACATACTGCTCGTCAATATCGTACTCCGTGGGATTCCAGCCCTCAGGAATCTTAGCGTGCTGTGTTATGGGTGGGTCAAAGGGCCCCCAAGTTTGCCGTGGACGTTTAGTATTTTGAGGAGTTGGATTTTTCAAAGCTTCCTCTAGTCTGACATGAGTATCCCCAGGGGCAAAGCCTTCAAAAATCGAGCTTCTCATCACTGGCATTGGCGGCGTTTGAGTGGATTTGGATTCCGCTGGCACTGAGGCAGTCTTTCCGGAATTCTTGGGACCTTCCGCCTTCAATTTACTCTCCTTAACATCCTGTATATCGTTCTGGGATTGATCATTCTTTGCTTTGCCACCTTTCTGAACTGCGGGATTTATGGGGCTCACTTTAGAATCACCCGAACGCTTCGAGGTCTTACCCTTCGACTCGGCTGCTCTCTTGGTAGGGTATTCCTTGGCCTTTTCTGTGGTTTTGTTTGTTCGCTTCTTGGTCTCAGGGCCAGTCTTAGCTTTCTTAAGTTCCTCAGTGCTACTGTCCCGTTTCTTCGCTCTTTTGACGGTACCGGTTGGAGTGATCTTCTCCTGGTCACTGCCTTCGTCATCTTCATGACGGCGCTTGTTGTTGCCAGTCTTCTTAGATTGGCCTTTTGGACGTGCCATATTGACAGATATCTTTGATCAGAGAGAAGGGAGACCTGAAGTGGTTACGGAAATGGCGCAAGTGTAACATGTTAAGATAACTCGTTAGACAAAGAGCCACGTCGAGTCCCAGATTACACATCGAACTAAGAACAGAAATGTTCCTGGTCGTGTTGTATTGCCGGAAACAAGTTGCTGGCTCGTGTCCTTTGTCAAGTACTTGGAACGCTAGTCCAAAGGAGCATTCAAAGAAATAACCATACCTTTGCTGTGCCATCTAATTAAAAATAGCACAATCATTCGCTGCGAAGTAGCTATTTCCGGATTAATACGTAAATCATTCAACTCCAACTTCCGAGTATATCCTTTCAAACGGAAGAACAGTACGGTACCACGGATGGTAAAGACACACATCCTTTGTCGAGTGGATAGATGCCCATATGATATTGACACTCAAGCGCATCAGACTAGAGGCATTCTAAGGGTATATTTATAGCACAGACCTTCAATTGCCGCGGACGTATCCCATCTTCTTGCCAGACACTATTGGACCAGAAGCTAAGGGCTTCATCTTAATGTTTCTGCCTGTTTGTGTTGGATGCAGAAGAGAGGGAGGCCACTAGCTACCTTACTTCGCGTAGGGGAAGAACAATACCCCTGGAGCGGAGACTCTGACCAGCACCTTGATTACATTTTAAAGGATCTCCGCCTGAAGCCCCGTACCCAAACCATCAAACAAGGGCAAAAAGGAGCGAGATTCCCTAAGCGCTTTTCTTCTTATCGATTTTTCTGCGGTTGCTACTGCATTTATTCCTGCGATGCTTCTCGGCACGATATAATACCAAGCCCGGTTAAAACCATGAAAGCCGCCTTGGAAACCTCAAGATCTGCAAATCCCACAATTCCAGAAATTAAAGTGAGAAGATGGAAGACTAAAAGGTAGCGCCCAACTGGAGAATATGCATAAGTGCTGGAGCTGATACGCGTGGGTTTACGGCGATGGCGTCACTGACCAAGCTTTCTAAGCTCCGTGAGTGGAGACTGGGGAGCCCCGCAATTACAGGCTGCACTCTTCAAATGTTGACCATTTTCCCTCCTACAGCTTCAGGAACAGCCCCGATGACAATACGAGTAGCCATTATTGGCGCTGGGTATGACCCGGTCTGATCAGAAATTATTCAATTGCTTACTTCTTCTAGGCCCGGTGGCCTGGTGACTCTCAAGACCTTGCTAGAGGCGTCCACGCCCGACCAGCAGATCGAGGCGTATCTCTTTGAAGCGTATGCTGCCAGGCCTTTGTTCCTCACTCGATCCAATCCTATTAACCTCCATTCAATAGTGAGTCCGATGTCGGTGGCACATTCAACTATCGCTCTTACGAGAACGCCGAATTGGTGAGCAGTAAGCAGCTGACCACGTTCTCCGATCACCGCTTGCCGCTGGAGACTCCCGACCATGTGTCACTACCCGAGTACGTCGACTATCTCCGATCATATGTTGAGCGATTCAAGCTGGGTCCATATATCAAGTTCAATAGTCCCGTGCTTCGCGTATCCCCGCTCCAGGATGGTTCCCAATGGGCCCATCGACTGAGCTATGTGGACCGGAATGACCCGGACCAAACAAAGGAGAATACTTTTGACTGCTCCCATATTGCCGTCTGCACTGGACTTCATGTTGAGCCGAATATTCCGGATATTCCAGGCATTGAGAATGTCCAGGGCGAGGTGTTCCATTCATCCCTTTATAAGGGGCGCCAGCAGGTAGCTGGCAAGAAAGTCCTTATTTTGGGATGTGGTGAAACAGCCATGGGTGAGTTAATTCCGGTGGACTAGAAAGACCCATCTAACACATACAGACATCGCCTACGAGTCCATCAAAGCCGACGCGGAGTCTGTAACTATGTGCTTCCGTACCGGTTTCCTCTCCTTCCCCAAGCAGCTCAGCAGATTCCAGGTATTTGGAAAGACTTTCAGCGGAGGTCTTCCAATCGATGGTCTCATCACCAACCTGTTCGAAACGGCATACGTCCACCGGGCGGTCGCCCAAAGCAGACTACGCTGGTTCATTTCGGATTTCGTGATCAAGCGAGTTCTATGGTTCTTGACTGGAACCCAGGCTGGTATGAACCAGCATGTTGGTGCTCTTCCTAAAGAGCGACTGGGCAGAGCCTTTGTTTTCTTAAACAAGAGCAATAAAGCCATGCCGTACCTCAATCGTCCCTACAAGACACACAATCCATTTTTAGCATATATCGGTAATCGGTACATTGATCCTCCAGAGGATGCTAACTCTGACCGATACGTTGATACTTGCACCTGGCCGACATCTATCGATGCTACTGGACGGGTCCATTTCCAAGTGAAACACGATCGGAAGGATTGGCAGCGGCTGAAGGACAAAAACATCCAGCCAAACTGTGTGGTTTACTGCTCAGGGTATGTTGCACCATTCCTAAGGTGTGCTGATTTCAAAGTAATAAGAGTCTTCACAGGTACAAACAAACGTTCCCTTATCTTGACGCATCATATCCCACGGCATCAGACGCCCAAATCAGAAACATTGTCAACCCATCAAACCCAGACATCGCTTTCATTGGTTTCGTGCGCCCAGGCGTGGGCGCCATCCCTCCCATAGCTGAACAGCAAGCCATGTGGTGGACAGCGCTTATCACCGGGCGCATGCAAATGCCCATGGATCCTCCCCACTATCACCTCCTTGCCGCCAAGGGATCTCGTATCCAGTATGGCGTCGACCACAGCGCGTACATGAGCACGTTGGCCAAAGATTTTGGAGGAGCACCAGGTCTGCTTGAATTGTATCGAAGACACGGTCTGCAGATTCTGCTTATTTATTGCTTTGGTGCATCTTTCGTCACATTTTACAGACTGACAGGACCATTTGAGTCATCCGTTGCGCCAGAGATTGCTCGAACGGAGCTGGCGGAGACCATCCTCCGACGTGGTTACACTGGAAATCTTTTCTTTGGTCTGATACCCATGCTTTTCTATGGGGTTGTCAATTCTGTGGCCTTACTACTCGATATGGTTGGACTCCTTCCTCTAGAAACAGAGATGGGGTGTGGTGAATCTTGTAAGGGAAAAGCCAAGCTAAGCATATAATAGTCGCGGCATATGTTTGAAATCTGTGATGGATCATGAGCGCAGACCATTTCGGATTAGCCCTTAATATAAGAGTTTAGAGGCAAGTCTTTGACCTTCAAATCACTCGTAGCGTAAATTAGATAACACGAGCCGGCGAGCCTCACTACACCGCCTAACGCGATAAGCGCATCAACATACTCACTCCCACTCTTTGTTGACGCTCCGATCTACGTGCCATTGGTCACCCGGTCTCCAAAACTCTCGACATGGAATGCCGGTCATAGGCCATTGATGGTCTAATTAAGAACACGTCATGCTGGAATCAATACAGGCACTCTTACGCCAAACCTTCGAGGACCACCGCTCCCTCCCCATCCTAGCCTTTTACCTGGCCCTCTGCGCCACACTCGCATTAAACATATGTCTCAAAATCTACCGACGGTACAAGATCCGGAAAGTCCGGCCTAGCTGGAGTACCACCCACGGTCCTGTGTTTGCCCTATTTCTCATCCTCGCAACCGTCAGTCTCGCGACAACATGGTACTACATGTTCGCGTTCTTCCGGCATTCCTATACTAGCTGGGCAGCAGGACAGTCACCTGCACAGCAAGCATTGATTGAGGCGAAACCATATCTGGTAAAATGGGAGTTGTGGCTGCGAGATCGGAAGCTATTCCGGGAAGCGTGGGAGAGTGTGTCCGAGACGCCGGCAAAGTTCTGGTGGAGTGGACAGATCTTCTTGTGGACAATCGGATGGAGTTTGTTTCTGGGAGTGATGGGTGTGTGTGTCTGTATAATCTCACTAGATTGTTGCTAATCACCGGCTAGGTCGCCGATACAATATCCCCAACGTGTGGGTGTACATGCTGCTCGGACAAATTGTCGCAATTTCCTTCGCACAGAACCTGTTCTTCGCTACAATTCTCGTCTCAAATCCGAGTGCCATCCGCGGTGCGAAAACGTCATGGATTCCCCCAGCAATTCTCGAGCTTGCACCCGTCGTGATATCCTTCCTCAGTGCCGCGATTATACCCTTCGTCGCGAACACGCCGTACTTCATGCCTGTTCTTGCCGTGCCTCATCTTCTTCTGTTCATCCCGGGTCTATTGTCGCCTAGAAATCTTCCACAGGGCTGGGGAACGTACATATCTCAACCTTTGCGTCGATACGCTACGTTTTATAAATGGCTGTTAGCAGTTGGGGTGGCTATACAGGCACACTCTACATATATTGTTGTTATGGATGAACCGGCCCTGCTGGGAGGCTCGGTAGTCGACCTGGGGCAGAGACTGGTGGACACAATGTTTGAGCATCCCGCTGTGAGTAGTGTTGGGTGGGATGTGGTATGCTGTTCGTTATCATGGGGTACTTGGGTTTTCTTGCATGATGGATTGGAGGGAATGCTAGCCTAGCATATACAATCTCGGCCTGAACATATTTGGGCCTCAAATGAGGCTCAGCTCGCGTTATGCATGTGCCAGCATTGCCGCTTGTACATATTCGAATGTCCACCTGATGATTGACCCCTCTTATTCCGTCCGTTTTGATTAGGCTGCAGTGACAGGCAGCAATCATCTCTTCGAATTCTCCGCCATCTTTGTGCTGATAAAAGATGCTGTGAAGCATGCTGCATATGACACAGCTGCGTGGCTCCCATGGATTGGCTATAGGTGGTTCATTCTCAAATCGTGATTGCAGGGGTCAGCCTCAACGTGCAAATACGACCAGTAAGAGGCTGGTGGCCAGATGTGTTGGTCATGCATGGCCAACTCAACGTTCGCCCTCCCCCTCTTTTTCAAACTCTAGTTATCGACTACAAGAAGACGAATGAGCTGTTCCACTACTTTGCACCTTACCCTTTGAGCAGATTCTACTACCAAGGCTACCAAAATGGCTCCTAGGCATTGTGTCCACAGTCCAGCTGATGAGACACTGATCTTTCCAACCCTGGGCGGCAAATATGACAGATTTTATTACGGCCAAGTGCACTCATCGTGAGAACTTCTGATCGTTTGAGCTACCAAACCACTAACTTCAAACCGGGTATAGGCCCTACAAACTTCCACTGATCGCCATATCTATTGGAGAGGATCAATATGGGATCCCATGGCCCTATCTCGAAACTTATCCGAGATTTCGCAAGCTTGCCTACTCTGGAAAACTCGAACTTGCTATTTCTCCAGATATTGGTCACACAGTAGTGCATTTCCTATACACTGGCAAATGGCAAACAATCGACTGTGGACTTTCCCGTGGCAAAACATACACGGAAAGGGAATACCAAAGATGCGTTCAAGTCTACCATGCATCCATGAAATATGATCTTTCTGAGCTGAAGGTTATGGCCGAAAAATACATCGCCCACTTTGGAAATGAGTTTTCAGCCATGGAACTTCTGCGTTTGACGACCGAAGTTTTCTCGGAATTCCCCGAAGACGAATTTTGGCTTCCAAATTATGTCACGAATACGCTTCAAGAAATTGTTGGAGGTGTCAATTCAAAAGTCAATATTCGTGATAATTCCTCTGTGAGAAGTCCCGGCAGCTTGGCGATCATGGCGGCAGTCATTGATGCCCAATTCTCGCGCATACTCGAGTTGGAAAGTACCCGTGGAAACTATCAGGCCAGGCCCGGGGTCTACACGCACGGATTCGGTGCAAACCACTACCCACATAGCCGGTATGACATGCCTCCCATGCCTGCCAGGCCTATTTCTCCCAGCTCGGCGGCAAACTCTGCTTCAACTGGCGTTCGCCGCTATCACAGGCCTGCATCTCCCAGTTCGGCGGCAATCTCTGTTTCCCATGTTGTTCACCGCTGTCCCAGGTCAGCATCTCCCAGTTCAGAAAAAGGCTCTGCTTCCGCTGGTAGTGGCAGTGTAGCCGAGGGATCGCTTCTCACTCCCGATGAGGATTCCACGGTTGAAAGTCTTGTCCGCGCTGCTAAATATCCTGCCGAGGACCTGGCTGACGCTTCCGCTACATTTCCCGATTGTGATACCGCTGAAGCCTCTGAGCATGTTGCCCCGATCGAAGTTTGCATCTCTGTGGCGGTTACTGAAGATGGAAGCCCTTCGAATGAGTGGACTGACCATCCGGACGACCCTGTCATGGACGAGCATGTAGACGGACTCGTCTACGAGGAGTCTATTGTCGAAGCTGTCGAGGCTTCTATCTACGAGGAGTCTATCGCCGGGAACGCTGTAACCGAAGAATCCTTCACTGAAGCTCCTGCCGAACTGATTGTCTACGAGGAGTCCGTGCCGGAGGAGTCAGTCGCCGACGAACCTGTTGCCGAAGAGTCTGTCCCATGGGAGCCTGTTGCCGAAGAATCTGCTTCGAGCGAGCCTGCTGTTGAAGAGCCTGTTCCAGAACAATGTGTCCCAGAGGAAACCTTGGCCGAAGAAGTTGAAACCAATCACAATCACCCTCTGCTCCTAAATTCAGATTTGTACGCAGATTGGAAGAGTCTCTCCCCGAAGAAACGGCGAATGAGGACGAAAAAGCTCCAGCGTCAAGGTCTGCCCATTCCGGACCGAGATGGTGTCATTTCAATAGTTTTGCCTTAAGAAAATTTACGGAGAGTATGAAAGTCTTCTAAATTATCTCCCATTTCCTTGGTGTTTCCTTTGACCAATTCGAAAGTTTGCTTTCCATCATGGTTTCCAATGTTGTTTTGAGGTCTCACGCTTATTTTAAGAATAACGGTCTCTTTTTCTATTCGAAGGATTGAACCAGTCTGCCCCAATGCTATTGTCAATTCGATTTACTTCTTGGTCTTTCTTTGTTCCCTCGTAGTGTAGATTTCCAGTGGTCTTCAAGCTGCTGGGTGACCTATTCTCTGTTTCAAACAATATGAGCGAAAAAGCAACCATGTGTAGAAGCCTCGTGTGGACACCACAAAACTAGTTGAACACCCTCACTAACTGCAATTAAAATAGCGCATTCTTCAAGATTCAGATAGTCATATTTTGGAGTACCTCCCCAAGTATCTACTTGCTCACGTTACTCTGTAGACTACGCAGGAATGCGAATGCGATTAAAGAGTGATACCCACTGATCTGACTGTTCTTACTAATATCATGACTCTAATGAAACGTTATTTCATATATTGACGTGAATCAAACGAGGTGATACCATGATTTTTCATACTTGAGATGAAATCCTTTCTGAATTACAATTACTGCCCTACTTCAAATGCGGTTGGTGAGGGTATTCAACTAATTCTTCGGTGTTCGAATTGGCGCGCTGCTATATGTAATGTAAGCACCTATATAGGCTGTGAGCGTTAGAAAATTTCTATTGTGCTAATTTAGGTGTTCGTGGCTGGGCATCTTGGCTCATTTCAAAAAAGACCATGACAGTCCGCAAACAAGATCAAAGAGCGAAGTAAACGGAGAGCGAAGTAAACGGCAAATCTATCAAGGCGCCTGAGCCAGAGAAAGAAATATAGCCGTGCGGAAGCTTTCAAAATCTACAGTTCTTTGTAATAGTCGGCGACTTGTTCTGAAACGATCTGATAGCTATAATTGGCGCCATGGGTCTCGAGACCCATTCATACTATTTTTGGCGACGGATGATTGCAAGAAATGTAGTCAATATCGTGGCTGGTTATCGACATGCGCGTTTCTTTTCTCTTCAAAGAGCCAAAACTTCAACCTAGCATGACTGCCTTTGTTGCCAGTTCTTCACGGGATTTGGCTCAACTTGACTCATAAACTTCCTGTTTTGGGACATGGCTTCAACTCAACAATGCGGTACATATAAAGATCAAGGTCTGCTCATTTTCAAGGGCACCGTGCCGTTATTCTGACTTGTTCTGTCGCAATCATACCGAGACATTACATCCATATTTTCCACTACGCCATGGAGTCTGGTTCAAAGGCGTCAAGCGTGAGATCCATCTTTGGCATCAAGAAGAACGTTAGAAAAAAGAGATCAAAAACACTCAGCATACAAAACCTAGACCTTACTCAGGTCTTTGATCCTCCAGCCCCACCAGAAGAAGAGCCCAGGCCCCCGCGGCAGGAACGATGGGCTCACAGAGGGGATGGCCCCTTACTTGATCCCAGTGCCCTTCCCAAAGGATGGAACATGGATGAGCCTGATCTTGATCCAGAGTAAATGCACCTCCTGGGACATATGAGACAATGAATATATGGCTAATAGCAAAACAGTGATATCGACGCCCAGATTGCCAGATGCGAGGAGAGGATAGAGGACAATATTATGACGTTTGCATTCGAAGAAAAACTTAAAGACTATACGCTACGCAAGCAATATATAGAGTACATAGCCCTTGTACTCTTCGGAAATGTGGATTGGCTAATATGTGATAGAGAAATCGCCCAGGACGAGCCAGAAGGCCTCGGCGTTAATCTTCTTTTTCGAATCAAATGCTTGAAAGGCATATTTCAGAATTTAGTGAAGAATGGTGACCCTTACAAACAGATTCGGAATATCAGAGCGATTTTGAAGGCCTATAGGGAAGGCAATTTGGATCTGAATGGCCTGATTACTTATTGGTCTCATGGCGATCGGCTCTGCCAGCCCAGACCATTCAACTGGGAGGAGTTCGATGCCATTAATGACGCGCATGAGGGCCATGTGGGGTTTTGGGTTGAAGGGGTAGGTACTTCATCAGTTTATATCATGCTCTGCTAATTCGTCTCAGCTATATGATCGAGATCTAGTAGTTCGGCCGCACTTGATAATTCCATACTTTAAGAGGCCAGGTTCATTCCATGTAATGACCCTATACCCCAGACCCTGGAGAGTGTCAACTAATTCGTTCCTAGTATAATATGGCATTTCGAGTCCCTAACTACCCCTGGTGGACAGAGCTAGAAATGCTCTACGACACTGGCTCACAAGCAACGATCATATTCGAAGGCGACGTGCGAAGAATCATGGGCCCCTTTGGCCCACCCGACCAAGCACCTATCAAAATCATCGCAACGCAGCAGTTAGCTGGGCTCGGCGGAGATATAACCTGTCAAATGATTGCACTTGAAGTTACTGTACTCGACGCGAAGAGAAACCGGCTAACGCCGTGGGTCAGAGTTCCAGTGGGTCTACAACCGGGCAACTATAACCCGGCCAAGCATCAAATCAGATGTGATGGCCCATTTTTATCGAGGTATCTATATACTGCATCGGCACCAAATGAGGCTGGAAAGATGCACATTGGTACCAATCCAGCTTCTTTGAGGTTGCCCTGGATGGAGTCTCGTAATGCAGCAGGTTTCAAGCTCTCGCCAGAGCAGAACCTGGGCAATCTAAAACAGAAAGCTCGTAATCCCCGTAAACTGCCACAGCCAATGGCTATGCCAAATCCTGGGTTTAGAGTGAAAGATTGATGTGTTACAATGGCTTCCATCTCCAGCATTGTCGGCACTTGAGCGTTGCCAACTGGTTATATAGACCTCTTGTACATATAGGTTACGATGTATTCATTCATGCAATTGAACCTGCGTTCCAGAATCCTGTCAGCCTCAAAGAAAAGCTGGTACCTATCTGCAGTAGGGAATAGAAGGTAGTCAGTCCTTAGGCCGCAGGACGACAACATATCCAACGACAACATATCCAGAAGCAAAGTCAGAGACCTCAATTGAGAAATTGAGAAATCAACTCATACACTCTCCCCTTGCCGCGGGGTACCAACAATCTTCTCAGCAACCATCTCACTATCCCAGTCTTTGAACTCCCGTGTATGGAGCTTCATTGAAAACATACGATCAATGTCCATAGGCGATCGACCTTTCATCTCCGGAATAAAGAGCCAGGTCAGGATAACCGCGGTGGCAGCCACTGCGGCTAAGAAGAATCCTGTTTTTGCCTTGAGGTTTCCTTTGTCTGCGTTGTAGATATAAGGCAAAATGATTGAAAACACACCGGTCGCAATGCCACTTGTGAACCAGCCAATGCCTTGGGTTTTGGCTCGAAGTTGCAGCGAGGAGGTCTCAGCAGCAACAACATGCGAGGCCGGCCAAATACCCAGTCCACAAACCATCGTGACTATCATCATTGTGACTGCAGTGTACCTGTAGAGGCTTTAGCAAAAGGAATGTTAACTCTTCGTGTTGTACATACCAAATCGTGACGATGCCCTCAAAGCAGCCAGCAATGCCCATGGCTAACCACAGTACCATAGCAGTCGCCAATGTAAACATACACAGAAAGCGTCTACCCAGACCATTCAACACCCACAGACTCACAATGTTAGCAATCAAACCAAGACCGATGCCAAGAATAAGGAAAATGAGACTGTTTGTCGAGCCCATTCCAACGATTTGCATGAAGTAAGATGCATTTGCAAGGAGCTGCAGACCAAAAAGCTGAGGCAGGGAGCTGGCCAAACAAACGATCAGTGTTCTTCGAAGGTTTGTTCCCCGGAAACAATCCATATACGCATAGGAAGCAGTTTCTTCCTCTTCTACTAGAATGGCCAGATGTAACTCCTCAATAGTCGCGGCAGAGTCGCTATGAATAGTATCCAGTTTCTTCTGAGCTTCCAGCGCTTTTTCCGGTCTGTTCCTTCTAAGTAGCCATGTCGGACTCTCTGGCAACAGTATCGACAGGCAGAGTGGAACAGCCGAGAAGGGCCATTGCGACGCGAAACAAATTCGATAGCTTTGTGCTCCTTCTCTTTGGAGGGATACGTACACCACAATAGCACCGAGTAGCTGGCCAAGTAATGTGAATATTGGCAAGAAGGCAATGATCGGCCCCCGAAGAGCAACGGGGAGAATCTCAGACATGTAAGTCTGGACAACGCAGAGAAGAATCCCAATACAAATTCCCTGAAACAACTTGCCTGCCAGGAAGACTCCACGACGGGAATCCATGTCGTCAGGAAGATCAGCAACGTAACAGATTGCGACCGCAATCGCGGACAAAAGGCTGCCGATCGCGAGGGCAAGCCGACGACCACCCCTGTCTTGGAAATGACCACCGAAGATGGATCCTATCATCATCCCGATCGGACTGGACGCGTTCCAAAGGGAGAGCCACATTGATGGAATTATGTATGTAGCGCCTAACTTTTCGCCAAAGGTATGTCTGTTACGGTTAGTTATTGCGATGTATTCCTAAGATAATAACATACTGAAATTCCGGCATGGCGGATACTGTTCCCACAATGACTAGATCATAGCCATAGAGAAGAATGGCGGAACTCAGTGCAAGGCAGTATATGACCACTTTTGGCCATCGCTTTAGTAGCTGCCATAAAGGGGTGTGTGTCGCGTGGGCGGGGATATTTGTACTATTTTGAGATACATCTTCAACAAACTCTTGGGTGGTTTTATCGATGGAATCATGCATACTGATCAACCTTCCAAAGAGCGATCAAGTATTACAACTTCTACAGGACGAGCTATTCAATCTTTATTAACAATGTTTCAAGCACGGACGGTGAGGGGGATCGCCGAGTACTGTTGACAGAGAATGCAACATGAGCTTTGACGTGATGTCCATACTCTCTAAGCGAGCACCAAGACGAAGGTTAATAAACTTCATCAAATAAGAGCTCAGTGTTTTCGATGCCGCGCCTGGGTATGTCACATTGGAAGGTCTTGCCGATATTTACGCGAATTAAATCGTAAAGCTAGGGATCCCCGCACGCTTGGCAAGCGACGAGACTTGCCAAGTTAGCCAGATGATTTATCTCCCATTACATCAAGTTCCTTTCTCTTCATGTGAAGTCTCAGTGACATAATATGGCCTGTATTTGAGCTTGTTGGCATTGGTCAGAGGGGAACATCATAGATCGGAAATTCAGATGTGGAAAAAGTAGACTGATAGTACCCGAGAATTCGGCATCACGTAAGTCTGTTGACTAGGCTGGACCTGAGTGATTATTTCACCAGTCTCAATTATCCCCTACGGTTGATGAGGTTGCCTGTGTCTCAATTCGAGGATCCCTTCTCTTCTCCAACTTCTCGAGGTGTGCTCTCAGCGTTTCTATCTCAGTATCCAGCTCCTTTGCCGAGGCAAGTCGATACTTTAGCGTGAGAATACCCGCAGATGTGACCAGTAGTCCTATAGAGACTAAATATGACCATTGGCCGACCTGTTGCGGGTTTTCCTGCGACGGGCCATCGTTGTGGATCCACCATTCGATATATGCCACGAAGCCAATGATTGTTAGTGGGCTGATAATCATACTAAATAGAAGGCCAAACAGTATGCCCAAATCCGCTATTATGCGAAGGAATGCCTTGAGAAAGCGAACAGTGAAGACAGGTCGAATGCGACTCCAGCAAGACCTCGAGCGTTTCGTGTTGTATGTTTCTTTTGCTTCGAGTCCTTTTCTTGGTGTCGAAAGTGAATCTTTGAACTCATCTTTGAAGCTTCTCCATATCTCCTTCCTGGCCCTCCAAATTATCACAATTTGAGCAGATGGAATCCTTGACTTGTAAGGCAGAAACTTGAATGTCAAAAGAACAATATTGAGAATGAAACACAGGATGATGAGACTGTATATGTATCGATTCGAATAGATGAGTCTATCCCAGAAGCGATTTCCGTGCGAAGCTTCAGATCGCCTCTCTGTGACCCATGATTCCAACGTGGTCGCTTGTCGGAGAATCTGGCTCGTGTTGAAGCAAGGGTTGTAGCAGATATCACCGATCTCGCCCCACTTAGTGATATTTGAGAATGTCTCCCATATACTGCTGTTCCACGTTGAGGTTCTCCAGGAACTTTCCCACCCATCGTTTGATGTTGACTGGTATGGCGGGACATCGGGGTAGCAGAACATGTACTGGGTCGGGATTTCGCGACTTTTCGCGGCGTTTACAAGAGCGCAGATGGACCCAGCAAGCATGAGAATATTCCAGAGATAGAACAGGAGGATTCGAGCCCGTTCCTGAGTCAACACACGGGACCAGCATTGCAATGGGAGAAAGACGAGATAGCCAGTGATGACTATCGCCATGACCGCATCACCATCCAATTCGAGTGCACTGGGTTGCAGGATGATCTGGTCTGTCTGTGTGATGAGCTGTGGGAAACTGCTCCACAGTGTACTGTTCTCCGCAACATATGGGATATATACAAGGGTGGGCTCTTGCGCTATGCGATCACTTGACACCAAAATAAATGCTTCAATTGCTGCTGTGCCGGCATATGTCGCGGCGGCTCCCAGAAACACGTCTGCCAGCCATCCTGTCCATCGTGTGAGACAGCTTGCCAGAAGAAGGGCATAGAATAAGTAGCGAGGACATGAGTCATATATCGTGCTGATGGGGTAAAAGCACAAGGCCTCTTGGGCGATGAACAAGGGCTGAACCATGAGGGTGGGTCCGGGGTACTCTAGAAAGACATCGCAAGGATCATGTCCAACTCGATGCCGCTGTTCAGTGAGGCACGCCGGTCAAGGTCTTCGAGAACTAAAGAGCTGTGCGGGTTTGAAAATTCAAATTCATGCGTTCCTCGTCAATTCAAGGTTTGTGGGGCTTTTTTGGTTCCTGCTGCTGCCTTGGGCGAGGCCGAGATTTATTAGATCTTGACGTCATATACTTTGATAAGATTCATCGACCAACTTCAAAACAATTTAAGAATCTTTGAATACAATGGGAGGAGTTTTGGACATGCCTAATGATGCAGCAGAGCTTGAGCCTTCATCTCTGGAAAGTCGTCGAGTCAATTTTGAAGTGAACATTGATCAACGCAATCACTGTAATAAATATTGTACATCTTGATATCGCAAGACTCCGTCTTGTTCCTAGTTCGACTGTCTATTTCCTTGGAATATTTCCATTTAGACGCACTTGAAAGACTGTGTCTGGTTCCAGTTACCGCCAACATAGGCAGCATGCTGAGGGTAAGGGCAAGTTCTACGCTGGGCCTGGACACCAAGCGCAGGAGTGTTGTCGACATACTGGGTAGCAATCAGCTCAGTGGGAGCAATGCCCTCCTCAACCCAGGCCATCAGAGCCAGAACAGCGTCGTGCTTGCGGTCTCGGTACCCAGGCACGCCCCAAACATTGTCTCCAGTCAAAGCGGATGGCTGGTTTGCAGAGCCAATGTACCAAGGCGCATCATGGGTGGAATCCATGCAGTGCTCCATACCAGGGATTAGGAAGAAGCGGTAAAATCCATCCAAATTGTACCCCAGAGGAACCATCGTCTTCTGAACTTGCTGGTAGTAGTAGATACTGGAGCCAGTAGGGATTTCTCCATCAGCAAAACCGTGGTAGTGGATCAGTTTGCCGCCACGCTTCTGGAAGGGACGGAGGTCGTAGTCATCTGCAGTGGCATTGCCCGGGTCCAGACGGTCGGAAAGCTCAATCGTGGCCAGATCAAGGTGATCTCCAGGCCAGGTGGCGTCGTTGTAGACAAAGTCACGGGGGTAGGCGATTCCACTAGGGGCATCGACATCATCATCGGCGGTGATGATCATTTCAGAGACCTGGGCCTCAGCTCCCCAAGCGAAGGAGGGGAAGACAAAGGTTTGGTTCGTTTCGATCCAATCGCCATACACACGATTGATGGTGTCGACCTGTGCAGCATTGAAGCAGGTGCTGGTGTTGGTAGAAGTGCTGTTGCAAAGGAGAGCCTCGGGGCGGAACTGGCAGGCGTAGCCGTTCATAATAATGTTGTCAACCACGCCATCTACACCGTCACACTGGCTCATGACTTCATCGGCCAGAACATCCATCAGGTCGGCGGTGATATGGCCGGGGGAGTCGTTGGGCAAATTGTCCAGAGCAACCTTTAAATCCCAGTTCTGTTGGTGGCTAGTCCACCAAGCACAAGCGCCAGCAAGAACTCCGTCAAAGTCATCCGGGAACATCTGAACAGACTTCAATCCTTGACGACCACCAGTTGAGCATCCGGCATAGTAGGAATACTCAATATCGTGGCTATAGAAAGCCTTGGTCAGTGTCTTACCCAGAGCAACACTTCCGTGGAGAGCGCGCCAACCCCAGTCAGTCCGGGTTTCAGGCTTGTTAAGAGCCCAGCCTGCATCGCCAGCCTCAGTAACAGACGAGTTATGACCAGTGTTTGTCGAAACAACAGCGAATCCGTAGTTAATTCCCGGCGCCATATCTCCGAAGGCGATTTGGCCGGTGAACCCACCGTTTCCGTAAGCCATATAGCGCTTGTTCCATGTCGAAGTTGGAAGCCAGACACTAAATTCATACGATGAAGTTGCAGATGAGCTGACGTTCACGTAGACAGCACAGTAATCGGGCAAGCCGGTATAGTTGGCGAGAGGGCCTACGAAGGTCTCATTGGAGGTGAAAGTGCGAGCATAAACAATGCTGGCATTGCTGTCGAGATAAGGAGCGAAGAATTTCGGATCACACTTGGTTGCACTAGCAGCCAAGGAGGCCAAAGAAGCCAGCAAAACAGAAGCTCGCATCCTGCAAGATTAATGTTGTGGTATAGTCTAGTGAAGGTGGTTGATTGACAGGGGAATGAGACGAGACATCCCGGTTTGGTTTTATACTTTTCGAGTGAAGATAGCTCATAATATACCTGTAGAGCCGCGTCACGTATTCATAATTAGTGGAACCGCTAAAGAATCTTGAAATTGTTAAACATGAAACCGTGGCCGAAGACGCACATGGCGTTTTACGGTTTAGTTACCCAATTTCTGCAGTATTTATACATCTATCAACTGAGTATCTCTACGTAAATATTCTTCCATCTTCGGGCCCCACACGCTAGTCCCTAATTCCGTCGCCATATATACCAACTAATTGTTTTCTAATCCAATTCGCTACACTTTGGGCCGATAGAACTACCAAGAATGTGTTGTTCTTGAGGAGACCGCGGCCGTGTCGGTAACTCGCCGTTTAAAAATGATTCTACTGTTTCATCCTATACCCAATTTGGTTTGAAGAACCACATATGGTGTGCCGTGGGCACATCCCGTTCTTTAATGGGAGCTTCGTAATATAGCCGCGCATCTCCGGACCCACCTCGCTTGCGGAGCCTAAACCTTTTCAGGCTTTTCCAACGCAGATCCCAAATAACTGTGCCTTAGTAAGACCCCTGCACATCAGCGTAATTATCTGGGTCTACTGTACTGTGACCTTGTAAGATTCTATCAAGATGCCTAAAAGCTACAGGCCGGGTATCTTCGACTTACAGTGAAACTTGCGTTTCCAACGAGGTCAGACTATGTCAGGCGACTCATACCCAAGCTACCCCTTAGTAGGACAGGATAGACGACGTATTGGGCATGCTCAGAGCGGCAACCCAAGCTAAACCATGTTCAGAATATTCGCTTCATCAGTAGCAATAATTCTATCCATCAATAAATGGTCGATTTCGTCTGCAAAACCGTGCTCGATAAGGACATTGATAGTGTCTGATCCCGGACGGCGTGCTTTCAAGAGCGATTTTTCACGATCGACGCTGCTATACACTGGAAGGCCAATGCCACGCGCAAGTCCTAGACCCTGGTGGTGGATCGTCGGGAGCAGGTTATTGCGCACAACCTCAACATCACCAGCGAGCTCCTGGAGGCCGCAATAACGGTGAGCGCTTAGCCCGGCCTGGAGGAGGATGGCTATGCAATCAGCCACACATATGCGTTCGAACTTCGCCTCCAGCCAGATCGCAACGTCCCGGGCTGGCACAGTCGCAAGTTTCTCAAACCCCGATTGAGCTTCAAGAAGCTGGCGCCCTTTCTCGTGACCTTCCGCCAAATAGAACCATCCGTCCCGCGCCTTATAAAGACGGTCGAATTCGTTCCAGCCTGGACTGCCCGGTCCACTCGGCTCGTCCCCAGTCCATCCAGCATACTTCATCATGTATGGAAGTTGATGCAAAGTTGCCGTACGTGACAGCGACGCGTTGACCGCCTGCCCCTGACCGGTTGCATCGCGGTGTAGCAAGGCCAAGATTATGCCGAAGGCGTTGAGGTGGCCGGCCGCATTATCGTTCAGATAGGTGGACTGGATCTGAGGCCCCGCAGTTCCCCCATGACGGTGCGCCATGCCCGTCACCATCTGTCCTAACATGTCGTGTCCGCGATACGCTTCTCGAAAGCCGCCATACGAATGAAGAGACATCGTGGACATGATGATTGAGGGATTGATTCCACGCACACTCTGCTCGTCAACTCCCAATCGTAATGCGGCCTTAGGCGTGAAGTTGTGATGTACTACATCTGATTTAGCAATCAGCGCAGCGAGAATATCGCGTCCTTTTAGGCTCTTCAAATCCAAGAACATCATGCGCTTTCCCGCGCTAACGGTTCTGGCGCCAATAAACGCGACCTCGTCATCAGTGAGAGGGTCGACATCGCCGGTGATGATGCCCGGGCGGTCAATCTTAATGACTTCTGCACCATGCTGAACGAGTATCCTGGCGGTTGTCGGTCCAGCCAACAGCGTCGACAGATCCAGAACGCGCAACCCCGCAAGCGGCGGCGTGGGTGCGACAACGTCGATTACTGGTCGCTCCATCTGAGGTTCAAGCCATTCGATCTGTTCTCCTCCTGGCAGAGGCTCGGAATGACGCCCACCGCGGACGAAGGGCCGGCTGACACTTAGGCGCGTAGCAAAGCCGGCTTGAAATGTTTCGCCATATTCACAGTCTTCAACCTGGATAACGCACTCGCTATCAAGAGCATGCTTGTCTTCCAACCATGCTGAAACCGGCTGAGCCAATCCAAGCGCACCCTCGAGTTCTTCTTGACAGAGCTGCTCCCACTCACGAGCTGGCTTCGCTGACAGCAATTTGTTCAAGTCGTCCGACAATTCAAGTATCTCGACTTTATGCATTGATCTGATGTCCCGCCCCGGAAGAAACTTATTCAAGAGTCGCTGCAAGCCTCGCAATGGGGAATCTATATAGACATAATTATTGTCTCCTGCCTTTCGGACACCCATAGCGGCCGGCATCTTAACCACGAGAGTATTTGATAAGGTGCGAGACGGGGGGTCTTCGGCGCCAAAGCCAAGACCTTGAAAGCCAGCCTCGAACAAGGAGACCTCCATTACTTCTCCTCGACCAAATCGCTGCCGCGTGCGCAATGCCGCAACGATCCTGTGAGCTGCGAGGAAGGCTGCGTAATTTGAAGCGAGGGGCAAGGCCGTAAACACGGGGTCCCCTTCGCCACCCCCGGCTCCGAAGCCCAGTGAAGGATAGAGCCCGACCGCGGCGCAGACGATGCCTTCCCATGCTTGCATTGAAGCGCGAGGGTCGTCCGAAGGAAACCCTGGCATCGAACACCATACGAGGCCGGGGTTTGATTCAATAGCAACCTCGGGGTCGAGTCCAAGTTTTCTCATCACCCCGGGTCGAAAGTTCTCGACGATGATGTCGGCACTAGTCATCAGCCGCCTCGCCTGTGAGAGCCCTTCTTCCGTTTTCAGGTCCAGACGGATGTATCTCTTTCCTCGATGCAGGGCAGCGTTTGCAGAGTGGCGCCATGGCGGGCCGGAGGGCGGATCAATGTGAATCACATCGGCGCCATAGTCCGCGAGGAACATTGTGGTCATCGGGGCAGATATATATTGACCGAAGTCAAGTACTCTCACGCCCTTCAGCGCGCCAACGGCCAGGTCGCTTACATTCATCTCGTTCTTCTGCCTAGGAAGATGCGAGTTCCTGAGCGGATTGTTTCTTGCCTCCGGCTCGAACACCAACTTAAAATAGACCGACAAAGTCCAGCGATTCTCCGCCACTTGTCTGAAATAAATCTGATAAATCCTCCTTTATGTAGAATAATATCTTGCTTGTAACGTAGATTCCGAAAAAGAAAATTGCTGTGAGGTAACTCCGTCCCAAAGTGCGAGGGGTACTGACTTTATACCGTTGGTGTCGACTATCATTCGTCAATATTTCGGAATGGTAACGCCGAGGTCATTCGGAACCTCTTTGCGTTTTAGTCCATTGCGTCGGCCTTGTACGGGTAGCTGATCTGATCTACACAGAGACCCCAAATCCCCTCTAGAAGTTTGAGCATGCATATCAGCCGCGCTATATGGAGTCATATTACGTCCGTAATATTATACCGCACCCGTAGTGGGAGTAGCATACATAACCAATGGATGGCAGCACTCATGGTCGTTGGAGTGATTTAATGCAACATGCCGCAAAGATCACCTAAGCCGGTTTATCTACATAGTGCTGTGTAAAATGCGAAGTTTTACTCAACTTTGGGACTCCATCGTGTTAAAAAAAATGCCGGCGCACTGGGCGATCTAAATCGGGATGAGGTGCAATGTGGGGTACGGAGTAATGGGGTAAAGTCTAGCATTTCTCGGAAATCGAGATCCAACAGCACCATGACCCTCAGACCGGAACAGACAGAAAAGGGGCCAACGGACGGATAAGATACGCGGCTTATCTTAAACTGTGGTTAGTCCAACTCGGTCTTCGCCAAAAGCCTCTCTCGGTCCCGAAGCAGAAAATTCCGAGGTGGTTCGGAATGCTATTTTCAAGCTTGCCGTAGACATACGAGGCCATCATATCACATTCAAAAACATTGATTCCGCGGAAATCTGAGCTCGTATATCCTAGCTATGTTTGCCGGAACCTAGTGCTTTATTTTGGAATATATGGACCTAATAGGCTCGGAACTCGTCGCTGACTTTTGCACTATCTGGGGTAAACTTATAATATCTGGGGTCGTGCGGGGAAAAGAGGAGTCTAGATAACGATCTATTATAAGACGCCTTATCTAGTGTAGACCTAGGAAAACCCAGCCTATTGGTTTAGACCTTGACCTAAAATCTAAACCCATGAACCCGTAGGTTTAGGGGTCACATCCAAACCCACACAGTCCAGCTTCACACTTGTTTCGTACTTGAGATAACCACCTTACCAGGAGAGGTACACTTACTTTCTTGTCGCTCGGCACAGTTACTAAGCATAGCTTGACTAGCTGCTACTATCTGGCACTGCCCAACAAGAGTTTATTCTATAGATCCGAGCCCGTGTAAGGCCTAAACGGCAATAGTACGATTGCGACTGAGACTTGAGGACGAGCCTCGACGTACGTATACGACCACTACGAGCGATACTCACCGTGACCAATTAGCGCCGCGTAACACCAAGTTACTAATATATAAGCTATATTTGTTCTATTTACTAAGCTATATAAATTTAAGCAGAAGATAAAGCTTTATTAAGTTTTATTAGAAGGAACCTATAGAGCTAAAAATATACTAATATTAAATATTAGCCCTGGATGAATATAGATTAAATATCTCTAATAAGAATATTCAATAAGAGATACTAATAATTTAACTAAGGATCTTAAGCTTCTTATAGACTTCTAAACATGGCAAGTATAGAGGTAGACACAGGAATGGCTAGGTACCAAAAAGATCAGTCACATATTTTAGAGAAAAACACCCAACAGGAAAGGAGCAGTTCAGCGGCTTACCTATGATTAGGAGGGCTAGAAAGATTTACAAAGCTGTTTCCATTTTCGCGCATCGGTCTTCGTGGTCAATGGTTTAAGAAAAACCGAGCAAAAAGTCACATCCGAATTGGTGACTGAGCTACTTATAGATATAAAAGAACGGAACGGTCTTCGCAAGGTGGGACCTAATTGGTCACACTGAACCAGATGGCTGCTAGTGGACAGACTAGGAAAGACGATTGGTATATTTGAGATCGACCCTAGAGCTCACGTCGACCAATAAACCAGGAAAGTATACTTTGAAGCATGGCGAATCTCGCAGGGCTAATTAATCAGGAGTAATTGGCTTGTTATAGTAGTTTCACGATCCTCATATTCTAGAAGGGGCCTAGTGCTGACCCGGAATCTCATCACGTCGGTAATCCAGTGTCAATCAAGCTGGAAATGTTGGGCTAGTCATTGAGGATAACATCTTGTAGTGATTTCCATTATATTGGATAATACCAATAGGGTGGCAACAACATAGGTGAACGACTGTATAGCGCTTGCACCCGATGCGGATGCCAGTTGGTGGTCCTCCGCTTATACTGGTCATATACTACAACCTGTCGAATATCGGACATGTCAGTCTGGAGCACATGGTCTAGCATGCCTGGCGCTACACCACAAGGCCTAAACATTCAATTTAGCTACATGGGTCATCAGCATCTAGACCTACCCACCCTAACCCTCTGCTCCAGCCCCTCCTAGGCGTTCAACCAACAAGCCTGATCCCGTCATCGACCCAAAACCCCAGACGAGTAGTACCAAGGCCAAACACCGGTGCACTGTAAACCAGTTTACCGTCGTCTATCCTATCAAACCATGGAACCAATATGCTCATCAAGGGTGAACATGCGCCGTAACGGGTGATCAGCGTTCATAAAGAAGGAAGTCAAACAAGACTAGACCCGTTCCCATCTTGCTGTTTTCAACTCAGAGATTCTATTCTGGCTACAATCCTAGTTTCATCACGAGGAAAAGGCCGGTTAAGCCCAAGCAATCTCATAGGAAGTTTACCACGTGGGAATTTGCTCTTGAGAAATCAATAACGGACGAGGTTTGGGACTTGGTAGGGGAGTCCCATGTATGTCAAAACAACCGGAACAAAGCTCTGACTGACACAAGAGAGGGGCCACATATGCGGTATTCGTGCCAGTTAAGAAGCATCTTTCCCTAGCGAATGGGCTTTGTGTCTCTTTTCACAATCCCTTACTTTGGATCGTCTTTGTCTTCCACCTTAGAAGCCTCCGGCTTGCCCTCTGCCGATGATTCCAACTCCAGGGCCTGTACCCCAAGATGAAGGTGGCGATCATCATACACCAGGTCATGGTTGACTTGAACATCCGATATGAACACAGCCACGTGCTCATCATCTCCAAATATTGCGGCCATCTCTTCTAACGGCACCCCTTTGGTCTCAGGAAGGTATATGATGAGGTAGATCACTCCCAGACTGGCAACAACAATAAAGACCAAAAAGAATTTCCAGCCAACATTGGCAAATGCAGTTGCCGTTACTTGCGTGTATACCAAGTCTGTGATTGCGATAGTTGCGACTGCCAGCGACACTCCTTTGGACCGCATATGGTTCGGGAAAAGCTCGCTGTAGTACACAACACCGCAGACGTCAACTCCTATGCTGTATACGGCCTCAAAGAGGTAGCTATATCCCCAGGCGTCGGTGTTAGTTGGCTTTAAAATATAGAGTAAATATGGGATGGGGAGGTCTTACAATGCCGCCACACCCATTGCAAGTCCTGCCTTGTTTGGGTTCTCTGGAATGGGTGATGCGTAGTTGGCAACAATTACGGCTTCAATGATGAGGAAGACAGAGCAGAGGGCAACACTGCCTATCATCAGAGGCCTACGACCTAATCTGTCCATTGTTGCCGCACCTAGCGTTGTAAACCAAATGTATTAGCCAAGCATTACCGAATAATGTATTAATTAGGCGATAGCTGACTTACCAAGTCCGTTAAAGACAATTCCCACCGTCATCCACCCGCATTGGAGCTTCAGCTGGTCGAGAGTGCCATAGCCCAAGGCGGAGTAGAACGTCGGCCCATAATTGTTAACCACTAGAGCGGCTGTACTTTGCCCGATAAAGGCATAAGCACAGGCAAGAACAACTCTTTTCCGATATGACGCTCTTGTGAACAGTTCTTTCCACGATGGCTCCAAAGCACGATCCTGCTCGCTCTGCATTTTCATCTGGTAGAACTCCCCCTGCGCATACTCTTGGTTGGGACTGTCACCGACTCGATGCAGATCCATTATGATCGTTCGGGCTTCATCCGTACGGCCGTTCATCAGGAGCCAGCGTGGGGACTCAGGAAGGATAAACAAAAGTAGGAGCATGAACACCGGGAAGATGAGGGCTAGCCCAAGTGGGCCTCGCCACTGCGTGGATTCGTTATGGGCAGAGTTAAAAGCCAAGCCCATGTACATGGCAAGACCGTATCCCAGGCAAATCCCAATACCGTTCATTCCCACGAAGAATCCTCGCAGCTGAGGAGGTGACAATTCCGACGTGTAGACTGGGACTTTAGTTTGTTTGTTGAATTAGTGGACTTGGTGCGATAGGCGTAAGGGGAACGTAAAAAGAACATACTCAGTGCCATGAACGCCCAGGACCCAGCACCAATGAAGAATCGGAATGCGATGAACATTCCAATATTTTGAGAGGCGCACGCGACAGCTCCACCAACAATGCATAGAACGGAACCATAAACTACTCCCATTCTTCGGCCAAACCTGTCCATAATCCAACTCCCAAGAAGAATACCGAAGAAAGCTCCAGCTTGGAACACACCATTTGTTGCCCCAATCAATCCATTTGAATTTGGGCTTGCTTTGCCTTCTTTGTCAATGAGCTTCATGTAGGTTAGAAAGGCGGGCTGAGCCAGGATTGTGGAAATAATGGATGCTGGATAGCCATAGGCTATTTGACCGCAGGATAGCAGGCAACATAACCAAAAGTTCTTCCAGTTCCACTGGCGATTGGGCTTAGGATCTTCGTGCATATCAGATTCAGGGATATTCAAGTTTAATAAGGCTGTAATTAAAGCTCCATTCGCGATTCTACATTTGTAATGATCGAGGAGGCACAAGGCGGGAAACCATTGCATTTGGCTTATTGCCAATTCGAAACTCTAGTTCTGCCTCAGGACAAAATAGTCTTAGTCTCACCGAGGGATACAAGTTACCTATGCCTCACCAGGGTCTGTTGACTTGTTTCTTTTAGTTCCGCGGATTTCGGAATAACGTACGGGTCTGGAGCCAACCTTTCTGCTATAACTTGCCCTTCTTCCAAAATGACTGACGAGTGATCAAACTTTAACCGCCTATTCGGACCCATAGCCTCGGCTATAAATCTAACCGGTGGCAGACGAAAGGCCTAACCTTTCTTGATGTCACTAAAGGGGCGGGGAAATGGGAAATACGGGGACCCCTGCGGGGAACTCTGCGGGGAAATCCTTTGGGAACTAAAGCAATAGCCTTAATTGGTGTAGATCAACCAAAGACCCCGGTGGATCTTTTCCGGTACGGGCAAAGGCGGACCTTATCAAAACTGGTCTTACTTGATAAAAGCTTATATCTACCCGAAACTCTACACGCAGTATGAAGCATGTTCCGATTGGCAAAGCAAGTTGCTTTCGTAATGAAAGCAACATCCATTCGTTCATTAGACTACTTCCATTAGCAGCGTTAGGGCGACATCTGAGTGAAGACCTGGGAAGACGGCAAGCTAGACCTTGGGTGTTGCTGACCGTGTAGCCACTAGTATCTTGTAAAATCATGTAGATAATGAATCTGAAATTATACAATTCTTTGCATTGGCTTCTATGGCCATAGCTGGGTGTACAAGAACGCATAGCATAGCAGATTTCGCGACCGAACTGGCTCTCAATCCACGGCTTCCGATCCCACTCGACTTTGTACCGCCCCCTGGCGGCTACTCAGGCTTGCGATCCGTGAGTGTAACGGATCCCACGGTTTTTCATTTCCCGCTGATTACTGGCTCATGCATCGTGTCCAATGATCGCGATCACTGGATCTACGACCCAAGATTCCTAGCTCCTGTCTCCGAACCTTGGCCCTTTTTGTCAATTTGTTTACCGCGTAGGCCTCCCCTCTGATGTACTTAAAAGGTTTTGTGACCAAATATTATCCAAACCCCGGTCCTTACGTGCCGACACTTCAAATTCATTTGGAATGGAGAGATACCTCACATATGAACCATCATAATAAAGGGACGGGTACGGTACCCACATCTCCTACTGTAGGTAGTTGAGACCCACTTGGCTGTCCAGGGAGAGATCCTATTGATGTCTTGGCATACAGCCGGCCCGAAGTCCCCGCTTGTTCGTTCCTAGTAAGCCATCCAGACCTTGTTCTCAAGATAAAGTTGAACACTCAATACATTTCCGCGGCCAGAAGGCCACCTGATAGTAAGGCTGACAAGAGGACTGGCCTGGAGTGGAGTCTTACCTCTACTCCAGAAAGAGAAGTGGTGTCTACATCTCATCGTTATCTAACTTGTTTGATGACGGACAACAGGGCTAATTTCATCGTCAAGCCCATATCATGGCTTCCCAGGCTATTCATGGACATTTTGTGGGACTCCATAACCATCGGAGGTTTGTCCCAGGTAGTCAGGGTAATTGTCAGAGTCACATGATCTCTCTGGACTATATCCAGCGCTTGACTGCCAGATGGCATTTCTCTTCCTTCCATATCTCTCTCCATAGCATGTTCCGTACAGTTCCATGCTCTCCTTCGCCCCCTCTTCTTTCCCCTTCTGACAAAAATTATTGGCCGGAGGGACGAGCCATGAGGTGATAATCTGAGCTCCACCGCTGACTCGAGCAGTAGTCTAGCCTTCGTCGAGCTTGAAGACCGTCGCATGCGTGTTGCTGAAACCAAGATCTTGAATCCTGATGGCTCGGTCCCACATGCCATCCAAATACCGAGGATTTGCTCCATTTTGACCGTGTCCTCCGGAATGACATAAAGCAGAGAAGCCGGCGGCGTCGCGCCTTTTGTTGTGATTCATCTCATCGGCTTAATCTTTTTTTTTTTTTTTTTTTTTTTTTTTGCCAATTGAGTTTGAAGATTTTCACTTGCGGGAGGAGATCGCTAGTTCAACTTTACCAGTGTTGTTCAGTCATATCGAAGAGAAAAAGTCCAAAGTATTATAGGAGTAGACTTCTCAAAAGTTCTCACCCATATCACCCACACTCAACCTAAAAACATCTGGATCGCCGTTTTAGAGTGATGGAAGTAGAGAGGGCTCATCGAGAATTGGCCGCGTTTAGCATGTGGCTTAAGTACAGCTGAGAGGATGGGAAGCCCTGTTCTCCACACCCTATGGTCGTATGTACTAGATTGAACGCTGGGGGGAATTATATCCTCAGGTTAGAGTCGCAGTCTGGGTGATTATGCCCGTGCGACAAATGGCGAGTGCTGCTTAGCATCGCGCGGCCGCGGGTAAGAAAGGTGAGTGCTCTGTAGATGAGGCGAGAATCAATTGAGTCGCCTGACCACTGCACTTGTAAGAGAGTAAAATAGCCCACCCAACACAGAACGCGTCAATTGATCACGACCTAGACCCTTCTTTTTTAACCGCCCCTCATGCCACCAATTTTCCAATTCGCAAGTCGTAACTAAACCTCATAGAATTCAGCGAAAAGGAGGGTAGGAGTTACAGACTATTAAAAAAAGGTCTTGGCAAAATCAGGCATCACACGGGCCCATATGGATTTTATGGTGTGGCGTGGGCCCTGGAATTCTAGGATGGTGCACCGTATGCCGAAGCCTACCCCATTCTCACCCCATTGTAAAAACTTCTTAATATATCATCCACACTCACCTAACAAAACCTCCGTCGCCGCTCTAGTGTAATAGGGTTGTAGAAGGTATTGGCCATGCGAGTTAACGTGGCTTATTTGCAGTCAATACTTGGGTGTGTATCGTCCGGTAACAAATACGCGACCGCTGTTTAGCGCCGCGCGACGATTGATAGTAAGGCTGAGTGCACAACAGACAGGTACCGCATAGATCTCTGTGAGGGCATTTCCAGCTAGGATATCATTGGGCCACAAATTCTTAACTGAAACAGCTGAAACAAATTAAATTTTGACATCTGCTCACTCGATGAGTTTGAATACTATTTCTAGCATTCGACTCATGGAAGCGCCTCAAAAGGGACCCGCATCCTCCCCCTCCCGTAAGCAGAAGTCGCCATGGGTCCATACTATCTGACTTAGAGCCCCCACAAGCCTCTTGAAAGGCTCGTTCCTCCCCCCGCCCTCTTTTTCTTCCTATCTCCGCCACTCCCCGAGTTAGTCTTTCTGGTCCTTTACCTAGACAACGTCTTACTACTACACTTCTTTAGGTACGGGAGAAGCCCAGCATTTAGTATGCGACACGGTAAAAAGTATTAATATGTTAAAAAAAACAGCAACTTATACCCTCACCGCATAGACGAGATTGCAGAAGCGACACCAAATCCTTTATAATTGGCAAAGGTGTCCAGAGCAACACGCACCAAAGATGAGTTTAGATCGTGAAGAAATTCTGGAAGCATTCCAGCGAGCAACAGCCGAATTGAAATTCTGTCCCAACCGCGTATGGTCTATTGGGGGAGAGAAGCTTCCAGATTTATTGCCTAATAGCAATTTGATGTCATCCGCGTTCTCCAGGCGCGAGCGACAGGGAAGTCATAGCGAGGAAAATAATCACGAGCTATGTACATTCGACTTTTGTGAGTACTCGCAACGTGACTTCACAGCGATTCAACAGCGACACGAGTGCAAAGATGTCACCAGTTGCATAAAGCTACGTGGTATGTTTCCAAGAGGGATATTGAATGAAGCTGCAAGTCATGGAAGATCAACGGTGTGGAAATTGGCTGGAAATACCATGCTTGAGCCTCCGCTCCCATATATGGCAGTTTCTCATGTCTGGTCAGACGGAACTGGAGCCGGGGCGTGGCGGGATGGAGAAGTTAACGAATGCATGTACAAGTTTTTCCGAGATATTGCAGAGCAGTTCCAATGTGAGGGAATCTGGTGGGATACTATTTCCATTCCGAGAGAGAAGACCGCCAGGACCAAAGCCATTCGGAAAATTCAGAGCAATTACCAGGACGCCCGAATCACCTTGGTGCATGATTGTTTCCTCCGGAACTGGGATTGGGATCCAGAAACTGCATGCTTTGCTATACTGATGTCCCCTTGGTTCAGTCGAGGCTGGACCGCTCTCGAATTAGCCAAGTCTTCTAAGGTGAAAGTGATCTTTAAAGGGCGTTACGGCCCCATCATAAAAGATCTTGACGAAGAGATTCTTGCTCAAGAAAACGACCCTGATAGTCCACGCAAAAGGGCATCTCAGATCATTAAGAATCTACGGAAGGAATTCACGTCTTTGAATGATCTTTTGACCGTTTTGGGCCCACGTTACACGTCTTGGTCCAAAGATCTAGCCACAATTTCCGCACTGCTAGTCGGCGTTGTACCGGATGAACTGCAGCAAAATACATACAGAAGTATCCTACGAAAGTTAGGCCGACTTTCACCTGGACACCTCTTCCATAACACTGCGACCATGTCCATAGGACTCAGCTGGTGCCCAGCCAGTTTGTTCAACATACCTCTGGACATGTCATCGGAAGCTAGCCTGATTATCTCCGACGATGGAGTTCGAGGGAAGTGGCGTGTCAACCCTGTGGAGGCAATGCTTGAAGATAATTGTTTGTGGGATTTTTCGCATCCTCTAATAAGACGGCTGCTCCAAAAAGCCCTCAAACAGCCTGAAAATTGCTGGCTCTTAGCCAAGTGCGGGAATAAACCAGTGAAAGAGGCTCTGCTCGTGAAGAAAATCCAGAACGCGCGATGCCAATACGTTGGTGCCCTTTATTTCCGCCAAGAGCTTTCAGTGGAGAACATCGATGAGTGGGTCGAAAAAGAAGTGATTATATCAAATGCTCCGGACAGCAAAGATACGAGGCCTGAATACCTTCGCGATAGGATCAGTAGAGACCGCATAGACAAAGTTGGCTCTGGCATTCACCTGATTGAGGAAGGGGAGAACCAAAACCTTCCAGAACTCGAGGCATTGCGGCGTGGAGTATGGAGAGGAGATCATATGGTGGTATCGAAGCTGGGCCTAAAATCCCATTTACATATTGCCGATTCACTTGGACGGGGGCTGCTTCATCTTGCTTCCGAAAGAGGGGACACGATGATGATGGAGGTCTTGCTTCAAAGGGCTGATTTGAAGGCGGCGTGCAACAAAGGGCAATCTGCACTGCATCGAGCTTGTTGGGGAGGCTCTGCAGCAGCTGTGAGGCTCTTGTTAAGTCACAACAACGAAACAAATGTGAAAGACACCGATAACAACACGCCGCTTCACATAGCAGCACAGATGGGATTTGAACCGATTGTGAAAATTCTCATTATCGAACAAAACACTTTTGTCAATGCAAAAGGATGCAATGATCTCACACCTCTCCACTATGCAGCAATTAACGGACACAAAGAAGTGGCGGAGTTGCTGCTAAATACCGGTGCTGAGCTCAATGCGAGAGACAGTAAAATTGGCTGGACGCCATTACACTGTGCAGCTGCGATTGGGGACGTGGAATTGGTGGAGTTGCTCATCGCAAGCGGCGCCGACGTTAGCGAAAAAGATCGCGAGGTTGGCTGGACACCACTGCATCTCGCAGCAATGAATGGGCAGCAAGAATTGCTGGAGTTGCTAGTGAAAAGTGGTCCCAATTATAAAGCTAAAGATAGCTACGGTTGGACGCCACGGCAATTTGCAGAAATAAATGGGCAATCCGAAGCTGTCAATTTCCCCCCTGCCAGAGATGAGGGCACCCTCGCAACCAATAAACGCTGGACACCATTACATTGCATGGCAATAGAAGGCCCAAAGCAGTTACTAAAGTTCTTGGTCACAAGCGGCACAGATTTTGATTTGCATCATAAAGATGAAAATTGGTCGCCAATATTGTTCGCTGCAAAGAATGGGCTCAGTGCTGCAATCAAGTGGATGCTTCAAGAGAACGCCGACTTGGAGATGAAGGATGAGTTTGGTGATACGCCGCTATTAGCAGCTGCTGCGAAGGGGCATGAGGCTATCGTTGATCTACTGATTAAACGGGGTGCCAGAATCAGAGCAAGGGGTGCATATGGTTTCACGCCTATATCAAAAGCCGTGAAGGAGGGACACGCGGGCGTTGTTGAAATTTTGATTGAGAATGGCGCCAAGGCTGAGGGAGAGAGATCCGATCGTCTAATCCCCCTATCGTGGGCGTCTAGGATGGGACATCTGGGTGTTGTTGAATTGTTACTTGAGAAAGGCGCTAAAGTGGACGGAAACGGATCTAACGACAGTGATGATGGGTGGAGTGAAGATGAGGGAGGTGACCACGTCAGAAGTGATGATGGAATTGATGACGAGGAAAGTGATGATGGGTTTAGTGATGATGATGATGATCGGAATTTTGATGAACTGCCTGATGCGCCTGATTGGCTAATCGGCATTGGCAAACCTAAGGCAAAAAGCGATTGTGGCATGACGCCGCTGTCCTGGGCCGCTAGAATGGGGCATGAGGCTGTTGCTAAATTGCTACTTCAGAAAGGCGCCAAAATCAAGGGAAATGCTGATGGGGATAGTCCGCTATCATGGGCCGCTAGGAAGGGGCACGCGGCCGTTGCTGAACTACTGCTTGAGAAGGGTGCTCAGGTCAATGGAGAGGATTTTGATGACCGGGCCCCCCTATCATGGGCGGCTAATAGGGGGCACTTAGCTGTTGTTGAACTGCTACTTGATAAAGGCGCTACATTGGATGGACATGGATATCCAGACAATGAGTCAGATGGAGATGAATATGGTCGGACGCCGCTATTATGGGCCGCTAAGGGGGGATATCCGGATATTGTTGCTCTGCTGCTTCAGAAAGGCGCCGATATCGAGGCGAAGGATGAGGAGAATCTAACGCCACTATTTCATGCCATTGAAAATGGGCATCAGGCTGTTGTTGAACTTCTGCTTCAGGAGGGCGCGAACTTCGAGCAAAGATTAAATGATCTCGCGACGCCGTTACAGGCCGCTGTTGCGATGGGATATTTGGCTATTGTGACGCTACTGCTTCAAAAAGGTGCTGACATGGAGGCTAAAGGTCCTGATGGTCGGACGTCGCTGTTTGCTGTCATCGACGAGGGGGATGAAGCTATCTCTAAATTGCTAATTCAGAGAGGCGCCAACATCGAGGCAGTGGATGCTCATGGGAGAACGCCACTGATATATGCCGCTCATAAGGGGCGCGAGGCCATCATTAAATTACTGCTTCAAAAAGGCGCTAGGATCGAGGCACGGGAAAAATATGGTCGGACGCCGCTATTAGCTGCTGCTCGGAATGGGTTTGAGGCTGTTGTCAAGTTGCTGCTTCAGAATGGTGCCAATATCGAGTCCCAGGAGAGCTATGGTCGGACGCCACTGGTTTATGCCACCGAGAAGGGGCATGAGGCTATTGTGATATTACTGCTTCAGGAAGGTGCCAACATCGAGGCAGCAGACCATTTTGGCTGGACGCCACTGATCTTTGCCGCTGATAAGGGGCATGAGGCTATTCTTACATTGCTTCTTCAGAAAGGCGCCAATATCGAGGCACGACAGAAATATGGTTGGACGCCGCTATTAGCTGCTGCTCGGAATGGGTTTGAGGCTGTTGTCAAGTTGCTGCTTCAGAATGGTGCCAATATCGAGTCCCAGGAGAGCTATGGTCGGACGCCACTGATCTATGCCACCGAGAAGGGGCATGAGGCTGTTGTGATATCACTGCTTCAGCAAGGTGCCTACATCGAGGCAGTGGATCATCATGGCTGGACACCACTGATCTTTGCTGTTGATAAGGGGAATGAGGCTATTGCTGCATTACTGGTTCAGAAAGGCGCCAACATTGAGGCAGTGGATAAACGCGGCCGGACGGCACTGCAATTTGCCATCAAGAACAAACATCGGGCCATTACTGCACTTCTACTTCAGGAAGACGCCAAAATTGAAACAGAGGATAAACATGACTTAACGCAGCTCTCGGCGCGTGACAACATGCTGGTTGAGGATCGGAGGAGATACAAAAGAAAGGAACGAGACCAATGGAAACAATCCCTTCCTCTGGACGTCGTTGAGATAAGAAAGCAAGAAAGGAGAAGACGAAGAAGCCTTGAAGTATGTAGATCAACAGACTCATTAGTCGCTTAACTCTGACTCGGGCAAATTCGACAGCAGTTCTCACGGGTTGCTGAAATGGGACACGGTTATTTCAAGCTCGATGCGACATCGCCTTGTGATCCTCAGATCTGACCCTCAAGATTGTATCATCTTCAAAGACAGAATCTTCATTGGATTTTGATGTAAATATAGTGGCCTTCATTGCAGTTTGCGCTTGAAATTTTTATCAGACCGACCTACAGTGGCTTCAGAGATCTTTTTTTCCTTCGGCAACATTAGACTGCTAGAAATTACCCCGTGCTAGTAAGAACGTGTGATGAATATAGCACTCCTGTCACCTAGCAGAATTAAACTCTACGGACGTACGAGGAAGTGTACAGAACGTATGTGGTGGTAACATGTGGTATGAAGGAAGAAGTCTAAGCTACTGAAAGTGAAGGGATATAGTGGCATAGGTCAGGTGGCCCAACAGAAACAATAGTTTGCATGGGTACGAATCGTTTATTGCATCGTTAAGTGGCATTGCAGTAGCAAAGAACTATCCTTGCTGGGCGGACCCGACTTTGAGCTGCTTCTCTTTTCGCTTCACATATTCTTCATATTTCTTTTGGGCAAGTAAAGTCCGCCTCAACTCCACATTGGGAACTTTATAATTCCACCACGCAGTTTCCCAGTCGCGAAATTCACCGGGGAAGAATTCTTTCAAGAGTGCTTTGCCAAACCCTTCATACGCGATCTCTAGCTCCATCAGTGTCCACATTACCTTGGCTTCTGCGAATACGGAAGGCAAAGGCTCTGATAATGCTGCCGTTTGTCCGGCGTGCGTATACGGAGCCGCCAATTTGATCGGTACGCCCAACATGTCTGGGCGGCGCGGCGCTCCTGCAACCACAAGATTATGCAGCATTCCCAGGCCGCCAATGGCAAGCAAATACCAAGTGTGGGTTTGAATCCCAGTGCTGCAAACAAGTAGTGCAAGCCAGCAAAGCGCGAAAATCACGGTCAAAGCTCGAGTGGCCTGTTCGGACTCCAGGACCCTGGCCCGCCGATTCTCCCCATCGTCCCCGTCGGCATGGGTCTGTCCTCCTGCGAGATCTTCCAAATCAAACCCGTCCACATGTCCCCGGATTATCACCACGTGCTGCGTTCCGTTGCCTAGTGTTATTGCCACATCTTTATGCGCACTGTTCTTGCGACAGCCCCATTTCTCCCTGCGCCACTGCGGGAGCGCCCCATACAGATAAGCAAGCACGGTGCCCCCGGCGGTTACTAGCAAAATCCGCCAATCATCATCCATCGCGAAGGGGATGATGCTAATGCCGAGCTGTATGAGAGAGACTCCGAGCCCTAGCGACCAGACCCAGTCGTGACCTGGGCGGCCGGCTTTGTTGGGTGGTCTCGTTGTTCCTGTTGGACCCACATCCCAGTCATACACAGCCACACACAGGGGCGCCTTCACACCGCGCGCCGATCTCCCCGTCCCGGCGACCCCATCCCGGGGCGCGAGAGCGGCCCGCTCCTCGTCCGGGATTTTAATAGCCAGGTCTTGTATGCACGTCCGAACTTCCGGCGCCATCCAATACTCATAAGTCTGGAACAGACGCCCGAGTGTCCATGATCTATTGAGGCGCCGGTAACCGGAGGTGAGATTGATGACCAGGAGAGTCGGGAGGGGGCTGTCGGGCATCAGTCGATTCTCCCCAGCGGCTGAAAGGATGGCGGAGATCGCAAAAGCGGCCCATCCGTATGAAAAGGTCACCGGGGTCAAGATCCCGCCGGACATGGCACCAAGAGCGCATCGGACCACCTCGCCGCCGACTATTAGGAGCACCGTAAAGACGTCGGACGGTTCTTTCCACTGTGCACGAAGGGCTGCCGCTGTAGATGGCATGATTGGATCGAGCAGTCGTTGCTCTAGAGCCAGTGAGACATGAGCATGTATCAAGGACCAACCCAAAGCGTAACACAATTTACACGAGTTCGCTCTCCAGATCAGGTGATAAAAGGGGGTGGAGAAAATAAGTCTGGGATAGCCAGCACACATACTATTACCGCGCTAGAATTGAAGATGACCCCACCTAGGTTCTCACCTCAGATTGCCCCGAAGGGCGCTGAATAGAGCGGCGAGCCGCCACGACTGATACCGTAGGCGCTAGGTGTACCATCAGCATTACAAAATAAGTGTTTCTTGTTTTGGTTGGCTGGAGAAATGGCTCTTTTTCCGGCTATCTTCCACCTGTGTATTCCAAATATCCCCGAAGCCCGACCCTCTACCTCCTCTCGCCGTGCTGGCTTTTCCCGACAAATTTTGCCTGTGTTGATCACGAAATTGGTCCAGCCCAGACTGCCTTTATCTCCTCTAATTCGTAGTGGTAAAACCTGGCCATAATTCTTGCTTTTGAAGAGTGAGCTCTAGGCAAGCCTAGAGCTAGTCTATAATGAAGAGATATTCAGAGTAAGATCATTATATATCGCTCACTTAGCTCTTACTTCCTCTATATTAAATGAGAAGAAGAATCTCTCTCTTTTGATTCTTTCTAGGCTTCGGCATATGGTGCACCATCTAAAAATTCCAGGGCCCACGCCACACCATAAAATCCATATGGGCCTATATGATGCCTGATTTCGCCTGATTTCGGTCTGATTTTGCATTTTTTTGCCAAGACCTTTTTAAAATTACAGTCCGTTCTGGTCTATATATATATTATTACATACTCAAAAATGTAGAGCAAGGGTGTAGTAACGAGAGTACCCAGCGGCGGGGGAAGTTCGTCAAATTTTCACCTAATCAAATTTTCAATCTTGCAAGTCGACAACCTTGGAACACTTCACAGCACAATTATTCATGAACAGAGCGATGATCAAGGAGATACATTCATAGACGGTCGACTTATGGCATTTGCATACAACTGCCCATGGATACAGGCAACCACTTCATTCAACAGAGTAGACATCAATATCAACATGATTCGGAATATTGGGTTTACGAAGCTCGCCCACAAAAACAGTCCGATTCAACCAGTCATAAGGGCCGCTACGAACTTCAAATCGGGGGTTGGTCTTCGCGTACCACTGATCCTCAGCGACCTTCTCAGATCCATCGTTTCTTCGGAATTTTCGAATCCATCCTTCATTCGTGACACTGATGGGAACTCCGTCGGAAGACTCGATAGTGTATTTCGCAAAGAGGTGCCCGATTCCATCCTGCCGGAGAACATTCCAGTCTCCACCTCCCGGGAGAATAGTGGCTGTCAACTTCGGGCCTTCGACTGTTCCTCCTGTGATCGGGATAAATTTTCGGGATCCACATGGTGTATCTCCAAATTCAAGAGCTGGTGATAGGTCCACGTGTAGAGTGAACGCGAATTCTAGAGTAGGTGGCATTGTGAAAGCCGTCGCCCTGTATGCTAGAGGAAAGGTAGTCGATGTTGGGTTGACGTGGGTAATTTCCGAGTGCGCAAAGCTAATTTGTTTGGATTGGGTGATCATGGAACGTTATGTGCAGCATAAAGATAGGATTTCTGCGGTGAATCAGAAGAGATATACGATGGTGAGGGGTCCCGACGAGACTAGACTAGATCGAACTAGTAGCTTAGTTCGTAGCCGAGGTACCTGCGTCCACTCTTTCAATGCGGTCTACTCGAAGTCACCAACATTAGTTTGAAATATCCGCGTTCTGTAAGGGGAGAATGCCCATTCAAGTCACAATCTTAATCATTTGAATCCGTTCTCCACCCTAGTAGTTGTGTTCAATTGCGTAGAATGAACGGAAAACGCCCAGCAATTGGGACCTGGGCCATATCTCCAGTATATCCCTTCTTTCAAGCCGGATATGATAGATGCTCATACATAAATTTGTTATTTCCTGCTTACCATGGAGAGTTGATTGTCTGTCGGGCGCGGGGAATAGACGAAGAAAACTCGTCTGGTGCTGGCCCATAGTTTGATCCTTTATGAAATTCAATTATCGCTAAGTACCGTAGAATACACTAGTATCCAATGAACAGATTCTCAAGGGTAGTGCGATCATGGGTAGGGAAACTAACCTGGATCTGATCCCTGCCTAGTCCCTTACGTAATCATACAATCATTTGCTGAGAGAAATGGCTTGGTAACTGCGCCAGTTTCAAGGCGAAGAAAGAGCAGGGGGTATAATTTGCCTTACCCCGTATATTTAAAGTAGAGGCTTTGCTGAGTAAGAGACTGAATCTCTGGCTCGTTGATTAACATCAAGCATATTCGCAGTTCGGTTTCCATGGGGGAACCTAAGCAACGAAGAACTTGGAGAGGGAAAGGCGCCTAAGCCAACAAGGTGGCTGCCTTTTGATATTGGCCGCTCCTTTGGCTTTCATACCTTTTAGGGACCGACGGAAGGCCAGATAAAAAGGCTTGCATTGTTGCAGCTACATGACTCGAGCAGCTGGCCATCATGCCCGGAGAACTTATCTCCGTTTGCCAGCTTAGCTCCGCTCACAGCTACAAACGGAAGTATCGGTGTTTGGAGAGTTTGAATGGATTATTAAAGTTATGATGTACCTAGCATATAAGGCAGCTAAAGACAATGCTCTACACCTATCAATTTTTCCACATAACTTCGAGAAGATTTGCTAAATATGAGTTCGATTCTTAAAATGGCACCAAAGATTGTTCTTATCACCGGTGGAAACAGCGGAATTGGCTATGAGGCTGTTAAAGCTTTGTTCGAGGCTGAAAAGCCTTATCACATCTTCATGGGTAGTCGGTCACTCGAGAAAGCGACCGAGGCTATTAAGGAGATCCAAAGCGAATGCCCCAAGGCTACTAACAAGATTGAACCCCTCCAAGTCGACCTGACAAGCGATGAGTCCATCAAGAGTGCATCTGAGAAAGTGAAATCTGGCCCAGGCTACATCGATATCCTTGTCAATAATGCGGGTAAGTAAATCGCAAAAAGCTAGTAGTTCTTAGCTCATATAATTAGGTGCAACATTTGACCTCGAATACCTCGCCAATCGAGTCTCTCTCCGCGAATGCTTCAACAACGCCTATAATGTGAATGTGACCGGAACAAATGTCATGACTGCCACCTTCATACCCCTTCTTCTCAAATCAGTTGAGCCGCGTCTGATCTTTGTGACTGGTCTGTCGGCAATCAACCAAGCTGCAGAGTCATATTTCCCCACACCTCCCCAGCCAGCAGGATGGCCAAAGAAGATCGAATTCGAGACAATTGGTTATCGGTGCAGCAAGGTCGCCCTGAATATGATGATGTTAGATTGGAATCACAAGTTGAAAGCAGATGGTGTCAAAGTGTGCTGTGTGGGCCCCGGGATGTTGGCGACGAATCTAGGAAATATGCGTGAGAAGGCTCTTGCAATGGGGCTTAAGCACCCAAGTATCGGGGGCCAGCTGCTCAGAACAGTTGTGGAGGGTGAGAGGGATGATTCAATGGGAAGAATCATAGTTCGAGAGGGAGTTATGGATTGGTAACGTGTATTGTGGAAACAGCTCGGGTCTGGTCGCCCTTACCCAATTGGGTCTAGATTGCCCCATATTCGAAATGGCCATACCTGCCTTACCATTTTCTTCTTCTCATTCTTCTCAATACTAATACATTGTACGACGATGAAGGAGGGATCATTGTTCATTGTGGGGAAGCATTCTGTCGATGGCCAGAGTGCGATTGTAGGATGGTAAGTCGGATGATGAACGCATTCCTTTTAGAGTGCTGTCTCACTAAACTCAAACAGAAAAAAACAAGAGACTCGGAGCCTTCGTACCCATATGAAGGCGCACGTGGGAGGATCAGTGCTTCAAGCCCACATGCTCCGATTGGAAACAAAAGTGATAGAGTATGTAGAAGTTGTCAAGTCTAATTTCAGGCGTTAACAGAGATAAAGAGACATTTTGGTACAAGACAACAACCGTAACAAACCTGGTGAATTTCCAGCATAGAAGGGGGCTATGATTTAGACAAGTGAAACGTATTGTCAAAGACAGCTTATAGGCCATGAACAGAAACGTTTACAGTCATTTGGGGCTTTTGATGTCAAGAAGGAGCTCCTCGCTGATCAGAAGCTTGGGTAATATATAACCAAGTGCTAGAGCATTGTCTTCTACATAAAGAAGCTCACCTTTCCAAGGTTGATTTAACCAGGGTCCGGAGTAAGTCCACCTCGAAGTCCACCTTCGATTGCGGGCGCCACATACATCGACTCGCGAAGGAAGCACTGTGAGATTTACCGCTGAGGTGCCGACGGAAGGTGCCATCTCCCCGTAGAGATACCCAGGTGCCTGAGGGGTGATCGTGGAAGTGGATTTAAATGCGGGTCGAACTTCCGTTACTCTAATGGCTGGAAATGACGTCATTGTTAATCTCTCTAACTAGCTATGGAGGCTGATATTATATATGATACTCTAGAGGTGACCCTTTGGGATATCGGCCCCAAGCTGCTCTTAGTACCAACATTATGTTAATGGGTGGTTAATTAATTTCTCAGTCTAGAATCTAAATCCAAGATTTATGCTTATTGTTTTGCACGGAACCTGGCGGAAGGGATCTTAATTAGTAAGGTTTGAGAGATCTGACAAATCAAACGTGGGGTACATAGAATGCACAAATCGCGCGCTTCCTCAAAAGATATCGTCAATTGAACTAGAATTGAAAATGAAGCAAGCTTTCGTCAGCAAGGACACCATTGTCACTATCCGGGACACCGAGATCCCCGTGCCTAAAGAAGGCCACGTCCTCATTCGGGTTGTGGTATCCGGCACCAACCCGAAGGACTGGAAAGTGCCCCGCTGGTTCCCGAAGAACGATGGCACCAACGAGGGAGATGATATCGCTGGTTACATCGAAGCTGTTGGGGAGGATGTCGTTGGCTTCAGTAAAGGAGACAAGGTGGCTGCGTTCCACCAGATGTCGACCCCTAATGGAAGCTATGGGGAGTACGCCATCGCTCCGGCGCACACGACATTCCATCTTCCTGCCAAGATTAGCTTCGAAGGTACGTTGTCGATCATAGTTTATCCGGACCAATGTTAATGTGAGATTAGAGGCTGCGACTGTCCCGCTCGCAGCTATGACTGCTGCGCTCGGTCTATACCAGAGGTTGAACCTGCCTCTCCCTTGGAACCCTACCAGTGAGCCCGTACCATTGGTAGTGTATGGCGGATCCTCAGCAGTCGGTTCATTCGCTCTGAAGCTTGCCAATCTCTCCAACATTCACCCGCTCATTGTGGTGGCCGGAAAGAGCAGCTCCTTCGTTGAGACTCTGATCGACCGCAGCAAGGGCGACATTATCGTCGACTACCGCGAAGGCGACGAGGCTGTTCGCACAAAGATCAAGGCTGCCGCTGGTGGTAAACCCATTCACCACGCATTCGATGCAGTCTCCGAGAATGGCAGTACTGAAAACCTCCGCGCTGCACTGACAGCTCCTGGCAAGATCACCACGGTGCTTCCCACTGATGGCGAGGGAGATGACAACAAGATTGCCATTCACCGTACCATGGTTGGAACAGTTCACGACTCCCCTACCGAGGGAAAGACGATCGAAGATCGTGAGTTTGGCGCGATCTTCTTCCCATTCCTTGGTCGGGGTCTGGCGGGAGGCTGGTTCTCCGGACATCCCCATGAAGTGCGCCCGGGTGGCTTGGGTGGAATTCAGGGCGCACTAAATGACCTTGCGGATGGAAAAGCTTCCGCGGTAAAATATGTGGTACGGATCGCCGAGACGGCCGGTGTCTCACAATAAACCGTCGGACTTGCGGGCTGTGGGCACGGAATTGAGGCAAAAATAGGAATAGTGTACTGTTAGAATTAGTTTCTTCACGCTAGAAGGATAGTGCGATCCAGCCAAGATTGTCCATACAAATTAATATACTTGTCGTCAACCACGGAATCAAAGTGTTGGCATTAGTAAACGGTCAGGTACCAGTTTGAACGATTCACGATCCCCGCAGGCTCCACGTGCCTCGGGGCATTTGTACGGTCCGATGCCCGGAAGCTTAACCTTCCTTGTAAGCGAGGCACTAAACAGGAACAATGCGCGGCGATGGCCCAGCTGAGTATGGCGGGTGACAAGTGATCGACAGTTGCAATATGAAGCGAAGCGTGGCTTCCAAATTCCGGGTGATTGGTCTATTGGACCTGCAGAATGTGGGAGGTACAAGCTGCGCTGCACATGCAACTTTTCAATCACACGCATATAAAAGGAGACCGATCGACATGGCTATCATCTTGTTCCTGGGTTCGATAAGTCTTTTGGTGGTTAGAGAGTTGACTGAGCTATTGAAATCAAAATGGTTGGGTTCACCACTGTCCTCAAGACTCTACCAGCGCTGGCTGCCAGCGCTCTTGCCAGTGTCAACTATCCCACTATCCCCACAGACTTGACCACTCCTGTCCAGCAGCGTTTGGCTGTCTATGGACCTAACTGTAAGATTTGACTACGGGTATAATATGGAGTTGAAGGGGTTGTGCTGACGTATGTAGCTGTCTCCGTTGGTTGGAACACATACGAACAACTGAATCAGAGCTGCGTGACATACGGTACCTCGGCAGATGACTTGAGTTCTAAAGCTTGTTCCACCGGATCGAGCACGTACTCGACTTCGCGGACATGGTCTAGCGCAGTGGTGTTGACTGGTCTTACTCCGGCCACCACCTACTACTACAAGATTGTCTCGACTAACTCCACTGTGGATCACTTCCTCAGTCCCCGTACCCCTGGAGACAAGACTCCTTTCAATCTCGATGTCGTGATTGACTTGGGAGTTTATGGCGCTGATGGTTTCACCATCTCCTCGACCAACTCCAAGAAGGATACCATTCCCTATGTTCAGCCCGCGCTGAACCACACCACTATCGGCCGCCTTGCCGACACTGTGGATGACTATGAAATCATCATCCACCCCGGTGACTTTGCCTACGCTGATGACTGGTACTTGAAGCTCGCAAACCTCTTCGATGGTACCGAGGCCTACCAGTCCATCCTGGAACAATTCTATGACCAGTTGGCACCTATCGCTGCTCGCAAGCCTTACATGGCCAGCCCAGGTAACCACGAAGCGGACTGCTCCGAGATCCCATATCTTCTTGAGCTCTGCCCAGAAGGCCAGAAGAACTTCACCGATTTCATGCACCGCTTCGAGAAGACCATGCCCACTCCATTCAGCTCGTCGTCAACCAACACCACTGCTCAGGCATTAGCCACTCAGGCCCAGAGTTACGCGCTTCCCCCGTTCTGGTACTCCTTCGAATACGGCATGGCACACATTGTCATGATCAACACCGAGACCGACTTCACTGATGCTCCTGACGGCACCGATGGCTCAGCCGAACTCGACAGCGGACCTTTCGGCAAGCAGGGACAGCAGCTCGAGTTCCTGAAGGCTGATCTTGCCAGCGTTGACCGCACTGTCACTCCTTGGCTGATTGTCGCCGGCCACAGGCCCTGGTACAGCACCGGTGGCTCGGACAACATCTGTGACTCCTGCCAGGATGCCTTCGAGGAGCTTTTCTACACGTATGGTGTTGACTTGGGTGTCTTCGGACACGTGCACAACTCGCAGCGATTTACCCCCATCTATAATGGCACTGTTGACTCCGCCAACTTGACCGACCCCAAGGCTCCTATGTACATCATCGCTGGTGGCGCGGGTAACATCGAGGGTCTGAGCGATGTTGGAACTGAGCCTGATTACACTGAGTTTGCTTATGCGGACGATTACAGCTATGCCACTCTGAAATTGTTGGATGAGCAGCATCTGCAGATTGATTTCATTCGGTCATCGACTGGTGCGGTTCTGGATAGCAGTACCCTTTACAAGTCGCACACGACTCAATTTGTGGTGCAATAGATGGTGGACCGCCGAGATCTATGTATATATTGTGCATATGGGGTGATGCATAACGACTTTCAAGAAAACACGCGTAATATAAAGTTTAGATTGCAAATGAAAGATTTTTCAATTTCTTTAATGACTGTTACTGGCGAGAAAAATTCCTAGACTCCTAGGTTTAGTTTAATCCCGATTAGATCACACGGAGACTGCGCAGTGCGACTAGGTACTTGGCTGGGAAGGGGATCTTCTCATTGGCTGATTTCCCGCATATGACCAACATGAAAACGCCCTACGCCCCTAATGAAAGTATTTAAATCAAATGACGCCCCGCGATAACTTTATCTCAGTATCTAGCCCCATTGTCCTAGCGCATGAAATAACTGTTTCCAGAAAACATCCATTTTTCCTGTTGTTCTCATTGGTGGTCCGCCGATCGCCCCACTATTACTCACAATTGCTCACCCCTCATCATGTCTGAGTCCGAGTAAGGGGCTCCGACTATGATATAAAGCAAGCCTTAATTCCTTGAAGTAAAACTCCAATTAGAAAAGATCCTCCAAAATTACCTCCTTTCTCAACCACACAATGGCTCTCTCAAATGAAACCCCCGCAATGGTATTCTACGACATCGCATTTCGGCCTCCAGTCGAATCTACCCCCGCAGCCCCAAACCCATGGAAAGCGCGCTACGCCCTCAACATGAAGGGAGTCGCATATCAAACACAATGGGTCCAAATGCCAGATATCGCGACTGTACGCCAAAAAGTCGGCGCACCCGCATGCCGTAGATTTACCGACGGAACCGACTACTACACGCTCCCCATGCTCACAGACTCAACAACAAACTGCATTCTTGGGGACTCATTCGACATTGCCCTTCACCTTCAAAAACAATATCCCAATTTCGGAACTGGGGATTTATTTCCGACCCAGACGCTCGATTTCAAGTATGAGCACGGCACAGCCTTTTTGGTACCGCTCTCCGAGCGTGAGGAGGGTGAATTTGGCGAATACGTCCGATTCAACAGGAGTGTCGATTCTGTGTTTACAGCGCATGTCATGCTTATGGCTCCCGGAATGCAATTCGATCCTGCGCATGTAGAGGAGATTCAAGCGATGTTCGCAAAGCGGGCTGGTGTGGAGACTTTGCCACCCATGGAGTTTGGAGCGGAGGATAGGGCAAAATTGATGGTTTCACTACGGGATGCGCTGGCTGATTTGGTGAAGCTTTTAAATCGGAATGAGACTGGACCATACATTCTAGGCCAGCAGACTAGTTATGCGGATTGTATTGTTGGGGGGTGGTTACGGATGATGAAGATGACTTTGCCTGCATCTGAGTGGGAGGAGGTTATGGGGTGGTACGATGGATCTCTGGAGAAGTTTTACCGGGGGTTGGAACAATTTTCAAGAGTGAAATGATAGAATTTACAATTAAAATGTCATATTTCCTACGTTATCGTGTCCTACTCAGGCAAAATTGAAAAACTTCTTTAAGCCCACAAGCCCGAAATGGCCTCTTAGACAAGTGGTCAGGCAAAAGAGATGCTTCATAATTTCATAAAGGCTGGCTTTAACCCCAAAGCTCTTACTCTTGGACGTATGCACCGGCATTCCTCCTCTTATGGCAACTCTCCTACAATGGGAACCCTGAAATGAGATGGCATACGATGTCCAGACAAATGATCCACGTATTGACTTCAGCATTTGCACTCCATACCTCCTTGTCCACATATCATATGTAGCGACAGCACCTTCTCTGAAGGCTTTGCAACGTGTCGAACAGAGCATTCCCCTCGCAGCTGCTGGTACAACGGCCGCAGGTTACACACTCCTTCATATCGCCTGTATGCCGTTCATGATCCAGAATCACACATCCAAGACGCGTGAATTCATCCGTAATTCCCGATGCAAGCCCAAAGATTCATCAATAGCGCGATGCAAGTTGGCGTTTCCGGCTTATATGGAGTTGCTGGATTATCTCCTGCCGCCACGTAAAATGGCAAAGATGCCAAACCTTCGTATGGGAAAATTGAATGAGTAAAAATAAATGTAAGCGCTATCCCGCGTCAGTAGATGAATGATTCAGTATCAAAGATTCCCCCAAGCCACATCACCAATAATCTGTTTTCTGTTGCCAAATAAGATCGGATTTCATCTCTCAAGATCGGAGAAAGGCTTCAGATCTTAGGTGATGCCGAATCGGGAAATCATAGATCGGGTCCCGCACGGCATGACATCACGCTTCACCTTATCTTCCGTCTAGAGACGCGTCGCGCAGATTCTATCCAATACACTCCAATACACTCACCATGGCAAAACGAACCCTAGAATCCTTCTTCAAGCCAATTTCCCCACCGTCAACCGAGAAACGCATTAAACTTGACCAATCTGCCGGGGAATCGCAACCGCAGCAGCCAAACCCAAAATTTGCGGATGCAAGAACATACGAATCCATTGTCGAACCAAGCACTCACCCAACCTACCCAATTCCAATTCCACACCTACCCTCCCATATCGATGTTGGTATACAACACGGAACCCCAGCGCGACAAGCACGCAACATAACCAACCAACCACACCTCGACCTACTATACTTCCAGCCATATATCGCACGGCAAACGGCAAACGAACTTTTCAAATTTTTACGGCGAGAACTACCGTTCTACCGCGTCAAATACTCGATCAAAAGAGGCGGGGTCGAGACGGCGATCAATACCCCTCGCTTTACAACTGTCTTTGGTGTTGATGCTACGGCGAGGTTCGTGAGGTCGAACCAAAGCACGGAGCCCAACCCAAGCACAGCGCATAACGATTTGACCCTCATAAACGTCGAAACCAAAGTTCCCATCTCTCCGAACAAATATCAATACAATCCGCGACCTATACCACCCTGCCTCGATATCCTCCGCCAGCAAGTTGAAGCCGCAACAGGCGCAACCTATAACTTCTGTTTGGTAAACTACTACGGCAGCGGCGAGGATAGTATATCCTTTCACTCGGACGATGAACGATTCCTAGGTGACCAACCGAATATTGCTTCGTTGTCGCTCGGCGGGGAGAGGGAATTTGTCATGAAGCATAAACCACCTCCTACTTCCACTGCTAGTTCACATGGCGTCGGGACCGGCACTAGGAGTACAACCGGGATGAATGGTGACACCCGAAGTAAAACGGTCTCGGATAACAACACAACGTCAACAGCCCCAACTCAAAGAAGTTCCCCTTTCCAGGGATCCGGTACGACTGATTCCCAACATGCAGTTGCACAACCACCTTCACATGGGCAGATGCACCTCCAGACTGGAATGAAAAGCACTGCATCGCAGCAGATCAAAATGCCCCTCGCATCGGGTGATATGGTTGTAATGCGGGGTGACACCCAAGCCAATTGGTTGCATAGTATACCGAAGAAACGGGGTCGGGCGGGGGATGCGGTGCGGGGGCGAATTAATATTACGTTTCGAAAGGCGGTTGTACCTGCTGGCACGAACAATTATTATCATTATAATGTTGGGAGTGGGCCTGTTTATCGATGGGATGAGAAGAGGGGTGTGATGGACGTTATGAAGTAGTCATGGTAGGAATGAAATATACTTTGAATCGTGATTTATTTGTTGATAATATATGCATGCCCAGCAACTAACCCCTGCTCAGTGCAAATCCAATGCGATGGTGAGCTATGCATTGACGCAATCGCCATTATCAAACTCCATGTACATTGCTCCCGAAGAAATAGACAGTGAAGCAAGTCGTAAGATGTGCATTGGTGCGGTTCGTCAATCCCTGACCATATGAAAAATCCTCCCAGAAATAATACAGAGGGTAATTGAAGGAGGAAAATGGGAGAATACAAAAATAGGGTGAAGGAGGAAAAAGAAAAGAAGAAAAATAAGGTAGAAAGGTAGAAGGTGAAGTTAAGAAGGGTAATGTGGCGTTAATTAAAATCCGTAGACTTCCTCGCCGTAAACGTCGGCATAGCATTGGAAGACATCAGGGCAACTGGAACGGGTTAGTAAATGAAATTAATTAATTGGAGTGGAGCCAACTCACAAGACGGGGTCCTTGCCGAAAATAATGTGCCACGAGTACTCCATAATGTTGGAAGTGACCTCGTCGGCCAGATCATTGTTCAGCACCCAGTTATACATGCGCTTATAATCAGAGAGCGGGCGCATGAGCACCTGCTCCTTGGAGACTGCAAACTGTGAGCAGCATGGTGCTGCGATGATTTCGGGCACTTTGGTGTTGCCGAACAACTCCTTCCAGGCATCAGCATAATGTTTTTCACCCGTGTCGCCTGGCTTCGGAGGGTTGCGGAACGGCTGCATTTCGGCCGGGCAACCAGGGGACAATTGACAGCGTAAATTCACGAAGCCTTCTTGTAGTACAAAGTCGCGCTGGAGGGCCCGCACCGAGTCCACATTGCTGTAATCCATAGTGTCGGTGTGCCAAGCGGCGGGCCAGCCGTCGCGGTGGCTGTGCAGGAAAATAATCATTGGGGGGAGGTCATCGTAATGGTCGACAATATATTGAAGGTAGGGTAGGGCCTCGCGGCCTTTGTTCTTAGGGGTGTGTACGGGGGCGTTGGTGTCATCAACGGTATAGATGTAATTGCGCCATCTGCGGATAATTCACGTCAGTATTTTTTTTTTGCGGTTCCGCCGAGAAAGCTAGTCAACCGGGGTGCATTCCCCCTGAACGGGAAAAGAAACACCCAGGGGCATTAAGGTATGCAAAAATGACAGTAGAATGGGAAAAAAAAATAGGGAACGTACTCGGCGACTTCGGCAGAGACCCACGCGGTGTTCTCCTCGCGCAATTTACCCATCACAATAACACCGGCATTGGGAACCTCAATCGGAGTAGTTTGATAAGTCAATCCCAATAATTTCTTGGAGCCACCGCCCCATTTCCTGCGAATGCCATCCTGGGTTGTTTGCTGTGGTTGCCGTAAGGAAGCGCGGAAAGATGTAGTATCGAAGTGCCAAAATGACTGGGGGGCCTGGCCAACAGTGTGGAGTTGACGGTTGATCAGGACGAGCGCGAAAATGATCAGCGCAGCGGCCAAACCGATACGTAGTGAGAGCCTCATTTCAAGACCATGAACGCGCAAAAACAACAAAAAAACGAGTGAAGGGAAACCGAGGAGGAAAGAAAGGAGTATTTTTTTGCTCCGAGACACAGGTCCACGGATCGAGGGGAAAAAAAAGGCGCGCGAATCTCAGGGACGGACTTGGCGGGTCCTCATGCGGAGTAGCGGATTCTCTGTCGGCACAAATCACCAGAGACGAAACGAGAGTAAGAAAAGATAAAGCGAGTGACAAGAAAAGTAAAAAGGAAGTACGAGATCAGAGAGGAAGGATTGAGAAACTAAATGAGGAAAAGAAGAAAATCGGAATACAGTTGGAAGGCACTCAGCACATGTCTTGTCTTTGATTGGTGAGGCCCGACACAGTCAACATGGGGCTATGCTCAACAAGTACCAATCAAGTACCTTTGTACGACCCTCACATACAAAAGATACCTACCACTACATAACTCTTTATCCGTCGATCCATTGCTGTAGCCCCTGGACCCTCCGCGTCCGACCACATCAAGACCACACCGGGATCGGCGGGGCCAGACACATTTGATGGTCTTAGCGGCGGGACCATGGATACAGACCGAAGCTGAGATGGGCTGCAATTCGCGTTCATGACGCTTCCCGGTGGTTAAACCTGGTCGGCACTTGGACAAGACTGCAAGGGACAATAGATGTTGTGCATTTACCCGCAGGCTGGGGAAGATCTCATGCCAGGGGGAATGCTACATTCATTATGGAGGAGGTCAGCCGAGTCAGCTGCGAGGGGAATTAAAGTCATATTGTCCGATCAACATTTGATCTATAGATCACGAACTCCCCTTTCTACTGGCATTGGTACGAACTCCTTTTCAGGGGTAACGGGAAATGAACGAATCCGATGCAAATTTTAATTCTCAAGGGAGATAAACCGATCCCTGGAAAAGCTCAGACCATCCGTTGTCCGAGACCCTCACGCTAACCATGGGACCACTTTCTACAAACGGTGTCTAACCAAGCCCGTGATTATACCGAGAATGTCAACAATGAATCACTCACTAGTGGACGCCCGACCTGGTGGGATATTAATATCAAACGCTTCCTCAACCGAGGCATCCCTCCCCACAACACAGCGGGTCCGCTCCAACAACGCTAAATCCACACTACGATGCTGCTCCCCAAGATGCGCCATGAACTCATCCAAAGAATTTAGCGTTGGTGCAACAACATCAAGCTCTGCACAACAAAATATACACCCAAATGTGCCGTTGACATGCGTCGGTGCCGAGACGCCGGGCTTCGTATACGCGAGATGAGACTTCGCCAAGAATGACCAGCGGTACCGGATTCCCGTGGCCTCGTGGAGGTATATTTGTTGGTCAAAGCGCACATCATGTCGCTTGCTACCGGGCGCCAGTGGCATGCCAAAGTAGCAGCGGTAGCAACGCCACTTGGACATGAGGAGGTAGTAGCCAATTGGCTCGGAGTAAATTTTGAAGCCGCCAAGGCCGGAGCTGAGTTTCCACGCGCCTTTGCAAAATCCGGAGTACCCGTTTTCTTTGCTTGGCGGCCAGTATTGCCCCCCGGGTAGACTGGAGGGGAGGACTGTGAGGGCGGTTGAGTGTGTGGTGTCATCCGACATCACTGATGGAGCGGCTGGCTGGCCTGGCGCGGGTGAAGGTTGATTTATGATCTCTGAGACCACTAGGTGTGTATTTTCTCGGCTGGCGGGCTTGGGCACTTCCTCTGTAGGGGAGATCGTCTCGTCCGACAGATCAGAATCAGAGTCCGTGGCACACTCGGACCTCCCATCGTTTGTCCACGGGTTTCGCATCAGCTTGCGGGTCATTCTGCGAGTGATTTCTTCTTTCTCAGAGCGACGGCGAGGTTCCTTGGTTTTGGAGGGTTGCTGGGGCCGAGGATTTGCGTCTGTTGCCGGCTCTGTGAGTATCATCTTGGAGTTCGAGCATCGTGGAACAGGCACAGCAGAGCGAGCCAGGTACTCCAGGTCCGCTGTTGAAGCTACAGACGACCCGTTAGAGGCCCGGCTACCACTTCCACGCTTTGACCGATGACTCCAAAGCGAGCTGATAGCAGTTCCCAATCCGGAAGACTTCCTCTCCCGCTGCGGCGGACTACAGCGTTCATCTGGTTTATACAAACCAAGCATCTCCGTCGGCGACCCCGATAGCTGCCCAGGAAAAACCGTCGGGGGCGTAACGACAAACCCGCCGAAACTGCTCGACTCCCTGGTCCGCGACAACGAGCGTCCCTGCTCCAACAGCTGGATATAATACCCAATAGTTGAAGTGGGATCCACAGTAGCATACACCGACCCGACGCCGACAGGCCACGGAACTGGCGCCGACTGCGCGATACGCTGATACAGCTCATGAAGTACGGAGATAGTACAGCTCCGACCATAATCTGATGCTGACAAGACAGCCATGACATCCAGACTAACACGTTGGTCCACCGCCCGACTTAGATGCGTCAACAGCATCCCCTGCAGAGTGATCACGATGTCTTTCATCTGCTCTCTGGATATAGTATCCCCTTCCTCGTACCGTCGCCCGAGTCTCGAGACATGGTCATTCCAGTGTGCGAGAATCTCGTTCTGTCCGCGGTCCAGTGAGCGTTCGAGATCATTGGATGATGCCTCTTCTCTCGGATGTCGACGATCCCATTTTTTCTTGATAGAGCGATAGAGCTCGCTGCCATCGCGATAGGCGGAGACGACTAGGATCGTTAGCTTCGTTTGGCTGGGAAGGTGGGAACGTACTAGCTGCGACACAGGCTACAACGGCAATCACCTCCGCCCCAGACATGATGCGGGGCTGCTTAAAAGTGGAGAAATGTGAAGATCGAAAAGTGGAGTCTATTAGACAGTGTACACTCGTAGCTCGATATTATTGATGAACAGGCGCATTCAAATGATGGTTTGGGCCGGAAAGGATGGAAGAGACGCAGGGAGGAAAGCGCCCAGAAAATGAGGAAAAACAAGCTCCAAGATGCCACCAGACAAAATGAGTTTGACTGGGGGCAGCGCGACTTGTATCATTTCGGCGTGGCTTCAGAGGACCCGGGCGCACTAGTACTAGGGTACTTGATCATGTGTACCTGCCATGGAAACCCTGGTCTAAATGAAAAGATGAGATGCCAAGAACGCCGGGCGTGGCTAGACGCAATAGCCTGTAGTAAATCCAAGTGATGCCAGTTCATAAAGTAGGTGATTAACCGAGGTGGTTGTGCGGTGATTGGCAGATGGGTCGAGATGTATAAAAGAGGGGGCGAGGCTGAGCATGTCTAATTGGGTGTTGATTGGGCATAAGCCAAATCACCCGGGTTCAGGCCAGGATGAATTAAAATAGGCCTGGGTATACATCAGTATTCTAATAGCCATGCTCTTACTGGTAGAGCTTACCCCAGATCTACCACCCCACTAGATCCACCCATTTTGACATCATGCATAGATCTATAGTCAAATTGATCCATGAAGATCAGATCTATGCTGGCTCCATATTATGGACGTCATCCCTAGGGAAAGGTGGATACTCCTAGGACCACAGTGGGACAATCTATCGGGAGGCACATGATCGATTATATTCATATGTCACTTGATCAAAGTACACGCTTGGAACATCACCGAGATCTGATCTTGCTGTATTATAAGATCGCATGAAATCAACAAAACATTGTATGAACCACATTGAACCAACTAAGTCACAACGCCCGCATGCAAATGCAAAAACAAGAAGCCTCCAGGATATCAATAAACAGACCTGAACCGCCACCACAAAGGAAACACGTAAACCATATCAATGCGAATGAGCCCAGATCAGCAGCACCGTCCCTTCCGTTGAGCCGTCTGCATGACCTGCACCTCCTCCACCTCCCCAACATTAGGCGTCGAAAGCCCCAACCAACTCCGCCTCTTATCCCCATACCCAAGCCGAAAGCTGGCGTTCCCATCCATACTGCCAGGCGTGTAAGGACTTACACCAATCCCAAGACCAGGAGTGCCAGCCGCACTCAAAGCAGCATCGGCATCACGCTTATTCCGCTGCTCAACCAACTTCCGCGTAATAACCCGAAAAACTTCTTCAATACCCTCTCCATCCTTAGCCGAGATCTCATGACAACAATCCCAACCGATTTCCTGTCCCCAGAACGCCGAACTGCGTTTACTATCGGGGCTCTGTAACGCGCCCGTCGACATCCCAGCCACACTCCCCACACTACCCCCTCCCCCGGCGTTTGCGCCACCAAAAACGCCGGCGCCAAACCCAAGCCCCATACCCAAACTAGCGGTAGGAGGTGGCGTCGACGCGCGAGAAGGATAAAGCTGTTCAGCGACGTATGCGATCGTTCTCTCAAACGGAACCCTCCGTTTACTCGGCTCCATAGCGACGATGTCGGACTTCGTCCCGACAACATGGATAACTAGCGGAGGATTATCATCGTCGCCTTCTGATCCTAGGTTCTTCCTCAACTCGCGTAACCAGCCTGCCATCTCTTGGAAGGAGTTTTCATCGGTGATGTCATAGCAGAGAAGACACGCGTGCGCGCCACGGTAGTAAAGTCGCGAAATACTGCGGAATCGTTCCTGGCCTGCTGTATCCCAGATCTGGAGACGAACAGTCGTGTCGGATGTTGTGTCTAAGACGCGTTTTGTCACGAAGGAGGCGCCGACGGTGGATGTTGTTGTGCTTGGGTTAAAGGCGTTGCGGACGTAGCGGTGGACCAGGGAGGTTTTTCCGACGCCTGCGATAAGAAATGGATATGAGTATTTAGCGTGAATTTTTGTGGGGTAGGCGTGTATAGTACCTTGTGCGCCTAGTACGACGATTTTAGCCTCGAGGGAGGAGCTCATGGCGCGGGGTTGAGGTGGGGGCGGATGGTTATGGGCATAGTCTATCGGAGGTGTGTAGATGCAACGAAATGATAATGTAGATGTAGAAGTAATGATTTTGCGGCGAGCGTTTAAATGCGACGAATAAACAAAGGAAAAGCTCAGTTGAAAAGGTAAAGAAGTGGTGAGTTCAAAACAAGGCAACACTGGAAAGCGGTAGGTATCAGCCGACCAAGGGTTTGGTCACGTCCATGTTCATGCAAGTCAGTTTTTAACTGCAAGGCGCAAGGCGCAAGGCGCAACCTTGGGAAGGCATGACTCACATAAGACTCTTATTGAGAAGCAGGGATTAAATATGATTAGTGAGGTCTACTTTCTATCAATATCTACTGTTCTCGGTTACTCTTTTAAGCGGGCCCTTTTTTACGGGAGAAAATGAAGTAAAAATCGAACATCATAATGTCAATCTATATTTTGATACAAAGCGCATATACGTGATATCATGAAAAAATCCCATGCCCGACCGAAACCAGTCATAAAACCCAGACATGAACATGAAATCATCAGTCTGCACTTAGAACAGCAAACAATGGGTATAAAAAGGGGGTTCCAGGTAATCCTGAGAACATGACCAATGTAAAACAAAAAAAAAAAACAAGGCGAAAGCCTTGTCCCTCAGACAACGATATAATATGCACAGCCATAAACCAGAAGCAATGGCAAGGTCAACGCGCAGCGCTGTCGTCCAAAGGACGTTTCAGATTAAGAGAAACATCTATTTCTCGTGGAGAGTAGTAGTGTTAAGGTCCTCCTCGTGGTTCTCACGCTGCTCGTCAGAGGAAGAAGAGTTGTGGCCGCCCTTCTCAAGATCCTCAGGGTGACCAAGGTCACCGAAGCCGTACTCAAGAGCCTTGGCCTCAACCTCCTCATCGGTGAGCTTAGGCAGTTCACGGGCAGCCTTGACATAGCTAATCTTCTCGCAGTAACCCTTGGCAAAGATGATGTCAATCTCCTCCAAACTGCGACCAGCGGTTTCGGGGTAGAAGAAGTACATGACGGGAATGAAGACAGCGTTCCAGGCAGCGAAGAAGAGGTAGGTTCCCCAGCCGATGCTAGAGATCATGACGGGAGTGATCATGACGACAGTGAAGTTGAAGAGCCAGTTGGAGCAGGTGGAGACCGCGTTAGCCTTGGCACGGGTGCGGATGGGCGAGATCTCAGCGGGGTACAACCAGGGCAAGGGCAGCATGGCGGCACCAAAGAAGGCCATGTAAAGGAAGAGACCGAAGACGGCACCCTTGGCAGGGCCAGCAGTTCCAGGAATCAAACAGGCGAAGACGATGATCATGGAAACCATCTGGCCGGCCATACCGCCGATGAACAGCTTGCGACGACCGATCTTCTCGATGAAGAACCAGGAGAAGGTAGCGAAGATAGCGTAGACAATCATGTTGACACCGGACAGAATATCGGACATGAAGGTGTCCATGTTTAAGGAGTTCTGCATCAGGACAGGCAAGTAGTAAATGACAGCGTTACAACCAGACAGCTGCTGGGCGATCTGGGAGGAAGAACCGATAAGCATGCGGCGGAAGTGCTGAGTACGACCGCCAGTGAGGAGGTCGCGGTAGCCAGCTCCCTCGGCGACACCAGCAGCCTCAATGGACTCGATAACAAGCTGCTTCTGGAGCTGAGTCTCCTGGTCCTCGATCTCACAGCCGGCAAGGGCAGCGAGGGCATACTCACCCTCGTGAACCTTACCACGGGAGATAAGGTAACGGGGAGAATCGGGCAAGAAATACATTCCGACGACAATGACGAGACCGAAAACGATTTGGAAAGCGATGGGGAAACGCCAGGTCAGACCGGGAGGACCGTAAGAGGCACCGAAGTCGATCCAGTAAGCGATAGCCGTACCAATGGCGATGATACCACCCTCAATACAAATGAGCAGACCACGGTTGCTGGTGCGGGAGCACTCAGCCTGGTAGGTGGGGATAGTCGAGGTGTTCATGCCGTTACCGATACCGGTAATGACACGGCCGAACATGAACTGCAATAGAGGAAGGTGGTCGACGAACGATGTGACCTGAATAACGACACCGATGATCATGATGGTGGCACCGGCCATAACCATACGACGACGACCGAGCCGGTCAGCGGTGAAAAGGGCAAACATGGCACCGAACAAACATCCGGCCTCGTACACCGCAGTGATCAAAGCCTGCATGACACTGTCACCATCGGCAGCAGTGAAGACGTCGTCGAAGTCGGTGGCGTTAATGATACCAGACATGACACCCTGATCATAACCGAAGAGTAAGAAACCCATAGTGGCAATGGTTGACACAGCCAACGACAGTTTCCTGCCGGACATGCCCGCGAAAGAGGGCGCCATATTGAATGTGTGTGATGAAGAATAGATCCAAGAAAGATAACCCTATATCTTAGTCCACGCTGGGATCAAAAGAAGATCTCTCCCAGTGGATAATGCACGTGGGATGATATTGAAGGGGGTATTAAAAGTGGAGGGCGAGATAAGACTGATCAGAAAAAAAAAGTAACCCCGGGGGGAGGGAAGGGGGAGATATTTGAATGTCTCTCCGACCCAACAGCCATACGAAAGTGGCAATGAGATGCAATCGTGGGGCCTGCCTGTTCTCTTCTCCATCCTTTTTCCCCGTGTCTCTGCCAGTAGGCACTCCGAGCGTAAAGCCACAGAAAAAAAAAGAAAAAAGAAAAAAGAAAAAAAAGAAGAACAAAATAATGGGTCGCAAGCCGAGTGCGTATCCGATCTAGGACCTTGCTCCACTCTGAACTAGATGGTTTGTCGAATAGGATCCGCCGTGGTGGGGCCAAGCCTCCGGATGCATCAATAATGATCGATTAAGCATTTCCCGAGGACTCCACTACTGCGCGGCGGTAGTTTGCGTCCCTGATGACATCAGGGAAAAATCAAAACCAGAAACCAGGCCGAAATTTTCTGAGGGTCGATTTATGCTACCACAAAACGCTGATTGGTTATAACCACGGCCCCAGTGGGGAGATGTCGTCCGTGTTAAAGGCCCGCAATGACGAGCCATACATATGCAGCTTGAAGAAATGAATTGTGGTTCGTTGGACGGTTAAAAGTTCTGTACAATGGATTGCCAGGTACTTTTTACAAGGAAGGAAGGTACCAATAATAATAGTATCTTTTTGGTAAGTAGAAAAAATCAAATTTTGCGGCGTACGTAAGGAGGTACAATGGTCGTCCTATCGCTCTTTTCTTTATCCCTTCGCTATCAATCCGTTACCAAATCTGGGGGCCACATCAGACCATGCTCGAGAGAAAAACTCGGATGTGCCATCATCCGGTCCTCGGACGAATCCCGATTAGAATGCACGGTCGTTATAGATAGATCTCAGCTACGTAGTTACGACGATGAGGCTGCACTAAGATCCCGCACTGACAAGATGCATGAGGGGATCCCGTCAGACAACTATAATAGGCTAGAAGGTGGCTTGAGCGGTGTAACGGCTGAGGGGAAGGAGGGGTGTCAGTGCCTCCATGCGTATGCGATAGATGTTGATAACAGTAAGAGGGGTCGGCGACAACACTCGGGATCCCGTCACCGTACTTCCCGAACGAGTGCGGACACCGGGAAACAAGTGGAGACAGATGATGCAAGAATGCGCCGCGAGCATACTAGTGGCTTTTCTTAGCGGATCAGTGGATCCATAAGGACCCGCTCATGATCACGCCCTGGAAAAAACAAAAAATGAATTATTGTCGACTAATTTTCTCCTTGCCTTAAGTTGCTCGCCTAAATCAGTTATTGCTTAACCCCAGGTGGTTTAGGTAGTTTAACCGGCGTCTCTCCAGGTCTCTCCCCGTGGAGATGAGATTGGGGAAGACCCCTGTGTTGCACAAAGTACGCTACCTTGTTTTCCAGGCTCTTCACCGAACCTGCAGCCAAGACATCTACTGCATAATCTGTACCATTCATCGACCATTGTCTTTTGAATTTAATCTTTTTTTAATTCATCAATATCGAACTCCATTCTCATTGCAGCGAAACTAAAATTTTCGGTCGTCGACCGTGAGACTGGCTGAACGAATCATGTCCCCGTTAGTCACATAGCGGAGTCGGAAATAACAAAGCCCAATTCTGGTCCAGTTTCATTCGCAGGTTGCCGACCCACGTCATTGTCTTGAAAGGGTCGAACCTGCGACCATGAAAACTCGGTTTTCAACCCAAACGTGTGAGGTTTTGCCCGTCAGGCAGACAGCTCCGCTAATGATGCAGCGGTGCCACTTTTCAGCCGTGTCGAATGTTTCTGGAAGCCAAGTAATGGCATGGTCCGGCGAAAGTTAAGATTTTCCAACAATACTCATTTGGATGGAACCACTCTACGGAATCCCTAGGCACACAACCACGCGGAGATGCGTTTAACCATACGAGCTAGTCCCGTGAACCAGCGAGCGCGACCAAAGAGGACTAGGATCTGGATGGTTGCATTGCGCGTCTCCAATCTGACTGTGCCGGCTGATGTTCAGGGGAGCACACAATTCAAGGGCCAATGATATCGCCCTAATGGATAGTCGGGTGGACGTGTGAACTAAGCGTGTGGATTGTACTGAATGATGCATCTGTACTGATATCTACAGACCCAATCCGCTTGCACAGTCCAACGTCTTCAACGACACATTTTGCCCCCAAATTTCCGATTCGCTGCGTACTGTACATAATATGTAAGTGCCAGATAGTACCCTGTTGCGCCCGTTGAGATTTGGGCGACTCTGGGATGACGCAGATGCAATCCAAAACAAGATTATCATTTCTCCCGCGCCCGCTGTGTCGATCTTAACCAACGTCATTCGAGGTTTTGCGGCTGTCTACAATCCTGGGAAGGTTTGCCGTGGTTCAGCGGGAACTAAATATATATTCTTTGATACACTGTGGGATTTATACGTTGTAGCCGTGGAGATTACCACAGATCGAATTTAAGATTCAAGCCAAGATGCTTGGTCGTTCACTTATACATAGGACTATACGGACACGAACCACGAAGTGATTCAGGGAAAACGCCACAGCCGTGTGTAAGTACCATTACCCTTTAAGATAACCCCATAAAGAGGGACTGACCATGAGACAAGGGTTTCTCCAGGAACTGTACGTCAAAGCTGGAGAAGCGGAGAGGAGTGCGTGGCAGGCGGAGATTTCGGAAGTCCCGGCATCGATGGCAAAAGTCTCCGAACGTTGCATCAGTGGCTGACGCTTTGCAGGTTGGAGGTCACCCTCGATACCGATATCTTCTTCGCGTTCGGATATGGTAGGTTTAGAATAAAATTGCATTTTTTTCCTACGACCAGGATGTTTGGCAGACCATGAAGCTAAGCACCAGGGATCGACAAGTGGCGTCCGTCAGCCAAGAGGTGATTTGCTTCAGGCGGGAACTAATTTGGGTGATCCCGCGACCGTCGACATATGGTTCATGAAGTCACGGCGTGAGAACTACACAATGAGGCGATGTCCAAATCCATGGATGTTGAATTGAGAAGAAGTTGATTATAACCCTTGGAGGCACAAAATTGGGACTAATTACACGTTGGTTCCAGATGATCGCAGTGCTATTGATTGAATCTCATACTTTTTGGCCTGAGGCAATACTGCTTACACATCGTGTTTTGCCTCAGGCCACAATTCCACGGCTCGCTCATCCTTCCAACTCTTTGATAGAAACATTCCACGATCAACACAGTATGTTCCATGCATGCATTCAGTCGATCGGATGCAACCGAAGACATTATTGTTTCTTAAGTTATGTACGAGAACAATAAAGGAAAACGCCAATCACACAAAATATGCAGGATGGTCTCAGTGCAAAGCAGGGGATGACCCAAAATACTGGAATCGATCCTGGGGTTGCAGTTGCGGAGCGATTGGAATTGTGAAAGATTGGTGGTATGGAACATTGGGAGAAGAATATTAATTACGTCTGTAATACGACCATCGCTACTGGCTAACGTCTCCCGTGCGACGCGCGACTAACCCCGGATTACATGGACCCGACCACTCTCCTACATAAATGTGGACATCACTCAATTAGCATCGCCACAAAAATAACATACCGCTAAGTCTTATCGTTCTCTCGCACGAAATGCCGAAAATCATGGGTCTTGTCGGGATCACGAGTGGTCACGAGTCGGCCGAGAAGCTAGCTCCCCGCAACTTTTGATCCCCGGACTCCATTAACCCGAGGTCCCTTTGGACTCTTTTCTTCCAATAAATCTACTTTCTCTCAATGTGATAAACTCTCTCCTTCACACTATTCACATTTCATACAATATGTCTCAAGATAAACTTACCGGCGCCAAGGTGGCTGAGCACAACTCCAAGGACTCGTGCTGGGTCATCGTGCACGGCAAAGCCTACGACGTCACTGAGTTCCTACCAGGTGAGATAACCACCCCAGTGTGTCAATCCCCGTCTAATGCCATTCAGAACACCCTGGAGGCTCAAAAATTATCCTCAAGTACGCCGGGAAAGATGCGACCGAGGAATTCGACCCCATCCACCCTCCCGACACCCTGGACAAATTCCTCGATCAATCCAAGCACCTCGGCGAGGTCGACATGAGCACTGTCGAGCAGGAGGAGAAGGTCTTCGATCCGGAGGAGGCCGATCGTCAAGTCCGTATTAAGCAGATGCCTCCCCTCGCAGCTTGCTACAACCTCATGGACTTCGAGGCTGTCGCCCGCCGGGTGATGAAGAAGACCGCCTGGGCATACTACTCTAGCGGAGCGGATGATGAGATCGTACGTACAAGGATAAATTTAGAGCATACAACGCTCGTTCATGAGGACCGAGTCTAACAACCTTACTCAGACAATGCGCGAGAACCACGCTGCCTTCCACAAAATCTGGTTCCGACCCCGCGTCCTCGTCGACGTCGAACACATCGATATGTCAACCACTATGCTCGGCGATAAATGCTCAATCCCTTTCTATGTCACTGCCACCGCCCTGGGCAAACTCGGCCACCCAGAGGGTGAGGTCGTCCTGACAAAAGCCGCGAAACAACACGATGTGATCCAGATGATCCCCACACTTGCTTCCTGCTCCTTCGATGAGATTGTCGACGCAAAGCAAGGAGACCAGGTACAATGGCTCCAGCTCTACGTGAACAAGGACCGTGCGATCACCGAGAAGATCGTCGCGCACGCTGAGAAGCGCGGATGCAAGGGACTGTTCATCACCGTTGATGCACCCCAGCTCGGCCGTCGTGAGAAGGACATGCGATCCAAGTTCTCAGATGTCGGATCCGATGTCCAATCCGGTGAATCAAATGTGGACCGCTCGCAAGGAGCTGCCCGCGCGATCTCAAGCTTCATTGATCCTGCCCTCTCGTGGAAGGATATCCCCTGGTTCCGCTCTATTACCCGCATGCCGATCGTGCTCAAGGGTGTTCAATGCGTTGAAGATGTTCTCCGCGCCGTTGAAGCCGGCTGCGACGGTGTAGTCCTCTCTAACCACGGAGGTCGTCAACTGGAAACCGCCCGCTCTGGCATCGAAGTCCTCGCAGAGGTTATGCCCGCCCTTCGTGAACGTGGCTGGGAGAAGCGCATCGAGGTCTACGTTGACGGCGGTGTCCGCCGCTCGACTGATATCATCAAGGCCCTCTGTCTCGGCGCCAAGGGTGTCGGAATCGGCCGACCATTCCTGTACGCCATGTCCGCCTACGGACTGGATGGTGTCGATCGTGCGATGCAGTTGCTTAAAGATGAGATGGAGATGAACATGCGGTTGATTGGTGCCACAACTATTGAGGAATTGAATCCTAGTTTGTTGGACACGCGTGGTCTTATGGGTGGGCATTCCGGTGTCATCCCTTCTGATACCTTGGGATTGGGCGCTTATGATCCGCTTGAGGCGCCGCGTTTCAATGAGAAGGCTAAGCTGTAGAAAAAAAGGGGTCTTTCGGTCCACGGGTGTTTCAGGCTTGATTTTGTTGTTTGCTTATATCGGTAGATACAGTTTATGATCTATATACCCATGTCATATATCGGCATTGATGCCATAAACTAAATGAAATGGTAAATCAGTGCATTAATACCTATTCCATACCATACGAAGTACCTAGTTCTTGCTTCTACGACCTCGGGAGATGCGTCGATAGTATGGGGGTGGGTCCGGCCCACAATATACATATATCTTTCGCCCGAGAATACGCTATGTACAGTATTCGCGCTGGGTAACAGCCCATCGATAAGAATCGGGAATCTTTTTTGGAAAATCATTTGTGAATCAATCAATTGATGCGCATATTCTGCTCTGTTGAACATCGCCAGCCTACCTAACCTAGGAACCTGAATAAATACTTACACTAGCTTCTGGAGCCTAATGATTTAGCGACAGGTCGAACACAATCTTCCCCCTCGTATGACCAGTATCAAGCCTTTTAAACGCCTCTTGATACTGTTCTAGAGGCCATACGCTATCCACCATCCCGCGACATTTACCAAGCTCAACAAGCTTCGTAATTTCCTCCAAATGTCTTCTGACAGGTTCCATCACAAAGAACACGTCCTTCACTCCAGTTCCTTTAAAGTCTTGGGGGCAAGCTTGCTTCGGTGGCTGAAAGATACTAAGGACTACTCCTCCATCACGAACAGTCCACCAAGCATCCTCGAGAGACTGTTTCCCAATACAATCAATCACGATATCCACCTTCTTTCCGGGCTGCTCTGCCCATTCGCGGAGATGAGTACGTCGATAGTCAATCACTTCCGTCGCGCCGAGAGACTGCACAAGCGCAACATTCGCAGCGCCACACGTCCCAATGACCTCCGCACCAAGCAGGGTAGCTAGCTGCGTCACCCAAATCCCGACGCCGCCTGACGCAGCAGTAACGAGCACCCTCTTGCCTGCCCATGCGGCCTGGGCTGTAGCAAAGTCCACTTCGGCATCACCAGCGATGCCCGCATGAATAAATAGAATCTGCCACGCCGTCTCGGCCGAGACTGGTATTGCGGCGGCTTCAACCCAGCTCAGTCCTTTGGGTTTGTGGGCTAATTCCTCTGTGACGCCAATACTGAACTCGCACGCATTCCCTGGGCGAGAATAATTTGTACGCGCGTAGACTTCATCGCCGGGTTGGAAAGGTGAATCCTCTGGCCCGGAGATAATTACTCCTGCTACATCGGGGCAGGGAATTAATTCACGCGGGCTTGGCGGAGGAAAGTTCTTTGGCCAAAGGAGTTCCCCGGCACATGGGGCGCAGGCCTTGACACGAATCAGGTGCTCGCCTAGTGACGGATTGATTATCGGTGATGGTAGTGAGGTGAGTTTGAGTTCCGTTGAGTTAGCGTTCGGTTGGATAATGCTCAACATTTTGAATGAAGTGGACATGGTTGAGCAGGAACAGAGCGATTAAGTTTCTGGTGGCCTTTGTGCTACTTTGTTCGCTATTTATGTTGATGTTGAAAAATGACCGAAAAGACACTGCTTATAGACCGTAATTTGTACCTTCATATGGTTTCCCGAATCGTTTGCCACGAGTCCGGGTAGCCTATCCATCGGCAACACCCATATACCCGTATCTGAAATGACACAACTCGTATTTACTGCGCCTAGAAGCATTTCTGCGAATCAAAGCTCTAGCATGAGCTATAATGACGAGTATAATTTCATTGGTAGGCAATGCGAATCCCGCGGGCGGATATCCATAAGCCAAGACGGCATCTTAGCGACATGAACATGATGGTTTCTACCGGTCATGTGCCATGGTCAATATGGCACATGATTACCCAGCTGGCCCCAGCATAATAGTACTGCAAATAGTATGTCGGAAAACAAGCCGAGGAAGAACACACTTATACCTATCGTAAGAACTGTGACTTTGTGGTTGTAGATTATGTTTTGGTTTGAGTTGTCGAGAAATCAAGTCTTGGCTCTTCCCATTTACCTTCGGGTTCGGGTTGACGGAAGGAATGTCTCCCGTGCATCGCACCATCTGGAAAGATAGAGTTCGTCTTTCCGATGGGCTTAAAGGATTTAAGGACGAGGGAATTTAGCAAAGCAAGGGACGCGGAGATAATGACTAAGCCCGGATGACAGCGCTGACACGGAGCTAGCCTATCTGGGCCTAGTGCATGTGCCTCTAAACCGGCATTTAGATCTAAGCTCCGTTCATCCTTGCATTTTTCAGAAGCACTTGCAGGGATTCTATACCGTAAGACATCATCAATATCATATGGAACTCTACAAACCAGAGGGAAACCCTTCGAATATGCGGGCGTTGCTCAGTCTCGATCGATCGATACCAAGGAAAGCAACGGGTAATCTGACATCATAAAATGGTCAACTGAAACTCTACCTCCATTGTGGGCCTCGTGTTAAATCCGAAAGTATGAGTTCATGGCCAAGACAAAACCTGCGGAGAAAACCTACGGACGAAACCTACATATAAATCTGTCCCATCTCTGCTCATTGCTACGAATTTAAACCCAACAATCATCAAGCACTTCAATCACCTCAATAAATCCATTTAAAATCAAACTCACCAAGATGAATGAACTCTTCGCTCCAGCTCCCGAGCCGGCTACCCCTCTGGGCCGGTACCGCATTCTCTCCTCCACCGCAGGTGTCCGTGTCTCCCCTCTACAGCTAGGAGGCATGTCAATTGGTGACGCCTGGAGTGGATTCATGGGTAGCATGGACAAGGAGCAATCGTTCAAGCTACTCGACGCCTTCGTCGAAGCCGGCGGCAACTTCATCGACACAGCAAACAACTACCAAAACGAGCAATCCGAAGCCTGGATCGGTGAATGGATGACCGCACGCAAGAACCGTGACCAGATGGTCATCGCAACCAAGTTCACAACAGACTACCGCAGCTATGCCTTAGGCAAGGGTAAAACTCCCAACTCGTGCGGAAACCACAAGCGCAGCATGTTCCTCAGCGTCCGCGACTCCCTCAAAAAGCTGCAGACCGACTTTATTGATGTCCTCTACCTGCACTGGTGGGACCACACCACCTCCATCGAGGAGATAATGGATTCCCTTCACATCCTCGTCGAGCAGGGCAAGGTCATGTACCTCGGTATCTCTGATTCGCCCGCGTGGGTCGTCTCGGCCGCGAACACCTATGCCCGTGCGCACGGCAAGACTCCATTCTCAGTCTACCAGGGTCGGTGGAATGTGATGCGCCGTGACTTTGAGCGCGATATTCTGCCCATGGCTCGGTACTACGGTATGGCTCTCGCGCCCTGGGATGTTCTGGGCAGCGGTCACTTCCAGACTGCTAAGCAGCTCGCCGAGCGTGAGAAGAACGGCGAGGGACTTCGCAGCATGCTGGGTCAAGGTCAAACAGAGGAAGAGCGCCATGTTTCCGAGGCGCTGGCGAAAGTTGCAGCTGAGCACGGTACCGAGTCCGTTACTGCCATTGCATTGGCGTACGTACTTTGCAAGGCGCCGAATGTCTTCCCACTTGTAGGTGGACGTAAGGTTGAACATTTGAAGGATAATATCCAAGCTCTGTCGATTCGTCTTACCCAGAAGCAGATTGAGTTCCTGGAGGCTGCAAAGCCATTCGATGAAGGTTTCCCCAGTAACTTCATTGGAGTTGACCCCAAGGTCTCTGGCGGTGGTCCCAGCATGCTGATGCAGACATCTGGTCGCTATGACTATGTGCAGGCTGAGCGGGCTATCGGTTATGAGCCTGAGAAATAAGAAGGCAAGGGTCAGTAGGCACTGTATATAATGTTTGGTCTCCTCTCAATCAATGATATGTTCGTTGATCATGATCTATACAACCTGTAATTTTCAGGACAAAGGGACCAAGAAGTCTCAATAATAAATTGCTTTATTCAAACGAAGTTTATTGCTCCAGTCGAATCACTCGTCTGACTTATCCTTCATTCTGATGTTTTCGTTATGTTGACTCCATCCTCCTGCCCAAGCCTAATGCTGTCTTTCAAAAACTCCCACCACGCCGGGTAGTTGGCACTTGATCCCATCTTTAACCAACCTTAGTGTTTGTTTTCACCACAGACGGATGCAATGGCTTACTATCGTAACTATGAAAAAGAGCTACGAAGAAATCCATGAGGACTACCATTATTGTACGAAGATCACCAGGGAAGAACATTGCCAAGTATCAACCAAGAAAGTCACATTGTCTATATGATCAAAGATGGGACCAGCCTATTCATTGACGCCAATTCTATCCCAATCCAATTCCAAAACAAAAGAAAAAATCATTCCAGCTTCACAAGAGAAAGTTGCATGCCTTAGTAGTTGGGAATGCAAACACCGGCGTTCCACTCAGTGGCGCCGACACATTGCCAGCCATCGCAGCAGGGGTCACCGCCCGAGGTGCAGGCAACATCGTAGTCTATAGAAAATCTGTGTTAGCAAATATAATCTCCACTCTCGAATTGCTGTAAAGCTTACTGGCAACGCAGGAGCGCTTCTCAAAGCCGGAGGCGGCAGAGGCAACAGCGGTCATGGCAGCAATGGTAAGAACGATGAACTGCATTTTGATGGATGAAGTGGTTGATCGGAAGATCGGTTGATTGTTTGTTTGGTAGATTGGTGATTGTATTGATGGATGGATAATGTTCAATTGTCGAGGAATTCTCGAGGTATTTATTCCCAAACCAAGCCCCATCAACGCTTGATGTTTTCCATATCTAGTCATTTCTATACATAGCGACCAGATCTATGATGTTTCATAAAGACAATTGATTACTCTACTTGGATATGATCCTCAACGCGCCCGTAAGCCGCATATTGCCACCCCTATAAAGATCCGATTGCAGTAAGCAGCAGCTTGAGTGTTGATTTCCTATTTTGGTCAAGTTATACAACGGCCCCACAGTAAGCATAAAACTATGTGGAATAATGTCAAGTGGACAGCGGGGCGGATTACGTTAGGGCAGCGGAAGATTCGGGGCCATTTACCCCGTCCGGCGCGATGGATTTAGAAAAGGGTATCCATCGGGGATAAATATTCTGATATGACCGATAGTAGATTTGGTGATATTCGGGGCGGCAAGTATGTCTGTTTTCAACTTCCAAGGTCCAAGGTAAGATAATGAGATTACAGTTCGACTCGAGGCCAGCCCTTCAGTCTAGGTGGCAGGCTGGAATTTGAATACAGTGGCCTTTTTCACGCGCGACTCGGGGTCATGTTCGAAACCTTTGGAAGCTTGATCCTGTTGTCGGGATGCCGGTGATAGTAGAATTCTGCGGGTAGCAGAAAATGTCAGAAAAAGAATGGAAGGTGTCAGGGGGAGAATAATGAAATGTCGAAGATTTTACATTGACTAGTATTGTGTGGGGAAGGCTACACATGTGCAATATAGACGTATTGATATCTCCTTCCTAGTATTAGTAGTCCGAGGATGAAAGATGGAATTTCTTGGACCATATTTGACTGACAGTTTGAAATCTACTGTCGTTTAGCGAGACACTAACCGAGATGTTTGTGGACTGTTTTCCAAAGTATCATCATCTTCAAACTTGCGCTCTAACCCGCTGAGAAGAGATTAGTGTAGATATAAGGTTTGTTTTGTTTAAGCATAGTCGCTCGCGGAATCCATTTTCAGCCTCCGAACAAAATACAGGCATATCACACTTAACAACTTTCTCGCTCGCTTTCATCATTCCCTCTCTTCTCCAAACCTCCATATACATTGAAAAGTCGCTGGGTAGAAACCTTTGACGTCTACTTGGTTACATACGAATATTTTTCCATTTTGAGCCTTTCTTCTTTTACTATACATCTATCATCATGTGCCGCGACTCTCGAACGGAAACTAGCTGCGTCGAGGGACACCTAGAGAGTCTAGGTGTCATGAATTGCTTGCAAGAGTACAGATGGGGCGTGGAAGGACAATCCGATCAGGACTTAATGACGGCGATCACGGAAACAGAATACGAACTACGCACAGTCAATATACTCGAAGAAAGAGCTCGAGCGTCTTACAATGATTCTCCCCATGCATGGACCCTGGAAGAGCACCAGACATTCATGAAGGCCTGGGATGAACGCTACCAGCTGGCCCGTGGAAATTGGTGGAATTTTAAGAGTAAACTACCCGAAGGTCCTTGGCTGCGAGGATTCGAGTTGTGGCGATCGAATTCTAAGTGGTACATGCATCGCATGATGTGTGAGGGTTGTGAAGCACGACATGGTTGCTGCTCTCGAGCTTGTGGCTGCTGCCTTAAGCGTTTGGATAACCGAGACAGGCAGCTTGGGGCTGGCCATTGTACGACAGACTGCCCTTGTTGCAATAAGGCACGGGTATTTAGATCAGAGGAACCGAAGAAAGGTGACCCAATATTCGAGCCTTCCAAATACAAAGACATTTCTTTGCCAATGAGAAAGGCCATACTTCTGGGGGCAAGCATATATGAGATAGATAACAACGTTGGGTTTGGACTGCCAAAGGTCCAAGAAGATCTGATACTTCTATGATCTAATCCTTGGTTCCATTGACAGTATTTATTTACTTTGATGTTCTGCTTAGAAGCTCCTTACATTCGTTGTCCTGGATCTTCTTTCCCAATTTGGAATGCTGTAGGTAATAGAGGCAGTCTAATTGTATACTGAAGCAAAATCATGCCCGACTATGTACCTTTGAAGTTTGGCAAGACTTCGCCTCATTATGAAAATAAAATGCATGTGCGAATTGTTTGTTATGAGGATGAATTGAGATGATTAGAAGTACGAATCCTGCGTTCTTCATGTATGTACAGACCTCGGGAGCACTTGGTCAAGGAGAAGAGTAATCGCCGAACCCAAGAAAATTAGCAGGTATCGAGCCGCTATGCATGCTCATCACACTCACAGAAAGGAAAACCAAAACAAATACAAAATGTAAATTACAAGGTAATAACCTGCGGCGGATTCCTCAACCGCCCGGAATCCCGATACATGCACGCCGCATTAACAAACCAACCACCTCCATTATTCTCCCCACCCCAAACCTGTGCCCAGACAACGCCCAGCACACCATAGAAGACCACCCTGGCCACGTCAACCCAGCCTGCCGGATCTAATAGATCACGCATGAAGCCCAACAACGCAAGGATGCGACTATACTTCGCACGAGGACGACGCGAAGCACAGAGCCGCTCCCATGCTCGTTGCGCCTCATCCCAAAAAATCGGTTCCTTGCCCGCGGCGTAATGAACGTGTCCAAATACATGCAGCAACGGGCGGACGCGCCAACTTTCAGCCAGGAGATTGGGACAGCCTATTGAGTAGATAGGGGACATGTCGAGATGGGCTTGGGGCGGGGTATGGGTAATTAAGATATCGGTGTCTGGGGGTACGGTGCGCGACCAGGCATCGTGATGAGGAGGGTATGTGAAGGCGTGTTCCGGACCCATGGGGACGATGGCGGGGATCTGAGGAGCGCCATAAATGGTCAAATTACGCGGTCGGGAACTGGTAAGCGCAGATGTAGATGAAGATACGGAGTCGGTATCCGAAGACGATGGAGGTGTGAACTCGAGAGTTACGGCTGAGTGCTGGAGGTAGTGGATGTCACCCCAGTCAATACGCGAAGGCGCGGTAATATCATCCAGCGAGCGAATAGAGGCTGTTGACGCGGAAACAGCGGCGTAACCGTTTGACGTTTGATCATCGCGATCCTCTTCGAGACGCGATCGCGTATCGAAGTAGCTGTCATGATTGCCGCCGATCACGACCTTATGCGGGTGCGGAAGGCTGCGCAGCCAGTCAACGGCGGCTTGGATCTCGCGAACGGATCCATCATTGCAGAGGTCACCGGCGTGAATCAAAAGGTCTCCATCTGGGACGTTCGGCCATTCGAGGGCGTGGGTGTCGGAGATACAGACGACGCGTATGGGATGTGCGTCTGCGGGTGGTAGCCGAGGTGGTCCACGGAGACGCAGGAGAACCTGGTGTAGGGGGTAAAGGAGTGCGACCAGGGGAGAAGAGATGAAGTAGTCCGGAATTGAAGGGCGGTTGAAAGGATTTGCCATGATTAGTATGTATGTGTTTACAAGTCGATGTTGGAGATGTTAGGTAAGTGAGTAGTCATCAAGCGGGGAGATCGGGAATCGGTGACATCAGGATGTGGTCGAGACCTTCAGATCAATCAGATAGTGATGGATTCATGAAATGCACTTGGAAGGGGGTTGTCTTTGTTATTGTGAACACATATACAAGTAAATACTCCAATATCCATTCATTCCTAGGATGTTTTCATCGCAATCTCGGAACTACTCGAATCTCTCGAGTATATATACTAAATCCTGTATATCACAGCCCAAGATCGGCCCAGCCACTTACTCCACCATCAGCTATGACTTCTGAGGACCAGCCTTTTCTTATTTCAATTTAATTTGATACTTATAATCCCTCTGATTCATCTGATACTGCCGAGGTCATTTACTTCCAGATCTCCTGATATTTCATGTTCCTGGTCAATGCGACCTCTTTTGCCACATCCGTCCAAGTCTGCGCTGCATGCGGAATCGACACCCTGTTCACGTTAAACCAGTTCAGGTTACGGAAGTCTCTTTGGGCATAAACTTCAAACCCTTGAACTCTCACTATTCCAAACTTTCTCCCATAAAGTTCCTCTCGATCTATAGATCACTTGTTGTGTTCGTGTTTAGTGTGTTATTCTGCGGTGAAGTGCGCACCGCCCACCCATTTTCAGTTTTCCCGCGACCAACCAACTCGCATCCCGGTGCCCCGCCTCTTCAGCTGTGAACCACACCAACCAACCTCTCTGAATCTCCACATCATGGACGGTGTTGATCTTACAAAGGCTGTTTTGAACAAGGGCAAACAAATGGCTTCTGTTGCTGCCTCTGCTGCCAATGGCAATGGTGGCAAGAAGAGGAGAAAGGGGACTGATCTCAAACCCATCGTCACTAATGATGCAAATCCCGCCGCTGATGCGTATGTTTTGTGATTTTGCATTTTTATTCCCCCCTCTTGTCCGAACTTGCTACGGCAAAACAGGTCTACTCATCGTTGATCCATCGGCGATAAAACAAAATCTTCTTACTCAAGGCGCAACAGATCGCTAACTTATTTCTTGATTTCATAGCAGTGGCGCGGCGCCCGCAAACCCCAAAACCACCGCCGCTGCGTCGCGATCACCATCTCTCTCATCCGGTGATGAAGTCGAAACTACTGCTGAAGAAGAAGATTCGGAAGACTACTGTAAGGGCGGTTATCATCCGGTGTCTGTCGGCGAAACATACAACAATGGGCGCTACGTGGTGGTGCGCAAATTGGGTTGGGGTCACTTCTCGACTGTGTGGTTGTCAAAGGACACTACCACTGGCAAGCACGTTGCGCTGAAGGTTGTGCGCTCCGCTGCTCATTATACTGAGACCGCGATCGACGAAATCAAGCTCCTCAATCGTATCGTCCAAGCGAAACCCTCCCACCCTGGCCGCAAGCATGTTGTGAGTCTGCTGGACTCTTTCGAACATAAAGGACCCAATGGTGTTCATGTATGTATGGTTTTCGAGGTGTTGGGTGAGAACTTGCTGGGTCTGATTAAGCGCTGGAACCACCGAGGTATTCCCATGCCTCTTGTGAAGCAGATCACCAAGCAAGTGCTGCTCGGATTGGATTATCTCCACCGGGAGTGCGGCATCATCCATACCGATCTGAAGCCAGAGAACGTGTTGATTGAGATTGGCGATGTAGAGAAGATCGTCGAGGCGCATGTGGCGCAGGAAGAGGCCAAGAAAGAGAATAAGGAAGATAACCGCAACGGGCGCCGACGGAGGCGCACTTTGATCACAGGCAGTCAACCCTTGCCTAGCCCGTTGAACACTAGCTTCAGCAGCTTCGACTTCAAGCACAGCTCTTCCAACTCACACAGTAGCCTCAGCCAGATGGTGAATGAGCCGAGTGAGTTGCGCCTGTTTCCTAAGTGATTTCTTGTTTACTGACTTTAACAGCACCGGAGCACCCATCTATGAAGGAGGCGCTCGGCGTTAAGGAGGACGATGATAAGCAGAAGCAGCGAGAGAAGACAGCGTATGTCCCCCGATTATCCAAAATTGAATCCAGCTAACTCATGTAGTGATCTCCTGGAGAGAGAGGTGTCCGGTATCTCCCTGGATAAGAGCTCGTCAACCAAATCACTTGAGGAGGAGATCGATGCCAGTATTATCTCGGTCAAGATTGCCGATCTGGGCAACGCGTGTTGGGTGGGCCACCACTTCACCAACGACATTCAGACACGGCAATACCGGTCTCCGGAGGTGATCTTAGGCGCAAAGTGGGGCGCGAGTACTGATGTGTGGAGTATGGCATGCATGGTATGTGTTTTCATACGTAATTCCTTGAACATAGCTGACTCCTCAAGACCTTCGAACTTATCACTGGTGACTACCTTTTCGACCCACAATCTGGAACCAAGTACGGTAAAGACGACGACCACATCGCTCAGATTATCGAATTACTTGGTCCATTCCCAAAGTCCATGTGCTTAAACGGCAAATGGTCCCAAGATATCTTCAACCGCAAGGGTGAGCTGCGCAATATCCACCGACTCCGCCACTGGGCCCTCCCCGAAGTGCTTCGCGAGAAGTACCACTATACAGTAGAGGAGAGCATGCGTACCAGTGAATTCCTATTACCGATGCTGGATCTTGTACCCGAGAAGCGCGCCAATGCCGGTGGCATGGCCTCACATGAGTGGTTGCAGGATACGCTCGGTATGAATGGGATCGATCTGGGCATTGCACCAGGCACTCGGGGCGAAGGAATTGAAGGCTGGGCAGTAGAAATCAAACGGCGATAAAGAAATATCCCCCTCCCGCAGGGGTTGGGCTGTTGGGTTTTTGTCTAAGCGTTCTTTCTTGTCTTACTTTGTTTCTCATCTTGTGAAGGATCCGGCACCCTAGACGGGACGGTCCATGTCAGATGCTATGCTGGTTCTCCGACAGCGATTGATGTGTGGGTTGACGATCTTTTTTTTCTCTTCAATTATGGGATTGATACTGGTTGGTTATCTGTTGTTCTTCTCTCTTTTCCCTTGATTTCCGGTAGTTGGACATGGGGAGGATGGATTGTTTTGTTTTCTTTTTGCCGCCATGCCCGTACACCTCTACTCCATCTCCTGATTCCCTTTGATCCAACTCATCCAACCCCATAGATTTTCGTTTCCTGATTTTCTTCCAATGTCCCCACTCAAACGGGAAGTGAATTGGTCTGGTCTTTGTGCGAGCAGATCACGGTGATAGGACCGGATTGTTGATATTCGATCTTAAAATCACGCGTCACCCCTTGCAGCAGAGATCCGCAGGTTCTTGAATGGATGGAATCGGCCTGAATTGAGCTCGCCTAGCGATAATCGATTACTGCTTGTACTGCTCTATTTTACTTGACATCTTTAGATCAAATGATTCATGACGATATCCTTGCTGCAGGTCTGGGGCTGAATGATCTTCAATACCTAGTTTGTAAGAAGCAGTTTTTGGAATGCAGGTAAGTAGTACCCAGCCCTCCACAGGTGAGCGCTGTTATTCTGTTTGCACAGGCAACCTAGAGTAAGAGAATCGAAAGATAAAGTTAGCTAAAATAATGTTATCCAATAAATCATTTCCATGTTGACTTAACAATACCTTGAAAGTCATAAAATTGCTCGCTTGCCCCGCAGGAATCGTAAGGATAGTCATCAGTCTGAAAAGAAGAACGGTATGATTGAACTCTCGGCAATCTTCTCATAACGTTCAGAAGCAGCCCCATCTGAATTCTTATCACCGCCCGCTGGAGTGCTGCCAGTCCATGTCGGCTATCACAATTGCTTTCTTAATTAGGATTGGGTCACACCGTGTTGATGTCTTGAACAGAGCTGGAGAAAGACAATACCGGATGCTTCCATTTTCAGAAAGTTGTCCGGTAAAACTCGTCATGTCCTCTTCATTGAAAGGGGTGCCATGCACTGGCATCATGAAGGTGTAGAGGTCAGCTTGGGAATCTAACCTGAACTTCAGCTTCACAAACTGCCCTAGTAGCTCTGATAAGCCTTCATTTTGCCTGTGAGGCTCTCTGGACGAGTGCTGTATCTGCCAACCCAATTGCAGAGCAAGTTGTTTGCATTCAGCATCCAGATACCCATCAGCAATTGAGAACGTCGCTGTGCTCATTGCGGAGCGCCAGTGTTGAGAGACATGTGCTGGACCTAGACCTGTATCAGTAAGGATAGGGATTGGCACTGGTAATGAGATAATACTAACATTCTGTCCGTACTCTCTCGTCAAGCATTGAAACCGTCTTGCTGAAATCAGAATCAATGATACCGACCATTGTGCGAGTCAGGAATTTATCAAAGACGTGGTATGATATGACAGCAAAGGCGTTGTAGAATGCATCCAGACAGCCATTTTCGTAAGCAGATGGAATATCGGGATTGGCATGTGAGGCTTTGTTTGCGGGAAAAAGGTGAGGAAAATGCCGCTTAACCCATATCTCTAGGTCATAGTAAAGTTGCGCGGTGATTTGCCTGGCCTCATCATCATCTAAGCGCTCAGTCCATCTTTGAAGTGCGGCTTGTTGGATGGCAAGTGAGTTGTTCTCTTCGAGAGAGGCATCCAACACTGCGTTGCGTTCTCCGAGAATTTGGGTTTGGCGACGGAATCTCTCCTCGGCGCGAAGTTGACCCATTCTCGATACTTTCACTTCCTCTTTGCATGAACCGAGTGTTTTACTCAAATTCATGACTTTGCGTTTTTGTGAGTCCAACTGCCTTTGAAGATGTTTACGTTGTTTGTTGGATTCCTCCAACATCCTCCGGAGATCCTTGCATTGCTTTTGTGACTTTCGGTATTCCTGCACGTGTCTTTGATCGTTTGAAATCTGCGGTTCTTCATCTATTTGATTTAGTAAAGTGGGGGCTTTGTTCAAAATTCGGTATTCGTACCAGGGCAGTATTCCCTTTGCACGGTTTTTTGGGAGGAGTCATCATCGTAATCCGGATAACTGCCTGGGAGTTTTTGACGCGTCCAAACAGACCAAGTCATCGGGGCGGTAGTGGTACTGAATTTGCGACGGTAAGCAGGTCTGATGAGAGCGGAGAAGAGAACAGTGGGAAGTGTAGGAAGCGTAGGAAGAAGGGATAAGAGACAGATTATATATGGAGAGACTACGAGGCAGTTGAAGAGAGTATTACGCATAAGTGATTATGGTCGCCTTTGATGAAACACGAGAGCACTACACCTCAGCTAAATACTTAATCTCCTTACTTTGGCAGCGGAAGACTTTCTTCATCTCATACCTCATGACTCGTGAACTATTTCAGAATTCGCTTTCACTAAAGCATCCCTCTCAATCCCTGCTCTGCACATGAGCTGCCTTGAACTGGAGACTCATTGATCATTTCGAACTGACTTCAAAGGCTTTCTCTACTCTTTGCCGATTTGAAGCTCAGTTTTACAATCACTCTGCCATCTTCAGTCCCCCACATCACGATATCCAAGAATCAAACACAATGTCGGCCTCGAAGAGAAGAAAGCAAACGAAGCTGGTCATCGGGTTGGACTTTGGGACAACCTTTAGCGGGTATGTTTCTACAACTCGGTAAAATGCGATACACAAAGCTGACGATCACAGTATTGCCTGGGCGTTGGAAGGATGCAAGGGTGATTTTGTTGAAGTGATCCAAGAATGGCCTGGCAAAGGGAACAGTCAGTTACCTATGAGCCTTTTGCTGTATTGAATCTAACAGTTGATGTAGGTACATCGCAGAAAGCCCCTACTCTCATATCCTATCACAGCAATGAGATTCAATGGGGATACCAGGTCGACGACATCAACACCGCCGTCAGAGGTGTCAAACTTTTGCTTGATACAAGCCAACCAACTCGCTATATTCCTGCAGCTGAAAGTGAGCGACTGATCCGGGCACTTAAGAAGGAGCCTGTCGCTGTTGCCGGTGATTATATGAAGATGATTGTCTCCCACGCCAAACAAATCCTTCATCGCCAAGGTATGGGGGATCTTCTGGAAAGACCGGACGTTAAGTACATCTTGACAATTCCTGGGGTATGGTCGCACAAGGCCGAAGACCTGACAATGCAAGCTGCGTGTCTTGCGGGTATCCCAAGAAACAATTTGACTGTGCTCTCCGAGCCCGAAGCCGCGGCGATCTATGCAATCCGAACAATTCAACCAAACAAAATGACCGTAGGTGTTCAAAGATCTTAGCAAGGCGTGACTAATGCATAATAGGAGGGGGATTGTTTCATTGTCTGCGACGCAGGTGGCGGAACAGTCGTGAGTTCTTCTTTCCATTCAAGAAGAACTTGGCCACTAACTCAGCTGAATTAGGATCTCATCACCTACAGAATCACGCAGTTAGAGCCTATGAGAATGGAGGAAGTCACTGAAGGAACAGGTAGGATTACCCAATATGCTGATAATATGATACTTACGATCTCAGGGGAGGTCTGTGGCTCTGTGATCCTGGATGGGCTATTTGAGGATTATCTCGTCAGGACATTGGGTAAAAAGGTCTACAAAGGAATGAGTAATGCCACAAAGCGCATCGCGATGCAGCGATGGCAAAATGACATTAAACCCCACTACTCAGGGCCTGATGATGAGAATGAAGATCTCGACCTGGGTTATGTGATCCCAATTCCTGCAATGCCAAATGGAGTACTATACATGGAACAGTAATTCCGACTTCAAGATTAATTGAACGACCATATGCTAACCCAACTAAAGCGGGCATGTCAAAGGAATTTTCGATCATGTGGTGTCACAGATTGAGGGTCTAATCTCGGCACAAGAGAAGAGCATGAAAAGGGCCGGATTTTCTGCCAAGGTGACCTATCCTGGAGCAGGCGTTATCATGAATATGCTAATATTTTCCAGGCAATTGTTCTCGTCGGTGGTCTTGGCGCTTCAGAGTACGTTTACAAGAGGCTCAAACGCCGCTTTGAGGGAACAGAAGTTATGCAGCCACTTAATGCGTGAGTATGCCACCAATCAGGATTGCACCAACACTGACGTGAATTGTATTGAAAATAGCTGGTCAGCCGTTGTTCGGTAAGCTAGGAGCTCTTTCAGAAGCTAGAGCCTGTGGGAAAATAGGAGTGCTGACCAATCAGTGGTGCAGTTCACCGTGGACTCGAGGGAAACCAAGTGGATAACAGGAAGGCTCGGAGCCACTATGGTGTTCAAAACCATGTGAAGTTCGATCCTGCCATCCATAAAGGGAAGAGCCCAAAGTGGGACAGTCTTCAAGAGGACTGGCGTGTGCACAAACAAATGAGATGGTACATCATGAAGGTATGTGATGAAAATTCTCTGCTCAGTGTGCCCCGATTTCCATAACACTTCATTTGGCAGGGAGGAACAATATCAGAGGACAGCCCAATTAGCTTCTCATTCTACCGATGTGTCCGGAAGGGCCATTCGATGGTCTTCACCTCTCACCTGCAGTCTTGCCTCAAGGAGGCTGCCCCTGAGGAGTGCAGCTCTGGTAAGCTCCTGGACGTGAGAGGAAAGCAGATGGCGGCCCGAACTAATCATATTCTCATTGAAGATACCCCCACACTCTGTGAATTGACAACAGATCTCAGCCAGGTACCGAAAGAGCTTTTCCGTAGCCACGTGAACTCTCAAGGAGTGGAGTATTACAAAGTTGACTTCGACTTGGTTCTGACGCCGAGATCTGCATCTCTGCTTTTCGAGTTACGGTTCAATGGAATGAACTACGGCACCGTGCAAGCAAGATATGTTTAGGTACTGTTACGGATTCGTTGAAGCACTTGAGATAACACTCGTTTTTTCTTGATTTGCATGGACTTTGATGGATATGAAAGATATTTGAATTGTTCCAAGGTTGAGAATACCCCACAAGTTGACCAAGGACCCAGGGGTTCATTTAGTGAAATTCTGCGCGAAATGGATTTATGAACTGAATGAATCAATCAAGCCAGCAATATTTTCCAGATAATTGATAGTTGAGCAACAAAATGATTGAATCTCATATTTTATAACACATCGCCTTTCAAGGTTGAAGTGAAGCAATGCTTGAACAATTTCGGCCAGAAGGGTCAAGTATTTCAAAAAGCAATCTATAAATATAGAGGGACGGTTCGACAAAGAGAACAGTACAATTATATGATGTACTGCTTCCTTAATAGTGCTAAAGTCTCTATCAAGATTGAATCGAATAAATGTTAATAATCTGAATACTCCTTTTCATAGATTTGACAGTATCAACTTGCGATTGGTGGCATGATGGGCGCGTAAAAATCAAAGATGAAAGATGAAGTGTTATCGCATTTTCGTATTCACTGCTTTACTAGTTTTTTGATGCAGTCATTATCAGGGCTAAAGAGATTATAGTATGAGGAATCTCTCAAAGGTCTATGCCCCGTGCTAAGCCTTAATAAGAAGTTGGCCTGAGCGGAGGCAGCGCATCAATCGCTCTGATGGACCTTCATTCGAAGGCCAGATGAGGCTTAGAGCAGGGATCGACGTTTCTTGGAGCCTTGAACAGGTTATTTACCGCACAAGGCAGAAACATGCAGTACAGCCTTGGCATATTGTGATAAATCTCCTTTGTTGAGGCTCTTTGGAAGCACTAGGGCGCCTGACGTGCCATCTGGAGGGGCGGGGCGCCTCCTAGTGGGAAAGTGGTTGGCTATCTTCTTGCGCCCGGGCTGACACGTCAATGCTAGACCGCGACGATCTTAGGTACAGGGATACACCCTATGAGCTCTGACCAGTTATCCTCTTCTAAGAATAGCGCATTCATGGGTGGTCATTCAAATAGTGCCTTGGACCATTGCGAGGGGACGTTGATTAATATCATTCATATACCATGGCAGGTTTTTACGTATATATGCCTTCCCCAGCGGAATCTGGAGGCTTAACAGCTAAGGAGCTCGTATACGCTCATATGCCATGTCACTTCGGATTGCCAGATCGCGGAAATGGTAAGTTCTTTTGCAAAAGACGCTTGTAAGGAGATAGAAGAGTCTTCTCTGACATCAATTCTTATCGCTTCTGAAACAGAACTGGGAACCCTTCCTGATAGCTGTACCATATGCTGGGATGCTCTAGGAACTACTGAGTCATTTTATCGCCGACTCCCATGCGGCCATATTTTCCATCTACCTTGTATTGATCATTGGCTTCGGTTCCAGGACGCCAGCTGCCCACTTTGTCGCCGTACCTTCTATTATCTGAGGCGGCCCCGGGTGGTTTACCTATCCGAGGCATCTCATGGTAGTGCCAACCAGGAGTCTTCAATCATGTCTTACTTGAGGAATGCAAGGACAGGATTGTTCCGAAGGCTTGCTGTAAAATAGCAATTCGGAAGTCGAGTTATTAGGATTTCATCCATATTGTATAAGAATAATTTTCGTTGAACTTTATCACTTGACTAAATTCTTCCTTGTCCTTACCCAGCTTTCTTTTAAGAGAATACCACCTTCATCTAAGAAGAAAAAAGGAAGTTATAATGATAATGAAAGTTCAAACTTGAGGAGCCGAGCCAGGCGGCTTGGTTCAGGATGCCTTTTCGACCCCAACTAGAATCCCTGGAGAATCCGCAGCTGTGGCCCCAATAATAAAGTCTCGAGTCAAATCAATATCGCGCGCTCGAGACACCTGCGAAATATCGAACTTGAACTGTCGGAAAAGAACTGCGAGTATTATGAAAAGCTCTGCTCGAGCTAGATTCAATCCCAAACAGACGCGGACGCCTCTATTGAAAGGCACCAAGTACCGCTCTAACTGTCGCACTTCAAGACCTCCATTCAACCATCGTTCCGGTCGGAATTCGTAAGGCTCTGGATAAATGCTTTCATTTCCATGAATCAGCATTGAGGTCATGCTAACAGTCCATCCTGGTGGGATAACATAGTCCTGATATCTCAGTGCCTTGTCTGGGAACTTTCGACATAGTCGATGTGTCACAGGGTTGCAAAGTCGAAGACTCTCCTGAACCACCGCGGAGAGATAAGGAAGCTTTTCAAGCACTACAAGGGATGGGAAGCTTTCTGGAGATGGATCGGGGATTGCCGCTTTCAGCTCTTCGTATAGTCGCTGGTTCACGTCCGGATTTGCGGAGACATGATAAGCCGCTCCTCGTAGGACATAAGCTCTAGTAAAACATGAATAAGACAATATTGTCAAAATATGACTTTTTGGCATGATACTAACGTCGTGTCCGACCCGGCTGTCACTGTGCCAAGAGCTTCATCTCGTAGGCGATCCCTCTCTAGCTCCTTTGGTGGCAACCCGCTATCTAGCAGATCGTGAAATATGGTTCGATGAATATACGTCTTATATGACTCATTCTGTCCACTTCGAATAGCCTCAACTTGACGTGATAGTTCCTGCTTTTGGTTAAAAATGCGGCTTAGATAGACCTCAGAGGCGATACCTGTCGAAGATCCAAGATACTGGCCATGGCTGGTGCTAACCATCTGGTCACATTGTCCTGATAATAATCAGCAAAAGACGATTTGAATATTGGGGAGATACAATATGCTTACCGGAAGCGAATAGATTGCGCGCATGACCCATGGAATATGGCTGTTAAGCAGGCTGACCTCCACGAAAGCATCTAGATCATCATGCTCTTTTCGACAAAAGTCGGGGCTTAAGACAGCACTTGGCTCTTGTGAGAAACAATAAGCTGTCATGATATCGAGCGTGATCGCCGAGAAAAGGTATTTCAGATTCACAGATTCTTTGGACTTGCAGGCCTCACCTAGCCTGTCACAGACGATGTTTATCGGCCCCCACATAACTGGTATCAGCTTGGTGACAGACGCCTTAGAGAAGAAAGGATTTAGTGCAGCGCGACGGATGCGGTGAGTCTCGTGATACTGAGTCCCGACAAGCTGTCCATTATTTCAGTTAGAGACCAAACCAAAATGCAAATGCAAGAGTTCTTCAAGGGAAGGTCGAACTGAGAGGTGAAAGTACTCTGTGACCTGACTTACTGCTGGATAAGGGCCAAACTGTTCAGCGACTCTTGCTGGCTTTTCCACTCGACCGTTGCTATTATTGTATACAGCGCCCACGAAATCTGGATCATCGATATGAACCTCCTCTGGGCTGATCCGAACGATCGGTCCTGTCCAAATCAAGTATTAAAACAGCACCCATGTGATACAATCCACCTACTAACCATATACTTGATGCAGCTGTTTAAGATGAAATGTAAATTGCCCTTTCAAGTACAAATCATAGTACCATTCGTAGAGATATGTTGTTCGTGCCAACAGTGGCCCCGGAATTTGCGAGAGGGGATGGAAGAAGCAACGGTAGAAAACGAGAGTGACAAAATATAGCAAACAAGAAACGGTCGCATACAATGCAGAAGTAATCCACTGGCTCAGCATTATGGTTGAATAGATTCGTATGGTTTCTAGAGCTTCATGACGTTGGAGAGAATGGTTAAAAGTCTTAGAAACCTACGGTGGTGCCTTGGCTTTTTTAGCATTCTCTCTGCTGAGACACCGGGGTACAGTCTGGCATTGACCACAAAAACTGGCGATCCTTGCAGGGGTACATGGTGTAGTTATGTTGGAGGGGCAGTGTAGCAAGGCTGCGACATCATTTGCCAATGGTGAGGCTATGATTTGTTAACAAGAAAGAGATCTGCATCCTACAAACCCTCGGACCTCGCTTGTATCGAGCATTCAGTCAAGGTCAAAACGAATGTTCTCGTATATTGACCCAATAGAAGAGATATATCGAAAAATGAATGACCCCGCACACTCGCCACTTGAATCGTAGCACATGTTTGTTACGCGATCAACGATGCGGCTGAACGTTTGGCCCCATTAGTACCTGTGCATTAAGATAAACCCCTCCTTTGACCGCGTTCGTTGTGGAGCATAGCATTGGGCGATCTTTGCCATTTAAACGTGGAAGAGCCGAGTTGGTTGTTCAAGTCCCCATCTTAAGTCGCGAAGGGCCTCGCTATGACCCAGTTCGCAGCCCGGCGCTACTATTGAATCTTCATTTTTCGCAGTTTCTCTAGACATATTTTGATCTTTCTTGACTGAACTCCTGACCTGAAAACTTTTATTTCGCTCCGCTCCGTTGCAAATACTTTACTATGATAAAGCAACTTAATCCAGCCGCATATGCACATCCAGCAAACACAATCAGTCCCCAATACTGGCCATCACAGCGATGTAAAATCTCTCCTGCAATTGGGACGCCTGTCAAAGCCCTATGATAATGTTAGCAACCCAGTCTTCAAAAAAAGGACACAAGGCTCAGATACACTTACCCAAAACTGACAATTGTATAAACGGTAGTATAATACCTTCCATAGTTCTGCACGGGACATAGTTCACCCACACAGACCGGAACCAGACTGATGTTACTCCCACTAGCGAACCCAAATACGACTGAAAATATAATGACAGCAACAATATTTCCATCAGCAGGCATCCAGATAGCTAGCACAGAGATCAGACACAGAATATTGGTCAAGATCAATGTGTTGAATCGGCCAATGCGATCGGCTAGGATACCAGGTAGCCAACGACCAGGGAACGAGCCTGCATTCAAAAATACGACCATCAGGTATGAGAGGCGGGGCGAGATGCCCATGGCAAGAGAGTACGAGGCGACATATTCGAGTGGAATGAAGAACCCCCATTCGATAAAGAATACACCCAATGTGGTCAGAGCGAGAACGGGGTCCTTGAGAATAGAAAAATCCGGGAGGAAGACTTTCAATGATGGAGGTGCTGTTGCCTTGGGAGGAAGATTGGCTCGAACCAGAAGACAGCCAGGGATCAAGAGGATTGAAGTAATCAAGGCGATAATCCGAGTAGACCAAGCAAAGCCAATCCGAGGACCAAGATTCTCTAGCACAAGTGGAAAGATAACACCACCAATACTTCCACCAGATAAAGCAAGACCCGTTGCAGCTCCGCGTCGTCGACAGAAAAAATGTCCAATGCTAGCAACAGGCACGATGAAAATGAACGATGTACCCATCCCACCGAGAATGCCGATCACAACGAGAAAATGCCAGTATTCATGACAAAAGCCCATAAGGATGAGAGCTAGGACCACCAACGCCGAGCCAAACCACATAAGTAGTCTAGGTCCCTTGATATCAAAGATGGGTCCAATCTGGATCCCACAGAAAAAGACAAGGAAGTTGTATAATCCGAAGATCCATCCGATCTGTCCTTCGCCGAGATGTGACAATTGATGCGTGGAGATCCAGGCTTGGTAGATGCCTATACTATTCATCAATCCTAGTCCGCCCAATATAGCACTGAAGCTACCTGCCACAACAAGGTTGGCTCGGAGGCCACCTTCTGGATAAATATCTGCGTCAACCTTTGGTTCGTGGTGCATTTTCAATTCGATTGTTGATTCCAAGTTTTTGTGGTATGAAGGAAAGAGCAATTAAAGCTCAATTGGCATTTCAACTCGACTATATATGTTTAGAAGACATGAAAATTTCCACCTTCCAATGCCATTTGCTTTTAACTCAACATCTTGTTTCCGATTGCAGCGGCCTCAACATCGGCCATGGTTCCCGATAATGAGATGGCCGGTGGCCGAGACAGAGCCTAATAACGAGGCCGTATGTGGAGGTTTCTGGGAGGACCAGTATACATCGCCGAATTCGCCGCTTGGATGCCGAAGGCCCCTCGGCCAAGTCATGTGCATCCGACCCGGTGGCCGAAGTATGTGAATCTCGGCCTTAGAACCTTGGCATTCAGGCATCAATGCTTGGTTGACGTGGCATAAGGCACTAAATGTATCTCCTTCGCCGCATTCCATGAATAAATCATTACCCCCTGTTCCCCGCGGAGGCCGAGGAGGTTTAAGATATGATAAGAACATATCTGGTAGTTTCGGGGTCCTATCGCCCTGAAGCCCACTTCCTGAATCCGGGAGAGAATGGCAGAACAAGGGCGGTAGAGTAATACGAGCAGAAACAAAAGCGGTGAATCTGATGTTTATAGGTCAACAAAGGCAGCTGTATGTGAGGCAAGATCGAACATTATGGGACATAGTGAATCTCCGAACATGGTAAGAATTGAAATGAAAACCCATGATGATGGTACAAGAAATGGTAAAGAGAAAGTAGAATACACCGTGCCAGTCCGTCCCATCCAATCTCCTATCCAGTATGCTAACAACAATGCAAATCCAAAGGCGCCCTAAGGTCAAAATATAAGAACACGAAATTATGCGAATCGACGCTTTGAAGGACTCGGGGTACAGAGGTGGATTTCACGATCGCGACTCCGTTCGGTCACAAAATCCATTGGTTTTGTGTTTTCCAGCATCAACGGGGCATCTTGGTTTTGTGTGTAGCCGTGATTCTGTCTCGGATCAGGTTGTCCATAGTAACCGAAGGTCGAAGCATGCTGGAGGTGGAGAGGCTGTTGATGCATGTATGGGTCATGTGCAGGGGGTTGTTGGGGATAGTTATGTTGGTTATGCGAAAAGTTGGGCTGGTGACTTTGTCGGCTTCTGAAAGAGCGGAATGACCAGTTACTAACTACAGTCACTGTAGAGATGGTCGCGAGGAAAATCATCTAGAACCAATTAGTAGGCGAGCCAAAAAAGACGGCACTGGAGAAACATACCACGACCTTCCAGCTGATGGGATCGATAAAGTTGTTGATAATAATAGCCATTGTATGAGCAGACACCTTAGCTCGTCCAATTTTCGCTGGGTCGCGATTCATGCAACGCTCCCAATTTTCACAGACGCTCTCCAGGGCCGGCAAGCGATTTCCTCCGCCGCACCGGTTATCCACATAGTCCTTGGCACATTTCGCCATGTCGGCCAAGACGGAATCGGAAGCCTCAGTAGCCGCATGCTCGAACTCGGTGCGGATAGCCGAGACAAAGGTGAAGACAACATACACAGCCAGCGAGAACATCAGCAGGTTGACGACCAGCTGAGCCCACCAGGACAAGATGCTGGGAATATTGGGATGAGCCTCTAGCAAGGCAAAGAACTCGGAGAAAGAGGACATGCGCGAAGCGGGAGCAACTTCTGAGGACTCGTTCCCTTGTTTAGCTGGTTTGCCTATTCTTTGATCGGTCGGTCCGTCGCTCTCATCGTCGCTGTCCACTTTGACCTGCCGACTCAACTCCTGGTTCCGTCGTCGTTTCTTTTGAACCTTGTGCAGGGCTCCACTTGAATAGGGTTTCTGTTTCATGCGGGGAATCTCGCCCCGGCCAGGACTGCCCCCGAATCGCCCGTACATATTGAGGAGTGAATTTCGTCTTTCCGTTCTGACTGGTGGCTCTGGTGTATCTTCATTGTCTGCATTTTCGGGCGAAGAGAAGTTCTCGGCGCCGGAGGAGAAATCAAGGTCCACTTTGCGCGGTGTCATGAAGGCTGGCTGACCGAATACGGACTTGGAGGTAGGAGGAGGATCATTCCGCGAGAAGAGAAAGGGCTGTGAGTTGGGAGGGCGAAGGGCAGGTGGTTTCTTGTCTGGGGAGTCAAATGCGCTGTGTGTGCCTGTAGAGATGGGATGGTCAGCGTGATGCATTGCAGGAGTTAGCTTGAAGTGCCCACGTTTCTTGTTCTCTAGTTGGGAAAAGGGAGACGTCAAGTCCATTGGAGGACGTGTCTGCCACTCAAAGTCCATCGGACCTTCCGCAGTGCGCACCATTTTGTTAGAATGATGATGGTAGGGTGGGGTGGAGGTGAATAAGTTGTTGTGGTAAAAATGCCGCCGGGGCAACCCGCAGATAAAGCTAGAAAAACACAAGTCTCTACTGCTGTGTATTCAGCACTCGTCTTGGGCGAAATTGCCACCAAAATATATTTACTCCGTCGAAAGAATTCAGGAATCCCTATCGCTTGATACAATATGTGATTCTTTGTTGAGTTATTGCTGCACTAACGCATGGGGAAAGATCGCATCGTGGCACACGCGACCAGCCAGCAGCGCGCGCTTGTAAAATATGAAAAATATTGCCACGTTCATATTCAACCTTGAAGTATATGAGAGCATTTTCAAATTTGTCACGTTTTGATGGAAAGACAGGACTATGTTCTATCTACACTACAGCTACCCTCGGCGACATCTTCGTTCCTTCCCTGGTAGACAATAGCATATTACCACATTTGGCAAACGCTAGGTGCATGTTAGTGAATACCTACTAAGAAGGGACCGTTACAACTACGTTATTTTGACTTGAAATACTGGGGAGATTTGCAACTGTCCCCTGTAATAATTTCATAAAAGTAGGGAATCTCATTCAAATGCAACGGAACAGGCGCCAGCACCCATTCCAAAATTTATTGTATCGTAATTAATATTAATTTGATCTGAAGTGCCACATTGGCGCCTACTCGTCCATCTGCCACTGGTATTCCAGTGTCTCATTGCGACTCTTCTTATTCCGTGACGCAAACCAGTCCTTTTCAAACCCATTGCCCCGGTCAACACCATCCCACCGGTGTCCAGGTCGAATGCCATACCGATTCGGTTGAAATGAGCCCCGGTACAACGGCTTCCCCGTTGTACTAGCTCCGGGTCCTTTCTTCTGCGTCAAGAACTGAGCAGCAGGATCATTCCACCGTGCCTGTTCCCGTAGCTCATCATTCATCGCTTCATCCTCAATAGTGCGCGCAATAGGCATGGACTTGATATCTTGTAGTTCCTGTCGTCGATCCTCCCGCTGCTTGCGTTGGACATCACCCATAAGTGCCTCGCGCGCTTCCTCTTCCTTGATGCGTTTTTCTTCTTCGGCGCGGCGGGCTTCTGCCCGTTTCATCGCCACGTTGATGATACGTCCGGACGCGTCACGGTAAATTGTTTCTTGTTCCTTTTCGTTTACTGCTGCTGGGTCCTTGAACAGTGCTGCTTCGGCCTTGCGCCGGCGTTCTTGGACTTTCACCATCGCTGCTGTTTGTGCTGCTGTTTGGAGACCTGCTAGAGCGCCAGACTCCATGCGTGGTCCTTCCTCCTCTGTGCCCTCGATCATTGGTGCGTCATCATCATCTGCTCGTTGTGCTGCGCGCTCAGCTGCGGCCGAGGCCAGGATTGCATCGGCGGCTGCTTGGTCGCTTTTATCGTTCGGCGCCGGTCCACCAACAGTCTTCCAGCTGGATTTCTTGGCACGACGGAATTCGCTACTCTGGGCCGATGTATCGACAAACGGGCTGTCTTCGTCATCCTCGTTCAAGTTTGTGTTGGTGCTTCGGAGGTCTGGTGGGTCATCGTCTGCGATGAGAAGGCCGGAGCCTGTAGTGTCGGTAGTCTTGGTCTTCTTGCGTTTTTTCTTGGGGCGCTCAGGAGCTGGATCTGCGTTGAGGTAGTTTTTGGCGAGATAGTCAGCCAGCGAGCCCGGCATTGTGACGAGTGGTGTGAGTTGAAGATTGTAGAAGTATCCAGCGCACGTCCTAAGCTTTGGTCGCGGCAGTTTTACCGCTTATCGATAGCTGGAACAATATTGACCCGATCTTTGTATTGTACTCCGGATGCCTCGACCTCCACGAATATTGATCAGGAAGCAATTGTTTTTTGAGACTGAAAGTTAGATTAAATCACTTTAATATGCCCCGGTCGGAAGAAGCAGAATGGTGGGCGAACGCCGTTTACTCGGCTATCCAGGAAATTCCCCATGGCAAAGTCACCTCCTACGGCCATATCGCCCTTCTTCTGGGTGAACGTACGATTTACCCATCACGCATTCTGCAGGAGTTACTAACATGATTCGCTACATAGCCCAAAGGCCACGCCAAGTTGGCGTTTGTCTTAAGTCTTTGCCTGCTGCGGATTCTGGCATGCATTTCAATTCCAGCACTGTCCCTTGGCAGCGAGTCATCAATGCCAAAGGAATGATTTCACATCGGTATGCATGATAGACTTCTTCTCCATGTTGCTCGCATTCCTGTCTCATCCATAATCCTTCTGATTCTGGGTCTGTGTTTGTCCTACCTTTTGCTAATGATCCCATAGCGGCCCCGGAAGCGCAGAGCGGCAAGCAGAGGCCCTGCGTCAGGAAGGCGTCGAAGTGACCTCTGACAGCATGAACGAGATGTACATTGATTTCTCGAAATATGGTTGGTTTCCAAAGCAGCTACCGAGTGAGGAGAATGATGACGATGAAGAGTGATCGTCGATATGGATATGGCAGTGAATCATTAAGCGATTGTCTCGACCTTATGTCGAATTTGAGATACCCCTACTTCAAAGCCATCAATGTTCAAAAATCCACCCATCCAGCCGCCACATAGATCTCCCATGGTCTTTGTGCATAGTAGTGTACTTCTGGTGCTTTAACGTAGGATATTTGTATCCATATCGTATATCTTGCAGGCCCTTCAAAAAATTGGGCATCATATAACTGTCCATATCCAATAGAGATACAAATGCAGGAAATGTGTCTTCAGTGCAGTCAGACCCCCTCCGGCTTCGTGCCATGTATGTATTTCTCACACCGAGTTTGCACTCGCTGTGCCTCGAGGCGGGAACGGATATCTGAGACAAAGATTGGTTAGTGTATGGCTTTCTCTGTAGAGATTGATTTTGGGAGAAGTTGCGAATGGTACCGTTTGCACTAATGCACACAGTTGATGAATGGTTCTGTCCTATCAAGCACGAATCAATCAGCGGAACATTCATGAACTGTATGGCAGCCATGTTATACATATCCTATGCATTAGATCAAGGCCGAGGAACGTGCAGCGCATTGAAGCATGCTGGATGGACTGATCTTATGGATTGGGTCTGATTGAAGGATAGAGTATTGATTGTTAGCTTCAACACAGTGCACTGACTCAGCCATTGATACTCACGAGCGTGGGATACTTTTCCTGATTGCGATATCCTCACAAGCGAGCTCCAGGTTTCCTTCACTTTTCTCGCGCGACTATAAATACCCTCATCTTTTCCTCCTTTCTCTTTCTTCCTTCCCTTCTCCAAGCTTTGGACCTTCTCGACCTTCTCGACCTTCTCGACCTCGCTTTGTATATTCGAATCATGTATCCCTGTATCTTGTACCCCAGCTAAGTTCTCCTCCTTCCCCCTTCCCCTTTTCGAGGTTCGCCCTCTTTGTCCTTTGAGGCAATGGCCCTTCCACTTGTGGTCAACGGGTCTGTGTTCCATTTTGCGGGTTATCTTGTCCTTTGTGGCATGAAATGATGAAATCTTGCTGTCAATGGAAATCCGTTGAATTCTTTTTCCTTTGGAATGAATAAAGCAGAGTCTGATCTACAAACACAATCCCCTTCGCACTTCCTATAACTCGAGATCCTTGCTGGCTCCATGGCACGATCCCCAGTTCGATATGATGGCCTTTTGGGTCACTCAAGTTCCCCTCCACACTGGCTTTACAGTACGTAGAATGAGCCACCTTCCCTTTCTTTCCCCCTTTGAGTCAGCACTATGTACCTCTTCAATTTCACCTAAGGCAAGAAGGGACAGGGCATGTGATGATAACTTCGGTACTGAGTCTACGATTCATGATAACTATCATCGTCTTCTGAAAGCCCTCGCTCATCTTCCTCTCTCTTTCTCGTGGTGGTTCACTGGTCAGTGTGAAATATTGACAAAACCAAGATAACCCTAATACGAGCCCCACAATGCATAACTACGAACCGAGGACATTATACAAAAAATTCGATGTAAGATGTTGATTTAAGATTGATCCCGTACAAAACACACGCCCAAGCCAATCACAAGTCACTCAGCATATCGGTGGCGTGCAACCATAACACGAACACCCGCCAGGAACAAGATCCACTCCGAAGGGTTCAGATCTTGTATCCACTTCGCCATGCCCTTCAACCTCCAAAGTTCAAAACAAAGCAGCGAAGAAAACCAATGCAATTTGAATAAAAAGCTATGTGTCATCTTCTCGGCACTCTTGTCAACAAACAAAATTAACTTCCGTTGTCCACTAGCATGGTCATGTCAACCCAGTGCCCCGCGATCTACACGATGTTCCGCCGACCGGGTCATATCACGACATCGGGAACAAATGAACGCGGTCCGGAATCCTCCCTTCACAAGCCAAGCTGTACCCCACAATGGCGTGCAGGTAAGGAGAAAAAACGTCACTTTCCATCAGACCATTCACCGGAAGCGGCGTGGCGTTTTTCTTTTTCAACCTTCAGGTCACGACGAGATTACAACGATTGCTCATGGCTGATAAAGGGGATCTCAATGCTACAACCTATGGGGCAACTGCCACGGATGGCGAGGATACCAAGAATGCGAAACTCGGTGGGGAGTCGGAGCACGATGTGGAGGCTGTTACGGATCCCTTTGCGGCGCCGTTGAAACGGCAGCTCAAGTCGCGGCATTTGCAGATGATTGCCATTGGAGGTGAACTTCATTAGTAACAACTAGTTCGTCAGAGCTAACGACATTGCTAGGAATCATTGGTCCTGGCTTGCTTGTAAGCTCCGGCAATGCGTTGCATGAGGGAGGGCCTGCCGGCTCGCTGATCAGCTTTTCCTTGGTTGGGATTATCGTGTTCTTCGTTATGTCAGTAATGCACAATTCTTGATCATAAATGCTCTCTGACAGTTACAGGCAATCCCTTGGTGAGATGGCGACTATTATCCCCGTGACTGGCTCGTTCATTGAGTATGCTGAGCGGTTTATCGATGATGCCTTGTCGTTTGCATTAGGCTGGGCCTATTGGTATTTATGGGTTACTGTGAGCAATGGCTTCCTTACTTCAAACTAGCACGTTGCTCAAGTCAAACTCTAGGTCCTCGCAAATGAATACAACTCGATATCTCTTGTTATCGAGTATTGGACTACTGCAGTTCCGCAATGGGGCTGGATTCTCATATTTTGGTTCCTCTTCTTGACACTGTCAAACCTAGGAATTTTGGCATACGGAGAAATGGAGTTCTGGCTTTCCATGTGCGTCTGATCCTGACATTGAAAGACCCGCGCTAACAGCTTCCAGAATCAAGGTCGTGGCTCTCATCGTATTTTTCATCCTGGCTATCTGCATAAGTTCTGGTGCAATCGGACCACAAGCCATTGGATTCAAATATTGGCATCATCCAGGTGCATTTGCAGATGGCATTAACGGTGTGGCCAAAACATTTGTTGTAGCAGGGACTTTGTATGCTGGAACGGAGATGTATGCATTCAAGACCCCTAGCATTTACCATGGCTGACAGCATGTAGGGTCGGTATAACAGCGGGCGAATCGTCGAATCCTCGCAAAGCAGTACCAAGAGCCATCAAGCAGGTCTTTTGGCGCATTTTAATTTTCTACGTTGGTATGTGTCATCCAGGCATATGTCTATTCTGCAAACTAATATGTTTCAGGCACAATATTCTTCATCGGCATCCTTATTCCGTGGAATGACAAGCAGCTTCTTGGCGCAGACTCCAAAACCGCAAGCTCACCTTTAACCATTGCTCTAACAGATGCGGGAATCCTCCCAGCTGCACATCTCATTAACGCTCTGATTGTGATTAGTGTCATCTCGGCTGGTAACAGTTCTCTATATGTAGCCTCGAGAACACTTCTCTTCATGTCTCGCAATGGCAAGGCTCCAAAGTTTATTGGGCGGACAAATCGTGCAGGTGTACCTTGGGTCGGTCTGATCATGACCAATATCTTCGCCTGCATTGTCTTTCTGGAGCAATCGTCCAGTGCTGGGACAGTCTATTCAGCGCTCATCACCTTATCCGGCGGTATGCATGCTATTCCCAAGCCACAGAGCTCATACTCATCTAAATACAGTTGCTACATTCATCGTGTGGTCTGTCATCGGAGTGTGCCACATCCGCTTCCGACGCGCACTCGTCGCACAAGGGGAAGATCCATCCAAACTCCCCTATCAAGCCGTTCTCTACCCATACGGTACATACATCGCTCTCGCGGCGAACATTTTCCTCGTTTTCTTCCAGGGATACACGTGTTTCCTGAATCCTTTTAGCGCGTCGGACTTCGTGATCAACTACATTCTCCTGCCTGTTTTTGTTTTGTTCTTCGTTGTATATAAGGTTTCGAACAAAACGAAATGGATTCGATTGAAGGATATGGATATATGGACCGGTCGAAGAGAATTTGCGAATGATGAAGAGGAAGTTGACAAGGATCATGGATGGTGGGGGAAGCTTTATGCAGTTGTTATCGGGTGAAGAATTGCCGAGACATGATGAAGCATCAATTTACCCGATCAAAGATGATTCAACTTAAAGATTTTCGGTTCTAATTCGAAAGATTCTCAAAATTGGATCGATTTGCACATGCAGGGACTGAAGCTGCGGCACGGATTCCGTCGGATATCCGAGCTGAAGAAAGAGAAAAGACGCCGTTTCATCTACAGGGTAAAGCCATCGCAACAAGAATATGCATAATCTCCACTGTAATCATTTGAACGAGCAACACATTTGCACAACGCCCGCTCACACTTCTTCAACCCCACATCGCCCCGTCTCATCGTGCCTCCAAACACCAGCCCCAATTGGCTGGATAATGCCCTGCAGCATCACCTACCGGCCGAGGGCCCACTCAGCGCCAAGCCCTGTCGATCAGCCTGCGGATAAGGCGAGCACCAGTCGATCTCTCACGGTCTCCGGAATCGCCAATCAAAATGGCCATGTACCTCGCTTACGCCTGGTTAAGGGTGTGCCCTGCAGATCGGCTTACATTCCATTTGGGGTATAACTTCACTCATTGTCGGATGCTTCAGAACCTACGTTGGCGTAGGCCAATAGGATTGCATATTGATGATGGACAGATGTAACATTGTGTTGATTGAGAGGGGTTTGCATGATTAGGACTATCTTGACAACGATTTGGAGCGGGTGAGTTTTGTTATTTAAACTCGCCATGATCCTGGCTTTATCTCTTTGTTTCTTGGTTCAAGCAGCACTCCGGACATATTCAAATCCTTCAATCAATCTCTCCACCGTCGTCGAAATGCAGTACGCCAAGGTATGCCATGACTACCAATGAGCTTGCAAACATCCAATGCTGAACAACATTAGATTCTCGCCCTTGCGGTCTTCATGACCGGCGTCGCAGCCATTCCTCTCGAGAAATTCACTCGCGCCTGTGCCTACACCTGTGGTACAGTCTGCTACACCAGCAGCGCCGTCAGCGCCGCCCAGGCTGCAGGTTACAAGCTTGAGGCAGCTGGCAAGGCTGATGACTCGTACCCCCACGTTTACCACGATTACGAAGGCTTCGACTTCCCCGTCGACGGAACATACTATGAGTTCCCTATCTTGAAATCTGGGTCGGTTTATACCGGTGGATCTCCGGGTGCGGACCGTGTTATCTTCAATGGAGATGATGAGCTCGCTGGTGTCATTACGCACACTGGGGCTTCTGGAGATGATTTTGTTGCCTGTACTTAAGAACCTTGATTCGTGTGAATTGGATCATCGATATACATGATTGAATATCATTGTTGCTTCGGACTCCCATAAATTCGTAGCGAATGAAGATTGTGTGCAAGATTGGCTGTTGCGTATTAAAGTCATAACTCAAGGGATTCTCTTATTCTTGCAAAGTTCGAGATCCAGTCCGCCTGACAGTGATCATCCAAGGAGACTGAAACCCGAGTTGTGTCTTTCATATGGATTATCCACTCATCTTTGCCAACGGCATTCCACAATGCAGAACTACTTGGCAATGGAAAGTGAAGTTCAGCTGCACTCAACAAATCCATCTCTGCATCATTATCATCGATACCTTCGCCTGCTATCCTGTCGCTGCTTAGCTTCCCACATACCTTATACAAGGCGAGGTTGAATCGTTTCATTTCCTCAATCCCCACCCATGTAAATGAAGCAAGGCTAGTCTCTTGATACCTGGAAAGGATGTTCGGGTAATAGAACATGCCAAGCCTTCGGCAGCTCCTAACAAGTGTTTGCAGTAATTCGAGGTCTGCATGGGGAAGCGAGACTTTCAGATCGAGATTCAGAGCACCTTGGCTTTTGAGAATCAAAGAGAAGATAACATGCAGCAAAATAGCTTGATATGTCGGTATCGGCCAGAGACAGGCACTGCAAGCTTCATCTGTCTCCGAAGCATCCCATTTCTCCTATCAATCCCACGTTAGTATAACAAGTATATTGTAGGCCATGTTGATAAAACGAACCCTTTGGTCTCGGATAGCCAAGTCTATTTTATCATGAAGCTCCACTGCTGCAGATTGTGCAGATTCTTCTCCGCTGGCCCACATGCCTATAACAACCATTGATTGAAGGAGCAATGGAGTTTCATGGCGCCAATTGAAGGACCCTTTATGGACAAATGACCAATGGGGGTGGAATATTTCAAAATAAAAGCGGATGTATTCTGCCCCCTTCGCCAAATTATTGCATTGGGGTTGTTCCTGGGTCAGATCTGATAGACGGTCTGTTGATGTTTCGGGGCGTCGCTTTTGTATCACGCCAGAATGGTCGTCAAAGGAACATTCAAGCTTGCGACGTAGGCACTCATCACATGGCACCGCCCCTTGGCACCGAGACTTTGATGCATGGCAGTTCTCGCACGCTCTAGCTGCACGGTTTAGGGGCTCAATTACCTGGTGATCCCGTCGAACATGTCGTCTAAGTGTATCACTGGTTTCAGGATCCTACAGTTAGCTTGGACTTACAGAAAGGGACAACAAAGAACTTGGATACCTTCTTCCAAAGGTTCGATCGCATTTGGAGCATGGAAAGGTCTGTTGCTGGGAGTGTTTTGCTTCATGGCGGTTTAAGTGCTCCTTGCGCCGGTAGGAGGCATTGCAACTAGGAAACTGACATTTGAAAGCGCCCCGGCGAGTCTGTGGGAGATCACTTCCATTGGCTAGGTTTTCCATAGAAGCTTTGATAAGTCAGATGTGATAAAAAAGTTTTCAATAAAGATATCAGTGATGGTTTCAGCAAATTAGGCTGGGGAGTTGATATTCGCGCGCGTCATGTTATCTGAGTTTCCCCACCGGCATCCCACCAACCATCTTCCGGCCGCCCACCGACCTCCCACACCCCAATATCTCGCACATGTTTGCGCGGGTTACCGTCACCATTTGAATAGAATTCAGACCAAAAATGCGGAAATGTAGAACACGATATGAACTTACGTACCTTGTCTAGCAAATATCTTTTCTGAATCTTTGGAAGCCCCTCATTTCTCAATTGAGTCATTCCATGCTTCCTCTTGGTGGGATGCCGGAGGCCAGGGAAACGAGCATCATGATATTATATCATCCAAAGATTACCAACATTACTTCTTTGATAACGTGCTCTGATTTCTAATTACTACCAGGTACACCGCAGCATCTTTCAGCCGGGCACGGGTATAAGTTCAGACCACTCCCCTTGATCTTTAGCAGAAACACACAACATCTTACCATTCACTTGTCTCTTCACACAATCATGGCCCCAACTATCCTCATTGTCGGTGCTACCGGTAACACTGGCCAAAGCGTTGTCGAAACACTGCCAAAGTTACTCCAAGCCAGCAACAATCTATGTCAGCACCGCATCATCGCTCTTACTCGTTCCTCTAAGAGCCCAGCGGCACAAGAACTTGCCAAACTGCCTGGTGTCGAAATATTTGAGCAGAACTGGACCGAAATTACTCCTGACTGGCTTCGTGAACACGAAGTTGTGAGAGTGTTCATTGCATCTCACAACGAACCCACCCAATTCGCCGATGAAACCACATTTCACATTGCCGCCCTCAACGCCGGTGTCAAGTACGTCGTGCGAATCTCGACTACCGCCGCGAATGTACGACCCGATTGCAAGGCTTACTACGCACGTACTCACTGGGCAATTGAGACTCTCCTCAGCTCACCGGAATTCGCCGCTATGCAGTGGACTTCCCTCCAGCCCAACGTCTTCACAAACTTCTACCTTTCCAACGCCGCGGAACTGATCAAAAAGTACCGCCAAACTGGAAAGCAGGATAAACTCAGGCTGATGGCGTCTGAGGACTCGCCCTGTGGTATCATCGATCCCAAAGACGTTGGTATTTTCGCAGCCCATCTTTTGTCCCTGGACGATCCCACTGCGCATAATAAGGCCAAATACGTCCTGAACGGTCCCGAGGACATAACTGGAAAGCAGCTCGTCACCATGGTCGAGCAGTACATTGGCACACAGGTTGAGGAGGTTAGCTACAAGGATATGTCATTCCTCGAGATGCTTTATGAATTCAAATACGCCCAAACTTCCCAGTCAAAGAATGTCATCATGTCGATCAAACATGCCGCAGAGACCGCATGGGAAGGCAAATGCTCGGCATCCACTACCAGCCCTGAGGTACTGAAGCTCGCTGCACCAAAGGGTACATGCGCGGATGCGTTGAAAGCCTTACTACAGATGGAATGAAACTGCTTGCTGATCTGCCTGTTTTTCATCATGGCAAATGCACCTGAGATTAGTTAACTCGAGTCCACGGCTATTGGTTTGAGGCAAACTGGTCGGACATCACAGCAGCTAGATTTGGAGAAGAGATACGTAGCAATGGAATATATACCTCACAGAAAATCAAATTGAAGATCTATTTTGGAATTAAGTGCACATCTCATGTGACCTCCGGGACTATCATGGATGGATGCCTCTCAAGATTGATCGTAGTTTTTGTCGTGGTCTACTCCACATCTTGAAACCCCGATCAGAAGGGATTTTGTTTGTCTGTGAGCCAGTATGTGACGGTCATAATTTCTCATATTTCAACTGATCAATTTAGTTCAGTCAGAGGCGGCAAGATTAGATAACAGCCGACCCTGTGCTTTCGGGAACTTTCCTCATCATCAACACTAGAACCTTGGAACCACCAAATCTTCAAGACTAAAAGACAACAAATGGTATACTCAGCCCTATGACTCTTTTTACCAATTTAAAAGCTAAGTCAGCTCTCTAAAAGTCCGACGAACATCCCATTCATGTACATGCCGTGATAGGCTCCGTCTTGGCAGCCACGGCCGCAATCAAGTACGCGCGTTCAGGCCACACACAACAATTTGCCTCAGATTACTCGACGTACTCGACAAACACTGCTCTAGTGCTCTCAATATTTGCTTTGATTGCAGCCGTGGTAAACTATATCCGGACAAGCTCGGTTTCTTCCATTCCATCTGGCCTCGCTTTCTCTGTTCTCTACCTTCTCGGCTTTTTGCGTCTTCAAGCGGGGCAGACCTATGGCTATGAGATCAGCCTGTTAGCTTCTATCCTGTTGGGTACTTTGTTTCTGCCACGAACCAGACAGGTGGTGGGAAAACCGCTTCCCAGGGAGTTCTGCCTCCTTGGCGTTTATGGAATCGTCATTTTCGCGAATGCCATTCATTTCTGGCTGAGTCTGGGTCTAGCGCTATCTTTCGCCCTACTAGCGCTTAGTCATGATTTTAGTCAGATGTATAGTGCTTCAAGGGAAACTATTGGCACTCAGCACACTCAATGACTTTGGGAAGAATCACTGAATCGCGTGAGCATTAGGTGGAAGTCCAATATATTTGTACATACGCAGAAAACATCCAGAAACCGACAGTTAGAGAATATCAGTGGGGCCATGTCTCGGATTTACATCCGAGATCCGGGGGCCAATCTCATCCGTGAACACGCGATCAACATTGCTGGTACTTCCTGCTCGGCCTCGTGATTTTGAATATCTTTTTTCGATATCGCTATTTTGCACAGTATCTTGAACTTCGCATCTTTTACCTACATACGCGGGTTTGCAGGAATTTCGTGTCAGCATGGGTGAAACTTTCAAAATGAGTAACGAGCCTTGCCCTGTCCTGCTACCCAATTCGGAGCAGTTCTACTTGGACAGCGAGCAGGGAGAAAAGTACCTGATTCAGATATCTTGGCCGTTACATTGGCAGGAAAACGAGACAGACAGGGAATCACTTCCAATCATGTAAGGTTTTTCCCAGAATTTTAGAGATTGTCTGCTAATTTGCTGAGCTAGATACATCGTCGACGGGAATGCCTTGTTTCTGACCGCAACTGAGGCAGCCTGGCGCCGTGTCACTTCATCTCATTTTGCTGGGGGCGGCATCGTTGTTGGTATCGGATATCCCTTACAGGGGAAACTATACGATATTCAACGACGCAACCTCGATCTGACTCCGCCAACAGAATCTCCAGTTCCCGGATATGGAGGTGCGGATGCATTCCTAGACTTTATTGAAAATTCTGTTCGGCCAGCAGTAAAGGCACGATTCCCGCAGGTGACCATCTCAAGGGAGGCGCTCTATGGTCACTCATATGGAGGGTTATTCGCCCTTCACGCATTATTCACACGGCCCCATTCCTTCGACTTCTACATGGCAAGCAGTCCCTCGATTTGGTGGAACAGTCTGTGTATTCTGGAAGAAGCGAGAGCCTTTCTAGACAAGAATGAGGTCTCGTCTGGAGATACCCCATCGCTGATGGTGTCCTGGGGCTCATATGAACAGAACCCTCCTCAATGGGACAATGAGCCACTTGATAAGTATGAAGGGAGAAAGCAGACCGCAACGGACTTGAAAATGGGTGACAATGCACTCGATCTCTGCAAGATGCTTCGTGGCTGTGATCAGCTACACGCCGTTATACAGAATGAGTATGAAGGGGAAGAGCACATGAGTGTGATGTCGTGCTCAATCAGTCGAAGCTTGACCATGTTCTTCGAGGATTGGCCCTTTCACCAAACCTAGACCAGGTCTACCGTTGGTTTTACAGCAATCATAGCTCAATCATTGTACCTTATAGCCGCGAGAGAAAATCTCCCAGAATCAAGGATCATATCCCGATTACGGACAGTCGAGCCCCAGAATGGATGTGATCGCCCGAATGTGAAATTTTCCTCGAACTCTCGCACCGCTTCGTTCCGACCTCTACCGAATGTGGCTTCAATTGCCAAGCTTCCAAGACTCGGAGATAAGCAGCCCATTCCTGCACTAACCCAATCTAATCTGATCGAGCTAGTTTCTCGTTCCGTATTGTATCGATAATCGTACTCGGATTGGTCCAACTTGTGACTGCTGTCAGTTATTTGTAATGCGAAAATATGATCTCACTTGTCTTTTCAATTGACTGCCTGGTCTTCATATCTCTGGTTTCGGCTGTTTTGAACGTTATGCCTCCGCCCCCTTCCGAGTCATTGCCGATCTAGACAAAATAGATCTTGATATTATTAACATGTTCGATGTCGGTACATTGGCATTAGTCGCCATGCGTACAGATGCAGATTGCATTTCTTCATGCTATTAGGATTTCCTGTTCTAGCAAGATCATGATTTTGTCCGCTCTTACTACCCAAGAATTCCAAATGTACTTAGTGAATGAGCTGCTTGGCTTGACATTAGGCAGCGAAGTCTAATTTATCATCGTTAATCAAGAGTGGCTTGGCAATGGTAAAATTTAGAGAACTGAACACCTAAGGAACCAGGGGGTAATTAGACGAATGTTATTCCCGACTTCGTCTATCTTGCTGAATTCAAGTACACAGATTTCTCAACGTAACATCGGTAGGTGTCACATACCATTTGGTAACGAGGCAACGCCTGATTGATCCATCCACGTTGAGTCCATACTAGCGTCAGCCGCTAAGCGTAATTATACCCACACAATGGACCCTGAAACGTATCGTCCCGTATTAAAGGATTTGGCACTCTCTCTGGTCTTGAGTTTGGTCGCTAAGGGGCTCACATTGGCTCGTTATTTCTTGCCTTTCCGATCCTCCTGTTGACTGTTGAAGAATCCTGTTTTGCCGCGGAGCCCAGGGACTGTATTTACGTAAATTGTTTTCTGAGCCAGGATGAGTATTAATATCCAGGGCTCGCATCTTATCAATCTTTCAATCTGATGCAGTGCAGTTTTACCCCTTTGGTCGGTTCAGAATGGCCATCATGAAGAGATTCCACTCCATTGTTGGAGTCAAGTCTGCTAGTGATGGAACATCGGTTGATGATCCAGGCGCTCTCCAAATGCGAGCTGATGACAAGGAAGCTGCTCATACGCCTTTCAACAAAGTGAGCAGCAATGAAGAGACTAAGCCGAGCGAAGATGCCCAGCCTGGTGTAAAGAAAATTGAGGCAGTGACGCTGGCCTGGTCGAAGAAAACTGCCTTTGCCGTCTTGGTTCTGTATGTTTCTGAAAGGCCCAGTCCCAGAGCGGTAGCTAACATGGCTGCTATGCAGAATCTGGTTTCTTACACTGGTCAACGATATGAAGGCCTCTATATTCCTCAGCTTGAGTCCTTATGCTACGAGTTCCTTTCTTGGTCAATCGCTTTTGACCGTGATCAGTATCGTGGCGTCTGTCATGGGAGGAGCAGTATACATCCCCATGGCCAAAGCGCTGGATCTTTGGGGCCGTGCAGAGGGGTTTCTTCTAATGACCTTCTTCTGTGTCATAGGCTTGGTTCTTTTAGCTTCAGCCCATAATCTTCCCACTTACTGTGCAGGGCAGGTACGTAGACTATCGCCCTCATGTGTGTCAAAGCTCATTTAGCCTTCTTAGGTATTCTACACGGTCGGCTTCGGTGGCCTCGGATACACCTGGGATGTCTTAGCCACTGATGTGACAAATCTACGGAATCGGGGTCTGGCGTTTGCCTTTACCTCTTCCCCTGCTTTGATCTCCGCGTTCGGTGGCTCGAAGGCTGCAGCCAGTTTCGTGGCTAATAACAACTGGCGATGGGGATACGGGATGTTTGCAATCATTCTGCCGGGTATCGCTCTGCCCATCTATGGTATTCTGGCCTACTATTTACGCCAGGCTGAGAAGAAAGGCATCATCGTCAGGGAGAAGAAGAGTTGGAAAATCACTCCCAAGACGATCTGGTGGGGCATTTTGGAATTTGATCGTGAGTCCAGCACAGTTATTTTGCCTCGGATTGATCTGGTACTTACCAATCACTAGTCCCGGGAGTCCTTCTATTCGCCAGTGGGTTCGTCATCTTCCTGCTCCCGTTCACTCTGGCTGCTACTGCGCCCCACGGCTATCAGACAGGCTACATCATTGCCATGATCGTTCTCGGTCTGGTCCTCATCATCTCCTTTGGCTTCTACGAGACATTCATCGCGCCTGTGCCCTTCTTGAACTATAATCACCTCACCGACCGAACTGTTTTGGGTGCCTGTCTGCTTGACATGACTTACCAGGTTTCATACTACTGTTATGCTCTGAATCTCACCTCCTTCCTGCAAGTCGTATACGAAGTAGATGTTTCCACGGCCGGATACATCAGCAACACTTTCAGCGTCGTGTCTTTCGTCTTCCTATTCATTGCGGGTGGACTTATTCGCTGGACGGGCCGCTTCAACTGGCTCCTGTGGATCTGTGTTCCTCTCTATATCCTCGGAACCGGTTTAATGATCCACTTCCGTACATCAGGTGGATACATTGGGTATATTGTCATGTGTGAGGTGTTTTTCTCTGTTGCTGGCAGTATCTTCATTCTGTGCTGTCAACTGGCTGTTCTTGCATCGGTCGATCATCAGCATGTTTCAACAGTTCTGGCTTTGCTATTCGTCATGGGCAGTATTGGTGGTTCTATCGGCAGCGCTATCAGTGGAGCCATCTGGACGAACACTTTCTTGCACAAGCTTCAGCAGACTTTGCCGGAATCTGCGTTGCCAGATATTGCTACGATCTATGGGTCCCTTACGGCTCAGCTCAGCTACCCTGTGGGAAGCCCTACGCGAGACGCTATTGTCGAAGCTTACGGATATGGCCAGGAAAGAATGTTGATTGCCGCCACGGCATTTATGGTTCTGAGCTTCGTTTGGGTTGGAATGATGAGGAACTTGAACGTCAAGAATATGACCCAAACCAAGGGTAACACTCTGTGAGGTGGTAATCTCACAGTGCTCTCGTCGGCTACCCAGCTATAGCTGAGCAGTTTATATCCTTGCTTGGTATAATCCCGCTTGGTGTATGAAGATCGATTTTGTTGGAAGGGAGCAAGTCCGTTCATTTTGCTAAAATTATTCTATACAACACGATCTCTTCCAAATTGTTGCAGACAATCCTGTTCTATTTTCCTATTTGGAGTTCTAGTGAGTAGCCCTGAGCCTAATATATGCACTGTACTAAGGCTTCCCATATTAAAGCTAGAGCTAAATTTTAAAGAATGCACCTGTCTACAACACGTCAATAGAGAGCTTGCTAATATTACATAAGCGTGGGGTAAGCTCCGATGTGCCGGCATCTATCTCTCGTCTCTCTCGATATAATTCTCCCTGCAGCTATCAACCTTGCCCATTACTACTCTTGACTCACAACTGAGCTGAACAAAAATAGCGATAATTCCACGCCCGATTCCGATCTCTAAAAGACAACGCCATTGCGCTCATAGCTCAAGCCGCAACTGCCCCGCGGTCGTAACAAGCCTAAACCCCTCACGTCGCAAATATGTCCGTCTACACAACAGATCATTCCACCTCCGTCCTGAGCACACACCGCTGGCGCACGGCGCAAAACTCCGCGCCCCATCTTCTTCCACATATTAAACCGGATATGAAAATTCTGGATGTAGGCTGCGGCCCGGGAAGCATTAGTATCGACCTCGCAAAACTGGTACCCACCGGCCATGTAACTGGAGTGGAATACGTTTCTGATCCACTAGAGGGAGCGCGGAAACTTGCTCGTGAAGCGGGCGTCTCCAATATATCGTTCCAAACGGGTGATATCCATGCCCTGCCCTTTGAAGATTCAAGTTTTGATATTGTACATGCGCATCAGGTTTTACAGCACATTGAGGATCCGGTCCTGGCACTACGAGAAATGAAGAGGGTTGCTAAAGTGGGTGGTATTGTCGCTTGTCGGGAATCCGCCTCTATGACGTGGTATCCGCCGAATGAGGGGATAGAGCTTTGGAAAAATGTTACGGAGAAGATGGGCCGGGAGAAGGGTGGAAATCCGCATCCTGGATCTATGATTCATGTTTGGGCTCAGAAGGGTGGTTTTAACCTGGCGGACGTGCAGAGAAGTGCCGGGACGTGGCTGTTTAGTACGCCGGAAGAACGGAAGTATTGGGGTGGGTCAATGGAGGAGCGAGCGCGGAGTTCGGGTTTCAGTAGAAAAGCTGTTGAAGAGGGATATGCGACTGCCCAGGAGCTGGAGATGATCGCGAATGGGTGGAGAGAGTTTGTAGAAGATGCTGATGGATGGTTCGGATTGATGCATGGAGAGATATTGTGTTGGAAAAAGTCATGAAATCCTTTACCTTGATCGCATGGGATAACAGCGGGTTCAATGAAAATTGGTGTTCGCGTTTGCGATGATTTCATGGATCTAGATGGGATAAACAAAAGAGAAAAGGAGGCTAGAATATTCCCTGTAATAATGCGCTAAAATCCGTGCCGAATCCCGAATCGAAAACCACGGAATGAACCTCGAAATTGCTTGGAATGGCTATGATAGTGCCGATCACTCCACAAATTGACATTACCAGCCGCCGTCGTCTTCATATTGGTCCTCGCGACCATCTTCATAGGCACGACGTTCATCGTCCTCCTCGTTGTTCTCATCTAGACGAGCCAATTAGTGCACGTTCCAATTCTTATCAATTGTACTCAAACATACCAACTTCGTGCTCAATGAAAGCACCTGCCAATCCACCGACAGCCACACCAGCCAAACCAGCTGCAATGTACTTTCCAGTGTTGCTCTTTTGCTCAGGCTGTTGCTGCTGTTGTTGTTGGTAATCATAGCCACCGGGACCGCGCTGGTCATAAGCTCCAGGAGGAGGGCCCTGAGGAGGATAGTAACCAGGCTCAGGTGGGGGACCACCACGAGCGCCATATTCGTAGCCAGGACCGCCAGGGCCGAAAGGAGGCTCCCATTGGGGACGACCGGTGGCATCCTCAACCCAGAATGCGCGACGGGCGTTGGGCTCCCATTCCTGGTGCCAGCCTGGTGGGAGGGGTGGTGGGGGGCCTGGAGGGGGCGAGCGCCTGGGGGAGGACCGCTATATCCGCGGTCGTAGGGAGGTCTATCGTAGGGAGATTGCTCGTATGGTGGACGATCGTATGGTGGACGATCGTAAGGAGGTCTGTCTGATGGGGGGCGAGCGTAAGGGTCACCGCCGTAGTAGGCCATGATGGTGATTATGGGGGAGATGAGGAGGGAAGAAAGAAAAGAGAAAGAGAAGAAAGTGAGAAGGGGAGGAGGGTTTATTATACAAGGGACTGATTACATTACTTCATTTATTATTGTCACTAGTCAACTACACTTAGTTGTCCTAAAGATCCGCTCAGAACCGAAACCTCCACCAAAAACTTCAACCGATTTCGGTGGAACTACCTTACTGTCTCCACAATTGCGGAGTTGGAGTTTGACAACCCCTATCACCGTCGCCTATCACTGTTCCCTGACGGGCCCCAGTACTATTCTCGTGGCGCCTACACATGGCCCGTTCCGCGTCGGACTAGGCAGATGCGATTTCCCGCCAAGTGCATGTACTGCACTCCCCCTGAAACAAGACTGGTCAAGAAAGTGTCGCGATTGGGCACATTATCAGCGCGATGGTCATCAGCACCAAGATTGCCTATTTCATAGCAACAGGAAACAAATAGGCCAGTCAGCAGGCGAAACCCGTGTCACCGTCAGACCGGCGGTTGCATCGCGCGCAACATGAAAGAATGATAGGACAACGTGAACAGATAAGAATAAGACCTAACTTTAGGAACTGAGCACGGAGTTCAATAAAAGAAAAAGAACATCATTCCCCTGCTGATCCGCTGAGCTCCACAAGCTTTGACTCGACATGTCCCGCCGTACCCCTATTCTTACTCAAACATGCGCCGCTGTACTCTGGAATCGGACTTGCGGTGAAATATCAGTCCCTGAACTCAATTTGTCCGGAGGAACTGGATGCACAAAAAATCACTCAACCCCTCATCTAGGTGGGGCTCGCAGTCCCTGCGTGAAAAGACGAATTGTTTTGTTGCAGCCGCTACTTTTTGCCGAGCCACGATGTGGCTCGGGCAGCATTACACAGCCACTTGTCGTGACACACGTGGCGCAGGGGCTCCACAAGAGATGGAGCTAGGTTACATGCAATGTATATGTGAACTAGGACCATGTACGAAAGAGATTGAAGTGGAGTGGTGTTGGGATTAAGGGGTCAAAGATATTTCGCCCTGTTCCCGAATAGAAAAAATTCATATAGGCATGTAAATCGAAGAATATCCAATCTAGAAGTGACTACATAGAAGATGAAACAAATGAGGATGATCCTCGATCATGTGGCTCATCCCAGTGATCTGCGTAAGGCGATGGGCCAAGCCGCCTGGGCACATGGCCGAATTAATAAGCCTAGCCGGCTAGGTTACTCGCCTGCTGACTGTCCGGGTAAAAGAAGGATGCAAGGCTAAAGAAAGGTCAGAAGGGGCTCTATCGTGGAACCAGAGTGGAGAACTTACGCAATAATCACATAGGCTGCGATAAGCAGTGCACCTTCCAGGTAGTTACTCCGTCCGTCTAGGACCAGGAAGTTAACCACGAAGGCGGTGACGAACAGACAGATGGTTTCGAAGAGGGTGAAGTACAAAGACATGTCCTTGTCCATACACCATCCCAGGATGACAACAAGAGGAGTGACGAAAATGGCAATCTGGATACTACTACCAACAGATACACCAATAGCCAAATCCATCTTGTTCTTGGTCGCAACACTGACGGCAGTGACGTGCTCGGCGGCGTTACCAACAATAGGCAGAATAATCAAACCGATGAAGGCTTCGCTAACATTAGAAGTCTCCAGCATGTCGGGAATGGCATCAACCAGGAACTCGGCACAGACTGCGACAAGAGCAGTGGAGATCAGGAGCAGGACAACAGCCGCGGTACGAGACATCACAGGCTCCGCATCTTGAGGGGCATCAGCGACAGGGGCGGTGGGCGCAGCGACACGAGCAGCACCACGGGCGAACTGCACGGCATTACCAGCAGGAGGCATAGCATTCATATGCGCAGGCAGGGAGTTACTACGCTGGAGACCAGGGTGCGAAGGGTCACCAATGCGAGGCGAGTTAACAGGGGACTGCGAGCTGAACACGGTGTTGGACAATAGCGAGGGAATAGGGCCGAACGGCGAGCGCTTGCGAGAGTTCTCAATTTCCCCAGCGCCCTCCAATCCAGTGAAAGTGGGAGCAGAGGCAAATCCCTTCATGGTCGGTTGAGACTCCTTGGCCTGGGCATCGTTATTGGCGCCAGCAACCTGAGCCTCGACCTTTTCGGCACGCTTGGAGCGACGCTTCTTGCGTTCCTTCTTCCGGGCCTTGTCACTAGAGGCACTGTCGACGCGGGTCATGGGGAGACCGAAGTCACGAGAACGAGGGTGGGCATCGTCGTCGGCATCATACCGCGCCTCCTCCAAGTCGACGGCACTGGGGTTGCTGTCATTATTACTGACAAGTGAATTGCCAATAGAGCTTTGATTGCCATTATCCATGACCTTCTTGTCAACAGATTGGGCTGTGCCTTTGGAACTGGTGCTAGACTTTCTGCGTCTGCGATGCCTCATCGCCCGCTTAATGCGCTTAGCAGTGGTCCATGAGGTCATAGTATCAACCGAGTCATCGCTATCGCTAGACGAAGAGTCGGATGAGCTATTCAAAAACTCGGCAAGAACACCAGGGTGCGATTCCTCGTCAATGATTTGTTGAGGAATACTGGCGTACAAGTACGAGTGAGACTTCAGCTGGAACAAAATGTACAGCATGTAGACCAGCAGGAGAACGACACTGGTTCCACGGCTGACCTTCAGCGTCTGCTTGTCCGCGTTGGCAGTCTCAGAGAATGAAGCATGGAAAGCGGTCGGAAGCAGCAGACTGGTCACACTTAAACTGAGCAGACAGGCGCTCATCTGAGTAACCGTGCTGTTGTAGATCTGTTCCTGGAAACGGAGACCGCCCAGTAGGAACGCCATGCCCAGAATCAATAGCAGGTTCGCCAGGATGGAGCCCAGCAGGGAAGCCTGCACGATGCGAATTTCATTTTTCACCAGCGCGATGATGAAAATGATCAACTCAACAGCATTACCAAAGGTAACGTTGATGAGAGCACCAATTGTGTCGCCAAGGCGACTGGCCACGCTCTCTGTCGCGTGGCTCAGCAGTCCAGCCAAGGGGATAATGGCCACCGCGTTCATCGCGAAAACGATGTCGGGGTTTAGGCCAGCTGCTTTGGAGGCAATACCCACGGGGACGAAGATCAGCAGGACATTGACCCAGCTGTGGAATAGGGCATCCTTGGTGTGGGTGTAGAATCGGCCGCTGCCATTCCGCATGCGAAGGAGCAGGCCTGGTTGGGAGTTCTTCTCATCGGGCCCCGGCTCGGTGGTCGGGGCCACGGGGGTGTCATTCACTTGTCCATTCCGAGAAGCTTCCGGTATAGGGGTGGGATCGGAGGGTTGAGCTTGAGCTTGAGCTTGGGGTTGGAGTTGAAGTTGGGTGGGTTGGTCGCCACGAGAAGAGGCGTGAGCTTTCGCCCACGAGTTAATCCGGTCTAGATTGTGGGTCAGCGAAGCCGATGAAGATAAGATACGGCATTACTCACGCATGTATTTCAAGAACCAGTGACTGATTCAGCAAGGCAACAGAGCCAAGAGTTGATAGAAAGGAAGAAGTCTTTTAGACTATCCGATGGAATGGAAGGAATGTAGGAAAAGGTTTAGGGGGAGCGAAACCAACTTATGTGTCGAACAGCTTGGCGAGACTTGGCAAATCCTTAGACGGTTGAGATGGGAAAATTATGGAGACTTTTCTCCAGGTTTATGAATCACTTTAGCACCAGACTGTACCACGCAAGCCCGTCGATCCATGAATGTGGACAATGACAGCCGCATTCTATGGCTTCGTCAGCTTTGTTATCCCTGTACATGATGTTATCCCTATGTTCAACGAAACAATGACGCGTTCTACTGCCAATCCCCGTACCCTATTTTCCCTATAGGGATCAAAAAAGGATTGTGATCCACCATGGACAATGTCCGACATCCCCTGGTTCCCCGTTTCTGATTGGTGCAACGTATCCACACGATCGACGCATGTCCACGACTCAATAATCTCTTCACCTTGCTGACATCGCCTCGTCTTAATAGAAACCCCGAGACAGATTGTCCTTCTTAGTCCTCAGCATGTCCACCATAATTCGGTTACTGTCCGAATTGACAATCGCGATGCTCGGGGCCGCATTCCCTGCGGCCTAATACCGAGATAATCGATAACCTAGAAGCACGTAGAAAGTCCGATCGCTTCGCAACAATGCCCGAAAGTGTTCTAGCCTAACTGCTTACAGGTGTCTGATACGAGAGGCGAAGCTAGCGGCCAGCCACAGATGGGACTTTGGACTCGTCCATTCAAGTCTGGGCCTGGGCTCCACATGATGTCATTTGTGCGTTGATACACACGACACTTGCCCATGCACAGAGCATGAATTGATTGTCTATTTGCCTCCGACGCGAATTAAGGCAGTCACAGATACAGCATCCTTATCCATGGGTGAGGTCTTCCAACTGCAAACCTGATCGCTGAGCCACAGCCAAGCCCCAGTTGTGGCTGTGGTCTTGGCGTTTCTATTTCGAGATCGCTCGTTTGACTCATGTTGGGCGCCTGTGAGGCGTTAGTGAGGCGTAGTGGGTGAATATTGTAGTCGACACGAGACTAACTAAATGGATGGTCACAAGGTTCTGAATCTAGCGCTGCTTGTATCCACTGGAACGTTCTCAGCATCTAAACTTACATAGCAGGTTCTAAAGCTATGTTTCAACTGGTTTTTCAAGTTATATTCAGCAATCTAGCCAGATGATAGAATATAGTACCATATCTCATAAATTTTAGTCGCTAGATCTTGAGTATTCGCCGTGGTATCAATACTGAAACGACAGAACAGATGTGTACGATGTAGGTACCGAACATCTGCACCGGTACCTGTGGATATACATCTCCCATTGTGATGACTGCTCCTGGGGCGAGGCAAAACGCCAATTTTTTATTTGCTGAGTCGAAGTTACAAATCTCAAGACTAATTGCAAAATTGCCACTGTAGAGTTGTAAAGTCACACTACCTAGACAAACCCACAATTTAAACTAAGAGAATATCTGGATAAGACATGAAACGCTCATCGGCGTGAGTGGCGGGAAAGACCTACTCCGCAGCCATGCAACCAACACCCGCGGACGCTAATAGTGACGACCGCATATATTTTCAGTTATTTTCGTGGTCACTAACCTTGGAATGTTTGTGCTCTACAGTGAACATCAAACTGTACTCTCAGTTCAATTCAATCAATCGCCATCGTCTTAAATAGGTTCGGCCTCTTGCAGCTCACGTGATGACCGGCATCATCGATCGAACTCTGTTCTTACTTTGCCAATACGAATGCCGCTGGTCGATGCCGTCTTTGAGATTATCATCAATCCTAAAGTTTCCGAATCCCCTGTGTGGATGATGCGCTATTGAGAAGTTAAAATCACCTCTTCTCCACAGCCCTATCGGCATTTGGCTCGGCACGGCTCGCATGCCCGGCAAGCCGATTTGCATCAATTGATCGGTCACATTTCCACGCCAGATAAATCTCACTGCACGGTCGGCATTGTCATTTATTTCAAACTTTATGTCGACTGAATCGATTGAATCTCTATATAGATCATTCTATGCATGATAGCGCGTTTATATGACAACCACGTCTCCCATGGCTCAGAAGGAATCCCAGGCCGAGACGCCCGGGATCATCAGGTAAGCACGACTCAAATCGGTTACGGAATTTTACTGATGTCAAAATTGGGAAGTCATCTCAATCCAGTCTACTGGTGGCCGAAGCTAGAGCTGGACTCGCGGACTGCCCTTATGATGATGAAAGGTGCATTGGCGCCAACTATCACTATTGCCATGTATGTCAAAGTCATCAATCACGAATATATTCATTTGCTACGATGAGGAATATTATACTAACACTTAATTAAACAGATATCAAAGCAGTGCTATTTCAGACATCACTACTACTATTGGGTACTTGTCAGCCTTGATTTCCGTCCTTTCCCAGGCCTTGATGCCCCGGGCCAAATTCATGAAGATTATTTTCTATGATATATTATCTGCTTGTGTGTCTGCCTCACTCTGCTGTCTTGCCGTCTTCTGTTCTGTTAGGGCAAGAGAGCACAACACCCCTGCAGATGCTAGCGAGAGTGTGCGGACTGGCTACAACAGCGATGCATGTGCGGTGGCTGCGATTTGGTTGCTCTTCATGATTTGGTAAGAGCCCCAAAAGCAAAAGCAGAACATTCGACTCTAACCTAATATTATAATTCTAGGGGTGCGAACTCACTACGTGCACTGAAACCGATGGAATTGCAAGACCCCATGGTTGCGTTTTCCATTTTTGCTTCAGTTACCATCACCCGTGCAGGCATGTTCACAACCCTGTCCGAAGGCCTCGAATTTATTGCGCGGCTTCTAAAGGGGTTCATGATTGGGTTCGCCATCGCAACGGGCGTCTCACTACTGATCGTCCCAATAACAAGCAGAGGCAACGTTTTTCACGACATGAAAGACTACATAACATCAATAGACGAACTTCTCCAATCCCAAATATCATTCGCGGAAGACAGCTCCGTAACTGGGCTATTCAGCAGACGCGTTCAGCTTCGCAGGGCACGGACCGCGAAGAGCGCCCGGGATATGCAGAGCGAGGGTGAAGCAGATCTGCAATTCAAGCAAAAGGCGCTTCAGGGATACATGACTAAACTCAATGGCTTACACAGCAAGTTGCATGCTGATCTTTTCTACTCCAAAGATGAGATTGCGTGGGGTAAATTGTCCGCAGAAGATCTTAGCAGCATCGTCTCTTTATTCCGGAGCCTTCTTCTTCCACTGTCTGGAATGTCCATGTTGCCTGAGATCCTAGACACAATAATCAAGAATGAAGGAAATGACGACGCACGGGACGACAACGACGATCTGGACGAAGGGGCACGGAAACACTCTGAAATCCAAAAAGTGGTGGAGACGCATCATGCGCGGCTGGTGGACGCCTCACACCTGGTGAAACAGGGACTAAGCCATTTCCTATTAGTTCTGGAGCTTATCAAACCTAAGCATTTGGACCCGAAAAAGACGCACCGTGGTGGATCCCATGCCAGGGACGAAGAAGCAAGGGGTGAAAGTTTAAGCCCTCTCCAACCAGACTTTACATCTCGCTTTGAAACCGAGCTGCGCAGCTATTACTCTCGTCGGAAAGATCTCCCGGAGGCACTGGCATCTCTTGAGGCATTTTCTGCTTCGGAGAAGGTCGATGGTTCTGCTACCACGATTCCATCTGGGATACTCGGGGCGGACCCTGACGTACGGCAAGAATTCTTCTTGATTCTGTTCATGAGCCATCTGCAAGATGATCTGCTCAATGCAACGCTGCAGTTGGTCAAGTTCGCCGATAGCAAAGTTGCTGATGGGACAATGAAACGCAGCCGACTGATCTTTCCAAAACAAAGATCGATTCGCCAGTGGTTCTCGCTCAGCGCAGACCAGAAGGACGCTAAGCCTTCAGATAGTCGGCAGTCATCCCGGGTCGATCCCTCGAACATACACCGTCCTCAGGCATTTCCTGGTTTTCCAGATCCAGAGCATCTTCAGGCAGAGAATATCTGGGAGAAAGGAAGTAGCGTACTGCGCACCATTTCTCATGTCATCAAATCAGAACAGAGCGCTTTTGGCTTCCGGGTGGCTGCTGCTTCATTCTCGGTGGCTATTCTTGCATTCCTCCACCAAACCCAAGATTGGTTCATCCGGCAAAGATGTATCTGGGCTATGATTGTCATCGTCATCGGTATGAACCCGACAAGTGGACAGACTATGTTTGGATTCGTTGCTCGAATTGTAGCGACGGCAATATCACTTGCACTAAGTTTGATAGTCTGGTATATTGTTGATGGCAAAACAGCCGGGGTGATAGTATTCCTGTATCTTGCGAATGTTTTCGAGGTATGGTTGCCTACCACTGTGGGAATTGCAGCACTGACAGCCACAGTATTACTTCTATGTCAAACTACCTCAGTACTTTGGAGCCTCAGTCATCGCAATTGTCACGTTGAATGTAATTGTCGGATATGAGCTACAGGTAAGCACTTGTGTTTAATTCCGATTTCCTCAACTAACATATCAAAGGTCCGCAAACTGGGCATCACCGAAGCCACATCAAATGGCCAACCCTACTACCCCATCTACATCTTCGGCCCATACAAATTAGCAGCGGTAGCAGCAGGCTGCGCCATATCCTTCTTCTGGGTAATTTTCCCATACCCAATAACAGCGAAATCTCAACTACGCAAACTCCTCGGCAAGAGTCTCTTCGTACTCGCCAAGTTCTACAGCGCAATGCACACAACAATAGAGCTCTGGCTCAACAACGAGTTGGGTGATATAAGCGACAAAAACTCACCAGCCCACCAGCTCCTCAAATCTCGACACAGGATATTCAAAGAAGAAATGATGCTCTTAAGTGGTCTTCGCCAACACAGCCACTTTAGTACCTACGAACCGCCAATCGGAGGCAAGTTCCCGAAACAGATCTATGATAATATCATCTCAGAGATCCAGCGCATTCTCACGAGTATGTCGTTGATGGCTCATACAACCCAGAGCCTGGAGGTACTAGGTATCGAGCCCGAATCTTCAGGTGGAGATAATGGTGATAAGTGGAAAGCTCGACTCGCGGAAATTGCATTGCAATCTACGGATTTTAACTCCCACCGCATCACGTCCCTGCTTTGTCATTTATCAGCTGCTATTGCCAATGCACAGCCGTTGCCGCCGTATCTCTCTACACCAGATTCATTTCCACTTGCGCGACAATTGCATCAGATCGATGACGAGTTATTGAGTATTCGGCATGTGCGGGACCCGGCATTTTCGGCCTTCGTTTCGCTGGAGGTGCTGAGGTCTGTTGTTAGTTTCAGTTTGCAGGATTTGATTGAGTATGTTATCTTTACTTTTCCTCCCCCTTTTTGTTCTACCTTGGGACATCGCTAATGAGTCATAGCAATGTAAGGAAACTTGTTGGTGAGCTGAGCTTTGATTTCCATGTCAGGCAGACGCAGCAATATGCCGAGTCTTCTCAACTTCTTCAGAACTCAAGTCGCGAGGATGAATGAATCTTCAATACGCCAAGATCTTTATTTAAGAAATTTGGGTAATGTAAATAAGTAGATCACTGAATACAGATTGATAATTAACAACCATATCTATTTGATATTCACAAGTATGACTTTCTTCTTCGTGACATGTTTGTAAATCGACCATCTCCGCCAAATCTACTAAACCTATCTATGCATCACAGAAGCTTATACTTCGCCGCAGCGGCCATGGAAATCATCATGAAAGCCACAAAAACCCCCACAATACCAAAAAACCAACTCAACCCCTTGGTATCCTGCCCAGGAACCGGAACATTCATTCCAAACATACCAGTAACAAGATGACAAGGCACGAAAATCGTCGCCATGATAGTAACCTTGCTCATAACCGAGTTGACAGTCAAGCTAATTCGCAAATTTGTAGCACTGAGTTGTGCCAGGCAATTTCCCTGTGACCGTCCAATAATCTCATCGATATGTGCCAGCATTGACAGTGTTGTGACGAGATGATCTTGGACGTCACCGAGGTAAAGGATAAGTTCTCCTTTAGGAAAAACGGGGAGATCCTTGTCGGCAGCATGGCAGCGTTTCACGAAACCGTTTAGCACATCGACCTTGCCGTTTAGACAGCGAACGATGTGCGTGATTGTCTTCCGGAGTGCGTCGATCCGAGGGATCAGTTCTTGGACGTCGTCGATGCGGGCGATGAAGACTTGGTCTTCAATCGCATCGGATTCGGCGGCTGCGGCGCGACCGAATGGCTGGAAGCTGTCGACTATGTCATCACTGGTAGCTTGGTCAGTATCGTCCTTTGTTTGTGGCGGAGGCAAACATACATAAGGGCATAACAGATCCAGTCACTGGATAGCTCGGTATCGTGCATTTTGCGGATACGGTCGCGTACCTGAGAAATATGGGTACATCCGCTAGGCGAGAAGGTGACAACACCGTACTGGAAGACGAGAATGTACACAGACGCCGATGAAGGGATACCAGGTCTATCATTCTCATCTGGAATAGCACGCTCGACGAGTGTCTTGAATGATATCAAGTAATAATTTCTGAAGACATCGACCTTTTCCCGAGACTCTCGAAGCTTGATATCCTCCGATGTGAGTGGGTGTATAGACAATTCCTGCGAAACGAGGTCAACATCCTCCATCGTAGCATCGCAGATGTCGAACCACCACACTGGTCGTGACGGCTCTGGATGAGCTTTCAGTTTCTCCTGGATGATATCGTCCGGATTGCCGCTGGGGAAGAGACCCTCCCAAGTTGACGAGGTGATGGCCTGCTGTGTCTTCGAGGAAAAGAAGCTGAAGCGGGCTGAGAGGGCCAGCTCAGCAGAGACCTTCTCCCGTTCTTGTTGAGTCGACATGACTACAGAGGTGATTGTCGAGTACTGGGGTTGTGCTGGTACCGCGTCTTACTCAAGACCATGCGGCATTGGTGATACACGGAAGGCAGATGTGTGTGCCCGGAATGCTTGTTCATCGGTAAGGAGATCGAGTCGTTCAGCCCATTCTAATTTGATAGACTTCGAACTGGTTAGTGTGCACTGTGTACAATGTGTACGCTGTGCGTCTTTGGTAGATCAAATGGCGTCGTGAAGATACTTTTCACTCGAGACTGGTACATGAATGGGCCACAGGAACATTGATGAGTTCACAGGGGGGTATCAGGTAAAGTGGGAACCAAGACTTTCAGTGACTCAGGCCTAGCAGAGCCTTGTCACATCACAGTGGGCAAGTCCACCCCCTTCAGCCCTACCCGATGACCCATGCACCCGGAGTGAAAAAGTGGACTCAGCAGATCCCATAGCCAATAGTAGGGACGATGATGTGGATGGTGGGAATCAGGGCAGTTTGGGACAGTGCGGGACCGGAGAGACGATGCCGACAAGGTTTTCCCTTCTTACCACAGATACAAAGTTGACTGGAGACGTGATGGACAATTTGCAGAGATGATTCATGTTCAAGATAATTGGATACATATTGATTCAATAATACTGTCTATCAAATGGAAATGTCGTTAATTCACGATTTTTCAAGATTGTTGCCCCCAAGGTTTTCACGCTTTCTTACACAGTACGGCACTGGTGGGTCATCATCCAAGGCTGAACCAAGTGATTAATCTTGGCACTAGGCAACCTCTATTTTATGCGAATGACTTCGCAGTATATATTCACCGTTCCTCATCAAATTTTTGTCAAGGATTCAGAGACAAAGAGAGTAATGTATTATGACAGATTATCATGCAAGGAGCTTAAGAGAATATGGTATCAGCTCAGAGAAAGGACCGCTTTTCATACAACCCTTCAGATGTAGCCTTCAGGTGTAGACAAATACAATGTTATATCAAATAACCAAGAAAAACCAAAAAAAAAATCAAGCAAGGGTCAAAGAAACCAACTCCGAATCAGTGGCGTGACTGATCATAGAACACCATTCGTTATGCATTAGGCATGTCCATGGTGTCCATAGTGGGCTCATTATAAGGACATCGGAGCCTATGAAACGGTCAGTTACCAGCATGGAAAAAAAGGTCTATACTTCAGCATACCAGGTTGTCTCAGTTCTTCACTTCCGCCTGTCTTGGCTGGACCCCTTGCTCATCGTCACCGTTCACGGATTTCCGCAGATGTGGGTACGCGAGCAAAAAGAAGACAACTACCGCGACCAAGATCAAGAAAGTAGGCAAGAACATGAAGGTGAACAGAATGCAGCTCAACCCGAAGGTGACATTCTGACCCTGAAGGAAACGGCGGGCCATGAGATCGAGTAGCGTGGAGAACATGAGCTAATGACACTATCCACCTGCGATGACGATCAATCAACGTTGAATCGATTAGGACCTGAGAATCTTGGATCCGGGCAAGGAAGCCTTCCAGCTCAATTAGCGATGTGAGCAATTGGAGAGAAGTCTAGTCGCAGTCGATCGACCCATTCCCCATATATACACGCCGGAACGTAATGGAAGTTCCGGATCTGCACCGCCATTGTGGCTTTAGCCAAAAGTGGCTCATAAGTCCGGAAACTAGGATGCCTTGTTCCATTTGTTGGGATGCCGTCATGGATCCAATGGGGGTCTTCTCCACCCGGACACGGTGGAGTGAGATTGGCTAAAGGATCCAATAGCGACCTTGGAAAAGGCTAAAATTCAAACCTATTTCTATTATTAAGAAAACTTGAATGCACTTTTCCTGTACGAAGTCAGATGGTCCACGCAATCAATCCGGGGATACAGTCGGAACGGTTCCTTAAACGCTTTTTAAATTTATAAGCGCCATGCCAGTGCTCGGAGTTATGAAATTAAGCCCCATAAATCATAGGCTTGGCATGAATAGTGGCAGGCAGCAGTTTTTTATGTAATTTGGCATTCTGCGTAACATTTCTCGCCCTAGGAGGATATTGACCCCCCTACCGAATGGGTTGACGCTAAGACGGCTTGAGTGGCAGATAAGAGCCCCTCACTGTGGCATCGTGCATCATGCAGTCGGATTGGAAAAAGTTTCTGGTCTTTTCTACACCGAAGTGGAGCCACTCATCGGTCAACACGCAAGTTGTGGGGCTGTCGGACAAGGTGATTAGCGCCGGTCGGATTTACTGGTTACACTGCAGAAAACAGGTGTTTGAGGGGAAACAGGCCATGAAGGTGCTGCAATTGAGTATATAACGGTCGGAACTACTCTAGAAATTGATTCTATAGCTTCAATTTCATTTTCGCTGTTCTAAAATCCCCCATTACGCTGTATCCTAGCTCATGGTGTACTTGAACTTGCCATTGCCGATCGTGAGTTCAGTGGCAAACCTCGTGTAATCCCGCCCCGTAGGGCTGAAAAAGGCTTGGTTATGGATCCCCGGAATGAAGTCACACCCTGTTTACTGTAAAGACGATATTTAAATCTCGGAAATTTGCATATCTGATTATTCCCTTTCAATTTTGGATTTACCCTGGACCAAATATAGACCAAATAGAGGAGTCCCTTGCAAGAAGAACCAGATTAAGCGGCTGATTCCAATCGAATCCTCTAGTGGAACCTGCACATCAGCCTTTTACCCCCCACAGTTCTTTTTCAATTTACTTTTCCTTTTCCCTTTCCCCAACTTGCGTCCCCTCACCGTCTTTTCCATTCGGGCCCCTCTTCTATCCCTTCGCTGAACCCAGCCATGTCTTGGCTCGCGGGGTACGGCAAACTCGACGACGAGGAAAATGACAATCTAGGTGTCGACTGGGTGCTGCAGTATGAGTTCGGTGATATCGGTGCGTGCTGCATGGGGTACCCCGGAGGCATTGATGCGCATACTGACGATCTTCTAGACCAAGCGCAGGCGATAACAGAGTTTCGTACTCTAATTCGTGATCTGACCGAAGCTGGTCTTCGCGTTCAAGTTCGCCATGGCCATGGGTCCTCCCTATTGGTGTGTTTACGGGTGCCCCGAGACCAGCTTGGGAGGATGGTTCACCAGTCACGGTGAGCCTTAAGGGAATTGAATTGGTGAGAACACATGCTGATTGGTCGCAGAGTGAAAGACTTTTTGTTTGGAATCATACATACGTTGCCTGAGGGTGATCAAAATACTACCGCACACTCTGAGACACCCTCCGAAGAATTACGATCCGTATACCATGCTGTTAGTTGGAGCAAAGAGCTGGGTGGTGCTGGGATCACTCCCAACCACGGAAAATGGAAGAATGTCACGGCGTCCTTCCCGCTACATGATCAAGACGCGTGTTCGCAATTGTTACGTCAATGGAGTCGGAAAACCAATTTGACAGTCAAGGATTTGGACACGATCCGCGCGTTGTTTGGCGAAAAGGTACAATCCCGAGTGCTATTCTGAAAACAGAGGAGATGTTAACGATCTTCTTAGGTCGCATTTTACTATGCTTTCATTCATTGCTATTCGCTATTCTTGATCGTCCCTGCCGTTTTAGGCATCCTTGGATGGCTCTACCTAGGCCCTTACTCGATAGTTTATGGCAGCGCCTTGTGTATCTGGTGTGTGGTGTTTGTTGAGTACTGGAAGATTCGGGAACACGACTTGGCCGTACGGTGGAATGTGAAAGGTGTTGGTGTTTTAAAGGTAAACCGGGCCCAATACCAATGGGAGAAAGAAGTCCGGGACCCCGTCAGTGGACAAGTGATGAAGGTATTTCCTGGGTGGAAGCAGTTCTCGCGGCAGCTGCTGCTAATTCCATTCGCTTCAATGGCCGCCATTGCCCTCGGAAGTTTAATCGTGGTTACCTTTGCTTCGGAAGTTTTCATCTCAGAGGTGTACAACGGAAAACTCAAGGGATATCTTGAATTCGTGCCGACCATTCTTTTCTCGCTTTCGCTACCTGCCATCACCTCATTCCTGACCAGCCTCGCGACTCGACTTACCAAATACGAGAATTACCGAACTCAAGATCTTTACGATCTTGCTCAAACGCAGAAGAGCTTTATCATGAACTTTATCACGTCATTCCTCCCGACCATCCTCACAGCCTACATCTACGTCCCATTTGGCAAACAGATCGTTCCCCATTTGGACCTTCTCCGAAGAAGTGGTCTCAATTTCGACATGGCGTCCCATGCCGAGTTTGAGGTGGATACATCTCGATTCCAGCAGGAGGTCATCTACCTCTCCATGACCGCACAGGTCCTCGGTTTTGGTGAAGAGATCGTCATCCCTTACGTGAAGCATGTCCTCTGGCAGAAGTGGCGAGACTACCGCGACCGACAGCACGGTTTGACCCGCCAGCGCAGTTTCTCCACCGCAACTGATCTCCTCTTGATTGATCCTCCAGATGAGGGCAAGTTTCTGAAACGGGTGCGTAGTGAAGCCGGTGCAGACGAGTACAAGGTGGAGGACGATATCCTCGAGATGTGTGTGCAATTTGGCTACCTGGCGTTGTTCGGTGTAGCATGGCCACTCGTACCTTTGGGATTCCTTCTGAATAACTGGTTGGAACTACGAGGCGACTTCTTCAAACTGACCCTAGAGTGTCAGCGACCCCCACCCATCCGGTCTGACTCCATCGGTCCCTGTCTCCTGGGACTGGACGTCCTTTCATGGCTAGGCACCCTTTCTACTGCAGCAATTGTGCATATCTACCGAGGTCCTATGGCTGAGGTTAAGCTGTCGTCATTACTCCTGACCCTCTTCGGCGCGGAACAAGCCTATTTGGTCCTCCGGTTTACTGTCTCGACCGCTCTGCAAAAAATCTTCAACGATAGCTCACGTCGCGAAGAAGCCCAGCGTTACGCCTTGCGGAAGAACTTCCTAGACGCCAGCCACTCCCAAAGCGGAGTCCCTGGATCTCCTGGCTCTCGGGTGCGCCAGCGTGTGCGTTTCCATGAACGAGTCAACGTTTACGGGTCAGAACCTACACCCTCCCCTGACGGCAGCCCTTCGCCTGAAACGGAGAAACCACATGATGATGTGCTCCGTGGATCAGACCGTGAGGCCGAATTTTGGAATGGTTTGTCGTGTGACACATCGGACGCAGGCGTCAAGATGATCCGGGCGCTTAGTGCATCCAAAGTAGGGGATGAACCCAAGTGGACAAAGGAGGCATAGCTTTCTCATTTCTACTTGTTTACTTATTATTAGCTATTTAGCATTTGCATGTGTCGACCGCATATTCAACTCTTACCCTATAGACTGAGTCCACCTTTTGTGTAAAATGGCTGCCTGTCCAGGTCTCCGCACTATTTACTATCAATAGTCACTTCTAAAGCTAAATGTCCACCACACCTGTGGGCTAGAACCAGACCAGGAAAGGGATAGTAAGGGGCAAATATTATGAAAAAAAACCCAATCATGGGTTCCCAGTTTCACGGTAATTAATGGGGATCTTCAACCTGTTCAGCCCTACAGGGCTGCGCCAAGGAAACAAGTGGATCCTCCACAATTATGGATCCGACTGACCCAGTCTATACCGCCCGCTTGCGTATCCCCCATTTTTCCCTTTCAATCTTTTTCACCTTTCAATACCAGTATCAGACACGCCTCCCCTACTTCTATCTGGCTCCTCCCACCCCGGAGTCTGGCATAGACTCTCTCGACATGTGAGCCGGGTCCTATGATTTCAAAATGGCACTCCCCGGTGACTCCTCCGACACTTTAATTTCCCCTCCCTCCCCCGTCTACCACCCCAAACCAGAAACAATCCTCATGGAATCAGACCTGGAACTCTCCACCCTCGAGTCCCCGCCGCCACCCGTTATCCCCAAACTCTTTCGTGAGGCAAGCGACATTACCTGCCAGGAAACACTCGAGTCAACAAAGGATCAGGTCCCACTTATCCGGCGACGTGGCAGGTTCCGACTACTTCACCAACAGCAATTCAAGAATAGTCTGCTTGCAAGTGTCGGGTATCTTGAGCTGGCAAATGCAGGTGACTTCGCTGCTAATGTTTGGAACGACATTCCCGTGCCGACCTTTGCGGCCGTGCTAATGGGAATTGGTGGTACACTGGCACTGTTCATGGTGTTTGTTGCTGTACAAGACTTCCGACTCAGCTGGAGAAATGTGAAGCTTCTACGTGAGGAACGGGTACATATACAGCGGTTGCAGCAGTATCATTGCAAGAATCCGGAATTGACTCGGTTGCTCGATGCGAGATTGGGCGTTGGGATCCGTGAGATTGGAACGGAGGTCGTGGACAGAATTGTTATGGACATCCTCATGGGGTTGGGATCTGTTCTCGTTGGCGTTGGCACGCTTATGGCTATAGGGGGAGCAAATCCTCGTGTTTATGAAGCGAGTAACCTCCTCTCCGGATATATTGGTAATGCCCTGGCGGCATTGTTTGGAATTGCCAACGCTGTCTGGTCGGTATACCTTATCCACCGATTCAGGCAACATGATAAAGCAGTTGTCGCTCGTGAGCCTAGCGATGATATTCGGCGTCGGCTGCGTCTGCGGTTCAAACGCTTCCAATGGCACTCGGTCGTCAACAGCATCAACGGATTGGTTGCTGGCGCTGCGTCCATGGTGACTGCCAAGAAATGGGAAGGATACGTGGTTCTCATCCCATGTATAATATCATTGATCATGTGCAACTACTTCTGGCGTAAGAAGCTGGGCTATGACCGGCCGATTCTGGACCATATTTCTCTCGCCAAGTTGCAATTGACTCCCCTCCTGGAAGACCTGGAATACGCTATCGCTATGCAGCGTGGTCTTGCCGATTCAAATCACACCATTCCGCAGCCCATCGTGGATACCAAATCCCTAGACTCGATGCTCCGTTTTATCGTGCGAAATCGCATGCTGGAAACATACGTCGATTCCCTTGCACATGATAAACAGGCTCTGTCTCTCCTCTCCAAAATTCCCAGCAAAGAGCCCACCACCTCCCCAGACGAAGTAGTCGTCAGTTTCGACGTTCTCATCCAATTATCCGTTTCCAACCCAACACATTCACGACTCCTCCTGGACCACGCCGCCAAATTCCTTCGCGAGGAAGGCGTTCGAATCTTTACGCATCGCGAGCGCCACCTTTTAGAACTATTGGGTTATGCCGTCTGGCGGGATCAGACTGCAACCGAAGGCGCAGAAGGCATAGAGTCCAAGTAATATTTAGATGGTCCTTTTCGGCGACTGGATCGCCCCTCATCTGCCATTGCATAGCTTGCGAGGTTATTGTTTATGTGCTGGCCATATTAGATGAGCATTTCATTCTAGTCATTCAATTGATCCTTGCATAAGCAAGCTTTGACATCTTGCAAGTTTTCTATACATCAATCATTTCCAGCCAACATCCCCCTCAGATGTTTTCCAGTGTAGAACATTTAAGAGTCCAGTCCCGGGCAATCCTCGCTGGTCTCAGCCGTGATGCTAGTATAAGGAGAAGGATCCGTCCAAATAATGTTATAGCTGTCATCTGGGTAATCAGGTGCATCATCATCACCAAGTTCCTCAACGATATCAGTAAGGGCATCGTGTTCCCAGCAGATAAGAATGTTGCCATCGCCGTCGTAGGCGTCAACAACATCCTTAACACAGCTGTAATCCGTCTTGCCGCAAGAAGTATCAACAGTGAGGCCTAGTTCCTCAGCCAGGGGCTCCACGGTGTCATAGGGGCGCTGACGCTTTCCGCCTGCGATAACAGATCAGTATATAATCTATGAAGGGCCAATCGCAACAGATCTGTACATACTGCTCTTGGGAGTCTCAGCCATAATATGGCCAATATCATATCCTGAGCTTGGGCCGAAAACATTCTTCAGGCATTGAGCACGCTCGAGACCGGCAGCGCTAAGTCCATCGGAGCCATTGCTAGGCTTCTCGCCGTGACGGATCAGGTAGACGATCGGGTCGGCGACAGCGAGGAGGCAGCAGCCAAAAGAACGAGGAATTTCTGCATCGCGATCGAGATTCAATTGATGTAATTGAAAGGGTAAACAACGAATTGTGTGGATTCTAGTGAGTTGTTCTCGACTATCGGATAATAGCGGCCCTACTTATACCCAAGATCAAAACTTGGAATCCACAATTATCAATAAACACCAGCCACCAATGTCAACCTTCACCTGAAGAGTGCTGAAAACAATACTACCCTCCCAAACACCAATCTAACTATTTTCGTCGGTACCTGGTCCATTCAACGTCGGGATCGGCAAGACATGCGCGGGTGGCGTGTTGTGATTCGTGTGCCGATCGTTGAGCTAAGCATCGGGGCATTTGTGCCCCGCGCCCCGCATTGATTTTCTTCTGTGATCTGGTGCGATGCATACATCGTGTGCATGTGGATCGAGATTATTAAATTGGAAAGTAATTCACAAGATTATGGTGATAATCTGATAAGATCTTTATTGCTCATGTATTCAGTTCTCAACTTCAGGCTTCATTTGCTTCTTTTTATTCGCCTGTGTTAGATAATATCTTCCCATGGAACCCGGAACGCTTTGTTGCTCTGCTTATTGTGGATATAATGCACTGAACATTATCGCATCTCGTATTCGGAAATCAGGAGCATAAGCGCTGGAGCTAATTCATGCATATCTCGGAGATAACTATGGTACACGTGGGTGGGGATTTCAATCCTTCAGGACTATTTCCTGGTTCTAGAAACTATGCGAAACATGAGAGTTTTCTCGATCGCGCGGCATACGCCGACTGTTGCCCAGGTTTGGACTAGGCAATCCAGTTGCCCGGCCAGTACATGGAATCTGCGTTGGGGTCGAATGGCTCGGATACCTAGAGAGATTAGTCGATGCTAGAATGGAAGTCAGGTAATGATAATCTTACCATGAAATTCCAGCCCCCTTTTGAGCCAAACAGACTCTCAAAGTCCATTTCGTTGAGTCCGTCTAATTCCATCTGGACCTCATCTCCCTCTCCAACCCATTCCTCAAATAACGCTAAGCATTTCGCTAACGCCTCTTCGGCGGCATGCATGAACAAAACCGGAAGTTCGTCATCAGGGGTCCGAGCCATTAGCCCCTGGATCTGTGTGTTCATGAGTGACAGCATTAAGTACCCCTTTGTATTAGTCTCGCCCGCTACCAAGCATTTCCAACCCCATTCCCTTGAATCCTCGATGATGGTGAGAAGGTCGCGGCGTAGAGGAACAGATCCGGGATTGTCCTCTTCCCGTAGCTGATTTGTGAGTTCTGCTGCTATGAGAAAGCAGCATTGAATAGAAGTCAAGCGGAAAACTCCGCTTCCACATATCGTGAGGCGGTATAGATCATCCGTTTCAGATGGAGAATTGAGATCGCGTCTGGTAATCATCATGCCTGAAGCTGGGTTGGTGGTGCACCAAATTTGAAGAGCCGTGTCGATGACTACCTTTCTCGAAAATGCGTATGTAGTATCTCCGAATGATGATTGGAAGAACGGGATATGAAGTGCTAGCAGATAACGACGCATGAGGAAATCGAGTGTTTGAGTTTGGAATGGAGATGGACCATGTCCTGTGTCTGAATGGTAGCCTTGTAGTGTGCGACAGATGATCTTGTAGGATGCACGTAGATCCGTGTCCAGACGCAGGACTTTTTCGTATGAGCTGTGCGGGCCAGTTCCATTCAGTGAGGCTGCGATAGCGAGACGGGCTTCGAACATCTTTCGAAGAGCCAGTGGAATAGTCATCTGAGTAAAAGTTCCATCTGGCTTTGGGGTCGGGTCTTCAGCTAGGAGATCCTCGTCATCAAAGTTACCCGGTGGGTGGGTATCAAAGTCATCGAGGCTCAACAGGGGGGACCCCCAGACTCCAAACTCGTGTTCAGAGCCATCTCAATGACGGTGTTCCAAAGCCTTCGACGCATCTCGGAATCAAATGTGCTTGTTTTTGGGAGACACGAAGGGTCTCGGTGTAGCCCGATATAGACTGCCGTTCGTAAAAGGTCCCCCATGGAGATCCAAATCAGTCCTCCACTCACCCCAATAATCTCCCTTGCTAATAGGAGTAGTATGTTTGTTTGGATGAACTCAATAGTGAGCCTAGCCTTAAAGTTCGGCTCGGCTGCCCATGTCTGCGCCTCGTAGATCCAGCGAATAGAGCTTGTGCGCAGAGAGAAGTTTTCATCGTATATCACAGCTCCAACCGCCATGACCAACTTCAACTGGATGACGAATTCTGCATCACGCTCCTCTGTCGTCCATAGCGCTTCATAGGCCTGTCTGAACTTCGGGACATGTAACACACGATACCTACACTCGAAGGTGCGGAGATAGATATCAACGAGCGCATCTGCTAACTCCTTTGGAGGTAATTCAGACATTGGGGCAGTAGGCCATGGCGGCGCCCTTTGCTCTTTGATGACCTTGCCAAGGTATTTGCATTTCTTAAGATTGAAAATGGCTTTTGAATTCTCCCTCGACATGATAGGCTCACATTGGCGTAGAATTTCCTGACACTTAACGTAGGTTAATATTGTTCGACTCTCTTCGTAACTGGAACATACCTGAGTGACTCCGTGAATCCAATGACTTTGACCAAAAATGCGAGTCTTGTGCATTATCGTGCGTACGATAGTGGGAGCTTTACCCTCTGACGGAGCTTCACGGTTCACATGGAAAGTCCCGGCAATCTGTGGCGCGTCTACGCTAGAATCCCAAATCGGACTTGGTCCTATCGATGCCCCAGGTTCCACTCCCGCCTTGGCTAGTTGAGTTTCAAGCTGTTTTATTTTGTTTAGGAGCTCGGCTTCCCGTGCAGATGATTGGCTGGTTGGAGTATTGGGGGCCGTGGAGTGAGGTGCTGTAGACACGGATGCATGCTGTATTTGAGTTCCTCCAGTAATATGGGAGGATGGAGTCACAAGGGACCAGCCCTGAGGCTCTTCGGGACCGTGTTCCAGAGAAGTTTCTGTTTGGCGTTGTCTTGCACGATGTCGTGGGGGCGGCGAATGATCTACATACTCGCATGTTGACTTCTTGGAGCGGAGACAGTTGTTACACGGCAATTCTCGGTTGCATTTAATTTTTCGCTTCCGACAAAGTGTGCATGATCTGATAATTGTATTAGTTGTTATTTCTTCTATCCCGCAAAATCTCGGGCAATGCACTTACACAGGTGGTCTTCTCCGTCGGCGTTCGGGCTCGGCTGTCGGCATTCTTTCCGCTGGGGTGTTCATGCCGTCGGTCGGCGCATGTATCCCACTCTGCTGTTTCTTCAACCATCAAACACAAGAAAGCAGAATAGTCTCTGTAAGACTGCGCAGCAATTGATCTTATATTTGATCTTGAAGTGATTATGAAGCAAAAGGGGAACAGATTGAAGCCATAAGCTGACGGGAAATTGGGTCGGAAAGTGCATTTCTGGCTCGTCACGTCTACCATATCCCGGTTCCGACTCCGAACCAGTCCTTAGCAGAAAAGTGCGATGAGTATTCTAAGAGGATAACACAATTTGCTTTGAGAGCTCCTGGCTTAGCCTAGTTGATTGTATGGTTACAACATCCATGGAAATTCTCGCCTTTCACTGTTGTATCTTTGGTATGTCTGATAATGGCCCGCTCGAATTACTCCGTAAATCGTACCTGATAGGCGCAATGGCGGTTCACAATTTGGCTAACGAATGAAAGCGTTCAATTTAGAGGATATGAGTGGAAGTAAGAAATTCATTGTAGGTTGAGTAGTTGGTCTGACAGCACGTGTGGGCATTGCTGTGACCAGACAAAACGTTTGTAATATTGTCAAACATTCAACTTCAGTGTTCATTAGTGATATGAATATTACAAGTAAAACAATCTATCTGAAGTGTGCTGCCTGTTTTTAGAACCACATGCATAGCTGACATACGTCGCGTTCCCAGTTCCTTGGTATGGCATGTGTTGAACGAGGGTTCTAAGACACCAAAATGTCCCCATGCAAGGGATGGCACTACTGTAACAAAAGATACACCGAGCATCGGCCGCCCGGGGGTCATGAAGGGGGCTATTATTCCCAAATTTGTCTACAAGCCTAGATATGGAGGGAAAAATTCCCGAGTCTTCAGTGCTGGCGTGTGTATCATGCATTTTGACACGACCTCCCAGTAGATGGCCTTGATAGGAGTGAAACTGGGGAAACAAGTGATGATACAGGTCTTTTAAACTACCCCGTAATATATGTTGCTTTCTACATGGCTATCATGTTATAGCCTCCATGTCACTTGAAGAAAAGAAGATAGGCAAGCCATTGGAGTGTTGGTAACAGTGGAATGCTTAGTACTAAGGAGACAGGTCGGTGAACCAATGAAAATCAGAATGGGCTTGCCAAGAAATGCACTACCTTGGCACCAACGGCACGCTGATTTCTTGACGGAGCTCAGTAGTTGAACACCACAAAACCGGTTGGATACCACATCATTTCTGTACCTGGTATGGCGCAGTAATTGTAATTCAGAAAAAATGCTATCTCGAATATCGAAGGACATCGCATCACCTTCTCTTAATTCACACCAATATACGAGATAACGCTTCATTGGAGTCATGATATGAGTAAGCTTAGTGGGTATCAGTCTTTGATCACCTTCACGATTCAGCGTAAAGTATACAATAGCGTGAGCAAGTAGATACTTAGATATGTACTCAACAATACTACTCTCTGAAATACATAGTAGCAAGCTCCTTGACAAGGTTCATCCCCTCGGCACCCCGATTGGGTATCTTGACACCCGAAAGTTCAGGCAAAAGATTGCGTTGGAGCCTTTGACCAAGTAATCTCCTTTTTCATGCTTTTCTGATGAAATACATACGTTTCAGCTTCCCTATAATAACCTACCGCCAGATTCATGATATTGCTGGGGGGAATAAAGAAGCGTGATTTGTGAATTGAAGAATGTTTACTAGTCGTGTTCAACTTGAGCACCTCGATTGGGATACTAAAACGCTACTAACCTGATCACAGGACCAGGAATTTATTGTTCTAGACCAGATCCCGCTGCCATTTTTCTTGAATTGATTGTGATGTTCCAAGGCACGGCATTTTCGGCGCCTTCTCCAAACTTGGGGTTTGCAAGGGGGGACGATCAACGCAGCCCGCCAGGACCGCGCAGAGCAACCGACACCTACAAGCACATTCCAACCAAACATCCCCACAACGCGCCCATACCAATGTCTTGCTATTAACGCAATTGGTGTACGTGTTTGCGGGACTGGCATTTGCAATCCAGACCTTTAATGTCTGCCATTCCTTCAATCGCTCTGCCTTCCTGCTTCTTCCTCTCCTTTGCACATCCTTGTGGTTGAGGTTGGGATGATAGGCTTGAGGATGCACGGATCTTTGTCTTTTACTGCACTAGCAGCCATTGTTGCAACAGCCTGTAGTGCTATTATTCCGATTGCAGAAGAGTCTGGTCGTGCGATCGCACATGCTGTGCCCGAAGCTCCAGCTGAGCCTGCTTCGCATGCATTTCATATTCTTCCACCATGGTTGGAGAGTTTGATAGAGTCGTATGTGCGAGTCGTGGGATTGAATCATGTTCTATGCTAAAATTTCAAAACAGAGCAACACTTCCAACTTCTGCAGATGTTGACAGCTCGTAAGTGAACTATATCTTACTAGCGCAACGAATAACTAATTCTTCTCAGCGACGCGGCGCCTAGTAGTACGCTAAGCTCCAGTTCAACTACGACACCGAGCCCAGTGCCAACTCCAAAAACAACTGCTGTACCAGTTGCACCCGTTCCAACAAGCACGTCAAGCAAGCCACCGGCGCCAAAACCGTCATCATCCAGCAGTAGTACTACCAGTAGTGCTACCAGTACTTCCAGTATTAGCCATGCACCTGCTCCAAAATCAACAACCTCAACTTTGCAATCCTCAAGCAGTACTACAAGCAAACCAAGTGCAACATCGTTCACTCCGGCTACGAAGACATGCCCGGCAGGATCGCGGAAAGCGGCCGACGTCTACTGGCTAGATGCTCAAGATCATAACCAGGCTGCTGCCGGCTATGCACCATATGCCGCCGGAAGCAATGTTTACCCAGTCTATCGCAATGTTATGGACTATGGGGCAGTGAATGATGGCTCAGGTGACCAAACAGCCAAGCTCCAAAAAGCCATTGATGACGACGGCAATGGTGGTACTCGCAAGGGCAAGGGTACTACTCGATACCCGGCTGAGGTCTACCTGCCCGGTGGTACATATACTCTTGGAAGTACTCTAACCTTGACGGTTGGAACTATCATTGTCGGCGATCCTCAGAATCCCCCCATCATCAAAGCTGCCTCTAACTTCCAGGGTCAATTCCTGGTCATGGGATACGATAAGAATAATGGAAATCCTGAGACTAGCTTCATGATGCTGATCAAGAACGTTATTTTGGATACCACTGCTGTTGCACCCAACACCAAGATCACTGCTCTTCAATGGGGAGTTGCCCAGGGATCGGGTTTGACGAACGTTCAAGTGCACATGCCGACCAACTCTAAGGGCCACACTGGTATCGATATTGCTGCTGGGTCCACCATCGCAGTCACCGATGTGGTAAGTTGACTGTTTAATTGATACCTGGATTTGGTGCTGACTAGAAACAGAGGATTGTTGGCGGTGCGACCGGTATTATCAATTCGAACCAGCAAGTCAACTTCAAGAACCTTCAGTTCGTGGGATGTGGCACTGCTTTCTTTGCGAAAGGCGGATGGACAGTTCTCCTCCAGGGTGCTCTTTTCGAGTCCTGTGGCACAGGTATCAACATGACAACCAATGGTCTCGGAAGTCTAGTACTTCTTGACTCCACAGTCAAAAACTCCGGTCCAGTGGTCAGATTCCATGATTCGTCTCACGACACTGGAAATAAGAATAGCCAGCTTCTCATTCAGAACTTGGTGCATGATGGAACCAATCCCATTGCCGTGGACAGTGATGGAAAAACCCGCTTGGCCGCAACCTCTCATATTGACACCTGGCTTTGGGGTACTCTTGTTGAAGGAGAGTATGAGCAAGGAGCTACACACAAGACTCAACGATCTGCGAATCTGCTTGTCAATGACAAGTTCTTCACCAAGGCTCAGCCAACTTATACCGAATACGGCACAGCAGATGTGGTTAATGTTAAATCTGTTTCTGGATTCACAGTCAAGGGTGATGGTCTCACAGATGACACCGCCTCGCTCAATGCTATTCTCAAGCAGAACGCTGAGAACTGCAAGATTACCTATTTCCCATTCGGTGTATACAGGGTCTCTGACACGATCTTTGTTCCGGTCGGTACCCGTATCGTTGGTGAGGCTTGGGCTGTGATCTCAGGATATGGCGATGCTTTTAAGGATGCCACCAACCCGAAGGCTGTCGTGAAGCTTGGTAACCCAGGTGATGTCGGTCTGATTGAGATCCAGGACATGCGTTTCTCCGTTGGTGAGATTCTTCCGGGAGCCAAGGTACTTGAGATTCATGCTGCAGGTCAGCAGCCCGGAGATGTCGGACTGTGGAACACCAACGTCATGATAGGAGGCACAGCCGAGACCAGCATCTCCAACATCTGCACATCTCAAGATCCAAAGGACTGTATGGCCGCGTTCATGGTTATGCACCTGACCGAGTCCTCCTCCGCCTATATCGAGAATTTCTGGGGTTGGACCGCCGACCACAACTTAGACAGCACCTCTCTTCTCACAATCGTTTCTACCGGCCGTGGCATCCTGGTCGAAGCAACCAAGGGCACTTGGCTGACTGGAACTGGCTCAGAGCACCACTGGCTATACGACTACAACTTCAACAACGCGGCCAACGTATTCGCAGGCCTTCTCCAAAGCGAAAGTCCTTACATGCAAGGCTCAGGAGAATACGAGAACGCGCCTGCACCATGGACCGCAGATCCGAAGTTCGGTGATCCAGACTTTTCATGGTGTGCGGCCAAGGATCAGAAGTGCCGAACTTCCATCGCGACGAACATTGAGGGCGGGTCCAACATCGCATTGTATAACTCGGCTGCCTGGGCGTTCTTCGACGGCTACTGGAACGGGCTTTACAATGAGCCATGCAGTGGGAAGTGTCAGACTAATATGATGCGTGTTGCGGGTGCACCGCAGAACCTTGTGTGGTATTCTATTGGCACACGCCAGACGGATGTGATGATTCTGGACGGGAAGACTAATCCGCGTGAGGCGTCTTACCCTGGTGGATGGGAGGGAATTATTCAGGCTTATGCGGAGTTTTCTAACTAATTTCTCTGTTTCATTTTTCGTTTGGATAGCATCTGGACATATGCATACACTTGGTATTCTAGATTAAACATAATCATAATGATTAGCAACCTTGAAACCCATGGTTGGAATACACCCAAATTTGTTACATTTAAGTGAATTCACGGGTTTGTGGAGCTCCAGTCTACACACCTATGCCCAGATGGACGTAGAGATATGCGCCCATATAAACTAAATGATGTCTGCCAAGTTGGTGACTTCCTATCTGGGCTACCGCAGCTTTATGGGGGTGCTTTGGCTGGAGGTCACTGGGTCACATCAATAGAAACTTACAATTGAGTCAATGAAGGAGCTATGACATCGATGTTTTCCCTCTAAGCTTCGCGATCTCGTCGCCTGGGAGCTTGGATTTATCTTCCTTATTGTCACATACCCCGGTACAATCGAGACCTCAAGGAAGCAATATATCATGAGGGGTTCGAACCGACAAGTGGATCACCGACCGGGGGGAAGGTGGAGCCTTCATGCATAAAAGGGAACTCAGGCAACCTCTGGGACCCTGGGGATGGAAACACGACGCGTCAGCGGATCCCATGTGGCGTCCGACCGGTCTATATGTCTACTAGCCACCCGATCAAAATCCCGAAAGTCGGGCCATCTCTACCCCTCATTCTAGTCAACGATGGCATCCTCCTCGGCATCGCCCCCACAGCTTACGGCTCCCGAAACGAATCCACAGACCAAAGCCCAGCCCCCCGATGAAACCATGGCAGAGATACGGCCCTGCAGCCCTCTCGATGGGCCCGATCCCGATGATTCGAGGAAAGACCGGGATCTGACCGATGCCCCTGAAACGGGCAGCACCGACCGAGCTCAAAGGCAGAAGTTTCTTACGGGAAGCAAATTGCATCTAGTTTCAACAGCCTTTGGCATAGCCAATATCATGGTTGCCCTAGACAGCAGTATTCTCGGTAAGTGGGAAGCATGCCCCGTCCCATCCATCTCCAAATTCTAGACCGTGAGACTCACTCTTCTCCTTCAGCGACCGCATTACCAACCATAAGCTCAAATTTGGGGTCTACGAATGATATTGGATGGTATGGCAGTAGCTATCTGCTCGCTCAAATGGCCTCGCAGCCAATTTGGGGAATGATCTATACTTGTTTTGAACCGAAGCGTACTTATCTGCTGTCTCTTGTCATCTTCGGAGTAGGCTCTATACTTTGTGCAGTATCTCCTATCTCTGCTTGCCTTATATTGGGCCGCTCTGTCACCGGCTTTGCCGCTTCTGGGCTACTAGCAGGGAGTCTGTGAGTCCATTACGTCCTATATCGCCTCAAATACCCCTAAGGCTACCCCCCGCTCTACTGGGGCCTAGTGCGTTAGTATCTAATGCATTACTAGTTCCATATTTGGACAAGTCGTGCCACTACGACAACGACCGCAAGGTATGGCATTGATGGTCAGCATTAGTAATATTGCGTCGATGATGGGAAGTACGATCGGTGGTGTCATTACCGATTCTATCCTGACCTGGCGGTTCTGTTTTTGGATAAACGTCCGTACGTATTGACTGGGCTGCTAAAATTTTCATAACTAATCTTTAAATAAGCTCTTGGGGTTGGCTGTGCTATAGTCATAGCATTTATTTTAGAACGCAAGCTACATCCCGATCAAAAGCTTCCTCTAAAAGAGAAGCTATATAAAATTGATCTATTCAGCTTCCTGCTATTATTATCAAGTCTAACTTGCCTATTTTTGGGCTTTGAATGGGGAGGTCTATCGATTTCCTGGTCGAACCCAAAGGCATGGGGATGCTTACTAGGGTTTGCCCTTCTAGGTATTGCTTTCATTGCTATACAGGCATATAAAGGAGACAAGTTAGTATCGAATCCTCTATATTACACCAAGTTGATCATCAAGTCTGACTATCAAGTATCCAATAGTGCCGTAATTAACTTAAAATTCATGCGCCAACGCACTATAGTAGTGTGCTATCTCTTCTCGTTTTTTTACGGTCTAGCAATCTCTACGCACCAATGGTTGCTACCGACATATCTTCAGGTTATTCACTATACCTCAGCCACCCTTTCTGGTGTTATATGCTTAGCATTCTCTATTCCAATGACCATCTTCGGCTTATCTACGGGTTTCTTCACCACGAGATTCGGTTATTACGTCCCCTTCATGTGGGCAGGGTCTGTGTTGTACGTCGCTGGAAGCGTGCTCTTGTTCCGACTGGATGCAGATAGTAGCCCTGGTCATTACGTCGGTTACCAGATACTAGCTGGTGCAGGCTGTGGAATGGCTATCCAGGTCACTTTTATCGCGGTTCAGGTCGTGGTGTCGCCTCATGATATGGCCCATGCTTGCAATATGGAAGTGCTGTTCCGCCAACTCGGTAGCTCCATTGCCATTAGCTTGGCCGAGAATATTTTTCTGTCAAGCGTAACCTCACCACTTGAGAAAATTGTGCCTGGGGAGAGCTCTTCTATTCTGGCTACCGGGATCCGTTCATTCGTGCAGCTCACAAAAAGTCTCCCGTCTCAAGAGCAGTTAGAGGTGAAGAATCTTCTGGACTATGGTATTACACAAGCTTTCATTCTACCGCTCGTGGCCACCTCGGCTGCGGCAATTGCTAGTTGGGCAATTGAGTGGAAAAAGATTGAAGAAGATAGGGAGCCCCCGGTTCTTATGGAGATGAGTTGAATGGTTTTCACAACGGTGGATCCTGTTTGCTTTTAAAATGTGCATGCTGTGAAGCCTGCTCTTTATGGAGTAAGTGTGTCTCAGCTGGTTCTTCTGCCGCGCTGAACTAGGGACCTTGGTTCCGGAATATCGATTGGATGAGCGCCCTCGCGGGCTCTCTATACCTTAACCACTACAATGTCTAACTTTGCCCAGATGGTATCACCCGAAGACACCAATTCGTTTCGTGTCGCGATGCTCAACCTCGACACGGACGCAGGACCTCAGGAGTTCACCAACCCATTTTCATTCGATGCATGCTTAGCTTCCTACACTTTCTCTTTTGATTGCCCTGGAAGGTCAAATCTTGGTGGTGTAGCTCCAGCTTGTTACAGTATAAGCTGGCCAAACTTCGAACCCCAGTTTAGCCGTTAGAATGGTTCGATATCGTAGGTGCATATATATATGAGACTTCTCTCTCGGGAACGGAGATGTGTGTATTTCCAAAGTTCATTATTAATTGGAACAGGTTCACGGGTATGTATCCGTGAATAATGAAATATATATACATTCTGTCCATTGGAACGGCCAAGGTTGTAGGGATCCGTGATGAGATTACCTTTCCTGTGCAGATGGTGATAAATCGTAGAAAGATTGCTTCCCTGTCGACGCTTTCGAAAGTTGAACATCCCTTCCAGGTTGACTTCTGTAAAAATTCTGGGGAATTTTCGAGCTACCGTTCAGATTATTGATTTTCAAGGTTTATTGTTTTTGAATCGTCATTCTCTACCACCACTTTTATTTTCTCGAGGCTCTGAACCTTGGAACTTGATATCATAATAAAGACAACAATAACACATCTGTCCTCTTAAGCTTAGATTCTCTAAAGGAATCTTGCTATTTTCTTGAAAAACAATGATTTCATCTCACAATTTCCCCTTGAGCTCAGTCAACTTGGTCGATTCCGCAGATCACCCCCAAAATCCGACGATCGAATCTTCGGGTAGGCCCGACATCCCAGCCAAGTTCTTGGTTGGCACGTGACTGTGGCTCAAGGGTCTTTCCGATGATTCCGCCTCAAACTTGCTTCGCCCCTCCGGTGGCGTCCGAGGTCCAGTCGAGTCCCCATTCAGACGTCATGTTCCTTGGCTTCACATCACAGGCAACGACTAATCCAGCGGGTCTAGGTGGGAGGCTTGCACTAGATGCATTATGTGCCGTGATCTACTCGTTAGACTTTGACGCGACAATCTAAAGCCCTTGCATGAAATCTACGCGTCTATGCTGCCCAGGTCAACCTAGACTTGACGACTTGCACAGATACAGACCACCCAATAGAGAAAGGTGGCTTTCCCAACTGAAGAGGGACCTGTGGATATCTTCCCCATCGGACAATCCACACGGGACGGTGGCGGTGACCCTGGCGCAATTTCCGACCGCAGTCAAAGTTCGTTGGGGCCTGTGGAAGGCAGCAGAATAACAGAGTTTCTAATTCAGGAATCACAGGCAGCTCGCGTGAGACTGCGCGAAGTTGCACCCATAGCCTAGTTGCCGATACCTGATTTTGGCTCATCATGCAGGTCCATTCCCCAGTTTATGGCTCCTTTCGGACTGTTTGGGGTCCATGGCCAGACGCGGAAAAGTAGCGAAACATATCACTGGCCAGAGAGTGTCAGCCCTGAATTTTGAGTGGATCCCCAGAAACGACGATTGGCTGTTCCAAGATTGGCCATCCATTCGGTGCAGTTAGCGCAGATCGCCATAGCGAATATGCTCGTGTTCCGTTTACCCCCAAACCCTGTAGCCCCAAACTTACCCACAAACAGCGTCATGTTGCCACACTGCCACTTCTGACTGCCAAATGCGGCAACTGTCGAGTTTTTGTCCTTGGTTACGATCTATATTTGGGGCGCAGATCTGCCCAGAGATCTTCGCATATAAATATCCTCGGCTCACCCCGATCTTGCATACTTAACATTCACCACATTAGATCAATCGAACATACAAGTCCTTCACATATTTCAATCTACTCCCCAAACCACCAGCACTCCACCATGAAGTTCACTTTGATCACCTCCGCTATCCTGGCCGCGGCCGGCCTAGTCTCTGCTGATGGCGTTGGAGACATCGTTTCTGGTGCTGAGAGCCTCGGCAATTCTATCGCCACAGGTGCCGTGTCTGGCGGCGAGGCTATTGCTTCCGCAGCCGAGACCTACGCCAACAGTGTCGTCTCTGATGCCAACAGCATCGCTTCCAATGCCGAGAGCAAGTGGTCCACCTGGACCTCCGATGTCACCACCACCAACTCCAACGGCGAGACTACTACCGTCCCTTCCACTCTGACCTCCCAGGTCTCTGCCACTGCCACTGATGCCACCGCTACTGGCACCTCAACTTCGGGCTCTTCCTCCACTTCTAGCTCGTCCAGCTCCTCCAGCTCTACTGGTACCAACGCTGCTCCCCACGCGACCGGCATGGGTGTCGCTGCTGCTGGTATTGCCGGTGTGGTCTACGTCATGGCCGCTCTATAAGTGGATCAGATCTACATAATCTGAACATAATGACCCCCATGGATCTCGGTTTCCTTACTGAGATCGATCACGCTGTTTTCACGACTCTACTTGATTTGGATAAAACTTGCATTGAGCTCTGGTTGTCCCAGAGATTGACGGACTTGTACATATAATGTTGATACAATTAAGATTGAATATTTTTCATAACTCTTGATAGTAATTCTCCCATGTCAGACTGCTTGCCTCCACGTAGTTCACTCATTTGATGCTCCATTTGTTTTGAAAATTAGAGATTGCGTCTCATTTTAAAGCAGGGTGAAACCAGACACCCGGCCTGGGCATGAGGTTTTCACAGTGGAATCCTGTAGTTCTGCCCGGCGTCCCATCTCCGCCTGTTTTTGGGAGTAACGGGGCCGTGATGTCATGCATAAACACCCGAATGACCAATTTGCACACTATCATCTACTTTGCATGGCGATCGATCGGCAATGCGCCTAATGGCGACACGTGGCTTCTGCACACGATTTACCTCACGGCATTCTCTGTTAAATAATGAATAAACCGTATCCCCGCTGGAATTATGTATTGAGCATAGCCCGCCATGGTGTTTACGTCATCCTTCAAGGCATTTGCCTATTTTCTCACATTGTGTTGCGATCTCATCCAGCTATGTATAGAAACGTCTTTACTAATAAAGGGTAAGAAGCTCGAAAAGCGCTGCATAGAACTGCCCAGGTGGGTGGTATGGGCCTCATATTACTGAATTTGTGCATCAGTCTTACTAATCCGAAAAATCACTCTTGTTTGTGGTCATTAGAAGCTTGCTGGAGATCGACAGGGGCGGGCATTGTGTTATCCGAGTCAACCGATCCACCCTCGTCGACAGTCATCTTCGGCCCTGTGTACCAATGTCGTGCGAAAATAAAATAATAGATCATACACCCAATCCAAACAAATCCATTAATTACAATCGTATAGTTCATATCGGAAGCTAGATGCAAGTTAGCCAAGACAACCTCAACCAATGATGAATTAACTTACGAGCTGGGTCAGGTCCTCCACTGGGAAACATGGACAAAACAACCCCAAAAACAAGGTAAACAACCGCGACCCACGCAATAGGCTTACTATACCGCCCTGTGTAAAATTCACCAGGACGGAACCGATCCTGCCCCCAAACCAAGCGGCAAAATATTGGCGTACCCCAAGATAAGTAGTTACTCGCAACGAAAAGCGAGAAGAGGGCGTTTGCAGCGGCGTTGTTGATCAGACACAGCAGTCCTAGAACCAAACACACTATCACCAGACCACAGACCATGCGAACGGGCTGGTACTGAATGCGATTGCTGACGTGGCGGAAGAAGGTAGAGAATGGCAGTGCGCCGTCACGGGAAAATGCCCATGCTTGGCGCGATGCGGCCACGATCTGGATCGTTAGATGATAGTAGCATTAGGGATTTATTGTAACGTACCAAGCTGAGACCAATGAGATATTGAATTATGCACAGGACAATCATGAAGCCTAGAGCTCCTTCTTTCCCTAGTGCATCGTAGTAGATCTGCGATAATCAGTAAAGAGCCAGGCCAAATCAACTGACGAAATTGTCTTACCTGCGCCATAGGCTGACCAAATTGAGTATTGATTGTCTGCGAGACATCAGGATTCATAGTAGCAGCCATTACACTCAATACCAAAAATCCAAGCACACAAGCTGACCCAGCAGAGAACATAATTCCGAGTGGTACAGCTTTGGCAGCATGCATCGCTTCTTCGCTCATATGCACACAAGAGTCGAAAGACCCAATAGACCAGATCGGAGCTAGCCATGCTAGCATAAAGGCCCATCCAGTTGGCCATGTCGTCTCATTATCAATATGACGAAACACGTAATTGCCCGAATTTAATGATCCGCCTCGCGTGATCTTGCCAACCGGTAACGCGATCACAGTGGCGATCACCAGCGCAATGTTGATGTAGATACAGAATGTCTGGATCTTCGGCATGATTCGCCCCATGAAAGAACCGGAGAATCCATGGATGAGGATCAATGCGACGTACATCGCGTAGATCTCACCGCGAGAAGCCGACCATGCGCCATCGCGCGCGATGCTAACACAGGAAATGATCATGAGAGCGAGGGTATCTACACATTGCGTTAACAATAATAGATAGACATCATTTCATGCTATACTCACAGTCCACAGAACAGATCCCACCAATCAAGCCAAGCGTATTACTATATCCAATCAAAAAGCTCAAAGGACTTTTATATTTCGGGCCGGCGAAATAATGAGTCCACCAATATAGACCTCCAGCCGTAGGCATGGCAGATGCAAGATCAGACTAGACAATATTAGTCCGTCACATTTTCACGTGAACGAGCACCTGTAAGAAACTCACCATTGCAAGTCCAACAATGAAAATAAAGATACTCGCCGTAAACCACCCCTGTACTACCATCAGTACACCACATCACGCGACTTTGATTCAATTTCCTCATACCCAAACCATGCCGACCGGGCCCGCAGGTAGCGAAAACGCGATAGTGGAAGCGATAGAAGGTACCAGTCCCATAATACTAAACGCGATCGCAAAAACATGGGGCGTGGAATACTGTCGACGCAATTCCTGCTTATACCCCATTTTCGCTGACTAGTTAGTAGCGATCGGTTTACATTAGAACGCCAAGAGCCTACCTAGGAGGGCGGAATCGCCCGTGTCGCTAGCACTTGGCACGTTAGAGACTGCCGCCTCTGCGTCGTGCGCTGAATCCCGAGAAGCGTCCATAGCTAGAGGTTAAACGTGGTCTGCATGCGGAGCGGACATGGTGGGGAGGCTCTGCCCTTAAGAGTAATTGGTGTGACACAGTAGATCTTGGTTGCTTACAGGCTATTATGGGTCCATAATATGCGCAGGGGTGACTTGATTATGGATCTGCATATTCTCTGTTTAGCGAGAGCTAAATTGGGGATCAGTTCCATTGTTCTTGGGTTTTTCTTTTTCTTCATAAGCATTAACTACTATTATTCAAATGTCGCGATACGCATTGCTTTCCGTGAAGCTTGATGGTTGCTTATGTGCTTCAGGAGTTAAACTCGCGACGCGTCCCTACATTCAAATTCTCTTGAAGGGTTGGGAATTGGTGAACAAGTGGATCACGATGCGCGTCAGCAACCAATTCGACGCCCCTTTTTTGCATGATCCTTGGCGCAGGAACGTTCAACGCGAATAAGAATCGCTTTTTCACTTGAAACGCCTCGGCTGTTCTTGCCTGGAATTAATTTCCACCTGTTCTAATGCGGCATGATCTCACGCTGCATGAGCTTGCAACCCTGCTAGAGATAACCGGGTCTGCGCAATAGGACTGGAGCTCCCGCGCTGATCTTCCGCTCAATGATGTGGGCATATGTCTCTCCGCTAATGCTCTTGGCGGTCTTCTATTGGGTTCTATTGAGGGGTGCATATTAGAGCAATCCAATTCCAGCTTGTGGGTATCCTGCTGTTAACTCTGGATCCCAAGGTTACATTACATTAACTAGGAACGATTCGTTAGCTTAAAAACTTTGCTGAGCAATGCGCATTTGACCCAAATCTCAAAATTGTGGCCGATTACGCTGAGGCCCCCACGCCGGGACTTTATTTGCGCCACTTGGCTTTTGCGACCACTCGTTTACGTTTGGTGTACTCCGTGAATGTAGCACCATTCATACAGTGGAGATTAAGCTGCAACCGTGTATAATAATGTCCGATCGTAAGTTTTCACTATTATATAAGTAATGACTAATTTTCATATCTTCGTACTCATGTCACCCAAGCCATGCTTATACACAATCGGTATGAACTTGTATACACCAAGGCTAACTGTGTACGCCTTGTCCCGCTCCGATATCCACAAATGGTATTATATCCAAACTAACCATAGTATGCTCTACTTCAACTCAGAACCTCAATAGAAAATCGAGCCTCCAACGAGACCCATCAACCCAGTCTCCAGTGATGAGATCAAACCGCCTCCTCAGGAGGAGTGTTCTCAGTCAAAGGTGATTCTGGACCGTGAACCTGGTCCGTAACAGTGTTCTCCGACTTGGCTCCTGATGCCTTCCGCGCAGCTTCCCACTCATTATAATCCTGGCCAGGGTTGATCTTCTCCCAGCGGACCCAGCACAGCAGATGATAGAATCCAGAAGCGAGGAGAGAGCCCAGGAGCGGTCCGACCCAGTAGATCCAGTGGTATCCGGGGAAACTGCGATTGATCACGTCGGGGCCGAGGGATCGAGCGGGATTGAGGGATCCACCGGTATAGTAGTCACCTAGAAAAATAACATGAGCAAAAAGCTGTGTATACCATAGGTAAAGAACTTACCAATCATCTCCGCCACGAAGAAAGTCAGACCAATACCGACTGGGGCCAAGTAAGTCGACTTGTGCTTGACGACTGCTAGCATGATAATCACCAAAACCAGCTGTGCAGTGAGGAACATCTCAATGAACAGGCCCTGCGAGATAGAAGCACCACCACCAAGCCGGGTAGCACAATTCAGTGGACCTGGGAAGAGAGCGCTAACAACACCCGCCGATGCAATGCCGCCGACCAACTGAGCCGGGAAGACAAACAACCCGCGAAGCGCGGGCATACCACCCGTAAGGCAAAGAGCGAGCGTAACCTAAAACCATCAGCCCGGAACAAAGCATCACACCGATTCCTTCCTTACCGCAGGGTTAAACAATCCACCAGTAACACGGAAGAACGCCCACACATTGACCGTCAATGAGAAACCGAAACACAGCGCCGAGTAAAGCAGATTGGAAGTATTCGGATACGACCCAGGAGCAGGCATAGGTGTATTTGAAACTTGAGTTCCTGCAAAAGAGAAGAACAAGAACAAGAATGTGCCGACGAATTCACCCAAAACACACAGCAAGTTGTATCGCATCGTTTCCGGAAGCTGCAGCATAGGAAGCTGTCCACGAGACCCGGCACCATTCGGACCGGCCAACGTGGACGCCTCCGAAATCTGACGCCTGTGAAGGAACTTCATCTTGCCTCGGAGCTTAAGCTGAGCTTGTCGAGAACAGAATTCTAGTCGAGTTGAGTCAATTGAATAGAAATCCGGCAGCTATGATACCGGTCTATCAACCTTTCAGACTCAATTCGTACCTCAGGGTTTTATGTACTATGTACTCCCAGTCACAAGACGTCACGAAACCCCTGCACGAGGACCACAATTGGAATCCATGTATCATCGACCGCGCCATGAGCCAGGGCTCGCAGCTTCAATTACTATCAAATAGACTTTTAGACCTAAATTCTTCCTATTATTGGGATACTAACTTGTAGAGAAGATGTTTTGACTAGGTAATATGTCCGCAGTGATGAGGTCACGAGTGTAGGCAATCCATGTTTGTATAGATCTAGATCCCCGGGAACTCGTGTGGGCGGGAATCTCCGACCGGCCGAAAACGGATGAACCGGATTGTCCAGACTTGACAGTCACTGGGATTCTGGAATGACAGATGTGTATCGGTAATCTCCGTGATTGGTTGGATTGGCTTATCGTTTTTTGTATACCCACATCAAGGGCTCATCGACTGTGAGTAAACTTCGTTCATGTTTTTGTATTAATAGGAGATTACTTCCCACATTTCACCCAACAAAGATTATCTCTCATAATTGCAATGGAACTGAAATTTTCGCGACCAGACCTTCAGATTGTTTTTCAAAATGGACTGGTGAAGTAGTAGAGCAAGAATGAGGAAGTCAGGTTAGAGAATGAGAAGCAGGAGCTGTTGAACAAAAGCCATCTCATCGAATTGCAAAATCCCAAGATTTATTCTCAATCACTTGAATTTGAAGTTTCTACATTACTCCCGCTCAAGCTTGTCCATGACTACGTATAGCATCAGATTAACTTAACTTTACCTCCCGTTGCAATTGATTGAAAATTTAAGGTTTGCAGCTCCGTGCGATATTTTCACGTTCCTCCGGGGTCGTTCTTTATTTAGCATCGATCCAAAGGCTCTGAATCATAGGACATGATTCCAGTCCACTAGCATCGCTCTATACGAGTAAGGGTCCGACCCAGTAAATAAAGACCAATATTTTATTGTAACCCCCCAGTTGGTAAGAATAATTGGATCGCTCTTTGCCGTCGGACGCCATACACAGCCAGGGTTAGCTCGGCACCCATGATGCATATTAATTCAATGATCATGATTGGAGAAGGCGACAAAATAAAGCCTAGAATTACCGACATGGTCCCTTCCTAAACATTGTCGTGTGGGCTGACCGGGCGGAGTTGGCGCGTGACAAGGTGTGGCGAGCTTTACCATAGAAATGTGCTAAGGGGCTACCGGCGATAACATGGGTCTTCATTTTGAGAGTTTCTATCTACATGAACTATGAAAAGGTACCGTGTCCCTTCAGTCTTCAGTCTTATCGCTTGTACTCTATAGCCGGATGATCGGCGCTTTGACACCTGGTCATCAACCTTATCATAGCCGGGGGCGGTAGACTTGAACCTTGCATAGTACTTGTGAATATAATTCGAATTATGAATGCTCTATATATCAATGTAAGTGGCAATCCTTGACAGAATATTTCAGTTAAACCCGAAGACTTTTCGTGCTCCGCAACGAACGAAACCTTCGCCGAGAAAACTCCAGATCTAAAGCCGAGATCCAGCAAATGTCACGGATGTACAGTGACGGCTGCAGTCTCACAGCCACGGCTATTTACCGGACGCCTGCTTGGTTTTCCGAGTCCGCGGAAATATCTAATCTTCTTTCACGAAATAGTCTCTAGTACCTAGTATCTGACATAAGAAAATTCTGTTAGCCCTGTGAACTGCCAAAGCCACTCGGAACAATCCAACCACCGTTGGACCCGCTTATCTGTCCGCGGAGATGCTTGCTTCTCATGAGATCCCGTCGCAACCGCTAATCCCGTACTTTCGACAATTCTAGAAGCGAAGTCCGATATTGCGCGTCGCTTGTAGATTGACCGGTTTTTATAGGATCGTTGGGTGGAGATAAATAGCTAGCTGCCCGCCCTGATCGGAATATCTTGCCTCACAAATTCTATTGAACAAGCTTCGACATATACATTGCATAAAACTTATTCATATTTTGAGTTTTAACACTTCGAGCACATAATGGGATCCAATGCGGGTTTGACGTCAGACCAGGTGAAGCTTATCAAAGCGACAGTACCAGTCCTGGTCGCACACGGCGACACAATCACATCTGTCTTCTACGAAAATCTCATTCGCGAAAATCCCGACCTGAACAATGTCTTCAACACTCCCAACCAACGCAATGGGAAACAACCCCGCGCACTGGCCGGCGCCCTATTCGCATACGCCTCCAACATCGACAATCTCGGTGCATTGAGTCCAGCCGTGGAACTGATCTGCCAAAAACATGCCTCACTCTATATCCAGCCCGAATCCTACCAGGTCGTCGGCAAATATCTTCTTGAAGCGATGGGCCAAGTTCTCGGCGACGCACTCACTTCAGAAATCAAGGACGCCTGGGCAACAGCTTACTGGCAATTAGCCGATATCATGATCGGCCGCGAACACCAAATCTACGAGCAGAGCGAAGGATGGACTGATTGGCGCGAGTTCAAGATTTCCGACAAGATCAAGGAATCAGACGAGATTACCTCTTTCTATCTCGCTCCCGTCGATGGCAAGCCTCTGCCCACTTTCAAGCCCGGACAGTACATCTCAGTGCAGATTTACGTGCCGGAGTTGAAGCATCTGCAGCCTCGCCAATACTCACTCAGCGACAAGCCGAATCCGGATTATTACCGTATCAGTGTGAAGAAAGAGAAGGGCCTGAGTGCCGATGCCGATGCGTCCACTCATCCTGGTTACGTCTCCAACCTCCTTCACGATACTTTCAACAAGGGCGACACTATCAAGGTCTCGCACCCAGCTGGTGATTTCTTCCTCTCAACCGATGAGACTACCAACCCCGTTGTCCTGATCTCCGCCGGTGTGGGTCTCACGCCGCTCACATCAATTCTCAACACTTTGACCTCCAAGCCATCAGAGCGCAAACTCCACTTCATCCACGGCTCCAGGACATCAAGTGTGCGCGCTTTCAAAGAGCACGTCACATCGCTGACAGCGGCGTACCCCGACCTCCAGACTACTTTCTTCACCACTCAGCCCTCTGCAGCGGATAAGGAAGGTGTGGATTACACCTACGCGGGACGCGTGGATCTGAGCAAGCTCGCGTCAAAAGATTTATTCATCGAGAACCCGGCCACACAGTACTATATCTGCGGACCTGAGAAATTCATGACCGATATGGAAACCAGTTTGAAGACTCAGGGAGTCCAGGGTGACCGCATTAAGATGGAGCTCTTCGGTACTGGCGGTATTGCGCAGTAAGGGATGATGATGTTTAGGATTGGCGTTATAGATATACTCTCAGCTCGATATAATACCCGTGATTTACGAATGAAGAATTACATCAAAATCTAGATATTGATCATAAATGTTTCCCCACTCCAGGGGGATTTCCGAATTAATCATCTCGGGCTCCGCTTTAACCGACCGATCCCCTCCATTTATAAGCAATCGTCGTCGCACCAGCTCCTCAAGTCAATTTCCCATCTCCAAAGGGATTCATACGCGCATTAAAAAGTAAAGTATACCCATTTTGACACAGAGACACTCCCAAACACTCCACCTCAAATCTCGGAAACCATGTCCAAAATCGGAGTCTTCCCCGCCTCAGGTGGACTGGGATCCAGCATAGTGAACCACCTGCGCTCCCTAGTCCCAGCAACCGATCTCATTCTCATCGCAAGAAACCCTGCAAAACTGTCCGATGAGAAAGAGGCCGGCGCAACCATTCGCCAGGCGGACTACGATGACCCGGCAAGCCTTGACAACGCATTCGACGGCATCCAGACCTTGATGCTGATTTCGTATGCGTCTTTCGAGATCGATCATCGAGTAAAAGTAAGCATCTAAACTAAATCCTCACAATTATGACATAATGTTAATCTATCCGCTAGGCCCACCGACTAGCAATCAACAAGGCCATAAAAAGCGGAGTAAAGCACATCTTCTACTCATCTCTCGCTTTCGCAGGCCTCACAAACAAAAGTCTAGCACATGTTATGGGTGCACACCTTGCTACAGAGGAGTATCTATCCACAAAGCCTGAAATCAGCTACACGATTGTCCGCGAAGGAATATACACCGAGTCCTTCCCCATCTACACAGCATGGTTTGATCCACAGAACCCCGCTGATGAAATCACAATCCCGCACTCTGGGGATGGACCTGGTGTTGCGTGGGTTAAGCGGGATGAACTGGGTGAAGCTACTGCCAAGCTTATCGTTTCTTATGTCAAGGATTCTGCTGCATTTGGATATGTGAATAAGATGGTTTTGCTGTCTGGGCAGAGGGTTATTTCGCTGGCTGAAACAGTTCAGATCTTGGGGCGTGCGGTTGGGAAGAATGTAAGGATTCGGGAGATTTCTGTTGATGAGTATGCGAAGCTCCCGCATGAAGGGAAGCATACCTACCATAGAGTGGATTTGTCAAGGGAGTGGGCAACGGCGTGGGAGGCTATTAAAGATGGTGAGACTGCTGTTATTTCGCCTGCTATCGTTGAGATTTTAGGACGAGAGCCGGAGCAGTATGAGGATAGTATCAGGGATCTCATTGGATCTTAAGAGGAATAGGACATCCGTTGCGATGTCAATAATCAATACTGGTCATGTCTGTCACGGCCGGAAAGAGACGAATGTTAAATACAGGATATTATTATAAACAGTTGCGCTATTATACAAGCTCTCGAACCAATACAAGTGCAAAGCACATAATTTAGCAACCCTTGCACTCCTTGACGTACAGGTTGGCGGCCATGTACTCGGCGTTGTGAGAGCCGTACCAGTAGATCTCCTTAGCGGGGTTTGAGCCGTATCCGTCGACGGCGAAGTAAGCCTTGCCGCCGTGAGTGAAATAGCCCTTGTTGTTGACTCCGAAGCCAGTCATGTTGGCACCCTGGGGCATAGCACCGGAGTGGGGGCGGGTAAAGGCCAGGGGCTCGACCTCGTTGGGGATCATGTAGAGGCTCTGGAAGCCAGTGGGAGTCTCGTTCTTGGAGGTGAAAGAAACGTCGCCGGTGTTGCTGCTGCGGACTGTCATGCTGTTAGTGTTGCTCAACGTGACGTGGACGATAGAACTTACGGATAGCGATCTCGTGGGTAGTGGTGTTGGCACCGATCCAGAGGTTCTCTGTGGAATTGTTAGCCTTCGGTCGGACTGGTAGTTGGTTCGAGTTCACTCACGGCCATCAGTGAGAACGGTTTTTCCGCCATCAGCGACGAGGGTGAAGGCAGCAGGGAGGGAGGCGCTGACAGCGCTGGCCAGAGCGGCAACAGTAGCAATTGAGAACTTCATCTTGAATGTTGGTAGAAGAGGATAGGTAGATGAGATGATTGAATGTGGAAGACTGATGATGTCGAGGTATGGGTGCCGTTTATGGTCCTTTTATATTCTTCAGGGCTGAGATGTAGTGCCAAGTCATACTAAGACATCCCCACATATTGAGATCATAGTCTCGGGATCTGTTCCATTTGCAAATAAGGTAGACACGTTTTCTGGGACCTACCTGTTTATTCGGCGATCCCCCGGGGAAACTGAAACACGCCTTGCTTCCCTGGAGTTCTTCACGTATTTAACCGGTGGTGGTCGTGTTAGTACTTTTAATACGTCAAGGCGGGCGGATACACCAGTTCTATCTTGTACCAATTTAGTAGTCCCTGAGAATTTACATATATATGAATTAGAGATAGTACTAGGATCTGACTTCGAGCAGGAAACAGTGACGACCTTGAGACCCTGCATCATCCACGGAACAATTTAACCGAAGTGGAGCCGACTGGTTGGGGTAAAAGCCACTGCCGATCGGGTGGCTGCGGAACGGGTTCGGCGTATTTCCCTATTTGTCGTACTATTTTTGGTCGAAAATCTCTGAAAGAAGTTCAAATCATGGTGATCAACAGCCCGTTTACTATTGCTATGCTTTTTTCGGGACCTTTCTCTGTGAATTGAGGTTCTGTTCTGTCTTGGCCTTGGCTTTGCCCTCATCTTCGGGATCCTTCCGAGGCGGGCCAAGAGTAGCGTGGCTATGCTACATTTCCAAAAATTAGTAGGAATACATAGGTGTGAACCGTGGAAGCTGCGACGTGAATATGATGTAGAATAAAGAAACAAGACCGAAGGTTGTGTGGAATGACCTCGGGAGGAATAGGAGAAAGGAGAACCTCGGAAGAGGTCGTAAGAAAAGTTTCCTCTAGCTATACAATTACCCAAGTCCCGGCTACTTCAAGCTGCGGCAAAACCGTTGGGAAATTCGATAACTTTGCAGACCAGCCTTGCTCAGGTGCAATCTTGAAAGGTCAAAGGATAAAAGGGGTATGTTTGTTAATTAAGAGCTTGGCATTGCCGTTTGGCTTCAGATCGGCAAACGGCCCCTTAAATCTGCCCAGGTGCGCCGATCGAAGATGAATATCGTGAGAAGGATCTTACTGGAGATTGGGTTGCCGATAACCACTCGGGTCAGAATTAGAATGTCGTGCTATCTTCACTAGCTAGAGCTATTGACACTAGTGCTCTTACCAACCCCACTTGAAGCTATACGCATAGCATGCCGATCAATGCAGGTCTCTTACCATTTTACACCACTGAACTTCTATCTCGGACAAGGTAAAATTGACAGTGAGAGATTTAGATAACTTTAGATACTCAAGCGCTGCTCGATTGACAGGCAAACTCCTGCGAGTCCTATTTAGAAATTTAGAAACCCAAAACTCATCCGGGCGGCATTGGTATATATCTCCACTGAAGTCACTATATATTTCTACTTAAGGAGAACCTTAGGAGCAACCTTGGACCTCGGTAACACTGACCATTTCCAAATTAAGAGTGAAGGCCTTGAGATCCGGCCGAACTAACCTTGCCCAGGTGAAAAGTCTAATCAGACACGGAGAAATAGTCTGCATGGAAAGGAGAAATAGTACAGTATGATGATAATCATCCGAGTCTTGGCAATTACATTAATGCTAGAACACTATCGGAAAGCTTCCGACTCCTGTCGGCCATGTAAGGATATCGTATCCACAAAAACAGAAGACACTTTTGATGTAACCAGGACCCGATGAGGATGAGATGGGAGGACCATGTAAAAATACCAACGCCGAACCAACCAATTAGCCTTAATATAACCCAACTCCTGCAGCCGTAACGGATGTCGGCTCTAGGTATTCATCACGTCACGGTCATAAAAAGCCGAAGCCAATAAAACGCAAAGAAAAACAATAAAGCAAAGCATAATAGCGCATCCAATCACGAGCGTGATTGTTTGTGTCGCCACATGCTATTCGGAACCATATTCTGCTTTAGCAAAGCAAGTTCCTTATGCATAGCCTGATTCTCCTGCTGAATACTCTCAATGTAGGCGAGAGCATTAGTCAGAATCTCAGATTTCTTCAAAGATCCCGCACCAACGCGAGAAGTCTGCTTGTGAATACCAGCAGGCGAGATCGCCTTCTCTAGCGAAAGGAACTTAGTATTCATATTGGTGCGGTACCGCTTCTCGATGATGTTGTGGGCCGCGCGTTTGGCGGCATTCCGCACCTGTGGGTCCGGGCCGGTAGTGGAGTGATTGGAGTCTTGAGATAAGCTGCGTGTTTTGCGGGCGGATGTAGATTTCTCGCGAGGAGCGATGTATTCTTCAGCTTTGATTTCGGGACTTGAGGACCAGCGTGTTGATGAGTTCTGGGTCGAGGTTGAGCTGCGGGTTGTTGGTTTGGATTGTTTTTGAGTCGCCGGGGTCATGTCGATTGAGGGGCGCATTGACCAGGATTGATCGTCGCTGTCGAAGTCCTAATAGTACTTATGTTAGTATTATGTTTTTTGAATATCGGGGTGAGATACGAGGGTATTTACCGATGACATGGAAACGGTATCTTCGGTTGGCATGGTGAAGCCGTTGATGGCGGATGGGGTTCCAAATGGGTCCATGAATAGATCTTTCGTGTCGCTACTTGTCAAGCTATCGGCGAAATCGAAAGAGACAGGGTCCATATCGGCAGGAGTCAAGGAGAAGAGATCGATGGCGCTGTCATAGTTCCAATTGCCGAGAGTGTCGGACGCCTTGGAAGAAAACATGTCCATTGGACGAGACTGAGGGCTCAGCTCTTGACTGAGATATCTGTCGCCCATAGAAAGGTTGGATAATTGATTTCGGTTGAAGGCCATTTTTCAAAGTTGACAATGGCTGAATCAGGGGCTAAGAAAGAGGATATATAATATCCGTGCACAGGATGGGAAGTGGCGATAGATCGAGGAATCGGAAAATATAATCGAAAGTGCTGTGTTACCATGGAACAAAGTTCAGTTCCTATCGGCTGCAGGACCACTTATATATGAATATGATAGATCTTGACAGACCAGGGGGGGCCGCCCGACAGCCACGGATTACGACTTGGTGAACGGTAGCTCGACCGAGAGGGCAGCCGAGATTGACGTGATGTCAGACACTTCGCGCCCGTCGAGACCCTGCACGAAAACTACGAATCCACATCTTATCCACAACTAATCCACAGCTAGTAGTGCTCGGTGAGGTGTTGCCGAGATCACCTTAGCCAGTTCCACGGCCGGCTCCGAGAAAGATAGAGTGAAACCGTTGAAGAGCCAGCCATCAACAAGGCGAAGGTAAGCCTGTGGAGCCAACGGCGTAAGAACCAGTGGGTTGGGGCGCCAAGCTCTTTCCGGCCGAATGTCGGATCCGACAATTTATACACGTTTCATCTGTACTTTTGGTGTCGCTTGCGAGATGCTGCCCTCTAATTGATTCACAACAGGTAATCCCCTGGCGGAAAAAATCATATCCTGGTCTTCTAAGCCCTGTCAAATGCGTAGAACTTGCCTAGATCGTCTTAGCGTCGGCGATCTGCTGCTAGTGCACTCTGTCAGGCAAAGCATTACCTACCAGATGCAGTCCTAACTGCCATTGACATGTTACAGATTTTTCCCGCTGCAGCCATCCTAGGTACCTGAGGATATCTGCAGGAAACAAACAGGGGTAGATCATTGGAATGCTTGTTATGAAGAATTAATCGAGTTAATCCACGCTATTCACTATAAGCGAAGCCACCACCATCACCCTTCAAGGCCCGAGCAATGAATGATATCGAAAACAAGATTGTTTTCAGAATATATTGGGGGCTTCTCTCCAATCTTGGAAGCGAGCTCATGACGGCATTCAATTGAAGCGTGAAACAGGACTCCGGACTTCATCTCGCACGAGTCCAATTCCGATGTTTCAATCCCATGTGCCATATGCAATGCACAACGGACCTATGCCTAGCAGATGATACCGAGCAGACTAATTCCGAAAGTAATCTCAGTGGGGGACATTTAGAGAAGGAAAATTAGCGTGCGACCGCGGCCCCCGTTCCAGCCACTCCGGATGCCCACAATTCCCGCTTACACAACTTATTGCCTAGAAAGGATCTCCTTGCCACTTTAAGCCGTGGGGTGATTCGGATCGAATCTTTCCTTACTTTATCTTCGGGCTGAACCCGATGTTTACCGATTCATAACCTTGTCCGCGTGATACTTTGTTCGATAGCTTTTTAGACACGAAATGTAAACGGGATGCAATTGTTGTGTTGGGTCTCGGTGAACCATTCTGTGGTTGCGTCTCGGATCTACTTACCTTATGATGCGAGTTTTTCCCGTTAATTTCCACGGTCGAAAAGAGTCAATTATTTTCAAGTTCCGAGTCTCGTGATGCTACGTAGATAACCCAGGTTTGTTCATACATCGACATTGAACTCGATACTTCCCGTGAACCCGGCTCAGTGATGTTAAATGAATTATCCGTTAATATAGAACGTATGGAAAGATTAGGTAACAGATGGCTCTTCAGACCAGATTTTCGAGTATTACGTTTGTGGCAATGCAGATCAATCTCGAAGCTCCACAGCCAGGATCTACTCGCTAAGGAGGGCCTGGAGACCTGCCGAGATCGTTTCCGAGGCAAGTGGGGCTATGACGGTCTAATGCACGCTGACCGTTACGTTAATGTATCTTTAGCACTTAGTCTAGGTCGTCCGACGCGGCAAGCTGTCGGTCCGTGGTGGAGCCGTGAGATTCACGGGTCAAGACTGGATCTGACTGCCGATTCCTGACTTCCCCGGATTTCAGCTTCCGGAGCGGAATCTTACTCGGCAGCTAGATCCATTACCTATTTTTTGTCGATCCCTGAGAATGAGGGGGGATAAAATTTGAACCAGGATGTACCGGCGGATACAATTATAGCCCTGCTGACTGCCAGGTACGTGACTTGTAAATCAGGCATGGATACCGACCAGAAGGGTCTAAGGTCATTCAGATTATCCCTGGAATGTTATCCTGGTACGGAACATAGATTCAAGCGTGGTGCTAGTGCAAAATCTCATGATGTGATCATCTTCCTATAGATTCCGACGATTTCGGGAGTGTCCGTGGGCCCCTTTATCGTGCCTTGCGAGCCCGGAAATTTAATAAAACCTTGTTCATCCTCGTGCTCGGGACTGGCACACGAAATGAAGAATAGCTCCAAGTTCTCACATCATAAGATTTTTCAATTTTACTAGTGATTAGAAGTTGAGTTCACTTCTACGACCTCATGGCATACCTACGGCTTACATGAATGCCCGGCGGGTTTGATCCCTCATTGCCCAAGTTGAATTCTAAACATATGCCCACCAAAGTCCAACTCACAGACTAACCTTGGAATGACTTCACGGATCTTGAAGAGAGATGCCAGAAACTCCCCCGAAATCAATTCTATGACGAACTGACCAACAAGATTTAGGTCCCTGTAAGCCAGGCGGTGTAGCAAGTGGCTGATTCATCTTCTGCAGACCCTGTGACGCACTCGTGGCACCTAACCTTATCGCCGCTTGAACTCTGCATTGTCGTCATCAATCTGACGAATCGGACCCCCATCTAATTCAAATCTCAAGCTTTCTTCGGTCTTCTCCGCATACGTGATCATCTCAGCCACCGATGATACTTACCGAACCGGGCAAGCTGAACGCATCCCACTTCGTGTGGCAACCCCAGTCCCCAGTGGATCCGAACCAAACTTTCTTTCCATAAGGCTGGAGCTGTTCCACGGTTGGCGAGGGGAGAAAAGAAAGGGTACATGTGCTAGCTTATCGAGAGCAAGATGTCAATCGATATGGAAAAGGCAAATAGGCTATCGTGATGTGATGCCCCTATCCGGACACTGGTCATCTGCACGATTGCTCATTGAGGCACTATGTTGCCCATTGAGGCGCTATGATCGTCCAGATCCACATTAATGCCCCACCGTTCTCCTGGAAAGCGAATTACACGATAAAGTTTACATGAAGAGGACGATCAATATGTATGATCTGAACGAATAATATCCTCCTATTCATCCAATGACGCACATTGTGCTACATGATAGGGTTTCCCATTTTCAAGATCGGGGCTATAAATTGCTCGCGCGAAGTGGGATGTTTCGTTCCTGAACCATCCCGCCATACTCCCTTTTCCCAATCACATCTGGGAAACTACCCAAACAAACACAAAATGTCTATGTATGTTGGAAATTCAATTGAATAACTTAGCAGGGATACCGGCTAACACTTTACCCATAGCTCTCCCGAAGAAGAGTACGTGCAGCTCGTCGCTCGCAAGAACATTACAGAAAAAGAGTACCTCGCCGTTTTTGACAAGCTCAAGCCCGTTGCGCCCGAGAAATTCATGGGAAGCTGGAAGGGTGCAAATGTCAACTCCAACCACCCGACCGAGAAGAAACTCACCGACATGAACTGGGCCGGCAAGGATTTCAGATCTACCGAAGATGTTGATCCAATCATGATCACCAATGATGCGGGAGAACGCGTTTGGAACGAATCCTGGGGCCATGCCCGCGTGAGTCCAGTCGAAAATATCCATGCCGAGGATCCAATAATGGAAAATATACTGACAGCTTTGATTAGCTCCGCCAAATTGAATGGCGTGGTGTTTTGTCCACTGCTATGGTTTACGATGATTTCCCGATCATTGATTACTTCCGCCATGTCAATGATGACTTGTTGGCGGGTGCGATGGATGCCAAGACTGTCAAGGAGGGTACTTACTTTTTCTACTTGCACAAATAAATGAGCTTCGATGAACATTCGATCACGAATTTAATCTGCGGGTTATGTCGATATGAATAGAATGAATTGATTTTCGGTTATGACTGCCTCGGTGCCTGGCATAATGTGCTTTTCGCTCAAGGTTCATGTTCAACTGCTTGTCGGGGCTACTTAAATGTGGATTGTTACTCGTAATAGGTTCGATATGAGATAAATAATATTTTGGTGATGTGATGTAACTATCTTATAGACATTATTCTATGTGTACAACAAAACTCATGCCGAGATTATCGCAAGGCGGTATCAAAAACAAATACGCTATAAAACAAACACAAAAAATTAGGCAAAGAGATAGACATAAGGAAAGAGCAGGTATTAAGCCAAGTTCAGAGAATTCGGCGTTTGAGTCCCACTCGCCATGGATGCAGACCCAGACTGCCGGTAATCGCGGAACGCCCTCCAAGCCCTAGTGGAAATGGGGTGATACGACGAATCCGGAGTCTGAGGAAGAGTAGCTGTGCTCGAGAGATAAGAGGCCCGGAAAGAAGCAGGCTTCTTCTCCTTGATGAATATTCCACTGGAGGCATTAGAAGCAACCGCACTGCGAGCAATGTAGCTGTGACTCTGGTATTTACCAAGCCAAAGCATCTGCTCGTGTTCACGGAGGTAACGGTGACTGGAGAAGGAGTTGAGGACGTTGTCACGACCCTTCATTCCCAGTGCACGACGCTGATCCTGCTTCGCGTACATACGATCAGAGATGGCCTTGATTTCTTCGGGAGTGGGATGGAATTCAAGCTTGGGGACTAGATCTCCCTCCTTGTCTTCGGCGAATGGAGCCCACTGATCAAGCAGGGCCATAACGCGGATTTGAGCACGAGCGAGAGAGTCGTAATCGTTGGGTGCAACGACCTCCGAGAAACGTTTGCCTGTTGCTCTGTCTGTGACCACACAGAAGGAGGCGCCGACGTCTGTACAGACGACCGGGACACCGGTAAGAGCGGCTTCACCCATAGCCAACGGAAGACCCTCTGAGATGGAGGAGTTCATGAACAACCACTATTATTGCTTGTTAGTTATGAATTAAATATTAGTAGAGGAGGTGAAACTTACAGCATCCTGAAGGACAACCGACGGGTTACCGAGACCCTTGAGAATGACGTGCTCGCTGAGACCCTTGGAGGCGATAACTTCTTGACATTGCGAGGCGATGGCAGGAGCACGCTCCATATCTCCGTAAATGTGCAGCTGGTAATCCCGGAAGCCCCACTTGTTGACGATGAGATCTGTAGCCATGATGGCAGTCTTGATATCCTTGACGTAACGAACGTGAGACAACATGACACAAGTAGGTGTCTTGGTCTTAATCTTCTCGATAGGCTTGTATTTCTCCATGTTCGTAATACCGTTGACAACAGGGTCGATCTTGCGGGCGAAAGTGCGACGGTGCTGGAGGGCACCCTCGGCAGTTCCGAGCTCAACTTCCCAACCGGGGTTGAAGTACTCGGCGCAAGGAAGAACAACATCAGCGTGGTGCTCGATAAGAACACACGACAGATGACCAAGGGAGATGAGGGTGCTGTTGACGAAGGTGGAATCGAAGGACACAGCGGCGGAACAGAAGACGGTCATCTCACGGAAACTGATACAGTGATCCCAGACGTGGAGAGCACACTTGCGCTTGGCCTTGCACAGAACACCGTAGGTGGCACCTGTAAAGTGGTGGGAGACCTGGAAAACATCGGGGATTCTCTCGGGAACGGGGATAGAGAAGATGAATAGGTAGCGGTGCCACATGTCCAAGGCGTTATCAAGTTGTTGCAAGGAGGGGAGCTCAGCATCCCACCACTGGGAGGCGGGAATAGCATCATCAACGTCGTCCGAGAGCCAAAGCTGGCGCCAAGCCATCTTGACAGTATCGCTCATCCAAACATCGTTCCAGCTGCGACCGTGCTCAAAGTAGGCGTTCAAGTCAACTAGGGCGTTGGTAGCTTCCTCGATGTGGCGACGGGTCAGGTTGATTGTGCGGGCACAACGAACCAACTTGGTCAGAATAGGAATGAAGTGAGTCTCGATATCATTGACACGGGTAGCCTGGGCGCGTTCAACGACGGCGGAATCAAGGCAGTTTTGGAAAACACCGTGAGTAGGGTTGAGGAAATCCAGACCCCACTGAGGAAGGATAGTCAAAGACTGAACATTCCTCTCGATCTGGAACTTCGGAACACCGTAATCGTTGGCATTCTCGGAAAGAATGTGCCATCTGATACCGTTGAGATCGTTGATCATGTCGCGACGACAAGCAGAAACACCACCAGGCTCACAGGGCCAAGTAGCGGTATCCATAGCGAGAACGTGGAGCTGAGTATCAGTATCCTGGAGCTGGGTCGAGAGCGTGCGAGTATTGATTCTGGAGTCACCACCCTGTCCGAAGCTGGACAGATCGCTCATCTTGAATGCCATGAGAGTCCATGTACTGATATCGGGATCGATATCAACACGAGCGAGAATAGTATCGGCCTGGGCGTCAATGTAGTCTCCAGCCGCATCAAGGCGACCGAAGTCACGGTTGCGCCAGTAAGGAGCAAGGACACGGTCGGATCGGAGCAGAAGCTCATCAAGGAAAACGGTGGTCACGGCATCGAATTTCTTGCTGTTCTTCCAGGACTTCCAGAGGTGAGTACGGGAGCGCGATGTGGGAATAGGGCGGGCCTGGACGTTCAAGCGGAGCAAACGAGTCACGAAGTTGGATTCAAACGACTTGAAGAAGTACAGAGGATTGTCGTGCAAGAAACTACTCTTGGTGGGCTTGTCCAAGACGTGGAACCAATCCTCGCGGATCATGATCGGAGTTGGCACTTCCTCGCCGTTGAGTGTGGTCACGATAGTCGGGTGGAACTTGTGGTCGTAGGTCCATCGGGCGTGGTGCACATCGGATCCCTGGACGAAAGTAGCCTCGCTGACACGAGGGTAAGGGATCCACTTGTTCAGGCGCTCAGGTCGGTGGGGCGGAGGCATGCACCAGGAGACATTGATCCGGATGTGAGGGAATTGGTATTCACCCATCAGAAGCTCGTCGTCGAACTTGGCATCCTTTCGGAAGTGGTACTGGAATTTCACGGGGTTGACACCTTGCACGGCAGATCCGGAGACGATGTAACCACGGTCATCATACTGAATGACTTGGCCACCGAGCTCGCCTGAGGTACATTGTCGCTGAATGGGCAGCTTGGGAAGCTTCTTGCCATCGCCCTCTGGGTATTCGTAAGTGTAGTCATTGATGACCTCCTTGTTCTTGTACTCCTCGCGACGGCGGAGGATAACCTTGTCAGAGTAGGTGTTGATGGCAATCAGTTGTGACTGGTCCTCGGGCTCCTGGGCGTGGAGTCCAGAGTACTGGTACAGACGAGCAGTACGGTCAGGCAAAGGACGGTAGAAGCAAGTCATGGGCCCAGTAAGACTCTCGATGACGATGCGGTCCTTCTCAATGGTAGTTTTCCAGCCACCGGTAGCCTTGTAGAGGTCGGAAACGTTCTTGCGACCGTGAACCAGGACAAGAGGAATGAGTAGTCTCTGAAGGAGCTTGCAGAAAGACCACATTGAGTTGAGCAGGATTTGGATGGGGTAGGCGAAGATGATGGGCAGTCCTCGAAGAACATAGTTGAGCTCACGCTGGTACTCAGGATCGGCAACCAGACAAATGAAGGTGAACTTGACAACAAGGTTGATCTTGTAGAACAGGCTAATGAATGCGTTCTGGAAAGTCTCGGCGAATGGCAGGTTGGATGCGATGGGAGGGGGCAAGACACGGTCCACGGGCTTCTCGTAGGTCTTATCCATGAGCATTGGGTAGTCAGGGTATGTGTCATGCTCCATCCAGCGCTGGGCGAAGAAGTTGACAGAGAGCGAGATTCCAACGCCGACATTGTAGCGAGCAATGTAAGTGCAAACACCGTGGAGATCCTGAGCATTAGCACGAGCCTGAAGCCAGTTGAGCTCATCTGCCGCGATATGACCGGGGCGCCCTGAGGCACGGCGGACAAGAAGAGAGCGAGCACTCTCGGGGAGGTCGTCCCACTCAAGATCAGCATCAATACCAAGGAGAAGATGACGGAGGAAAGTAACGCGACCGTGGTTGGCGACACGCGCACATTCAGCCGGGTTACGCTCCAGTTGGTACTTGACACCTTCCGGCATGGACAGCTCAAAAGGATCGCGGTGCTCCATAACCAAGAGCTCAGACATCATCGAGTGATCGTGAGAGAGACCCAGTCTAGCTTGGGTGGTGGCCTGGACAACAGCTTCGGCAATAGTCTGGCAGTTACGGCGGATGTTGCTCGTCCAGTCCTGTCCTCCAAGACCAGGGCCAACAACAACGAAGATGCGAAGCTGATCACCAGTCAAGCAAGAGATGGCACGAATTCGCTGTTCCTTCTGGAGGAGGTGCTCGGAGGAAACAAACTCAACAATAGTTTGACCAGTCTCCCACAAACGCACGACCTCACTAACAAGGCTCTCGGCATCGGGGAAAGCAGCCTGTACTAGGAGCGAGCTCCTCCATCCAGCATTGGCAAGGATATTTTTCTTAACCTCAGATCCAGGGTGAGTAGACGCGTCAAGGCGGTAGCGGAACTCATCATCCAGAGAGCTGATGTGGTCAAAGGTCTGTGCCATGGTAGTCTGGGAGATATCCAAGTAGGGCTCGAGAGAACTGCAAGTGTAGGTTGAAGGAATTCCGACCTTGGTGGGTTCCAAGACCTTGGCCTTCTTGAATGGGGACAGACCAACATTTGCCTGAATCAAAGAGTAGATAGCGGCAGTCCATGTACCGGATGCAAGACCGATAACACTACTCCAGGTGAATGGAGGGAGACATACGTGCAGAAGCAAACCAGTGAGGAAACCAACGATAGATCCAAGGGTAAGGCAGCGAGCTGCTTCGGGACCAGTGAAAATACGGTTGTACTGGTAGAACAGAAGACCACTGTAAGCACCAATGTAGGCAACATACATGATAGTGGAGGTACGCTTATCCTCAAAGGCCCACATCAGAGCGAAGGTAATGGATGCACCCCAAATGTGGAGGAAGAAGAACTTTGTCAGGTTCGTCCAGTAGAGTCTCTCTCTGTCCTTCTGATTATGGGCCAAGACATCGCGCAAACCGTTCAAAGAGCCAATGGGCTCGGGGTTCCGTTTAGTGACCGCAATCCAGAGTGGCTGAGAGACGGCGTCAAGCATAACTGCACCAATGAGGTAGTATCCCAAGCCAAATCCGACAGATAGACGGAACTCAGCGCTCGAGGCGCTGGAAAGACCAACAAGTGCCTCACCAGTGAGTAGAGCAGTCCACTTATCAATCAAGGCAATGACGAAGTAGAGGATACCACACCAGACATCGGCACCAGTGTGACGCCAGTGGAGGAAGGCATTGTGCATCCGAATACCTTTCTGCATGTCTGCGATGGTATCCACAGCAGCCTTCAACTGCAAGTTCCAAGTGGGACTGTAGGGAAGGGGAATCTGAGTTCGCGAGTATCGACAGTACCAAACGAGCAGGAAAAGCGTAGAGTCGTAACCCTCTGCCATCTTGCGAATGAAATCATCGGTTGTAGCCTTCGACCAAACTTGACGCTTGCGCTCCTTGTTCACCTCATCAACCAGAGCCTGGCGAGGCACGGAAGACGAAGAAAGCTCTTTGAGCAAGGCCGGGCTGGGAGACGGCAGGGTCTTGACATACCAGTCTAAAACTTCACCGTCGGTGATCGTGGGAATGCTCAAGTACCAAGCGTTCCACTGAGAGATGACGCGACGCGCTCCCAGAAGGAGGGCGGTAACGAAGCAGCCAACAACACACAGGTAGATAACCGAATCATGGCCCACCCAGAGGGTAACCAGGGGAGAGATGAACAAGATCGGCACACACGAGATGATGACTGTTCGGCCAGACTGGAAGTTGAACCCAGGGAGCTGGTAAATGGACAGGACCGACAGGAGCATGAGGTAGGTGGACAGGAAGAAGAAGTAGAGAAAGAACAGGATACCTGCCGCAAAGCCGTGAATGCAGCCAAGGACGATGAAGGCAATGAAGCCACCGACGAATACAACAGCGAGACCAGCGATGAAGCGAGTCATGACGAACATACCCATTGCAGGGAAAGCCATTGCATACAGGTAGTATGTTCCACCGGAAGTAATCCAACTGCCGAATCCACCACAGACAAGAAGCGCAACCATGAGAGCGGTGGTAGCCAAGGTCTTGTCGATATCGCTCATGAAGGTAGTCAGGTATAATCCACGGCCCACGGTCGTCAACATAGTAATATCGATGAGGGCGGGAAGAGCAAAGATACCAAGGAAGGTAATACGGTAATACCAAGGGATGGAGATCTTGTCTCCCTCGGGGTTCAAGTCCATGTCCATGGAAGCATAAGCGGTCGGGATCTCAGTGAAGATCTCATCACGTCGAGTGGGCTGGTGAGTCTTGCAGTATTCGCGGTACCGAGCGGTAATAATCTTGCCGAGCTTCTTGGGAGTCATATCGAGGAACATCTCACAACGAGCACCAAGGGCATACATCTCGGCGAAACAGGCAGCCTGGACAGTGTGAAGGTTGGGGAGCGGGTTACGGTCGAGAACCTCAAGGTAGATCTCATCCAGGGAGACGCGGCGGAAAGCAGAGAAGACGGCAGTTGCGAGGATATCGACACCAGCATCGATTTGACCCTTCTGGATGATAGTTTGCATGACAAGTGCGAGCTGCTCAAGGGTGCGCGAGTCACGTCCCAGCAGCACCTCAGGCAAGCGAGCGTCAATTTCCATGAAAAGTTCCTTGGCAGCAATAGCGTCAGGAGCCCAGCAGCCTTGGTCATCGTAATAAGCCATGCGAGCGGCAACTAAATCCTCGCCTGAGGCTCTACCGCTCAAGTATTCACTAGAGCCGAGAGCGCGAATCTGACCAAGAGAAGGAACCTTGATAAGCTGGTGTTCAGTGCAGGCGCGAACATTTGAAGTCAAGTGCGCACAGTCCTTGCCCAGAGTGGTGGAAAGACGTCTCAACCAAAGCAAGGCCTCAGTAGGAGTAAGCTGCTGGATGTCGGCGACGATACGAGGAGAAAGGTTAGTCCACTTAGTGTGGAGAGCACCGTTGGCAGTAGCCAGAGCGATCTCAGCCATGAAACACTGGAAACGGGAGAATCCGCGGCTGGACATGTAGGTGTGGAGAATGGCACCGGTGCGACCCACCTCACACTTGCCGGAGAGGTAAATGTCGAGGGGACCGAAACCGGGAGTCTTGTCGTACATACCCCAAACCTGGGTCTCCATGCGAGTGCGGAAACCAGAGTGCAGTCCAGAGTAAAGGCGAATGCGATCGTTATCAGTACCTTCACAGGTGACGAGAAGATCCTTCAACTCTCCAGCGGCTTGAGATCCATCTCCTCCAAGCTCCTGCAACGCACGCAGCTCAGCAGCGATCTCGCGCAAAGCCTTGGGCTTGATTGGATCCAGAAGCTTGAGATCGCGAACCTGGCGTTGTGCCTGAAGGAGATCCTGAATGTCCTTGGCGGTGAGATCCAGACCCATCTGGAAACATCCCAGTCCGGTGTAGTCTTCGCCGTCAGGAGAGATCGAGAAGGGGTTGGTCATGTGGGGCTCATTCGGAGCGGCAAGCTGCAATTCATCGATAGTGACCAGTTGCTCGCTGACAACAGACTTGGGGCGAGGAGCGAACAGGGCGAGTTTAGTCTTAAGATCGGGCACGAACGATTCGAGAGAGTCGTACAACTCGTCGTTTCCGATAGCCGAGCTAGTAATATCCTCGTTCTGTCGCCAAATGTTGTGTGCTTCCAAGGTCGTCTCGTCCTTCATCCACATCAAGGCACCAATTGGCTCGTGTGAAACAGTCGTAGCAGCCGCAATAGTCGCATCGGTCAAGGCAGCCTTGGGGGCAATCCAGCTCATAGCACTGGTGTAGTTGCACCACTTGAAGCTGCGGTAGAGGACATCGTGTCTGATCTGAATACCATCGTCGACGGTATCCCACATCGCGAGGGTGGAGTCACCAATAGGCTTCTGAGCAGCAACGATACGCATAACAGTGCGCATCTTCTCCATGTGGTAGAAGTTGCATCGGTCGCCATCAGTTCGGATCGTTCCATTTCGGTAGATAACACCTCGGATCGGAGTCCAGTCAATTTCACGGCATTGCTTTTCGCCGATGTACTCCGTCGGGCCGAACTCCATCCAAACATCCAAACCGATACCGTTAATGAATTTCACAACCTCGTTCAAGACAACGGGCTGAAGATGAGCGTGAGAGTCGGCAAGTAGAACACCACTGAATTGAGCCTGCACATCCTGGGGACGCTTAAGGGTGTTCAGAGTGTCGTTCAGGACATGAATGGCGCGGATGACTTCATCGCGGTGCGAGCCGCTATCGGTAGCGACAAGTTTGCGAACATCCAGGCGAGCAAGGATGTCGGTGGAAGAGCAACCTTCAGCGAGAGCATCAAGAACACCGCTTTGGAGCGGGTCGAGGACAGTAACATCCCATTGGGACAAAAGGCGAGCTTGATCAGCGGTGGGTGGATTAGAGAAACTTCCAAGGTAAACACCGAAAGACTTTGGGGTCTGTCTATCGGATAGAGGCGTATATAATTTTTGAGTCTCTGTCTTTAGCTTTTCAATATACCGTGTTACCCCAGAAGGTACTTCTGAGAGTTCATGTCGTGCCTGAAAAGAGTCAGTTTCAACCACATGGATTTTTCGGGCCGATCGCACTTACGCGCCAATGCCGATAAGTCCACCGGCTGATACGGAAAATAATATAACAAGCACCAATAACGATTGTGGCAAGGAGACCAATAGCCAACACCTAAGATGAAAGTCAGTGAGGTTTGCAAGGAGGCAGGTACACCAGAGTTGAATTGAGTAACGTACCTTCTCCCACCAGGTGTTTGTCATTCGACTCCATCCTACCGCCTCCAGGCCCAAGTATTTGGGACCCATGTTGACAGTGAGTCAAGAATTAACGAGTGAACAAAGAAAGAAAGAAAAGGGTCTTGACCCCGTATTCAACTGAGGTCCCCGTCTGCTCTTCTAACAGCGGGGGAGAAAGTGGAATAAGTATATAAAAAACAAGGGCCATGCGCCACCAGGTCCTTGACACGTCTGGTCCACCGGCGAAAACCGATCAATCTCATGAATTGTAATCAAGTTACAAGAATAAGGAGACCGGATCCGAGAAGCTTGGGGGCGCCCACTGGCCAGGGGGCTCAATGCTGTCTCGGGTCCTGAGTCCAGTCGTGCTAGATTCATACTAGCGGGGGCCAATATCACGGTATATCGTGGTACACCCGAAATAGATTTTGCTTTTTGATTTTAAATTTTTTTTCTCCGTCTTCTAAACGAGGTCTCTGCATGCAAGTCTCACTAACTCCGCGACTGGTCTTACCGTAACAGAGTGGAAATCCCTGCTGGGGCTGACGGAGTGGGCCCACGATTGTGGCTCTCAAGCCATTTGTTCCGAAAGATACAAGCCGATTCGTTTAGCGGTATTGAAAGACAGCGCTAAATGAATTATAACCATGTTAGCTCCAAGACACCTAGACCTTTTGATGGTCTTTGAGTCCTTGGAACGGTTGAAATTGCCTTATAGCTTTTGATTTTTTGCCTCCCCCGCCATCAGCGAGAAAATCCCAAGGTTCTGGTGGATGGCCAAGTCCTGTCCAACTTGAACGGCTTGCATATCATAATCCATAATTACAACTACTCTTCCCTCCGTTGGGCCATTATTCCTCGTCTTGACTTGCTCTTTTTTTCCTCTGCAATGGAGTCCTTGAAGCGAACCGAGGGTGCCTCCCCACCACTGCGTCGGAAATTCAACCTACGACGCCCGTGGTGCCTCGCAGGGTTGATCACTGCGATTATAGTGGTTATTATTGTAATTGTGGTTCCTTTGGCGGTGATTCTCCCAAGAAAGAATTCACACAAAGGCAAGGCATCCAAAGTGTTATTCCCGGTTTACGTCTATCCTGAAACAAACACTACCTGGGATCCTTTGTATAATGCGTAAGTAAAAAACCGGAACACAAAAAAAGGAGATGGGTCTTTGGGATGTTTGGAGCTATGTTAATCCTTGAAACAGAATTTCGACACATCCTGAACTTGATTTTGTGATCATCATCAATCCATCCAGTGGGCCCGGGTCCTCCACCCCCAGCACTCAATACGCGACCGCTGTGCGCCGACTGGATACATATTCCAATGTCCAAAAGGTGGGATATGTGCCTACCCATTATGCCAATCGCAATCTCACAGCGGTGTTGGATGATGTGGCAATGTATGCCAATTGGACCGCGACCTCGACTGCTCTGGGCATGGATGGGATCTTCTTTGATGAGATACCCTATGATTGGAATTCTACCAAAGCCGAGTACCTGACCCAGATCAACGAGGCGGTAAAAAACTCCTCGGGGATCCAATCGCCACACTTAGTAAGTTTCGTTCCTGTTTTTTTGTCTTTTGTGAAGGAACCTGCATGAAAAAGTGGGCAACGTGGAAGAAAGTGGAAATTGGACGGCGGAAAGGTGGTGCATGTGGGGCCCGGATCTGGAACCATCTAATCTGTCGAACTTCGATCATAGCGATCGGTGGTACATGCGGACACGGCCGGAGTGGATCCGTTCGTTTTCGGTCTCGTTTGCTTGCTTGGGAATGATCTTTCGCTGCTCTTTGCTTTAGGACTAGTTCGCCCAATGCTGATCTTCCTAGGTTATCCACAACCCAGGCACCATTCCGGACTCCCGGTACGATGCCAACACTACCGACATTACCGTGGTTTTCGAGCAATCCTATGATTACTTTGAGACTCAGGAGAAGGTGCTCGCTAAGACCCTGAGTGCCTCAAACCGGACCGAATACTCCTACATGCTCCATTCGGTTCCCACTATGACCAACCACAGCCTGAAGAACTTTGTCGACGATCTCAGTCGCCGAGCCGCCTATCTTTTCCTTACCACGCTAACATCCGACTACTACGAAAGTTTTGGGTCTGGTTTGGAAGAATTTTGCGATGCTGTCCCAACGAAGAACTAAAGTCCGATCATCCCAATCTGATGTTTGCTCCGGGCTTTACCAGAGTTGGTAGTAAGAAGCGAGTGAAACAACCCGGTGTATCAAACAGAATCAAGTAAAAAAAAAAAAAAAAAAAAAAAGTTCTGTCGTGGCTAGAACGCGATGCGCTGGTGGCTAATGCGGGTGATGCCAAGATTTGAGGCGTGATTGACAGGGGATTAACGAGATCGGATTTGTTCCTGTGGGCGGGCCGTAATTGTGTAATTAATTTTATTTTATTTTTACATTTATCTTTCTTTTTTCTAATCTTTATCTTTTCTTTCAGCCTCGTGGTTTCGGTCATTTGGCCCTCGTACGTAACAACCCCGTTTCATGACTCCACAACGGAGTGGCGCGAACTCCTGAACATTGTCGCCCTTTAGCGTACCGTGGATTGGCTGGGGACCTTTTTTTCCCCACTTTTTTGGTTTTAATCTAATTTTTCTTGATTTTAATCTATTTTTCTTGATTTTTCAATTTCCCAATTTTCTTTTCCCTTCGTGACGGTCAGCGCTAGTGACCCGGCGCGGGAACTTATAAATCCGGCGTTTGGAGCCACGTATGGAAGTCATCCTCTCTTCCCCTGATCCACGGTGAACACGATTGGTTGTCCAGTTCCAGGGTCCGAAAAAAACAAACGGTTTTTTATCCTCTATTATTGATCGAATATGGCCATGCTGCCCAAATCGACCGTGGTGGTGCCTTTGTACATCTATCCATTGGACTCTGAAACCTGGGCTCCACTCTACGCAGCGTAAGTCTCTAATCCAATACATGGGAAACATTGGGCAGGTCATGAAAGAAGGAAAGCAAAAAAAGACCACTAGGCAACAGGGCAATAAGCGACAAAGCAATGAGCCAATAATTGATCATAATACCAGCATCGAGTCGAATCCTAATCTCGAGTTCCTTGTTATTGTCAATCCAAACAGTGGTCCTGGCGAATCTCCCCTCCCCGACGCCAACTATGCTCGAGAAGTTCCCCGGTTGAATGGGTACCCCAACGTGTACACCGTAGGCTACATCCGAATCGACTACTGCAAGAAGCCCCACTCAGAGGCCTATGCCGAGATCGAGCAATACGCGGGATGGTCGGCCCAATATGACTCGACAAAGTTGGGAGTGCGAGGAATCTTTGTCGACGAGACCCCTAACCATTACTCGTCTGATAGAGCCGAATATCTGAGCGAGCTAACTAAGTTCATCAAGAATACTCCAGGTATTCTTGCCGATCGCTTTGTAAGTGCCGTCCACGGAACTCTCGGGAGAACAAAACAGGGGCTAATGAACCTTGGGACTGTTTTAGGTGATCCATAACCCCGGCACCCCGCCAGACGTGGTGATTAGTGAATCCGCCGACATGTTTTTCATCAGTGAGGAGCCCTACCCGCGCTACCGATCGGATGAGGTCCAAAAGTGGCTGGGGCGATTCAAATACGACCGGAACCGCTCCGGTGTGATGATCAATGAGGTCCCATTGGATGATCTGGAGAAATTGGTCCATGAACTGCGCCACAGGGCTGCCTATATTTTTGTGACCGAAATTGCTGGTGATTTTTATGAGCGCTTTGGTCCCCGCAGTTGGGAGGCCCTTATGCAGGCTCTGCAGTAAATCCTTGCAACGTGGGGCCAATGGGCCATATGGCTAATGGATACTCCGTGGAGACTTTAGTTTGACTGGATGAGGGGCTTGCAATATTTTCCTCCCCATATTTTACTTTGTATTTTCTCGTTCCTGAGTACTTTGTTCCTGGGTCTTATGCATGCTTCGTATAGGAACTACATTTCGGTGTGTCAGATGCGGGCGTGGCGTTCGTATCCCGACTGTGGATGTATGCGGCAAAGTAATCGTCCCAATTTGTCCGCACTCCGCCCGTAGCTAAGCTCTAGAGCTGCCTATTGGTGGGCCGTGCTCGGGGTATTAACGCCGGGCCCGAAAATAAATAGATTAATCATTTTTAGCCTGCGATGGCTCATAAGGCGGTGCGCCTCATGGCGACAGATAACGGGTGAAACCTGTCTTATCACATGTGGCCTTTCTTATCCGTTAACGTTCTGCAAGGGGCAGGAGAGAAAAATAGACGATACATAAAGTCAGTCTTGTAACCGAGCGTCAAAGCTCGAAAAATCACAAAATCCACAATTTCTGTTCTCAGCGCCTACAGTCCAGATGTAAATGGACTCGATCACATAACCTTATTTCGGTCAATGCCGAATCATGGTCGAAGATCTTTAGCCGATGTTCCTTGTTGATCTGTAAAGCTGCCGTCAAAGTCTTACAACGGGTCAGAAAAAAAAAATTTATAAAATAAAAAATAAAATAAAAAACCAAGAAAAGTCAATTGGCCCACCGACCCAAACAACATGGCATCATCAGCTTAGCTGACGGCTATTTTAGAATCCCTTTGAGCCCTGGATACTCCGAGTTTCAATGCGAAACCATACATCATACACGTGGCAGAGTACCTTGGAACACATTAGTCCCGTATTTGTAAAAGCCAAGCCACCCGAGCCAGATAAGTGAGACATTCGATCTCGTCTCGCCTATCTGCAGAGAACCAAAAGTCTGTAAAGTCCAGCCCTGTTTACTTCAGAAAACCTGAAAATTTAGCCCCGGGTCTAGTTTTGTAATATTTCGATGTGGCAAAGATGCCGAGCAAGATTTCTCCAAGACAGTGTAAAAGAACGTATCCAAATCCACTTAATCCACAATGCAGTCCTGCAGTTACTTCTAATTTCTAATTCCTAAATCTCCGGGTAATGGATCATGGACGCTCCTTGAAGGGGCCTCTTGAGCTCCATCTCGCTCTACCTTCTTCCTCCCGACATTACACAACCATGTCGTCCCCTCCACCAGGATTCTCAACAGGCGCCAACTCGCCGCAATTCTCTTCAGATCCATCTACGCCAGCCACGGAGCCTGATGATCCGCTGGACGTTGACGCCGACGAATATGTTCTCGTAACAGGTGGCCTAGGATTCATTGGCAGTCACACATCTCTAGAGCTTCTCAAAGCTGGCTACAACATCATTATCGTCGACAATCTAAGCAATAGCTACAGAGATGTCTTTGCGCGCATCATTGCAGCCGCAAAGCTGCACTATGAGCCATTGGGTCGTGCAATTCCCAAGGCAAAGCTCTGCTGCGCAGATTACCAAGACATGTCTGCAATGGGTGTCTTACTCGGCACCCACCTGACCCGGAACCCCGGCAGCACGACAACCCGATCAAAGATCACAGGCGTAATCCATTTTGCGGCTTACAAAGCAGTCGCAGACAGTATCAAGCACCCACTGAAATACTACCAAAACAATGTTCGCGGCTTAATTGATCTCCTAAGTCTGCTAGACGACCATGGAATCAAATCATTCATTTTTTCCTCTTCAGCAGCAGTCTACGGAACCCTAGCAGACGGGACCCCTCGACTGCGCGAGGAAAATTGTGTTCATGAGCGCGTATCTTACTCCGCTGACGATGGCAACGATGTATCAGTTGAACCAGGCTGCACGGGAATCACAAACCCCTACGGCCGAAGCAAATGGTTCGGAGAAGCAATCCTCTCAGATGTATGCACTTCCGATCCTTCCTGGACAGTCTTGTGTCTCCGATACTTCAATCCAATCGGTTGCGATGCATCCGGCCTCCTAGGTGAAGATCCACGGGATTGCGCCTCGAACCTGTTCCCAGCTGCCGTGCGCGCGTTAACGGGCCAGAGTACTGAATTGTGTATCTACGGTACAGACTGGGATACGCGGGATGGAAGTGCTGTGCGCGATTTTATACACATTACTGATCTCGCGCGTGGACATGTAGCGACTTTGTCCGCTGCGCAGGAAGGCAGGATTTCTGGGTCTTTCCGGACTTTTAATCTCGGTACTGGAACCGGTCATTCCGTATTGGAGGTGATTGAGGCACTGGAGTCTGTTAGTCAGTTAGAAATTCCGGTGCGGATTGTTGGGAGGAGACCCGGTGATGTTGGATCTTGTGTTGCTACGCCCGACCGAGCAGAGCGTGAGCTTGGATGGAGGACGGAGAAGTCGTTGCAGGATGCTTGTGAGGATCTTTGGAATTATCTTAGAATAGACGCTGATCAGATTCAGAAGGAGTCAAGTGTTTGCTAGTGTATATAGTAATGGTTAATTTGGATAGATAATTTTTACGACTCTTTAATTCGGGACCTAATTCAGTACATCAATCTATATGCTCAATCCATTTAAACGTTGAATGTTCACATTCCAAGGTTTATACTCTCGTCGGTAATATGTGTTCGTCAAGATATATATTGATGCGGGGTAATGACCTTTTACCCCCGTAAAAACAAAAACGTTGGGACCTGAAAACCAGGGACGCAGAGAACCCTAGAAACCACTAGTAACTCAAAAACAACAATGACTTTTACCACGAAAATAATTATGCTTCCATTCATGGACTTACAAAATACGAGATGAAAGAGAAACCTCACCCATGGAACGACGAACAAAGAGGCCGACAGTATAAACTTTTCACTGCAGGGTCCGCCCCAGCATACGCCCCAAAAATAAAGTAAACAGGGAGATACGGAGTAGAAAGTATTCCGTCCTGGACATGATTATGCGGGCGAAAGGATCCAGACCAAGAGGGGCGCAATTTTAATCCAGTTTACTTGAAAAATACAGAGGTCCACGGATACCCCTCGGACTTAGACCTGAACAAGCGAATCCATCAAAAATAGACTCCAGTTAATATCAAATAATAGGAGAAATCAGGATGTCACTGAAGTATCAGTTGCGTCATGCAATTTATTTGATTGAGCTGCCCTGTTTAAAGGAAATGAATAGATTGATCCGCCGCCCCCGGGCTTCGGAAGACCCACAGGTAAATAATTGCCTTGGCCACGTAATGTCAACCATGTTTGCAAAGATTGACAGGATGCTGTTGATTAATTCACAGAATAATAATACAATTAATATATATTCAAGGCTAAGCTATCGGCATCCGTGCACTTCCGACACGACGTTGTTAATATATTTTAATCAGGTTAAAATGAACTACACATGTAATAAGAAAGGAAGTGATGCTATTTAGAGTATGTGACAGCTAAAGTTTGGATATGTATATGCGATTACGTTGTCATCGTTCACTCCTTCCTAGACTCATGCTCATAGCGCTACGTCCGTTATTGCGCCCCGTCAAGATCAGCATGGAACTGGGTCCTTCCAAGGGCCACAGTAATGAGCAGCAGCGGAATTCAGGGGCATTCGAAAGTTGACTGAACTTGAAAATATGTGAAAGCAAATGTGGAAACAAAGGAGGTTCAAGCCCGAAAGAGAGACACTTGGTCTCAAGTATCATGCAATGTAACATCCATGGATGCTGAAACGATATTTGAAATTTGACTGAAGCCAAGTAACACACAAAAGGATAATAGCAGCCGTAAATAGCAGTCACACATGAATTTGTCGTACAAAATAATCAACATTCGATCTATTCCCATCCTTGTTTACCTCTACTCCCATCACATCTAATGTTTGTTTGCTGCAGGGTGATACTCGTTCACGAGGCCCAATTGATTAAGTACTCGTGACTTCAGCCTCATTCTTACCAAATAACTCCCGAGCAAACTCCTTTAGCGCGTCGTTTATCTCGTTCGGTCGCTCCAGCTGAATCCAGTGCCCACACTCTTCAAATCTCTTCACCCGAAGATCGGCCACCAATTCCTTAGTACCAGCAATACCCATATCTGCCCTTGCGACATGATCTTTCTCACTCACAACCAAGAGTGTGGGTAAATGACAACGTCCGTCCGTAATGTCGGCTTCATCCGCTAGGTTGACGCCGCGAATCGCGGCCTTGTACCAGTTCATGGGGCCCCGATATCCCTGGGCAAAGATTTGCTTTCTCACCTTGTACTCCTCAGGAGTATACCAAGAAGGATACGGGTCAGTTCTACCTGTGCTGACGTACGCTGCCGCAGCCCCCAGGGGAGCAAAATTGACTTTCCAGTCATCTGGATTAGCTGGATAGACGAGCGTGAAAACTGACTCCGACTGTCAAATTCGTCAGCGCCTGTGGATCTAAGTTACTCTATAGCGAGGCTTACATGATCGTCACAATCCTTGACTGCCTCCTCGGTATTGTGCCATGGCCAGTAGCCAAAAGGCTCGTACCCAATGAGTGACTTGATATGTGAGTTTATTTTGTCTACGTTGAGACATAAGGATTAGAACTGCGGCTAAAAATAGGACTCGGATACCTTACCCATGTCCCAGACCATACCGGGTTTCGAATACCCGACCGAAATAAGCACAATGCCTACTAAGCGATCGGGCACATACGAGACAAGTCGTGAAAGCAGCCCGCAGCCCCTACATCGAATTCTCATGTGAGCACGTGTGGTGGCATGCACGACTCAGACATGCATGAATAGACTCACCAATCATGACCCACAGCCAGACAACGGTCGACCTTTTCGATGTCCAAGATTTCGGCCATATGGAGAGACATGGTCTTCAAGCGATAAAAAGCTAGATCAGCAGGCTTGTCCGTGCCGCCATAGCCCAACAGGTCAGGCGCGATCACGCCATATCCTGCGGCTGAAAGCGACTTGATCTGATGGCGCCAGTCGTAGCAAGAGCTGGGATATCCGTGGAGGAGCAGGAAAGTGATTCCATCGCCTCTGGTAGAAGGATGAGCGACATAACCATATGTTGTGCCGTCAGATAAAGTTGCCTTCTTGGCGAGGGACGGGAATGCTAGGGAAGCCATTATTGGGAGATGAATATGGTGAAGGCTCGTTGCGGATTGGAGCACGATGTGACGATATTTATATATATTCCTTTTACACAGTTTCTATACACATGAGTTTCGACATATGAAGCCAAACGAAGCAACCCTCCAAGGTTGGAAATCCTTCGTTCCTTCGTGAGTCATAAGGCTGACCGAGAAAAGGGATTGAGCAAGGCTGTCATGTACTGCTTAGATGGATGCCGCGATAATTTGGTGTGACTCAAATGGTCCCTCGTTCGTCGCCTATGAATGGTCGGATTTGTGGGCCTTTCAGTGGGGCAAATGGTGCGGGGATACCGGCCAAGTCAGAATTCCCAAGCCGTCTTTCGAACACTTCGTACAAAACATCATCATAAACTTCGCCTAAATACTTGCCAAGGGTGAGATGATGACAGAGTGGTGAGATAATATCAATCAGACTTGGCCAATACGTGGCGGTACAATAGGACATCCGCTGCTCCCAATCAGGCAACATTCCCGTTCTTATGCCGCCCAATAGTTATGCAGGGTATCAATAAAGTAGCCGAGCCGTTCTTTCGCCTTCATGGACGCCTGATACGAGTAATCTGAACCGCAGGAGTTCTCACTTAGCTTCAGGGAAGGGAATACCCTTCGTTATCTCCTATCTGTTCTCCATTACGAACCGGGCCCACATTGGTGACCTGTCACCATTTCTTTTCTCAGTGACAAAGGCTGCCAAGAAGCGCGCCATTGAACTATATATGCGCCTTTTACTAGGCGATTCGTATGTGCCAGCCTCTTCATGGGCCAGAGCTACTGGAAACTTCTGCCTTGGATGCTGGACCGATCTAGGCCCAAGACCTGCCCTCCACCTCAAATATGCACAACGAAGAGGCAAATAGCCGCAACATGGGCGTAGCCACCCAACGGCAAATGAGCTCTTGACATAACTATATCCGGAAAAATGATACAGACGATTCTAGGAGAAGATTGCTAACCCAATTGGCCCCTGGAGACAAGACAGGTCATAAGGGACATTGGTTGCCTGGGTGCGCATGTACTGCGGCTAGATCTCTGAAGCGAGATTCAGATACTGAACCGCCTAATTTGGCGTCTTTCATATGGAAAAGGATCTGCTTGAGCACGCGTCGAGTCCTTCAGCTACTACAACTCAGTCCTTACTTGTTACTTCTGATTTCCGATTCCGACCGGACAGTCCGGAGATCTTAATTAGATATCTATGAATTGTCACCGAATGCCCAATCTCTTTGTTTAGACTCTAGCGCATGTCAACGCTTCTCAGCTGTGAGGGAACCTAGTCGTTGACGCAGCCATCTCGGGAAAATAACAGGGGAAAGACATTGACGAACAATTACTTGATAACCACGACGGCAGTAATGACGAAAAGGACTCGCAATCAAACCTGGGAAGCGACGAACCTATGACAGTAGCTTAGCTAAGGAGATCAACCCATGAACAATGCCATACATATTGCAAACTGGGGTCCGAGGAGAGTGTCCATTGTAATTCTGGCAATTCGCTTCATCTATATAAACAGTCTACGTGCTAAAGCGCAACCTGTAGCCAAGGTCTTCTGGAGTATTGCATAGCGAAGTGAGGGGTTAATTGGAAGTGTCTTGAGGATGTCCAACAAATGGGTTCCTTGTTTGCCGTTTCACTCCATTCACGGTCCAAGGCTTGTTGTTGGTCTGATGACAATCTCAAGTGTGGAGATTATGGCTGGTAGTGTTACCAGCATTTTCTTGAGTGGGTGAGTTCCGTCAATAACGAGTAGGGAATGCTTCTGAAAAACTCAAGTTCACTGGCTATATATGATTATTTCTGAATAAGATTGCGAATACATATTGGCGAAAGCATTACTGCGCCGCAGGTTAGCTGAGCCCTAGGCTTCAGATGTATACATTTGGCGCTTCCCTCCCGTTACTCCCAGGGCTGTCCATTAGGTCATATCATCATTGATGTGAAAAGTTAACTTCAATAACAGATTACTCCAAGTCACAGAGAATCATACAAATTGTCTGGCAGTCTCGGATCAGTATGTCAGTCTCATTGATTTTTACTGCAGCATAAACCCAGGATATCACCTATGTAGGCAAGTCTCAGTCTACCAAACGATACTTTGCTGACGAGCTATATTGGAGCTATATAACTTTATATATTAGGGTAGTTCGTGATAAGCTTTCCCACTTCCAGCATATTGCACTGCGCCTAGGACCGCATTAAAAAAGCTGTGATTTTAGATATTGAAATTAGCCCAAAGATAAATGGGGTTGTAAAACAACTGCCATGAGCACCGAATGCAGCCCCAGGAAGAGAAAATAGAAGACGGTACTGTTAATATGGTCGTGTCAGCGAGTGTCAGATAATAACAGGAGCTATATCAATACTTTGTGATCGCTTAATGCTGCGGCGCTTAGAATATCTTGAAGTGCCAAATATCGATGCACGTAATTGACACTGGCATAAGAACCGACAAGAAGTTGCACATCAAGTTCACCACCAACCCAAGCAGTCAGAAAAGTCACCAATCAAGTTGATCGATGGTTAAAAGGAGGTATCTCTGCCTTGAAGTTCAGGCCTAAATACAAGCGTCAGGTTTGTATCACTAGCGAATCACTTTCTTGTTTCCCTCGACAGCTAATTCAATTCAAGATCTTTGTATGGAATGTATGGAAGTTTATTTCTATGAAGCTAATTGCGCCAAAGGCATATTCACCAAGGGGATTGAGGTGGCTATTATTTTTCGTCATCAGAGAGTGGAAAATCCCGCGAGCGAAAACTGCTTTTTGTATGTTTCAAAGTATCGACAATATTCTCAATAAGGAGAGAGGACAGGTGTGGTTCAGGCTCTCAGTCCCTCTTTTGCCGAGGTGATGCAAAATCCGAAATTCGGAGCGAGGACATTGCCGGTCTTGCTAGGTTCCCCGTTCTACGCAGCACATATAAGAATGCAGACTTTAGTCAACATAAATAAAACGAAGGCAAGACTGCTTCTCGCAAAGCTTTTTCATCTTTCAACTGTCTGATTGGAACCACTTCCCTGGTCTCGAAAACTTTTGCGATCTGACAATCATGGCTCTACGAATGGCACATGGACGTCTCAGGTTGTTCTCACCTGCACTGAGCTACTATCTCAGTAGCGCCCCCTCATGCTCATTGATTACTCATGCCCATAAAAGAAATGCTCAAGTGACGCGCAAATTCATCCGTCCGAGTCTTTCATTTTCAGTCAGGCATAGTTCACATTCACCCATGGGCAAATCTACTACGAAGACCCGAAAGAAAATAACAATCCAAAGCCTTGTCCGTCTCTATGAGAAAGAAGAGCCGATCAGTGTCCTCACTGCCCATGACTTCCCAAGCGCGAGTGTTGCCGAAGCTGGAGGAATGGACATAGTGTTGGTCGGGGATAGCTTGGCCATGGTTGCATTGGGCATGGAGGATACAAATGAGGTCCTCGTGGAGGAAATGCTACTGCACTGTCGTAGTGTCTCACGGGCTGTCGAAAGTGCATTCACTGTAAGTGATGAAGTCTTCTTTTGGAAAACTCAGATGCTTATCTGTGTGCCATGGCATAGATCGGAGACCTGCCCATGGGCTCCTATGAGGTCTCGCCGCAACAAGCCATGCAAACAGCCGTTAGGTTTGTCAAAGAAGGTCGTATGAACGGCGTGAAGCTCGAGGGAGGCGAAGAAATGGCACCAACCATTAAACGAATCACTGATGCGGGTATTCCAGTGATGGCGCATATTGGGCTTACCCCCCAAAGACAAAATGCTCTCGGCGGATTCAGAGTTCAAGGAAAAACAGCTGCTGGTGCATTGAAGTTATTGCGCGATGCCTTGGCAGTGCAAGAAGCGGGTGCTTCTCTGATCATTATAGAAGCAGTACCTGCTGAGGTCGCTGCTCTAGTAACCAGTAAGCTTCGGGTTCCAACAATTGGAATTGGATCAGGTAATGGGTGTTCCGGGCAAGTGCTTGTTCAAATTGATATGATGGGCAATTTTCCACCTGGAAGATTTTTGCCCAAGTTTGTTAAAACGTATGCGAATGTCTGGAATGAAGCTTTGCAGGGAGTTGAGAGGTACAGGGATGATGTCAAAAGCAGAGCTTATCCTTCGTCGGAGTATACATACCCTGTGTCGGAAGAGGTGATTGAAGAGTTGCGGCGAGTGTTGGATGATAGTCATCGGAAATAGAAATATATGTATGAAGCAATAGACAGAATCTGCCAATTCCAACCTTCACACGCCTTCTTCTGCCGCATGTCGTAAAGTCCTTAGCATCTCAACCCGTGGACATTGATCAAACACATTGTATACTACGGTACATGTCTGATTATGTTATAGGGAGCCATAGAACATTCCGGCCACTGTAGAATGATCTGATCCTCGCTATATCACCTTTTCAAATATGAATAAATCAAAAGAAAAAAAAAAAAAAAAAAATTGGCGTGCGCTCAGTCGAGGGCCTTCAACGGCTGATGTAAGGTCACACAATAAGCCACACCCGAACGTGGCTCTCGCGGTACCTGGCCTGGTTTTATTACCGAAATGGGGTAATTCGCTTTCCGGATCTGGTTCATCTCCCCTCCCGATTGGTTAAGTAAGTGCGCACAAAACACCGTTGTACCCCCCAAGACGTCAACCTGTCAATTGTGTGCCATGGGCTTTTTGATAGCTGTTTATTTTGCCTTGTCTACGGCGTGTGAATCGGTTTTCATTTTTTATCTCCGGTCGCGGCAATTTACGACCCTGTCGGACTGAAATATGTTGTGTATATCTGTGTCCTCTCCACTTTCGGCGTTCGTGTCGACTCAGGTCAGCAATTTACCGTGTATACTCTGGCACGATACTGAATTTGGTATACACAGTCTCGGCTATGCAATGCTGGGTTTTATTGAGAATAACATGCAAGTCCTCGCTCTTCATTTCAAACGATTTCACACCACTTAGAGAAAGGTTTATTCGATTTTGGCAGACAACCCAAGGGGAGATGCCTCTTGCGGTGATGGATCTGTCACACTCTGAGAACTCTTCAGGGAAACCCTGTCTAACCAAACAGGTCCCAGGATAGACAGAGAGGACAAGGCGACAGCCACATAGAAGGACTGGGTGAGAGCTTTATTGTACGCGGTCAAAACAGATGGCAACTGCTCCGCGGAAACGACTTTGCGCAGTCCAGTTATGCCACCTTCAAGGATATCGTTGGAGTTGGCATCCGGGGCATACTCATGCAGATTAGATACCAACTGGTTCTGGAAAACTGACTGACATACTGGGAGGAAAACTGCTCCAGCCAAAGTCTGCCCAAACAACAAGAGGGTCGTAGCTACGGGTATGTCCTTTAAAGGTACAGTGACTTGCGAGACAAGCAATACAGTCTGTATGCCAATTCCTAGGCCAAACACCATCAATACTTGATATCCAAACCAATATCCAATGCCCGAATCAACCTCCAATGTACTGAGCAGTCCAAGCCCTACTGGAGTGATGATAGCGGACACCATGAGTAGTGGAGTGTAATACCCGATCCATGAGGTCAGAGCTCCAGCGAATAAGGAGACAATGACCAAACCGAGAATCATGGGCAGGTTCATGATACCAGACTTGGTGGCTGACACACCCTTCACAGCCTGGAACCAGATCGGGAGCTATTTAAGTTAGCACTAACAAAAGCATAGATTGAGGGAGAGAGGTATACATCGTAGGTGAAGACCGTCAGAGTGCAGCCGAGACAAACGGAAAACCACAAAGCTCCAAGGATATTGTGATCCTTAGCAATATGCAACGGGATACTAGCTCGATCCTTCTGCCAGAGCTGAATGATAATAAAGGCTGCAGTAAGCACTGCGGACACACAAAATAGAGCAATGATACGTCCATTATCCCATGGATATTTCGTTTCCCCCTAACTGAAGGGCCAATAACAGAGAAACAACAGCTGGAACTAGTATCACTTTGCCGATCGGGTCAATCTGTCCGAGCATTTGCTTCTTGCTGAAATTGAGTCGCTGGGTGGGAGGCAATGGTGGCATAGAAAATACAATGCACACGATGGCAATTGCCCCCATGGATAGGTTCATATAGAAGCCCCATCTCCAGGTGACGTAATCGGTGAATACACCTCCAAGCCTGCTATGAGATCAGCTTACAACCCTTGAGGGCATCACTTTGTCGATGTGAAGCTTACAGAGGACCCGCCACACAGGCTATGCCATGCATCGAGGTCAAAAGGCTGGTATACATCGGTCGGTAGCGTAGGGGTACCAGTCGTGTCATTACGACAAACGAGCCCAAAGTTATACCCGCTGAGCCTAAGCCAGCGATACTTCGTCCGACGATAAGTGCCACTGAGTTTGGCGCCACTGCGCAGAGGAGGGAGCCAGCCTCAAAGACAAAGACTGACCAAAGGTATACCCATTTAGTAGCGAACAAAGAGTAGATCTTGCCGAATTGTAACTGCACGGCACACGTGGAAAAGAGGTAAGAGCTTCCATACCAGCCCACATCATCAAGAGAATGGAACTGAGTGGTGATCTTTGGAATAGCAGTAGCAAGGACGGTGTCATCCTGTAGCGCAATGAATTTAGTATTGTCCAGACATGGAAAGAATTACACTTACTAATGACACACAGAAAAGCGATAACATAAGGGATATTGTCAAAAATATTGACTGCCAGCGGGGGATTTCCAGCGTCTCCTGTGATTTGCTTTCTGTCGTTTCGTCCCCTGCCCCGTCGCTAGGTGACTTGAACTGAAGGGAAACTGAGTCTTCCGCCTCATCTTGTGCATCACGCGTGACGCTGTATTTAGGCTTCATCTAGTTTGGTTTTTCACTGTTAGTGGCTAGTGATATGGCGTCCGTCAGAACAATGATGCTGGCGTGAAGAGGCTTGCATATTGATGTGGTATAGGTTTCCTTTGCATACTGTACACAATACCCTGCCCCTTGGTATATGGAATGGTCTACCAGGGGATGGAAATATAGGAGAACGAAAGGAAAACTACTAAATCTGATCGACACGGCGAATACTTGATTAGACCAAGTCAGCTGGTATGACTTTCATATGTGAAAAGTATATACTCAAGCTCCTCATTATGTCACCTAGTCTTATTCAGGATCAAAAAATAAATAAATAAATAAAAAATTAGAAACAAAGAAGAAAAAAAGAAGAAGCCGCTCCACCTGCCTGTTTTGGAATGAACTCCACACTAATACAGGAGTAAACAAGGCAAGGTCAACAAATATTCTAGTAGAATTTGCATGACATGCTTTTGCAGGTACCCTTTGGAGTAATGTGATAATCATGAATCGGTAGAAGAAGACCCGGTTTATCAAGTTATTTGAGACTGACGTCAAAGAAGGCCTCTCGATTAATGACTACTATGAAGTAAATTCGTTGAACTGTTAATTTAGCGAATTGTATTGGAATGTATAGCCTGTCTCTAATAAAGCAAAGGAATGAGATTAATGGTCAACGAATACGAAAGACACTGCAGATAAAGACAGCAAGCGATTCTTTAATGCACAGCCTGGGGCCCAGATGATTTGGAGATGCTCTTTTGCTTCTCCCTAACCGGTGTAATTTTTGTAACGGTATCACGGCATCCTTTCTGTTTGCCTTGCTCCAAGCACTCCATGATTGGAAACATCAAAGCCTCAGAGCGCAACGCTTCGTAAATTCTTGTGATATAAGTACCAATAATCTGAGTATCCTCGTTTGTGGAATTTTGCGCATCTGGTTCAGTGTTGATGGACTTGTCTGTATGTTGAAAAGTAGGATGGTCGACAAGGCCACGGTTCAACGGGACTTTCAGTGTGTGGCGTACATAGTCATACATGATGCGTGCCGCCGATCCTAGGTATGTGGATGTTGGACACTTTGGGCTGACCAAGAGTAGTTGACTAGTTTTGAATGCCTCTGCCATGGCTGTTGCTAAATCCTGAGACCAGTTGTAGATGGTAGTCATCTGTGGACAGTATCCGGTTGCTACCTCAGGATGAGAGGCAAAGAAGGTCACCACCAAAGACTGGGCCGTTTGGCTAACCATGGTAAATCGTTGTTGTGAGTCCTTTGTGGTGGATGAAGCCGACTTAAGAGAGCTTGTAATATGTGTCCACAACAGCGAGTTGAGGTCCTTGCAGGCAGTAGAATTGGTTAAAAAGGGACCGTATGTGTTAGTGGTGATAGATTCCACGAGAGGCTGAAGGGCTTCCAGGAATTGCAACTGCAGCACTCTCAGATCCAGTCCTTGGCAGAGAACGTAGATGTATGATGCGGCAAGCATGGAAAAGACATCAATTGCTGTCTGTGTGTAACGCGCAGATATAAGGGCCAACGAGTTGATGGCCTGATTGGACATCTCTGCTGACTGCACATTTGGTCCGACCGGGTGAGCAAGAAATCCCAGCTCGGAAGTATAGGCCGCCATGCCAATATCGACTCCCTTGAGACAATAGGATAGACTGGGCTCATCGAAACACAGATTCGGCGGCAGACCATTGTTAAGGTCCGGATTAATAATTTCTGTGCATTGAGCAAATAGCATTTTGCTCATGAGTTGTAATGCTGAGCGGGCTTTGTCCATGGCAACGGTGACCGAAAGAGCCTGGAAGTTCCCGCCATGAAGTGTTCGACGCCCGTCGCTGTCGATCAGAGGGTTATCGGTTGTCGAATTGAGCTCAACCGTCACTTGCTTGTGAGCCAGGGTAAGATCTTCGAGCAATGGGCCCATCCACTGCGAGGCCGTGCGAAGTTGGTAGCGGTCCTGGCGCAACGGGGGAGCAGCTCCCACTCCCATCTTTTGAAACGCGTGTACAACCTGAGTGAGTTTCGACCCTTGTAGGAATTTGGCAATGTTGGCGGCACATTCGATTTGGCCCGGATGGGGACGGACCTGGGCAATGAAGGGATCAAAACTTTCGGGATTGCCAGACATGATCTCCACCGCCATCGCTGTCAGAACCTGTGACAGAACTGCCATATGATGCGTTTCATGGAGGCCCAATGCCGCAACTGCTGCTGAGACTGCCGTCCCGTTGATCAACCCTAAACCTTCTTTTGGGCCAAACGATATAGGCTGCATCCCGATCTGGGACAGAAGCCGATCCGCAGGGACGAGTTCTCGGCACCCAGTCTCCTGACCAGGAGTTCCCCTGCCCACTGGTGTCCGGAGCAGGAGCTTGGGGTTACCTTCCAAGACTCCGGCAATGTAGGAAAGGGGACTCAAATCGCCAGAGGCAGAGATACTTCCTCGCAAGGGAACAAGAGGAGTACATTTTCGATTGAGAAGCTCTGTCAAAGCTTCAATGATGGTAAATCTGACACCGGAATGACCCTGCACAAGAGTATTGCAACGGACCAACATTGATGCGCGCACCCATGACTCGGGCATCTCGGTGGTAGCTGCTGACTCCCCTGCACCTGGGTATCGATTCTTGACATTAGAGATAACCCCGTACTGTTGCATCTGCATCAAGGAGATTTGCAGATTCTTTGTATCATCCGTTGTTGTATTGGCACTACCTCCAAATCCGGTATTTATGCCTAGAAAGGGGAAATTTGATTAGAACCGCATCGCTTCGGCTTCTGAGTTATAAAGGATTAACTACCATATAGGATTTCGCCTTGCTCGACGCATTCCCGTAGAAAATTCACGCTTTTATCCACGCTTTCCCTCAATTCAGGTGATTTATCAATTGAAGCCGTGGTTCCGTACCGAGCCACAGCGACCACCTCCGCAAGTGTTAACTGCTTTCCCTTCACCACCACCGCATTTTTGTCGACTGCATCTGAAAATTGCTGGAGTCTCCTCCAATTTTCGAGCACGATTTGACAATGACTTTCTGCAGTCATGGTGGTCACTTGTCCAATATGGATTTTTCTGCAATGTGAGGAAAACAACGCGTGCTTGCGAGAGTCAACTTGTTAAAAGGAAGATGTGAAGAGCAGAGAGCAAGTAATTCAGCCATGATCAGCAAGGGCGCTTCGCTAGCGTATGATTGCAAGGTTACACATAACGATCGATCGCCGATCGCCGCAAAAGGACCCACTCGGTTTTCTGGAAACCTTAAATTCTAGACACACCGCCCGCTGGTCCAGGCTTGGCTTTTCGGCCATTTGCATACTACCCCTTTTAGTACACATAGAGAGGGATCGAAATTCGTCTAGCGGGCTTTTAGTCTCCATAATTGATTTCCTTGGAAATCAACAGCATCTAGGTATGCGAGTGCAGGCCCTTGCCTTACTATTTCTTTTTCCCTCGCTTGGCACAATCCTTGGAAATGCGATATCATATCTGTCATGTGATTAGGCATTACTATGCTGAACTCGCATCCATAAGTAGCATTCAATATATTTATAGAAAAAGGTTTGATCATCAAGGAAACGCGAGACAGGCAAGGGGACGGTGATGTAATGAGCTATTTGAGGGGAAGGAGCGACAGACAATACAGGGCACCCATGGCGAAAGGCGTTTACCAAAGCACAGATGCTCAGTAGTTTGTCTAGCCAGGGGTAAAAAAAGTAAGAATCGGTGAATATTTTGGCCAGGGGCGGATTGAGCACGTAGTGCAGCAACAACAATTCTAACACGAAAATTTGGTAAGCACAATCCCGTTATGATGAGATGATCTTTTTGTTGATAATTCCCCAGTCTTGGAATTTGAATGGGTTGAATTCTGCAATAAAGGTTTACGATGCCCCTGAATGTTTAAGGTTAGGGTTCCGAGGTTGTTTCTAAGGTTATGGAACCGCCCGAACCTTATGAAGTAAGCTTCGGAATATATCCATATATATTCTTTACAATCCACACCTGGGCACTGTGCCCTTATGTATTAACCGAGGTATCTATTAATATATTCAAGTGCCCAGGTGTCCAATCTCATATTTTTGGATTCAGTTCCACCTGGGCATAAGCATTGATTTATCCTGGAATGTATTGCACTAGGCGTTCCGTAATATATATTCACAGACTCACAGACTCCCTATACCATCCATAAATGTACAAATGTTATTTTTCAACGAAACACTCCAAAAATATCGCTACGCTTCCAGAATCTCTCAAGTACTAGAATTGAAAGCTGACTTATTCCAAGGTTTTGTGTTCTTCTCAATCTTCACATGTAATGCACTCGTCACATGTAATGATCGCGCGCAGGGCTTGGCTAAAGAGGGATGATATTGGATTGGAAAGCGTCGGCCTAGGTGCATGATAACATTGATTAAGGGCGGCAAGTGTACAGGTGTATCTGTCGTCCCCCCATATTCAAGTGCCCCTCCCCCCTATATTACCTCAGTATCATTGCTGAAATCCTCATTCATAACGAAGACCAACTGCTGTGAACTCTCTAAGGTTCCATGGTCCTCCCCAGACCATGATAAGTACTAAGGCGCGTCATTTAGCAGGATCATTCAGGTCGGATAGCATGGAATGCTGCGATTGGAGAAGGTGAATGAGGTTAGCCAGTGTTTAATCAATCTTGAAAACATCACACCAATCAACTCACCACATTCATCATCGTGTGATTGCCAGCTGTGAGAAACCCTTAGGCCCACCCCTCCACACATCTTCTGAATGTCCTCAAGAGTCCACTTGCCACTAATAATGGCCAGGACTCGATCACCATGATTGAAGATACGATCATCATCACCACCAAGACTCATTCGCACCTCCCGTGCAGCTTCGTAATAGACACGAAGCATGTGATCTCCCTTGTTGAATTCGCAGCGACAAACCCAATCATCTTTGAGAAAGACCTTCTTCCCCAAATGAAGATTGGCTTGATCCAACCCGTGGAGTATAAAATTACATAGCGCGGGCTCCTTGGGGTTATAGCTGACCAAGACCTTCGCTTCATCCCCGCAGCTATGCACCCCAACCAAAAATTGGCACGAGAAATTCAGACTTTCACACATCTGTGCGAATCCTTTCAAGAGCACTGCCGCGTCTGGGAAAGAAAAGTTTGAAATGCTGTTGCCAACCCAGAGAAAGGTAACCATCTTGGACCTAGAAGCAGGGTCATCACCATCTTTGCCATCGTGAAGATCGCCGGTCGCGGTCGCGTACTGCGAAAGCCAACCAATTCCGTCTTCGTAAGATCCCAAGAGACCTTGTAGCTTCACATATTTAGACTGCCGGAAGATAGCCTTTAGCTTGCCTAGACCTTCGACTAGTTCTCGACGAGACAAGTCAACAGTAGTTGAGTGGAACAAGCAAGGCCATCTCCCCTCGAAACATTAATCCATTACGCAGCTCATTTGCCAAAGGTCCAAGCATGATTCATCAAACCTAGCCATTGACGCGTGGGATGGGCAGCTGAGCTATGCACAACTTGAACACCTGACGACCGAAATTGCTGCAAAACTACGGGACTGGGGAGTTGGCCAAGATTGTCTTGTTCCTGTTTGTATAGAAAAGTCTCTCTGGGCCGTTGTGGCCGAGATCAGTGTTCTCAAAGCTCAGGGTGCTTTTGTTCCCATGGATCCTTCTCAGCCGGCCAGTTGGTGGAAGTCCACTGTCCAGGAAACCCAGGCAAAGGTGGTCATTGGGTCCGCAAAACAGTATCCAGCGTTGTTATCCGCTGAACTTGGAGTTCAAGTTGTTGTTCTATCCCCCGAGACTTTCAGTATCCCCCCTCATAACCACCGGAACAATGAAACCCAACCCACTTCAATCACACCACCCGCGAATGCAGAGAGTACAGCTTATGTTCTCTTTACCTCAGGAAGCACATCGAAGCCAAAAGGATGTTTGATGAATCATCAGGCACTCGCGGATATTATTCGACACAACGAAGCCCCCCGCATTTCTCATGCAAGCAGAGTGCTCCAATTTACATCATACACATTCGCTGTGTCCCTGATCGAGATTTACTGCACTCTCACAGCAGGAGGAACCGTGTGCATCCCTTCCGATGAGGATCGGATGAACAACCTCGCTAATTACTTTGAGAAATCGAGAATCAACTGGGCTCTGATGACACCGTCCACAGCAAACTCACTCACTGGACCTTGTGTGGCCCCAACCCTGCAAACCCTTCTCCTGGCTGGAGAGCCTATGGGGCAACGCCATGTTGATATATGGGCAGATGGTCTAAGTTTGCACCAATGCTACGGTCTCTCAGAATGGTCCGGGATCTGTGCAGTGACTGTTCAGATCTGTCCAAAGCGGATCTGCAGTCCGTGGGACTAATTCCAACCACACCGAACCTGTGGCTCGTCGATCCTAATGACCATCAGCGGTTGGCGCCGATCGAAGCCATCGCCGAGCTGCTGATTGAAGGTCCGAGCATCACTAGAGGCTATTTGAATAACCCGCAGAAAACTGCTGCGGCACTTGTGGACTTACCTCACTGGTTGCAAGGGGCACGAAAAACACCCCAAGAAGTTTCATCCACAAAACTTTATAAGACTGGCGATCTTGTGCAGTATTTGCCCAATGGAAGTATTCGATACGTTGCCCGAAAGGATACCCAGGCCAAAATTCGAGGAAAGCGTGTGGAATTAAGTGAAGTCGAGCATGCAGTAGGCGAGTACTGTTCCTCATCAGATATCAACCGCGTGGTTGCCGAGGCTGTGGTTCCCGGCGACGCGGATGGAACACCGATCCTAGCTGTTTTTCTGCATTACAAACAAGATGACAACAATTCCCGCGAAGGGAACAGTGGGTCTATGTTCATACGAACCAAGCAGCTGCTGTCCGACGCAGAGTCTTTACGCACGCACCTTCCAAATGTTTTCCCTGATCATATGGTACCATCTGTCTACATTGGCCTCGAATATCTTCCTTTGACTATTACCGGAAAGGTAGATCGAAGAGAGTTGCGATCATCAGCCAAAGTGCTCACACGAATGGAACTGGCATCATTTTGCACCACTGAGATAGCAGTCAAGGTGATTCAGCCCACGGAGCCGTCGCAAATCATCTTGCACAGCCTATTCTCCAATATCCTTGGAATAAACACAGACAGCTTTGGAATCCATCATAGTTTTCTCCGTTTAGGCGGCGATTCGATCAAAGCCATGCGCCTGGCACAAGCCTGCCGGCCGTATGAACTTTACTTTAGCGTGGCAGATATTCTGCAAGCCGAAACCATTTCGAATCTGGTGCCCCTTGCTCACAAGGTCTCTACGGTGGCTGGTGAAGATGTGGCAGAACAGCCTACAAGCGTACCCGTGAACAAGAACTATGTCCAGGGAATCGGCAAAGTTGAGGAAGTTTACGGCTGTTCCCCAATCCAAGAAGGAATCTCATTGAGTCAGGCACAAAATTCGGATTACTACAGACTTCGTATGGTCTGGGTCGTTCAACCAGCGTATAAAGGATGCGACGTGGACGTTGAGCAGCTAAAGAAAGCCTGCAATCAGTTATTTGAGCTGCATCCCATGCTTCGAACATTAATTAATATGGGAGCAGACGTTGATGGCTGTGCCGTGCAGATAACACTGCCCAAGCACACAGAATCATACGTACACATACTGCATCATCATTCCGTCGACCCCAAAGCCTTGGCTGTTGCTGCGCCCAGGGGCAGCCATGATGCATCTCCGCCAACCCGAGACTTGCCGGCTCTGTCGATTCATGCATCAAAGACAGGCCCAGTGTTTCTCACCCTAGATATCAACCACACTGTCATTGATGGATTCTCCATGTCAATCATTGCTCGAGATCTCGAACTTCTGTATGATGGGCTGAAGTCGGCCTCTATTCCTTGTGCTGCTCATTCTAAGTACATTGAATACGTGTCAGCCCAACGTCGGCGCTCGGCAAAGACCGCATTAAAATTCTGGCATGGCTACTTGCATGGCCTCAGTCCATGTTTGCTACCATCCTCGAAAGAACAGGACTCACAGAAGGGTCAATGGCACTCTTTATGTATTGACCTTGGAGATGCTAGGAGATATCATGAATTCAGTAAGAAAACCAGCACCACACTTGCGACAGTATTCAAGCTAGCCTGGAGCTTGGTCCTTCGTTCATTCGCCGTCACAAACGATGTCTGTTTTGGTTATATGACATCTGCCAGAGGAGTGCCTGTCCCCGGAATTGAAGACGCTGTCGGACTCTTCATCAATATGGTGGTTCGTCGAGTGAAAATTGACACACAAAGTACATTTCTGCGTGCTTTGCAACAGGTCCAATCCAAGTTTATCGAGAGTCTGGCCCATCAGCATGTATCCCTTGTCGATGTGCGCGCTTCTCTTGGCTTGACACATAATGACCTCATGTTCAACACAAGCCTGACATTTCCACCCGACTTTGAGGCAACTGAGAAACCATCTGTTAGAATCACACAGGCAGCTCTACATGATCCTACGGAGTTTGACATCATGGTTGAGGTACGATCAAATAACGAGAAAGTTCTGGCCACCTTGAAGCATTGGACACACAGGGTGCCCAAAAAAGAAGTCGAATGCCTGTCTAGAGCAATGGCTGTTGCTATTGAGCATATACTAGACGATGAAAGCAAAGTCATTCAAGGAGCACAGGCGTTGGACCCTATCGATTTGAGTATTATGGCTGATCGGAGCGCAAGTCTCCCTGGGCCATCTCAACTCTCCGTGAACGACTTGATTGAATATCAGGTTATTACCCGACCGACTGCGGATGCTGTGTGTTCCTGGGATGGCCAATTCTCGTTCCAAGAGTTGGGAGATTACTTTACTCGGTTTGCTCGGCTTCTTGTTTCCCTCGGTGTAGGCCCCGATGCTTTTGTGCCTATGTGCTTGCATAGGAGTCGCTGGACACCGGTCGCAATGCTAGCGGTTATCAAGGCCGGCGGGGCCTTCGTGTTGCTGGATGATAGCTATCCCGTGCAGCGGTTGAGAGATATTGTGGATCAGCTCTCCCATCCCGGCTTTGTGATCACGCTGCCAGAATCTGCCAGTATAGCAGCCCAATTGACATCTATTGTACATTTAGCTGGAGACGAGCCAAGCGCGACCTGGCCGGTGGATGATATACCACCTCACTCACTTCCCAAAGTTGAGCCATCCACTGCGCTATACGCCGTGTTTACATCTGGACCAACTGGAAAGCCCAAGGGAATTGTGGTAGAGCACGGATCATATGCTCAGAACACCTTGGTTCACATACAACATTTTGCCGTGACCTATCCTCGAGTTCTTCAATTTTCGGGATACAGCTTTGACGTTAGTATATTTGAGCATCTCACCATTCTGACCGCCGGTGGATGCCTGTGCATACCATCCGAAGCCGACCGACTGAACCGACTCGTCCAGGTGGTGTTGGATATGAGAGTAAACCCCATGTTTCTCACGCCGTCCGTTGCGCGGACGATTGTGCCAAGTGATGTTCCAAATTTCAAGACCTTCGGATTTGTTGGAGAGGCCATGAACCAACAAGGCGTTGAGCTCTGGAGTCACTTCGTTCGTTTGACCAACTGGTATGGCCCAGCAGAATGCACTGTCTTTTGCGGCATTCAGCCATCCATGGAAGGCCTTGATTCTCGCAACATTGGCTGGCCGGAAGGTTGCTCGTTCTGGGTCACCCATCCAGAAGACCCCAACCAACTTCTTCCAGTTGGTGCGGTGGGAGAGTTACTTGTGCAAGGCCCTGTTGTGGGTCGGGGCTACATCAAAAATCCCGAGAAAAATGCAGCCGCCTTCATCATGCCTCCGAATTGGCTTTCCATTTTCCCTAATAGCAAGCCAGGGCCGAGTGAACGGGTCTACAGGACTGGAGACCTGGTTCAGTGTTCCCCAGATGGGTCCTACATATATTTGGGCAGGAAAGATACACAGGTGAAACTTCTAGCACCGTTTGGAGGTGACCGAGGTGGAACATCATGTTCGAACCAGCTTTGATGGAGCTACAGACGTTGTTGGCGAAGTATTCAAACCAGAAGGGGCCAGCAACCAACCATTGCTTGTTATTTTCGTTGGCTGCCAGGCTTCGAGGGCAGATGAGCTCTCCACCAGCTTGTTAGGGCCATGGGATGATCCCCAGTTCAAGAAAACGGTAGCGGTAACCCGATCCCGTCTGCAAGACAAACTGCCAGCCTATATGTTGCCGAACATCTTTTTCCCACTCTCACAGGTGCCAATTTCTCGATCTGGCAAAACTGAGAGGCTGCACTTACGACATGCTCTCATGGCTCTGTCTTCAGATGAACTAGACCTCTACAGTCAAACGCAGACAGTAAAAGTGACACCGTCTTCCGAGATGGAGCTTCTCTTACAAGGCCTCTTTGCTCGGGTACTAAACGTGGATCTTGCTCAGGTCGGAGTATACGATGACTTTTTTCGCCTTCGTGGTGATTCCATTGCCGTAATGAGACTGGTGGCAGTCGCTCGCCAGGATAATCTTGTCTTCACAGTGGCCGATGTATTCAATCATCCCGCTTTGCATGATCTTGCCAAAATTGCACGGCCGATCACTGCCAAAGAATCGTCTTTGGACACGTCCATTTCATCCTCCATAACCTCATTCTCTCTACAACCAAAAGAAACTCATCGACAGGAGAAGATCTGGGAGCAAGCCCTCTCCATCAGCGGGTTGGACAAGGATAACGTGGAGAATTTATATCCGACAACGGCTTTACAAGAAGGATTAATGGCACTGACAGCACAACAAACAGCAATGTACACGGTCCAACTAAGACTCTCTGTCACTTCGGGGGCGGATCTTGGTCGCTTGAAAGATGCTTGGCAATCTGTGTTGGACTCGAACCCCATATTGCGAACGAGAATAGTCCCAACAACTGAGGGAAGCATGCAGGTTGCGGTAAAGCCAGAGACCATAGTGTGGATTGAGATAACGGAACCTCACTTTTCTTCGTTGGACGAGTATTTGGCTGGTGATCTGGCGAACCCGATGTCATTTGGTCAACCTTTGGTGATATTTGCGGTCACTTCCTTTTCAGACCATCGCCATGGCATCGAGAGCAATAAAACCTCGCCTCCCAGCTCAGAGATAATATTGACCATGCATCACGCCATTATGACCGCTGGTCTATCTCTCATCTTCTACAGCAGGTTGATGACGCCTACAGTGGTTTGCAACTACCATACGGGAATTTTAGTCCTTTCATTCGCTACCTGATTGATCAGGATAAAGAGGCAGTCCGCGAGTTCTGGTCTTCCGAGTTCAAGGGTCTTGAGATGGCTGAATTTCCTCCATCAAGCTGTTCGATGCCCAAAGAAAATCTAGAAGTGTCCCGTGCATCTGTGTGCTGCACTTGTCGCATTGACCTACCGCAGAACAGCGGATACACAATTTCAACTCTGATTCGGTTGGCTTGGGTAATAGTAGTATCCGCACATACCCAGAGTGATGATGTTGTGTTTGGGTTGACTGTGCTCGGCCGCGGGGCTGCTGTAGCCCAATTTGACGAGATGACCGGGCCGACTGTAGCGACCATACCCTTCAGGGTGAGCGTCAAGGCTACCGATACTATCGAAACGGCACTGGCAGCAATCCAGAATCATGTGACCAACCTCATGGAGTACGAACAAACTGGAATCCAAAACATTAGAAAGATGGGTCCAGAGGCGGCCACTGCGTGCGAGTTTCGAAGTCAACTGGGAATCCAGCCACCCCTCCGCAAGAATAGTGAATCTGATAGTGAGGATGTGATATTTTTCCTCACAACCTCCGGTCGTGATGCTCCAGTACCAAACATTGAGCTGATGACTGGTCCAACTTTTGCAATGGTACCATGCAGAGTTCGGATCTGCCCGAGTCAATCCATCCAGGATGCCTTGCTTTCAGTTCAGCGTACAGCCGCAGAGACAGTAGCCTTCAAGCATACCGGGCTGAAAGCTATTTGCCACATGAATCCAGACACCAAACGTGCCTGCGCTTTCAACACCCATCTCATTTTCCAAATAACTCCAGATGAAGCCTCCGACGAGCCAAAGCTATTCCAACGTCAAGCGACAGCAGCTCCCAGTATCGCAGGTTTCACGAGGGTCCCTCTCCTCGTCAATTTCTTCATGCCGCATGAGGGCAATGTAGTGGATATGCAAGTCGCTTTTGATCCACATGTTATTTCGAAACAAGAGATCTGTCGTTTCTTGTCTCAAGTTCAGCACGTCTTTCAACAAATCTGTGAAGGTGCTGTTCAGTCCATAAATGAGATACAACATGTGAGTCCGGAGGATATGAGAAATTTGCAGGATTTGCACACTTTGCTCCCTGCCAGTCGTACAGCCCCTGATACTCATCCTGTTGACGACCAGGGCCACTCCACTGGTAACATGGGCTGGGTAACGATTCCGTCCGATCCCTCACGCTTAGCTCCCCTTGGAGCAATTGGTGAACTACTGATTGAGAGTCCCGTGATGGATGAAGATAACTTGAATGACCTTGGCGTGACGCCTGGGGCTTACATTGAATCACCAGAGTGGCTCTGTCGATTCCGGGCTACTGGTACGGCCGGGCGTCTTCGTCGTACGGAAAATCTTGTCAAAGTCGGTATCGATGGTTCAACCAAGCTGATCTGTCGGGAAAACACAAAAAGACACCTTGGTCGCTGGATTGATCTAGCCAAGGTGGAGCATGAGGTTCAGTCCCATTTGAAAACTGGGCAGAAAATCGTCGCAGAGGTTGTCAGCTTCCAGGGGCAGGAACAATCCGAGTGTACGACCCTTGTCGCATTTGTTGAATGCAGTGAGGATGATTCAACTTCAAATGTTGATCTCAAATCAATGTAGCAATGAAAGTCCTTTCGGGCTCTCTGAAAACCTCCAATTCCTCTCAAAAATGTCGATACTCCGGGCTGGCTTGCGGAAATGTTTACCACCCTTCATGATCCCGGACGTGTTTGTGCCTGCTCGAAAGATTCCCCTCACCCCTAGTGGGAGGGTCAACCACAATGTTTTGCAACAGGCGGCCTCCCACTTGAATCTGCAGAAATTTGTACCAACGACTCCTAGGGAGGCACCGTTGACGAGGAATGAGCAACATGTTCATCGTCTAGTTGTTGAAACGCTTGGGCTGCCATCCAACGACATCGGGTTGCAAGATGATTTCTTCGACCTGGGAGGCGATGTTTTCAAAGCAATGCTCTTATCCACAAAAGCCCGTCTATCAGGGTTGCCTATCACGGCGGCTGATATTCATGATCATCCATCTTTACGAGAGCTTGCTGGCTTGTGTGTTAGTTGAAGTCTTGAGTATGAACCCATGAAGGGACCTCATATTGTACATAACTTTTAGGAGCTAGCCTTTGAAGGCGGCTCATGACTGCAAATGGCTATATGCCTAATCAAGAAGTTTGAGTCTCATTTCTATGCCCAAGTTGCAGAAAAGCTAAAAGTTCGTAAATACCAAAATCAAGCACAGAATCAAGACCCCGCAGCTTGGGAAGGCATGTCCATAGCGATTGACTGGTACTCAATCCTCGCCTAATTAGCCTTGGTGGACGAGAAAGATTAGGCTTTATACCTGCTCGGCTTTTTCGATCAGAAGTTTACCACACACCTGACTTTACCTTAAGAGATTTCTGTTGCTTACTTTCCTTTTCTCAATGGCTGAAATGATGGTCCCGTCCTCTCGTAGCTGAGCACATGAAGTAAGCTAGAAGTCAGGTGGTTGCACCGTAGCATGTAAAGGGATTATGTTGACCTAATCGGCATGGGAGCGGAGCACGTTTACAAGGATGCTCGTGAGTAATCCCTGAACATTTTTTTCAATTGTGGAAGTCAATCAGCTTATAAAATGTTTCATAACCCGCGACGTTCTAGGTATCTCAGGCGGGTCAGCCCGGGACATCCCTAAGTAAATACACGGGCACGTTCAACATAACCACCTGATTGATTACTTTCTGCAAGTGGATATTTTCCCAAATCAAGGAAGAAAGAAAACAAAAAAGGGAAAAGAAAGAAAGAAAGAGAAACAAATGAAAAAGCCAAAAGGAAACAAGACTGCAACATCAATCGCAACACCTAATCACCACCGAAAGTGAAAGTCAAAGTGCCATCAGATCCAGAATCGTCCCTAAAAGGGTCCTCAATTTGGAGCATAGGACAGATTTTGGCTGGGACGGACTCGCTTTGTGTGCCTTGAGTCGCAAGCAGGGCATCCGCGACTTACGTTTCTGAGTAGCTCTGTTCCGCTCCGCTGCAAGGCAAAGTTGAGAGTATCGAGGCGTGTTTGTGGATATATGCAAGTGTGCTTGGGATCTCCTGACGGTGGCTAGGATATTGCAGGCCTAGTTGAGACCACTGGTTGAAATCAGTACAGCTCAACAATCTATGGAGCGCAGGACAAGTTACTCCTGGAAAACTACGCTAGAATTCAAAAGGGGAGACTTAGTATATTAAATGGGCCTAACAACTATAACATTGGGATGATTAAACATAATGATTGAGCTGCAGACCTCGAGACACAGGAATACTGGCTATTCTCTGGTATCACGGGGTAAAGCAGGTCTGATTTATGAATGAGTTCAATATGACGTTGAAATAGCTCGACGGATGGCAAATACATGAGTAAGCCACTGTTAAAATGATGTTTTGTATTATGGGGATCGAGGCAGGGACATGTGTGATCGAATTGCTGTAACCCTTTCAGCGCCGCCATGAAAAGCTCTTTGGGTGCAGGTATATCTGACTCGACAAGAGCCGATCAATCGGTGCGCCTCAGTTCGGTGGCAGGTTTTGGAAAGTCGCGTCTTATCGGACGGGTGAGAACCACGTCCGTGTCGAGCAGGAGAAATCTCTGGTATGGCAGAATTTTCACGTCAAACAATCTTGGTTTCGTGATTGTATCAACTCAGCAATCCACGATTATTGTCAGGTTGAGGGCCAAGTGTTCAACCTCGACGAGGACTGGTCCGTTGTCTCGTCGTCTCAGAATCTCTTCTGAGCATTTAATTTCCCGGATTCATTGATAAGAGGAGAATACCGGGACTGGCTCTTGAGATTTGGTACTTCGATATTGAAATAGCTGATACACGAATGTCCGAGCGCTGAGGTAATAGGTATTCCTTTTATCGTTGCCCTCTTTCTTTGCCTGGAACTCCGAGGCCGGAAAAGTGCTGATGGCAAAGCGATGGCGGTATTAGGTGGAATCTCAGACCTTTCCAGGATTTGGTATGTCACTGAAATTATCGGTGAGACCGGAAGAGACAAAAAGAAGATAGAGAGTGAAGCCGATCGAGAAAAGACAGAAACATAGCAGCTTTGTGCTCAAACCCTCCTCTGGTGGCACCATTTTGACGATATGGCAAATTAATGGCTACTTCTCGAGGTCACAGCTGGCTTTTAATGTATCTATATGCCTCATGTATCCACCTAAGCGATCGCTTCATTTTTGTAATAGGTACGGTTACATATATATACTGCCGGATGCGACGATGCCGAGTAAAATTTGTTGCCGCATTTGGCCGTATACCACCTCGACTGGGGCAGCTACCTGAGTTTTCTGGTGGGCTATTACGTCTGTTCAGAGAACACTGCATACAGTCCCGCTCTGCTGCTACATTATTACAAGTTTCGTCTTTAATTAAGGTTTTTTGACCCTATCCGAGACTGATTAAGGTTATGATCTACTGAACTTTGAGCTGGCGCCAAGCTTCTCTCGTGTTAGTCATCATATTCGATCACTCGTGCCTCCCCTGTTACCTATTCCTTCACTTTTCATCTGACTAACTACAGTTCTCTCCTGCCGAGTTTACATGTGGTGCCGCCATTGAAGGGGTCTTGGCACCGCCTTTGAAAAGGGGCTTTGCTTACGTTATGGCGACGGTAACTCTGGTAATTACAACTGGATTACGCAAAGGCTTAGGCTATTTGGTATCGCTTAAGCTATGCACACGTTCCACCACACATGTATAGGTAGTGCCTCTCTACTGTAACTTACCCCGACCCTAGACCCTAATTTAGCATTCCTGCCACATACCCTAACCCCTGAACTGACCCCCTAATCCCTAACTTACCCCTGAAATAACCTCTCTAAGCCCTAATAGTAATTGTATAACGGCTTGATGAATGCTTAGTAGGTGCTTATATTATTAGCAATTAAAACAGCTACTTTTGTAAGAGCAACAGTCAGGGAAGTGGAGATCTGACGTGGAAATGTGACATGTGGGGAGTGGAAGAAGGAAAGTTTCCTCAATTCTGTTACAGAGATTTCAATTGGGGCGGCCTAATTGGGTATAGTCCCTTTTTAATGGCGATGCCAAGACCCCTTCAATGGCGGCACGACCTGTGTTCTCAGTCCTGGAGTCCTGCTACCACTAGGAAAGCGCCATGATGAATCACAATATTACATCCTCTCTATTAAGCCATTTTCGGCCCTCTTAATATCTTTCTCCAAATAATCTTTCTTATACTAGGCTGCATTGGCGGGATTTAGCAAGACTCTTAAATATTCAATGAGTAGCGAAAAGTCCATTGAGCGCCAAATCCTCATCGTAACAAGGATATTTAGGTAGTCTGGATCGGATATCTTTCTCAAATGGCCGTACCAAATGTATAGATCAAAGAAGGAGCTGGGGTCAGACCCAGAGTAATGAACCCCAACAAGGACTTTTCCCAGCCAAAAGGGAACCTACTGCCGAACCAAACTTGTTCATGTTATCTTCATCACTTTCTGTGGTGTTCACGATCAAATCATCGTAATTCAACGATCCAATCCTATATACAGCGTGGTTTCGTAACTCATCAAGATTAATCCGACTCTTCGGCCTCATATTTCCATCGGCGATGATTCTCAGGAATCCACCAATAGGCCACATGAGCCGCCTCATTCAGCCAAGCCGAGGCATTGACCCCATGCCGGGCCTCCACATCACGCAGCAAGGTCAAGAAGTCAAGGTCTTCATCAGGATAGAGCTCAAAGGGGTCAGCGATGATGTCCGTGAAGCGCCACGGCGCATCAGGGATGAGAGGAACGACCAATCGGTAGGGGTTCACGGCATCTCGCATGGAGAACCATGTACCGCCCGGGTTCATGGTGGAGAAATGCCACTCTCTCTTGCCGTCTTGTTCTGGGATGAGTGGGCGGAGCATGGACTGGCCTTCGTATAGGGGGAGAAGGTCTTTCACGACCTGCAGGGAGTCGCCAGTGAGAGAGGAGGATTCAATCAGAAGATCGAGAATAGTGGGTAAGATTTGGGTAGAGACGACGGGATTGTTGACCTCTACCTGAGGAAGTTTGGGGTGAGAGAAAAAGAGGGGTACGTGGAAGTTTCCAACGTGGGCGTCATGGTTGGCTGTTACACCGCCATCATTTGGAAGTGAGATTCCGCTGGGATTTGTTAGTCGGAAGTGAAAGGATGCGATGGTGGGAATGCGCTTACTGGTCACCAGCCATGACAAGAAGAGTTTCGTCAGCGATTCCGGCCTCCTCAAGGATCTCAAGGATATCGGCGATCCACTCATCCTGGTAAATTACCGTGTTGAGGTAGTTATTTATCTGCTTTTTCCGTCCAATCCATGACCCTCCGAGGATTTCTTCATATTCACCAGGTTTAAACCAGGGAGTATGTGTCTCGTGGGTTAAATGCGTGAGGAACAGACGAGTGTTGTTCTTTTTGACATCGGAAATTAGATCCCGCATATAATTCTTCAGAACCTTGTCCTCATGACCATAATGGGTCTCCTTCTCATCCTCCTCGGGTATGTATTTGCCACCAGCATCATTGATGGATTCCTTATCCATGACAGCCTGGTACCCCAAAGCCGGGGTAAGAAGCTCCTGCTTGTCCCAGGTACCATAGTGGGACTGCATCCACTGAGTGTGCCATGGCAACAAAGTCCAGTCATCAGATTCACTGCTGATATTTGGTTGATGACTTAAAGCATTGAAGATGTGGGGCAAACAGGGCTGGTAAAAATCGTGATAGTATTCGAGATTGCCCTCGACGGCCATAGCACTCACACCACACACCGTTCCAGTGATACTCTTCATGGTATACGTGCCCGATGTGAAAGCGTTGGTTGCACTAATACCACCATAAGGCTTTGGATAATCAGTGATATTCTCAAAGCCGGTCTCAAGTCCGGTCAATCGTTGGGCAGTGGGAGTAAGCTTGGATAGTCTTTGCTCAATCTCCTCCGGGACTTCGCCACCATAGGAGTCTTTGATGTGATTCATTATGTATGAACTGGAGCGGAAGGGCCACACATCTTGCCGGGTGCTTTCTAACTTCACGAGAACGATATGCTTGATCTTCACGCTTCCATTGTGAAGTGCCTCACGCATGGTTTCCAGAATATCGTTCTGTAGGTTAGGTATATGCAGGGGGTCGTTCAGCGGGTTGTAGTGCTCATACTCCTGGCCCTGATGTGTAGCCTTGTAAGTCTCATTGATGGGAAATGGGGACCAGTCCGGAAAGCCATCGGAAGAATTGTATCCGCGCAGCCATTCAAAAGTTGGGAATTTGTCCAAGGCAGTGTGTCCTTCCAACCAGCTGAAATCGCCGGGGACTGATGCGACACTTTCCTCGCCAGGACTGTAATTAGGACCACCAAAAGGCGCAAAAGGAAGGGACTGGGTGAGAAAGTTATACACCAAATTGTGGGGACGAACGATGGTAAGGAAAGCTATGATAGCACTGCAAGATACGACAACCACGCGGCTCAGGAGCGACCAACTTTGCCCCCTCGATGGCTCTTGAGATACATCCAGTAGAGATACAGAATCGGTGTCATTGTCAAAATCATCGATCGCAATTTGCTCGTAGTTCTCAGCACTTGTCGGGGGTTTATCCCCAAAGTAACTGCGAAACCTGGCGGGTAAGAATGAAGCCCAGATATCCAAGACTGCCCCAGTGGCCTTGAACAAATACGGCGTAGCAAAATATGCACCGGCAAAAATCAACCCCTCAATGAGGAATGAAATACCCAGCGCGGATAGAACCAACTTGGCGGATGGAATATCTCTATGAAATTTGCTCGTTTTGCGCCAAGGGACCTCTGTGCCCCTGACGGCGTAAAACGCGATGTTTGCAGAGGTGAACCCCGAAGCTTGTAAGCTGCGACGTCATTAGTAATTTCTTATTTGCCAGCGTGTTCGGCGCAACTAACCTGAATAGAATGACAATTAATGCGGCTAAGTCGCGACATATCCGCGACTCAAAGGATCGGGCAAGTCGGCACGCGACCAGGATAAGCAGAATATCCACCACAAAGAAGGTGGGCCCCCAGAAGAGGAGGGAAAATACACCCACCGTCCTGGGGTTGACATAGATATGGAAGCATTTTGACAACAGCAGTGAGATGCAAATGACTGAGAAAAAATATTTTCGAGAGGCCCCCCAAGCGCGATCAACGTAGAGTTGCGGCGATTTGGCGACCGCGAGGGCGAAGAAGGCCCACACTTGAAGCCGTTTGGGAAGCCTGTGGAAGACACCCCGGGCCCGGTTCACGATAGATTCCATGGCGCGTGGAACAATTCAAGGAGCGTGGTCGTCATGTGAAATCTTTGCACCGCGATGACAGAGAACGAGCGATTGAGGGACCACGAGGCTGTGTTTCAGGAGAAGATCGACTTTGCGAGATCGTCATCGGTCTGGTTTTCGCCCCATCTCTGGTGCTTGCCAAGGCCTCGCCAAGACCTTGACAAGACCCTTGCGAAGACCCTGGTTGATAACTGAAAAGGGTAGAAGCATTTTTGCAGAGACGAATTCTTCGGTACATGGAATAATGTAAACATGCAATTTGAATTTGGGAATTTTTAAGGTTGCTGATTGGATGTCACAGGATCTCAGCCCCAATTTACGCCCCCAAGGCGTTAGTGCAAGTGGCTTGGTGGATGCCCCATTACTTACTTTCCATCGCATGGACTATTGCAATATTTTTAGTGCCCCGGACCTGCCTTGTTTGATAATATTCGATCGCAGGTACACGTATGCGCGAAACAAAACGATCCCCCAGGCAAGAATTTAGATACTGTACCAACTATCTACCAGCTCGAAATATATCTTAAGGCCTCGCGTTCATCTCGCCATCTAACGTTCCCTGCAAGGTCCCGTTCGGCTTCCCAGACTCCTCGACTAGGTTTACAATCGAGATCAATGTTAACGTACAGACCTTATCTGACACAAGGGACGGTGGAGATTTGCCAGGCAACGCAACGACCTTGGGAGTTGGATATATTCTTGTACATTTCGCTTTTAAAACATTATTGTCTGAATTTAAGCTCTCTTCATCGTATCTGAATTATTGCTTGATCAGCACACCTCGGTATCTCATCTTACCCTCTCTGAGGGTCTGCATGGCCTCTTCAATGCCTTCCTTGTTCAATGGGAAGGTCATGGTAGTAGGATAAATCTTCTTTCTGGCGGCGAACTCCAGCAGAGTACGGATTGAGCGGCGGGAGGCGACCAGTGAACCCTGAATCCGGACACCCTTCCAGACCATATCCAGTAGGGGTACTGCAGAAGGCTCGAAAGCGACTGTCAATGGATAGATGCTACCATGTGTGTTCATCAAAGGAATAAGCCTGGTCAGAGGTTAGCCATGTTATTGGAATAAGATAACAACTGTGACTCACGAAATGTAATCAACGCTACCACTGCCGCAGAGAAGGAGGTGGTCGACAGGCTTGAAGTCCACGGGTGGCTGTCCACCAGACCGGAAGACATGATATTCAGAGGCACCGTAGTCCATCGCTTCTTGCCGCTTGGCCTCGGAGCTTGATAGTACGACAACGTGGCATCCCATCTCACTAGCAATCTTAATGGCTAAGTGACCCAAGCCACCGACACCCATCACAGCAACACGATCAGTAGAGCGAACATTGTACTCAGTCAAGACAGTCCAGACTGTAGCACCAGCACACATGAGGGGTGCAGCGTGCACAGAATCATAGCCTTCGGGGATGGGGTAAACACAAGTAGCATCCCAGATAGCACCGTAGCTGAAAGTTCCGTTAGACTGGTCGTGGAACCCATATTGTTTCTGATTTCTGCAGTACTGATCCCAGCCTAGCAAGTTGTTGTTTAGTTCTAAGAACGAGCGGAATGAAAAGATTGAATCATACCTGACACGCAGTTATCACACTCTGTGCAAACTTTGTGAGTGTATCCAAATCCAACACGGTCTCCGACCTTGACGGAGGAGACCTTGGGACCAATAGCTTTCACAATACCAACGCCCTCATGACCTAGGACCATATCGGCCTTCAAGTAATGCTCATCGGTTCCGCATAGTCCGGAGTGTGTGGTTTCGATAAAGACCTCATTCAAATCGAGAGTAGCAGTGGTCTTATCAGCAATGATTTTACCCTCGGATGAACCGCGGAAAACATCGTATGTAATGCTCATCTTGGAGATTTTGGAGAATGAAAGGTGATTGAAGAGTAGTGAGTGACATGATTCACAATGGTGGGCGACTGGCTTTTATACCCACCATCAACATCATCGCTACTATGGCCTTACCTTTTGAAGTAAACAAGAAATTTCTCTATGGATCCACATCGGTGCAATCCAAGCACCGCTCCTAAAAAAGGACAATTAGTGTAAGAGATTACGTTTCGCCCGCCACCATGAGAGTGAATTATATTATATGAGATTCTGCGAAATGGTCAAAACAGACATGAAAGTATGCGAACATCCTCAATGGTGTATTCGGTATATGGTCAAAAATGAGTGAACCGTTAGCACATACAGCACTTCAGAAAATTTTTTCCATACTGAAACCAAGACTCTATGCATGTGGGTCCCAAAGGCCAACGGGCATCACATGACACACCTAAATGCATTTTAGTGGCCTTTGGTGCCTGGACTCTGCCATCGTCTTGGTCGGAGAGATCGTAGCCCTAGGGGAAGTCTCCGACCGGTGGATCCTTATTCAATGTAGGCAGTTGACCCGTGACATGAATGTCTCCGGCCGGTGGATCCTTATTCGAGTGTGTTTCGGCCAACATCTCCCCATGAGGTAATACGCCGCAGACCAGTAGCCAAGTCAGGTGATCTAAAGCCTGACTAAGCTACGATTCAGTGACTGGATTGTTATCAGCTGTCTCCTCACTCTCCTCACTCTCCAGTCATTCTCAGTCTCGATCATTTTCCGTCTTTTCAGCTCTAATATGACCTCTATCAGCGTTATGGATGACTACAGCGAAGGAGCGCAACCTGATGTAATGCAAGCACTTTTCGGTGTAAGTGTGCAACAGAAAAAACCCGCAAGGGAACGAGGAATACTCCGATGCGGCTAAAACTTGTATGAGATAAGAAAAATACGCCCGTCGCTGCTATCATTCTGTCGTAAGTGGCACTCTTGCGAACACCATTTGCATGGGAAGCTGTCCGCGTCCGCATGAGGCTGTCATAGCTGCGACAACTGGTTAGATAACCGTTCGAGAAACTGTCTCTATTGAGGTGATTGGGCATAAAATTTTCACCGAATCCCCGTCAAAGGGACGTTGAGACTTTAAAAGATGTTTGGTCAAAATGCACGCCGATCACTCTTGAAGAAAACGATACTGGTCACATAGCTTGCTTTGGCCTAAGACATCAAGGATCTTTATTTCTTTGCATGGTGTGCAATATTGCGGTGCCATATTTTAAATTTGCCTGAGCCTACAGGTCTTACTGCGGTAGTAGTCTAGATGATCGAAAAGGAAGATGAAAATGGTCAAGTACTATACAGGAGTGATAACATAGACAAGGCTGAGCCTCGAACATAGGAAATGTCTGGATACGGCCGCAGAGACTGTGGTCCTATTGGCGAATACTTAGCATCCATGGATGACCCAAGAACCCATGGATGGCCCAGACAAGGCTACAGTAGCACGGCCTAAATGCCTGAGCGCGACATTAGTCAAGGCCCTCGCCTGGGACACCTTTCCGGTAGATTGTACCATGCCAGTTTCAGGCTTATTACAATATTAAGAATTTTTTTCTTTCTTCTATGAAAGAAATTGTCTAGCTCTTCTTTGTAGACTATTATTGGTGGTAAGAAAACAGCTAATCTATCTGCCTCAGTTTCAAAATTTACTTCATGTTGATGATCGAATCCACAGCTAACATGCAAATCGAAAAAGCTGAGCGACTTTCAGGTGAAAAAAGCAATCAATTCTTGGATGACTGCTGTGGAAAAAATGGGCGTGGTGCCAAGCCTTAGTTGTATATTACCTAGCGATAGAGCAGAGCGTCGGTTCTGAACGCTGATCCATGGGAGAGACTAGAACTACAGTACAACACTGGCATGCCATGACTTGTTACATGCACCATGCCGAAAGAGGCAACATATCAACAAAGTATTCCATACACAAGCTCAGTACAGCCCGTCCATGGATCTGTGCATTCTCGGTCACGGAAGTATTCTCCGATCTCTGCAGAATTACAAGGGATGTGTAAATCCCGAATGCAAGGGATATTGTACTCTCTCTCTCTGTACCCAATCAACTAATAATGTGGCATGCAACTTGTTACTCAACGTAAGGGTGGGTCCAGAATGTAGTAGCAGAGTCAACAGCTGACTATTTACTACTAGTCGGAATGAGAATGTATCATTGGTTCTACCCAAGACATTGGTAGTGCAATGAACCTTGGAATCCTAAAGCGTGCCGTCCCGAGCCGGTTAGTTATCCGAGTTTAGCCCATGATTCAGACGCGCTACGTGGCTAAGTCTTTATATAGTGCCTGCCTATGAGGTAGAATTTAGAAGATTGAGAATCGCCATAGTACCGGTTACTCAGCTAGCCCACCACCATGCGCCTGCTCTCCATCTTCGGGGTCGTCACTCTCTCCCTCTCGGGACTCTCTACAGCACTGACAGTGCAGGGGGACCCAGATGTCAATGACCCACTGGTGCTGGAGCATCTTCGTGACCGCGAGAAGCTCATCACGTTGGAAAAGACACACCGGCAAGGTTCGTTCAAGACGATCAATCCCTTAATCAATCTTCAATCATCAACGAATAATGTTGACCGTTCACGCAGATCATATCTTCCGCCAAAGTCTCTCACCAACCGCTCAGCGTGCAGACAAGATCGTTCGCCAGATCCGTCAGTATGAGACTGATTATTACTGGCGCGTAGCCGGTACCCCCGATGACGAGTACAAAGAGCGATTCGCAGGCGAGGTGTTCCCCCTTGCCCGGCCATACATAGCAAACACGACTCTTTGGAAGATTGTTAAGCGCATGCCCAAGGGTGCGCTTTTGCACGCTCACCTGTCAGCCATGCTTCCTTACGAAAAACTTGTGGAGATTATAATCCACACGGAAGGGATGATGATCGCCTCGTCACAGCCTGTGGACACCGACGACGCCAAGATGAATGCCACCATCACTTTTTCTCACAGCAACAGTACCACCGCCGAGCCTCAGTCACCGGATATTGACTCTCCCGACTATGTCCCTGGCACGAAGATACCTGTCACGACCGCCGCCGCCAATTTCCAAGGTGGTGAAGCGGGTTTCCTCGAGTTCATCAAATTGAAAACAACTGTCCCACCCGAGGAGTCGATCCGCCATGAGCTTGGTGTTGACGAGATCTGGAGACGTTTCCAGGCCTGCTTTGGTCCTACTGGTTCTATGCTAGAGTATGAGCCCGTCGTGAGAAAGTTCTACCAGACGCTCTTCTCCGATCTCGCTAACGATGGCATTAATTGGGTGGAGATCCGAAGCGGCGGATCGAGTGGAAAGCTCGTCCATGACGGCCAGGAAGATGTTGACCCTAACCTTGACGTCTGGTGGACTGTTCTTGTTGAAGAGATCAATAATTTCAAAGCCACTGAGGAGGGTAAAAACTTCTGGGGTGTCAGAATCATTTGGTCAGACTCGCGTGGTAAAAACCGGGCTTCTATTACCAAGAGTAGGTATCAATCCGCCAGATGAAGAAAGTCTTACTGACCTTGATAGGTATGAAAATTGCTCTCCAGAGAAAGCAAAATTTCCCTGAGCTGTTTAGTGGCTATGATCTTGTTGCACAGGAAGATCTGGGTCGTCCTCTTTCTGATCTGGCACCGGAACTGGTCTGGTTCCGTGAACAGACTGAAGCTCTGAACCTCACCATTCCGTATTTCTTCCACGCAGGAGAAACTCTGGGAGATGGGAACTCAACTGATGACAACTTGTTCGATGCGCTCCTGTTCAATACGCGGAGAATTGGTCACGGTTTCTCTCTCTATAAACATCCGAATCTGATCAAGCAGACGATCGAGCAAAATGTCCTGGTTGAAGTGTGCCCTATCTCGAATGAAGTCCTCCGCCTGAACACGGATATCCTTCATCATCCCTTACCAGCGATGATTGCCCACGGCATTCCGACTGCAATCAGCAATGACGATCCGGCCATTCTTGGACAGGACGTAGCTGGTCTGAGTTATGACTTCTTTGAAGCCATCCAAGCTTTTGACAACCTGGGTCTTGCCGGATTGGTAAGTTACCCCTGCCTCAATGTAATAAAGACTCTGCTAAATACATACAACAGGGCGCACTTGCACAAAACAGTCTGCGGTGGGCAAACTTTGAAGATCAGTCTGATACAGAGTGGATTCAGGATATTGACCGTGGTGAGGAAGGAACCAGTACCAAGGCCAAGAACATTCAAGCCTGGAACAGTGCATGGGAGGACTTTTGCAAGTGGATTGTGGATGAATATGCGTCCAACTACGAGGTTTTGGCAGAGGATTCTGAAACTTAGTGTCTCTGCCGGGACACGAAAATTATATACATAAATGTAATGTAACCTCAAGCTCAGACGTGAGAAGCTTACCTTCTTACTAACCCCCGAGTGGGTGCATGTATGTTGCAGCAGGTGTCTGTGTCCTCTCTAACCCCATTTGGACAACCTTGAACCGTGTTCTTGGGATCGATGAAAGTAAAAATCGTGAGCGTAAGGCATTCGGGTGCCTTCGGGTGCCTAACAAGTAAGGCATCAGTACTCCACGTGGGATATACCCCATTTTCCTGGCAGCGGGAGTGAGATGTACGCTGAGCTTTGCTCAGTCCACCGTGCCCATAATTACATAGGAAAGCTAGACCGCAATTAATAAATTCGAGCTTATTGATACATTGGATTCACAGTGCATACATTCGAAATCGGAAATTCACCACCTTACCTGGCCATCTCCCATACCTGGTCATCTAAGATCTTTCCAAAGCAACTGCCTCTCGACTCCTCATTCGGCGGCGATGCTATCAAGCAGAAATTGCTAAAGAAAGAGTCTTTTACTCAGTGAACTAGTTTTCATGGCCATTTTGCTTATTGCGGATGGCACTAGCCATGATGTTAGCGATCTCCCGGCAGGTGCTAACTGATCCAATGTCCAATTATTGTTGGTTTCGCGAGGCGCGTCGTGAAAGCGGGTGAATGCTGGATAGGGGAAGGGATCGAATCCGCGTCTTCGGCGAGGAAATGATCCTCTATGACAAAAAATAATTCAGCAATCAGGTGAGGAGGCAGGGCGGTTCGCCATGATAAGCGTACCGATGTCTGACGAATATGAAGGTAAAGAGTGCGAGGCAGCTTACGGCGAGGGTATTAAGTGTGGGAGAGCTTGATAGATATGGGGTTTGCGGTGCAGGAGTGCATGAAGTGAGGTAAACAAACTGTGAAAACCCTGCAAGGTCACGTATCTGAGGCTGCCACTGCAGCGCGTGTGTTACAGGGGGCGATCAACAGCGAGGGGACAGAGAAAATGGTGAAAAAGAGAGAAAAGAGCTCATGGCCTGTTGATTCCTATGACTAGCAAGCAGAGAATCATCGAGTAATGGAATGTGATATGGAAGAACAAGGAAACCACTAGGCACAATAAGGCCTCTTTGGCATTTGGTTGCAGGCACCGTAAACTAAATTTCACCACAAATCAATGGAGTCCTATCATTACACCATTTTCGTTTTCAAAGGTCATGCTAATTCTCTCCGTCCACGGTTTGCTGTTATAATCAGTGACAGTTGAGAATGTTTGAAACATGCGCGCGACAATATACGTTGTAATGATCGTTGCGTAACTCTCTAAAACTTCTGTATTAGCTCCCATTCAGGACGAGGCGATTCAGGAGCAACTCACGTCCAGGGCATGCCCTGGGACCCTTGTTAAAGGGGATAAAGCCTGACATGTCAGGACTGAGCTTCTCCCATCGCTCAGGATAAAATTTGTCCGGACTCTCTCCAAAGTCTTTCCCGAGACGATGCCGACTCCACGTTGAGAAGACAACGATCTCACCTTTTACAATCAGCACAGGACAGGTGCCATTCTCCCCACCACCGGTTGGGAGAGTAGCGTGTTTATTTGCTATCCTTGCATTCAAAACTACAGGCGGAAACAGCCGCATTGCTTCAAATATCCCATATTAGCCGAATAAATAGAATAGATCAGGATCCTTCAGCCTTATTACCTTCATTCATGACCCATCGTACATATTTCAGAGATCCGAGCTGCCCCCATGTCGGAGGCGTGAGCCCAATGGCGTCAATTATACTTGCGCGCAGTTTCTTGACTACGCGTTCATCTTTGGAGAGACAGAACAATATGCTTGCCAGAGTCGTGCTCATACTGTCGTTCGCGAGAAGTAGGCTCAGTGCTTGGTCGGTGAATAGCGATATTTGTTCATGCTCAGAAATGCAAGTATCCACCTTCTCAGAGGTGCCGACCATCTCATTTCGTTTTTGTACTTGCTGCGTTGCTTGTCGAATCACATACTCCCTTGTTCTGCGACAAGATTCTAGAAATGGTCGCTTCCAGGATAGATGACGAAGGGGACCGCGGAATCCATCTCGCACAATTCTTTCTTTCACTATCGACAGATCCACCAGAAATGAATTCTTCTCACTCGACTGGCTGGAGCTGAGGGCATCGACAGACTCTCCTAGAGAGAACACTGTTTGAAGATCCAAAGCGAGGGCATGTGCCTGTGATTGAACATCGAAGATCTGTCCATCGCAAGGAACTTTCTTTAGAAAAGACTGGAAATGTTGTTCACATATTGTTAAATCGATCGCCTTGCGGAGGTCACTCAGACGGGTCCGTAACTGGTCACGACTCCTTTTCCAATCGGCTCCATCAAGTGTGAAGATACCATGTGGAGTGATCGGTTCAATTATAGGCTTTCGCAGAGGTGAACTTTCGAAATCGGTAAACGCGGTTGAGAGCAAGTGTTTGGTGTTATCCTCGTTGCAGGTGAAGATGAGTCGATAGCCGATGACATTGGATGTAAACGTTTCCCCATATCTTTCGAAGAGAGAATCGGTATAGGCAAGAGAGGTCCGATTTCGAAAATGACTTGCCAATTCCAAAGTCTTCCTGATACCAAAGAAATCATACGGAAATCGGTCACTGTCGGTGGGTGGTCTTTCACATCCAAGCGAAGCCTCAAGGATTTTCAAACTCCGAGATCTGCAAGCTCTTCGTAAGAAAAAGTATGCAACAACGCCAGAGAGTAATAAGATGAAGATTGATTGGTCAATTGGGTTCAACAGTCTTTTCACTGGTGAGGACTCCATTGTTGCTGGAAGAGCAGTTGTGTAAGCGGGCACTTTGATTAACGATGTGATAATAAGGCCGAAAGCATGATGACCTGTCACATCCGTGGATTCCGATCCATGTGCACTAGACCGCCCCATCCGTCGTGCCGAACCTAATGTAAGGTAGTACCTAGACCGCAACCGACTTCCAAGGTTGCCAAGTATCTCCGGAAACAAGAAACTTGTATATCTGCTCATTGAAGGATTGATGCAGGAAGGAATAGAAATATGGTTCAGAGCCTGGGGTATCTTCCCAAGGTGGCAGAACGAATCTCCTGTATTCATGCCTTGGCACAATGCTTTTGGTTCAGGAAAAGGTCGAAGCCTCCGAGGAACAACTTCTTGTTCAAGTCGAACAATCTCTGAAACTTTCAAATGACTACGCTATTGATTTGGCTCGTCCAGATGGACACTGGTGTGGAGAGCTCAAATCGAATGTTACTATCACGTCTGAATATATCTTCCTTCGACAAGCTTTAGGACTGGACCTGAAAACCGACAATCCCGCTTACTGTCGCCATATCCTTTCCCAGCAAAATGATGATGGCTCCTGGAGTCTGGCCCCTGAGTATCCTGGCGATGTATCAGCTACAACTGAAGCTTACCTCGCGCTGAAGATACTAGGGATCAGCCCAGATGTGCCACTCATGCAACGAGCCAAACAATTCGTCCTCACAGCCGGTGGTGTTGCCAAAGTCCGTGTCTTTACGCGCATCTTTCTCGCAACATTCGGCTTGTTTCCTTGGGATTCAATTCCTCAATTGCCTGTTGAGCTCATGCTTCTCCCTCCAATCTCCATGATCAACATCTACAAGTTCGCCTCCTGGGCGCGAGGTACAATCGCCCCACTTTTGATTATCTGCCATCATCAACCCGTCTACGCGCTTCCGAATGGACAGTACGCTGGGAATGACTACCTGGATGAGCTATGGCAGGATCACACGATGAAAAACGTACGCTGCGGCCCCACTCTTCTCGAGATGGCCTCTCAAAGAGATGTGACAGGCCTTGCATTCGGCATTCTCGATAACCTGCTTTACCAACTAAACGGGCTTCGCTCCATTCCATTCCTCCGTACATACGCCAGGAAGGAATGCATGAAATGGATCTTGGAGCGTCAAGAGCCAACTGGCGATTGGGCTGGGATCTTTCCACCCATGCACGGCAGTGTCTTTGCGTTCATGTTAGAAGGTTACAGTCTCGATGATGCCCCGGTTCGCCTTGGTATTGAAGCACTCGAAAATTTTGCCTGGGAAGACGAAAATGGCAAGCGGATCCAGGCATGTATTTCGCCTGTTTGGGATACAGCCTTGATGGCCATTGGGCTATGTGATGCGAAATCACCTGATCACAAGACCGTTGAGAAAGCCGTTAAATGGATTCGGAAACGACAACTTCTAGAGCCCCGAGGTGATTGGCGGGTCTATCGCCCGGACCTCATTCCAGGTGGATTCAGCTTCGAGTACGAAAACAGTTGGTATCCTGATGTGGATGACACGGCTGCTATCATTCTGGCTCAGCTGAAGCAAGATCCAAAATCGGTTACGTCTTATTCCGTCGTCGCGGCAGCCACTTGGATAATCGGTATGCAGAACCCAGATGGTGGGTGGGCTGCTTTTGATGTTGAGAACGATAAGCTCTTCCTCAACAAAATACCTTTCAGCGACATGGACAGTCTGTGTGACACATCGTGCCCAGATATTACCGGCCGCATCCTGGAAGCTTTCGGCCTGATGATGAAAGTCGCTCCTGAAAAGTCGTCGGCTGGCTTACCTGCCCTACGTGCATCCTGCATGCTTGGTATTTCATACCTTGCTGCTACACAGGAGCCCAATGGATCCTGGTTCGGAAGATGGGGATGTAACTATGTCTACGGCACGGGTCATGCACTGTGTGGTCTTTCCTATCATCGCGATGATGACATAAGAGTGGAGAGACTAGTGCAGCCAGCTCTGAGGTGGTTGAAAACGAGACAAAATGCCGACGGTGGCTGGGGCGAGTCCTTGCTAACATATCGCACCCCTTCCACGCAGCCAATAGGATCGACACCGTCGCAGACTGCATGGGCACTGATGGGCTTGTTGGCACATCTCCCTTATACCGACCCGACAATTGGCCGTGGGATTCGCTACCTTGTGTCCTCACAGAAGCCGGAAAAGGGCATTGGTTCTTCCTGGCCCGAATCGGTATACACTGGAACTGGTTTCCCAAATCATTTCTATTTGGGCTATGACTACTACCGTCACTACTTCCCCATGATGGCTCTCGGTCGTTATCTGCAGGAGGCCCAGAGTAGGAATTAGATTGTGGCTTGGATCTGACAATTGCCATAATACGTTTTGCCGTGTGGAAATGAAGGAGATTCGAAAATAGGCTTGGAATGATTTTGATTTCAGATAAATTCAATTAATCGTAATGTGCTCAAGTGTGATCAGGCATTAGTATACGAGCCCTGGAGGTGTTCAAAAAGATGCATGTGCTTACCAAATATACCTAGTATGTGACCCAATTTTATGTTTCCTTAAATCAAGATTGAAATATGATAGATCTTGGAAGTTTGGAAGGGCATGCAGACAAAATATTTCCACTGCAAGGGTGTACCTCGAAACTTGGAAAATTAAATTACGGCCACTATTTTTAGATGGCATACAGAGTCCTTGTTGGTACCTACACCGCATTGTATTAGACGAGTGTCGACTCCAAGAACTTATCCCTCCAAAAGAGGGCAGTTGGGCGACAATTTGGTTTTGAATCTAGATCCGTCGCTTCACTCACATTTTCTGAAGTACTCAAGGTAGCCAGCCACAATGGGTCTCTCTTCTCAATTCTTGGGCGCAAACAGCCAACATGAGCATCAATGAGCATCCATTGGATTCCAAGATGCCTGAATGCGGTCAAGGCCAGTCTGTGCTGTCGCCCTCTGTCACAGAGTACGCACCGTTGGTGCTTGGCCCCTTCCGGTAGAGTAAACCGACCTTCCATCGATGGTATACCATGTTGTTGTGTTCAACGACGCAACACTTCTCACCTTCAGCTTTATTCACACTTTTGTGGATTCCATTGGGAGAACGAGTATCCACAAAGCCTGGATTGCAGTGATGGAACGGCGCGAGGAAGACATTCCACCATTATCTTCTTTTGGTCATGACCCCACAAAGGGATTGGGCGTGGAGTATACCGGAGAAAAGTATAGCAACTTCGGCCGTCTCATCTCATTTATAAAATTTGTGCTTTTGGAAACTTGGTATATGATTGAAACATTCTGGTATAGCAAGGTAGAAGATCATGCTCTTCGCATGCCTTGAGAATTCGTCGAAGAGATGAGGCAATGTGTGCTTCCCGAAATGGCTACCCTAGGCGCTACGGAAAACCCCTTTGTGAGCGAAGGTGACATTGTGATTGCTTGGAGGGTAAGGACAATGGTTGCAGCATTGAAGCCATCCGCAAAGCTAGCAGTTACATTGATGAATGTGTTCAATTTGCAAGCTCTTCCCCGAGCGCTATCCTGCAAGCGGAGTAAGCGTCATTGCCAACATCACACAATGGACGGTTCCAACGTTTCCAAAGTCCGAAGGTATTCCAATAGACTGGATCATCCCGATCGCCGAGAATATCACCTAAGGACGCCATGAAAGACAGGATGTGTGGAAGCATTCCTTGTTTTCTGACAGAAGTCCGTGCTTCCTTGCCTTGTGGCGCGCTTCAGAAATTTTGATCAACATGGCCAGCAGTCGACATTCTTGGACGCGACTAGCTATCAACTAGAAAGTCCTGATGTAATTCGAGAAGTTGTCACGGCCCATCCTCGACATGAATCCTTCGGTAGACGATATTCCACTAATAGGCATCAAGCCGTTTGTGGATTCTCAGGAACAAGTCATCAAAGCTCAAATTCACGTGCAGCCAAGCAAGGCCAACTTTTTCTCCATCTACCGACACGCGAACGCGTCACAGATATGTTTACTATTCGTCTCTGCAACATGTGCCGCGGCGTCCGGTGCCGCAATGCCTTTGGTGACGTTGGCATTCGGGTCTTTAGCAAAGGATTTTATCAACGGAAGGGATGCGTTATCAGATGATATTCGAGGTCACATTCAGCATCTGACGCTACGACTTGTATACATTGGTATGTATGGCCTATCTCAGATTGTCAGCACATTGCTTACACTATAATTCAGCAATCGGGGCGTTCTTCGCCACAATGATTAGCGCATGGGGATTCAATATCGTTGGGGAACGGATTGCACGTCGCCTCCAGCGTCAATATCTGACCTCGGTTCTAAGGCAAAATATTGCGTTCTTTGATGTACTTGGTGCAGGAGAACTGACAACGCACATTGATCAGGACATGAAGTTGATCCAGGCTGGCATATCACAAAAGGTTGGCGAGATCATCTCTGGACTTTCCGGGTTTGTGGTTGCCGTGATATTTGCGTTCATGCAAAACCGTCACTTCGCATCAATCATGATCTCCCAGCCAATTTCCCTGCTTGCAATTGTTGGCATAATGGGATTTTGGATGAGCGTCACGCAGAAACTTGGCCTGGCTCAGTGTGTGAAAGCCGAGAATTTAGCACAAGAGGTTCTCAGTGCCATGAGGAATGTCATTGCATACGGTAGCCAGCAAAGATATTCCAATAAATACCATGAAGCTCTTCAAGGTCCAACCACGGTTGACTTCCGGGAGCGATTCATCTTTGGTATCATTGTCGCTGGATCTTTTATGGTTCTGCACTGGACCAATGGCTTAGGCGTATGTATTGATGACTGATCCCTTGGTGATCGAAGCTCACGAAGCACTTATAGTTGTGGCAAGCCAACCATCTATTCCAACAGGGTAAATGTACAATCCCAGAGGCTTTGACAATATTGTATGCGGCGGCAGTGGCTGGTGGTATGCTCAGCCAAGTACTGCCTTGTATTGTTGATATTATCCAGGCCAACGGCGCATCTGGTCGTGTTTTCTCTATCATCAACCGCCCTTCACCCATTGACGCTTTGGAAAGCAAAGGGGATAGACTTGACTCACTACGAGGGGATATCAGATTTGAAGATGTCCACTTTGTTTACCCTTCGCGACCGGAAAGGGCCATATTGGAAGGGGTGAGTTTCCATGTACCAGCTGGTCAGACTGTTGCATTTGTGGGGCCCTCGGGATCTGGGAAGTCAACAGTGCTCAATCTCTTGGAACGGCTCTATTGCCCTCTTGGTGGCCATATCATGGTTGATGATCAGCCCATTGAAAATCTGAATATTTCATGGCTCAGATCCCGGATTGGATGTGTCAGCCAGGATTTCACTTTGTTCAATGGGTCGATACACGACAACATTGCAAATGGCCTTGATAATGCTGTCGCTGAGGTAGACTACCATGCTCAAGTTTGGATTTACATTACTAACTCACTTACAGTCATTGGATCTTGCTACCCTTCATGGGCTAGTAGTTCAAGCCAGCGAGGTTGCCCAAATTCATTCATTCATCAGCAATCTTCCACAGGGCTACGCTACTAGGATAGGTGCTAATGGATCGCATCTCTCAGGTGGGCAAAGACAAAGAATTGCAATCGCCCGCGCTATCATATCACAGCCATCCATCCTGCTTCTCGACGAGGCCACCGCTGCACTCGATAGTCAGAGCGAGAAAGAGGTTCAAGAAGCCCTCCAATCAGCGGCATCAGGACGAACAACCCTCATAATAGCACACAGACTTTCGACTATCCGTAACGCGGACACAATCATTGTCATGAAAGATGGTCGAATTTTGGAAAGTGGATCTCATATAGAGTTGTTGAAATCGTCCATACTATACCAAGGCTTAGTGAGACAACAAGCACTGAGGCCACCTGAACCTTCAACATATAGTCTTTTCCATGAGCTGCCGTCTGCTGCAAAGGTTGCTAGCGAAGGTATTCCCAAGCTTTCTGCGGACGTCACCGCAATCAAGACGTCAAATGATGTATCAACCTCAGCGTCCTTAGGTATGAACAGTATTCGGAGTATTTGGCGCCTCAATAAGCAAGAGCTGCCATACACCATCGCGGGCCTATGTCTAAGTATCCTTGCCGGGATATCATACCCGATTCACGCTATCTTTTTTGGCAATGGCATCATATCAATAATCAGCCCTGAGTTGAGCACTGGGGGTCGAAGCGTTCAATTCTGGGCACGAATGTACCTTATATATGGGGTTATCGTGTTTTGCGTATACTGTGCACGAGGGTACTGTTTTGCTATATCAGCATCTCAGCTTAATCTTCGCGTCCGGTCAAACCTGTTCAGGGCTTTACTGTGCAAAGATATTTCCTTCTTTGGAGAACCGGGACACTCTGTCGGAGATTTGGTGAGCTTTTTATCATGGGGTACCAGTAAGGTTACTGGGGTGTCAGGAACGTCGCTGGGGCTTCTTCTAGAAAGCGTCGTGATGCTTATAACGGGAATCGTTGTTGGATGCATATTTGGGTGGAAGCTTGGTCTTGTTTCAATGGCAACGGTACCGGTCGTCGCTATCTCAGGCTTTCTGCAATACTACATTGTGGAGAAGGTACAGAAGCATGTCAATCGTGACACTGAAGCCATTGCTGTGGCCCATGAGGCTTTCTCTGCCATAAGAACTGTCACGGTGTTGGGATTGCAGCAGAAGATCGGTGAGTCTTTTCAAAAGGCCGGTGACTGCGATCACCAAGGTCGGTACTGGCCAATTTCTGCAATGATGTATGGATCCACATTATTATTTCGCATACTGAGCATCGCCTTTGTGTTTTGGTACGGCGGGACTCGACTCGTCGCAACAGGCGAGTACAATATCCAGCAGTTCCTCATCTGCTTTGCAGCGACAATATGGGGAGCTCAATCGGCTGCCGCACTTTTTGCTCAAGCGCCAGATCTCGCTGGTGCCCGCAGCGCTGCTTCTCACCTTAACGAGCTGATGGGACCTATCCAGTCACACTTTCAAGCCGAGGATATTCAAGATGTCTCCCTCGACGCACCTACAAAAACTGAGCCCCTTAGTTTACGAAGCATTACTTTCGACTACTCCGATCGCGGGTCTCAGCCAGCATTGGATAATGTTAGTCTCAACGCTTCACCGGGTGCCTTCATTGCTCTTGTCGGGGCGACTGGCAGCGGAAAAAGCTCAGTTATCAACCTCGTGGAGCGCTTCTACTCTCCCAGATCTGGAAAAATCACTCTTGCAGGCAGATCTATCGATGTTTATAATATTGACAGCTATCGAAAGTACTTGGCACTGGTCGATCAAAACCCTTGTCTGGTGGGAGAAGATCTCCGAGAATGTTTACAAAGCGACGAAGATGTCATTTCCGACAATGAGATCTTGCTCACTTTGAAAAATATCGGAATCGGTGATTTCGTGGTAAGATATCCCCTTGCTATGATTTTCTTCTCCGTACTAATTTCCGTTAGATGTCTCTACCCGAAGGGCTGAACACCCCTATTTTGGGTAATGGATCTACTCTTTCGGGAGGTCAACGCCAACGCATGGCGATCGCAAAGGCTCTTCTCCGGAAACCCAAGATCCTGTGAGGCAACCTCTGAAATAAAGAATCCCGTTATATCCGTTCCTAACATCATGTGATAGTCTACTGGATGAAGCGACTTCTGCACTGGATACCGCGACAGAGCAATTGGTCCAGGAGACCCTCCAACGCGCCATGGCCGGCCGAATTACCATCGCTATTGCTCATCGACTAAAGACTGTAGTTGATGCCAACCAGATTTTGGTCTTCGATCACGGTCGTATTATAGAGAGTGGTACACACGATGATCTGATGCAGCTTGGCGGGAAGTACTTCCAGATGGCAAAGTTGCAACAATTAGACGAAGACTATTGATGGTATACAACTTATGTACATACAACCTTGCAATACATACTGTACATGCAAATGCGTACCGAAAATCCATGGACGAGGTTCATGCTCACCTATGCGCCAGGTGAATATATATCAAGCTTCTGGCATGGGAAATCAAAGCTTGGTGATTCAGACACTTTCAAACAACACTATTCCGACATTGATGAAGGACAATCAGCCATTCTTGCTTCGAAGAAGCTCTGGAGATCCACGGGTGACCCTTGATGGAAGTTTAATTGCATCGAACAGCCCAGGGTCCTTGCGCCGATTGGAAAATTAGACTTCCAAGGGTTCCACTTAAAGTTTGGCTGCTTGAAACTCCACTAATAAACTCCATTTCCAAGGTTGATGGACAATCCGATCTAGGCCAATATGGATGTAGCAAATTACTGTGTTCCTTGAGGCTAGAATTGCGGGACGTTTCTTGCAGCCGATGATAGCTGGAAGCCAAAACGTATCGTAATAAGTTGTTCATTATTCATGTCCAGCCTACTTACTGTTGTGGCTTTACATCATACTCTACGTCAGTTCGAATGATATACTTCGCTCCCTTCCTTACACCAGTACCCTCATGCAACAACGCCCCGTTTGCTTCACCATGCGGGAAGATGGCGACCGATCCCATAACCGGCCGCACCGGGTACGCATTTAGCGTGCCTTCTCGTGCAGCAGGCATGAAGAAAGTGGTCTCTCCACCCTCAAACTCATCATTGAGATATAGCAAGAAGGTATACATGGAGCTCTGCCTGTTATCTTCAGGTGATGAGTCGTACACATATGTGTCGTCCGGCAGAATACCGGATGGTGGCCACGCGCCATCAATATGGCATCGATATTCAGCACCCGGGACGTATCTGTATACACGGAATCGGCGGTTGATACCACGGACCATGCGGCCATTGATGGATGGTGGAACATAAGCGGAGATACGGGACCATAGTATATCGTGGAATGTGGTGTCAATGACCCAATAGAAGTTATGGGCCAGAACACTCATGTCGCCGTCTTCGCGGAGAGGCACGTCGGGAACGAAGTTGACAGATTCACCGGCAGCGATGATGGCTTTGCACTCGGAGGGGGAGAGTACATTCATGGCCATGCCGAGGCCTGGTACGGCGGGATGGGGGTGGTAGGTTATAGATGGCGCGACAGGGTTGAGAGGGACCGCATTGGGGATGGTAGTATATAAAAGTGCGGGATGGTGGTTAGGAGGCTTGCGCATGGGACCGGGAGTTGTTTCGATGACACGGAGGGCGGTAGGGGATTTGGGTGCCTCTTCTAGGATGGATTTGTCGAGAACCGAGGCATAGATTTGGAGGGGTTCCGAGGAAGGGCGCAGATCCCAGATGGATTGAAAAGCAATGGGGCCAGGTGAGTCAACGGCGTTCATACTGTCAATTGGAGTGCTGACGCGAAGGACAGCATCGAGGACACCGAGGAGATCCAAGTCTTCGGGGCTGCGCTCGGGAGTTTGGTTTGCCCCGGGTTGTGTCGAAAGACCGCTTACAACATCCAAGTCACGCACCCAACGGCACAAGGCCCCAATCTTAGGTTGCTCACGTCGGATCCGCATCTCAGCTAGCAGAATCTTAGCATCAAGGAACTTCTTGTCGGCCAAGGCACCTGTGATTCGTGCTGTCAAGTTTGCGCCTTCCGCAGAATTGACGCCCGTTGTGCATGCCTGGCGGAAATCGTAGACTGCACCTCGAAGGTCCTTGCATGCCTTTGACTTCGTAAGGTTGGGATATTGCGTGAGGGTCGCAAGAGTCTCGATAGTGATCTCGAGGTCCTCGTCCGGGACAACCGTGTTGAGGTGTTTTGGTTCAAGAATTGTGCCATCGGGAGGCGGCGTGAGGGTAGAATCAGCCTTGGGGAGCTTTTGAGGGAGATCGACCTGCGCATTGCGCTTGCGCTTGGCAGCTTTGGACTTGGCCATGTTGATTGTTGATGAAGATAATTGATATGATTAATTGGGGAGAGTTTTTCTGTGGCCGGTTTCCACCGGAACAATGATCTGCCGACTGTCATGCTTATCGCCACTTCAAAGTGGATCATCAATTTTGCGGGGAGTCGCCCCCAGTTCAAACTTGTACGAACAAAGCCAAGTAGGCCCGGTATCAGCATATTAAGAGGTAAAGTCGGGCAAAAGAAAGAAAGAAAAAAACCCCGGGTCTTTCGAGTTATTTCTGTCCATCCGAGTCATCCGCTTCTGGGATTCCAGCTAAATCTACAAGTTCGAGGTTGCATAATATTGAAAATTAACACAACTACTTAATGCGCTAATCTTCAAGGCCATCTATAGCTCGTGTTGAAATGTGATATCTTGCATTAGACGCTTTTAAGATATCGGCTCACAATGTTTATCCCCTTTTGAATTCAAAATACTTCCCATAGTATTCAAGCAGCGCCGATCAGTGCAATCAAAGGATAAGCTTCAACACGTCCACTCTTGGCATCTGGAGAATATCAGGAAAAAGCACAGTCGATCAAAATTAGCCATCAGTCCGATATCCAAGAAGTAAGTCGGCCATTCTTGCGTCTGGAGATCGGTTTGACGACCCAGCATACTCAACGAGACGGTAGACGTTTCAAATGGCGATCAGCACATTGCAAAAATAAAGCGAAGATAGTATCGCGTGCAGTTTGTGTAGATCTCCTCATCTCTGCGAAGTGGCGCTTGAAGATTCGGACATGAAACATAACTGCACATAGCACACAGACGCCAGAAAGGATCACTTGGAGACCATCACCTCTAAAGGTGTATTCTGGGTCCACAAGATATCCAAGGTGCTCTACGCCACCATATGTAGCCAGCACCGCTCGCCTACAAGACGAAACATATAGATCACCGCAGAGGGAGACCCTGGTTAGCCAGGTGATGCAAATCGGCGAAAGATGGGGGTATCCCGACGGGCGTATCAGACGACTTCAGGACATGTGAACGGCCGCGGAGAGAATCGCCGACGCGGGAAGGATAAGTATCCTTTGGGCTGTGTATAAGGGAGTCGGCGGATACGTGCTGTGCGAGTGTGTCCGAGCTAAAAGACCAAAAGTTCAACTATTTGAGCAGCCCGGATAGCGGAGGGATTGATGTAGATGACGATGGGGCTTACAAAGGCCTCTGATCATAATGGTAGGTGAACCGTTGTCGAGTTATTATGTTTTTGCAGGTACGCATCACAGCGAATATGAAGACCGTAATTAAGACCACGATGGCTATAGGGGACGGGACCTAGACTTTGTAAACATTCACCTCGACCGCCATCTTGACAACAATGTGGAAGATGTGGATGTCAATGAAGACGAACGTACTCAAGTTGTGGTGCTCTGAAGATTTCAATCCTCAGGGACCCTTGTTAAGAGGGGTGAATGAGGTTGTCCAAACAACAGCGAGATTAATTCTCTAACCTGAATCCAAAGAAGGGTATACAGACCAGGCTGAGCGCTGCCATGATCCCAGTTTGCTGCTCTTCAATCACAATTCATCGTGCTCAAGGTATAGCCAGGTCAGATTATAGAAACGATCGCTTGATATCATCTGAATATGGAACGAAAGAATTCCGGCTTCTTTTTTTTCTCTAATCCCCGATTTTTGGAGCATATTTGTAGGTTTCTGTATCAAATTGAAAGGGACAAGGCAAATTAAGGAAACAGATACCTCCAACATAGCAGATGAAAGAAGTGTCTTTCAAACCGAGGGCAATATATCAGGGGTAATCTTCATGCAAGCTATAATTATGCCAACTATCCACCTGTGAGTAAGTCACCTGAGTAATACGGAGATATCATTATCTCCTTTGCAAGGGTATTGCAGTGGCGAAGTCCGGGGTAAGCCCCCTAAACGCAATTATCAATAAGATTCTGAAATCATATATCGGCAGCACGAGGTCACTAAGATTGTGGAGGTAATATTTGGCGAGCTAAGCCTATCAAGGACCATCAGGCTAGCGATGCCTAAACGGGCTTGGGCTGCTGCGTGGTACCTGACTATCATCGGGACTATTGCGCCCGGTATATCACGAAGATATCAATGAACATCATATAAATAACATCGTTTCAAAATACCAATATTAGTTCCTCGTGAAAGTATCATGTCATAGAAACATACCCCGCATTCCACCCTTCATCATTGTCAAGTTTATCTCTACCCCGTGACGATGCAGTACAAGGATAGGAATCCACATCGCCGAAATAGGAAGGTGAAGGAGACCTTTGTACCGAGACGGCGATGTTGGCCAATTACGGATGTACGAGGAGACAGTAATCAGAACCATTTGTCTATTTGATAATGCGATATGGGCATAATTTCAAAGAAGGTTCTAATCAAGCTCTTACCGACTGTCCTCCGCCTTTTCATCCCCAGGATTTTGTGGTTTCTGGCGTGCCCAAGGTCCCCTTCCAGAAAACGGTAAGTCGACCCGTCAATGTGCTTGTCATCTGTTGATATTCTGGGGTATTGGTCTCGTATTGCCATTCGTGCCTTCATGCGGCATATTGCAACATATCTCTTGTCCACTTTGGATATCATAAGAGTGGATACCTTCAACGCTTGTTGAATCTCGATGCATCATCATCGCAAATAAGGCTAGATAACGAAGACATGTCGAGAGAGCACCTTCTTAAACAAGAAATCAAAGCTCCATTAAGATAAAGGCCATTTGATAATCAGATCAAGCAGTTGTGTTATAAACAAACCTAAGACGATAGATATTTTCCTGCTGTTAGTATCGGACTTTAGTCCGCTGTCATAGCGATAACGGTGGATTTGTTATCGGCGCATGGACTTGCCACTTCCGGCTAGCCGTCGCCACTGATGATCCGTTCATGGTTTGTATTCGGCTAACAGCCTATGGCTTCGATGGCTGCAGGGACCCTTGGATGCGGCGTAAGCGGCGTACTAGGGGCAATTAGATCCAACGCAGTTTTCACTACAAATCAACACTTGAATATGCAGCAATTGGCGTCGGAAGTTGCCGACATCGGAGGTCAAGCGTAATGCATCAACCATCTTCGCAGCGACTTACCCGCACTCTTGAATGTAATAAGCAAGCAATTGACTACGGAATTCATATTGATGTGAACATTTTCAAACCCATACTTCGCGTGTCTAAAATGCTTATCCGTTATCGATGGGCAAAGTGATAACCGACTGCAGTAAGTCCACCCGAAGCGGCGACGCTCCCCGCAAAAATTCTAGAAAAGCCACACACACTATGATCAATTCTATTACCAACAGTTTTCCCAGTCCATGACCAATTCCAACAATTCCCACCCGTCAAACAAACTCCAACTCACTCTTTCATTGGCCAATTCCATCGGCTCCAGCTTTATCTGGCGCCCCCGTATTTTTCCTGGGGAGAGATACAACAGATACCCGCGCCCGGTCCTACCCAGGACGATCAACGCGCGGAACGCCAGCAGCTAGGTTTTAGAAAAGATATATAGAATTCAGCCTAGTCGCCCCTAATCTTGTTTTTCTTTCGATCTCAGCTTCTGGCAGAAAATGGGCGCGACGTCTACTTGCTTCTCCGTTGAATTGATCTTTATTGCTTCCGGCTGAATACGATGGATTTGGAGTCGAACTCGAATTCTCTTCCCCTCAAACCGCCACTCGAGAATGATCAGGACGTGCAGGATGCGACCGATCTCGCGGCGATGGGTCACGCCCAGGCGTTGACCCGAAAATTTGATATGTGGAGCATGTTGGCTCTCGCTTTTTGTGTTCTTGGTATGTCGCCACTGTACCTGTACCTCCCGAAGTGCGGGATATATATTTTGCACAGCTTGGGACCACGCATACGGCCAACGGCATGACACCTACCGAGCAAAGCTGACTTGAACAAATTTAGGAACCTATTCTACTTTTGCACAGGATCTTAGCAGTGGACTTACAAATGGAGGACCAATTACCATCCTTTGGGGTCTGGTGCTCGTCACAGGCTGCAACCTCTGTGTGGCCCTCTCGCTGGGCGAGTTAACGAGCAGCATGCCCACAGCTCTTGGCCAAGCCTATTGGGTCTACCGACTTTGGAATACGCCGCTCGGTCGATTCGTCTCGTACATGTGTGCGTGGATTAACACATTCGGATGGTGGACCTTGACAGCATCGCAGGTCGCTTTCATGACTGAGTTCCTGCTTGGCATGAAGACCATGTTTGCGCCCAACTGGACCGGCGGTGATGCAGGCTGGTTGAACTTCGTTGTGTACATCGGTGTGGTCTTCCTGTTGACTTCCATCAACGTTGTCAGCTGTCGCAAGGAGAAGATCCTGCCCTGGTTCAACAACTTCGTTGGTGTGTGGTTTGGTGGTTTGTTCATTGTTCTCTCCCTGGCTCTGGTTATCTCGGTCGGTGTCAAGAGTGACCTCTCCTTCCAGCCTGCTTCGTTCGTGTTTGGAAAATGGATTAACCAGACTGGATGGAGTGATGGCGTGACTTGGTTCACTGGTCTTGTCCAGGCTGCTTACGGATTGACCGCGTTCGACTCGGTCATTCACATGGTTGAGGAAATCCCCGACCCACGCAAGAATGCTCCCCGTGTTATTTGGATGGCCGTTCTCTTCGGCGCAATCACTGGATTTATCTTCATGGTGGTTTGTCTTGGCTGCATTCAGAACCTGGATAATGTCACCAATGCCGACCTGCCCTTCATGGAGCTTATGCTCGAGACTATCGGCTTGAAGGGTGGTGCTGTGCTAATTGCCCTGTTCATCTTCAACGGACTCGGCCAGGGTGTCAGTGTTCTGACCACAGCTTCGCGTCTATCCTGGGGATTTGCTCGCGATGGCGGTCTACCCTGGAGCCAGTACTTTAGCCACATCGATCCCGTGTGGCAAGTTCCCGCCCGAGCCCTCTGGGGCCAAGGTGTCGTTATTGGCATTGTTGGTATTCTTTACTTGTTCGCCAATACCGTCCTCGAGGCCATCCTGAGTGTTAGCACTATTGCCCTTACTGTCTCATACGCCATGCCTATCCTCGCCTTGTTGATCGTCGGTCGCGACACCCTGCCCGACGGGGGCTCCTTCAAACTCGGTCGCTGGGGCCCTTGGTTGAACTGGGTCAGCATTATTTACTGCATCATCACCACTATCTTCTTCCTCTTCCCTGGCAGCCCCAACCCGGCACCCTCCGACATGAACTACGCTATTGCCGTTTTTGGTGTCATGCTTGTTATTTCCATCGCTTTCTGGTTCATTCAAGGAAGCCGGACATATCTCCAGACTGAAGATGCCATTGCTCAGATGGTCTACGCTCAGCACTTGGAGAATGAAGAGGAGGCAGCGTCTCTTGGATCCGGTCAACTATAAAAACCTGAAAAGGCAGCAATGCTGATGTACATAAATACCTGATTGTTTGAGCATTCAACAATGTCTTGCACATAATAATCGAATTTGAATTTCCTCAGAGCTTTTGGTGCTGTCATATTATAATTTTTCATTTGCAATACTGAAAATTTTGAAGTTGCTCGTGAAGCTACTTGTGTACGACCTGTTCACGGGTGCACTGTTGCACCTGTGGAACTTGGGTCGGGCCTGTTATAGGTTGACCCCTGAAGAGGAAACATGGGTTAGTTCGGAGATAACTATGGCCCGAGATCTCTCATTAATCACGATCTCAATATTCAGAGGGCCTTGGGTGAATACTTATTTACTCAGCCCAAATTGAAACCTCGTGGCTGTTTGAATTGTTTCAACCCAGATCCTCATGGGAAATGACACGTTTCAGCTGATTGTCTCATTCACTGGGATCTATCCCCAGGCTATTGATCTCCGTCAAAAGTCCACAATACCGCTTGCTATTAGACTTCTGCAAAGATATGGTGATCATCGCCAAGCCGTGTTATCCTCGGCAAACTTCCCCATGATCAAACGTGCACATTCCGGTTCTCCGATTCCAACTCCGACCATCACAATTTCCAAATTTCACTGCATCTGCCACTCACATCTGATGCATTAATCGATCTCATCCGTCCTACACCTGGACCAGCCACATTGAATCTAAACTCCAAAAGACGTCACCCTCACATCCCCTGTATCAATTGTGGGTCCCCGCCGATCATCACCCCAAGATCGCGTCGCGCGTCCAGGGTCGCAAATGTCTCAGCCCAGCCAGGGAGGGGTTTCTCCATACCGATCACATCACTGGCTATTCAAAGTACCCTTGGCCCAACCCCGTTGACGAACCGACGGCAAGCTGCAGGCTGCAATATCCGATTGGGTTAGGGGTTCAGGGACCGAATTACAGGCCGAGATGATGGGTCACTTTCCGACGGGCATCCGTCCAGGGTCCACTGGGATAGTGGGACTATGCAAGGCCAAGGACTCATGAGCTGCAGTGTTCCCACCCTTTAGGAGTAGCGTGAGATAGGACTGGTTCCTTTTACACCACATTCTTGGCTCTATTATCAGTCATTCCCCCGCCAATGCAACCATAATAAATAACCCGCGCCATATCTTCCCCTCACGTGTCGGTCATTCCGAGCCTTGCCTATTTAAATATTTGGCTCGTGTCTCCTGTACAGGGTTGTTCACTGTCTAAATCATGCTGTCGTTTTTGAATCGCGGCGCCTTGTCGCTGGCGGCTGTATCGCTTCTTGCTTCATGTGCTTCAGCTGAAGTGTTTGAACGCCTTGCTGCTGTCCCTGAGGGTATGTTAATTCCTCGATCTAGCTGACGGAGCTAATCTGAAAATCTTAGGATGGCATTATTCTCGCACCCCTCGTGCTAGCCAGCCTATCAAGCTTCAGGTGGCAATGGCACAGGGGAATGTCCCTGGATTCGAGCAGGCCTTGATGGACATGTCGACCCCTGGCCACGCGAACTATGGCCAGCATTTCCGGACTCACGATGAGATGAAACGTATGCTACAGCCCAGTGTTGCTTCAGTAGATGCTATTCAGCAATGGTTGGAGGATGCTGGCATCACAAACATTGAACAAGATGCCGACTGGATGAAGTTCTCCACAGACGTGGAAACAGCCAATAAGCTCCTGCACGCCAATTTCCAATACTATGCCAGCGATGGACAGCATGTCGAGCGGCTTCGTACCCTGGAGTACTCGGTTCCTGACTCGCTAGTCGATCATATCAACATGGTTTCGCCAACTGTGCGTTTCGGTCAGATTCATGCCAACCGTGCTACTATGCACGGTCAGAAGAAGCTTGTGACTGAGAAATTCCGTAAAGCTTCACACTTCACCAGCTCAGACTGCAACAGCGCCATCACGCCTCAGTGCCTGAAGGATCTATACTCAATCGGCGATTACAAACCTCAGTCTGACAACGGCAACAAAGTCGCTTTCGCCAGCTACTTGGAACAGTATGCCCGGTACCAGGATCTCGCCCAATTTGAGAAGAACATCGCCCCATACGCCATCGGCCAAAATTTCACGGTGATCCAATACAACGGTGGGGGAAACAACCAATCCGCGACCACTGACAGTAGCGAAGCCAACCTGGACCTACAATACATCGTCGGCATCAGCTCCCCTGTCCCAGTCACTGAGTTCAGCACAGGTGGTCGCGCCCCGCTAGTCCCGGACCTGGACCAGCCAAATGCAAACGACGACGAGAATGAGCCATACCTCGAGATGCTCCAGAACGTTGTTAAGCTTGATGACGCAGATCTCCCACAGGTCATCTCGAACTCCTACGGCGAAGACGAGCAAAGTGTGCCAGCAAAATACGCCCAGAGCGTATGCAACCTCTACGCTCAGCTGGGCAGCCGCGGCGTCTCGGTCATCTTCTCGTCTGGTGACTCGGGTGTCGGCGCAGCTTGCGAAACAAACGACGGCAAAAACGCTACCCACTTCCCGCCTCAGTTCCCGGCCGCCTGTCCTTGGGTTACATCGGTCGGCGCAACAACACACATCGCCCCAGAGACGGCGGTGTACTTCTCTTCGGGTGGATTCTCTGATCTCTGGGACCGTCCTTCGTACCAGGATGATGCTGTGACCGATTACCTCACCACACTAGGAGATCAATGGTCCGGTCTATTTAATCCCAAGGGCCGTGCATTCCCCGATGTTGCCGCTCAGGGTGAGAACTACGCTATCTACGAGAAGGGACACCTTAGCTCTGTGGATGGAACGTCTTGTGCTGCACCTGCCTTTGCGGGTGTTATTGCCCTGCTGAACGATGCGCTTATTCAAGCTGGCAAACCTACCATGGGATTCTTGAACCCCTGGTTGTACTCGACTGGTCGCTCGGCTTTGAACGATATTACTACTGGCGGTAGCACTGGCTGTGACGGTAATGCTCGCTTTGGCGGTGCTGCGAACGGTGGTCCTGTTGTCCCTTATGCTAGCTGGAATGCTACTAAGGGCTGGGATCCTGTTACTGGTCTTGGTACCCCTGACTTTACCAAGATGTTGGCTGCTGCTGGTGTCAACTAAGAGGTTGATTTGATTTTGGGTTGGAAATGGGTTTTATGTTGCATGCATCAATGTCTTTCTTGGTAGCTGGTATGCATCGGCTATGCACATAGTTTCTGTAGCTAGGTTTATATGAATATCGCAATTTATGCATTGAATTGACCTGTCTCTTCACTTTCTGTCCTAGATCAGTATATAGGATACGTCAAGTGAAGCCAGAGAGAATACGGACCGAAGCTCTGCATCGATCAGATGCTAATCAAAGAACCTCAATCCCACAAAGTCAGCTCCCCAAGTCTCAGAGACATCCGTATCAGCAGCATTAGCAACAACAACCTCATTATCACCATCCACCCACCCATCAAGCAAAAGCCCAAGTGTAGCCGTATCCCACCATCCCAAGCCAGGACTATAAAGCTCGCTATGGTGCCCTGAAAGCGGGACCTCGAGTCTGACAGGGTCGCCCCCATTAACCGAGACAGTGATGTTCCGCGAATTAGAGCCCCAGTCCCAGGTAGTCGAGAATGCAACATCATTATTGATGTAATCTATCTCGATGTACTTTGCCTCTGTTCCGCTGGCACTTGAGACTGTTGCCGGGATGGTAGCTGTTGCTGTACCTGTAGAGCTGATATAGCCGATTTTGTAGCCGACTGGGGCACAGCCACTGGTTCCGCATTGTTCAATAACTGCGGATCCGGCCAGAGTAAAATCTGTTTGACCTGCGTAGTATGTTCCTGTTGGTGACTCGATGGTGATAGAGTCTATTGTCATACCGGATTTGATGGTTATTGTGTTTGCTGATCCGGCTGTCAGGGAAAGGGTTGACGTGATGGTTTTGCTCGAAGCGGGCACCTTGATAGATTGAGATGTTGGGTTTGCCGAGGTGCTAAGCTCGATGGTTGTGGCTTTTGTTGGAGCCGTGGAGAATGAGATTGAAACGGTATACTTTGAACTGGTCGTGTTGGCGTAGACGGACTCGAAAGTTGTCGTTGTGCTGCAGAGAGTCAGCATCTGTTTTCCAAAAACAGGCTTTCCACTTACCCATCTGAAGACCCGAACAAACTGGTAGGATAAGTTCCAGCCGCAGTAGTATCCCCAAGCTCAAGCAACAAAACACCGTGAGCCGCAACAGATCCCGAATAAGAAGTCTTCACACCCTCAGCCGAGTTACCACCCCAAATATCCTTAACAGAGCCCGCATACTGCAAACCAACATCCGGCAAATCCAATGTCAACTCCCTCTCCTCGTCATCCCAGTTAATAACAGCCGCAACAATCCTGTCCCCAGAAAGCGGTCCACTCCAAACCTCATAAACCTCCTCAGTCCATCTCCTCTTCAATCCAGCACCAACACCAAGGCTATCCTGGTTATATCCAATAACATCCTTATTCATCAAGATGTCCAACGAAGCCTCGCTAATAGAGGTATACTCATCCTTCAGAGCACCGCCAATAACAAGCGGACTTTTAATGATAGCCCACAGCGAGAAATGCGTCTGTTCTTCCGCGGTGGTAAAGACATTGTTTCCCACCTCAAGCATATCAAGGTCAGGCCATTGGCCCGGTCCAGTGTAGGGTTGGTTGGGGACTGCCTGATTCAAAATGCGGAAAATCGTTCGCCAGTCTGGGATGATGTCGTTGCCGATTCGCCAGGTGTTTCCTAGGGCGGGAGCCCAGAGCGCTGGGAAGTCGACGCCCCATTCGCAGATTTGGAACAGAACTGACCGGGACTGGGCATCCAATGCTTTGGTCATATTTGCGTATCGCAGACTGGGTGATGTGCTAGGAGTGTAATCTACATTTGGGTAGTCGGTTGCTGCATCGGAATAGCAGTTGTCATCTAGAAACGTTAGACAAGTTTTCCAAATTGGTGAGGGTTAAGGGGGGATACATTTCAGCGAATCGATGTTCCATGACATAAATGTTGCGGCGTCCTGAGCTTCATGGTCTATAATGACGATTAGTTTGGAACACATGGATTCCTCGAGCGCCCTGAAAACATCAGAAGTAAGACTCACATAAACTCCCAGCCTGATCCTGTCCCTCACTACATGTCTTGATCCCCGCATCCTCATAAACACCAAATAACAGCCCCAGGCCATGCAGAAACTCGCCAAGAGCCGGGAATCCGCTTGGGAATAGCGTTGCATCCCAAGTCAAAGACCCATTAGCTAATCGATCAGCGACCGTCCAGCCACAATCAGTGGTAACATATGTATATCCCAGATCTGCCAGACCAAGATCGACAAGAGCTTGCGCATTAGAGTGCACAATACTCTCATTGGGATAGCAGGAGTAGTGGTTATACGTATTCCATCTGCATAGATTAGGCCCTGTTGGCTTTCAATGAATTTTAGGTAAAAAACGTACCCCATTGGTGGCGTTTTGGCAACTCCATTATCCGCTCGCCGATGCGGATGTGGCGCCGCATCGGCGAGGAAGGCTGAGAACAAGGATGCCTGAACAATAGTGCCGAGCATGACGAGTGTGACGTGTACATAGAATTTCCATTTTGCGCGATCGCAATGAAGATGTTTAAATACTCAGTTCCTGGGTTTATCCGATCGCGATATCCGGGAATTTGCCTTATTGGGATGAGGAGAAGAGGAGAAATGCAGGTTAGGAGCTTTTTAATTGAACACCACAAACCTAATTTAACACCCTCACTAACCGCATTCAAGTTAGCGCAGTATCCAAGATCTAGAGAGTAGTATTATTGAGTACATACCCAAGGGCGTCAAGTGCGTACTTGCTCACTTTACTTTGTAGACTACGCTGGAATGTGAAGGTGATTAAAGAGTGATACCAGTTAAGCTACCTTTTATTACTTACATTATGATCCTAACTTAAATTGACGTGAATTAAGCGAGGCGATGCAATGTACTTTAATACTTGAGATGGCGATTTCTCTGAATTACAATTACTGCGCCATACCGGATATAGGGACAGAGTGGTGTTCAACTAATTTTGTGGTGTTCAATTATCGCGCTCCGCAGGTTAAACTCCACTAATGCGACGATCCGGAAAATTCCATCTTATTTTCGATTGGCTATACTTGCATCATTTCAAAGGTAAAATATTCATCATATTACAATAGGTATGAAGTACTAATACATGGGAAATATGTCGTTGTAAAAAAAACCACTTCAGGTTCCACATCATCTGATGCGATCCACCTGACCACATCACATCACCATACAATCCACGGCATATCCCTGCATTTAAGCAAAGACACCCATCACCCCGGAGAACAACACCATAGCAAGAACACCCAGCCCCATAGTCGAAACAGGCTGTCCAGCAGCTGCGTTCGTGGTCGACGTAGTCGTCGAAGTAGTAGTTCCAGTCGTTGTGCTCGTCTCAGAGGCAGTGGTAGTAGCCTTGGCAGTCGCAGTTGCATTCAGGCTATCATTGCAGAAGACATCGCGGTAGTTGTTTCCTGTTGTCTGGATACAATCGAGGAGCTTTTCGACAGTCTGCTCTTGAGCGAGACAGTAGATTCCGCAGTCGTTGTCGTATTTCACGGGGTTGTTGCCTTTGCAGCAGGTGTCGAATACGGAGGTCATGTTGCCTGAAATGACGGCTGCGCAAGCTGCGTCTGTTGTTGGGAGTTGGTAGACATTTCCTGTGCAGGCGGTTGTGGCGGAGGCGACGGAAGAGGTGGTTGTTGTAGACATTTTGGCTGAGTCGTTTGTGTGGGGATTATTTGAGTTGAGTTTGACTGTAGAGCTGGAAGAGGGTTGAAGAGGACAAGTGGAGTCTGAATTGAAGGGAGAAGTCCAGGATATAAAGGGTTCAATGAAAGCAGAACCAGATTAATTGAACAAGGGACAAGGTAAGACAAACGATGTATCATCATGGAACTTGACCACACAGACTGCTTCTGTGGGGAACGGACCCACCCTGCACAACTATACATAACACTAACCAAGAAATCCAGTTTCTGATTTCTTGGCATTAGGCATCTGGAATAAATTATTTCGACACATCAGCTCCAATTGGAGTTTGGTAAAAATCTTTGTGACGAATCAACTGCAAGATGAGCGTTATTGCAGATCACATACAATAGTTACAAGCCACACTGCGCTAAGCCAATAAGAATGGAGATCATATTCGATAATCATAATTCGACCGAGTGACCGATCATATCTGCACAACTGCCGATGCACATATACTAAAATATATAGTTAAATAAACCTTGGAAGGGTATCTTCACAGCACCTCCTTGCTCGACGCAAAGTTACTGTGTGGTATCGGTGTGAGTCTCAGGGGCCTGAGTCGTGGTCTCAACGACCTTTTCACTATGTGAAGCCTCGAAATCCTGCTTTTCCGCACCGGAGTGGCCCTCCACGCCGACCAGAGCGAGGAGACCAATTTCGCTTTCAATGCGATGCTTGCGCTCGGCATCTGCGGCGGCCAGACCAGTTGAACCGAAGATCTCGTCCATCTCCTCCAGAGTACGGCCCCGGGTTTCGGGGACGAAGAAAATCACGTATAGAATACCGACCACCGTGACGCATCCGAAGAAGATGAATGTACCGTAGGTTGAAGCCTTCACGAAGGGAGAGGTCGCGGTAGCGACCGCGAAGTTGTTCAACTGGGGCGACTAGTTAGATATGCAAGCAGTGTATTAGCGAGGAAAAGACCTACCCAGTTGCTGCTACCACCAATACTAACACCCTTAGCACGCATACTCAATGGGAAGACCTCAGAGGTAACAATCCATGCGACGGGACCTGAGGTCGTTAGTTATATGTCTTAGCCACGGACCGGCGGAACATACCCCAAGAGTAAGCAAAGTTGATCACAAAGATCCACACAAACACAATAGCAGTCCATCCAGCGGCCCGGTTCTCCAGCCATTTGCCCTGGTACCCGCCAATGATGCCGGCAACGATGAAGTGGCAGGTAGCCATACCCACAGCACCGGCGATGAGAATCTTCTTGCGACCGATTTGATCCACCCAGAGCACGGCAGGAATGGTAAAAAGGAACTCCACAATGCCGACGACACCGGTGGCGAGGAGGGTGGTGGTGTTTCCGGGCAGTTGCATATCCTCGAAGATGTATGGGCTGGAATATGTCAGTCACGTTCAACCAAAAAAACGATGGTACTCACGCGTAGTAGTTGATAGCATTAATACCGTTCCACTGCTGGAAAACCATGATCATACACTGAAAAGTTCAGATTAGCATTATGATCGCCAAAGAAGAACGAAACACATACAGCAACGGATGTCCGTTTGAACAAAGACTTGTTCGTAATGAGCGACATGTAATCATTGAGACCCATCTTGAAGTTGCTCTTGAAAGATCCATCTTGCAAATGCGGGTATTTCTCCGCGGCTGTTTCCCTCTCAAACAGGTATAAACTCTTGATTTCGAGGTGCTCAATCCGCACAAGCAGATCGTCGGTAGTGGTTCCACGCAGACGAGCCAAAGTCTGCAGGCACTCCTCCTCGCGACCGGTATTCATGAGGTGACGCGGGGATTGGGGCATGAAGAGTATCATTCCGGCGGCAAGGACGAGGGCGGGCAGAATCTGAATACAGATGGGGATCAACCAGGCTGCATCTGATTGGCCTGCTCCTGTACCTCCGATGTAATTCGTTCCGTATCCGATCTATCAACGTTAGAGTGAGAAGATCAAGCCATGGATAGTGGAACTCACCCAGAAGGACACCATGATACCGAATGTGATAGCCAGTTGTTGCACGGCGACGAGGGATCCACGAATTTCAGGAGGTGCCTGCTCTCGTTAGCTTGATTTCCTTCCTTCCAATGTCACGTTGGACTTACCAGTTCAGCGTTGTACAGTGGTACCACCATACTCAAACTACCAACACCCAGACCAGTGACGAATCTACCAGCAAAGACATAATCCTTGTTCTGTGTGCATGCCTGCACAATCACACCAACGCAGAAGACAGCCACGGCAACCAGCACAGTCAGACGGCGACCGAGTCTATCGGCCAAGTATCCATTGGCGAGTGTTCCCACCCACGCACCGAGTTCGAGCACCGACGTCAGCATACCCTGCTCGATACTTGTTTGGGCGGCATATCCATTCGTCTGGATAAGTTAGTCACGTCGACATAGAGCTCGGAGGACTTGACATACGGCTTCTTGGAAAGACTTCATGGTCAAGACCTGTGCGAACATTCCCTGGTTGTCTAATCCGGTCAGCGTCATCACCATCTCTGCTTGTCGATCAACTTACATCCATAAACGAAACCACCCAGCGACGCGAATAGTCCAATCAAGGAAGTTTTCTTATTACTGATCAAACCCAAGATTCCACCTTTACCAGCGAGCTCGGCACGCTTGGCCGAAATGGCCGTCTCACCAGGAAGAGGACCCATGATGACAGATGATCTGACAACGAACTGAGCAGAAGTGAATGGCCTGGGTCGATAGGTGATAGATACACGACGAAAAGACCGACGCGTCAAAGCCGGGGATCAATGCTATTTATTGACATCCACGACCCAATGTCGGCAAGCTCCAGACTGGTTGAATTTCCCCGGGACTTTACCCCCATGGGGCCATCCATCTTACGTTGTACATGGAACATGGTCTGAACCCATTCCCCACCGACCCGGCTAACATCCGGGTCTGGTATGGAATTAGGAAAGGATCGGTGCCGTGTCAGTGGCTGCGGGTGTGGCATCGCTAATTTATCCGGTCAAACTTTGGATAAATGCGTTGGTCACGGTAGTTAAGGGTGTGGCGTGTTCACGCTTGGCAATTAATTGTGCTGGTTCATAAACATCTGACATAGCACAAATTCAGGGCTGGCTTCGGTGCTCTGATTTGCTTTTTTTGGGTGTGATTTAAATCGGCTCGACTCGAGGCCGGGGCTAAATGTACCCCTAAGGCGTGCGCGGAGAGACCGAGATGCGATCTTATTGGCTCCGCTGATCCACTGACTCCGCAGTCAAACCCCCTGGGGACCCCGCCTTTCGTGCAAACCTGCTTTACAGAGTGTGATTTTGAAAACCGGGCGGTTCGAAAGTCTCCATAGGAAGCTAGAACTTTCGACTGGAGAATGGGATACCTTCCGCCAATGCCTCGACAAACGGAAGATGGAGACCAGCATCAACCTCGCCGGCACCCGAACCCCACACTAAACAAATAAAGCTAGTGCCGTACACTAAGACACCATCTGCCCACATCCCATCATTTAATCCCGCGGGTGAAACCGCTAATTTAGCCTGTTGACTGCCTTCCCTGCATACACGCCACTACGCCTCACCCGTCGCCCTAGGGGCCTAATTTACTCGGCTTCTCGCGGCAAGAATTGCAGCCGAAATGCCTGATCACCGGGAAATATCGCCGTTTGACGGCATTTGTCGGGCTGGCCTGATCTGATCTGGTCTGGATAAATACTTGGTTTTGATACTTGGTTCTGCCTTTCCGGGGTATTACCCGGTGTCTTTTTCCCCGTTCCCCGGATATGAACCAAGCCGGATATGCGGGCGCTGGGGCCGTTTCGGGATTTTTCTCGGATATTGGTCGGTTTGATGTGTTTGGCATTGATCGTCGTTTCGGGAGGGCTGCAGCGTAAGTCGGCGAATTCCCTGGAACATTCGGCGAATATGTACAGTCGACGTGGGGTTTGAGCGTGGGCCATTCTCTACCGATGTTTACCCGATCAAAGGCCGATTCTGGATCTCGGGCTGCTCTTCATTCCAGAGTGTGTGTTATGACTGGTCTACTACTCTCTAGCACTTGCGGCTTATATCTTCGGGAATCCCGATTTGAATTCTAGGGATGAATTATGTGCCGGATCGTCTCGAACATCCCGAGTTCGCGCCCTTGGAAGCCTACAGAATCACGGTACCTCCGATCCGCTCGCCGAAACTAGCGCGAGGATAAATGGCCTTGTCAATGCGGTGATATCAGTGGCGCTGGCTCTGTATGGTAGCGAATCTATATTCAGAACGGTCACAGGCGTGATTCCGAATGGTACCTCACCCCATTGTGGGTTCAGGCCTCAGCCTCGGCCACCGGGCCTATCTAGTGCAAGACGGTTCGGGGATCCTTAACATGTCCTCAGTAGTTATAGGTCGGTCTTGGGGTGATGCGTAGCTCCGGTATCTGGGGTACATATACCTGTAGGAATACATAGCAACTATATTCATACTGATCTTCACAGTTTACATATACGGTGTCTGAATAAACAACGTCCGTAGATATGAAGTACGCTCCTGCGAGAAATTTGATTCAAGGTAAAGCGATGTTATCCACGACCGTCCACCAGACGAGAAAAAATTCAACCAACGCAATATCCATACAAAGATCTAACCCTTCTTCCCATTTCCCTCTCCCCCAACAAACTTCCGAATCTCCTTAGCAAGTCGATCCCTCGCCCGCTTATCATCTCGATCCATTCCCCCACTAAAAAACTTCGGCAAAGCACGCAAAGAATTCGCATGATCAACCGCAAACTCCGGACCCTGCAACTCAAGTTCCCGGGCATACTCAATCGCAAATTGCAAAATCCCCAATCCAACACCATTCCCACGATACTTCTGTAGAACAGTCCAAGCCCGGATAACCACCTTCTCTGGCCGTAAGACGGGTTCCAAATGGGCAGGATGACAGTACTCATCTGAGTCAACATCGGGTTCAGAGTCGTACTCGTTCCGAGAAACAGTGACCACTGAATCGGTGTCCACGGGCATAATACGAATGACCAGTGTAGCGATGACACGTCCGTTGAAGCGTGACACAAAGACTTTATCCTGCATCCACCCCTCGTCCAAACTTTCCTTCTGCACATCGATCTCAAGTCCAGCACTAGCATCAGCGCTAGCACCGGCACTGTATTCTTCCCATGCCTTTCCCATATCACAAACACCACCAAGAGACTGTCTCAGAACATCCTTCTTCTTCCCATCCCTCTTCAGTGCACACCAAGCCAAGGCCTTCTCAGCATGACCACCAGAAACCCGAAACCAAACACCCTGACACAAAGTCCACCTCAGCGGCGACCAGCCATCATCATTATCCGCGCGTAAACCCCCATCAAAATTAGAAGCCCACTTACTCCCAAAAAGCCAAGACCACCGCCCAACACGCTCCGCTTCATCCAGGTATCCACCCGTCCACATCTTTATCCCGCTCAAAGTGGCGATCGCGAAGCAGATCCAGAGGAGTAGGATCATAATCCAGTCTGCGGATGTGTGCCAGAGGACGCGGTAGAGGTATTCGAAGACGATTACGAGGATGGACCAGTAGAAGCCGCTATGGAGGATAGATTTTGCGGCTATTTGGCGTTGTTGCGCGATCGAGTCGGCGATTAGGTGGAGGGAGGCTATTAGGTCTTGTTCAGTTGTTGCGGGAGTTGTCTCGAGGATGCCTTCTTCTGCTGGGATTTCCTTCCGTTCGGCGGTTGGTTCTGGGGCTGGGCTTCGGAGATCTTCTGAATCTGAAAACGAGGATGCGTCTGATTGTGGTGTGGTTGAGGGGAGTGTTGGATCTCGAGGATTTGGAGATGGTGGTGCAGGAATGGCATTGATTGAGGCATTGCTTGCTATGGGGTCCGAATTTGACCCTGAGCTTGCAGTTGAGGTTGGGGAAGGCGGTGGTGAATCGTAAGGCGCCTCAAAGGTTGCCATCGTAGGAGTTAAGTCAGGTTCCTGCACGACCAATTCAATCGTGAGACCGTTGCTTGTAGATGCGGTCTTGTCTGTAGTATTAATAACTGGTGAGGTATTGTCCGGCACGCTATGATTCGGACTCCTGGCTTCCGGGACCTCGATGCCTGGAGTGCTATATTCTGGCGCACTATTACCCGGAGGGTGGCTTTCTTGATCGCCGGTGACTGGAGCAGTAATTTCCGAAGTTTTATCGTCTGGAATATCGTTCTCTGGTGTGATACTATATGACACGTTGATATTTGGGTCCTTGGCTTTTGGGTTGTCGATTCTTGGGATGTCTGTGTCTGCAGTGCCGTTCTGCTCCGCGCGATTGTCTGGATGGCTGTTTTCTGGAGCAGGAGTTTCTGGATTATTCTCGTCTGGGGTATAGTTCTCACTTGAGTTGCCAGGCGCTGTGTGCTCCGTAGTATCGCTGTGATGAGTGTCGTTGACATTAAGCAGTACGGACAACTCCTCGGATACGGCTTCCATGAACGCAGAGCTACTGTCGTTCTCAGTAACCCTCCACTCAAAAGTGCATTTCATGATCGCCGATCCGTTTCTCAAAGTGTCAGAAGCAACTCTAAAGCAGAGTGTAGGGTATTTATCAGTCGCGCAGAAGCTCAGCTGTGCCAGCGCAAGACGTGTCAGACATTGTCTTTTTCTTTGTTTGAAATGGAAACACAATAATGTAGAGAACGCAAAATCAAAGATCCAAGCTGACTCACAATCTAATCCAGGTACTCAGTCAGAAAGTCCCTACAGAACCAAAGAAAGAAAATGATGACAAAGAAGAAGAAATAGAATCCGATCAGGTTGAAGAGGATGCTTGATTCGGTGGGTGCGTGCAGGTCATCAGACATGATTGTCGATAGGAGTGAAAAGTTTGAATAGGTGATTGACACATGTGTTCAGATTGTTCGGCTTTCATTCATATCTGGCAGATATTGAGAATCCATGGTTGCTGGCAGGAGAGTTTGATGGTTGTCCTGATACAGAACCGGACTCCAGCTCATTCTTCTTTCTAGCTTAAACTTTTAGAATGTTCATTGTCGGCTTGGACTTATCTTCTCTCGGTTAGGATATCGAAATTGCAGAAAGGTTCTCATATTCGTCTGGGGTGGTATTGTCTCGTGTCATGAACCTTACAACAGATGCAGGTATCCGATTCGCCAAGGAAGAGACAAAGGACTTTACCCAAAATGCCAGTAATAATAAAAAGAAGCGATATTACTAGCTATTAGGTAGAAGCCATAAGTAAGTAGTGCTGCTAGCTTCTAAACTCTGACTGGAGCGATAAAACATAAATCAAATACAGCTTGGGAAACAAGATAGAAAGTAAGAGGCAAAAATCAAAAAGAACCGCTTCCGCTGCACAAATGGCAATTCTGTTCTGTCCATTGAGTGTAGGCTCATTCCCCGGGGCTGTCGTAAAACACGACTAATTTCCCGGAGGAGTGACGCCAGACACAGCAATCATGTCAGGCTTCTTACGGCTAGATTCCTCGGATGCATGATGGTGGGTAACACCATCATCCACAATTTCCTCTCCGGCAAGACTCTCCAGAGTGCGTCGCTTGGTTTCGGGAATAAGCAGAGTTGTAAAGACGCCACAAAGCATGAAGAGTGCGAAGATCTGCATGACATGGTTGAGCCAAGGGCTGTTGGAGGTTCCCTTGGGAGCACCTTTGTTGACGAGGGGCCCAAACACGCACTGTGCGATGATTGCACCGATCTTGCCAGTCGCGGCACTGATGCCGTGGGAGGTGGAACGGTACCGGGTAGGGAAGCATTCCCCAGGCACAATGAAGGTAGTCGCGTTGGGACCGAAGTTGAAGAAGAACTGTGCGAGCACGTAGAGAGCGAGCAGACCATTGTGCGAGTTTTTCAGAGGGTGGTAGGCAAAACCGATGATGATGAATAGGATTGTAAGCATAATGAACCCAAACAACTGGATTGGCTTACGGCCGATCGTGTCAACGGTTGCAACAGTCACCCAGTAACCCGGGATGGCACCGGCACAGATGAGGATCAGGTTACCGACGGCGTTGCGGTAGAACACCTGGTAAACATCGTGTCCGCCTGTCCATCCGATAGCACCTAGAATAACCGAGTTGTTCAAGCCGAGGCCGTAGAAAGCTAAGGAATTGGTTAGCTAAAATCGAAATATTAGAAGCAGATCAACGTACCAACATCGAGGAAGAACCACGATCCAGCCGTGCCGAGAAGGACCTTTCCGTTCTTCCAAGTGCCAAAATGGTTGTACCAATCCGCGAATGTCGCCTTCGGAACCATGGCTTCGGTGTTTTCATTGCGAAGGAGGGCGATGCGGCGAATTTCATCCGGGTGGCCCTCACTCTCTCCTTTCATGTAGGCACGGATATCCGAGTCAGCCTTGAGAATGTCACGGTCGACATCGAAGGTGTAACGAGGGGTCTCGGGGATGGTAAGTCGAAAGTAGAGGGCTGCACACGCAGGCACGGCACCCAGTCCAATGACAGTGCGCCACATTTTGTCAACGGCGAGTTGACACACTCCCGTGCAGTGAGCAACATCCTTTGCCGTTTCAAGAGACTCTTTGAAGGCGGCGGTAACGATCAAGGCGATAATTGCGGCAGCAAATTGCCCGATGCCTTGCATGGCAAAGACAGCTCCCATCATCGCACCACGCCATTTGGTGGTAGCAAACCTACTTCGTCAGCAAATCAGACCCAAGGGTGGTCAAGGAAGTTCACTTACTCAGAAGTAATGATAGAAGAGAGCGGATAATCTCCTCCGATGCCAATTCCCATGATGACACGCCAGAAGATCAACAGACCAGTGATGGAGATGGAGCGGGAGTCAGATGCGAGGGCCTGAGCCAGGGTAGCAAGGATAATGATCATGAGCTCAAAGCCGTACATGCGCTTGCGACCAATACGATCAGCAAGCCAGCCGAAGAAGAGCTGACCAATGACGGTACCACCGGATGTTGCGACTTTGATGGCGGTATCAGAGCTGGAGGGGATCTTGCCAGGATTGGACTTGGCTGTCTGCCAGTAGACGACACCAAGCATGCTGACACAAAGATTGATGGCAAAGATATCATAGGAATCAGTGAAGAAGCCCACACCGGCAACTACCACGGCGCGAACATGGTGCCATCCGAACTTGGCGTTGTCGATCTTGGCCAGTGCACGTCGGCGCGCTTCCTTGGGGTCACTCACATACGAAGACTCACTGCCATCTTGGATAGCTCTTTCCTCATCTTGAATTGGGGGAAGGCTGCTGAGGGGAACAAGAGGAACCTCTTGCGTGGACGTCATCTTGACTAAGATGAGGGTAAACAGGAAAAGTCAAGGTATGAGGCCCTTGAAAGTGAGAAGGGTGGAGAGGGGAAGAAGAAGAGAAGGGAAGGAAAGGAAGAATAAATGAACCGTTGGCGTAAACACGGAAGGTAAAACTCGTGGGGATTGTTACACTTGTCCCATGTGGAAAAGGGCTCCATACCAGTATAGAGTAAGATCCTACTGTCAACCATGTACCACACTGATCCTATCCAGGCACCGCTGCCTATTTGATCCGACCAATGAGAAGCATTCCTGAAAGCACATGGCATCCAAAGTGAAATCGCTCCTTCCCCAGATCATGATCTCCCTTTCCCGAAAAGGGAAATGACGGGCGTGATGATGCGCTCTTGCCTCAACACTCCTTGAACACCACCACGCTTCCGCTCTAACTCCACTAATTAATGAATTGAAGATCAAGTTTGTGGTCTCTGTCCCTTGTATTGAGAGAATCCACAACATAAGTTACAAGCATGCTAATAATGGTGATTTAACGCCTAGATCCCAGCTGCAATATAACTTGCTGGGAGGACAGCGCATGGTACCTAATCCCATCACACTTCAATGGGAGTGTTCAAGTTACACTATTCCCAAAAATAGCACCCTCATTGCGAGCCATGGTCCACGGGTAGTTTCACCAGGTCTCCAGTCGATGTAATCCCGACATCACCCTTGACTTCGGCCACCCTAGCCACTCCCGAGTCACTCCCGAGCCACCCGTGGCAACACCAAATTATATATATCCGACATTGACCATGCACTTGGAGGAATCAGAGCATTAAACTCAAGACCTTAAATCACAAGCGAAGTATGAATCAAGAAGTCATCGAGTACAATTTAATGTCAAATTAGCGGTGCAATCTCAGGAACTCTAGATTTCTGACGCCGAAAACATTGAATTTAGACATGACATCGGAGGCCCAGAGGGACAATATCGGCGATGACAGGAAAACATTCATATTGAATACGATTTGGAAGCCAATCTTGAAGATGTTACCAGAATAATCTGTGTGATACTATTCATTTATCTCTGACAACGAAGAAGCTAAATTGTTCAAAATGCATGGTCCAGTGCAGCTAGCTATGCGTAAGTGGCTTGGTATCTATGGAAAGATATAAAGATGGGACGGCAGATTATTGACAGTCTATCTAGCAAGTCCCGGTGTCAGATTATGATGGTTTGGCTCAATCCTAGGAATGACCTAACAAACGGCAAGTCGAAGCGACAGCTTGGCGTGGAAAACATTGACCCAGCCCTGTTATGCTGCCAGACTCTGGTGGCCTTGCACGAGCTCATGCGCGCCAAGGCTGATCAAAAGATGCCAAGGTGCTCGACATGCAGGCACTAGAGACCCAGAGGAGAGTTCTCAACACGGGAAACTTGGAGACACTAACTATCATGTTTCAAGTTAGTGCTTTTTTGCTCGGGCCAACATTGGAATACAATATGCTTAAGAACTAGGCCTGGTAGAATCCTGTCTGTCATGGCAGATCTAGCAATGAATATTGCATTCAAAGCTTATTCCTGAATGTTGAAGCACTGCAGGTGAGAGTGCTGTTATCCAGACGGTGCTGGGCGTAGGGAACTCTGAAAAGTCGCTTAATATGAGCAAGCCAGGAACCCTTTACACCAATTAAGAACGATGGCAAGATTGTGAAACAATAAATGCGCAATTACACAGCATTCAGAAGAAGAATATTGGAGATGGTCATCCTGGAATACTAGAGAGCATGTTTCATTTGGTGAAGGCTTGAAAAATAAGCAGTAGGGATACCGATGCCATCGAACTGACAATAACCTTCAACGCTTGTTGTCCTTAAGAATATATAGCCACCCTTGACTACACAGGAAAGTGAAACTTCAAAAGTGGCACAGAGACTTGTGGTTTGCGGGCAACTTCTCTTAGCCCCTAGAATCCTCTGAAGGTGAACTTATAGTCAGAAGTTGAGTCAAGCCAGAGGGGTTCTATGCTACGTAATTCTTTGCCTAACGTGAGGCTTAAGTATGACTACTCCCCTCCAACTACCTCTTACATCTAGTTGATATATGATATTTCAGATCGCTACAATTATTTACACTTTATCGTAATTATCTATAGTATGATGAGACCTTTGTGGATTCAGTTCATCCTCCTACACGCGTTTACGCTTGGTTCATCTCTCACCTCTGATTATCTCTTACCTTTGTTCATTCACCGCTTCTCATATCTCTTCAGTCACTACGTAAAGCTTCTGGCTGTGACCTGCTCTTGTCTCTGACCGTGACATCTTCTAGCTACCATAGCATCCTACCTCTACCACAACATCCTCTACCTACCAAAACATCCTCCATCTATCATACCACCCTCCATCTATCATAACATCCTCCATCTACGATAACATAACCTTGTCCGTCACGTCGTTGATCACAGCATTATCGACCACAACATCACATTCGTGAGCGTATTGCCATAACATCAATGAGCATAATATTTTCTTGTCTGTCACGACGTTGACGACAGTATCTGTGACACATTGCCACCTTGTCCATCGCCTCGTTGACCATACCATCGACTACAATAACATCTTTTCATATCCAACCATGGCCCGCCTCCTGCGTAAACGCCGAGACCGAAAAGAAGCTCTTGGCCAAGCTAAGGCCTTGGGCTCTCCTGTTCCTCGCGCCCAATCATACAATCTCGTGGCCTGTACTTCTCATAATGCTAAGGCGGACGGTTGGATCTTCTCGGATTTCATGGGAGCTTGCATGCTTTTACTGGACAGGCATGTAAAAGGAGACTTCTACTCTTGTTTCCCAGTCAAGGAGCATTTTGAGTTCCTCGCCAAACAGCCCACTGCCATTGACACCATCAAGTTTGGTTATTTTGGAAAGGATCGGGCTGAGGCCCTGTATCAATACACCAAGGACCAGTTTGACAAAGGGGACAGATGGTGGGTTCAAGTCAAGCCAGGCGAGATTCGTCGCCGGATCGACAGCTGGATCAGTCAGAAGTCCAAGTTGGCGAGAGATGGCGATTTCGTCAACATCTTCTTAGACGGACATGGCCACCGGCGACATGGCTTGAAAGCCGGGAGTGAATACCTGCACCAGCAGGTATTCGCCCAGCAAATTTCGCATTTCTGCAAGGGCGTGCAAGTCAACTTGATCATGGATTTCTGTCATTCTGGGTTATTCAAAAAGGCAGTCGAGGTCTTAGAGAGAGATGATTGTTACATTATTACTTCATGCGGCGCTCCAGGTCGCAGTTGGAGCAATAAGCTCAGCGGGAGCGGCAGACACCGAAATGGGAGGTTTGCCACGGCTCTCGTGCATGCCTTTACGTCAGGTGGCCCGAAAACCCCTCCATATTCAATCCAGGACCAAGAAGATTCCATTCGCAATCGACTCACTCGCGACGTCACACCTGAAGCGACAGTGTCCTCCCCTGAATTTTGGTCTGGAGACAGCGTCAAGCCAACTGATTCCGTAGATGATATTTTCTTCAGGAACATGGTCAATGTCTCATCACACGGTCACTACGCCGCTGGTCGCAACAAGAGGGTTGAATGGCCAACGACAAATCAAGCAATCCGATCTAAACTTGGAAATGCTACTGGACTTCCCCTCACAAACGCTGTTACAGCGGTGAGCAAGCTTGTCAAGGACGAAATCTATCTCTGCGATGTTGACCTCGGCTACCCTCCAGATATGGAGGTTTACAGTCAAGTTTCGAGCACAGCACCCGATTACCGGGGGTTGGTGCGAAACCTCTACTGGAGAGCCCGTCGCCAGTCCACCGTTTGGAACATCTACTTGCTGCTTATCGAGTATGGGTTGATCGACTTCAACGCCCTTGTCACCCCTATGGACCTCCTGACGGTGTCCAACAACACCGACACCGTCGCTTACATTCTCAGTTGCTTTTCGAATGTCGACCAAGATGTCACTCTGATCGCAAAGGATAAGATTGCATTCCAGGGTAATGACTGGAGTGCAGACATTGAATGGTGAGTTTCTGTAATACTTTCACCCACTCTAATAACAATATCGGTTTGCTAACATCTCACTGGTTATAGGCTCGCGACTCTGATTGTGAGAGGCGGCTGCGATTATCTTGAAATCTTCCAAGCCATCATCGACAGCAGGTACCTTGGTACTATCAACGCATGCGGCTCGGATGCATACAAGTCGCTTCATCTGGATCTTGACCAAAGTCGGAATCTCCAAGAGCGCGAGGGAACATGGACAGCCGGCGGAGATAAAAGGCCGAACAGGAATGTATTTGGTTTCTGGCTTCCCCACGGTTTGAGCGTCGAAGACGCAAAGTGTTTGACGAAGAGCGGGCATGGAGACTGCCTTGATCGATTTGATGAGATCGAGCGAATGTTCTGCGAAACTGAGGGCATTGCTCAAGCATCCTTGTCCGATGATACTGGTGAGGAGGTCGTTGACAGCATGGCGGAGATTCCCAAAGACTTTATCAGTGCTTGTTTGGTCTCTGAGGATGACATTATCCCTTCGTGGCTTAATGATTTGAAATTGAGGGAGTGATAAGGAGGTCGATGGCCGCGGGACTGGTGTTGCTTGAGCTTACCAGGTCATGTAGGAGTGGATGGCATGTAGGAGGATTTTCGTCGTTTGGATCGAAGTCTCCCCATTTGTGATGTGCGGACCCGATAGAAGGGGATATCCAAGGGGTTTAACGTTGTGGAATTTGCGTTGCTTGGATCGCACAGGGTATGTATTCGGCGTTAGCAGGGTTTTTTTCTCATCTAAATTGAAGACTTTAAAAGCACTTGCATCGAATTCGAGCTTGGCTGCATTCATATAGCTCGTAAGGAGGCTGCCAGAATCGACTCACCCCACTTTCGCTGTCGCCGTCCCCCGCTGACGGTTTGAAAGCCTCGCCGTTGGAGTCGTCAACAAGGACGTAGCCAAATCAAATATGAATAGTGGATTTAAAGCCGGTAAGGCTCCTTGCTTGATTATACAGCTTTGCCGTAGAGTGCATGGTGGTGGAATAGGGGACGTTTGAAGGTGATTTCTTTTCCTGCAAGATCTTTGCTGTTGGCCTTATATTTCTGGATGCTGTATGGCTAATCGTCTTACACTTGGCATACAAGACGACGTAAAGGCGATGGGTAAGCCATCAGAACCACACAAAACAAGTGAGGCAGAAAAAGGACAGATTCAGTAAAAGGAAAGAGAGGCGATAATTTATCAAATGAAGGCTTTGTTGCTGCTACCGGATGCCCTCGTTCAATTAAATACCGAAGTAAACATATTCATCAACTTCTAGTCCATATTGTTACACATCTAAGTTGTGGGCTTGAATGCGCAGAGGCTGAAGGTTCAAAACCAGGATTCCAACGGGAGGCTGTTCAATCTGCCTAAATGCCTCTTCGATCTTAATTGCCCTTTGGAAGCAGCGGTCCAGCCTCTCGTTGCGCACGTCCATCATATCAGTCAGCCCATGTGGAAGCCAAAAGCCGAAGGTATTCCTCGAAGGCGGGACTTTTCCATCTGGACTCATTGGTCCTTGCCTCTCACGGACATCCTGGTGGAGCTCGAATTCTGGATCTTTAGATCGACACTTAAAATATTGATCTTTATCCAATTTTCCGAGGATTTGACTTTGTGTGATTGCATCGACCACATTTCTCAAGTTCAGGGCGCTTCGGACAATGACGGTTGCAAGCCTATCAGGTAAGAAATATGAGTGAGTTGCATGCAAGAAAAATCTGTAGGGGCGGGATCAATACATACCAATCCCTATCAGTGGTCCATTCACCTGACTGAGAGGGGATCATGTTTTGAGATTCCTCCTGGGACTGATCAACAAAGAATTGGTAGCAGCTGAGGATTCGGGAAACGGTGTATGTGCCCATGGATGGTGTATGTAAGTCCATAGGGTAAGTCAGTGCTTCGGCACTGACAAAGTCCTCTCTAAAGAGGTGGAGAAAGACTTCCCACATTGTGACTTGCCGAAAAGATCTCCAGTAGAGGTTGTTTAAAACCATTCTCCAGTCCGTTTCTTCGAAGAAAAGTTGGTCAAAGATTTCTATGTCGGGAGGGTAGCCCAGGTCAAGGTCGCACAACTCTCCCTCGGTTTTTGCCACTGCCTGAGCTGATGGAGTTACATCTTGGCCACAAGCTGCCAGAGATCGTGTAAGTGTCTCCTTGACGATTATGTCGGCTTCTTTCCAGTTGATGCTGCCAAGTGGTGGTGGTGGTGGGGTATCTAGTCTTTCTCCCCATCCTGGGATATCCTCAACATCTGGATCATCTCCACCCAGCATCAACTGGTCCAGTGGCATGGTGACTGGGTCAAACCCAGAATGTAGGAACTGTGCGGTGAATAGGGTCTCTCCTGGGGTGATGTCCCGAAGGCGGTGAACTATGTGGTTGTCGTTGTCCGACACTGTCCAAGGGACCGTCGAAGGGGAAGTGACTTTGAGGAGGGATTCAACGACGGCGTTGGCGAATCTACCACTTCGAATGCGGCCACTGACGCTCCTTCCCATCGCAAAAGCTTTGTGCTTGTGGTAAGGAGCAGCGACGTATCGGCCGCTTTGGTTAGCAGTCGAACTTGCCACTTCCTCTGCAATGTGCCCAGAATAACATGCAGTGGAAATGACATTGATTTCGACACCTGGTTGGAACTTTGCCAAGAGTGCACTCAGATCTCCCGCAGGCAATATCTTCTTCCCCAAACTCAGATTCCCATCATCAGAGCCATGACAGACTAAGAAGATGTTGATGATGTCCCCATTCAAACAGCTCTTGCGCCTTTTGCCAATCCAGAACATCACCTCGTGTAGAAGTCTTTCGGGCGTTATCTGTGTCCAAAACGGAGGACATTGCTCAAATTGCGCTCGCTCGTATGAATGGATATGGGTGCGCTGGTTGCCGTAGAAGCCGAACTTGACGTCCGTTATGTTTCGACGACTCAAGTCCGCAAAATGATCCTTCAAGGGGAAGCATGAATAAAAGGAATTTTGCCCGCGTTGGCCCTCAAGGGCTTTGGAGAACCCCAGAAAGTCGGCGAACATCCATCCATCGCGGACCGAGTTGTCAGCGCCACAAACTACCAAAGTGAATACTTGGTTTGATTGTGCTGCAACAGCGCCCCCCAACGCCCTCTGTAGCCCATCAGCCTTTGCAGGGTCACGAGGCATTCTGGTGTATGCCGCTCGGCCAAAGCCTGTCTCAGAAGGGGCGTCAGAAAGACGAGAAAGAGACTCCACAGAGCTGATGGAAAATGTTTCGAACGATCAGGAGGCAAAGAGACGACGTCACGAGACAATAAAGAACACTCTCCGTGGAGCTAGATGGAAGATGGTTCGATCGTTCAATAGGTAACGAGACGACGTGACGACACAATAACAAACACTCTCCGTGGAGCTAGATGGAAGAAGGTTCGATCGATCAATAGGTCAAGAGACGACGTGACGAGATCATAACAAACATACTCCGTGGAGCTAGATGGAAGATGTTTTGAACGATCAGGAGGTAAAGAGACGACGTGACGCATAGGCGATGTGATGATGAGAAACCGCGACAACAATATAGCAGAATAATAAGAATGATGATTTGAGGTGATAATAGGATAAATGTTTCGTCAGATCGTAATATGTGACACATATTGAGAAGCCCAAAAACTGAGAGAGACCAGGACGGGAAGGTGATATGACGGCAAGCTGGGAAAAGGGGGTAAGGAGAATAGAGCTCCATAGTCCAAGAGAAGATGGAAGTGAATGACACACCTTGGCAGCACGAAGCCTGTTTGTGGCGGTAGTATAGAGGCATGATTCCATGGCGAATTGTGTACAGATTGAGATACCCATGAGCTAAGGATTATAAAACGAGGCATTGATATTTTCTGTGAAAGTATCTAGTTATTTGATTATTGATGCACGAATTGTATGCAGCACACGCAAATAGCCCTATCTGTTTTATACAGGACCCCCTTAAATGATCAACCCAAAATTAGTTGAACGCCCAAGTTCAGAGTAATGCAGCAAAATTCTATCTCAAGTACTGAAGGGCGTACAGATCACCATCCTTGATTCAAGGCAAGACGCATTCTAGCGCTTCATTGGGGCGAGATGTAAGTTAGAAATGGTGCTGGCTCAGCGGGTATCACTTCTTATACACCCTCACATTCTACAGCAGTCTATAGAGTACTACGAGTGAGTAGATACCTGAGTATGTACTCGATAATTTTACTGCGAAATTCGAATATGAGGTCTTCCCTCATACCGTTAAGGAAGTGTTCAAAGAGCAATTCCCTTACGCCCCTTATCGCGAACCGTGGACCATTATTGCTACTTCACCAGTCGATGTAATCCCGACATCACCTCGACGTCGGTCACCTTTGCCACCACTCGTGGCGATATCAAACTCTATATATACTTCGCTCACCACACGCTTGATGGAATCGGGGAAGTGGGGGTATTCAACATAAGGCGTTAAAATCACAACCGAACTACAAAAAAAATCCAAAAAAGGAAGTCCTGTCAAAAGTTCAAATTGCAACAGAAATATCTAAGAAGAGATGCATCATGGGTCCACGAAGTGACAGTCCTGCAAGTCACTTTCACGGCTCCCCAGCGTGAGTATCCGACTCCATGAATGCAGAACCTAGGTGGGACCAACTGTTAACCAATGATATCAAAAGGGAGCTCCACCCTCACACCCTGATTCGAGTGCCGAAATCAGAACAAGATACTGATCGTTTCGATTCGCCAAGTCCCGAAGAGCAGAATCTCAATGATAGCATGCGTGGTCTGAGCTTGGTCCATCTCCAGAATCTGAATCCGACCGTTGTCGATACATACAGAATCGCTATCCTGGAGACAGTTGGTTTTTGATCTTGGCATCGGGTCTGTTGAGTGAGGTCAAGATAGAATGGCTCGGACGACACCAACCTTGGAAAAGGATTGACATGACATGATGTATATACTTACACGATCGTTATGACAGTTATGAATTAAATTCGCCCTCTACAATCAAGTTTGGTTCCATAGGTATACAGTGAACAAAATTAGAACTCATCTATAATCTATGTTCAATCTAGTCTATGTAGCACTTGACTGACCTGATCGATCAGCGCAGCATTAGTAGTAGCAAACAATCCATAATACAAACAACCTTTGAGGTTGGACATGTCCCCACGAATCCTTAAAGTCCGCGCTTCATCTTCCAACGCATAATAAGGGTAGCGACGGGGTAGAATGCCAGCGAGACAGCGATCCAAGCGAATAGGACTCCAAAGTCCAATCCAATGCGCGAGTGGGTTCCGAACAAAATAGTACGCAGAGCCTCGACAACTATCAAAAAGTCAGTATACCACGGATAACTGAGAACATATCTCTGAAAGAAACTTACTCCGATGCAACGGCCAAGCATAACCCCATCGAAAGAAATCAGAGGCCAAATCCAAAGAATAAAAGCCCGTTGCCACATTCGTAATAACCCAAAAAATGAGGAAAAAGGAACTCCACGGGAAACCGAGAACCATGGCCATATTCTCACAAGGGAATCCCAATGCCGCCATCCCCACCCAATTCAGCATCCAGAACACCACAAACGAGCCTTGGCCATACGCATTCGCATTATTAGCAGATAGCGTATCTGGCGCTGGCGAATTGGAAAATGGAATCTGAAACGCAAGGGAGACAAGCGAGTAAAAGAATGACAAGAAGAAATAAGCCGTGAAACTGCAGCATGCGCGCCAAATAAGCCAATGTGGAACCTTCATAGGCGGGTGACCATCCGGCTTCATGAACTGAGCATGAATAGGCATCAAGAAGGGGAAATTGAAGAACGAGATAATGATCAGGTAGATCAAGCCGATTGATACAGCAGGCGCAGCGACAGCCGGCGTGAAAGGTCGGAGATCGATATTCGTGAACCCAATGCCTGGGTTTATCGCTTGTGGGGGGACGGTGGATAGATTGGTGGATGAGGAGATTAGCTCGCGGACCCACTGTGGGCCGAAGTTGGTCTGGATCAGGGTCTGGAGAATGGCTAGGTCGGGCAGGACGTAGGTGTAGTAGGTGTCTTCGTCTCTGGCGGAGATGATGACTGTTTGGATTGCGCCGGCGGGGTCGTAGGTTGTGTTGTCATTGTTGATCGCTGCGCGAAGGAGCGATGTTGCGTTCGGATTAATTATGACCGCGGCATAGGCGTGTTCATCATAGACTGCTTGGCGGACCTCCCAGGGGTCGTAGTTGAACTCTGCGGCTGATTTGAAGTAGTAGCCTAAGTGCAGGCTGGATGAAGCTTCATATTGCTTGGCTGTGTTAATGACGGCTGGACCGACGATTGTGTCGTTGGTGACGTATGGTTCGACTTGACCGTCGAAGTCGACGACCCAAACATGGAGATTGGGGAACTTCGTTTCGGTGAGGAACTGGGAGCCCCAGAATATGGAGAGTACAGTCAGGACGAAGACACATAGAATGGAGACTTGGTAATTTGTTAGTCCATGTCTGTGTTTGCTTGTGGCTTGGCTATTGCACCTGTCTTGGCACATTGATAGAACACGCGCTTCCGCACTTCTTTCAACGCCGGATCGAAGAACCCAACGGGCGCTGGCGGACCAGCTTGATCGCTGTCGGACACTGACTCTGCCTTTTCAGCTTGCATGGTTGATGGCAGATGCTTTGCTGGTAATGAGGGAGCGGTCCCTGTTAAATAAACAGCTTGAAATAGCGGCACCACCAGGTCCGCGACCCTGTTCCGTCGGGTGGTTCGGGGTTTTGACATTTTGGGTAATTGTCGTTGTTATCTCCGAGAATTGCGATGAAAATCCGAACTGCCAAGCAGTTCAACGGGTCCAGGGTGAAAAGAGAAGAAATTATTGATAATTGAAAGGTCTGAAGGGTAATTCCAATGCCGCCGGCTGAGAAATTCGGTGTTCATTGTTTGCATGTTGTTTTTCGTTGATGCCAAGCGCTGGAATGTATACTGACTTCCGAATGCGGCGACAAAACAGCTTGTATCCAACCCTGAACAACTTTGGAAACTTTGTATGAACTGCAGCGCCTTGGTATTGTAGCTTAATATATTTCTGAAACGTCTATCTGCTAGGTGCAGAACCTTCAAACGTTCTAGAATTTTCCCATTGGTCCAAGGCTGCAGGGATGAGAATAAGCAACGGACGTGTCAGATCTCACCCCTTGCGACTCGCCTTCAACAAGGGTCCTATACATCCCACGCACACATTGTGTCAGGTTTACAGAGCGGCAAGTGTCTGATCGCTCAATGGATCACACCAAGCTGTTCGAGACTTGGGTATCGCTGGCCCATCCCTTTGTTAAAATACACGATTGAACCAATTGTATTGGTTATTAGTGGGGTATGGAAAGATAATTACTGTAACATTCAATTTAATTGTAACCGTGCAAAATGAGTCCAAGTCGAGGCATTGAAGAGTTTATCAGGCCGAAAGTAGAGATACTCCATCCTGCAGTTTTTAAACGCCATATTCCCTGTCGCTGATGCGACCGCTAAGCCGGTGGCGCGCGAGGAAACGCTGAGGAATCTCCTGCAGCGTTTGCCCAATCTCCACGAATCAGAAGACGGGATTACCCCACGGAAAAAAAATAAACAGCAACCAGAATAGGGGTCATATAGGGGTCATAAATCATTAATTCTAGAATTCTCTCTATCTAATAATGCGAGCTTCGGCCGAAAGAACCTTGAAAGTTACCACCAGTAAATGAAAAGGATAGTCAAAACTCCAATTGAAACGCCGCCATATGTCCATATGTCTATGTATATAACTCCTGGGACCAGCCCAAAGACAGTGTTTTCGGGCTTATTTCAATTCACCCTTTTCCTCACAAGTAACCTGATAAGACCCGTAGCGACGAGTGAGTTCTGGTACTCGACAAAATCCCATGCTGCTTATCGGTCCAGCGATATCGGAGGTAGTCTCGGTCGCATCGCACATGGTGTTATCGAAGAACTCGATATGACAGCCCTCGGCCACCGTGTTTAATCTGTATGCGGAGGCGACAGTGTGGAGGTTTGCGCGGCAACCTGTGCTGCCCATGCCGGCGTGGAGATCACCGGTTTGGTTGCATTGTGGTGAAGGGAAGAGATCGAAGGACCATTGGATGTCGCGCTGTTGGAGGGGAGAGGCAGCGGCGACGGCGAGGAAGAGAGCCAGGGCCGTGATGTAGGTGGGCAGAGCGAACATCTTGAAGAATGTCTTATCTAGACGCATGTTAGTATCTAGAGACGCCGTGGATAAGGACAACAGGCGGGTAACATACAGTACTCTTGCACAAAGGCGTGGTGGAGGAAAGTTGGGGAAAAATTCAGGGTCTCCAGAAAGTGGACCGTGACAGGCTCATATATCTTTTGGATCCTTCCAGAGCAACGGGGGTAAGAACTTAAGGACAATTTATTCTGGACCACCCGACGATCACTGCCAAGGTTTGTGGCAGTTCTTGCCATACGTATACTGGGTCTTGGCGGTGGTCCCTGCACTGCGACCCACGACCGCCTGAACCCCCAATGAGACTGCTCCCAGGTTATCGCTGCGCCATCTTGGGGACAGCCAGTCAAAAATGGGTAAGCCTGCCACGGAGTGCGCCGAGGGCCCTGAAAATTCATTCCTAGTGACTTCATTTCTGTGGATAAGGAAGGTCGCTAGACTGGTTGGGGAAATTGGGTGGGGCGCGTGAGACGCGATCGACGCAGTTACGTAGGGACGTACGTACTCCGTGGCTGGCGGGGGTTGATTAGCAGGCACAGTGTGTCATGAAATTGGGAGATTGTGAAACAAGCATATGCTATCAGATTAACTGATCGATTTCTATTAATATCGTGCAAATTTCAATCCATGGTGGGGATGTGGGTTTATTCTATCCAATGTGAATAAAGTGGCAAATTTGATTAGGGAAGATCAAGTGACCGTTCCACACATGCCTGGTGCCTGACATGTGTACAGTGTCGAGGAATGTGAATAGCCACATAGACTGTTCAAGATGCGAAGTCATTCAAGACAAACTGTAGTTTGCGCCTTATTTTCCTGGCAACACCTCCCGCCTCCTGTTTAGCGCCGTAAGCTGACCCGCCACCCCGCCTCTCCACATCTTTTATACTCCCCATGTTTCACCACTTCCAGCGCATCCGGCGCGTTCAACAGACTAGGTGGCTGGCCCCGCTGTAGTCCCAGCCTTCCGTGACATGAGGGGTCCCTCGTTGATAACGCAAATGCTATGTATTCGCGGGGTAGATGTCGACAAGGTTAACTCGCTAGCTGGATATCTCCAGAGAGGGCGGTCTTTGACCCGCTAGTACGAATATAATGACCCAATAATGAGCGCTGTAAGTCATATCATTATCTTGTTGACTTCAAATGGTCATGCAGCTGAATCTGTATCTAATGATTCAAAGCCCAATGGCTCAATAACTTGATCTCGCCCTCAATGAGGACACAAGATTATGACTCATTCAAGGCACTCTATCAATCACAAACTCCAGCCATTCATGACCCTCCCTTTATTTGTTTATTTTTTTCTTACCTCCCACCCGCCAACTACCTGCCAGTATACTGGGAACACAGAGGTCTTCGCCATACACCTTCTTCAGGAGTACATCGGACTTTATCAACTATCAAACATAGGCACTCAGCCCTCAATCAACTCCTATGATGCTATAACACGCGAGCATTTTGAGTGCTTAATATGTTTTGACACCTCTGGAAGCTTCAAAGTTCGCTGTTATGAACGCGCAGTTTTTGGCGCTTTTTCCTTGTTGATGAGGAAAAGTCTTCTTGCAATCCCCAAAATTCTGTTTAGACGGTCAATGAGGAGATAAAAATGAGCAGCATATGCTGTTCATCATCACCAGGCCCAGGGTTTTCTGCTGGTCTCGCTTTAACCAAGCTGGGACAGGGATACATACATACATATATATATGGATATATCTAAGAACATGGTCCACAGAAGTGGGTGTACCGTGTGCCTGTGGATATCCTAAGCCTCCAGGCTTTTGTGGATGCCCGAAATGGTTTTCCAAGTTATTAATCAAGTCTGCTTGCATAAATATGCATCTATACAGTCGATGTCAACAAGATCATTTTCATTGATGATCAAGACGGCATCCGTGGATGATAGCTGCAGAGAGCTACGAGTCACACCATGATTGGACTCGGCGACGATCCGTTATGTCCTACAAATTGGCCTCCCCAATTCCAAAGATGACAGAGTACTCGATTATTCAACGAATTACGACGAGGTAACCATATCGCGCCCTTATCGAACTGCTCTGCACATGCAACTTGGTGGCAAATAAAATACGAAAAGAAAGCGACTCCCTTAAAGACAACCATTTCCAACACTTTTATGGACTCAGTCGATGATCACCAATTTTACCGATCGGATGGTTTTGAAATATTGAGATCTTGGATGGTGCCCACCAAGGCACCCCCAGACGAGCTCCATGATGTAGGCAGTGTTTTGAGTTTCAAGGCATTTGTAGTGAGTGGATATGAAAGTGGTGAGCAGAATGTATGGATCAGATTGATTTGTCCTCTATTTCCAAGGCTTGTTGGTGTTCCCTGATAACCAATTTGATTGCCAGCCAAACTTTTGTGTCTCATATCATATCTCTTACAATTCATTCTGGCCATTCTGAGTGTTACGTTCCGTGGGTCTCGCTACTTGTGTTGTTTCAATGACTCTATCAGCTCAGTGACTCTACAATTTTCGTGCTCATAAGCTTCGACTTGTTTTGTTTTACTAGATAAACATTGCCAATACTGTGTAGTGCTGTCATTCCTCCAACAACACGCGTGGGGCCTGCCGTCGTCTGCTCCGCGGAATTTCGTCACTTCAGCCCGGCTTCAGGCTAGTCAACATCCAGCGGGGCAGAAGTGGAGCCTGTGTCCCTGCAAAAAAGGTTTTTAAAAAAAAAAAAGAGAAGATGCCCTCGTCCAGGATCGAACTGGAGACCTTCGGATAGCAGTCCTGTTAACAGGAGCGTCATATGAAAGTGATATGAGACCAACGTCATAACCAACTAGACCACGAAGGCTTCTTGATAGCCCGGCTCAGACTGCATCATGTCAAGTGGCCTAACTCACTTGAGACGGTCTACATGATAGATTGAAATAGTGGAATTCTCTCTGAAGCGGTCTGACACTTCTGAAAATCCAGGCGCAATGGCCTACGATTTGGTCTCGTTGGTATCAACGAGTGTATGGAGTCCTTCTCATGGCCTGCCCATGGCAGCTGCTGCTTAGCGCGGACAAGAGGATAGATTGTTATTTTCAAGGCCATCCTTAGCTGTAACAATTAGATTTCAGAGATCAAAACCTTTATTCTTGAGAATCAGCGTTTGGTAAGAAATCATATTTGGAGTGTATCCATGTGGTTGTAAGACTGACGAATCACATCCTTAGGAAGTTAATATCGGCACGATCCGTCTCGCTTTGACCCCCACTTCATGATCCAACAATCTCACGACAACCCTCAATGTTCCTACACATATTTAAACCACCAACATGAACAAAACCCTCTCAACGGACGATGTGCCGCCCCAATTCCTCAAGGCCGCCTATCTAGTCGGCCATGTTCCACTAAAAGCATTAGCGTCTGATGCCCGCATCTCCTACACGCTCTACATCCCACCAACTCACTACAAAACCGGACCAGACGCCAAGAAGCTTCCCTTACTAGTCTGGATACATGGTACGCGTCGAAAACTAGATGCAATCGATGGGGGAGACCTTATGAGCTTCGCAGAGTCAACACCATGCGCCATTCTTGCACCTTTGTTTCCTGCCGGCCTGGACGGGCCTAATGATTTGGATTCGTATAAATCCATGCGTTCTAAGACGCTCCGATCTGACCTTGCCCTCTTGTCCATCCTGAATGAGATTGCGCCGAGGTGGCCAGGTCTTGAAACGGATAGGTTTTTCATGCTAGGCTTCTCTGGCGGTGGGCAGTTCGTGCACCGATTTCTGTATCTACATCCTGAGCGTTTGTTGGGTATTAGTGTGGGAGCACCTGGTCGAGCGACCATGTTGGATCTCACACTGAAGTGGCCAAACGGGATTGCTGATTTGGAGAGTTTATTTGGTTTGGCAGTTGATAGGAAACTGATACGACGGGTCGATATTCAGCTGGCGGTTGGGTCAGCCGATAATGAGGTTCATGGGGGCAATGAGTTTTGGGAATGGTTGCAAAAGCTCAAGGGGAAGGATCTAAAGTTGTCTGAGGGCGGAAATCTGGCTACCATGAGTCAGGGGAGACTTCAAACTTTGCTGGATTTACAAGCTGCTTGGAAATCTGATGGCATCGAGAGTCAACTGGATATAGTAGAAGGTGCCGCCCATGAAGCTGGAAAAGTCCGGCCGTGCCAGCTACAGTTCTTGTGGCCTTTGATGCAGGCATCTTATCAAGGCACCACCAAGACTGGGTAGAATTGCAAATTTTACCCCGGGCAATACATGTTCACCTTGCTTGTGACTGACTCTACCAAAATCCAACTTTGAAACAAGGCTAAGTATAATCTATTTCCGCAAGGTTGTTACTCTCCTCCACCTTTCAATCATGCGCAAGCCGGTAATTAAGGTTCCTGAGATAAGCCAGGGATTTAGCGGGCAATACGGATAACTCAACGGATATTTCAACGGAGAATTTAACGGAGATTTCTGCACAACATATTGACTTCATAGCCCCGTGATAAGGGTCCGATAAGCTTATCGCCACGTGCCTGTGTGCCGAAAAGCCGAAGCGATGCCTGAACCGGCGCTCAGGGCCCCAGTCTAACGGCGTTGACTGGTCGATCTGCCCTTCAATGCCGGTTCAGGCCCCCGCTAGGTGGTAAAAACTCCTCAACGCCTGACCCACCCGGTCTGGCTTCCTGCCAATCTTTTCTCATGCCTCAGAATCGGCCAATGAAAAGCTCCGAAAACCTTGAAACAGCCAAAGGCAACAGGCGGTGTTAAGCATGGCTATCCCCATGAGTACCCACTAATGCATTACAAAGGGCATCAAAGCTCTTATGCTCTCGATCTCGGCGCAAGCGATCCGTGTTTACAATGTTCATATAAATGGCTTCCCCCGCAGATTCTTCTTTTTCTGTACCTGTCGTGTGCCTGAAGAATTCAATACATATCCTCATTTCCAGAATCATCCCTCATCTTATCGGATCATAAATTCTCCTCCATTGATATAATTCTTAATACTGGCTTCACCCTGATGAGCCACAAGCATGGTGGAAAAGGACCACAATTCGAGTAGATCTCGTTCAAACTCGACAATCAGCACGGACTCGGACTCGACAGCATCAAGAGTTCAGTCTCGTTCACAGACCCGAGCATCTAAAATCAGCACGGAGTTGAATCGCACATATTCTGGATCATACCCGGACGACGTTGTTCCATACACAAGCTCTACACCCTCAGAGGAGCACGAAGACACTGAAAAAACTACCGAATTTCCCGAGGGTACATCTCGGCAAGATGTTGACTTGGAAAGAGGACCAAATGCGGGGCAAGTCCTCGAAAAGTCAAAAACGGGGAGATCTACACTTGCCAACTCCAAACTGGTAAGTCATTTTATGCAAGTCTATCATATAGAGCTGAGCTAATGAATCATAGGTAACATGGGATGGACCAGATGATCCCGCAAATCCAAAGAATTGGTCAACGCTCAAGAAATGGATGGCAGTCGTCATGGTCTCGTTGTTCACCTTCATCTCGCCTGTTTCCAGTAGTATGGTTGCGCCGGCCCTCGATGCTCTCGCGGCGGATTTACATATCTCCTCTACGATCTTACTTCAGTTGACTATGTCGATTTTCATCCTCGCGTATGCTGTTGGGCCACTCTTCCTCGGTCCATTGTCTGAGGTATTTGGTCGAACAATCGTCCTCCAACTAGCCAACTTGTTCTTCCTGGTTTTCAACATCGGATGCGGATTCGCAAACACAACAACCCAAATGATCATTTGTCGCTTCTTTGCAGGATTAGGTGGCAGTGCTCCGCTAGCAGTGAGTGTTTCCTTATAATTCCTGCCACAATGCCATACTAACAAATCCAGATCGGCGGAGGAGTCCTCTCAGACTGCTTTCCCCCAGAACAACGAGGCAAAAGCTTAGCTATCTACAGTCTCGCTCCCCTCCTCGGCCCAGCAGTAGGTCCAATCGCAGGCGGTTTCATCGCTGAAAACGTGAGCTGGCGTTGGGTATTTTGGTCCGTCTCCATCGCCGACGCCGCAATCCAACTCGCCGGCCTCTTCTTCCTCCAAGAAACATACGCCCCGAAAATCCTCGCCGACCGCGCAAAGCGTCTAACCAAAGAAACAGGCGAACAACATCACACAGAAGCAGAGCTTACAAAGATCCCATTCGGTCAGAAACTGCAGACTTCTCTCGTTCGACCCTTCCGCCTTTTACTCACCCAGCCCATCGTCCAAGTCCTGGCTATCTACATGGCCTACATTTACGGTCTGATGTACCTTATGCTCGCCACCTTCCCAGATCTTTGGACAAGCGCAGAATACTACAACGAGTCTTCCGGTATCGGAGGACTCAACTACATATCCATTGGAATAGGTTTCTTTCTCGGCTCACAATTCAGCGCGGCGATGATAGATCGAATCTACCGCGCCTTAATGGCAAGGAACGGCGGAGTCGGACGACCCGAATTCAGAATTCCGCTTATGACTATTGCTGCTATCCTCCTCCCAGCTGGACTCTTCATCTACGGCTGGACGGCCCAGGAACACTGCCACTGGATCGCGCCTAATATCGGTGCAGCCATTTTCGGAATTGGAACGATCATGGCGTTTCAGTGTATTCAGACGTACATGGTTGATACGTATACGCGGTATGCGGCTAGTGCGTTGGCAGCTGGTGCATTTTTGCGTTCGCTGGCTGGATTCGGGTTCCCGCTTTTTGCGCCCTATATGTTTGATGCGTTGCATTATGGATGGGGAAACAGTTTGTTGGCGTTCGTCTCTATTGGTATTGGCATTCCGGCGCCGATTATCTTGTGGAAGTTTGGAGAAGGGTTGCGGAAGAAGAGTACTTACGCAGCGGGATAAGTTGCATCATTGATTGTTGGGATAGTGGGGATAGTGATGGTGATGCGGGTGTGTAATTGTGGTGGCGTCGCATGCTGTCTGATGGTACTTTAGCATTTGCATATTCTGAGGCCGGGAGCCCTGTCGGTGTTCTGTTTATATGACGTTATAGCTTTGATCAAAAGCAACGCAAATAATGATTCTATTATCCCCAGTTACTAGTCCAGCCTAGATAAGTAATCAATCCACAATAATAACCCCGATGTACCAGACAACAGACGAGCAATTAGACAAAAGCAGAGCGATAACAAGAGACAACAAAGATTAATCATGAAAAATGAAAGGAGAGGGAATAAAGAAGCACACAAAACCCGCACTCAACTCACACCTCGGTCTTAAACATCATGAGCCCTCCGTAGATGTTCCTCCAGGTTATCTCTCCGGTTATACCCCTTTCCACACCTGGGATCTGGGCACGGGAAGGAATTCGGAGAAATATGCTGCGTATCGACATGTCGCTTCAGTTCGAATTTCCGGCCAAAAGCCCCTGTGTACCTACATCCCTCCCACTTGCATTTGAAGCGGCCTTGCTGAAATGATCGATCATTGTATATCGAGCTGGAGGCGCTGGAAGCACTGGACGTTCGGCGGTGAGTTGGGTAGGTTTCTCTCGGAAGGGCGGGCTCTATCGGTGCATTTGGGGAATAACCGGGATTGTAGCTTGTGGGCTTTGGTTGAAGCCGGGCACTTGTGCCATAGGGTACGTCGCGGGGGTGATGATGCATTCTAGCGTAGTCCGGGGAGTGTGCATGGGGGTGTGCGTGCGTATACGGGTATGCTCCATCCGTGGGAGAAGTATTGAAATCCGATCTCGAAGGTCGAGGTGTTTCTGGAAACGCGTGGTTCATGTGTGCGGCTCCGCTTTCCATGTGGAAGCTCAATAGCTCTGGTTCGGAGAGCTCGAAGCTTTCTTGGACTGGGGAGAAGGTTGACAGGGGTTCGTGGGGATACGTGGGGTACTCCAATCCCCCTGGTGCCCTGCCCAGCCAGGGGTTTGTGTTGTACGGGAGATCATTGGGAAACGACATGATTGAAGATCTGCCGAAAGGATATCTAGGAACTAAGGATTGGTATAGAGTTGAAACTTTAAGTCTGATGGAATTAGAGTGAGTCATGAGGACGATATAAATAACAATTGATATCATAAACAAAAAAAGCTACAGGTAAACAAAAATCTTTCCCCCTTGATGCAATTCAGGAAAGGACGTCAAGATCATCACTAGTGACCGGGCAAAAAGCATGTCTCGCCTCAGATTCTGCATACATCCAATCAACCCCCTTCAAACTTCCCCGAACAAATAACATCAATTCTAAACCTCCTTACGCCTGAATCATAATGCAACCATGTGTCCAAGTTACATTGTAGTAACACAGCAACTCCACGTGCTTGCGAGCCCAATAACGCAAAGATCCACAACAACACCTACCAAGCTAAGCAATGATCAACAAGGAAGCTATGTCCCCCAACCCCGCGATGAAACGAACCTCTCAAATTCGAAAGTAGGGCGGACCAATCAAGGACTGGAATGCTAGAGGACCAAGCTTCCTTGGAAAGGCCTAGCCGCGGGTAGAGCTGGAAGCTATGTCGCACATGGGAAGATCCGCAATCAAGGAGACAAACTTTCGACCTAGAGAGCTTCACTACCGCATTAAGGCTGTCCAGTGACTCTGATCGGCGGGAATGTGTTATCCAGACCAATCAGAGCGTCGGATCACTTTTTCTCTGGTTGCACCGGATCTTGGAGCTTGAGACCCGGTGCCTAAATGTGATAAGATTGTTACCTTGAGGCTCTGGTGACGTGGATATGCCCCGGGAAACTACCCTTGGTATTGCCAAGCTGCAACTTGCAGGTTTATGGGGATCTGTGGAGATTTGATGTGTTTCACGTGAGGTCTGGAGAAATATTGTTCCACTGAAGCCTAGCCATCTTATGAATGATTTGATTTATGTTCTCGAACCTGTATTCGCTTTTATGTTTCAAGCGACATACAAAATCATCACGATCAACAACGGGAGGCTCCGAGAGAGATGCACAGATAAGATGTGTCCAAATACATGAATCCAGTATCACATCTGCGTAACTTGGACGTCTGACTTGTGAACTCTGCGCAAATGTCCGTTCAGGTTGTCATCCCTGTTACACGGTCGGCCACATTTTGGGCATTTGTAGGCCTTTGGGAAGATGTGCTGTGTCTCGACATGGCGCTTCAGTTCAGCCTTTCGGCCAAAAGTCCCAGTATACCGGCAGCCTTTCCAGTGGCATTTGAGTATTTCGCTCGGTGAATTATTTGGCTGATGTGATTCCTCATGTTCCCCGCAAGCTAGGAACATTGCATGGTCATACGTCGGGATCTGGGGTGGTGAAGTGGTCTGGAGTCCAAAACTGTTTCCTTGCTCCTTTGGTTGATGAGGTGTTTCTCGCTGCCTGATTGTCTGCTCTTGTTGTATAGGCACCGCGCGATGCATCACACTAAAGGGGGTGCTGTTGTATTGCGAAGCAAAATGTGGGATACGCAACCCAGAATCTGGTGGTGGATTCACGATCTTGGGCGAAGAGCTAAACAAAATGGGGTCGACAGATTGCCATATCGGTTGCTGTTGTCGCAACGTCGTTGGCACATCCGCTTCGTACCTCGAGGGATCGGAATTTCCTTCGGGGATTCCACTAGGTGGCATGTCTGACGAGTAGTATTGGATGATGCGGTCAGAAAGGCCATCGTAGAAGATCGGTGAGTCAAATGCAAAGCGTTTCATTGGTCTATTGTGGGGATAAGGTTAAATTGGTTTCACTTTCTGAGATGAGATATATGGTAGTATCTACGGCGGCGAGACGTAAGAATTTAAGGAAAGGACGATTCTTTCACCGTTTGATGGGCGATGGGAGATGGACCTCGTGCCCAGAATAGTATCTCATTGCAAGAATAAGGCAATTATTGCCCCAGCTTCCCAGAGGTCCCCTATACGCTGCTCTATGACCTTGTTGATCTCCACCTACGTAGTTTGTAGAAGCCAATAGGGCTAATCTTCATCTAACTCCAACTCAGCAAAGGTTTTGCACTGGTCATCGAGCTTCCGAGGACTTTGAACCAAGTGGGTCAGGGGATGAACCTTCCTACATCATGCACCAGTACATAACGGGACGATCAGTAGACATCACTAGACTGGATCTAGCGCTAGCTGTCAATCTCGTATAAAGAATACATTTCTTTCATTTGTTGCCTAGGAAGATAACATAGATACCGTAACGCCGGAAAGGAAAATTACCGCCAAATCGAGGGATCTCTTTACCGCCAAATCTCCGGAGCCGCTAATGGTTCACTCAGGTGGACGATCGCCCACACATATCGGTCGAAAGCTGCATCTGACAGGCGTTAGTGCGACTTAGCACAGCCTTTGGCCGCATTTTTGTCCCTATCCCCATCAGCTTCGAGCCCGTCACCGCATCTTGGTCACCGCATCTTGGGCACCACTAGCGTGCCCGTCGGAAAATTCAGCTCCTGCTGTCCGGCGCTCAGGTCGCTTTCTGGGCTTCTGCGGTGTTCTCCCGTCACCTATCGATTTATATTCCCCTTGTAATAACTAGATGGAGATGATCATTCCTTGCGCCCACATTGTTCTGGCCCATTGTCGCGTCATAACTCCATTGAGACCCACATCTCCCGCCCCTGATGAACAGGTTTTCTTTGTTTTTCAGATGTATGTCGGAGATATTTGATTCACTGAGCTATAGTTGGTTTCTTTTGACCACAGTGGGGATGGATAAATAGTGCGGTACAACTACCATAAGGTTCATGGCGCCCACCGGGACGAATCTGACAGAACCTAGCCTCAATTATCCACTCCCTACGTCAAATGGGAGCCCCGCTTAGATCCAGGGTAGGTAGCCGTGGAAAGCCGCGTGGATGCTGCGAATGTGGTCGAATTTTCTGTTTCCCTGTCGCTCGAGACGGCCCGGTCTTCACCAAGGCATTGCGCAGGTTTTTGGGGGCGATCAATTAAACACTTTTCTAGAAAGGAGTTGTCAAAAACAATTTAAACCTACTGGAGTCGACGAGAATTCCTATCGGGAGGTCCTTGGACCGTTCGAATTACCACTTCTTAAGTATGCTTCTTTCGAAAATATTCTTTAGACGGTAGTTTGTGTGTAAATTAGCAATCCAAATGTCCAAATAGCAATGTTCAAGACAAATGCTCCAATCTATTTCTAAGAAACTCCTCCCAATATACAACTTTAAATGATTAAGAGAGACCCGGCTCAACACGTAATAACACGTAACGGAAAGGACAGACAGGCCATGTAGATATGGTGATGTCTAACATATATGTATTAAAATAGAAGGAACAGAGCGACCCGAAAAGGGGTACCACTAGGGCATAGTACCAGCGGACACCAGTTCACATCAGTAGCGAAAGAAAGAAAAAAGGGCGCTGTAAAAAGGGATCACGTCAAGTCTCACCTTTATGAGCCGCACGTAGGAAGAATATAATTAAAGAGCCAGGCCATATGAGAATGAAGTTGTAGGCATGAGTGGCAAAGAGGTAGAAGGATCTGGAGCAGTGAGAGAAGCTCATCAGACAAAGGAGGGCACCGGCCCAGAGTAGTCGATAATAGCATCAGCTCCTGGCTGGAACATCCGATTTATGAACATTTTTCACGTGTGACTGCCGGTTATCAGCCCTGTCGAATCTCTTCAGGCACCCAGGAAACGAACACTTGTAAGCCCCGCGGAAGTCATGCTTCGTCGTGATGTGACGAGTAAGATCGCTAGAGCGACCAAAGGTCTTGTTGCATCCTGGTCGGTCACACAAGAGTTGGGCCTTAGCGCGTTGTGGGACAGTTGGTTGGTTGACCTGTGCCTGCTCATCCACCGGTGTAGCGAGGAAAGCTGTTTGGTCGAACGGTAATTGTTGTTCTATCGCCGTTGCGGGAATCTGACTCCACATCTGTCCCCGAGCATTGAGACTGGGGTTGAAAGCGGGGGGTCGTTGGTAAATCGATCCAGGTACGTTCATTGCTGCCATCGGATGCATCGCGTTGAGAGAGTTGTCAGTCCCCTGCCCATTGGCATATGACTCTTGCGACCAAGGTATAGCAGCACCAGCTATATCGGGAGGCAAGATGAGCCCGGGAGCAAGAGTCTGCCATCCCGCCTCTTGTTGTTGCAAAGACGCCACAGGCATATTTTGGGGGTTGTAAAACGTATCTCCACGTTCTTCGGTTCCACCGAGTCGCGTGCAACAGCCACAGCCGCAGCTACAGCCTTGGAGAGGCATCAGAAAATAGAGGGAATGTATCTCCAAGATCTTTTTAAGGGAGTGTTCTAGCTGCCTGCAGCTTTAAGGATGAAGCGAAGTGAATGTACTGCTTTTTAACAGGGAAGAAGAGAAGATGCGGCTCTTTTATAACAAAGGTTTTGATAGTGCATCACTCCAACGGGTGACGAGCTTAAAAAGCTCCGAATGGCGTGACCACGTCCATATCATTCTGAAAAATACTCATATTCTCCTGAATGGGTGAAATCCAGGAACCAGGCGTGCATATGGGCCTCACCCGGCGCGAGGGACAGATGAAAGGCTACGTACGCCTTTGGGGAGGGAGGTATCTTTTGTCCAATATTACCCAGCTGCCTAGCTTCAGGGTGATCTGTATTCTTTTTGAAGCCGCAGGGACTGAAGATGCCAGAGCCATGCCTCGACTAGATTCCCTCCACCTCTTGCCATACAGCCACAAAGTACACAATCGTCATCGTGGCGCAACTCGGCTCTAAACGGGCGCTAGCGAAGCCAATGAGCTTCTTCTCATTTAGGACAGCAACGATTGGATCGCCGCCCCTTACCCCCTAGCATTCCGACGATCGTATTCTTGCGGCCTCAACAAATCCGATGTTTTCGTTGGGATCGGGGTGTGTCGGCCACGTGAGTTTGCCACATATGATAGATCGATCAACCATGTTAATCTGTGGCAGTGAGACTGATCCAATCCATCTTGACAAATCACGAAGATAATCTACTCAGACAGTGGGATACGCTGGTTTATCAAAGGGTCATGGCAACACCAGTCTCTGAACTACGGAGAACATAATATTCCGATGATCGACGTATTAATTGAGACCTACCACGATCTCGGGCCCATCTTCCCCGCAAATGCTGCGGCTCCTTCCGACGGGCTTTTTGCTTTCTTATACCAGCTACTTGTTAGTGTCTTAGGTCTGTTAAAGTCTACCCTTTGAGTTGAAGCAAGTGTCCAACAAACTCGTGTATTTCTCCACTTGGCACTAATATGAACATTTATTCATAGGAATACGGTCTAGACTTGTTTTGTTCTCCGCGACATTGCCCTTACATCGTGGCCCCTCTTTCCCCCGCCCACTTTTCACTAAATCATCCCGAGACTCGGTGCGTGGGTTCAAAAAGATTACCTATCAATTAATGGAGTCAAGCCGCCCTCCTAATAACTCCAGCGGTGTAGGTACGAAAAGGTCCCTCATGCTGAGGGGTCTCTCTGGATTTTTCCCGCTCCATTGTCTATTTCCAAGTGCCCTATGCCTGGTCCCTCTTCCAATTTCAATGCAGATCTCGAGTTTTGATTTGAAGCTTCTTCTCTTTCAACTCCATTTGTTCATCGCCCTCTCTTTTCCCGGATTTCTATTTTTGGACGACCCGTAGCATGTCTTGGCAAATTGATGGAGCGGAGATCATTACCAACACTTGGCAAAGTAACCAAGAAATCAGCAGTTGTAAATGATAAGCACGTACAAAAGGTTTTACCTCCCATTGAATCCACAAATCGATGTGTCTATCGTCAACATTTATTCTTGCTCTTTAATCTCCAATTTCATTAATATTCATGTTCTGCTCCTATTCCAAGGGAGTTGAAAGGATATCTATCATGTCTATACAGGCCTTTTCATACTCACTTGCAAGCCAATCTCAAATTCCCTCATCGAAAGAATGTTTAACTATATACCAAAAATACTGGCGCCCGCTGTAATACACTGCATAAAAAATAACAAAAAGCTTCAAAGAAAGAAGAGCCCTCAGACGAGGAAGAAACAAAAGCGATCTTACTAGGTTATATCCATTGCCTCGTCCTAGCCTTAACGATTTGGGCCTCGGCCCCTAACATCAGCGTTTTGAGAGAATTTTCTTTCTTCCCTTTCACTTAAGACGACCCACACCAGTGACGCCACCTTACTTTCTCTCGTCTTCCCCATCACGGATCGTTTGTAGCGAAAATCAAGTTCAAGGTGGAACATCTCACCACAGGATGCTCATCAGAGTAGGGAATAATGGACACAATGCCACCATATATAGTGAATTGGTAGCACAGACAAACAACAGATCGCGCGGCCAAGAGGCGTCTACTCCAATATTTGGCGAGTCACCTGCGTACCCGAGGTACCTCATGAACATTTTCTAAGTGACCTTGCAGATTTTCTTTCCGATTGAAATCCCTCCCACATTCTGGACATTTGAATGCCCTTGGGGAGATGTGTATTGACTTGGTATGGCGATTCAAGTCAGACCTGCGACCAAAGGTCCCTTTGTACGTGCAGCCTTGCCATTCGCATCTGATAGGGTCGGCATAATTCGGAGCATTGATCTGATGAGATTGCGGCATGCCTTTAATCCGGGTGTGGTAGATGTCCTCTAACGTTGGCACTCGGGTGGTGGAGCTGGAACCAAAAGTAGTTGGGTGGGTGCTCTTTGGTATTGGCTCTGTAGCGGTGAATCTAGAGTCAAAACTAGATAGGAGGTTACTCGCTAGTATTGCTTCTTGGATAGCGAAGCCGGTGTCAAAAGTAGTAGGATAGATATAGGGCGTGGGTGTATAGCTATATTCTTAGAATGTTAGCTGAAAATAATTCTTTTGGTATTCACGTATCTGCCCTGAGGGTAGATTTGCCATATAATGCATCGTGTTGAGAGAAAGAGTGTCAGTGTACCCTATATTGCTATAAGTTCTCTGGGACAGGGAACTGGTAGATGCGTTGGTAAGATCGAGTGAGAGGTCGAGCACAGCTATATCAAGTGGGAAGTCGCGTAGGACTTCATCGACTGGAAGCTCGCATAAAGCTGCATCAAAGCTCAAAGTTTCTCTCTCTTGCCAAGTAGTTATTGGCATTGCTGGAGGATCATTTGGGGTCTCTGAATATCCGCGATTCTGATCATGTGACATGTTTGTGAACCACAACAAAAGTATCAGGGATTTTTGAATATGAACTCAGGATTGGTGCAATGAATTCAACTTTATAGGCGAGGAAAAGTGATAGGTAATGCCACTGATGGGCGATGGGCGATGGGCGATGGGCAATAGACGGCGATGGGAAAGATTAGTGCCCAGAATTGTATTGCGAGATATTCTCAAAATGAATATCCCTTTAGCTTCGCAAAAGCCATAAGATACTTTCAGGCGGTCCAATCTATAGGCTACACGTAAGTCTCTAGTTAGGCGCAATATTGTGAGCTCATGCGCATTAGCTTCAACTGTTCTCTCCTTTTTTAGGTTGGTCTTAGTGACGGATTTTGCAATCAGAACACGGTAATGGGAAACCATTCGGGGTAAACGCCACACTTGATCTTTGAAATCGCTAATCGTACTGTCTATTTGATTTGGTATCCGGTTTCTATGCGATCCTAAAGTATCCGCAACCCGTGAGGATTCGGGTCAACCGCTCATGCTTGCGCCTGCTACAATCCCCTCTATTTGCTTAGACTCTAAAGAGCTTGCATTCGTCTTGCATGTTCGGTTCTCGTCGATTTCTCTTTCCATTGTCTACTCTCCTTTTCTCATTCGATCCCATTCCCATGCTTCTTTCCAACTTGTGTTGCCCCGACCCGCCCCTTTTTTGCCTTTACACATTATATTCACCCACGACGTCCCGCTAGTATTAACAAAGACAGAAATATTTCAAGCCTAATTTCAGGAATCAGGAAAATGGAATATCTCTAAGGATTCTCTAAGGATGGCAAAAGAAGGGCCAACAGCTCTTCGGGCCGAAGGTCAAGCGCCGCAATCTTGTTGAAGATTCCATCCTTTCTCAGCTCAGTCACATACTAGTGGGCTCATTTACTATTGGCCAATTCACCACCATGACCCACTCAAGGTACCCAGGGCTCTCCACTGTAGCACTCTCATGGGACCATCCAATCAGGTAGGTCTAGGGTTACCGACCCGAATGATTTGATAAGTCTAAGCCTGATTGGTGCGCCCATTGCCCAGATATGAGATATGATAGGCTCCTCTCATCCAATCAGGTCTAGAGTTACTGGCCCAGAGCCAGTAACTCTAGACCTGATTGGTTTGCGCCTTTTGAGAGTGGATCTCAAGACATAGCGAGCGTAGACAGACGAACTGCCATCAGAGAGGGTTGTGAGAGCCCCTCTTTTCGTTACTGCGCTTGAATCCCAGAGGCATAAAGACAAAGTCTCAAGTATGCGTCAAATGCCTCGGAGAAAAGATAGTGGAGTGGCTCAAGTTGCGGAAGGGGTTTTCAGCACTTAGTGCTGGTCTCGAGGTCGCGGGAGGGGAGACGAAAAAAGCGACTCGTCAGTACTACAGTACGACTGAGCAAGAGAGGGACAATAAAAAACGATACGTTGTAGTGTGAGAAGGTTGTCAAAGACGAAAGGAAGAAGAGGGCAAAGCGCTGGTTTCTACAGAAAACAGGTCACCTGATCTCCAGGCAGACTCTTGACAGAAGAAGTACATCAGGCGGTGGGACAAAGCCTCACCAGAGGGGGCTTCGGTGTCAATCCCCCCAATCCTTTATCTGTCCTTGCGCTTGTACGAGGCTGAAGATTTGTCTGCTTCGTGTTTCTGCCTTCAGCCCCAAGTCGTGTAGCCGTAGACCTCTCGCTCGCTCTAAGATATGAATAAATTCAGTTTCACTTTCTCCGCTTTTGCTTCTTTTCTCTTGAACGTGGCCCTAAACCCCCGAAAAACACGGAGTATCTGTTCCTGCCACCGCTTATCTGATTCGGAGTTCATAACCTCGTCTCGAGAGGCAGAGAATTATTTGCGTGCAATTTGATTAACGGTAACATGAAAACATGTACTTAATGAGCGTCACTGCAGTCAGGGCCAAAACAACCTCGAGAATATGAACTGGTAATATGACAACTCTAACCGAATTAGGAAGCCTAACAGTGCTTCCGTTTCCTAATTCGGTTAGGCTCGAAAGGACTAGGTCTGGCCCACCTTGACGATGATGATGATGATGATGATGCTTCCTGATTTTCGTACCAAGTTCTAGGTGTAAAACCCATGGGTAAGCAGAAACCTTCTTCGACTATAGTTCATTATACATGCTATGCTATACGCCATGGCGTCAGTAGAGTAATGCCGCTGAAGTCGGAAGACAGTGCGTGATACGTAGGGATTAGTTGATCGGACTCATGTGATTCGAATAAGGCATGAAGAGGAATTGTGAGCTGACGAAGAAGGAAGAAGAGTAAAGGGGAACTGAGATTAGAAGAAAATTAATGAAGACTTGTTAAAGGAGAGATAATATGGAGAAGAGCGCAAATTGGAAGAAGAGGAGCAGGAGCATGAAATTAGAAGGGAAGAGCAAAGTCTACGGGCCAGCGTGCCTGTGCCTGTAGGCGCTCGTATTGCATACGCAATGTAAGCCACAATTTTCGTTTTGGTTTGCCCTCTATGTTACTAAACTTGAGCATCCCTGCTCAGGGGGCGGGGTGGCTTCGACTTAAGCCCCCATTTTCTGATGTCATCAGAATCAACTTCTCATTACTCCCTTCTGGATCAACGGACTTGGTTGGCCGTTGCCAGGCTCTGTGAGACTTCGTATACTTCACTAATTGTGAGCTCTACTGACTAGTCGACGATACTTTGGATGCGTTCTAGAATAATAATGTACTTGCAGATCTAGCAGGATCCGCATCATTACGTGGATCCTATCTCCTCCGGAAAAAAACAACAACAGAGGACTCTTGTAAAGCTGCTCGCTAAATGAGACCTTGAGTCTTCGTTCCATTCTAATGACTAAATTCGCGGAAGGGGGAGGGTGATGGCGAAGCAAAAAAACTCCGCCAGGGAAATTATTCGTACCTAGACTTACGCTAGGATAGTGGGGAACGTATTCACCTTTAGCAGTGGCCTTTTGGTATCTATTCGGTCGACTTACAGCCAACGGATCTTTCATTGCAGAAAACTCACTAGCTACGTAGCCAATATCCTCTGGTAGCCACACCCTGTCAAAGCCGATAACCTACAGCCAGACCCCCTGAAATGTACACCAATGTCGGAGCACTGCTAATTTTTGTACACATCTACGTTATATTTCTCTACTCACGAAAGTATCAAAGTATGAGCATGTTACTAGGTTTTTCTTAAATCTAGATTCTTCATCACTTTAAAACAATCGACCCAAATTCTCTGTACAGATGGATCATTTGAGGCTGTCGGAAGGACATACTGGATGCTTACCCACCCCTCCCCGAGTACAATTAGCTTGGAGATCTCCTCATCGTCTCTTTATAGTTGCTTCCTAGCTCTTCAATTAAGCAGCCAAGCAGTGGTCCAGCTCTCCCTCGTTCTGATTTTTTTTCCTTCATGAATACTCCGTACTACCTTATAACCAGACACGTTGACTATATATCAGAATATGATTGTAAACGGCCCCCATTCATGTAATCTTTGCTCCTGCAGGGTTAAAGATAAGCCTGTTTCGTGATATCTGTCCTCGGCTCCAAGCGACCTATTTATAGAATCTTTGTTCAAATATATTTCAAATCAATTCCCACCTTCCCCGCTTTCTATTCTTTTACCATAATCCTCAAAGCCATAAAAAAGTGTTCTCTGCTTCCTTTTCATTGACATGACTGACAGTGCTTTATAAGCTCAGTTTCATTTCAATATTCTCGTTCTCATTACTGAATACAACAGACTCTGCCCTCGAAAGTACCCGCGCCTCCGCTGCATTGCATAAAACAGGAAAAATAGTCAAACTAGACTCATCGATAAGGAATCACCATCACAACCTTAAACACCAGCATTCATACTCCGACAGAGCAAATCCATTCTACAGTTCTTCTTGACAGCAGCCTGGCCTGATCATTCAGGCCTGCACCCCGGGCGTCAGCATGAATAGATAGATTTCTCTTCTCTGACGTCCCTCGCTCGAATGACAAGTCACACCACCATCCGTACCTTTATCCTTCCTTCCGACATATGAAACGAATGTTGATAATGAAAATAATGACTCCGTCGAACGAGATTCTATCGGGGAAGAGATCAGCGCACACAATACGTACCACCACCTCGACATCTCCAGCGGACGGGCAGTCTGATGAACAACAGACAGTGCTGGAAGAAGCATAAAGTTGGCTATAAATCACCGCGACAGTCCATTGAGCCCATGGTCTCTCCGCAAGTGTCCCTGCAGATTATCGTCCCTGTTATACTCTCTCGTACACCCAGGAAACGAGCATTTGTACGCCATGGGGGAAACGTGTTGCGTTTCAAGATGGCGTAATAGGTCTTTTTTGCGCCCAAAAGTTCCAGTGTACTGACAGCCTCTCCAGTGGCATTTGATAACCTCCTTACGAGGTGTGACGGCTGCTTGAGGGTGACGCAGTGTTGCGTCCGTCGATAGCGCGTGGCGATCCTGCAAAGTTTGTTCTTGGGCTGACGTGAAATCGAAGGAGGTAGGTTGGCTGTAGACTTCTTGGTGTGCTGCCAGCTGTGCTGTGTGCATTGATGTCCGAGGACCAGTGGCGCTGAACGGAGTGTCGGTGTACTGTGGATTGATGTATTCTTCTTGGAACCAGGGAGCGGCGGGTGCATCAAGAGGATTGAGTGAGTTGAGACTGGCTGGATCGAATATTGACCATTGTTCCTCTTGTCGAGGAGCTGCTTGCCTTTGTCGGAGATCATTCGAGGTCTCTGTATATTCGTAGATCCCAGCAGGTGACATGTTTGGTGGGCAACAGCCGAAGCTACATCTTGGAAAACACATTGTAGAATATAGATGCGCTAAACATTTATGCTGAGGCCGAATTGAAAGGGTAATTAAGCTGACAGGAACTGCAAAGGTAGCAAGGAGTGATAGGATGGATATTTGAAGGAAGAAGGGAAACGTTATGCAGACGAAGCCCGACGAGTGGGATGCGTGACGGGAAGAATAGGCGTCGGGCCTAGCATGGATGTGCACGCCTTGGCGTGATGAAATGCTTAGCACCTGGCCATCTATCCATAAATTTATGAAGTTTCCGAACTACGCACCATTATCGAAAGTCGCTAAGCGGTAAATCAATGGGGTGGACTAGGCACTTATTGTTCAACCGACAAACAAGGACTAAGGTTGCGCCTATCGAACTGTAACATAACGAAGCAGCCCAGGTATAGGCGAGAGTATTAGGCACAATCTTGCGTTGTGGCGGTGATGATGATATTTCCTTGGGCTTCTTTCCAGAGATACTCCGCCCCAGGCGCTCAGACCTATCGAGCTTGTTTTGCATTGCGCTTGCTTTGGAGGCTCACGTGAGTGTATTGCGTGCAGTGCCGTGCAGCGCTTACTCTCGAAGCTCGAGAGAGTGTTTAAGCGCAGACTGTCATTGTGGCGGTGTTGATGATATTTCTTTCATTTCCTTTTCGGAAAGCTACGTGTCCAGGGCTTCCACAGCCCATCGAGCTTATGGTGATCTGCATTTTCTCCTGAGCTTCGCCCAAATGTAGGCACAGAGTCGCATTGTGGCGGTCTCCGTGATATTTCTTGGTCTTCGTTTTCGGAAAGCTACGTGTCCAGGACTTTCAGGGCCTGTCGAGCTGATGGTGACCGTGTTTCTCCTGAGATTCACCTGAGCGTAGGCACATTCACAGTGTGGCGGTCTCTGATATTTATTGGGTTTTCTTTCCGGCAAGCTACGTGTCCAGGACCTCTAGGGCCTGTCGAGCTGTTTATTTGCCGCTCTTACCGCCCTTTCTCTCGATGCTCGCTCGAATGTCTGCACAGATTCGTCTTGCAGCTTTGATGCCGATTTTTGATTGCCTTTCAGGAAGGTTCCGTTCCTGAGACGTCATCGAACAAAATGGTATGGTGGTACCTCGCGACGTACCTAAGTTTATTTGCACGGAACATAAAGAGAGTCTGTGCTTTTCCGAAATCGTAAGCAGTATTCAGCAGGTAAACACCAATGGGTGTCTGGGGCTGGCTGTACCGCCACTCCGGTCGGGAAGCCCCAAAGACTATTCTACGTAATATGGGATCCGAATTGCTATGCACTGCCCTCATTGATCACATCTGACGGATGGAAACGCCCAGCACAAATAGTGTGGTTGCCTCATTTTTCCCAGTGTTCCTGTAAGACCCCAACTGCTCCGCAGCACCTCCACATTGCTTCTCGGGACATGGAGCTTTCACGTGGGGTAACATGAACATTGCCGGGTTTTGCATCAGAGCATCGTACTTTATTCCCCCTGTCCTTTACCCCTTGTGAGCTCATGAACACGCCTCGTGGCGTTTGTCTATATTCTGGATAGTTATGCATTATTTAGTACATCTACCAGGATCCACATCATTATGCGGAACCCACGGCTTGTCTAAACCCAAATTATAGCTTAGGTATCAGAGATCCCAAAGTCCATTCATACCACTGACACCACCTTCCCGAGGTCTATGCTTCCGCCTTTTTTTTTATGTGGAGCTATTACATCCAATATTGATAATTGGGAGACTCAAGCAATAGCACGTGAGCGCTGCGTTGGCTTTCTGACAAGGCCTTTATCCAACCCGCTACACGGTGGAAGCCGGGAATTTTGAGTCCACATTCAGAAGCGAGACAAAATCAATCGCTAAGATCTTGGAATTCCATGGGGCACAGGACAGTTCTTCGGTGGATCGGTAGACCCCGGTGCAGACTATCCGCTTATCGTACGTCCTAGTATTTCAGTATGCTGGGTAAGTAATCTTTCCAGACGATATGGATGGTCACCTGACTCTGAAGGAACAAGTACCAGTGGACCTGATTGATTGAATATCGCAGGGGTACACCGTCGAACGGTGTACCCCTGCAATATCCAATCATTTATACGTGTAATTCGAAGCAAAACCAAAAGTGAGCGGATTCAAATTTAAATCCCTGCTATGGAAACTTCGGCGTACCTTCGCCCTTTTAAGTGACCGCAAGACCCTAGTCGCATTGCAGTAGCATATCCACATCGGTTCCGATATCATCAATCTTCACTTGTGGGGATTCCTTTGAATCGACAGATTATGCATAGACTCCTCATCCGTCCATCTACAAGATTCATTCCTGCGCTGAATGGGGAAACTGTGCATAAATGCGGAGTTTTCCCATTCAGTTATGATGCGTTCTGGAAGAAATACACATAGATCTAGCGGGATCCACTTCAATATTAGGTGGATCGGATCTCGGGATTGGTCCACATATTACCAAATCCAATTAGCTTATAGTTTTGGAGGCTCATTGGGGAAATACATTGGTCGCAGGGCCCATGCCAGTATGATCATTATTCAATGGGCTCCAAATCAGTACAGTCTCTGGAAAAGCCTTCAAAGGATGTTGTTGATTTTTGGGGGGATTTTGATGGGATTGTCCACTCCTAACAGACGCTCAGTCTGTTTTTCTCTCCTCGGGTCATCTTTCTTGTTCTACGAGTAGTGGGATTCATGGGTTTTCAACTCTACTAGCAAGATCTCTCAGAACTTCAAAAAATATCCAACAACTTTGGAATGGATTTGTTACAATTAGTATATACGTATATAGGATGCGACAATGAAACCCGGAAATCCAGGTATCCATCGTTGCTTTTTCTCCCGACTGAGAATCTAAGCAGTGGTGCGAGTCTCCTTCTTGCCCTTCTGTAAAACCAGTTAGCAAAACATCTCCAGCTGGGATCAAGACAAGAAAACATACCACAGTGCGGAAGTACTTGATACCAGTGTTGGTACCGGACTTGGCATCGTAGGGAATGGGGGAGGAGTAGTCGAAGGTGGCCTTCAGGCCGTGGTAGGTACGCTTAACGACATCAAGGATGCCGTGGCCAGCGGTACACTTGCCAGAGGTGGCAGGGTTGGGCCACAGAGGCTCGTAGGTGGAGTAGTCACCATCGGACATGGGACCGGGGTTGGTCTCGTTGATGTAGAGGTTGTCATAGTCAACGTTCCAGTTGGTGTAGCCAGTCTTCTCAGCAACGAGCTTCAGGAGGTTGGCACCGCAATCCCAGCGACCGAGGGAAGGAAGACCCCAGTTAGCAGACAGGGAGGCGATAATGCTGTAGTGGGTGTAGAAGGTATCATCGGTGGTACCCTTCAGGTGCTCGGGGACGGCACCACCAACAAGGAAGGAGTAGACACGGTTGGGGACGGAGTAGTTTCCAGACTCGTCAAAGGTAACCAGGATGAGGGCATCCTTGGAGAAGTACTCATTCTTGAGGAGAGGAGGAACGAAGCTCTCAAGGAACTCACCAGCAACGGTGATGTTGGTGTCGTGGGCATCGTTGGTCATGTTAGGAGTGATGAACATGTACTGGGGGATACGCTCGTGCTTAAGATCCTCCTCGAAGGTGGTGAAGTTCTTGATCTGGCGAGGACGGACGGCGTCGTTGGTGACGGAGTCGAAGAGGATCAAGGGGTTGTGCTTGCGCACGTAGGCGTTGGATCCGGACTCGGGGTAGCGGTAACCCTGGTAGCCGGCGTAGGGCAAGTCCTCCTGGTACTCGCCCCAGGCAATCTTCTTGGTGTCGAACAGATCGGCAATGGTGGAGATATTGGAGGGCAACTGCTGGAAGTCATCGTTGTCCATGCCAAAGGCATCACCGGCAGCGGAGGCAGCGTAGTTGGGCTCCGAGGGGTGAGTCAACGCAAAGTAGTTGGTCAGGAGGATACCCTCCTTGGCCAGCTTGGCGAAGTTCTTGTCATCCGCAGCAGTTTGGTAGTCCTTGGTATGATATTAGCGTGCGAACATGAATGATATCAGATCAATTGGTGTTTAGAGCCACTCACGGTGTTCTCGATCCAAATCTGAGCAAAGCGGTTGAAAGCCAGACCCTTCACGTTCGAGACGGGAGAGTAAGGCAGGACAGAGGCCTGGGAGGCAGCGATCTCAGCAGCGGTAGGGTACTCATCGCTGGTAGAGATGGTCTTGGCCGAAGCCAGGGCCAATGCGCCAACAAAGGCGGTCAGAGTCTGCTTGGTGAACATGACTTTGAACTTTGTATATTATCACTGCCGATCGCGAATAATACAGTCGATGCGAAGAGAAAAAAGAAGTGATCAGCCAGGCGTTGGAGACGATCTTATACCTGGCGCAAGCAATGCGGAGAACCAGTCGGCCACAAGGTCCGTACACGGGATCCATTCTTCGCTTACAAGCTTGAAGGCGCCGCTGCCAAGACACCCGCAACGCCAAGAACGCCCGGAACAGGCGACATTGTGCAGCACGTTGCATTCCGAAGGTGAGTTACTGGCCGGGTTCCCCATGGACAAGTGCCCGCACAGGAAATGAGTGGGGGATGCATCAGTATTATGTCGATGGCGATTGGTGGATATAGGGGTGGGTCTTCCCGGTACCTTGCACGTTTCGATCAAAAGCGGCATGACTGGCTGATCTGGCACTGATGCTATATTGAATCGGGGATAAGCGTGGAAATATCAAGTACAACATGCATAGCTAAGCCGCGTGGCTGACCTAGAACACTGTCTTGGCATCCGCCATAACAGCCCTTGAGGCGGAATATGCCGTTACTTGGACCCATGGGTTCAGAGCTCGACTTCACTTATAGCAAGATGTCGTAATTTCTTGTTTGTTTCCAGGATTGTAAGATTGAGCTTTGTCATATCTGGTCAGTGTTTCGTGATAGGAGATCTTTTGGATATTCTTCCAAGCCCTGGAGGTTGTATAGGTACATGTTGGTTCCAAGGTTTGCCATAATATATATCCGAGCCGAGCAACGCGCGAATGCACATGTACTAAACAAAGCCACAGTAAAGTAGAAGAACCGCCACCATCCGCGAAGAACATTCGACGCCCACGTGGTCGACTTCTAGGTGCATCTGCTCTTGCATGCATCTACCAAATAGCCACCAATTTAGCTCACAGGATCTCGGGAGAACGGCTTCCAACGATTGCCCGGCAAAAATCACTCCAGTGCCGGCGACAGGTCATTATGACACACACGAGATGGTCCCCGAGGGTGGGGTTCAATGTTTCTATACATAAAATGCAGGGCGCTAAGGTACCATCGTTGAATGTGTGATGTGGTAAATGTCCGACGGGTGATTGGCTCATACGTTAGGACCTTGCTAAAATGACGCCATTCACAGCATTGGAACTTGAGTGCCCAGGTGTATCTTTTAGCATTCAGAAACCGAGGCCAATCAATTGATCACTTCTATCGTATCAATAAAATGAGGCCTTGAAACGGTATGAAAGACTATCGCCGTCGGCACTAGCAACGGTAATGTACCGGAGTCCGAACGTCTTTGAATCCCCGGGCAATTGCCCCATCCAGTCCAGCTAATCGGCTTCCGTGGTTCATCCGCTTCTAGCATGCATTGCATAGTTACGGATACGATCCTTAGCTATGCCTTCTTCGTCTTCTTACATAGGGCGCGGTCTCCCATAACTGTAAGTTGCTTCAATAGTACCTGTCCATGTACTTGTCAGCCATTGGCATGTTTGTATATCAGGACATGTAGCACGACCCCTCGATGTCTGTGTTTAGATTGCCTTTACAAGAGCCCCGAGACTATATGTAACACCAAGCACGGATCATCGTGCGACACTGGAAGTTGTGAAACAATCCAGCCTACCCTATCTTCACGACCCACATTTATCGCTGCAGGGACAAGATCCTGCACATGGAGTAATACAACTTTAATTACGATTGGCCAATCACACTAAACACATTAAGTGATACTATAGATTAGAAGTATGACTGGACATGAGAGAAAATAGCAGTCAATCCTTGGCTCATTATTCTTGCCTCAATAACTATTACATATCTATTCGGTTCAAAAGAAACAAGGGGAACAGAAGAGAAAAACATCGTCACCATCATCGAGAGAACGGCGTTCTAGCCGAGTCGGATCAGATAGGGCCATTGCAAAGACACGCCTGATCGGCGGCTTGGAGAGAATTAATGACAACAGAAGGGAATACAAGATGGGAATGTGAGGTGAAAAGGCCGCGCGACGGGTAATAAGCGCAGGAAAGATGTATGATGAACAGGAAAAGAAGTTTTATGCAATGCTTTACTCGGGCTTCTTGCCGACCATCAGGTACATGGGGGTGAAGAGGTTCTTCTGGGCACCCTCGACCAGGCAGTCACCAGCGAGAGCCAGGCTGTCGGCGGTCTTTTGAGAGCCACGGGGGAAGAGCTTGATGGTCTCACCAGCACCGACGAAGCGGTGGGCAAGACCACGTCCCCACCAGGTCATGCGGGCAATGGTGAAGAAGTCCCAAAGGGAGCCCATGTGCTTGAAAGATCCCGCCAGCGGGTAGTACCAAGGGGTGGGGTCGGGACGCTGAGCAAGATCCTCGTGGTGCTTGAGCTCGAAGCCGGCATCCTTCATGGCCTGCACACCCTCGGAAATGCGAACCATGTTGGAGATACCGTCACCCTGCTCGATACCGAGACGGATGCGACGGTGCTCAGGGTCATCGTTGTTGTAATCATCAGTCATGAGCCACTCGTAGACACCGAAGGTACCACCGGGCTTGAGAACACGGAAGATCTCAGAGTAGACACCAACGAGCTCAGGAGCGTGGACGGTAGCCTCAATAGCGTAGACGGCATCGAAGGTGTTGTCGGGGAAGCTCATCTGCATGAAGTCACCCTTGACAAAGGCCATCTTGTCTGCCAGACCCTGCTTGTGGGCGTAGTGGGTAGCACGGTCGATCTGGTAGTCGTTGTTGTTCAGACCGGTAACGTGAGCGCCAGTAAATTTGACGATCTCACGAGCGGGACCACCAACACCACAGCCAACGTCGAGAACCTTCATGCCCTCGGTGATACCGGTCTGCATGGCGAGGTAGTGCTCGTGGCGGGCGATGGCCTGGGCAAAGGGCTCACCGTAGGCGAAGCGGCAGAAGTGGAAGGAAGAGCCCCAGCCGTACTCGTAGAAGTCGGTGGCAAGGTTGTAGTAGCTATCAAATTGTCAATTGTCTTGCGATCAAAAATGCGCGGAATCGGCAGGCAAACGTACTGTCGGGTCAAGGTAGCGTACTCGGATCGGCGAGCCTATATGTATATTCCAGTTAATTATGGCCCAATTGACTCCAGTCGGCGCATTATCTCACCTCACGGTCCGCGTCAGTCTCGTCAGCGTAGTCCTTGTTGTCCCAGTGCTTGAAGTACTCGTCAACGGCGGCCTTCTGGGCAGCGCTGTCCTTGCCACGCATGGCACTCAGACCACCGCGAACATTGGCGGACTTTCCGTGAAGAGCCTTGTTGAAGGCGGCGTCACGCGCCTTATCCTCGCGTTCCAAAGCAGTAGGGGCCATTGTGAAGGAATCGAAGGGTGTTGGTATTAAAGGGGTAAAGTGTTGAAGAGGGGCGACAAAAAAGGACAACGGTCCGTTAAATATGGAAAAGAGGATACGGCAATTGGATTGAACCAAACAAACCGCAAGAGAAGAGAAAGAAAACTTGGGGAAGAGAGATCTGGAGAGAGGATGAAGGAGAGTTTAAAAAAGGAGTATCGAATGCGAAGCAACTTTTTGGCAATGCGAAAAATCAGGCCAATCACGGAGCCCCTGAGAGGGCAGGCCGTGCAGCAGGACTAGACCGAACAGAGTCTGGGGTGGCGGGACGAGTATGTTCCGGTCTGTGGCTTGTTCGGGTAGTGGCTCTCCCGGCTTTCGTTAGTGGTGACCTGATGTCTATACGATGTGGAATACGATATGAATGAAGATGCCTGATGAACTCGAGATAAGACAATCTAGTCGGAAGTAAGTTTACAGATCAATCCGAGAATCTATTGATTCGGAACGAACAATCAAATCGAAGATCAAAGAGAACAAAATGAACAAAATCATCGTACGACAAAAACACAGACAAACAGAAACAAACACATCCAGTACCGGTCACATGACCCGACGCCACAGTCACCGCCACTTTGATAATGTGATAATCAACTTTGGTCTTTGAAGCTTCCTTTGTAATCTTCAGCTTGTCGAAGCATATCCACCCACCATGCCTCCCCAGATTAAGCATGATCTCAACCGCTCTGGCTGGGAGTCCACAGACTTCCCATCTGTTTGCGAAAATTGTCTTCCTGAAAACCCATACGTGCAGATGTTGAAAGAGGACCACGGCGCAGAGTGCAAGATTGTAAGTCTTTGATCCGCTCACTATTCTACCACAGACACTAACCACAATGACAGTGTACTCGTCCCTTCACAATTTTCCGCTGGAAAGCCGACCGTACCTCGCGCCAGAAGCGCACCAACATCTGTCTCACATGCGCCCGTCTGAAGAACTGTTGCCAATGCTGCATGCTCGATCTGTCTTTCGGTCTGCCGATCGTTGTCCGTGATGCCGCCCTGAAGATGGTCGCACCTGGACCCGAAAGTGGCATTAACCGTGAATACTATGCGCAAAATCACGAAAAGGAAATCGAAGAAGGAATTGGCGCAGTCGAGGAATACGAGAAGACGGACGACAAGGCCCGCGAGTTGCTGCGCCGCTTGGCAAACAGTGAACCGTACTATCGCAAACCTCGTCGCATCGAGGGTGCATCTGAAGGCGACGCCGAGGGCAAGGAATCTAGCTCGGCAGACCAACCCCGCACAAACAGCCGGTACGGAAATGCGCCAGGCCCCATTCGCACAGGTGACAGCCGACTGGGTAACCGCTTGCCTGGCCGGGGAGGTCGTGGTGGTGGCCGTGGTGGTCGCCCGTTCCCCAGCACGGCACAGCTCCCTCCGTCGGCCGAAGACATCAATCCGCCCATGGACCCCAATGTTACGTCACTGTTTTTGACTGGTGTGGAGGACGACCTTCCGGAACATTCGCTGCGGACATTCTTCTCGAAGTTCGGCACTCTTCGCTCGCTTGTCTGCTCTCACCGTTCGCATTGCGCCTTTGTCAACTATATGAGCCGTGCCGACGCCGAGTCCGCAGCCAAGGAGTGCCAAGGCAAGGCGATTGTTCAAGGCTGTCCGTTACGGGTGCGCTGGGGTAAACCCAAGGCGCTTGATAACATGGACCGTGAGGAACGGATGAAGAATGCTCGCGAAGGTCGGCAGGCTGCGGGGCCGGTCCAGCGTGGTCAGTCCGATAAAAAGGCTATCACCGCTGCTGGTGATGCAGACAAGGAAGCACCAGCCAAGGGCTTTGCTGTGGCACCACCCCCAGGTTCTGGATCCGTCCAGTATGCCAGTATGAATGGAGATTAAAAGGCATCATATAATTGAACATTGTGTAATATCACGAGGAAAGGATGGGTTGTGCATGTCGTGGGTTCATACAAAGCGGGCGTTGAATATGGATTGGTTCTTGTTTCTATGCAGCTTCTATCACAATCAAAAATACCCCAGTGACGCCAAATAAAAAAACAAGAGTCGGGTATACTATAATACATCCAGTCTCATTGGCTGGTTCGAATTTGTACCTCCACCGATTGTATGCTGCCTAGGTGGCACTGCATGGTCATGGAGTCGGTGTAGCATGCAATATCAAGATGTTGAACGTAGCTTACGAAGACGACGAGCAAGCCTTGTGAATCTTAACGTCCTTGCCGGCAACCTTAATGGAGTCATTGTCGCCGCGCTCGATCTGGTCGTGGATTCGAAGTTCTGTACATACTATTAGCAATCCATTCTCAACGCTGGAACAACCTGCTTCAATGCAAATCCATCCTAGGCAAAGCAATCGTACATACCCCACTTGGCATCCTCGTTACCATTCTCCCGAGCACCCTGCACTAGGTTGTGGCGTAAAATGTTCGCAACCTCGATGGCGTGGTTGATCTGCATACCGGTGTCAACAGCGACACGGCGGTTTTGTTCGAAGTTGCGACGGGCTTCTTGACGAGAGGCAAGCATGACTCGGACGTCGTCTAGTTGTACAGTTAATATGTTGAATCGCGAGACGAGCAGCCGTCGGCTTGCTTGAGATAATCTTTATGAGACTGGGGCACGAACCTCGGAAGGCAACACGGGTGGCACGAAGGACCTGGCGGTAGGCGCTCAGGGCGGCAGTAGACGGAGCAGCCATATTGTCTGGGGTAAAGAGTCGGGTGTTTGGATAGGAAAGCCGGGGTGATGCCGTGTTATTGTTGGTGTTTGTTGACCAACAGAGGTGAGACAGGGGTCCGATGTATATAGTCAATTTCGAATAGTGAATAGGAGCAGTTGAATTGACCCAGATTAAAGCAGAGGCAAATGAGTGATCACAATGAAGTCGCAAGGAATCACGACCGGGTCATCCGAACTGTGATTGGCGGGCGGCCATTCGGGGCAGAAAAAAATATCAGAAAAACCTAAGTGGGACTTCCCTCACCCACCTTGTTCCTTTAACAACCACATTCACAATGGCTGCCGTTCAAGTTGTCAACGTTCAGCTTCCTGCTCTGCCTTCGGGCTGGAGCGCCGAGAAGGATTTCAAGCCTGTCGGTGCTCTCTCCGGTGCTACCCAGCGTAACCTGGAGCCCGTTGGCCCTCACTTCCTTGCCCACGCCCGCCGTGTAAGTTATTCAAGATGCCCCGCAACCATATAAATCATCACCGCTAATAAATTCTATAGAAGCGTCACAACCGTACTTTCTCCGAGGATGATCGTCTCCAGGCTCAGCAGAACGTCAAGAAGACCGAGGAGGAGTCTGATGGTGAAATCTCCGAGGATGAGGACCCCATGATGCTCAACCGTGAGGCCAAGGACTGGAAGGTCAGTGCTTTTCTGTCAAAATTTTCACTATTTTCAAACTAACTCCCTTAAAGTCCCAGGATCACTACGCCGTTCTCGGTCTCTCCCGCTACCGCTGGCGGGCAACCCCCGAGCAGATCAAGCGTGCTCACCGCAAGAAGGTTCTGCGTCACCACCCCGACAAGAAGGCTGCTTCTGGCCACCGCGACGAGAACGACAGCTTCTTCAAGTGCATTCAGATCGCCACTGAGCTGCTGCTTGACCCCGCTCGTCGTCGCCAGTTCGACTCCGTCGATGAGGCCGCCGATGTTGAGCCCCCTACCAAGAAGCAGGCTTCCGCTAAGGGCAAGTTCTACAAGGCCTGGGGCCCTTGCTTCGAGGCTGAGGGTCGTTTCTCCATTAAGCAGCCCGTTCCTCAGTTCGGTAACGAGGATAGCACTCAGGAAGAGGTTGAGAACTTCTACAACTTCTGGTACAACTTCGACAGCTGGCGTACATTCGAGTACCTTGATGAGGATGTTCCCGATGATGGAGAGAGCCGTGACCAGAAGCGTCACACCGAGAAGAAGAACGCCAATGCCCGCCGCAAGCGCAAGAACGAGGACGTCGCCCGTCTGCGTGAGCTTGTTGACGAGGCCCTCGCCCAGGATGAGCGTATCAAGAAGTTCCGCCAGCAGGCCCGTGCCGGCAAGGACGCTAAGCGCAAGGCCAAGGAGGAGGAGGCTCAACGCCTGAAGGACGAGAAGGAGGCCAAGAAGGCTGCTGAGGAGAAGGCCAAGAAGGACGCCGAGGAAGCCGCCAAGGCCGAGCGTGAGAAGAACAAGAAGAACAAGGAGGCCGCTAAGAACGCTGCCAAGAAGAACAAGCGTGTTCTCAAGGGTTCCGTCAAGGAGGTCAACTACTTCGCTGACGGCGAGGCTTCCGCTTCCCAGGTCGACTCCGTCCTTAACGACGTTGAGCTCATCATGGGCAAGATCGATGTTGATGAGCTCGCTGCTCTCGCTGAGAAGCTCACCATCGCTGGCAAGGATGGTGCTGCCGTCAAGGCTGCCTACGTCTCCGAGGCTCAGCGTCTTGTTGATGCCGGCAAGCTGAAGGCCGGTGAGGTCAAGGTTTTCGCTTAGATCTCTCGTCCACCTTTCCAACTGGACCATGCACTAAATCTGGATGAGGCTGCTTCATGTCCCTGATGACGACTTTTGTTTAATTTAGCAGTTACTCATGCCTATAGAGAAGACGATGCAACGCATTAAAACATATAGTTACCTTTTTATCGTATATACGCAAGTTTCTCCGTTTTGTAGCTTTCCAGTAATCACTACACACATAGCTCGCGCACTCTAAGAAGCAGATTGAGACAGTGGAATAGCCAGAGCAACATGTAATGGCTTCCCACCCATGGAACCAGAAAAGGTGGATGTGCACAAAAGCATTCCTAAGCCCTATTTTTATTTAAATCTCCTCAAAAGCCCGAACAATAAAGGCTTTGCCATCAATAGTAACAGTCTCCCCAGGGACCCTCCAAGAACCCTCTCCTTCCCCAGCAAATCCACTCTTCATCGAAGGCACAGCGCCCCCGTCAGGCCCCACCAGATACTTATCCTCCCAAGAACCCGAGCTCCACTCCTCCCTCCGCGCACTAACCTCAGCGCCGGCCCTTTTAACAGTCCACTCTCCACTCACACCCTTCTCCCGGGTGTGAGTCTGAACCTGACGGAAAGCCAAATAAGTTCCCCAAATCCGACCCATGAACATCTTAGTAATGGTAACCTCATTTCCCTCCCCGAAATCCAAATCCCGATCATCGGACTCCAGAATCCATGAAAGCCCCTTCTTGGGACCCTCGGGACCCTCCCGGAAAGCCAGTTCACGCCAGACTTCCTCAAAACCTGTCATCGGTGAACCGGGAAGGTCGGTCCGAGGCATCTCGCCACATTCGAGATCATCGCCGTTGGGGAGCGGGCTGAAGTTGCCCACGTCCACAATTCCGATCTCATTGAATGAATCCAGTTCACGGGTGAAGAGTACTTTCACTGTTTATTCATTAGCAAATTTGTCTAGTTATATTCCAATCAATTGGAATTTGTAGATTAGACCACGAACGCGGGATCTCGTTGGGATTCTCCTCGATTCTGGTTCCGGCCATTGCCCAGTCAATTGCTCCTGACGCTTTATCCATGCGCAGGTCGACGAAGTATTCTCCCACCGAGAGGACGACTGTATCTGTGGTCTCCTCCGGGACCTCAGGAACCCAGCGGAGTGAGATGCGGGTAGTAAAGCTGCTCTTAGAGCCTAGCATGGCACCGGTGGCGGTCATTTTTCTGTGGTGTGGAAGCCGTTCAGAAAGCGTTATAGGAGATACAATTGACGGAGACACTGGAGATTCCTTATGTTAAGACTTGAGTAGAAGTAGGGTTGGTGGGATCGGCGACGTCGACGAATGGGGAAGCTGGAAGAGATGGGGAGTGGGGCTTATCGTGGGATGTTTTTGTGGGAGTCGCTGGCCTGATCGCTTGTGCGCACATTGGTGGGGTAACCGATTAGATATGAAGTTTAAGTTGTTTTTGTTTCAATTGATTGAGTGTTATGAAGCAGTAGCTAATGGTCTATAGACAATCTCCAATCAAAGATAATTGGCATGTTGAAAAATTTCAACAAGGTTTTCAGGACCCAAATTAACCCGACTTGTAGCGATCCAAGTCATGAAGATTTTCGAAAATTGTACAGCTTCCAAAATCCCACGATTACTTGTATGTGCAAGTGCTAAGACGCGAGCTTAGCCCTACCTACTGAGTTCTGATTTGTCGATTGAATCATGTATGGCTAGTTGTAAGCACTAACGCAAAACAGGGACGCTAGAAAGTGGTAAAGAGTTAACCCACACAGAGACACATAACGTGGGAAATTGGCACCATGTAGTTGCTGACAAGATACAAGGCTAAAACTTCACTTAGATATTTTCCCCCTCAATCACTGGGTCCACTGTTCGATGATCTCTGGTTATGAAGCACTTCCGAGAGGGTCCTTTGGCAATTTGCATATGCATGATGCAAGAAAGGCTTAGTACGCATTTTAGACTCTGATATAGCGCCCTATCTAGAACCTTGATAGGCAATTGCAGATATTCATGGTTTGTTTGATACCAGGGTTTCCAGGCTTTAACATGCAGTTGGATGTAAACTCTTGACTCTAATGTTTTTTCTGTTTCCAACTCATTCAAGTTCAAGATGAATTATATATCGCGAGTCATTTCTCCCCTGCGTGACAAGCAGAGTTTGGGGCATGGGAAAGCTAGACCAGGAGACGACCTCGTGCTGATATCAAGCCCATTCTTCTTTTTCTTTTCGATCAAACTACCCACCCCTTGTATACGGCGGATATTGATGACAGAGATCTCGAGGGAGATGCTTCAAAGCTTCACCTTGAAGCCCTTTCTGATCCCTCAGAAATACACTGATCATGATCATAAAGGTCCAGATCACGCCAACAAAATAGCTGATTGGATGACGCTATCACTTATCGCGGTTGCGACGGCGAGCCTGAGTATGGGAAAACTTATTCACCTCTTCGTGAAGAGTGCTTAAGATTTTCCTTCAAACTAAAATACAGTCTCTAGCTTACCAGCCGATCTCATGGATATTTTTGATTACAGATCGGCCTTCAATGCAGGTGGGAGAGGTCATATAGAACAGAAGGAAGGACTTGAGGTCAAAAACTGGTCATTCTGCTTACAATTTGTGTTGAAAGCTATGTCTGCAAATACTCAGCGAACCTCGAGTACCTTTCCGATATAATGAGCTTCGAAAGTTCGATCTGTCGAGATGGATCATGCACTCGAATCTTTCAGGTTGGATTCTTATCTTCCATCAGTAAGAATACCCATGAAATACGGTACAGTGAGTTGGACTTCCCTAGATAAAGAGATAACGGGATGTTACCGAAACGTGGTAATGACGAAGATAAATAAAGTTTACCCCACAGCCTTGTTTCTTATCGCCCTTTCCCGTTTTCTCCTTCCTCCAACACACCAATGCCGCCCGATCGACAACGCGCTACACGCATAGTCCGCGTCCGAACCGGATGCTGGTCCTGTAGGCGGCGAAAGAAGAAATGCGATGAAGTCCGACCGATGTGCGGGGGCTGCAGGCGAAATGATCTTAGTTGCCAGTGGCCCACCGCTAATGGGAAGAATTCCGACCCGGCTAGCCACGTGTCGAGGATCAGCGAAGAGCGGTGTTCAAGCCCCTTGAGGGTTATTGAAGAATATAAAATGACCAAGTCTCCCAGTCCTGCATCTTCGCATCGTCAATCTTCTGTTTCGTCGAGTGGTGGCTTATCGGGAATTCTTGGAGAGGCTGATCATGCGACCCACGAGATAACGGATCGCCGGGATTCGAATACGACCAACATTTCGGAAATTTCGGATATCAGCAGGACTGATAATGCCCTTATACCGAATATGGCTGTTGGAAATGTCATGCCGAGGACGATGTCGATGCTTCCTGGCTATGACCCGGAATCGTATACATTGCTGAGCCATTACCTCAGCACTACGGCTGACTGCATGGCAAACGGAACAACCCCCATCAACCCTTTCTTGGTTCAGATTGTTCCATTGGCATTCACGAGCGACTTGTTATTACAGCTTGTGCTAGCCCAGAGCGCTGCGCACCGGGCATTCCGACGCCGAGATGAGTCTGATGCTGTTGCTCAGTCTCACTATACTAAAGCCATCCAGCTGTTCCGACATGGCGTGGGTGAATTCATCGAGGGAAAGGAGTCAAATCCTTTAATGCTACTTGTCGGGGCGCTTCTTATGTGTTTTACAGAGGTACTGCAGACCAACCGCTTATCTTCGACTATGGCTAATACTCGCGACAGACCGCGAAGGGGGACATGACAGGAACTATCTTCGACCATTTGACCGCAGCGAACTCTCTCCTGGTGAAGCTTCTCGAACAGAGCGACACTGCAGTTCCCCGAGAGCTGAAAGACTTCGTGATCGAATACTACGTCTACACCGCATCTGTCAGCATGATCTCGGTCGATGCGCGACTAAGCAGACAACTCTTCCTAAATTTCGATTTGGAGCAACGGGCTCGCGAACTATTGACCCTTCGATATGTCGGAAATTTGTGCGGTTGCTGGTTGGAGCTACTACTGTTAATCCCCGTCATTTTCGATCTCGGCCGGCAATGGATGATGGAAGACCAGGTTAGCATGCCGACCGCAGACGACATGGCCATGTTCGCTTCAATACAAGCCCAGATCCTACGATGGGCTCCTTTCCCATTCGTTGAACCAGAAGTCTTCATGGCAGGCTTGATCTTTCAGCAAGCCATGTTGATTTACCTATACACGTCTTTGGGGGGTTACAAGTACACGCGTGATGGGATGTACAGAGGACTTATTCAAACCGCAGTGACTGAGGCAATGTCTTACTTGGATCAATTATCGCCCAAGGCACGCATAAATTCTGGGATGTGTTGGCCTATTGCCGTTGTCGGCTCTTGTCTGGAGACCCCCGAGCAGAAGGAATGCTTCGGAAGCCGCCTCGTTGTGATGTCGAACCATTTTGGTCTTGGAAATATGCATCGCACACACCAATTGCTTGAGGCGATGTGGGAACTACCGCCATCAGAGGCAGGGCCTTGGAATATTTGCCGGTCCATGCAACAGAAACAAATTTGGATATCATTCGCTTGAGTCAAAATGACACCCAAAGTGTTCAAGATACCAAATCCACACTTTCTAAGTGTGGAGTCGTGCACCTAAAATTGTCTCTCCCAGGGACAATTAGACTCTAAGGACAACCAGACTATTGAGTCCACGAGCCCTTTTATCACTTCATCAAATGACACGTGAATTGCGTGTTCCTGCTTCTCACAATCTTTGCTCTTCTCATGCTGAATCATGCCAAGATTCTTAACTTACTCAACGATGGAAACACCGAAGTCTTTTCGAAGGCCCCCCAAACAAGAGAGGTTGAGCATGGCGAGGAAACGCAAACCTGAAGCACATCCCCGGATTATTCAAGAAGTTCACCAGAAGTACGAAGATGACTCGAACCCATGAAGCCGTCCGCAGCGTCTGCAATGTTGGACTTCTCCCACCCCGCCCGAGATATACAATATTGGTCGCGTTTACGCTGCAGAAAGGCAATGCCCTGGATCGATTGGCGACCGCGGATGCCTGGTACACGAATACATCAACTGGAAGCGGCATTGTGCTGTCTTTCAAAGTGACAATCCTCCGGTGGAAGAAGGATATTGAACCAATATGCTGCCTGAAGAGGAAAAATCTTTGACATGGACAAAGACGTGAGAGCAGCTTATAGTCGTTTTCCGGTCAAGTATTCTCTTCTGCAAATAGCAAGGCGCATATCAAGGCTGTGTCGGTCCTTCAAGAATTAGTATGCCTCTGAAGAAGGGCGGTTCTATGGTGAATGTTCTTTCACTACTTTAATCATCTTTCATGTGCCAGCTTGCGGAGAGCTTCAAGGGATGGGCACTGACCTGGATAGCCTGATGAGAGAAGATAAGGTTGTTCATGATTAACCGGAGGAGTTGTGCACCATGAGGGGTTACATTACGAAGCGGAGACCCCGACACGTGCCAAAGAAATAAGACTACTCCTCTTCAAAACCAATTGTTACTGTATCCAATCAGTGCCTATTTGACTGATCACTCATTAAACTTAAACGTATGTAGCATGATAAAAGTTGATATCATGGGAATTGATGTTCCGGGCCAATAGGGGACGTGCATATGCAGCGCGCTCCGGGACCGCGGTGTGGGTCCCGGATGAGATAAGCCACGTACTGAACGCTAAACAGGAATCCAGTAAGAACGAAACCATTCGATTTGCAGAAAGCAGGTACCTGCTTATGCTGGATTCTAGATATTATTTCTATAGTTTTGGTTGTCATATTTGTTGAATTCATGCGATCGACTCAACAATAAACTGAATAAATCTCCGCGCAAGGAACTCGCCATCATGCTCCTTCGCCACTCGTTTGCATCCGCTCTCATATAACTCATCATTAAACAATCCACTATCATGTCGAGCTGTCAAGAGTTTAGACATGATGAATTCGTTAAACTCCGGATGAGCTTGAATACTGATCAGCCGTTTCGGCATGTATAAACCCTGAACTCCGCAAGGACCACTGAATCCAAGGTTCACGCAGCCTTCCGGAGTCTCGAAGACGATATCACGGTGCATTTGATGCAGGAACTAGGTGTAATCAGTATCGAGTGATAGTAACAGGGAGCAGGGCATAAAATTCCACATACTAACTTGTCTCTTCCAAACACCTCCTTCCCGGCATCGGTGAGCGTAATCTCATCAACAGAGACCTCCCACCCCTCACCACGTCCTACACGAGCACCCAGCGCCCGAGCAAGGATCTGATGACCGAAACATACACCGACAACAGGCTTCTTGTGTGCCTGCACGACATCCCTGACGTATTCCGTCAACGTAAGGATCCAGATATCATCAGCAAAAGCATCATGTTCTGGAATGTATTAGTAAGACGGACCAAGTCGGCGACAGGAGGAGGAAAGTAACATACTGCTTCCACTGAGAAGGAAAGCATCCACTTCATTAGGATTCGGATAGATCGGATTCCCCACAACATTCCACTTGCTGATTTCCATGTTCACTGTAGACCCCGCAGCGTTCGTGAGGAGTCGTTCGAAGATCGCTCCATAGTTGCCGAACTTGTCCACGACGGGTTGGATGGGTGTGTCGCACTCGAGGACGGCGATGCGAAGGGGTCGAGACATTTTGTGGGTTTCTTTGATGGTTATTGAGAGAAGATTGTTGCAGACTTAGGATTGGAATTGTTCTGGTCGTTGTTTTAAGGTGGTTGTTCCGATGTCGTGGTTTGGATTTCGTGGGAGCGCTTAGCCCCACTTGCGCGGTCCGCTGTGATAACGAAGGTTCCCATTTGCCGACGATAACGATAAGTGTGTTCACCCGATGATAATGATGTTCTGGGAATCATAGTTGGTATGTGACTTAAAACCTTTATCGTCTTGCTTCGATTATAGTGGGGGCGGCTAGAAATCCTGCACATTATGCACCTGAGCGGAGACGTTGTGCAATATGCTCGGGACTTTGCCCCCAGAATTAATAGGATTATACGTCAGGACAAGCACTTAATACCATATACGCTATTTTTCAAGGCACATCCACCTAAAATTCCCGTATGCCAGCAGCTTATCGGCGCCAGTGAACGGAGCGGTAGAACGCTCTTCTTTTCGCTAGAATGGGCTCAATGGTAGCAGCCTCCCGATGAACATCTCTTTTCATTTCTCTTTAACATATTGATGGGATGAAATTCATTACAGTAGATTGTACTCATTCCTACCAGCACCTTACCGCCATTAGGGATAGGAAATGAAGAGTTGAAATGTCCAGACAATACGTCATGCATGATGTGGTGCGAACAAGCAAATCGTATTTTCAGACATCGCTATACTGCCTTCCTGCCAGCAGGACAAACACCAATAATTTCCGTGATGCGCTGCCCCAGAGAACATTGGTTGAGAAACAGAATTGCAACACACAGAAAAGAAACTACCTCACAGCTGCACCACTCAAAAGACACGACGCGCCCTTTCCGCATGCAATTCCCAGTAAAGGGTCTTGTCTCCCTCAGAAAGCTCACAAAAGACATTGAAAGCCTGGGCCTTGATTGACTTTTCCACCTCGTGAACGGTGTTCCGACGCATAACGAGCTTTGGTAAGCCGCCACCACCGGGGTGACGGGATATCTCCTGCTCAATGTCGTCCCGCTTCTTCTTTTCAGCCTCGAGAGCATCTTCCAGGCCGATCACCTCCCACAGCGCATCGGAGAGCTTGTTGGTTGCCTTGGAGGCGATATCTCGATTTCTCAATCCCTCCAATGCTAATACCTTCAAGGTTATAGCATTGGTGGACTCCCGCGGCGGGGTTGTTGGAGGCGTCACTATATTAAAATGAGTATTTTCGTTTGAGATGAAAGGCGCGGACTTGAGTGACGTACTCTTGCGCTTGTGGCGAAGCTCATAATGATGCAGTTGCGATCAGAGTAACAGAGATGGAATGGCCATTCATTGTGACTTCATTTACCCCTATATAGCTCCCTAGATATACTTCACTTCTCTCTCAGTTAATGTTCTATTGTATTGAAGGTTAATGTTCACTATAAGCAGGTTTAGGCAAGGGCGCTAGATTGTATCAAAAGTAGTATTTTTAGGCAACGAGAGCCCTTGTGGTACGGAAATGTCTCTACCCTATAGGCTGCCAGCCCTGGAGTCAAAGCTAGAACTTATTACTACGCGTAGTGCAACAAAAGCGTAATAATAATATGTATAGGGATTCAAATTTTTGGGTATCGAAAGTAAAAAATCATAAGTAATCCAACCGAGTCTAACAAGCCACTGAGGCTTCTATCCGTCCAATTAATATCTCCTAGTCGTCAACATGGTATGTAGAAGCCCAACAGCCTCACTACCTCCAGGCAGTAGCTTAAGGCAGAAGCTGGCCCTTAGCGGTTGCGAGACAGGAAAGACGCAATAAGGACAGCCACGGTAGCAATGCACGCAAGGAACATGAATGCGCAGTCAGCTTCAGCGCGCTTGCACCGGGACTTGATTGTAGACCACCCGTCGGAGCCCAAACTTCCGTCGCGACAAACTTTATCATTCCCCTTGCCCTTACATCCACCACTGATCAAAGGGTTGTCCCAAGTCGTGCCGTTGTCCGGGTGGGAGCAGTCGGCGCCCTTAAGAGCCACGGCATAAACCTGCAGTGCGTTAGTGTTATTTCAGATTGGGATTGATGGATATAAACTTACAATACCGGCTGCCAAGAGAGCAACAGCTGCTACTCCATCCAGCACCCAGATGATAATACCGCTCAAGCTGTCAACGAATAGAGCGACTATACCGACGAGCGCAACGAGAACACCGAGGGCTCCTGTGAAAGCTGCGTAGCCAGTCTGGGATGGCACACTGCCATAGTATTGTTGTCTGGCGAGGGTGATAGAAAGACCGAGGACAATGACGCTGAAGACGAGCTGGGGGCTGTTAGTTTGGTTTCATCTTCAAGGGGAGTAAGCACAACTCACCTGGAAGCCACGAGCAATAGATGTACCGAGCTTCATATTGAAGGTAGTAAATTTTTAAATGGTTTCAAAAAGGTGTGATGTAGAGGTACTGAGGGGAGAAAAAACCAAACACAAGAGCAGGGGCTGACAAGCTTTTTATCACTGACGACCTACTAGAAAGCGGTCTCAAAATTTTGCTGTTACCGAGTCAATTGTTGCCCGATCATGCTAGAGCCGCACTAATGAGCAGGGATAGCGGGATGGCACTAAATTAGCACGAAACGGGCTCCATTCTGGGGCCAATTGGGGCCAAAAGCTATGCACTTGTCTACTAGTTCGGAAAATTTCTTCGCTGATCCACTTAGAGTTATGGTATGGAAGAGCACTCCTGCATCATCTCGTGCCAGCGCATGCATGTTAAAGTTTTGTCTACTCCTGTATTTTCGGGTGAAGTTCAGGTGTCGGAGCCTTGTGCTTGAGCCGCACCCGTGTGATCTTCATTCAAGTCTGTTTACCAACCTCGGAACCAAGTCGCAACGCACTCCGTATCTTCTCAAAATTTATCAAATTGCGAAGTCCATCCTGGTAAAAGTATTTTTTGGTCTCTTTCTTTTTTTTGTGGAAATGTATGAATATAGACAGCTTTAAGGGTCTGAGTCAGGGAAGCCAAGCACAGCCCAGGGGCCGAAGCGCCCCGCAATCGCACCCGAAACGCTTGGCGCCAGTGTGCGATGTTTCCAATGGGAAAATGCTCCGGCGATCCAACTTTTGTCCAATCGTGCATTTCGACTATTAATAGAGGTGATTGCTCACTTCGATCTTCATCAGATTCATTCCTTTGCGACCGTGCGTATTTCGTTTTGCGAGCCGCAAGACTGACCGCTATTGCTACTTCTACACGTGAAGGGGCTAAAATTAGAAAATTTGCTATGCAACAATTTGACTCATTGAGTCGTTACGGCTTGTTTACCTAATTTCTACAAGTCCTTGACCACGACATGCAAAAAAATCAATAGTCTGCTTGGTCTTGTCACTGGCGCTCTAACTTCTGTATTACTCAATCTTGATTGGTTTAGTAAAGGGGAAAGGAAATGAGGTGGATACCGACCTAAGCACTGTATCGGAAGAAGACCGGATTATTGTATTTTGCGGCCGATGTTTGTAAAGCTGAGTGTATAGAGCGACTTGGTCGGCGCTAAGGCCCACGGCTGATGGTCACCTGAGAGAGAGGGGTTTTGGGTATCTCTACCCATGCACCTGCTGGGACACTCGTCCTGCCCGAGTAAGCCTCACTGTGTGCCTTCTCCAATAATCATGAATTCATCATCTTTTGATGGCACAAACTCGGGGACTCAAGTGGGGACCAATCAAGGAGTGATCAATATCTTATCGGGTTCGTGTTATGGAGCCTTACTAAAGCCGAATCATGATTATTGACAACCCTTTTAGGCCAAGACCGAGGAGAAACCCCACAACAAAGGACAGACCATGGTTCGCATCGCCTCGTATTAGCCAATGAGGGTATCACTGACTATATAGGCAGAGGTGCTTCGTTCACTGGCATTCCCGCAAATGCTAGATCGGAGGGACAATATTGAGCCGTGTCATACGAACACCTGCCATTGGATTCTGGAGCTGGAAAAGTACAAGTCCTGGAGGAGCCAGTCCTGCGGTCTGCTGTGGATTAAGGGCAAACCGGGAGCGGGGAAATCAACATTGATGGCTTTCCTCCACGATAGACTGAAGACGTTGCGAGACGAAAGTCAGGGCATTCGGCTCGACTTTTTTTTTACCGCTCGGGGCACAGAGATGCAACGCACACCACTAGGGATGTTCAGATCATTGCTGAACCAGATTTTTGAACGCGATACGACCGTGCGCTCTCAGGTGCGCAGGACCTATGAACAACGGTGTAGGCAGTTCGGATTTGGTGAACTTAAATGGGAATGGCCGCGATCGGTGCTAGAAGAGCTACTAACAGGTGCCATCCTGGAATCGGCTATTCGGCAGCCTGTGAATATTTTTGTGGATGCTCTAGATGAGGCTGGGGCTGAGTCTGCTCAGCAGCTAGCAACATACTTTCATCGGCTGATTGATCGCGCGGCAACAAAGAATTCAGCCGTTCAAATTTGCATCTCATGTCGACACTATCCTATCATAGGAAATGCTCAGGCTATAGAGATATGTGTCGAAGATCACAATCATAAAGACATTGCCGCATACATCAATGACACCCTTGCTGACACGGAGCTCGATGATGATCCTAGTCAGGGGAAGAGAGAGTTACTAAGGCAATTATTCCAGCAAGCCAATATGGTGTTCCAATGGGCTCATCTCATGATGCCTCTAGTCAAAAGGAAGATGCTAGAAGGAGAGTCGTTCGATGACATTCGTCGCTGGCTACGCGAAATCCCAACCGGATTAGAAGACGTCTATACCTACATTTTGAGCAAAGTGATAGAGGTCGCCAACCGGGAGCAATCATTTCTACTGTTTCAATGGATATGCCTCGCCGAACGACCCCTTACTGTGACAGAAATGCGGTATGCCTTGACGGCTAGTAATGCTAGAGTTATCACTGGCGCCCCAAGAAGATTGGAGAATTTCGACGGTTTTGTTGAAAGCAACGAACGCATGAAGCGAAGAATCAAGACCCTCTCGGGTGGACTGACTGAGGTAGTCCTGAATGGACAATCAGATGAGACCGTACAGGTGGTACACCAGTCGGTCAACGATTTCTTGCGCGCCAAAGGACTACGGCTTTTACACCCTCATCTTCCCGGTACCACGTCATTGACGGACGGCGACAAGATTCTTTTTCAATGCCAGGCAACTCTATACCGATCATGCATGGTTTATTTAGCAACAGCAGACTTGCCACAAATGGTTCAAACCGGTCGTTCAAAGAGGAAAAAGAAAATAATCCGGAACCTCCCATTCCTTGAATACGCCACTGTCAACCTCTTCATACATGCAGAAAAAGCCGCTGGCTCTCGAGCGGATGCAGTGCAGAACGAATTAGTTATGCTACAGCGAGTGATACGTGGATGGATTCAGAGTTACCACGTCGTGGCTCGATATGACATAGCATGTCCAGCTTTTAACGGCACGACTCTCTTACATATCGCTGCAGCTACCAATCTCGTTGATCTCATAGACTCCATGTTATCCAACGGTGAATCCAACGGTGAAGATTTATCGAGAGAAGACGAGAATGGAAGGACGGCATTTCATTTAGCAGCACGGTGGGGTCATATACCAGCGGGCAAAATACTCCTGGAGAAAGGAGCAGACTGCGAGGCCAGATACGGAAATGGCATAACCCCGTTAGTCGAGGCGGCAAGCCGTGGTAATGTGCGATTCCTTGAGTGGCTTCTGCATGAGGGAGCGAGCCTCGAAAGCACAATGAATAAAGCGGCAGGCGCCCTGCAAGTAGCTGCGGTGAGAGGTCAGCAGAGCGTGGTCAAATTGTTGATTGGAGCTGGAGCAAAGGTCAATGCAAAAGGTGGTGAATTCGGGAATGCCCTCCAGGCCGCTGCATATGAAGGATCCACTGAAATAGTTCAGATGTTACTTGACGCCCAGGCGGACGTCAATGCTCAGGGTGGTATATATCACAATGCCCTCCAGGCCGCTACATGTGAAGGATCCACTGAAATAGTTCTGATGTTACTTGACGCTCAGGCCGACGTCAATGCTCAGGGCGGTCCATATGGCAATGCACTCCAGGCCGCTGCATATAGAGGATCCACTGAGATAGTGCGAGCTCTACTTGATGCTCAAGCGGACGTCAATGCTCGAGGTGGTGAGTATGGCAATGCACTCCAGGCCGCTGCATATAGAGGATCCACTGAGATAGTGCGAGCTCTACTTGATGCTCAAGCGGACGTCAATGCTCGAGGTGGTGAGTATGGCAGTGCTCTCCAGGCCGCTGCCGCTTCGTCCCAAAAAGAGCCATATATAGTTCAGATGCTACTTGACGCTGAGGCCAACGTTAATGCCCAGGGTGGCAAATATGGCAATGCTCTCCAAGCTGCTGTATATCATAGATCCACTGAGATAGTGCGAATGCTACTTGACGCTCGGGTTGACGTCAATGCCCGCGGTGGACTGTATGGATCAGGGATTTCGGCGGCAATTTACACACACCATCTTGATATGGTCCAGAATCTACTCAACGCTGGCGCAGATGTATCGCTTGCAGATGAACTCGGTCAGACCCCTTTACATGTTGCGTCGTTCATGAATCAGCTCAACATACTCAATCGATTTCCACTGCTTGCCTCGACTGTCAACGTCCGGGATAAGCTATCACGAACCCCTCTCCATTTAGCTGTCCACCTCGGGCACAATGAATTAGCTTTGAGGCTTCTCGATCTTGGTGCCGATCCTAACATCCTGGATGGCTATGGCAGAAACATTTTGGACTGGGCACAAGGAAACCACAGACTGACGCAACAAATCCGCTACCATTTCCCTCAGACAATCCTCACCCCTGCTGAAACACAAAACATGAGTCTCCGTCGATCAGTCTCTCAAACAGCAGGTCTTCTTCTCCATTCTAGACTATACTCTCCAGGGCCTCTTTTGCGGCAACTAGGTCGCTTTCTCTTGTTTCTCGGCGAATCGAGCAATGCGCGCTATCTTTTCCAGCTACATGTGCTCCGGATATCACGTTCTCCGACTGACATATGGGAGATTCAATGTGATATTTGTAGAAACGCCATCTATGGCTCTCACTTTGTGTGCAAAACCTGTGCTCATGTTGACCTTTGCCGGGCCTGTGAGCCTGTATTGCTTCCAAATCAACGGCATCAAACATTCGAAGTGCCTGATGTGTCTGAAGATGAGCTGGAGCCCACTGGAATTTTATCAGAACACTTCCGTTCCCTTTTGAGGGATCTCGTAAGCGAATACTCTGCACCAAACAGCCATACAATGGAGAAGGAATCATCGCATGACTCGGGTTCTTGTCCGCCGCTAAAAAGGACAAGGCTTGTCTGAATAACCATTTTTGACCAAACAATGTTCGGGGCTTCATTGGTTATGTCAGGGTATTGGTACTTTTAGTTTTTATCAGATGCAATTTTCACGTTCACCTTTCTGGCTTACTATGATAGGAGCACGACTGGGTTTATGAAGAGATGACGTACGCTGAGCTATAAGATCTTGTGGTTTTGGAGAAACAAACAGGATCCTGTGGTTTGCTCGACATGAAAAGCTTGTGTTATTGCCTGTCCATCGAAACATCATGGCATGTATTATTTATGCGTACGATGCTGTGATATTATGGCACGATCTCATCATCCGAACATTATTTTAACATTCTAGTGCGACTTGGCATATGCTTAAAAGCGGTGGACCATGCATTCCCTCTAACGAACCTCTATGGGACGCAGCGGAGCTGTCGGGGCTAAGAGTGCCCTGTTCGGGAAGAAACCCGACGAGAAGTGGGTCACTTTGTCGCGGAGGCCATTAACGACGACTTGGTAAATGATAGATACTGAGACAAATAGATATTTGACTTCACGAGACTTGAAAATGAATGGATCCCAGGAGATGAGGTGTTTAATTGTTTGAACGCGCCTGAAGGATAGAAGTGTGGATTTTAGCAGGGGGCAAGTGAGCACTAGAAAGTTAGGCTTGTCTGACTTGACTCATCCCGATGGCAGCTTTGACCTCGCATTTTTGACAGTCTAATCTCCCGCCCCATATTGACTCTACCATAGACAAGAAACATGACTCATTCCTCGTATAGAACCCCTTTTCAACATAACTTTCCTGTCATCGCAATTCAACTTACAGCGTATGGCGACGGTCATTTTACAGAACAAAATGTCTACACCAACCCCATCTCCACTCCAATTCCGCATTCTCCCCGCAACAGAAGATGATTGCCACGAGCTAGCAAAAATAGAAGCAACAGCTCTAGACAACGTCAAGAAAGAACCACAGAATGCCCTTTGGGGAATAACCATCGGTCCACCAACAGAAGAAAGCATAGCCTTCCGCACCAAGAACTTCATCGACACTCTACAGAAAGGATCAACCAAAATCTGGAAAGCAGTTGTACCCGACGAAGCCTCACCAAGCGGCGAAAAAATAGTCGCATGCGCTCTTTGGTGCTTCTATCACCAGCCTGAGAAGATCGCTGATTGGAAGGATACTACCGATTGGCCTTCGACTGCGAATGTGGAGGCTTGTAATGAGCTTATTGGGGAGCTTAATATGTTGAAGAAGAGGCATATGGATGAGAAGTGTTATGGTCGTATGTACTCTACTAGACTTTAGATTGTGTTTGATGACAGATGCTAATCATGGGGTTATAGTTCTGAGAGTGCTTTGCACACTTCCTGAGTATCGAGGTTGTGGTATTGCCTCCGCGCTTATTAGGGTTGGGCTTGATTATGGGGTTCAGGAGGGGCTGAAGCTGTTTTGGCTCCATGGGTCTGCCGATGGGCAGGGTCTTTATAGGAAGTTTGGGTTTGTGGATGTTGAGGCGTTGGAGAGGGATACTGCGAAATATGGGGGTTCTGGGAAGACAAATGTCATGGGTATGAGATTGGTTGTTGAATGAGTGGCTCGCATTACTTAGTAAGATGGACAAGAGAAGGAAAGCATCACGTCAGCCTGTAATAAGAAATAGATGAAATAATTGAGATGAAGATCAACTTGCCAAAATGACTGCTGAAAGGACATGACTAGACAAAGGAACAAATTCATGACATGACATAGCTAGGATCACAGTGTGAGATTAGATAAGAGACTAAGACTTCTCCTGTCCATTACCATCCTCACCATTACCATCCTCACCATTATCATCCTCACCATTACCATCCTCCACATAAGCCTTGTGATCTCCATTTTCAGCCTTAGAAGGTGTCGTAGACTCAGTCTCCGTAGCCGCACCCTCATCATCCCCATTCTCGGTCTTTTCCGGCTTAGCCCGCTGAAGCTTAGGAGGCCGCCTCTCCAAAACCGACTTCCCCTTCGGCCTACCATTTCCATTCTCAGCTCCAGATTCCTCCGCAACAGTCGAAGCAACAGTCGAAGCCCTCCTCGATCGAGCATTCGCCCTCTTGATCATCCGATTATGATAATCCTCCTGCTCGAGCTCCGGATCTTCATGCAGAATACGCCGAGCGGCTTCACGTCCAACAACGGGTAATCTATCGACGCCGTGGACTCCATTTGGCACGAGCTTCGGGTCTAGAAGGCCTGCTTGCACTAGCACGCTTGCTTGGTCCCAGTACACATGCTCTGAGGATAGGCGGCCGCCTCGCAAGCTGACTATACTGACCAGGATGATTTCGATACGCTTTTCCGTTGGTGGGATACCGGGGAGCATCCATGGGATTTCTGAGGTGTGATGGAATGAGATGTAGAGTTCATCTACGATCCTGTCGGCGCCTGTCGTGCGGGATAGAAGACGGATTCGCATAGAGGTGGGTAATTTGCCGAGGAAGTACTGTTCGTAGAAGCGGCGTAGAGCCTGTGTGCCGATTCCTCCGCTTAGTGTCGAGCTATAGGTAACCGCCGGAGTTCGGTGCTTGACGTATGCATCCATTGTATTGTTCAAGTTGGAAGCGAAGAATTTATCTGGATTTGGTTAGTTTTCGTCGCGCATGTAGCTGCAGATTAAGGTGCACATACTCTCCTGGTGCTCCTCCCACCGTTTCTCCAGATCCACATGCCGGGAGAATCCCTTGCGCACGACCTTGATTGTCCGCGTCCAGGCGAGGTCTGCGGCTAAGTGATTGAACTCTTCCATATCGTTCTCTGCGAAGCCTGGTTGTGCGGAATCGTAGGTGAAAGTTGGGTATGCCAATTGAAGGCGTTCGCCTGTTCCAATACCCGGGTTGACTGGTCGTGTCGCGCGACGTTTCTTACCCTGAATTCCAAGTGCAGTCGGGGTGGTCGTAACCTGCACGCTATTACCGGCGAGATGAACCAGGGTCTCTAGTCCGAGGGGGAAACGGCAGCGAGTATCGGGAATGACGGTTGGGTAGTAGGCAACTAGACAGCAGAGCCTGCTGCAGTTCTGTCCCTTCATGTAGTAGTCGAGACAATAGCTGGCGGCTTCTCCGAATGCTATTGACCGTTAGCTTGGCAGTTAAAGTTGTCGTAGTACATGAAGGCTTTACCGATCACTCCATAGTTCTCGCCCACGCCGAGTCCCTCTTTGACACTTCGTAGTCGGGCCTCATAGTCCTTGCCGCCCTCGTTCAGTGGTAAATAGACAACATCATATCCCTCTTCCTGCCAATTCTTGATCGTCTCGAGGTCAAATTCACCGGTCTCGGCCGTAATACAGAGTCGCGCATTGTTGTCGCCATTGTTGTATAAGAGGCCGTTACTCAGGCCGGGTGCGTTGATTGAAATGCTCGCCATGTTGTTTAGTTCGGTCGAAGCTGTGTTTATTTACTGCGATGCGCTTCGCAGGATTCAATATAGCGCGGTCGGTAGCTTAGAGCTTCAAATTTACAAGAATCAAATTGCGCAAATGAAAGCAAAATCAGGAAGAGGTTTCCAGTCTCTGGGCTGTTAATCTGACAAGGAAGCTGAGGTGGTGCGATCAAATGACGGATAACGGCACTACGTCATGGGCGTGTGTCAGATTTGCCACGACGTCATTGTAGACGCAATGCCATGGAACGAGCCAGGACGGATAGATTAATCCCCCAAATTCAGTAATTTTGGGCAATTATCCAGGGGCGAGGCCCGGACAGGATGAAGAGCCACGGTAAGAGATTTGTTCACCTAGTGCAGGTGGCAGATTCGGTGAGAGTGCATATGTATGGTTTCTATGCGAATTCTAGATCTTGAGTTTAAATGTTCAAGATTAGTGCTTGATGCTTATGGACGAGGACTGATAGAGAATTTTTTTGATTAAGATCTTCAAGATATTCGCATTCCATGGTTTTGTCTGGTAATTTTTTTACTGTCAACAAGGATATTCAATGTGTTCTGCACTGTTGGGATGTGGATATGTATCCGTGCATCCATGGATGCGCTTTTCTCCAATGCAAAGCAATTTCGAAGTCACGGGGCCTATGTGCAGAGTCTGCAGCTTCCAAAATTCAAGTTTTCATGATCGAGGATTTTTCCGGAGATTCCGAACATTTGAAGTCCCCAGGTCTTCCCGAGGTCGCGAGAACTTTGGAAGCTTTTGTCCTTTCTAAGACACGGTCGCGGGTGAACTCCACTACGGCTTCCCACGTCATCTGTCAATGGAATTTTGCGACCGTGGAACTCTCGTGTAGCAACATTTCTATTAGAACTCAAAATAATGCAAGTCTCATTGGCCCAAGTTTAAACTTTCTACGGTATCTGAGTAGCTTGCCACTAACCTCTAACCTGACCAATGGATCTTAAGCTTGGACAAACAACCATATATATATGAGGGAAGGGTATAGCTAGCTAGTTTAAGCTTCAGAGCTCTCAGCCACAAAGCACTCTTCACACTGAAATTTGAAAAAGAAAATGGAATATTAATCGAATAATAAAAAGACAAATAACTTGACTGAAGACACCGAGGTAACTTTGAACGGGTCAGAGCTTCCTAGAACGGATCAGAAACTTCCACAGCAGGTCCACAACTTCCCCTCACATAAACCTCTTCACAACCTCGACACCTGTTCAACACAGAAATGTCCTTGGTTCAACACGTATCTGCCCTTGAGGGCATCGATCGTGAGCCTGAATCAGACGTTGGCGAAGATTTCCCGTCGATCCGTCGGAAAATCAGCTACGATGTTCTTCAACCGCCCACTCAGCCTGTTCCGGTCGTCGAGTCCGCTCCCGGCGTCCCAGCTTATAAGCATTCTGCACCACGAAGATTAGGTATGTTTAGCGCGAGAATCAGGAGGGACGTTAGCTGAAGTGTCTAGCCCAGGTCATATTTACGATTTTCGCGTGTTGGCTCGCGTCGGGAATTGTCTTCGGTTTTGCCGCGTTGAAGCCCGTTCTCGTCGAAGAAGGCGTTTATCATGATCAGTGTACTAAGGAGGAATTGAAGGATGGAGTAGAGTTGTGTAAACAACAGGATCTTAGGTATGTTCTTGTTTTGAGGCGTGTCGCTCCGGCTCTAACTTGCCTAGACTTAATCTGTTCTTCACCGTCGCGTCCATTACTGCCAATGTGTCCGCGCTCCCGGTTGGAACAATCCTCGATCGCTATGGATCACGTGTCTGTGGTTTTATCGGATGCTTTATCATGGCAGCTGGAAGTTTATTCATGGCTTCTTCGTTTCATCGACCGGGTGACGAGGGTCTTCTGCCTGGCAACTTCCTCTTGGCTCTCAGCGGAACTTTCATCTTCGTGCCATCATTTCAAATCGCCAATGCCTTCCCCCGGTATGCGGGTTCGATCGTCGCGTTGATTACCGGAGCATTTGATGCCTCTGCTGCTGTATTTTTGTTCTATCAAATGGCCTATGAGGCATCACGTCGGACCTTCACTCCTGACCAATTCTTCTTGGGATACCTGGTCGTCCCGGCGCTGATCTTCCTGGCCCTGCTTACATTCATGCCAAGTCGCGATTATGTTCCACAATACGAACTGGAAACCAAAATGGAATTGGCGGAGGACGCGACCCTCGACGTGCACTCGTCCGACGATGAAATTGAGAGCGATCGTGAGCTCCGCCGAGTGCGCAGTAAGCGTGCCGAGCGTCGGAAGCAAAAGGCGCGCAAGCTCCATGATATACTTGGCAGTAAAGATGAGATCCAGTCTCGCGCGGAGAGAGAGGAAGACCGCCAGCAGACCAGTCAGGTCTGGGGTGTATTGCATGGATTACCCGCTAGCAAGCAGATGACTACTCCGTGGTTCATCCTGATTACCCTCATGACGATTATACAAATGATCCGGATGAATTACTTCATCGCCACCATTCGAGCACAGTATGAGTACATGCTTGACTCGACTGAAGCAGCCGAGCAGATTAATACCTTCTTCGATGTCGCATTGCCGGTCGGTGGAGTCTTATTCACACCTTTCATTGGCTATTTGCTCGACCGCTTGAGTGTGCCTGCCCTCCTTGGGCTAATCGTGGCTTTCACTACGATCATCGGCGTGCTAAATTCGATACCGACATTATGGGCGGGCTATATGACAGTCGTGCTATTTGTTTTGTTGCGGCCATTGTATTATTCTGCCATGTCGTAAGTACTAATGAGCCTCTCCCCCGAACGCGTCCAGAACGCGTCCAAAACCGGTGCTAACAACCACAGTGACTACGCGACAAAAGTTTTTGGCTTCGCAACCTTCGGTCGTGTCTACGGAACTATCATCTGTCTATCCGGTCTCGCGAATTTCTCCCAGTATGGACTGGATGCCCTGACCCACCACACATTCCATGAAAACCCGATCCCGATCAACGCTTTCTTGACAGTCGCTGGTTTCGTAGTCGGGGTTGGCCTGGTGGGATTCGTCACTGTACAAGGTCACAGATTGAGTGCCCATGGAGAAGGTGATGAAGAAGAAAGGGAGCCATTGCTGGAGGAGGAAGAGGAAGATAGCGATGGATATGGATCTATTGGTGGTAATTAAAAGGCGACAGACCGCCATTTTTTTTTGTTTGCAGTGCTCAGCAATTAGCGACGTGAATAGAAATTGTATGGATGTTATCAAATAGATTATTTTTCGTGCCGAATAGACCCCTTGCATCCTCGTACCCCACCACAGTCACGATCGCGGAGCTGCTTATCACACAGCTCTTATCGGGGCTTGACGTTCACCTGCCGACAGGAACTTGTGTAACATTCATGGATCATGGAGGTCGGTATTTAAGTTCATGATGAGCTTCGGAGCTGTGTTTCTGACTTGAATGATGATTGGAAATGGTGATTGGGGGTGATTGGATGCTGCAGAACTTTTAGTGTCTCGCTATCGCTCCAGTAAGTATTCCGAGGATGAGGAATCCATCTTTGTCTAGAGCTTATCATTTCACTTCCCGCCACATGTCTTGCCTGGATTCCTTGCAATTGACAAGAAGGCCGACCGTGATACAATGTATTAGTAGAGTGTAAATGTCAATCTTTCCGTTGTGTCCCCGCTGTGTAGCTCCGGTATCGAAGCAATCCGGAGAGAAAGCTCCGCAATGTGGAGTCTTTATCGGTCTAGTTTCCCGACGGGAAAAGCACAGAAGAAGACAAAGTGGTTCACAGAAACGGTGGTCGGTCTCGTGATTGGTGAGATAAGGAGCTTATCATGGTTTCCCGATCACGGGATACTGTGGTTCCCCGCCGCCCTCGGTCAATGTAGGGAAAAGGTGTAATGTGGGAAAGGCTTTATGTACATCATAAATTAAATTCCAGCTCTTCTTCTTTTTTCTCTCCTACAAACCTCTCCCCTCATCTCTAACATCCCTGTTACCCCGACGTTGAAGGTGTTGGAGTTGCGCCCGCTTCCACTCCGTACGTCATCACCCCGGTAGCTCTAGCAATGGCGGCGTCTTGGTTTGCTCTTCGCAGCAGCCGTCAGCTGGTGCTGCGGTCGCGTGTGCGAGCTGGCCCTTCCCCAGTTGCACTCCGATCAGCTTCAATTGCACCATTGAACATCCGTCGTGGCCTACACACTCAGCAACCGGCCACCAAGCGCGGTGTCTATACTAGCTCCGTTGCCGCCCATGGCGACCCTCACCCGCAGGACATTTTCCAACCCCTCGATACATTCCCTCGTCGCCACATTGGCCCCTCACCCGATGCCGCAGCAGAGATGCTGGCTGTCCTTGATCCCCCGGCCGAGAGTTTGGATCAATTCGTCAAGCAGGTTCTGCCCGAGGATATCTTGTCCAAGAAGGACCTGAAGATCACCACCCCCCATGCCGATATCAAGCTTCACCGCTCCAGTGTGCAGGGCGGTCTGGGTGAGACCGACATGCTGAAGCTCCTGGATACCTACCGCAAGGATATTGATGTGTCTGGCAAGACCTACATTGGTACCGGTTACTACCCGACCATCGTTCCCCCGGTTATCCTCCGCAATGTCCTCGAGAACCCAGCTTGGTACACCAGCTACACTCCCTACCAGCCTGAGATCAGTCAAGGTCGCCTTGAGTCCCTCTTGAACTTCCAGACTCTCACTGCTGATCTTACTGGCCTGCCCTTCGCCAATGCATCCGTTCTGGACGAGGCTACTGCCGCCGCCGAGGCCATGACCATGTCTTTCGCGACCATGCCCGCTTCCAAGCAGAAGAAGGCCGAGAAGTCTTACGTTGTGTCCCACCTTTGCCACCCCCAGACCATTGCCGTGATGCAGTCGCGTGCCGAAGGATTTGGAATTAACCTTGTCATTGGAGATATCCTTGCCGATGACTTCAAGGTCGTCAAGGAGCAGGGTGACCACCTGATTGGTGTTTTGGCACAGTACCCCGACACTGAGGGTGGTGTCAATGACTTCCAGGCTCTCAGTGACTCCATTCACGGTCAGGGTGGTACTTTCAGCGTTGCCACCGACTTGCTGGCTTTGACCATCCTCAAGGCCCCCGGCGAGTTCGGTGCTGACATTGCTTTCGGTAGCGCCCAGCGATTGGGTGTCCCCATGGGCTTCGGTGGCCCCCACGCCGCTTTCTTCGCCTGTGCTGACAAGTATAAGCGTAAGGTTCCTGGTCGTGTCGTTGGTGTGTCCAAGGACCGTCTAGGAAACCGCGCTCTGCGTCTCGCTCTGCAGACCCGTGAGCAGCACATTCGTCGTGAGAAGGCCACTAGCAACATTTGCACTGCTCAGGCCCTGCTCGCCAACATGACTGCCATGTACACAATCTACCACGGCCCCGTTGGTCTCAAGTCCATTGCTCAGCGTATCATGTCCATGACCTCTCTTCTGCGCCAAAAGCTGGTCTCTCTCGGATACAACGTCCCCATTCGCTCCAACACCGAAGGTGAGGCTTTCTTCGACACCTTGGCCATTGAGCTGGAGAGCGCTTCCGAGGCTGATGCCCTTGTTGCTGCCGCCCGTGACGCGTCTCTATTCCTGCGTCGCCTTGGTGGCAACAAAGTTGGTCTCTCCCTTGACGAGACTGTTGGCCGTGAGGAGGTCAAGGATATCCTCAAGGTCTTCGCTACTCTCAAGTCCGCTGCCCCTGTTGATATCGAGGGTGCCCTTGATATCGCTCCCGTCCCTGCCGCTCTGGAGCGTACCTCGGCCTACTTGACCCACCCTGTCTTCAACAGCCACCACTCCGAGACTGAGATGCTTCGTTACATCCGCCACCTCGAGTCCAAGGATCTGTCTCTGGCCCACTCCATGATTCCTCTGGGATCCTGCACCATGAAGCTCAACGCTACTACCGAGATGATTCCTGTTTCCTGGCCTGAGTTCTCCAACATCCACCCCTTCATGCCCACCGACAAGGCTAAGGGTTACATCCGGATGATCGATGACTTGGAGGCACAGCTCGCCGATATCACCGGTATGGCTGAGGTCACTGTGCAGCCCAACTCTGGCGCACAGGGTGAATTCGCTGGTCTCCGCGTGATCAAGAAGTACCAGGAGGCTCAGGGTGATGCTAAGCGCAATGTTTGCCTGATCCCCGTCTCTGCTCACGGTACCAACCCTGCCAGTGCCGCTATGGCTGGTATGCGTGTTGTCACCATCAAGTGCGACACTAAGACTGGTAACTTGGATCTGGAAGATATGAAGGCCAAGTGCGAGAAGCACAAGGATGACCTCGCTGCCTTCATGATCACCTACCCCAGCACCTTTGGTGTCTTTGAGCCCGGTGCCAAGGAGGCTTGCCGCTTGGTTCACGAGCACGGTGGTCAGGTTTACATGGACGGAGCCAACATGAATGCTCAAATCGGCCTGTGCTCCCCCGGTGAGATCGGTGCCGACGTCTGCCACTTGAACCTCCACAAGACCTTCTGTATCCCCCACGGCGGTGGTGGTCCCGGTGTCGGTCCCATCGGTGTCGCCGCACACCTGGCTCCCTTCTTGCCTTCGCACCCCACCAGCGACTACCTTCAGGCCAAGCGTGGCGACAAGGCCTCTCCTCCCATCAGTGCCGCCCCCTGGGGTAGCGCCAGCATTCTTCCCATCACCTTCAACTACATCAACATGATGGGTGACCGTGGCCTCACCCATGCTACCAAGATCACCATCCTCAACGCCAACTACATCATGTCCCAGCTCAAGCCCCACTACCCCATCCTTTACACCAACGAGCACGGCCGCTGCGCCCACGAGTTCATCCTCGATGTGCGCGGCTTCAAGGAGACCTGCGGTATCGAGGCTATCGATATCGCCAAGCGTCTCCAGGACTACGGCTTCCACGCCCCTACCATGTCCTGGCCCGTCGCCAACACCCTCATGATCGAGCCCACTGAGTCCGAGAGCAAGGAGGAGCTTGACCGCTTCATCAATGCTCTGATCTCCATCCGTGCCGAGATCGCCGAGGTCGAGAGCGGCAAGCAGCCCCGCGAGGGCAACGTTCTGAAGAACTCCCCCCACACCCAGCGTGACCTCCTCACAACCGAGTGGGACCGCCCCTACACTCGTGAGCAGGCCGCTTACCCTCAATCCTGGTTGTTGGAGAAGAAGTTCTGGCCCTCTGTGACTCGTGTTGATGATGGTAAGCATTTTTAACCTTTTCTTCTATATAACAATGCTAATTATTTCACAGCTTTCGGTGACCAGAATCTGTTCTGCACTTGCGGCCCCGTCGATGAGACCGAATAGATTATATGATACCCCTGCGCTTATGCGCATTTGCGCGCGAGTTCTTTAACGACTCCGCGGTTACTTTCTGTGTATACATTCAACATTTTTTTGTACTGATGATGATGATTTTCTTTATTTGGTTTAGCCTAGATTTGACAATTGAACAAAATAATTATGATTCACTTCTTACAATCTTGTAGGGATATCGCGTGACCGCCAGAGTAACTCAATATGCGCGTGAAAAGTTAAAGAGAGAGCCATGGTGCTACATTACTATGTGAATATCAGTGACCGGAGCGCGACCATTGGACATCACGGTCCAGGTACTAGGTAAAGCGTAGTATTCGAATATCGGAGTAATTTTATCGAGTACATACTCTGGTGGTTCTCACTGATCCGTAGACTAATCTGGAATTTGAAGTCGATTCAGGAGTGATGCTCACTAAGCCGGCGCCTTTACCCAGTGTTGAAATGTTAGTGTATCTGGGTCTGGCTCCAACGAAGCTTTATCTTGCATTCTGATTTGAATCACTGAGAGCTGGTTTGGTCTTTAGTACTTGAGATAGCATTTTGTCTGAAATAAAGTCTCAACGCTGTGCTTAATGCGATTTGTGAAGTGTCGAACTAAAATTCGTGGGGTTTCAATTCAAGTCACCCTATCGACCAAATGTCCCTGTCCACTCTGGGTTCACTGTTCCAGATGAATCAAAAACCACTCCATAATGAAATATACTGGCGAGGAACGTAAGTAACGTAAGAAAAACGGCTTGTGAACCTTGGAATGAGTCGACTCGGAAGACCCGTCGTTGAAAAACCTTTGGAATAAACAAGGGCAAGGTATTTGCTACTTCCCAAAGCAAGACACAGAAACTAAAGCTCAGGCAGATCCGCAGCCATATCGGACTCCACATGCCAAAGATCAATCCAATCACGTAGGGGGTAAAGAGGAAGAATGAAATTAGCCCGAAGCATCCCAAAGAGTAGATTCGTTGCTTCGAGGAGATCATCCTTTGTAGTGGATGTGATCTTCCATCGATATGTCGCGTATGCGATATCACCCTCAGGAAGAGGTCTCGTACTAGAAAGTACAGAGGAAAATAGAGAATCAAATTAAACGTAACTGCGCAAGCGAAAACAAAAGCAATGAGTGCAATTCCGGGGCTTTCGAACGAATCCCCAAGCCAGTCGTAAAGCCAAGCTTGTAATGCGAGCAAGGCCGCATAGCAAAGCGTAAAATGTAGAGATATCGGAATGAATGCGATACGATCCAAAGCATCGGAAATCTTGTAACTGCGCCACGGAGGAAATGTATTTTCCGAGCTGTTGTCGAGGCTGAGAACCCGCACCAGCAGTATGAGAATTTCTCCACATATTATGGAGATGAAGAACATCATTGCCCAAGCCTGTGTCCAAGGAATTCCTTGCATCGACATGAGCTTTATGAGTTGGAATTGGCTCCCACCCAGGATCATTAGTATCCAACGGACAATTATCGACTGCTCGGCTGCCTTTAAGTCCCTTGCGCCCGATTCTCCATCAAAGCGTTCTTTCAGTTCGAACTTAATGTTCTGGAGCCACACTTTAGGATTCAAACTGAAGCCGAGAACGACGAAGACGAGAAACTGTACTACATCAAAAATGCAGACTATTGGCGAAGCGCGAATGTAAAAGCGGTGGTTTTTTGCTCTTATGCAAAGGACGTTCCCACATGGTTGGGTCATGGCTGTGAGTCCCAATGCAAGCAATGCAAACCATGCAACCTGCCATGTGACTTCCAAAGAAGAAGAGTCTGGAAATACTGTTAAAGATGATCGCCTAAAGAGCCTTCTCGTACTGGCTTACCCTCTGAACCACTCATGATTCGGATTGTGTTACTCTTGGTTGCAAAATGCTCGCTGAAATACTGAATTACTGCAGATTTATTCCTTTTTCTTCCCGAGACAACATCAAAATCACTTAGACGAGGCAGACTGTCACTGCCACGCTGGAGGTAGCCTCGTCAGCTCTCTGTCAAGGCCGTTCATGCATCAATGTTTGAATGGTTTGCACTGCCGATAAACACGTGCGATATCTAGCTCTATCAGTACCCCTCTTACAATACCTTACAAATACCAGCCCCACTAATTCAGTCTCTACGCGCGGATAAGGCTTAGATCTCATCCGCATGCGTATGATTGTATCCAGCAATACCCTATCGGAAGCAGCCGACCACCGGGTACAAATACACGGCCAACCCGCTGTCATTGCTAAGTTGATCCTCAAACTCAACACAACCCACCCGCACCAGCTGATACGACGGCCAGAACCGCCGTCAAATATAGAAGGGCCAACCGGGTGCTACCTTGTTCAGCGTCTTCTTGCCTTTTTTCCGACCTGCACGCGACGGATTCGCACATATATCAAGCGCTTTCTCCTCGACGACTTGTATTGATCTTTCGACCTCGTTTCCTGTTGTTATCGATCTGTCGATTTCTGATCTAGAAGCTCCAAGAACGTTTTTATTTTTTTAGATTCATATTAGACTTGGTTGAGGCCCAAGGGACCGATAGACGAACTTCTCCACTCATCTTTCTTCTGGGGCTGTTATACCAATCCTAAAATTGGACTACATCATGAAGCCCGAGTATGAGTTGACTCTGTATTTTGGCGCATTCATCCATCTTCCTCGGTTACCTGAGGGCCAATCTCGGGATAAACCAAAACCACAGTTAGTTCGAAACCATGGTCTGCTCTGGGTGTCTGCGAATGATGGTCGGATCGAGGGCTTTGACTGGGATGCTCAGCATTACACGACAGTTCAAGCATTGATGGCTCGCAAAGGTTGGGTGGATATCAATAATCCTGAGACCAATGGAAATAACATAGACGGAAAGCAGACCATGGTGAAGCTGGTCTCTACCAGCACAGACCAAAACGAGTTTTTCTTCCCTGGCTTCATTGGTAGGTTCACGCGTCTCTACACTTTTTTTTTTCACATCTAATCATTTCACCAGATACCCACATCCATGCTCCACAATATCCAAATTCTGGACTCTTCGGTTCGACTACCTTGCTAGACTGGCTAGAGGAGTACACATTCCCCATGGAATCATCATTCGGAACCCATGACAAAAAGGACTCCAGAGATCCTAAAGATACACCATCAAACAGCCTCCGCATCTACGACCAAGTCGTCGCGCGCACACTGTCCCACGGCACAACCTGCGCCTCATACTTCGCAACCATCCATATCGCTGCCACCAATGCTCTGGCCCGCCTCTGCTACAACAGAGGTCAGCGCGCCTTCATCGGCCGCGTTTGCATGGACAACCCGGATTTCTGCCCATCGTATTACCGCGACGACTCAGCTGAGGAATCTTTGACAGCTACTGAGGCGACAATTGAGTACATCCAAGCCATGGACCCAGAGGGCACCCTCGTGAAACCAATCGTCACACCCAGATTCGTACCAACATGCACACGCCCCTCACTCGAAAACCTAGGTAAACTCGCCGCATCATACACGCCACCCCTTCACATCCAAACACATATCTCCGAGAATATCAACGAAGTCGCACTCGTCAAGGAGCTATTCCCGGAATCGAGCAGCTATGCCGGTGTATACGACACATACAACCTGCTTACACCACGAACGATCCTCGCACATGCCGTGCACCTTACGGCAGATGAGCGAAGACTGATCCTTGAGCGCGATGCCAAGATCTCGCATTGTCCTGCTTCGAACTCTGCGCTCGGGTCTGGTATCGCGCCTGTCCGTACATTCCTTGACGAGGGAATGACCGTTGGTCTCGGCACGGATGTGAGTGGTGGGTATAGTCCCAGTATTCTTGAAGCGGCGAGACAGGCTTGTCTTGCGTCAAGATTGCTGGGCCACACCACTGCCTTTGCGAAGAAGGAGAACCACCACCAGTGCAATGGAAATGCTCAGGGCAAGGCGGGTGCAAAGGATGAGACTGGACGGGAGAAACTCTCCGTGGAAGAGAGTTTGTATCTGGCCACCCGTGGTGGAGCAGCTGTTATTGATATGGCCGATGATCTGGGTGGATTTGACGTGGGGATGATTTTCGATGCTCAGCTGATTCAGCTGGGTTGTGTTAGCCAGGAAAATCCAGAGACCCTGCTTGATGAGCGTGCCGGGAAGAATCTTGTCAGACCTGGCACCGTGAGCAATGTTGACATCTTTTCAACCGAAAAGTGGGAGGAGAGAGTTCATAAATGGGTTTGGGGTGGTGATGACCGAAATGTTAAGGCTGTATGGGTTGGGGGAAAGCTGGTTCATGAGCGGGATTAGGTTTTACAGACGAGTTTCCTTTGTATACATTTGATAATTTTCTCTTTCTATCAATATAAATTTCTAATATGGCATTTCTCTTAAGATCCCATCGCCTTGAAATCAAAGCACCTGCACCGGACTTGATCTCTTTTAACAGCCATACCGGTAATAAACTAATGGAAAGTAGCCCCGCCCATGGTTCCCCGAAAATCACAGTCCCGAAAACCTTTCGGAGTCCGAAGTTCCACAAAGTCAAATCGCACCAACTCCGAAGCAATTACCCGAAAGCTCCAAGCTGCCGAGTTCAAAGCTCTGAATGGACTGACATGCGAAAAGTATATTAACGTAGCAAAGGTACTATAACTAATGTGCGCTGAAATCCTACTGAATGTAGAAATCCCATGAAGGGGAGGCAATAAAACTAAAGATCGATATTTCAAGACAAAAAGAATCAAGCACATGTTCGTTTCGTAGATGACAAAGTTATCGACTACCTAGCTCTTCTGTGCGCTAGAAGGTTTTTATAGACAGCTAGCTTTGCTTAAACTCGGCAAAACCGCCCTTCAAAGATGTATCAAGACTCTTGTAGTAATTTGGAACACCACCAAAATAGACGAGAGGCTCCCGTACCTTGCCCGGGATATTTGTTCCCATGTACCACTGTAACAACAATTGTGAGAAGGTGGCAAGCATCGTACAAGGAAGAAAAACTCACCGAATCAGTCTCAGGTAGCAATGAAGAGTAGGCGAACTTGCGAATATCATTACCCCACAGCTGCTCTACGTCAGCTCCAGCCTCAATACGCCGTCGGCCTGTTTTCCGCATGTGTTCCATAACCCCAATGACAAAGTCACCCTGGTACTCCGCACAAGTCGGTCCGTTACACAGCGCGGTAGGTGCCTGAGGGCCATATGTGAAGAACATATTCGGGAAGCCTGAAACAGCCATACCAAGGTATGTCTTCGTTCCATCCTTCCACTTGTCAGCTAGACGCTGGCCATTCTTTCCCCTAATGTCCATCTGTAGGAGACCGCCAGTGACGGCATCAAAACCAGTCGCACAAACAACGTAATCAAAATCCCACTCTTTCTCCGTTGTCTTGATTCCGCGCTCGGTGACTTCGACAATTGGTGTGGACTTAACATCCACCAGTGAGGTGTTGGGTTGGTTAAAGATTTCATAAAATCCATTTTCAAGAGAGATACGCTTGCAGCCGAAGCCATGGGGCTGAACCTCGGGTGCAAGTAGATCCCGAAGACGGGGATCATGGATTCGTGGCCTAACCTTTGACTTCCAAAAGTCGTAGGCCTCTTTGTTTGCCTCTTTGGTGAACATCATATCTTGGTATGATGCAAGCCAAAAGTGAAAGTCCCCGTGCTTCCATAATTCTTCGTAGGTCTCCTTTCGCTTTTCTGGGGAGTCGCCAAAAGTGGACCGCGGTGTGAAATTGAAGTTGAATCCACCGTAGCTATCCCGGCGACCATTGAACAGATCTGGATAATCCTTTCTAGGAATACCCTGCTCTCCGTCTTTGAAATTGACTTGCCCCATAGGCAAGGCTAGATTCGGCGTTCGTTGAAACAGAACGAATTCACCTGCGACCTGACTAAGTTCCTGCGCGAGTTGAACTCCCGTCGACCCGGTGCCAATGACAGCAACCTTCTTCCCTTTGAGATCGGGCTCTTCCTTGGGCCAGTACGAAGGATGAATCCATGTACCTCGGAACTTGTCAATCCCTTTCCAGTTCGGGATGTGGCGCTTCGCAGAAAAACCAGTATTAAGCAAGAAGTACCTCGCGACAAACTTCTTTCCACTTGAGCTGGAGATACGCCAGACATTACTCTGCTCATAAAAGATAGCCTGGGAGATGAATGTGTTGAACTCGGTATCCCTTCTTAGATCCCATTTATCCGCCACGAAAGCGAAGTATTCGCGGAGCTCTTGACTGCCAGGAAAGCGTTGCTTCCAGGACCAGTCCTTCCAGAGTGCGGGATCAGAGAATTCGTAATGTGGCACTGTACTATCGACTCGGGCGCCGGGATAGCGATTCCAATACCAAACTCCGCCGAAGTCCGTGGCGGAGTCGACAAGCTTCACGTTGAATCCTTTCTCGCGGAGGTGTTTGAGCTGGTAGACGCCTCCAAAGCCTGCGCCTACGATGAGGGCATCGAGAATATCGTCGTCAGAGGTAGAACCCATTGCAGTGAATGGCAGGAACTAGAGAAGATTTAATGTGATTGAATAGGACACGAAAGCTTTCGGATGTTTTGACAGGATATCAGTTCTGGGTGCTACTTATATAGTGTTGTCCCTACGATCGGAGCTCCTGGATACTAGCCCCGAAACCTTGGAATGAATATTTCTGGGGTATTACTGGCCAGACTATCGGAACAGAATTACGGGGATATTGACAGGCTTCGGAAAATTGCATCACTAGATGAAAGTGTGCTTGTGACAAAACGCAGGTACTCTACGTATGCTTCGGACTTGCGTGTTGATGGGGCTAGAGTCTCCGAAAGCTAGTCCGAAGCCAAGATCTCCGCTTTTAACAATGCTTCAGGCTTGAAACAAAAACTTGTTCCAAGCTCTGGAAATTCTTTTTACCACAGCTATATACTATAGGAATACTGGCTGAACAACTGAAAGCGAGCTGCAAAGTTGATTTGGCGAAAATCTTGGAACGACTTCAGAACCGGATACAAGGCTGGGTAGCACGTTGAAATCCGAGCATTGAATGGTATGGCGGTCCAGATATATGTACAGAAATAATTATACATATTAATAGATTTGATCAGGATCCATCGATAGGGGTTGATAGTTTCTACAGTCATTCGACCGGGCCCCCCCAGGGTCAGAATCCAACTCCAACTGTGAGCCCGAAATTGAACCGCAGAATAGTTGATCCCAGATGGCATTGACGTCGTTGGTCAGTGACTCACCGGGAACCTCCGAAAGCTGAGCCTGTATCATGCCATCTAAGTCTCCCACGTCCGAGCCGTTATCCCAGCCCTGTGGCGTGCATAACGGAGATCGGGAGGGGGTAACAGGATGATCCTGGTGACGCATGGGGTTTAAATGACCAAAAAGGCCCTCCACCAACGCCTCTTGCTGTCTCAGATGACGGTAACGCCGTCTTTCAACAAATTGATTGCACGAATTGTGAAGATCTCGTATAATCAGGAGACTCCATCGTGCCAGCGCATCATTCTTTTGAAAGCGGTCTAGTAGCCTCAGTGCTGTCTCCATGGCATTAGCTAGAGGAAAGAGACGATCTAGATCCGCAAAATAGGCTATTCCCAGCACAAGAGCAGAGTTTAAGACTGAGTTAACAACATAAGGTAGTCGTTTTGGTATTTCATCGACGTCCAGTAAGCAACTTAGGAGGTCGACTGTCAATACGGCCGAGTTTACTGATGCATGCGCGAGCAGAGTATCAGCTGGCTGCCCTATTGGTGGATTATCATTACCGATGCTTGATGGCGGTGTATTCACCGTATCGGAGGCCAAGTGCCGTTCAACCAGATCGATCAAATAAGGGCGAGTCACCAACATGATTGTCCAGTAGTAAGCTGCTTTGATATGGCAGAGTCCAATGCTGAGCTTTCCCCTCCCACTTCCACTGCTCACATACTCCTCGGTGGGGATGTGATCTACTGTGTGGCCTTCTCTGAAATGACAAGCCCATTCCCGATGGTGTTTGCTGACATTTTGCAGTACAGCGGGAGACACCTCCTGCTTTGAGTAGACTTGGGACAGAATCTTCTCGAATATGAGACACAGGTCGGTTGAAGCTGAATACCCCTTTTGTGATGTGGTATCACGAGTCTCCGTAGTCGATGGGTGATGACCCAAGGTTGAGCTCAAAAAGAGATCCTGTACTCTCAACACCTTCCAGATGCGCTCGCGCTTGAAGCTCTCCATTGTTGGGAAAAGACCATTAATATCTGCTCGATGAATTCCCAAGGAGTAGGCAGCGCGGATAGCCAGTCCGAGATTCGTACTAGCCGCATGAGGACGTGCTGCATTTAGAAGATACGTAGTAATCAGGCAATGAATTTGGACTGTGGCAATGGTCGCTGTTTCCATGAAATTCAATGATGACAGATAACGAGCATAATTGAAGTACGCGGCTGTCACCTCATCACGGCTCTCAGGCCCACACTGGGCACCGATGGCAAGGACAAGAAAGTTGATGCAAGTGCTGGAATCGGTAGAGGGAGCTCGCTCTAGCCAGGGGATCATCTCTGTTATCAATTCTTCATACCCGAAGAGATCAAAGACATCGCTCGTCGCGCTTGCATACCACCGGAGGTAATAACGAGTATCGGGTATCGATGGTCGCGTGGGCTCCATGGACGTTTCGTTTCGGTTCACTGACTCTGCAGGGATATCGTCGACAAGGTCGTTCTCCGCGGATACGTCCTTGAAGTAGCCTGTCCCGAGTGTACCGTGAATGATCTTCCGTAAGCTTTGTACCACCGAAAGATTGGCGGATGGCCCCAAATATACATATGTTCCCTGAGGATCTCGAATCAATCTTGACATGTGAGATACCATGGAGCCAAGCGAGGAGGAGATCGAGAGGTTTCGGGAGATAGTTGTGCGAGATGGAGTGCCGGAATTGAGATCCACTCCCTGACAGTCTTGTCGGTAATTGAAAGCGTCACCGGTATATGCGGGGCCTGCAGTATTCTCTCTATTCTCGCCGCCACTGCTTGGGAAATATGTCTTTGCTGAATCCCTTCTGCCTTGAAGCGGATGAGGCGGATGAGGCGGATTGAATGCAGAATGACGCAGCTGACACTGGCTTTCTACATTCCGTCTCCGACATCTTCCACATGGTAGGAGCCCATCGCATTTTTCCTTACGCCGCCTGCAGTTGTCGCAAGCCTTCCGACGACGGGAAGGATGTTGTTTGTAGGGGCTAGTTGGTTGTGCCATGGAACATGTAACGTATCACATAGCATGAATATATCCAGTACTCTTGCCAAAGGTTCTGAGTTAGATTCGCTTGTGTGTACGTTGAATCGAAAGACCGTCAAGAGTGACATCCGGGGAAAGTGCGGGGTTGTGGGGTTGGTGGCGAGGCCCGGGAAGCTATTGCTGTTCACCAACCAAAGGCAGAACCTTCCAAGCCGAAGCGTTCGATCTAAGGCCAGTATTTCATGATATCTATCGTCACGATTAATGACTAAGCCTTATTGGTTGGGCGATGATTTGCTATTGGGGACCAAACATTTACTCCAAGGGGGCGAGGGGCTAGTGGCCAAGGGGACTGGGTTGCTTCAAAAACTTGGTAATTAGCGCCTTAAACTATAAGAACTTTAATTTATCGAACAGGCATTAATATATCTAGAACCCTGAAGTGGAAACACAAATGGTGTAAATGAGCTGGGATTTGTCACCAAAATGCCCTGATCATTGGAGCTTGTTTCTCGTTGCACCGCCCAGCCCTCAACCATCAACCATGGAACCTCAAAGCCTTAGTCCAAACGGAACAGTTAGCTCTTTTGGTGGAAGATATTACGTCGCGTGGCTCAGGGGATATAGGATTTGAAGTTCATCTGGCTATGAGCGATATGTATTATTGTTCCGATCGGAAGGCCTCAGCCGATGGCTTCCGAAGAGGCCGATGGCAACTAAGGTTCCGCCTTCGAAATCCGAAAGTAAATTGGCCAATCATACAAAAGGTATCCTAGTTCAGATTGTGGGGTAGCCTGGGGAGATAGGCCCAACGCATCATCTCCGATAGCTATGCCGTTGAAGTTGGACTGCAATGCAGCAGTCGCTAGACTACATAAGGCACCACGAAGGCATCTGAAACAGAACTTCACTTTTTCTAGTCTATAACCATTTCTTAAATTGAATATCAAAATGGCCGCCAGTGATTCATCTAAAGAAGACCATGTGGATGTCCTCATCGTTGGTGCAGGGCCCGCCGGGCTCATGCTGGCCAACTGGCTAAGTCGCTTCGACATTCGGACTCGCATCGTTGATAAGCGTGGCTCAAAGGTCAACTCCGTTCCCACATGGTCGTCTTGAATGATAACTGACCTAGGTGCAGGTATTCAATGGCCAGGCTGATGGCCTGCAATGTCGTACTCTGGAGATCCTTGACTCCTTCGATTTTGCTCATCGTGCTTGGCGCGAGTCCAACCACATGCTTGAGATATGTCTGTGGAATCCTGATGAAAATGGTTGCCTTCAACGATCCGATCGCATTCCCGATACTATTCCTGGAATTAGTCGTTTTCAGCAGGTTGTGCTGCACCAAGGTCGCATTGAACAGTTCTTTCTGGATTCAATTAAGGAGCACAGCGATATTCGTGTTGAGCGTGGTGTATTGCCTACAACATTCGACTTCGACGAGACGAAAGCCAGTGACTTCGAAGATTACCCCATTAGTGTGACACTCCGCACACTCTCCGATAAAGATTCAACGCCCCAGCAAAGGCAGACACACCAGAAATTGGCTGATGGCCAGCAGGCGGTGATTGAGGATGGACTGTTCCGTAGTAACCTGGTTGCCGATGACACGGATAACCTAATTTCAGCGGCAGAGGCCAAAGACAACCGAAATGCAAATGAAGTGGAGACCATCAAGGCGAAGTTTATGGTGGGTTGCGACGGGGCTCACTCCTGGGTACGCCGCCAGACCGGCTTCACTCTGGAAGGTGATTCGACCGATTATATCTGGGGTGTACTCGACATCATCCCCATCACAGACTTCCCAGATATTCGCCATCGATGTGCCATTCATTCCGCCAACGCGGGTAGTGTGATGGTCATTCCCCGTGAAAATAAGCTCGTTCGTTTGTATATCCAGCTTCAATCGACAAGTCATCAGAAGAATGGCTCCAAAGCCGACAGATCCTGGATCACTCCTCAGATTATCCTGGAATCTGCCCAGCGCATTATCCACCCATATAAGCTCGATTATAAGTACTGCGACTGGTGGACTGCGTATCAGATCGGACAGCGGGTCGGAAATAAGTTTTCGCTCCGCGATCGTGTCTTCTTGGCAGGTGATGCTGTGCACACGCACTCTCCCAAGGCTGGACAAGGTATGAATGTTAGCATGCAAGATAGTAAGTCTCCTTTCCGGTCCTTTGTCTTGATGTTATATTGACCTTTTGCATAGCGTATAATCTTGGATGGAAGCTGGCACACGTGATCAATGGATCCAGCGAACCATCGATTCTGTCAACGTATGAGGCAGAGAGGAAGCTTATAGCACAGCAGTTGATCGCTTTCGACAGGCGATTTTCGCGACTTTTCTCCGGACGCCCAGCTAAAGATGTCATGGATGAAGAGGGAATCAGTATGGACGAGTTCAAACAGGCATTTGAAAAGGGCAATGAATTCGCTAGCGGTGTTGGTAAGTTCTTTCATACCGTGCGGCATCTGCAGAGCTAATAAAAACTTCGAAAGCCGTCGATTATGCTGCAAGTGTCCTTATTGCCAAAGGAACCGATGATGAAGGACAAGGCAATGACACCGATCCTATGAATAGCAAGAAGCATCAGGTGATCAGCAAGCCAGAGCTAGCCACGAAGATCGACATTGGGAAACGCATGCCTAGCTTTAAGGTGCTCAATCATGCTGATGCACGTCCCTGGCATCTGCAGGAACTGTTGAAGAGCAACGGCCGCTGGAGGATCATCGTCTTTCCTGGTCAACTCACCAATCCTCTCAACATGAAACGCCTGAAAAAGCTGGGTGAATCCTTAGGCTCTCCGGGCTCTTTCATTTACCAGTACACACCATCAGGTAATGCAATTGATAGCGTGATTGAAGTCTTGACAGTTCACTCTGGACCCCGGGCAGGCATTGAACTTCTCGATCTCCCGGAGGCATTCCATCCTCATCACGGAGATATGGGATGGGATTATTGGAAAGTGTTTGTTGACGAGGAGTCATATCATGAAGGCTATGGTCAAGCCTATGCCAACTATGGCATTGACCCTACTCTGGGTGCCAGTGTTATAATTCGTCCTGATCAGTATGTTAGCTGGGTTGGAGAGGTGGATAACTACGAGAAGATGTCGCAATTCTTTGGTGGTTTCATGAAACAACGGCGAGCTTAAATCCTAGTATCTGGAATATCATTGTGAATAGTTATTGCAGGTCGTGAGAATATAGTGAGATTCAGTCACGTAAATGTTTCTGCCCATCCCAAACCGGCGCTTTCTTGTTGTGTCAACGCATAACTCAGTAAATCTCTGCATCTTCTTCAAAGAAGCATTTAATCTACCACTCCCTGCTTCCCGATTTCTCCACCAACAAAGAAATGTCTTCTTGGTATCTTGATTGGGGTGTCAGTCCCTCTGTGCCTCATGCTTCAGCTGCACGAAGTAAGCATTGGGAAATCATCGCAAACAGCTACATATACTGACTTTTTAGACACTGCGCCGCAGCTACGCGTTCCTAACCGCCAGGCCATTCGTCTCCAGAGGACTGACATACAGCACGAAACTGCGCAGGCGGCGATTGCTGCGTACCGTGATCGGGTCCACCCTCGGCCCGTGCCTCCGAGTCTAGTTACACAAGGTAGGACTCGAATATTCGTCGCAACCACGATATACTAATATTATATTAGACACTGCGCCGCCACAGCTGCCACAGACGTCACAGCTGACCATCCCTAACGCGCTGGTGATTCCTCCCCCACCAAACGATATCCTGTATGAAACCACGGAGGCTGCAATCGCTGCTATGAATGTCTTTGCAAAGCCGTATGGATTCGCAATTTCCACTATGAGTTGTACATCATGGCAAGGTACCAGGCAAATCGTTTATCTTTGCTGCCGTCAAGAGAGGAAACGTCGAATGCTACTGCCTCCAGGTTACAAGCGAACTGGCATTGACTGCCCCTTTCCATCCATTCTACGACTTCAAGCCGATGGAAGATGGTTGGTCACTCTGCCAAACGCTACTCATAACCATGGGATCTACACTGGATCAACACACATCATTCACCGGCGTACAGAGGTTACGCAAAAGGCAGCACTAATTGACGCTCAGATCCGACGTGGCAAGGGTCCAACTGCAATTCTTAGATTTCTTCGTGATGAGGATCCAACGACGTGTATCCTCGTACAAGATATCAAAGCTTACCGAAAGAAGGCTCTGAAACTAGCTGCTCGTGAGCAGGCTTTGTCGACGCCAGCGTTCATGGGACCTTACCAGGTTTCACAGCCGAAGTAGGTTGATTGATCCGTTTTAAGTGGGCTTGTTTCACTGTCGCCCAGGCTTTGTTTTCTGTGCCCTGTGCTTTGTTATTTCCGGACATTGGTTCTCTCCCTGTATTAATATCAAATGGAAATGTAGATATGTCCTGGGGATAACCTTCATCATTGTTGCAATATTGATGGGTATTACAGAGGCTTGTAGACACAGTAGGGACCAAAACAAGTCCATACTCTTGTCCTTCATGCTCTGAATCTCCTGTATTTCCAACATGCAAAAAATTTTTGTCTTCCAATCGACTGAGCTCTTTGAATACCTTGAAACGTTGCTTCAGCATTTTCATCAGAGTATATAATTGCATCTCAGGAACACTGACTTGACGTTGACTGTCATGGTCGTGTCCCAAGTTTCTCATCGCTTAGATGCAGTACTGCGGGTAGCCGAGCCTCAATGCCGATTCCGGCATCATTGGCTAAGTTTTCATGTGACGCCCATTGAAGATATGAAGGTACTGGGGTACGTTGTCTCTTGCATATCCGAACGGCCATACACCGTAACAGCCACCTTCACCAGCTCCTCCATCTGCGTTGCAACGCCAACGTCGGTCTTCAAATAAAATCCCTCATCACTGGTCTCCACTATGGTGTCATGCGTAGTGATCTCACTTTCTTCCGTTAAGCGCGACGTCGGACTGAGGTCGGCATAGACTAACCTGGTTCCTTTGGCCCCGTCCAATTTTCCTTTTTCCTTAAAACAACTCCAACTTTTTCAAGCATTTTCAAAATACTGGAATATCCAGTGCATCTCTACTCTGCATTGCGTCTCACAGCACAGGCTCAATCACAGCATCAATCACAGCTCGCTGTCGCTTGCATTGTAAAAACGTTGCATTATACTTCTCTTTTCTCTCACCTTCCACTCAACAGAACCTGACTTACAGGTGCGGTGTCAGAGAATACTCAGATTTTACTGAAGATGAAGTGAGGAGTCAAAATGGCACTCTCTTTCGTTGGCTTTGACGGTCAGTGCGTCCTCGGACGTCGCTTGTTCGACAACCGACAGAAAGAATTCGCGGTGGGAATTGCCACGCCGACGCCAGGAAACCTGCAGGGGAGGCCACTGACCTCTATCGACGATACGGCTCTCCGCGACTACCAGATCAACCATTTTGACATGAAAACCACCTCCAACTTACATCTGGCCAAGATCTGTCTACCTGATCAAGGCATCTTTTGGGTTTGTAGCATGGTCACAGTCAATTCGGCCGGATGACTTGTACTTGCGCATCGGAATTAAAGGAAGCGCGATAAGACGCGATCCATCAGGTCTTCCTGGTTCGCGTTGCCTGAGATACAACCCTTTTGCATCTTCCTTGGGAAAATGGTCTCTGAGTGGAATACTTTGTGCTTGGTATCATGTGACGGAGAGAAGGCTGAACCTGTGACTCTTTAATTATTAGGTAGATTAGTTAGTCACCAATAGGATCATGCTTCTTCGTTTCCATCACTCGGGACAGGGACTGAATCAAATACTAACAGCGTGCGCAGTCAACGGAAGAAACAGGCGACACAGCACATCAATGCTGGCAAAGGACTGAACTGCGTCCATAAACCCATTGGAGGCGATAAGCGAGCTTCAATACCCCTCGTCAGTCCCGGATAGCTTTGCGATTGGTGTAACATATCCGCCAGCCGTCCGATCCACAAAATCAGGGGTAGGATAAATCTACCAACCGAGCTTCCAGCCTTGAACAAATTATGCACGAGCCTGTGGCGAGGATATGCGTACTCAGACGCGGACCTGGATCCGATTGGCCGGGAATGGCAGCTTATCTTTTTGGCATCACTATCCGACTGAGCTCTCCTAATAATTTACGAGAATTACAAAACCCAGTGCTAGCTCTACGTACTAATTCGCTTCTGATATGTAGAGACTGACTGGTTGAAATAAAAAGAAGAAGGCGTCTTATCAAGGGGTCTGTGGGTTATTTCCTATAACATTGATACATATCGCATAAAACCTACCCCTTCAAATGTCGATGCATGGGCAATGGTATCCAACAAAATTCAAGTTGTTCATTCTCATTTGATTTCATTGCGCCCTTGTAAAATCCATTTGAAGTCTCAGTCGAGAAAAAATGGCATTAGAAGTCGGCAAGGTCCAAACCTCTCATCTTATCAGCAATCATCAGGGTGTGATCTCGGATCATGTTCCTGGCACGGAGGTTCTAATCATCCATGAGTCGCATGGAACATATGGAGATGAATTGATCCTGATTCCAAAACCGCAAAATGATCCTCACGACCCTCTTGTAGGTTTTATTGCATCCCTTGACTGACATGATCGAAGTGGAAATTGTGGGACCTATACTGATTTGGGCATCAAATGCATCTTAGAATTGGTCCCCTTGGTGGAAATACGCATGTCTCGCGAACATGCTTTTTCTGATGTTCCTCGGGAATTTTTCCACTTTGTCAATTTCGCCCCTGACGCCTGTTCTGATGAAACAGTTTGATACCACTGAGTCAAAAGTCGCTGCCCTGGTAAGTGAACCTACTCGGATGTCTCTGGTTGTGGTCAAGTTAATAAAAATGTACTTTTTCTATGCAGACAGGTGCTTGTATCTTGGCGTTAGGCTATGCGAACTTCATCATCATTCCCTGTGTCAACATATTCGGTCGTCGATCCACAGCTCTTGTTTGTATGCTGATATGTATCGGCGCAAACATCTGGCAAGCTGTGAGCACATCATATCACTCCCTCCTTGGCGCCAGAGTCTTGATCGGAATAGGCGCTGCATCAAGTGAGAGCATTATGCCGGTGGTCATATCAGATATGACGTTCCTGCATGAAAGGGGTACGTGGATGGGGGCTTATTTGTGAGTAGCTCATGTTTGTATTTTACTATTTCCTGCTGATTCAGTCCCTCTGACCTTCCTCCAGTTGGGCCTACTTTTTCGGCGGATGGGTTGGACCTATTGTATCTGGTAGCATTGCCGCTCATGTGTCTTGGCGATGGTTCTTCTGGCTGTCAACCATTTTGAATGTGGTAAGATTAGATTATAAGCCGCCTCGCTAGTTCTGACTACTAACACCTGTTCTGCTCTTAGGTGAGTTTTGTTGGGATGTTCTTTGCTCTGCCCGAGACAAAATACTCCAATATATCGGGTCTACCAGCGGATGCAAGAGATGAAACAACCGAAAGCGTGACACCAACCTCCATGTTGAAGGAAAAGTCGAATTCCGAGCCAAAGCAAGCATCTGACATTGATATGGAGCGCCAAACAAATACAGCGGAGCTGAATTCATTTTTGGGCTGCGGGTATCCGAGTTCAAGACAGAGGTGGCAACTTTGGAGCAAGCCGGAAAGCATGACATTGAAGCAACTATGCAGATATGTGATAACCCCGCTTCATCTCGCGATCTTTCCAATTACCCTCTTTGCATCTCTGGGTGTCATGTCAGGTTCAGCATGCTTGCTGGTCTTGAACTTGACCGAGTCGGAAGGATTCTCTCGTGCTCCGTACAATTTCTCGACGGCGTCGGTGGGGTTTACAAATTTTGCACTGATGGGAGGGGGTGTTGTTGGTCTGGCTGCAGCAGGGCCACTATCCGATTGGGTTTCCATGGTATTGACGAAGAGAAATAATGGCGTTCGAGAGCCAGAAATGCGTCTTCTGACATTCATACCTTTTGTTGCTATTGCAGTTGTGGGAATGACGGTAAGTCTCACAGCTCATCTTGAATACTGATTGCAGACTCCAAGGTCATGAACTAATAAACATTTGACCTTCGAATCAGGTTGCTGCTGTTGGTCTTGAGCGACTTTGGCCATGGGAAGTGATAGTGATTGTTGGCTTTGGCTTGACGGGAGTTATTGTCATGGCAATCCCGACCATCGCGACCACTGTAAGTGTTGGTGAATACTCGACTTGCGTGTTAAGGGACTCACTACTTCTTAGTATGCGATTGATAGCTACAAAAATGTGGCTGGTGAAATCATGGTGTTGGCGACGGTCGCAAAGAATACATTTGGGGTAATGTTTCTACCACTTTCCTTCCATATCACTGAATCTAACTATGATGTTTTTCAGTATGGAATGACCTATTTCATAATCCCGTGGGTAACGGAGCATGGGTTCCTTTATCCCATTATCACGGTTGGTATGATTGCGGTAGGTATTACACTTGTCGGGGTTATTGTTTTCTTCTTTTTCGGGAAGACATTTCGACGATGGACAAGAGATTCAGGTATCCATCAGTAATCTTCATGAACTATAATCATAGAAAAATTGAATCAACAATCAAGGGTAGCGTGCCCATTAACAGAAAACTTGAAAGGCCACTGGAAAATCGTACTATCGTCTACCCTATAGGCCCCTTCGCTAATATATCAACCTGGGCCTGTAAAAACGCCAAAGTAACACTAGTTTCCTTCCCTTTCACAAGAAAATATGTCGTATCACCGGCATTGAACTCGATTCTCCCAACCTCAGGTGCCATTATAATGCGCCATGCCAACAAGAACCAAGCCACATTCCAAGCCACTTTCTCTGAAGCGGTCGGAAAAGTGGAGACATGGTCGGTCCCGCTACTTCGCGTCTTTCTTTGAAGTACTCGGTGTATGTGTCCACCCATGCATCATAAGACTCCAAGACAGAGGGTGGAAATGAAGCGAGTAAGTCTTCTGGATCTAACGTAGTGTCCCCCTCTTGAGGGGTAACATCATCTGGATCACGCCAAATAAAATCTGTGCCGTAGTCAGCAAAGATACGATAGTGGCGAGAATCTCCCGTTGGTGTAGATTGGTTGGTGGATGAGGTAGATAAAGGAGGTTCGCTGGTCGACATCTCAGCAATCGTCGACCTTGACTGGCGTTGCTCTTATAGTGCGTTTGTGATTTTAAGAACCAAATCAAATTTGGTTTCCACTAAAGCGGAGTTCTTATCGCACTCAGAAAGAGGGTTTTTGGCAAGGGTTCGCCACGCATGACCAAGGTTCCTGATGCTTTTGATGTAATGCTGAGACTGGGATTGACCGCAGAATACCGCCAGGAGTTTGAGGAGGCCGGATGCAGATCGGAAAGCATCATTACGATCATCTGAAGTTATTCGTGCCGAGGAATGGATTTGAATCGCTTGATGCAAGTCAAGAAGCGTCTGAGCTCGCCAGACGGAACAAGGATATGACTCAGTGAAACAAAGCTGCTCGCAAGGAGCAGAAGCGAGCAGATGGAGTCGATGCTGCTTCAGGATGAGGCTCAGTCAGAGTTTAGGTTATGGGAATTCATATATATCAACAACACGTCTAGTGAGAGATATTATCGTGGCCTATAAATACCTTCATTCTTTTTTTTTCTTTCCTTCTTTCTTCCTACTTCCTCAACCTTTCTCCTTACAATTTTTCTTAGTTCCTCAGACTTTTTTGACAACACTACAACTGATCCATATTGCAGCTGGACCCCGCCCCGCAATACCATCTAGGGCCTATTGCAATTTTTCACTCAATTATCATATCACCCGATCCTTCACTTTTCATCTTCTTTTCCCCTCCTTTCCCCCTCGATCACGAGAACGGTCGGTAAATGTGTCTTCGTTTGGTCACTTAGACCTCACCTCGACAGGATGCCCTCACTCCCAATTGATAAGTTTGTGGACCGAGCCTTCTCCCGAGCCCCAAAGTTTGAACCGTTAGATGAAAAGGACCTGAAGCCTAAATCTATCCCACCACGTCCGGGTCCGATTCCTTCTCGTCCACACTCTCATCTAACCATTTTAATAGACGGTCGGATTCCGGTCAATGTGCAGTCATGACCCAGTATCTGCGTGTTGTCACAACCCACGACCGTTTTCTTGGATTAAGAGTCAATCCGGCCCACGCTAATCTAGGGAAGTAGCGCTCGTGTAGGAACTTCAACAGTTCCTCGATTGAGGTTGCCATACCGAAATCGTCATCCATGAAGAAACCAAACCCAATTTCCGCTCCATCCGTCAACGCAGATTCCGCGTGCGGACTCGGGATCGGTCCAGTCGCTAAACCCTTCAAGCGAGTGTACGTCCCAGGAGCCCCAGTCAAGCCTTGTCCCATGCTCAAGTAACAGTATTGACCCAGCGACGTTGTGAATGCGGTCTTGTAAGCGTGCTCTTCTGCAAGCGGAACAGCCCAGTATCCATTTGCTGCATCTGCCTTGAAGAAAGCTTTCCACCTCGATTGTCCAACCAAATTCAATAACGGTTCGATGCGCCGCATTGGATAATTCATCTTAACCGTCGCCTGATTCAATTGAATGTATTGGTTGACCATTGGCGCCATGATTTTAGAGCGAAGTTGAATTTAATGTTATTCGTGCAAAGTAGGAGAGGCTCGGCGTTCTTCAATACCACGCGAGGTTTGTTGTTACTTTACGGAAGCTAGATTACCGCGCCGACATACCCACTCTAAAACGCCTGACCATCGATGAGTGAGCCTCCCACGAACGACAAAACCCCACTAACCGCCAGTCGTTTTCTGTGACTACCTGGCGCTTGTTATGTTAAACTTGTTTGCCGACCGTGTATGCCGACCGTGTAGGCTGTTAGTACTGCAATATATTCTTGAATTCCATATTAGTAGACCCAAAGAACACGTCAAGTGGAAGTAAGCCCCTCCAAATTGAGCTGGCCCAGTGGTCCTAGCGTTTCTTGCCGACGCCGTCCTCGTGTGATGAACACTGTTACTGATCCTAACTAACATAATTATCCTAATTGACATAATGATGAATTCTTCATGGCCATCAATCAGTCCATCGCAGTCGGTTGTATTGACGTGTTTGGGCTATAATCAAGGTCACGAATTTGATCAACGGTTCTTCGAGTATTTCTCGATTCATGGAACATGATTGTGACATGCCAATGATACTTCAATTGAAGCAATTTCTGGGGAGCCATGATGTATACTCTACTCTACGGAGCATTTGGCCTGGCTTCTCAGACTCCTGGGATGTAAGTCGCCCAAAGCCCTCCCTTCCTTCCTTAACATCCGTGTCTGGTGGTTTCTGTCATAGTGAGACTGGCAGTACGGGACCTCGTGGAGCAGGTCTTCAGCATATTTTGGAACGACACAGCCACGAACTTACTCAATATGAGCCCCAGCGGTTAATGGAGCTTGCCGAAGCCTCGACGTCTGCCGGCCTGTAAGTTGGGTCTCAAGGTCGGAGGGGTCGAACTCGCCCAATCTTTGGGTTATCCTTCTACGGCGAGCCAGTTGCTATTGCTGTTCAGATTGGCAGCAATGGCTTGGTGGTTTCACTGAATCCAAGTACCCTCGAAAAGGTGGTCAAAAAGAATCCTCAGCATGGTTCAATTGGTGGATTAGTTGCGATCCTTCAGGCATGCCACAGGTGGCCTATCTAAAGTGCGGGCTCAACATGGAGATTCGAGAGCTTATAATCAATGGGGTTGCACGCTTTGGCGGGTAAACAGCAATGATTGATGTTTCCAGACTTTTTAATATTGCTCGTACATCTTGTTTCCTTTCTGGGTCTAGTTACATAGAGCAGCTTCAGTTCATGATTGACCCCTGGGTGTGATTCAGTTACCTAATTGATGTTCACCCAGGCACGTGAGTGCCCAAAATTGTGGCTCAGTTGGGATACCTGACCTGTATCTACCATATTCTTCCACTTTCAGTAGCTTAGACTTCTTCTCTCCTTACAACATCTTCACACCATTTACGTTCCACTCTCCAAACGTACGTCCATCAAGATCCTTTTCAAGACGTTCCTAAGTACATACGACCATAGGGTATAGAGAACAGGGCTTCCCGTCCGCTCAGCCGTACTTAAGCCACCGTTTTTATTAGTAATGGTCTTAGTGTAGATGCTCTAATCCTACCTATTTTCCTTATTAAGGCCTAGTGCTTTAGCCTATGATTATTCCTCTAGTTCTTCCTATTCCTTAGCCTACTATAGCTATTAGATAGTGCGGAGTTATTATAGTGCGTTATAGCCTCCTTATTCTCGCGTAGCTTTAAGTTATTATACTAGCTACTCTCTACTTTAGTAGTCCTTAATTTAGTATCCTAGTTTTCTATACTTAAAATATAGATTAATAATCTTACGTCTTTTCTATTCCTTATCTAGAAGTCTTACTATATTAAGCTCTATTAGTTATAGTCTATATAGATCACTATTCTAGGCCTAATTATAGTAATCCTAACGTCTCTTAGGTTATTAGTTACTATAAGGTCATTTAGTATTACTTTTCTACTACTTATATTCGCGTTATTACTAGGCTCTCTTATAGAGTTAATTATTATATTTAATAGCGATTTTAATAAGTTTAGCGAGTTTATTTAGTTAATTAATCCTTATAAGTTTATCTTTAATCTCTTCCTTAAGTCCTCGCTTAAAGAGCTAAATATATAAGTATTATTATCTATATCTAAGTATTAGATAATCTATTAGAATTTAGCGATATACGCGCTAGCTAATCCTATTTATTAAAGGCGGTTAAGTCGCCTTTCTATAGTATATATAGCGTTAATATTACTAAATATTTATTTAAGCTTTATCTTAAAGGCATTATAAGAGCTAAATATCTCCTAGGTTACCTCCCCCTATTTCTTCTTTAGTTTCTTATTAAACTCTTAAATAAATAGTTTAAACTAGTTAAAGGCTTATCCTTAGAGGTATATTATAAGTAATAAAAGGGCTAGGTAAGAAGATAGTAAATAAGATCTAAAAGGAATATAAAATAGTACTAATATAGTATGGATTTAAGGTCTAAGATAATATAGATCATATTAGTTTTAAAACTAATTCTTAAGGAAGGAAAGAATTAAAAGAGAGAGATTCTTCTTCTTCCTTAATATAGAGGAAGTAAGAGCTAAGTAAATAGTTTATAATAATCTTACTTTAAATATCTCTTTATTATAGACTAGCTGTAGGTAAGCCTAGAGCTTACTCTTAATCTAGATACTAAATCAGAAGTGATTTAGTACTATTTTAGATATCTAAGGTATCCTATTATAGTTTAAGTAGGATTATATACTATCTAAGGAGAACTATTAGGTTCTAACTAGATATTACTTAGGAGGATCTAGTAGGATTCTACTAGATAGTATAAAGACTTTATTATTATTATAGAGAACTTAGTAATATAGTAGTCTTCTATAGAGAACTTATTAATATAGCGGTCTTCTATAGGTCTTAATTATTATTATAGTATCCCCCTATAGAGTTTACTTAGTAATATAATGCCCCTTTATAAGGATTATTAATAATATAGACCTATCCTATAGACCTATAGCTATAGACACCCCTAAGTCTATAGATAAGAGGTAGAGACTATAATATATAGGAGTATAAGGAGGGAAGTCCTAATTATTTTTAGGCTTAAAATCTAGCGCGTTTTATCTTACTTTAGCTATGTTCTATTATAGAGACTATCTATAAAGATTAATAGGGATAGTTACTAGGTTTTAAGAGGTAATTAAGTATTTAAATAGGTATAAGAGGGGCGTTAAAGTATTTTAATAAGTATAGGAAAATCCTTTTAGGTATATCTAGCTAAAAGATATATATCTAAAAGACCTATAGCTCGCCTTAGTTTACTAAGAGGGACTACTTATTAGTTCTATAAAAGTTGACTATATACTCTTTAATTCTATAATAAGATATAATAGGGTACTATGGCTAGTGAACTAATATTAAATCTATAGTTAATCCTATGGGAATTAAATCGCGTAACGTATTATATTAAGTTAGACGGGCTCCTACGAAGTATTAAAAGAGGGCTTAATATATTAGCTATGATCTATAGTGGTTATACCTAAGTATATGATATATATATTAAGGAAGGCGCACTAAGTTTAAAGGTTTAGAAAAGATATTTATTATAAGTAAAGTAGCTTTTACTTAGATAGGCCTTATAATATTAATCATTAGTTCTTAACTATATAGGAGATTTCTATCTTATATAAGAATAAGGTAGATAGAGGAGAGGGTTTTTATATATTAGCTATAGACTATTTACTCCCTCTTATTTTATACCACCTCTATACTAAGGCCGATTATATATAGTCTATAGTACCTCCGTGACTAAGTAAGCTTAAAGTATTTAATAACTTTCTCTACTGAACGATAGTTCACCCCTAATATAATATACGCTATTCCTATTATCTAATTAGGCGATCTATAAAGTCTCTATTTAATAATCTATAAAGTCTCTCTTATTCGCCTAAAGACATCATAGGGACGACACTCTTACGTAATAGACTATTACATACTCCTAGCTAAGGTAGCCTAATGGTAAAGTTAAGGAAGATGTGTATGTATAACTAGGGGGTTAAGTTTTAAAAACAAGTAGTGCTACGCCGAAAAATTAAAGCATTAAGAACTACTATATAGTTCTTTCATAATCTATTATAGAGTATATATTAATAGTCTTAACCTTAATAGATGTTTAGCCTATATACTACTTCTACTAGACTAGACGATTAAACTAAGGCATGTCCTTAAGTCACCTAAAGCTTATAGAATAGAGATAGGTGGTGTCTAGGAGGGGCTACTATAACTAGTTATTATAGAGATAATAGCTAGAGTATGAATAACCTTAGGGATGATTTCTATTATGATTAGCGGCTAGACTATTATACTAGATTTAACCTTTCTACTTTATCTCTTATATATCTCCGTACTATACTCTATTACTAATAATATATAGCCTTTGATAAATCGACGACATTATTACCTAGGATATAAGATACTAAATCGGTCTCTAGTGTAGAACGGGCCTATTCCTTAATCAGCTAGTTCCGACTAACGTAACCCCTATGCCTATTAAGGTTTTAAGGTGCCGGCCGATCCGATCGTCCCGTTTCTAACCCTTATAGTAGATACTGATCTTACTTAGGTCATTACCTAGTCTTAGACATCGCGTAAGCTCCTAATTAGAAGCGTAGTAGCTAATCAACCATAGTAAGAATGTCTTCTAGTACCCTCCTTTACCTTTAGAATCGACGCTTATGGTAAGGCAAAACCGAGGATCTATGAGTACCCTTATAAGACTTTGGTGGATAGGGCTGGTTCGGCTAATTAAGTTAATTCTAACCCACTGGGCTGCGGGTCTTGGCCCTTCTAATCAAAGTTAGCGGTCCTAGACACGTTTAGGCCCCTATGTCGAGCAATCTTAATTAGTTTAACACCTGCTGAGGAATCAAGGGACCTTGCCTAATGCGGAGAAGCCGTGAATGTCGTTATGACTCAAAGTACCAGGAGTCGGGTCCCGCCTTACCTGGCCATTCAGATGCCAGTATGTGGTTCTGGAACGTGTCGATCACCTTCCATATGGCGCAAGACCCACCGCACATGTAACACCCCTGGACTACGAGCCATGGTAACTCCTTTTTAGTAAATGATCCATTCTAGGCTGGGGCCGATGAAAGCTTGACCGGACTTATGAGTTGGCTCTAAAACTTCGTCTCTGGGTATGTATATTGATACTAATGGCCAACTCGGTGACGTATACTTATTCTGACATGTCCTTTGAGTTGTTCATTAGATTAGACACCCGATAGCTGAGAATAACACGCATACATAACAAAGAACAATCTTCTCTAGCTCGCTCGCTTGACCCCTTCTGCAATGTCAGCGAGCTCTTCTGACTCTGATCTAGTGAATACTATCGTGCTGATCGCCGATGTTGCGTCATGACGCGACGCCTACACTGCATAGTCTGTACGAGTCAAATAACCATGTTCCTTGGCAATAACTGATCAACGCTCCGCAGGTTCCCCTTCGTATACTCAAACGATGAGACAGCTTCACTGTCGGAGACTCAACTATCTTATCCGACCACTTTGGGATGGAGACCATAAGACTAGAATGCATCAGCGATCCTCTTTTAAAACATCCCTAGATGATTTGTGGTCCTTTTTGAGGAAATTGACTCAGCTGGTACAGTACAGTATACAAAAACGTTTGACTAATATGAATGCTACACAAGCTAGAATATACCAACAGCAGCCTTTGCCAATTCATGATGATAAGTCTTCTTAAGGCAAGGACCGATCACTCTCTTCTCTTCTCAAAAGCTGGGGAAAACACTTACAAAGCATGTTCCAGTCAGTCTCCGTGATGTGATCCTGAATGGCATCATATTGATAGTCCTCTAGCCCTGGAGGATACCTACCATTGCTTCTGCATATCCCCTTCTTTTATCTAAGGTTCTCTAATCTAAGAACTCCTTTTCTTTATACTTTGTATTTGAGATTGTCTTAATATGTTATAGGTATACATATATAAAGGTAAAAATTGAACTATCTACTGCTAGGTATTTCAGTTCAAAGGAGGGGTTTGCACGAAATGAGAAAGGATGTATTGTTATACTTAGGTGAGTAGTCTCAACGCGACCTTTTGATGTACAACTGGTGATGTTAACCTTTTGATTCAATGATCCCACCTATACTATACCACTTGGCCAGCTCCCCTACGGGCATACACTGATGCTACCAGTCTCCACACAACATCCAGCGCCACCACCACAAGAGCAATCACCGCTCTGGAGATAATCCGAGAACTTCTTTCCATTCTTATCGGCATAATCTTGACAGCCACAGACGCTAGATTTGTACATTGCTTTGATCAGTATGCTTTGTGACGGTAGAAAATCAAAAATGAAATGCAGAAGAAGAATAATTGAAAGACAGGACTCATCTTACCTCGCAGTGTAGCCATAACCCTCATAGCCAATGTTATCGTAGAACTTGGAGATGGACCATGTGTCCGATGGGTCACAAATCAACAGGTTAAACATACCCGGCTGTGTATATATCCTTTTGTCCATCAGGTCTGACCAAGAGTGTTTCAAAGTTTCATCCACATTTGCAGACACAGATGGAGTATAGTTGAAACCACCTGTCACAAAGCTATTGTAACTGCCCTGAATGATGTCGTCAACAGTGAATTCATACGTCCCGGTTCCCAAATCCTATAGATCCATGGGTTAGTAAATGTGTTCGTGTTTCAGGCCAGGTGCCACGATTTCAAGACACCTGAAACTCACCTTGTATCCTGGAGGGTCGTCATATGTGAAGATGACATTATAATCGCTTATTCTGTAAAGAACCAATTCAGTAACGCAAGGCGACTGGGGTTTGGAATTTCATCTTTACCCTTGCAAGTAGCATCCAAACCCATCGTCCTGATCAACCCATGACTGGAGATCCGCGTTCCACTTGTCCGCGTAGCCATTGACTGGAATGAAACTTAGCAATTCCTTTCTAATCAGAAGTTAACAAATGATGCATATCAGCGCACATACAGGTGTCTTCATCCATAGGATAGCAGTATACGAAAACAGTATCTGCGTTCCACAGCTTATTGACTAAGCTAGCCTCGAAGATTTGTTGAATTTTGGTTTGGACTTCTTCCATTGTGATTTGATTATCACTTGTGGAGCTGATAATAGGGATGGTTCGCTCATCCAAAAGAGCCCCGTGGTCGAACAGATCAATCAGTTCCGTACTACCACCATCAACGTATGTTGCCCAGGACTGTGTCCACTCATTCTTAAGGTTATCTGCCCAATTCGAAGCCTCGCTGTTAAAATATTATTAGCCCAAATTTGGAAATACCCAATGCCGTACACTTGCAGTGGGACACTTACAGACTCATATCTTCTGAGGCCTCAGAATCAGCCTCCTCGATTGCGTTCAGGCCTTCAGTGACCATGCCCCCAAGGAAAGCACCCATTGCAGTTACCGGGACATCTCCCGTAAGTGTAGTGACAACTACGAGAATTGTACTGATAGCCGTCAGGAACTCGGACCAAAAGAGGCTCATGTCTGGAGGTGGAGGCCAGGTGAAGTCTTTGTACATGCTCGGCGCCAAATTGCTGAAATTGGCGGGCATATCACCAGTTGCTGTGTAGAGGGCTCGCATGATCTAAACGAGAGGTCATTATTCTGGCTTTTCTCAAATTCAAAGGACTTCGAATTTGCAAGGACAGGCCAGGACTAACCTGATTCAAGTTGGCAATGGAGAGAGCGGTGCAATATTCCCACCCTGTTCCCTCCGTTGTGAGCACGCAGTTTGGCGCAACACATGTGTTGCTATCAATTCTTCCACATCCTGCCGAGCCTTGCCCAATTCCCAGCGGGTTGATCATATCGAGAACAAAGTCGTCGCCATCATAACTATCCAAATAGGAAGTCAAGGCAGCCGTGGCATCTATTTTATCCCACATGTCGGCGTCGATGACTCCCGCTAACGACGTGACGCAATGATTAGCGAATTAAACTCATTTTAAGATTCCATCAAAGGGGAACCCAAAGGACCTTCAGGAATGGGAAATGGAGAGGAGAAGGGAAATACGTACGAGCACCAACATCTTGGCAGCTTGCGTCACTTGAGAAATTTGCTGAAAGCTCAATCAATGACTCGGGGTTTTCGCATGAATAGAAGCTTGAGCCCGTCATCTGCTCGCAGTAGTCGCTGGGACAATGGCCATACTGGCAAGCGAAGGTACAGAGACCTCCATAACTGGAATCTAAGGACGAAACTGGGCAGAAATTACCCAGTGTTTCAAGTGGTGGAGAAACAACGCCACCAGTCTCGCTGCAGGTACACATCGGTGTCGGGCAATAGTTGTACTGACAGGTGAATTCACACAGACTCTCGTAGTCGTCACTGCCAGTGCCAGCAATACAGCCGGTCGTGGAAACTTTGCCCGTGCAAGTAGGAAACGACGATTCACTTGGTGCGCTCAAGGATTTGCACTGTGAGTTGAGTGTACTCGAGTCTCCCTGAAGATCCACGGCCCAATCAGACGTGCCGCCAAAGCTGAAACCTTCGTAAAGTAACGACCGGACTGCCTTGTTGCCGTCGGTCATCCAGGCAACCCATTGCGTGTCTCCAAATATCAATATGTCAGAGTAGCTATCGTCGTCAAAGATGTACTTCGAGCCAGAAATGCTAGCATTTGCGTAGGAGATTTCCGCATTTCCAAGGTATCCAGCGGTATCGGTGCAGGAACCTTTCCAGGCCCCAGAGTCGGGTCCAGTGTAGGTGCACATTGGACCATAACAATCTGGAGTCGTCATTTGAAAAGAACGTCCATAGCTGGTAATGCCAACTACGACAATGTTGGAAGCCACACCAGCTTTAGTGATCATCGACAATGCGTTGATAGTCTCTGTCATATTCACTCCAGATCGCAGACAGTTACCATAAGAACAGCCATCCTGAGAGTAGGCATTGCTGTAATCCCATTGCCCATGGAGATCGTATGTCATGAAGATAATATAGTCGACAATCAGGCCAATAGCCTCGATGGGAAACCCTTGTAGATACCAAAACGAGGCTGGGGCGGCAATGGAAATGGATGCTCCAGGGACAGATGATTCCAAGAACTGAACCCGCAATTCATCCAAAAACATGAAGTAGTTAATGCCATCGTCTTCACTTCCTGCTGGAATACCCTCAATATCAGGCTCGCCGGGATATTCCCAATCAAAATCAACACCGTCAAGGCCATTTTTCTCCACAAAGGCAACAACGTTGGAGGCAAATGTGGCGCGATTATCCTCGGTGACCGCCTGACGGAATCGATCGTATGTGTCTGGACTGGTGGAGAAATCCCATCCACCAAATGAAAGGATTTTTTTCCAGCTGGTATCCAGGCTGATGAAGGTGTTAAATTGACTGGTAATATCAGAGACATTGACATTGAAATCGGAGGTGATCGTAGCGAATCCGAGATGCACATGTGTATAATCTTCACTGGCAATGCTTGCGACGGAGCTATCCAAGCAGGGACGTGTCTGATCGTAGGCTTCAAAGTACGCAACTTTTCTGAATTCCGAAGGGGCATCAGACATCACAATTGAAGTTCCACAGTTCGAAATACAACCATTTGTGCCATTCGCTGAAGTGCCGGGAGCCCCCGTACTAGATTCACTAATGGTGCAAAACTCGTCCGTGGTGCCGCATTGTCCCCAAATATCACAACAAGCATTCAGCGGGCATTCATTCATTGTTGTCAAATTTGTGCCTGCGGGCGGAGTTGCTGTACCAGGAACCTGAGGGCCACAGACAGCGCCGATAACCGGGGCAGGCATAGGGGACGAGCCGTCGCTAAGACAGATATAGCTCCCTATTTGAAGATCATTGCAGCCAAACCAGCCCCATGTATCAGCATTCCATTCCTCAATGTCGGAAGTTGTAATATCATAGGCCACTGAAAGGGCCTTGCAAGTATCATCTCTCTGAACCGTATAGCTGTAGCAGGTACCGTTCGAGTACTGTGAAGGAGTGTAGTCAGGGAGTGATCCTGAGGAACAACAGGCATGCTGGCCTGCTTGCAATGTAGTGCAAAAAGAGGAGCTTGGGTTATATTCGGTCAATTCGGCAACGGTAATGCCACATGCCGTTGCGACATCGGCACACAAATCTCCTTCATTGACTTGAGTGGTGGAACAGGTTGATCGAAGATGCAATGCGCGGGCAGCATGGCTTGTAGAGGGCTTGGCCGTGGAGTTGGCGACTTGGCTTGGTACTGGGATGGAAAAAGTGATATCATTCCAGCTCGATGGCGTTCCCAAAGAAGTGACACAAGTGCCATTGGTCCATGATTGGACTGCATGTTGAACCGCAGCGAGATCCCCAGTTGCATCGACGACGATCCCGACTGCATATCGACTACTGCGACTTTCATCACATAGTTGCACAAGGAGTTTTTCAGAAGAGGCACTGGTTTTCAAGGCAGCAATAAACTCCTTTATAACGGTGTCGACGAGACCCTGCTGTTGTATCTGAGCGCCAGCGTAGATACCCACACTAGCCTTGCTATATGTGGCAAAAGCAGCAGTCCCATTACAGGAGGCCTGCTGTTTAACATACTCTTCGAGCTTTTCAGTGACAGCGATCATATCAGAGATCTCGCTTGAGGAGTCCGTTGACACTGTTTGAGCCATCTGCAAACTTGCTGTGACGATCTCGGTCGTCCCAATTGCGCCCTCGCAGGATGCACTGCGGGAAGAGAGCGATGTATCGCCAGCGTCGACAGTACAGGCTCGAATACTCTTCTGTGTATTGCCACTTGACAGTGTGTTGAAGAGTGCAAAATCGAGCATCATAGTTTCATTGCACAATGAAAGACGGTCAACGCTATGATAAACAGACCAATTGCTAGGACTGCTGCCGCTTTCACTGCAGCTTACTGGGCAGCGATTCCTGGCAGCCCGCACAAGGGCAGGATTGGATTTAAGAACGCCATTGATAGTTGCTGTTGGGCTCCCCTGTGTTGTTGACGCGCGGGTCACAGTTGAAATGGGATGTAAACGAAAGTAATCATCCAATTCCGAAGGCAACGCACTAGCCAGCCATATCAGACTGACCAGCACGGCCCAAAGTGAATAAAATAGTCGCATAGAGGAATGCAGTCGCAATGATGAACTATTGAACGAGTGGTTTTTGAATATGGGGCTTATTGCAAAAAATTCCAGGAAACTGGGCTTTTACTTATAGAGCAAAGATGTCTATTGTTTTTTTTTATGACTACATCGCTCTTCGGTACGAGCAGCACATTCAATCCGGATTTAATGCCAGCGGTAAGTAGTTCAGTCTAATTTTCATTAGAGACAAGGCAATCATGTCCGCTCAATTTCCACATGTCCCTCCTATGTAACCCCCCTATTGATGTCCCCTTTGGGACTAGTGCCTTCTATCCCACCACTTAGGCTTTACCTCTCGTAGATCTTCTTCTTCTCCTTGTTGCTACCTAATATTACACTACGTACTATATTATATTACTTCCACTTTCTCTCGTATAGGTTATGAGCCTAGAGCTTACGAGCACTCTCACTAAGTAACTCGTTACTTCTATTCTAACCTCGCTATCGCTAAGCTTCTGCACGAGTCTTATTTATACGCTCTATAGCTACTTCTCTATAGTACCCTACCTATAACTACGTTATACCTAGTTACCCCTCTAAGTCGAATTTCACGTGTATCTATATATTAGGTTAGTCTAATATTTCCTCTTTCTATATATATTATCTATCTTTTCCATTAGATTCTATTAATAAATCTATAACTTATTAATCCCTCTAGTTAATATAATATAAGTACTTACTACCTTTAAAATTAATAGTTTTTATATATATAGATTAAGTAGATCTATATTTAGTTAAGCTTATCTACTCTTCTACCCCTCGCGTAAGCTTAGTAACCCTAGCTTATATATATAATTAATAAGCGCGCTATATTAGTCCCCTTATAAGAAGGACTTTAATAGTTTATATAAAGATCCTAAGTTATTAGATAATAAGCTTATAGATTAACTAGATTAACTCTCTACTAAGCTAACCCTACTAGTATAGTAGCTATATAAATAGCTATCTAGTATATTCCTATACTATATAGCTAATAATATAGCTAAATAATATTACCTTACTAAGGGTATTAATCTATTAGTATATAAGTCTACTCTAATTAGGACTCTATCTTTATAGTTAGTATCTTCTCTACTATCCCTATCTCTACTACTATCTCTATATATATAGGCCGCTTCTCTAGTTAAGATATCTTTTACCTTTAATAAGTAGAACTCTTACCTAGACTTATTCCTCTTTAATACTTAGTATAAGATTAAGCTCTTAAAGGAAGTAGACTAGGATTAGTAATATATAGGCCTAAAAAATAGTCTTAACACTATTAATAAGTGTCTCCTATATATACTAGATAGCTACTTATGCCCTCTAAGTAAAAATATAACTAATAAATAACTCTATATAGTAGTCTATCTAGTATATAGTACCCTATATAATAAGATTATACTAAAAGAGATTATATAATATAAGATAGAGATTTTAGAGTATATCCTTAATTACTATATACTCTTATATATTAGTTCTATCTATCTTATAAAGTCGCTCTTAAACTCTACTAAATAATATATCTATAGCGTTAAGGGTTTCTATAAGGTCTTTAACTCTTTATAAAAGTAATATACTATAAGTAATTTCTATATAAAGTATTACTTATTTAATAAGTAATTAAAAGTTAGCTTTAATAAGAGAGAGTCTAGTATAATATTTCTAAGTAAATTCTAAGTAGCTTAGAGTCTTTATAAATTATCCTCTAAGTATATATTACTAAAGATTATTTTTTAACTATTCTTAGTAGTAGTTTTAGCTAATCCTAATAGTACTTACTTTATTAAGTTACTAATATATATAGAGATTAATTTAACTACTATAGATAATATATACTTATATCTCTAAGCCTTCTATAGCTCTAATCTCTTTAAACTTAACTATATAGCTACTACTACTATATTTACTACTTCTACTATATTAAATATAGCTCTATATGATTATAGAGCCTTATAAGATATAAGAGATAGTTATAGAGGATATAGAGATAGAGACTATAGTTATAGAGGGTTAGAACCTAATACTAAGAAGGATAAAATTCTAGAGATAGACTATTAAGTAGTCTAATACCTTTACTATAGTAAATTTAGTAATTACTATCTATTATAGTATAAGCTATTAAAAGATATTAAGAAAGTAATTACTATAAAGTAGTAAGCTACTACTACTACTACTATTATAACCTCTATTACTAAGGAGACCCCTATTATACTAGTAATCTCTAATTTAACTACTAGATATTAGTAGATAAATACTATAGTTATATCTTAAGAGTAGTTAGCTATTACTAACGCCGCTAAAAATCTACTTAGGTAGATACTAGACTTAGGTACTATAGTATATATAATATTATATTAATCTTTATATATTAATTATATATACTAATATATATCTATATAGATAGCTATAGATAATATATTCTAGATAGAAGGATATAGAGATATTATACTAGATCTAGCTATTAAAGATAGGTCTACTATAGGTTCTATTACCTTATATAAGATATATTATACCCCTACTCTTATAGTGTCTCTAATCTCTATCTTTAGCTTATTAAGTTAGGGAATTACTATATAATTTAATATCCTATATACTATTCTAGCGCTTAAGGGTTCGCTAGAACCTATAGGATATATATAGCTTAATAGCGCCTATTTTTAGTTAAATATTAGTTCCTTAAATACTATCTTATTATATATAACTATAAAGGACCCCTTATCTCTCTCCCTATCTATAGGTATATATTATAGTACTATAAAACTAATAGATAGAGCGATATCTATATCTCTTAAGCTCGCTTACTATAGAATAGTATATATAGATAAATATTAAGTTAAAAATATAGTTAAATATATTAATAGTATTACTCTAAAGCCTAGAACTACTATACTAGACTACTATATACCCTATATTAAAGGTAAGGGATATATACTTCTATTTAGGAAGAATAAGTATATTAAATCTATCTCTAGCGAGCTACTATATATAGATATCTAGGGCCCTATATCTATTAGAAGTATATATTATTAACGCTACTTCTTAACTATTATAGATAACGCTTCTTACTTTATCTAGCTATATCTACTAATATTATAAGATAAGGTTCTTAAGTACTATAAGTAAATTAAAGCCTTTCTCTATATATAGCTTAATATAATAGTATATTATATATATAGAGATAATACTCTAGAATATATATTATTAGTAAAATATCTAGCTAAGTAGGGTATTATATAAGATCTTATATCTCTATATACCCTATAGCTTAATAGTATAGTAGAGATTAAGAACTAGTAGCTTATAGAGCTACTTATAGTAATTATAATAGAGTATTAGTTACCTAAGTATTTTTAGGGTAAGGTTATTTAGGGTATAAACTATATCTATAACTATCTTTAGTATAGTAAGATTAAGTATATACTATATAAAGCTTTATTTAGCTAAAAATTTAATATTTTTACGCTTTAAGCGCTTAGCTACTAGTACTAGTATCTATTTAATAAGTCTCTCTATTTTACTAAGCTATACTCTTATATATATAAAGTATATCTACTTAGTTATAATAAGCGTAGAAATTACTTACTATATAATATAGAGACTAAATCTCTTATCTACTTATAATATATAATTTTTAATAAGAATACTCTCTATAATATCCTATAGTTAAGTAATATAATATCTTATATTTCTTACTAAGATAGCTTATAGGATACTATTATTAATATATCTACCCCTAAGTAATATATATTACTTAAGTTTATTAAGAACTTATACTCTATATCTTCTCTATTCTTATCCCTAAGGGGCCTAGCTATCGCGCTAGAACTAATTCTATTAATTAACCCCTTCTTTACGCTATTAAAATAGCTTATAGATAGTAACTAGTAGTTCTAGAATAATATAGGGGATACTATTATAGAGGTATAAAGTAGTAATAAGATAGTTACTTATAATAATATTTAGGATATTAAATTAATAGAGGTTATAGATAATAATAATATACTACTTAATAAGATTAAACTACTATATTACTTAGATAGAGCTTAGAGACCTCTAAATTATCTACTTAACTCTAAATTTTAAGCTTATCTAACTATTATATATATATATATACTATTAGCGCCTCTTAATATAGAACTAATATATATATTTATTACTATAGAGTATCTTCCTATACTTTTTACTACTATAATTACTATATTAGGATATAGATTTAAACCTTCTATCTAGAAAGAAGCTATAAACTATCTAGAATAGGAAAAATAAAGGGCCGCTACCTATAGAGAGTTCTAGAACTATATCTATAATAGTATATAGTATATAGTGCCTAAGAAAGTATATATAAAGCTTTTACCTATAAAATAGGTATTTAAGATTAAGTTAGATAGTATATATAAGGCGCGCCTAGTAATTAAAGATTTTAGATAAAGAATTATAGAATTTAGAGATATCTATATCTTTATTACTAAGTCTATAATATTTAAGGTCTTTATTACTATTATAGCTTACTACTAGTAATATCTCTACTATATAGATATTATAGTTATTTTTTTATATACTAAGCTTAAGGAGGCCCTCTATATAGAGCTTTCTAAGCCCTTTAATATTAATTACCCTAATATATATAGTCTACTATAGAAGACTCTATATAGCCTTAAGTAATTACTAAGAGAGTAGTTTAATCTTATATAAGATATTCTACTTACTAAAGGCTTTATATAGGCTATATTAGACTATTACTTATTTATTAAGAATAATATCTTTCTACTTATATATATAGATAATATACTAGTATTATCTCTATTAGAAGCTACTATTAAGGCCTTTAAACTATACTACTATATTACTTTAATATTATAGATAAGGGTCTAGCTATAGAATTCCTAAATATATAGATTCTATATAGTTCTAATAGGAGAATCTACCTAAGTTAGTATATATATATTAAAGCTTATCTTTATTACTTTAGATATAATATAATTAAGTTATATACTAAGCTATATAATAATAAGATTATATTAACTAAGTATAAATTATAAGCTATATTACTTAAGATTAGAGCTTTCTAAGAGTATATAGGTTATCTTATCTAGCTACTTATTAATATATATATTAATATAGCTTATATAGTAACTAAGCTTATAAGATATACTTAGAATCTAGGTCTATAGTATAATATAGTAATATAGAAAATATAGAGATATCTCTCTAGATCTAAGAACCTAGTTATATCCTACTTACCTATCTCGCTATTATTAGAATAAGCTACTTTTCTATATAGTTTTATAGACTCTAACTAGATAGGTCTATATACTAAGACCCACCTTTCTATCTTAGGATATCTCTTTAAGCTTACTAGTATTACTATTAGCTAGTAGTTAAAGAAGTAGATATTTATTACTTTATTATCTATAGAGGTAGAATATATAGATTAAAGTTATACTATATAAGAGCTTATATAGCTTATTTTACTTCTTATAGAGCTTATAGAGCTCTTTAGTATATCTAATCTTTACTTATTTAGTAAGCTAGTTAATATCTTTACTAATAATTAAGGTACTATAGCGCTTATCTCTAATCTAGAGAATTATATATACTTTAAGTATATAGATATTAAGTTCTACTTTTAGTAAGCTTAGATTAAAGCTAGTAACTACTACTTTATATATATATTAATAAAGAATATACCTATAGATAGCCTTACTAAGCTACTACTAACTATCTTATTCTATCGCTTTATTAAGCTAGTAGGTTTAATAAGCTTTATAGCTTAGTTAACTTACTTAGTTAGCTTAATTTAATCTCTATTTCTATACTTCTATACCTATCTAACTATTTCCTAGATTTTTTACTATTTTTATAGTATTCTATAGCGATACCCCTTATAATACCCCTTTTACCTTATTTTTTACTATCTACTATAGCTTATTCTTACCTATTCTAGTAACTTTATAATAGCCTAGACCGCCTTTTTATATACTTGGTTTTTCGCACTTATTTTCTGAGCTTCTTTATATATACGTAACTTTCGAGGAGAGGTGCCTATGACTAGTATATTAGGCATGGAGGGTGTTAATGTCCCCTTTAGGACTAGTGCCTTCTATCCCACTACTTAGGCTTTACCTCTCGTAGATCTTCTTCTTCTCCTTATCGCTACCCAATATTACACTACGTACCATATTGTATTGCTTCCACTTTCTCTCGTATACCCCCTATATAACCTAGGGGCCAGGACCAAGTAAAGCAGAGTTTTAAGGGTCTCACTAGTTTGATTCTGTTGGCGGATAAATAACTATGCACGCAATCCGCCACATACTCCACAACGGGGGAGATCTGGTGCTAAGCGTCGCTAAGAAAATGCTTTGCCGACCAAGAAGGTCGCGCTCTTACTAGCGCCATATAACTGACATACCATGTTCATATGGCACTCATTGACCTGACTGAGTCCAACCCTAGTTATTCTGTATCATCCACTCTATATGGTCTTTCAAAATCAAACTCTCAAGTACTCAATTAGCCATGCTCGTACTAGTCCGTACTGTTACGACCACGTTCCCACATAATTGATCAAAACGATGACCAAGGCATCGGGAGGGAAAAGGTACTATTGAGTCTCGGTCAGACCCTCCAGGTCTAACCATCTTTGAACTTGCACTTTGAGTACAAGTGCACTTCGAATTAAAGCGCAATACACATTTCTAGCATTAGGTTGCCCAGGTGGATAACTCAGATTGCAGCCTTTGCGACACTTTCCAATGACTTTACCAGAGCTTTCTCAATGAAGAACCCGAAATGAATTTTGAATCTTCTAAAAAGGCAAATTCGGCGCCCGAACTACATATCAAGCAAGCGGAAATACAACACCTTACGCTCGATTACATACCTTCGCCAGGGAACTTGGAATCAAAATTTCACGCTAGGCCTCCAAGGCTGGATCTTTTTTCTGGTGCCGGAGCACAAGAGGCCTTAGAGTTAGATTGAACGCCACTTGACAGGCGAACTCCGGACAAAATCTCGAATGTCACTCTATCATTTCACGGATGAAGATTTGACCTTCGTCTATGGCTCTAAGCTAGAGTCGGCCCATCATTCCTCGGTAGAGAAGGGATCAACAAATACCGAGAGCCTTGGAGGAGGGTATAAAAACCCCTGCGATGAGATCCCATCAACAATCAATCTCCTATCACGGACCTCCAAAGATTGCACTTGGGCCTTGGCTGTTAAACATGAGACTACTATTCTCACCTCTAGCCGTTATTTTCGGCGTCCCGTTGGCAGCAGGCTACCTCGTGGCCCCTCCAGGAACTGCTTTTCCAGGTACTATCTCAACTTGCAGTGCATGGGTTGCGTACAGCACGGGCCTTACATGTGACGAGATTGAAAGCACCTATGGACTTACTGCGGCTGAATTTGCTGCATGGGTGAGTGATCAGCATGATCATATTTATTTCAATGTTTGCGGCTAATTTAATGACACCCTAAGAACCCGGACTCTGCTTTGACCGGCTCTTGTTCACTTATGAGTGGCTTCGACTATTGCGTTCAGGTCAATTATGGCACGGCCTCTTCTTCAACTTCTGCTACGTCGACATCGAGCACTTCATCCATTCCAACTACCTTTGTCACCACAACAACCACATCGGCAGGAAATGGCGTATCTACACCCACTCCAACTCAAGTCGGAATGGTTGAAAACTGCAACAGCTTCTATATGGTAGTCAGCGGTGATACCTGCGCCAGCATTGCTGCCGCAGCCGGAATTTCTCAGGCTGATTTCTATGATTGGAACTCCGGTGTCGGCAGTGGCTGCTCATCTCTCTGGCTTGGATACTATGTCTGCACTGGCGTGATCGGATCTACCCCCACAACGACTGCGGTGACCACAACTTCAGCTGGGAACGGAGTTACCACTCCGACTCCTACCCAGGCCGGTATGGTCGATGACTGCAATGGGTTCCATCTGGTGGCCAGCGGCGATTCTTGTCAAACCATCGCTACCGCTGCAGGAATTGCCCTCGCAGATTTCTATGATTGGAATTCCGGTGTTGGTAGTGGCTGCTCATCTCTCTGGCTTGCATACTATGTCTGCACTGGCGTGATCGGATCTACCCCCACAACGACTGCGGTGACCACAACTTCAGCTGGCAACGGAGTTACCACTCCAACTCCGATCCAACCCGGAATGGTTAGTAACTGCAACAAATTCCACGATGTTGTTAGTGGCGACGGTTGCCAGACCATTGCCAATGCGGCAGGTATTACTTTGACCCAGTTTGAAACATGGAACACCGAAGTGGGCAGTAGCTGCTCTACATTGTGGTTGGGATATTACGTTTGTATTGGGATCCTTTAGCGGTCTTCATTTAATACCGCAGTGGAGCCATCCTTTAGGTGGTTGATTAGAGCAGACTGAGTTAGTGAAAATTGAGTAGGGGTCTGATCGCGTGACCGCATGACCCCTTGGACCACTTCCCTAAATACGACGGGCCCCCTAGTTCTACACCAAATTACATTGGGTTAACTAAACGAAAACTTGGCGGGGCGTTTCCTTACCGCTAGAGCCGCTAAAACCCAACTAAGCCTCAATGTTGTTTAGCTTATTCCCATGCATGTCGAGGCGTTGTACAGCCCAACTATGGGAGTCAAGCAAACATATCTGTGCTTTGAGATCATTCCAGGATAAGTTAGGCGCAACATGGCGGAGAAATTCGGCAGCTCAGAAAGACTCACGAGATCTCGCGAGAGGCACGGCGCTCCTGGGTATAGACCTTAATATGCTGTAGGGTAACTGTATCCAAGAAAGGTTCGGGATAAATGGGGCAAATAAATAGAAGCGGGGTAGTTTTAGTTGGATTGCCCGGAGGAACTAATTTAGTCAGGGTCACATCGTGCCTGCAGCCACTAGGCCTACTAGTCACATCGGGTGGGCGCCTAGGGCCTAAGGTGACCCTTAGTTTGGCCTTCACCGCCGAAATAATTTGGCTCTTTCATACCTTTTATTCCAGGTAATGTTTCTTTTTTCCTTTCCCCTTTGATCCAGTTTATACTCCGAAGAACATTTCATGTTAATACCCACTTTTCTTCTTCGACATAGCATGATGAGAGAAGTTCTGCTGCTCCTTGCTTGGTGCCTTTTTTACCCCCTGATTGTCTCCACGGAGGCAAGTTCGACGTACAATGCATCTCTTCCATTCCGACCAAGCAATGTGACAGGTCTCAGTGATATCTACCTTTGGGTTGGATCGTATGTCTAAGTTTATATACTACCTCATCTACCCTAACCACTCTAACCAGCTTGAGTAACCCCTTTAATAGATATTACAATGCCACAACGAAGATAGAGTTCACACCAGAGATCGGATCGACCACCAACACATCAGTATGCTCAAATCTTCAAGGTCAAAGATTCACTACAGAATTTCAATCTATCCTCGCTATCACCGAAAGAGGCCCTTATAATATCGGCTCGAATCCAGTAAACGCGCTTTTGACTCTCTGGAACTCTGGTACAGACTTTTCATCGGTTCTAAACATCTCCGACACGTCTCCATGGTCCTCATCAGCCCTTCGATGGTATCTCGAGTCTGCCCCGTGAGTTATCCACATACCTAGGTATCATAACTTATAGGAAACTCCGTATCTAACTTCTTCTAGCTGGGTGATTTATGCGAAGAATTCCACGACTCAAAGTGACTCGCCCTACGATTCCGTCAATGATATATTCAACTTGACGTTATCGCGCGACACTAGGGACGCTCCATATAATATAACAGGGACTATTAAGAACGCAGATATGATGCTAGATACGTTCGAAATGGACTTAGAGTCGTGTAATACTGCTATTGAAACCAAGCAGAATTCCATATCGCTAGTTGATCGCGACTGGTCTAATAATGCTGGCTGGAACTGGACATACCCAGTAGTTGACCTACAATTCGACAGCCGAACCGCAAATTTCACTCTGAATGGATATGCCGCTGGCCTTCCGTATCGGATTTCCTATACCGAGGGTGGCCAAAATATACAATTTGGCCCAGATGAGGTACAGGGCAAGATTAAGATTTCCTACTTCGGGGTCATCGATCTCTACCACTCGGATATCCTGGTCAATACCAGCGCGACGCCAACCTGGGTGAGAACAGTGGGATTTGGAAACAATTCCATGAACATCGGCTATGATAATGGTGGGGCTTTGGGCTGGCATTGTCCATCCTATTGGGAGGCCACTGCAATTAGCTGCATTATTTCCTTGACTTTGATGTATTCATAATTCCCGAGAAGAAAGTATATATGTATCCTGACATCTACCTGCATATAATCACTACTATTATTCTGATCTTAGCAAGCATCAAGGTTACACATAACTTTTTATGATCTGCAAAGTGGTCTATGCATTGGAATGTACAACTCTGTCTGCCCATGCTCTGAACAGGTTAACTATATACTAGATCAAATGCTTGGCGGAGTAACAGATAGTCCTATAGGAACACATAATTACGTCTGGGCTTCGCGATAAAATGCATGGATATCTATGCTTAGCAAGAAGAACTTAAAGCCGTACTGAAGCGGCCCGGCGTTCCTGCCCTGCGAGAAAATCAAAGCAATATAGCACGCATGCTCCATTGGTTCATCACAGCTTGTCGAGGATATCGAGTGGTGGGTTTGGACTTTTATTGTCGACCTCCATCTCAAGCGTTCGAATGGGATATGTTAGGTCGTCGTCGTCGTCATCATTGAGCATGGTGATGTTTGTGATGACACGTCCGTAGAGAGAGCCGAGATTCTCTTCGACATCAAGCTGGTCGCGGGTGGTGATAAGCGTGCCGGGGGCAATAAGACAGAGGTTCACTCATCCGGTGTTCTTCTTAGTCCCGGATAGAAGCAGAGAAGAGCTTAGGTGATTGGATTGGGGACGAAAGCAGTAAGCATATGAGGGAGTGGCGGAAGGGCTCAAAGTGGCCAAACAAAGGATGATCACGTACTTGCAAATGCACCTTTATCATTCGTGCCCGCCTATATAGTCACGGCGGATGTTCTGGCACGTCTCTTGCGCTGGCCCGTTTGATAGCATTTGACCCGGACTTGCTGCCTGTTGAAGCCGAACATCTAGAAATATTCTCGTCCAATCAGAAATCTCGGTCTCCTTATCTAGGAAGCATAGTAGATGTGATTTTTCTAGAATAAGGACATTGTCAGATTAAGTTGTATCTGACACGACTTGCTCATATCTGACGTTGTGTCTGCCTTGACGAGTAGACGCCGTGGCTCTTTTGCTTCATTGCCTCGTGGATGAGACGGGCCATGCCCCGATTTTTGCGGGATTGAGCAACCTCCGCTGGCAATGCCAAAATACAAGGTAAGTTCGGGCCCTGGAGCAATCTGCTCACCATTGTAGGATCCTCCCGCTTAACTGCTAATAGCAGGGCTGTCTCGCCCCAACGATTGATTACGTCAATATGGATGCGAGGATGCCTAAGCAACGTTTCTAGTATGTCTAGTCTCCCGTCACGAATGGCCACATAAAGCGCCGTCTCCTTATTGGGATAGTTCAACTAGTTAATCTGTAGCCGATCCCCCTGCTAGACCAGCAATTGAACCATATCGCGATGGCCCTCCTTAGTTGCTAAAAGAAGCGGCGAGTCACTGCATTTGTCTATGGCATTGACTTATGTCTTTGTGTGGGTGAGGAGTAATTTCACCCCTGCGGTGTTTCCTTGTTGTATAGCTAGATAAAGAGGAGATTGGGAGCTCCCGCGTAGATTCGGATCTAGACTCGGCTGACTTAGAAACCACGTAAGGACGTTTATATCTTTTCTTTTTGCTAAATGGTGGAGCGAAGTAGACGGAGTATCGTATTTCCCACGCGCTCTGAGCGTATTGATCTCCACTTTCTTCTCTTGTAAAAGCCTCTGCGTGACACGATCTTAGAATGAATAGGTAGACCACCACAGCGTAGTCCTGCCGTGACGGTCTTGACGGCTTAGGAGAGTCTTCGCGTGACGGAGCAGAAAATCTACCGCTAAAAGATGACCGGCCCTGGCCGCTGTGTGGAGTGGTATCAGTCCCTATTAATCCGCTGTATTAAGAGCTTCTCCCTAGAGGCGTAGTATTCGTAATGTAGACGTATCTCCGCGGCTAGCGGCTGATGCTACCGTTTCCCCGCTTCTAGCGAGCGTTTTATTAGGCGACACGAATCTAGGGGAGGTCGCCTTCTAGTGATTAAGTAATAGAACTACGATCTAGCTCCTATTGCTGGTGCATACTTAAATCTATGGCGATATTCTAAACTGATCTTTCGCGTTAGGGTTAGCACCGCTTAAGAGTAGCTAGCACACTAAGTCTTTATTATCTTAAAAGACCGTAAGCTAGAGCACGGTTTAGCCCTCGTAGTTTAGTAGGTCGATTCTAAGTTAATGGTGTTATAGGAGCTAATATATAACTATAGATAATGACTTACTTACTATATTAAGCTATAACGCACTTTCTCTTTAGTAGTTTCTTATATTTATATATAGTTTTTTCTTCTATAGTAAAAGGTTAATTACCTACCCTAAACTATATTTTATAGCCGTTATAAGAGGAGAAAGGCCATTAATTTATATATTAATATTAACGCCGGTTAGTTAGTAGTATGGTGGGTGACCACATGCGAATCCTGACTGTTGTATGTTTTTGTTTTTTCCTTTTATTTCTACTCGCGTTAGGCGTTAGAAATAGAAAGTGTGCTTCGATTTTCACCAGTGTGAGACATATTAAATTCTGTCAGACCCTAGAGATCAGGTGTCCTAGCCCCTGTCTGATCTTACTCCTCTTTGTACCACACCACGCCATATTATTCTATTTGTTCGTTTTCTTCCCGTCTAGTCTCATATTACCCTCGATTCGACCAAGGTGCGTCTTGACATCTTCCAATACCTGCTTATGCTCATACGACCATGGGTCTCCATTACTGACCTTATCATAATCAAGATGGAGATCGTAAGTCTCCAGTGCGTGAGTCACCAATCAGACGATTACCTGTTGGGGAGCCTTTTCACAAAATCATCATTCTTGCTGACTAAACACATACACTCTGAGTTAGAGACATCTAATATTGCCACCCTGTGCCCTAATTCTTGCCCCTTTTAAGTTCAAAAGAAATTGAAAAGGCGCAAGCGCCAATGCAATCAACGCCAAGAGACTGTTTTCCTACCACATACTCAGAGAATCTGTATGGGCCCTGACCCGCGAGAGGCAACAAGCCCTCAGCCAAACTTCTAAGAATTTTTCATCGCCGCCAACGCGGAGGTAGAATGTATCGTAAGTATATTGACCAGATAAAACTGAGCGGATTGGAAGATGCCCATCATGGCAAACCCAAGAATCCCCAGCCCAACTACTGGGACGACTGAGGACGCATCTCCCTTTGCAGCGACCACCCATACCAAAGGACACCTATGGGAGCGACCAGGCCTGAAGGGAGCATAGGCCAAATATACTTCTCGTCAGAGTTTGTGAGTCTTTGGTTTCGACTTTGAATAGAGACAAAATGACCACTACATTAATTGTACCTTGAAGGGTCGCCAAAATCGTTCACATTCGAAATCCATCATCGGCCATAGTTGTGAGTTGTACCAGTATACTATAAACAGATAAGCTCCCCTCCTTGATGGGACTTGCAGTTTGATTTAAACCACGAGGATATTCACCGACTCCACTCTAATTGCTAGATCTATCTTTGAGATGTTCTTTCTGTTTATTTGTCGCCGAATTTTGACCGTGCTCACAAACTTCAAGAAGCCTTAGAGCCCAGCCCAATTTGAGGCGCTTTCAGATGAGAACGGCTGCCCCCTTTCTAACCGAGTTCAATGCATTCACCAATCCTCCGATCGTAGCGGACTTCAAAGTGTATTCATTTTTGCGAAGGATCATGAAGACCACCTGCCTGTCAAACTTCTTGGCAACGAACACCAAGGTGACGTGAAACATATATTACGAAGCTGCAGAACCATTGGTTACCAAAGCTGCGGATGGAATTTGAGTTTAAGATTTTGGTTGAAGTGATTTAAACCATTACTTGATCTGACAACAGGACAATTTTCTCCTTGCTCGCTCGACTTGACCTACATTCCTTGGGCGAAAAGAAAATAGCAATTGAAATAAGACGTGAGCTTGGGAAGATTGAAAGTTGCTCCAATATATGCTCTTCTAATATGAGAAAGCGAGATCCCGCGCACGAAGACGGAGGCCACCCAGAGGGCCCCACGGGGTATGTCCCTCAATCATCAAATTTGAAACACGATCGAGCCAGAAACCAGTACAGTGAGCCCACAGAAGCCGTAAAACATAACGCGGCGATAACGGACTTAGCCAACCGCATATACTTGCTTCTTTGGGTATGGATTGGCATGCATAACCCGTCGGCTTCTGCGGATAACCCCAGCCTGTACTCCACAGCGGCAAATGTGAGGAGTCCACACTCTACCGTGGAGATCTAATTTTCGATATCAGAAATTTGCCACGAGATAGTGGAAGTTGGTTGTGACACATAGATCAGGTTCTAGGATGGAATTGTCGCCAGCAGAGTGACATTTAGATAAGAGCATTTTGTTCAGAATGTGAAAGTGCTTGTTTGTCATAACAATACTCATTTTCATAAGATGAAAATCAATTTTCGTGTAGTCTCAAAGAGATGAAGTCTACAAAAAGCTTGGTCCCCCAAATTATGCAAGGCTCTCCAAGTACCCAATCTTTCAATATTGTTTCACTGGGTTTCAAGCAGTGCGTAGTAAAAGGTATCTCAAGGCACTTGTCCATAAATATTACTACACAAGCGTCAGTGACTTGTCAGCATATTCAATTGTGTTTTGACCAAACAACCTGTCACCAAACATAAGCTTTTGGACCCCTTCCTACCCTACCATCCGCACTTCATTTAATGTGAAACAGCAATCTTGATACTGGCTTCTGATTTGCTATTTACAATATATAGAATGCCGGTAATTACTGTTTTGAATATAGGGCTTCAAGAGCCGTCAGCTGCCGATCCAATGTGCGTTCTTGTTCTGTGAAATAAAGTGGACCGAGAATGTTCCCTTGATCTGTAATGAAACGAATCAATCAAGAATGCGAGATCTAGATCCTAAATTCCCCTATACCGTGAGTTAAAGTATATGGCAGGACGTTTCAGGGTTGGAGCTCATTTCCCTAGGAACGTATAAATCAAGGGCGGTTCGTAGCAAAGATTTTTATCCTACCACATTCATTCCGCCAAGTTGCTGTACCTCCAGGGCTCAATATGAAGTTATTCATGATCTCAGTTTTGTCGGTTTTATCGTCTTCTGCGATTGCCTCTCACCCTCATCATCTTCCTCATGGTCGCCACGGTGAGGTTCTTCACTCTCTTCATGGAAAGAGCCAAGAAACTGCTTTGACCACTTCTATGACTTCGGCAGCAACTGTGCTACCTTCCTCATCTACACAAAGCATCGTCACTCCAGCTTCTTCTACTCCAAGATCAGTAGCGTCTACTTCAGTACCCTTGACCTCCGGCACCCCAACTACTTCCGGCACCGCAACTACTACTGGAGCTTCATCGACATGGGTGCACCCAGGAGTCTTTCTGAGTTCTTCTCAAATGAGCTACTTCTCCTCCAAAGTATCCATCAGTGAGCAACCCTGGGCCACTGCATGGATTGCAATGACGGAACACGAATTTGCTACCCGCACAACCCCCACCCCCTATGCAACAGTGGAGTGCGGCCCGTATTCAACTCCGGATGTTGGCTGCACCAATGAGGTCGAGGATGCCCTTACTGCGTATCTGAATGCATTGGCCTGGGTAGTAACTGGTTTGCAAACTCATGCTGACCTTGCAATTACTTTCATGAACGGGTGGTCTAGTACCGTGAAGGGCCATACAGGCTCCAATGGGCCCCTACAGGCAGGCTGGGCAGCTTCAAGCTGGAGCCGTGCGGCCGAAATCATTCGTTACACTGACGCTGGCTGGAGCGATACGGACATTACCATGTTCGAGGACATGCTTAGGGATGTGTACCTCCCTGCAGTCATCCCTGGATCGGATTATATGGGCAATTGGGAATTAGGTAAATTGATCCTTACGAAAATTTATGTCTGACCCATGGCTCATAATATTATAGTCATGATGGAGGCCGCTTTGGGAATTTCCGTGTTTATTGAGAACCGGACGAGCTACGACATTGCAATGGATAAGTTTTTGACACGGGCAGCAGCATACATCTATTTGACGAGGTTGGTTTTTTTCCCCCTGGGTCAAAGACTTGATGTCTAACCTCCATTTCAACTAGTGATGGCGACCTCCCAAATGCTATTGATGAATCGACAGAGGAAGATCTTATTGAGTACTGGTTCAACCAGACTACCTTTGTTGATGGCATTGGCCAGGAAACCTGTCGAGACTTTGGCCACATGGGCTATGGTATTGCTTCAATCTCGCACGTTCTAGAGACATCCCGCATTCAAGGTCGGGATTTGTATACTGAAGAAGTTGGATCTCGTCTCCAATATGCACTGGACTTCCATACGACATATGAAAATGGAGCCGCGGTTCCAGATTGGCTATGTGATGGCAGTGTGACACTTGGAATTGCCCAAGGTAAGTAATGACTTGATCTAGTCTCATATATATGTACTGACGAGGGACGAAAGTGACCGAGCCTGGTCTCAATGGGCTCTCATATCGCCTAGGTTATGCCATGAACCAAACCGAAGTTTATACCGTGAACGATCGCCCCGAAGACACTAACATTGTTTTCGTTGGATGGGAAACGCTTACACATGCCATGAACCCTGCTTAGGTTTGTTCAGCCTTAGATGACCAAGGGAAATATGAGAAATCTTATCCAAACCTCACTCTTTTCAATACTGTTAGAAAAGCATCAATTTTCTCCGTCTCCCCGCTGCACTCTTCACTTGTATGTTTGCGTCTCTATGGATATGTCGATAGTCCAAAGGTCTTCTCTCCTATGGCTCCTGATTTGACAGGCTTTTGGGAAACCTCCAGAGCATATGCAACCGGCGGGTTCCACATACAAGTGTTTCATGTACTCTGTATAGGTTTATAGGTTTATAGCAATCGGTCCGTTGTAACATTCATGAAAGCGTCATCATACACTTCCTCGTCTCGCGGAATAGCTGCAACATCCAAAGGAAAGTAGTTCGAGGTAATCGAAGGCCCCTGAAGTGATTCGTTACTGCATGAAAATAAAATACGTGACTTTGTATCTTTATCTATCAATAAGGGTATAACATTTTTTTCATCCTCGATGATTGAAGCAAGAATTGTTTTTTTTCTGGTGTTAGACAACTATCAATTTGAAGGAGAAAGGATTCAACTGTTTGAGTAGCTCCAGATGTAACAGTCATGAGTGTGGAAAGGTACCAATATTTTCATTGGTCTTCACATGCGTCACAATAAATGTGATGAGCCACTCGACATGAATCTAAGACTAATCAGTTCTTGATACGAGACCACGCTAAGAAGTTAACACTTGCTACCTTCTCATTGCTTACTCTTTCATGAGATCGAAGCACGGCAGTTTGTCGCCTTTATCTCGTTCAGGATCTCACATTCTACTGTTATCAATCCGCATGGATATCGAATGCGTTTGAAGTGCCTCGTAATTCGAAGATTCTTCTGTCTTTACAATGACAAGAACGTTGTGATATAATGCTGGTGAAGGTAGGGAAGGTATTTTGGTTGCAACAGTGTTCCCAAGATAGAAATGAAATATTATATCAGGTTCAATATGTATATTTGTGAATGAGATCTACAGATGGTTATCACTGCAGCTGCTATTGGCTGGGCGTATCAATTGCCTAAACGGGCCAAAGCTGAACTTTGCTGACACGATCCTCTCGACCCCTCCCAAGGCTCCCTCCACAGGGCGACCTTAACCTGCCACTTTGGGCAAAGTTAATAAAGGACGAAGACAACGCGAATGCCGAACACCGGTCAATACAGCCGACGCTGCTATTCATGTCGACAGCGACACTGCAAGGTACGGTGTTTTTGTTATTCACAAATGCATTATATTTACTGATCAACTTAATTATAGTGCGATCTTGCACGTCCCTCCTGTGGTCAATGTCTACGTGCAGGAAAGACTTGTTCGGGTTATCGAGATGACGGTAGCATGCGCTTCCGCATTATCAACCATTCATCGTTCCAACCGGGCACGAGGCGTCAAAATCGAAAGATACGTTATGAGGACCCACCGATGGTCAAAGAGAGCTCCACTGAAGAAAGCGAGACCCCTTCTGTTCAGATAATATACGAGCCCTCCCAGGTGTGGAGCCACCATGTGATTCCATTGGTCTTGGACAAGTTTACTGTTGACCTCGTGGATACAAGGATAGATAGTAGCATGTTCGCTACTATTCCACGCATTATATCCAGTACGAATGAAGGTTCCTCAGTCTACTCAGTCTGCAATGCCATCGCTTGTGCATATCTAGCTACTACAACGGGGACAACGGCTGCAACTGTCAACAGAGCTCGGGCGTATGGGACGGCACTAAAGACCGTGAATGCAGCTTTGAATGATCCTATTGAGTGTAAGAGTGACAGCACGTTGTTGGCCATTTGGATGTTTGTTGTGTACGAGGTAAGGTCTATCGGTGGAAAATTATGGTGCTGGAGAACTGATTGACAAACAGTTCCTATCGAATCCCCACCTCACAACTATTGCAGGATCTGAAGAGGGAGACCGTCACTGTCGAGGAATGGCCTCTTTGATTAGGCTTCGAGGCTCGGAGCAGTTTTCTAGGCAGGATGGACGGAATCTCATTTGGTTTGTCTGCCATTGCACTGTGAGACTCTCTGAACCTGAGCTTGAGATTCGGCGTCTCTAACAACACCAGCAAGCCAAGGCGCTAGTTGCCGGTCGCGAGTCCCCTGAAGAAGTGCTGGGCTGGATCCAAGAACTCTCCCAATCCATGAAGAGATCGGAGTATATCCTAGTCCAAGCCTGTACCTTCGCCTACCACTGCACTCGCCTTCTTTGTCAAATTCGAAATGTGCTAACCAGCAATTTGGACTTGGCTTTGACCACCTACTCGTCTATAATGCAGCAAATGGACGAGACAGAAAGACTCTGGAGTTCTTCGTATGATTCGGCTCCACCCTCAATATCGTCTATCGGAGTGCATGCATATCAAGGCAATTTTCGAATGCGTGTCTCAGCGGGGCTTTTAGCCTTTCTAGATCGTGCATCGGACTCGAGCCTCTTCGACCAGCCTCAATTTGATTTCAACACAATTCAAGAACGTTGCACTGCAGCCTTCCGTGCCACGGCTACATCCATCCTGAGCGTACAGGGCATTTCCCACGGTACTACCCACCTATCTAGTGATAGATTGAATCTTGGATGGGGAGATGCAGTCATGATTTATGGATCATTGAGAACCATCGCTGTATCTCCTATCTCACTAGACTGGCAAAGAAACGCGGCGATCAGTGTTTGTGCAGTAATCAAAGAGCGACTTGGTTTTCAACTTTTGATATGAATTCAATCAGATGCAAATCGCTCAGCTGGCACTCGAGTAGTATATTAGTATATTAGGTATATACAAGTAGAATTACCAAGGTAGAGTGAGTGTACACCGTGGCTAGTGCGGTGGGTCAAAACTTACGCCTCACCCCTGGAGCCTCTTTGATGGGCGATAGATATCCTCTGAGTGGCTCCTTGTAGTTTTTAAGAGTCTTTCAACATCTGGGTAAAGCCGGCTTATGGACCCCACAACCTAAGGGTCAGCCCTTCTATTTTTAGGTTGAGCACTGTCCGGATTGAAATCACGTGCACGATGGTCCTACCGCTGCTATGAACATGGCGTCTGGACGGAGGCGTCTTGGATCAACACGTCACACACCCTTTTTGGCCTTCACTCAGCTCAAATGGATGTGAGAGCAGCGGATTTTGTACAGCCACATTGAGCTCCATCAGCTTGCCTCATTCATCGCGCCAATCAACTCTTCGCAGCGATTGCAACGCCAAGACTTGGGTGTCGCCAATGTACTCAGTGCCGTGCTGCAGGTACAGGACGGCTCGTGTATACTCTTTCCTTTATTTATGAGGGGCACATGTGAGATCGGACTCTCATGCTTTGAGATAAAAACCGATAGAACTAGGGCGCAGTGAAGAGGATCTGTACAGAACGTCGGTTTATGTTTGTTTCATTTGGCTTCTTCAGAGAAAGGCCACTTCCCGCCCGACCCACCAGCCCCTGCACTTCTTCACCTGATCTGAATCCTAGGTGCCGCCCGGGTGAAAATAGGGTAAGAGTCGATCCAGTGTCATGCCTTGTCGCGTGGTGAGCCCCGTTTTGTCCACTTGGTTAGAAGGAACGGCTGGCATTTATTGGTAATCCGGCATGCGGCTCAAGAGACCTGTTTGCAACACCCTATCGTCGTATATAGTAAAATAACTTCAACAATATTATAACAACCCAACGGATGAGTTGAGGAAGGTTGTAATCGGGGCACTGACCAGTGGGAGGTCCACCCAGTTTACAGCCTTGTAGGGGGCGGGGCTGTTTAGCTCTGTCGATCTGACGAATCATCTGGACACATGAGAAACATGCGACAAAAGGAGTGATATGTGTAGGCAGACTAAATGATCGCATCAACTTTGGCCCCATCGTCCCCGTGACTTGAGGATCAATATTTTTTTTTATAGCTCCCTATTCCTCACTACATATTTGATGGAAACTGTCTATGAGCGGTCGGACCATAAAACCGAGACACATCTGGGAAGTCAAATACCATGACTCCGCGGGATATCGCCCACAAGTACGACTTGCGTCTTGATATTGCGGCGCCGCTTAACTGGCGCTACAGCCCCGGAGACACAATCATTGGAAGTGTTGTTCGAAACTCTCCCATCGTCTCCCCCAAAGCCACGCTCAAAATCTGGCTCACGGGGATGATCAGTGTCAGAATCTTACGAGCTGGATCCAACCGGCTTGATACTGATCACGAATGCTATATCAATAAGTGGACTCTGCTCAAACCAGAGGAACATCTCATCTTCAGCGGGCCCCTGCACCACCCTGAAGACAGTAAAGAACCCCTCAGTTGGTCCTTCTCGCTGCCTATCCCTAGTAAGCCAAAGGCATACATCACGGACGGTCATCAGCCGCACGCAACTTTTGTGCCTGTTGACCAGGATCACCCGGCTTACAATATCTTGCCCGGTACTTTACGCACGTGTTCCCATGGTTACTCGCCCCGGTCGGCAGCTGTAATCGAATATGAGCTTCATGCTCGGCTATATTATGATCGGGGTGGCTCCAAAAAGGCCCATTATGCGACTGTACCCATTACGCTGAGACATTCTCCGGGGGGTGCCGACATGCTCCACATATCAAAGGGAGGGTCATCATACCCTATGAAAGTACGAAGCCAGCGCCTACTACCGGAAATGAAAGATAAGGAGCTCTCATTTCGACAAAAGACAAATAAGCTCTTCTCCTCGTCTAAAGTGCCCGTGTTCTGGTTCAAGGTTATTATGGAATCCCCGCCGGTTGTTCAAGTCGACAATCCACAACCGTTGCCGATCAGGCTGAGTATTGCAACTTTGATTGGTAACGACCGAACAAGCAAAGTCATTGAAGATATCCTGCAGTGAGTGCAGATCAATTATGTGAAAATTCTAGTCAAAAGCTCGACGACAGTCATAGCCCCAGGAGGTTTCAGGAGTAGCGCGCATACCGGCCGGCAGGACTCTGACGTGGATTTACACTTTGAAGAAGCATTCAAAAATCTCGAAAGTCCCTTGGTACTATATTCTTCTGTAAAGTCCAGTGAGACTATTGATTTGGGAAATTTGTTCCAGCTTGTCTTGCGGAGGAATGGGCTCTATACGAACGGAAAGCGATGTTCATCGACCCCCACTCGTCTTCTTTTTCCCGATTGCTGTACTTTTATTCTCAAACATACCCATCAGTTCGAGTATAGAATTAATCTTACGATTGCTGGGGAGACGCAGGAGGTGAAGGTATTTGTGCCGGTCAGAATCATAGAAGCTGCTTGAGGACATAATGATGTTGTACTGTATCGTTATATTATTTTCCTTCACAATACATTCTACTCCTTGATATCGGTTTTTCATATGATAAGGAAATTTTCCGCGCATCTCTTATTCATATAAACTCACTCTCACCATGTACAGGCATCTAGAAATGAGCTCAAGCGTCTCATTTTCCAAAATGTGATTAAGGTGTTTCTATTTCATAAGTGCACTGCAGGAAAGGGCTTCGGCACATGTAGTGGCGGCAAATTGCATTATTTACATAGGTTGCTTTCCACTACGCTTGGTTCCCCGGGGCCTAAGAAATTATTTAACATTCCTAGCGGCTCCGCTTAATAGTCCTAGCCTTTTCCAAGGTTTTGATTTTTCAAGATCTTCTGTCAATTTCCTCCTTTTCCGCTTCCACTTCCACCCCCCTCTTCCGCCGAAGATTAAGCAGGACAGCAGAGTCACGGCAACCATACAGCATGACTTCTGTACCGGCTAGTTCATTCTCTTTCGTTGGGGCTCTAGTTCTTCGAGGGCCACCTTCATAGAGTAGCTCTCAGGCGGTTGTGAAATCCATTTTGAGTTAGAGGAAATGATGATAATGCATACTGCGTCTGTCATGAAGACTGTTGTCGTAGAAAATAGTAATAAACGCTTCAGCCTATAACTGAATAAAGCTAGCATTAGACTAAGCAGTTATCATCTAGAATATCCCATTCCAGTCCAGCACGCATCCAGCACCATTGTTGGCGCTCCGGGCTGGTCGTGAATCAGAGGAAACAGGAGGAGAAAGAAAAAATACGCCCGGTACTACCTAACGCAGGTCATGAACTCAGAAGAATTTGAATAGACTGAAGCAGAAAGATCAAAATGATATTGTGGTGGTAATATGAAAGAGGGAGAGAGAACGAGAAGGAGATTCGTAGATCTACACGGCAGACCAGTCATGTGACTGATAATTATGGCCCAAAAACGGAGATAGGAATTGAGGTTTGAAACCCGAAGAAGGAAATAAAAACCCAATCTGAACACTAAGGCATCCCGAAATTTCGGTATAAGATTACTGCCAAGCTTGCCAAGAATTTCGTCGGTTAGTCCTGCAAATGAACTGTCACAATACGGCAGCCCCTATTAACCCGGAAAATATTTCTCGCGGCTCTTATATCTGGTTCGTAACACGAATGTCTCAAGTTCCTTTGCTCAAATAGGAAACACGGGGAAGTAATTGGGACGCTGACGGGGAGTGGAACTGGTGGCTTGTCTCGCATAATCGCACATGATTCGCTATGGCGCTTTTGTAGCATGCCCCGAGGTTTTCTCGGTTTGCCTTTGGTTCGAAGGCCCGAGCTTGATGTTAAAGAGAGTTTTGGGGCTTACTGATTTAGCACTGTGCATTGTCTGGGTACAACCCGTCGCGAGCGAAGTGAGATTAACAACTATATTTCTCTGGTGATACAATTCGGTGGTTGTCGTCCGTTGGAAAAGCAAAAATCCCCAACTCAAAATGTAAGTGTTGCTTGTTCTGCGTAGTGGGGGAGACGGGGAAGTTTGGGAAAAACTCTATTCGGCGAAACTTTTCATCTTCACCAGTTACTCTCGCTCATAGGCACATCAAATTGTGGAATCTACAGCCGACGAAGCACGGGTAACAGTTCCCTGGTACCAAGCCGCGACAAGACTCTTGGCCGCCTTGGATGCCGATATTAATCCGTGGGCAAACCTTCTCGTATCCGGGACTGCGTCCACAGTGGACGGCGAGGGAGCATAGGGCATGTGTACCATAGTGGAGATTTATGAGGCATCATTCCATAGGGCGCCACGAGGAACCCCAGGTCTTTTGACGGCAGTTGGCAGTCCCCACGGCTATTCTTTCCCCACTAAATATGCCCCATGATGGCCAGCCAAACAAAACCTCGGGGTCAAGCCCGAATCGGGATCAGGGTCTGCGGGGAACCGAATGCTGATTGGCTAAATAGCTTTGTCCACTGCGCCACATAGACACTGTTTTGCTTTTTCTTCTTTTCTTCCATCGCGATTCCAATACGAGTGCCACCAAGGGCAGAGCGCGATCTCTCGAAACCTTTTCACACGTTCCAGGTCGCGTGAGTCGACCGTCGGGAACTACCATGTGAAAGTCGCCTTGAATAGTACTCACACTGGAGAGCGCATCCTGGTACTGAAGTCCACGCTTTTCGAATGGATACGGCTTTGATTTCTCTATCGCGAGATAAATTCTCTTGGCGAATCCAATCTACGACTGAGTATCGGTCAGACCCGAGCCAAGAGCCAACCATCCCGCCCCCGGAAATTTGTCTATCCGCTCTTTCCTTGCCCGCATGACATGACCCCTTTATTGGAGGTAACATGGACTTCTGCGTTACGCTTGATTGGAATCAGCGACGGTGCGATCCTAGCACATTTCTCTATACTGGCAGGGCCCAGGAGCCATGGTCCAACAAAAACTCGCGTCTAGCCGACCCACCGGGTGCCTTGACCGTGACCCAGCGTGCCGAGAGTGGCCAAAAATCCGTAGTCGAGTTCGGTCTAAGGTTGCATTAGACCGGGTTCGAGCTTTCTTCTCACTGACCCCCTGCTATTTTTGACTTTGAGGGCGAGCCCTGACAAGCGTTTGTCCGCATGTTATAAAGTCCATCCTTTTCCCCTTTCTGTCTGTTGATCATCTCCTGTACCCACACTGGTTCCATATCTACTTTCTTGCTCGCCTCTTCATTGATTGTTCCAACCTACTACACTCGTCACCAGTCTATCAGATAATCTTACTCCAATGCCCGGTGGTGCAGGTCCTGCCGCCGTGAGCGGCGTCGACGCCTTGCGCGTCGAGGCCCCCGTCACTATCAAGACTTATCTGATGTGTGCATTCGCTGCCTTTGGTGGTATCTTCTTCGGATACGACTCTGGATATATTGGCGGTGTCATCGGTATGGATTACTTTATCGAAACATTCGAGCATCTGGTAATTACACTTTGAGTATGGAGTACATCATAAGACATAAGCTTATATTTCAAACAGGACAAAAACGCGATCCCCGCCGCTCAGTTCGTCCTTCCCTCGTGGAAGAAATCCCTCATCGTCTCCATCCTATCTGCCGGAACATTTCTTGGCGCACTGATTGCTGGTGATCTGGCAGACTGGTATGGCCGTCGCACAACCATTATATCAGGCTGCGGTATTTTCATTGTCGGTGTGATTCTTCAAACTGCTTCTAGCAGCTTAGGTCTGCTAGTCGCTGGTCGTCTCATCGCTGGATTTGGTGTTGGCTTCGTGTCAGCCATCATCATCCTCTATATGTCTGAGATTGCACCCCGCAAAGTGCGTGGTACGATTGTCTCAGGTTATCAATTCTGTGTCACTATCGGCCTGATGCTGGCATCCTGTGTCGACTACGCCACTCAGGGGCGCACAGATTCCGGCTCTTATCGCATTCCTATTGCTCTCCAGCTCCTTTGGGCTATCATCCTCGCTTCTGGTCTCTTCTTCTTGCCTGAGTCCCCTCGTTTCTTCATTCGCAAAGGCAACAAGGAGAAAGCTCGTCAGGTTCTGGCTCGCGTTCGCGGCCAGCCCATGGACTCCGAATACATCACCCTCGAGTTGACCGAGATTGACGCAAACTTTCAGTACGAGCAGCAGGTTATCCCTGACGGTGGCTACTTTGCTAGCTGGATGAACTGCTTCACTGGAAGTCTTTTCAAGTCCAACAGCAATCTTCGCCGTACTATCCTTGGTACCTCTCTTCAAATGATGCAACAGTAAGTCAATCACCAACTAAATTAATAAAGCTCGTGTCTCTAACATTGCTATTTCAGGTGGACCGGTGTTAACTTCGTGTTCTACTTTGGCACCACTTTCTTCACGCAACTAGGCACGATCTCGGACCCCTTCTTGATCAGTATGATCACAACTATCGTGAACGTGTGCTCAACTCCCATTTCCTTCTATATTATTGAGAAGTACGGTCGTCGCACTATCCTCCTTTGGGGTGCGCTTGGTATGGTTATCTGTCAGTTCATTGTTGCTATCATTGGTGTGACCGATGGACAGAACAATAGTGCAGTTAGCGCTATGATTGCATTTATTTGTATCTATGTTTTCTTCTTCGCCATCACCTGGGGTCCTGGTGCTTGGGTCGTGATCGGCGAGATCTTTCCTCTGCCCATCCGTTCTCGTGGTGTTGCCCTGTCTACTGCCTCCAACTGGCTCTGGAACTGCGTACGTACCTGCTGATTCTTCATGTCTCTATTCTATGCCTTCTAACCATCTTCACAGATTATCGCCGTCATCACCCCATATCTGGTTGACGCTGACAAGGCCAACTTAGGCCCTAAGGTGTTCTTCCTCTGGGGTTCCCTTTGTGCCTGTTGCTTTGTCTACACCTACTTCCTCATCCCCGAGACCAAGGGCCTATCCCTGGAGCAGGTTGATAAGATGATGGAGGAGACCAATCCCCGCACCTCCGCAGGATGGAAGCCCCACTCCACCTTCGCCGACGAGATGGGTCTCACAATTCACAACGACGAGAAGGTTGGTGTCGCACCCGAGGTCCACCAGGTGGAAGTCTAGATGCAGGAGTGGCTCGGTTCTAATGCCCTCTGCGAACCATATTGCCTGGTGCGGGCCGGTCCCTTTCTTTAGCGGAAATACCGACGTGTTACGCATTCATGTGTTTATGTTTCGCCTTTGAACATGTGTATAGTTGGGTTGACTACAAATGTCATTCTTTATATTATTAATTGAAGACGGTATTGAAATACCTCTAAATTACTGACGCATGTCTCAAAAGTAAAATGTCGAGGACTAATAATAACTTACGATTTGGGAAGTTTTAACCAGGACTACGTATGTTGTTGTTGCTTTCATTGATGTACCGAAGAGAGACGCGGAGCAAAAATAAATGCATCATCCGTGAATCGAACACGGGCCTCGTCGATGGCAACGACGAATTCTACCACTAGACCAATGATGCTAGGTCACGTGGTAAATACCACAAGAATTTGTAACGTAGCGCTTTTCACTAGTTACGCCGCATAGAAATATCTAACCTTGGGGAATGGATGCATTAATTGTGAAAAATACAGGCTTTCTTCGGGAAATTTTCTCGGGAGGAAGATAGCCCGACTGAATGATGCCTTGTAGAACAGACGATCTAGGCATCTCTTCTCAACAATATACTGAGGCACATGCAAATGTATATACTTCTTATCTCATCCCAAGTTGACTAAAAATATCCCGCATCTCTTGAGAAAGAGCCACCCGTATTAGGAGTAAACCCGAGATTATATCTGTCCACTTTGTATTTTCTGCTTTTGAGTTTGCCTACGGTTATTAGTTTGATTTACTGCAAGGTTAAGAGGATTGTGCACTTACGGAAGCTGACGCATAAGGAATAAACGCGTCTACTCCAATTGACCGCAAAATACCTTGAACCCCCTTTTGATTAGATTGCGATAATTTAGGAGATTTAAGAGCGCAGCATAGAGGCCAAAGCACCAAGTAGCCCCCAATTGGGATTTTAGACCTCTCGCTAGGCTGATCTGTCGCTTGAATAGGCATTGTCTCAAGGATTACGGGAACTGCAGAGTATATACAATCCTCTGCCTCTTGAATGACAGTAGAGAGTATCGAGTATTCTCTCGTTTCTTTATAGTTCTCATTTGAGTGAACATAAATACCCATAGATAGAAGTAAACTGGCTGTGATGAGCTGGAGACAATGGTAGTCGTTCCATCGGACGAGAAGAAGCGCCTTATTTGGTGGTGTCAGCACGCCGTAATCCCCAACTGAAAAGGGTCTTACATTCATCAATCTTTCGCCCAGCGGAACCTTACTGATATCCATTTCTGCTTTGGGGCATACCATTGGAAACAACTTGAGATTCTTTTGAATGTGTTTGATAGAGGCTCGAAGTTTCTGCACATCCAGTTTTCGAGGGGTCTCTCCTGGAAATAGACTCTCATATTCTGATGTAGGGGGGTTGAGACAAAGCTTTGCGACGTCTAATACTAAGGACACTTTGACGTGGCTTTCCACGCCATAAGTTGCAAGAGTTTGAAACGCGTCGCCTTCGGATTTAGAAATAATAATTGCGTGATGTACTGTGTCGAATTCACCACTTGGTAATTCTTGGTGATAGATAGTTGGCCCCGACAAGATGTTCAGGAGTCCTTCGAGATGGATCCGCCATATGTGGTCTTTTGAGTCGATGTTGACAAGCATCTGAGTCTGTGATTAATATTGGTCAATGAAAGCCACAAATCTGAACGTACTTCATAAAGCGAAAACAGAAAGACCGCGCTGGCTAGAGCTGGCGAGTAAGGTGAGACTGTGAGCGTCGCCCTCAGTTCGCTGGTTGTAGTGCTATACGCGGCAAGCAGGGCTCGTCGATCCCGGAAAGATTGCTCGGCTTGCCGTAATGAGTAAAGACACCTCCTAATAGTTTTTATAGCAGATATCGCAACTTTATTTGAACCCCGTGCGTCCATCGCGTCGAATGAGTACCGCCATTCTGGCTCATGTGAGTTTCTCCCGCTGGTATCCGTGAGCAAAACTTGGAGAAGCGAAACTGCATTGATCGATGTCTCAAAATTTCTCGGTGCGTCACGGTTTCCAGGGTTATCTGACGAGCAAGATGAAAGTGATCGTTGGTCTGTCACATGTCTCGTAGAAATGCGTGTCTTACTTTCTCCATATCCCAAACAGACTCTTCCAGATTTGGTGCAATGTCGACAAATGGGACGTGCAAGATCACATTGGATTTTCCTTACCTGGCACGTCATACACCCTTTGCTCCGATATCCTGGATTAACCATTGTGGATTGCGGATTCTAGAACACTCGTTGTAATCCATTGGGGGAAAAAAGTTCACCGTCTCCCCCGCCTCGCGCTAAATTTCTCGCAAGTGCGGACGCTATTCCCGATTCGGACTGTACGCTAAAGTCTCACGTCAGGTATCTAATCTATCTCGCGCCATTTTTCTCGCAAGACAAGCTATTTGGTGCGATAAGCAATCCGTTGAGGTGGAAATTTATATGAATCTAACTCTTGGTAACCAACGAAGTCCCTGGTGAACATGCATTACAAATAGATATTGGTTTAGACTAGGATGTCCCGTGCTTCCATGGACTCCTTAGGCTAGCTATATAAGGAGCCAAGTAGTCCATAGGTGGGTACTCATTCCTGTTCTCAAGTGATTCAATCTAAAGTCATTTGATTAAAATATTGAATACATTTATTAATTTTCTGAAGTCTCGAAGTCTTTACTCTTCTCAATCCAAATGTCTCCTCAACCGATCAAAATCTGGGGTCACTGGGGTGGCCCCAACCCATGGTAAGCACTTTATTTTAGACTCACTAGCACAGAATAATAACAGCTTGTGAAGGAAAGTTATAGTGCTGCTTGAAGAGCTCGATCTTCCCTATAACCTTGAACTGGTCGAATTTTCCGATGTCAAAAAACCGGAGTACCTAGATGTCAACCCCAACGGACGCTTGCCCACTATCGAGGATCCAAACACCGGAATTGTTCTCTGGGAGGTAAGCAGATCAGTGGAGCTAAGCTTTTCACCGTGATCGAAGAGCTAACAGGAAATTGGTCGGTAGACTGCTGCGATTATCCCCTATCTGATCGAACAGTACGACAAGAAGGGCATGCTCTCCTATGCAGAGCTGCCTGAGAAGTACCTGTGCCAACAGTGGCTAGCATTCCAAGCTTCTGGTAGGCAGCAATTTCCCATGAAGAATACACAAATGAGCTGAGGCTGAGTTCTTGAATAGGCCAAGGCCCTTACTTCGGTCAGGCTACCTGGTTTGCTCGTTTCCACCCCGAGAAGCTCCCCTCGGCTATCGAGCGGTATGTCAATGAGATCTTCCGAGTAATCGGTGTCCTAGAAGAAGGCTTGACACGGAATGGCACCGGCTGGCTGGTCGGCGACAAATGCACTTACGCTGATTTGTCTTTCATCACGTGGGCTGGTGTCGGCGAAGGTTTGTTGCATGAATTGAACCGAGCCGATAAGTTGGAAGAAGATCATCCCAAATATACTGCTTGGCTCAAGTCGATGAGAGGGCGAGAAAAGGTGGCCAAGTGCATGGCTCTCATTGCCGAAGGTCGGGCCGCGCACAATTTGAGGTAGAGGACTAGAGAGCAGGCGATCAATGATCGTTCCCTGGATCAGAAATGGCAACTTGCGCGCTGAGAAAGAATCAAGTCCTGCCGTATGGAGTGCACCCCAGGAATTCTGACCACAAGAATCTGTAGATCTTCTTTTTCTCGCTGGCAGCCCTTCAGTTAGCGACTCTAGTCCGTAATCACGACTATGCATGTTAATTTTGTTGTAGCAAAGTTACTAGTGTAGAGAGACCCACATGACGGGCTGTCCTAGGTTTGTGCTTGATGAACAAGCTCTCTCTTGGAATATCTCGCACAAATCAAAAGATTGTTTGAGTCGATCAAGTAAAGGTTCGAAGGTCGATTTTTACTCACCCTATGCTCCGGAAGCCGATCACTTCACGAGGCGGCAGTTTTATCGTCATCGTGGTTACATAAAAACCCAGTATATAAAACTATGCACTAATTTTTTCTTATACCGCTTATATTATTCTTCTGTCAAAGGCTAGGGTCTCTAAAGCTTCTGCATTATCAGTTGTAAATCTTGGCAGCTGGGCATTTGCCTACTAGCTTGTCCGTCTTCGCACTCGGACAAAATTTAGGATTCTTTCCAATCTTTTCCGCACTCTGAGAACGTTCCTCTACCTCGCTGAAGCTGAAGCGTTTCTCAGGCAGCAGACTAAAGACACTCTCCGCGTATTGAGCCGCCACTCTATACAGCTGGGCAAGGTACTTAATCTGGATTTCGGGATATTCCACCTTTTGTAGGAGCCGGGCAGTATTCTTATGGAGGTGATCGCGGGCTTCATCATTCATGACGCTTTGATACAGCGCGCGCGGCTGCTCGTACTCGGTTGAACTACCCTCGTGCCAAAAGTGTGATTTGCGGCTAACGGTATTATCAGAGAGCTGATATGGAGCTTCAGCAGTGTCGGGGCGAAACTTGTCGACGAAGCTGTTTGGCGCGTACTGAGGGTTCTTGGCATGGTTTGCGTCGACTCTCATCTGCCCGTCGAAATTCAAGGAAGAATATGACGAGGCCATGAATGGACAGTTAACTAGATGCCAACAGCACATTGGTTAGACAGAACCCATCAAGAGGGGTGAAAAAGGCTTACCGGGTATCTGATGCCAGTTTACTCCGACGCGGTGCAGTTGCGCATCTCGGTAGAAAAAGGTGCGGAACTGGAGAAGCGGATCTGGGCTATCTTCAATACCGGGAACCATGCTGCCCGGAGAAAATGCAGCTTGTTCCACGTCCCTGTGGAAGTTTTCGGGATTACGGGTTAAGACCAGCTTTCCAAACTCTTGCAACTAGAAAGTATTTTTTAGCACAATATTTGCAGCGTGCTGAACATTAACTTACTGGAAATTGAGTTTTTGGCCAAACCTTTGTCACATCGAAAGGGTCGAATCCGAGCTTGTCTGGATCGGCGTCCTCAGGCTCCATGACTTGAACGTGGGCTGTCCATGATACCTTTTCCCCTTTTTCAATGGCCTGCCACAAATCTCTCTTTGAGTAGTCAGGGTCTTCACCGCTGAGGCGCGTAGCTTCATCATTGGTAAATTGTTTCTGGCCGTCGTCCGCAAGGAAGTGGTACTTGATGTACACAAACTTTCCTTCGCCATTGACCCTTAATCTAAAATTAGTATCAAAAGAAAATAGCAGAAACGCAATTCTGGCACTCGAGGCTTACCATTTGAAGGTATGGCACCCGTACCCGTGATTGGCTCGCCATCCTTGGGGTGTACCATGGTCGCTGAAAAACATCATGCCGGCGTGGTTACTAATAGTCGATGTCAGCTGCATCTAGGCTTAGACTTTATCTCATCCTTACCCCTCAGGAGTATTGCCCAGCAAATCAAACAGTGAGTTATGATCAAGAAGGAAGTTTTGCGGGCTACGATACTGAGACCGAATCACGTCTGGGCCCTGAATAGGGTCACGGCAAAAGAAGACAGGCTTCAAACAATCAGTACGACTCGGATTGTGGGTATCGGACAAATTTTAACTTACGAAATTTAAGCCAACAATATCGTAGTTGCCCTCGCCTGTGTAGAACTTGATCGCAAATCCTCGGGGATTCCGTGCCAAATCGGGAAATTCTCTGCCAAGAGTCACGGTTGAGAAACGCACGAAAACTGGAGTTCGGATGCCAGATGACTTCAAAAAGTCGGCCTGTCATGAAGATGTGAGCATAGTCTTTGGTTTGTGAGGGGCTGTCAGCGCCCCCAAAGCCATGAACACATGACTTACTTTGCACAGAGATGAAACGTCTTTGGTAGATTCGAAGTATCCAAAAGCGCCACTGCCACCTTTACATTTGTCAGTTAAACATGCCGGAGTAGTGGCGACTGGTGCCTACATGGATGGACCATTCTCTCCAGATTTTTAGACCGGTTGAAGTGCTGCTGCTTCTGGAAAAGATGGATATCGGATACCACTGGTATTCCCCCAGCCGTTTTGCTATGAGCTGGATCTGGGAAAGGGATGCCCTCATTGCTTGTGAAGTAAGGGCCGTCATCGGCTCTCTTCCCAAGCTCTTGGACACCCGTCAGCTTCGCTGCCGTACGTGCAGGACCATTATTCGCTCCTTGGAAGAGAGAGGAAAGCTGCTTGGCGCGAGGGTCAATTCCGACCGACCCAACAGCTTCTCCAATTGCTTGCAACGGATGAGTAGCCATTTTTGCGATTTTCTGTCTTCGAGTCTGAAAGGCTATGGACTATGACAATGTTAACTAACATGCCCAAAAATGCCCGCTATTTATGTGGTCTTTCACCACCGCTAGCCCGCTACAGCCTGTATGAAGAAAACCAAGAATTTGTCAATCCGAGCAGGCTGATGAAAGGCAATTGAGCGTAAACGACTCATAGATCCTTGGTATTCACATGATCTGATTGGCGGGAAGCCCTAAAATGCAGAGTGTCATTGTTACCTCAGGTGCGCGTTCCGCCAATGAGAACAAAGCTATTAAAAGTCTTCAATTGCTACAAACGCGCTTTCAGGTTTTTTTTGCACAAGGCTTTTGCTCAAAAGTAAATGAAAGAATTGAGAATTTGGAAATTCTAGCTGCATGGTTCGACCAATGCTTGGGAATATTGTTTGGATAATTTAATTATCGCCAAGCGCAGCAGAGAAGGTCCAAAAAGATACCTAGCTGTTAGCATTGAAGACACTTCGGAAAACCCAAACATAGTAGTGAGGGTTACCTATTTCAAATTACGAGTTCTTCGCTCAATTTATGAACTGGACGGCATAGGCGAAGATAAACAAATTGCGCTTATGGGTCGATCTACAACCATGTCTAGTGCGGTCCGCCATGTTTCGTCAATGCACTGCACATACTGAATAGGCATAGCAGTCCGTCACAAAACATCTCAAAACTCATGCTAAAGAGATATAATTCCCTTAAATGACGCGCGAGGGGATTTTTAGCACACTTTATTTTCAATTTACTGAGTGGAATGATAGACTGTGTTCAATAAGAGTGATATTATCGAACCCTCCTTCGGCATTATTACTCGTCAAAGAGAAAGGAAAAATATTTTCCTTCAAGATATGACATAAAGATCGCAACATTACTGGGGTGATCTAGAACTAGTGATATAAAATGATCGGGCCGACCCACGGATCTACATTCAAGATTATGACCACCCTAGGCCAACCAGAAATCAGAATTTACATAGCATCCTTGAAATCAATTGCAATGAGCAGACGTCCACGGGTGCTAGAAAAATATCAGGGACTCTCCCTCTCAAATTCTTGGAATTATCAGAGCACGGGTAATGGATTTACATCATCGTCGCATCATTTCTTTGGCGCATCTGAATCGTCCGCTTCAGTCTATGGTTCGACATCCGTTCTTTCTTATCTTTTTGACGTCATCACCACAGCAAACCTTTGACACGACTGACATATGCATAGCTCCACTTGCAGTTTCTCTGCAACTCTGGCTTACAGATCGCTCGATTCGCAGGGTATATGGATCATGAATGCTGAAGCTGCCTCCGATTTCTATTGCTCAATGTGCGGTGGACTACTCCATGATCAATCCAAATTGACGATCTATCGACGGATATTACTCATCTCGTCATGCTGATTTGTGAGGCAGTCCAAAGCAGGATGCGGACCGCTATCAAATAATCTAGAACGTTGAAAATCAACGACCGGGCCGTTTAACACGAATGTTTCCGTTTGTGGCCCCACTCATGTTATACTCAATTATCCAAACCACTACCTACTGCGAATAGTGGATTCAAACCATTGATTAAGCTTTTTCACTTCGTCAACAAGGTGCGATTGCCGAAATGTAGATTACCTCGACTCGTGAGGCCAATTTGTGGTGGTGGTTGTTGTTGTTCTTGTTGCAGTGTTAAACACCCAGCAGGACCCTGGTGACGCCGACCTCCCAGGGTACCGTAACCAATTTTTATGAGCATACATACATTTATCGCCGAATATAGGAACCAAATCATGTCAGGGCTCAGCGGACTAGCCAGTCGACTAAGACCATAGCGGAAGAAAAAAAAAAGAAATGACAAGAGTGGGATTTGAACCCACGCCTACAAACGTAGATCAGGAAATGATGTCAAGGTGGACCTTAACCTGACGCCTTAGACCAACTCGGCCATCTTGCCAGTGGATAGTGTGGAGCTCAGTTTTACGCTAATTGAAGGGTAACAAAAGGTTGTATTGATCAATATTACACTTTACCCAAAAAAGCACAGTATTCACATTACACGATCCGAAACTTTCCATTGATAATGCAGCACCTAGGCCTTGGTCGCGTGCTTGGTAACGGCGAAGCTATAGGAGGGCTTCATTTCGTCCTTGACAACGTAGTAGTCGGCACCCTTCATGCGCATATCCCGGACGTAGTACTCAAAGTTCAAGGCGCTGCGGTCGATATCAAGAGTCACAAAACCGTTGGCAGCCTGATCGGCATCGGCACCAAGCCACTTGGCGTAGGGACCGATAGGAACACCGTAGTTGCAGTCGCCGGCTTCAGCATAGCCTGCGCCACCGGTGAGGACAAAGTCAGTGCCTTCATACTGGTAGTGGGCCAAGCAGTGATCATGGCCGTTGATGACGACGGCATTGTTTTCGCGAACAATTTCCATCAAGGGGTTCAGCTCGGTATAGTTGGTTGAGGAGGACATATAGCCGTGGTGGATCTGCAGGATCTTCCAAGTAGCGTCGGACTTAGCAAAAGACTCGCGCAAAAAGTCCACCTGCTTTTGGGTTTCCTTGTGGCAGGAGATCACATAGTCGGTGTTGTAAACTGAGGTGTTGACCTGGTACTTGTTGATAAAGCAATCAGAGTCCACGACCACGAATGTTGCGGTCCAGTCAGAGCCGGTCAAGTCGTAGGTGTAGTACGGCAGGTTCTCGTGCCCAAAGTACCAGCGGTCATCGATCAGGGGCGCAAGACTTGTTTGGAAATCAACACCAGCCTGGCCGGCGACAACGTCGTGGTTGCCAAGAGCCTGGTACCAGGTCTTGTTGTCGAAGGCTTCGCCGACGTACATGTCAGCCCAGCCCTCGTAGAAGCGCTGGATACCCTCCGATGTGAAGTCCACACCGCTGTCGTAGAAGTTATCGCCGACAGACACAAAGGCATCGCAGTTCTTCTTAAGACAGACCTTTTCAATGTAGCGAGCCGTGCGGGCTGTAATAAACGTAAGCATTTATCTATTCTTCCGTTTCCTTGTGCTTCTGTTTCTTGTCTAGGTTTTTTCTTCTTCCTTCTCTGAACGATTTTAAATGATGGCCAACTTACTCTCCTCAATTGTGGCATTGGAGATGTCCAGACGGTCACCAGCATCGCAGTCATTCAGAATAGCTTTGGGGATCTCCACACCGTCGGCCTCGAGCTTTGACAAGACATTGTTGCAGAAATCCAAAGGCAGAGGCTGCCAGCCAGTCCAACCGTAGTCTAGATCTGTTAGTCCTCCTGTTCGGAAATTGATCTCCAACTTGCTAAAACAACAAGTACTTACCACCAAGAAGGGCCAGAGTGAGGCTCTCGGTACCCTTAGGGGCAGCGATGGAGTTTGGGGCAGCAGCAGCACCGAGGGTTAGACCCAAGGTCAGAGCAACACGAGACATCAAAGGCATCTTGTATGTGAAGAAAAGACAAACAGCTCTATGTTCGGCTTTATGCTGATTCTGCTCGCCTTTTATATGAGAGGTTTAGACAGTACAAAAGGAAAGAAACAGCCGTCGGTAGTTTAAAGACAAGGTAGGTGGATTCAGCAGGCTTCTAGAATCCAACAGTTATACCGGAGATATGTGGCGTTCCTGTTCCTGAATCCTGTTCGTGTCAGCCGTGGACGCTAGATGCCTCGATTAAAAGCTTGACTTTGCTTCTTCAAGGCTTCCACATTGCTGTAGCTAATGAGAGATCATGATTTGACATTGTGCCCCGGCAATACTAGTGCATACTGTTTTGAGACAAGTGCTCGGACAACACAATTTCCACCAGCGATGTCAATCTCTCTATCGGGGAACAAGAGAACGAAGACATAGCATTCGTCAATGAGAGGTTGCGCCAGCCCGAGATCCGCGTGGTACCAATGGAGCTTGGGATATCAACCCACGTGCATAAGTGCGATCTTGAATTTGAGTGTGATGAAATTAGTAAAGCCAGGCTAGTCATAGGTTGGACCTCGCACTCGTATGCAAATTTAGCCTTTTATCCATGAGCCATTGACATTCGCGGGTCAGGAGCACGTGCTCTACCGTAGAATAAACCACTAATTAAAAGGGTGATTTTGAACCCTTGATCACTCTTATCTCGAAAGGCGGGGTACATTTAGTTTCCTATTTCCAGAAACATTTATGCGACACCAACTTCTGCTTTGGGCCCTGCGCATAGTCAAACGCGAAAAAAAAATAAAAATCGAGTGTTGACATGTGACGTCACATCGTGTAGATAGCACTTCCCGCGTTTCCTAGGCTATTGGAGATTGAGATGAAGACCAAAGGATGTTTGACATCAACTCGAGTTTCAACTTTCACTGGTAATGTTGCTCACCTGGGCATTCGATATTCACATGCCACCTCCAGGGCTGAGGCACCTTTAAAATGGTTCCAAAGTAATTGTCCTGCAATATATATTTCCCGAGGTCCCTGGGTGTTGGGCCCGCACTGCCATTGAGCACCCGTATAAGTAGGAAAAAACGAATAGTTGAACGGGATTCGTATTCATGCGAATGTAATCTTTACCTTTTATTATCAGTCCCCAAGATTGGATAATATGGTGCATGCTCCAGGGCTGCAGTCTAGGACCTCGGGAGTCAAGTGGTTCCCGGGAAATTTGTTAGGACGCAACGGAGGCCTGGGTAGCTAAATTCTGGCTCGGTCTCCCTTAATGGAATCTCAGAATCCAGGTGCGGTTGACATGATGCGCATGTGTGAAGCATTTGCAATTTTTCTCATTGATTAATAGCTCTGCTCAATAATTTCGCCCGTGAAAAGTATTTCTCAGAGTGTGGATGATCTACATTCCAGGTCAACATTCCCACCAACGCCACTGAGCCGCTTCCATACCCAACATACCAAGCAAGGGGCGACAGGGGACCCAACCAAGAAACCATGTTATCAATGGGTGAAGCTTCTTGACCTGACGATATGAGTGAACAGAGTGCTTGAGCTAGTCAAGTTGAGTTAATCGAGAACAATACTACAGGTTGGGCGCCCCACCCATTGTTCTTCCTATTGTTCTACAACCCTAGAAGCCTCAACATTCCCGATCAGACACATGGCAAAAACAGTAATATGGTTTCGGCTGGAGATTAACTTTTCGTACTCGTGGTCCCTTTTTTTAGTCCAGGGCTGAATCCATCTTAATTCGGAAATTACCGTAAAACACCAGCCAACTGATTGCTTTGGGTAGCCATTTCTTCCGAGACTGTTGAACAGTGTATCTTAAACCTGATCTTATGTTTTGTAAGGTCATGCTGCTGAAATGTCCCTCTCTTAGGACATCAATATTAGCTAGGGCCTAACGGCCGGGTATAGAACAAAACAGGAAAGAGTTCGACACACGACCGGCAGTAGCTTATCTCGAACAAATAGTCGGTAGATCATGACCAGGTGTGGGCCCACGCATATTTGGGTCATGCAGATGAGGCCCACACCTGCACGCGACTCAGTCTCGGGAAGACCAGGGACCAATTGGGGCATCCGCCTGCCGGACGACTGCAGAAGCCTCATCGACGCAAACATTGTTCTACTTAGTATTGTTCTCGGATTTGGTGAATTATTACTTCCAGCATATATACCAGCAGAATCGCAGATCGACATGATGATTCCATTCCTTCTTTCATTAAAGCACGACGTGCGATCTTATTTGATCTACTTTGAACGAAAAAATGCTTTCCGGTACGATGTGGTGGGGTTTGGTGTTGAGTATGGCAGGGTCTGCTGCTTCGATGGGCATTTCGTCGCCGTTTCGTCGTGACTTGAAGCTTATGGCTCAGATGGGGATCAGTCCTGATGTTATTTTGAGTAAGAAGGAGTCTGTGCATACCCTGGTGGCGCGCAACTCTGATGAGATCAAGGAGGAATATATTATGGTAAGTATTTCGCAATTCATTTGATGGAAGGAGTACTGATGAATATAGATGCCAATTGATCATACCAACTCATCTGTCGGCATATACAAGAATCGGTACTGGGTGCAGGAAGAATATTACCAGCAAGGTGGCCCTGTCTTCATCTATGATGTGGGCGAGTCTACCGCGGAGAGTGCTGCGAAGGTACAGCTGGGGAATTCGACTTCGATGTTTGTGGAAATGCTGGCAGAAAATGGTGCGATGGGCATTGTCTGGGAGCATCGGTCAGTAAAATCTAATATTGTGAGATCTTCTTTAACTTACATACTACAGGTATTATGGCAAGTCGCTTCCTTATGATGTTAACGTCGATACACCGCCAGAGCACTTTGCCTACCTAAACAATGAGCAGGCCTTGGCCGACATTCCATTCTTTGCACAGAACTTCACGCGGGAGAACTATAATGAAACTGACTTGACCCCATCTGGCTCGCCTTGGGTCATGGTTGGAGGTTCCTATTCTGGAATGCGCTCGGCGTTCAGTCGAAATAAGTATCCCGACACGATTTTTGCTTCGTTCGCTTCTTCAGCTCCAGTCGAGGCGCGCATTGACATGAGTGTGTACTTCGATCAAGTCTATGATGCTATGGTCGCCAACGGATACTTGAACTGTACGCGGGATATCAAAGCTGCCATGGAATACGTCGACGCGGAGCTTGACAAGAACGCCGAATCTGCCGCAGCTATCAAGAAATTATTTTTCGGCGCTGGCGCTGAAGACAACAACAATGGGGATTTCACAACTGGAGTTGGTGGAATTTTCGGTTTCTTCCAGTCATACGGCTTTGGCGGCGGAGAAGGCAGCCTCGCATCCTTCTGCGAACATCTCGAGACGGACCCGCACACTGGAACGGTTGCGGGACCTCATGGCTTCGCACCCTACCTTGGCAACGAGTACGTGGCCAAACGATTCGCCTCCTTTCCAGCCTTCATCGAATTGGTCAATTTCAACTACTACACCAATTGCGGCGGTCTCGACGAAACCCAGCCTGTATCCTGTGTGCTGAACCCCAAAGCTACCGACCCGGACGTCATCAGCTGGACATGGCAATTCTGCACAGAATGGGGTTATTTCCAAACGAATAACATTGGCTCTCACTCTCTCCTCTCCAAGTATCAGTCCCTGGAATATGTTCAGTACACCTGCAACCGCCAGTTCCCAGATGCCGTTGCAGCAGGAATCCTCCCAAAACATCCCCTGACTGAAGAAACAAACGAACAGACCGGAGGCTGGACGATCCGCCCGTCAAACGTCTATTGGAGCGGCGGGGAATTCGATCCATGGCGCACACTTTCCCCCCTCGCCACGGAAAGCATCGCTCCGCAAAATGTCCAGTTCACCACCGAGATCCCCAAGTGCAATGTGGAGACAGACGAGGACACGGTTTTCGGTTACATCATGCCCAACGCGGAGCATTGTTATGACTTCTTGACCAATTTCGCGCCCGGGAGGACCTCACGTGAATACTTCTATAAGGCGTTGAAAGAGTGGCTGCCCTGTTTTAAGGGAAACACGCACACGATCACGATCACGGACCGCGGTCAGTGATCTTGCGAGGGCGCAAGGGGTTCCGGGAACAACCCGGCTGGATCCACTCATGGAGGGGAACTGGTAAAGAGGGATCGGCGCGGAGAAATGGGTGCATCCCGGGAAAGCATATTATTAGCGATCTAGTCTCTTTTCATACCAGCTTGCGATCGAGCCGAAAGTCTCACGTGTGACCCAACCGAGGATGTTGATGTCCATGTCAAATAGGATCCGCTGGATTTACTGCTATTCATTTAACTTACTTCTCATTCCTTCATTGTACGGAATTTCTAAATAAACTCAACAAATTCAATTTATTTTATATTGGAATAATATCGATCGGAAGATCATTCGCCTTCTTCATGCTGCTCAACCCAGTTGTGGTCCTGGTTGGCGCAGTATATGCGACCTTCCTGGTCCTGCGTTACCTAGCGCAGTTACACCATCATCACAAACAGTCTAAATCCCTACATTGTCAACCTTGTACGCCCGGTTCCTCTACGTTTTTCGGCATTCCGGCCTTTATTCGCCTTAGCAAAGCTGTTCGCGAAAAGCGATGGATCGATTATTTGGCCAATCAATATGCCATATACGGGAATACCTTTCAGCAGAAGATGTTCGGTCGCGAGATCATCACTACAATTGAACCAAGCAACGTGAAGGCTATTCTGGCGACCCAATTCCAGGATTTTTCCTTGGGCACGCGACATGAACAATTCTATCCTTTGCTCGGTGATGGAATTTTTACCTTGGATGGAGCGGGGTGGTCGCATGCGAGAGGATTATTGCGACCACAATTTACTAGGGATCAGGTATTTATTGGAATGACTTTGATAAAAGAATCAGCATGTACTCATTGTTCCTAGGTCGCGGATCTAGCTCTACTGGATGACCACATCAACCACCTCCTCGACCTCATCCCCAAAGACAGAACTAGTTTCGATATTCAACGCCTATTCTTCCTCCTAACCCTCGACTCAGCTACTCATTTCCTCTTTGGCGAGTCAGTTGGCTGCATGCTCCCAGAGTCTGAAACAACTGGAGTCCTCGCGAAATCCGCCGTACGCAACGCTCAAGGCTTCGCCGACGCATTCACAGTCGCTCAGGACTACCTCGCCTCCCGATCACGCGCCCAAGGTTTGTACTGGCTCGTCAACCCGAAGGCCTTCCGCGAAGCAAATAGTCAAGTCCACGAAGTCGTGGATCATTATGTCAATGTCGCACTGGAATCAAAGCGCAATCCCGACCGGAAAGAAGACGACCGCTATATCTTTCTCAACGCCCTCGCTGCTGATACAGATGACCCGAAGATGCTGCGCGATAACATGTTGAATATCCTCCTTGCCGGACGGGATACGACGGCCAGTTTACTGAGTTCGACATTCTACTACCTTGCACGTCATCCCAATGTCTTTACGCGGCTGCGTCGGGAGATCGTTGAGGCCTTCGGGGATAGTAGGAACCCGCGTGGCGAAATTACCCAGACGAAACTGAAGGATATTTCTTACCTGCGATATGTCCTGAACGAGAGTAGGTTCCACTCCACCCGAACTTTAATATTCCGCTAACAGGACAGCCCTCCGTCTCCAACCGCCTGTCCCGATCAACTTCCGAGTCGCTACAAAGGATACTTCACTACCCGTCGGAGGCGGCGCTGATAAACAATCTCCAATCTATATCAAAAAGGGAACAATGTGCTCCTATAATGTCTTCGCCATGCACCGCCGCACAGATCTATGGGGTAAAGACGCACGCTCATTCCGACCGGAGCGATGGGAAGAGAATGCCAAGCACGGATGGGAATACCTGCCTTTCAATGGTGGACCTCGGATATGCCTCGGACGTAAGTTTTGAATCTGTTTCGGTGTTGATTAAAGTTTTGCAGATATTCGTTGGGAAGAAAGTCAAACTAATTTACTCCACTGCAGAACAATATGCGCTCACCGAGGCCAGTTATACTGTTGTCAGACTCTTGCAGTATTTCGATACGCTTGAGAATGCGGATCCGCGGCCTAATCAGACCGAGGAACCGGTCAAGCAATCTAACCTGACTATGATGCATGATGCTGGTGTGCCTGTGCGGTTGTATTCTTCGGATAAGATTTAGGATACTTAGGATATTGGTTTACGATTAATGTGTTTTACGTTGGTACTTTCTGAGGGAATCGAATGGGTAGGTTCCAAGGTAACTACATCCAACGAGTTCGACTTTGTATATACTTTTTACCGATTAGGGAAACCGTGATTTTATGATTTTCAAGCTGTTTCCCGCGTATCCAAACCCAGCCGATGTCGGTGTAATCTATAGCCGGTGATAACCTTTAAAAAGATGAGTCAACGCAAAGTTTGTTTCTGGCATTTTCAGATCCTTCAGTGATTGATCGGACATAAGAAGCAAAAGCCAATTTCAATCATAACCTCTCCGAATTTTCTTGGCGGCCACGCCATTGTAAGAGCAGAACAGACTGTTACGCTATCAATGACTTGAAGGAGGCGGTCAATTTGCCGAAAGGGAGCTTCGACTGGCGAATTGAATTATCAAGCGTCGATTACTGAATGAATGGGCGTGGCGTGATGCCGTGGTGCTGGAAGGTAGCCGACGATCGAGAATAGGCGTCGCAAAGCTACAATTAAGGCCCCACAAGGGTATCAGCCGTAGACGCTATGGCAAGATTGGTGATCAATACCCAGCAGCTAAATTAACTCAAAATTGATAATTTTGAAGCCTGCCTTTATTAGCACATCCATTGCCCCAGCCTCCTCAAGACTCTGTAGTGATGAATTTCCAATCAATCCGCTTTCTACAAGTCCCGTGAGAAACGGCAACATCCTTGGGTCCTCCTTGTACATAAGCCCGGTGGTAATATCGACAAATCCAGCGCGCTGCAGACCACGCAGTCCATGGGGGTCTAGAAGACTCCGCAGATTCGCGGGCAGCTCACCAAGTATAACTTCCCCGTGCATTCCGCCTTCTAAGTAGCATTCACCAACCTGACGATACTGTCCAGCGACTGGGCGGAGCACCATAGGCTTCCATGAGCCAAATAGATGACACACCTCATCGTCAGGACGGACGTAGGCTGGGCCCATTCCCACGTGGCCATCTGCTGTGATGTATAGGGTACGGGCGGTGCAGGCAGCACGCACATGGACAAGACATCGGGAAGTGTTGGGATGGGATGGAAGTTTTGCAGTCGAGTTTTCTGGGTCGAGCAGGGCTCGCACTAGCGCAAGAGAGTCATTGTACGGCGATTCATGGGGCACCGCGGGCATCCAGCGCTCTGCAAAATTATTGAGCCAGAGGCTGCGGCAATATGCTTCTAATCTCTTTTCCCTGCTGTTGTAGACTGTATTATTGCCGGCTTGGATATGGCTGTCGAGTTCCATCAGTGCTCTGCGCAGCTCCCGTGCCGTCGTGGAATCGCTGACATTGTGCAGACAATAATCATCGATGCGAATGACATGCTCGACGCGACCGATACGAAAGCCGTAAGCTCCGAGATGACAATCATTCATGCTCGAGAAGGCTGGCAGTAGCTCAAACAGTTCCGGGCCGACCTCGTGCACACTTAATGAATCCATCGGGGCCGCCAAATCGGGAACCCAACTTGGTAGGGGCTCAGACCTTACAGAATGATCATCCAGTTCGCATTGACACAAGATAGCGAGACGCCCCGTGTGCCTGATGTGCCGCTGAGTTGCATCGGTGTAGATATCTGAGGCTGTCTTGTTGTAATCAGGGATAATACCGAGGTCGCCAGAGTCACGCAGGTGGTTGAGAACGCCATAAAGGCGATCCCGTGGATCGGAGCACTTAGAACTGCGTATTTGACGTCTTAGATTGAGAAAGCTGAATGCACGCCTGGAGTAGAGGCAGACAGTATCTATTTGTAGCATGCCGCGCCGGAAATCATCTTCCTGTTCTGTTGTATTCATTACGCCACTCACCGAGGGCTTTCTTTGGATAATGAAGATTGCTTTGCACATCAGTGGCCAAGAAATTGCTTTGCTGCCACACAGGAGCGTACCCTGGCGCCCGCTGAGGCCGATTTCTTGCCGGATCCAAAGCCTCCCGAACCAATCTCGGCAAATTAGGTGGTAGATAGCTAGAATCTCGCGTCGACCATAAGGTAGCGCTGAGTGCATGTCGGCCCAACTGCTATCTTTGGTCCCTACCGCGGACGATTTGATAAGACCAGAGGAGAAGTCCACTTCGACCATGTCTGCAAGGTTTTCCAAGATCTCAAGCGCAAGATCACTGTCGTCCTGGGCTGGACCTAGAAAACCAATAACCCTCCGAGCGAGGCGATAAATGTCACCTATCATCATGACTTGCTGTGATTTTTCTGCGTAGTCGAGCTGGTTGATGCAGATGGCATCGGCCCAGACGGTTCGCACAGAGTCGGCGAGACGAAGATGCTGAAGCGCGACGGCAAGGTTCTGAGTGACTAGGAATTCATGGAAGTTGGCGCTACCACCGGCTAAGACTAGCTGCACTCGAATCGTGGTAGGGCTATCACTCGAGCCCCAAACGTAAGAAAGGGCTTCATATTGTGGCACATGTGACTCCTCGAGTCTGCAGTGGAAAACTTTAATTTGCAGAGTATCAGTGAATGCTCCCGGTATAATATCAATCAGACGAATATCGTGATGCTCTGTTAACGGGAGATAATCCAGGAGAGCCATGTCCAACGACGTTGGAGACGGTGGATCAAGGAGCAACGCCACGGTGAATAAATACCCCAGCTTGCACAAGCTGGCATTGCACGTGTCTCTCGGTCACTGAAAAATGGGGCTGAAAGGTGAATGTGCTGCATCGATTAGGGTGATAAGCGCACCGACCGAGGATGACTGCCACGTCACAATAGTACGAAGCTGTAAAAAGAAAAACCCAGAAGAATCTCGATGGCAATGGGGCACCGCCAGCAAGCCTGTGCCGGCAGTGAGACCAATTAAATTTGAGCCGGGCGATGTGAAATCCCCCAAGCAATGTCGGAAACGAGGCTGAAGGCAGAAGAGGTACAAGTCAGGCTATGGATATTGGAGGGGTAGCTGCGGGAGGGGCTCTCCAGTTTCTCGCGAGGCTGCCAATCAGAGACACACATTGAAGTTGCCTCAAGTTATTAATAATTTTGAGTGATCTAGCTGGATTGTACGAGGACACAAGAGAACATAGCTGAGGAGTTATGGGCTACATCATATTCTACATAGTATTTCGCAAGCGGTCTGATGATAGCCTGGATGGGAGGGGATGTATATGATGACTGATGAGTTGTTCGGCAACTTCCATCTTTTCCCTCTCTGTCAAGTTAACAACCCTTCTTCCCTCGTGCTTCACATCCTGCCCCGATCTTGGTCTAAATTCTGATTTATCTTGCTTTTTAAAGTGCCGCTAACTGGAGAATGTACAATCTCTCCTTGTCGAGCGCTAGCAAATCAAAATCGCAACCACCACCTCCACGCGCTCCGAGGTGTATTGAATACCATCTGCGATCTCAAATTGGAACTTCTTGAGATCCTGCCGAGCTTTCAGGACAGAGAGGGCTCTTGAACACTAAGACAGACAATTACATGTGACTGCGGATGATCAAAGTAATTACTATTAGGACTTCTGGAGCTTCCTGCATCTAGCTCACTTAACTGAATCTGCTATCAAATTTGGATAGTAAACGACTCTCAAAGCTTCGATTCTAACATTGAAACATTTTTCACACCCCCACGATAAATTCCCTGCTTCAAGAAGACATGACGCTTTTCCCACCATCCTCCGTAAGCCTATTGCGAACTTTGATTACCATGTACCCGCCACCCAATGTACCCAACCTTTGAGGCTCAGAACCTTTGGCAGCAATGCCAGATACCGCGCTCGGGCAAAACAGCAAGGCTTCGCCTACACGTAGACGAACGATCTTATGGAACAATGCGTATTTGCTAGTTACCTCGCCATCTTCTGAGGGGTCTTTTTTCGATTGCGCACCGAAGGCGGCCGCGGCGATGTGGCCTTGAAGTGCATGTAGCCATGCTGGCGATGAAAATCGGTGCACAATTGTGATGGAGCAAAGGCTTAGCAGGTCGCTGGAGATGGTGGGCTCTTGGGTGGAGACGAAAATCCGGGCTCCGAGATGGCGTTGCAATCTGACAGTCGAAAGCAGAGTTTCAGTGAAGCTTTGAGCTTCGACTGAATCTTTCATGTACTAAAATAGTCAGCAGGCATGGATAGGACATTACCCTCCGGTTAGGCACGAACTTTGTGGGCCTCATCAAGTGCAACTACCCTGCCAATATTTGCTTCCTGTTCCATGAAGATGCCGAAACAGACGTTGAAGAGGGAACAAGCAGTATCTGGGGAGATACAAGGACAGGAGAGGTCGACGATCGTCAATTGCGATGCCTGATTCACGGATTAGCTTCATAATCTTAATTGGCCTATGATAAGCTTGCCTTTGGTCTCCAGCTCGAACCTGTAACCTTGGGATTTGATTTCTTGGTACTGAATGTATTGCCCAGGTTAACCTGTTGCAGGGGCATAAAACTCTCAAGGGTGTGAAGTCTTTGCTTCAATGGTTCAAGTTGACTTGGAAGAAGACCAGAGTCGAGGATTTGCCGCCTAAAGTTGGCGTAGTCGAACTGGGATCCTGTAGACTGCTGTAGCTCACGCATCTCCCGTAACACTCGCTGGACAGTATGCATGTACAGTGGCATAGCTCCATCATTGTTGCCTACTGCCATGAGATCCATCATACGCTTGGTATTAAGGTTGGCTTGGTCGATTTGTAAAGCCTCCACTTTGATGTTCTTGAGCCTAGAGTAGGATTCCTAAACCAGAGACAGTCAATAAATTGCAGAATATTAGGAAAATGTGCATCACCTTTATGGTGTGGAGGTTTGTTGGAGCACAGAGAACGCGAACTTCAATGCTGAGATTGGAAGAGAGAAAGGCTGCCTCACAAGGCGAACCATTACGGTCACTGATGAAAGTTTCATAGTGGAAAACAATCGCTGACAGAGGGTTCAAAAGCCTGCCAGCTTGAGAAGATATGAGGCAGCCTTCAAGTAAGCAGGAGAGCGTATGACTCTTCCCCGACCCCTGAGAGCCGCATATAAAGGTGCTTGAGGGGGAGGCCACGTTGAAAAACAGCCGGGGATCTTTCTCCAGGATTTCGTCATCCAAACTTGGAAATCCAATAGTCGCTATTTCTTTGATACCCCCAAGCAAGCCATACTGGGATGGGCCTTCACCTGGTAGATCGAGAACTGGGCCGGTAAAAACAGGAGACACAGAAGCGTCATCAACCTGCTCGGTCTCATCGTTGTGTTTCAGAAGGCTTAAATGGTACTCAAATTCCGAATCTGGAGACATGATTGGCGTCAATTCTGTGTGAATTTTTTCCTATTCTCAAAGGCAGACCAGGGGGATTGCTGTGTATGAGAGAGAAGTTGGTAACATGTCCATACTGATGGAAGAAAATGAGTTGTGCAGACTAAGGATGGACTTCAAACGGCAAAACATTGCATCCTCGTTTTTCATCGTTAAAATAGCGATTTCTAGCCTTGGAATAGGAAAATGCCGATAACCTGCTGTTTGCTACGCCCTCAATCAAATTTTAACGGAAACAACCGAATATCCCGACATAAATTATATCATTCTTGACGTTGCCTCTTCTTCACTTCCATCATCTTTCATTGATATTTGTATCTTACTTGGTTGAGGAAAGCCTTGTCCCTTGACTGTGAGTGTTTCCTAAGACCACATTACGCACATCTTACTGGTTGCTAACTTTGTATTTAGCTTTGTGCTTAAACCCTTTCAAATCAATCATGAAGCGCTTCAACGAAGAACTCCACGACCCCAACCCTTCAGTTAGCCAGGAACATGGCCACCATAAAAAGCCCGTCATCGTTGGTCTCTATGGCCTCCCAGGGGCTGGAAAGACATATCTTCTGGATGGACTTAAGCGAAGCGTGACCGACTTTCTATTCTTTGATGGCAGTCGTGCTATTGGAACCGTGACCCCCGGCGGGCTTGAAGCATTCCATACCTTATCAGAAGCCGAGAAAATAAATTACCGCGGTCGTGCCATGGAACGAATCAAACAAGGATGCCATGACTTTGGGAAAAGTGCTATCATCTCAGGACATTCGATGCTATGGACTGAGGGAGAGAAAACATATCAACTTATCTGCACACAAGCTGATTTCGACTCATACACTCACATTGTTTACCTGGAAGTCCCAGCTGGCGTTATTGCAGATCATCGGCGTATCGATCAACGGAGCCGCCCAGGCGCATCGGTTCCACATCTGGCCCAATGGCAGGAAGCAGAGAAGACTTACTTGCGTCATGTCTGCAGATTACACAACATTTTGTTTACAACAGTGACACCGCATCGTTTCCTGCCTGAGCAGCTTTCTGCGCTCCTTGAAGATTTCCATCGCCACACAGAAGACCTCAATACTAAGCTCGCTGAGGACCAGATAGACAAAATTTTCGATACTGACTCCGAAACTCCTGAGACGGTGCTCGTTCTGGATGCCGATGAGACCTTATCTCCATACGATAGCGGCTCTCTATTCTGGCACCTCACCCCTAGAACCTCTTTGATAGGTGATAGATATCCTCTGAGGGAACTATTTCGCAGTCACTTGCAGTATTCATACACTGCCTTCCGTCAAGCTACCCTTCTTTACGAAGAGGCAATGGATGGCAATGACTACGAGATATGTTGTCAACAGATGGCAACTATGATCAGAATGTACCCTGAGTTTATCAAATTTTTGAAGTCATTGAAGACTCACATGCGGGCAGTTGTTCTTACCTGTGGACTACGCCGAGTCTGGGAACTGGTTCTCAAAGAAGAAGAACTTTCAGCGATACAAGTCATCGGGGGCGGCCGTTTATCAGACAGACTGGTCATGACACCCAAACTAAAAGCCTCCTTGGTGAAAAGGTTGCGCTGTGTCCACAATGCTTATGTCTGGGCGTTTGGAAACAGTCCAGTTGACCTTGAGATGTTAATGGAGGCGAACAAGGCCATCGTCGTGGGTGTGTGCCAAAGATCCAGCAGTACTACTATGGACGATGCTTTGAGAGGATCAATTGGGCAAGAAGGCTTTGCGCCTCATCAGCTCCTCCTATGTCCTGGGGATTATCCACAACCTCTCCTCAGCGTTCTGCAGCTTCCTCTGGTGAGCTTGACTGATGAGTCTTTTCTCAACTCTATCTCTGCGCGCCGTGATTGTCTCAATGTCTTTCATGCTACGAATCACAATGGTGCCAAAGTAATGATGACAGCGATACGTGATGTTACAATCTCGGGGCCGGCATTGAGGAAATACCATCAACAGGCCGGATGGTACTTAACGATGAGATTCTACGCTGAGATGGTAGGTATCGAACCATATTCAATTACTCATGTCCAGGGTCATCAGACAGACGGGCATCGGACTGCTCATGAGAAAGTGACTTTAATCGTGGCCCTTATGCGCGGTGGGGAACCAATGGCCTTTGGCGTTAGTGAAGCGCTACCACTCGCCACGTTCCTCCATGCGAAGGATCCAATGGATATCCAACCGGAGCATCTATCAGAATGTGTGACGGTACTATTGGTAGACTCTGTCGTCAATACCGGTAGGTCCGTGTTGGATTTTGTTCAGCACATTCGAAAGCTTAATGATACTATTCGCATCGTGGTCATTGCCGGAGTGATCCATTCCCATACACTTTCTAGGGGAGGAATTTCTCAGCAGTTGAGTCGAACTCAAGGACTGTCGTTCATTGCCCTTCGCCTTTCAGATAATCATTTTAGTGGTCAAGGAGCCACCGATACTGGCAACAGATTGTTTAACACTGTGGATTTGGATTAAATTGACATTTTGGGGCGCATTCGGTGGATTAATTTGTTTCACGCTCGAGATTACGGTCATTGTTCGAAATCATGATAGAATTTGAAATGAACCTTGAGGCAAACTTAAACTTCTCTGTCCTTTCCTATGTGTAATTTTAGTGTTCTCTCCAAGGCTGTTGCCGTGAGGGTGACTCTAATTTGCCTGTCTATCTGCGGCTCAGAATCGGTTATTGCAGCTATACAAATCCACCCATCATCGTGTCAGGCAGAGCCACTAGCCTGCGAAGCATTGCTAAAGCTGTTCTAAGTAGCTGCAGGTAAAGTTCACACTCAACAATCCGGGTCATGTCCAGGTGATGTCAGTGGTAGAAGCAGCCGGACTTTACGGAGTTAATGGTCTATCTTCGCTTTACAGCCGATGGTAAGTATTTCCGAGGTGATTATAAGACCAGTGAATTAGTTCTACATATTTGCTTTCTAGTACAACGATCACTGAGGATTACTATTCACAATGGCTACACACAAGGCTCTTGTTCTTAGCTCATGCGACCGCCCGCTGACCCTGGAGACTGTTCCCCGTCCGCTAGCCAAGGCGGGCGAAGCAGTCGTGCAAGTTCTGGCTGCCGATATTGTCCCTTACATGGGTGAGGTATTAAATGGCTCTCGTCCGTATCCATTGTCTCTTCCTATGACACCCGGTAACACTGCCATCGGAAGAGTCTTCGAGGTCGGGCCGGATGCCGTTAGCCTCACGCCGGGTCAGTTGGTATTCTGCGACATCACCATCCGAGCACGCGACGATCCATCTGTCACCATTCTCTACGGAATCCATGGAGGTGGATACCCAGCAGCACAGAAACTGATGGACGGCGAGTGGCGAAATGCAACATACGCGGAATACACAAGATTTCCTCTGGAAAATCTCTATCCGCTGAATGAGGATCTCCTGGTGGCAAAGATGGGATACACGATTTCTGACTTATGTTTCCTGCCTGTATTTCTCGTCCCTTTTGGTGGACTGTCCGAAGTCAATGTTAAACCCGGCGAAGTGGTGATTGTGGCACCGGCAACGGGCAGATATGGAGGTGCCGCAGTGGCTGTGGCACTCGCCATGGGCGCTACAGTAGTGGCTGCCGGTCGCAATACTTCCGCCCTTCAGACCCTCAAGACGATACATGCATCCACAGGTCGACTTAGAACAGTAGTGGTCACTGAAGACTCTGCACGAAATTCCGAGCTATTCAAATCCGCCGCTGGAACGAAAGATGGTGCCGACGTATACATTGACTTTTCGCCGCCTGCAGTGAAGAGCAACGCGCTGCTTTGTTCTGGTATTGGCTCATTGCGTTCATTTGGAAGATGTATCATAATGGGAGGGAGGTCGGGGGACATTCAGGTTCCATATTTGGACGTTATGTTCAAAAGCCTCAGGCTTCAAGGTCGATTCATGTATTCACGACACCATATTCTTCAATTCATAAAAATGGTGGAGTCGGGGCTGATGGTACTGGGGACTAAAGCTGGCATTCATCATACAGAGGAGTTTGGAATGGAGTCTGTCGATGATGCACTCAAGCAAGCGGGGAAGCTGACAGGGTGGGGTTCACACGTTGTATTGAGACCCTATAATGGCTAGCCATCACTTGGTAATATCTAAGCATGTATTAAATTGACAACAATTGAGAAATCTCTTCGCAATTTCACAACGGGAGAATAATCGAGGTAGGGACCATCGATGGCGAGAACAGAGAATGGCAAAGCTGAGAGAACCTTGGTATAAGCTATGAAAAAGCTCGTCTAACCGCCCCAGACTGCCTTTTTTAGTACGCAGCACTTCGTAGTCAGGCTTGGAAATTTGACATCGCATATATCCGTTGTCTTGAGCCTGTACTTTCCTTGATTTTCCACAAGGTAGATGAGACTGTATGATCGACATTTGACGAATTGTGAGCTTGTGAGAATGGCTCGTTGACCTCGGAAGCCTTCAAATTCTCTGTGTCGCCAAGTTTCTCATAGCACTCAGGTTCGGAAAGCCGGCCTTATTCGCATTCACACAAGTCCAATGACAAGATGGGTCTCAAGACCTTGTCGGATACCCCTGTCTTAGTAGAAGGGGACCAAGTATATAGAAGATACCTAATATCCATGATCAGAACACTCTAAATGTAGGAAATCATCCTAGCGAAAAGGGCATTTGAAGGTTTTATAGTGTATGCTTAATTTATTTTTCACAATACTGAAGCTAAGTAAGGGTCTGAAGAAGATGTATGCCAGCCTTAGTCCCCAGTACCATCAGCCCCAAGTTCACCATTTGTATATGGATCGACCTGTATTAAGAGGCTACTCTACGACATTGAGATGCCTGAACAATTTAGGTCATTGTTGGCGATGAGCAATTATACCCCTCTAATTCGCAAAACCAGGAGTGGAGGCCAAAGAAATAATAACAATACGGGCAGCAATGACAAATTATCTCGTATTGCGGCACTACCTGCATCGGCCTCTAAAGTCTGATCGTTGCACTGATAGGTCAATGGATGGGTTCGCGTATCTTTCCGCCGGCATATGCTACATAAGCAGCTAAGCGACTCTCGGTATTTACCCCTCGCCTGCACCTAAGGCCATCTGAATGCGTCCATTCGGCGACAGGTCCGCATTTATACCACCCAAGCCTGTAATCACACACGCTGCAACGGAATCACATGTCAAAACCCAGTGAATAGCAGCTAGTGGAAACATGCCAAGTGAATCAATAGGGTATACATCTCGTGCAGCTGCGGGTGCGGCTGCAAGTGCGGGGGTTGCCTACACCGCTGGCTGTGCTTACCTATGCCTATTCCTCTCGACTCGCAAGCACCCAGCCAATCAGCAATTAGTCGACCAATCAAACCAAATTCTTCCACATAGGCTGATGTATAACCACAGGCAGATTCTTGGCAGATCTGTGAGATTTTAGATCATCTGAAAGAGCTCACTGGTTACTCCTTTGGGACATGCCTTTCTCACGGCTCGCGTCCCTACCTCAGCTCCCTATCAAAGGGAGATATCTCCCTTCAAATTTCTAGACAACTCTTTTGGTCTCATCTTCTGGGCCCGGGACTAGCTTCTTTTGACCACATTCCGCTACGATTGTTCGTTCTCGTCAGCCAAGATCGGCAAGGCTTCTATAAAGGGTAGATCTTATCTCTTTCTTTCTCCCCTCTGACAACAACAAACATTCCCCCAAAAAATATCGACAAAGTCAAATTGATCATCGGTTTCCTTTTGTTCTATCTCGATTCTTATATGAGTGTATGCCAAAAACTGTCCTCATCCTTACAAATCTCGAGAACGATGAATCAATCTACCACTATACTCTTTGTTCCAGGCGCGTGGCACAATCCCGATTGCTATGATTCCATTGTGAGCCGCCTCGAGGCAGTCGATTATAAGACCAAGAAGGTCCATCTACCCACAGTGGGTCCACTAACACACTACCTGGACTTTGACGAAGATGTTGCACATATCCGAGCGCAAATCGAGCAAGCAGTCAATGCAGGGCAGAAAGTGGTTGTGGTGGTGCACTCTTATGGCGGGGTACCATCAAATGAGGCAATTCAAGGACTGGACATCAACACGCGCCAGAAGATGGGTCTGACTGGCGGCGTCACCCATCTGTTTTTCTGCTGCTCCTTTGTCATTGCCGAAGGACAATCACTCATCAGCGCCTTCGGTGGAAATGACCTTCCTTGGTTTAGAGTGGCAGACGATAAGTTGGAAGTCAATGTTGCAGATCCAGACAAAGTTTTCTACAACGACTGTGATGATGCGCAGGTTGAACGTGCGGTCGCTGCTTTGAGATCCCATAGTTACCAGAGCTTCCACAGTATCTGTACTTATGCAGCATGGAAGCATATTCCATCAACCTACTTATACTGTCTTAAGGATGCAGCCATTCCTCTCGCGGTACAGAAGATGATGGTTGAGGGCACGGCTAAAGGATCCGGGATGAGGACGGAGACGGTGAATGCATCCCATAGCCCGTTTATCAGCCAGCCTGATGAGTTGACTGCAGCCATTCGACGGGCTGCTGGGGAGAGCATTTAATTGTTCTATGATTACTTCTTGCTGTGCGGTGCATGGATTATAAATCGAGAACTCTCGCTATACATATACATATACCTGGTTCCTGGCTATGTACTAAATGTTGAGTGGTTCCAGGCGGCGAATCTGATATATTGAAATTTATTCTCCTTGGAAGCCTAGCCGGAAGCAAGCCCTGGAGTCTCACGTCTAATTTTTATAGATGCTTGAGCAGCAGCCGTCCAGGAAAAATTGAAGTTCACATTCCCAGCTGAGCATCATGATCTTCCATAAGCAGCGGGGGATATATGTCTGCCTGTATTTCGATAAAATTTGGAATATCACTGAGAAGGGTCGCCTATCCCCGAGTACCCCGATCAAATCGTTCATAAAAAGTAAATTCCGAGATTAGCCTGTCGATTTTATTCCTATCGTCGGCCCTGAACTTGATTGTAGGAGCCCGCCACGCACAGCGGGGATTTTTGGTCACTGCATTGATGAACACCGTGCGGATCAGAGAATGTGGAAGCTTTTGGTCGCTGGGTAAAATGCCCTGGACATTGTCTAAGGCCATACGCCAGTTTCTCACGAAGACTGAATCATGCATACCTTGTGTGTAAACGCATGCCAGCCACTCGTTGTATTTTTCGGCGCAGGTAAACGCAGGTACCGATCCATATATCTTTGTCAGAGCAGTCCACATTTCTGCCGCAGTTTTGAGACGATTCACCTGAAGCTTGACATGCATGCTGAGTGTGGCAAGAAGGTAGCGACACAATTCATGGTTTGCAGAAGACCAAATAGCATATTCTTCATTCGGGTCTGTGTAGTGTTCTTTGATGAAGGCGTATGCTTTGGCCATGGTAATATTGTCAGGGCTGAGTATGAGGTTGTCCGTAAAGTGCTTTATTGCGATCAGGATCTTTGCCGTGTCTAGAGAGACAGGGGTGCGTTCTTCGGTGTATTTTGGGGCAGAAAGTCCTACCAGGAGTTCCCAGTATGTACGGTCGATGTTGTCAAGTGCTACCTCCAGGCGTTTAGAATAGTGTGAAAAATCGTCTCTACCTGTAAGCTGAGAGCCAAAAGTAGAGAGAAATATTTCCGTTTTCGAAGGTTCCATTTTGAAGCTGCACAGGTGTGCGCAGGATGCGGGTCGGGTTGTTGTTGTTAAGGCTCGGCCCGTTGAGCTGGACTAAACGAGGCGCTGGGCGGAGGTAATGGAGAACGAACTAAATAGCTTTCGACGCTCTTTAATGGCGTGATGTGGACTTGAGAGCAGAAATTGGCCTCGTCTTCGGTGGTAGGTGGAGCCTGGAGAATAATGAGATGCCTGCAACGCGTAGTCAAATCGTCATCAGGGCGCAATGAAGATGTGCACACAGAGGGGAGAGAAAGGAGTCATAGGCCAGATAAATAGAAGAGAGCACATATCATCGATTACGAAAGGGTTGTGGGGGCACTGACTGAGGAGAAGAGGCCAATAGCGTTACAAAGAACTGATGGAGTGAAGGAAAGGTAAAGGAGAATGAAAGAGGAAAAAACGAGAGTCAAGGAACAAAAGATGTGAAAAGGGGAAGAAAGGATCACGAAATTATCCTACGCAGCTTGGAGATGGTACCTTCATAATTTTAGCAGGTCTATAGATTGTTTTCCCAGCTGTCTTCCTTCATTATCTTCATGCCTGTCATGTTGGCAGACCTTAACTGAATTCTTCGGTAATACCCTAGAGCCTTTTGATTGATGACCATTAAATTAGTTGTAGCGTCCCCAATAACCCCACTCAAAGTAGCGCAGCAAATTCAATCCAGACAAATTGAGATATGAAGTATTAAAGAACATGATCACCTCACTTGATTCAAGTCAACATGCAATATAACGCTTGGTTGAAGCCGAGTAGGACCTCGGTATATAGTCCAGATATTAATGGAATTATTAAACATTCCGTTCTCAATACCGTCAATGTGATTTTCATTAATCAGAATCCTGCATGGAAAAGCAATATGCCCATTCTAGATGATTGCGGAGAGCTTTTTGTTTTGCACCAAGCGAGCAATGATAAGCAGCATGCCGCCTAGGAGCAATGCCACGCCTGAAAATATAGACAGTGAAAGATAGCCGTACCTTTCGACCAGAGCACCACTGATCGGAACATTGGCCATCGCACTATCAACATGTTAGTGGTGTTCAGAATTCAAAGCGATAGACTCACGAAAAGGCAGTAGACCCAGCGACACCACCGATGGCGAGACCAAATGTAGAAGGTGTAGCTACCTGGGCAGCACAAGCCTGCTGAAGAGAAAGAATGCCCTTGGATAAAATCAGTAATTGAACAAATTAACTGGGTTTGAATACTTACCCCTGATGCGAAGCCGTAAGCAGCACACCAAATCACCAGGCCAGGTACGGAGTCCACACTAGTCCAACAGAACGCAATTATCCCTGCCGACAAGGTAGAGACAATGCAGCAGTTGAATCGCCCAAATCTATCAGCCAGTATACCCGGAATAATGCGACCGAAAAAGGAGGCTCCGTTGACGATGGACACGGTGTAGAATGCTAGCGTTGTCGAGAACCCCTTCGCAACTGCATATGATGTCGTATAGAAGAAAGGAGCGAACATGCCAAAGTATGTGATGAACATGGCGAGACATAAGAGCTGCATGGATGGCTGTCGGAAAAGTGTAATTGCCTCTTGCTTATGATCAACTTTCTTTTCTGGGGCAGATTCACCACTCGTATCGTTGCCTGTGATGTCGTTCTCCGGATCAACATCCATGGGAATATGGGCCTTTGGCGGTGATTTGCAGACAACGCATGAAAAGGCAAACAATGGAATCATAATGAAACCAACGATACGCATTGTCCAAGGAAACCCGATATCTGGCCGTTTGAGCAACTGATCGATCGCCACGGGCCAGATAATTCCACCAAGCGAGGACCCGGCAAGAACGATCCCCATCGCAGCAGCACGCTTCTTCTTGATATACTGTCCGACTAGCGCAAGTGCTGGCCATGTAGCCAAGGCCATGGAAATACCCAGGAGAATGCCTTGTGCGAGCAGAAACTGGTAGAACTCCTTGCAGAGCGAGGTCATCATGATGGCGAAAACCGTGCCGACCGATCCTGTCCATATCATGAGCTGGAATCGTCAGTTCTTGGATCCATGTTATTAAGTGGGCATGCATCCTACCTTGGGTCCGAAAATGTCGAGCATCGCACCGGCGATGGTGGAAATCGAGAAGAGGAAGAAAATGGCCATGGCTCCCAGCCATCCAATCGTTGATTGCGATTCATGGGCTAGTTGAGCTGTCGCATAGTAGTCTTCAAATACACCGAACGAGTTCAAAAATCCAACAGTGCAAAAAAGACATGTAAATGCGCCGAAGATTACGAGCCATGCTCGAGTTCTGTTGATGTTAGTTGTGATGGATATGTTTTGTATTGAGCAAGATACTTACGTATATTCGTTCTCAGAATCCGAAGACATTGTTCTGAGCTTGGTTGAGTTGAGAATATTTGGAAATTATTCATGCTTCCCGTAGGTATGACGGACTTTTAAAGGGATAGTATCGACCTAAGCAGAAGTAGGGGTTGGAAAGCTCTGAACCGCGGAGCCTCCGGTGGACATACAGAATAGAGTTGGCGAGTGCCAAGGCCCGAGCCCGGACCCTCCGCGGACACTCCGACACTCTTCGCGTCCTCATTCCAACTCACAACTACGCCCTCCGGCTGATGTATTCCGTGAATTCTTTATTGTTGTCCTACAGGCCATCATGATGAAAAGAAAAGCCACCGGTGCACCTAATACTCCCTCGAAAAGACAACCCCGACAAGATCCGGTATCTTGCGACTCCTGCCGAAAGAAAAAGCTCAAATGCGACCGGAGCCATCCATGCAGTAGCTGTACATCTCGAAGATTAGATTGCAAATATGGTAACCACGGCCCCCTGGGGAGTCCGTGTATCAAGCCAGGAAGCTTGACGGAGAGGGTGCCATCGATCGACAGGGTTGAGCCGCGCCAATCTCAGTCACCAGCATACCAACCGGAGCCTCAAACCCGTAGAGATGATCCGTATGTCACAGCAGACCGACTGGAAACTATCGTCATGGGCCATCGGGTCCCAAGTGCCATACCAGCTTCGCTCCGAGCACAATTTTCACAGCCACATATCGATTCTCAGTCGCATCAGGAATCGAGAATATTTACATTTCTTCATGATAGTTGCATGGCATCCCATCAGAATCCCGCAACAGTCCCCCTTACCTCTTTTCTACCCGCTGAAACAGAAGTAATGGGTCTTTTCAATTACTACTGCAATCACCTCGACTATCAGTATCACCTCGTCATTCCCGAGCGCACCAAGCGGGATATTCACACGATGTATGAGAATGTTACACATGATGTGCCGCTTGACCTTAGTGTCCTCGCACTTCTATTCAGCATATCTGCTACGGCCATTTTCTTCGAGGTTCTTAGCACGGGCTCGCCGGAGTGTGCTGAACGTCGAAGTAGGGAAGCAGCATTCCTAGCGGGGGCGTCGCTAGTTCAGAGCAACTTTATGTCCTATCCGACCGTCGCAGGACTACAGGCATCACTTATCATTGGGCACCATCTATCGGGTCACCTCCTACATCCATCTATTGCTTCCTTCTTTGTTCAGGGTACAATGATCAATCAAGCAAAAAGCCTTGGACTTCATATCTTGGACTCTCCCAGCTCCGAGGAGGATCGTCGAGTGAATGGATTCGACGAAGGGGATGTGGAATTGAAACGTAGACTGTGGTGGGATCTTGCGACCTATGACTGGTACGTTTCTTGATACATATACATGTCATTTATTAATCCCTTGCAGGTTTCTTGGCTTTCTCAGCGGCCCACAGGAGTTCACATACTCTATCAATCCTAAACATATGAATGTACGAGTACCTTTAAACATCGACGATGAGGATATAGAAAGTGGTATACCTGTCTCACTTTCTACACCCACGTGCATGTCATATACTCTCGCCCGTCTGCGGCTAGCTGAAATATGTCGAGAAATCGTCGACGAGACTGCTCCGGAACACTTCAAGGGCGAGGACGTGCCTTACGAAAGAATTCTTGATCTAGAGCGCAAACTCCATGATGGATATGCGAGACTGCCTCCTTTCTTTCGATATGGCCAATCTTCACGACGTGAATTTGCAGATCTCTATCATGAGCGACCGGTATTTTGCTGGCAAAGGACATTCGTTCAGCAAGGGTATCACGCACGATTTCTAAGATTGCATCGTCGATATTTTGTGCGCGGAGCTAAGGATCCACGATATTCCTACTCTCATGTGGTATCGCTCCAGTCAGCCAGAAAGGTGCTAGAATTAAAGCGTATAATGGACGAGGAACATCCTGTTGTCGCACCCAATGGCTCCTTTTTCTGGGCTATCATGCATCACGTGTTCATGGCAGCTGTAACTTTGCTCATCAATGTGTGTTTCAACTGGGATGATATTCTTGCCGAGAAGCAAAAGCAGGAGGTCCTCGATGCCTGTCGCATGCTCAGCCGAGCACAGCAGGTATCTTGTATCGCACGGGAAGGAATCAATGCGATGATGAGTACATTGCGCAAACACTGGAAGCAGCAGAAGAGGCCTATATCGGGGACAAATCCAGAGCAACTGGCCATGACCCAACGGCCCCTCGAAGAGGAAATGGAGGAGAGCAGAATGGTTCCAATCGCGCCCTCTGCTCGAACCCCTTCGCATCTCCTTGAGAACACACTTGATCCCGGAACTGCTGATCTTAATTTGGTGCCGCTTGAAGACATTTGGAGCGAAATGCTCGACGACAGTGCCCATGTCGGGCTAGATACCCCAGCATGGATGGATTTGCTCAATGATTTGACACATACCGGCGTTCCACATTGAGCGACTTTGATGACACACATTACTCAAAAGAGCAAACTAAAAGTGTACTCATCAGACGCCGTGGCGTTTCTTTTCCACGAATCAAGCATCCTTCGATAGTCAACTGCTCATATGGAACCATTATTTCTCGGCTTTCTGATACTGAGGACCTGCATTCATTCCATCAATATTGCAGCAAACTCAGGGTGACACATGGGAACATCAACAATGGCCCATTCTATATGATCATGAAAATATGTTTTCACAGTCTGATTTTCAATACGCAACAATACGCAACATACTCACTAGCGAAAAACTGGCGTGGTGACTCTCAAAATTAAGAGGCCTTTGCTAATATATGCTAATATATGATGGATAGTCTGATTCTGGAGTCAGACCCAATCTCTTATGATGCTATCATGATGCCGCTCGGCATTTATTCCCGCATGTCCAAACAACTCTGTTATTGTCAACCATGCCTAACATTGACTATACCAATAATTCCGAAACTCCACCTATGTTGTTCAGAGTTTCAAGATGCACCCACATAAAGACAATGACCTCCCCGATATCCATCGTTACATAACAACCCACAGCACAGAAGGCGAGGCAGTATTCCTATCGCACGCACAGATCCCCGATTACATGCCCTCCCAACCAGCAGGAGGCGACGGCGAAATTGCTCTCCTCTACGCGACAGAGACGGTCCCCACCTCACTAGAAGATGAAGCCGATATCGCCATGTACGACGAATACCTCCACCTACCTCCCGGCTTAACAACGGACACAGGATCGGTGTTCCGAATGGTAGATCTGAAGCCTGGGAAGAAAACGCCGATGCATCGAACTGTCAGTTTGGACTATGGAGTCGTGTTGGAGGGCGATGTCGATCTTGTGCTTGATTCTGGGGCGAGTCGTCATTTGCATCGGGGAGATGTGTGTATACAGCGTGGGACTGCGCATGCATTTCGAAATCGGAGTGGAAAGGAATGGTGCCGGCTGCTGTTTGTTTTTTTACCGATACAGAAGTTGAGTTATAGGGGCCGGGAATTGGAAAAGGAGATTTATGGTGAGGGTTATGAGGAGGGAGATGAGTAGGTACATCTACTTCTCTGTAGTACTGCGCCCATGTCCGGGTAATCGCGGAAAGAGGGATATCTATTAATGATTATATTTGTCATCATATTGCGAGCTATTTTCAGTAATGATCATCTCCTGAATTATCAATGAATCACAGTGACCACAATCTCCTCCGATACGAACATCCACGTTGCCTTCTCATTCGACCGTCACTGCAACCTTAGATTTGTCTGTCAGGGATAAAGATTGATCAGTTATACTCAATTTGGCGCCAGGAGCCTAGCGACTCGGATGTTACTCACAAAAAGCTATGTGATCCTTAATGTTCGTTGCTTTTTCATATGGTGTAGCATAGTACCACGCTGCATCCGGAACGACGGTATCTGATTGGTCGTTAGCTGACAGCTGCCTATGACTTTCCAATAAATTGACACAAACCACCATGTTTGATCGTGTAGTACTCAGCGTCGCCTTTCCAAGGACAAAACGACTTCGTATACGATTTCACAAGGGCGTCCTGCTCTTTGATGGACGATGGAGGAAACTTCAGGTAGGATTAGTAATGGTCCAGTGATTCGGTTCCGTCAACTTACGTATACATTTCCCTCCACGGTCTCCCATGTATCAGTTTGGGCTATAATAAGGTCGCCCAGCTTGGCAGTAGCGGTCGGCATCTTGGGACTCTGTGAATTCGCGGTCAATAACTAAGCAAGCAAGGCAAAGGAGTACAGATAAGAAGTAAAATGGAACCAGCTATGAGAGGCTTGATGGTGGAAGAGAATAAGCGAGACAAGGTCAGAGATATTTACCGAGACTTATGTTCAGAATTACTAGGTAATGATTCGGAGATGCCTGTTCAACTGTTTGGATTCTAAGTGATAATGACGAGAAGTGACCTTATATATGGAGTCCTTGGGAAGTCACGGGAGCTCGAGTGCGGGGGCCATGTGAAGTCAGCAATATATTCCAATTACTAATTATCATTTCATTAGGCTTGAGTGGTTGTGGTTCTACTATTGATTATGAAAATACCAAATTGCCATTGTTTTTGTTTTTCTTCGAAATGTTGAACTTTTCATGGTAGGACAAAATAGAAATTTCCATAATTCCATAGAGGCTCAGGTCCTCTATTATCATTCATTTTCTTCTAAAGTTGGGGCGTAAGCGTTATCTTTCAAGACATCATTGTTTAAGCATGTTTGTCATCTGTCGGGATGTCGGCCGACGCTCCGCCATCCACTGAGTAAGCGCAGCCTTGTTATGCTCCACAAATAGTTATCATCTTGAAGAATAGCGTGTCGAGTGTTCCATCCTGCCATTGTGATTGGGATGCTGGGTTGCAAGCTTAGAAATCGTCTAATCAATAATTGAATGAGGAATTTCAATCATTCTCAGTGCTATCGCGCTAATGGTACAAAATCTACTTTATATAAGGCTCGTCCTCCGAACTTTCCTTTAGCTTTTGAACCATCGACTCACTTTATTTCTCCAAGAACTCTGCATTCTACACTCCAGAATACTCATCAACAAAATGGATATCCCAATCCGCCGCGTGATCACCTCCCATGATTCCAAAGGCAAAGCCTACTTCTCTTCCGACGAGACTCTGACCCCGTACGACCCGACCACGGCACCCGAATTCAAAATTCCAGCCCCAGATGCAGGCTTCGGTGTAATTCAGATCCACCGATCGCGCGGGTTCCCAGTCGACAACATGCTCCCGCTAGCTGATCCCCATAAGACGCTGGTCCCACTGGCTGACACGAAAGGGCCTTCCTGTCGCATTTTGGACTTGTACCCTGCCGAGAAGGGATGGATGCATCGTACATTGAGCTTGGACTATTTTGTCATTCTTACTGGCACTGTCGGCTTCATCACCGATGGTGGCGCGGAGAAAATCCTCAAGCCTCATGACGTTATTGTTTGCAGGGGAACGAACCATGAGTGGGTCAATCGGGGAACGGATGTTGCTAGGATCTTTGGTGTTGTTGTACCTAGCCAGGAAATTGTGACGGAAAATGGCGAGAGACTGGAGAAGACCGCTGCGGGACCTATCTTTGATCCCGAAGAGGATTGATTATGTTCGATCGGATTTTGTCATAGTTGAAATGTATAGTCTAGCATGGTATTGTCCCCCACGCTAACGTGCAACGTGGGGATCTGGCCGATGGTCGGACTTCATCCGAGTACACTAGATATACCCCATGTCCCCCACCCGGGCTTTCAATTTGATTCCATATTCTTTTTTCACCTTTTCAATTACCATGTCGCAAAACCCGGCTTTTTCTTCTACCGAGTCCCCTGAGGATCGATACATCCTCGTCACCGGATCCACCGGGTTCATCGGCGCACATGTGGTCGACAACCTTCTCGCGCGGGGATACCGCGTTCGAGGCGCCACCCGATCGGCCCAAAAAGGCGAGCAAATGAAGGCCGCCCGACCACAATATGCCTCAAAGCTAGATTTCGTGGTCATTGAAGATTTTACCAAGACTGGAGTCTTCGATTCGGCAATGGATGGTATTGATGGCGTTATCCACGTTGCCAGCGTACATACTCCCATCACAATAAATATACAAAGCAGCACTCATTAACATACCGCAGCCATTTTTCTTAGACACCACAAACAACGAGCAAGAACTCATTCTCCCCGCTATCAACGGCGTCAAGTCCATCTTATCTGCCTCCGCCAAGCCAGGAAGTAAAATCCAACGCATCGTCCTGACATCCTCCTTCGCCTCAGTTGTGGATGTAGACCGAACCCCTCCGCGCGAATTCACATATACAGGAGCAGACTGGAACCCCTTAACCTATGAAAAAGCTGTCGACCCGAGCTCAACATCCGTAATCGCATACCGCGGATCGAAGAAATTCGCCGAGCTAGCAGCATGGGATTTCATCAAGAACGAGAAGCCTCAATTCGACCTAGTCGCTCTCTGCCCACCAATGGTCTTCGGCCCAGTTGTTCACCCAGTGCCTAATGTTGAGTCACTGAACGAATCGAACTCGGATATATGGAGTGTAGCCGCCGGTACTGATCCGTTACCTAAAGCCCGCGTTACGGCCTGGATCGACGCGCGGGATCTGGCCGAGGCCCATGTTCAAGCTCTGATCACGCCGGAGGCTGGTGGAAAGCGATTTATCCCGGCTTCTTCTGAGCCTTTCTCCTATGATTATGCCGCTGATATCATCAAGGAGGAGTTTGAGTGGGCCGAGGGCGTTGTTACGGATGGATATACGGCTGGAGTTAAGCCTGTTGCTTCTTATGGGGTTGATGGCGAGACGGTGGCTAGAGAGTTGGGTGTTGAGTATAGAAGCTTTAAGGAGAGTGTTGTTGATTTGGTGAAGCAGGTTAAGGAGACCATCCTTTGAGTCTTATTGAAAATAGAATTGGATTATTGCGTCTTATCTATGCCATTTCGCCCATATTGAGCTGTGCATAATAGGATAACGAATGGGAGGCATATGGATGAAAACCCCATTTGACAATCTCATGAGGGAAATCGGGCTCTAGGCAGCCTGATCACGCCATCAATCTAATAAACCAATTCGTATTAATGGCAACCAGAGCCAGTCTTGAATGTCCATTCGCATCAGAGGACATGGGGTTGCCCCGCAATCTCAATTAGGGCATTAAAGGCCCGCTTCAAAACCCTCAAGGATTCTACCTTCCCATTATGACGTGCAGCTAGAAATTATTGTGCCGCCACCAGAAAACAGTTCGATATGCTTTGTGTTATTCATGGAAGGTTGAAGTGGGGTGAAGTGGCTCAATGAAGGTTGGTCATGCTTCTATGGATGTGTGAAACGTTAGCCTTATCTCAGTTGCTTTTTTCGGCCGTTGTAGGACAAACAGATTTCACTCTATAAGCCAATCTGTAAATATCAATTTTTCAGACTGACCAATTACCTAGGAAATGACAATCTTGCAATGTGGTGTAGCTGATGACAACGCATGGAGCTCTTACGAGAAAAGGCGGCACACGACTTGATCCATGCGCTGCTCCAAGCTGCGCTGCAGTAGCATTCAATTTATTCCCCTATCAGACTACCACCCTTCTCTACAACAAATGACCAGCATCCGTTTCTTTTGTGTTGGGCAGTCCATCAATATCAGCCAAATTTGCCGCCGGAGCGACCGTGTGGATTAAATCCAGCTCGGATGTTCTTTGCTGCAACTTGAAATCTGGTTTTCTTTACTTTACTATATAGACAACTCCCGAGGTCGCTAAGCTCAACATTGATATATGTGCCCCCCTACCCTGCAGATATACGGCAGTGATCTACATAGTGTGATTGGCAAGAGCCGCCAGCTCGTACAGATGTGGCCAAGACGATGGTATAAAAAATAAGGTTTGGTTTAGGGGTCAGATCTGCAACTTGATACTGTGTCTTCAATATCAAGCTCAACAAGTAGCTGATTCTGATAGCTGCCAATTTGAACCCAGACATTTTTCTACAGCAGCGCATAGAAAACAATGTCTACGAAGCAAACCATGGTACTACGGCTTCAAAGTCGTCGCAAATATGAGTGATTTGTTCCGCCAATATGTACGAGACAGCCTTGGAACATGATCCACACGAGCCTGTCGGAAAATTATCCGTCATCTTGAAGCTTGGATTGCTGTCAAAGCCACGCGGTAACAAGCAGTTGACGTGGGATGAGTGAATTAATGGCCCAGTCAAGCATTGTATACGAAGTTCTAGCTGCCCTGTCACTCCCCATGGAATACGCTGTACGAGGTGGAATGCACCCCCTATTCATAGGCTTGGCGTTATTGGCACCCCGATCCACTTAAACTGCCCACCATCCACATCCCTGATTGGCCATCTTGCGAAACAATTCCCGCAGGCCGACGCTTGGCGCGCGTGGGATTATCTTAGCGGATAATTGCTATATTTAATTTCTTGGATCCCCCCCTTTTCCCGGTTACACGCGTCAACCGGAACCAAACCACGAATATCTTCAAATATGGTCAGAGATGGCCTGCAAGCAGAGGACGACATTAACCCGATCAGTCCGTTCCGTGACAATTCGACCTGTGGAGACGACTCACATTTGATTGATGATGGCTCAAGTGTCGGTTCTGGAAATAGATCTCGTGCGCGGCAATGGGGGATCAATCGTGCGTATTCGTTTCTTCTCCGCCGGGCGATTCTAACATCTTAAATTATCAAAATACAGAACAAATTGCCGTTGCAAATGCTTCAGATAACATCTCTCGCCAAGTGAAATCCTTCTTTACACCCCGTCCCCGAAGTTCGACCAGTATTTCCCTACCAAGAGGAGTAGAATGCGACTATTGCGACAAACCCATCGCGGCATTCAAAAAACGAGCCAGAGACATTCTTCTGTCGAAGAACATGCTCTCGGTTCCGTTCACTCTTGTAGCCATCTTCTTCTCCGTATCCGATATTCCCCCGCTAGTGATCTTTATCTGGAATTTGATCGCTATCGTACCCTTGTCGATAACGCTCACCCTTGCGACCGAACGACTTTCCCAGGAATTAGGAGAGACCGCCGGCGCTCTCTTGAACATTACCATCGGTAATCTCGCCGAGTTAATTATTTTGTTCGTTTCCCCTGCTCCATACTTCTCCCACGCTCTTACTGACATATATTGGTTGTAGTGTGTAAGGTGTTCTTATCGGCACTAGCGTGGCTTGAACTAACTTGATTAGCACGGCACTTATGAAAAACAACATCAAAGTGGTACAAGCATCGCTTCTTGGCTCGATCCTTGTCAACTTGCTCCTGGTTCTGGGATCTGCAATCATCGCTGGAGGATGGGCATCTCCCGACCAAACTTATAATAGCGATCTGACACATGCCTTTGTCGGATTGCTGAACCTGACAGTATCATGTCTTATGATCCCAGTATGTCCGTCTCCCCCATATCAGAACATTAACTAACCTCCTCAGACCGCATTTTACGGAAGCGTGAAAGATATCAAATCAGCCGATCATATGGCCCTGTATTTCAGCAGAGGCGTATCCATTATTCTCCTGGCCATATATTTCCTATACCTGTTCTTCCAATTCAAATCCCACGCACATCTTTTCCGATCTCGCCCCGTCGGACTACATGTGGTTACTCCCGATGCCCAACCCGAGCGGCCTACCCGCCGCTCCTACGATGAGATGTTCATGGATATCGAATCCCAGGAATCGACAGAGTCCTTGATCAACAAATCTCGCGAAAGACCCGAAATGCAACAAATTCAGTCCGACGGCCCTACATCTCCATTGGACGATATCCATCCCGAGTCCGGACTACCATTGGATCATCTCGACACCGGTCGCAGACGCCCACATCAAGAATGGGACGGTGTCGCACCCAGAGCCCAGGAGGCCCAGCTGCACCACTGCAAAAATCTATCATTTGCCAGCCGAGCTGTATCTATAGCAGTGCTAGTCACAGCGACTATCCTCATCGCCATCTGCGCAGAGTTCTTTGCATCGAGTTTCGGCGTGCTCAACGAAAAGGGTATCCTCGGTGAATCCTTCGTTGGTCTGATCGTTATCCCGGTCGCAGGAAATGTCGCCGAGAATGTAACGGCCGTTATTGTCGCTCACAAGAATCAGCTCGATCTCGCGATTAGCGTTGCCCTTGGCTCGGCCATTCAAATTGGCTTGCTGGTTGCTCCTGTCATCGTTCTAGTCGCTTGGGCATTGGAGAAGCCTATGACTCTTCACTTCGATCGTTTTGGGATGGTGACGCTGGTCGGCTCCGCCTTACTTGTTAGCTTCCTTGTTCTTAAGGGGAAAACTAATTACCTAGAAGGCGCAATTCTTTGTGCCTGTTTTGCCGCTATTTCGTATGCTTTCTTCCCTTTTTCGTGTCTTCACATGGGGTCCTTGCTAACAGTGACAGTGTCGGCGCTTTCTTGTTACCCATTACTTAATTCACTAACCTGCATTCACATACATGCATTTTCTTCTAGCATATATCATTCCAAAATCCACAGGCATTCGGGTAGTCGGGGTAGAATGACCCGATGGGTCCCCCGGCGGATCACTCTTTGCACATATACATGCCAGCGCTTCCACTTTCATATTGTATATATTTATCGGCGCATCAATCAATCGGTCCTTTTGTTAATCATTGACCCACTAAAATTCAATAGAACCTTTTAGTGTGGACTAGCGTTTCACAATCATGGTCACAAAATGAGATTTTGGGCAGAAGCAGAACCCGGTTCTTCGCGGACCGGCAAGTGGAGACCGGAACTCCGAGAATAACGCCGAATCTGCATTAAATGCAGGTACAATATCGTGCCGAACATCCCTTGTCAATATGCTTAACTTATCCTGGTAATATCTACTGGATGAAATCAAAAGCAAGGTCCGTCCCGTGTTGCATCCACTTAGCATCCAGCGTACGCAGAGTACACCCTTAATCTCCTCCGTCACCGACCCACATCCTCCGGAAGGGATTTCGGCAAATGTTCCAAGGCTATGACGATCGTCCCGTGCAGAGTCCTGCATAACCTCACACACTAACTTGAGACGGGGCCTTGGCAGGCGTAGCCATGTCGATCCGGATATGCCGAGGTGGTATTTCGCCATGAAACCAAGGGCCAGCAGAACTTCATCGTAATGTTCCAAGATACACGTGGAGAACCCCACCAAATTCGATGGATACCGGTACTTTTTTTGCTGCATAGTGGGCCTTAATCTCCTGAAGATATATCCGGGAAGTCCGACTAACTCGACAGTATTAAGGTTGCGGGAGGGCGCTTCATTCCAGAAATTATTTACTATCAAACATGTTAGGATCAGCACTTCTCTTGTTGGCCTCTGTTGGCACTGGACTTGCCCAGTCCGCCCTCACCTTGGACGATCTCTATCTTGAGAATGCTCCAACTTCTCCGCGTCCCTACGTCATTCCGCACTACGCAAACTCCCATGCTGTCACCATTGGCACCCAGCTGTACCGGTTCACCGTGACTGGTCCGTCGTCGGATTATGCCTTCACCTTGATGAGCACCAATTCTCCCTCTAGTTCAGCTCTGGGTGTTCTCCCGCACATCCACGAGAAGCACTACGAGAACTTCTTCTCCTTCAAGGGCCGCTTCCAGCTCTGGGCTCAGAAGGATGACGATGAGCAACAGGCCCGTCTCCTAACCCAAGGAGACTACGGCTCCGTCCCCCGAAACACAACCCACACCTTCCAGATCCTCGACCCTGACACCGAGATGGTCGGCGTTATTGTCCCCGGTGGATTCGAGTAAGCTTCTCCAGCGCCTATCTCCCTGTACCATATTAACATTACCAGGGATCTCTTCTACTACCTCGGCACAAACTACACCTCCGGAACAGACACACCCTACGTTCCCCAGAGCTCGAACTCAAGCTCCTCGAGCTCTACCCCCTCGGCCAGCGTTATGGCCACCCTTAAGACTTTCGACGTCTACGCCCAAACCGACTTCGAGCCTCGCTATGATCTTGTAAATGGCACTGCCCCAACTGACAGCACATGGCACACCGGATCCAATGAGCTCGGCACCCCAGGTGACCCGTACTTCCTTGCAAATGGATACGGACCTAAGTACCTCAGCTCTAAGTACGGGTACCAGGTTATCCAGCCCCTTGTTACATCCAAGCAAGCCCAGGATACGAACTACACCCTGTCCACTATCTCGCTTAGTCGGCAAACAAAGAACAGCCCGCCGAGCTATACCCTTTCGGGCGCTGCGGCATTTGAGGTGCTTGAGGGTGTTCTTTCTATTACTATTGGTGACTACCCGCTTGCTACATTGAACATGGGTGATGTTGCTTTCATACCCGCTGGAACTGAGTTCACTTATTACAGCACTGTTGCCTTTACTAAGGTGCTGTATGTTAGCAGTGGCCATGATGGTGTGGATGCGCAGCTTATCCAGGGAGGTAAGAGCTGGGACTTCGTTACTTTCCCTAAGTACTAGACTCGCCTCCCTTTTTGGTGTTCAATTCTTGTATCCATTTGATACGCCATTGGTAGTGAGGACCTTGTAAATACCCTGTTGCTAGAAATTTGATACTGTTATATCTTAGAATAACATCTCAAGTCTAGCAATCATTTAACATCATATTCCATATTGCCTCGTCACGGTCGGTGCTCTCTTTGTTTTACGCTTCGAACAGGGGGGGGGCAGAAGAAAAACCGACCATCCGCCAGTACCAAGAGAGAAGATAGTCTCTAGATTCTAAATGTACAGGCGCCCACCACTTCTCATGAAGGACAGCATACCCCGACTTGATATCATCAGGCCAAGGCCACTGTATATTCCACGAAAGATCCACCATGGTCCACGGGATGGGGCCAGATTGAGTGAACGCGAAATTCAGAACGCTTTGGTCTGCGATACTACTATCAAAGCTATCCTTTGAAGCCAGCAAACACTCGAAATATTCAAAAAGTTCGAGCGAAGGTTGTAAGACCAAAAAGCCCGTATTCAAGTTATCCCATCCCCAGAAGTCCTCTGGCACACGAGATGGGTTTGCCGAATGATTGTGTCTGAGTTGAGGCAAGCCCGCAGTGACATATGTATGCGGAAGTGGCACTTCAACACCGTTGCACGAGGCTTTTTGCTGGACCGTAACTCGGGGCAAGGTTTCTTCTGTACTCAGGAGGTCATCGAGGGACCTTGTCAATATCGAGTCGGCGTCTAAGAAGACAATCAAGTCGTATTGATCCATCTGCCACATTCGAAGTTTAGTGAGGGCGTCGATCCATCGCCGATCCTTGGGGCGGATCCAGTCCACTCGGAAATCGGCTAGCTCGATTACTTCCGCGCCCTGGATCTGCAGGTGCTTCCGCTTGTCTTGGTCGACGTTCTCGTGGACAAATACCACAAATGGAATGTTCAATTTTGTGCGTGTCTCAGGGGCATGAAGGATTTGATAGGTGAGGATCCGAGTGGCATCAAAGTAAGGATCCACGGAAATCCAAAAATCGGAGATGGTATGGTTTGGCCACTCTGTGGGTGCGCTTAGGTACGTCGCATAAACTACACGGCGTTTTTTGATGGATGCCGACCGGTTTGTAGTTCGATCTGTGAAGAAGTGATTTGAAAACCATAACATGGCAAATGCCAGGCATGCGATGAGGGCAGCGCGGCTCAGTTTGCTTTGCATTTTCAGAGGATCTCTAAGAGATGAGCAAAAAAAGTGGAAGAGGGCAATTATCCCAAGATCTGTTGATAACCTTAGAAGTCTGCATGGGTGCTTTTACTTGACTTGGGTGGAGAAACATCATATCACTCTCTGGCCACCTTCTCTTTCTTATCACAAAACAACAGATACGACAAGGACTTGAAACCTGGGCTTCTCAGTTGAATTTCTAGTAGGCTTGTGCATTTTTCTGCAGGGTTGATTCTTGCAATTTGGCGTTACATTACTGCTCGGAGTTCCAGGATCAGTACAAACATTTATTGGTTATGTTTGAAATATATCCGCCATTACTTCCAGGGTTATCATGTCGGAGCCGGTAGGGTATCGACCAAACACATAAGAAAAGGAGTCAGGCAGTCAGATTTTGACTTGTTTAGTTCTCCACTCCTACTACTCATAACTCAATTCACCACAAGCAACAGCTTTTTGGGAGGTACTCTGCAAATAGAACTCGCAGACCACACTTACGATGGCGAGCCAAGAGGGTGCGAATTGGTTATGCGTAGGTGAACAAGAAGTTTCTGAAAAGCGTACGAAAAGGTTTTACGAGGTCCTGAGTTATAATTGGGTGATAATGCCATCGACGGTGTTATATTTATTCGTGAGTGAGTTGTCCATTATGAGCTAATTGAGTCCATGATTTTGTGTAGCTTACCAGCGCAGTTATATATAAAATTAGCATTTGGATAGGACTACATGATATGTTAGTTAAACCAGGTGCTCTCTGGACACCCGAATGCTCTCTACTAGCTCTCATATACGTGCCATGTCTGCTGGCACAGTGTCCACCGTACTCAACTTTATTGGGACTTTGCCTACCAATTCGGCCCTTCTCTTACGCAAAATCAACCAAAAGGCGAGGATTCCGGCGTTTGCTGATTTGCCTGGTGACGAAAGGTACAAATGTACAGGTCAGTTCTGTGGTCATCTTGCGTACGAGATAACCGATCTATTTTGGTGCTGAAATCCCGTGGCTAGACCGTGATTGATTCAATCAAACCGTGGAAAAATTGCAAAAGTTCGGCGAAGATCACTTTCCATGTGGTTCTGGATTCCAATATTGATCCTTTCCAGAGGTCTTTGCCTAGTTTTGTGAACATTTTGAAAGTGCCGCAATTTTTCCAACCAAAACTTGCCAAATACAAGGGACGTGCACTGGAATGGTGTCGACAATACTGGAATCTATCAGAATCGGATTGGGTTCTACACCTTGATGAGGAAACTCAGATCGATGAATACCTAGTGAAGGCATGTCTTGACTTTATCGAGCGAGGGGCAGAGGATTTTGGAATGGTGAGGCCCTGAATGGTCCATAATACGACAATAAACTTATTGTATTATAGGGAACAGTGCATTTTACCGCTCACAGCTACTGGAAGAATGCTTTCCTAACCACAGCTGAGACCTCTAGAGTGGCAGAAGACTTCGGTCGCTTCCAGCTTCCTGTTCGGCTGTTCAGGCGCCCATTGTTTGGGTGTATTCATGGCTCATTCCTTCTTATAAACGGAGCGGTAGAAAATGATATTACCTGGAACACTGATTGTCTTGCGGAAGACTTCTGGTTTGGCTTACATGTATGCTGACCCATTGTTCAAGCCTGGGGCGATTTGCTAATTCACTCAAAGGCCGCGCGCCGTGGCTTCAAATTCGGTTGGATCCATGCTGTTGCGCGAGAGCAAGCTCCGGTCAACCTACAGGATTTAATAAATCAACGTCGACGATGGTATAGTGGGATCATGTCTATACGGAACTGGGGCTCGAGGTTGCTGCTCATGTTCTCAATGATGGGATCCCTGGCCTCTGCCAGTCTGTAAGTAAATCACACGATCATGCAGGCCATCTACTAAATACCCGGACCCTTGATAGGAGTACATATTTCTTGCTCAGTGGCTGGAAAGTCTTGGTGCCACGTTGGTTCTTCATTTGGAACTTGTGGAACGTCGTTGTTGACATGCATGGCCTCATTGTTGCGAGCTTGCTACAAGACCTACACCTCCATGCAACACCTGCGACCACTATGGTCTTGCACGTGCTTCTGACGCTTCTTTGCGCACCTATAATTCAGCTGGCTCATTCATTTATTTTTGTATCGGCATTGATTTACCCGGCAAGACATTTTGTGATCATCAAGAAGGTCTAGTGGCTTCTCGAGTTCAGTCCCCCAATCCTTGAAGAGAGATCTTGATTGCGGATTTTTGAATGGTTTTTCAGCTTTGAGATTATAAAGAGAGATGTCACACATTCACCTTGAGACCAGACTCAGACTCAAAAGTGAGCCCTAGAAGAAAGGGTGTCCCTGTAACCATGCTTTTGCAGACAAGGAACCTCAGATCAATCGGGGTAAGTATTTTCAAATTTGGAGCCACTGAGAATAGATTTGCGCTGAGGACTTGGATCCTAAAAGACCACAAGAGTACCGTCGAGTTCCAGTAAGATTACGTCGATTTCATTCAGCAAAGAACTAACGGTGGATACATTGATTCAAGATCAGGCCAATTCAATTTGCAGATCCCTGTTGGTCCATATGCCATTCAATAGTTTTTCGCAGTCCATCGCGTAGCGGAACCACTGCTTCCCATCCCAACTCCCTTTTCGCAAGTGACACCTGCGGTCTTCGAACGGAAGGGTCATCCAGGGGTTTGGGGAGAAAAGCGACCGTAGCTCGAGGCTTGTTCGTCATGTCCGACACCAGTTCTATCACCATATCTGCCGCTTCTCGAATAGTAAACTCCTTGTCATTTCCAATATTCACTGGACCAGCGTCATAACCACTGTTCATGAGCCTATACAAACCCTCTAAACAGTCTGTAACATACTGGAAAGACCTTGTCGCCAGTCCATCACCATAGATATTGAGCGCATTGCCACTTAATGCAGATGCGATGAAGTTTGATATCACTCGACCATCCTGACTGCTCATGCGGGGCCCATGAGTATTGAATATACGTGCGATTCGGATATCCAGATTATACTGTACTCGATATGCGTAGCAGAGGGATTCTGCGACTCTCTTCCCTTCGTCGTAACACGATCGAGGGCCAAATGGGTTCACATTACCCCAGTAGGTCTCGGGTTGAGGATGGGTTAGAGGATCACCATACACCTCTATATATTTGGTGAGCTTAGACATGGTCCATAGTCGGGGCCTGAAACCGTACCAGAAGTGCTAGTATGGAGGATGCGGATATTGCGGTCTTTCGCTAGCTCCAAAAGATTCTGTGTGCCATGAAAGCATGTGTTGAGAGTTGAAACTGGCGCTCTTTGATATTGGACTGGGCTTGCTGGACAAGCAAGGTTGTAAATCTGGTCTATTTCTTGGTGCCAGTCAAGTGGCGAGCAGATATCCTGACTAAATCATGGGGTACTTTCAATCAGTGATCATGTCTGCGATCATTTCAAGGGGTTCCTACTTGACGAAAGTAAAGCCTGGATGATTCTCAAGGTGCCGCAAATTCGCAGGTGAACCAGTTGTGAGGTTGTCCAAACCGATGACAATGTGGCCCTTTTGAAGGAGAAAGTCCACTAAACTTGAGCCCAAAAAGCCAGCTGCCTTCCAAGTTTGAATAATAATGATGAGCAACGGAATATTCTCTCATGGGCTTCCACATGTATGTTACTTACTCCCGTGACGAGTATCCTAAGCATTGGTTTATCGGTGATCATGTTGCAACCGTCCTGCCGAGCAAGTAATAGAAAAGGACTATGAAAGGGTCAATTGTCTGGGGCAATCTAAATTTAACAGATGCTTCATTCTAGAGAGGGGCGGGGGGGAGCATTCTCTGAGATCTAAAAAATGTTTACGTGGTTTTTTGGGTCGCTTATTCAAGCACGACAATGCCCTGTACCAATATAATCCATGTGTGCGTATTTTAAATCAACAATGGTGATTCAAATTAATCGTAATACAGTAGGCTATGGTCCCTTGTCAAGGCCATTACATACAAGCTCGCAAGTCATGGGAAACGACGTCGTTGATAGGCCCCTTCATAGCCACCTTACTATTCTACAGCCCCGTTTTTGCTCATCTTTATCGCCCAAAAAGGGCTCTGGTGGTGTATGGACAAAATATTGGTACCTAATTCACCGTGTCGGTGGTTTGGGAAGCTATTCATAACACGTTACTATCGCGTTTGGTAACATATTGGCTGGTCTCCATGACCCAGAGTGCATTCCGGATTAGGGATACGGTGGCGCGAAAACCACCAGCAGGTGGCTTACAGACCAATACAGCCTAATACTGGCTGGTCTTCACGTCTTCCACAACCCTTGCCAGGCATTGGACGGAACTACACGCAGCGTATTTTAAGTCGTGTGAGGGGAGCAATGCAGAAGTGGAGACCTGCAGCGTGGTTCGGTCCTAGCTGCATTAGATCTGTCGATACTCAAGGCACCCATGTCATGAAGACGATCTGGCTCTTCTCTCATACATGGCGCATGTGGTCTGATTCCAGGATTTCTTAGTCGCGACTGTGCACATCATCGGCGGCAACCCACACGCGCCATTGGTCTGCTAAGCCTCCACCGCAACTCGAAAATACGATTCATAATATCTTCATCAACAATGATTCGGTCGTAGGCACGACGCTATACTATATGGGAATATCGGCCGGAATCAACACTAGGCTCCAGCTTTGCGCGTAGTTTGGTAAGGGCCTGGGAGCGGGGTAAATGTATAATCACAGCTTACCTCTTACAAATCCAGCGGGAAAAAAACCCCGCCTAAAAACACACCTGCAGCTGAGCGCGAGCAGTAGAAATAGAAGACCAAGCTCACAAACATATTACATCTTACAGGCATCAGCATCCCAATGAAAATGGCACCGTCACAACTCGCCCTCGAAAAGGCCACAGTGGAAGATGTCCCCGCAATGATAGACATTTGGTTCGCGGCGTTCACTCGACCACACGTACGTAAAGCCATGCCTGATACTCCGGGCGTCCGAAAATGGTTCACAGAATGTACTATCAACGACATCACCGAGCATTCATACCAGACATACCTGAAGATCGTCGATCTGGATTCCAATGATAACGAGGGGAAACCTCGCATGGCCGCATGGGGGAAATGGGATTCATCCATGCCCGATGAGCGTGGTCCGCGCTTTTTATTACCCTGGACTGATGAAATGGATTCCGACTTTTGCAGTATGGTGTTCGACGGCTATGAGAAGAACCGGAAGAAGGTCATGGGGGATGAGAAGCACATTTGTAAGCATCACCCTGTTCAGTGTAATTAGATGAAAATAGCGCTAACTGTGACTGAGTTCTGGACACGTTGTGTACGCATCCTGATTATTGGAGACGGGGTGCTGGGTCGATGATCGTCAAGTGGGGTTGTGATCTTGCTGACAAGGAGCGAGTCTCTGCTTACTTGGATTCGAGTAAGGATGGCGCGCCTCTGTATCAGAAGTTTGGATTTGTGGATGAGGGAACCCCGGAGGACACCACTGCACCTATGGCGAGGAGAAAGCGTTGACGGTCTAGTGAATCCAATGAATGATCTTGTGCTAACAGTTGCTGGCCAAGAGTAGCCAAGAGGAACGGATGGTACTTGATAAAGCCTTCAGAAGTGGAAAGAGGTTGTAGATTTGATTTGGCCAGTCATATGAAGAACAAAATCGCTTTTAAATATTTTATAAAGAAGACACAAACAAAACAAACTACTACAAATGGAGAACAATGTTTTTCAAGGGGCAATTATCAAGGAGTTCGTGTTTGTAGTGCGTCCATAAACCATTCCAATCACAACGCTAAGATGCATGACAATCAACGTGTTCTTCAATAAGCAGACTTCGCCAACTTTGCCGACAGACAACTTCCCATATTTAAGGCACCTGGACAAGCACCTGCATAGACACTGAGAAAGCCTCGGACGCTTATGAGGCTCTGATAAGTACATGGATCCGTACATACTATCGCTGATTCAGTGACTAAGTGTGAACTTGATAGAGTGAAGAGATCTTTAGACAGGCTAAAATCACGAGTGAGATTATTCCGCTGTATGTGGCATTTTCAAACTCATGAACCCCAAGTGCGGGGGCAAACGACTGAGCGATCTCGCTAATCGGCCACTGATGGTCCGACTTGGAGATGATCAGCTCTATGAGATGAGTTGGCATGTATTCTTTATCCACCAATTCACCGAATATATGACTCTTACTGATTTTATCGGCAGTACCAAAGAGGCAAGGAGATAGGGTAAGACATCGAAAAGTGTGTAGAATGGAAGCATGGTCCAGATAAGCTCAGTCAGGATGACGAAAAAGATGATGAGCGTTGGAGCTGTCGACTATTTGACGGTGCCCCACTCTTTCTTTTGCTTTGGTTTATGTAACCATAAATCTGGTAGCGGATATCAACAAAACACCAAGTGGTCGAGCGGAAACTCGACTATCACATCTTCCTTGGTCTAGTGGTCATGATTTCCGCTTGTCATTAACACCGATAAGCGCGGGAGACCGGGGTTCGATTCCCCGAGGGAGAGTTTTCATGGGCTTGTGGTTTAGTGGTATAATACTCCCTTAGCATGGGAGTGGTCCGGGGTTCGATTCCCCGCGAGTCCATCCTTTTTCCGATATGGTGTAGTGGCTAACATCGTCGTCTCTCACACGACAGCCGGGGGTTCGATTCCCCCTATCGGAGTATCTTTTTTTGTTGTCTTTAAAGGCTAGTTATCTAGAGAGATTCATGGCTATCGATTCATGCGACGTAAGCAAGTTCCTATTCATATTTTTTTGGAAAGTGAATCATGCAGAATTGGCTATGCGGGATTGATTTTATCCCTTGTCTACTGCGGAGAAGGTCTTGGCCCCGACGCAGGCACGATAGATATAATTAAAAATAAGCTAAAGCCGGGAAATAGAATACCAAGACCCGCCTGTGGCTTCGAAGGCCAGGAAGTGCAGGATCACTAATACTGCCCCATAGTGAGTGGCCTAGACCAAATTAAGGACAATCACGTTCAATTGATCGATCAGTCAACTAAACTCAAACACCAGTTTGTCGATACTTTGTTTCTTCAACTCCAGATCAGCAATCTAACGAACCCTTAACCTTTCGACTAGCCCGGCCTAGCAGTAAACAAACCACCCATCATGCAGAAGACCGTGCTTTCTCCCTAGCTTCTAATTAGCTTCTGCCAAGATGCCAAGCCAGCCATGGTCTGATGTTTACAAAGCCCCAACCATAAGTGGAGCGGCAGCGTGCACATCACCCGTCATCCCCGCTCCAGACCAACTGTTATTACCAAGCATCCCAGCCTCGACCTTTTAGCTTCTTAATCAATAGCCTCGCTAAACTGGCAATTCTCGGTGGACTTGATGTGTGCCAATTGCTGCCAAGACGGGAATCACGCAATCTGCGACCTGTATCCCTGCTTGGTTCTCAATTCTGAGTTCCTTCCGAGCACCAGTGGACGCCAAGAGGCTTGTGGTCTCGTCACAACCTTGCTTCGCGGGATAAGGGATTTCATGCCAAGTGTAAACAAAACAAATATTCTTACTGGCCAACGGGCTGTGTGGCGCACTATCGAGCCAATTAGGCTCTCAGTGTTTAGACGGCCACCGTTCCCCGTTCGGATGGGCCTTGTACGATATTCCAACCGATTGAGGGATGCAGCCGTCTCCACACCATCGGGCTTTGTTTTTGTATCACATCCGGCTAGTCTAGCCCCTCCGAAATAGAATAATCAAGTGGAGATTGGGTATTATTCAGCCCGTGCCTTTCCTCTCCCCATGTGGTGCGTTAGCTCTTTCGCAAGGTTCTTATGATTAGTTCGTCATTGGATGGTATTTTGGCAAGCCTGCAAGGTCCCATTTCTTGGAAAATTGACATGAATACAAAAGGTGCCTCGGCTGCCATTCTCCCGTGCTGGTGTTTGAATCTGTGTACAGCCTCGATACTCTGAACAATCACGTTCATTGATCACCATGCATTACGCGGTGCTCCTCGCAGGCCTCATTGGCACTGCCAATGCAGCTTGTCCGTATATGACAGGCGATATACCTGACTCTTCTAATCCTCTTCATCGTCGTGACGATGCAGATGCATCGGCTGCCACTGAGGACTTCCTTTCTCAATTCTACCTCAATGATAAAGATGCCTTCATGACTTCTGACGTCGGTGGCCCAATTGAAGATCAGAACAGTCTCAGTGCCGGAGAGCGCGGCCCAACGCTTCTAGAGGACTTCATCTTCCGTCAAAAGATCCAGCGATTTGACCATGAACGGGTATGAAAATTTACTAGATAATAATACACACATTTGCTCACTGGCGTGGTAACAGGTCCCGGAACGTGCCGTCCACGCGCGTGGAGTCGGTGCCCACGGCGTTTTCACATCTTACGGCGACTGGTCCAACATAACCGCAGCCTCATTCCTCGGTGCAAAGGACAAGGAAACGCCCATGTTCGTCCGCTTCTCCACCGTGGCCGGAAGTCGCGGAAGTGCCGATACAGCACGCGATGTCCACGGTTTCGCAACACGATTTTATACCGATGAAGGCAATTTTGGTAAGTTCTGTCCCTTTTATAACTAACAACACTGCTAATGAAAAGCAGACATCGTCGGAAACAATATCCCCGTCTTCTTCATCCAGGATGCAATTCTCTTCCCGGACCTCATTCACGCGGTGAAGCCGCGCGGCGATAATGAGATTCCTCAGGCTGCCACTGCGCATGATTCGGCGTGGGACTTCTTTAGTCAACAACCTAGTGCTTTGCATACTCTTATGTGGGCCATGGCGGGCCATGGCATTCCGAGGTCATTCCGTCATGTTGATGGGTTTGGTGTGCACACTTATCGATTTGTGACTGACAATGGGACTTCGAAGTTGGTCAAGTTCCATTGGAAGACTTTGCAGGGCAAGGCGAGCTTCGTGTGGGAGGAGGCGCAACAGACTGCCGGAAAGAATGCAGATTTCATTCGTCAGGACTTGTGGGATGCGATTGAAGCTGGGCGTTATCCTGAGTGGGAGGTGAGTGAAGCCCCCTGAGAGATCTACTTTGGCAAGTTCTAACATTACAAAGCTTGGTGTGCAAATCATGGACGAAGACGATCAACTTCGATTTGGCTTTGATCTTCTCGATCCTACTAAGATTGTTCCCGAGGAATACGTCCCAATTACCCCACTGGGTAAAATGCAGCTCAACCGCAATCCAAGAAACTACTTTGCCGAAACCGAGCAAGTCATGGTATGTTCACAATCCCAATATTAGCTTACTTAGCAAAACATCTAACGATACTCCAGTTCCAACCCGGCCACATCGTCCGCGGTGTCGACTTCACTGAAGACCCTCTTCTCCAAGGCCGCATCTTCTCGTACCTAGACACGCAACTAAACCGCCACAGCGGGCCGAACTTCGAACAACTCCCTATCAACCGGCCTCGAGTCCCAATTCACAACAACAACCGCGACGGTGCAGGCCAGATGTACATCCCCCTAAACAAAGACGCATACACACCCAACACCCCGAACAACGGCTCCCCCAAACAAGCGAATCAAACAGTCGGCAACGGATTCTTTACTGCCCCCGGCCGAACAACAAGTGGGAAGCTAGTCCGCAGCGTTAGCTCCTCCTTCTCAGACGTCTGGTCCCAGCCAAGACTATTCTGGAACTCGCTCATCGACGCGGAGAAACAGTTCGTCGTTGATGCGATGCGTTTCGAGAATGCGAACGTCGTCAGTCAAGTTGTGAGGGATAATGTTGTTTTACAACTCAATCGGATCAGTAATGATCTTGCGAAGCGAGTGGCCGAGGCTATTGGTGTTGATGCGCCGAATCCTGATCCGACTTATTATCATCACAACACTACTGCGCGAATCGGTGCGTTTGGGCAGAAGTTGTTGAAGCTTGAGGGGTTGAAAGTTGGGCTCCTTGCTTCTGTTGATAACACTTCTTCTATTGCGCAAGGCGCAAGCCTCCAGTCTCAACTCACTTCTGCAGGCGTTGATGTTGTTGTTGTCGCTGAGCGGATGGCGGATGGTGTAAACCAGACATACTCAGCATCCGACGCTACGAACTTTGATGCTGTGATTATTGCGGATGGGGCGCAGGGATTGTTCAGCTCGAGATCTTTGACCTCGGAGAACAAGACTTACGGAGCAAACTCTTTGTATCCGGCTGGACGGCCGCTGGATATTCTTCTTGATGCTTTCCGGTTCGGCAAGACTGTTGGTGCGCTCGGAAAGGGTTCTGCTGCGTTGAAGACAGCCCAGATTTCTACCGACCGCGACGGTGTTTATGCCGCTAAGACACTGGGTGACGCATTTACTGATGAAATCAAAGATGGGCTGCGAACTTTCAAGTTCTTGGATCGGTTTACTCTAGATGGTTAATGTGTTGATGTGGATTATGATTAGTTTGAATATTATTTGATCTTCCCAGGTCAATTTTACATATGTCCGTGAATGTCCTTGTCTGCCAAAATATCGATCTCAAGCATATTGAACGTAAAGTTGTTATATTCAAATAAAATCACAAAGAATATTTACTCTTTTTTCATGGCCCAATCTTCAGGCCGCTAAATCACCTAGTGCTGGGCCAAAAATTGACGACGACGCATCATAGATCCTGGGTCTGAAAATCTCGCCGCCTTCACCCCTAACTTCCTCTTCGCATTGGTCGAAACAGATGAAGTCTGGTTATTCGGGCCTAGAATAGCCCACTCAGCAACCGTCGCGCCTGTTCCATTGTTGTACTGCACATCAACAGCATCAAGACCTTGGTTTCCCTTAATTAGAAGCGATGCGTATTGCGCAGCTGGAATTGGTGAGGAGAGTGTGACGTTGGTAGTGTTTCCTGTGGGAATGGCAATGGCATCGAGATTGGTGGTCTTCGCATCATAGGGATCGGAAAGTACGATTCCATTCAGTGTAGTCGCGACCGTGTAGTGCATGTTTTCGTTGGATGGGTGGAAGGAATTCAATGTAGCATCAATACTCTTATCGTGGAAAATCACGGTCGCGTTGACGGGAGGTGCTTGTGCCCAATCGAAGTAGAAGCCGGTTACCATTGAACCTTGTTCTGCGCCTAGTGAGACTGTGATGGAACTCCAGTTCGCTGCTTGGGATGGCTGCCATTTCGTCGATGCGGCTCCGTCAATTGCTGAGATGGGGAACTGGCCTGGTTCATATGAATCAAGGGAATCCACTGGCTTGCATTGCGCAAGGTTTCCGGCAACGGTGTTTACGGACCCTATTTGACGGTTTGGAATAACCACGGATCCTACCAAGGGTAGTCGGTAGCTTGTCGAGTTTGACTCAGAACCCGCGCTGATGGTGATCGGCCTACCCGCGAACCGCTGGTCTGCAGTGCTGAGAGGGGCATTGCAAGCACGGCTGATGGTGGTGTGGGTATAGTTAGACCAAGCGGAAATGGGCCATCCGTGCCAGTAGAATGTTCGGTACTTGAGGTAGGGTATTTGAGGCGGCAGGTTCGGGTCAATGTGAAGGATATCATCAGGCTCGAGGCGGAGTCCCAAGTAACCGAACAAGACCACTTGGTTAGAGCCACCATGACCAGTGAGGAAAGGGAAAGCGGGATGAGTACCGCCATTTGTGGTAGAGTTATCGGTCAACTGCTCTGACATCTGGTAGAATGGCGCCCGGGCGTAAGGTCTAAACGCATATTGGGCGTAGGTGTAAGCCGAGCAGCCAGACGGAGACATGTCATTGGCCACGATGGAGAAAATGGCCCAGGTCATTGCAGGGCCATCAGATGACTGCTTAGCTGCATAGTAGTCTAGGTCGTTCAAAGAGTCTTGTGTAGTGTAGTTGGACGTGTAATCTAATGGATATGTGTTTAGAACCACATCAGCCTGTTTGACGACAGCACTCCCGTTCATAGTTGTGAACTCGAGGGTCACTCCATTTTCGCGAATGACCAAGACATTGTTGGCCATGTCATCCCAGGTCGAGTTTTCCTCAAGGCCAAATTGCTGGCGGAAGGCATTCGCGTTTGTGAGTGTCTTGGCAATTAGTGGCATAGTGAAGCCACCCGCATCGACCATATTCGCATACTCATCCTAAAAAGAGAAGTCAGAATTTGCATTCCAAAAGGATCGAGTACCTGTTTGACACCTACCGGATCTGTCATGTTACTGAGAGTCCAGGAAGATCCATTTCGCTGCAGGAGGTCTGTGTATAGCGTAGCTACAGAGTCGTAGATTGGGTAGAGATTCTCCTTGAAAAATTGAGTGTCTCCAGTAGTGACCCACTGGTTGACAAAGGACATGCCAATGTCACCATTCAAATGATATTCGTAATCCCAGCAGGGTCCGGTGGCAGTGCAATTGCCATAGCGTCCACTAGTCCAGGGGAAGATAGCCGCGGAAGAAGAAAACTGAGTCTGATTCTGAGAGCCAGCGTATGAGGTTTTAATGTTCTCCTGGGCCTGGTCATAAAGTTTGACACGATAGTTTGTGATGCGCTGAGCGGACTCGGGGTGAGACGCCGAAAGGCCAGGCTGCATCCAGAGATCGGCATCCCAGAATACTTGTCCAGCGTAAGAATCAGAAGTCAAGCCACCGACTGAAATACTGTCCGTATTCAAAGAAGTCGACGATGACACATTGATTGCGTTGGTGCCAACAGTATTTTGGAGCAAGTAGTATGTGTTTACAACAGCGATCACAGCAGAATCGATGATGAGGGTATCATTAGGCAGAGTGCCGTTAGGGAATGTATAGCGATCGACCGAATCATCAGGCATGACATTTGCCCACTCAGTAACATGCGAGCGTAGAGATCTCAAATACCCATTGCGCAGGGCGGTAGAAGAAGCATTCTTGGCTACCTGTTGAGGATCTTCAAAGGCATCGGACGATGCGCCGCCAACAAACTTGGTGATACGGGCTGTCTTGCCGGCCTTGAGACTAACGGTGACAGACTGGGCAATTGACGAGTCATTTGTGCTAACATATGGTTTTCCGGTGACAACTTGACGCGAAGACAAGTCCACGCCTGGACCTGTCATGTTGGCGTAGATGTAGGCAGTGACATTTGCAACTCCATTCGGTCGCACTGCAGAGTAAATAGCGCCATCATCTTCACCAGAGTTGACGAAATCCGTTCGCACAGCGGACGCTCCATCTATAACGTTCACAACTGTGGCATTGGTATCAACGCTCGATACAATCTGCATGTCGACCACCGCCTGGTTGACCCAAAGCTTATTGGCGAAAAGGCGATAAGTGATGTTAAAAGAGCTACTCACACCCTGCGGAGCCCAGGTGTACTTCCAGACCAGAACACCAGCTTGGAAGTCATATGTTGTGCGGAAATTGGAGATGGTAGTGTTGTCCACAGTCGCATCCAGGTAAACACCATCACCAAGATCAAGAATCAAGCCACTCCAGTGAGGCACTCCACTGATTACACTATCCCAGCCATACTGGGACAGCCACGGGTAGTTAGACTCATTGGTATTTGCCTGCGCATCGAAAAATCCACCGATTGTGGCAAAAGACTGACGGCGCGAAAACAGAGGCCAACCGCTAATTCCATCACCTCCGTCTTCCATTGAGTCGACCTCGAAGAATGGCCCGGCACTAGCAACGTTGATGCCTAGATATCCGTTCGCCACGGATCCTCGTGTCTGGAATTGACCTTGCTCCAGATTTGTAGTTGACAGTAGCCAGTTATCCTCGTCCCACATGACACCGTCGAAGTCGGTTTGGTAGACATTGTTGCTGAAGTTCCCAACACCAGATCCCATATTCCTTCGCAAAGATTTCGCAACACGATTTGTGGCAGAACCAGAGCATGCTGCTTGTACCGAAGAGCTGAGATTCAAAAGCAGCGGGAGCACTGCCCATACGGAGGGCTTTAAAATCTGTTAGCTCTTACTTGTACTTTGGTTGATAGATTTACTCACTTTGAACTGCATCTCGCAGTGTTCTCACCCTTGAGGGCAGAGTTTAGTAAATCAACCTTTGCGATTGCTATAATTTAGCAAGTCAGAACTGGCACTTGGGAAGAGTCAGAAGGCAAACGTGGAAGTAAACTTTATTCAAAAAAAAAAAAAAAAAGTGCACGGGAGGCGAGATTTAAATTGTCGCAGTGCCCACTTCAGCTTCTCGAGCTGCCAATTCAGGCACTAGCACTGCCACGCTCAGACCCTTCCGTGATCTCATAACTGGAATGTGGGGAAATAGTGGAAGCTTCCTCCGTTTCTGGCAGTCGGCGCCACTCGGCCACAATACGAGTTTAGGGATCCTGGCTGTGGGGACCGAGCCGATGCCGTTTGGGAAAAAGATTGGCAATGTCGTATGAGGCGGCTACTTGCTCCAATGACCTGATCGCCTTGCCGGAAGAACCGGTAAACCTGGAGGGAAGCCATGGCATTTTCAATGTTGCCCGCGTGTATCCATAACTCTCAAAAGTGGCGGTATTGGCCGGCCATGTGATGGACGGATGGAGGTTCGGCACGGCGTCATCGAGTGAAAGAGAGTTTTTGGGGCCTGTTGGGGTTCGTGTGGGGTGACTGGGGTCCCGCAAATCGTCCGATAAAAACCCGTTGGTTTCCATGAAAGGCAGGTGCCATGGCACATGAACTCAACTGCTCTTGGCTGATATTGTTTGGAATTTATACGAATGAGTTTCACAAAGATGAAGTACGTTCCAAGGTTCTCCAAGGGCATATTAAGTATGGTTGCCTGAGGCATTAGGCCGCTTCTTAACTTCGTAAGTCACGTGGATGCATCAGTAGCTATACATACCGGTTTTCCTTGTCGGGGGGGGGGTTTCCTTCCCCGGTTGCCGCCCCTTTTATAAGGACGTTAAGAATCAAGCTCACTAAGCATCTCATTATGCTGACTTGATAGTTAGTAAGTTATCAAATGCTTAGCCAGGACTTAGAAGCGCATGGTTGACTAGTGATCACTAAGTGATCATGATTGGCTGCTATTAACCCCGTTACGGCCACTACTGGAGAACGAGCAGTATAGAGGAGCGTCCCGGAATAAAGTTATTAATATGATTCAAAAGCGAGCTGCGTAGTCCTGAACACCATATTAAGAATGATGAATTTTAGGGTTATCTCTCATAATCTTGAGTTTCTTTCAGTTCGACATCTATAGATGATTGTTGATCAGGCCTTTCAAGATTATATATCACTACATTCTTAACTTCCTCTTCTATTAACGACAAACCGTCAAAGGCAAGATAACAGCGGACCGACGAGATGTAACGAGATGTTGTTGAGTACAGTATATATTATGGACGACCCAGCCAGTAGCATTGTTTGACATTTACGATTAAGAACAACGAATTGTGAAGTTACATTCCTCGAATGCTCAGAGCTCTCCAGCTCATGAAAATCACCCCCAGTCAGTACACCTTATTCAGAAATGCTGAAAAAACTCATATCCGCGAGTAACCGCGGATACGTCAGGATATCCATTGCTCTAATCCATGCTCGACAACATCACTGGTAATCGAAGCCATTGTTATGTAAAGAAGTGTTACCGGTTCTAACGGCTTCTTCAAAGATATTGTCTTGGTCAGTGCACAAGAGTCCTAAAGGGTCGCTGCCCCACAGCCAGCTCTCCTGATAATTATCATCTAGCAATGACCTATCGAGCTGCCCAAAAAGCCGTTCTGCAGCATCCCTGGCGTCGGCGCTGCTCTCTTGGCCCTCAGCAGAGCTAAACGCTGGCCATTCTTGTCCCGGCGTAACCCCGTCGCCGCTACAACCATCAGTAGTTTTCGCCAAGAGAACTTTACTCCAGTTCTCGATGCGAGCCTTCTTGACTCTGAGCGTCTTTGCGATCAGGTTCAAAAGGTTATTGTCCCATTCCTGTCCATATGCGGTACCGATCTCCTCTTTAGCAGCCTCGAATCTGGTAGCAAAGGTCTGTAGAGCATTAAGCACCAAATTCTCAGTTGCCTCGGCGTCAACATTCTTGGTAACACGTTGGGCAGTGTCTGCAGACACGTGAGAGGAAATATAGCTGACACGGTTAAACTGAGCATTGGCAAGCAGCGACAACCTCGCCTGGCGAGCAAGCATAGTGACTGCATACATTAGCTGGCCATAACCGGGCTGCGGCATATAAAAATAGTAGCAAACGGGTATGGCGAGCCAATTATTCACCCATGATCTAAGAGCAGACATGGCATCGTGGTAGCGATGGAATGCCTCCGCATCCAAAAGCGATGCAGGGACGGAAGGGGGACTTGTAATACTTGACAGTTTAATATCGCTCAGCAGCGGATCAAACAGTCTTAACCGTGCAGTACTATAGTGGCTCAATAATAAGTCTTGCACTTTGTTAGTAATAGGGCCACACGATTTAGGCTGTGAAATTTAAAGATCTCACAGTTGGTTTTAAGCTTCTTAGGTAGTGAATCCTCAAGTTGATCCAATCCTACCTGGAAGGCTGAGATATGCGCAGCAGCTGTTGTCTCTGGCAATGCTAGTCCAATCGAGTCAAATACATATTGGTCTCGGTGGTTGAACTGAAAAATCCTCTCGGTGAGGTGCTGAATACGAACTAGCTGTATAAGAAGTTCATCTGTCTCATATTCCGCAGCTTCTTTGAGCTCGTTAAGACACTGATCATGATGCTTCGTGTATCTTGGTGAGTCCAATTTATTGAAAGAGAGAGCAGCGCTGTGCGGTTGTCATTAGCTTCTGCGTTCTGTGCAACGACGGACCTACTCACTTTGAGCCCATATACCAAGCACCAACCAAAACCCTTCTCTCTTCATTTGTAACCACCCTTGGCGCTTCAGGATCCATTGTCGAATACGGTGCGGCTTCGCGCGGCTTGGTACGTCTTTCCAGACCTAAGTCTCCGATCATGCTGATTGCGAGGTGCGCGAGGTTGTTAAATTGCCCATGAGCTAGGCAATAGTAATGGTAGTAGCCCAAAAAGACAATAATGCCTTGAAGGAGGTCCAAAGAGCGCTCAGACCTTATGATCACGGCATCAGAAATATGTTGCATTACCGCATGACTCTGACCCCACATTGACCGTCGACATTTGATTGAAGCTACCATTCTGATTACCATTGCAAGGAAAGGTCGACTTTGTTGAAGTTGTACTAAATTCACCCCAGGTGGAATAACGACAAATGGGAATTGGGAGCGAAGCTGATTATTGTATGTCGATAACAGGGTCTCATCAGAATCGACTGGGCTAAAATCATCTTTACCGATTTTTGGCTGGCAGGTGCATGTTGGACGCGCGAATACGTTGAAACCAGGCAGTGAAGTATTCGCAGAAGTTTCGTCTTGACATCGCGCAGGGGTTTTGAAGGTGGTTGGTGATGGTGGTTGGTCAACCCTTTCAGGCGGCATTTCCGGAGACAAGGAGTTCTCTCGCTGGTTCAAAGATTCTCTTTCGAGACTGCTCGGTCTCTCTTCTAACCGAACAATCTGGCTACAAAGCCTTATCTGTTAGCCCATGCTAAGGCATACAAGACGACAGAGCTGCTACTCACGGCCCCCTAATCTGCCTTCTTTTTCTTGGCTTGCGCGCCTTTGGCATACAATCTTTCTTCAAGCTCTTGCATCTGAAGGTTGTAAGCATCAATTAGCGGATTGTCGTGGGGAGTAGACCGTATGCGAAACGAGCTGACCTGTCACATCTGGTCCCAGGTGTACTGTCAGAGCGAAGGCATCTGGCCTTTGCCCTTGCGCATGAATCACATGCTGCTCCCCAGCCAGCGCTCCGAGTGACTGATACCGGACTTTCCATGACAACGTTCAGAAAAGCAGCCAAGTCATCAACACGGACGGCATGTCCGTTAGTGAGTCGCAGTGGAGATTACAAACCAGGTTAAAAGCGACACCCTCGGACAACCCAGCTTGTTTCTGCGAACTCAGAACGGTATCCTTAATTGTGATCGAAGCTTATGATCGAAGCTTGACCTTCATTTTCTCCAGAATGGTCACTTCGACGTTGCCAACTGATGCCACCCACCGCCGACCTTGCAAGGGGCTGACTAACGGATGCTTCATCACGTGAGCAACATTGGGTCTAGCTCGTCAAGAACTAGTATATAACGCCTTTCCTAGGGCTTGTGTTGCTCAGGTTTTACGTTATACTTACCTTGATGTATGCTTCAGGTGTCCTAGTTCAACGGTCCTCTCGTTTACGGACTGAGGAGGAGCGCAGTTCTATGCTCAGGAATGACCTCTGCTTCTTCCCCCTCCGTAACATTATACAAGGCTTAGGAAATGCGGAAGTCTAACCAGTAGGTACATTGTCATCAGACAGAATCTGTAGAACACTAATACGCCTTAGCGGCTGATTTTCTAAGATGCGGGTTTACTACATTACCTATAATTCTTTCCACAAATAGAAAATCTCGTGTCTGCTATTTCGGATGTATGCTACTCACACAATTACCTTATCTCTCTCAGGCTTGGGCAATTCAACAACTTCCTTCCTAGACACATTCCTTCTTTCAAAAAACATCGATGGAAATACTGTTCTCAATCACGAGCGACCTTGCAAGTCAAACGCTCAAAAAATGCCTGCAGTGTGTTTCCCATTTGAACTCATCTTAGAATATAATTATCAGGGATTAGTGACATTCTCGATGCCCCTGCTAAATTGGTTATGGGCTATAAGTGTACCTCTCAGTGATAGGACGGGGTAAATGGAATCTGCCTACCTACAAACTTTGTGATTCGACAATTCGATAACCCATCTACCCCCTCTGCTCGAGTGGCAGACCACGAAGTATCATGCCATCGACTCTGGACGCTTTCTGCAATCAGGCACTCAAAAAACATCTCGATAGAAAGCAAAGGAGTAGAACGTTCATTATGAAAGCCACAGCCAAGATTCATTATTCTGATTTATTCCCAATCATGCTGATGAGCGTTCTTCATATCCTTGGTGAAGCTAGTGGCTCTGTGCCTATGATCATCATCAGCTTATGCAAATTTCTAGTAATTATGGTGAGAATTACTACTAACATCTAAGGCTTCATCGGCTTGACAATTGGCATTTTTGATTAGAGAAGTTGGATTTTTACCTGCCGACTTGGGGTGAATGCTCTCCTCCCCTGCTATCACTCAATGTCCGAAAGCTCAAGCTGTGGGTGGTCTCGTGCATCTAGTTTAGTCCTTTCCGTTCCTTTGGAGAAACCCGATGGATACCAGATGCTTAAAATTACCATCACTGACAACATCGGCACAGCATCAAAGACATACAGAAAGACCTCGTGTAGAATGATATACCCCTGGAAACCTTCGATAAATTCTGCCACTCGCACGATGTTTCGAACCATGATGAAGGTGCATGCGATGTATAAGATCCACATAAACCTCTTCCAAGGCAACAAGCCGTCTTTTGATTGACGAGTGGGCACGGCCCGCAGACGACGGTCAAATATCAGCGCCAAAACCAAAAATAATCCGAAAATTACGATCTGGAGCCATAATCCGGCCAAAACAATATCAGCGCCTGTCTCGGACATTGATGCATGGGAGCTAGCCATTAGCCCAGCACCTATACAAAGTCAGTACAATTCCTACCGCGACTCAGGTCAAATGGAAACGGTGTTTTATACGCACCAGCCAGCTGAACGAAGAAACAGACAACATCACTGATCACGAATGTTTTGGTCAACCACTTTTGTTTGATAAGGCTATATGACTCTGCGTCCACACTGAGGATGATGCGACCCAAGACCATGTAGATACTAGCTGCGAAGAGTGGCGGAGCGACCAGTAGAAGAAGGGTTTGGATAACGTAGGGACCAAGTGTCAAATGTGGTGCTTCAGTACTCGATATCGCACGGGCTGTATATCCAACAAATTCAACTGCGAATTACATATTAGCGGACATCAATGGAATAGAATAACTGCCAAAGCAAAGGCCTCGAGGAATACATACAAATTCCGCCGATGACCAAAGGTATGAAGTGTAGAGTCTTGTGCTTGCAAATGAGGAATGTATGCCAAATGGTAAATATTCCGAACAAAATCGCAAAAATGCAGGCACCGGCTAGGGAGGGATCGTAATGATAATATTTGTAGTATGTCATTTTGATTTTGGCGCTTGTTTTTCGCCCTGATTGGTTTGCGAGGTCTTGTAGGAAATCATTTGAAAGTAAGAATTCTGCTCTTATAAGTGCTTGAGCGACGCGGTATGATCTTCTGCCAAAATCTCCGCGGAGAGTTGGAATACCCCTAAATTCCGGTCCACTCTGCTGGTAGCTATTTTTAACTCTAAGACGGCAGCCTGTCAAGGTAAAATTAAGTTTCATACCGTAGAAATGAGTCCTGAATCTACATCTTCTGAAGTGTTATCCAGTAGAGATCATATTGTGAAATAGTTGGGCTAGGCCTTATCCAGAAGAAATAAACATAGCTTAGCGAAAAGACAGTGACAGCAGGGATCAGGCAGCCGGAGCCCGGTTGCGGCATATTAAAGTAATAGTAAACGAGTAAAGTGAACTGTTTGTTGATCTACGACTGAAGTCTAGCCATGGCGGTATGATATCAGTCAGTTGTCTCAGTGTCTCAGAGCGATAGCGAGATGGAGGAGTGAAATCTAATCAAATATCTTTGAGGGCTTTGAGTTAACGAAGGGACATCTTGATTGGATAACCTGTGAAGAATTGAGCTGGTTATGTGGTGGCTGAGTTTCCCCGGATTTTACGTTAACCTCCGAAAATTCCGCGGAGTTGTCTTTCACGGCGAAATACCTAGGGGCCACGAGGCTGAAGAAGGTAAGATCTACCTCTTTCTGATAATCCTGATAATCCTCGTGTTGCTGTTTCAGGAGACCTAACCCCTGATCGCTCTGCTGCGCAGGAATGAAGGTCTCTTCGGGCCTCAAGTCGCCTTGTCTGGCAATAATCCTTCAGTTGCAGAGATAAGCAAACAAAACCGTCTTTCCTTCAATAAGCCACCTCTAGGTCTCCTTGTTGGCGTGCCACCATCTCCAGTGGCGAGACCGGATCTCAAGAGTGGGGTTAGCTTGCCGTGGCATATGGATATTTATGTCCTACTGTGACTGCTCTTGTTCGGCAACCGGACATGGGTTTCACCAACCGAGCAATGACGGTCACAGATTGTCTGGCGCCAGTTTCTTCACAGCCAAGAAGAAGCGCTTGAGGATCCACGGGGTCCAGAGTGGTATGCCAAAGACCTCTAGCTTATTTTATACATTGCTGCACTAGGTACACCGGAATTTCCGGGGGTCTAGATTAGCCTTGTGGACAGGACGCCAGTTAAGGCGTGCTGAGGGTGGTGGGGAAAAAGAATTTTCCCACCTCGTCTCGAGCCGTACCTGTAAAGCCAATAACAGAGCAATTGAAGGGTTTTTATGCAATTTGTTATGAATTCTTCGTATACTCATTTTGTTTCGCTTCGTATTTCGAATATTGCCCGTCCAGTCACGGCATTATATTGGCCAGAATGCCCATATCCTCGGTCGCATGTTGTAGCAGGCCCGTGGCGAATGTATCAGGCGTCTCCCGCTTCTGTACGGCAGATAAGGCCGGGTTGATGCCCAGTGAGAGCTGTGGCGCCGGTGCCAAGGGCAGGGAGATTAGCTTCTTCCAAGTTGACCTGGCAGAGGGGAGAAATGCAGCCATTCTGGGGGGCTGGTTCGAGATTATAAAAGCGAATTAGAAGGATTGAGGAAATTAGTCAATTACTCAACAGTGAATATATGTTCCAGTAGAGTTCTAAATACGCCATTAAGTAAAGACAAGCTGGAACTGGGAGAAGTGAGAAAGTGGGGCAATGGGGAAATGGGAAAACTTAGGTTTTGCATGAACGAAGCTAAAAGTGGGGATTGCAATGTAGTCCGGGGTAGCTCTCTAGGGTTGCAACCCTTGACAATTCAGCTATTAAAGAGGATTTGAGAGATTTAACACTCCAACATTTGTATTCAGACATATCATCAAAATGGCTAGTATTACTCAAGAACATAGCTCTGCTCCGGGCACAGAGCTTTTGATCGATCAGGATAATTCGGACGCTATACAACACTATCAACATGTTGCCCATGGAGATTCACACTTACTGCTCGTGCCACAGCCTTCGCTAACAGATCCTAACGACCCCCTGTTATGGCCACGATGGAAGAAATGGACCGTGTTTGGCAATGGTCTTTTCTATTCTTTCAATGGAGGAGTCACAGGCCCTATGATGGCTGGAGGTATGTACATTTCGTGTTGCCCCAATAATCGGGTGCAGAAGAGCTAAAAACTTTTTTGCAGGCATGATCGGCTTATCCGTCTTCTTTCAGCGTCCTCTTTCCGACATCGCCTACAGTAACGGTGCTACCTTGATTTGTCAGGGCTTCGGTACACTCCTTTGGATGTAGCTGAGCCAATACCATCACTCATCCCATGAGAGCAATACTAACATGATATACTACATCAGGCCAATGACAGTCAAATTCGGTCGCCGCCCCGTATACTTGCTCTCCAACTTTCTCATGGGCATCGCCTGCATATGGTTAGCCATCGCCTCCGAAAAAACCTTCCCCAACCTCGTCTGCGCTCGTGCCTTCCTCGGTCTTTTCGAAGCTCCTATCGAAGCTATTGTCCCCAGCACTATTGCTGACATATTTTTCCTCCACGAAAGAGGAGAGATGATTGCCCTGTATGGATTGTCAGTCCTTGGCGGAAACGAACTTGGACCTCTCTTCTCGGCATATATCATTGAGTATCTGAGCATGAGATGGGCGTTCTTCATCATTGCCATCTCGATTGGAGTGAGCCTCGCTTTGATGATCTTCTCGATGCCGGAAACCATATTCGAAGGACACCGTCCGATCATCGTTCCTGCTCCAAATTACGACTCCAAGAAAGAACCCAAGAAAGAAGAAGGGGAAAAATATTCATCTGAGCACATCGAAACTGAAGAACGGGTGTCGGAAGAGTCATTGACCGTCACGAAACGAACATACATGCAGGACCTATTCCGTTTTACTGCGAACAAGGACGTCAGCCTTTGGGCCTTATTCAAACGCCCCTTTATCCTCATGGCGTATCCAACCGTTCTTTGGTCTAGTCTAATCTATGGCATGAGTCTAAGTTGGAATGTTATCCTGGGGGTTATGGTCGCCCAGTTATTTTCACCATCGTGAGTAGTTGAGGATCCCCTGTGAGTATTATGACACGCCACTTACTCGCCATTATGATAAACAGACCATATAACTTCACCTCTGGCTCTCAAGGCCTTGTCTTTCTCTCTCCATTGGTTGGTTCTCTTTCGGGAACATACCTCTGCGGCCCCCTTGCAGATCGAACCGCAACATGGTTCACAGCCCGTAACAATGGCGTGAGAGAGCCTGAAATGCGCCTCCCAACTTGCATCATGGCAGCATTCCTCACTTTCCAGGGTGCTTTAATTTCCGGTCTCACATACAATTTCAAAACCCACTGGGCTGGTCCTATTGTCGGATTTGGGGTGCTCTCCGCTGGTGCCCAGATGGGAGCCACTCTCGCTATATCATACAGTCTGGATTGTCATAAGGATGTATATGCTATCTCTACTCCTTTTCGGGCTCAGATACTGATATTGATATGGACTGACATGTATTTTAGCTGTCTGCGGAAATCATGGTGACGATCTCATGTCTTAAATCACTCGTTGCGTGGATCTGGACTTGGTGTATCAATGACTGGGTCTCGGCCAGTGGTATTTTGACTGTCTTCATGGTGATAGCAACGGTGAATGTCCTTGTTTACGGGACTACTATTATCTTCCATTTCTATGGAAAGTCGATTCGGATTTGGATCCATAAGAGCAACTTCATGGGTCAAGCGTGATCATGTGAATTGATGATTATATTGATGGATACTCTAATTGTTTTCGTTTTATGTCTTAAATCATATCATAGCTGAAAGTGCTGAAAGCAAGCAAAGTCTTCGCGAGATTTAGTAAAATCTTTGAGATAGAGGTGAGAAGCGTGGCCCGATTATCATTTACTAGTGGAACAGTATATCTGCAGAAACGGTTTCTGTTGAAATTTTCACTTATGTTCTTGGAGGTAGCATAGAATTTCATGAGTTGAAAAAGTCCAGTGATAACTGCTGACATCCGACATAGCGCCTGGGAGCCAGTGCAGAGTATCGACTCGCATCTCACAAAAAGATGCACACCAACCGTCACCCAGACAGTAGAGGTGGCCATTATGGACCGAATCGATCTAGTATGTGCCACATATGACATACACGTTCCTCCGTGAGGAATTGCATTGCTGTCGTGGCTATCCCCGATGGGATTCAAGCGGCAAGGCTAATTTGCTGTGGAATATCATTCATTCATTACTCGTTCGCATCGAGTATTGTTTCCAACGGCGGTATTTGCTCCAAAACCGCTATTTCTGGTCTGCCTCCAGGATATATTCAAGCCCTCAGAAGAAAGAAATGGTGAGGATGATGACAATCCGACTCCTAATAGACGGTGTCTCAATTAAGTGGTATCGAGTGGCCCATTGTCCAATAATCAACCCTCCTCTTCTTCGCCACTCGCATCTTCAGAGCTACTGGCATCTCCATTAGGAGCAGCGAGAGCAGGCGCCTGTCGGGCATTGGTTTGTCTCCGGGACGCGGAAGTCACAGCTCTTTCGCCGACGAATTTGTCACCTGGCCAGTCTTTCTTGCAGACAGGGCACTTTTCTGCCCGTTGCATACGAAAGAAGCTGCGCGTACAATGGTCATGAAGTCGGCCCAGGCAATCGCGGTCCTCGCAGCGTTGTCCCTGATAATACGAGTTAGCTCCGCCAACTTAAATCCAGCGTACAACAAAAAGCACATACCACAGTGATTATATCCTTGCAGGCAGAGCAAAACTTAATGCGATTCATTTTGCGGCCACTCTCCATCTCGTCGTTGTATTCCGAGATCAGCCACCCGCGCAACTCCATCAGTGCCCGTGGGGTCAGGCTGAAGTAATCCTTCCTGCTTTTCTCGAGCCATCCCTCTTCAACGAGGTGCTTCATCATGTTTTCTGCTTGTGTTAGCGTCAAAGACTGCGTAGCTCCGCCCTGGGTCTGCTGCGTTGCATTTGTGGAGCGCCGCCGGTTGGCCTCCGCCGAGGAACGGAGATTAAGTGATTGCATAGGTGTGATGACCATTCCTTCACATATCCGGGTATTATTTGTATCGAACATGAAATCCAGTAGACGCTTGACGAAAGCAATTTCATCTGCGGAGTAGGTTGTTGCAAGCTGCGTCAAAGAATCGCTGGTTGTGTTGACAAGGGCATATACACGGGTAGGTGGGTTATCATTGTTTTCTTGATCTGCCTGCTTTGGTGTCTGGTGAAGCAAGCTTCTGATTTCCAAGTCGAAGGGCGAGATTGCGGTGTTGGCAGCATCGATGTAGGATGAGAGATGCTCTTGGGTAACATCATTTGGGTCCACAATTTCCCCTTCTATGGTAATCTGGTGGTTAACAGCGGCTTTGTTTTATGGAACTCGGACATTACAGGTGAGTACACACTCTGCGCAGTGAAAATTGCAGCCAAAACTGGTTGAGCTTCCTCGAAGGTCATGGACGAGCGGCCCATGAAGGCCTGTAGGAAGGCCCGGTTGCTGTCGTCGTAGCCGTCCGCCATGGTGCTGTTTTATTGTTTCAGCGACGTGGTTGGGAGCAGGAATGAGAGAGAGGAAGCGCAGTGAACAAGTGTCGAAGATCAAAGATCAAAGAAGTGAAAGTCGCGATCCGACGCGACGCGGGGAACGCCAAGACTTGCAGACAAAGAGCTATATCCACCACAAGCACGGCTACTGCTTTCTTTGACTTCGAAGTTTGCACCTTGGCAATTTGATCCAGAATACTGTATCAGAAACCCTTTTTAGCCTAGAACTGAATGTGCTCTATCTCAATACCCCAACTTTCTGTGCCTATTGAGCATCCTGACTAAGCACAAAAGAAACCCTTCATGAACAATCAGTTGGAGATAGTGCCATTAATGTGATCATTATTCATCCTATATCGATATCAGATTTTAATACAATGAAGGTTTACAAATCTGAATCAATAATTCCATCAAAAGGTAACTACACTTTTCTTTGGCTTTACGAAGTCTTACTCAAGTTAAAAATCTCTTTCAGTTCAATTTAAGCTACAGGTACGTCCACGTACAAGCACAATACCCTAACAGATATAAGTACAGGGGCGGTGGCAAGTTTCCAACACCCACACCTATAGGGAAGATCATACACCCTTACTAATGAATCCGGTGCCGGGTTACCGAGGCAGCCATTATCTGGATGTTCCCCTAAGGTATAGAACAGTACCCCGGAGGTCTTCCCTCCAACCTTTTGGAGATAGGAATTCAATCGTATAAAATCGATTCACTCGCAGGTTTGATATCATGACATAATATACAAAATGCCAATCAGCAAAAGAGAATGCCGAAACCCCGGCCCCTAGACTCGGGGTGTAATCGCACCACCAACTGAGATCACCCAACGCCGAAGATGAAGGAAGGAAAAAAGGTAAATAGATTTGTCAAAGAAAGTCACACCCATCACCAACGACTAGCCTCTCCGCCGAGTAGGCTCAGGGCTCGGGCTCCGGGTAGCACTCCGCGGGTCGCGACCACGCTCCTTCAACCACTTCTTTGTACTGAGTCGCATATCCTTATCAAGCTCCGCTGATGGATCCTTCCGATGGATGAAATTGCAGAAGCCGCCTCGCACACATCCTTCGCCGCTATTCAGACGACAACACGCTTCTCGAAAATCTGTGACGGGCGATAACTCGCAGTATATGGGTCTTGCGGCGTACCAGCGTGAGTTGAGAGTGTCGCATGCTTCCTGTGCGTCTTCTTCGTATTTGAATCGGGCGTAGACGTTTCCAATCAGATCTGAGAAAGAAAAGAAGGTCAGTAACTTGATTTTCATGACGGAATTTTGTCATTGGTTCTAAGCCGAGAGAATGGGGTCAACTTACGGTCATTGTTGTTGTCGCAGACGACCAGTTCCTCGAGTTCACCGTATTTGCACATCTCACACCACACGTCCTCGTAGAAGGCGTCGAAGTGGTTCTGCAACTGGCTGGGGTTCATCTTGTTCTTGGGGTCGTAGGCCGGGTTCTGGTACATGTTCGGCATGAGGACAGTCTGCGAGTAGGAGGGCTTGACATGTTTGCGAGAGCATCGGTCGCCGTGTCGGCATGCGCCGATCTTGTAGTAGAAGGAGCAGTTGACCTTGTCCTGCTCGGTACCGAAAATAGACGCGAGGTAGTTGGCCATTGTGTGTCGGTATAGAGATGATGTCGCGCTGACTGTGAGAGTGGTGTCAGGGATGAGAGGTAAGGTTGCGATCGGTGAGAGAAGAACGGGACACGGAGCGGACAAATGCTCGATGATATCGGATGCCTGAAGTTTCTGGAGAGCTCGAGTGGCGCCGCTGACTAAAGCAGGGAGAGCTTTCGGAACAATAATCCCCCGATCTATGCATTTGAATGAGGCGAAATGGATATTTTTACTTGAAAATTCACTCGCGTGAGTTTGCTTATCAATTATTTCCTGGTACGTTACTTCGTGTTTTCCTTCCAAAGTAATGGCTTAGCCAGATCGAATGAACCATCAATATAGCGATGGACAGCCATTCACCGTAACAGCAGTCCACTTATGTCAGCAGATGTACGCTGTTCCATGATCATCTCACTGACCACCTTTCCAGTTCCTAGAGATAAAGTGATTCCCCATGGTCCATGTCCTGTAGCAATGTAAACACCACCTCTAGCAGAAGAACGCAGACCGTCACCCAAAGCCGCATCTCTGATTCGTCCAACCGTGGGGATATCATCCTCACCAACGGGCCGGAAGCAAAGACCCTCACGGAGAATTTCCAGATCGTCTTTATTGTTCACACCATTGGTAGAATCTGGCAAGTCATTTGGGAGATTACCTAGCAAGCGGACCGCAACATCTTTCAGTTTCTGTAATTTCGCCGAATCACGAAGTTCATGTGTGTCTTCCACGCATAATGGAAGCTTTAAATGGGGATTGTAACCTGCAATGTAGATTTCACCACCTTCCCGTGTGAAGATCTCTGGGCTGAATCCACACGATGGTGGATGAGTGGTAAAAATTGCATGACTTCGCCCACCATAAGTAGTTTTCTCGTGGTCCAGTGTATGTCGTGGTGAGCGGACAACCAAAGAATACCCGGCCAGAGGGGAGAGATCAAAGGAGGTTTCATTAGAGGGGAAAAGCTCCCGAAGAACTTGCGGTGTCCATGCGCCTACGCTCAGGACCAAGTTCGTACATTGGATCATTGACTCTTCCTTCGACTCCAAATGCTTAATTTTAATGCCAGTAATAATCTCATCGTCATCTTTTATGATGGCCACTGCCTTGGCTGGATTATGAACGTTGACACCTCGCGAGACAGCCTCGTTGATAAGAAAGCGGCACAGCCTCAACGGGTCTCTATCCAGGGTTCAGTAAGCGTTTAAGTGAACAAGACTCACAAGTACTCACACTTGGGCCACAGTTTCGTCCTCACTAATTCGCTCAAGGATACCTCCTTGTTGTTTCGTCAACCAAGCCGGCCATTCAGCTGGTATGGGACGTATAGCAGCCGCTGTCTCCGCACGACTGGTATCCTCGTGCACCCAATCATCTCCACGTGCACCACCGCATGTTTGATTGGACACAGTGTCCAGATTGAATGCAGTTCCTCTCATAAACCCCCATTTCTTGTCACCGCCGTGCTCCGCGGCAAGCTGGTGGTGCAAGTCAAATGAAAGGGCTCCGAGGGAAGCAAGTGCTGGGTCAAACCAGTCGCGTGCTAAAAAGCCGCCTGCATATCCAGAGGCTGAACTGAACAGTTCTGGTGACTGCTCAATGATGTGAATCTCGCTTTCTGGCTTGTTGACTGAGAGATAGTATGCGATTGAGACTCCAATTATACCCCCTCCTATAATTACAGTTGTCATTGTATTAGAAGACAGACTGATATGGACGGTGACCACTTCTGCTGATTCTTGCGCGCCTTCGGTTTACGAAATACAGTCGTTGTTTTTGTTTGGGAATATCGTGGTAAAAGGCAGTGGGGACGGAGAGTGGGGAAGTAACATTCCGCGATGGCCTTGAGATAATAATTCCCCGCACGTGCAGGACTGACAGCTATATTACGATGTTGGTGCCTTAGGTTTTGCGACGGAGAGTCTGACATTCTGTACTTTTATATTTCTTTCCAACCCATGTTCTGTCAACGAATACTTGAGACATCCTCAATTTAGAAAAGCTTAACGAAACGAGGTATTTGCTGAGGAATAGCTCCAATCTTCCTAAGTAAAGTCTTACACTGTTGAAATCTTCCGGCATCGACGCAATACGTCCAGGCAGGATCAAATGTTCACTCACTTGATTTCTTTTGTCCAAAAGAAGAAATTTTGTCCAAAAGAAGAATAAATTAGACGCTTGTAGAGACTCCTTGACAATCCGAATGTTTTACACTTGCGGCCCACTTATGGCCCCACAAAGCAACCAATATCATTTCATCGGAGTATATAGCCAGCGTACACCAAGGAGAAGGCTTCGAGTCTAATCTGTGACCCCCCAACATAAAAAGCCAACGGCCCCGCAAATTGAGGGCGTTGAAAACTTGGCGAATGATTGTTGGCAATTGACTCGAAGGATTGTTGGCTCCGAAGGCGATACCGCGCGTACCCATGAACATACTGTACACAGATCAAGCATTGTCTTCCAAGGAATGAAAGACTGGTATCCCGAAACTAAGCTCTAATAAATCATAGTCCTAAGGCGTGCAATCAATACTTCGTTCCTGGATAACGAAATATCGGCTTCAGAGCACGCAATTTAACTTAAAGATGGGCAATTGTTCCTGAACAACACGGACTGGGTCGGAGTTTCCGAGCCGTTGCGGAGCGCATCGCATGAAAGGCCCATTGTTGGATGGAATTAAACATTTTACTTTAATCAGTAGCCAAGTGCGGAGTAGTCTAGACAATATGTCATTTTAGAGCTTGATGGTGGCATTGAGCAATCTGATGACGACATCCTTAGCGTCCTCGGCTATGGAAAACAATGACGACGATCACAAAGCTTCATACTGCAATACACTCCATTATTTGCCGATCTTGCTAGTTTACACTAAATTCTTTCGCTTTAATCATGAAGAATTCACCTGTGCTCCACAATTGTGGAATGCCGCTGTCTTTTTCGGACAAGCAATTTCAACAATGGCTCCACCAGTCGTCGCGAGGACAGGCAGATGCCGTGCTGCTTTGAAAATGTATAAAAGGCGAGTCTGCGCGACTTGAAGACAAGCCAGACGCTGTTATCATTGCCTTCATCATGCGAACCTGGTCCTCTTCCCTCGCCCTCGGGTGCTTAATAGCGCCAATCCCGACTCTTGCCCGTACCATTGGCGCAAGAAAAACAGAGTCTACCCTCTGCGCAACAGATAGTCGGCAGTTGGTCAACAATGGAAGTGACATCTGGACTTACCAGACTTACAAGTCCTCCAACGTCACACCACCATACCTGTCGATCAACCGCACTGGTGAGGATTTGGCATCAGGTTTACTCTTCATTGGTCAAGAGGATTCTGAAGGGTCCGGCGTGGAATCCGTGGCGCCTTTCATCATTTCCGATGACAATGAATTGGTCTGGGGTGGCCCCACGGGTGAATCTTCGAATTTTCGCCAACAGTACTGGGGAAAGAAGTCTGTTATCACTTTCTGGACGGGCACAGGCGAAGCTGCGTATGGTGCCGATGTCGGTCGTGGATGGGGTGAAGTGCAGATTTATGATGACAGCTACAAGCTGATTAAATCGGTGTGTTTGCAACTTAACTTGACCATGCCGACTGGTACGACAACAACTTGCGACGCCGATGTTCACGAGTCGACAATTACTGAGGACAACACCATGTTGGTGACTGCGTACAACACATCTCAAGCGGATTTGACATCGCTGGGCGGGCCTAGTGATGGATGGGTTTACGATTCTATTGCTGTTGAGATTGATCTTCGCACGATGGAGCCTGTGTTCATCTGGAGCCCACTCGCTCATGTCGACGTCAACTTGACTCACTACGCGTACACCGGATCCAACCAGACCGACCCATTCGACTGGTTCCACATGAACTCCATTCAGAAGTGGGGAGATTACTACCTGATCAACTCGCGGCACCTGTGGCGTACATTCTTGGTGAACCGCCAGGGAGAAATTGTCTGGTATATTGATGGTCAAGATGGAGGAGACTTCGGCAGTATCCCTACCAATGGAAACTTCGTAAGGCTCATCACTCGATACTTCCTCTCCTCATTGCTAATTTCAACAGTCCTGGCAACATATGGCACGCATCCGCAACACCTCTACTTCCAATGAGGTCTTGCTCAGCTGGTTCGCCAACGACCTTGACACAACGACCGCTACCAACCCTTCAAAGGGTACCACCCTCCGCCTGACCCTCCCTCCCAACGCAAAGAATCCTCCCATCCTCGAGACCGACTTTTACGACCATGAATACCCCGTTTCCTCCGCCGCCGAGGGCTCCTTCACACCACTTGACAACGGAAACACCCTGATGGGATACGGTGACGAGCCATTCATTAAGGAATACGGTCCATCCGGCGATGTCCGCTGGTCCGCACAATACGCAGACAAAAACCTAGGCCAGAGCTACCGTGTCTACAAACAAGAATGGTCCGCGACTCCATACTACCGGCCCAGTCTCGTAGTGGCCACCGCCTCCGCGGAAGCGGATACTCTGAGCCAGTGCGCCGGAACTTCATCAACCCTCAGAGGCTATGTCAGCTGGAATGGAGCTACTGATATTGAGAAGTATGAGGTCTACGTTGGCGAGAGCGCCAGCAGTCTCAAATCGCTAGGCGAGATTGAGAAAAAGGGGTTCGAGACAGAGTTCTCGCTGCCGGCTGGCACTAAGGTTGTGCAGGTTGGTGCTGTGCAGTCCGGCCGTGTTGTACGGAAGTCTGACGTTGTGCGTGTTTGACTGAGTGGTTTGTTGATACAGAGCTTAAGCTCCTAGATGACTGCATGAGATACTGCATACTGTAAATAGATCAATATGTCGAATGATGAATTTGAACAAATCTTCAATCAACAATTGGATTCAAATGGTCCGGAAGAGAACACTGAAAGAATTGTGTAGCTGATCTTATTTCCTTAAATGTTGGAAATCTTGGCCCCGCCAGATGATTAAGCCCCGCACCCACGGCCCGGCGCAACAGGGATGCTGCTCCAACCTACTTTTCTTTTCTTGCTCAACGGCTACAATTTCAGCTTCTTGCATTCGTTTAAAAGGTTTGTTGTGCTTGTGACCCCTATTCTACCTCTCCTCTCCTGATGCCCTCAATCTTCTCCGAGGGCGTGCGCTCGAAGCTAAACAATTTGATATCAAAAGCCCCGAGCTCGATGGATTACCCCAATCAGCCCAGTAGACCCTCAAAAGGACTATTGCTAACATCAGCCACAGACACCATGGCGCCCAAGACAATTATCGTCACAGGAGCTTCCCGGGGTAAGGTTCCTCGAAATGCCCACCAAGAAGTCAACTGACACACCCTAGGTATTGGCCTCGCGATAGCCAAGTACCTGCTCACAGCACCGCAGTCCCACAATGTGGTGGTGGTGGCCCGCAGCCTTGAGCCACTCCAAAAGCTCAAAGAGCAATACAGCAAGCAGGTGGAAGTTGTGAACGGCGATCTTGCCGACTTCTCTCTTGCCCAGAAAGCCGTCGATATTGCCATTGAGACCTTCGGCCAGCTTGACGGCATGGTCCTTAACCATGGAATTCTCGGCCAGACCGGTAACGTCGCCGTCACTGATATCGCGGAGTGGCAGGCAGCTTTCAACGTCAACTTTATGAGTTTGGTTGCTTTCGTGCGTACCACTCTATCTAAAGCTTTTGATATTACAGACACTAATAGCTACGCAGGCCAAGGCTGCTCTTCCGGCTCTCCGCCAGTCTAAGGGAAAGATCATCTTCACTTCCTCTGGTGCTGCGGTAGGTAAGTACCGTGGCTGGGGAATCTACGCTGCGACCAAGGCTGCCATGAATAATTTTGCTCAGACGCTGGGTTCTGAGGAGCCGGATGTTACATCTGTCTCTGTGCGGCCTGGTATGGTTGATACTGAAATGCAGCGGGAGCTACGCGAGGTCCACGGTGCGACACTTGATGCCGAGATGCACTCCAAGTTCACTGGGGCCCACTCGAACGGCAAACTTGTGAAGCCTGAGCAGCCGGGCCATGTTATGGCTAAGCTTGTGCTTGATGCTCCGAAGGAGTTGACCGGTCTATTCCTTTCGTATGTTTATGCATTCGACTCCGAAGATTGAGCCAACGCTAATGGATTACAGGTGGAACGATGAGGAGCTTAAGGATTTCCAGGAATAGAATTTTCATTTGTAGTTTTTTTCAATATAGAGGTAAAAATCTGCATCTATACGGCAATCAGTATCGAAGGCCATAAAATTCATGAGTGAAATTTTCATTGTGGGTGATTGTAATCAGCCGAAAGATGAAAAGCATTTACATATTATAAGCATCAGGTGCAACACACCTTCATACTTAGCATGGAATGTAGGGTGTTCATCATACAATGGGGTGTATTGGAGTGTAAAAGAGGATTATCGTACCATTTGAGTCTGAATACCGAGGGTAGCTAAAGCCAAGCGGACATGAATAATCGAAGTTTTCACCTGTGATCTTGGAGGAGTTAGCGAGTGCGTTCAACTCCAAATGTTTTGAAATGCAAATTGAGCAAGTAACATTATCAGTTCGTCCGTTTGGAAAGACAGTGTAGATCACCATGGTTTTGTAAGATAGGGGCGACAACGAAGTTCATCATAGTAGAAATAAAGCAAAAGCAGAAGAAAACAAAACAGCACAAGCTTACCATTAGTGCCCTACCTCAGAACGAATCTGCATCAAGATTCACTCTGAGGAGGATATCGAGAGAACTCGAGTCGATTGAAAGAGTGAAAGAAAGTAAAACTGTTGAAGGAAAAATTCTCTACAAGTACCCATGAAGGCGGTGGGATATTTCTGCCGGCAGGAAAATATATCGCTCCGAGGCGCGCGCCGCAAATGTTAAATAGGAAGCGATTCAGGCCCCACGCTGATCCCCAAGAAATTCTTCCCTTTACTTCTCCGTTACCTGGGTTGGGTCGCTGTCTTATTCTGGTGTTCTGGCTTATTTTCTATCATTATGTCTGATCGTGAATTCAGCTGTATGTTCCTTCCTTTGTTTCCTAACCAACCCTGCGCTCGCAGTACGCTAACATGCCTCGCTTTAAAGCTAACGATGACCTGTCGCTTCCCAAGGGTAGGTCGCAAATAATCTCTCTTTCATGTTCTGGATATTTCGAGGTGGCTCTGTCGACGCGATCTCTTTGACGGAGTCTTTGATATCCCGCGTCGCGGCTCCAATCCACCAGCGCGTCCCGACTTGCCAGTGCCCCGCTAATCTAAAATTAAAATAGCAACGGTCCAGAAGATCATCACTGAGATCTTGCCTCCCTCCTCCGGTCAGACCTTCTCCAAAGATGCGCGCGACTTGCTCATGGAATGCTGCGTCGAGTTCATCACCCTGATTTCCTCCGAAGCCAATGACATCAGCGAAAAAGAAGCCAAGAAGACAATCGCATGTGAGCATGTTGAGAAAGCACTACGGGATCTTGGGTTTGGAGACTATATTCCCGATGTCCTTGCTGTTGCAGACGAGCACAAAGAACAATTAAAGGTACGTTTGTCCGGTCTTGCTGGTTTTGATCAAGTTAAACTAACCTTTTTGATTTTGCCAGTCCCGAGAGAAGAAACAGAGCAAGATGGAGCAGAGTGGCCTTTCGGAAGAAGAGCTTCTGCGACAACAACAGGAGCTGTTCCGGTCTGCGACTGAGAAGTACAATGCGGCGGAGTAGGACGGTTGTTCCAAAGACAACCTTGGAACTCATGCTGGTCATAGAGGAAAATTGCGGGCGTTTCTGCTTTTGCGTTTATGGGAGAGGTGGGACTGGAGTTATCATGCTTTCTTACTCTTTATTCCGATCATGAACCGGTAATCTAATGGTTTTGATCTTGCAATGCATTATGAATTCGAAATACTATGTTCGATCAGTAGTAACTGTGTGAAAATCAATCACAAGCCCTTCTTGTAATTTGAATCGAATAAAAGTGCCTAGTGCATTAAAGTCCTCTTGACTACAGCAGTAGGCATATTTGCATACAGATGTGGACCCGGCAGTAAATTTGAAAGGTGGTGGACCTGCTACCAAAGCTGCTACTAAAGCTGCTACATATATAGATGGATTATCCACCAACAATCCATGATGAGGGAAGATCCAAATGTTAAGCTAAGAGCCGTTTACATGAGTATGAGTAATATTGGAGTGAAAAGTGAGAGAAAGAAAATCAGGTTGAATGTCAATGTTCTCATGTGTGCAATCTTGTATTTGCTCCCATTTGCTCCACTTCCCAATTGCTTTGTACCGCCCACGTGACATTGCTGCCAAGACTTCGGTCAAGCCAATCCAAAATGAGAACCCCTAGCCGTCGAAAGCGTGACAAGGCGTTGAAGGAAGCAGCTCTGTTGTATCCTAATCGCAGTATTAGCACAATGCCACCCTTCAAAGATGAGCACATTTTGGTATGTACTGAATCCTCGAAGCTCACGCATTCCCAATCAGAATTCAACTAATCTCAACCTCACCAGCTCATTGCGCCGGGTTCGCAAATGACCCTAGCGCAACTCGGTCTGCCCGAAACATTCACCCCCGCGCGCTTTCGCTTCCCAACGCGCATGTTCCCCGCTGAAAAGAAGGGTGAATTCGAGCCATACAAGGTCCGCGAACGAAAGCGTGATGTTAAGGTCAATAATGATACCAATGGTGCCATTGAGCACAAGGCTCCGGACGTGGAGATGAAGGATGGCGATGCCACCGCTCAGGACAGCACAAACGGCACCGAGGAATCGGAGAAGACTGTTCAAGAGATCTTTTACGAGGAAGATGTCACGTCCGAAGAAGGCGCCGTACATCCAATTCAGAACGGGCGCATCGTCGATTGGCCCTGCTTCTTCGCTTTGTTGACCCACATCTACAACTCTCTCAGCCCGCCATTTCACACTCCGATTCTATTGGTGTCCCAGCCGGTCTGGTCGGCGCGCGATCGTGAAGCTATCACTCAATTCGTCTTTGAGAAGTTCAAGGTCCCGGGCTTCAGCATGATGGATGCGGCTCTTGCAGCATGCTACGGTTTTGGTGTGCAGACCGCAACTGTCATTGATGTTGGTAAGGGCAAGGTCGACGTGACGGCAGTGACAGATTACGCGGTCAATGAGCATGGCCGAGGCATTGCGTTGGAAGGCTGTGGCGGTGATGCCATGACCGATCGACTCGTTGAGCTGCTTGGGGGGAAGGGCTTCTCTCGGGAGATGTGCGAGCAACTCAAGCGAAGCAACATCGCGGAGATTCTTCCCCCTGGCGTTACTTTGCCCGGATCTGCAGCTACCTCCCGCCAAGGCGCCAATCCTGCCGCTGCCGCCTCGACTGGCGGGGGCGATGGAGTCGATGCTATTCCTCGTGGCCCTGGTGAAGGAACTCAGACCGGTGGTGAGACCAACGGCGAGGAGGACGAGGGCGTGTTGGATGTCGCGGCTATCGTCAGTGGAGACACGAATGAGTACTTGGCCAACATGGAGAAGGAAAAAGCAAGCAACAAGAAGGCGGGCGCGGACCCAAAGCAACCTCGTCTTCCCAACTCTAAAAAGGAGAAGGCGACCTTCCAGTTCGAAGAATTTGTACAAATGGAGGGAGATAATACCTCCCAGCGCTACATTCGCAACTCTCGCGAAATTGAGATTGGTGTTGAGCGCTTCCTTTTGGCCACGCCTAGCCAAAAGGTTGGAGATCGTCTGAGCAATGGTATCTTGGAGGATATCGCTACTCAGATTCACCACACTATCCTGGCTGTCCCTGATGCTACAAAGCGCAGTGAGCTATGGGACTCACTCATTATTGTTGGATGTGGTAGTAAAGTCCGAGGTATGCGGTTCCCCCCTTGTGAACACAAGAGCTCCTACTAACTGACATAAACAGGCTTCATCCAGGCCCTGCTTGCTGTTATCAACAAAAAATTCATCCTCTCCCCATCCGCCACAATCTTCACCTCCGAGATTCCTTCCACTTTCACTACTCCCCCTCCCGACTGGTGGAACTAATACTCCTGCTCCCATGGGCATGCCCACGCCTATGTATCACCCCGCGGCCCCCGGAGTAAGCCAACTCCTGGTGAACGCCACTCACAACCAGCACGGTATGCCCATCCCAGGCACACCTGGCATGGATCCTAATATGCCGACCCATCACCGCTCGACCGGCCACTCCCAGACCCCGACCTCGGTCAAGACCTTGCGACTCCCGGAGTACTTCTCTGATTTCAAGGATCAGGGTAACAGCAACGCTCCTGGGTCCAGCACAGGTCCCAGTGCTTCTACAGGCGGACATGGTCCAGAGGAAGCCGCCTTCTTGGGTGCCCAGATGGGAGCCAAGGTTTTCTTCGTGCTGGATCAAGGTCTCTCCAAGGGCTACATGAGCCGTGTTGAGTACAATGAGAGCGGACCTTCGGCCATTCACGAGTATGTTCTGTAAGTCAGCAGGGCTGGGTGCTTGTTGGCTATTATGGTTTCTACGAATGAGCGCGGATTTAGCTTGTCTGATTTTTTATGGCGAAGGGGACCCGGTTATGTTCTATGATTTTTTTTCTTGTACTTTACGCTGTTGCAATAGTGCCTCCTAGAAAAGCATTCGGTTGCAGGTGCCGTGGACTTTTGGAGTTCGGTCCATTTCCCATAGGCTCAATATTCATTTGAATTCGACTCAAATCTACCAAAATACTTTGCAAGTCCAATCCCAAGCGTTATTTGTACTACTTTAACTCTGCCATCATTGGATAAATTCGTCAAAGTGGGACCGCCGATATGGTCACGTGTTGTCTCTTATCGGTCGCGCCTCTGATCTTAATAATCTTTGATCTTCATCGACGCCACTTCACCTCACCCACTTTGATAGTCACTCCCGAGCTTCTCATTTTATATCCTACGGAGCTTACGCGGTTTTCTCTTGCGACTTCCTCCTCCACAGATCTGAGCGACTCTGCAACATTTCTCCGAGAGTCATCGACACTAAGTCGCAACCTTGAGTCTTCTCCAACGATAGACAGTTTCAACTCGTGCAACAACATTCACAATGGGTCGCGCTGAAGCTGGCACGGCGAAAGCCATCGGCAACAAGATCAAAGCCAAGGGATTAGGTCGTCTGAGATGGTACTGTCAAGCCTGCGAGCGCCAAATGCGAGACGCAAAGTAAGATCCTTTCACCCTTTAGTGTTATTCAGCTAACATTTCATCGCAGCGGGTTCAAGTGCCATATTACTAGCGAAAGTCATGTCCGTCAAATGTTGATTCTCGGAGAGAATGCGCCAAAGGCTATCAACGACTTCAGCCAGCAATTTATCGATAACTTTGTGAATAACTTGAGAACCCAGCACGGAGAAAAGAAGGTCCATATCAACCACTTCTACAATACTGTTATCAGCGATCGCGAGCACATTCACATGAACAGTACAAAGTACGTCATTTCCTCGTCTGACTGTCAGTTCGAGTGCTGACCTGTGACAGATTCCAATCTCTTACTCAATTCGCCCAATACCTAGGCAAGAACGGGATTTGCCGAGTGGAGGAGACCGAGAAGGGAATTTTCGTATCATGGATCGACAACTCGCCCGAGACATTGCGGAAAAGGGAGGCTATCCAAAAGAAAGAGCGGGAGGAGAAGAACGATGAACAGCGAGAACAAAGAATGATCATGGAACAGGTGGAGCGCGCCCGCAGCGCTGCCAAGGATATGAAGGCCTCCGCCGAGGAGGAAGATGCGGACGCAAAACTACTTCAGCGAGAGGAAGGCGAGAAAATGACCTTAAACCTCAGCTTTGGTCCGAAGAAGACCGATACAAAAATCGACACAAAGACCGATTCTTCGAAGTCGGAATCTCCAGATGTGAAGGATACATCTGGCACTGGTTCCCCAGCTGAAGAGGCTGCGCCGGCACCTGCCAAGATTTCCATGTCATTTGGTGCCCAGAAACCAAAGAATGTGTTTGCTTCGGCCGGGAAGAAGAATCCTTTGGCTGGGAAGAAGGGTCCCATGCTTGTGCAGCCTAAGAAGATGACTGAGCAGGAAAGGATTATGAAGGCGGAGATGGAGGCTATGGAGCGTAAGCGATCTCGTCCAGACTCGGGATTTGCGAATCAGAAACGGCCTAAGTTGGCGTAAGATGAAGTTGGATTTGTACATTAATTTAAATCATTATACCCCGCCAGAGTGGCGATGCTAAATGTTCATATTTTCAAGGACGTACCGGGAACTAGATCTTCAATATTAAAAACCTCGGGTATTCCCAAGGTGTCCAATATACCTACCTATTGATGCTGTGTTCAAAATCTCAATCATATGATATGGTGTGTTCACCTTTCAACATTCTACTAGTCGGGTATGTATGGATGTAGCGGGAGAGATATATATCCACACCCTAGAACAAGATCACCATAATGAACCTCAAGTGCTTGGAAGCTAGCAATCAGCCCTCGATTTATATACCGATGATAAGTAGTAGGACCTTGGAGCATTTGGATTCATGATCGATTGTCCGAGATATTCCACATGGAGGAACAATACAACACCAAAAGGTCGCAACATCCTTGGCCCAAAAAGCGACACACAATTTGTTCACATCGGATAAAATTGGCTCATAGGTTCACAAAATGTAGCCCTTACATCAAGAACAGCCCGGGTGGTCTAGTGGTATGATTCGCGCTTAGGGCAGCAACTCCTAAGCACTCCTGCGCGAGGTCCCGTGTTCGATCCACGGCTCGGGCCTGTTATCTTTTTGGCAATTCTTTTTTCTCCCTTGTATCCATTATGCCAGAGCCTCTCCAACGTTAATTTAATTTACAATTTTTTTGGGGTTCACACTTGACCGTCTTTTATCAGGCCAGCCAAGCCTATCAAGGGAAACCTTGCTGCCGATCAAATGACCGAAAACCACTAGTCCAATGGGCACCCGGGTCTATGGAGCCGCAAACTATATACCCCAACAGGTACTTTCTACCCCTAAATGAGTCGGTAAGAACGCGTAGATGTCACAATTGACTATGTAATTAAATATCTGACCGATGCTTTATCCTGGACAATGCACTAGTCCATGTTTTTGTACAATACCAATCAGTTCAGACCGTTCTCGGCATTCTCGCCAACAGCCGGAAATTCATATTCGAGAGCAAATAAGGGAGGATAACAGCTCCTCATTCTAGGCCTTATTTGTCACGGTGCATGAGTGTGAAGAGGAGAAATGCAGCGGGCTCTTAGACTCACCATTCTCCACTATGCCAACAAAACGAAAAGCAAAAAGAAGAGGCTTGCATCATCCGTGAATCGAACACGGGCCTCGTCGATGGCAACGACGAATTCTACCACTAGACCAATGATGCTAGTTCATGTAAAGAGTCGCGAATAAAAGTTATATGATCCAAAATCAAAACTCTATCCTATCCCATTCCAGTTAACTTCTATTTCATCCAGTTGACCATTGACCGCGAATTTAAGGATGTGGACCCACTTTATAATTCTCGAGCCAAGGATTATCTTTGGCGATAGTACAGCGGCCAGTGCATGACTTCATACCCAATTTTCAGCATTCCACAGATGCACATGTGCAGTTGTCCACATTTATGCAGTTCATGCCCAATGGATAGATCCAATCTGAATGTGGGCTATCCCCGGCCCAATGGCTCGATGATCTACTTGTTAGTGCGGGGGAGAAGCCAAACCTTCATTAGTCCGAGATAGTGCTCACGGCTTAACCCCAAGCGTCGATGGTAAAATCTTGCATCCGACAAATCAGGCGTCATAGCATCCTCTCGTCCCACGTTTTTGCATCCTTACGCGGGGATTCGATCTCCACATCCAAGATTTGCCCAGTCCTGGAGCATGTCGATCAAAGTAGTTACCCCGACTTCCCCAGTTCTCGGGGTTCCCATCAAGTCCCAAGTGCCGATCCCCTCCGGAAAAGTCGGTCGCATTGGAAATAGTTCCCCAGCTATAAATTATCCAGTGCAGCCAGTCCCCGAAACACAATTTCTTTCTCCGCATAGTGGAGGTGACTCCTGCAATTGACATTCATAATGGCAACCTCTGAACCCCACCCCGATCTTAACAAATTGGAAGCTGGTGAGACACATTTTACCAATTCCAGTAACTCATCGCAGCCACATAACCAGCATGCTTCCCAATTTGATTATGGTCCCCTGGCGCATGTCAATACCGCCGAAACACGTCTCGCACCGTTCGGTGGCGAGTTCCAACCTGGACTCTATCGTCCTGTGACGGACCGAAAGGTTGCGAACCCTGCTCCGCTAGGTCTTTGTGGTTTTGCTCTTACGACATTCGTTTTGGGCTGCGTGAATATGCAGACTCGTGGGATTACTGCGCCGAATATGATTGTTGGGCCTGCATTTGCCTATGGTGGATTGATTCAGATTCTTTCTGGAATGTGGTATGTGCTGCAAGACATTGAATGGTGAGACGAATGTTAATGCGTATATCTTTAGGGAAATGGCGATCGGAAATACTTTTGGAGCTACAGCCCTGACGTCGTATGGCGGGTTTTGGATCTCGCTGGCTATATCATTCACTCCCGGTGGATTCGGTATCCAACAAGGTTTAATCGAAGCTGACAATGGGAGTTTGGGAATGTTCTATGACTCCCTGGGACTCTTCCTCATGGTACACTCTCTTCCTTTATAATTTTCCTAGGCATGTTCTCTGACAAGTATAATAGGGATGGTTCATCTTCACCTTCCTGATGCTACTCTGCACTGTTAAATCCACCGTCGTGTTCTTCTCGCTCTTCTTTGCGGTCGACCTCGCTTTCCTCCTTCTCGGAGTCGGCTACATGAGTCGCAACGAACTGGAAGAGCCAAACGCAAAGGTAATCAAAGCGGGTGGGCTTTTTGCACTCGTAGCGGCTTTTCTGGCGTGGTGGGTGGCTCTTGCTGGTGTTGCCGACAACAGTAACAGCTTTTTCATTGTTCCTGTTTGGCATTTTCCATGGTCCCCTAAGGGTAAGGAGAGCCGGAATAAGGAGAAGGGAGGTGCTTAAATTTCCTGTCCAGTGGGTAGTCGAATTATAGACACATGAGCACGGCTCTTGCACATGATCTGTGGCTTATAAAATACTACAATATACAAGAATGCCAAACATTCATGATATAATTTTCTTCTTGGAATTTTAACGAATTGAGTGCGGGCTTATAAATCATCAGGAGTATCCAAGAGCGACAGATGGCGCGAGCTTTTGATTTCGCCGCGACAGATTATCACGCCAGTCATCTCCCTTCTGGCTAGTAAAAATCAAGTCCATCTCCCTCAGAATTTCATTGCTCACATCAGTCCAACCTTGACTAGCACTTTTTGGAACACAAGATAGAGGAACAATGTCGAACCGATGCCCAGCCCACTTCCCATGAGACAGATTCAAACCATGTCCAACATCAATAGGCCGACTGGACCATGAAATGCGCGAGATCAGAACCTCTGAGAACCCCAGAACGTCGATCTGAGGTCCATGAATGAAAGACTCCTTGAGAGCAATGACCTCACTACGAACATATTCCTTCGTTGTCAGATTACGCAGAATCCATGGCTGATCACGCGGATAAAACTCCAACATCTCAGGCTTGAGACCCATTAGAATCTCAGTCCGATCGGCCTCAGACATGGGATGTTCAGCCTCCCACCTCTTGAACTGATTCTCAAGCCTCTGCGATAACGATTGTGAGCCAGTTTTCTTCCATTTGTTATCAATGGTGAACGTATCAATGTGGTGCACACGAATCAACTGCGCTAAATCTGCCTGTTCATCCGCACTCAACAACCCCGGTGGAAAGTCACTTGGATCACTATCGTCGCTTACGCAGATGATCCGCTCCCCAGCCCAAGGCGCCAAAAAAGACACGATACGGTCCTCAATATGCGTCAAGCCTACAGCCCAGAAATAACGGTTGACCAGGCTCAGAGACAAGACATCCTCGATTTCGTCCAGACTATCGAAGATGAGATTGTGGACCTTCGATGGGAGTGCATAAAGCGAGTTCGGTTTTGTCTTCCTATCCGGACCACAGATATCCTTAGAATCATGTTGATCAATTCGAGCAGCCTTGTCCCAATGGCTTTTAGGGAGGTTATTGGTTCGTGGTCGCTTTGTGCATTCTTCCTCTTCTTCGTCTTCGATGTTCTCGCCTGGGTCTACCTGTAGATTTTCATGTCTAGACAATGTCAGTGACTATACTACAAGCGACCAAACCAACAGACCTGTGTGTATCGAGCGGAACTGCGAGGAGAGGTACGATGTTTGCAGCACTCCCGGAAACTAAAGCTTCCATAAGTTCGCCGAGAGAGCCCGTCACCTCTCTGCGACCGGGGGCAATTATACGCCAGAGTTGTTGCATGAGTTGAATTAAGGCGCGATCTACGATTTGTGATGGTTTATCTAGGCTGAGTCTAAGGCACTCAAGGGAGGCGTTGATCCACGTCAGACATACGTATATTGTCGCTCATTTCCCACCGGAAGCAATTTATTCTATAGTTTTCTAAAGGAAGCTCTTGAACATTTGAGCTGGCCTTTGCATGGAGGAAGTATTGGGTTCAAGTTTCAATACAGAGTAAAGAAGCCTAGCTAAAGTCAATTCAGGCCAATGATCCCACACAAGCTGCAATTGGTGACGTCACGGTATACCGACTATCAACAAATACGGTGGGGAGCAGGAAGTTGACGATGGTCAATCTTCGGAAGGGTTCAATTTCAGGTGCAATTTCTTCACCCAGACGTTCAGCAGTTTCTAGTGGACCTAGAAAGTATTATAATATTCGCTAAGGGTGAAATAAATAGCTGGTGATACTGACTCCAAACCCTCCCAGAGCTTCACTGCTTAGACTGTACCCCCAACCTCAGAAATTTAACACTTGTTCCCATCACTACAAGACTGATCACACTGATAAGTTCCAATCCAACTATCATCCCCATAAACATCTAACCCCATAAACCACCCATTCAAAACCTGATGCAAATAGTCCAAATTCTGAGGCACACCATTACTCTGACCCTCGGCGGAACAAGGGTAATCCTCCGTCAGGCCCTTGTCGTTATTCAACCCACTATCAGCAGTGAACCACCCGTTGTAAGACCCAAACGCCACAAGCGCATTTCCGTCCGCAGAATCCAACTGCGTCTTGAAATACTTCGTGCCCGCGTCAACGTTATCCTGGATCGAGTCTGTGCACTGGCCATTCGGGTAATTTTCGCAGGATACTTGCATCAGTCCCGGTGTTGGCCCACCTGCGTCAGCGTTGCAGGATGATTCTTGCATGGCAATTACGGCTAGGATTACCGCATCGACGTTGTAGGTTGAGCTGGCGCTTTGGAAGTAGGAGTCGTATTGCTGGCAGGCAGAACCGATGTTGTTGTAGAAATCGGTGATGGAGATGTGAGTTATGTTTTCCAGGGCGAGGAATGGGGGGTTCCAGCCGTTGGTTGTTATGCCGGTGTTGAGCCAGTCTTCAGATCTAACTGATGTTAGGACTTGATCAAAGGTCTTTTGAGAGAAGTAGATGCGTACCCGTTTGGTCCTGTGCTTGAGGTAGTGTCGTCTGTTGCGCCCTGGGCATCGGGATTTATTCCCACACCGGGGTTTGCAGATTGGGCATTTGTAATTGAAGCCACAAACGTGGCGAAGAGAGCTATCTTGGGGAAGGCCATTATGAAATAAAAATTCGATAGACAATCTGTCCAGAGGGAAAAGAAACATCGAGGAATGTGTCAGTATTTATACCTGAGATGTCAGTTCGGTGATAGCCTGGGGCGAAAATCACAGTACGGTTGCCTCGGATATTTTACACATGTGCATGCAAGGAACATTCAAAAAGAGATGTCCTCAGCAGTACTAAGAAGGACGAGTCTCCTAAACTGGTAACTCATGCAGGCTGACAGAGCTAGTGCTGGGGCCATAGAATTATGGAGCAAGGTACCAGTTTCTGAATTGAGTATGAACAGGGACGATCACTTATTCTCTGCAGAATTAATTTCAGGGTCGGCCAGGGTCCTCATGACAGCTAATCTTTATTATGCATTTGAAACTCGTGTTTTGATTTGGATGTCGATCGTGAGTTTATTCAAGCGTCAACATTTATTATTTAGTTGGAGTTTAGTTGGAGTTTAGTTGGAGCGGACCTCGTCATCCAACCCGATGAACAGGCTGTTTAGGGAAGACACCCGAGAAGTCAGGTATCTACGAAGCTTTCAACTGAATATTATAGATTAAATTATCAAAGCCTGTATAAAGTGTGTAAATTTGTGAGACCACAACTTCGGGAGAACCGCTCTCCATAGCCTGTTCGCTATATGGGAATGGCCACCAGTATACAATTTGCGGGGTGGATGACATACGGTGGAGCCTAGCCACAATTCGAAGTCCAAGACGTTCAATCAATCATGGTTTCATTGGAAGATAATGTTTTCTACTGTGAATCAAGAACTAGAAGCACCAGTAAGAGTCCGGCATATCTAGTTATCTAGGCTAAGCTAGAGTGTTCGGCAAATCGGGTTAGATCAAACCAAAAGCGCTAAACATCATGACGTGATTCGTCCCCAATCAACAGAACTGGCTAGGCACCATTCACACCTGAGCTCCGGCGGGATTTGATCCGTCTCTCTTTCCCCTCAAGAAAGAATCGACAACATTCTCCTAAACTGAAGAAGACTGGGATCATCTATCTCTCGCCCCTCGAACAAGGTGCTGGCTCATCAAGCGCCATCAAAATGGCTAGTCGTCTAGTCGAAGCGTATGTACTGACACCCTGGCAATCAAAATCGAGATGCTGATTGAATTTGCAAGCGATCTGAGTGGTGGTATTGTGCAGATCGATGTGGGGGAATCCAATACCCCGTTTGATGTTCACTTGGAACTCTTATGTACCTGTTCTTCATACTTTGACAACAAATTTTCAAGTCGTTGCGACGAAGCTATTACAGAGCCATTCATTTTCTTCCCAGACGATGATCCGCAAGTTTTTGCTCAAATCATCCTGTGGATGTACCGTGGCGACAATTCTGTTGAGGAGCTCAAAAGCAAGGAACTAGACTTCCTGATTCGACTTTGGATTCTGGCCGGCAAACTCGAAATGAAAGATTTGCAGAAATTGGTGATGGCGATATGTGAGAAAAAGTCCGGACATATGGGCCAAGACACAGTCAATTACATCTATTCCCACACCTTGCCTGAATCCCAAATGCGGCGTCTGGCAGTGGACATAGGGGTGCGAAGCGCCACTACGAAAGATTTTGAGAAAGAAAAAGGGAAATTTTCGCGGCCCTTTCTGGAGGATCTGTGCGCTGAATTGATCAAGAAAAGAGTGGATGCAGATTTGCCTATCCCTTTGCGCAATTTTCCAGAGGATCGTCATTCCACTCGCCTATCACCATCGACCGACCTTGAGGAACAGATATTCCGACCGGAAGGGGAGGTCGACACCAAAAAACCTGCTACTGTGGCCCAGATGAATTCAAGGAGGGTCAAACGCGGAAAAATTTAAGTCAAGGATGCCGGCCTCCTTCACGGCCGGTGGCGAAGCAGAAGCTCAGGAACAACAGGATCAGGCCAAGGATTCTTACAAATTCAACTTCCATAATCTATGACCTGGATCTGCCATGACCCGAGACATATTTGGATGGAATATGGGTTTAGCTTGATGAGAACGGAAGTAAGTTTATGAATTTCACCTCAGGTTGGAAGTTTTAGTCTGAAATTTATAACCCGTAATTCTGTTCTTTGCTATCGATGGGCTCAGCGAGAAAACCGGTTGTATGTTATGTCTTCTAGTAATTATACCAGCACTGATCCTGAAGTGAAAGAATGATGTGGTGGACGTGCAGGTGGCAGAATCGCACTACCTCAGTTGTTTGATGCGTAGAAATGGGGACTAACACAGCGCGTCATAACATAATACAGCTGTACGGAGGGTTTCTGCTCAAAAAAACGTACTGGACCGCTTTTTTACTTCGAAAAAGAAGTGACTCTTCTCTAAGCTTCGTCAGGAAGCGAATATCTTCCGTGGGCCAAGGTAGTCTTTATTCTTGATGAGCACGGCAGTTCTTGGTACGTCGTTAACGCATCTGGCTCAACACACATAGCTGATCTGCATACCTAGTCCTCTCTAGTTGTTCATCTGGTACATACGACCATAGGGTGTGGAGAACAGGGCTTCCCGTCCGCTCAGCCGTACTTAAGCCACACGCCGGTTAGTTAGTAGTATGGTGGGTGACCACATGCGAATCCTGACTGTTGTATGTTTTTATTTTTGTTTTCATTTTTTTGTTCTTGATCTTTTCAGTGGAAAGGGCTGTAAAAAAAGTCATTCAAATCTTGGAATTGGACAGTCAATGCCTGCAGAGTATCCTGTGAAGCCATCGTCAGATTGTAGAGCTTTGACATTCAATACCACCTACATTGCTCTGCTCAATGGCCATATTGACACCGGAGAAGAGTTGGTTGGTACCTGATTGCATCTACCTGAAATAGAATAACCTCATCTGACACGATAATAAATTCGAAGTAAAGCCTTTGTCTTGGATAAATTAAAATCTACATTATTTACGTTCGAAGAAAGCCCAGCTGTTGATCCATAATGCTTCGCACAATCTCCTCCCATGAGCGCCATTGCATTCCAAGCTCATTTTCTGCCTTTGACGTATCGGTGAGCGTGGAAGCGCCTTCAGCATCCTCTGTGAGCTTAGCACCAATATCGGGGTAGTACTTGTGCACAATGCGAGCCACATCCTTCCATGTTGTTGGCTTTCCTGCAAGCAAATACTTGGACCCACCCTTAATTTCCGGGCCCAGTGCTTTGATTTGCGCTTCAGCAACATCTTGAACATGCACACCCGTGATAGAGATACCTCCAGCTGCAGCTCCTTCCATCACACCACGCCAGATGACACCATTAGATCCTGATCGGATCCCTTCGGCGGAGGTTTGCACCAGGTTATGCCCGAAAACGAACGCCGGATGAAGAGTCACCAATGAGTAATGTGGTTGATTGGTCTTCCAAAAGTCCCATGTTGCCTTGTCCGCAAGCAATTTGGAAGCTCGGTACAAAGTCATTGGTGCTGCGGCAGGGTTCTTAGGATCGACGAAATTTGCCAATGGATCAACAGTAAGATCCCAGTCGTTGTCCTCTATGTATAGTATTAGTACATTTTCAATATCCGCCAGAAGCAGCACTTGTAGATCACGTGTTATATCTCACCTTTTATAACACCACCCTCTGGTATTCCAGTGAGGGGAAACAAGGAAGCGATAGAAGAAGTGATTACAACCTTCTTGATGCTCGGAACTCTGTCGGCTTCTTTGAGAATAGCCAGTGTTCCGTTTACCGCGGGGGTGAAATATGTTTCCTTATCTGTCCCGTGGGTAAGAGGTGACGCGAGATGTAAGACATAATCCACTCCATCGAGCTTGCCTCTAAAAGAAGCCTCCACAGTGAGATCTGAGATGACGACGAATTCTATCTGATCGCGATAGCTTGACAGTAAAGCTTTGAGCTTATCTGATTCCTGCCGGACACAAATTCGAAGTCGATAACCTGCCTTGAGAGCCTCAAGAGCGGTGGCGCTGCCGATAAAACCAGTAGCACCAGTTATGAAAACCAGTGGAGCGGACATGATTGTTGTGATTTCTGAAACCATGAGAATCTCAACAGGCGATAGATAGGATGATCTTAAATAGTTGAGAGAGTATGCATGTCATCAATATGCATTTGTCATCTATGAGGCGGAATTCAACCTCGGCTAGGTACGATCACTCATCATTAATTCGACGAACTTCTTGAGATTGGAATTGGTAATAAATTGGGTAAATTTAAAAGACAACTTATTAAGTGTATTTTCTCCCAGTAATTGGTCAATGCGCTACGTACTTCCAAGGTTTGCATAATTATTTATTCTGGTTGACATAATGGAACAAACATAACTTACCATGCGCAAACATTTGAACTGATAAGCCGTGTACAAATGGAATCGGATACAAGGATGTAAGCCAAGCCCAATTCGCTGGCTACTATCCGCTAGTTGCCTCTATCTCATCCCATCAAGATAATCAGAGTGACTTGCTCGGTGGAAAGGGTACCATTTCTTATAACATTATCACTTCTACGACCGCCCGTGGTGGCCTAAATTACCTAGTGGGCCTGGCTACCTTGAACAAAGTCCTCTCTTACTTGCGGATTGATTTCCTCATATCTTGCACTATATATTTCTTTCCTTTGCAGGGTCTAGTACATACGACCATAGGGTGTGGAGAACAGGGCTTCCCGTCCGCTCAGCCGTACTTAAGCCACACGCCGGTTAGTTAGTAGTATGGTGGGTGACCACATGCGAATCCTGACTGTTGTATGTTTTTGTTTTTCTTTTCTTTCTTTGTGTTGGGTTGAATGCCCTTGTTGTGCACCATTATTCCTTATTCGGGCTCGGTCGGCTTACAAGAATGCACCATCATACTGGATAGATGAAGGCGCTGTAAAGCAAGTAAAAACTGTCCGCGAAATGAGAAGCGCCGGGAGATTAAATTTCATAGTGTTATTCATGAAAGACGCGTCTCACTTCTTGACTGTTCCGATCATGTATACTAAATGACCTGTTCGAAGGGCGGGACTCTCTTCTTCATTTCCAATCTTTTTGCCATTCCTTTTTTCTTTCTCTTTCTTTCTTCTTCTCATTTTCTCTTCCCATCGTCAAGTGTTGGCATTGGTAGCTGTCCGGTATATAGAAATTTACGAGGACGAAGCTGGGCCGAGCAGACTTGCTGATCGCTATGCTACTATCAGCCGGCTGGGTGTCGCCCGTAAGAATGGGGTGAGCGCCATTTTGCAGTCGCGCGACCGAAATGGAAAGTGCTAATGCGCCCAAGGTAGATTCAATTTACCCTGACACCTCGCAAATTCTGACTATAGACTACCAGCCACTAAGTTGGGTCCGGATTGCTGTTTTGGTCTGGTGATTTTTTAAATATGATGAAGACCCAATTCTGAAAGCCAACACCGAGCCGCCCCCTTTTGAGTCCAGAAAGAAGAAGTTTACCGATGGTCAGAGCTGCATTCTAGCATGGATACATCATTTCCTCCTATTCATTGCTGATGGTCTTAGACGGGGGTGTATCAAGGTTGTGTCAACTCCATGTACCACGCAAAGAACAAAACAAAGATCCAAACTTGGAGTAAAATAAGTCAGGGGAATCCCATATGGCCAAGCCGGTGGCTTGTTATTTCGCGATGTACTTTGCGAACCCATGTCTGAACCTATGGTACACCTGCCCCACGGATCGAGCGGATGCCCCGGAAACGGAAGGCGATATTTGGGTACTGTGAACTCTAGAACTAGCCAATTGTCTTAGATAATCATTTCGAGCCAGACAAAAGCTATTGTTGTCATCACCCCGCCCGATTCTTACTCTTCCAATACTACATAGCTGTTTTCGGAAGCGACAAGTCCTTAAACAGAGCAGTCATTCATGTCATTATGATCATAATAGCATTGTTCAGTCCACTGAATTGTACATGGATGACAGACTCTTAGGATAAGAGATTCTAGATTTTCACACTTTTCCAACTATTGTAAAAGCCAAATGCCTTCTCTTGGCGCTCCAGTATCATATAAATTCTAGCTCGAGCTTAGATTTTAAAAAATTTGTTTATCTTTTCATTTGAAGACCGGCAAGCGATATTCACTATTCGGTATAATTACAAAACTCACTTCAGTCATCATGAAGGTCTTCTTTATTTCTCTGGCTCTTGCTTCCTCTGCCATCGCGGCGTCCATCGCCAGAGCCAGCACCACCTGCGAAAGTAACCAGGTTGTTGTTTGCAGTGGCAATGGCAATGCCGGCCTTATCTCCCTGGGTAATATCGCCCCGGGCCTGCTCGGGGAGAGTTGCTCTGGCGGGGATGTCTACTGCTGCTCCGAAAAAGACGTCGAACAGGTATGATGCAACTGTACTCTTCACTTCAGTGGGCAATCTTGTAAAATTGATTAACAACCAACAGTATGGTCTTATAAACCTAAACCTGAATGTCCAATGCAGCCTGAATCGTGTTCTGTGACAACACTGCTGATATTGCCGAATTCTCTGAGATGATATGTTGATTTTTAGTCTGATGATCCGGCCTGATGTGCTGAAAAAGCCCCTTCTTTACTATCCTTAATGGGTTCGTCAGATAATACATGCTTCTAGCAAAAACTACTGGTCTGCTTTTTTCTCCTTGTGAATAGGTGGTCCTTTGAGTTCGCGAGGTCTGTTAGACAAAATACTCAGACTCTACGTAAGCATTAGAATGAATGGACAAGAGTTCTACGAAGAAACGGCGAGAGACTCCATCACCCAGGAATTAGCACGGTTTTACACGACTACTGTACTCTTGAGCTCAAATGTATGACACCCTCGTCACCATAGTCAAAATTGGAGTACGATGGTCTAGTTATTTTCAAGCACTGCATTTTGGGGTCTGTGGGTTTAAGAAAGCGCATATGTAGAAACTGCGAGGAGACCTAGTCAAGTATATTCCCAAGACTAGCAACCCCCTTGTTTTGCGCCTATGATGATCTCGTCCGTATAATATGGAGGAGAGATGCGGGTAATGCCGACCAGAGAGACCTCAAGAACCGACCCAATGCCTCCCGGGGAGGTAACCTGGTTCATTACTGGACACCTCGTATGCTTAATCTGAGTTTTGAGTCTTCCAAGGGTCTAGCCCAGAAAAATCTGATTTCAAAACTCCGGGACGCGATATGTATTGAACTCCACATAGAACTAACTGTGTTTGACTTGGGAGGGATGTGTCCTTGTCGATAGGTAATCTGTACTGAGACACGGCGTTTGCATGATATCATTTCCAGTTTATCGACTTAAGATATCATTTGCCACTGTAGATCGATATATCGCGAAGGAACATGCCAAGGGAAAAACAAGTAGTTAAAGTAAACAAAGTTTGTGTGACCTTGAAATTTGGCGCGCCGTCGCTTTCGTTCTCGCTCGTTCTCGCTCTCGCTCGCAGCTTCTGCGTTGAAAATTGATGCGATTGGTCCTCGGACACACGTAGTGGGGCCTTTCGACTGACTCCACATGCACTCGGGCTCTTTTACAGGACTAGTCGTCGGGATCATTCAAAGCCGAATGAAGCCTAATTATTGTACCAGTCAGTCTTTGTGAACTGCTAAATATTGACCCCACAAAGTACCCTCTGTAAAGGCACGGACTCCAATTGAAGTTGAATGACACCCCTTCTAGGAAATTTCGGAGATAATCACCATGCAGGCACTGATTCTGTGGCATGACTTTTGGGGAAGATCGACAGCGGATAGGTTCGAGCTCATGCTCGATTTGGAATTAATCTACCAAAATTCGAAGCTAAGACACTCTTGGCAGGTACAGATACCCCTCGAAATTTTGGGCATCGGACTATAGGACTGCTATTCTACAGCTTTAGTGGGCTTGGCTTGTAGTATAAAGGGCTGGTGTTTTACTGCCGTCAAAATCATCTTCACACTCAATAACCTTCATTATCAACATTCCTACTAAAGTCATTCTTTAAAATGAAGTTCTCTTCTGTGGCTCTTGCTAGTGCAGCCATGGGCCTTGCCCAAGCTACTCCTCTCGCCGAGCGCGCCCAAATCACCGACGCCGACGTTCTCAACTATGCATTGACTCTTGAGCACCTCGAGGCCGCCTTCTACCAAGAAGGTCTTAAGAACTACACCCACGCCGATTTCCAGAAGGCCGGTATGCAGGACCCGTTCTACGCCAACCTCAAGGAGACTGCCAGTGACGAGCAGCAGCACGTCCAGTTCTTGACCAAGGCTCTTAAGGCTGCCGGCGCGAGCCCCGTTGAGGCTTGCACTTACAACTTCCCTTCCACGGATGTCAAATCCTTCCTTGCCCTCGGTAGCATTTTGGAAGGCGTCGGAGTCAGCGCCTACCTTGGTGCGGCCGCCAGCATCATGGACAAGACCTACCTCACTGCCGCAGGCAGCATCTTGACCGTTGAAGCCCGTCACAGTGCCTACCTACGTGCCGCCCTCGGCGAGGCCCCTGCTGCTCAGGCTTTCGACAACCCTCTTGACTTCGATGAGGTGTACACCCTCGCCTCGCTCTTCATTGCCTCATGCCCCGAGAGCAATGGAAAGTTGCCAGTCAAGGCCTTCCCCGCCTTGACTATGCCCTCCATGGCTCCTGTCATGACCGGCTCCAAGGTTGACCTGATGGTTGCCGGCGATATGGTCATGAACACCTCGGACATCTACGCGGCATTCATCACCGTCACCGGACCCGTCTGGGCTACCCTCGAGTCCACTGGTGCCGGAGAATATACTGTCGTTGTTCCCCAGGGCGTTGCTGGCCAGAGCTACGTTGTCCTGACCAAGGGCAACAAGCAGGCCACCGATGACAACATTGTCGCAGGTCCCGCAATCGTCGAAGTTGGTATGCCCAATGGACCCATGGGAATGGGATCTAAGTGCGGACAGTCTGGCTCGCAGTCTTCCATGTCTATGATGCCCTCCATGTCTATGTCTATGCCCAGTGCCTCCAAGACCGGCATGCCCTCTATGTCGTCTGGCAGCATGACCTCTTCGTCCGCGTCTGCATCCGCCACCCCAGCTTACAGTGGTGCAAGTGGAATTCGTGTGAGCGTGGTTGCCAGCCTGTTCGGAGCTGTGGCCTGCGCTGCTGCCTTTTTGCAGTAAACTAGCCGTGCCTTATAACCAGATAACAGGCGTGATAGTCGCTACAGCATGTTTATAATTCTCGTGTATATTAATTCAACATCATATTCTCCATAATATCGAATTAACTTGACAAAAAGGTACACATATTTAACACAGTAAGCAGGACTCAATTTCTAGTTCCTGTTGTAGCGCCAACTTACTAGACCTAGCACTGACCCACCAGTCACCCTCTACACCCTGCACCTGACCTGTCCCACGGGTGGTTAGTGGCTAATTCATCGACAGTAGGGCTAGACCTCATAGTATACAATCCTTAAATGACAAGCATTTCTAAGCATCAAGTTCTGGTTGAATAAACCAAAGAAAAAGAAACTTGAGAGATTAGTATCGGTATCCTCGCCATGGCTATGATTTCGAAATGAAGATTCGGCTAAATCTCTAAATATTTTGACCTGACGGGAGTAAGAGTCATCTTGAACGCTCAGGTGGGCAGCGGAGAAGGCTAAAATGGCATAGAAGAGAGGCGGCAATTGAAGCGGTCTTGAGAAGGCAGAGATGAACAGGTTGCTGGTCTTATGTGGAAATTTTTGCAGCTTGGCATATCCTTTCATCACATCTAAGTAGTGTTGAATCAAATGCGAGTTTTCCTTGTTAACAGTAATGGGTGTTTCGGAATCGACATCATCTGGTTGTTGGCTTTCAACTGACATATTGGTATGCGCACCTGTAAAGCTCCCAATAGACACTCCTGTATCCGAGAAAGTCTGTTAGGTCCCCAGGGAGTAGAATTATGAAGTTATATCCTACACCAGAGATATTGAAGCCAAATTGGTCACCTTTAATATCGAAATCGAAGCTCAGGTCCAGATCTGCAAGGTTTTGTAGTTGGGAGTGTATATATCGATCTATATTGGGGGAATTTGCATTCATCGGCATTTCTGAATCAACATTGGAAGCTGGATTGGGGTGATCGATCGAGTTGAACTCGGTCGTTGGACAAATGTCCGCCTTCTCTTGGGGGGAGGAACATAGGGCTCTCCAGGTGCTGGTGCACTCCTTCGACAATCAAGCCCAAGCCTCACGCACGTTGCACATTTCGGAGAGATATTTTGTTGGGCTTCAGTTTCTGCTCTTGTAGCTGCTTTCATACATCGAACCTTTCACGTCTTGCAGGTGAAGCAGCTGGGTGTATATTGTCAATTCCGGAAGTTGGTACCCGGCAGTCAGCGTACCATCGCGTGAACGGCGTCTTAAAGGTGCCTCCGACACTACATAATTAGGTGCCATGATATTAGTTCACAGATAGGAGCCTTCTAGAAGGCGACTGGACCAGAAACTCCTATTGAGAGGAGGGTGCTGGCTGTCAGCTTCGACTGAGATACGGATAGGTCACCTGGCTTCATGAATGATGTTGATAGCAACGAAGCTCATTATCAGAGGCCGAGTAGATGCGGAGGTTTATCCCAGTGATGTTTATATTTTGAGAATCTAAGAATTTAGATACTATGCATAATTGCAGTCAAAACCTCCTTTCAGGCACCGCTGACAAGGACTTCCTTTATCACATCGAACTCTCCTTCGTTTGCATAGTTCACAAGGCTTCTCACGGACTGAGTAGATATGCACCCTTTTTTTATCCCCAACAGAACGTATGGACTCACAATCAAGACCACTATTGGTGCAGTGATGGCAAGGTCGTTTGCTCTCACATTTGATTTTCCTTGCCTTACAATGCGCACATGGGGACGATCTGCCCACCTCAGAGAGCACCGAAGTTCGCTGCATTTGAGAGCGCACTTCGCTCCAAAGCTCTCTGCCTGCCATATCACATGCACTATCTAGCCAAAGGATGGCCTTGAGTGAACCCTTTAAATCTTTCCAATCGTCGACTTGGTATTGGCCCATAATATTTGCCAAGGCTATTGTATACCACTTTCTTTCGGGACCCCCATCAGCCGCAATACCGCCCATTGTCAGGGCCCACAGCAAAAGGCTATAGGTAATTGGAAGAAGTGACTGGTCCTCAAGTATGCCGCTATGTTTTATCTCGGCTTGTAACATTCTCACTAGTCTCGGAAATGGCGCCCCGACTCCTGCAAGTGGGAATGTCACACCGATACTGTAGATCATTGCAGCCAACCGACAAATTTCCGATAAAGCGTTCTCCTGTTTCAAACCACTTTCAGGAGCGATGCACATCAAATTCCATTGCGCGAGGTTACGTCTGTCACACATGGACTGAGCGTCGAGTCTTAATGTGTCTCCTCGGATGTAACTTTCAATGGATGTCGTATAGGCCGCTAGCTCTTGTAAAGAAAATAATATCCCCGGCTTTAAACCAGCATCGTTAAACAGTTTCATTCGAGCCTCTGCAGTGGGCTGTTCAGTTGCATATGTGCAGAGTTCCTGAAAGGATGCTCCTGAGAGCGGGTAGAAAGGGAGTTCCGGCGCGGTAAGGAGTAAGGTTGAGTTCACAAGCACTCGACTACGAATATTAGAAAATCAAAACCAGGAACCAAGACAAACCGTCGCCACTCACTAGAAGGCTGCTGCTGCAATCCCCGGTGTGCCAATATTGGAAAGGCCCCCGCGTAGCTTGACGATCTTGCATAAGCCGTCCTGGTGGGCAACATTAGGCTCCCTGGCACTATGGACTTTCAGCCACTGGAGGCCCTGAAGTGGAGCCTGAAATGGAGATTCTTGCGACCAGGGCTTGTCAATTTGTACATCTGGTTTTTCCACTGCCATAAGAACAGCCAATATAGTACTATCAGCTGTCGCACGGATCGGATCGCGTAGAGAGTCATTAATCGCCCTGATAGTCTCTCCGTAAGAAACTTGAAGATTGTGCTCAGTGTCTCTGGTCCACAACGAGACTCCGCCATCGAGGAGGCAATTGATTGTTTGATGGGAAAGAGAGGCAGATAGCAATGCGGAAAAGAGAGCCTTGTCGTTCATGGAAAGTGGCAACCAGAATTGAAGATACGGATTAAGTGAATTCGTTGCAGGAAGCACACGGGGTGTCATGACCGAGAGTCCTGCCACGATTGTGAGCATGTTTCTTGTTATCTCATATTCCAAGTTCTTACTATAGGAAAGAGCCTGCTGCACCACTTTCGATTCTAATGAAGTGGGATATGTTCCTAAGATGAATGTTTCGACCTTCCTTGCTAGGCTATCGAAATGGCCTTAATAGAGTGACGCAGTGAGCGGGTTGGTCCAGGGAATTCGAGCAAACCGGTATCAAACTTTACCTAAATGCGTACTCCTCTCGACTGAAGTGAGTCCGGACTCCTCAGGTTCTTGATCGTAGAGTTCATTCTTTTGATTGACCCAGAAGGAGTCGTCGCTTACTTCATTTTCCATGGATTCGGATCCGCACAACGAAAGTGTCTCTCCCCGCGATTGGAACGGGATTTGAAAAGTCATCTTTTGACTGAGGACTTCACTGATATGGTAGAGTAAGAATCCGAGTCGCCGAACTCCCAGTAAGACTGTAGATAAGGCAGTCAGAGACGCAAAAGTGGGGTAAAGGTGATACTGGGAAGGGAATATCGCTATGGTGAATTGACACGCCAATTCATTCCGCACTGGATGCTAGTGGCGTGAGTAGCGCGAATATATGTCAGTCAGATCAAGAGGTCGGCAATCACAGACCGTTGGTATTTTGAGTGAGGCTGTGCTCTGTGATGAGAAGTTGAAGTTCATCTCAAAGACGCGGAATAGGCCGAATCGGGAGTAGCGCCGAGGAAAACCCGAAACCACAATTTTCAACCCTGTAAGTAAGACATCAGCTGAATTCAGTCATCTTGCTTGTAAGAAACGTGCCTATACTAGCCTTGGACAGATCTAAGTCTGGGAATTAGCGGTGGGACTGGAACAACAATTTGCATCGGTGTTTGTAACAATTGCAGCTTCCAACAAAACATCCGGTATTCTAGTGTAGCACATAATATGTGAGAGAACATTGTGATATTCTATGACTAAAATCTATTGAGGGAAGAAAAACATTGCAGATCATCTGATTCTAAATAATGAAACTTGACAGTCGGTATTGAGGACGGTGCTGGTATGAATGTAACTTATACCCTGATACCAGCGGTGTTTGGCAAATCCTTGACCACAAAGCTGACTTATTTCGCAAGTGCATCCACCTCTGCCTTGACCATAGCCGGAAGAGCTTCCCAAACAGTTGGGCCCTGAGGCTTCCAACCCAGCGATTGAAGACGCGTCGCTCTGCTGCGACAGTTACCACCCCACAGGACTGGAGCCCAGGGGTGGAATTTGCTGGCCTCCTCAACGGACAGTTGATCGACATCTGCACTCTCGATTTTTCCAAGTTGCTTGGTGATTGACGAAATCTTCTCGGCGACGTCCTTCCATGCGATTTCACCCGACTCAACAAAGTAGTAGCCTTCAGAGCCCCACTGAGCAGATCCACCCTGCGGCTTGAGTGCTTCCTCGATCAGAAGCACACATGCCTTTGCCAAGTCTCCGATATAAATATCTGATCATTTCATTAGCATGTTGCGTGCCTGGAAAGAAATCCCGCGATGAATGGGTTTCACATACGATCCCAGATATTCTTGCCCTCGCCAACGGTGAAACCGCGGCCCCTCTTAAGAATCGCCTCGCTCAGGAATGGGACCTGCATGCTCCTCTTCTTGATCGGGCCCTGTCCCACACCATAAATGAGGGGAGGGCAGATAATGGCAGTATCCACACCGTGCAGAGATCCACCGGTCAGAACAGCATCATCAACGTCGCGGTGTAAAGCAGTCTCCGGAAGTGAAGTGATCTCTTTAATATCTTCGACGTCGTCGTACACCTTTGGTGCTGGATTACCAGGACCAGTAGACATATCGTTGAGAACTCCGGTACCAGAGATATGAATCAATTTGCCGCCTCCAGTTGCCAGCCCGGCGATAGCAGACTTCACAACGGGGATATGGTCGGAGCTCGCGAGCTCTGATATATGATGTTAGTTTTATCCTGTATCTGGACCGTAATCACTTACGCAGAACTACATTCGCTTTGGCGCTCTCCTCTTGGATGATCTTGTCATCATCCAGAGTACCAACGACAGTGGTAATAGCCGGCCAGTGACTCTTGAGTTTTGCTGCCTGTTCTTCATTCCGGACGAGCGTCACGACTTGGTACTCGGGGTGAGCGGCGATGAGCTCTCCAGTGGTGTGGCCGCCAACATAGCCAGTGGCGCCAGTGACAAAGATTCTAGGAGTCATTTTCATTTTTTACCTTTCCGTGTTGCTTGGCTTTGTTGATTGTTGTGTCGTGCGAAAATAGTAGATTGAAGTCTCAATGTTTATTGAATTGCTGATCTGGATAAAGACAATATGGACGGATTCTCGTGCCCTTTTATAATCAACGTCGCTGCTTGCATTTACAATGGATCAGAAACATGACTCAACGTGGCTTGCAGTTGATTTCTAATCCTGCGAAGTAGAGCATCTCGAATGAGTATTTTGTTATCAAGTAATCGTCGTTGAGGTCTCCCACGCTCGCCGAGTTCGCCGAGTTCGCCGCGTCGGCTAAATGCTCCCTTTGTACTGGGCCCACATCTCGCTCATGTAAGCTAACCAACCTAGTGGTTATGTAATGACTGGCGCTCGTAATAGCCAATCAGCATTCAACCATACGTTGTGTCTCACATGACCAAATACTCCCATAGATTAAGGCGTTTTCCATCTTCTTCCGCTAATACACGTTTCATGCACCTAAGCATTAAGTGGCGCCGCAGTATTACATAAACTACTAGCATGATTCTAGTCATGTGGCACATCTTACTTCACACCGAATTTCCAATATCACCATTGCTAGTCCTAAAATAATCTAACATACATGTAGCTAACACTTTAGCTTCACGGATGTCTCAGTCCGACCTTACCAAGCGATTGACAACAACCAAGTAGCTGATACCCAGAGAGTCAGAGAATGTCCCAGCAGAGTATAGCGCCTCAGCAGGCAGTGCATAGCATGCTATCCATCTAAGAGCTAGTGGAGATGCCGGCAGCCTTGATCAAGAACTCCGCAGCTTCAGTCGCATCGGAGCCGTAGGAAAGGTGAGCCATGACATTCTCACCGTTCTCGCAGACGGGGTCACCGGTGGCACAGAACTCCTTCACATCACTGGTGGAAAGCTTGCCAACGCTCTCAGACTTCAATGGGTCACCGAAGAGCACAGCGGCAGCCACCTGGGCAGCAGTAAGGCTGCTGGCCGCGTTGTGAACGACCATAGCACCCTCCGAGTATCCACCCAGAACGACCTTGGTGTCGGGGCAGTTGGAAAGAGCCGTCTTGACGAGGGTTGCCATGTCGGAACCACCGTCTTCGCCCATGGTAGAGTCACCCTATAAATCAAATGATTAGTATCAAGGTATCACAGAATTCAAGCGACACAGAAGGGTAGACATACAGCGACAGAAGCGTCGTAGTTCACACCTTGAATTGTGACCTTGCTATCAGTCAAAGACTGCAGCTTCGTGGCGAGAGGAGGTCCAACAACGGTTCCCATGTTGCCAGTCTCGTCAGTTCCGCGAGCAAAGATCAGCGTCAAAGGCTCACAGCTGGTGTTGTCGGTGACACCGTTCATGGTCGACGACACGGTGTCGCGCTTGAACTTGCGGAGTCCACTCAGACTGCTGAAGCTGCTGGAGGAACCAGAGTCGGCGAGGAGAGAGCTGAGGGAGCCGAGTCCGCTGGTGGTTCCAGTACCGCTGAGGGAGCCCAGGCTTGAGCTCGATCCAGAGTCGGCGAGGAGGGAGGACAGGGAGCCCAGTCCGCTGGTGGTTCCCGTACCGCTGAGGGAGCCCAGGCTCGAGCTCGAGCCAGAGCCGGCGAGGAGGGAGGACAGGGAGCCAAGTCCGCTGGTAGTTCCCGTACCGCTGAGGGAGGAGCTCGAGCCAGAGTCAGCAAGGAGGGAGGTCAGAGAGCCGAATCCACTGCTGGTGCCAAACTGTCGCTCCTTGATGGTGGAGGTGGGGGCCGCAAGGCTGGAGCCGACCAGGGCTAGAACGACTGCGGTCTTCATCTTGAAGAGTTTGAAAGAGAGAATAATTGAGAGAAGAGACCGGCTCTGGAAAGACTGTGGAAAGGAGAGATGAGGAAAAGAATGATAGTGGATGGACTACAAGATGGAAGGGAGTTGGCGAGATTTTATATCTTGACAGATACCAATGGGCCGAGGATCATTCCCGGTTTGCTGTTTACTTCGTGAGCTGAGTTTTGAGTTCTAGAACTGGGGATTCAATTACAAGATTGATGAAACTGTGTTGGTGGACCCTGTTTCATGGCGTCCGTTTCGTGGTTCGGGGTTTAAAACTTTATCCGATAGATCTATTGTTTTCTACGGGTTTTTAGATAGATCTTGATTAGAGATAGAACACTTGCAACGAACGACTTTCCTCTTATCTCTTTTCCATTTCGCTCACAAATGATTGGTAGATTCTGATGTTTGATTCCTCAAGTCTACATTATGCAGCAGGCCAAAGTCAGTAGGAATAGCTTTTACGCCACAATATCAAGGCGACAAACGGGCGCGGATTCAGATCTGTACTTCTGCATATTAGAAGCATTTTGAAACTGGGCACAAAAATACGAAAATCTGGAGATTTGATTAGATTGAAAATTGAATAGATCGACTCAATTTTGAGTCGTGGAGCCCAATTCGGGAAGCTCGGCCGATGGATGAAAAAAGGGTCCTGCAGCTAGACTTTTAAAATGAAACGCCCAGAATTAGATAAGGCTTAACCTCGGTAAAATTTGTAAAACTATAGCCAGATGAAGTCATCTCATTCAACCAATTATATAGAGTTTAGGATAAGTTGGATTCCACATGGCATGACTCGGCTCCAAGGCGTATTCCATGGTTTAAATATCTATTTACAACATACACTGGCGCAAAACGGCGCATTCAAGTCGAAAACCCCTGCACTTCTTAATTCAAGAGCGTCAAGAGTTTTTTACTTAGTGCGATGGTGAAATTCTGAGCTATCGACCTTTATTTCGGTTCGAGTCTCATCATATCTCTATGGGAAGTAAATTTTTCCCTGGCACCATTCCCCATATGCATGTCGATCGCAATACTCACTATAGGCCGGAAGTTTACCCCGAACTACAGACGTGGCTTGCTGATTGCCCCTGCATCGTCCGCCAAGGCTGCCTCGACAAGCTTGATGGCATCTTTGGCTTTCGGCCTCGGCAGGGTTGATCGTCCCTGAGGACCTGGATCATTCAACAGACCCACCTCTCGCCAGCCACCAATGTCGCCAATTTCAAGTATAGTCCCGGGCGGATATCTCGAATTTGTGACGAGCGACATCATCGCCTTGACAATTTCCTCCGGTGGCAGAGTGAAGTCATTTTCCAAGTCAATGTGCGCCCGAGCCTTGGCGCTATCGCGAAACAACGGAGTATCCACGACTCTGTCAAAAAGGTATTAGCAAAACGATCATATGTCTGTCTGAAAAACCAATCTGCCTACCCAGGTGCAACAGCTACCACTCGAATTCCGGCGAGATCATCCAGAGGTGCCATACATCTCACGAACTGGCTGATAGCCTGCTTCGAAACCGAATAGAGAGGATTTACGACGCTGGGAATCTGTGCCGTAATACTGGAGATATGCACGATGACGCCAGGCTTTTGAGCGCGGCGTAGTCTCTTGATAGCGATTCTGGACATCTTGATCGGATGCATGATATTCACATCGAAGACTTTGTAATGCGACGCACTATCTAGATCGGCCCAGAAACTGTTCGAGGAGGGCTCGTAGACTCCTGCACCAGGAACAATGATATCGGGTGCTCCGCCAAAATCTTTCTCGAACACATCAAATGCTGACTCGATCTGTGTCCAGTCTGTAACGTCGGTCTTGTGAAATCGTACCTTCGGGGAGGAGCGACTTCCGATACTTTGGAGCCATTCTTTGGCTGCGGCATGGAGACCGAGGTCGGCTATAAAGACAGAACAGCCATTCTCATATAATGCCTTTGCAAAGCCAAGACCGATTCCTGGTGTTGAGCTGACAGTTAGCTGGAGTTCAAAGTTCGAGCATCACAGAGTACTTACCCGAGCCTCCGCCAGTAATGATCGCTTTCTTGCCTTGTGGACTTAGAGGCGGCATTGTTTCGGGGTGTATTTGAAGTCAATAAGATCTGAAAGAGTATTGTCTTGAGAAATAACGACACTTTGTAGGGAAATCCGGTGATAAAAGCTGGCCAGGAAATTTGAGAGGCCAAATTCTGTATAGCAATTGTAAAGCTCCACCTAGCGTGCGTTGAGGATTCCGCGGAACCAGCACAAAATTCCCGGAATCAACAAAACATTCCTTTTCCACTAAGTGCCGACTAGTCTGGGTCTTGTGATTGGCCGAATCACGTTCAATGCACAATTCCAGACTTTGATCCGAATTCAGCATCATTGACCGGAAATTTGTCACCTTGACATCGCACCGTTCCGCTTCCCAGGATACCATATAGTTGAAGGTACCTGCAACGCCGCAGCTAGCAGTTTGAAGAAAATACCACTCTTGCTGCTTCAATCAATCATCAACATGGCTCAGAATTCAAAAAGCCCAGCCTCTACTCCGGCACCACTCCCAATCACCGCCGGAACACCCTACAAGATCGACGAAAATACACCTGAATTGTTCCGACCGTTGCAAATCCGGTCAATCACCCTCAGAAATCGGATATGCGTTTCCCCGATGTGTCTTTACTCAATCGAATCTTCAGGGCCCCTCAAGGGCGTGATGACACCTCTGTATATTACAACGATCGGACACAATGTTTTCAAAGGCGCTGCCCTGGCTATGATTGAGGCCACAGGTGTTCAGCCGAATGGCCGCATCACACCGCACTGTCCAGGTCTTTGGAATGATGCTCAAGAGAAGGGTCTGAAGCCCCTTGTGGACTTCATTCACTCCCAAGGTGGACTTTGTGGTGTACAATTATCGCATGCCGGACGGAAGTCGAGTACACAGCCTCCACTGGTTGCACAGGAGTTAGGGAAATCGAGTGCAAGGGCCCCTAAGGAGGATGATGGGTGGCCTGATGATGTTTTGGGCCCTTCTGGAGGTGCCGAAAACTCATGGGATGGCAAAGGTCTTGATCCATCTGGTGGCTATCATGTACCCAAGGAAATGACAGAGTCCGAGATTAAGGAGCTGGTGTCGAATTATGCGAAGTCTGCTCAGCGGGCTGTGAATGCTGGTGTGGATGTCGTTGAGATTCATGCCGCACACGGCTATCTCATCAACCAGTTTCTCAGTCCTGTCACCAACCGTCGGACCGATAAATATGGTGGAAGCTTCGAGAACAGAATTCGTCTTTTGATCGAGGTCATAGTTGCTGTCAGAGCGGTGATCCCGGAAAAGATGCCTGTGTTCGTTCGAGTCGGTGTGACGGATTGGCTGGAGAACACGGATATTGGAAAGAAATTTGGAACCTGGACGATAGAGTCGACCATTCAGCTGGCCAGGTTGTTGCCGGATCTGGGTGTCGACCTTATCGATGTCAGCTCAGGAGGAAATCACTATCAAGCTCAATTCAACGTCTTTGATGGTGGGGACAAGCACACCGAGATGGCATTAAAAGTCAAGCAGGTCTTGAAAGCCGAAGGGAGCAAGTTGTTGGTCGGAACGGTGGGCTTGATCACTGAGGCCAAGCAAGCTCGCGACCTGGTGCAGGGCAGCTTGATGAGAGGACCTGGTGTTGATATCATCTCTGTTGGTCGGCAATTCCTTCGAGAACCAGACTGGGTGCTGAACGTTGCTTCGGAGCTTGGAGTTGACGTCGCCTGGCCGGTGCAACTACAGCGACTTCGACCTGGCCCAACCTCTAAAATTTGAGAGAGAGAATATTAGAATGACAAAACAGATACTGGTAGAAGCGATGTGACTGGAAATCAAATATCAATATTTTAGGTGATTGACTACATTCAAACAATTCCAGAAGTCTCAATAGATGACATCAGTAACACACATGCATCGTATCCCAAATTGCATTTCAAGTAATTGGTAGTTATATTTCCTTTCTTTGCTTTCGGATCTTAATGCTACACTCCCCTCTATATTGAGGGCCCTCAAACATTCTCGGCCATCTCAACTGACGGGCCGGACATGTTTTTGCTATCAAGCCTACTGTCATCCCCCTCATCAATATTACCCATATTCAACTCTCGCTGATAAACGGCAACCATGTCTCCGTCGCCAAACATGGCCGCAATCTCCTCAAGCGGTTTGTTCCTTGTGTCCTTGAACCATAAGATAACAACGAACGCTGCAGCACCCGGAATGCAGGTGAAAACCAAATACCAGCGCCACGAAATAGTACTTATGGCGTAAGGCGTAGCCTGGAGCCACATCAAGTTGGTAGCTGAAAGAACGGCCATCGCAATAGCGAAGCCTTGTGAACGAACATGCGAAGGCCAGATTTCGGCAATATAGAAGTAGGTAGGCCCGTCAAGGGTAAGGGAAAAGTTGACCTGGAAAAGAAAGATGATTGCGACGCATGCGCCTAGTCCGGCACGGTTCTCAGTCCCGAGATAGAAACTTTGTAGTGCCGTGAGAGTGCCCACTAGAGCTCCGCAGCTTAGTAGACCACCGGCAATTAGTCTGGGGCGGCGTACACGGTCGACGAATGTCATGGCGATGATGTTGAAGACGAGGCCAGTTAGTTGGAAGCCGCATTGGAAGTTGAGGATTTGAACCGTGTTGAAACCGAGGGATTTCCAGATTATGGAGCCGTAATCTATTATGAGAATTCAAAAATTAGCAACACGTTTTGATAATACCCGATGAGATTGTTCACTTACTCAGGATAACTAAGACACCCGAGCTCATGAGAGCAAACTCAAGGAAAATAGTAATCGCCAATCTCTTCCGCATAGATGGTTTCTTAAAAAGACTCCAGTATGACGTGGCAAACTCTGCATCGAGTCGGATTTGCTTCTTCATCTGGAAGAACTCCCGTCGTGCGAACTCTTGCTCCGGATCATCTGGGCTAGAATGCATCCGGAAAATGATTTCACGCGCCTCCTCAACGCGATCCTTTGACAACAAAAATCGCGGCGACTCTGGTAACCAGTATAATCCGCATAAGATGATGACGGGCAGTACCATCTGGAATGCGATGGGTCCCCGCCACTGGTTATTGCCTGGGACGAAGTAAAAGCCCAGCCCGACGTAGCAAGCAAGTGTATAGCCGAACATCATCATGACAGCGTGTAGGTCGGTAAGGATGCCCCGGAGTCGGGGTGGAGCTAGCTCAGCGACCCAGATGGGAACACTAGAGAGGATGATCACGCCGCTAAGAGTGAACGAAGAAAATGTCAACAAAAGGCGTGATTAAGAATTGAGGGATGACACCTACCCAAAGCCACTGAAAAAGCGGAATGCAATGAACATGGTTGAGTTGACAGACGCGGTCATCAGCGCACCAGAAAAGATGAGAAGGCCATTTCCGAGTCCCGCTGAAAACTTCCGTCCAAATTTTTTGCTGGTCCATCCTGCAAAGAAACTACCAAGCACGCCGCCGGTATAGAACAGTGCATTCATCGCGCCTGTGATGGACTCTGCATTTGGAGCCGTGTCCAATTTGAAGTGTGCGATGAAAGACGGCTGTGTAAGAGTTGTTGCGATGACAGAGCCTGCATAACCATAAGCAGCGGAGCTTAGGGTAATAAAGAAGACAACGGCAGCAGTGTACAAGTTGACATGTTGCTTCTTATTGAATTGGTCGTCTCGGCTTTGCAGCGTTTCAGTCGGTTCTAAATTATTGAGCTGCATGATATTGAAAATTGATCCAAGAGTGTATTGGCTAAAACTCTCAAGAATATAATGACCAAGGACACAACCCGGGATAGGTTCTTAAATAATTACATCCAAGTATACGCGCTGTGGTTGTTTTTTGGACATCAACCGATGTCAAATGCCGATACCCCAGTGGCTGAAGCCAACAACTATGGATGATTCATCAGATCTATCATATCCCCCGCATTCCCAGATTGTGGCTTATGATCTTTCCACGGAAGGAACTAATAAATTCGGAATGATATGGCCTAAGAAATAAACTTTAGCCCCGGACTAGGCTTTGCATACGAGTATGGGGAATTGCGGGGTAAGTTTCAAGGTTGACACTGGTAATTAGCCATATGTCCTAGTAATAAAGATAACAGGTATTCTCGTATGTCCTTTGTAAAAGAAAGAAGATAAGAGACAGGGCGAGGTGTTGTGGTCGTATTTTTTTGTGGGTCGGCTCAGTTGCCTCGCCCTGCGACCCTTCCTTGACTTATGTGGACGTGCTACGCTGTTGACATAGATCAAAAGAAAGTGCTTTTTCCAGGACATGAATTCAAAAAGTAAGATCCTGACATTAGTTGCCAATCGGCCTGGCCGTGCAAAAAGAAATGCATTGACGGGGAATCGAACCCCGCTCTGCCGCTGTGATACTTGGTAGTATGGAAGGCGGCAATCATAACCACTAGACCACCAATGCTGGTTTAATTATGGCAAAGAAGTCCTAGACAGCATATATATAGAGAATGCCTCAACAGTTTGACTACTTCGGAATGAATTAATAACCGCCACTCAATATCCTTACCCAAACTGAAAATCGGAACGGTAGTATTTTTAAAGATACGGGCTAGTATGATGATGAACTTTGGAAGTTGATGTGACCGCAGATTGACTATATTGACTGAACGTACTCAAATCACTTTCTTGATTGCTTTCTACATAAGATATATATCCACCAAAACAGCTCATATGGTCTAAAACGGAACAACTCAGCCTAGGGCCTCAACCTCAAAATGTTGCTTTAATCATTTTGTCGGCCTGAACTGGGGGAATAAACCACCTGTATTGATTCAACGTTAGTCAGTCAAATTCTTAACTTGGTACGGGGAATTGGGCCACCTACGTCAAATCCTCTTCTGTCTCCTCTTTACATTCCTCAACGATAAAACCGTTACCTAGCCAGGCAAATGTGAGATCTTCATCCTCACACAGGCTGGTCCACTCGAAATCCTCCCAGCGAGGGCGACTCAAAAGCTGGAAATAATGCAATCTCGACCCGGGATGAAGTGAGATCAAAGGACCGTCTGGTTTACCATTCTTGTATGTCGATGCGCAATTGGAACTCCAGGCACTTTTCTCCAACCAGGCCAAAGCTTGGCGTTGGTACGCACGAGGAATATGTGGCTTTGGCATAACAGCGCTGTAATTCTCCGTTTGAAGTTTGCGGACGAACTGAGCAATGTACTCTGTCACGCGCTCGAGGGAGCTGACCACGCTGCCATGTCCAAGGGGGCTAGCTGGACCAAGGTAGATGAAGTAGTTTGGCATATCAGCAGCGGTAACTGAGAGGTAGCACTCGGGGTTGTCGTCCCATTTCTCCTGCAAGTTGACATTATTGCGACCGATAATAGGGAAACGAGGTGAGAAAGACATGTTGAAGCCTGTAGCGCAGATTATCGTGTCAACATCTCTTTGCTGACCATTTGTTGCCAAAAGACCAGTCTCATTGAATGATTCGACGCCCCCCCAGATGATCTCAACTTTGGGTGAGCAGAGAGCCTCGAGATAACCGTTTCCGGGTGTTGTGCGCCGACAGCTGCAAGTGATTTTTTTGTTAGCTTCAGCACCCTGTAGAACAAAACAAAAATGATTTACTCACCCCACAGCAAACTCTGGAATCAAATTCTGACCGACTTCTGGCTTGGCAGAGAGCTTCTCAGTCATCTGAGAGATAGAGTATTCGAGGGCCTGTTTCTGCGCCTCTGAATCTTTGAGATAAAGACGGAAACGAGAATTCAACTCTGACTCAACCTCCTTCCGATACTGGAGATACTCATCAGGATGCTTGGCCCAATGCTCCTTTTGCTCTTCTGAAAAGAAAACATTCGCGCCATTCGGACCAGCAAACTTCTGAGCAAAGCTGGCCGTCACCCATGTCTTACTACGAATGTAAACATAAACCTTTTCCACATCTTCAAGAATATTAGGTAGAATTTGGACACCCGTACTGCCGTTGCCAATCAGAGCGACAGTTTTGCCTTTAAGCTGGGCATTTTTCGGCCAAGCAGCAGAATGGATCATTTCACCCTTGAAGGTTTCTCTACCCGGAACGCTGGGCCACTTCCAGTCATTGAAGCATCCTCCAGCGTTAATGAAAACGTCACATTCTTCAATGAAAGGCTCTCCAGATTCTCCGTCTTTGTTTACTCGGTTGCTGACCATCAGGTCTCTGCCGTCGGTTGCGACAATCTTCACTTGCCACTTTTGTTTTTCCTCAATCCACTTAGCGCCGATAATCTTGTGAGAGACCTTCACGTATTTTCGAAGATTGTGCTGATCGGCGACTGCTTCGATGTATGTGTGGATGTCCCTGCCGGTAGCATAGTAGCTTTTGAAGTAAGGACACGGAGCCCAAGAGTACTAGGATTTTATTAGCCGACCGAAGTATCAATCAAAATTCAGTTCCAATACCTGATAGTTATGCACAGGAATATCACAACTGTAATATAAATTTAGTCTCGTCCTATAGTGATGGTAGGGAAGTGACATACGCGCATCTTTGAACAAGTCAGTAAACATTCATTCATAGCTAATTTGGAGCAAACAAGACATACCCGGGATACCTATTCTCATACCAAGTTCCTCCAACTGAGGCATTCTTTTCGTATACCGTGAGATTCACGTTGGTCAGGTTGCCAAGTTCAACCTCTCTTGCGAACGCCAAGCCACTGAAGCCTGCACCAACGCAGATCACTTTCAATGCTCGAGGTGTACCCAATGGAAGCCGTGATATGGCATATGCAACATCGTTCACTCCCTTGTAAAATTCGGTTGCCTCCCCCTGTGAAACGTTGGGTGGCAGAATCTCTTCGTAGGATTTGAGAACATCTTCTTGGGCTTGTTTGGGCATGATGGAGCGTGATCTTGCTTCAAGGAAATGATAGATCGCAAAGTAAAACGATTTCAAATCTTTTTGTTTGCCTTGGAAGCTTAGACTAAATAACTAGTATAAATGCTGTTATCTGAAACAATATGAAGCCGTTGGATCTCTGGTTCCGGTATAAATTGCACAAGTTATACAGATGTTTAGTAATTAACGGTAACGGTGGCGCGGTACGGTAACCTTTCCGACTCACATTAACGCCCAAGGCAAAAAGCATTCCGCGGAATGAGTTCAGGAGAAAAAAAGGGGTACCTACCAGAAGTTGATTTCCGTTACCAGGAGTGATACAAGGCGAGAAGAATGGATAAAATGAAGTCAACTGGACAGAAGTCATTCTCAATATTTTTACCGTAGAACCTGGCTTTTTTTATTTTCATTTTTTTTTCGAGTCCGCCAATACGCGATAAAATTCATATACAATAAGAGGACCAAAATTGTCAAGCCCAGATGCGCAAAAATGTGCCATCCGTAATACCGACTAGTCCAACCGTGCGTGATCTAAGACAAAGCAATTTTTCTGACTCGACACGTGTATTTGTGACCTGTAATATCAGGCAGAAACATCGTTCATGGTGATACTTAGCGAAGACTATATGTAGCCATTCACATCAAAAAGAGCTGTGTTCTATATTCTTTCCAATGGAATTGATTCATTCATTGTACATAAGCTCTCTATTCTTGGACGAAATTGATTAGAACTCGTCACATGCAAGCGTATTATCACTCGCTCTTCTTGTCTTTCCTTCTCAGCCGCCCCTACTCGTTTCAACAGCGGAATGCAACGAAACCGGATCCTCTCTGACCTCAATCTGAAAGTTGCTAACTAATACATCACAAGTGACTCTCATACCGCAATGCCGCCAAATGTCCTGCATCGACCACAATCGATGACCCAGACACATAGCTGGCACCACAACCGCTCAAGAATATACAAACATCAGCAATTTCCTCGGGAATAGCAAGTCGCTGCCTTGTGTTGCCATCCACCGCCCAGCCACTCGATTTTCCAGGGATGGAAGTAGTCCGAGTCGCAACCATGGGCGTCTCGGTCATACCCGGACACACAGCGTTGATACGAATCTCGTCGCGGCCATGGTCAACCGCCGCAGACTTGGTGAGACCAATCACGGCATGCTTGGAAACATTATATGGCATCATGTTTTGCAAACCAGCAAAGCCAGTGATGGAGGCAATATTGATGATGCTTCCTCGCTGCGCTCGACGTGGGTTATCGATACCAGGAGTGCAAATCGGCGTTTGTTTCTGCATCGCCTGTATCTGTTCCTGCATGCAAATCATGATACCCTTTGTGTTTATCTCCAGGATTTTATCATACTCCTGGTGAGGGTACTGCGCGGTGGGGACTCGAGCGGTGGTTGTGATTCCGGCGACGTTAGCAGCTGTATTTCCAGTGTCAGTGTCAGTGCCGTGCCAACCTTGCATTAATTCGAAAAACGAACCATAATCTATGCTTCCAAAAGCTTTGACAGTCTGAGCAACCATATTCTTGACTGAATTGGCATCCGCGACGTTTGCTTCCAATGCTAGGGTCTTCGTGCTATACCCTTGGGCTTTGATCAACGAGATGGTTTCGTTGACTCCCTCGAGATTGACATCAGCTAAAGCGATAGCCCTGCACCCCGCATGAGCATAGGCAATACATATTTGACGCCCGATACCAGATCCTATTCATCACGATAAGCTGCCATTTGCAATATTTTTGTAGGAACTTTTTTACCAACCTGCGCCAGTGACCAGGGCCACTCCATCTAATATTTTCACTCCTTTAGACATAATGTCAAATTTTTTCCAAAATTCCAAGTTGCGACCTATCACCTAATGTATGGCTCCGTGGAGCTTCATATACAAGAGAATATGCATGCACGCGCTGACTACTCACACCGCCCAGGCTCCGACCGGAAGTTTGGAGTGATCTTCCGTGGAACAATTCCGTAGATATTGATTGCCCATTGAAATGCCCCAAGATCTCTAAATGACTTCTGAATTGGTTGGCATTCTAATTTCATTAAATGATGTGCAACCTTCCACCTTTCTGTGTCCAAATTTGTTCTTTGCCTGCATATCTTCGTATGCAAGACATGTGCGTTTTTTTTTGCAGCCTTCGCACCGCCAAAAAAATCCAATGAGCTTTTCTGTCGCCAACAAGATGAACTACTTGGGTGACTTGAAAATTTGAGTAACTTGTGTCTTTTGAATTGTAAATTCTAGCATGAACAGCAGCCCGATCGGCAAAAAAAGGCTCGTCGCAACTCGGGTCATGGATTTCATTGAACAGGATCGTCGAGGATATATGTGGAATCATCTGGGCCAAACGAAACTCAATGTATGCTCCCTTGACTCGTGACCACTAAAAAAACCAAAATGATGCCGTGGCGGAAGTGGGGTAATGCCGTAAAACATAACTTTCATTGTCTAGCGTGTACCGGAGTATCCGCCATAGCCAGGCTTCCCCGCACGAGTTATGTACTAGCGAAACCAGGGATCGACGCCTCCCCGGACTTCCATGCCTCGCGTTCTCCCGTTCTCACCCAATTCCTTCTCTTTCCGTATCACACACTTCTTCTGAAACTCGCAACCGCATGCTCATTTTACGATTTTTCTCTAGCTCAAGAGAAATAGAAACTACAAACCCTTTCATAAATTAAAACAACAAGTGTTATCCCCATGCCGAAGGAAGCAGGTCGCAAGGAAGGCTCTAAGCGTGACAAATATACCTCACAAGCATGGTAGGTGTCTTCTGTTTTCGTATATTTACAGCATTAATTCTTGAGGTATTTAGTTTGGAATGTCAACGCCGTAAAGTGAAGGTCAGTACCGTGCGTTCACATAATACTTTTTTTTCTTCTTTCACGATTTGAATAGTGTCACTAATGTACCCAAAGTGCTCCGGAGAGCCCAAATGCTCTAGTTGTCAAACCAGAGGAATTGATTGCCAATATGCGGGAGACATTCAACACGAAATGCCGGCCCAGAAGAAACGTATCAGGAATCAGTAAGTCCTTTTGAAGGGCTGTGTTTACAGCACCTCAAAAACCCCCCATTATCTTTTCAATCGCTGTTTTGCCTTTTGGCAATTTCAACTACATGCCCAGCGGGGTTTTTTGCGTTTATCTTCGAAATTGGATGCTAACACAATACAGACAATCTGCAGAACTATCTCCCAAACCGCAAGCGCGAAAACGAAGCAAAACCTCAGTTTCCTTGAAGGAGCAGCTTTCACAACTTCAGGATCAGGTGAAAGCACTCTCCGAAAAACGAAGCCTCCACGACACAGAAATTCCTGCCACCGTATCTTACGATGTAATGAGGATGGCGGACTCTGATCGATCCTCCAAGGATATTTCGCCATCTATGTGGGATACTTCAGAGAACGATGCTTTTGACAACCGCTCGGTTGGCAGTTTTGTCTCGTATCAAGATCTTCCGAGTCCTTTGAAGGAACCGGTGGAGCCGGATATGCTCGGCGTCACCACCCCCTCACTCAACAGCCTACCCATCGGGTCTCAGCTCAATGCGCTCAGAAGTATGCGCCGATCTAGCACTCTTAGCGAGCTTGAGGGTATCTCTCAATCTGCGCTAGCCACGGTCACTTTGCCAGAGCCGCAAGTCCTTTGGGAACTTGTCAGCGTGTTCTTCCAAGAATTTGAATCCTATTTTCCATGCCTGAACCAGACCATCATTTATGATCGATTGTCTATGGTTCTATCACTCCATAGATATGACGCAGAGAACCATCGAGTTGTGATAGGACCTGATAGTTGCAAGATCATCGCTCTCCTTTTGAATATGCTAGCGTATGCCGAGTCTCTCACCCGCCCTATTGAGTCCTGCAAGCCGCGACCGATCTCGCAAAGTTACTTGCAGGGGCTCAAATTGATGCAACACTTCAATCAACTCCACGATGCGGACCTTGAAACCGTCATTTACCACATTACTTCATCTGCCTTTCTCCTCGAAATGTCAATGCATCACATGTCTTTACAGAGCATCACACAGGGATTTCAAATTGCGCTCAAAATCGGACTCAATAACCAAGCCCTATGGCCCAGTGACGATTGTGAACTGGTTTCTCGCCAGGGACTTTGGTGGACACTTTATTTCCTTGACAAGCGCATTACCCAGAAATGTGGTATTACGTACTTTCTACGTGAGGATGAAAGTGCCGTTAACGACTTCAGCAAAGTCCACAGTGATATAGGCTCAAGCAAGTACGAAGTCCTGCAGAGCTTAATCTCATTTAGTCGCCTGTGGGCTCATATTTGGGATGGTTTCTTTTCACCCCAAGCTCCAAAGGCCGATGACTGGGAGGAGTCGCAGATGATGGATACCCGGATTGTTCTTTCCTATCGGCAAATACCTTCAAGTCTTCACTGGAAATCTTCTATGGTCGCAGAGTATATGTGCGTTGAAGGGGCAGCACATATTCGCCAGAGACTGATCGGATTCTTGGTATGAAGCATCTCTTGATACATAGTCTATCCCAAGTTAGCATGCTAACATAGCCATTAGCGATTCCAATCCCTCCGTCTGAGTATCCGTCATAAGGCTCTGACGTCTAAAGAGCATGACATCGAACGCCGTAAAACATCAGTTTCAATATGCGAAGCAATCATAGAAGCAATTCGAAGCTACATGATCACAACCACCTCTTTGAAGCCATCCGGGTACATTTTGACTACCGCATTAGTCGAGAGTCTATACCACCTCATTCCAGAAGAGTGCCACTCAACCCCCGTGGTTTCAAACGAGCTTCTGAAGGGAATGATTTACGGTGCTAGCCAACTTCTTCAGACACTATCCAAATCAGTCGCAACGGCATCCAAGGTATACCAATATTTACAGGATCTTCTGCCTTCCGACAATGCGTTTAAACCACCAGAAGAGTTCTCAGTATCTCCACCACGTGAAAATTCAGTCGATCAGAGTATGCCACTGGACTGTTCTGCCGATCTGGACATATTCTCTCAGACCTTTTGGAAAACCTTCATGGATCGGTCGGAACAAGATAGAAGCCCAGCAGTACAGACGCATTCAGAATCAAAGAGCCAGAGCTTTATGCCTGGCTCTATGATGATGGCTGAAAGCTTACCGACTGAAGGTCTACCTTTCAGACTGGACGAACTACAATTTCAATTTTTGATGGGCATGGACCCTGAAGAAATGGCGTTCGAGGCTCCACTTTCTCTAGATTGTTCCACAACTGACTTCAGAGGGGATCTTTTGTAACACATTTATTATTCTTGTATAATGATATCATAAGTTTATCAGTTTATCTTCTTTCTCCGGTTCATTTGTGTTTAATTCGATGGGTCTACTGGAACTGCGGTGAAGATGCATGGTAAGCTGTGGATATGATCGTCAATCGCATTAGTTACTGTTCATGATTTAGGCCCCAATAAAATGGTCAAACGCCCCAAATTATTCACTGACATCACATAACACGGAAACAGATGCAGACTTGTGGAGCAGGCTATTCCGCGGAGGTATTTATGTATCACGTGGATGAATTATACCGAGCGTTATGCATGGATACGTGAAAAATACTGGAATTCCCCAATAGTACCCACACCATAGCTCGGCGTAATGATGTATCCATACCTCGTAATAACGGGCTTGACAAGGTGCCTACCCCGCAAAAGAGAAAGCTTGAAGTGCCAAACTGCTGTGCAGGCTTTACTATGCATAAACTTTGATTGGAGTAGCATAAAAACGAAAACTTGAATATATTAGACGTCAATTGTTTACCCTCAACTTTTGCAGTCTTGCTATGCTGCTGACCCGACCGATCTAATTCTTTTGATCGGAAGAAGACTGGCTCAATTCCAAGATGCTTCTTCAATCTGCCTCAGAATTTGTTCAAGAACACCCCATCCCCGTTCTTGTCACTTCGGTATGTTTGTTGAATCTCAATAGATGGCTAGTCGACATCGGCTGTCTTTCTCCATGTTTCTCTTCTATTCCCAACATATAGCACCAACTTGACAACCACATTCCTTCCACTTCCCCTGAACAAAAAATAACCAATACAAGGTTAACGAGCACACTTGGCTAACATACACCGACTAGATTATACTTGCCTTCGCTTCGCATATATACTATGAAGTATTCATCAGCCCCCTCGCCAAATTTCCAGGCCCAACCTTCGCTGCCGCAACACGGATACCCCTACTCTACCACACATTCAAAGGCGACCTTAACAACTGGGTTAATGATCTCCACGTGAAATACGGTAATGTAGTCCGTGTCGCTCCAGACGAGCTAAGTTACACAAGCGGAGAAGCTTGGAAAGGGATCTACGGCCACGCCGCAGCTGGAAAGAAAGTTACAGAGAAGGACCCCCGATTTTATGGCCCATCGTTCAATGGATCCCCAGATATCATCCGCGCAGGTGGGCCTGATCACTCACGTTTCCGACGCAATTTCTCACATGCCTTCTCTGATCGCGCGCTCCGCGAACAACAGTCGCTGATCTGTCAATACGTGGATATGCTGGTCGAGAAGCTCGACGAGGAAATCAAAGATGATCCCAAGGCACACATTAATATGGTTCGCATGCTCAACCTGACGACCTTTGACATAATGGGTGATTTGACATTTGGTGCTTCCTTGGATCTGTTAGCTGGCACTGGAAACACGAACTGGGTTTCTGCTGTGTTTGTCAGTATGAAAACAAATGCTTTACGCAGAATGGCGCGCTACTGGCCTTGGACTGCGCCTATTGCCCAGAGACTCATTCCAAAGGCGTTGAAGCAGCAGAGTATCTCTCATTACCGGGCTTCCCAGGGTCGTGTTGATAAACGAATTGATGGCAGTCACACGATTCAGAAACCTGATATCTGGGGTATTGTGATGAACCAGAAGGAGGATCTGCGCCTAAGTCGGACGGAGATGTATGCCAACTCGCAGGTCTTTATGGTTGCGGGTACTGAGACTACAGCTACCGCACTGAGTGGGTTGCTTTACTACTTGTTGATGAACCCTGCCAAGATGGATATCATTGTAAAGGAGATTCGTGACACTTTTGAGAAGGATGCGGATATTGAGATGAGAGCTCTAGAGCATATGACTTATCTCAATGCGTGTATTGAGGAGGCTTTGCGCATCTACCCTCCAGTTCCTGTCGGTCTGCCTCGGATCACCCCTGACGAGGGTTTGCTCGTGTGTGGAGAACATATTCCGGGAAAGGTAATTGCGCACTTCAATCATTCGCGTATTCAGTGGATGACTGACATCATAATAATTATAGATCGCTCTTTCCGTTAACCAATGGGCTACATTCCACAACCCCGAAAACTTCAAGCGACCAGAGGAATTCATTCCTGAGCGTTGGATTGGTGATGAATTTGCCAGTGATAACAAAGCAGCTTTCCAACCATTCTCATTTGGCCCCCGCAACTGTCTTGGAAAAAAGTATGGTTCCCCTTAGATACCCGGTCGAAGTTCCCAGTGATTAACGATCGAATAGTCTGGCATACCACGAAATGCGTCTTATCCTTGCGAAGGTTTTGTATAACTTTGAACTTTCCCTTCTGCCCGAGTCCTTTGGTTGGGAAAAGCAGAAGACCTTTTTCTTGTGGGAAAAGAACGATTTGATGGTTCAGTTGAAGCGAAGGGGTTGAATAGGCAGAACAATACCAGGAGCGCGACAGATTGGGAGACTGTTCTGACTGATATTGAAAAGGGGAAATTGTGTTCAAGCCTGGTGGCCACTTCATATTATGGCCGATGGCTGCCACAAAGTCAGATGTTGGATTTTGAGTTTCAATTCAGGTTTTAGATATTTTCACTTCAGGCAATAGAGCTATTTGATTGATTGATTTTGTCCTACGTAGCGTGACCATGGTATGATTTGTTTAACGGTTCTAATTCGCAAGGTTAATGGAGATTTTTCACATTGCTCTAATGCTTTTTGATTAAGATTTCGAACTCTGTGGTGCCTCAGATTTTTACCCTTATAGAAAATTCATGTCATATTGATGCTCATCTACAGTCTCTATGTAACTTAAGGTCTTGGCAGCGGATGCCGCACTCATTTTCTGTTATGTTTCATAATCGCATGAATCTGGGAAGCGACATCAACAAAACACCAAGTGGTCGAGCGGAAACTCGACTATCTCATCTTCCTTGGTCTAGTGGTCATGATTTCCGCTTGTCATTAACACCGATAAGCGCGGGAGACCGGGGTTCGATTCCCCGAGGGAGAGTTTTCATGGGCTTGTGGTTTAGTGGTATAATACTCCCTTAGCATGGGAGTGGTCCGGGGTTCGATTCCCCGCGAGTCCATCCTTTTTTGCTTCTTACAATTTCTAATCGAAAATATCCATAGGACATTTATTTTTATTTTTATTCATTTGACAAAATGCATAAGTTTTACGCTGTACCACACGACTTGATTGGTTCCGTCCAACCAGCAAGGTTCCGTGCATAATTCCATTCCGAGCCAGCTCTTCCGTTGATATTTGTATTCCGGTGGCTGTGATCATCCAATCATATTCCTGTGGTTTTCCGTGAGACTCTTTAATGAGAACAAGGATTCTTTACTAAAGAAACTTAATAAAGATAGCAGCCGACATCTCATATGCTTGTACCTGAATCATCAATCCCTAAAGCCATTATGACATTGAACGTGCTCCCAATTCCAGTCGACGAAGCCACCCTGCAGGCTCGACATAAGACTTTGGACGCATTTGAAGCCCAACTCGCAGGAAGTATCCAGTGGCAAGAATGTGAATCACCAGCTGCTTACCGCAAAATGCGGCGAGAAGGCCTCAACGGTTTCAAAGCGCCTGCTCTCAACCCCAACGCAAGGACCGTGAATGTGCAAGGACGAGATGGATATCAAATTGAACTGAGAATCATCGCACCCAAGGAGAAACAGAGCAGGGGAGTCTGGCTACATTTTCATGCTGGTAAGCAGTCCTTTTGTCTCAAAACCCGATATCGAATATCGACTCATTTGGATAATTGTCAGGTGGCTTTGTGATTGGTAGCAATGCCTCGTACGATACGTATTTGACCACTTTGTCCGATCGCTTGGGTCTGACAATGGCCTCTGTTGAATATCGACTTGCACCCGAAGTCTCTTTCCCCAAGCCGCTCCACGATTGCGTTGACGCAGCTCTCTACGCGCTCAGCCCAGCAGGCGAGAAGGAACTGGGCGCACCACTGAAAGTTCTCGGTGGCGAGTCTGCAGGTGGATGGCTTGCAGTCTCGACAGGCCTCTCTCTCCGTCGAGACCATGGGGTCGACGTGCGATCAACTTTAGATGCAATTGTGGCTGGATACGGAATCTTCGACCTCACTTACACTCCATCTCTTCTTGAGCACACTCGAAATATCGTGCTGAGCAAGGAGGGTATGATGGACTTTTGTGAAGCAGGGTTTGGTCATATACCTATGGCGAACAGGAAGAATCCGCTCATCTCGCCTCTGTATGCGGATTTGAAGGATATGCCGGCTGCGCTGTTCTTGTCGGGAGATATTGAGCCGCTGCTTGATGACAGTGTTTTCATGGCGGCTAAGTGGCAACAAGCTGGCAATTCTACTGAGCTGACTGTGGTTAAGGGGGCCTGCCATGCTTTTACTATTATTCCGATGGGTGATGCGACCGATCAAGGGCTGGATATTATTGTCGATTTTGTGCAGCGGAAAGCTAGTAAATAATTTGAACTGCCCAGGTGCCTTCAGATAGCTCTTAGCAATATATTCTCCCCTTCCAGTATTCAGGGCCTATATAAGGCATGGTTTATTGTCTTTGGCTAGATGCAAGCTCAAGTGTCTACTTTCCCAGAAAATCTGTATAGCCACGCAAGATTGCCCAAGCTCCGTGCCAAGTTTCGTGCTGACTTCGTCGAGAAATAAATCGACAATGGAAGCGGAGACTGAAGAGTCTTTCTTGTGTCCCTTTTTATTGCTTATTTTCTACAAATTTCGATATGGAACTTGAATGAGAATGTAGGTTCAAAATCAAGATTTACTGCGGAATCAAAAAAGCTACGACTTGGAAAAAAAGATTTGAAACAATTCAAATGTAGGCACACTTTGTTAATTCGTCAATATTTACATTTTCTGTATGAATATAGCTACTGGAAGCCACCATCTGCATTGAGGACCTAATGCCAGCCAAAGTTAGTATTTGTTATCCCACGAGGCAGGAAAATGCATAAAACTTACACTTCCTGAGACGAAGCTAGATGATTCACTTAGCAAGAATAAGATGCAACTAGCGATTTCCTCTGGTTGAGCAAGTCGTTGAAGTGCACTCTTTGAGACCATTCTCTGGAAAACCACGTCGGCGTCACCAAGAGCAGTAGCAAGAGGTGTATCAACAACGCCACTATGTCCATTAGCGTTCATCTTTATCAAGAAGGAATTGGCCACTCACGGAGCTACTGCGTTAACCCGGACGTTTCTTGACCCAGCCTCCTGTGCAGCTGACTTGGTCAAGGAAATCACACCCCATTTAGCGGCCCCGTACGGAGCATTCCATGGAGATCCCCGCTGTCCAGCAATACTAGCGACGTTCACAATGCTACCATTGTCGCTAATATGCCTCAGCTCTGATGATAAGCTGTTCCGAATACCATTGAGATTGATCGCCATCATCAAATCCCATTCCTCGTCCTTGATAACATCCAATGCGTATCCTCTTCCTTTGAACCCCTGAGTTCCGATCCATCCAGCCAGATTGGCTGCACCGTCGATCTTTCCAAACTTCTCTTTCGTCGCTTTAACGGCGGCTTCAATTCCTGCAGAGTCGGTCACGTTGACTTTAAATCCAATGGCCTGACTGCCAATCTTTTCAATCTCGGTGATGACTTCTTGGGGGTCGTTCAGGTCCAGCAGGCCAAGCTTTGCACCTTGACGAGCGAGGGCGAGGGAGGTTGCACGACCTTGCCCAGAGGCAGCGCCCGTGATGAAGAAGACTTTGTCCTTGAGATCAGCGTAAGACATTGTAAGTTGAGGTGGGTTGTTTTCAGTTAAACAAAAAATTATTTGACGTTTTTGAGTACCAGATAAAGATGCTCACTTGACTTAAGTAGCCGGATGCTGTTCGACGACTCTTCCTCTCGGAAATCGACCATTCTACAAAATTACACAAGCACACAAAAGATGTGTAGTGAAACGTCGTTCCGTGTTCTGAAAATGACATTGTTGTGGTTTGTTCCCGCCTTCGGAACAGAAGGCGTTCCGTTAAGTTTTGTTTCCGTTCGACAGACTTCGCGATCTTGCATCCGCCATGCGACCAAAAAATTACAGCAAATGCTTGGTTCCGTTGTCAGGGGATTCTATTCACCTACAGTGGATCCAAAATTGCGGAACAGGTGAAGCCTTTCATCATAAAAATATCATACAAATATCAATTAAAGTATTTCTCAACTCTTCCCCCTCCGAATCATTGAAGCAGAGTACCACACACCACACACCGTTCATCATCCACTCAGCAAGTTGAGTATCCAAATATGACTCAATCTATCTCAGTTGACGGCGCTGGGGGAGAAGCGCCATGCAAGCCTATTGAGGCTACAGAAGCATACCGCAACAAATTCCCGGTCGCTTATGAACAGTCAAAGCTACCTTTCGATGCGCCTAGGAAAGTCAAAGTTATTCTTGCAGGTGCAGGCATTAGTGGAATTTCTTTTGCTCACGCCGTGGAAAGTGGGCAACTACCTAATGTGGAGCTCAAGATTCTTGAAAAGAATGCTGGACTGGGAGGCACCTGGCTCGAGAATCGCTACCCTGGATGTGCATGTGATATCCCTTCTCATAACTACTTGGTAGGCCCATTGAAGCTGCTTCATCCATTCCCGAGTACTGACATTTTGTAGTTTACATGGGCGCCAAACCCCAAATGGTCTTCATTCTATGTCACCGCGCCAGAGATTCTTCAATATCTCGAGAATGTAGTTGAGAAGTTCGATCTGAGGAAATATGTCACGGTATGCCGCAAGATTACCAGCGCCGTCTGGAGCGACGAGAAGCAGAAGTGGATCGTCACCAGCAAAAACACAGATGGTCGTCGCACTGTCATCTCGTCGCAGGGTATTTCCGAAGGTGAAGTCGGCGAAGACATCGTCGAGGAATGCGACGTCTTTATCAATGCCAGTGGATACCTCAACAACTGGAGATGGCCCAATGTTCCCGGTCGCGAAAACTACCAAGGCGTTCTCGCCCACAGCGCCAATTATGACCCCGACACTGACCTTCAGGGCAAGCGGGTCGCCGTCATCGGTAACGGAAGCAGTGGCATTCAAGTCACCGCAGCTGTGCAGAAAGTCGCCAGCCATGTCGGAGCGTATATCCGATCTCCAACCTATATCACGGCTAACCTAGGCTCGAGATTCATTGGCCAGGGTGTACCCAACATCACCTATGACGATGAACAGCAGAAGAAGTGGGTGGAGAATCCGGAAGAGTACCTTACTCTTCGAAAGGAAATTGAGAAGGAATTGAACTTCCGCTTCCCCTTATATATCAAAGAAAGCGAGTTCCAAACTATGGCGAAGGACTTGACAAGCAAGGGTATGCGGGCCAAACTCGAGAAGAAGCCCGAGGTTGCAGATCTTCTTATTCCTTCCTATGGTGTTGGGTGTCGGCGACCGACTCCTGGACCAGGTTATCTAGAAGCGCTCGCTTCCGACAAATGTGAAGTGGTTTGGGGTGAGATTGATTCTTTCACTAAGACTGGTTTGAGATCCCAGGACGGCAAAGAGCGCGACTTTGATGTGATCATCGCCGCAACAGGTTTTGACATGTCTTTCGTACCTCGCTGGCCAGTCATCGGGCGAAACGGTGTGAATCTCCAGACAGAATGGGAGAAAGATCCAGCTTGCTATCTTTCAGCAATCGCGCAAGATATGCCAAATTACTTCGTCTATATGGGACCCGGCAGCCCAGTTGGTCACGGCAGTATGATCACCTCCATCGAGCGAATCACCCTTTATGCGGTGGACATGATCAGAAAATTGCAACGAGAGAACTACACTTCGTTCCGTCTCAAGGATGGAAAAGCCAAAGCATACCAATTCCAGATGCTCTCATGGCTCGACAAGACGGTCTGGGGCGACCCATGCCAGAGCTCGTTCAAGAACGGTATGAAGGACGGTGCATTGCATGCCTTCCATCCTGGTTCGCGACTGCATTACTTCGAGCTGCTTAAGCGCCATCGGTATGAGGACTTTGAGTGGGAGTGTCGATGCCCTGAGCCGGGTTTGGATTTCGCTTGGCTCAATAATGGTTTCTTGTCGCATGAGCTGTCTGCGGATGAGGAGGCTGATCCTACGTATGTCTCCCAACGTCCCTTCCCCCTTGATGAAATGATAACTAACTAGGACTGTAGCTGGTACCTGAATCAAGACAATGCTACTTTGACCAAGTTTGTTGGTGAAAACAAGGTCTAAGGTCTGGTCTTTGCGGGGTAGATAGGATGAAATATATAAACCTGGGGAGGCTTGCTTTGGCGTTGCAACCGGATATGTTAGGTTCGACTATTGAAACTGTACAAATGATAAATTGCAAAAATTCAAAGTACTTTACACCTAAATGTACGGAATTCCGTTTAGATCACTCGATTAAGTAGCGTTCAGGTGTCTTTTCCGTTAAAAAAGTATGATTGAAGCTGAAAGATTAAAAATATCTTCAAAAAAAAATGACCAGACTGGGGCTCGATCCCAGGACCTTATCGGTGTTAACGATACGTGATAACCAACTACACCATCCGGCCAATTGATGAATGAGGTCTCGCATATTTAATTTGAGTATGAAGAGCAACAGAAGGAGAATATGCTAGCAAAAACAAATAGGCCGCTAAACCCTATTGCGTATTTCAGAGGGTACCAACGATACAGGATAACCAACTACACCATCTGGCCAGTTCATATGTGGGGCTCTCTGATTACCCCACAAGTGTGTGACCAAATTATGTAATAAAGGTATCAAGCCGTGAAACTACATCTTTTTGACCATAGGCATGTGACTATGATCGCCAACAGACTTTATCGCTAATAGGATGTCGAGCGGTAGAACATAATAGTTAGGTTATGGTTCGACTGCGCGCTTTGAGACACAGCATATCGAGACGCTTATTTCGCGTTGCTAACTGATCAAAGTGAGTATGGCTTTTTGGCATTTGATACGGACTCTCTATGCTCATTCTCATGTCTCAATTGCAATTGCATATTACGGACCCACTTAGTCCGCATCGCAATTTAAGAACAGAGGACCAACCGACTCCCAGGAGGGAGCTGCAGGATTAGATCACGTACGACCAGACTGGAACCCTCCGCTCGAGCACTGATGCCGATTCCACCAAAAAAAAAAAGACAAGACAATTACGAGAGCCATGTGAGTAGAGTGCTCGGAAATCAAGGGTGAGCGCTCAGCAGGGCAGAATGACCAGGGCGGCGTAATGAAAGGATATCCAATACCTAGGGTCTGGATCAAAGTGACTAAAGCTGAAGGATACCTCTTCTTGTATGATAGTTTGTACGAAACAAGTAGTGAAGTGCTAGTCAAACTCTAGCCCTGGAGGTTCCAAGCAACAATGTCTGATAGAACGCGAGGAACTGAATACAGGTGTGGCAATAAGCGCGTCCTTATACATTCCAATCCTTCCTATCCTGTTAATGGGACCACTATCCTACTGCTTATATGGGATAATATGTGAACCAGTCGTTTCCTGCGATCATTATACGCCCAGGCCGTTCAACATCATGCTTAATAGCTGCGGTAAGTGGGGGCGGACTGGGGAAAAGGCAGCTCCACAACTTTCTCCAACCTGCCCCGTTTTGGTCGCTAGTCTCTCGCAGACATCATCCCATATTGGGCCTGCATATGATCTATCTGATAAGAGTTTCCTTTGGACACCTTGATGCGACTCTTCAATGGAACAACTATTTGGCCAAACCCTCCTTAGGCGCCTCACGTGATATCGGGATTCCATTCCCGGCATTGCGTCACCACATCCCGCGTTGTAATGTTTGGGGCGGGAATCATGGCCGATTGGCGCATTCAGAAAACACTAATTCTTGCCAAGATTGACTAATTCCGTATTCGCGGGGTAGCGTCAAACCCCGGATTTTGGATCGTCGCTTGCCACCATTTCCCCAGTCTGCTGAGACGACTGATGCTGGAGGAGGTCCCTTTGCTCCTGCAAGACCGTTGTACAGAGTTGGCGAAGTATGACTCTCTCCGCTCCCTTGACCTGCTTAAAGATATCCCGCACGCTGTAGAAGGCGCCTTTTGAGAGCGATCAAAGAGATTAAGGTCACCATTTAAAGTTGGATGAGAAGACTATCCCAACATATGAAACCGGTAAACTTTATCTTGGTGGCTGGTAGGATTAAACGTAGATATTCTAGCCGGCGGACTCGGCACTGTTTTTCCGTGATAGGGCATTCCTGGGCAAAGGATTCACAATATGCCAAAATTTCTAGTATATGAATCCATGCCATCCTCGTCCATATCACCTTCCAACCCACTTTTCTTCCTCTACTAAACAATTATCTTGGCTTCTACTATATGATGTCGCACGTGGAGCTCGCCCCAGATGGTCAGGTACCAAAGGGGGACTTAGTGTCTCAAGACTGGGTTGCCCCAGTTGAACGACGCCACCTCATCGTATGTCCTCGACTCTAACTTGGTGTGAGCTGGGACTAATTCGGATTTTCAGGATGAGCACGTTATTCAAGCTGAAAATGAAGACAAGATGACACCTTACCTGTTCTTCTTGATCGCATCGGTCAGTTACGACGCGTAAAAGCCTTTGCGAACCGACTAACAAATCCTAGGCTGCCCTTGGTGGATTTCTATACGGTTACGACACTGGTGTTGTTGGTGTTGCACTTCCGTATGTTGGGACCGATTTTGGTCATGAACTCTCCTACCTTCAACAAGAAATTGCCACAGCCGCCACCACGGTCGGCTCCATCTTTGGGGCTGCCATCTTGGGTCTATTCGCCGACAGCTGGGGTCGGAAGCGCTGCTTACTGATCTCCGACCTATTCTTTACTGCCGGTGCTATCATCATTGCATCGAGCTTTTCTCTCGGCCAACTCATCGCTGGTCGTCTTGTCCTCGGCGTTGGAGTGGGTGGTGCCGCTGTCATCTGCCCGCTGTACATTACTGAGCTAGCGCCCACGGCGGTTCGGGGACGGTGTGTTGGGTCAAATGGCTTCTGCATCCCGTTCGGCCAGACAGTCGCGGTTGCCATTGGTGCTGGTATGCAGCACGTTCCGGGTAATTGGCGGATTCTTTTTGGTCTTGGCGTTGTGCCCTCCCTTTTGCAGCTCGGTCTCATGCATAAGCTACCGGAGTCGCCTCGTGTTCTTATTCTTCGTGGCCAAGACGAACAAGCTCGAGAGGTACTCCAGACAATTTACAGCTATGCCTCACCGGAGATTATCGAGTTGAAGTTACAGATCGTCAAAGATCACATTGCCGCCACCACAGCTCTACAGCGCTCGACTACCTTTTGGGAACGCACCAAGAAGCTATGGAATCACAAGCCATACCTCCGTTCAATCTTTACGGTCAGCTTCATCCAAGTTTTTGGTCAATTTACCGGATACAACACCCTTCTCTACTACGCAGGAACTCTATTCGGTCTCTTAGGTCTTTCTAACCCTGCTGTTGGAGGGTTGATTCCCTCGATTACCAACACTTTCTTCCTCCTGTGCGGCATGAGTATGGTGGACCGGATCGGTCGCCGTGGGCTGCTTATGAAATTCGGTCCCATCATGGTCGTTGGTCTCACTTGGTGCCTCATCGCTTTCTACTACATGTGCAAGTCGACAGGGGGCGTCCTAGTTGATGGCTACCCGTATTCCCAGACCGACGTTGGCCTAGTTATTGCCGGAATCGTCATCTTCGTCTCTGGCTTTGGATCCACGTATGCACACCTCTGTTGGTACCAGTCCGAGTACCTCGCTCTCGAGATTCGTGCAGCAGGTAGTGCTATCAGCACGACTGCAAGCTTTTCCGCAAATTTGGTAGTCGCCGTGTCCTTTCTCACCGAGTAAGTGCCTCCTCATTGCAGTGTGGGGAAACTTTGACTGACCAGATTACAGACTCGAAAATCTGACCCCCAGCGGCACATATGGTCTTTACCTTGGCTTCGTCATCATTGGTCTTGTCCTTGCCTATTTCTGCTATCCAGAAACTAGTAAGCAATGCCCATTATTCGAGACACGGTGTGATACTAATATAATTTTCTTAGAGGGTCTATCGGTCGACGAAGCTTTCACTCTCTTCGACGAGGGCTTCGGTGTGAAAAAATCGAAGGAGATGCGACGAGAGAAGCTCGAAATGCAAAACAACCACAACTCCGAGCACCCCCTTCATATTACTGTAACCGAGGGAGTTGTCAAAGGCGAAACCACTCATACGGAGAATGTTGACCCCATCAAATCAATTGATGGTAGTGAATAAGGATAACTGGATACATTTGCTTGGTGTTACTGGATGAAAGAAAATTGCAAACTACAATTATGTACACTCATCACGTTGTATGTGGTCTCTTGACTTGGAAATTTGTCAGACTAAAGTGCGTTCAATACACTTGCTATCCACTCGGCATGACCTTCTCTCCTCGCGGCTATATTTTGTGAAGAGGGCTATGAAATTTTGCTCATAAAGTGCAACTGGTAAAGAGTGTTGGAAAAAAACACATACTGATGGCCACGAGGGCGCTGGCTCCTGGATTGACCGGGGAAAGTCCGTACGATTTTCTTGAACTCAATTGATATCGGTCGTGGAAGTTAAAGGCATAGCACATTGGATTATTAGGAAAGAATGAGGAAATTACAAGAATTGAGGAAGAAATTTATTGAACTCTATTAACCTTAGTCCAGGGACTTATATTCACAATGCGCCAACTGATGACTTTCAGAACATGCATGCCCGCCCCTTTTCAACTTTCTCAAGGCATTTACAACTCTTCAAGTCGTTTCTGCAAAGTCTTCCATGACTCAATTCCCCTGGAGGCGGCGACCTCCGGCTTGCTGTCCTTACTTTTCATTCCTCGGTCAAAGATCTCCATGGAAATCCAGCCTTTGAATCCGATGTCAACAATCCAAGCCTTCACAATCTCGGTCATAGGTAGGTATGCACCGAGGTCATGCTCGTATGGGAATGGACGACCGTGCTTCGACCAACTGAACTGCGGGGCTTCACCCTCCACATACCACGGGTGATCTTTGGAGAAAGGAGGGTCAAAGCGTTCGGCGTCGGATAGCTGCATAAAGAATATTTTGTCCACGGGAACTTCGGCAGTAAAGCGATCCAGCGAGTCCTTGAGTGCCGCATCCGAGTCAGGGAACTTGCCGGAAGGCGCAAAAAGGTCACCCCACAATTTTGTACCGATGTGGAAGGTATCCAGACACAGTCCGAAGTTGGGTCGATTCACCGCATTCACGTATCGCAGGGCAGTCTCCCATGTGGAACAATGAGTTCCCCAAGACAGAAACTCATATGCGATCGAGACAACGGGTTCTTCGGCGGCTCCGATAGCAGCCAGTTGTTGGAGGTCCGAGATAATAACATTCTCGTCGCCATTCGCGTCTGGTTGGTAGTTGGAGGGAATCTGCAAATATGGCGCCCGAAGGATTCTGGCTATAGCAATCCACCGCTTAGCCTTTTCCAATCTATCGGCTAAAGGCGACCGGTCTCCTTCGTAGTTCTCAAAAGGAGCAAGAGCCAGGATCTCCAAATTGGCATTTTGACACAGATTTCTGACTTTGTCGGCTGCCTCCAACATGGAAAGCTTGTGTGACTCGGCATAAGTTTGCAAATCAGGGTACACAATCTCTATGCCTGCGTATCCAGCTTGGGCGGCCGCCGTAATCTTTCGGTCGAGTGAATGGGAGGGGTGTTGGCCCAAGGATAGGCCTGCGATGGCCAATTTGTTGGAAAGCATTGTAATTGAAGATGAATTGGGTAAGGAAATGGGTATAAGCAAAGGGAAAATTCCTTGGAGTCTTTCAAAATGCAAGAGGGAGCGATGTTACTCATTCAAGCAATACCGTCACGTGGGTCGGGTCCCAATTCCCGATCTTCACAAGGAAGATGGACCCCGATGATGCTGAAGTCACTCACAATGGAGACTATAGACTTACTCCGTAATGATTCTAGTATCCTCTTGCCTCATCCAGTGTAATCGCCGACACGATTTCTCCAGTCTGAACTGAAACGGGTTTCAATTCACAGCCGCCCCAAGCCCGATACATTTTGTCTACCGATCACACTTACTGACCACCAGGATGTTTTTACTTAATTGCAAGTTACACAATCTAATCAACCATATTTTTCTTGGCTATCGTTCGCACCAGTGATAGAAGAGTGAATTGAATCAATGAGCTATGGCGAATGCAACAAGCCAATGAAAAGACAGATAGATATCATCAGCCAGCCCATGTGACAGAGAATTTGTGGATCATTCTAGAGTCAGTGTGGGGTAGCTACCATTTCAGCAGACCCCGGAGTGATTCCGAAGAATCTGCGATCCCGCAAATTCGTATGCGGGGTAGCCATGCGCCTCCGGGGCTAGCTTAAAGTGTATTTCAAGTGGGGTCCCGGTGAAACTTCCAATTGGATGCACGTGCGGACATTCCGCCAATTGAAGGACCTCCGGGATTCAATCTCCGCAGATTCTGTACCACTGCCCAGGTGAGATGTGAACCAATTCAATAGCCCCGTTTACTGACACTTTGCACCCTACCACGCCAGCCTATACAGGGCATTCCTTGGGCGTGGAGATAAGCGGTATTTTAATAGATGCAAGAAGTTGTGGTGCGTTGCCCTTTCGGTCTGCTCCCATGATAAAATTTCATAAAACCACCTTCAAATGATTGTACTTTGGTTTCCCGATCAATGTATCATTGCAGATTGAATTAAGTATGTGCCATTGTAAAGCTATTAGCAGGGAACTGCTTCGGTCACCTTAATGTTCAAGGGCGAGTTAGATTTGTAGTTTTCTTAAAAAACCATTCACTGACTATCATTCTGTCTTATATGTTCTATAACGAGCATCGGAAAAATTTGTTTTGTAACACATTTATTCATTATTTTCGCAGGTAGCTAAAAGCCGATGGGAATTGTTGAACAGTCTTTTGCCAGTACGATAGACATGCTGCCTCATTTGGACACAATCTGTTTCAAAATGACGGAAAACAAAAACATTGAACTAATAGTAAGGCAAGTGATCCCCTATCTGTCCTGGTGCTCTTTTAAGCAGACACACTCAAAGATGATAACAGGTAGATTACCACCGAATGACCTTGGTGGGGAAGAACTCATCGATGAGCTCCAAATAGTAGGGCTAGTGCAAAAATTGTTAGAAAACATCGTTTTGAAAATTATTAGAGAGCCAACAGAATCTTACCTTCAACTTCTCGGGGTCTGGGACCTCGTCGCTCTTGCTGTAGAGATCGTACGGATTGAAGGCACGCACTGCTGCCAGCATCTTCTTGTCATGTTCATTCATCAACTCGTGGTATGCTTCTTCGCGGTGCCAGGGATAGAATGAGTGGTAGCGAATCATAGCAAGACCTTCAGCTGGAATAGTTGACTGGTCCTTGACGATGTGGTAAAGATATTCATCATGGCCCCAAGAGAGCATGACATTGTCTAGTCCACAGCCTGGGGAGTAGATGCCAAACTTGGTGCTGTAAATCGGGTTGTTGAAATCCTCGTTCTTCTTGAAAGACTCGGTGCCAAAGATAATCTTATCGTCAAAGGCACATCCAACAGGGAACGTATCACCAACAACGTCCCACTGTCCCTGTGCTCCGAAGAAGAAAAGAAGTTTACCCAGATCGTGGATGAGCCCGACAAGCTGCATCCATCTCGGCTTTCCCTCATTCCGGATCGCTTCGGCGGATTGAAGCAGATGAGTCATCTGGGACTCCTGGGTATCGGGGTCACACTCGTCAATAAAGGTATTGAGCTTCTCCATAGCTTCCCAAATGGTCATGTGGGCACGAGTCTTATTGTGAAAGTCATTTCGGGCTTTGAGGTTGTAGGCCACGGTTTGTAAGGTGTGTTGCTGAGCGTAAAAGTTCTTCACTTGGTCACAAGCATCGTTGAACTGGCGGAAGGTGCTTTTGTCTTTGGCTTGGTCAAATTCAGATTCATCGTAGAGGTCTTTTTTGGCGAGGTCTTTTTTGGCCTGGGGGCGTTCGACTTGAGAACATTGACCAAGTCGACGCTGTCGGATGTGGCCTCAATGTTTGTTGCAGTGGGCTGCAGAACGGCGGCTACCATGGTGAATCGATTGCTAGTGGGTTGACTCGTCAAGTGTTTTGGTAGGAGGGATTTGTTTATCAAAGGCTGCTATGAGTTGGGATGCGGGGAGGGGGGTTTAAATCTTTGATCGATAATCAACGTGATGTTGATTAGCCGGAGACAATTCTCCGGCTTGTCATCTGATGGAGTGACTATACTGTAAAGTAAAATCCAGTATAATCGGTTTGCCACTTCCGTCGGACTTAGGAAACCGACTGTTTTTTAACACTATAACCGACTCTAATGATGGAAAGTAGTTTCCGTATTCAGCTACATGTCATCCGAGTTCACTGGATTTTGAAGTTACTTGATCTGATCGAGGTAAAAGTTGAAAATGACGCCATTTGTCATTATCCAAGCATGTACACAAAGCGCGTTATTTCCATTCACTAGTTACTAAAGCAATCTGACAATTGGCTGAGCTACACAGGCTCCTTTGTAAGCTCTCCAGGGGTTCCTTCAACCAATACATTGGCCAGTATTCGAGAAGGGTAGTAGAAGAATAGTGACTTCATTATTAGGCATTTGTAAGTCATTTCAAACACCATGTCGACGTTGATGAATCAACCCTCATCCACATTTTCATACTCCCAGATTCAATATTCGCGAAAATCAATCTCATCTATCCTCCATGACTTGGATCTAGCAGGCCTTTCAAGTTTTTGCATCAAATATACAGTCAATTGCTTCTACTGAAGTGATCCTAATTCTAGTTGTCTTGGTCATCAGACATTCAATTTTAATGACAGTGATAAAACTAAACACGAATTTGAAGACTTGACTAGTTCTTGACGCTTCTTTCATCGAAAAAGATCTTGTCACCAGTGATCATACTCCGTTGCAATGCCTGCCCAATAGTGACTGCCTTGACCGAGCTTCGGAGGCTAATAGGCGGGGTAGTATTTTCCAAGCAACACTCCGTGAATTCATTTGCCTCGGTAACAAAGGCATCCCTGAAGCGCTCATAATAATGCTGTGGAAGTTGGCGCCTAGAACCAAGCGAATCATGGATCTCAACATGATTCTTCCTCGGCTGTGAATTGACTTTCACTGTGCCTCTCTCACAGATCATTTCAGAAATATCCTCCTGTCCCGCCGCCATCATACGAGAGCAGTACAGAGCAGCAATCTTTCCACCCTCAAATTCAACGGTTGCAAGTGCGTTATCTCGGTCGTTACTCGCCCGGAGGTCGGGGTGAACGGCAGTGACACCCACCGACTGTAAACTTATGATCTTGGTATCTTCTCCAAAGAACCACAACATGAGGTCAATGTCATGAATAGAGCAATCAACGAAGATTCCACCACTGGTCTTGGCATATTCCACAAAGAAACCGGTTGAGTCGTAAAGATCAGCTGTTTGGGAACGGAAGATGACCGGGAGGCCAAATTCGTTGTTGGCAATCCTTGCATGAGCTTCACGGTACGAAGCATCGAAACGGCGAGAAAAGCCACACATGACTTTTTGATTCGGATGAGTCTTTAGGGATTCCTCATAGGCATCAACAACGGATTGGGCCTGGTAAAGTATAACGTGTAAGTACGCTGCGAACAAACAGGGCGGCAGCTGACTGAGAAACTTACAATGTCAATGTCAATGCTGAGAGGCTTTTCGCAGAGGACGTGATAGCCCTTTTTGATGGCCTTGATCGATTGCTCTGCATGCACGGCAGTGATGCTAGCAACTACCACAGCATCCAAGTCGTCTTCAAGCATCTCGTCAAAGTCGCTATAGATCTTTACCCCCTCGAGGTTCTCTGCTCCCCATTTACGCTCCCCCTCATCTGGCGTACACGCAGCGACAACATGCGCACGGGCTGTCAATTCGTGAAAGTTTACGGCATGACGCTTGCCTGTTACTCTTGTTAGCAGACTATGCTGACAAGTGACTTTCTCGTAGCACAAGCGTACCCATACGGCCAAGGCCAGCGATTCCGACACGAAGCTTGGATCGAGAAGACATGTTGACAGGAAAAGATGATAGCAAAACGGAGGTAATGTTATCAGACACTAACCCCGGATTCCCGGCATTTAAATAGGAAAGCTAGCTCTTCCCGGTCTCGGGCAAATGAGAGCGAGGCTTGGCTTGGCTTTCGGAGCAACGTCCGTGCACACGTGCGTTCGGGGTTGGATTTCCGAGTACCAACCTCGGGGTCGGATTGATCGACAAGATACGAACGAACAAGAAGACTGTAGAATCGAGGCCAAAATTAAGGCATTCATTTTACGGTCGCGGGCGTCGTGAAAACTGAAAACATTCCATTGGGTGCAAGGCTGACCGTAATCTAAACGAGATCTACATTTTAGCCGTCGTGAGACACAAGGTGATTTTCGGTACATAGTAAACATGTTCAGAAAAACCATAAAGTATGAGAAAGTACGTCAATTGGAAAAAGTAGCACTTATAAATTCTAAATTCTATATAAGTATTTCCTGGTCTATCAAGGTCTATAGAACACTGTAAACATAGAAGGCTAGGTGAAAACACCACACACAAGTAGTCCGGCTGTCCAAAGGATATATCAAGCCTCGAGTCAGGTAATGCTGCAATTCACCAAGGCTGATATCTGTTGAAGTTTCCCTCACGCTAAAACTTCACAGTGCTCGGAATTTCCGTAGTCTTTGTCCAGGTGCACGCTCAATCCAACTCCTCGGTCCTTATGAGCTAGGGTTGTAGCTGCAGACCAACTCATGTCGCTACCACCTTCATATTTGATTTCAAAGAGACGGTCTACCTGTTCCAATGACAGATTGGCCGTCTCAATATACAGGAACCAGATGATGGGAATGAAACAAACGTTGAAAATGGCAAAAAGCATGTAGTACTTCCACTGGATGTTGTCGATGGCAGTAGGAGTGGCGACGACGATTACGTAGACAAAAAGCCAGTTGACAGTTGTCGCAAAGGATGTGCCGATGTTGCGCATTTTCTGAGAATTGATTTCCGCCGGGTACATGTAAGGGATTGAGAGGAGGGACGTGCCATAGAAGACGTAGTACATGAAAATGAATACGACAGCCAAAATCGACATGCCCTTATTGTCTTCTCCGCCATAGCGAAGACCAACAGCAACGAGGGCAAAACAGACACTGCTCCCAGTCACACCGATGAGCATCAGCTTTTTGCGACCTATACGGTCAATCAAAAAGACAGCCATGGAGCCCCAGAACATCAGCGACATGGAGTCGCATGCGGAGAGAATTAAAGCCATGCGGGTACTGAGGCCCACAGACCGAGTGAGGACGACTGGCAAATAATATGCAATCACATTTGTGCCTCCGACTTGCTGGAAGAATGCTGTGCCTGCACCCAGAAGCATGCGACGTAATGTCTGTTGCTTGCTGTTTCGAGTGAAAATTTCCTTTAGAGGCACTGACTGTTGGACCTCAGCTTCGTATTCGACAGTTGCCACCAAGTTCTGAATTTGATCAACCACATCTGGGTCGTCGTTTGGCTTGGCCATCAATCGGGCGAGAATATCCTGGGCCTCGCTGGCTCGCTGTTTCATAACTAACCAACGGGGGGATTCCGGCGAGACGAGAGTCAGTGCGATAGTGATCAACGCAAAGAAACATTGGAACGCGAGAGGAAACCTCCAGCTGACAGGAGACTCCGGAATAAAGGTGAAGCCATAGTTCATCCACTGCATTGTTGTCAGTATCTGTCTCAATCAAGATGTACGGAAGCGAGGTAATCACATTTGTGAGGACGATACCAAAGACATTCGTCACTAGCTGAGCCACTATGAGCTTTCCACGATCCTGAGGGCGCGCAGTCTCTGTCTGCCAGATAGGAATCGCAATGGTGTTCATGCCGTTCCCAACTCCTGCGATTACACGCCCTACGATCATCTGTGGCAGCGTGTATGAGGAGGTTTGTAAAACCGCACCAACAAGCAAAATACAGCAACCGATCAAGATCGAGCGACGACGGCCTAGCTTGTCTCCAGCAAACATCGAGATCAATGTGCCTATAATGCATCCTATGTCGTACGTGGCGACAATCTGACCTTGGATCGTAGCGCCGGGATATCCAAACGTGCGGAGGAAGGGGTCATTGTCGAGCAAGCCACCGAAGACTCCTTGGTCATATCCAAAGAGTAAGAAGCCGGCACCACATGCGGCTGTGATACGAAAATGAAGCGATTTGCCTTGGGCGTTTGAGGAAAACATGTCTATGTGAACTCAAATAGTAAAAGGGGAAATAATTACACTTCCAAGGTTGGAGACTAGAGCAAATGAAGCATGGCCCTCCGCCACTGATTTATATGATGGACTGCCAGAGCCACTGAGAAGACGCCGTATAGGTCATCCTTTGATCGCCAAGTCCAAGTCCCTGTTTGGCTCTGGGGATATGACTTTGTGGAGGGCGCCTCTTTCTCCGCATCCCGTCCGGATTCGGGTCGGTAACCATTTCCCGGAAACTGGGCTACGGGCTACGGGGAGAAATGACTTGGAAGGCTATGCCCGATTGGCCGGGATGCGGGATTAGTCAGCCTCCACGTAGACTCACGTAGACTCACGTAGACTTCTCCGGTGACCGCAAATTGAGTTTGATCCAGATCGACACCCCCACTCGCTGCCCAATGAGAAAGCCCCTCGGATTTGCTGACCCTGGGCGTCTTTCCCCCGCAAATTGTGGCTGGTCGTGATATACGGAGTACACCACGTCACGAGGGATCCCCGCCCCCCACCCATCCCGAATGCAGCAACTTCTCTGATGCCGGGTTTTAATTTCCTGGCAGCAACCTTCCCCCCCCCGCAGTGCTTTGAACAAAAACTGCTGATCATCTTGTCACTGGTACAACGTGAACAATGCGGCCGAACAGGCTTCCAGTCAAGAGGAAGCATGCCACCATGGCATGTGTCTCTTGTCGGGAAAGCAAAGTCAAGGTAGCAACTCACCCTGTATATGGTCCATCGACTAGAGATCCTGATGCTAAATGATCACAGTGTGATGGGTTGGAGCCTGCGTGTTCCACCTGCGTGAACAGAAATCGGGAATGCCGTTACCATGCGATTGACAAGCGGAAGTAAGCAAGTTCGAGGTGTTCAAAATCGTATAGTTACTGAACAGGCCATTCGCAACATCTAGGCTACCACTACGTGTTGCCATCGATTTTTTGACTATGAGAGTGGACCAGCTATGTCTTTTTATAACTGAAAATGGACTACAGCCTCCGCAACTGCCACCAGAGGAAGACCAGGCGTTGAAGAACATATTGGAAAGCCTTGGGCTGAATAACGAGACAAAGTCCACGCCACCGCTCCCGAACGAACCCGAGGCTAAGAAGAATTGCGAGGTCTTGTCTGTGGATTCTAATGGGTGTTTACCAGACTTGCCGCAGAATTTCGTTGCAGCCACAACTTCTGGGTCAGTAGATTCAGGCACTGATACATTTGCCGAAAGAAACCTAGAGGCAGATATTCGCGCCGTATCCAGCTCCCCGCAATCCTCTCAGAATATGCCTTTCGACTTTTCATTTATTGAGACATCACAAAACAACGGCGAAGGCAGCCCAAGCAGCTTTCTCGGCTCTTGGGACACGGATCTTAGATCTTTGATATGCGTCAACCCTACAGCAGCTGGTATGCAAAACCTCTTTGGCTTGTCACATGGTCCAACTGGTGTTGAACCGGAAGGGTTTGTCAACTTCCTCGACCCAATAGCGCACGATGACGATGAGACGCTCGTGGAGGAACCGGAAACCGCAGAGGATATTGAAAGCCTTATTGACGAGATTTCCGACCGAGTGGGCACTCTCAGGATCGGGCCTGGGGGCAAGACGCGTTTCTGTGGCCCAACATCGACATTCAATCTGGCTGGCGTGTTGGAATCGGAAGAGCCAGCATCACGATCCAGCAACGAACTTGGTACGTTGGAGGAACATGATCGCTCATGGTCCGATCCAGAAATACCGTCGGATTTGGAGGAGCATCTCATCAATCTCTATTTTTGCTGGCAAGATCCATTTTGTCATGTGGTCGATCGCGAAATTTATACGGAAGCCAAAAAGAAATGGTGGCAAATGGAGGACACGCCGTTCTACTCGGAAACCCTACGATATGCGATGTAAGTTCGACGTATACTGATTCAACAACATGGAATTGAACTGACTGAATCGTACAGGTGTGCCATTGGCAGCGCGTTTGAGTCTCGTTTTCATCCGGCTCTCATCACATTTCCAAAGTCTCTGATAGACTTCCTCGGAGCTCGAGTGAAATCGCTACTGGAGCTCGAACTTGATAATCCTTGCGTGGCAACCGTCCAAGCATTGGTAATTATGAGTCATCATGAGATTGGAAATGGAAAAGATACTAGGGGCTGGCTATTCAGTGGTGAGTTTCAACCTTGCTCTCCCAAAAACCGCTGGTTTTTACTAACAAATCTGGTAAGGAATGGCAATGCGACTCTCCTTTGACCTTGCTCTGCATCTCGACATGTCTGAGTATGTCTCTACAGGGGACATCACCTCTGCCGGCGCAGAACTTCGTCGAACGGTGTTTTGGGCTGCATATACTGTGGATCAGTAAGTTCTATATACGTGCTCGTGCCTGAAAAGATGGGACTGACGGCCTTGCAGTCAATTGGGCTTTCATCTCGGCAGGCCCTCTCGTACCAGCATGGAGGATGTGACCGTTCGGAAGCCCCAAGCCCAAGCGGGTCAACCTGGGCAGCACCGGTGGGCGCCATATGAAACGCAAGGTTCATACAATTCGACGGCTGGCTTGCTAGACTGTACCGAAGCAGTGAGTCAGCAGATGGTTTCCCTTTGTGAGCTTATGGCACCATGTGGGTATATATTGTGAGTCTCAAACAATGCTGCAGTGATGAAACCAAAACTAAGCATTCTCTATAGATATGGCACGTCGAGAATCTCGAAGCCAGTGCTGCAAGATCTAAACGCAAATATTGTCGCCGAACTACGCAGGTGGAAATCCAACCTCCCGCCATTCCTACAGATCAATCTTCACGACTACACTTCGCCATACCTACCGCATGTATTGCTACTGCAGTAAGTCAAAGGCATTCACCACCATCTAAGAGCTAGCTGCTAATTATATGTCATGAAGCATGCAATACCATCAGAACATCATATACGCTCATCGACCATGGATGTCCAAAAAGGGCTTACAACCAGACCCGCCCAAAGGACCGGGTTATCTCCATGCTCGTGAGATGTGCATAAGCTCCGCCATTGCCATTTCGAAGATACTAGTTCTCTATGAAACACGATATACACTGCGCCGCATCAACGTGAAGGCAGTCTCGATAACTTCCTCTGCCATCCTCTTACTTCTTTTCGCCTCCGTGACCAAGTATCCAGCCCATTCACAAAGCGACATCACACGTTCCTTGAGCAGCTGCTTCCGAGCACTGGATGAGTTTTCGCGCTCCTGGAAGAGTGCTGGGCGCGCCAAAGACCTCCTTGTCAACTTACAGCGACAATGGGAGCTTCGAGCGAGGTTCAGGAATGATATCAGGGATCCTAAAAGGGGAAGTTGTTTGCCTCGAAAGCGTTCTCGGGACTCGAATAAACTCTATCGAGTGACGCCCACAGAACGAGAATCGTTCACTCGTCGCAGATGCGAGCCAGAAATGGATTTTCACTCAGAAGCAGAGTCCAGGTGGATGCCGATGGATGATGCGCGATTGGTGATTGATAATTGCAGCAAAGGACCCATCGATATTGTGCCCGGCGCTGGCTTTGATGCACCTCAAATGTCTTGAAATAAGACAAGTCGTGACTCGGCCATTCTTGGCCGTACGGAATCAGACTAATCTGAATGGATAGAGGCTGGTTGATGCCATGTCACTACAATTTTGGTACTTGACGGAATATTCACGAGCTTTCTAAATGATCTGACGAGCTGTATATTATTAGCAATTCACTTCCATGTGCATACCTTTTTTAACTTTGAAAGTAATTTAATCACCCTGTACAATATATGTATAGACACAGACACGCCCATGGTAATTAGTACCTACTTTTAGTTGGGACAGAGGCCCTTAATGTGCGGTATATACAGTGAGTGCTGGAGCGTACCTGGATGCGTATAACACAAAGTGCGCAAGTAGCTGCTATCTAGCAATACATCCCTCCTACCCATCTCCAGTCGTAGCAGTATCCTTCTCCCAAGGGCCCGTGGGTTGTTCCTCCATGGCGGACAAGCCACGATCCAAAACATGATCAGCTCCTTCCTTGTGCCCACAAGGCAGAGTTATCAACCTGCGAAGAGCTTCCCTCCAGCACTCGTTCTTTAAGAGGGCGTGAGGCTCGCTGATTTGGTCGCACGGATGGCTGAGTTGATTTCCTTCGGGATTTTTGGAAACAGGGAATGGGTCGAAGCTGTATTGTGGCCCAGTACATCACAAGGATCTTTAGAATCCAGCGCCTCGTTTGGGCTCTTTGGAATTGTCCAAAGAAGCCTCAATGGAAATTATGATAGCTGGGTTCTTTGCAGGTGGACTCAGGGCTTGCCAGCTACGAGCTACGATTCATAGGAAGACTGAGCGCTTCGCCAGCTATGTGAGAGCCCGTGGCCGACGGAGGAAAGTTTTTGCGTCTGGTAGAGGTGATGACTTAAAAGGTGTCCGTAAATAAGAAAGAAAGGAAATCGAGGCAGGTCAGAACAAAGAGCTTCTGTTTACAGAGAAGGATCTGTTTCCTTGGATTAAAGGAGTGAGCCGAAAGTCACAGATAGGAAGGTTTCTCATGAAGAGAGATGTATCGCCAAACTAGTGGTCGCGAGCTGCCATGAAATCATACCCGTTGTCTTCTTCAACCTTTGTTTCACATCAAATCATGCTGATAGAAAGAGATCTCTCCAGCTCACATTGAGCTTGTTTTGAGCTCGGCGAATAAGATTACGCGCCAGGCCTTGAAGTTTGTGATAAAAGATGCTGGTAAATACGACAAATTGCATAAATATATCATAGTTACGTTCAACCTTGGAATGAGAAAGAAATCAGCGATACATATGAAGAACTCGCGAAGCTTATATAAGACGAAAGAGGTCACCCAATCATATTGGACAACACTATTTTACCGACAATATTCAAGAAGCGAGTTATAACGAATCGAAGGATAGCATTCAAACGTCCGTTAGAAAAGCAGCTGAATTGAATTAAGGTGGTACATTTTAGCAGTATTCCACAAGAACAAATTGAATGTTTTAGCCTTGCAGAAACGAGTGGAGGAATATGGTTGATAGGGCTTACTCTGAGGCATTGATGGATCTGAATGCATATTACAATGTAAGTTATTTATGTGTCTCACAAATCACCAATATCAGGCAGGTCTTGGCAAAGCACGCCAACTACGAAGGCTCGGCCAGCCCTCTCCACTGCGCTCTGCTGGATTCTTTTCGTGATGTGGCTAAACCTCATTGTTGTAACCATATGCTGAAGGAGTGGTCTCATCAGTGGTCTTCGCTTTAGTTATGGCTGCATCCTCCTCATCACCTGGCAACTTCTCGCACTGTGAAGAGCCCCTCGGAATTCTCGCAATAGGATACTCTGCACCACCAGCCCCAGTGATGTGACTACTGTCTCAATGACACGTGGAGCCTTGACTATTCGGCATGTGCATCGCATGGTTTGCCTACATCACGGTCCCTTACTCGAGAAGCATATGTGCCCCGCTCTCTCGTAATCAGATACTCCTCAAGAATATTGCCTGTGGAAGCCCTAGAGACGGTACAACGGCTGCAAAATACAGGAAGTTAGACGTCTCTAGATTGTTGCATAATATCCACGCGTACTCTTATATGTAGCTTATCCACATACAATCTTCATGGGGGCCTACTGACGGGAAATGGCCCAAATGCACAACTGTGTCTGTTCAAGTCGGTGAAATTATCCAAAAAGGGTCAGATAGTTGGAGCTACTGCATCAATGGCGTCTGTCGCCGAAACCATTCAATCCTCTAATGACGGCGGTGATCTCTGCAGATTGTGTCACCGGAACAACTTGTTCCTGTCGGCGTAATGTTCGAATTCATCACCCTCACGATGATCTCAATCCAGAGTATTGCGATGGTACCCTATCTAGATACAGCTCTCTCGGCGCATGGTAGACACGTCTCGCACGAATGTGGTGCTGGAGCTTTTGCTGTCTACATATAAACCAAAGTGATTCAGCCTGCAGGCTGAAAGAGGTGTAAATGATCAGGAAAGAGAGAAGAATAGAAAGCCTTGTACCTCATACGCCATATCCATGAGAATAACAATCAATATGAGCGTTACTCCGTTTTCTTTAGGTTTCCTCGGCTTGCCCCTCTTTGCCTTGTTGAATGTCTCTTTCCCTTTTTTCTGCACGTTGCAATTGGCATATACCTTATTTGCAAGCTCAGCTGGCGACGCTTTCTGCTATATACCTTCCACTAGCAGTACTCTTCTGGCGAAACTGATATTGAAAAGCAATGTTCTGACTGAGCTTGGGGATTGACTTGAAGTGGCCATCTGTAATTCAGAAAATTACTCCCGAGCTAGGCACGAAGGCCAATCCTATAGTGATTGAAGCTGAGCCGGCTCAATAGGACTTGGCTTCTGGCTTCTAACCCCCTACAAAGCTCAGAGGAAGAAGAGGAAAGAATAAGAGAGGTCTCATATGAAGCTCTGTAAACATGCTACTGCAAATAGTGCAGATCACTAAATTGAGCCAAGTTCCCTCACCTTGTGATATCCCGTCCGTGCCACGTGAAGGTCACCTTCGTAACTGTTTCCACTATTCTCAATCGCCCTAAGTACCCTTACAATATACTTGAACATATCGTCAAAAAAAAGACGTTCGTTCCTGGGTCACTAGGGAATTTCGGACGAGGAAGTCTTTCATCGGGCCGATATAATCACAGTATCGTCACGGTGCTCATGGATTGTCTAATGCCGAGTCTGTGACGATTTCGAAATGGTGACCTATCAGTAATTCATCATGAGAAATGGTGGGGAACTCTATTCGATTTTGTGCGGCCGGAGTCGGATGTTCAAAAAATGTGGGGTAGTCACGGGAATCAGATTCCGACCTCAAGATATTTAACCACCGGCTCGAGGTTTCAAAATGACCACAAATAACACACCTTCAAGATGAATGGCCACGCTTCTATCCCCTCGAGGCTCTACAAGGCCGAGTCACTTCAATTCGATGACTTCAAGCAAATTTGCTCGCGTACCATTGATACATCCACCTACCCACTGGCCTGTGCCACTGAACGCAATGTCCCAATTTATGACCTTTCCGCACTCGAGGCACAAACAGTAACAGCCGATACTCTCTCTCGCCTTCAGGATGAGTGGCATCACATTCTGCACACCGGACCCGGCATCTTCGTCCTTCGAAACATGTATGCACCCACCCGGTACGGCAGCATCCTTTCCGCGACCAACGCAGCCTTTGACCAAATTATTACCAAAGAGCGCTCCTCCAACGTCTCTAAAGGCGACCACTTCGCCGCAGGCGGAACGAATGACCGCATCTGGAATGCCTTCCAGAAGCATGGCGAAGAAGACCCCGCCTCCTTCCTCGCATATTACTCCAACCCTTGGCTAGCCACCGTTTGCAATGCCTGGCTCGGCCCAGGCTACCGCATCACTGCACAAGTAAATGCAGTTCATCCAGGTGGCGCAGCCCAGAAGGCCCACCGCGATTACCATCTCGGGTTCATCGAAGAGGAAGCCTGCATGCGCTACCCGGCTGCGACGCAATTGACCTCTCAGTTCCTGACGCTACAGGGGGCCGTCGCGCATACTGACATGCCGGTTGATAGTGGTCCAACCCGCTTCTTGCCTTTCAGTCAAACATATGAGCCGGGATATCTCGCCTGGCGAAGACCTGAGTTCCGCGCTTTCTTCCAGGAGAACTATGTTGCTCTTCCACTCAGTCTTGGCGATGGTGTCTTCTTTAATCCTGCCCTTTTCCACGCTGCGGGGGCAAATACAATGGACCCATCAAACGGCTTCCGCCGCGTCGCAAACTTGCTTCAGATAAGCAGCGCATTCGGGAAGCCTATGGAAGCAGTAGACTCCATTCAGTTAGTAAACGTGACTTGGGATGGATTAAAAAAGCGCTACGCGAACGCGGGAACACTCGCAGACGGGGAATTGGATCCGGATCGGCACTCACTTGCTCAGCGCGAGGTCAAGGCGTTTGTGCAGGCTGTTGCAGAGGGATACCCTTTTTCCACCAATCTGGATCGAAGACCGCCTGCGCCGAATGGCATGGCGCCGGAGAGTGAGCAGGATCTTCTGGTGCGAGGGCTGGAAGCGGGCTGGAGCCGTGCTCAGGTTGTTGCTGCTCTTGAGGAGATGCGGAGGGATGGACGGCCTTGAGCTGGATTATAGGTGCAAGCTTAAGGCTAGAATATAATTATTAGCGGCCAAATGGTCGAGGTGTTGGGTGTTATAAATAAATATATCTTTAAACCCTAACCAATGGGAATCAGTGCAAACTCACCCTCAGCTCTCAGGGCTTAAGTACGAGGATAAAAGCTTGGCAAAAGTAGACTGTTAGCACTTTCTACGTACGATCGCGCTCAGAATTCAGGAAGTTCGAAGTTATCCAGTAGATTTTAGTATGGTTTCCTTCAGCCGGGTTCAATGACTGCGTCGATAGGCATGTCTGGTGCGGAAAGGTATGCACGCACTGACCATTCTTTCAACTTTAGAGTCGTTCCCCGCCGTTCGACATATTCCCTTATCTGATTGTGGCTTCGCCCGTAAGTGTAGCACAAGAAACAAAAAAAAAAAAAGATACTCCGATAGGGGGAATCGAACCCCGGCTGTCGTGTGAGAGACGACGATGTTAGCCACTACACCATATCGGAAAAAGGATGGACTCGCGGGGAATCGAACCCCGGACCACTCCCATGCTAAGGGAGTATTATACCACTAAACCACAAGCCCATGAAAACTCTCCCTCGGGGAATCGAACCCCGGTCTCCCGCGCTTATCGGTGTTAATGACAAGCGGAAATCATGACCACTAGACCAAGGAAGATGTGATAGTCGAGTTTCCGCTCGACCACTTGGTTGATTCTGATGTCTGGGTCTAGATTTATGGCCACATGAGCCAGTTCAAATAATAGTGGGGTAATCTAGCCAATCTTATGGCTTCATAGCCAGTGAGCGTTTTAGATTAGCTTAGTAAAAAGAAGGAGGGGGAAAAAAAAAAATTAGAGTAACAAGTCCGGCCATCTCTAGAATCAAGAGTCAGTCTGTCATCATATTTGGTACAAGCTGGCTTTACTAACAATTCGGCGTCATTCTTTATAAGTAGCAACATTCTGCTAAAATAGCCCAGAGTGAAGATCCCCAGCCACCAAACGGGATGCCTAACACTAAGATGAATGATATGATAATTGACTAGATTTGCTATTTTGCCAAACCGAGTACGGCATAAGCTTCATGGTTGCCAGGCTTGATATAAGCTACAACATATGTCAGTCAGCCTTTCGAAGCAAAATGTGCCACTATCTGTACGCTCTTGGGCTCTTTCTTGGCCACTGTGGGCACTCGGACTATATCATTGAGTCCCTGTTAAAAGCCGTATTGCCCTGGCTAAATACAGGTCAAATAGCCTAAATTATATTTCGCCTTATTGAATATATCACTTGTTTATCCAAGCCGTGGTTTACCATTACATGATTCGCCATTCCGACAAGCTTGACCTTCTTAGAACGGCAAGAAACCTTTGATTAGCACCACGTCATCAGAGATCAGAGAAAGGAGTGGGAGTGTGGCCCTTCTCCTTGTGTCTGGCTATATATTATTTATCACGTGTCAATAATGGCTAAACTTCGGGGCAACAAATAACTCTTGTGATCAAACGACGCGTGCCAAGATGACTGTCCTGCGTGGGGCAGGCTCAAGCACGCTAGAATACCTAAATCCATACGAATTAAATGTTGGCCCAGATACCAAACTAGCTCTTCTGTGTCATGATTGATGGAAACTGTTGTTTACTGTCTTATTTGCGGGCCCCACGAACCCAAGAATGCGGGGAAAGTAGATTCGTGGGGGCGCCCCAGAAAGGCCGTAACGGGTTGATTTCTCTGAAGGATGTAGCTGAGGGGGTAGCTGAGGGGTTGGGAAGTATGGATTAAAGCTTTTTAAAAGAGCTCGTTGCCAATTTGTGTGACTTGATTTTTATCTAGACTACAATACTTTTCTTTCATTGCTGCTCATCCAGTCCGATCGGCATTACACATCACCATGCCAGCCACAGGTAGGGAAGAGCCTGATATCATCGCGCCCATTGATAACTCGCGGAGCTCGAATTGTCCCGCTCATGAGCACGTCGCGCGGTTTCTGGCGAGTGTGGAGAATGGTGACGACAATCGCGCTTTCACAGTCGAAGAAGAGAAGCATGTCTTGCGTCGCATCGATTTACGAGTTTTACCACTACTACTGGGTGCATACTTCTTCCAACAACTCGACAAGTCTGCGCTTTCATATACCTCGATCTTTGGTCTTTCTGAAGATGCCCACCTTGTTGGCCAACAGTACTCATGGCTCAGCTCGATCTTATATTTATCTCAACTGGTATTCCAACCTCTCGCTGCATTTTTGCTGGTGAAGGCACCCACGGGAAAAGTTATTTCAATCGCCATATTCCTTTGGGGAAGTACATTGGCGATCATGTCTGCTTGCACAGACTTTACGAGCCTGTTGGGCATGCGCTTTGCGCTCGGAGCTTTTGAGTCGATGATAGGTTCGAAAGTAGGCATGAGAAGCAAATAAAATTAATACTAACTATGTTACTTAGCGCCATCTTGTATTGCAGCCACTCAGATGTGGTGGCGTCGAGGTGAACAGACTTTGCGTGCAGCCATGTGGAATGGAATGAACGGTTTGACGTTTATAGTAAGCTTTGAATACTTGCCCGGTAGGTGCAACATTCATATATCCCAGTCTAACTAAAGCATCTTGTAGGTTGGTAGCCTCTTTACGTACGGATTGGGCCATATTCACAGCGATACATTATTTTCATACCAGATAATCTTCCTGTTCTGCGGTCTGCTGACAGTCTGCTATTCATTCGTCGTCTTGATATTCATGCCCGACTCACCTATGGAGGCTAATTGCCTAAGCGACCGCGAGAAATTCATTGCCGTCGAGCGTCTGCGTGCCAACCAAATGGGTATTGTTTCTCGGGAATGGCGATGGGACCATGTGTGGGAAACGATCTATGACTTCAAAACTTGGAGCTGGTTCTTTTTGATCATCTCGATATCGTGAGTCTTCACCTCCACTCTGATTATCTTGTCAAGTATCTTATTTTGCCCGCAGAATCCCCAGCGGTGGAATCAGTAGTTTCGGAAATCTTATTTTGGAGTCATTTGGGTACACGAATTTCCAGTCGATTCTGTTCAACTTACCGTTAGGCGTCATTCAGATTATTGCTATCTTGGGTGGTGGTTGGCTTGCCACTCGCTTCAGAACGAAGGGGGCAATAATAGTGTTATTTGCTACGCTTGCATCAATCGGTACTATTTTGTTGCTTGTCGTCCCACGAAGCAATAAGGGTGTCCTTCTATTTGGGTACTACCTAGTGCGTCCTATAATTACTCACTTCCTTTTGGTTGATCATACTTTGCTGACACTTACAAGGTCTCAACCTTGGCTGCCATCACTCCTATGATTTATGCCTGGGAAGCTCAAAATACTGCAGGTGATACGAAGCGAAAGTGCACATCAGCGGTTGTTCTTGTGGGGATGTGCACAGGAAATGTAAGTACCAATGCTGTACGAATATCTTTTAGATGATAAACCCTTCCTTACATCTTACTAGGTGATTGGTCCACAGCTCTTCTCGACCTCTCAGGCCCCGAAATACCGCCCAGGCCTGATTGCAAGCTTGATTATGTTTATCCTGGTGGCGGTCTTGTCAATGTAAGTGAAGTGAGTGACAATCATACTAGGTCCTCACTAACCTGTCTACAGTTTGACCGAGCTCTATTTGATCGCGCTCAACAAGAAGCATGCCAAGAAGAGGGAGATCCTTGGAAAGTCAGCCAATGCTATCGATGAATCAATGTTGACAAAGGATAAAATGGAGACAAGTAAGGTTGTAGAGCTCGAAGATGTTCGGGATATTCGGGACCGCAACGTTGCAGACAAGGGTTTCGCAGATATAACGGACCTGCGGAATGAGGATTTCATCTTTGTCTATTAGTCGCTTTGACGCGCCTACAAGCCGACTCGGAGAGATGATATATATCGATCTTTTTTTATGCAGACCTGGTGGATATCGACTTGGATCGGATTATTGAATTTTTAGATATACATACTTATGAGTAAAGAAATATATATATGGAAGAAATCTGGTGATGCATGCCATTCCTACGGCTGACTTTTATTGCCAGATTATCAGGCAGCTTCAGACCTCAGGAGCTTGGAATGTAGAATATTCTGAAAAATTACCAGCCATCTCTACAACAACCAGAAGGGAGAACAATACACAAACGCACGTCGCTGAAAAGCTACCAAAGACAGAAAAAAAAAAAAAAGAAAGAAAAAACGCAACAGGAAACCAATGGCGAGACGGTTTCGTCCTCCAAGCACATCTCGTCAAGCCTGTCTATCATCGCCCAGGGTCATATACATCAACTCTCTAGTAGTTGGGGATGCAAACACCATCGCTCCACTCAGTGGCGCCAACGCATTGCCAGCCGTCACAGCAAGCGATGCCACCATTCTGGCAGGCAGCCTTGTAGTCTAGAATCAACATAATTAGCAACTATACTTCCAATCTGTATTTTTTTCAATCGACTCACTGCCTACGCAGGTGCGCTTCTCGAAAGCATCAGGAGAAGGAGCAGCAGTTGCAACAGCGGCCAGAGTAGCAATAATAACAGTGATGAACTGCATATTGATGACTGAAAGTCTTTGGTCGGTGGATTGGTTGGTGGATTGTATTGTTTGGAGTGAGTTGATTGATGGGATTCAATTAACGAGGAGATCTACAGGTTTTATATTGTAGCCAAGCCATTATATAGAATCAGTTTCAATAAGCCTTAATGGAAATTCTCTAAGTGTTTCATGATCGTATACACATTAGGAATCATTTTGCCTCTAGGCATCTTGGCTCTATGTGAGCCTCCCTTTTACAGTAAGCGGTGAATTTTGTAACTTTCCTGTTCAGGTGCAGCCCCCGCCACCGCCCCGCAGTACAGTAAGCAGTAGTCGAGCCCCGCAATCCGACGAAGTACGAACAAAAGACCAAGTCAACTAGGTGTACAAGAGAAGTGAAAAACGCCTGCATTATTATTAGGCTCTCCTGGGGCTTGAGGATGAGAAATAAAATCTGCTCTGATTCAATGCATGACATAATAGTGGCCCGATGTCGGTTTGCAGAGCTGCGATCTTTCAGAGGTTTGATTGGTTGCTTGCTAATTTCCGATCCCGGAATCTGACCACTCAGGAACGCCGCCTGGCCTTCATGACATAGCTTGCATTTGATCCTTACTGCCTTCATCGCTGTTACCCCACCATCTTTTGAGTCTCCTCTTCTTCTTCCTCTTTCATTCCTCCGCCCTTACCCTACATACTATTCCCAAAAACTCGCAAACATGAGCCAGCCCTCAGTCTACTTCGACGTTTCTGCCAATGGCGGTATGCTCTCCTCTCACAGATCGCTTGACGATCACAAAGCTCAATTTGTGTCGAAAAACTGACGTTTCCCTTGAATAGACCCCCTCGGCCGCATTGTTTTCAAGCTTTACAGTGATGTAGTCCCCAAGACAGCCGAGAACTTCCGCGCTCTTTGCACTGGCGAGAAGGGATTCGGCTACGCTGGATCTTCCTTCCACCGTGTCATTCCCAACTTCATGCTCCAGGGCGGTGACTTCACCAACCACAACGTAAGTGTTCTCTCACAAAATGGAAGTGGTCGGATTATGGCGGGATCGGTTATTAAAATCCTATCCAGGGAACTGGTGGCAAGTCCATCTACGGAGAGAAATTCGCCGATGAGAACTTCCAATTGAAGCATACCAAGCCTGGTCTGCTCTCCATGGCCAACGCTGGTAAAAACACGTACGTCACGCGAAGAAAACTGCCTTCTCATCCTGTACCGAACTCCCATTAACCTGTCATTCCCCTATAGCAACGGATCCCAGTTCTTCATCACCACCGTTGTCACCGATTGGCTGGATGGTGCCCACGTTGTCTTCGGCGAAGTTACCGAGGGTATGGACATCGTTAAGAAGATTGAGGGCTTCGGTAGTGGCAGTGGAAAGACCTCGAAGAAGGTCGTCATCGACAAGTCCGGACAGATCTAGAAGTCTTGTATAGGTGATAAACTATTGCAAATCCCTGGTCCCAGAATTGACATGACTGCTTGACGCCCCCTTCGGGCTTGTCCTGATCTGCAAAATAACAAGAATTGGCGGAAGCCTAAACATCTTATAAATTTTCCTTCTCATTTTGAGGCGCGCCAAGCATTACGATGCGTAGGAAATGTAGATTGACACAATGAAATTGGGCCACGCATCTAGGATTATGATTTCGGCCATTGAAGTAGACTGTATGAGACAAGAAAATAAGGAAGGAATATGTTACTATACATGGACAAAGCTAACGTGCAATAAAAAAAGCATTGTCACCCTGTCGGAGAGACAGGTAAAGGAGTGGTCAATTGATATTTGATCAATATTCAGACTTTGTAAGTTGGCCAGGTCATTGCTTCCGAATGCTCGCGTTCTCATACTCTACGTCGAACTTTTGAACAACACTGATCCCGTAAGGGCCCGCATTCGAGGCCAAGCGCTGTTCTTCTTCCGAGCTGACGGACTTGACATCCACATTGATCATTTCCGTTGACTCAAAATCGTTACCAACTTTGACTGTATGTGTCTTTGCGTCCAACGGGTCCATGCTGTAATTGCCATTGGTAGCTGACTGCTGTCCAAGGCGGTCAAAAGTCCGTTCTGAAGATCGGCCGTATTTCCGGTCGGCGGAAGATCCTATCCCAGGCGCGATGGCGGCGATGATAGTCTTGAAGAACGGCATGTTGGCGCAGATGATGGCTAATTGAGGCTCCAGAACAGTCCACATGATGGGATCGAGCAAGGTGAATGTTGGGTCCTCAAAGTCGAGTTTGTAGATCGAGATAAGGCGAATGATGCTAATAATAGAAATTCTGAAGAAAGTAGAATATCAGTACACGTAAACCATGGTGAAAGGTGAGTAGATCGGCAATGCTTCACACGTACACAAGTCCCACACCAAATACTGAGGTAAGTCCAATCTTCTTTTGCATGTTAAGCTTTAGCTTCCAAATGTGAGGTAAAGGCAGTCCTATAACCATCGCGTCGGTTATGACATTCATGATGCCAGCGACCATAAAGGCTGCCGGGCGATTTCCGCAATGGCCCTCGATGGAAGTGTCCCAGTTGTAGATGAACGGTCGACAGAGCAAGAAGCATTCGAGGATGATGCTGGTTGCCCATGCCCAAACAATGAATAGGGCGACAATAACACCGGCTTTGAAGGTACCGTTAGATCCAAAAATTCGAACCATAAACAGAGCGATCGAAGTCTTGGTCATTCCGAGCGAAGTACCATAGAGAATCTCCACGGTCAAAAGCGACTACGTCTTCATTAGTAACAAGCGACTGTCATGGCCCAATAGCCCAGACACCTACCTTCAGTGCTATAACCCTGGATTGCGGTGCAACATCCTCCACGTGGAGACCCATACCTCCATACTTAATCACTTCAATCCTGTTAGAGCTCCTGTTATTCGGAAAAGGAAAAGCGGCAGAGATCTTACTGATCCAGAGTAGAGCGAGAGCGCCATACATCAACAGCTATAGAGGATTTTAGCTGAAAGATTAACCACGATGCGGTTGATAACTTTATAACTTACCACTCCCACCAGGATGAAGAGCTCGGAAAGTCCAGGCTTCAGTGCCTTGAGATGCATTGCATATAGGCGCACAATAGTAGCAATGGTTGCCAGGGCGCCGAAGACCGTTGCCGCCACCAACGGGCCCTGAATATAGGACGGACTAAGGCTATATGTCACAGCCATAGTGATAATATTTTGTGCGTGGTCAGGTTAGAGGAGGAAGAACCAGGCTAGGTAAAAAGTACCTTCTCCCCTCGATATATGCACGGCGCTTTTAGCAGACTAGCTTAAATACCAAATCACCGAAGCTGCAGGTTATGATCCACGTGGAGAACATACACTAGCTTCATTTTTCTCGTATTCCTTTGCGCTTAATTTTAACATTGAGCGAACCAATCTCCACTATATGCATAGGATGTCTCAGAGTTAAGAAACTCTACTGCTGCAAGCGCGATCAATGATTCTCCACAACTCAATTTTCTAGAAACTGATCTATTGACAATTGTGTTATGTTGCCCTTTATGGGATAGCGTCTTTAGACTCGGACCTTATCCGGTTTTTATAGTTTGCCCTAGAAGCTCAAAGTCTGGTAAACCAAAATTTGGTCCCGAAGATAAAGCGACCGATGATCGATCTTAATAGCGATATATGGAACAGAAGCATTTGCCATGTGATAGGTGGCACAATTGAATAAAACAATCACAAAAATAAAAATCAGGAGAAGAGGATGGCAAGAATCTATACCATTGGAAATCAAATATGGTGGAGTTGGTCCTCCGATCCGATCGCATGGATGTCAAGCCACCAGGCAATTGCCAAGCACATCGAGGAATCAGTACGATGTGTATCTCAGGGGCATCGCTAGAGACCACCTCATTCTATTTTCTAATTGAACTGTAAAACGCCCAAGTGGGGGAGCGAGAATTGGAGCTTTCCCCTATTGCCGATGGAAGTTAATTGGACCATGATCGACCCGATTCTGATCCATCTTTGACGGACACGATCAACATCAGCCGCCAAAGCACACAAAAAAAAAAGGAATATTCAGATTCTCTGCATCCTGCTGCTTTCACTATGGAAGGAATATGGAGACAAGAGAAATCGACAACTGGAAAAAAAAAAAAAAACTACCCTACGGATCTAAACATACATCGGGACCCGACCCACCAGTCCAACAAGGGAAATCCGGCCCATCTCACGAGGTCCAGCCCCGGTTCCACGGATGCCCTAAATCAATCGCCAAGAACCATAGAGTGAAAATTCCACCTGAAGTTTCCACCTGGACAAACATCTCTCAGCAATTCGGAGAATTTATCCAGGCTCACAGACCTCACTGAGAAATCAAGTGGTGACTAGAGTTTAGTTTGAGCGGGTCGTATATGGGAAAACTCCCACGTAAGCAATTACTGTGGAGTGGTCTGGTATTCCTGAGGCGACATTTAGTTAAAAATATGTGATTACCACAAAAATGATGTTCAATGATTGTGTCTCACACCCTGCTTTATTCATTTGTCGGTACTCTGCTGACTTCAATAACTTCATTTCTTCTGCTCCGTTACGTAGTGTCCACGGCCATATAAGTCATTGGATTATTGGAGTTGACAACGTTTACGACAAACTAAAAAAAAAAAAAAAAAAAAAAAAAATATAAAAACATACAACAGTCAGGATTCGCATGTGGTCACCCACCATACTACTAACTAACCGGCGTGTGGCTTAAGTACGGCTGAGCGGACGGGAAGCCCTGTTCTCCACACCCTATGGTCGTATGTACCATTTCGTACGTCTAAGTAAACTATATAGCATCAAATCGTGAAAATTAGTACAGGTATTCGACATGAGATGTGATTCGAGTCGAACTTTCACCATTAGTCACCATCACCCGAGTTTCAAGATTGCCGCTATGAATTAACTGGCGCACTGGCCTGTATGCGATTTTGGACCATGAGAGAATATCGTCATCTTTCAGTTTTGAAGGTATCGTGCAACACTAGCCTTAGAAGAGGCCATACAAATGGAAGCCAACATCAACGATATATATCCACATACACCTGGGCAGGTAGTCTACTTCAATTACCTACATCGTTGGTCTTCCCCTGGACAAGCATTATACTGTCCTACTGCGTTCTGTATATTGAACACTAAGTTTCCTCGTCTACTTCAAAAGCCGCAACGACCTGATTCACAGACTCGGTATCAATACATCATATTTCATGCTAATTGCTTATGGAAGGGTATTCCATCAGCTGCTAGCGTTTCTCTTGGGGTGAGAAGTCCGCCGAATATATGAAAGTATTCCAAATCATTCATTGCATGCAGAATACAAGGTTGTTTAATTGATATTCTTCCAGAGTGCGCGTTTGGAGGGTGTGGTGGTCTGTCCACGGGTATACACGCGCCGGGTCCACTTCGTATGGAGGTTTTGAAAGCCATGATGATTGTACGTAATAATTACATAAGCACGTCGCCAATTTTCACACAAATTTGTAGCTCTGACAGGCGCAATTGTTTTCTACGACACAGAAAAACAATCAATAAAAAAATTGACCGACGCAGGGGTCGAACCTGCAATCTCTTGATTCGTAGTCAAGCGCCTTGCCATTGGGCCAGCCGGCCTTGATGTTTAAAAGAAGTTTATAAACACCTCTTCAATCTCGTGCTGTCATTGCTATAGGTTAGAGCCGCTTTCATCTGGGGTGCATGCGGCTCATGGCCCATAGCGTACCTATACATAGTAAACGATCAGCAGAATATAGTGGTACTTAATCAATCCACGCTTTCTACTCTGCCAGTTATTAAATCGACCCCAGATCGAGAAGCTTGAATGCTTCCACCCGCCACACTTTGTCACCACTCTATGCCGACTGCGATTGGCCCAGGTTTAGTGCAGAAACGGAACTTGCGCATTTCAAGACATTGGATAAAGCGGAAACAGAAGCTATTCACATGAACACTTCTAGGGTAAATCCCGATCAGCAAACATTAGGCTCAGAGTATGAGATTCTGCGTGGAGATTTGGCGCGCATTCTCGTCGACCTCATAAAGGATCATGAGAATCTCAACTACATGCTCAGTGAACAGCTTTCTTCCATTGTGCAAGATGTGAGGAAAATGGACCTGTTGAGGTCAGATTAATATACGGAACGCCCTCATCAGAGTATCACCTTTTTCGCCTTGCTGTGGCCTGCAACGGTCCCACATCGCGGACAAGGGCGATTGAACTTCGCTGTAGTGTGCGCGACTATATTGAACCTGTGAACCCATGGGCGGTTAATTCTTCCATCTAAAAGGACATCCTCAACGGAAGTCAAATATGCCATGGATACAATGCCGTTGGTGGTCGAGTCATTTGCCCTTACTCCGCATTTTTCTGGTGGCAATCGCGTCACGCTCAAGGGATCCATCCAAGCAACGATCATGAACCATCTAGAGGATTTTGCGAGGCAAAGTAATTTGGCACCGAAGCACTAAAGAAGTTCATCGCTTAATACTTCAAAGGAGCAGGATGGAAATCCGATGAAGTCATTCAAGGGGTGATAAGTGCCGACGGCTTCTACGCTAGTGAATGGGCACAGGCCAGAACCCCACTTTGCACAAAGAATAGTTCGTGTTTGTCGTCGATGTGGACTATGCGCCCGGTCCAACAGGAACGGGTATCAGCCTGGCCATTGATGGGGCATATCTCGAAAGCATCGTGGGGACCAAAAAAAGGATTGAAGGGATATGAGGAGCAAATTCGACCTCTCATCAATGAGATGCAACAAATCCCTCCGCTTGTTCTTGGGATTTCTGCACCCCAGACGGCCTGGAGGGTCAGGCTCCGCAATATGGTTTTTCCGTTTATCTGTTGAAGTAGCCTTCTTCCGCTCTTAGACAGGCTCTTCGGTGGCGCCTTCAGTCACTCTGATGGGTATAAGGTGTCTGAATATCAGTGGGGAGCCTAAAGCCTAACTAGCCCAAGGAACAATGGCATGTTATTTGTAACTGAGGTTCTCGCAGCTAAACCAGTTTTTGTTTTTGTGTTTTAGTACGTGAATAAGGAAATCGTGCAGTTTTTGGCCTTTGTGAATCTCCCAATCCGCTTATCATAGACCTCATGATGTTGTCTTCATACATTAGAAACGCATGATTAATCCCACCGCGTCATGCAATATGCTGGCAACGGTGCCTTTTGATAGGTTGAGTTAATTCAAAATTAACGGATCTCGGTTCCCGGCTTTCCCGGAGCCATTTTTCGGCAGAAATAGACTCCGAGATTCAGGCTTGAACATTATTGAATAGACCGCCACCAAGATGACATGTGGGTACCCAGCAATTATGCAAACGAATATTACATTGCTGTTCATAAGATATGCCAACAATTCGTCATGATTGGTACAATATCATCGGCCCACCAATATGCTGAATAATCTGTCCTTGCCAGCTAGACCTCATGACGATATAAACCCAAGCACCGACCGTTCGCCATCGTGTCAATTTCCTTACCTGTGCAAGTACCTGGATATGTCGTCCACTCTTACCGTCCACCATTTACGCCGCTCTCAGTCAGAGAGAGTGATCTGGTTATGCGAAGAACTCGGCATTCCTTACAACCTCAAGTCGTATGACAGGGTGCCTCCTGACATGAAAGCCCCGGAGGAATATCAAAAAATCCACTGGTCTGGAACTGCGCCTGTTATTGAGGACGGAGGCGTGGCTCTCGCTGAATCCAACGCCATTTTTGAATATATTCTCACAAAATACTCCGACGGGCGCCTGTCTCTGCCCCCGACCCACCCGCAATATGCCGATTACGTCTTTTGGCTTCATCGAGCAAACGGAGGCACGCAGCCTGCTCTCGTTTCTCTGATGTTCTCTCGTCTCGGTGGCAAAGAAGAGAGCCTCGAGTCCAAATATGCACAAACCCGCGTGAATCAGAACTTCGAAGCCATGGACGCTCAATTGGCCAAGTTCCCATATCTCGGAGGCGATGAGTTCACCGCCGCCGATTGCATCTCGGTTTTCTCACTGACTACTCTCCGTCTCTTTGGCGCTTACTCCCTTGAAAAATACCCGAACATTGTGAAGTGGCTTCAGCGAATCTCACAACGCGAGGGCTATAAGCGTGCTATGGAGAAGGGAGATCCTGGTTTGGAGCCTGTCATTTGCGCCCATGCCCCAGAGAACACTATCTGGTAAAAGTTCGATGATACTGCCTTTCCGAGCGATCTTCGACGATGAAGAATGCATTTCAACATTGGGCCAGAAGTATCTTTCCTGGTAGTTGGTTTCCAGTTGTTGGAGAAATTTGAGTTTTCGTACACTCCATCCACATATCAAAGACCATATGTACATGAAAACAAGAAATGAACTCGGATATATCATGCAATGCAGTAGTCAAACACGACCTGTCTATGGGACCTTCGTATTACTGACGGAGGAGAAAGAACTAATTCTATATACTGTCGCTCCAATGCAATGTCGTCTATGCTGAAATGGCCCCGGCTTCCTTCAACAACTTCTTTAACTCATTGGTAGACTTCCCCTGAAGATCTGAATTCCCGCCGATATGCTTCTGCTTGATAAAGATGTTGGGAACAGTGCGTTGGTTTGAGATCTCTTGCAGAGCAGCTTGCATGGCTTTCCCATCCTCTTTTGACCACGGCGATCAGCATTTTCATCAACCATGGACACAAAGACTGTTGGGTAGAGGCGTAGGAGTGAATATAACATACTGAGCTTATCTAATTCCTGGACCGTGAACGTGGCACCCATGTCTTTGAGCTTCTTTTTAGAAGCAGTGCAGTACGGGCAAGAAGCTTTCGAAAAAACAACTGGGCATTTCATTAGCTTTCTACCCCAGAATTGAAGTAAGGATATGGATTGATATTTGGCATACCAACGCCGTTTTCACTAATTATTTTCAAAACTTTCGCCTTGGTGGCTGACATGTTTGAAATTTTGAAAGTCCGAGTGATTGACGATATGCGACAGCAAATATATGCGCCTTCGAATTATGATTTATCTCGCGATGTCTAAAAGGGAAGCAATATATTAGAACCGGGAAGAGTTTGGGCTGTGGATATAAATCAGCTTGGCGTCTAGAACGATCGAAGTGATAAATCTGCTGCACGTGACCAAGACACAGGGGCTGGAGCCACGTGACTCGAACTGATAAATTACATACGAGTAACATGTATTTATGACGCGTGTGTACGCGTGGTAAATATCACAGGTGAATGACCTGGACTCAAATGTGGTGTCAATTGCATCAACATGGCCAACATCACCAGTCCAAATTTCTTCGCAAAACCTTGTCAACCATACCAGCTGAGCCACCCATGCTCCGCTTTGTGTTCGAAATCTCCCTAAACACAGAGCGCCCAAATCGGTTATACAATGGAAGCACACCTCCAGCATCAAGAAGAGTTTTCTCCATTTCCGACTGCTGATAATGGAAAATCTGATCCGTTCCCTTAACCTGGACTGTCCTAGCCTGTCGATCTATAATGACGATAGAATCTTCGTTTGCGAGCGTGTAAAACTCGGGATCCGGTAAGGTGATGTTGAACAGGCCCATATTGAGCTGGTTTCGGTCATCTGATCGCTCGTTGGCTCCTCAATCTTGTTTAAAAAGGTTACGCTTTCTGTAAACTTACAGATAAAGGCAAATGTGGGCGCAATAACCGCTTCAATGCCTGCTCCTTGCAATGCTCTAACGGCATCTTCACGAGACGAGCCACTGCCAAATCCACGATCTGCAACACTGGTAATGGTAAGCCTCGCATCTCAAATCTTGACGTTTGATCACACTACTCACATAATTCTCGACCCATCAGCTGCTTTTTGTCGGAAAATTGGCCGATCGTACTCAAAGCAGTGACTGCCCAGTTCGGCGTTATCGACACCCGGCACAAATTCAGCAGGGATAATCGCATCACTGATTTCTTGTTAGAAGCTGCTTGGGACGAGAATACTCGTCGACTTACGTATCAACATTTTCACCGAAACGCTGAACTTTTGACTGAAGAACGTCACGAGTGGAGGAATTGGCTGTTTCTCCTGGGAAAGCAGCAGTCTCAGTGGGAGTGCTAGTGCTACCGTCAGCAACGACTGGGGTGATATCGGATGCAATATAAGGATCAGGCTCGCTGATCTCAGGTGCAATGGTCAAGGAGACCTTTTCACTACCCAGGATCTTGTACAGTTTCACCCTATCAATTTGATTCAGCAGTGGCCGGGCATCAGTGACTACCATGTCAAAGCTCGAGGCGGCAACCACTGCAGCGCAAGTTATACTCCCAATAGCTCCTTTGCCCATTCGGTTTCGGAAATTGCGGTTCTGCGAGGAAAGCCAAACTTCTCCTTCACCAGCGACGTCAACATCGTTGATTCCAACGCAGTATGAACAGCCGGGTGCTCCAACATCAAATCCTGCCTGCCGGTAGATGTCTAAGATGCCGTGTCGTTCAAGGTGCTTGATAATGCTGAGACTTCCAGGGGTGACCCTTCTGCGTCCTTCGCAAGGAACTAAGCCTGTGCGCAGACCGGCATCTAGTACCAGGGCTCCGACAATCAAGTCTTCTTCGGTGGTAGTGCAAGCTCCGATAAAGCACCCATCTAACTTCGTGCCAAGTTTCTCTCCCACGGGCACAACATTATCCGGGTCGGGATACATAGCAATGGTTAACTCAACCTCAGAGAGATCGACAGTGCGCACCTCGGCATACTCGGCACCTGAGTCCGCTCTGAAGTAAAGACCTCCTTGATGCTCCAAATGCGGCCTTCGAGAGATCCATTCCGCAGTGCTGTCATCAGCCTCGAAGCACGCACCCATACCGCCGAACTCAGTTGTCATGTTTGCAATAGCGAACCTGGCATCCATGGACAATTCCTTCAATCCCGGGCCACCGTATTCCACTGCACGTTGGAAGGCAATGGTGTTTCGCTTGAAAATTCCGAGGATATGGAGAATGACATCCTTCCCACCAACGCCAAATGGTAACTTACCAACAAAGTTGATGCGGCAGATCTCAGGCACCCGGAACCAAGTCTCGCCTGTAACCATCGGCATGACAACATCCGCAGCTCCAAGTCCAACAGCTAGACCTCCAACACATCCTGCGGAACAGGAGTGAGAGTCACATCCGACAATAATTTGTCCGGGCAGAGCTCGGTCACGCGTAAAATCGGTATGGAGGATGCTTGTGTTCGCTGGGAGGAAGTTCACAAGCTTTGCTTCACGCTGGAAGCTTTCAGCCTTTTCAATGAGTCCTCGTTGTCGGGGCTGATGATTCGTCCGTGGGTCAACAGTGTGATCAATTGCCAGCCACATGCGATCATTGCGATGCAGACGAGGTCGACCCATTTTTTCATATGTTTTCTCCATTCCCGCCCAGAGGATCTCGGATGTCAAAGTCCAGTCAACCTTTACGCAGATGATCTCCCCGGTTTGTACTTCCGGTTTGCTCAAGCCAACCGCGGCGTGGGTCATAATCTTTTCAATTACACCCATTGGACGTCGTTGGCTTGTAGGAGCTACGCATGGCTGCCTGGGCAACGCTCGGGTTTCTGTCTCGGATCTGGCCGCTTCGAGATAAGAATCTAGATGCTCCATGAATTTGCTCATGAATCTTTCCGGAGTGGCTACTCCACCGGCATAAGGAGTCCGGATGTTGGAGCCGACAAGTTCGATTGGGTCCAGAGTTCGGCGGATTGCTCTGGTTACTGCTGCAGCTTCTGCACTTAGACCGAGCGATATGTCGAGCATCAGGCTTACAACCGGTAGGATCGAGATCGGATCCACCATGTCGCTTTGCGCACTCATTTTTCCAGGCTTGAAAATACCAAAGTTTCCGGCGCCCTTCTTGGATGGAATTGAGACATTTGCCGATGCCAGCAGGCCATCTAGCCCCATGCTGACGCGAGCCTTACTGAAGAGGAACTCTCCATCCGGCCCAGTGGTCAGAACGATCCCGTTCAGCTTATTTGGTTCTGAATACAGGGCTTCCGCCGATGTAGCGGTCGAAACATGATGTAGCGGGACACGTGGAAAGTGTTCGTTGAATACTTCGGTGACCACGGACTTCCAGAATGGCGTCAATGACAGTACACAATGGACAGGCTTGGGTGGGTGAGAACGCATAGCGTATGCTCCTACCCAGAGTGCTAGTTGTTCAATTGTCTCAGGAGGGGTCTCACTCCCCATTTTTGTATGGGTACTACCGCCAACGAAAGTGATGTCAAGCCCCTGGAAAGCGCTCTTGTTCCGCAGTCCTTCCGGGATGAGCCCAGTGCTTGGGTAAAATACCGGTTGGAAGTTGGCAAAACCGCCGAGGTCTCTGATATGCTCACTTCCAGGCGAAAGATGAACATCTCCGCACAGGAATACGGCATCCGAGTCTTGACCCGCCGGTGACGAGGCATTGAGTTCAATCACAGGAGAATCCTGGATATCGAATATGATTCCAGGTCTGGCTGTTTGGATGAAGCCTAGCACATCTTTGGCGAGAGATGCCATCTGAGCACCGACCTCATCTCCAGACACAAGGCTAACCTTGGCTCTCTGCGGTTGGGGTGGAGAAGACATAATCTCGGTGTTGAAATTGTTGTGAAGTACGTGCCACGAAACTTACCAGCGCCGGGGCCAGAGCCTAATATATAGCCTTCAATTCCGAAGTCGGCGGCCACGTCGCTTACATTCGGTTTTCCTCTTATTTGTTATTTTCGCTCTTTGCGGGGCCTTTCGCGCTATCACGAATTTGCTATGGCTATGATTCTACGTGCAAGGCGGGGTGGATTACTCGCACTCGTGGGTAACAGAAAGTGAAACTTCAGGAAATAGCTACTATTTCTCTTCGTTTTCATGTGAGAAAATAGTCATGCGCTAACGCTGCCAGGAAATGACAGATATCTAGGTGTGCGGTTGGTCATTCTAAGCTACCCCGGCCAAATAGAATCACAGCTCGCTGCCCACTAGCTGTTTTTTATCCTTCAGTTCGCATAAACGATCGGCAAGAGTCTCAGAAACTGCCGACTCGATGGAAGCTTTTCTTGCATATCCTGCTACAGGTCAGTATTCCGTCTAGTAACGATAACGTACTCGGGTATGAGGAACACTTACTAGAGCGGATGACAAACACGCCAATGCAATAGCGACATCTCCACGCTTGGCAGCCCTCGCGCGCCAAACATCTCTACATTTAACCAGCGCGATAACAAGAGGCTCTCCATCAGCTCCCTGAATACTACGTAGCACAACCTCAAACTCCAGATTGAGAGCAGCCAAGGATGAAAATGCAAATGAAACTGCATCAGCGGCATTCTCGCCCGTAGCCACGACCTCACGAGGCTGACCCCGAACTGAGATGATAGACCGCATGATAACGCGACCTGAGCCATCCGGCTTCGTAGTCACTGAGCACTCCAGAATACGGGAATCATTCTCCAAAATTGAGTAATGGCGCAGGAAGGAATGCGTGATTTCCGCCTCCGTAAGCCAGCGCTCCTTCTCCTCGGACTCAGACTTGACGACTTTGGAAAACGCCTGCTGGAACTCCTTCGGCAATTCCAGGTTCAATGTTCGCTGGAGAATCCAGGCAACACCACCTTTCCCGCTTTGAGAATTAATGCGGATAACAGCCTCGTATGACGCACCGATATCCTCAGGATCAATGGGGAGGTATGGGACTTTCCATATGCTGCTTCGATCAGGAGCGGCTTTCCCGTCACGCCATTTCTTGAATCCCTTATTGATGGCATCCTGATGAGATCCAGAGTACGCCATGAAGACCGAGTCACCGGCATAAGGAGCACGGATATGCACAGGGATCTGTGTGATTTTTTCCACGATCTTCCTAATAGAAGGCAGATCGGAGAAATTCAATCCTGGATCCACACCCTGACTGTAAAGATTCAGGGCTAGGGTAACGAGATCGACATTTCCAGTTCGCTCGCCGTTTCCGAAGAGACAGCCTTCGACGCGAGTCGCACCAGCCAGCTGACCCAATTCAGCGGCAGCGACGGCACAGCCGCGGTCATTATGCGGGTGAAGAGAAATGACAACGTCTGTGTCATCCGCGAACGCACGAGAGAAAATCTCTACCTGATCCGCATATGTATTGGGTGTGCACCGCTCGACGGTAGCGGGTAGGTTAAGGATAATGGGAATATCATCTGAGGAACCCCAGGCCTCCTTCACGGCTTTGCAGACAGCAATAGCGTAAGACGGTTCTGTGTCTGAGAATGCCTCGGGACTAAACATCAAGTTCCAAGTTGTGTCTTGTTGAGCTGGATCGTCTTTTGTGATAGAGCGCGTGTATTCGACGCATTCGACTGCGGTGTGGAGGACGGCTTCTTGAGTGGAGTCAAACATGGTTGTGATGAAGCTATCGCTAGTTGCGATATACAAGCTTATGATTGCCTTCTTTGCGCCTGTAACGCTGTCGACTGTGCGTCGGATAAGCTCTTTGCGGCATGGCGAGAGGACTTGCAGCCATACGTCGGAGGGAGCAGAGGCAACGACGTTGCGAGTGAAATTATACTCAGTATCAGATGCGCTGGGAAAGGAGATGTCGATCTCTTTGAATCCAACACGAAGGAGCATTTGAAAGTACTCCCATTTTTGCTCCACGTTCTAGAGGATGTTAAAAAATTCCTTTGTTATGCACAGTAAACAAACGTACCATTGGACAAGCAAGAGCCTGGTTACCATCACGGAGATCAGTCGCCAACCAACGTGGCCTCTTTGTGATTCTTTTGGAGGGCCATGTTCTGTCTGGGAGGTCTGGAGGGTCGAAAGCATCATATTTTTCGGAGGGGTTGCAAAGCCTAAGGTAAAATATGTCAATGTGTGGCCAATGGAGAAGAGGGAAGAAGAAGGACAGAGTATAGGGTCTCTCCGCACGTACATAGGCATGGTGATCAGGAATTTAGGAGACCTTTACTCTCCCTCACTCTACTCGTGGGGCACACAGTCTACAATTTAAATCATATGCTTACTCTCCCCTCACCATGAAGGAAGCCACTGAAGGCCAAATCCCGTCATCACATTTTTCCATTATCGTAATCCATTCGTCTACCCCACACGAGGGGTTCCAGCTAAACGATACCAGACACAACGGTCCTCATTCCATATCGTAATCTATGGCTTTACGGATCATGCATGTTTGGTCCGATATTCGCTTGCAAGGAGGCAGTGCTGTTCGCCACGGTCTAACTACAGGGATGTATAGCTGCATGATCTTAGCGTTTCGTTAGGCCCACCACATGTGCGTGATTTTGAATTTGGTCAGACTTTGGTCGATCTTGATTTGTGCGGGGCAGCCTTTGAGCCGCCATGTAGTAAGCGATGTCTGGCTATTGGTTAAATTTCCTGCAGGATTCAACATGCAGGTACTTATGAATCTAGTACAAAAGCACAAGGCTCCCGAGGTCGGCGTGTCTCAGTTCTATACCGCGGGCTATCTGGAGGGGCATTATGACTAATTACGTGGATTCTTTTGCAAATACAGCTTTCCGCGGATGGGTCTTTTCGTGGATAATTAGTTTCAGGTATTCAATTGGTCTGATACATCATATCTTTCCGAACTACTCTCGGAGTTTCCATTCGTGGCGGCTTTGCTTATCTTGCAATATTATGAGTATCAATCTGGCGGAGAACATGTCTCGATGCTATAGTGAGTTCAAGCCACTAAGCGTGGCAATGTAACGCTGTTCCAAGATAGTGTAACCCCCTGTCATGTAGACCGGCAGTCAGCTAGATCGGTAGTCAGCATGATCTAATACTCCCTCAGTATGAGGTAGGATATAAACCACCTTACTCAGAAATGACTCGTGCATATCAATCCGCCAATGCAGATTACAGGGGCCAATCCTTCACGCCACCTGCCAGTAAGGCCCCAATGTGTGGATTGTTCGGCTTCGGACTTTCCCCGCTTGCATTAATCAGGAAACTCGTAGTAACGATAGAGTAACAGAAATGAAAGATAGAGTCAGTCTATCAGCTTCGTTACCCCAAGATTGCTTGTGGGGCTCGCACCGGTGTGGTCTGACGCTTTACAATTATCTTATAAACCCGTATAGTCCACAAGGTCACTGGTGGGCCAGGCTGACTTCACCCAAATTCATCATGTCAATTCCCACTCTTGATGCCTCTGCGCTCTCAGGAGGAACTGCTGAGCAGCGTGCTGAGTTCGCTGCGAAGCTCCTCGATAGTTTGAACACATTTGGCTTTGCGAAGCTCGTGAACCATACTGTTCCTGTTCCACTTGTCCAAGAAACCTTTGATCAGGTACATAACCCTATATCCTCAATGTAAACGACCAGACTAATCATTGATTGGATAGATCAAACGCTTCTTCAAGCTCCCTTTCAATGTCAAGGTTCCGCTGAGAAACGACCCCAAAAAAGGTCAGCAGCGTGGATGGAGTGTCCCAGGAGAAGAAAAGACATGGTGGCTTGAAAGCAACACCGGTGATGTGAAAGAGCCCAACTTCGGTGACAACAAGGCAAGTACATTCGAGAATAAGTATTGAGCCGCTCTAACGTCTTCCTTGTTATAGGAGAGTTTTGACTGTGGACACCCCGACGACCAAAAATTCCCCAACAAATGGCCCTCGGAGTCCGATCTACCAGGGTACCAGAAGACGATGGACGAGTTTTTCTTCTCTTGCGGAGATCTCACGCTAGTCCTTCTGGAGTCTATGGCCACCGCGCTAAACCTAGACCCGAAGGTCTTCACGTCCCGATGCACCAATGAGGCTAGCACAATTCGCATCAACCACTTCCCTCCTATTGAGCGGGCAACTCTAGACGAGGGCAAAATCAGTCGCATCTGGCCACACAAGGACTTTGGTATCATCTCGCTTGTGTTTCCGGATGTAACTCCCGGTCTGGAGTATGAGGACCGGAGCAATCCCGGAACTTTCATTCCCATGCCATATGGATCTGATGAGGAAGTTGTTGTTATTGTCTCCGAGACTATGCAGCGATGGACCAATAATCAGATCCCTGGCGGTCTCCACCGTGTGACCCGGCCCCGCGACTGTGAGGGGGAGACTGTCCCAGAGCGGTGGAGTCTTGTCTACTTCAACAAAGCGGACCGCGATGTGAATGTCGGCCCTCTTGACGAGTTCCTCGGAGATAAGAAGCCCGTATACGAGGATTTGACGGCTCTGGAGTACCAAACCCTGAGAAACGCTGCTCATTACCCTGGTTAGATATTAGATAGCCTAAATTGAACAATTTGTTCCGAAGTTGATACATATCTTTACGTAAAAGTTGCATCAGTATTTACATAAAGTTGCCTAGGTACATAAAGACTAAGTTCACATGTGCATTTTTTTGCTTGTGCCCCTGCAATGATTTCTCCAACTTTCAGGGGCGAGAAGACTTGAAGGGAAAATCCTCGTATTGCCCCGCTCTAACTGCATGTGGAATTTGGTTTAAATCGTTTACAGTTTGGGCGCGGCCCGTAGCGCTGGCGAGTGGATTCGTCACGAGTGGGTCTCTTCATGATTACTGCTACTTTGACCAATACTACTTACTGCGGACCAATACAATGTCAACGGTGGCCTGGTCTCAAAGTTTCGCCTCAGGGCTCTTGGCAAGGTCAAGGCCATCAATCAAAACACTCCACTCATGCTCATCTTCACCATACTGTCTAGCTTCGATCCACTTCCTCATCTTGGTCGCCACACTCTCCTGCACGGATGACTTTCCGCAGCTAATCTCACGTCCCTCCCACCGAATAGACCCAATTGGGCTGACAACTGCCGCAGTCCCGGTACCAAACACCTCCTCCAAGTTCCCCGCCACAGCAGTGGCCTCCAACTCACTCATAGAGATACTCCGCTCTTGGACTACCCAACCATGTCCCTCCAACTTCTCCCGTGCCAGCCTCAGCACACAATCCCGGTTAACACCTGGCAAGATCGTGCCATCCAATGGCGGCGTCACGAGTTCGCGATCCCCGTCCGGTCTGCGGACAACCACGAACAGATTCATCGTCCCGGCTTCTGTTACTAGATTATTTTCCCCAAAAAGCCAAAGAACCTGATCTGATCCCCGTTGTCGGACCCATGCTTCCGCCATCATGCAGGGGGCATAATTGGCCCCGACTTTGTGGCACCCACTGCCACCCGGCCACGCACGCACCCATTGCGAGCTATTCGCCGCTTCCAACGTGATGGCTTTAGTTCCATCCTTGAAGTAAGAGCCGACGGGCGATGCGACTACGTATAGCAGCGCGGTGGTGGGTGGTGAGACGCTCAGGCCTGGATTAGTTCCGATTAGGACTGGGCGTAGGTACAGCGAGTACCCTCGAATACTAAATCGGTCAGTATTCAAGCTTTGATCCACACCATTCCATGGGTGGCTTGGGAAAATGTGTTCTTCTTGGGCCTGGCTTGCTTACGAGGGTATATGCCGAGACTCCATGGCCACGAACTCTGACAGAAGAGCCAGGAATGCGGTAGAATCGAATGTTGGGAGTGCTACTCGTGCTGCAGATTCGTTCAGGCGTGCGATGTTTACTTCTGGTCTGAATAGTCGCGGTCGGCCCTGTGCGTCTTTGTATGCCTTCATGCCTTCGAAGCATTCGAAGGCATAATTGAAGACACCGGCGGTTGGATCAATGCTCAGATTACCATATGGAATAATCTGAGGCTCGTGCCAGCCGTGAGACTCTGACCATTGTACCTGAAGCATATGGTCTGCGCGCCCCGTCAGCTTCTGCTTGCCACCCTCCAAGTTGATTTGATGTCATACCGGTCACATTCTTCCCAAACTGCAGGTTATCGGGATTGGGCAGCTCGGCTGGCTTGGGATTGCGAGTAACCCGCAGCTTGCTTGCGTCTAAGGCCGCCAACGTAGAAGGTGGTGCTGCCATCATCAATGGAGACTGTTCTGTTGTCATCGTGGAATATTTGCAAGTGATTATGATACTAGCAGGCTTATTGTCTGAACTTCATGCGAACATATATACGCTTTAATAATGTAGTCACGGTCCGATCCAGATCCTAGTGGGTGGCCTATTTTAAAACGTGGATCCATGTGAGACTTGTACTTTTGTATCTTCATGGCCCGCCAGCCAAGACTGTAGGTGAGTTCCGGTTTGTTCCACCTCAGCTGAATCAGCGCTAAAAGTACGGAATAATTCTCCACGTGCCGAAATCGGACCCCAAAACTAATCACGAAGTTCTGATACAGTTCTTTTGATACGGAGACTTATGTACACATGGTGAATTTAGCACTAACGTGCAGCCTTCATATAAAGTGGGCCGTGGAAATAGATGCTCTTAGTCATTGTCCCGATTAGATAAGAGAGTGGATCACGTCCGAGATACATGACTCATCACATATGGAGACTGGCGGTGTTCAACTTAGTCCCTTTCATGCATTACTTCCAGGGTTCTCGAGTAAAGGCCAATGCTCTCGCTGGTAATTAGCGCACCGCTCTTATCACCGAAAATACAATGGTTGGCCCAATCAACTACGCGGTGTATAGCCACCCTATGAGGTGATCATCAAGGCCCCGCAGCAGCATCTCCATCTCCACCTCGGAGTTTCCCGCATCGAGACTGGTGTCAAAGCCAACCAATCCGGTGCAGGATCTCCCATCCAGGGCGCCCTGTGGATGATTCCTTTGTTCTCTGAATCTTATTAATTTTTCACGCCAAAATTCTCTTTCACCCTCGTGAGAAACCTTCCCATAGTTGACTTCCCTTACCCTGGTTGTCGACTTTGTCTCTCGCAATGGAGGAAATAGGAGGCTCACACTCCTCGGTCAACCAGACCGAAAAGGGGCTTCACACCCCTCTAGAGGAGACGAATGGCGCTACCCACCTGTCGAATACTGATCATGGCAAACTCCCGCCTATGGATGGCGGCATGAACGCATGGCTTTTCCTTGCTGCGTGCTTCGTTATGGAAGCCCTGGTGTGGGGATTTGCCTTCACATATGGTGTGTTCCAAGAATATTACAATTCGATTCCTGAATTCAAAAACAATGGCAACATCGCTGTCGTCGGAACATGTGCTATGGTAAAGACATCAATATCTCTCCCTCACAACACATGTCACAAAGCTAACAAACCACCTCAGGGAATTATGTACCTTGACCTTCCTATCGTCTTCGCTGCTTACAGACAATGGCCAAAATACCAACGCCTCGGCTGCGGTGCTGGCGTTCTTTTGATGTGTCTCGCCCTGGGACTTAGCTCTCTCGCCACAAATGTCACCCATTTGATTATAACCCAAGGAATCTTTTACGCCATCGGCGGAAGCATCGCCTACTCTCCCTGCATCCTCCTGATGGAAGACTGGTTCGACAAACGCAAAGGTCTAGCATTCGGCGTGATGTGGGCCGGCACCGGACTAGGCGGTGTTGTCCTCCCCATCGTCATGCAACAGTTACTCGACCGATTTGGATTCAGAACTACACTGCGGGCTTTCGCCATTGCGCTTTTCCTTCTCACTGCGCCGCTTGTTTACTTTGTTAAACCTCGTGTGCCAATTCCTAAGAACCGGCCTAGTCCACCGCCGCCGAATCTGCGGTTTATTATGACCTCTACCTTCGCACTCTTTGAGCTTTGCAATACTATTGAGGCCTTGGGATTCTTCTTGCCGTCACTTTATTTGCCGACTTATGCCGGAATGATTGGAGCTTCGAGCAGTCTCCAAGCTTTGACTGTAATTCTTTTCAACTTGGCTTCTGTCGTTGGGTGTGTGCTTATGGGCGCTATTATCGATAAGCTCGATGTTACGGTTTGTATCCTTGTCTCAACCATTGGGTCTACTCTGGGCGTTTTTATCATTTGGGGATTCTCCATGTCGCTTGCTCCACTATTCATCTTTTCGATTGTTTACGGCCTGTTCGCAGGCTCGTACACCAGTACCTGGCCAGGTATCATGCGTGATGTTGTCCGTAAAAAGGCCTCGGCTGAGTCAAGCATGGTGTTTGCTTGTCTTGCGGCTGGAAGAGGAATCGGAAATTTGGTTTCCGGTCCACTCAGTGAAGCTCTTGTCAAAGGATTGCCATGGGAGGGAAAATTGGCTTATGGATATGGCAGTGGGTACGGGACGTTGATCGTTTTCACGGGCGTGACTGGTGTTGTTGGTGGTGGCAGCTATCTCGCCAGGCGTTTGAAGTGGCTGTAGACTCTTATTTTACCCTTGGCTCAGTGCTATACGAGCGCTTTGCGTTGCTAAAAGTACCTATTTTGCACGCTTTTTCTTAGCAGAACGATATATCACAGCAATTATTGTATAGCAACAATTATATAGATCTCAATTGGCAGACATCATCTGTGGTACATAACGTTGAAGCCTATGTTATAAATCTAAAGCATTTCTGAAGATGGCCCATTGACTCGACATCCATGGATCCACTCAGCTCTGCTCTTTGGAACATGTTTGGTGAGAATTCAAGGAATATTCAGAACTACAATTGTGGGGGAAAATCAAAGTGGGAGAAAGTCACAAAAATGGTATTTTCACCTTCCCTTATCATGCTCCTGAACTCGGCGACACTAACTGTCATGATACCTTAAATGACATTCAAGTCCAACAAAGACAATCGAATTCCAAATTTCAACGAGGACTTTCGATAAATTAACTTTTCCATGGAGCTAATGGGAAGCCGCTTTGACCCTATATACAAGTTTCGCCCCCAACTCTGTCTTACCCCTCTTCTTGGTTAATTCTAGGCATTGCGTGATTGCCAAGGTGCATAAAGGTGTAGACAGACGTCTGCCCAAGTGTGCATTATTCTTTTCGGCAATCTTTTCTCTGTTGCTAGGTACTAATGAGATCAATACAGGCCAATCCTGATATTTTGTTTGCAATTCATTTTTTATTCTTAGATTCAGTGCACTTGAGGGTACCCGTCTATGGAGGTGGCTTGCAGACTGCTCAGGGGGCCCTATGTTGGTGACGTATATTTGGCCTCTGCCGTAAAATAGGAAGAGTTCAGGGCATGGAGCCACAAGATCCATTTTGGCCTGAGAGATAGGGCATGGATGAGTAAGCGCACCTTTCCCCAGGTCCAAGGTTGGTTGAATATTCCGAATCTCCTTAAATTCTACCACCAAGTGTCTTATGGTTATATATTCAGACTAGAATTACAATTGATTATACATCTTGAGGTCATATAAATACCTGGTGATTATTTACATAATCAGATGCCTTCGTGGTCTAGTTGGTTATGACGTTGGTCTCATATCACTTTCATATGACGCTCCTGTTAACAGGACTGCTATCCGAAGGTCTCCAGTTCGATCCTGGACGAGGGCATTCTTTTTCCTATTTAGGTTTTCTTTTTCAGTTTTTTTTAATATTCAATTCTTTCCTCTAAGAGCATTTCTTCATAATCCAGTACTTCAACAAAATTCGATCGAGACAGCGGATCTCAGGTTTCGGGAAAATGAGTGGTAGTTTTAAAGATATAGGAGGCACACTCGCGGCAATCTACTAGTGTAAACAATATTCAAATTCCTTGAATTGACTATTCTGATTCCCTTGATAGGTCAACATATCCAAGGGTATTTCTCAAGTGCTATTGGAAACTTCTTTTCAAGCATCTGGACATCGCATTCCTCAGTTGTGTTCGCTCGGAGGCTCGGATTTGGTATCCCCTCTTTGAATGCTCAACACCGTGGGAATAGCTACCAATAAACTGGCAGTTGTTAAACCCCAATTCATTGCAAACTGAGTCATAGCACTAACACCCTCAGCATTAATTCTCCAGGCCATCGCACCACCTGCTGGTTTCAATGCCGAATATGCCCCAATGATGACTGCATTCACCACGGGGTCGCGGGACCGAGCCCCCATGATCCAGTAGCAGAACGCTTGCCAAAAGGAGTCGTAGGCACCATAAAAGAAGTAAAGAAACATAGGCCCAAGGAATTTTTTCCCTTCCTTGTAGTCGATGTCTTGTTTCAGACCCTGCTGTAAACGCAAATCATCCCAAAGCTGAAATCGGTAGCCTCCACCCCAGATCGCCATCCCGGTGACAAATAATATAGCCCAGCCGAGTTTGGCCCGAGTGCGGCGATTTAATCGTGGAAGATCCAGTAGAAACCCCATTAAAAGGCCCCCGACCATTTGTGCGATCCAGTAGAGGGCGCCATTGAGGGCGCGGGTACGTAGGTTGAATGTCTCACCATTGACATCGTTCTGTTGATAAGAATAGAAAATATTTGCCGTGAAGAACATAGGATAGAGGCACACATTTTTCCAGTCGAAAATGATCCGGAGTGCTTCTATCACAGTGCTCTTAAGGTTTCCCCAGTTGAAGGCCTTTGATTCTTCACTGATGCGATTGCCGTGGTAGTTTTGCGAGAGATCTTCCGTTGAGCACACGAAGACTGATAACAGCCACCCAAAAAGCATGATAACAATGAAGGCCACATATGTTGAGTTCGTCACTGTCCCAGACTCGGAGTGGTAGTTGATGCCAAAACTGGCCAATGATCCAACGGTCGCACCGAGATTAAAAACAACCCAGAAGACACCAATGGCTTTTCCACGCGTATCATCGTTAGTATAAGTCACCATAATGGTTCCTTGAGCAACCCAGAAGAACGCTGCTCCTAAACCCAGAAGTGCGCCCGCTGCAATCACGAAAGGGCCGCCGTCTGTGGTCCGGTCGGAATTCAACAAAGATCCAGCGTAGAGAGCGTATGTCCAGCCACCGATGAGAAGCGATATACGTGGGCCCAAGTACCTGTAAAAGGAGCCGGCTAGAACCAATGCGGCTCCGGCTGTGCATGCATGAGTTGCGACAGTGGCGTTGGCCGAGATTGTGCTGTTGACTTGGCCGGAGCCTCCCATTCCAGAGAGAGCATTATACATGCCAGGATTGCAAAAAGATATAAAAGAGACAAGGCAAATTTGGAGCCATGGTTCACGGTAGAGCTTGGTGAACTTTCTCTGGTGTGCTAGTGGATGCAGGACTTCGGGGTCATCGAACGCCGAAACGATCTCTTCTGGCGACTTGGTAGCCATCAGTGCATAAGAAGAATATATTTAGACAAGTTGTCGTGTAGTTGAGAGTCAAAATATTGGGACATGAGTTTGGTATATATAGATATCTCAGAAGGACTGCCACGCGGGTTTATCAAAGTAAGTATGGTGTGCTGCCGCCACAATCTGAATAACCGGCTCTCGCGCACCGACATCCATCAGCGAGATCCACCCCTCCGCGGAAGTGACCGAGGTGCAAAACCTCCTTTCAGCTGCAGTACTTTATTTTCTTGCATAGAAAGCCCGGTGGGACGCTCGGTTGCCCAGCGGAAATCTTTTGATCGAAGCCACATCTTACTCACACCATGACACCGTCCGATTGCGCACAGTTGGACCACCTACGCACTGCGGAGCGCAGTGCCCAGGCACATTCGATCGATTTTCCTGAGAAATCAGGCTTCTGCGTGGCCTTCAACCATGAAGAGTCGCTTGTATCTGCCTCGGTCGCGTGCTGTGTGGCGGAAATCGCATCATTTGTGGATGATTTAGTGCCTAGACTGCACGCGGGAGGACGACTGATGTACGTCGGAGCTGGTATCAGCTGGAACATAGCTTTGATGAACTGTACCGAATTGCCTGTTACATTCTTCACTGAGTCACATCGAGTTATCGCTCTCGTTGCGGGGGAATATGGAGCGGCCATCCGAACCCAGGAAGAACCTGAGGATGCCGAACAATATGGAGCTACGCAAATTAAAGCTTTGAATCTGACACCCGACGATGCTGTCTTGGGAATTTCAGCTTCTGGTCGGGCGTCATTCGTGCTTGGAGCTCTCAAAGGCGCTCTTCGGATTGGAGCCCTGACTGCAGGCATTACGAAGACTTCATCAAGCTTGGTGGGTAATATGTGTATCGACCATCAACTTGTTGCTTCATTGGAGATCGGGAAGATTTACAAGGGAATTATCTTTAACCTTCGAGTCGGGAATCACAAGCTTCAAGCTCGAGCTCGCAGATCACTACGCCAGGTCTGTAGAGAGATCGTGGGACTTTATTCGAAAAGAGGACTCATCCTACCATCTCAGATTTTGACAACATTTCATCAAATGCAGAACGAAGATGCAGCAAACGGCCTTATTCGCAGATGCAATGGAAGTGTGAAACTAGCCTGCGCCGTGGCTGTAATCAACATTTCATCTAATGAAGAGATATCTGGGCTTCAAGACAGGGGTAGTAATTTTGGGGAATTTGTTGCAAAACGCCTGAGCTTCAGCTATTTGAATGGCGATATTGCTTCAATCGGACATGGTGGCATTCCAGAGTATTATTTGGCCATTGATGGTGGGGGCACAAAGTGCGCAGTCTCAATTTCCACGAGGTTTGGGGTGGTGTCTCGTGGCTATGCTGGGCCTTGCAATCTCAATCTTGTCACTGCAGAAGAGTTTGTATGCCAGGTCAAGAGTGCGACGATGGATGCAATCACAGGTTTACCGCAAAAGGGAGATTCGCGTCCCAAAACAAGTCCTCGGTTCCGCAGAGTCTGGGCTGGAATTGCAGGCCTACATCACGCAGATAAATTGGAAGTCCTCATCGGTCACCTCGAGAAGCTGCTTGGGGTTTCTGCGGAGGCGGGTTCACTTCGATTGACAAGTGACAGCGCACTTCTTGGCGCATGCCTGGAGAGAGACACTTCCATTCAAACTGGCATCAGTATCATATCAGGAACGGGGTCGGTAGCAACTGCTTTCAAAAAGGGCTCGAATGGTCATGCTGTCGAAGTCCGTCGAACGGGTGGGTGGGGCCATCTTATTGGAGACGATGGAAGTGCCTTTCACGTTGGCAAACAGGCTCTGCAGGCTTTGCTGACAAGTATTGAGATCAATGAAGTTGATACTGAATCTCGCTTGACTGAGATGGAGGAGGAAATTGTTGCATATTTTGGCTGCACCAAGAGTGCCGTGTTGTCTCGCCTCCTCAATTCGGGAAAGAATCCCACGAGCGACATCGGTGGTCTCGCAAGAACTGTGACAAGACTTGCTTTCCGCGACGAGAACCCCGATTTTCAGGCTCTTGAAATCTTGAAAAATGCGGCTAAATCATTAGCCCAGCTGGTTGTACCCCTGAAAAACACATGCCCTCCAGAAAGCAGCGTTTTGATACTTTCCGGAGCACTGATGACTATCGCAAAATTCCGAGAGTTGGTCTATGACCAGTTTTCTTCGGCTCACATCACGGCGTTCAAGAAGATTGTTGTGATAAATTCTGCATCTGATTGTGCTGTGAATTATTTGGCCGCACAGGCAATTTAGGGGTATATGATAGCTAAATAGAGGTCTTAATAATAGTGTTTGAGGGCCAACCTAATTTAGTCAATATCTAAGCTACGTATCGACCAATAGCACAAATGAGCCAAGACTGCCGCACTTCTTGTCAATCCCCCTCAGGGACCTGTCTTCGTCGATAAGTTTAGTGTGAAGCTAAACTCAACTAAATAACTGGGACCCTGAAACAGATGCATCACCACTGTATATTCCATATAAAGAATCCAAAAAAGTGCGAGTGACATCTAGCCAAGGCTCGGTTCCAGCAACATCTTGGCAAGCATCATCACACACAGCATGGTTCTTGCCGCCCCAGATAACGAAACCATCCACATCCGAATTTTCAGCCAAAATGTCCAACTCTTCCTCCCAAAGACTTGACGGGATGAAAGAATAATTTCCATGATACTGAGGCCACGTGTATGGCCAAACTGGCAAAGAGTCGTTGATAGTGTTGATTTTTTCGAGAACAGTAGTCAATGAAGTGTGCCATGTAGTTATACTGCTGCTATAAGTGTAGGCAGACGGGAAGAATGCGTGGTCGCTGTAGTTTGCGATCAAGCTGCGGTAGTGATCGTACAACCCAACAATCGTGTTGCCAGATAGCCCGTACCAGCCAATGATCTGACCAGAAGGGATTACATCCGAGGCCCAGGTCTGGAGGGTAGACATTATTTCTAGGTAGAGGTCTGCCGTGGAGTCGTCGGTGAAATAGAGGTCCTCACAATCGATAACCAGCGGATAGCTTGGATAGACATTCCATTCAAGAACAATGTCTTTCCAGGTATCGGCTGAGGGAAGCACGCCTCCCTTAGTGAGAGGGTTGCACACGTATGCTGGGATCCAGTTGATATTGGTTGTTCCATAACCAATCGACGTGTTCAGATAGGCTGTATCATCGAATACACGGAAAGTTGAAGCATAAGCCGAACAAGCAATGACAAATCCCACTGTGTGTCTCAGGAGCGCCTTCATCGTGTATGACGAATTGAGAAGGAATGGGCTTCGCTATGAACTGAGCTTTTGGTAAGGAATTTAATGCGAAAATGGCCAACGTCGCGCTCATCACTGAATTATATACCTGCGTTGGTGGTATCAGAATTGAAATCATTCTGACTCTCGACCGAGATCCGATTATCGATCGGATCTCGTTGCTTCAATCAGGGGCGCTTGACCCTGTCACCTCATTTATCGCCATTCTCACAAATATCACTCTATCATGACGAAATTTGACTTGATCCTGGCGACTATCTTTTTGTCAAATTCAAGTTCAAAGTTTATTAATAATGTGTCAACGATGTAATATATATATATTTCTTTTCTGCTAGATTAGGTAAGTAGTAGAAGAGAAAAAGGCTCACAATCAGGAGTGTTTGGTTGTTGATTGTGGTATATAGTGACTGAATCAATGCGTATCAGAAATTATTCACTGCTTAATTCATTCCACTCTAGTGTTTGAGCATTCCACCCTGTAAGCTCATCTAAGAAAGTGGGATACCCTGCTGAATCAAAGATGAGAGTCTCTGACCAGTCGAAGGGGCTGGAGGAGACAAGGTCACCAAAGCTTCCGATGTTGCTATTGGCCGTTGGTGGCTGGGGCTCAGTCATAACGTCGAAAGATTCGCTCATTATGACTTCCACAGAAGAATTCAATGTATCGTGGTCTTGTGTTTGCTTTCGGGCCAAAGGATATGTCCCTAATGGATTCAAGATATAGTCAAGAGACGACTGTGAGTATGACACATTCTGATTATCGACCCCGCGGCCGGTTGAGGAGTGGTTTGTTTTTGACAGCTCCCCCACCGGCAATAGCTTTTTGAATCGCCTTAGGGCTTCTCTTGCTGACTGACAGTAGGCATCCACCTTAATGTATCTTTGCAAATACTGCAAAATGGTCAAATTATCTCGCAACATGTTCTCATAGTCATTCAATTCAATGTGGGGAAGCAAAGGCTCTGCTTCACCCCACGAGAGAAGAGTGGTGAGCAAAACACTGCTGCAAATCTGAACATGGTTTGCGTAAGAAGTATCAATAAGACTTGGCCGGTGGAACAACCAAAGGTCCTTCAAGAGCTTCGCGACGTACACAGCCTTCTTCAAACACATCCAGTGACATCTCTCAGAAAAGGCTTGTGGTGCATTTTCTCGGATCCATTTTGTTGAAGTGTTGGGAAATACTAGCTGTGCCACACAGATGCGATATAAATCATTGGACGTTTGTGCTAGCAGAATGTGAAGACCGAAAAATAGATTGAGTCTCCCCAAGGCCTTGTAAAGATATTTGTTTGGGGTAGTCATCTTAAATGTATCCGGAATGGAGCGCTCGAGACTCTGAAGCTCCGCATTCAGAAGGGAGAACTTCGACGTCTCCAACTCCCATGGTATTTCACCCTCTAACGCTTTAACGTATTTCAAAATCCTTGCACGGAGACTAATGGCGCGGACATAATATGCGCGCATGTCCAAATTGCCTTTGAAATTCGTATAAATGACAGGAATCAATTCGTGTGGAGTAAGCGATTCCGTATTGCAGGGCGTACCTCTAACAAAAGAATCTTCGGAACATGGCAGCTGAACTTGGATATCCTCCGCCGGTATTAGTCGGAGTTGATCAACACCACACTCAATCAAAGCATCAAGTAGATAACAAGCCCACATGAGCCTTCTCCTGCTTTCCCTGATGGTGAAAGAGACTTGCACTTTGTGGGTAACTGAATGAGGTTCAAATTCCTCGTTCAATTGAAGAAGCTGCAGATGTCTAGCAATTTGCCCAGAAATAATCAATGCTTTGGAGTATTCTCCTGTTCTTAGGTAGTACTCGTGAAGCAAAACTTCTGTTGCTAAACATTCCAACCTGGGGCTTCCTAGATTCTGGAAGGAACATTGTAGAGCGGTGTCTGCCCAACCTTTTCCCGCGTCGTAAAACCTTAGGTCAGAATCCGTGATGTCCTTAGATTGGGTGCAAAGGTCACTGTAGAGAAAAGGCGCGGCCAATGCGCACATTATATGAATAATCCCTGATTCCTCGGCTTGTGCCCTTTGAGGGGTCTTCAAATTTTCCATGAAGGTTGGAATGTGTATGAATCCCAAGCATCGCACTGTGTGAATACATTCAAAGTAGATATCAATGAGTCTGTTTAATTCCTTCCCGGGAGGTAAATCGGTTGCTGTAAGCCACAGAGGGGTTGTAAGTGACCTAGTCTCGAGGCCAGATGGACATCTCGGAGTACCCTCAGTTTCATGAGAGCACCTTAAGGCCTTTCGAGCACAGCGCGTACAGACAGAGCCCCCGGAACACTTTGACTTGGCTCGCTTACACTGAATGCAGGAACGCCAAATGCGTTTCCGTTGAAGTCCCGCCTGTGTCCTAGAGTTGGCTGGATGTATAACTTGCGATGGGCGAGAAGATATTAAATCAGACTCGTAAACACAATCTGCACCAAATCGAAGGCATCTTTGACATCTCTCTGGTGTGCGGTCGCATTTCACCTTTTGAGACTTGTTAAAAACTGATCATAGTTCACTGAAAAGGTAACAAACTTTTCTCTTGCGACATGTCTGACAGCTTGTGACTGCGACTTGACCGACATTTTGATCACACGAAACAGAAGCCATGAAAATGGCGCCCGGGTAAGATTTTACTAAGGTCGAGCTCTACGAAAGTGAAGTGGTATGGAAATTTCACTTATCTATGCAGCTCGTGACGCAAGATCAACACACAATGGTGTTATCTTGGTATGATAAGCGGGGTTCTCGAGATCCGGCGGTGCTCCGGATCTCGGTCATGCCACGCATAGCTCTAGCCTCCTTTGGTTAATCAAGAACAATTGCTCCTGCCCCTTAAATCCCCAGGCCAAAGCAAAATTTGCTCAGTGAAACCTACATATTGCAGTTTTACATTTTCCGGCACTCATAATGTCATTGCAAATGTAATCAAGAATAATCTTGAAAACATTGTTTTGACTCCTCGTAGTAGAAGTCATACCATTTGGTAGCGCAATGTCCTCGAGATCACAGGCGCCATTAATTGCCCGATCTTTTGTTAGGTCTGGGTCAGCTGTTCTAACGACGCACGTCAACATATAGTTGCACTCCATTTCACGTCACCCATTAGGCTCGAAGATAGAGTGTATCAGGGTCATTTCTTTCTTCTCTTTTGAGTTTTGGGGGGAGTGTGGATTATGAGAAGTAGGTTCGAGCTTGCGCGGGGTAAAGGAGAAGTGAAACCAAGCGAGCTTGTGGATTGGGAATCAGGGCTCACATGTGCTCATTTTTAAGGTGCTGAGCGTTAGAGAGCATCATGGCAATCCTTAAATTGAGCTCGCTGAACAAGAAATTAAAAAAAGAAAGCATACGTATGTTGTTGGTACCTCTCTCCCCTGGATCAAACGATACAACTTTCTTTTAAAATCCCTTCACTCTGTGCTTGATAGACCTCAAGTCTTCTGTCAAGCACTTCACAGTCCTATAGTCATTCTGGCTCCATAAGCTATGACCACCACCACTATCTGGTATGGTCTTGCATAATTATTGAACGACGCAGTGAACATGACAGCAACTTGTAATGTGTACTAATTACTCAAGTCTAATGGAAATCTGATTCCTGATAACAAATCTTATCTACTAACCCTGAGCGTATCTAGCGGTGTTTTAATAAATCATATGATTGAAGGAATATGTGAAGGGCGGTGTAGGTCATCCGACGAGGTGCTTCCCCGCATGTATCCTTAGCGAGTCCTCTCCCTTGTTCCTGATTCTTGGAGAGTCAGTCAAAAACTTGAATTATACCATTATTAGGAACCACAAGGCAGTATATTGACCATGCATTCTGTCTTAAAATAAGAGAACATCGGAAGGCAACTTGCTTAGGGAATGAAGAGAATGGTAAGCAAGGGCCCGTGGAGCCGGAATAGCCGGATGTTGAATAAGGTACCTAGCTGTCGAGTGAAAGCTACGATGTTTTTTTTCCTGAAAGCACCTCGGGAGGGTGATAACTTCAATAGGAATAGATAAAACCTTTAGCATAGTGTTGCTGCCGGTAAGCAAATCGAGCACCCATGCTCCAAGCAAAATTAAACGAGAGATATTACAACTCTGAATTAAATATTGGCATCACTTTAAACACGGAGATGTGGCTATTTGGGTGTCGGAAATCCGGATGCCAAGGCGCTTTGCCAAGACGCTTTCACATCTGCAAAACTATCATCACACCACAGAGTCTCGGCACGTGGAACGTCATTGCCCGAAATGCCGAGACTTGTCCCTGATTTACTGCATTGCCGAATCGCATAAGAATTAAGGCCATGTCGCATTTATATTAATCCTCCAATCCTGAGGTCGGGTAGAACCCACGTTTGGCAACTTCTAAAGTGGAGTACACTGCATGGCTTGAATAGTGCCCGACTATCTGCAAGCTAACCTCTTACCGAGGCAACATCATGCAGGATGACTTATTCTACACTTCGTCTAGAATGCAAGAATGTTTCTGCGATACTATATGACGCATATTTAAAGACATAAGTTTTCCCCTAATATGTTGAAATCAGAACAGACATCAGACTGAACACTGGAGCCAGGAATCAAAATGGTCAGAAACTCCTTGATCATCGGTGCCAGTCTCCTGGCATCTGCCCACGCGACTACAACTAGCGGCAGCTTTACTGCGTTGAGCTTTAATGTTGCAGGTCTCGCTTCGATCCTCAATTCAAACGATGTCAATGGCACGAAGACCGAAAACGCCGAAGAAATCGGCACTTACTTCGCGGAGTATGGCTATGATATCATCAATATGCAGGAGGTGAGTACGAACATTATTCGAATTTTCCAAGTCCACAGATCTAATTTTATTCAGGATTTCAACTACCATGCCTACATTTACGAGACTGATGACCACACCTACCGAACCGCAACATCGGGTGGTGCAGGCATCGGAAGTGGTCTGAACACCGTCTCCAATTACGACTGGGTGGACTTTACGCGCACTCAGTGGGATACCTGTTCCGACGCATCGGAGTATGATTGCCTTACTCCAAAGGGCTTTACTTTCATGCGCTGGAACCCATCCACAGGAGTCTACATTGACGTTTACAATCTTCATGCGGATGCTGGGTATGTTACCTTCCTCACAGAGAATATGAATCATACTGATAATTATCGCAAGTACTGAGGATGGTGATGAGACCGCTCGGAATGCCAATCTCCAGCAAGTTGCCGACTATATTGACACTTGGTCTATCGGAAATGCTGTTCTTGTGATGGGTGATACCAACAGCCGCTACACCCGTTCCGCCGACACTGGTATTCGTCTCTTCAAGTCTCAAAATGACATGGCCGATGTCTGGGTTGAGCTAGAGGAAGCTGGCGTTTACCCCACCGCGGGCGCAGATTCAATTGTATGCGATAACCCATCGACAATTGAGACATGTGAGACCGTCGACAAGGCTTTGTATCGTGGCTCCGACATCATCACCCTGACTGCCACCAGCTTCCTCTACGATGGTGAAGAATTCCTGAATACGGACTCTGAGTACTTGGGTGACGTTCTGTCTGACCACAACCCTATCCTAATGGGCTTTTCCTGGACTATGTCTTCCTCCCTTCGACAGAGTGAGTTCTCCGGTGGACCTCATGGAACCTGGTTCAACGACCTTGAGAGCATTCCGTCTTCTCCCGCGGCCTCCGTCCTTACCTTTGCTGGTGGAAGCCGCCTGGACTCTGTTGCCATCGAACTCACCGATGGTACCACTTTCAGTCATGGTGGAACTGGGGGAACATCGGTTTCCCTTACTCTTGGAACTGATGAGTACTGGATTGAGACTGAGCTTTGCACTGGCAAGTACAACGATGAGACCCGCAACTTCTACATCAAGGCTACTACTAGCGCCGGAAACACACTTGAGGCCGGAACTTCCACTTCTAGTTGCTCCACTTTCACCGCTGACTCTGGCTTCGCTGTTGTTGGCTTCATGGGTCAGGATGGGGACGAGATGGATCAGTTGGCCCTCATCTACGCACCTTACTAAACATCAGAAGTTGTCATCGAGTATTAACCCTGTTATCTATTTACTTGGGGGAATATATATATATTGACGTATCTCTCATCTTTCGTCAATATCCGCTTCATACAATAGGTGATAGTATAATGAGCATCAATCTATGACCGTGAAGTGTTAACGCTGCGCAGAGAGCCTATAAATGGGGCATTTTTACTTTTCAATGTCCCTAGAATAGCAGTCACAGCAGACACTGCGTGACATTCAGGTATTGGCAAACATATGAGATACAAAAAAAATAATAGTGTGATTTCGATCGCCCTAGGGTTGGAGGACACAGGGTGGTGAATGTTCCGTCAAAGCGTACACGTAATCCCTTTGGGCACACTACTGAAGAATGCTTACCTGACTACAGAATTCCAGCCAAGTTTTATTGGAATGTGGGAAATGGTTACAGTACCTACCCGCCAATTGGAATGGAAAGGTGTTCTCTTCCGCACCTAGTTTGCGCGCTTGAATGCTCAATGGGTCTTATGAAACGCCCTTATAATGTGAGGAGCACATGAAAAAGTTGTGACGCCTTTTATAGAGCTGTGCTTGCAGCTTGGATGCACACCAGGCGTATTGCATCATTCCTGAGACTCAAAAAAGTTTAAATTCATTTTTCTTACATATAAGACATTGGCGACATTCAAACAACCCGGATGAAAGATTTCAAAGTTTGGTAGCTACCCACATCAAGCTGTGTCTATTTAGGCAGCAATACGCTGGACGACTTGGTCAGTGACTCAGTGGTATAGTTGAATCGATATATTGGGCGCCACATCCCGTGACTACAGTACATTCTTTAGTGAACCAAGTCGGATTATAGAATGGTCGAGGGCGTCCGCCACAAACTTTTGTTTAATGCAGAGTCTTTTAAGATACTGTAGCCCAAAAATCTAAAGGCTTGCTGCTGTGTCAACGTGGAATTTCCATTAATATTTACTGAGAAAGGCTCAAGCTACTGATGCTAGGAAGTTTCCTTCAAAGCAATGCTTGACTTCAAACTATAAAATTAACTTTGATGTCCGCTCTGGCCTGGTTTTCAGTCATCGTCCCTCATAATCATACGAGGTAAACGGATTCTTTGATACCAATCTGCCCGCCATGCGGTTTCTTCGGATCCTCTTAGGCCTGGCATTGCCCACTATCATCTATGCAGATGTTCTCAACACGGAAGTATTGGACGATATCTTGAATTTTGAATGTCTTGTGCTTAAAGTCGAGGTAGACTTGCTACAAGACAGTCCTATAGCGACCGAATTTTGCGAATCTTTACTTGCACCTCTAACAACCACGATCAGTACAACGTGCGTACTCACAATTTTGATTATATACGAAAGCAAAACGATGTATACTGACAAAATGCAGTACCAAAACGCATTCCAGCTGCGCCTACACGTATTCAGTGCATCAGGTTATGGCCGGTGCTCAGTCGATGAATATGGCAGCTGCTCAAGTGCGCTCTTCCTTAGCCATGATACGAAAATTTGAGCCAGACTAATTTCTAAAGATCACTGATGCACCCGACATTATACCTACACCACCAGACTTGATGCCATATCCCATTTCGGCAGTTAGCCAAGCGTGCAAATGCCTCGGTATTCCGGCGTCAGACTTTACAACCCGCACCGCTACGACGACGACCACCACGACGACTACGCTCTGCCCAACTCCCACGACCTGTGGAAACGAAGGTGTTCAATGGGCATATTATCAGGATAGCAAGATACCATTCAACAGTATCACATGCAGCGGTGCTTATACCTGGACTGTGGAAGAGATTAAGGATATGACGCCTTCCTACAACAGCGCGACCACTTATCTCTTTTTGGAAAGCACCGGCAGCACGGATATCTCGATCTACGGTTCTAGTAAAACATTTGACACGACCTATGTTGCTCTTAATCACCGTGGATACATATATGCCGCAGTTTCCGGCGACTACACTTTTACTTCGCCCTCGGTAGACGATATCATTTTCTTCTGGGGCGGACCCAAAGCGTTTTCAGGATGGAGCGAGTCCAACGCCGATGCTACCGACTATTATTGTGGTCCAGAAGCCACGTTCACTGTGCCACTCCTCTCAGGCCAGTACTATCCATTCCGTATTGTGTATGCCAATGCGCAGACAAATTTGTTGGAGAACATCACTATCACTGGCCCTGATGGTACAGTTATTCTAGGCTCAGCTACAAAAGGCTCACCGTACATAGTGCAATATTCCTGCGATGGGACTTTAGCACCCCCGTTTCCAGCTTTTGGGCAAGAATTGTAAATGAGATGGTGTGAGGCAAAGTGCTGGATAGCCTTAGGTTCTTGGTTTTGGAAACGTTCGCTACCATCATTACTTCTTGCATCTTGACTTCAACACACGTCTTAATATCAAACACGTGTCGATTTTCAGTACATGTAATTGTTCATTCAATTCTTTGTATTACGAGTCGACTGGGAGAAGATACGACCAACCTGCAAAGTAGAAGATTATGATGGAAAAAATACATGAAATGGAAAGCTAGCATGAGGGGAAGCCACATCAGCGCTGTAGGTTGCGTGCAGGAAAGTAAAAATGTGCAACTGAACGCGGAGGGGTGAATGTATCTGCGGTAATGACTGTTTCCCTCTCGGGAACTCCTCAGTCCAAGGTCTGAGGCGCGGTCAAAGCGGGCCCGCAAGAAGTGGGTCTATCTTGGGGGCCATGAAAACTTTTACCGCGTTACTGTACATTTCTGTCTTCTACCACGCACTTTGTGTGTGGGATGACTAACAAAGCCATAACAGAGCCGAATTAAAGTTCCACTAGAGCGACGTGATTTCCATATCATGTAACCTTGCTCCGCACTAGACTTCGACTCGGGGACGAAAAATTGGTAACGCACGTAAGTGGGGTTCGTCAGATAAGAGGTGGGAGTGTGTGGAATAGCCGAATCAGATGGACCAATAAGAAATGATTTGTCTACATCGGCAGCTCTATCGAAATTCTTGGCACTCCGATTAATCACAAAAGACCCCGCCTGCTACAAATCCTTCCGTGACGTTCATTTACACATAGAGCTACATACATTTCAAGGTCATTGGGTCTCTGAGATTTTATCTTCAACTCTATGCTCGTCGCTCAAAGTACGGCTCCGATGAAGGGCCGCAAGCGGATCACCCTTGCGTGTAACGGTTGTCGATCAAAACGAACCAAGGTACAAGGCAAGGAGAATGGCCGTCAAGAGGCTCATTCATCTATATCCGTGGTGGTCATTTACTAATGTCAGGCTCAACAGTGCGATGGTGTTCAACCAAAATGCAGCGCATGCAGTTATCGCGAGGATGATTGTCACTATACTGACACGGAGAGTAAGCGAAAGTAGGCCAAAGCTTCGCTGGCCAGTGATTTCTCTTCCAATTGATCTGACAAAAGTTCAGGCGACCTAGCAACGCATACATCATGGCCTTAGAAGCGCGCGTGCAGTTTCTTGAAAGTCGATTAGAAAACGCTCTAGCAAGTCCAACGAACAGCTCTACCAAAGGACGCCCAGAAGAGTCAAGCTCGACGACTTTTACTGAATCCACAAATTCAGTGGATGATCTGACTCAGGCATTTGGGTGTTTCACATTAGGGGATACCGGGGAGCTTCGGTTCTTCGGTGCTTCCAGTAACTTTAGCATTATACAAAATCCCTCGCTCAAAGTCGCTTCATCACTTGAGGCTCGAAACCGGGGCATCGCAGCAGCTCAGCAGAATCCTGGATACTTCGAGCCCTCGGCGGAGTTACAGGATCATTTATTGAGTTTGTTTTGGCGATGGCAAAACTCTTGGCAGTATATTGTATCTCGAGAGTCATTCGTTCGTGATCTTTATGTCGAAAAGAGCGGCCGTTACTGTACACCACTTCTCTTGACAGCTATCTTGGCGCTCTCTTCTCGATACTCGTCCAGACTTGAGCTTCGCATGGACTTGGCTGATCCAAACACAGCGGGTGCGATATTCGCCAGACAAGCCAAAATTATGCTGGATTGCGAATACGAAGCTCCTACGACATCCACTGTCCAAGCAACTGCGATTTTGGGTCTATACTGGGCTTCGATCGATAATGAAGGCCTTGGATTCATGTATATTGGGATGGCATCTCGCATGGCCATGAACCTGGGGCTGCATTCGGACTGCTCTCATTACGTGGCTAAGGGCTTGATCACCCAGGAAGATGTGGAAGAGCGAAGCATCGCCTTTTGGGGAATATATGTGCTCGACAAGTAGGTTCACAAGCTTTCCAGGGCATATGATCTTTATTCACCTGAATTACTTTACAGGTTGTACTGCCTTGGCATGGGACGTCCTGCAAGCATCCAAGAGTGCAATATCACTACGACAAAACCTACTTTGAAGAGTTACTCGCATTCAAATTTGCCAGTAGGAGTCCGACAAATTTCCACTCCTTACGATACTGCTCACATCACCGAGAATTGCGTACACACTTGCGAGCTGCTCATGATTACTTCGGAAGTAATTGACAAACTGTACACTCGCTCCATTCCCGTCTTTCAGTAGCCACTTACGTGAGCTGACATTATTCCTAGGTATGCACAACGGTCGGAATGGACAGACCAAGAAAGAGAAGATCGCGCGATGCAAATTCACCTGCAGACCACAAAATTTATCGACCGTCTCCCAAAGGGTCTGAAGGTCTCAGAATCCAGCTTACAGCCTTCTCCCCCTTATGTCTACCAACTACAGTAAGATCACTGTGCTTCGGGAATTTTAATCTGCTGACAGCCTAACTCGTTATAAAAACTTAGTTTGCAATATCACCATTCAATCATATTGCTCCATCGTCCATTTCTGAGCCACTTCTCGGTATCTCGTCGATCGAGAGGTTATGATCCGAATGGAAGCGATATTCATTCAAAGTCTTGCCGGTCAGCCGCAATAAAGATATGTGGCATCCTTAGAATATACGGGAACAACTTTAGTAATGTACTGCCACACTGCTTCAATATCCAGGTCGGGGACAGGATGACTAACTGGTTTCTTGGGTTTAGCGCTGCTTTCCTGTTTCCGCTGTTCATCCCGCTTTCACAGCCGCAATAATCCTTCTCCTTGACAAAACGATGCGAAAAGAGGGCAATTCCAAGGAGACTATAAACTGCCTCCTTATCTGCCTCAAGGCTCTGTATGGAATGAACATCAACTGGAACTGGGCGAACAGATCCATTCAAGCTATTTACTCATTAGCAGCGCAGTGGAAAGTGGACTTATCGATACTTGACTTGGAACATGAAGTTCCAGAAGAGAACTTGAATTACTACAATCAATACTCCTCGGAATTCAGGGGGGTAGATCAGGCGAACGCGCCTGATTTTCAGGAGTGGTCACAAGTAAACCCGTCTCTCAATTTCGATGAAGCCTTTGAGCCTCAAAATGACGCACGATTTTGGTTAAATATGGCTTTGCTGTCTGGAAGTTCTATTTAATAACAAACAAAATATGTCTCTCTTCTTATGATTCTATTTAAAAATCACATCCATGGATGTAAGATATAGATGTCTGACAAAGGGAACAGGAAGGGGGCTGGTTGTTGAACACCAGTCCAGAAATGTTGAATAACTATGTGTACTCCCAGGGCTTGCGTAATATCCAAAATGGTATCTTTCAGGCTTTTGAAATAGAAGCCTTTCCATCTAGGGCCTCCGATTCTCGTTCGCCTTGATCGACACAGCTTATTCCTTGCAACACCGTTGCATCAAGCGCGTTCTTCTCCTCTTCAGTGAGATTTGTCAATTTGACAGCAACAGTGTCTCCGAATAGCCCATTGATCTCCTCCAAAGATAAACCTCTGGTCTACTGAAGGTTAGAATTTTAAAACGACTTTCCATTCATCACTGAGGCCAAGAAGAGTTTTGCTTACCTCTGGACAGAAAAATGCCAAGAGAAGAACATTAATTGATGGAAGAATGATAAACAGAAGATAATACTTCCACCCAATAGTAGCAAATCCGGTCGCAGATGACTCAAGAAAGGGTAATGTCGACAAGAAAAATATAGCGAGGCACCATCCCGTGCCTTTGGCCCTGAAGTGTGTTGGGAAGATCTCGGAGCAATACACGTAGACAGTAGTGTCTACAAAACAGCCGTAACTGTAGACAAATATCAGCATTTACAAACTTATAAAGGTCCTCGGCTGAGGAAGAGAAGGAATCATCATACAAAAGGATAAACCCAAACAGCATGGCCACGCCGGCTGCCAGTGCTGGTTTATTCTCGGATGTTCCATAATTCTTGTCAATTGCCGCCTCGATGATGACGAAAGTGACACAGCCACTGATACCGATCACTTTGATAAAAGTTGCGTCAGACTTAAAAGTCCCACGGTTGGATCGGAAGTTTTGGGGAGGTGGGGAAGATAAAGATAGGCTTACAGAGACTCCGAATTCGACCCAAACGATCCAGAAACGCAGCGTTCACAAAGTTCCCGAGACAACCTAGAGTAATCCATCCAGCGGAAAGAAGCAGAGCATTGCTAGCACTAAAGCCGAGTCCGTCAACCAAGCTGACAATATTACCTGCCATTATTTGTCAGTGAGTCAAAGCTGGGCCATTATGACGAACGGCGTCCTCTTTTCTTCCTTACTGTAGATGACAATTGCCCCATTTGCCTGAGAAGCCCACATGATAAGACTTCCTATCAGCATTCGTTTCCTCATATGCGGCTTACGGAAAAGATCAAGAAACCTTGATTCTCCATACGCCGCCGTATCAGCCTCGAACTGGGTAGTAATCTGCAAAAACTCTTCGCGGGCGAATTTTTGAGACGGATCGCTCGGATCATGATGGAGACTTGATATAACCTTCCATGCTTCTTCTGTTCGACCTTTGCTGACCACTAATCTCATGGATAATCAAGATGTTGTTAGCATCAACCTGAATTAAAGAACATCATGTAATTCTCAACTCACACCAGCGAGGGGATTCTGGTAGCCAAGAGAGAAAGCAGCACAGCAAAATTGGCCACAGTATCTGCAAAGACAGGGGAAAGCGCCAGTTAAACTGGGCATTGTCCGAGAAATATGACCCAACGCCCACCCAAGCCGCAATAACATACCCAATAAGAAAAAATCCACCTGGTAGAAATTAGTTGGCTTCTCGATAGAGAGATGTAAGTTTAAATACTTGCCATGCTGGCCAACAAGTAGTCCTCTAGATGCAGGGGGTGCCACTTCAGCTATATAAATAGGCACCATCGTAACGAACATGGCTGCAAGAGGTATATAGTGGTTAGCGATCTTTCTGAAGGCAATAAAAGGAGACATCATAATGTACCTCCAGCAAATCCTGTAATGAATCTTGCGGCAATGAACATGCCTATGTGGACTGATCCTGTCTGTAAAGCTCCCCCAACAATATTGATTGCTGCGGCGGCCAAAAGACTTCTTTTGCGACCGTAGACATCGCACAGCCAGCCCACAAACAACGCACCAAAGATGGCACCAGCAGAAAAGAGCCCAAATACTGTGCCGGTCAAGCGGGTACTATAAGCGTAAAGCGCCGCGTCCGTGGGGTCTAGTGTGAGGCCCATGTAAGCATACCAAGTGGGTTGGCCCACAGTAGTGGAGATGATGCTAAAATCATAACCATAAGAAATGCTCCCCAGACAGAGAGGAACCACCATCTACTTTCATATAAGCTTCATACCGTTGAAGTCCAAAGTTTGCAGCAAGACTTACTGCCAGGTGGGCGAACGTAAACTTTGCTTGTCCCATAATTGCGACTGAGACTTAGTAGTGACTTGCCATGCAATATTACCTGAACATCGGCTTTTATATCTAAACACGACTCATTGTTTACTTATCTACTGATATTGTGCTATGGCCTAGCTGGTAGGTTCAAGTCACTAGCAATTGATTTATCTACCGGATGCTAAACAACCGGATATCACAACTTTTCCAGAATTCAAATTTGAACTTTGATAAGAAGATTTTCAGCTACATTCTACAAGTTGAGGTTGTTTACACTTTTTAAAGTTTATAGAATATCAAACTCACGAACACGATTGACAATCTGGATATCAATTTCCCGGATACCCCGCATTTTCAGCTCGAGTATTTGTTACCCGGATAAAGAGGGGCGGATACTAGATATCCGAACAAGTATACAGGCAGGTAGAGTAGGATACAAATAGACAAGCCTTGGATCCTTTAACTCGCTTTACTATACATCATTCATCATTCACTTTATCACCACTCATAGCTCCGCTCGGGCTTCAAATTACCCTATCCTACAATGTCTGCCAAAACCGTCAAAGTTGCCGCCATCCAGGCTGAGCCTGTTTGGAACGATCTTGAAGGGGGAGTCAACAAGGCAATTGCTTATATCGAAGAAGCTGCTTCCAATGGAGCTAACGTCTTGGGATTCCCCGAGGTCTTCATTCCCGGCTATCCATGGTGACTAGTACCTACATTTCCACTTTGAATACGCATCATAGCTAAGTAAGACCCATAGGAGCATGTGGGCCAACTCCCCTGTCGAAAATGCAGCCTTCATGGATGAATATTTCCGAAACTCACTCCCCAAGGAGTCGGAGCAGATGGACCGAATCCGAGCTGCGGTGAGAGAGGCTGGAATGTTTGTTGTTCTCGGGTATAGTGAGCGCTACAGAGGATCAATTTACATTGCTCAGGTATGAAAACCCCAAAATGCTTTCCCCTTGCAGAAATACTGACCGAATGAAGTCTTTTATTGACCCCACTGGAACCATCGTGCACCACCGTCGCAAAATTAAGCCGACTCACGTGGAACGTGCCATCTGGGGTGACGGCCAAGCTGAGTCCCTCCAAACCGTTGTTTCGTCGCCTTTCGGAAATATCGGCGGACTGAACTGCTGGGAGCATACTCAAACTCTTCTTCGCTACTACGAGTACGCCCAAGATGTCGACATCCATGTTGCTAGTTGGCCTCTAATCTGGGACATGCCGCCCCAGGAAAAGATGCCATGGACGTACCAGATCACTCCGGGTCTCAACTCTAGTCTCTCCCAGATCATGGCCTTTGAAGGCGCTTGCTTTGTCCTTGTTTGCACTCAAGTTTTGACCGAAAAGAATCGCGAAAAATGTCGCCTGGAAAACTTCGAATATGCCACTGCGCCTGGTGGGGGGTTCTCCATGATCTACGGACCCGAGGGAACTCCTCTGGTTAAGCAACCAGCCCCTGGTGAGGAAATTATCCTGTATGCCGACATTGACCTCCATGACAAGGCGGTCGCCAAGCACAATCTGGATATTGTTGGCCATTATTCTCGGCCAGATTTGCTCAGCCTTCGGGTCACAACTGAGGCGGGAAAGCCAATTCATTTCAAGGAGTGAAACTAGGATATTCTCTCGTTGAATAGCTTTCAAGATGATGGACGTGGGAAGTGTTCTTTCCTTAATACTCAATTCTTTACTTGTCACGCTACTTTGTTCATTCCCGCAATAGCCCTCAGATTTGAAGTCGATTTCACAATACTGAGACTAGGAGTTCTTGTCATGTCTATACATCCGACAGTCATAAAAGAGTACATCAAAGCTCAACCCTGGAATTGAATCGTAATTCACGCCTAAAAGACCATAGAACGAGTAAATGTGTGTAGTGCTGATTGGTGTATGCCGAGGAACAGCATATATGTGCAGGCACCTGAATATGAACAAATATGCTATTGTTGTCGTTCTCGGGGAGATAAACACCCCATTGAAATGGAAATGCTAGTGCCGGCAATAATAGGTTTTAAGTGGCCACAACCTCTCATTTAGTCTCTGCTGGCCAGACATTCTATACAATAACAGCCCGTAGATATTGTTAAGCCTAGGCACTTGGTGCATGAATTCTCTTTGGTCCTCCGGAACAACTTTCATGACACCTTTGTGAAGTTACGTCTAAAAACTCTTTTTGGTATTTTCCGAAGTATAAGATTAGCCGCTATCTTTGAATCAAAAGCCTAGTCAGTCGATAAAAGGTGACCAAAAATGGAAGCGGCCAGCTGAAGTGGTGACTCAAGAAGGATTATGGCCGTATGGCGCCTAGTCTCGCTGGTAATAACACGACTTCAACGCAAGTTCAATCCGGTATCAAGTCAGTCATTACCAAGTCCACGATAAGACGATAGTTTTCCGTAGTCTAATTACATAGGGATCCGTGATTATACGTAATATGACTGGCCTGATTGGTCCATTCTGGTGATTGAAGCCTCGCTTAGAACGGGTGCATGGTTTCCGGATACGCCCCTATATCGGTGGCAAATTAAGGTTTAAAGTAAATAGTCCGCCAATGCCAATCTGCGGGGCGGGTACCAACTACCCGGATAAGTGATAGAAATCAAATACACCATTCCAACAATTGACTAGGTATAAATTGAACACATATTAATGCATCAATTCATCCGTTGCTTTTCTAGCTCGATCAAATCTGCCGCACAAATCGCTACAGCAGTTCGTTCCCTCACGCACGATGTTAGCCGGCAGATTTTCCCATTCGTCCTTTTTCGTCCAATGCTTCTTTGGGTGTCAGCATCATGGCCAAATTCCGGACAAGGAGAGGACAGCCCTGATTGAGAGTTTCCTTATGTTACTGCAAAGCTCTGCTACTCACGTCGACAAACTGGAGCAAGAAGACTCGAGAACTCCCGGCTTCTTAAGTACCATTTTTGTGGCCTATTGGCGGCAAGAGATGGATTACCAAAAATGGTGGAGAAGCGAACCAGTGAAGCAATTCTGGAAATCTCTCCCAGATAATGCAGGCTTCTGGAGGGAAAAATTGGCGTTCCCCGCCTCGAGAGTTATGGCCGAGACCAATCACCACCTCAAGAACGGATTTTCCCACGTCGCGGACTTTGAGCCACTGGTTGAAAAAACCGGATACTGGGGCGCTTATCGTGACCGTATCGAAGAGTCGACATCAGATGACAAACTGTCCTCCCCACTTGAGCTTGCTGTCCCTACCGAAGAGCACCGGCCTCAAATTAAGTTGGGTCGTACCGCGTTCGACAAGTTCCCTGACAATATTTGCTTCGTCGTTGAGGGTCAAGACTATGGTTCAATGGGTTCTACGGAAAAAGACTACTGGTTTGAGAACTTGGAGAAGCTTTCCGATGATTGGATCATGACCACGATCACCACAGGTCATAAAGATGGCATACTCTCTGCTCGGCTATGCCACGACCCTTCAAGTGGCCCAATCAAGCCTGCTACCGCAGGAGAATCCGTACCCAAGGCGAAGGCATTAACGTTGAATCGACGGATAGAATACTTCTACTTTCTGGACATGTCTTACATGGAGCGAATTGGTCGTAAATACAAAACACATGTGGCACTTCGACGCAAATTTATGGAGGTATATGGGCCAGGTGGTCCGATGGAAGGTGGAAAACTGGTTTTATGGGTAGATCTGGGAATCTTAAAAGGACAAAAAATGGAAGCTGAGTATGTTGGATGTTTCGAGGGAACCGGCTTCTTGGCATATGAAGATCACCCTGGATTTGCGACTAAGACAGACTTCGGAGAAGTGTAGGAAAATGAATGAAGTTTTGTCTGTTACCAAGTATCCATGGGGGGGGGGGGGGGGCTTTGGAGCTTTGCTCGCCTGCTCCATCTCAGTCTTTTTCGAGCAATTTGATTAGAGGTTTTATGGGCTTCTCTTATTATCAGAGACAAGAAATCATTGTCAAATTATTGCTAGCTGTGTCTTCTGGCTCTTTAGTTCTTGAAAAACGTTAGATGTCGTTCATTCACAAAAGTTTTCCTTCGAAGCAAGCGTTCGCAGCATTCCAGCATTACCTTGCCGGAAATTTCAACAAAAATTCCGATGTGAATTTAGGAAACGTTCGGGTCGTGCTCGTGCACTGAGAAGAGGTACTTCCAAACTTTACCTTCAGTAGCGAAAAGTGAATCATTTAATAGAAAAAACTCTCCTGGTGTTATAGCTGATATAACTCAGATTTACTTCGCATTTTTTTAGGACATATGGAAATGTAGTACCAAGCAAATAAATTCCCAGTCTTGAACACCATATTCATAATAAATACCAGAACAGTTGCAGAAACGTTACTTATTTCTCAATGCCAAGAAACAGCTGGAATGTACAGGAAACGTTGATGCCTTAACCTTCGGGCACTACTATTGGGTGCCATTTCCCTCAGGCCTAAATAGTCAGGCAACATGTATGCTTGGCATTCCGTTTTCGTAAATGCATCCCATCTAATTATGGCTTCACTTGATGTCCATTCTCATGCAAGATTAGCTTCGTGAATATGTGCTAAAAAAACGTAGATGATGTGTTCTCATTTCCCTCCCAAATATATTTATGAACATCGTTGATGGCAATGGGCCTCCACAATCGTTGTCACTATTTTAATGAGATGAACTGGCCGAACCTTTTAACGGATGGAGTTACCGAGTTGCTTCATTTTTGTCTGTTTTCAACTTGGTTCAACTTGTACAAAGGTATCACCAAACCAAGATACTGAAAGTCATATCCCTTCACTAAGATTGCATGCAGCAATACAACGACCTAATGTGATATTTTTCAACAGCATATGCGTCTGCTAGCATTTGTTGCAGAAGGAATTATTCATGATCCGCCTCTCAATAAGCAGCTCACTCAATATCAAATAAAAAAAAATACATTTCCGAGAACCTTCTGCGTAGCCAGTAGGAAATTGGTTATTGGTCTATCTGAAGGCCTCAAACAGAGCTGTCCAGTACCTGGGATACCCAGGCGAACGCAGCCTAACTAGTATTTATTGATTACCAAAGCCGGAAACTTGATCCAGCAGAAGCACAGTACCTTGGAGCCAATAAAAACACCGTTCGTTCGCTCGATTATCGCTGTTGCATTACAATGTGGCATCGGGCTGTGTACAAAGAGACGGTTAGACAGATCATCATTATTCCCTTCCTGTTCAGACTTTCCACATTCGTGAGCGATTTAATCTCTTGAATTTCCATCTCGCATTTGGATCTATGTGGGGATCGGGAGTGAGCGGCTCAGCCTCTTTCGTAGCGTGTTGGTTCTTTCCCCAATCCTGATACCGTTTTCGGAAATGTGCCTAGCCAAAACTTCACCAAGGTGGATTTACAATAGTACCACTTTGTGAGACTATCCTACGCTAACAGGACAACACTGCGCTTTCGTCGACGTCAATGACTATTAATGAATTTGAGTCCGGTACGCACTCTATTCATTTAAAACCCCTGACTACGCCCGCGCTTTTCGAATATTCAGTCACCTTCCCTTCCCCAATCACTCAACAGGTACAGTACCCTTTCTTAGGTCTTGAAAGCCATTGTCTGACTAAAGCTTTCTAGAACGAGCAACCCTCAACCCACCCTCACAATGAAGTACATCCTCGCTATCTCGGCTTTGGCTATGACTGCCATCGCTATGCCCACTGTCGAGGGCGGCAAGAAGTCCGACGATAGTGACAAGACCGTCTGTGAGAGCCACCAGACTGTCGTCTGCAGTGATAACGGAAACGGTGGTTTGCTGTCTCTGGGCAACCTGCTTTCCGGCCTTCTGGGCGAGAGCTGCTCTGGTGGTGATGTTTACTGCTGCTCCAGCGAGGACGTTGCTCAGGTACATTTTCTTTATCAAAACCTTGGTCCGAAATGATACTAATTTGATATTTTAGTCCGGCCTGATCAGCTTGAACCTCGACCTCTCCTGCAGCTTGAACCACCTGCTGTAAATTTCGTATCTGACTGAAACTATGTACCTTAATTTTTAATAAAAAGTTACACCCATAAACCATATTTCCAAGTGTACATTTAAAATCATAGGAAACTTACGGACAGAATAACGCAGACACCAACCAAGGCCGAGGATGGTAATGGTCTTCAACGTCAGCCATAACCAGTGTCTGCCATATTCTCCTTCTCCTATAGCGAAATATTCAAAGTCATATCTGATGGGCAAAGTCATCAATGCGCAGACTCGTCAGTGGCTGACGTGGCGTCTCGGAGAATAATTTTTAGTGGAGGTTGTGAGCAGATGGGTAGTATCGTATGCGGCGGACCCAGTAAACTAGGGCAGAAAAATGAAGCCTTTGACCCACTCGCCCTTTTAGGCTTCCAACCACTGAAGCCACCAAAGTCAGCCACCCGCACGCCTATGCTCTATGACAACGTGATTTTTTTTTGTGGATTGAGAGTCAGCAGAAGAAACAGCTGGGTCATCGAGTCAGAGTCTTTGACGAGTAATATTTCGCACCAAGCTGCACTTTGCGGACCTGTGATCGTGGAAGGTGAATTCCTGTTAGAAAAAAAAAAAAAAAAAAAGGAAAAAAAAAAAGTAAGAACGACATTGGAGTTACAAACAGGGAAAGGCCTTCCCATAATAATTTGATGAATCGATATGCGGTTCGCGTGCCACCCCTTAAAATCACAGATTGGAGTTCGACGTGGCGCGTTCTGGTATCATGGTGGTGAAGCTTTGGAGCCATAGGCCACTTGATGGTTCTGGTGGAGCATACGAGGCAAGGCAATGCCGGTTGTCTACAACCATTACATGGAAAGGTACGAAAATGGAGAATTAAGTCCTGTAAATTTCTAGCTAGAGTACATGCGCCGACTCAAATATGAGACGATCCCATTGGTACAGAGATGGATGCGATCTGTTTGGCCAAAGCCTGCAACCAAAATTGCAACAGATGCTTACAGGACGTGGTTGAGGTCGCACTGGGCGTCAACGTTGAGGCTAACGAGGCCGGACTAAATTCGACATTAGTGACATATTCCGAATGATTAGATTGGGTGCAACATACAGCAACGTCAGAGCTGGAGCAGCAGTAGACATCACCACCGGAGCAGTCGACACCGAGGGCACCGGGGAGGACGTTTCCGAGGGTGAGGATACCACCGTTGCCGTTGTCCTTGCAGACGACCTGCTGGTCAGACTTGCAGGTGGCGCCCTCCTTACCACCGGTGGCGGCAGCGAGAGCAGTGGCAGCGAGAGCGAGGGTAGCGAGGATGAACTGCATTTTGAAGGTTGGAAGAAGCTGTTCGGAGAATAAGCCACATGGATTTTCAAGTCGAATATCGAGACTGTCACTTACGTTTTGAAGAGACTTTGATTGGGTTTGTAGGATTGTGGATTGGATTGTGGATGAGAAAAACGGCAAGATGAGGCGAGTGATTGATTTATATATCTTTTTTCTGGATATCTATGTAACGTTGGTGAAGGGAATCGAGGGGAGCTTTTTGCGGAATGCAACTTACCCCTTGTGGCGGGCAGAAATGTAGCTCCACACGCCGTTTTCGGTTACCCTCACATTCCTAGGAGGACCAAGTTTTAACATACAGAGGACATTTGGAGTGGATATTATTATTATTTGATGCTGAAATGGTTTATTAAACGATCTAATTGAATGCCTGAATCAGTCTGGAAACATACATAGTGAAAACGCATCTAGTGCTAAATTATCATATGTTAAGGAGCCCAAATACATACTTATTAGCTTTTAAGCATACCGAGCCTCCCCCGCACACAAAGATCACGAGCCGCAACAAACAATGAAGGCAAACTTAAAGCTCTCTGCTCTTTAGGTTTAGGGCAGCTCAAAGCTCCGAGGCTAACGATACATGCACCCCATAGAACAGGAAATATGATAGGCTGTAGAATTGAGTCATTGACAGCAAGAAGCTGCACCAATTACCGTATTCATGCGTCTTAGGTCGATCTGGCCCCGATCTGGCGTCGATCCAAAGGGATGTAGTAATGGCTCACTAATAGTACTTACCTTGAAAGTTCATTATTGTGGAATGTCTCCTGAACTCTAGACCATCTCCCCCACAAAAATTTCATATAGCACGATGTGATTCAATGATAAAAATAAACTGACAGCTGAATGCGTTATTGAATGATCTCACCATCTACTGTGTTTAGTTTCATTGGCGAACCGTTGATGTATAGTTCTGGTTCCTGACTAAGAAAGGAAATAGGAAAGTGCAGGAACGCATACCTAATCATCGCGCTCAGGGTCTAAGGTACCTACTTCATTTGAACCATGGTGGGCATCACCACAGGCAGGGTTACTGTACAAGATATTTACGGCGTAGAATGTCATTGAATGGATCAGCGTAAGCTGGAGCTTAGAGCTTGAAATAAAGTTCCGTGGTACAAAAGCCAAAAAAGCCACTTCCGAAAATGGGAACCCGGAGTTTATCCTCCCGCTGAGGACTAACAATGATTCATGTGCGCATGGAATGTGACTTGAATTCCACGAGGAATGCTTTGAGGCTACCACAATCCTCGTCGCTCATCTTACTGTATCCACACTCATTTCTTCCTACCAGAAACCTGCCATTTCCAAGGTCTTTGGAATTGGTCTCTTAGGGATCCTCGTGTCTGTTCTAATGATCATACATTTTACCCCCTGAAACCGAACCACGTGGAAAGCCAATACGCCGCTAACTGCAGGACGCACGCGTCCTGGAACGTTACCCGAAAAGAGGGGTCTCTTTCAGATTGGTCGGGTGCTTTTACCGCTTGAGGATGAAGCTCCACAAAGGACGGCTGTGGGAGCGCCACGCACGTCGGTGGTGCATTGAATGTGGATAAGAGACTCCGAACTACGCATTAGATGTTTGGATGCAACAGTTGACTCCTATGGAATGACATGTGCTATGCGACATCATTACGCAGTGAGTGATCAGTCTTTGACGGACTTGGCATCAGGTGAAGACGTAGTGACGGATTAGCTGGTAAGTCCAGGACCCGAGTGATGTGCGAGATCATTATGCATATCATTTCAAATGTACTATTCTAAGTAACATCAATATCAAACACTTGGTATAGCATTCACGAGCTGACAGGCACTATCAGCAAATCTGCTACGGAGTCGCTCAAGGCTTCTCAATGGCCACATTTTCGATTCGCTCAGCCTCCATCCCCATTTTCTCCGTATCTTCGGCATGAGCAAGAAGCTCAGTCTGGTATGGCATCTCCTTCGCGACTTGAACAGTATCAAAGAAAGATTTGGAGTTTACAAAGATCTCGTCAATCTCCTCCAGTGTGCGTCCTTTAGTCTCCGGGCAAAAGAAGTAGAAGAAAGCGAGACCAAAGGCACTGATACAGGCATACACGATATAATACTTGTATCCAATATTGGCGAACCCAGTGGGCGAGACCTCGGCGAGGACAAAGCTGAAAATCCAGTTCGAAGCTGCCGACATAGCGGTGACTTTTGCACGGGTACGTAGCGGAGCGATCTCTGCAGCGTACATGAAGGGCACCAAGAACAAGCCAATGGGAAAACAGAACAGCGCGACGAAGTAGAAGGCGATTGATGCACCAGCTGCACCTGTGTTGCCAAGGTCACTGGACAGGCCTGCGAGACAGGTTTGTGCGATCGTCATGCCAATGGCGGCAGTAATTAGGAGGGGACGCCGACCGAAGCGGTCGATTAGGAGGACAGCTAGGCCAGCGGCGAAGAATTGCCAGATTTGTAGGCATCCTGAGACGATGCGGGCGATGGTGCCTGAGTAGTGGAGGTTGGTTTCCAAAATGGTGTCGGAGTAGAAAGTAATAATGTTGACACCCGTCATCTGGGCCAGGATGTTGACTCCGATGGCAAGTACGGTGCGGTGTAGATGACGGTTCTTGGTGCGCGCGAAAGGAGAGGATGAAGCCGAGCCCTCATCTTGTTCGTTCTCAGCAAGTGATTGCCGAATGATTTCCAGTTCCTGCGCGACATGTTCGGAGTCGACAGACACATCTTCCAGGCGTGCGAGAACCTCCGCCGCTTCCTCGATCCGGCCTACCTTCGCAAGCCAACGTGGGGACTCGGGCATGAATAAGATGCAAGAGACGACGAAAAGAGCAAAGATGGCCTGGAAGGCAATCGGGAATCGCCAGCTGGCGGAGTTGGTGCCCGCGTAGTATAGACCAAACTCTAACCATGTAGCAAAGGCAACACCTCCAATTGCAAACCAGCCTTGCAGCAAAACCATCCGTCCACGAGCTTCGGCATCGGAGGATTCGGATACGTACATGGGAATTGTCGCTGTGAAGCCACCAACACCCAGACCTGAACCTGTTAGCTTTTCGAAAATGGATTGCTGTGGATGTATATATATACATACCAGTGATAACTCTACCCGCAATAAGCTGGCCTAGAGAAAAAGGTGTCGCTTGGATGATAATTCCGACCAGTGCGATACATCCTGCTAGAAATATAGTCCTTCGCCGACCGAGTCGATCACCTAGAAAACCACATGAAAATGCACCAAGAGCACATCCAACTTCGTAGATCGCGACCGTGGTTCCTGTTCGAGTCAGCATGTGCAACATTCTTTTCGGCGGATAAAATCAGATGACTCACCTTGAATCGTCGAGTTGTGCGATTTTTGTGCTCCGCTGGTATTAAGTGTATCAATCTGCGGAAACACCGCAATAAATGAAGCCAAAGTCAGCAGTCCGTTGGCGACAGCTTGGTCGTAGCCCTGCAAAATGAAGCCTACGGCACCGATGATGCCGATGACGCGGCCAAGCTTCTTTCCACGCAGCTTGGCAAGTGCCATGGCGCTTGGCAGACAGATAAGCTTTGTTTAGATCGATGGAAGCCCCAAGAATGTATATGGAAAGGAAAGAAGACCAAAATTGATTTCCTTTGATAGTGTTTCACAAGATAATGAATAGGAGAAGAAAAGGAGAAAAAGCAATGTGCGTGGGACATGTAAGACTTAGATACCTCGTTGCGGGGACAAACTGGGGAGCGGAAGTTGTCCGATGTATCTTCCCAAGTGGACCCGGGGTACATAGACATATGAGGGGTTTCCCCAGTCTCACGGCGATGTCTTCCAATCACTGGCCATTGAAAGAAAGTTTACCAATGTCCCCAGATCTGTCGACACAGAAAAGAAATCCCCGAACAGCGTGGCCCCCAAAGTCTAACCAACGATTTTTTTTGTTCGCGTAACCTTCCCACAATCGCGGAATGCCAGATTACTGAACTGACTCGGAGGCCGAAAAATATAAGACCTTCACACTCCGCTTCGGTTACAGTCGGTCGGGAATAGAAACACACTCGTGCGCTTAGACCTTCGAAAGCCGACCGAGATGTAGGCTAGTCGGTGATTGAATTCAAATCAACCGGATTCCAATCGGCCGGTTCTCTCCCTTGATTCGTTCCCCCATTCTTTCTTTCAGGGTCGGAAAAGCCCGCCCCGGTACCCACTTCCCATGGAATCTGTCCAGGTGACCATCCTCGGTGAGGGACCGTATGTTGTCATAGCAGAAATGCCGTAGCGCGACAGGGATCGTCCCATATTACAGTATGAACAGGCCGGGGTCCTGCCTGCATCCCCGGCCCGAGATTTAGCCGTAGGCTATTTGAATGCAGTTTCCAGTCATGTCATTGAGTGGGGAATAGGGAAGGCTGGGGAGATGCGTGGGGGTCAAAAACCTAGAGAGAGATTTCCAAATTTTCTTTCCAATCACGCGTCTTTCAGATAAATCATCACATGATCATGGTGTTGTTGATAGATTGCCTGTCTATTCAGGCCAGACAAGTGTCAGGTCTCCTTTCTTCTCCCTCTTCACAATTCACCACTTCCCATGATTCTGCTTTTCCTTTCGGCTTTTATTTGGAGGGAGAAGAAACCGATCTGCTACAGTCACTAGCGGAGTCTGCTTCCGCCATAATCCTTCCTTTCTTTCCTCCGAAGGTACTATGATCTACATAGAGTAACATGTTTTCGTTATTCCGATAGTACTAAACTTGCAAAGATAAGTGAATTCCAGAAGGATGCTTTTTGGGCTACAGCCATCTCCTGAAACGGATTATCGACTTTTGAATAACGCTTCTTTCTCAGGTTGGAGTATAAGTATGCTGGATGAAAAAGAAGGGATCACCTTTTGTAATTCACTCATTCTCCTAACTATGGTTGTTCGCCAAAATGAATTTTCTCTTTTTGACTGAGCCCTGTAATGTGGGCTAAGATGATATTTTGTCGGCTGTGTACATTTCAAATCCCGAGATTCAACCGTATATAGACAAAAGCCGATATACTGAAAGGGGATCAACGTTCATTCTGCCAGCTTTAGTACCTCGAGGGCTTGTAATAGCCGCCTGGTAGAGGTCTATTGATGGCATGTGAGTGGCTTAAAATAAAACCTTCCTGGCAGCATTGATTCCACTGAGATCTCATCGTTGCGGTGCCGTCCTCTCCATCCAGATCGACCGGTCCCCCCAAAAGGCCGGACGCATGATTTGCGCATACTCCCAGTACTCGGGATACCATCCCGTAAATTCCCAGTCGAGTATGCCGCTAAAAATATTCTGCTCGTCAAACATGATAATGCGCGGCGCAATGTCTGCATGCGTGGATACTGAACGCTACGATTGGGGCAGCATGTCCAGCAGTTGGTTTCAAAACCGAGCACCTCCATGGTGTAGATAATTCTCGAAGATTCTCGCACGCAGATCTGGGTCACTCGAAAGTGGTCGAGCGGGCTCTTGTAAGTCTTTGAACATTGGGTCCCGCGATGGAGAGCCATCCGCTGAACACTGATAAAGTCCCTCAAACTCTGATGAAATAACAATATTTCGGACTCCTGAGGTTAGATCCCATATTTTATGGCAGATCGCACCCCAAACCCTGACTTGGTCACCCAGGAGGAATCCCACTCAAGCACGAGTCTTCCCATTTGTTTATCAAGCACAGTGACAATTTTTTTGGCCAGCTGGGAGGTTGAGTGGATCTTGAGTAGACGGGCATGGAAATAAAAATATTGCACTCCTTGATATATTGGTGCCCTTTGTGGAGATTCGCTTTTTCATAAAGAACCTTGGTTGGAGGTTCAGTCATTGAGCGGGTGATTCCTTGATCCTGGAGTCACAGTAGTTGTTTAGATGACAACAAGGTAGAGATCCGCCAAAGCTTAAATTGGGGAAGAGAACGAAGGCCTGGGTACGTATTGATTGATGGAGGAAAACAATGACCACGCGTGGCGTGACAAACAATACGGCGCTAAGCTGAAAGGGGCAAAAATGAAACAAGGGCGGGCCTATCATATAACTTACTCAGTCATAATCCGAGATGATGTAATCCAGGGGAACAGCGGAAATGCTCCGGCTGAGGGATCTAGGTGGTTCCTTGTAGTGCTTTCAGATATCTATCGTGCACGGAAAGAGCTGTTATAAGCGTATTCGTCCCGAGATAAGCAACGTGAGAAACATTTGTCATCTTCTACAAGCGACCCCTTAAGTCTCCTCTCTTGTCTCCCACCACCCCTCACGGTGACGAACTCAAATCTCGAGGTGGGCTCTGGCTCGCAGGCATCCCATAGAACGTTAGTTGCTACATTATCTACCTTATATACGTAGTGGGCCTAGCATACTCGCCTTAGCAGCGGGTAATGGTATAATTCTTATTCTACATCCTTCATGGGCAAGTATTGAAAGTAACAAGAGTGGATTGACTAATTCAATTAGCAGGGACCTTAGACTAGCGTGGCGTGTAACATTCCTCCTTCTTCAGCCTAAAACAGACGGCTTCTCATCGGGCCAGAGCAGAATCGCCCTAACTTCAATGCTTTCTCTGGGCTCTGCATCCTCATACTCAGAGTCAATGAATGCGGAATGCGGGCACGCCCTGGCACTGCCAAAGTTGTCAAATTGTTTGAATACCAAAACCTCGTTGGCCGTTTGAGCGAACTTATAATACCACTTGTGGACAGTGGGATTTGGTCGTATGCCCATCGATTCTCGAATTTCAGTGAGCCATCTGTTGGCACGAACAACGAGATCTGTATAAGGAACAGTGCTAGCGTCGGCAATCCCGAATGGGTGTTTGTACACGGGCTTGATTGGACGCCATGCCTGATTCAACCTGATGTCAGCAAGAATTGCCAAAAAGAATATGTAAGGACCGAGGACCGTACATTGACAATAATGCAGCGGCCGTGAAGCAATGCCTCGCATTCGTCGGGAAAGTATTTGTGGATCACATTGAAACCCTGCCAGGTCGACTGGTCGAGATGTGCTCCGAACACAGCAGGACCGGGCCGAGTAACATGATTCATCTCTTCCTTTTTGATGCTGTTAGCACCATGTGAGCTGGTGCTCACTCGAGACCCATGATGGATGACTTTCACAATAGGTGCGCCGGTTCTGGTAAATAGTCATTAGCGAATATCTCATATTGCCCGTGGTGGGAAAAGCTCCACGTACACCTCTTTCAACCAGGCTTGCATCTCAGGGTAGTATTCTTCTTTGATCTTCCTAGTGTTTTGTAGATCTTCAGTCGTCTTCATCACCGTACTCTCTTGCTTCGCGAGACAAAATCCGTTTTTCTCCAGGTTGAAGTCATTTTCGCGGCCCGTTAAATCACCCACGGTGATGTCAACCGCCATTTTGGGAGGGTCTGGATAGTAACTGAAGCCCTATAAGTATAACATGAATAAAAAGAGAGGAGGGTGAACATACACATCTCCACCCTGTGTCATGTCCTCTTTGCCACCAAAAGGCTCCAACTGCTTTGCGTAGGCCTCCTCATCGGCATGAAGGATCTGTGTGGGCAAATCCCGACGCTGGCCTTTCATGCCTTCAACGGCAAGAGTAGGAACTTCAGTAACAGTAGAAGACATCTTTAAGAACGATTTAGCACGTTGAAACTTGGAGACGAGCTTTGTGAGGAGGCAGTAGGAAAACTAGTTGTAAACGATGCTTCTGTGAATTTCTTTCTGTATGCGTGGGAAAGGTGAGTGTTTTATATCTTTTCTACTCCTTGGTCATGTCTCTTTGGCTCCGCAGTCAAAGCAGAAACTGAACCGCAGAATCGAGTCGAAGGACTCAGACCCCGTGTCTTGATCGATTCCTAGCCGCATATCCGAGTTCTTGCGTGATGAAGAATCGCCATTGTCGAGTTCTGCCCAATCTTATCATGTCGTCTTGAGCAATAGCCGAGGCTATACACTGATATTGACCTCACTCTTGGCAATTCTCGAGTTTCAAGATCACAAGATTATATTGGGCTATGTAGGGATCCTACTAATATCGTTAATGACTTTGTCGCATGATTACCGTCTATTCGCAGCCATTGATTCAACCTTCACTCAAGTACATCTGGTAAAATGAATTCTTGCCTTTATATTCGCGTATGATCATCATACAATACCCATAGGATATTTCTACTCCATAGCTACATAGAATCAGGTTTTCACTAGCAAAGTTTGACATAATAGGCGTAAGTAGTGTCCGGAGAGTGGCATTTAGATGCATGTTCATATGTCTCGGCTTGGATTTGATCCGGCTTCGAATCTGCATGATTTCTACCTCAAAACCCTGAAAATCAATGATTATAAATTTATCAGGAGACCCAATTGGTTGTATTATTATGCAGTCTAGTCTAGCCCTGGCCGAATTTGTGATCACGGATGGAAAAGGGCACCAATTTAATCACGCGTAGTTTAAGCGAGGCTCTGGAATATGCGATTCTTGAATCTAACACTATCCAGGACATGCGATTGTGATGTGTCTGAAATACGAAGTCGAAAGCCTTTTACTCCTGTGCTGGGCGAATCTCGGGTAGACGAACAAAATCCAAATTAAGTTATCTCGGACATGGCTTAGTTAATGGCTTGTACATGAAAGTGAATTCGCGCACAGTCCTACAATATTTGGTATGCGGGGTAAATGGACCTCGGATGTAAAGTGGTGGAAACCACTCTCATTGGCTGAGTGGGGGTATAAAGGGCTATACTAGGATAGTACCCTTATAGCTTCGTACAAGCCTCAGGTGCAGGTATCTATCGGTGCCGTCCAAGGATAAATCAAAGAGGGGGAGGATCAAAAGTCGAGTACGTCGTGGATACGGACGCTTTGACAATTGCGCAAATACTAGTCAATGCTTTTGCGGGGACATTTTCACTTGGCCATACTGGCAAAATGTCGTTCTCAGTGAATCACATAGTCCATGAACTTGAAACTTTTACTCATTTCACTTGAGGAAATATTAAACGATCCCTGGCGCTTCAAAGGGTTTGAACCCCTCACTCGCAACTGCCTTTTCTCTACATTGAAAATATCCTATCAGGCTATATAAGACCCCTTTCCTGGATGACAGGATACTATCAAATATAGGCTACTGCCATAAGCCCCAGAAAACGGGTCTACAGTTAATTGTCAGCACTTTTCTCGCTGAATACTTTTTCGTCTGTTATGATGGATGATACGGTCAATGACCAAAAGCCATCTGATGGAGTCGCCAATGAGCATATTGAGCAGATATGCAGGGATTCTGGGAGTCATAACAAAGAAGATGATGACTTGGAATCACTTGAGCGCTCTTACTCCAAGCAAATTAAGGTAATTTGAGTTGGGACTGCAGTACAACGCGAACATAGCTGACACTGCTACTCTCTTGCAGCTGAGTAATGTCAAATTTTTGATGGTCTTGCTCGGGTTTTGCATGGCGTTTGTCGGTTCCCAGGTGATTTCCCTTATATTTGCTGCTCTTGTTACCACTGTCGCAAATGACCTGAATGCCGTCGACGACTTGGTCTGGATTTTCTCTGCCGGTCTGGTGTCTATTAGCGCCGTAGCTCCCTTCGCTGGTCCAGTTGCCGATCTCTTTGGACGGAAAAGTGTGACTATTGTGGGAGTGCTCGCTTCGATGCTGGGTATGATTTTGTGCGCTGCAACCCCCAATGGAAAGGGGTTCATTGCGGGTCAGGCCATAGCGGGTGTTGGGGTTGGCATCCAGGAGCTGATGTCAATCTCTGCTGTGGCTGAGCTGGTACCGACTCGTCAACGAGGATTTTATGCTGCTCTTGTCGTATCCACTTTCTTGCCTTTTGCCCCGGCGTCATTATACGGGGAACTGATTGCACAGAGCAGCTGGCGATATTGTGCTTGCTTGATCGCAATCTGGAACCTGTTGACGGCTGTCGTTCTTGCCATCTTCTACAATCCTGCGCCTCGAGTCAACGCTATGGGACTGAGTCGCATGGAGATGCTTCGCAGAATCGACTTCCTAGGAGGATTTCTCATGATTGCGGGCATTGTTGTCTTCCTGATCGGGCTCAACTGGGGAGGAAAGACCTACCCCTGGGGTTCTAGTGCAGTGATCTCGTGCTTGGTCCTTGGTGCCATTCTAGTTGGGGTCTTCATCCTATACGAGACGTTATGGGCTAAATATCCCATGTTTCCCCGTCGTCTACTCCGTCATTCTCGTGCCTTTATTGCGTTAATGGTGGTGATTCTTGTCGCGGGTGTCAATTACATTCCCATTTTGTTCTTTTGGGTCATGCAATCGATCAGCGTATATGGCTCAGGCCACGTTGTTGCAGGCATTCGAACGCTGCCATTTGGTTTCTGTATCGTTGGGGGATCCTTGATTTCTGCCATCATGATATCGTCATTCAAAGGGTATGTGCGTCCTATAATGACAAGCTTCTGTGTCATACAGACTGTGGGTAAGTCTTCTATCTCTCGTTGACATTGTAACACTAGCTGAGCTTGTGGCTTATCACTGACATTTTCATACCAGCCATTGGCTGTATGGCTGCCGTCGATCCTAATAATGTCAACACCGTCTGGGCTCCTCTCGTGCTTGGCCTCATCGGCGTTGGTGGTGTTCTCGTTCCCAATCAAGTCATAGTCACAGTCATATCCCCAGATGATCTAATCGCGACCGCAACATCTCTAACTGTTTGCCTTCGCTCCGTTGGCCAAGTTGTGGGAATCGGCATTTTTTACACTCAATTTATAGCGAAGCTCACCGAGGAAGCAGAGATGAAAATGATTCCTGCGGCGATGGAAGTCGGCATTACTGATCCATTGATCCTCAAGGAAATGGCGTCCACGCTTCTAGCAATTCCATTCTCAGAGTACGCGGCAGCGCTTCCTCAGCTAAATACGCCGGAGAAGTATGAATTTTTGCATCTTGCTGTTATTAATGCGTTTGGAGTGTCATTTTCTAAAGTCTACTTGATTTCGATTGCATTCGGAGTTACTGCGTGTATCGCGAGTTGGTTCCTTGGGGATCTCACATCTTTGATGGATGACCATATTGCTGTGTCATACTTTTAGTATTGCATTTGCTTTGGAATGAAATGCGTTACCAACCAAATTTGTGGGGTCCCACTATATAAGTCGACATGGTGTAATTGAGGGGGGCAGGGGAAAGACAGTAATATTGCGTGGTGCTGTGAGGAATAACCGTGAAGTTATCGTCTAGTCCATTTGACATAATCAGGACTAGCCCGGTATCCTCATTGAGTTCAGTGCGTGATTGTCTCGACCTTTTCTACGTTCCTCTGAAAAGCTCCGTGGGGAATTCCACTAAATTGAATGCTGTTCTTTATCTTATAGTGGTTGAATACACCAACTTTACTTTGCCACTCTTATATTGAAGAGTATATAGTCAGGTGACGTTGAGAACTTGTTCTTCCATACGGTCCCGTTGGGGGCCAGTCGGGAACATATAGTACGAATCGTCCCGATTCCCCTGATGAAAGCATTCGAATCAGATCTAGCTCAAGCTACCTCTCTATAGTGTTTACCAACCTGAACGGATACTTAGATTTATAATTTACTACCTAGGTCCAACCCAGGGGTAGGACTTTACTACCTATTGCCCGCTCAGAATGGGTACTTCTTGGCGAGATCTAGTCAGAATTAACTCTCAAAGCTACACTTCTTAAGCTGTTTCCTTCATTTTCCAGCTTATTCTTGCCCGTTTACATACTATTTCCCTCCTTGCCATACTTATCTTGTGGCAGAAGAAATGTTCGCTATTACTGGAGAAAATGCATAATTTATCTACTGACAGGAAATCACGAGTTGGCATGTTTATTATGGGGGCGACCTGAGTTGGGCCCGGGCTGTATCCACATTATATTGGTCGTGCGATAGTCAAGTGGCTCCAGCATCTTATCTATAAAGATACGCGCCTCAACTCAGTTACCTACCTGAGCTGATCGAATGTCAAACCTCTACTTGTAGGAGATTATTCCTGTGGCGGGTATGTGTATTCAAAGCTCACTAGTACGACACTGCTGATGTGATGAATTTGGTGATCGACCCGATCTGTACGCATTGAACCGGCGCAGAGGAGCACTACTTGTAAAGCACAATCGCCTTCCAGGCTAGAGTAGATTGTGAGCAATATTCATCTGGAAATCGCCGGCACATGTGAGCCAATAAACCCTTCTCAGATCTACTAGTTTTTGAATGGCAGAGCACATCCGTGGACATTAGAGTGAAACCAAGAGCGTTCGACGTTCAAGTATTTCCCCAAGTTTACGAAACTGGGCATTTCTTCGATATCTGTGCCTCCAGATCCATGCGCACATCGCTAATGGATGGAAAAATTTGGAATGTGCCAAAAAGAATAAAAAATAAGAAAATAAAAATCAATAAGATCTCTGTCGTGGCGTGTCAACTGGAACTCAATGCCAGCGCTGTAGCTATGTATATCGGGTGAGTATCATTCTCAGCAATCCCGAGAAATCAGACCGAAGATTGGGTAGGCTTAACTCCGATATATTTGTAATGACGCTGATATATATAATTTGGGCTGTCGAGCTCGGTCAATAGCAAAGATACGGCAACATGTCCGAGCTGAATAGTAAGGGCCAACAGGAAGCACAAGGATACGTATGTAGTATTGTGAAAGTGCGCCCAGGAAGGAAGAAGAGATCTACGCGAGGATGAAGCTTAAGTGGTGTAGGACGGAAGGTACTAGTCCTAATCAGGCCATCAACAAAGCTCCTGGGAGGAAGAATTTCCCCAGGACGAGTTTTCAGCTGTGATACACCGGAAGCTCTGAGGAGATTACAGTACGGCTGGTACGAGGAAGTCAAGGTCGCCAGCTTTGGGCTGGGGAATTTGTTCAGAGGTTGGAAGTAGAGGCGATAAAGGCCCAGCACAACGAGATAGACCAGCTGCATGGAAATCGCTGCCAGGCACAGCTTAACTGGGTGCTGCCTTACAGCTCCAATGGCTTCAAGACAGTCCTCGATTAAAATCATAATGGCTCCCTATTGTCAACTTTCTTCATCTTTGCCTGCTTAGGCGAGATCGGCTGTCTCTATCTGTCCTGCCGAACTTGGAGATGGTGCCATCGTCGCGATGGGCTGACCTGAATCTGACGAGATAAGGAAATGGATAATGACTGCATATGCAATGTAACGTCGGCCAGCCCCTCCAATTGCGAGGCGTCAATCAAAATAGCAGTAAATTAAGGATGACCTGCATTAGTCTATATGCCAGATCAAACCGTTACAAGTATTTTCGCTCGTATTGTATAGGTACGTATCTGGTAATACATTGGTTTTCGAGGTAGTTGGCATACAGAATTTGTTTATGCGTATCCATAGCAGGAGGAATATTTCTGCTGTTCTCTTGCTTATTGACTCCTCTTTGCATACCACATCCACTACAATGGCACTTAATTGCTTGTAATCTGCAAATCCATACTCCTCACATTCATATGGGTACACCAATAAATATAGACTCCTCCAATACTATCTATCCAAACATCTGCCTCACCAGCTCTTGATTTGCAGCCAAGAACTCCTTAAATTCAGTCAACTTGAAGTCAACCTCTGCCTGCGGTTCTCGTGGCTCAAATCTATCCCTGCTGCTCCCAGAATCACAGTTGAGCGTCGATCTGGGGATTCGAGGAAGCCAGACGCTCCGCCAGATTGCGGGGTCATGGTCGACCACAATCTCGCGCCCGCTGACCTCAGAGATGGCGCTCGCCGTCTGCTCCACCATCAGGGCCTCACTTCAAATACTTACAGAACGGTGCAAGAACCGGTTTGGCTCTGTGAGAGCAGCAGCGGCAAAGCGCCCGATATCATCGGGGTCGATGAGCAATATCCCTCTCCCGCCGCCTAACAGTGCAAAGCGTACGGAATTCAGCCAGCTCAGGCGATTTTCTTCGTACACTAGGAAGGAGATAGTTTGTCATGTAGACGGGAGGACGGAGGATCGTCCAGTAGATAAAGCCGGCAGAACGCACGAGGTCCTCGATAGCAGTTTTGCTCTTGAATTATCCCTTCATCATTTCGAATATAGTGCCATCGTACCACCCAGGGAACCTTTCGCGCTGTTCGATGGCGCAGACAGTGGTATAAACGAGGGTCGCAACGGTACCGAATGCACGAGCGGCTTGCACGACGTTAGTCGCCTGCTGCAGCTCAGCTCTATGGCCTTGGAACGACGGTGACATGTGCAGGAATACTGCAGTTACGTTCTGGCAAGCGGGCTGGAGTTGCTCGACACGGTCGAATTTACCTCAACTAAAACGATGTCGCGACGGTGCAGGTCGAGCGCGGCGGCACTGGAGCTCGTCCGAACCAAGGCATGGACCCGCAATCCTCGGGCTAGGAGATGACGGGCTGTCGCTCCGAGTCACTGCCGGTGGCCCCAGTGACGAGGATGGTGGGGAACATGGTATAGGATAATATTACCTTAGTGAGAGGGGTATCGTTGAGGGGAATTAAAAACAGGGACAAAGACTGAAGGAAAGGACACACTTTCCTGTCTAGGTGTTACAAACCCAGGTACATTTTAGGTTTATTGAACAAAGGTTGTTCCCACCCAAACTCGAAATCACACTACATGCATACTTGAATTTCTTACCGAAACCATGTAATGTGTAATTTTATCGTATTTCTTATTGTAAGAAATCATCTAATCTACCCTCAAGGAGTATTTTGATCTCCGTTTAATTTTCAGTTGGGGAGATGTGAGTGACTTATAGCTTACAGCGGCGTTTTTAGTCACTATTTATCATAAACGCGTCATTGACAGCTTTAAGTAAAACTAAACCCAAAGGCTCTTCTGAAATTCAAATACTGGCAACTCCATGAGACAGAATCTCTCAAAAATAACGCAAAAGTCATTCCAAGAGCTAGTATTTATTTGAAAATAAAATACAATGGAGATGACCTTAGAGACACTTATGACCACGTCCTGTATGTATCGTAACAAGCAGTGCGGCTGTATACCTGCTCTGCTCTTGTCATACACTTATCTACCCTCAGACCCAACCATTACCGTCCCGACCGCATTGACTATCTCTTCTCTATACCTGGCCGGCACGCCATGACCCTCCCCATGTTCCACCACCGTGACACGAGCATACAGCTGCACCAGATCCAGGCCGTGGCGACGCCACTGATCTTGTGACCCCTGCGCGGGGGCTATCGAGATGCTGATGCGGTACGGGCCGACCGTGGCATGGAAAATCCGGTTCAAGACGTCCTCCGCCCCCTTGCCTTTCTTCAGATACACCAGGTCCGTGACTAGGTAGTCGGTTACTCGCATGAGCGCACCGGGCCGGCTGGGCTCGGACGCGGCGATGCCGAAGTACCTGCGGGCGTCGATACCGCAGTCCGCGCGGGGAAAGAAGGGAGTCGGCGACACGATGAAGATGGCGGCCTGGAAAGGGGATTTTTGGCCTCTGGTCCGGGCATGTAGGAGCATAGATGCGGCGACGGCGACATCCTGAATGATTCCCCATGGTTATAATACGGAGTATTGGGCTCTGAATACGGGTAGAAGATAGAAGAAAGTATACATACGTGGCTAAAGCCCAACAGGGAGAGAATCTGAACGATTCCGAGTGGATTGAGAGATAGAGGAACAATTCTCCGAAGATATTGATAATATTCCTAGGTTTGTGCATCTGTACATAGAAAATTAAATACTGTATGTACAATGGTCATGTAATATTTGAAGTAAGGGATTACCATACATGTAATTACTTACAGATCCTTGGTCATGGTTACGCACATACCCGATCGGGAATCCTCCAACGCTTCTTCTTTGTTCTCCTCTGTTTCCATTCTTTCTTTCTTTTTCTTTGTCCCACTTCCTACTTATTCGGACCAAATCTACGCCATTAGACACTACAGCCTACCCTTAGGATGTTTAGGCCGCCCTTGATCTCGCCTCAACGTCGGCATCCCAACCACCAAGAAGTGAACCATTGCTACTATGACTAACACAAATTATCTCATTACTGACGCCAGTCGCGGTATTAGCCGTGACCTAATCGAGCTATTCCTCGTTCGTTCCAACACCATCGTAATTGCGGCCATCCGGAGCCCGCCGGCGCTTCATCCCAGTCCCTGCAACTCCACCCTAAGAGTAAGTCTTCTCGCATGATCATCGTGAAGGTCAACTTCGACTCTCCCACTGACCCAGCTGCTGCTGCTGAGACCCTCCAAATGGAGCAGGGCATTGGCCACCTAGACGTGGTAGTTGCCAACGACAGCATCAGCGAGAATTTATCGCCCGTGCACGGGGTGCCCATTAACGTGCCATGCCAGCACGTCGAGGTAAACGGCTACAGGCACATATACCTCTACCAGGCGGTCTAATCGCTGCTCAAGAAGAGCATGAAGCCTATGTTTGTGGGAATCGGGAGTCCACTGGGGAGAATTGGCGGCGTGGAGCAGCGTCCGTATCCGTGTGCGGCGTATGGCCCCAACAAGGCTGTCCTGCACTGGATTGTGCGCAAGATCCATTTAAAACGAAGATTTTATAAGCTTTGTTGCAGAGTCTGGGTATTTCCTGCTCTTTTCAAATACTCATTGCGTCACGAATATTCTAATGTATATGCAATTTCTCCCAAAATGACATGGGCAATGCCGGCGCACAGGCTGTCGGTTTCGAAACCGCCTTCCAGGCGGTAGAGGAGAGCGTCGAGGTATCGCGAAGGCGATTGATGAAGGAACGCGGGACTCGGCTGGCGCACAGCTGCGCGTGAGGGATGGCCCTCAATTCCCCTGGTAGATTAATAGTATCAGAGTCATTATGCATGACCCCTTTTTACCCCCATGATCCAGACATTCCTCTCGCTCTTAGCTAGTGGTCTCACTTTAAAACACTTCAAAATACATTGCGTACAGCGGTTCCGAAGCGGATGATAGCATTATCTTCCGAAGGACTGATTTGTACAATTCCAGCTCAACTATCACGCTTTTCTAGTCTATTCTATCTTTTTTACTATTGACACATACGCCCATTGCCAGCCACCGTCCAAACTTCACTGCCAACGATACTGTGCGCGTAAAACAGATCCCCCAGGTCGTATTCTTTCTTAATGGCGCGCCAGCGGTTGTAGTAGAAGCCATAGAAATTCTCATTCCAGATTCACAGCATAAAGCTAGACTCTTTGAGTTAGCCACCGCTGCCCGGAGTAAGCTTGCGCAATTGTGGCTCCAGCTTGTTGGTCAATTGAAGCTCGCGCTGGACTTCGACGGAGCGAGGCAGGGTAGAATTCCAGACTGAAGGCAGGATAAGCGACACCCCTGTGTCGCGCCAGGCAGAGAGCACTGCGTTGGATGCTCCCAGATTATGGACGCTGTTGTGGAGAGATTGGCCACAAAGCCGACAGCGCAGAAGGGGTGGAGGCAGGGATGCTTTGCACTAGGATCATTGAATCCGAGAGACTTAAGGGTTCTGTGAAACGGATCGAGGGAACAAACGGCCGCCGATTAGTTGGGCAGTAGCGTAGGCACCCATCGGGCAGTGTACCAAAATAGCACAGGTAGTGAGATAGAAAGTCGGCGGAAGTGGTTATATTGGTTGTATAAGAGGCCTGGGTGACATTACACCAGTTGAGATAAAGAGCGGCTGCAGGAGGCTGCGCTTTTTGTCAGCGATGCCGTTCACTAGGGTGATCGCCTCGACGGTGACGGCCGACGAGATAACCAGGTAATTGACTGTGGTTCCGCCATTGGTCATGGGAAGCAGCATCTCATGCCATTTGCGAATCGTTCGTATACGGATGGGGCCAATCCGGTCGATAAGAGGCTGAGACTAGTTCCGCCGACCACCCCGGCGTCCGGATGGAGCCCGGATAGTCATCGAAATGACCATACCATAAGTGCGTGGACCTCCACCACTGAGGACTAAATACAGACCAGCACATTGTGAGGGAGACGCGACTAGATGCATACCTGCCGCTGTGACTTTCCCCCCCCCCCCCCCCCCCCACCCCCCCCACCTCCACCACTTGATCGGCGCCTAGTTCATACTGCGAGCTAAGACACTATGCCCACAGCCCTGGGTAAAAGCTCCAGCGACCTCAACATTTGGGCAGTCGTCACCTATGACCCGTAATCCGTGTTGGCTGGCAGCCTCATACGCAGCAGATATCACTACCCCCGTTCCCAGTTTCAGAGCTGGTCCGTCGTAATTGGTGCTGCGATAACTTAATAGCACTCCAATGGCATTGAAATTGTGCATTCACAGTCCCAAGCCCCCTTGTCCGGTAGATTCATCCTTGCAACTGCAGAAAAAAGCAAGCATTAGAGAGATATTCGCAAGAACATAGAAGCGTGTATTTACTGGGGTCCCGTATTCTTGATGACCAGGGGCAGGTTATTCTCCCGTATAGACTTGACCCCTACCTGCATATCGGCCGCGCTGGTAGCGCTGATTGAAGATGCCACCGAAGTGCCCAGCTAGCATGGCGTCGAGACCGAGGTGTAGAGGCTGCATTTCTGATCATGGAACTAGGGGGCCTTAACCGAAGTTGGGAACCTCGCTATACGGAATTATTTAATCATTGCGCAAAAGAGGGGGTTGCATTAGTCGTACTGATATCGCGCCCACGCCTATCACTCATGCAGCACCACATATGCGGTCTCATTGTACTGTGGATCATGGCACACCGAGGCCAGGGGTATCGTTGCAATCAAGCGCCCATCCACCGTGGCATTCAGCCTATCTCAGAGCTTCCTCTGCGACCATTGGACATCTTCTGGAAGAGAACGACACTGCAGTCCATAAACAGCTCCTAGGGCAAAAAGGGTGTCACCGCTACAAAAATAAAATACAAGTTCACAAAGTCTGATAGAAGAGCAGATGACAGGATATGACCAGTAATTAGACGATAAGGGAGAAGTATATTTTATTGACCAGAATCGGGTCTTTCCAACATGGTGGATGCATTCCCCCTTTATATTCCAGGGCCCATTCCTGAATCTCCTGTCATTCATTTTATCTTATCTACCACAAATTTCTCATCTCAGTGTAGATGCGTGGCTATTCGAGCTGTAATGATGATGTTGAGTAATACAAGCGCCGTTTTGGTGGTGTTGGTGGCTGATTCAACCAATACTAGCGTAAGTATTATGCCAATTCAACCCTTTCCCCTCTGCCAAACAATTCCCCATTGTGGTTTCCGACGATACCCCTACGGGCATCAAACATGAAGCAATAAGGTCTCTTATCGGAGAGGTTGGCTCGAGGCCCCATGGAGCTAGCTCATCTGACGGGTATGCGGCTGTTCCTAATAATTATTGCGCTGCTTCTGGACTCGCGTCTGGTAAGATCGGGGTTTTAAATAGCCGGAGATAATCCCGAGAAGACAAGGCTGCCGCCTTACTAGAGCCCAGGCCACGAATTACTAATCCGGCCTTCCTCCCTTGCCAATACAGCCCACACATAAAAGACCAACATTCCTTGAAAGCGTCCTAAGATCCAAAATTTAGTAAAATTGAAAGCCGTGAACAATTGGAAAGACCGGAGGAATAGTTTCAGACCCCCTGGACTGGCTTGACTGGGATCTTGTTTGACCACTACATACCGCGCATGCAATAACGGAATGATAATTTGAAATTTGGAATTTATAGACTTACTTTGGGGCGCTTATATTGTTTCTTGCCGTATTCCTGCTTTCTTCCGGGCTTAAGGCATCTTGGTGGTTCCTTGGCCAGATAGTACAGAGTGGCCTGCGTCGCTTACTGGATAAATGTACACTAGCATGTGCAAGGCTCCGATTGTGCTAAAGGCTACAGTGCTGTAATGGAAGAAACACGATGGTTTCAAACCAGTAGCTTTTTTCTTATGCAGCACGGCCCAAGTTCATGTTTAGGGATTGCAGCCCGCGAAAAAATCTATCTTTTCGTAGATGAACTTTTATCTTGCCCGTCCATTAAATGCCATGCAGGCAGATAAGCATGCTAATTTAGGGTGGGGTAAGCGGGAGCGGCCGCTTTCCCACCTGCCCATCGCGCAGTATACCCAATGGGGTTAAGGATAGCCGGATATCGCCAATTTCATGACCGATGGTGTTATCTTGCCTAATGGTTGGTAGGTGATAGTGAGAAACGCCATTTCAGGTCGTGAAGGATTCGGGATCACAGCTGAACACGAAGCTACGTGTATCGATTGTGTCAGACCCAGTCTATGGAGCGCCTGAAGAAGGTAAAGGGTGAAAGTGACAGCAGCTCTATTAATCGAGGTTGCCCAGGTCTAGCAGGGTCTCGTCTCTTTCCTTTGTGTTCCTTGATTTAATCCCCGCCGGAGCAAAAATGACCCCACAAGCTAGACATGTGGCCTGCAACTCCTGTCGCCAACGCAAGACCCGCTGCGACGGCAATCAACCCTGTTGCAATCAGTGTGCTACACGAAGCAGTGCCTGCAGCTACATTCGCCCCGAGGTCCAAGACCAACAGGAAATTCTAGGCCTGTTGAAAGATTTAACTCAACGACTGAGTGGGTACCATTGACCCAGGAATCAATTGATGCAATCTCCGCATAGGGCCGGCTAATGCGTCAATTCAATACAGGTGCCTTTGAGAATAACCTTGCACCTCAATACAAATCTATCGCTCCTGGGTTTGAGCATGATGCTGTGACAGACCCAGTGTTATTTGCATCAGACGACATGGTACCTTCGGATTTAGGGACCGTGGAACAGACTTCAGATGACAACATCTTCATGATGCCAGAGGTAACAGATATTGATTACCATCAAATACTGGCCGATTTGGAGACCTCCTCGCCACCAATTTTCGGGGATATGTTTCCAGTGCCGATGATGTCCTGGTATGATGCGAACAAGCTTGTCGAGCCCAGAATGGCCGACAATGTAGTTGCATCGGACTCGGAATTGCAGAACATGTATTTCTCACCATTCAATGAAGACTGGGTTATTCTGGGTCTAATTTCTTACCATCTAATCATGACATTCACAGATACCAGACATATACTTATAAGGCAAATTCTGGCTGTTTCATGATTGACCCTGATCATTTTCATGCAAGACTCCGAGAAGTCCCAGAAGCACCAGAGGTCAGCAGCCTGAAATATGCTCTCCTAGCTCAAGGAGCGTCGGCTTCAGCTACTCATTTGAGATACAAAGAAGATTTTTACAAGCTGGCTTGCAAATCCTTTGAACAGATCAAGGCCTCAAATCAGGGAAGGAATATCGTCGCCCTACAGGCCTGCGTCCTCATTGCATTTTATGAGCTGCAGCATGTTCACTTTGAAAAAGCCAGGGCTAGCTTGAACCGTGCAGTTTTGATGTCTAAGATATTTGGCTTAGACCGTATAGATCAAAGAGGAGACTTTACTCCAGTTACTGGTGACACACTAAGTGAATTGGAGGAACAAAGGCGAACGTTCTGGACTGTTTTCAACTTGAGTTGCTTTGCCAGCATCACAGCTGGTTGGAATGCACATGCGCTGATCGACTACAACCAGGTAACTTTCATCTGAATAGATTTTCCCAATTAATGTAAGCACAACACTCGCTGTGCCGAAGCTAATCACTCTGACATGTCAGATCACAACATTCCTGCCGACTTCATTGCCTCTTGATCAGGTCACATCATCATCGAAAATCACATTATCGCAAGTTCTCTGTCCATCATCTTCCCCTGAAGCATCGTCCACTGCCCAGGGATATATAGTCAGTTTTGCTATCCTAGGCTTTGCCTTTGTTCATCTGGAAAACTCATCTCAAAGACTAAATCCTGCCCTCGGACAAGGGGATTTCTGGCTACAACACTACCAACTTTGCGAGGCCTTGGTTCATATATTCGAAACTTTTGGAACAGATCAGCCCAGCCTGGTGGGTGGCGGAGATTCAGATCCAATTTGCATGTTTCTAAACTTGCACGCTACTAATATCACCCTGCACTTTGCTGCCAACCTGCAAATTGCAAATTCCAAGACTTCGCCTCTGCCTGTGCTGATCGACCATGAGACAAAATATTTGGACTCGGCGATAAGGATCGCTGAGACAACTGGTGCAGTCTGTCAAATGGACCGCGGTAAAGTAAGTTTCCTCCCTCCTCAGGGGTTAAGTAGTCGTTCTTTCAATTTACCTAACGTTACTTGTTAAACCTCAGATTGGCCCTTATATTCCGTGGGCTATTTATGTCGCTGCCCAAATTTTTGTGCGAGACTTGCAACAAGTCGGGATCTCATCAAACCCAAATCACCTGGACGCCCTGCAGAAAAAAGCCGCACCTGGAACCACCGGGTTGGGTACATCCCAGCACATATTTTTGGACTATATTCAGCGACTGCTGGGGACATTGTCAATTCTTACTCTGCATAGCCCAATCGCCGGATTGTTTATTTCGCAGATTAATTTGGAGATAATGGGAGGTAAGCCGTTCACGGACCTTCGACTCATTGGTCGAGTGGAGAACCTGGTACCTGGGTTCGAAATACTTCACGTTTGAAAAAAATACTCTTTTGGCCAAGAGCAAGAAATATCTATATAGAATTGATCTTCAGATAATATAAACCTAGATACACGAGACAAAGGAATGATGGGCGATATCTCAGACTGAGAAACAGTACCTAGCCCTGGAGTATATTCAATGAAATTCACATGCCACAATGAGTAACTGCGTTTCAACAGGCTCCTACGGACGTACGTATGGAGAGTACGGAAAGTATGTGGTGTGAAGATGTGGTATGAAGATGTGGTTTAAAGATGTGGTATGGAGAGAAGTCTAGGCTACTGAAAGTGGAGGGATATGGTAGATACAGGTCAAGTGACTCAACAAGGTTCTACTGCCCATATGTAATTTCCTATGCTGAAATTAAACTCGAAAGGAAAAGAAACGAGATAGCCACACATAAGCCAACGAGGGGAGTATACAGGAACGAAAATGCATTTGCTCCCTTCTTTACCTTGCTGTCATTGGGAGCGAACTGTAGCTCGTCGTCCCATGGCAGGGTTCCAGTGACAGCACGTTTCGGTAACTGAACATACTCTAACTTGCGAGAGGCTTTGATCAACTGAGCAGCTTGCTTGGCAAATGTAGTGTCAGGAAGGAAAGGGACAACGCGGGACAAAAGCTTGTGGAAGGGCGTATCCCAAGCCTGAATGCGCGTGGCAAGATTGGAGAAGTCGATTATTTTACGCATGCGCTCCTTCGTCAAACTCTGATACTCTGACAGCAGCTGTTCAACTATCTTTGCATCCGGACGGCCACCGGGGTGGATTTGGATGGCGCGATTGAGGAGGTTAGACAAAAGTACGATGCTCTCCATAGCCGAGTTCCCACCTAGCCCGACATTGGGGGTCATCTTGTGGACCGCATCACCAGCGAGAACCACGCGCCCAAAGTACATATGATTGAAAAGACCTTCTTCGACGTTGACTAGCTCTCCACGGATACGTGTCTTCCAAAGCTCACCAAAAACCTGCGTGCTAGAAATGGGGCAATCGGCGCATGCACGGGCCCGTTCATCCGCGGCCGCGTCGCTCCAACGAGGACGACTGGGCCAATGGAGTCGCTGGGGGTTCTTGAAAAATACGAACCAAAAAGTGTAGGTCTTCTGTCCAATGACGAGAAAGGAGCGACCTGGATAGTGAGTACATGTCATGTCGCAATTGCTCATGCCGGGGAGTGTCGGGCTAAGACCCACGAGGGCAGTCCAGTCACAGAAGAGAGCTGGGCAATGAATGTCAGCATGTGGAAGCTTGCGTTTTAGGTGACACTCACATTTCTTCTCAGTAGTCGTTATGAAGCCTGGGATTTTTGCATTGGCATTGCGCCACATAAGACTGCGAACAGCACTATGAACGCCATCACAGCCAATAACGAGATCCCCTTCCTCAATGCTGCCGTCCTCTAGTATAACCTTGACCCCATCGACACCATCAAGGATGTCCACTACACCAGACTTGGTGCGCACCTTGGATTTGTCGGGCAACTGTTCGTACAGGATTTCGAGAAATCGCCGACGCTCTAGCACCGGAATGGGATAGCCATGACTAGGGGTATTTTAGCAAAGCGATGGAGATATATAGCGGTGAAGCCTTACTAGTTGCGCGAGTGAGCAAAGAAGTCACTGTTCGCGATAATCTTACCATCGGGCAGAATATTGATGGATTTGCCCAAAGGATAACATTCCGCTTCAACGGACTTCAGGCACCCAATTTGGTCTAGGATGCGAGACCCCTGCGGGTAGATGCCAATACTGGCTCCCATCGGCGGAGCAATGACACCTTTCTCCAGGATCACATAGTCGATATTGGCGCGGTGAAAGGTGTGAGCCGCTGTCAGACCACCGACGCCGCCACCTACCACGATAACACGGAACGGTGCTTTTGGAGAAGAACTCATAGCTTGAACATGAACACAAATTTGAGGCAAGTAGTGTAGCGTGCTCTAAGCCATGGACGAAGACACAAATTCTTCGCTATTTGTTTACGTTTCTCACCCAAGGTACGGAGATCGAGGCCGAAAGATCTCCAAGGGGTCGCGCCATGAATCGCCGGCCCTCCTAAGCTTACTGTGGTGCCCTGCCGGCGTTCGGCCCGGGCTCTATGCTTCCTCACCGTTCGAGGTGAATTATGTCCTTGGTAGGTTTCACCAAGGAAATTTGGGGAGATTTAAATGACTGTCATGGCTCTACAGGCTGAAACTATTGGTTCCAGTCTACAGCCGCAGTTTATTCACTGAGTCGCCTGATCATGTCTGTTCCTACGATCAACTTTGCAACCCTACAACCTGCCATTGTATGGAAGGTGAATGCGGGGGCCGCGCATCTTGTTGGACCTCGCCAAAGTGGCTCGACATTGATCCATTTTGTATGAATTGACTCAAAACTATATTTATCATGGCAATTGTACTTCGGGCTAATAATGGCTGTGATAGGAAACCCCTAGCGGGACAATCGAGACCGTGCCAGGATTTGAACCCCAGTTCTCAGCCAAAGTAATCTTTGGTGCCGACTGGCTTGAATTTGATCCTGACAAGAAGCATGCGCGCATCAACATGAAAGCTGTTGCCACGTAAGTCTGCATTATGTGCCTGAATTCAATCAAAGTCCCCCTCTGAATGCATTTAGGACCGAGGACGGGAAGGACATTAGTTTCGGATACGAAGGCATCATCGAATTGAATGAGGCAGTGATGAAGATTTTCAACATGGAGGCAGATTCTGTCAGTGTTCCATTCGGGTTCAGCAGTAAGTCCTCCTGGTATCAGGTCTTGAGAGAGATGATGACTGATTAGAGGAAAAAGCGGGATCCCATAAATTTCATAGCGGTGACCCAGCCCTTGAAGAGCTGCAGAACATGACCCTGGTGGGCAATGGACGTATGTTGGTAGATGAGGACACGCGGGTCATTACGGTGGAATCTCGTATCTCACGCGTCATTCCTGCCACCGGGTTTGATTAATGATTTAGTTCATAGTAGCACTGAATTGTGTGATTCGGGCTCCGGTAGTTGCGGCGAATTTCGCCGGCCTGCCAATGCCCGCGTCGGGCCGTTCCCCGGGACAGTCTAAGAAATTTACTCTTCTTATCTTAAATAGATAATAATCTCCACGCTTTCACTGGGTATCAGTAATTACTCAAATTTGCATCTCGGTAACAATTGTTAGGTGACGACGTATCCTGAGTTTTTCCGGTCTGTCTCTCTTGCAGGTCTTTCCTCGTTTGTTCTCTCTCTCTTTCTCTTCTTCTTCTTCCCTTACTCGATCAACAGAGTTTCTTCTCCTTGTCTGCTCACAATCTATCCTGTCGTAGATTTGTGCCCTATTTTCAACAATGACCAACAACAAAATCTTGTTTATCCTTGGCGCAGGTCCTAATGTTGCCACTGCAACTGCCAAGCACTTTGCTGCGCAAGGCTACCAAGTCGCTCTCGTCAGCCGCGGTACCTCCACCTCTTTCGACCCTTCCTACTTTTACATCCAGGGCGATCTTTCCAGCCCTGAGAAAATCCCCGAGTGGTTTGCTCAAGTTAAGAAGAAGTACGGAGGTGCTCCAAATGTGGTGATCCACAATGGTAAGTACGCGTAATGCTTTTTGCCATACAGTCAAGAAGCTAAACATCCCTATCCTACAGCGTACCACGTGTTTCCCGCGCAGCCAAGTAATCCCCTGTCGCTCAGTCTTGGTCAGCTGAACTATGACCTGGCCGTGAACTTCACTTCCGCCTACCTCACCGCACAGGAAGCTATTAAAGGTTTTGAGACGCTCCCCGCTGAAGTCCCCAAGTCATTCATCTATACTGCAAATGGATTGAACATGATGCCTATGCCTCGTCTGGTCAGCCTCGGGCTTGGCAAGACTGCTTTGGGCCATGTCATTGAGAATGCTACCCTCGCTTTCGCAGGCAAAGGATATACGTAAGCGTTCCATCTACCCTTGGGAGTTTGTTCGACACTTGGTCAAGCTAATAATCTACCCACTAGTTTCTACTATGGCGATGAACGCCTTGCCAATGGCGATTTTGCTAGTGGTGCTATCAGCGGCGTTGCTCATGCGGAGCGGTACTGGGAGCTTAGCCAGGATCGTAAGCAGAGACCTTGGATGGATACATTTGTCGCTGGTCAAGGGTACAAGGAGTTCCCCAAGGTTTAAACTTGTAATCAGGGTCTTATTCAAGCAAATACTCGAGAGAAGCAATTTCTTCGCAAAGCCATTTTAAAATCTCAATGCGTACACAAGAATCATTGGATCCTTATCAGCTCTTTTTCAAAGCATTGTTAACAATCTGCCTAGCTTGAAAGGCATGAGAAATAAAGGAACTGAAGACAAAATTGGAAGCTCATATCGAACATTACAAAGCATAAGTGGAAATCACCTGCAGTTGTCGCATATGTTTTCCCAATTGATGACAGGCTGGTATTGGAAGATAAAATCTCTTGAAAGTGACAAGTAAAGGCTCTTCTGAAAAATCGTCGAGAATCATATATTCATTGCAAATGTTTCTTTTCAAAACAAAGTCGTCGCGAGATGCTGGCATTACACCATTACGGCAACAGTTGAGAGGATCATGATAAATGCGATACTAAATCCGAAAATTCTCCACGTAGATGAAATTCGCGTCAAGACTTTGGGTTCAGAAACCGAACCCTTCATTTGATTGGCGAAATACTCATCGATGAAACCATTGAAGTCTTCGGGACGGTAAGGAGAGAAAATCTCTGCCAGGGGATTTGACTTCCGTCGAGAGTTGATCCCCAAGTCCTTACATAGCGTATCAACATACTTGGTGCAATCAGCATATCGTGAGTGGAGTTAAGTTTGGAAGAGTAACATACTGGCAAAAAGTCGTAGAGGGAATAAGGAAACTTCTGCCCTTGGCTCAGGTACCGCTTTCTAGTCCAGGCATTCCACTCGGCAATTTCTCGAACCATAGTGTCGCTGTCCGGGAGAGTAATTCGACCAAGGAGATACAGAATAGCCCAGAAGGATTGGAACTCGGCCACTAGTGGGGTCTGTACAGTATGAATCTGTCCTAGGATCACGAGTGAGCGATCTCCCTTCTCAGCTAGCTCAAGAGGAACGGCGCGTCGGTAGAGACGCCATTTCTTCTGAGGTCGCTGGAGATTTCCTGGGTTCCGTAGTACAGGTGCGTATTCCAGGAACGGTAGCTTGAGATTTACAGCTGCATCGGCATCCTGATCGGCCTGCTGCCAGCGGTCGGGGCTTTGCTCAAACCTCAGATCCTTCGGCTTGGTCTGAGTAGGGAGCCCGATGTCTCGTTTTGTCTCTGCATCGAATAATGCAAAGTGGTCCCCCCAGCCAGTGCACATTACGATAAAGTCAGTGGGCACTCTCTCACCCGACTGCAACAAAAGAGCGTTCCGATCGATACTTTTTAGGCTCTCTCGCACCACGCGGACCTCGCCCTTGTGAATGATCGACCAGAAGTCTGGGAGGGTGACTACCCCCAGTCCCGAGTTTGCCCAGAATATACTAAGATATCACTTAGTTCATTGAGTACCTGATTGAAAGCAGAAACATTGCTTGCTCACCTCTTGTTCCCAATCTCGGGGCGCAGCTCAGCAACATGATCACCTTTGTAATATCCAGCGTGAAAGTCACTCAGCATCGCCACAGTGTCCCAAAACCGCCCTGTGAGCCAGCGACCGAAAGGATATTTCTGAAAAATCCAATACAGGTACCCATCGGTGTTGAGAATGGAGGGACTGAGCCCAGTCATCAATCTGGTGGATGCCACGCCAATACTGGTCCAAATTCCAAGTAGCTTAGAAGGTAGGATGGCCAAGGGCCCTGCGCCATCCTCTCGGATGACCCAGGTCACTTCTTTTCCCATGGTGAGCAGGAGATACACCGCGTCGTAAGCGGACTTGGCAGCGCCGACGACTATGACCTTTTTGATTTCAGGGTTCTGCAGGTCAGAGTAGGAGCGGCCTAAGTCCATAGAATGAACAACTGGCACTTTCGCAGTATCGGGTTCAATCCCGGGGATGTCAGGCATGTTGGGGATTGAGGTGACTCCAGGAGCGACCAACAACTTGGCGGTTTTGATGATCTCCGAAGAATCACGGAGAGTCAAAAGCCATCCACCCGATGAGTAATTGCGATTCACCCGAGTCACGAAAGTGTTGAACCGAATATGCGGGAGAAGGTTATGGTCTTCGGCATACCGCTGGAGATAATCATGGATCATGCGGCCGGTCACTTGTTTCTCGCCAGTGACGCCGATACTGGGCATTGGCGTGTCGGTATAGTTGAACAAGCCAAGATTTACCTGCGCTACCAGGTTGGGATACAACCGATCCTCGCTCCATACACCGCCCACCGTGGAGTCGGAGTCAATAACTATTAGATTGACATTCGGACAAAGGCGAAGATATGTACGCGCTGCAACGAGACCATACCATCCTAAATTGAATATAGCGCGTCAGCAAGTAATCCATTTTCATGAGACAAGGGATAATACCTGCTCCGATGATGGCTACATCAACTTGTTCAGCCGACTTGGACTCCATTTAGTGATGGGCGGGGACACCAAAGAAAAAATGTGGATGACCTTCCAAGGTGGGAGCGACCGTAGTGATTGGTATTTGTTATGTACTATGAGAAATTACTGGAGTTGATGTACTTGGAAGCAACCATTCTATTTGAACAGAGGTCTTGTGCAATCAGTCCAAGTGAGGCTAGTTCTTACAGCAATAATTCCAAACCTCATTCGTTGACGGAGGGCCGGCGGTAGTCCCCGGGCCCCGAGGTATATGGCCTGTGTCCAGGTGAGCTGTGGGCTAATAGAATTTCGGGGGTGGCCCCGAAGCGTGTGGCGCATCACTCGGCGGTCCCGGTCCGGGTGAGAATCGGAGTATTCCAGTAGAATTCACACGGTAAATAGTACTGGCTAACATTTAAGGCTGATACCACAATATAAAATGGATTAATCAACAAAAACACATTTGTTATTACTTACTGAAGAAGGTAACGCTCGTAGGCAGCATACCCGAGGGTGTGAGGGTCGATCCTGCCACACAACACAACAACACAAGCAATCGCATTTTTGTAAGATTTCTGTGGGTAGCACCTACATTTGCACATCAGACAATTGTAGAAGCGTGCTATTCAGTACTATCTTCGAGATGCTAGACCTCTTCCGGCCTTGGCCGTAATAACATGTAACATGGGGTTCCCCACTACACTATGTAGTATCACAGTATTGCTCGAGCTCAATCCATAGCACAAATCTTGAATTGAACATTGATGTGAGGAGCCCCGGCCATGGATATAGTTTTAAATGGCTTAGGGTGGTAGTCCTGGGGTATGTATATGATCAATCCATTAATTGTGTAAGCTTTTGTTTGACATTCTGAAGCGAAGATATTTCTGAAAAGTTTGATTTTCCCGCTTTTTTTGGGAAGTCTACCTCTATGGCTCTACAATACTGTATATATCGTAATTTGGAATGTCTAGGTAAGAACACCAAAAGAAACCACTCAAATGCTCCCGTGAGTGGGATCCAAGAATTGCTAAAAAATGTCCAGGTAGCTAAATTGATAGCACACAGTTGTAGGTAGCTATCATTTGGTTTTCCTGGTACGCAAGGAATCACTCTTCGTAAAAATCTCAATGCGCGCCATCACAGTTTCCCGCCAAAGCAGTACTAGTGATACAGTTGCACCTGTCCCAAGAATGACTTGGCCGATGAGAAGAAGGAAGGGTAAGAAAAGTCTGACGGGAGATTGCCTGTTCGATGAGCGACATGCAACCACGTATACCCACGACAAGCTAGACAGGGCAATGATAATCAAATCATACTGCAGAAATAGCCAAGGGCCCTTTGCCAGCAACTTAGTAGCGTCGGGGGGTCCGTGGAATAAATTCGGGATGTAAATGCGGCTCCAGGTCAACTCCAAAACGGAAGACCGAAAGATCACGCTGGATGCGTACAAATGGCCAACAGTGGATGAAAGAGCAGCAAGACCGTATGCGAAGTACACGCCGCGACGGCGATTAAGGGGACGTGCATTTATATTTTCACGCCTTGCCTGGCTCAAAATTGCGATGAAGATGACTTGGAAGATCGAGACCCATACAGGATCCAGCTGCCAAGCGGCCAAAATCTTTTGATGACGAATAGGCTCCCGAGGTCCCCAAGTAGGGAGCATTCCGATAACTGCCGGGGCCACTGCGCCCAAGAGGAAGCTTAATGACAAGGCATCGGCCGAAGTGGAATGCGGAGCCCCAACTTTATGAACCCCAACATTGGAAATCCACTTTAGGTGATGATAATAGAATAAAGGCAGGGAGATTGCAGCTCCAGCTGCCTGCCATAACAGGCCCCAAAGAATGGGGCGCGAGATGGTAGAAGGCTTTGAAGATGGTCGGTAACTTTCAATATATAACCACACAAAGGCCGACTGCAATGTTGAATAGGCATCGATGAGGAAGACTTGGTATCCGGGGTGAGAGCCATTGGTTCCATAATAGAAGAAGGCAACTAACAGGCCGATAGGAAAGTCTAGAGGGAAGAATCCCGTATAGCTAGCAAGAAAGGGTGTCCCATCCTCAAAGTGTCCGCGCCAGACTGTCAGGATCAGCTCCAAGACGGTGCCGTTCCACAAACTGACCCCCCAAAGCAGCAGCGTTGCCGCAACTGATAATGAGATGAAGTAGTTTTCCGCTGTCAACATTGCTACAGAAAATAAAATGATGTTTGAGATGAATCACGGTACTTGTAAATGCTGGCAAAGTTTAGAAAAATATGTATGTGATCAAAGGTTTGGCCACAGGGTCACAGGGAGCATAATGAGCAAATACCGAAATTGACAGGAGCCTACAGAAGTAGTATAGAGCTGGACATTGACGCACCAATCCCGCCGTGATTGCCGAACGTGGTATTACACGGGAACGAGTGTCATGGTTATTTGTGGCGGCTTACCCGGGGGCCAGGAAGAGAGGCCCCCGGGCCGAGCCTCCATATCTCACATTTCGCCATATCGGAACTCGGGCCGCAGGCTTACAACAATCATGATTTGGTTTGGGAGGTATCAAGGAGTGAAACAACATTAAAGGATGGCTTCGAGGTTGGATCTCATACCGGTTCTATCATCCATCAATTCAAGCTGGATTTGAGCCACTAGACTGTCCCGTCCTAAATCCGCCGACATGCCTCACTTCAACGAGGATAAACTGGGAGAGGACTGTCCGCTCGAGCCCATCGCAATTGTAGGCATGTCATGCCGCCTGCCTGGGGGCGTTGATAGTTCATCGTCCTTATGGGACCTACTCGTCCAAAAAGGATCAGTCCAAACCCCACGAGTCCCAGCCTCACGATTCAACATTGACGCCTACCTGCACCCGAATCTTGAGCGCCCCGGGAGCTTCAATGTTCCCGGAGGTTACTTCTTGGACAAACCGATTGAAAGCTTCGATCCTAGTTTCTTCAATATGACACCCATAGAGGCTATGTGGTTGGACCCTCAACAGCGCAAGATTCTGGAAGTCGTCTATGAGTGTTTCGAGTCGGCTGGTCTGACATTGGATCAACTGTCAGGGAGCAACACTGCTGTTTTTGTCGGCAGTTTTACTAGTGATTATCAGCAAATGTCGACACGCGAGCCGGACTTCCGTCACAACTATGCTGCGACAGGTGTGGACACGGGCCTCATCAGTGCTCGCATCGGAAATGTTTTCAATCTGCAGGGACCAAGGTAGGTCTGCCCTTACTCTCACCTGGAAAAGGAAGCAAGTCTGACTATTTGCCACTAGTTTCACAATCAATACTGCATGCTCATCGTCTATCTATGCTGTCCATAACGCGTGTCACGCACTTCGTGGAAGAGACTGCAATGCTGCTGTTGTAGGAGGAGTGAACTTGATTATGACAGTCGATCAGCACATGAACACTGCGAAGCTGGGAATCCTTTCACCAACATCTACTTGTCACACCTTTGATGCCTCGGCCGATGGTTATGGTCGTGCGGAAGGTGCTGGTGCTCTTTACCTGAAGCGACTGTCCGACGCGATTCGCGATGGGGATGTCATTCGAGGCGTGATTCGTTCATCTGCTGTGAATACAAATGGCAAGGTGCCTGGGATGGGTATTACTCACCCAAGCAAACGCGGCCAAGAGCGCGTCGTTCGGTCTGCTTATGAGAAAGCGCGCCTGAATCCCGATCGTACCGCATATTTCGAATGCCACGGAACAGGTACTCCAGTGGGAGATCCCATTGAAAGTCATGCTGTCTCGATGGCCATGAATGACACTCGCAGTCTGGAAAAGCCGCTGCTTATTGGAGCGATCAAAGCAAATATTGGTCATAGTGAGGCCGCTAGCGGTATTTTTGCCGTGATGAAGGCGGCTATGATGACAGAAGCTGCTGTCATTCCGGGCGTGTGTGGGCTAAAGACTCTGAATCCGGCAATCAAGGAGGATGAATGGAACATCAAAGTAAATGCCAACACAGTTCCATGGCCTGCAGAATTCTCTGAGCGACGTGCTAGTGTATCCTCTTTTGGTTATGGAGGCACCAACGGCCATGTCATTGTGGAGAGCATTGACTCACTGTTCCCCAACTACCAGCAGCACGGTAAACCCAAGTTTGAGGCTGCATATGACCACTCCGCATCTCGGCCATTTCTTCTTGGGTTTTCAGCTCACGGGAAAACAACTCTAACGCGAAACATTGTAGCACATTCCCAGGTAGCCGATCGTTACTATTTGGCAGACTTGGCCTACACGCTGCTCCATCATCGCACCAAGTTCACCCAACGCGCTTTCACGGTCACTTCCGAGAGCAATCTCGTTAATGCCTTTGATGCTAATCAGATCACCTATGGAGTTGCTCCGAAGGTCACGCCCAGTGTTGGCTTTTTGTTCACAGGGCAGGGTGCCCAATGGGCGGGTATGGGGGCTGACGCAATCAGAGCTTTCCCTTCGTTCCGAGAAACCATTAAACGCCTGGACAAAGTCTTGCAGACACTCCAGCCCACCCCTGGTTGGACACTTGAGGAGGTTTTGCTAGGCCCCATCGAGACCAGTCGTGTCTCCGAAGCAGAATTCTCCCAGCCACTGTGCACTGCTGTGCAGATTGCTATTGTCAACCTTTTTACTGAGTGGAAGATCACACCCAAAGTGACTGTAGGCCATTCCTCGGGTGAGATTGCAGCTGCATACGCTGCCGGACGCATCTCTGCTCCTGTTGCCATCATTGCGGCCTATCTACGCGGATTGACTGTAGCCCAGAATGCTCCGCCCGGCGGCATGCTAGCTATCGGCCTCGGACCAGAAGAGGTACTTCCATACCTTGAAGAGGGTATTGTCATCGCTTGTGAGAACAGCCCTGCCAGCGTAACCCTAAGTGGCTCGCTGGAAGCTATTCAGGCCGTCAAATCCAAAATGGATGCAGATGGGGTTTTTGCACGAGAGCTGAAAACCGGCAAGGCTTATCATTCCCCACAGATGGATCCCGTCTCACGTGTCTACGATGCGCTACTCGCAGATGCCGTGAAGGGTGTTGATACA